CTCCCTCTTATAGAGGAGGTTATGTAGTAGCTCCTACTAGCTTTAGATTTGCTTATATAGGAGGAACTATAGCTTAGCTGTCTTCCTTGTTTATAGCGGGCCTACCCTTTAGATTTCTAGTTATAGCATAACTTAGTTAATGCTTACTTTCTAAGTTATAATTAATGCTACCGCTAGGTTCATCCTTATAGAAGACTACATTACTAGTCTTAATGATGGTCTTTATATTAGGTGCCTAGATTAGGAACTGCTTACTTGTGTCTACAACATATCCTATAAAGATGCTAACTCTAGCTTTATCTATAAGTTTGTCTCTTCTAAAGTTCTAAGGGATAGATTCCCTATCTATATAGGAATGTACCTTACATCCCTATACTCTTACATGGTTGACATTAGGCACCTTGCTTATAAGGGCCTTATAAGGGCTAACCATGTGTCCATTCACCTCTAGACCATTTAAGATTCTGTTTCTAATATAGCATCTAGCTTAGTATGCCTCTTCCTAGAAGTTAGGTAGTAAGTCGGCGCCCTTAAGATTAGCTCGTATGTTGTTTTCTACTTGCTAATTTTCCCTTTTAACTAGGCCATTCTAGGTAGAAGTGTGTAGGACTATAGTTTAAGTTTTAATCCTAAATTCCACTTTAAGTCCTTTAAAATGCTTAACTAGTTCTCCTACATTGTNAAATCTAAATGCTTTAATAAGATACCTAGTTTGCCTTTTAACTATTACTCTCTAGACTCTAAGTTTCTCTAGACATTCCTTTCTGTCCTTAATAGGAATAACCTAGGAATATCTTATAAAATNATCTTTAATAACNATTNCTTAAGTGTTTCNNAGTCTTAACATTAGAAATAGTCTATAGGTATTAATAGACACCCTCTTAAGTAGTGCTCCCTTTCTATCTACTACCTTTCCTTTCCTCTTTCTAAACTTAGTAAGAGTGTAGGTCTAGCAGACACATTTAACTACCTTAATTAGGTTCTTTATAGTCGTCATCTTATAGATTTGAGAAATCTTCTAGGAGCCTAAGTAGGCAAATCTCTTATAGTATAACATGTAGTTATCTAGCACTTTCTTGTTATAGGCTTTAGCATCTAAATCATCACTTGACTCTCCTATCACTTCATCTTAAGTAATTTCTTCTTAGGTAGCAAATGCAAGTAGTTTATCTAAGCTATAGGAGGGCGAGTAATGGATGTTGCTTAGGACATAGACACTACCTTGTTCTTTTGCTTTAAGGATAGTGTGTCCCTTAGGATTAACATAATACATCTTCTTATTATTAAACCTTCCTTTAATCCTATTCCTACATAGCTTTCTCCCTAATAGAAGGTTCACTCCTAGACTAGGAACAAATAGGACATCCTTTAAGATAATCCTAGACTTATCTTTCCCTTAGATTCTAACCTCTCCTCTTCTATTTAAGTATAGCTTTCTACCTCCTACTATTATTGTAACTTGTCTAATTTAGGTAGGAGGATTACTAAAGAGGGTAAGGTTATTAGTCATGTGTAAACTTACACTAGAATCTAATATCCATTTGTCCTAGAGGATAGTACTAACATTCTCTTTGTAGAAGGTTGCTATCTCCTTAACTTCTTCTTTATCGTCTTCTAATAAGACTAAAGTGTTATCTAAGATTATGTCTTTACTAGTAGATTTAGCTAGGTATGCCTTCTTAGATCTCTTTTCTACTCTAAGGGATTTGATCTCCCTAGCTAGGTTGCTAATCTAGGATTCTAGCTAAGAGATCTTAGTAGACTAGGTACTAATTTGATTAGTAGATTTCCTTAACTTAGTCTAGCTTCTCCTTTCCTAGTTAGTAGTCCTCTTAGCTGTAGACATGTAAGGACATGATCTTATCTAATAGTCTAATCCATTACAAAGGAAACAGTTCTAGCCATCCCTTTAAATAGGGGATCTAGGTCTCTCTTCTTAAGGTCTAGGCCTTAGCTTTCTATATANAAGAACACTTTAACTACTAGTAGGGCAAGCTCCTTAAGTAGACAGAGATTCTACTTAAGCCCTCTTTAAGCTCCTCCTATGTTACATAACCCTAACATCTCTTATTAAGACATCTTACTTAACCCTAACCTAACTGGCCGTCACATTAGAATCCTAGTTCTTAATCCATTTAAGGCTACCCTTCCTTACTTAAACGACTTAATTACTAGAGTTACTACCTACTTAACTGCCCTTTATAACCTTTAAAACCGCGTAACCCGTAGTAAAGTTCTTTAAGTTAAGGAGCTGCCTAAGACATTTGTTAATGATAAGGAGTCCTTTAAAGGTTTTGATTAATGGATTTAAGAGGATGGAACTTAAGGAACAACTTAGAGAAACTTAGGTTAGTTAGAAAGGATATAAGGGATAGCTAGGAGGATTTCTTATGTTTTTAAAGGCTTAAGAAAGTTTAATGCTAATGGAGAGAGAGATAGTACTACCTAACAAGGCTTAAGAATGCTTAAGGCTAGTTAAACCTTGTGTAATAACTCTTTAATTAAACAACTTAATAGGAGTTAATTTATCACCATCTTGCTATTCTAAACTTGATACTCTTAACTTAAGTTGTTCAAATATCTTAAAGTTAGCAAGACCTTCTCTTAACTAGCTTCGAAGGCATTAAGAAGTAGTAATACTTCTTAAAGATAGTGATGATCTATAAGGTGTAATCATTAAGCTACAAGAGCTAAAAACTCTTTTAGGTTCATCGGACATTGTAGGAATAGTAAAGACATTAAGTGCAAGCCTATAAAGACGTAGATATGAGTTAATAATAGCCCTACTTATCTAATACTTAAGTAGTAGCCTCTTAATTATAGACTAATCTCTTAGCCGGCGGCACTAACGCTTATAATCATCTTTAGCTTAATTTTCAATAAGATGCCTAAGGCTAAAAAGCTTAGACTTGTGCCAGCAGTTTGTTAATGAAGAACTTAAAGAATGATTTGAGGTTACTAGCATGTCCTTATACTCTCCCTAGAGCTTTAACATCTTAAACTTAGAGTGTTAAAGCTAAATAGGCTTATGTGCCTAGAGACTCTTAATGTTAACCTAAGTAAATGCAGGATATAGAATAAGGCTTATAACATATGCAGTTAAATGGTCCGTCAACTTATAATATTTGTTAAGCTTTAACTAACCTTAGTTAATCTAAACATAGAGAGTTGCATAGTAGTCTAGCTAGCTACTTAAAGCTTAAGTATATGCTTTAGTAGCAGCTTAAGACTATAGCGGTTAAGAGACAACTAGCTGTTAAGATAGGGCTTCGAGGTTTTGTTAAGATAGTTCTTAAACTTGTGGAGTAGGGGGTGTTAGCAATGGTCGAGAATTAGCTCCCCTATTACGGGTAGCTCGTTAACCCCTTCTTAAAGGCATAGCTAGAGGTAGCATCTTAGATGTTGCTATTAAGGAGGCAGGTTCAACTAGTGGTTAATAGGCACTAATAGGATTTGAAGGTGCAATAACAAACTTTTCCTTAAGATCTTTAAAGTGCTTAAGAAGACCTTCCATTATAGGGATAGTCTGCTAGATTAAGCCCTAAGCTCTACCTTTGCTATAGCCTTAAAGGATTGTTATTACCTTATTAAGAGGTTAAAGGATATCCTGGTATTCCTTTAAGACAGCCTAGTCTAAGGGGTGCAACCAGTCATTAAGTACTAAGGGTCGTTCCTTAAGTTTTAATTAAGGCATTACCTTNCTAGGATTATTGCGATGCTACTAGGCCTTAAGAACATCCCATTTCTTAGCAATTTCTTCTATAAGAGCTTAAATTGGTCCTTGCTGTTTAACACCTCTTTTAAGTAAGTTAAAGAAGGCATTCTATCTTATGTTATTATTAGGAATAAGCTTATAAGTATTCTCCCTTTTAAGGTTAGTATCTTAATTAACTAGAGGATGATTTGCTTAATGAAATCTAAATCTCATTCGGCGTTGTAGAGAACCTCGAATATAGGTGTTAATGTTATNTGCACAGCTTGGCACGCTATGCAAGGCCTTATCCACCAGTTATGAAACGAGTATAATCATTTAGTCGCCTGCATATCTAAAAATCGTCTAGAGGTCAGACAAATTTGCCACAGGCTACCAACTCCAAACTGGAGTACCAGTTCCAACTTTCTTGTGCAAAATGCTGTTAACAGGCTAACTTCACATCCTAATTCGATTGCGCGGCTGATGACAAGCATGGAACCGTGGTAATGGCGCACAACATCCTACGGAAAATATTGACATCTCCCTGCAGCTGCAAACACTGCACTCTACGGCGAACGGTTGGAATCTTGCTGGTCTGCAGGACCTCTCCCTTTGAGCGGATATCATGCGTAGGCGCGCACCCATTACCGATCTCCCCTTGTCAAGGCTTCGTGTTGGTTGGATGTATTGTTTCGTGTCAAATGCCTTCCCTAGCCGCTGATGTATCACTCTGGCATATGCTCTTCCTGAGACTTTCATCCAATAAGACCGTCAACCTGCCTTCGGATACGAGCAATGTAGACCTGTCGTATTGCGTCTTTTTGTCATCTAGGGAAGTGTGTGGCATCCTCTCAACTAAGATGTGCTTGAAAGAGTCCTGACAGCTTGTGTCTGTATCATAATATACCACGGCAACACACAGTGCCGGTCAAATGACGGAAATCAAGAGACTGTTTGCCCGAACATTCTAGCTTACAAAACAGAAAGGTTGACGGCGCAATCTATGCATGAGCAAACGTAGGCAACAAACGATATTCTGACCGCCATGCGGGTCTTGGAATCATCAATGTCATGATCGCGGATCATCTTTCAAGATGCGGCTAATGTAGGCATCAACTTGTTTGACCATCCGGTCACTGAAAGGCTCAGGGTTTGCTGATCAATGTACAGTCGCTACATTTAGCAATCCTTTTTCGATTGCATGTCATTTAAAACCATCCTCCAGCCTCGTAAATTCACACTCATCCACTCAACCTTTCTGGATTTTGTTGATCAGCTTCTACAAGGTAGCAGCGAGAAAGACGATATGCAGCCTCTCCCTCCAGGCGAAACCGCTCAGTCCCAGGAACACTCTCGAGAGCATACTCAAGACCATCTCCAGCGCCCTCATCAGGATGTCCGCGAGGAATCTCCTCAGAACACGCACCTGGACCAGGAACCTCGCGAGAACCTTCCTGTGGTTCCTGTGGTTCCCTTGACTCCTGCCGCACTTACCCATTTAGCATGGCTCGCGTATTTCATCTCGATCATCCTCCCTGTGCTATGGTTCACCACCTCGTACTTGGCTTCAGCTACTATCTTTGCAAATGTTAGCCTCCCTTTGGTCAACAGTACTGCACTCAACACGACTCTGGGGTTCTTCCACCACGAGCCTTCTCTGGAACATACATTCACCAACAGGCAAGTCAACGCTATCAGCGCTGCTCTCTTTGCCCCCAATGTTGTTTTCGCTTTCCTTTTCATCCCTGTGAGCATGGCGTCGGACAATACCAATGCTTTCCTATGGGCTTTCTTCGGCAACTTGCTCACGATTACGGCCTCGATCCTTTTCTTGTGCATACGGACTCCAGTATCTGTTTTGGTTTCGAGGAACATCATGGCGCTTGGCGAGACCATGGTATTGCCACAAGGTCTTCGTTTCGCGGCCTCTCTTACCACTGGAAACACCGAAAAGCCGCACAGTGCAGGCATGCGTACGCTCGCCACGCGTCTCTATTCCGTGTCCAACATCGAACTCAATATCGTCGGCGTTATCGCAGGCGGTGTACTGTTGACTCAGCACCCTAACATCGGCTACATCATCTGTACAGCTCTTTCATGTCTCTCACTTGTTTGTCTTGTTGTTTACGGGCTCACCAATCAACTGGAAAATGCTGCTTGGAGCCCGTTTTTCAATGTCCTTGAGCCCATGGTTCCGATCAGCGCTGAGGAGGAGGCTTTTAGGCTTCGAATCCGCACTGAAGGCCCCACCATAGCACAATGGCAGGCCTTACGCAGAGGAGAATTCCAAACGACCCTCCTCGGTCTATTTGCCCCTGGGATTCTGGACAGATTCAGCGTCATAAAGTTTGATTATGCGGCCGCTCTGCTTGCGGGCCTGTCAATCTCCTTGTTTGCCATGGCTCTTGGGCCGATTGCTTTCGCAGGTGTCGGCCTGCTAGGCCAGGATACACCTCTTCCTTTGCACTTTCAAAGCCTTTCTGCTTTTGCATACTTTGGTGCTGTGTGTGCTGGAGCCTGCGGTCTCAGAGTCATTCAATTCAACAACCACCCTCGAACACGTGAGCTGGTTCGTGTGCCTCACGCCGGTGATGATTCCCCTGCAGTTTACTATCGAGAGAACTCACTGGTCCCTCCTACCCTCTTCAGCCAGCCTACGGCTGTCACCATTGTACGCAGGGAGCAACGTAGGTCCGTCCCAGCACCCGTCACCAACACTGAGCAGGGTGTCCAGCCTCAGCTAGAGACTCAACAGGAGGCTCAGCAGGAGGCTCAGCAGGAGGCTCATCAGGATCATGGACAGCACGATGCTTGGGTACTACCCCAGGAACAGCATGCCAGGGAGAATCAGACCTACCAAGCCTTGTTCGCCTCCCTCTTGTCCCTGATGCTTAGCATGGTAGCGTTCCTTAGCTGCTTGCCCCTGTTCTTGAGGCTTCTATCTGAAACCGGCAACAGCCATGCCCACCTCATGTGGCTCATGTTCGTGGCCCCTTTGATCTACCTCCTTTTTGGCACTTTCACGCAAACTCGAGTATTCCCACACTCCCGGGATATGTGCTTTTACCAAAGACCTCATTTCTGGCTTTGCACACTGTCAACCCAGCCCCACAATCATCTTGCCGTTCTGAACATGCTCTCTGCGACCATCTCTTTACTCATTGCATCTTTCAAGGAGATTCCCCTGAGCACCCCTGGCCTGACCTTTCTTCTATCGATATGGAGCCTCAACGTCTTCGGCAATTTCTCCTTTGTCGTCTGGCTCATCAGCAACAGACTACAAACGCTGGTAGGGTTATCGACCGCGCTCTTGGATGGCGTCTTACAGTTGTCTCTCGAGCTATCCTTGACCCTGAGCAAGGTCATGGATAAGTCCATCGCCTCGGCGGCCGGACCTACCCCTATCTTTGATCTTATCACTACCTTTTTCGTGTCCATCCCACGCTTAGATGTTATTGACAGCACTCAGCGTGCATTTGGTATCATTATGTGCCTCCAACTTCTTGCTACCGCCGTGGTGTTCACTGGCCTCAGACTCCCTGCGGAGGCAGGCTCAGAGATACAGATCGAAGACCAACAGGGTTCCCAGGGTACCCAGGATGTCCACGGTGTTCAGAGTGTTCAGGATGTTCAGGGTGTTCAGGGTGCTAATCAGGATGCTCAAGATACTCCGGCTGTTAGTCAAGGTGCCCATAACGCTCAGGGGGCCAGTCAGAGTGTTCAGGATGCCCAGGGTGCTCAGAGTGCCCAGGGTGCTCAGAATTCTCAGGATACCAGTCAGGGTGTTCAGGATGCCCAGGATTCTCGGAATACTAGTCAAGGCACCCAGAACGCTCAGAGTGCTGCTCAAGGCACCATTCAGCAGGTTACTCAGCAGGGTACCCAGCAGGGCGCTCAGAGCGACATGAGGATCCGAGTACTCGAGCCACAAGTGGGAGACCTTCAGCAGCAACAACCCCGCGGTCAACTCTCGACCGCACTCGCTCCTGATCCTATCGTCGATACCAGCAACCGTTCCGCAATCGCTCATGAGCTGATCCCTGTCACGCCCAAGACCGCTCAAGGCTTGACTCGTCAAGGCGAATCGCCCCAGTCTACCCGTGAACAGCACAGTACCCCTGGTGGCGGCTCAGCTGTCAATCCCCGCGAGTTTTAACTCTGACACCTGACACAGTTCGATTCATCATTCACGGCCTGTCACGAGAGAGAGCAACTTTTTCGGCATACTTACACAGCATTGATACCCATATTGCGATAGCGTACCTTACGACTTGATTGAACTTCCATTTCTTTTACTTCGGTTTCTCAGCGTGATCATACTCGCCGAGTGGTGATTAGACTAACTCGTATACAATCTTTGTTCAACCATTCCACTTGTATGCGTGACTGATGTGGCATATGTTTTAATGATGTAACTTGCTTAGAACTCACCGAGCTCTCAGACCGTCGGGTCACAGAATAGCCAGGCAAAGCCACGATGCTTTCGGCCTTGGTCCAACTTTCCAATGAGATGCTGGAAATGGTGGCGCTTCCGTGGACAAGGAGGTGGTTGTCAAAAACCTCTTGCCTTTTGACAGTTAAGTTGTCAATGAATGTCTAGTGAGAGAGAGAGCAGGGAGTTCGAGCTCTCAGCGATCCATCCCTCATTCTTGAATATCTTTGCGCATCTTTATAGCTAGCAACAGAGCAACAGTACTCCAATGGGAGGCAGGAAGAAGAGTTGGCAGAAATACCTGAGTACCCCCCAGCAACAGTCAGGGGCAGAATTTGACAGTGAAAAGACACCAGCGTTCTGTGAGTCTAGCACGTATCCAGTGTGAGAGAGCAGATAATTTAGCATCGGATTGAATTATCTCCTTGTTTGCGAGCTAAAAGTAGATATTGATAGCGCTGTGACCAAGAGTCTGAATTCTGCTTCAGATCCCATCATCATCTGTCTCATCAGTGCCAGTTATTGAGGTACTGTGCCGATCAGTACCAATCTGTTCCGCAACTCTCTTGTTTTCAAGTCCCAGCTTGTTGTAGACACGTATCCCATTTGTCACAGGTTCCCCTCTGGGGCTTGCTGAAGGATCGGGACGCTTCCAGACCCAAGTACGCTTCACTTGAAACTTGGTCAGGAACAGACCATCCGCCCACTGTAATTTTCCCACAACTGAAGACAGCCCGAGTTGAAGCACATGACAACGAAGACTCTTGTGGCAACGTCAGCCAATGTTTGCCATTGCGATCCACGGTGGCATGTTGATTCGAGAGACCGGACTTAAGTGCCATCAGAGATTCATATGAGGACGCCATGGTCAATCGCTGCAGAATGGGACATTCTCTACCATCATCCGACGTACAGACTTACAGGCTCCCACAAAGCATACTTGAAGAATATACAAAGCTCTTGACAATTGGTAATTTGTTCACCATGTTTACCAGAAGCCTTGAACGGACACCTCTGTGGAGATCAGATTACTCGTGCATTTTGACAGCTACATCGGAACAGTAGGAAGAACGTGGGAAGACGAAATTCCTGGATAGATGCCAAGTGGCTTCTCACCGCTGAAATTGGTCCTTTACAGGAGGGCGAAATGACAAAATGGTGTGCAACTGGAACAGTGTGCTCTGGGTGGGGTTGAATAGAAGTCGATAAGATGAACCAGTCGAGTATACTGCTTGGGTCTATGTACATAATCGTCTTGATCACAACCTTGCACAATGATTCCACTATGCCGTTTAGATACATAGCTTTTCCCTCTATTGCCAACTCATCATATAGTCACTGTATCTGCGAACAAAACAGTTTCGCGACCTAATTGAGGTTTGGTTCATTGTACGTATGCATTGAGTATCCGCTACGACAAAACCTCCTTGCGCTCTGGTCCAAGTACTGTCAGTTTCTCATTATTGCTTTTCAATGAGGACAGATTCCGTTCGGCTTCAAGTCGCTTGCCGATTGTCTTGTTCTCAAGTTCGACGTTGTCATAGACATGTATGCCGTCCATTACAGAATCTCCTCTAGGCTTTCTTGGGAACTCGGGAGGTTTGCCAGCCCACTGGAATCTTGGTTTGCAGGGTCTAAGCCCGTGAACAAACCAACCCGGATGAGGATAGAAACCGTCCAGAAAACGGAGCCGAGGTCGATTGCCCCCAAGGGCTTCGCGTAAGATTGTTCGACAAGCATAGTGCGGTCGGGCAGCAAGTGCCTCCCTAGCACCCGCTGCCATGGCCTTTGCAACATCGGGTTGAGCTTCCATGAGTGAAAAAAGCCTCCAGAATCTGAAACTAAATCGGGTTCTTAGGGCAACGGCCTTGTCGTAGTACTGCCATTGGAACTCGTTCCAGTCCAATTCGGCTCCTAACATATGCTTAACGAAGGCTCGAATCCTGGCATTGTTCGTAGGTCTAGAGCAATCCGCTTCTTCAGGGTACGCCAAAGCCCAGAATTCATCGCAGGCCATGACACAATGGTGGTCACAACGCTCTTCGGGATCATAGATATCGTAGCTCCAGAAATGTAACACCTCCCAAAGATGATGGTCACTGCCAAATTTGCACCAAAGATGTTCGACGGAGCTCAAACGATCCTTCGGGTCGGCAAATGAACTTGTTTCAGAATCATCAACTCGAACTGCGAGAATGAGCTGAGGTCCTATTTCGAGGTCGCGGCTCTTGTAGTGTAACATTTTCTGTATGGTAACCAGAAAATCCGGAAAGACGTGTTGTTCAAAGACCCTTGGACCCTTAAGATATCGTGTTCTGCCTTTGAGCTCGGGAGGAAACTGTATCTCATAGAGGACTTTCGCGAAGAAGAGTGATGTGTCAAGGCGAGCCACCCTTAAGTGTTTGGCTTCCCTAGCAGAGATTTCGCATGTCTCCAACGAGTTGACATCGAGATATCTGATGCTAGCCTCGCGACGCCCGTGAGTCTGGGAGGCTTTCGATTCCATTCTTGAGAAAGGTAAAGTAGAGGAAGTGGGAGAAAAGAAAAAAGTGACAGAAGGCAGGCTTTGTACCTCGAGCTTGTAAAACTTGCGTCAATTCCCCGCCAACTAACTCGTCCGAAGTAGTCATGTGGTCGTACCACCGTGTTCCCGATGACTGTTGAAACAATCTATTCAGTGATAGAGTACCCATCTATGAATGGGGTTTCACGAGCTTTTGAGAGAACCCCCTGGAGTCGACAGAACCTACCACATGTCTTGCGCACCGAGGGCGCCGGATCTAATGAGAGTACAGATCTTCGTACTCTTAGTCACCTAAGCATGATATATGTTGGATCTCTTTCAACTGTGCAGGAGTCAGTAACACTGATAAATACGTAGAGTATATCGCGCCCTTCTCGACGTGTGCTCAGTCAAGCCATTTCTCGCCATGCACAACCAGCAAGGGCATCCATTACAGAGCGTCGCGGCTGCGCTAGTAGTGCGATTACCAATTTCAATATTGATCATCATTGCGATTGCGAGGGAGAGGAAGCGGTAGTAAATCGAAACATACATTCACTATTCTATTCTATTTGAGTCGAGGTGTCCCATCTTGTAGGTCGTCGCCATGTCCTGGGAGCCACCACGAAGGGGCCCTCGTGAAGACGGTTTTAAAAGTGGGGTAGAATCAATCTCGACACACGCATCGGAGTCGCCAACCAGGTAGAGTGTATAACCGGCCGGCGAAGATTTGAGTTGGTGGTCTTGGTTGAGAAAGAAAAGAAGAGGGAGACTCGGACGAGGTTTCTTGTAGTGAAAAAGTGACGATGGGGCCCGTGCAGGGCTTGGCGCGAGCTGGGACAGTTCTGCTTCTGCTTCGACGGCGACTTGTCTAGGGCATCATGCAAATACTCGATCCCACCACCAATCACCCCTCCACGCGCCATTAATCACCTTCCAATTCTGCTTCCCATTCAGCTTCAATCTGGTCTTCGAACATCGCCGCATCTAGAGCTACATCGCAAACACAGTCAACCGCATCTCGCAACATAGCATACTCCGCAGCGCCAGCTTGCCCATCACAATTTTCTCCACCTTGCCTTTGTCCACCTGAGAAACACGCCCACTACGCCCTTCCGTCCTTGTCCAGCCTGCCTAGCTAGCCCTCTCCTCCACTCGAAGCTCCTCCCTGTTCCTGCATCCCTTCCACGCTAGCAGTCGCCGCAATGGACAAGGACACAAACAACCTTTGGTCCCGTCGCACAAAGTATTTCTTGACCATCTCCTCTTGCTGTACAGAGCTAACCATGTTTTCGCGCAGTGTTGGAAAGCTTTCCCTGTCAATGGACAAGTCAGACCGTCAAGATGGACAAACATCATCAAGACGTTTTGGTCCCAATTCCTCCCATGGGCGCAACAACCCTTTCAATACAGTCACACCATTGAGTACTAGCGGGATCTCGTCGCCTACCACAGGTGCTGCCTCGGGCGCTTTCGCCCTAGGTACTGGCGCCTTTGCTTCATTTGGTTCTGCGACAAAGACACCCAAGACCCCAGGAACTGCCTTTGACTTTGCCAAAGCTGTCGTTGGCACATCTTCGATCACCAACTCTGCTGAGAAGAAGGACGGTGACGAGAAGAAGAGCTTTGCTAGAAAGGTCGCGCCTGTCACTACACCCCGCCCCACGACTTCACAATCAATAGAACCGGCACCAAGAGGCAATGACAGCCCCTGGCCGCTCAAGTACACCTGGGTCATCTGGTACAGACCCCCCACGTCCAAGAACTCGGACTACGAGAAATCTACCAGGCCTATGTGCAAGATTTCGACAGCGCAACAGTTCTGGCAGGTCTATTCGCATCTGAAACACCCGTCAGGACTTCCTACCGTTTCGGACTACCATTTCTTCCGTGACGGCATCAGACCTGTTTGGGAGGATGAGGAGAACAAGAAGGGAGGAAAATGGATTTTGCGATTGAAGAAGGGAGTCGCAGACCGCTACTGGGAGGACTTGCTCATGGCCATGATTGGAGACCAGTTCGCCGAGGCTGGCGAGGAGGTCTGTGGTGCAGTTGTCAGTGTGCGCAGCGGTGAGGATGTTTTCAGCATCTGGACCAAGAACGATGGCGGCAGGAACGTGAAGATTCGGTAAGTCTTGGACGCGACGCGATTGTGGAGAAAGCTGCTAATATTCAAACTAGGGAAACCATCAAGCGCGTCCTGTCTCTGCCGGCAGACACCAACATGGTTTGGAAAAGCCATGATGACAGCATCACTCAACGCAGCGCCATTGACCAGGCTCGTCAAGAAAAGACGGGCCACCACGGTGAAAGACGCCGCAACCAAAACCAGAGCTCGACCAACAACAACGGAACGAGCGAGGAGAAGGTCGCAGCCTAATGAAGTGGTATATGAGCAACGATATGGCAGTAATTTCAGCTGCATGTATTTTAACGCATTGATTACCTGATACCTGAGTGGAGCGTTTGGGAATTGGCGAGGACATAGTGCTTTTTCGGCGATGCAGGCGACGGCATGCTTGGGGATAGCAGGTATGCATTGGCACCTCCGACGCGGGGTCGCGTTGTCGAAGCCGCAGATGAGGTGGGGGATAATGGACAAGCTACCTATGTAAAAGTAGCTAGCCGTCCACGCCTGGAAAGCGGAAAGCCATCACGGTCGTTGAAAGACAGACCGCATTGAATGAACAAAAGCAGTAAAGAAGCGCGCACGACTTTGTCCGGGTGGACTTAATGACGAAAGTCCGTGACTCTCCACGAATTGGCGGTATCGGGGGGACCCTTAAAGAGAGCAACTGCCGAATTAGACGCAATCTTGACATTGCCCTTTCATTTTTTCGAAGCTCGCAGTCACACGAGCAACCATGCACGCAACAACATCAGAAATGCCTTCAGACAGGATTGTCGACAAGATCGCCGCGCTGCCCGAGGACAGCACCTATTTCTCCCTCGAGTTCTTCCCGCCAAAGACTCAGCAGGTGGGGCCGCCATGAGTGAAGAAGCATGCACCAAGAACATGGCTGACTTGTTTCGCAGGGTTTCGCAAATCTCCACGCCCGTCTTTCTCGCATGGCACACTCATTACGGCCATTATTCGTCAATGTAACATGGGGTGCTGGTGGCAGCACTTCGACAAAATCGCTGGCTCTCGCCGACATGACGCAGCGCCAATTGGGTCTCACTACTTGTCTGCATTTGACATGTACGAACATGTCGCGGAAGCTCATTGATGAAGCTCTGGAACAAGCAAAAGCATTGGGAATCAGGAACATTCTTGCCCTGAGAGGCGACCCTCCACGAAGTGACGAGTACCGCTCGAACGAGCTGGAGAACGAGGAAGAGGACGACAGCAACAAGGAATTCACATGGGCCGTAGATCTGGTACGCTACATTCGCAAGGAGTACGGCCAGTACTTCTGCATTGGTGTTGCTGCATACCCCGAAGGCCACTCCGATCAATCACATCCCGAGCATCAGCATGCCACCTACGACCTGCCATTCCTGGTCGAAAAAGTCGAGGCTGGCGCCGACTTCCTTATGACCCAACTTTTCTACGACGTTCACGCATACCAAGATTACGAGAAGCTGCTCAGACAGCACGAGAGCGGTGCTTTCAAGACTATCCCCATCATCCCTGGCCTTATGCCCATTCAGAGCTACCAGATCTTGAAGAGAACCACCAAGCTCAGCCACGCCAACCTTCCCTCCGAGCTCTCCAACAGACTCGAGCCCATCAAGAACGACGACGAGGCTGTTAAGCGCGCTGGTGTCGACATCCTGAGTGAGATGGTTGAAACGCTCAAGAAGAACTCCTACTCCGGACCTAAAGGATTCCACTTCTACACTCTCAACCTCGAAAAGGCTGTCGCACACATCGTTGAACGTTGTAAGTTGATCGGTGCAGTCAACAACGTAGCTGTGGAGGACGATGACACACCAGTTGCAAACGGAAACGGTGACAAGAAAGCAAAGGCTCGTCGCAGATCCTCAATCGCAAACTCGGCACCTCAAAACCGTGTTGTCATCGACAAGACCTCAAGGTCGGCGTCAAGTGGAAGCGCGACCTTCGAGGCATTCGACGATGAAGCTGGTGTGCCAGGCGAGGACCCACCATCGCGCAAGGATGCTCTGGCGATCTCAGAAGGTGAGGGTGCTTTGGGACGAGAGGCCACATGGGATGACTTCCCCAACGGAAGATGGGGTGACGCTCGCAGTCCTGCATATGGTGAGATCGATGGTTATGGTGTCAGTCTGCATGTGTCTATCCCGAGCGCACTGAAGCTGTGGGGCTACCCAGTCGACACAAAGGACATCACAAGCATTTTCGCGCGCCATGTGCGTGGCGAACTCGATGCCATCCCTTGGAGCGAGGAAGGTCTCAACCCTGAGACAGAAACGATCAGAGAAGAGTTGGCTGGCTTGATCTCGAAGGGCTGGTGGACCGTAGCTTCCCAGCCTGGTGTCAACGGCTTCCGCAGCGACCATGAGATCTTCGGATGGGGTCCGCCCAACGGCTTCGTCTTCCAGAAGGTATGTTTGAATTTATCTGGAACCATGATGAGCGCCTTTGCTAACAAGTCTTGTAGCCATTCGTTGAATTCTTCTGCTCACACGAAGACTGGACACGACTACGCACCAAGCTCGACAAGGATGATCAAGTTACATATTTCGCATGCAACGGCAAGGGCGACTTCCAAGCAGCCGACGAAGAGAGCTTGAACCCAGTGACATGGGGCTGCTTCACTGGCAAAGAGTGCGTGTTGACATTACCTTTACACAGAGAAGCTCAATGCTAACATAACCATCAGAATCGTCACACCCACCATGATCGAAGCAGTCTCCTTCCGCGCCTGGGCCGAAGAGGCTTTTGGCATCTGGACAGAATGGCGTCACGTATACCCCCCTCGCTCGCCATCTGCCAAACTGCTACGCGAGATCAGAGATAACTACTGGCTTGTTAACATCATCCATCACGACTTTACCGAAAACAACGGCTTGTGGAAGATGCTCTTGGAAGCATAGAAAACACTACTATGAACGAGGTGGGAGTTTTTGGATATGCATGATGCATTGGTTGCGGCGTTTCGCTTCGAGTTTGTACATATTGAACGTTATCGTTTGAAGGCATGCTAGCCTCTCCATCTCCAGCAGCGCGTTGCCAATCGAAAACTTGCGCATCAAAAGGCACGATGATTTTTGAATATGAAGAAATGTCCACTGAGAGCTCAAGTTTTTTTGACCTCTCATTGGACAAGCACTCTGTTATGAATACAACCTTGCATTTTGACAGGCTGGGGGAGAGACATGTGTGTTGGATAAGAGAGCCTCCTCTTCCGCTGACCCCTTTTATCCTTACCTCCCCCTGGTTTATTACTTTCACAGAAGTTGAAATGCACGATATCTTGTTGTTATCAGAACCAGGTCCAGAAATTTCTCACCTGGAGCTCTCTCTCTCTTTGAACATCGTGCTGTCTCAAACACCCGCTATGTGTTTTCGATGATAGGTGTATTGCCACGCATCGTGCGGATGCGAGAGAGCCCCATGATGACAAATTTCACATGGACCTGTGGTGGTCATACATAGGTGGAACACCCTAGACTAGACTTCATTGGACAGCTATATTCATATCTAAACAGTCCTAGCCCTGCCGCTCTGGCCTGGGGGTTTTATTAGTGGTGCTTGTGTTTAAGGGCAGCGAAAGCTAAGAGGATGGCATATGGCTTAGAAGGTGATATTTAGTGCTATATAGTACATCTGAGACAGATGTTTGCTTGTTCCACGGGTGCTGGTGGGGAAGATTTCTTGTCAGGAAATAATAGAAACTACATCTTGTAAGAGGAACATTGTCGAGGAGAGGAGTCAGTGTCTGAGACGGCTTAGGACGGGTTGTACAATTTTCTACAGAGGTTTTTCGATGGTTGGAAATGCTGTTGTATGTTCGTAGATGTGCTTTGCGATGTGAGGTTGGAAAGTGAGGTACGAGCCAGGGTGGCCCAGCTGACTAGTCGGACTTCGGTCAGAGATATCCTTTCAAAATCTGCTCCTCGACAACAACACCCATACGTCGAGAACAGCCATCAAGTATCGAATTGTATACAAGCAGAGAAATCCATCGTCGCGCAATCTAGATCGGTGCTCACTTCTTCACACCCACCACCACCAAGTTCCTGGGACTATGCTTGAACTCAAACACCGCTTCCACCCAAGCCTCCTTCACCTCCTCTTGCTCTTTAAGCCACAACCATCTATCCACCACAACAGCAGCTTCTATAACGCCCGCACTGAAAGCCATCAAACTCCACATGACACTCAACTCCTTACCTCTTTCCTTGAATTCTTGTTCATAGCGACTGATTTCCTCATCGCTGATATCAGACATTTTGGCAGCGAAATCGGGGCCGCGGATGGGATCGAGGAGAAGTTTTTCCAGCGCCCCTCGCACGTAGGTTAGGAAAGAAGTATAGCAGCTTTTGCGCAAGGAGCCTAAGATGATGGGAGCAGTGCCCCCGCCAGCAGACCAACCAAGAGGACTCCCATTATTCCCCTGCACATCCTCCACCTGCGGCTGTTGCACAACACCTTTATCCATAAACATCTTTTGCAGCAGAGCACGGTAGAAATGGCGCTTGAAGAAACTTTCAGAATCTTTCTTGCCCCAGTTTTGGGGAGCTTGGACGGCCATCATGCGGGCTGTGATGTTTAGGCGTAATCCTTTGCCCGTGGCGGTTTGGGCATTGCAGAGGCGTGAGGACATGGGGAAACCGTGGGGGTCGTGGGAGGATGAGGTTGAGTCGAGGCGGGGGTGGTTGCTGCGGAGGGAGGGCAGTTTGTAGGTTGCTGGGCCTAAGCGTTCGGTTATGAGGTTGTAGCAACATCCTACTAATGCGACTGCGGAGACGGAGGGGTTGAGGAGGAGAGAGCGGATGCCGTGGTGAACTAGGTTGCCGCAGCTGTGAAGGGAGATGACGAGGAGTTTTGGGTCGAGGGCGCGGATGTCGGAGTTGAGGGAGAGGTTTCCTTCGACGAAATTGTCGGGGATTTGTTTCGAGCATGGTTGGGCAGAGGTGGAGGATGTGAGGTCGGAGATCACTTTTTCGCGGACGACGGATTGGTCGACGATCTGAGGCACTACTCGCGACAAGTCTCCGTCTTTGATGTAGTGTTCGACGTATTGAATGCTTCCGACGCCTTCGTTTGAGATCTTGAGGGTGGCTTGTTGGGTAGGCTCTTCTTCCCGTGTTGGCTCTTCTGCGTGGAATCCTCTTTCACCTTTGAGGTCCAGTTTTGAAAACTCCTTTTCAGAGATTCCTTGTTCGGCCATGGCGTCTCGTTGAGTCCTCCATTCCTTTTTGTTTCTCATGATTTGTTGCTTTGGCGCTAGTTTGGCAAGCACGTCCCAGTTTCTGGCTCCTTCGATGTTGTGTTGTTTGCTTTCTAGAGCGATAATATGTTTGTTGTATGGTTCTGAGGCCAATGCTCTACCCAAGTAATTCTGACCTGCTCCAAAGTCTACCAGATGTGTGATTTCTTGATCTGCCAATTCCGCAATCTCGGTTGTAAGTTTATCCAGGTAACGGCAAAAGTTGTCGACTTCGTGAATTTTCTTCACGTTCATACCTACTGCTACTTGACGAGCTAAGGTGTGTGTTGTCTTTGGTCCATTCGATCCTTTCTCGTCTTTTCTGTTGATGGGAGTGTGCTCACGTCGTAGAGACAACTTTCTAATTTGCTTAATGTATTGCAATAGAGTCTCCGGTGGGACAGGGCCTTCTCTCCAAGACTCTGGCCTCTGATCAAATATTTGCAAGTCCTCTCGCATGAGTAAATCCAAGATGTCCATTATATCGTGTGCTCGGAAGAAAGATCGCCATTCTGGAGCTATCACGAGAGTGTAGAGATCCGGCTTTCGTGTGAAGAAGTCCAGCACATGGACTCCACCGCAGAGAGTGTGTAATAATTCATTTGATCCGATAAAGTCCAGTAAAGAATCGACATATTGCTCCGAGCTCTCAAACTCTGGCGAGCATGGGAGGGCGCTCTCCGGACCCATTGTCGCGTGAACTTTGACGTTCAGATATTCTGTTGATAATGAGAGACCTCTTCTTTTCCTCTCCTCAGGATATCTTCCAGCTCCTGGCTCCTCTATCCTGTGGCATATGCAGATGTATAAAAATGATGGACGTGGAGAAAAATCACCAAAAATGCGGCTCCCAAAGTTTAAACGCCGCGGCTAAAAGCCGACACCTTGCCGGCGACGACACAGCTGTTCCTGGGGAAAGCACTTCAACGAAACAACATCCAACTTGGAAGCCTTGCAAAGCAGCTTCTCCCTTTCTCCCTCTTCTGCTTTTCAGTCACAAACAATGAGCTAGATTGTCATTGCGGCATAGGCGGGCCGCATGTTAGCAACACCAACACACACTTAACACACCATCATGGCATCCGAAGACCCCTTTCTACAGGTGCAAGCGTATGTTGACTTCCTCCCTCACACTCTTGCACACCATTGCGCAAACGATCTTATCACTAACTTGTGTGTATCTAGTGACGTGCTATCACTCCTAAACACAACACGACCACTCTTCAACAGCTACATACGCATCCGCTCCTCAGCCTCCTCAGCGACCTCCCCAGAACTCGTCGAGTCCCGCGCCGAACTCGAATCCACACTCACAGACCTATCCGCCGACCTGCGCGATCTCATCGACAGCGTAAAAGCCGTAGAACACGACCCTTACCGCTATGGCCTCGAAATCGACGAAGTGGAGAGACGCCGCACATTAGTGGAAGATGTAGGCAAGGAGGTGGAAGATATGCATGCGGAATTGGAAAAGACGGTGGAGCAGGCACAGATACATGGGAAGGGGAAGGGCAAGGAAGCACTACCGCATCCGAGTGCGTTTGATAGTGAGGATGAGGATGGGAGGGATGGGGATGGGGATTATGCGCAGTTTGAGCAGCAGAGGCAAGAGCAGATTATGCAAGAGCAGGATGAAGCGTTGGATGATGTCTTCAAGACTGTGGGCACGCTGCGACAACAGGCAGATACTATGGGACGTGAATTGGAGGAGCAAGCGGATTTGCTCGATGATGTCGATAATATCGCCGATCGCGTTGGAGGGAAGCTTCAAAATGGCATCAAGAAGATTGGCTGGGTCATCAGGAAGAATGAGGGTTTGTTTTCTCCTCCCTTTTTTTCCTTTTCCCTATTTTTCCACTCCAATCATTGGCTGTTTTGTCGACGAGATCGATTGTTGTGACATGTGCTGACGCGCTTTCTTCCAGACACCTACTCCAGCTGTTGTATCGCTGTTCTGATTGTCGTCTTGATCATTCTGTTGATCTTCTTGTTGGCGGCTTGAAGCAGCTCCAAACTCGCCACCTCCGTAACGATCATCACCGTAATGTATCCAAAATATCTTACACCACTTGACCGTGGTTCTGCATCAGGTTGTCTCTGTCATGGATGGGCGGTCTCAGAGTATCTCTCGTCGTCAACCCAGGGGAATATAGTCACAAGAAACTTGTGATCATTGATCATCGCCATTGTGGCGAATGACGCAGTTTCGTGACCCATCTTCGTCATTTCTGCTTGTTTTCTTTTCGCAGACAGAAAAGTGGCATCGATGGAGTCGACTCCACCAGCTCTCCATCGTGTTGGGTGGATTGGAAAGTCAAGAGGATGAAATCATGTTCATTGTCATAAAAATGTGTTATTGCTTTTTTTTCCCGGAGAAAATAATGTCATAGGTGATCTGGCGAAACGGGTATTTCCAAGTTGTTCTATGAGGAGAGCATCACTATGAGGTTATGGTTGAAATGTCACTGCCAACCGCCATCTGACGCGGTGGTGGTGGTGTTTATCCCGATATTGTGGTTGTGTATTGCGACCCGCAAGTCAGTAGACGAGCCGCAATCAATTAGTGTGTTATATAGGCGCGGCAAGTAGGCAGGTACATCTATTCTGAGCAAAAGTAGGCGTCCTCAACGAAGAGGCTCAAGCAAGGAAACATGCAAGCCTCAAGTGACACACCAATGCATGGCTTTCGAAACAGTGAAACTCTATCCAACATACCATACCGTTTGGAAACGTGATTGCAGAGACGCACGATGACGGAGCTGACGGGAGAAACGATGAACGGGAGAGCAGGGAAAATCCCCCTCAGGCTGGCGATGGACAGGATGCCCCAGGTTTCAAGGGCATGAACGAGGAGCCCGATGTCCTCCAAGATGGTGATCGAGACAAAAAAGGCGTCGGAGTACATCCCGTATGCGGTTTGGGAGGCTGGAATCTCACCCTTTCTGGTAGGGGTCAATTGTTGAGGATCATGAAGCTCATAAACCGCTCATGATGCGGGGATCATGAGCCGACTTCATGATGTTTCCTCTTTAAGATTTCAAGCAAAAATTTACGTAAAATCTCGGGCATGCCCCGAACTAGCATAGATACGATAGTATACTGCCAAGTGTAGGGTAGTAGTGGTGTTTAGCACTCTTGGCAAGTGCTAAGACTACCTACTAGCTATGTTATCACAAATCTTGGCGGACTTCATGAGCTACCGCATTGGTTAGCGTAAATGAGGATCATGAAGCAGCCAGGTCCCTACTTTCTGGCCAATTGGACTCTCATGTATGGGAAGTACTCCGTCCATCGGGGCATCGAGCGATGCCGATGGTATGGGTCAAGTCCGCAGAAAAGGTGTGCCTTTGAAAAGAATTCGCTGATGTAAGATCGATCTAACGATGTGCTTGCGATTGTACTCGATGGTCTAAAGGACTGCGATTGCGACCTGGTAAGAGAAATCAATCGACGATACGATGGATATGGGTGCGAAAACGATAGGAACTTCTGTGTACGTAGCCAAAGTGAGACGATTGATGATGTGTGGACAGTGGATCAGAGGAACTCGTGAGAGGAGCGTGAGGCAAGCATCACAAGCGAGTTTCTCCGATGTCCAGGGCATGTTCTGATTCCTGAAGCTGTGTGTGACGTCTGGTCTCGAGCCGCATACGTAGCTCAACACCGAGCAGATTGACGGGGATGACGACCTTGTCCGACGGTACGAGACTTGTCACCTTTGTTCAGTGTCAGGAATCAGATTAGATCAGCAAGTCCTTGAGCGAGGTCTCGAGATTGGCAACAGATTAATGCGATGAGTTCGTCTATGTCCTGGTGCTGCAGTTGAGAATTGATGGCCTCAGGGATGCGGGATGCCCTAAACACGGCCTATCCATGCGGCTGGAAGTGTCAGAAACACTCATGCATAAGCCCAGCCAAAAAGCATGTAAATAGATGAACATACCCATTTGTGGTACGAAAGTAGGTAGCGATGGTGATTGATCTTGAGAGTCCTTTACTTTTTCGATGGACCAATGATCGTGAGCTTCGACGGACTCCGAACTAATCAACTGGCTCGCGTGCTTCGATTACAGAAATGAGTGGGTTTCATCAGAGCACTGGGTGATATGACGAAGTATTACGCAGTGCGTGCCCCATACTTCGCTACTTCCAACCCTTTGCACCTATAAAGGTGGCCGAATGAGGAAATAGATAGGTGATCGTCCTGTTCATCCTGCTGATGTCAATCCTCCTCCACAGATTGAATAGGAGGATGAGGTAGACAGTGGAGTGCAGCACAAAAGTAATACAGAGGCAAACAGCATCATAGTGTGCCAGACTGTGCATCCACTTTGCATCTTTCAGGAATTTCCGAGAGCATGGTTCCAGCGACGTCAGAAGAGAGCAATTCGCAAAGACAGTTCGAGGCTGGGAAAGGTCGTTGCCCCGACTCCCCAACTCTGTGCGTGCCATGCGTGAGTGACATGAGACCCGAATCTACGTCATTCGGCATCTCCAAGGCGTCTCTCCCTGCGAACGGTGGTGGCGGCGGCGGCGGTGACGGTTCGACTGCCCGTGGTGGTTTTATGTATCGGCTCACTGACTCTGTGACGCGCGGGTGTGTTCACGGTGTGCCTGACAGAAGTCACGGATGCTTGTCAGCGGTGTACATCTCGATTCATGAAGTCCCGACCAAAGGGTCACGGCGGACTCGGCGAGGTCTGGAAAGCACATCAACATCAATTCATAGGTCAAAGGAATCTGGTAAATTAAACACCAGCGCAGGGTAAATGCGGAGGATAGTCGTTGAGCAGTTCGTAAGCAAAAACAACGCGAGGGTTATGATGCATCCAACCGAGGAGGAGCGACACGCGACGTCGTCGTTGCTCTTCCCTCCCTCTCAGCGACAGACCCGACGTCTGAGAGCTGCCCGTATGAACCGCCGGAAATTTTGCCAGCTACATCATGATCAACAGGGTCCTCTCTGGTCACGGTCTAGCCTCCTCGGGGCCGTTGTTGCACACAGAGCGATGAGCTAATTGCGGGCTGGCACGATCCAATGAACAATTTCCGATACTCGCAGCTTCCCGCCTCCGTGACAGGGAAGCTCTAATCGAAGCCTTGGACACGGGAATAGACTGGTTTTGCTTGCGGGCGTCTTTGACCTTGCGCCGTTGCGCTGCCGATCTTAGCGCCAACGACCACAGTCTAGAGGCGCAGGGTCTGACGTTGATCCAATCCTCTGCCTAGCCGTCATACTTTCGGTCTCTGCTCACTCTGAAGAACCACTCCCACTGTACTGTTTTGACATATAAGGAACCTGGTTCTTCCTCTCCGTCCAGCCTCCTTCCATCAACACATTCCCACTTCAACAAACATCTTTCAAGCCTTCAAACTTCCACTCGAAGCATCTTTCAAGCATCTTCTATCAACGACTTTAAACCAAACAACCAATATCTTCACAATGGCCGCTCCATCCGAGATCCAGCAAGTCTACATCGCTGAGGACTTCTCCGAACCTACTGCTCCTCAGTATGAGTTCCCTCAGCACTACGACCTGAACGACCCAGACTCTGCTCGTCTTTCCTACCAGAGATTGATGCACGAGCACACCAAGCAACAGTTTGAGCTTGCCACATCATCTGCTCGTCGTCGCGGTTCTCCCCCAGAGCACGACATCTCAAGCCTGCGCAAGGAGACCTCCGGCATGAGCATCGATTCTACCTCATCATCATAAACACTTCGGTCTGCGACCAAGTCACGACAACATCTACCTTCAGCGCACTGTCTCTTGTAGCGGCGCGACTGGCATAACGACTTTCATGGAACGGAGTTTGATTTTTGTATTATTGGGAATGGCGGGTCTCGCATAGAGGCAGGAGTTTTGTTTTAGATGATCGTTCAGCCGGTTGGACGTTTTGGTGTTCATAATCTCTGGCATTTTCAAGTCATGCATTGTCGATATTAGTCGACCGGATCCTCAGAGTATTTGGAGCCCCAGTCTTTGCTATCAGCGCAAGATTTTCAGAATTGAATGAACTATTCTCTCTTCACCTCACTTTCGATCATGATTTCCAACCGTGCCTCTTTGTCTAACAGACTCTCATGGCTCTTGGCTTGTTTCATCTTCATACAGCTCAGCCTCCATGTCTTTTTGGCTTTCCTTCGTCGCCGGCCAGGTTTTCCGGGCGCCAGAGTCGTGGCACTCCTCGGTTGTATGCAAGAGCGGATCTTAACCGTGAGTGAGATAGGCTTACAGCAGATCTATGGTTGAGGTGTGCGAACATGGGGGGCTGATTGAAGCGAGACTCTGCAAGCCACGAAAGCAGACCCTTGCCAATCCCCCGGAGACGGCACGAACAGCCAAGGTCAATCACCACCTCCACTCTCCTTCCCCTCCTACTTGACGACCATTCACGGCGCGTTCCTTGCAGATCGACAGCGAGTGAATCAAAAGTCCATACCTGCTCATCCGGGCTTCAATCAACGTGTCTCTAGGACTGAGGATGAGTTTCTGACAAGTGCCGAGTACCACACGTTGCAAGAAGTCAAAAGCCAAAAAGATTGGGCGGCAGGATTTGACCTCGTCCGGCAGCAGCTGAAGTTGTTGAAGTTGATGCAAGGCACACGGGTCGAGGCCGTGAGGGCCGGGAGTCAAGTCGGAAACTCCAGGTTTGCATCTCCTAGGAAATTGCTGTGGTGAGAGATCTGCAAACAGCACAACAGGATGTCCTCTCTGCGGAGGAAGAAGGAGGTCAGCCTAGACAACGCCATCTACGTGGTACATGGAGCCGCTTCCGTGACAGACAGGTGGAAATTGGCTTGACGAAGACGGTCAATCGGGTCACGGGTGTAAGACTGGACTCTCGGAGTGGTCTCCTTGACGAGCAAAGTTCCTCAACGAGGCATCCACGTCGTCATGACTGTTTCGTCTTCACGAGCAGTTCCGTTTCGCTAGTAAAGTTGTTTCGCCGGAGCATGGGCCGGCAAAGGAGGCGCACGCGGACGGGTGGCTTTTTCTGGTCAAGGCTCGACCCTTGGAGGTTGGTCCCATCCATGATCTGCAGCTGTGCGGGGCGGCTATCTCTGTTCCGGTCAAGACTCAAGAGGGCTGCGCGACTCAAGCTCACCGAGACACACGACAACAAGGTGGAAGTTGGCACCCAAACGGCTCGGATCCGAAGCCTCCTTTAGACCCTGTGAGGCTGTGAGAGAGTCATCCAGCGACAAGCACGGATACCATCAGCCACAAACCGAACCTCAGCGCCATACACACCCACCTCCACAGGCGCCATCCACGTCTAGACGTCACGACTCGACATCATGCCCTCGGAACGTAAGTCTCTCTCTAGACCCTGATGACTCTACGACCAGCGCGCCTAACCAGCGTGCGCCGACAACAGAGAACGCACTATTGGCCCAAGTCCCATTGACGGTATCCCCGTTCGTCACCCTACCAAAGGCCCCGACCTTGCCACACAATTACGCCAGTATACCATCTACCTTACCGCCATCCATCCTCAACACCGACAGCGATGACCCATCCGCACCTCCTACCTACGTGACCTCTGGCACAGGCTTTCGCGCCCACCCCTCCACAATCATCACCCAAAACAAAGCCCTCTGCGATCAACTAGACACCGCTGCCTCTGACAGCAGAAAGAAGATACACGATTGGAGACAAGCCATCGATGAGCGCGAGTTGGCAGAGAAGAGAAGGAAAGCTCCTGGCTGGTTGGACAGCGATGCCAAGATCTTGAGGCCTGCGACGACGGTACCGCCGCCTGATACTAAGCCTGGCGCAAGTTTGCTGGATGCTGATGAGCAGAACACTGACGCGCTGCGGCCGCAAGAGTCTGCCAATGACATGGGCTCGCAGATGGATCGTGCTTTTGGTTGAGCATTTGTGTCTGTGAAAGACACATTTCTCTTCCGACACGCATCTCTTGCGCCCAGGACATCGTATACGCGCTGTAACAGCATGATGCTAGAGCATGCTGGCCTATAGTGCAGTCCAAGCACGCAATGCTATGGTTCTACTTAGATCCTAGAGCATGGTAGCAGCCATAGCACAATCCAGTCAGCGACTTGCCATTGCTGCAAGATCAGATACAGTAGGAGGCCTTACGCTGTGAAGCAGACAATGCCTACCCATGATGGCTATATGAATTACGAAGCTAAATAATACCACGAAACACCAGCTTAAATTACATCATCCCAATCTCGTCATGTCAACATCACTCCCCTGACACCCTGTCTCTCATTGACCAAATCACTCAACCTCCAAAACGTCTTGCCTCTCTAACACTCATCACTGATATCGGAATACTACAAAAACCCACTTCCCACTTCCCACTTCTCACTCGTTATCGTTATCGACCCCTTGATGGTTACCTTGACTCACCTGATGAATGTTCTGCTTTCCCATGACTGCTTATCGCACTTTACAACACCATCGAGACTCAATGCCTACTCTTCATTACATTGCTCACAATGTAAATCTTTTCCCGCAAATCACGTCGAGATCCCAAAAAGTATCACAAGAAGCCTTATGAGCTGGTCAGCAACATTACAGATCATGCGAATGTGATGCTGAAAAATAGCTGTTTCTCTGCACAATGATATTTGACTGCACGACTCAGGTTCTGGACAGCTGTCAAGAATAATGGGTGTATCTCATGTTCTAGACGATGTTGACCACAGATGGGGAGGGACGCATAAGGGCAGTTCCACAGGGCGTGACAGTATCCGAGGATACAAATTTGTCCCCACGCCTGGTTGCTGCACTGGATGATACGAGTTACCGCACTGAGACACAATCGATTTGGAAAGATCAGAATAGAAGACAAGTAGACAACCGAAAAGTATATTCATTATCACCACCACCACCATCCAAAGAGTCATCCAACAACCAACATACAAACAAAGAAGCGAAAAGTTATAAACACAAGAACTTTTTAATCCATGATCGGCCGTTAACCATTTCTTCCAGCTCCTTGTCAATGTCCATTCATACCATCAATGCCATCCATGCGATGAAGACTATCCACACTCAGTGCCTCCTCCTCCAACAACGCTTCCAAAGCATCATGCACCTCATCTTCCTGCACAATAACGTTACCCGTCCTCGCCGTGGACAAATAACTCATATTGAACGCCGCTCCCTCTCCCGCTCCACCATCATCTCCTAATCTTTCAAGTAACCTGCCAGCAACACCGCAAATAATACCCGTACTTTCCTCAGGGAGCTTGCGCAGATCAAACACGATGGCGAAATAAGTCTGGTCGTTTTGAAGTAGTATGCCTTCGCCGGACTCGGGGAAGTTGGAGAGGAGTTGTTGGTCGAGCGTGATGGAGACGGTGTCGGTCTGGGTCAGTGTGATGGACATGAAGCGGGGGTTTGTGAGTAGGCATCTGAATACGCCTAACATGATTGCATCGTGGACGTCGTTGCTGTCACTGCGATAGCCTGCACATGTCCTCAGCTCTAACGTCTCGTCTACCAGCGGTAAGATGTCATTTCGATGCAGTGTGCTGAACGTCTTGGTTTGCCATTCTGCGACCGTGGCTGGAGGGGGTGTACCGGGAGGTTGAGAGTCGAGAGAGGAAGAGGAGCTGCTGTTGCGGTTGTGGGAGTGGAGAGGTGAGGAGATGTTGGTCATGTTTGCGCCATGGCCGTTGGAGATGGGCTCGAAGGCGAAACCACGTTCTTCCAAGGCAGAGATGACAGTGGATTTTGAGTTGTAGGGGACGAGGACGAAGTCACTGTAGTAGCTGGTGATGAAGAAGATGGAACTGGGCTTGTTAGCTTGTGATACCCGAGAACGTTGGATTGTTGTACTCACATTCCGGCGAGCGCAAGAGGTGCAGTGAGGTCTAGCACTCTTTGTCCGGCTTCCATACCTTCGCCTCCGACTTGTATGACGACAAAATCATCATTGCTGATAATAACAGCTTGCTTTGCTTTCGCGTCCAGTCTCTCAATCAAGGGTCTGAACAGCTCGTCGACCAACGGCCGAGGGCAGACAACCGAACACTCGATGGTCGTGACCGAGATGTTGGTAAAGGCGTTGGGGTATGCCCACTTCCTACGTGGGAGACCGTCCACCTCATCTGTGCTGTCCGACAGCGTCAAGAGACGTAGAATAGGCTGGATAAAGTGAGGGTATAAGTGTAATGGTATGTGCACGATTGCTAGTTTGGTTTCCTGTACAAGGGGACCGAGGTCAGTACAGGCATAGATGGATGGCCAACAATGAGAAGAAGAACAAATGACCATTCTGTTGTACGGGAATTCAAAACTAATGTGTATAGACCCCTGAATCTACCAAACCAGACAGAGGAGCCAAACGCAAGTAGTCCCGTATAAAAGAGTGAGCATTTCCGAGGAACATCAAGACTTTTACGTACCAGAAATTGGACCTGAGCATTTAGGAGTACCATGGAGTGATCCATCATGGTGGAAATCCCGACTGCGGGGTCGAGATGTGTGGAGCGGTTTGCTGCTGCCTCTGCGACGTACACAGAAGAAGCAAGCTTCCGAGACCAAAGGGTTAGTGTGAAACAACGATTGACGTAGTTTGTGGATGGTGTTGAAAATGTCGATATCAAAGTAAAAGGCTCAGCGGTTGATGTGTTCCTGTCCGGCGGGCCAATGAGAATAATCGTTTTTGAAGTTCATAATCCGAGTCCAAAGGTCAAGTAGAAGGCGAGTCTGGGGATGTCCCCGAGTTAAGGAAGTAAAGGTGATCGAGGGGAAGAAGCGTGGACCGTGGAGATTTCAAAGAATAGAGAGGAGGAGCTCAAGGTATATATAACACGGACCGGTATAAAGCGGAGAAGAAGACGTCTTCACGAGAGTTGGTCCTTGCTGTCCGGTACTTTGCTAGCTTGGAGTACTCGTATAGAAGAGACGACGGGTTCGAGGATCCTGCAAGTCTAAAAGTCAAGTTTCGAGTGTCACGACCTCCAATGTCGCAAAGCTGTCCTGCGGCTCGAGTCAATGCTTTCAAGGAACCTGACGAAAGCGCGGGGGTGTGCTGGTGATTATATGTGCGTGATCGAGCGGATCAATATGCGTGACCAGATGAAGTCGCAACCGATAGGACGTGGGGGTGTGAAGCAGAATTCCTGCTTGCACCGGATTGGCCTGAATTAATCGCTGCACGCGCGCAAGCTCCGATAGCGTGGGATTGGTGAAGATGGTGATGGCTCCTGTAGACAGCGAAAAAAGATTTGAGAAATGTCAGAGACGATCTTTTGCGTGACTTGTCGGGGACCGCCGACACGAACAAAGAGACGTGAAAAAGGAAGCCTCGATTGCGGCGGATGCGGCTACCTCTATTCTAATATGCGATCACAATGAGGATTACAGAATAGGTGGAGGCTGGCAAAAAAAGTGTGTTATCTTTCTTTACTATTTCTTTTACATTCGGCGTGACTCATGAGGGTGAGGACGGAGTTGTGTCGATGAGTTGTTTGGCTTGCCCTCGCCAAATCTCCGTTTCTTGCCGGGCGCGACGAGGGACGAGGCTCCACCAAGCTCTCAACCGTCGGGAGTTTCTTTCCCCTCAGGAACCACTTGCTCTCGATCGACTCTCGCGCAACACTGTGAATCCCTCGCGCATCGACAAGGGTGCTTGCTGCGCGTGCATTGAAGCTTGAGACAGCGTGAAGCCAAGCGAAATGCTTGCTCGCAGCTCAGCTGCCATCCCACGCAGAACGCGACTGCATGATTCGCACTTCAACAGCAGCGTCAACATCGCATATCTTGCCCTTCCCCACCTTACCCTGGAGTTTCGTGTTGTTTTTAGCGGCAGCGGCAGCAACAGAGCCACGGGTCTTCAGGTTTCTGCAGGTTATGCGCCACCAGATATGGCCTGGTGACTTTGGATTTTGTACCTGCTCAACACCTTCAGCAGAATTGTTCCGATTCGCCTGATGTCGGCTTTTGCAATCTGGAAGCCAGATCCCGCTCTCGCCTGGCCTCAAATTATCTTTCTAGATCGCAATGGCTTGCGGATGACGGACATTGAGGCGCGTCCTTGTGTGTCTGTTGTTCATGCGAAAAGACATCCCACTCACGAGTCGCACCCCTGGGTCGTTCCCGCCGGTTGATTTGCATGCACGCCGCACGGTGGCTGTTCGGCTCTCTGCTGCACGGGCTCATCCTTGACGACATGCCTCCGCGTGGCTCTTATCTCTTGCGCCATGTATAGTACGCAATGCCATTTGATAAGCGGCAGTAAGCTCGACTGCAAGCGCCATCAACTGTGTGAGTGGAGAAGAGACGAGGAGAATCCTACGCTGAATATGATCAGTCAATCTTCAATCAAAAGTACAAAATCCATGGCTTGAATCTGATATTGCTTTCGATATCGTGGCGCATTGCCAGATGACCCTGTCTGCTTCTTGGCCTCTTTGCCGTACAGGATGTTCAGGTACGCAGAAGCTCTTCATCAATTCCTTTTTGCTTGGGCAACGCCACACATCAATCATCGCGCATGCGCACTGCAAGAAAGTCGAGTGTAAAGAGGGGTGCATGCATGGCGCAGCGACGAGTGGGGTAGTCAATCAGAACTCCTGCTGCCTCAAGACAGCTGGGACGCTCGGCAGCCAGGGGCCGCTCCAGCGGGCCAGGAGCTCTAATGATCATTCATTATACTAAAGAGGACAAACTCGCATTCTTCAACCGTCAGAAGGACATGGCGAATCACACAAACCTGGCGAACATCGTGTGTCATCCCACGTGAGAGGTACCTGTGGTACATCACTTCTCATCGGCCATCGGGAATGTTAGAGGTGACCTCCGTAACGACTACGCTTCCGTCGTGATACAACAGAGTCTCTTGAAGACGCTAGATACGACCGGCGTTTGTCGTCGGGTCGCTAGTTCTCCGCTGTCACGCCGTGTAGCAGAGCGTCGGACTTCTCGATGTCATGATTTCAGCATCGGCTTCCTATCTTTCGTCAAGCGAGCTCAGCTTGTTAGGCCGTTTGCTCCCGACTAGCACTCTGCGAGCGGAGTCTCTTCGCAATCTGCTGAGTTACGAGGTTCGTCGGTAGACATCGCATGAGTGTTCTCTACGAGAGATGCACGTTCGACACATGCAAATTCTAGCAGCGCCATCTCAGAAGGAGATTCTTAAGAGATCTGTGTGAACAATGACCTCCTGGAAATCTTGCTGGCATTCTGTCGAAAGCGGCGCGGCAGATCCTCTTCCAAAATGCTCACTTTTGGAAGTGAAGCGATATGTCGATGTTCCTCGCCTCTTACGATAGTCTGTCCGAGATACAATAGAATTGTCTCGCTCAAAAGTAGGAAGTGAGTATGACTTGATCGAGACTCATAACCATCCAGAATGTGAGTCGAACAATAGCAGAAATAGAGTGAGGTTGTCCACAAGTTCCATCAATTCCTTCATGCACGAGGTGAACCATAGCTTCTCTCGATTTGAAAGAGTTCACTTTTGCCTGACTCTCTACCTTCTCTTCAAGATTCATCGACCTCGAGCCTTTTGTCCTCTCAAGCCGCACTATTTATGTTACCCTTTCTATCCAGTCCGATACTGCATCACAAGGTTGTTATGTTCCCTTTACTGCTCGAGCTACGAACAAAGTTGCTGACAGAAGCGAGACCAGAACCATGTGCAGCCGTGCTCCCCACCCCACAGCCTTGCGCACCAAGAAGAAGCAAGGCTTCAGACAACCTCCTGGTTTGAACCTGCTCAAGTCTACTCCGCTTATTCGTTCTTCTCCTCAATTTCTCAACATGGACGGCATGGGAGACGTGTGGGACTTGGGAGGCTATGGCGACAAGGCACTTCAACCCGGCACAGACATTGAGCCTGACACAGGTGGTCAGCTTGACAAAGATGTCATGGACGACTCCGATGATGGCGACGGTCCTGACGACCTGGACGAAGTGAGGCACATCTCATACACTGCAGGACTCCGCACAAAGGCTTTCCAATCCGAGAAGGTTCGTCTGGCCAAGAAGTTTCTCCGCGAACTCGATGATGAGATCACTGGAGGCGAGCTTAGCAGAATGACAAGCTCTTCTGGTGGCATCAAGATCGTCTGGAACAAGAGATACTCCAAGAAGGCTGGCAATGCTAGCACAAAGATCACTCGCGGCGTGGTGACATACAGCGCCACAATCAGCTTGTCCGAGAAGTTCCTCACCAACAGAACCCGCCTACTCAACACTCTCGCCCACGAGTTCTATCACGTTGCAGACAACTTCATCAGCAACAAGCATGGCCATGGTACATCGTTCGAGTCATGGGGTCGCAAGTGCACCCAGGCTTTCGGACACCGCGGCATTGGCAGGATCGAGACTTACCACAAGTACGACATGGAGTTCGATTACATCTGGACTTGCACCAACGACGATTGCGGCAAGGAGTTTGGTCGTCATTCCAAGAGCATTGATCCAGACAAGGTTCTCTGTGATGACTGTGGTGGTGCTATCGTACAGACGAACCCTATCGCTAGAGCTCTTCGCAACCGCCGCGACTGGAAGGGAGGCAATCTCTAAGTCGCATCGAGAACGTTCTCTGTCGCATAGACAATGAAGGCACGGTATAATTCTGCGTAGCATCAAGACAAACAGCACCCGTAAGCATTAACAGCATCGACTCATCTGCCCTCCGCTAACAGCAGAAGGAGTGCGTAAATCACCTCCCTTCGTAAGCTTAGCATCCATCGAAACAACATTTACAATCAAAGCACAACATGGAAGTATCGGCGAATATTCATTAGACTGTCACCCTGGAGGTCATCAAGAACAGCAACATGCCGCCGATACAAATCGAGGAGGGAAATTCAAGAAGAAGAAGAAGGAGAAGGGGAAAATCCCAACATCAAGTACATCCCAACACAGCACATATCAAACACGAAGAAGTCAAAAGCAGGACTTCTGGCCTCAAACCAGAGATATCAAGTATGGGCGGATAAATATATTATAATCCGACAGCACAATTCAATGGAGCTGGGCCGTCGTTGTTGCCATTTCACGATGGTTGTGTATCTTTGTGTAGTGTTGTTGTGGCGAAAGAAGACAGGGGCTTTTTGGAGTTTCGTTTGTCTCCGCCCTCTGGTTCCCATAACGAAGTATGCTTGGCCATCCTCCCTGTGCTAGCTGTGCTTTGGATGAGCTTTACATGGCAACTCGGTCCTGAACGAAAACAGAGTGCCGTCTACCATGCTATTGGTGCCCCGGTGAAATCGATGATAAACGAGTAATAACGCATCTCTGCTAGTTCACAATGTCATACATCTCTGCAGCCAATAGAGGATCGATAGACCAATAATTGTCTAGTGATTGATCTTTGACATGCCCAACTCTTGCCTGCTTATGCATGGGATGCCGGGTAACTTATTGTGTTCTTCCGGTTGAGAAGTTTTGATGATCGATATGATTCATATACAAGCAGAGCAAACACGTGCAGCCGCTAATAACGTGGTAGCAAAAAGGCAAAAGAAGATGTCGCAGCCGTGAATCGAACACGGGGCTCGTGCATGGCAAGCACGAATTTTACCACTAAACCACTGCGACTTGTATGATCATCACGTGATGTGTCGTGCTTGCGCTTGAGGCTACAAGACCAAATCACAAACGCTAGATTTCAGTTCCATGTCCAAGGCGATATGAAGTTAATAGATGCTCGATATATCAATTCTACCTATGTTTTACAGATCTCCATCCCAGAAGTTGGCAATTCCCGCAAGATCGTCTGCATTGATGAGTGTGGCACCCTCGTTGTAAAGCAGACGCCAAATGGCATTTCTGTTACCAATAGGCCAGTTGGGAGTTTCCTGAGCAGAGATGTCAGTGTGATTTTCAAGTACGACAAGATGAGCATGACTTACCCAATAACGTGTGCCAATGCCTCTCGCACTGGCAGACGCAATCTGTCCGCGCAGCTTGGCCAATGCAGTTTCATTGAGCTTGCCGTCCCTAGGCCATCCGAATGAAGCCTTGAAACTGGTGCTGGCAATAGGGCTAAGGAATTGAGTAATGTTGGTGTTTGCCGTGCCATTCAAGGTCGACAAGGGTCCATCGAAGAAGTAGTCACGCTCATTCAGGCTCTCGACTTGTGCCCTGGGAGTGTTACCAGTTCCGATGACTGTAACAGTGCCATTGGTAATTCCGGTTCCGTTGTACTTGGTAAGCCAGCCACCAGCGCGAAGAGGTTCGAGCGCACGGACGACGTAGGGCCAGGTAGAAGGACCATCGGTCTTTACGTCGACCCAAAGGTAGAGAGTTTGGCCAGCGTCCGTATCGAAGACGCCATTCTTCGTAGGTGCAGTTACGACAGGAGAGCTGGGGTTCTGCTTCTTGAGAACAGAAAGAATGGGTTGAATATAAAGAGAGTCAAAAGTGCGGGCGTGTGTAAGTGCAGATTGCTCATGGCCAACCTGAGATGTATGAGTAGGCGTTCGCAGAAGTATGAGACGATTGCTGCTATGCAGGCAATTGGATCTCATCAACAATTACTTACATATAGCGTGCCATTATATAACCAAACATCAGCTTCGACTGAGATTACTCCATTCGAGAGAGCGCTGTAAAATGGCTTGGGTCTCCAATAATCGTTGTGAGAATGTACGGTCTTGGGCATAATGCCTTGAGTGAAATCTGTTGGGTATGTATATAGGTCATTGTTGTTCGTAGCAAGGACACCCTGAATTGGCTGGGATAGAGGAATGTCTGACTGGCCAAGAGCGAAGGGGGCCGCCAGAAGCCATAGTGTGGCGAGCATGATTGATAGCGATAGTAAAACGATCAATGAAATCTTCGCGAAACGAGACATAATCAAGAGGAAGTAGTTTGCATCTTATATCGCCATACGGCGTCGAGATGGACGGGAAGAACGATGGGAAGGTGAATTGACCAGGCGTATGACGCTTTCTCGAGGAAAGACGTGCTCGGAGGTTCCTGCTGCAGCCAATGACAGTCTCCACGTGCCTGGCAAGGAAGGAGCACCGACAAGTGTGAGACCCGACGTGGCTGAGGGTTTGATTCGTTTGACTGCCACGGGTCTGAAGAAACGGCTTTGAGTGGAACAAACCACGAAGCGTCGGCTTGCTCGGCTGTCGATCATAGACTCGAAAACCACTTCGACCCATGCCTTGCAATTTTCTTGCACGTACCCTTGTGACTGCTTCGAATCGCAAGTATGAATTAGCATAGTAGTGCTGGTATCCCTAGATGCGACTCGCGAGAGACCCATTCGGATCGATATGTAGTCGGGGACTCTGTGTGCAATTGTTTCCGATCGCGACGAGATAGCCCGGGTTGCCTTCGGATACTGACACTTGTCATGGCTTTCAGTCAATGTCGGAATTATTGGGTCCTCCGAGCACAGTCGCTACACCTCACGAGGTTTGTTCTTGCCAAGCTGCCTTTTTGAAGCAATAGTTGTTTTCGACTCTGTCTATTGTACCGCACACCGTTGTGAGACTCCCCGAGTCCTTGACCTCGAAGAAGAGCCTATGACGTAGTGGTAGATGAATCCAGCTGAATGTCCCGAAGACCACATTCTCGATGAGGCATAAACTCTTGAATATAAGTAGAGATTGACTTGATCTTCAGGTGACCTTATACACGTCGAATATATCTCATGAGACTCTGGTACTTGTTGTCGCAAAGTTGAGCCATTCTTGTTGCTTCCAGTCGCATCCGAGTCATTCCATGCCATCGACTGCTTTGCACATGACTAGTGAAGATCAACAACTTCCGCATCTGGATAGCAACGGCCCGAGGTGTCGGAAGATACCAAAGGAAACAACGAAGGTACGAGTAGCGATGTCGAGATATGTGTGAAATTGGAGAAGGAACATGTGCTCACTTCGAAGAGTACACAAACAGATAGCATCAATCACAAGTCGATCATCAAGCTCAAACAAAGAAGTCGAAGGCGAAATTGCAGCTTCGGGCACATTAGATTGATCCACGACGACGCCAAAAGTTTGCCAGTGCGGGCAGTCACAGACACAGCGCTTTCCCGACAAGATTCTCTGCGACAACTGTATACACATGTCCTTGTCTAGCACTATGCTCGATGGAGGGACTTGTTAAATCCATCGGGGGAGGGTTCAAGCGAACCATCAGCACACTTATCGGCAACGACTCGAACACCAAGGTGGGATGATATGGACGTCAGTGAAGTGACGGCATGAATGCTGACTCGAACGTCGAACAGGGCGATGCTCATGAAAGCGAAGACACCAACACACATTCGACACATCAACTTTCGCCAACGAGGTAGATCACCCCCGATAATCTTGTCGACCCGCGCAATCTGACAAAGTTTCGACAGCCCAGACAGCCAGCCCCGATACAAACGTGCACGCACGCAATACGATACCGATCCAAGACGAATCGCGTCCCCGAGACAGTATGCCACATTTGGAGGAAGAGAGCTGCACAGAATCTGACCATATCTTGTCAGCCCAGAGGAACGCCCACGAGCCAGACAAGCGCACAACCAACCCAGTCCTCACCAAGAACCTGTCGCATCACCGATAGAGTATGCCACATCCACTTCTCCCGGACATGCACCATCTGATAGTCTTCTAGTCGCCCAGAAGGAGAGCCCAGAGCCGGACAACCAAGTGCTAGCCAAAGAAGAGGCCTTTCGCCAACAGAGTAGGCCGTCCCGGGTCCCCGTCGAGCCACGTTATCTTATCATATCCCAGGCACTTGGAACAACGGCGTCGAACTGCACAGTCACGCACACGATTGACTGCTGGAGAGAGGCAAGTCCCTTCGCGAGCAGACTCGAATACCCGGGCACCCGTCGAACTACATGATCTGACTTGTGTTTCAATAGCTTTCAGAGCAGCCAGCGAGCCACAAACCAAGGCAGGAAGCCAAGTGCCGATGAAATCAGACTGTTTCCAGGAACATATCCGTACGCGACTCCGACTGTTACCCGAGAGCCGCGACGACTGACACCCTCCAGCCAAACAGAAGATTCCAATCCCATCCACGTGCCCAAGGAAGATTGGATCAGCATGAACAACACAAGAAGAAAGCCCTTAGGCAGTAAGATCAAGCCAGCAAACACCCTGAATCGAGCAGGCCCGGGTGCAAGTTCTCTATCGACATACAGCTCTCGTGGGATGAACGTTGAAGAGCCGTCCATTAAACGCCAAAAGACAAGCCACGGCGAATCCGACGAAGACTTTTTCAACCGCAGCGTACAGGAACAACCATCGGCCACATTCGGAAGACAGTCAAGCATCACAAGTCTCAACAGTCAAAGCCAGGAGGCTTCCAGTCAGCGATCCAACGCTTTCCAGCACAACGAGTCCCGGAATGTGTACGGGGTCCTGAATGTGAACAGGAAGAAAGCGCGCAAGTCCAAGGCTAGTGCAACGCAAGCAAGCTCGCCTTTCTTCCACGGCACCGATGACGATCCAGTCACCGTAGAAGACGACGATGACCTTCAAATCGTCGGCGAACAGACTGCCACACCTCGATCAGCCCGCAAGGTAGCCACCAGACAGATGCCTCTTCCGAACGCAGCTCAGATTACCTCGAACCAAGTCCGCTCCAACAACACCCGAGATACCATCGAAGTCGACAGTGCGTTTCATAGAAACCACAGGGCAGAGGAGAAGAGGAAATCCGCACTAACGCTAGACCACGTCGAGATCCTGGTACAGCCGCGCAAGGCCTCTGTCGCGACACCAGTGAAACGCAACTTGTCTCCGCGTATGGGTGAGAGCTTTGTGAGAGATCGAGGAGCATCCCCGACGCCGCAACAGAATCAAGCAAAAATCAGGGAAAAGATGCAGTCAACATCGAACACCACTCGTTTAGTCCAACCTCGACAAGTTGATGTAGAGTCAAGCGAAGACGAGTTATCTCGAGAACCCGCCGCTTCAAAGTCAGCGCGAAGGTCTGGTCGTGCCAAGCGGTCACCATCTCCAGATCATATAATTGCTTCAGAGTTCTTCGCTGGCGGCCGGGAAAAGGCTGCAGGCCCTGGAGCCATCGACATTCCTCTATCATACCTTCGGATGAAGGGTGGTAATTGGAAGAACGTGCACCTTCTTTACTCCTATCGATACAAGATCATTCAGTTTACTCAGAACGAGGAAAACCTTCACAGCGATGCAAGGATGATTCAGCTAGGAAGTCAACACGCACATAGAGTCATCTGCAGTGTCGAGAGCTCAAACGGTATCATTTTGATCGGAGCCATCGGAAACGCAACAGCCGGTCGGATATGGCTGGCACTCGCCAACGCAAAAGACCTTGACAGGTTCATAGAGGCCATCAAGCACATGAACGAGAAATGCAACGTCAAGCAATACGATGAGTAAGCATCTTCGTCCTCTTTCGACCTTCAACGCTAACAATCTTACAGGCGTCAATTTGAAAACGCTCGTGATTCTACTGAAACGTTCCTCACCCCAGTCAGTGACACAGATCATCCGAAGTTGCAAGCCATGAAACTTCGCCAAGGCATAGTCTCCAAGCCTATGACCGAGCGAGAGCGTAACATAGCCATGCAGAAGGCTACTCTGCTTCCCGAGTCCGATGATCGATCGCCGACACCAAGAAAGACTCGAATGAGATCGGAATTCACCAATCGACCTGCTACGGACAATGCTGTGGACTATTCATTGCCACCACCAACACCCCGCGCCGAGCGAGTCACAACTACTAGAAGCAGTCAACGACTACAGACCAAAGTTGGTGGCAAGGCCGCACAACCCTCAGAGCCAGAGCTTGTTAGATGGACCCACGTAAATGGCATCCCTGATTGGGACGGACCTTTAACCTATCCTTTCACTGGAACAAACAGGACTACGGTGGATGCTGAAGACATTGCGCGCCTGGATGACGGAGAGCTGCTCAACGACAACCTCATCTCATTCTGTCTGCGAGACATGGAGGAAAACAACCCAGAGCTAAAGGACAAAGCACACATCTTCAACAGCTTTTTCTACGAACGTCTCACCACTCTGGGAACGGGGAAGAAGGGGTTCAACTACGAGGCTGTCAGTAGATGGACAAGAACCAAGGATCTATTCAGCCTGCCTTTTGTTGCTGTACCAATCAACACACAATTCCACTGGTTTTTGGTCATCATCTGCAATCTCGATCAACTGGAACGCAAACTTTCATTGGACGGGCTGGAGAACGATCAAGAAGAGAAACCCGAGTCCGAGTCATCGTTAACTGCTCAGGAGCCCGCGCAGTCTCAATCAACAGTGCAAAATGAGATTGAGATTCCAGAATCCCCACAAGAGCCCAAGGACATCGATCTCTCGCAGGGAGTAAAACGCATCTCTTTAGATGCATCTCAGGATCAAGAGGGGGAACTCCCCGCTGCTAGCAAGTTGAAGGCAACACAACGCAGAGTGAAAAAACAGGGTCCCCCACCACAGAAGATAGACCCGGCCACGTACGTTCTGACACCTAACATTTATCCAGTGCACGAGAACTAACCAAAAATAGTCCCGCGCTTCTCCTGCTTGATTCTCTGGGCGGCTCCCATCCCCAAGAGATCAGAAATCTCAAGCAATACGCTGTTCACGAAGGCCGTGAAAAGCGAGGTCTGGAATTCGAGTACACCGAACTCAAAGGCATGACGGCTCGCGGCCTCCCCCAGCAGACGAACTTTTGTGATTGTGGTGTTTACCTGATTGGGTATATGGAGGCTTTCCTCCGCGATCCTCATGGGTTCGCCCGTAAGGTCATGTCTCGAGAGCTTGATCACAACAACGATTTTGCCGACTTCGACCCTTCGAAGAAAAGAGCAGAGATTCGAGAAAGACTCATCAAGCTTCACGAAGAGCAGACTCTTGAGAAGAAGCGAAAGAAGAAAGAGACTCACCTTGCGAAGATGGCAGCGAAGCGAAACAGCGAGACCAAGAGCGCAGCTGTCACTCCTGCGCAGATGAGTTCACCCATGAAACCTCCAGCGGCATACGACAACTCCAGAATGGTTCAGAGCTCGCCCATGAAGCCGCGGCCGAAGCAGATACAGACGCAGAAATCAAGTCCTCCTGTTCCGCCGTCGACTGGTAAGACACCAGCAACAAGCGACCGCGATGCTGATGAGGATATGTTGTTCAATCCAGCGTTCGAACGTGGTAATTACGACAGCACGAGCACTGCACCCAGCAGTCGCGGCAGCCATAGTCATACTCAACATGACTTCGATAGCCGCAGCAACAATCAGCCCAGCAACATCAGATCAGGGCCATCGTTCATCGACGAGCTCAACCAGGCCATCCGGGAAGCCGGCCAGGTAGAGGAGATTGAGGAATAGGACCTATCACGGTAGTAATGCGTAAGCAAGCATGGACGAAACGTCGTCTACTTATTTTTTGGACCTCATGGAAATTACATATATCTTTGCTCCTCACACCCAAAGCTGGGATTACTTTTGCTGCAAAACACAAATATAACTTTTCTACTCTCATATCGTGTGTACTCGGGTCCCTAACACGAAACGCCTCGGGCACGTAACGTCGACTGCTAATCCTTGTAGTCGCAGAGTCGTGACGCTCTCGAAATCGATCGGTCGTGCTGTCATTCCGTGATATATATGTATGGCGAGGGAGTGGGAAGGTACAATGAGACGGGCGGATGCGACGAAAAAAACCGGGCTCGTGGCAATTTTCATAGATTTCCACACTGTATATGATTGGTATACTCGCTTTGGATGTATGCAGCACCGCACGACGGACATATATGAAGCATGGAAGCACCGAAAACATGTATCAAAGTCCTTTGGGCCACTATACATATCTATACCTTTGCACCTCTCTCAAACATATGAGTACAGTATGCTCAAAAACGTTGTGCATTTCTACCACTACAGTTTCCCTGTCACTGATTAAAGAGATAGCGAACATTGTTACCCAGCGAACGGAAATGGTCGGGTCTATGTCACAGGAGCAGCATGCCAGGTCACTGTACTCCATCCTTATCTTATAGCATCCCTCCGTCAGGGAGACCTTCTTTGATTTCTATCAACATGCAGAAGGCTTTGTGGACGGGGCGATTTGTCCGGTGAGATGATGGTTGAAGTTGGTGGAAGGTGGCTCTCACCGGACTCCATGGGAGGTTGAATTCAATTGTGCATTTTTACGTGGGTGTTTGGGAAGGGTACAGGGGAGCAGGGGAGCAGGGAGCAGTGAGATGGAATCACAATATTGAGCTCTCAGTGGACAGATTGAGGTTTATGAATTCAATTGTGCATTTTGATAGGGGAATAGGGAGGAAGACAAAGGTGGTGGGAGTCATGGTTTCTGTAATCTAGTGCATCTTGTGTATCATCATGTTTTCATGTCCTGCTTTCATGTCCTGCTTTCAAGTCCTACTTCGTAATGGTCATTCGCTAAACAGCACTCTTGAGAGGCTCACCCTCATTGCCGGACTCTTGCTTGAGCTTCTCGTGCTCTTCTGCGAGTTTCTGGGCGATGTGGCCGTTGCCTCCTCTGCCTCCGGTAGGGTCGATGTTCTCGTCAGTCTTGACATCGTCGTCCCAGCCTTGCTCTGCGTATTTTCAGCTCTGATTTATGATCCAAGTGGAGCGTTTAGAACTCACCTTCAGGCTCGCCGCCAGCCCATCTGTGCAGCTTTTCCTTTCTGAATGTAGCATAGTCCCACTCTTTGTCCTCAAGACGCTCCTTATCATCGATCCAGATGTATGTCTGAGTTTCCATCTCTTCACCTTCAACATTGCCTTCTCCTGTGGCTTCATCTCCTTCTGTCTTGAGCAGACGCACGCGGACGGTCTTGAGTTCGTACTGGCTGCCTTCGAACATGTCGAGACGGTAGATGTCGCCATCGGTGAGGCCAGTGACATAGGTGCCGCGGACAGAGTGACCTTCACTGGGGATAACGCCGGGGTAGTCGCAGTGCTGGACGCGAGAACGCTTGTGGTTGTGGAGGATGGCGGGGGTCTGGGTGACGGTCTGGATGTTGTATTTGCTGACTGTGGAGGTGCCGAAGATGACTTGGAAGAGGACTTCCTTGGCCATTAATGTACCTAGTTAGATGTTGGTCACTGGCTCTCGGACTAACAGCAGGCACATGTGGGATTTATTACCATAGAAGAAGGCGGTACGGGAACCCATGCTGGTCTGGGCGCGCTTGATGCGATCGGCAAAGGAGTAATCCCAAACGGAATAGTCTTCTTCAGTCTCAGTGAAAGTGTCCGTCATTGCGCTTGACTTGAGAGATTCGGATTGATGTGTAAAGTGGGTTGCGATTGATGAGAGAATGTGGGAAGATGCACCTACCTTGATGTATATAGAAGGAGGTGATTGATCGATGGATCTAGAAGGTGCCACTGAGAGACAGCAAGCAGACCAATCCAAAGACACAAGGAACTACGATCAAAGAAAAGACCTACTGTGTTGTTCCTCAATTCATTGTTGACAGTGAGGTAGCTGCGACTGAAGCCTCTCCGTTATCGCCGCGATAAGCTTGCCCGCACATGTGGCTGCAGCTGTGGCTTCTTTGTCTGTGGCTGATAAATTGAGGCTCTGCTGAGTCTTGGTCAACGCAGGGTTCGTCGTAGGGCTGAAGACGATCTCGACTTCCAACAACGGGCAACCTTTCTCTAACGACCCCTGATAAATTTGCAAGACTTCGTGTCCTCCTTTCTTCTCTTGTGAATCTTTGCTCACGGCCACTTGTTCAGATCTTCATTCAAGAATTCAATGACGACCATCTGACGACCCTTCCTTCGACATTTTTCCAATCCCATCTTCTGACAACAATTGACGACAAGCTCTCCTGCCAAGCGCCGGTTTCTTGGACCCACGGATCGATTGGGATCGATTTGCTGAAACAAGCGCAATCATCTCAAAGCCTACGAGGAATCGGACAATAAAGCAGACTACCTCTTTCTCCTCAGAAAAGACTAGCTACTATGGGATTCATTTCTTGGCTGATCACGCATCTTGCGCCGGTCTTTCTTGCTACGTCGCCTGTCACCAGCTATGCCGATCAAATCTACTCGATTCATCGTTCGAGGTCGTCGGCCGGTTTCTCGCTCGACATACCCCTCATCATGCTGGTAGCGTCAATCTTGAAGTGAGTCAATTACCTGTCAATGTTAAGCTTAAACACCTCCTTCATCGAAGCTCGGTAACTCAACGCGACTCGCAGATTGTTTTACTGGCTTGGAGCGCGCTTCGATTTGTCTCTTCTCTTGCAAGCTGGTCTGATGGTGACTGTGCAATTGGTACTTCTGCGAGTCGCTTTGCAGAACCGCCCTCTTGCCAGCGCTGCCAGCAACATCCACCAGCCATTTGCAGGATCCAGGGAAGGCGACACTCATGTCAAACGACCTTTCGAGTTCTGGCAATGGAGACAAGCAAAGCCATACTGGATGTTCCTAGCATACTTCAGCGCTACTCTCTCGGTCTTGCAGATTCTGTTTGGTCGCTTGGACTCGTACGTCGCCCTGCAAGGTTACGTTGCTCTCGGGATTGAGGCAACGCTGCCCCTCCCGCAAATCTTGTCAAACCAGAGAAACCGTAGCTGCAAAGGCTTCCGTCTCAGTGTTCTTGCCAACTGGCTGTTGGGTGATGCCATGAAGATGTCGTTCTTCTTCCTCGCCGAGAGCACAATCCCTTGGTCGTTCAAACTATGTGGTATCTTTCAGGCATGCTGCGATTCTTACTTGGGTGTGCAGTACTTGATGTTCGGTGAGGGACCGGTCGATAGCATTGATGGTCTTGCAAAGGAGTTGAAGAATTTAAGTTGAGCTACGATCAGATGACGACAGCTTTCACGGACGAGAGCGACAGGCGCGTTGAGGCCAAGGCCTCGCAAGGTCTGGCATGGCGGACTCATTCGAAGGGGTTTTGACATGTGATACGCAATGTTGGATCATGAAACATAAAACATACAATGAAAGATTTCCTTTTCCATCAAACGGATATTCCCAACTACTCAGAGCATTTATGGCAGTATCGATTGGCCGTACGGTATATTTGCAAGGACGTAGGATCTTTTTCTACAGAGAAATGGACAGCTTTAGAAAACTAAAACTGTGTGCTGCAAAGGCTTCGACAATATGGATATCGTTGACCGGCGTTGTGCCTTCAATGATCTCAAACTCAATCCGTCCTAAGGTGCGTGTGCAAGGCTTTCACTCGCACACTCTCTCCGTGAAGCTCCACTGCGTGCACAGGCAAGCTTGTTAACTAAGCTTGGAGCTTCTCTCTCCTCCTCTTGAACCCTTCATTACGGTCATCATTGTACAGCAAAATGCAGCTCCCAGAGCATTCTTACCCTACGCCTGTTGATGGTGATGAGGCGGAGTGTGCTGATGTGGACTACTCAATTGATGTCCATCAACATGATACAGCCAAATTCCTGTCTGAATATTCAATGGATAGACGCTGGCATTCAGCTTCTAGTCTTCCTCCGCAGCCAGATCGAGGCGTAAGCTCGTTTGGCCCCTACACGACACCTCTAGTGTGGGATCAGCTGCCTGCTAGCACCACCAGGATCGACGGCTACCTAGAAGATTTCGGTTTTGGCCAGAGAGGCAACGTCGGTGCTTTTGATGTGCATTCAGGTCCAGGAGCTCGCGAGGTCAATGGATGGCCACGTCCTACTTCCAACGACTTGGCTTTCAGTGAATACACAAACCCACAGTCTGCCTATCCCGGAGTGATTCCTGGACTACTCTATGGTTCTTCCAGCGGGTGCTCCCCGAAGAACGTTTCGATGTACGAACCAGTCTGCAACAACGTGTTGATGGCTCAACATGGGTCCGCACCGGGTGATGGGAACAATTACTTTTCAGAGGCCGAGTTGAAGATTTTAGAGTACTGAACCATGATGACTGAGCAACAAGCTCAACACGATCAGGGTAAGATATATAAGAGAGGGTTTGAAGCATCTTGGTTAACGGCAGAGCAGTCTATCAGCATCCACAGCAGCAGTTCCTGGCAGCAGAGAGTTGGCCGAGGGCGGCGATCGCGCATGGACCAACAGGAGCGATTTCGGCCGCCAAGGCGCAAATCACGACAGACCACAATCTCTATCAATCAGATAAGATCCATCTTCCCTCATCTATCCTCGGTCATCCAAACCACTACTACAACATGACGTCCCTTGCATCTTCCCAACCACAAAACACCGGCTTCCAGTCCGGCTCTTCACCAGACGTTTCGCTTGCCCGGTTTCGGTCGGCTGACGGCGCTCATCCGACATTGAAGAGAAGCCTCGGCTCATTCGACGAGCAGTAAGTTGCGCCTTCCTCGAGTCAATCATCGTAGTCGCCATGGGGTAGTCCAAGGATACTGACATGATGGTTGCAGGTCGCCCGTCTCAGCAGCATCACCAGACGCACCTCCTGGCAAGGTGGCAATCCCGGCTCTACCGCCTCCAAAGCGACCTCGCAACGACTCGGCTGTCAACAATGGCCCGCTCAGCAAGGAAGTCAAGCTCATGGCTCGACCGAAGCCTGGCCGTAAGCCCATGAACGACCCAGACGACTCACAAGATAAGCGCAAGACACAGAATCGTGTCGCCCAACGAAACTTCAGGGATCGTCGCGCTCAGAAATGTGCCGAGCTCGAGGTTGCAAACAAAGAGTTGGACGACAGATATAACAGAGACATGCATGTAAAGAATGAGCAGCTCATGGCTCAAGGTGCCCGAATTGCACAACTGGAGGCCGAGAAGGCTCAGTCCGAAACCGAGAAGACTGCCCTTGCGCTCGAGAACGATAAGCTGAAGGTGCAACTGCAGCAGAGGGAGCTTGGTACGTCTTATATCTCTCAATTACCATCCCCTCATACCCGTCTATGCGTCATCATGTCGCGCTCATGTCGTCGTATCGACAAAACTTGCTCAAATCCCACGTTCAATCATACTGACTTACACTCAGATATCGCCAAGCTTCAGTCAGCCTCTTCTACTGCTCAATCACAGGTTTGTGTTTTGTCATCAACCACTCCATCTTGATGCTTTTGCTAACTTGATTACAGCGTTCCATGCTCGCGCCAAGCTCGGTGTCTTCTGTTCATCAAATCTTGACTCCACCCTCCGACAGCTACCATGATGAACTGGAGATGGATTTCACCAACCTGTACTCGAGAAGCAAGCCATCTGTCTTCACAGTAGATCCAGAAGAGCACTGCGGCTTCTGTAGCGATGTGGAGAACTGCATTTGCCGCCAGCAAGAAGAACTCAACAAGAGCCTCCCTCCTATTGACTCATCGCGTGCTACTTCACAACCCAAATTGCCCATCGACGTCTCTACCCCAAGCTTTCTCGAGGCTCCGACAAACGCCTCCGGTCCAGGCACTTGCGATATGTGTCTAGCTGATCCCGAGAAAGCAAGGCAGTGCAGAGAACTCGCCGAAGCTACTGGCCTTGATGAAAAGAACAAGCCCATCGGCACTGTAACTCTTCGACGACTCAAGGATCTTGATACGGCAAAGCACAGTGCGCGAACCTCATGCTCTGACTTCTTCCAACTTGCACAGCAGAAGAATGTCAAGCTTGGTCCCGCCGACTACAAGCCCATCAAGCATGTCTACCGCTATCAACACCCCGATGGCCGACCTGAGCATTCTCCTTACATGGAGATGGACGCTCAGGACGCTGCCCATGCATTGGCTGCCCTCTCAAGGCAGGATACGAGGTCTGGCATGGACCGTCATGCTTGATTACGCTAATATTGTTCATGATCAACGTTTACACGATAGATTGTTGGCGGCGTTTCTGGGATGTTTGTGTTCTTTCGCTATCCACAGGAGTTTATCGGGTCCGGCTGTCTCAATACTGCTTTCGTCAGGCTTCCGCCTTTGATCACATCGTTTTTCCTCTCGATGTCAGATTATGCTTTCTTGTCTATTGCTTTTTCCAACTAGTGTCTATATCACGTCTAATCAAAAGCTCTCAAATCTAGATGAAGGCTGTGCAACGCATGGCACTTGCTCGACACAGGGACTGATACTCAAAGTCAACCATCAAGGTACACGTTCTTGTCTCTCGACGTCGCAACCGAGACTCAAATGGCCGTCTACCATTTCATCCAACCTTGGACGTCTCATCTCGACGTACCAAGTTGTTGGGAACAGCGAGATCTTCGGCGCCAAGTACACATTCGATCACACTCCATGATTTTCTCATCGAGACTTGCTGTGCATCAAAGCTCGCTCGAGAAAGCAAAATGTACCCCAAGCAGAGATTTGACCATCCGAACCACTCTCTTCCGCAGACGGAGCTAACAAACGTGCAGGAAACTTGAGCGCATTTCTGCTAGCCGAGCATTTCGAGTCACGCACACCGCCTACGATGCTTCTGGATTCGTCAATATGGAGGGTTTTCAACATTGACAGGCCAGTGGTCTGTTCTCAGTCTGAAGTTACCGATGTAGGTTCTGCGGCTCCGTGTGTACATCCTTTGGTGTTTCGCTTACCACGTGGGACTGACAAACTCTCTGGACTGTTAACTTTATTGGGAAGGTGCAACCACACGATCTTCATCTCGCATCTCTGATAGAGAGGCTTGGTATCAGGCAATCACAATCCCGCCTCCACATATCGAGGCTTGGGTGTACCAAAGGTTGATTCCTTGATGCCCCATCACTCGCCTCCGAACTCAGCACGCCCGATTGATGACCACGATCGTTTCTGACACGTCTGCCTTGAAACTGGCACTCCTGTCAGCTAGTCTCTACCGTGATTCATTTGAACTCACTGTCTCAGTTATACGGTGGAAAAGTCCAACATGAACTATCGTTCCATAGCATGCTCCAACCCAGGGCCCACGTCAACCAAAGGATCACACTCATCTCACAGTCCCTTTTTCTCCTCGCACGCCATCATCAGCCAGCGCTTCAAAGGCAGCAGGCGAGAAACACCTGATACCATGACATGACTTTAAGGATGATCATCTATTTCTTCCCGTCCCTATTGGATGATTCAGAAAGTGACGGGAACCCGTGTCGTGCTGGAGAAAGAGCAAGTTAGGATATACAGGAGGCAGGTACGATGCACCTCGTACTTCGTATTCTTTTAGGTATTTCTGGGTTTCCTCTGACACTGCTTTGTTCCTTTTCATAGCTCTTGAAATGAGAAGTCCCTCTCAATCTCGCCGTCTTTCCCTGTGGAAGGCCGAGTCTTTGACAAACACCGGTCTTTCCCTTCTCCTTCCATCTTCTCCATCGTCGAGAGTATCCTTTATGATCACGTCAGAATGCTAAGAAAAATTCACCTTACTAGATCTCATCTTGGAAACACATACTGCTCTTGTCCCTCCAGCATAGTTTCGACGCAATACCAAGTCATCGGAATGCAAAAGGATTCCATGTAGTCTGATATATCCATGGACAAAGCTTTGCTGACATGACAGAAACCCCTTCCCTTTTATGCTCCCGGGACAATGACCGTCGTCATATACATTCATCACGATGCGCAACTCCATATCGTCAATTTACGATGGCTATTGGAGCCCTCCCAATCTGTTTTCCCGTCGTCGTCTCCACACTCGACTGTCAAAAAGCACGATGCTTCGTCGTCCATATAAAATGGCCGTTCAGTGTGTACTACCATAACCAACACAATGTCAAGTGTTGGACACAAGAGTTCTGGCTACTCTGCTCTTACTAACAGCAGAACATCGGCCGTCCACAGGAAGCGGCAGAGAGCAGGGTCAGTAATCCGTATAAAAGACGCAAAGACTTTTTCAGTCGATACAAAAGGTGCTAGAGGTACAGAAGCAATGCAGCATGTTGTTCTGAAATAAAGGTCTAGTACGGGCACATGGTAGATCTTTGTCAAAGATAGGGGTAACAGACTTGGAAAGCGAGGTCAGGATAAGTGACAAGGACACAACGATCCCTGAGGTCAATTAAAAGCTTGCTAAACGTACTGAAGCAATGCAACATATCGTGTTGAATCAGGATACGAATATGGGGATGTACCAATATGTGTAGAAACGTGTTGGTAAAGGGGGGGTAGCAAATCGGGTCTCGAACGCACAAGGGCGCTTTCTGCGGACAAATTGCATCAACACAAATCTTTCTTGCATTTTCACAGGGGTACAAGCATAGTGATCTAAGCCGGAGAGGGCGATATAACAGGAGAAAACATAGGGATACTGCGGCCAAGACAAGGGGGTTTGCTCTATCCCAGGCTTCAACTGCAGAAATACAAACCCTCGTGCCTATACGCATGAACAGGAGACTACATGGTCATGGGTAGTGGGTACACTTCTCACACGTCTGAATTTCGGGTACCGGATGTTCGAAGGTGGGTCGCAGAGTCGGCGTCCGATTTGCGAGAGAGGGCAGGACGACACACTTGAAGTTGTCTCCCATTGCTCTTCCGAGCTACAAGCTCTTCGTCCGTCAGATGGATGAGAAAGAGAAGTGGCTGAGGCGAAGGTAGAGGCTTTATAGGTGTTATGGAGTGATATTCTGCCATGGTTGACTCTATGGTTCATTTGTTGGTTGATCTCGAGGACCGAGCGCTGCGGCTGAGTAGCATGTCAGAATGCAGAGTGATTTTGTGAACTTCTGGAGGGTCCATAGAGAGCCACGAGAGAGAAAGGCAGAGAAGTTAGGTTGATTGCGTATGGTTGAAAGATGGGAATATAATGGTTGTGTTAATACAGAAGAGGAAGATTTATATACAAACTTGGCCTGGGATATTTTGGGTGTGCTGTAGCATCTGTACAGCAATTCGATGTGGCGTCTATTTCTTAGCGAAATCGCTGGCTTGAAGGTTCCTGGTCATGGTAGGGAGCTTGACGACCAAGCCATCCAGTTCCTTGGACATCTTGACCTGGCAACCCAGACGACTTGTTTCGGTCAAACCGAAGGCCAAGTCGAGCATGTCGTTCTCATCATCATCGGGCTCCTCCATCTTGTCAAACATGTCCGGGTCCGAGACGATAACGTGGCAGGTCGAACAGGCGCATGAGCCGCCGCATGCGCCCTCCATTTCGAGATCATTGGCTTGTGCTGCGAGGTGTTAGTCGGATGAAAGGTCTCGCGGAATTGTGTCTAGCAACACACCGATATCGAGAAGGTTGTCGCCGTCGGCTACTTCATAGGTGAACTCGTCGCCATCCTTGTCGATAAAAGTGACCTTGCGCTCCTCGCCAGGCTTGGGAGGGTCCAAATGGGCGTGCAAGAGAGATGAAGAGGAAGAGAAGGGCCGCCTTGAGGGCAAAATTGTGGAGGAAGCGACCGAGAGACGACTAGATTGACATGATGATTGCGGGATGGCGGATCTAAGCGGCGACGAGGTCGAAACGGTTGAGCGCAGCGAGCGCTGTATTAATCTGACGGCAGATCTGGAAGCGGCGACGGACATTTTGTGGTGGAGGAAGGTGCTATGCGAGACGATAGACAGGAAAGGAAAGAAGCCAAAAGATGGCAATGTCAATGACGGAAACGCGGTGGAAAAGTGGTCAGCATGGGAATTGCGGAGGAAGCTGCTTCTCCGACGACGGCGGACTTTGGACCTTCCTGGAATCACTTTCTGTCTATACCAACAAGACTCAGATATGGCGCATCCGGTACAATTGACGACATCGCGCGACACGCCGAACCCTCTACGACCATACTATCGCCCTCCCTCTATAGGCCTCCCGCCGTCGGACGCAAACGCGACAAGCTCGGCCACTGGAGCAAGCAGCAGCCTGGGAAGCTCAGCACGCGATGCCTTCAACGACCTCGACTACTCTTCGTTTTTGAGCGATGGCGACTCTGCTTCCGTCGCCGACATGGGCCGCAAGGTCCTCGACCAAGCCCTGTGGAAATACACTTCGGTCCTCCTAGCACAACCCTTCGATGTCGCAAAGACCATTCTACAAGTTCGCCTGGCTACACAACTCGACGCCGAATCCACCTTGAGGCGAAGAACTTCTGCCCGTTTCGCTGTCGACCAGTACCCTCCGAGCGAAGATGAGTCGGACCCGGATGAGCCAAGCTACTTTACGCCTACGAAGCCTACGAGAGCGAACGAGTCGGACAGGTCTCGCTCTCGTCGTCCTCGTACCCCGCCATCACGCGATTCAAGAGACCAGTCGCCAGCTCCCCATGTCCTGCAGCTGCGCCGGCCAGACTCCATCATGGAGACTCTGTCTCAGCTGTGGCAGCAAGCCGGTGCTGCTGCCATGTGGAAGGCTACAAATGCCACCTTCATCTACAATGTCCTGGTCAAGGCTGTCGAAGGTTGGACACGGAATCTGTTGTCTGCTCTGTTCGACTTGCCAGACCCATCTTCGCTAGCATCTGTGCCTGCAGAGGTTGTTGCTGGCGCAATGGGCGGTCTTGATGTTGCCGACAGCCCCTCTCCATTGGCTTCGTTGGGCATCGCAGTTGCTGCTTCTGCTATTGCTGCTTTGCTGCTTGCCCCGCTTGATCTTGTCCGCACAAGGTGTGTATTGTCTAGTACTCCCATCTTGTCCTCTCACTGACCATCACCCAGACTCATCCTCACACCCACCACATCGCAACCTCGCGCAATCCTACCAAACCTCCGCTCGCTCTCTAGCCTGACCATTCCTACCTCGCTCTTCCCCATCACCCTCCTCCACTCGACTCTTCCAACGCTTCTGAGCACCAGCACTCCTCTCGTCCTCCGCCAATACCTCCGCATTGACCCTCTCTCAACACCAGCCACCTACTCTCTCGCTACATTCCTTACTTCCACAACCGAGCTCTTCATCAAACTACCCCTTGAGACCGTCCTTCGCCGCGCCCAAATCGCCCACCTCAAATCTGGCCACAAGCACGCCTACAACAAGGCTGCCCTGAACTCTTTCCGCGGAAGCAAAAATGTCTCCAGTCCTGACATGGACACCATCGTTCCCGTCGGCCCCTACAAAGGCATCTTCGGCACTGCTTGGAGTATCGTCTCTGAAGAAGGTATTCGCGAGCAACCGCCCCAATCTCGTCTCAGCACTCCCGCCAGACCTGGTCTTGTCGCCAAAAACAAGGAAAAGAAGGGACAAGGTGTCGGTGGTCTATGGAGAGGTTGGAGAGTTGGCATGTGGGGTTTGGTTGGTGTCTGGGGTGCTTCCGCTCTTGGAGGCGGTGGCAGGACTGGTGGTGAGTTCTAGAAGAACGCTTTTCGTCCCTGAGACCATCCCTTTGCGTGGTCAATTTTGTACTCTACTCTTTGGTTTGATGGTTTGATGGTTTGCATGTCTGTTACTGGCGAGGCGTTTGGGAGGTGTCTTGCTCTTTTTTCACGAAAATACATCATCATGCTACTCTTCTTCGAACACTGTACTCTTCTCAACATCTCCGTCTTGTTGTCATTTCCACAACGTTTTCATTGAACACTTTTACAAGCTCTACATATCTGTTGTCCTGCGATCCTAGAACTTTCACCGGCTCCAATATCAAAAAGTCTGGTTAGAGGGAGACAGGCATTGGCTTAAGACCTGAACAGCATCTGTAAAGTATCTCCTCCATCTGGCATAACACTCTTTCTTCTCTTCTAACCAAACATTGATATCTGGAAGTTCATTGTTCGACGAGTTAAAGAGCCAAGCTACTCGAGCAACGACAAGGAGCATACAACATCATAGATATCTAAGGCAGGTGTACGAGGCATGATCAACCCAGTTTCCATACTCTTGCTCGAAAGAGACAGAGCACAGGTCACTACCACGCATGGACAAAACTCTTCATAAACGAATCTGAGCTTTCAAGAAATATTCTTGCATTCTGATAAAACTATATACGCAAGTAATCTGCTTGTTAAGAGTATTGTGATATCTGAAAGCGCAATGTCAGCACTTAAATCCTCATCATGAACGTGTTTGTATGATTGAAAAGGACGGTTGTAAAAAGTCATGTCAGATTATTCCAAGTTATCCGTCATCAAGGATCGGAACAGGTCTCCAAACCGGATATTCATCATGTAGACTTTTGTGTTGCGAGGGTAGAGGGGAGGGATGTGCTTACCATAAAAGAGGTGGACTGTGAGAGTTGCTGGGTCATTAGTCGTTGGCGTCGAAAAGTCAATGGAGGTTGTTAGATGCTTGTCATCGTAGCGAGAGCAGCTATCTTCGGGGCGTCAATCATGGCCGAAGAGCATCACTGATGCATATATCGAGTGTGTTCAGTGACCACGATTGACACGCGTGGAAGATGTTGCTGGTCGCATGTTGTGATGTTGATGGTCGAAAGTGTTGCGAAGACTTTTCCTTTTTTTTGGCAGAGCGAGTGTCGGGCCGATGTTTTACCGATGATGAAATGCCCGCAACCCTGTCTCTCTCTTCACTTCACATCTTTTGGAGACGTACTCGAGTATGGCAAGCAATTTGTATGGTGTGTCGTAGAGAAGGCTCGTAGGTAAGTGATCCACCATATGAGTGGCCAACATACAAGTATGGAACATGGCATTGATAAATGAGATGATCAAAAGCGAAGACTGAGTACGTAATGCTGCTTGAAAGATGGAAACCATGCATTCACTTGAGGAGAAAGACGTCCGATAGAAAACAAAACACAAATGCAAAAAACCTATGAGCGAGCGTTGCCTTCCAGATGATGTCCAGCGCCACGTTGTTGGCGCCAAATATCTACTCAATCATGAAATCATCTCAATCGAGCTCAGTGGCCGAGATCCCTGAAAACCGTAATAGAATTAGGCTAGACACCCAGTGATCGGAGTTCAATAGGTAAAGAAGCATCTGCGAAGGTTTCGAAGGCCTTGTTTGCACTCATGTCGAGAAATACCATTCCTTCAGGAAATACAACATCACACGTAGATCGAATACGATTATCATCTAGATGGAGAGTCCTTAGATTTGTTGGTAATATCGTGACAACTCCAAGAACAGAAGATACCTGTAATTACTCCTCAATTGTCGACAGAACCGTTAGGGTGAAGGCCTCTTCTTGGTTCATGTCATCTTCGATCTTCCATTCACCTAGTAGACTTTCTTTCGAGGTGTACTCTCTAAAGGGGCCGAAACAGACACATTCCAGTGTTGGTGGCCATTGTTTCGCGAACTTTCTCGAAGATTTCTCCTTCCACATGTGCTCGTTCAACGTTAGCTTTCTCAGGTTCCGAGGCAAATTGGCGGCTACCAAGAACTCAGGACGGCAGGACAATGACAAGTCTTTTAAGCGCGTCAAGTCGCATAGTGACGAATCTTTCAAGGAGATGAGGTTTCTGACATCCAGTCTCAGCGTTTCGAGACCGGAAGGCCACCTGATGTCCCTCAACGTTCGGATGAGATTGTAACCGATGTCCAGTGCCAGGAGGCTATCGGGAAAGATGTACCCCTCAAGATCCTCAATCTTGTTACTCCACAAGCCGAGTTTCTTGAGACCATCAGGCAGTACCAGATCCCTCAGAGAACTTACTTGACAATTCCGCAATTCAAGTTCCTCGAGACTTGCCGGCAGTGCTATCATCCGCAGTATCTCTGGACTCAGTCCAATCGACGTAAGACTCAAAGTGCGGGGATTGCGCGGAAGATTGTGCGTTCGAAGACTGTCCATATTGAAAATACAATCGAATGCACCGAGATGCATATGCTCCAGGTGTTCGAGGTGGCTAAGGCCTTCGAACGAAATTATCATGTTGTCTGAAGCGTCCAGAAATCGTAGCATGGCAGGCAGGATTGCGTCTGAGAAGTCATGCATGACATTCCAACGAACGTTCAGGTGTGTCAAGTTAGGCGGAAATGATATGCCTGCCAGGGAGCTGAGTTGATTCCATTCCAGGTCAAGATACTCCAGGCTTGAAGGAAGGACCGTGATGATCGACTCCAGACGCTCTTGCTGTTTGGACAGGACCAGACGAGTGAGCTTCTTGAGATGAAATGCATCGAGGCACAGCTCGACAGCTATACTCACAGCCAAGCTCTTTCGAGCGGGGATTGCGTCCATTACGACAAACCATTTTCGAAACTTTGGCAAGAGTTGGTATGTTCTGGTAGAGTTTCGTGAATGCGGCAGTTAGGAGTGGAGCTGTCGCGAGCTGCACGCGCCTTGTTTAGGACGCCGTGCAGACAAAATCTACCTCGCATCAGTCTGCTAGATCTCGGCGAGAAGATCGGACTCGTGACAAACGTCCTTCCCCTATGGATATCTATGTTCCACTGGAGACGAGAATGATTATAATTGCAAAAGCGCCGACAACGACTTTGGCAATGGAGAAGCCGGAGTCGTTACTAACGTTTATTCCACGATTACGCCATAGACTCGGAAGAGTGATGGACTTGACAATTCTTCTTGCGAGACTCGCCAAGACGAATGGCATCTTCTGAGTGAAGCATTGGCACAGACATTTATAACTCGCAGACCTGAAGCACGTTGTCGTGATAATTCATCGACGTACATCGGACGTCTGCGGACAAGAGCGCTGCGCAATCAACAAGGATGAAGACCAGTCTCCTCAATTGGCTGGCATGGGCTGCTTTGTGCACTTGCGCTCTGGCTAAGCAGCCTAACATTCTTTTCATCATCACCGACGACCAAGATGGGCACATGGGATCTGTCGAGCACATGCCTCTACTCAAGAAACACATCATCGACCAAGGAACTTCTTACGAAAACCATTTCTGCACCATCGCCATCTGTTGCCCTTCAAGAGTAAACCTCTGGACTGGACGCGCAGCTCACAACACCAATGTCACTGATGTTGGTCCTCCGTACGGAGGCTACCCGAAGATTGTGAAGGAGGGCATCAACGACGACTATCTTCCCGTGTGGATGCAATCTGCCGGTTACAGCACATACTACACTGGCAAGCTCTGGAACGCTCACACGATTAACAATTACAACCAGCCTTTTGTCAAGGGCTATAATGGCTCTGACTTCTTGCTTGACCCCTTCACCTACGACTACTGGCATGCCAGAATGTCGCGCAACGGAGAGGCACCTAGGGACTACTCTGGCCAATACTCGCCTGATGTCGTGGCTGACAAAGCTTACGGCTTCCTGGAAGAGGCCATCGAGGGTGATGCTCCATTCTTTGTCACAGTCGCTCCCATCGCTCCCCACAGCAACATCGTTGCAAACCCTCCTAGCGGCCCTCTGAACGAGCTGGAAGTACTTGCACCAGGACCTGTCAACAAGTTCGCCATTCCAGAATATGCCCCACGTCACGCACACCTCTTCAAAGACTACAAGATTCCAAGAACCGAGAACTTCAATCCTGAGCAGGCAAGCGGCGCAAGCTGGGTGGCTCAACTGCCGAGACTCAACGACACCATGATTGATTACAACGACGAATTCCAACGCGCCAGACTCCGCTCACTGCAGTCGGTTGACGAGATGATCGAGCGCTTGATCAACCTGCTTGAGGAGAAAGGTGTCCTGGAAGACACTTTCGTCTTCTTCACCACCGACAACGGCTTCCATGCTAGTCAACATCGCATGCATCCCGGCAAAGAGTGTGGCTATGACACCGACATCCACATTCCTCTTGTGATCCGAGGACCTGGTATTGCTGCAGGAGCCACAAAGAACATCGTCACTTCACACACCGATATGGCTCCTACTTTGATGTCTCTTGCTGGTGCGAGCCGAGACGACTTTGACGGTTCGGCAATCCCCCTGCTTGAAGATCATGAATCTACTGAGGTGTCTCGCGGCGAGCACGTCAATGTCGAATTCTGGGGCATCGGCTTACCCGAAGGGAAGTTTGGCATTGCTGAGCCCTTCGGCGGACTATCATACCCCAACAACACATACAAGGCTCTGCGTCTCGTCGGTCACAACTACAGCCTGTACTACTCCGTCTGGTGCACCGGCGAACGCGAGTTCTACGACCTGCACCGCGATCCTGGACAGATGCACAACTTCTTCGCCGACCCTCAACTGGCAAAGGACTACACAATCGCTGGACGGTCGTGGCAGCAACTCATCTACAGACTCGATGCTCTTCTGGTAGTTCTCAAGACCTGCAAGGGCAATACCTGTGTAAAGCCATGGAACTCGCACCACAAGAATGGTAGCGTTGAGACACTCACCGAAGCTCTGAACCCAAGATTTGACAATTACTACATGAAACACCCCAAGGTCGGCTTCTCTTCTTGTGAATTGGGCTACATCAAGGAAGCGGAGGGAAATCGCGAGCGTATTTCACATGCCGGCGTGCAATGGCAGACCGGATTGGAGGCACCTACACCGGAAGGCCAACAGCCTTTCCAGTACAGAGGTAGCTGGAGCGACTGGGTCTGAGCATGTCGATTTGGAAATCTTGGGCGTGATGGAACTTCTTTGTATATATTGGCTTCCATCGCTCATAGACTTTTACATGAGCACAGTAGCGCAAGCTATAACGTATACACAGTCGTGCACGACAGAGATCACTCGTCAACTATACGCTTAGATTATTGCCGAGGATCTTACAGCTTGAGCGCAAGATCGAGGATCGTTAGGATGTGGGGGTCGACGCTTAACCAGAGTGAGATGTGTCACTACCCGTCAATGAATACCCATGTTTGCCTATGACATGGCCGATGGTGGTAAAAAGATGGGGGTTGCAAAAAGTCAGTCAAGTGTTGCAAGAAGAGGAATAAAAGAGATGCGGAGTTCGGAGAAGTGGTCCGATATGATCAGTGGAACATGGCTCAATGAGCCATTCGTGAGAGAGAAAATTCCGCTGATATCGGTGTTACAAAGAGGAGAGGTGTGTACGAATAGCCAAATAGTCACCAACGCGAGAAGGTAGGTCGCGACCGATCAGTCAAAGTAACCCAACAGACCTGCTGCCAAAGCTGTTGTGACTGGCGTGATCCCCAGAAAGATCCATCCCATCTTCCTGCTCTGCTTCTGTGCTATCCAAGCATCACCAACAGTGATTGCACCCAACGACATCACAGCCCAACCTAAAGTCTTCGGGCTGCCATAGCGGGATGCAGCAACCATGGAGATGCCGAGCGAGATCTCGCGGAAGCCGTAGAGTGGGATGAGCAAGTCGACCAGCCTCTGAGATTCGGGTGCTGTGGGAACTGTGAGGCCGAATGCTCCAAGTGCACTGCGCGGACTGATGATTGCGACGGAACCGCCTAGGAGGAATAGGTGACCGAGGACTGCAGCAGCATTGATGAGATGTGTTGATTCTGATAGCAAAGACATTGTGGACGGTGTTTGAGATTGAGATTAGAGGTTGAGTCGTGTCGTGATCTCCTCGGACCGAATAATGGCGTTTTCGTAATTGAAAGTCGGCGAGGCCCGTGGGTGGTGAGCTCACCTCCTCATATACAAACCTCGTCGGTGCAAAGTTAGACCGCGCTCAAAACTCCCAGCTTGACTTGACCAGATCTGTCTCATCAAATAATAACAAACGAACTAAGGCGCGCAACACAGCTCTTCAGAATTGGGTAGCAGACTTACAAAATCACATCATCTCGATTCTGTTGGCGTTTATTAACACCAAGCAACCTTCACGCGACGGAGAACGTCTCCGATGCCAAAGCCGTGATGTCATCATCGACAAAGACTTGGACGTGAACCAGCGCATCACATCTTGACGACCACTTCTTTGGCACATTTTCTTCCCAATTATACATCTAATCCAGCCGATCATGGACCAGCAATCTGTTATGGACGACATCAACCGTATGACAGGTAGGGAGAAAGGCTGTTGGCGCATTCAGGATTGCGGCAGTTGCTTGAAGAGCAAGCACCGATGTGGATGGTGTCCTAGCGTAAGTGATGCATACTGCTTTGGCAATCCACCATGTATTCGGGCTGTCATGAGGTTGGGATCATGGCTCCACTCCAGCTCCTCTTCTCCCATGACCTGGTAGTTCCTGTCTGAACTTGTCTACCCTGTTGGTCGTCATGATAATCCTTTACCTTTCTTCCACTGCCATACAGTTCCGAAACCGTAACATATGCTCGATTTCTCCAATATCTGACTATACCTACAGTCATCCACATGCGTCCCTGCAACCAACCTTCTCTCCCCAATCAACCATCCTGTATGCCCTCTCGCTTCTGAGCGTTATGAGCTTCGCACAAGCGCTCTTGGTTGTGATTGCAGCACTACAACCTTGCTCAGCGTTATCGTCGCAGTCTTTAGCACGATTGCTGCGATCTTGTTGTTGTCACTTGTACTGTGGCTTCTGAAATGGTGGGGCCGAACAATGAGATCTGGAGGGTGGGAGATTGTAGTTCAAGAGGACGGTACGGTCAGGGAGGGTACTTGGAGAAGAGGGAGCTTGTGGCCCAGGTTCCTGCTTGCTAGGAGATGATAGAGATGCTTGCAGGTAAGTGGACTGGTCTGTCACGATACAGTGTTGGTGTAAATTAAAACCTCCGTAGGGACCTAGAAGCAACGTTGGATGTACTAGTCGTTCTAATCCTTCCTAAACAATTTGTTGACGACTGACAGCTATCCTAAACATATCGTAGAAACGAAGCATCTAGCCAAACAAAGACTGCTCGATCTTATTGGCGGAATAATCATTTGCCAAGGAACTGCAACGAGGCTCTACAACAGGAACAACCATCATCGGTCCTCTGCCAGACCCTTTGAAGAATTGTATGAACTTATCGGAATCATTATGCCCCTACATCAGAATCCCATACTGCCTGGATTCAACCCTGATCCAAGCATTGTCAGGGTGAAAGATGACTTCTTCCTAGTCACGTCCACGGTCTGCCACCCCGCGTTTCCTCCACTCTCAACATTCATCGATGGCTGACGACACACTGGATAGTTTGAGTACTTCCCTGGTCTACCAATATATCATAGCAAAGATCTGATAAAGTGGACACTTGTTGGACATGCCTTGACAAGGCCATCGCAGTTGAATCTCAGGACAGGGGAGCCTGGATCCGGCATCTGGGCACCAACAATCCGCTACAAGGACAATGTCTTCTACATTACTTCCTGCCTTTGGACCGCTTACTCACCCCAGCAAAACGTGAGAGTATGGCCTCGAGGATTCTATGTCTCGAGTATAGACCCGTGGAAAGCAGATAGCTGGTCTGAACCTGTCTACTTCGACCAACCAGGTTTCGATCAAGATGTTTGTGCTCAGCCCGATGTATGCGTACGTTGAATGTTCTGCTAATAGTTGCAGCTTTTTTGGGACGACGATGGGACGGTATACCTCTCGACATGCCACAGAATGCTGGATCACGACATGAGCAGTGGTCTGAAAGGCTTTGCAGTACATGTGTCCAAAATCGACTTGAGCACAGGAACCTCACTGGATACATCTCAAGTTGTCCGCAAATCCCCCTCGGGAGTAGCAGAAGGTTCACACATCATCAAGAGAGGGGAGTACTATTATCTCTTCGTTGCTGAAGGCGGGACTGAGAGCGGTCACCGCGAGATGGTATTTCGAAGTGGAAATTGTCCCTATGGTCCTTGGGTAGCTGGACCAAACAACCCCTTGATCAGCGCTACCACCCAAGATGATGTTCAGAATACGGGACATGCCGATCTGGTAGAGGACGCAGCAGGACAGTGGTGGGCCGTATGTCTTGCGGTCAGGCCACACCGACAGAATACAAGTGGCCAGGGCCACGATCATTTCCTCCCTTCTCCATTTGGTATCCACTGCCGAGCAACTGCCAAGTGAGATCCTCGCTGACAGTCACCAGGCCGAGAAACTTTCTTGATGAAGGTAGACTGGCACGATGAGTGGCCAGTGTTCAACAAGAACGAGAAGCTCCGGCTCACAATCGAGGCTGACCCAGAGCCTCTCCAGGCTGCCTTCGAGTGGCAGGACAACTTTGCGAATAGTAAAGATCTTGATTTAGGATGGTACCACAAAAGTATCAACTGCCCTGGCCCTCGTCCTAGCCATTACTGACACGTCTAAGATACGCCTCTGAAACGTGAATACTCTCTGGCCGAACGAAACCACCATTTGCGGCTCTGGGGAGGACCGTACGACCTGCGATCACTCGAAAGTCCGACCGTGGTCCTCCGCGGACAGACCTTCGCACGCGGCATATGGGAGACCAGATTGGACTTCCTCCCACATCAACCGCACTGCGAAGCTGGCACTGTCGTCTACTGGAACCCTTACACTTTCTCCAGCATCGGCATCCGTAAAGGACCTAATGGAGAGAGTCGAGTCATCCGACTGACACGTCCAACTGCGCCAGGGGAGTTCACACATGTAACTCGACTCCTTCGATACATGGGATCCGTCAGACTGGCTGTCAGGTGCTCTGAGATGGGGTTCACTCTTGGATATGCAGAGCTGGATGAAGACTATACATGGCTCGAGCCAGTAAGCATGGATCTCATGACAGCGAATCCACCTAGAGGCATGGCATTTACAGGTATGATGCTTGGGCTGTATGCTTTTGGAGAGCTTCAAAAGTGTCTCACGCCTGCGGACTTTGCCTTTGCTTCGTTCAAGGCTGAGTAAAGTCGACGAGCTAGTGAGCGGCGGTGGACAAGGATAGACTTGAACACGTAGTGCTCCGGATAGATCTCGACATCCAGTGAAGAACTGCCTCTCGTGACGGAACCGGGTCTTAAGAACACTTGATCATCTGGAGATGTTCAGCAGTCTCTCAGTACAAGATCATCTCAGCTCTACAGAATATCACGACTCGATCGAACACTTCTTTGATGTCACAGGCTGTCAGCGAAAGTAAATATTCCTTTTGTCAAGATTTCGTATTCAAAGGACTTGTCTCCAAGATTGATTTACAGTCTTCTCGCACTTCTCTTGCGTTTTACACCTCTCGACAGGCGGATCGACTAGAAGAGCTAGCTTGATCAGGCAAGCGTCAGCCAAGTCGAGTTCAAATCACATGACGGCCCGATAAAATCGATCATTCCACGTGACCCGGAAACTCACTTTTGGGACGGTGCTACTGTCTTCCAATTAGCCTACTAGTACACTGCATCAAGAGCAACCATACCTGCTTCTAATGATTAACTGCATATCTGGCACAAGGGACTCTATCCAGATGAGTCAACAGGCAAATTGGTTTTAGTGATTAGCTCAGTGTCCAAAGAGAGCGGCACCATCATACGGCCTCTTGGGAGAAGCACACTGGGATGTATAAAATCGTGCCTTTTAATATCACAGAAGGGGTTTCGCCAGGGTGATGAAGGCAGGTTCACTTCGCCGCGAATCCATAGACCCGGCAGGGTGTGTCACTGCGTGGCATTAACCAAGCTTCCGATTGCTCACCAGTCAAACGGATAATCTAGGGTATGGAAGGATAAGGGTGATGAATTCAATCGGAAGGTTTTGGATAACCTGATCATGAGGATGTACCACGTGCAGACTGGGCATGTCACTTTGACATTCGTGTTGGCTGTTGAGACAAATCGTGTCTGCGAAAGCGAGGAGTGTTGCAACGGCGTGGCGAAGAAGTTGATGAGAACTTTTGTGCGTTATGCTTAGCGGCGCCATCTACGCGAGCAATGGCTTGTTTAACGTTAACGAAGGTAATCACAATGGGCTGAAAGCGAATAATGTCCGATGAGAGCTGTTCCACGAGTTTCTGCTGTATACGAAATCAGAGTGAAGATAAACTCATTATATTCAAATACGTTTTCATTTATCATCGCCCACATGTCGACTATATATACTGCTTGTGTTGGAAGCGTAGCTAACACCACGACGTGCCGAGTTAAGCTGTCTAATGGAGGGTGGAGGAGCGAGTAACGCCGAAGGGAGTCGGTTTGATTGACTCGGAGGCGTAAGTACCACTGGGAACCGTCTTGGAGCTGGACCGTTTCCTTGTATAGCTGGAGTGTATGGTGTAGGGGCTCGCCTCATTGAGTATAGATTGGTTGGTCGGGTGAGAGGCATGTGTACAGGGGGCGAGACTGGCATTGTCTCGGGGACACCTCTTCTAGGCGAGGAAAAGTTCATCGGTGCAGGTGGTCCCATGTGCGATGTAGGAGTTAGGAATGTGGATGAGACACGCCTGGATGAGTATAAACTCGTTGTCTGGATCGGAGGCAGATCGAAAGATTGTTTTGGTGGGTACGCATCACCTAGCGAAGCTGATTGCGTAGCTATCGCAGGTGCAGAAGCCGAAATTGTTTTAGGAAGATGCTTTGGCGAGTATAGATGGGTGCCATGGGGTGAAGGCACATATGCTGTGGGTACCCTTGATGGTAAGTACGTGTGGACCGACGGCACGTAGGCTGTCGAAGCCTTATGCAAGCTTTGCATAGTGCCACTGGAGCTGACCGAGTGTGAAGACGAATGCGAGGGGCTCTTAGAGAGCAAGGGAGACTTCTCGATAGAAGGACGACTTGATGAAATGCCGAGACCATTAGGCTTCTCGTCGCCAGCGTTCATTGCCATACGTAATGGCGAAGATATTCGTAGGGGCGACGAAGCAGCGATTGGGGATAGCAATGCCGAACGGCACTTGAAGGAAAGTGTCGAGTGTCTCTTGACCATCTGAGGGGTTCTTTGGAGATCCGATGGTGACAAGCAGACACTCGTCTTCTTCGATCCAAACAGTCCTGCTGTAAAAGGATCGTACGACACATTGTACGTGAAGCATAACACAAAAGAGACGATGCTATGTGAAACCCAGTTAGTCGCGTGCGCATTAGGGTAGCATAAGAATTGCTTACAAGGCTAGCATGCTCACCACAAGAGCAATGCGCTGCAGAACACAGACGCGACCCTTCCTCCACATTTCATGTGTACCCGAACTGGCTGGCCGACATGTCGGCTGTCTTGCAAGAGTAAAGATGATTCCTAGTCCGACTGTTGTTATCCATAGCAACACCGCTGTGCACGAAACGAACAGTATGATGACTTTGAAGACTGTTGCTGCAGTTTTGGCCCATCTGCTGAAGACGCTCCCCTGGAGCCGTACAATCAGACTATGAATAAGGATAACGAGAAGCGAGGTGCCAGCCTATTAGGTGAGTTAGTCTATACTTTGTCCGCAATGCTTCAATTCTGAACGCTTACTGCTGCAATGCAGATGATGTTGGTCAAAAACAACGACGAGTCAACCTCGGAGAGAGCGAAAAAAGAAATTTGTATTGATAGAGGAAAAAGACTGGACCAGAGCAGAAGTTGAAGCGAAATCGTGATAAGGTTGTTCGTAAAAGAGTGTCGTTTGGATTGCTGTGTTGTAGATGCCTCCATGTTCTGGCAATAGCTAGGCAGTATTGAGATTATTCAGAGGACGGAAAGAAAAGGATCATCCAAGGCATGTCATTTTTCCAAGATCTACCGCCCTGCTCTAGGAAGTGGCGGACATGCGAAAGGGAGGAGAGAGGCTTGAATTCCTCGAGGGACGCGTCGCGTGCTTGCTTTTTGTCAAAGAGCTGATCCAGGTTCGGAATGCTACGTATCAAGCTAACACTGCGTTTCGGCGAGAAAATCCATGGCCGGCCTTTTTCGAGAAGGTTTGGCAGATGGATGAAGGCGATCCTGTGGGTAGAGTCGACGCCACTGTCAGAGCTGCGTTTCACCACGGGAACCCGTCAAACTAGGTGTTAGGACCTTGTATGAGGGTTAAAGAAAGTAAAGAAGTCCACAGAAAACAAAGTCTACAGCCTTCGGGTTCGGGATCAGAAGCAATGGCGTCGAATTACTGTAGTAGTCAATTCTGTTTGCTTCGCAGCAGAGGTCCAGTTGTCGCTGTTGTCGCTGTTGTATGACCCACCTGCCCAGCATGTTTCGTTATTGCAATTGTGACAATCATCCATGTCCCACTCTAGCCTTCTGCATCTTATCTAAGCAACTTGTTGAAACACAAGTCCGCAAGGTGCGTGCTGGTATACAAACAAGATACAAACGCGATGCTGAGCGCCTCGATGCGGCTCTTCCTTCTCCCCGCATGTCCGGCACTTGGAGGCGTGGAGATCGATACCAAGCACATCAGGCTTTCTTATCCGACGTATGCATATCTTCATCGTCAATGAACATTACTTTGGACTCTGGGATGCCATCGAAATAAACAAAGGTATCGAGAACCCTGAGATTATTTGTCAAAAAAGGAAGCAACTTAGGCTCCTCACAGTGGAATTTGTGGAAGAAATATTCTCGTGTCGATTTAGAGGTCGTGCACTAGCCTGCCAGAGCGTTCGCTAAGATATTCGAAACCACTGGTTACCAACCCGCGTGGAGGAGTCGATCATTGAAGTCAAACCCGTCTTCCTCGGTCTTTGATGTAGCAACGACTTGTACCCCTCACTAGACAGCGACACAAAATGGCAGTCGAAAGGCATTGGACAATGTCTCATCTACATCATCAGCACTATTATCATGCCGCAACAATCGCCGTATCAGATTGACATCCCAGCAACTGACATACTGTCCTATGTCTATCCTGAAGGAAAAGCACCGTACGAGAAACCGATATGGATAGATGCCGCAAACCCGGAGAGGTCCTTGTCGCCAAAGCAAGCCTTGGCCTGGATTAAAAGACTCGGTCTTGGACTTGATCATCTCAACATCGGCCGCAACGATGTAGTAATGATGTTTTCTACCAACCATATATTCTGTCCAGTTGCCTACCTAGGAGTCGCGGGCAGTGGTAGGGTATTCAGCGGTTGCAATCCAGCTTACACTGTCAAGGAAATCGCATTCCAGATCACAAACACAGGAGCTAAACTCATTCTGGTGGATCCCAGTCTTCTGGACAATGCCTTGAAGGCTGCAGAGCAAGTCGGATTTCCTCATGACAAGATCTTCCTCTTCTTGGATGAGCCATGTGAGACGCAGAGAGGAATCAGAGACTGGAGCTCTTTCCTTGCAACAGAAGAAGCTGCAGAGAGCTGGCAGTGGCATCAAATGTCGGCTGATGAATCAAAATCCAACACGGCAGTTTTGAACTATTCTTCGGGGTAAGTAGAGCCTGACTCGAAGCCTCCGATGTTGAGTACTATCGAACCTTCATTGGAGACTCTGCATCGCAGTAACACTGTAATATTATGCTGACTGGGACAACAGCACCACCGGTCTACCCAAGGGAGTAAAAATATCGCACCAGAACATCATCGCGAATGTCTGCCAATCTCTATACATGAGGGAGCTCGAGCAGTCTTACCCCTCAGGTCAGAAACCACCTGAAAGGTTTTTGGGGTTCTTACCACTTTATCATGCTTATGGACAGCTGTGGAGTATCACGGCCGCTGCCATCACCCAAACACCGTGTTATTACATGCGAGTGTTCAACTTCGAACCTTTCCTGTCGCATATTCAACGTCACCGGATTACCCACATCCAGACCGCACCTCCGGTTTTGGTCATGTTGGCCAAGCGACCGGAGACCGAAAAGTATGATTTATCATCCTTGATAAATATTTTGTGTGGTGCCGCACCCCTCAGTAAAGAGCTGCAGAACGAAGTCAGTACGAAGTTCAACCTCAAGGTTGTTCAGACTTGGGGCATGACTGAGGTCACTTGCTCATGTTTACACGTTCCTGGCGGGCTGGATGATCGCAGTGGAAGTGTAGGTCAAGTCGACCCCGGCGCGGAGATCAAGCTTATCGACGACAACGGAAACGAAGTCACACAGCCAGGCCAACGTGGAGAGATATTCGTAAAAGGGAAAAATATCTGCTTAGGGTATTGGAAAAATGAGAGCGCTACCAAGGCTACCTTCGACAGCGACGGTTTTCTCAAGACCGGTGATGTTGCAATTTTCGACGAAAAGGGCTGGTTTTGGATTGTTGATCGTGCGAAGGAGATCTTCAAGGTCAATGGATTCCAAGTTGCTCCGGCCGAACTTGAAGCAGTACTGCTAGAGAATGACGACGTTGCTGATGCTGCTGTCTGCGCATTGAACAGAGATCACGAAGACTATCCTAGAGCGTACGTCGTGCTTAAGGAGCAGGCTAAAGGGAAGGTGACCGAGAAGGACGTGGTGGAGTGGATGGCTTCAAAGGTCGCGAAGCACAAGAGACTCTCAGGGGGTGTCAAGTTCATTGATGAAGTCCCGAAGAGCCCGAGCGGCAAAATCCAACGAGTCACGCTACGTGAATGGGCTAAGAGGGATGCGGATCAGGTCACGGAAATCAAGGCTAGACTGTAGAGATGTAAAATGATGTAAGAATGATAACATTGCATATGTTCTTCATTTTTCAGATTGCAATCGAGCTGTTTGGCTGAGTGGTCGACTAGATAAGAGAAGTGTTTGTGATGAACACAATCTATGCGCGTATCTTGATCTACTTGCTGTACTTGCAATGCCGTTGATCGTGCATGATGATAGTATTACAAGCCGGGTGTTCTGCCGTTGCTAGGACCCCAAACGATCTTGCTCGATGCTTATAGTGACCCCAAACAAGCAAAGTGATTGCAAACGATCTGTCGCTCTCGATCCAGCGCATGACCGGTTCGTCTGCTTAATATGGTCGGTACCCATTTGCACCACCTCCTCCCCAACCCCGGCCTCTTCCGCGCCAATTTGCCCCTCCACCTCCACCACGCGTTTGTTCACCTCGCCAACCTGCACCGCTGCCGCGTCCGTACTCGCCCTGTCTATAGCTACCTCCGCCCATCTGCAGTGTGTCTCTACTCGGCGGTGGCGGAGGCGCGTTAGGTAAGAAGCTGTTATGGAAGGGTGGAGGCTGAACGAACTCCGGTGGTGGCGGGGGCATCCAGTTTTGTGGGCGCTCCGGTCCAGTAGGCGAGTTCTTCTCTATGTTCTGGAAGATCTTCATGAAAGGTACGCTGAACCCATAATAGCCCTCGACTACTTTGAGTTTCGGTCTATCGTCACGGTTCATAGGATCTCTCGTTAATCGAAGGCCAAGGCCATTGAGGATGAATTCATTCCCGTCGTCTGTCGTAGGCACATTGGGTATTGCGTTGATGTCTTTGCACTCTTCAATGTGCTCGAGCACCGATTCCATCATGTCGGGATCGACTGATCCGTTTGGCATGTCAAGTGGTTTGATGCGTCCAACTTTTACGGGATGGCCAGGCTTTGTCGCTTTCATTGCTTGTACCATGGTTCCAACGGGAAGATCGAACCACGCATCCTCAGCCAGTCCATGGGTATCAGGAAACGTGTTTTGAACATCTTCGGATTGAATTCTGGTCATCAGTTTGTAGTGATATGACTGGTGATTCCGCCTCAGCCAGTCCAGCCAGTCGATGTAGGCCTTGCGCGCAATATTGCGGAGACCGAGACGTATGCGATTGGTGAACAACCGCTCCTGAGTCCAGCTCTGCAGCAGGCAAGCCAGATCTTGGTGGAGACGAAGGGCCTGGACACCATGAGAAGGGGCAGCCATCTCAACAAGCTGGGCGACATTCATCCCGATAGTCTTTGCAAATATCGCGTAGGTCTCGAGCGGCTTTCGGAGTAGTCGGCCTGGATTCTCGCGAATGCGAAGGAAGATGGCGTCTAGCAAGCGAAGTAGATCGAGGCCGACCTGAGCTTGAAGCAGAGGCAACTGGTCGGGGCTGGCTTGAGATGTCGCTGATAGCAGAGAATCCGAGAGCTTAAGTAGGTAGTCTCCAAAAGCAGCAACCCTACGCCGAGACTTTGCTACATGGCACACAATCCAGGCAACGCATTTTTTGAACTGACATCAGTTTAGCGAAGGATGCATGGAAAAGATTGAAGCTCAGGAAAGACCTCTTTGGTGGAGCGGGTAGTGTCTCGAATGGCGATTTGTAAGAGGTTGTGAAAGTTGTTAATGTCTGACGAGTCAAGAGTAGACCTCTTGGATTGGCCGGTGGTCAGACAGCCAACGAGCTTTCCCTTTGCGAGAAGTAGTCCGACATCAGCCTTTGATGTCTGCGCGGTCCTGGAATCCATTTCCGAACGTGATGGTCGAGGTCGAATGTGTTGTCAAAGTTTGACCGAAGGGCAGATTCAAGGAGGGGTGGAGCGTGCAGCAAGCTGTTCCTGACGCCGGCCGTCTTGCAGACTTCGTTCTAGACCGTTGTGCGCCGGTTACACAGTGTTTACACGCCGAGTGGAAGCAATTTTCTACAACAATCCTCGGAACATCAGCATTGGATACGGAGAGCTTGCATGGGTGAGGGTACTGTAACGAGGTGCTGCTGAATAGATTCAAAGCCAACCCTCGGGCGCCCGGGCCGGATCCACCTTCGTCGGGATAACCGAAGACCCTTGATCCCTAGACTGGCAGGCACGCCGACGTCACTGCTCAGTGCTGATTGCTGGCCCTAGCCTTTCGCTGAATCTCTCGACAAACACGCACAAAGTCCAGCTACCTACTTTCCGTCGCTCTACCAAGAGCCGTCACTGTGCATCCGGACAGTTGCTCCATCAGCCTGTCAAGAGACATCCGTCTCGCGCTCGCGCCGCATCATGGGCGCCGTCCAGAGTGATCTCAAGTCAAACATCGTCCAGGCCTCGTCTGGTGATGTCGCTATTCCCTCCACTCTGACCGACTTTTGGCAAACCGTAACCACCTTCTGTACTCTGCATCGCATGTGAATTACTGCTGACACGTGCCCAATTCAGTTCTGGCAGAGACCAGAAACAGCCGAACATGTCTTCGAGACCATCACTCCGTCCGATCTCCGCACCATGCGCGACAACCCCAATTCTTTCAAAAACTTCGAGACCCTAATACTGACCCTTTCACTCCATCTGATCGACCTGCGCTGGTCCGAAGACTCTCTCTTCGAAAGAGATGCCAATGCTTTCATCCGCGAGGCCCTAAACTGCGTCCGGACTCTCACACGAGTCCTTCCCTTCGTCTACGAGTGTGACCGCCTGTGTGCCTGGGAGCAATCTTTCTTCTGGGAACCTTCAGACAGAGTTCCTCCTCCCACCATTACTCGCAACATCTCTGGCGAATCAACTACCGCCGAGAACCTGGTCCATTCTGGAGCAAGTTCACGTCCTGAACCCTCTACATGCCTTGGTGTTGAGCTGATCGATGCTCTTCTGGATTTGGCCTTCTGGTCGGGCTTCACACTTCCGATCAACATGAACGGCAAAAATGGCCCTACCTATGGCTTCTGGCAGAGCGGAATTGCTTACGAGCGACGCTTGGAGACAAGTAAAGAGTTCGAGAGCAGGAGGACAGAAATCATGCAGCTTCTCTTAGTCTTGGAGAGCAAGTGCATCTACAAACCCGCAAACGCCTTCACCACTTTTGGTAGTGAGGCCGTCGACTTCATCTCCAACCACCGCGATCGTAAAAAGGTCCAATACCTGTTGTGTTCGTTGCTGAACACCGTCTTGAAATATCAGCCCGACGCGCGTTATCTGTCTCCCTCGCCCAGAGAGGTCCACGAAACTCATGTCCGGACTTGTCTGCATTTCCTACAGGTCAACTTATTGAATAGGTCACCTTGGAGTGAGGGCTCCGCTCCACCTGACAACCGTTTCCGTGACCTATTCTCTCACCTACACAAGGCTACCCATCTCCAATTCCTAGCCGATGGTATCCTCAAGATTCTGCGCCAACCACTTGAAGCAAACAGTAATGGATTGAACATTGTACAGAGGCCGCTTGTCTGGGCGCATGAGATCATTCCACTCCTGTGGGAGTCTCTTTACTCAAACAAGTACTTTCGCGCCTTCATCTGCGAGACCGGTCGCCAGTTTGAACTTACTGTATTCCTCTTGTTCTACATTTTGGACCCGAACAAGAATGTAGAAGGAGTCAAACGGGTGAGTCTGTTGTGCGTGCAGACAATGAGCGAGAATCCCGAATGTGCCATTTCCTTGAACAAGCAGTTCGAAGGACATGACAATCTCCCTTCGTTCATGCAGATCAAGAATTTCCACGGATCGTATGCCGACTATCTGTTCACCGTGAGTCAACATTGGTAATGTGGTTTGTGATCTTCGCTAACGTCCTGCAGTGGTTGCTCACTCTTCTGAAACCTAAGAAGAATGGCCATTTGGACGCGATGGCTGCTGCCTTGGTCGGGATAATTGTTAACGTTTCTCCGTACATATCTCACCTCGGCCGGGCGACTAGTCTAAAACTTATCCAGCTGGTGGACCTATACACACGAAACTCTTTGTCTACTAGTGTTGAGGTGAATGCCATGGTTCTCACTCATATGGTTCGCGCCGTCAACTCGATGCTGGAAGAACACAAACCTGGAACCGGTTCGTCATCTGTGATGAGTAACCAAGACAATGCTGACATTTGTATCTCAGAGAATGAAAACCTGCTCTGGGCGATATGGAAGTACGGAACCACATTCGAGCATTTGGCAGATCTCAGGATGGAGGTCGACCCGAGCTTCAAACAAGTGGTCGAGCAGATTCGTGAATCTGGCATCACAGAGCCTACTGTGTGCCCAGATGGCACAGTATTGCATCCCTTGGTCGCAGCTAGTGATATTGCCAACATGGACAAGGACAAAGCACCTAGACCACGTCTTGGAAGAGGACGTACATGGTTGGAGCTCCGTGACATCTACAACCCGGCGACATCTCCAGTAGTGCCCCCAGTGGATGATGTGCCACCACCCAGTGGCGATGGTGCAGATGAGAAACAGCCTTCAGTGTCTTCGAGGGCCATGGGCAAGCAACCCGAGAAGAGCAAAGACTCTGCAGATTTTGAAGAAGAAAGAGCCAGAGCACTGACCTCACCATCAACAGATATGGAAATAGTACGTTTTTGATGCCGTCTATGAGACGTCACCTACTGACTACATACAGGTCCGAACATGGCTTCCTCAAATGCCCCTCCTGACGACTCTCTCGCTGTTCTTGGCGCTACAAGCGTGGACTGCAAAACTGTTGGAAGAGAGAGGCATGGAGAGCAGCCAAGAAGCTGTAGACGGGTTAGGCATGGACGAAGTGCTGCAGCCAGTACGAAACATGGGCCGCATCTGTGTTGAAACGACAACTCGCAACATCCATACATTCCCCATGACGGCACCCTTCTCGGAGGCATACGCAGCGTTCTATTGGGGTCTCGTAATTTCGCAAGACTTGCAGCATGCATCAACATCCGGAAGCGGTATCTGGAGCAGCACCAACGTCAAGTTGTTCAAAATCCGGGCAGGTGAAGTGGTGCCACCCAGCCTGTTGAGCCCAAAAGGAGCAGTGGATGCTCTTGGAGAGAGCTTGGTAAGTGGCGTACAAAATCTGGCGTTGAAGTTCCGGCAGCAGCTGAATGGCGGCCCTGAAGCATGATCATAGGCGGGCAGGTGGTATTTCGGCAATGCATTGACGGTCGGACAGTTGCGAAATGGATACCCAGGAGTTTAATTGGCGTAACACGGTAGTGGAATGAGTTTTTATGCTGTACTTATTAGGCATCTAGATTCGCTGGCACGTTGAGGGATACAATGTGAGACAAGACCATGAAGTTTTGATTCTATGTGTTGTATCTCAACCGCTGTATCTACAGACTTGAGAGACGTTTAAGGCTTCTCGTAGATCCAGTCGTTCTGGGCAGACTTCCAGCTGGTGACCTCGTCCTTCTTGAACCAGAGAGCGATCTCCTTCTGGGCGTTCTCGACAGTGTCGGAACCGTGGCAGACGTTGCGGCCGACGTCAATGGCGAAGTCGCCACGGATGGTGCCAGGAGCGGAGGCAGCGGGGTTGGTGGCACCGAGAAGGGTACGGCCAGTCTTGACGGCGTCACGGCCCTCCCAGACCATGGCGCAGATGGGGCCAGAGTTCATGTCTGTCGTGAGATTGTAAGCAGCTGCTTCGGAGCCTGCAGGAAAGTGATTGACGTACAAGAGATCAAACCGCGGAAGAAGGGCTTGTCGCTGAGGTCGGAGTAGTGCTTCTCGAGGTGCTCCTGTCCGGGCTGGGTCATCTTGATGGCAGACAACTTGAAGCCCTTGTTCTCGAAACGGGAGATGATGGGGCCGACAAGGCCTCTTTGAACCCCGTCAGGTTTGATAGCTTGGCGTTCGTTAGCAGACGGTATAGGTCGAGAGACGGTATAGGGTAGAGGTCGAAAGATGGTATAGGTAGAGCTCGAAAAGTGGTATGGGGGGTCAAAATCGAAAGGCGCGGCGGGGCGTCTGGGGCAGCGCCCAATCGAAGCGATAGCGACACTCACCGATGAAGGTTTGCTCGTTGGAAGACATTGTGTATGAGTTGACGATGGTGAGATGTGATCGGTCTTTGGCGGTCAAGAATTTGTGGATGGATGGGGATGAAGACATGCAAGCAAGCTGAATTAAGATCTTGGCAGGTCTGGAGGTCCAGCCAATGAAGGGCCAGTTCACGTGACGAGATTATCGAAGTCGAGACTCGACACCAGTGAAGGGACAGCTGTTGAGTAATGGGTTGTGCTCGGTTGACAGGATAGGTACCTTTGAGAACCGCTCACGACAATCTTTCACCGCCAGGTTTCGCGTGTTCCTGAGTGCACCAGATAATTCCAGTATGAGTTGAACAACGTTTGATCATTGGGAAGCTCAATGAAGAGCCTTGGAGTAAGGTCTTGCATATGAAAACAACGATAGTCTCTTTTTCTCTGACTGACAGCCGCATTGGCAACAGACCTTGACCGACAGTCCATACCGCTACTCGGGTATACACTCCACGATCACGACCAGAAGAAAAGTGCGCTTCAGTTGTCTCGCGTTCGTTGGGATCTTCAAGAGAGTAATTCTCTGGACGATGGGACCAGGTTTGAATTATGTTGTAAGGCTGTCGATCATCTAGCTACTACAGGTTGCCGACAACCTTTCGATGAGAGAAGTCCTTGACCGGGCGCTAATGTTGTTGAACTCATACTGGCAAGCGCTTTTCGGAATTCGCATCATCATCGTGTATGATGCCACTCGGCAGTCTTACTTCCAATGATCAGGTTCAGCCTCTTGTCATCTGGTAGAGATTCAACTGGTTAGCGAAACATGTCCAAAAACCCATTCGACACGTGAATCAGAAACAGGATATTATCGCGAAATGGTCAGAAACCAAAGCGCTCTGTCCCAGCGAACTAGACTAGCTGCGAACTGGCACGACTGTCAGCCAAACTCAAACGCAGCAAAAGAGGATCGACTTACCCTGAGAGAACTCACTTCCCGGACGCTATCGAACAGTTAAGCTGACGATAGAATTGAAAGAACTAGACGCCAGATGATCCATCCTCTTGGAAGTTGATCACATTTGCGTCAAGAGACCACGTCGTTTCACCATGCGATTGCAGTCGTTGTCAAATGAGAGCAAGGTTGGCGCACTTAGTGTGTTGAAGCAGTGTTGCAATTGCGGGTTGAAGATTGGATCGGTGTAGGAAAGGCAGCGCCGTCTCTAGTGTGGTCAATCGGAATCACGAATAGATATATCGGAACATGCATCTTGTGGAATTCAAAGACGCCGGTAGAAATCTCGGTTAAGGTTTCGAAGACTCAGAAAGTGATCTCTTCTTGGAAGGCACGATCAAGGTTTCGTTCCTTCCTGAGTCGGTGCACTGCAGTCTTGGGTCAAACAGAACTAGATTTGAGCTGACATTTACGTGAAGACAAGGAAGCAACCACCGACTCCAGCGAACTCTGAGCTGCCTCGAAATTGCTACTGAGTCGACCCTGGTCAATGGTTTGCAACCACGACGACGGCGGCGACGACGAGGTAGTTACTGCTGGCATATAGGAAATTTGACTCGATCTGCTGTCTCCATTCCATGCCGATAGAGTAGAACATCCTACTCAAGATCTGTGGAATATTCGAATATCCTACTAGCTATTGCATGCCACAACGTCCACACTGGTCTGATCTCACTCGTCGTCCTCGTCCCTATCTCCTTCATCGAGTTCCACCGAATCCTGGTTGTCCTGCTCTACTGGAGATGCAGCTTGCCGAAACGTCACTCTTGTATGCGCTGTTCTCAGATCTGCACGTTCATGGAATTATCTGTGGTCTTGTACCCAGCTTTGCATTAGCCTGATGGCATACTCTGAACTGCTGCCGCCATTGTGGAGAGCAATCCCGGTAAGCTCAAAATCAGTGTACGCGCGGAATATGAAGCGACCTCCGATGTCATGAACATGCCTCTCCGTCCAACACCCTCTCCGCCTGAACGGAACGTGCATGCTGGGTTTTGTATCGGCAACGAACGAACCGACTTGGGATATGTACATCGATCAAGTTACCACAGACTTATTAGTTCATACCTCTAGACTCGTTCGTTACGAACCGTCGACAGCTTTTGCCCCTTTGGACATACTAGCTCTGGCTGGAACCACCAGAGTCGTGTCCGTCCTGCATTTCCCAGGCCATTGGACGATATTTTCAATCGATCCAGTATCAGGACATGTAACCTTCGTAGACTCAATGCCATACGGTCCACGTAGGGCATTTGCAAGCTCCGCTCTTCTGCAATTTGCCCGGCTCCTCGAGGTCACCCTTGGCTTATCCATCGGCGAATGGACTTTTGAACGCCTCGCGCCATCTCACCAATACAACGGTGAAGACTGCGGGTTCTTCGCGATCGCAAACGCCATCAAGCTGCTCCGGGCCTGGCTCCGGAACGAGTCCGCTTCAACAGAGTGAGTTCGGAGCGATACGCCACAAGGTACAGGTGGTCGATGCTTAGGATGTTCCATACACGCCTCGGCGGTACGTCTCCTGTCCAGCATTCCCGATGCCAATGCCTGGAAACATCGTCGACGACCCGATGCCTAGTCTTAAGGTACCTTTAACCATTCCCTTGCTCGTTAAGAGCACTCGGTTAACTAAGCGCAAGCGCTCGATGCATTAACAGGAACAGCGTACCCGATTGCGAGCAGGAGCCAAGACTCGTGATCTCTCTAGCGAGGTCTATCCCGGCTCGATCTACTGTCCGCATCTTGTCGCAGGCGTGAAATCATCTAAAACATATTTTCGTCTGACATATACGCGGCCGGTTCAACAATTCAAAAGCTGGCCTCGACTATCGAAGTTTCTCTTGTTACCGCGCACCGCGACGTTCCGGACGACTTAGTTGATGTTCTAAATTATCTGCTTCATGATTCGCTCCATCATTTTACATATTCCGGGGTGACTCTAAGATGGTCAGTTGTACAACTGCAAGGCAGAACCCTTAACACTGCCTTCTACAACCTTATGCGTTCATCCGAGTTAACTACCCTACTCTATACTAGCATTAACCCTATCAGTAGTCATCCAATGCTAACCATCATTATTGCGAGATACAGCGGTATGCTTAAGAAGAGATAAAAACCCAAATTTTTAGAGATTCGAGCGCACCATGGATGCGGTGGACGCGTGCTTTAATCTATCGCCTTCATACTTAACTCGACAGTATCATTCGGATCAACCGCGCTAGCCAAGCTATGTTAGACTTCTTTTACCTAACGTGAAGGGAACTAAGTCGCTCCTCTCGATGCTCTAGTCGGATCCTATAGTGACCAAGGCGTTGCAACAACTGACGGCTTAAGCGGCCTTCTAAAGAAGCAAACCAATCTATCGAGTTGTCACGTTTGGTCTATCTATTAATCTAGTTAATGGTGAAGCACGATAACTAGGAGTCGATGGAACTCTATTAAGGCGGAATGGGTAAGGACCACGAACAAGATTAGACAGGTGCCTAGAAGGGTGAGGTCGATGCCGGCGAAAGTCAATATTTAGCTTAAGCTAGGTCTCCATTAAAGTATTGATAACTTTGAATCAAACGAAATAGCGATGTTTGCTGTTTGGAAGACATGGCCGTAGAGGTGATTGCTTGATCAACAGTGTAAAGCAAAGATCTATTTTTGGCAGGCAAGATTTTGGAATTCATGAGGAGCGGTCGGGGCGGAAACTGCCGATTGTTCCTGGCGGGGTTTACGTTTCACTTCCAGTTGGCCAAAGCTTCTGCATCACTGCCCCGGACTCTTCAACTAATGGAGAGTCGAGAAGTGTAAAGTGTCAATTGGCAGCAACTGCATCGGCGAATCATGGCTACTGCAATTGCAGTATCTCCGTCCAGATGGACACAACTGCTTCTTCTGCTTGCAGCCTTGTGCTGTCTCTTTTCACCAGCTGGTAAGTCCCCATTCGATGCACCTTAGAAGGGCTATAGCTAAAACCACCCAAGTGTCTGTGAAACACGAGAACTTCAAGACGTGTGACCAGTCTGGCTTCTGTAAACGCAACAGAGCCTACGCCGACTCTGCCGCTTCACTCGCTTCCTCGTGGACTAGTCCTTATGCCCTCGACTCCGCCTCCCTTACTTTCTCCAAGGGCCAGTTGTCAGGAACCATCCTCAAGACCATTGCAACTTCCGATCAAACTATTCGCCTACCCGTCACCATCTCGTTCTTCGAATCCGGCTCTGCCAGAGTTATTGTCGATGAAGAGAAGCGTCAGAAGGGTGATATCGAGCTCCGCCATGGCTCAAAGGCCCGTAAAGAGCGTTACAACGAGGCCGAGAAATGGGCTATTGTTGGCGGGACTAAGCTCAGCTCTGGTGCTGCAGCTGCCAAAGATGCTCAGCCCGGTACCACCAAGATCTCGTATGGTCCTGGCAGCAAGTTCGAGGCCATCGTTAGTCACTCCCCATTTGGTATTGAGTTCAAGAGAGATGGAGAGACACACATCAAGTTGAACGATAGAGGCTTGTTGAACGTCGAGCACTGGCGTGCCAAGGTTGACAAGCCGCAACAAGAGAAGAAGGAGGGAGAAGCTGAAGGCGATGAAGTCAAGAAGGATGTGGGTGAGGATGAAAGTACTTGGTGGGATGAAGCCTTTGGTGGAAACACCGACACCAAGCCTCGCGGCCCTGAGAGTGTAGCCCTCGACGTTACTTTCCCAGGCTACGAGCACGTCTTTGGTGTTCCCGAGCACACTGGCCCTCTTTCATTGAGACAAACTCGGTACGTGCGAACTATCTGTAGTTTGCTACAGTCACTAGGATGCTAACCTGCTCAACAGTGGTGGTGAGGGCAATTTCAACGACCCATACCGTCTCTACAACGCCGATGTCTTCGAGTATGAGATGAACAGCCCCATGACTCTCTATGGCGCCATTCCCTTTATGCAAGCTCATAAGAAGGATTCAACCGTCGGTGTCTTCTGGCTCAACGCTGCAGAGACTTGGATCGATATTGTCAAGTCCAAGTCAAGTGCCAATCCTCTGAGTCTTGGTATTGGATCTCACACTGACACTCAGACTCACTGGTTTTCTGAATCTGGCCTGCTTGATATCTTTGTCTTCCTCGGTCCTACGCCCAAGGATGTTGTCTCATCCTTCTCTGAGCTTACCGGCTACACTCAACTCCCTCAGCAGTTCGCCATCGCTCATCACCAGTGCCGATGGAACTATGTCACCGACGAGGATGTCAAAGACGTTGACCGCAAGTTTGACAAATCTCAAATTCCTTACGATGTTATCTGGCTTGACATCGAATATACCGATGGCAAGAAGTATTTCACCTGGGATCCTCTGACCTTCCCCAATCCTCTTGGAATGCAAAAGCAGCTTGATGATCACGAGAGGAAGCTTGTTGCTATTATTGATCCTCACATCAAGAACGAGGGTGGATACTCTGTCGTCGACGAGCTCAAGTCTAAAGATCTTGCCACCCATAACAAGGATGGCAACATCTATGAAGGTTGGTGCTGGCCCGGTTCTTCATACTGGGTTGACTGTTTCTCTCCTGCTGCCCGCAAGTGGTGGGGACAATTGTTCCAGTATGCAAAGTTCAAGGGCTCGGCTCACAATCTCTGGTTATGGAACGACATGAACGAGCCTTCAGTCTTCAACGGTCCCGAGACTACCATGCCCAAGGACAACTTGCACCATGGCAACTGGGAGCACAGAGATGTACACAATCTCAACGGACTCACATTGGTCAATGCCACTTTCGAAGGTCTGGTGTCGCGTAACAAGGAAGAGGAGAAGGCTGGAGGAGTCAGACCTTTCGTCTTGACCCGTTCATTCTACGCTGGCTCGCAGCGCATGGGAGCCATGTGGACTGGTGACAACCAAGCAAACTGGGAGCACCTTGAGGCATCTCTTCCCATGATATTGTCTCTAGGCGTCTCAGGCTTCCCTTTCGCTGGTGCTGATGTCGGTGGTTTCTTCGGCAACCCATCCCGAGAGCTACTCACTCGCTGGTATCAAGCAGGCGCTTTCTACCCCTTCTTCCGTGCCCACGCTCACATCGATACTCGCCGCCGCGAACCTTACCTTCTGCCCGATCTTGAAAAGGGCATCGTCACACAAGCCTTGAGACTTCGCTATGCTCTGCTTCCTGCATGGTACACAGCGTTCCACACGGCAAGCAAGAACGGAGCACCAATTGTGCAGCCTATGTACTATGCACACCCAGGTGATGAGAAGGGTTTCGCTATCGACGATCAGATGTACCTCGGGTCGACTGGTCTGTTGGTCAAGCCCGTCACCAAAGAAGGAGCTACCAGTGTCGAGATGTACCTGCCCGATGGTGAGAAGTACTTTGACTACTCGGACTACACCGTTTACAGTGGTCCTGGCCACGTCAAGATAAATGCTCCTCTCGACAAGATCCCACTTCTCATGAGAGGTGGTCACATTGTCCCTAGACGTGATCGCCCAAGAAGATCCAGTGGACTGATGAAGTTTGACCCTTTCACGCTTGTTGTGGTGCTTGGCAACGACGGAAATGCAGAAGGCGAGCTGTACCTGGACGATGGCGAGACGTACGATTACGAGCAAGGCGCATATATCCATCGTCGCTTCACATACACTGGTGCTACATGGTCGCTCGCCTCCGAGGACCTAAGCAGCAAGGGCAAAAAGACGGCCCAATATCTCCAGCAGATGAAGGATGTTAGAGTAGAGAAGATTGTGATTGTCAACGCGCCTTCATCTTGGAAGGGCAAGACAGAGGTTGATGTGTCAGAAGAGGGAACAAGTAGCAGCGGTGAGAGCAAAAAGGCCGGATTCGAATTTGTTGGTGGAGAATCAGGCAAGGCAGATTGGGCTGTAGTCAGAAACCCTCAGGTTAGCATCGGCGGAGGTTGGAAGATTGGGTTTGCATAGACAAAACGTAGAGGCTAGATAGACTGCTACAAGTATGAGTGACTGTTTTCTTTGTTTGGTGTAATTCGGCAGGCTCGAGAAAAGAGAGCCTCGGAGGCTGTGTTTGAGGCAGCATGATAAGGGACTCGAATTGTGGAGAGTGCTTGGAGCAACCAAACGTCACGCCCGCCTTGGCAAGGTGGTCAATCAATCCAAGAAGCTAACTGAACATTGACCCTAATCACACCGCAACTACCTTCTTTCGCCTTTTTCGTTTCGTATAACAGCAGGACGCTCCAAAAGCCTCTGCTAGGCTCCCTGTTCATCATCTAACACTTGCGCAACAAGCACACACGCAGCTCGCCGCCGAAGATGGCTACAAATGCGTCCGCGTAAGTCGGATTCAGGAGGCAGCAACTCTCACTTGACGTGTAGCTCTAACACGTCTGAATAGAAGTATCAACGTCAACGACCCCGGTCTCATCACACTGGTGAACAAGCTTCAGGATGTCTTCACCACAGTTGGCGTACGACTCTACCCCACTGCGTGCCCGGACTCGATGTTAACAATGCGCCTCGCAGGTCCAAAACCCCATCGATCTCCCCCAAATCGCCGTCGTAGGATCGCAATCAAGCGGAAAGAGCTCGGTCTTGGAAAACATAGTGGGCAGGGACTTCCTGCCGCGAGGAACTGGTATCGTGACAAGACGGCCGCTCATCCTGCAACTCATCAACCGAGCCCCTCTGCCCAAGCAAGAGAATGGCGCAGCTGCCGAGGCTGTCGATGGAGCCGCCGACAAGGAGTCCAACGTGGACGAGTGGGGCGAGTTCCTGCACATTCCCGGCCAAAAATTCTACGATTTCAACAAGATCCGCGATGAGATCGTGCGCGAAACCGAGTCCAAGACTGGTCGCAATGCCGGCATCTCACCTGCACCCATCAACTTGCGCATCTACTCGCCCAATGTCTTGACCCTGACGCTGGTCGATTTGCCCGGTCTCACAAAGGTGCCCGTGGGTGACCAGCCCCGCGACATTGAGCGCCAGATTCGCGAGATGGTCCTCAAGCAGATCAGCAAGCCCAACGCCATCATCCTCGCTGTCACTGCTGCCAACACCGATCTGGCCAACTCGGACGGTCTTAAGCTGGCCCGTGAAGTCGACCCCGAAGGTCAGCGCACCATTGGTGTTTTGACAAAGGTTGATCTGATGGACGACGGTACTGACGTCGTCGACATTCTTGCTGGTAGAATCATTCCTCTGCGACTGGGCTACGTCCCTGTGGTCAACCGTGGCCAACGCGATATTGAGAACAAAAAGGCCATTTCATACGCTCTCGAGCACGAGCGCGCTTTCTTCGAAAACCACAAGGCCTACCGCAACAAGAGCAGCTACTGCGGTACTCCTTACCTTGCCCGCAAGCTGAACCTCATTCTCATGATGCACATCAAGCAGACACTTCCTGACATCAAGGCCAGGATCTCTGCCTCATTGCAAAAGTACACGGCCGAACTCGGGACTCTCGGCGATTCCATCCTCGGCAACAGCGCAAACATTGTCCTCAACATCATTACCGAGTTCTCCAACGAGTACAGAACCGTCCTCGAGGGAAACAACCAAGAGCTGTCCAGCATCGAACTTTCTGGTGGTGCCAGAATCTCTTTCGTCTTCCACGAGCTCTACGCCAACGGTGTCAAGGCTGTTGACCCCTTCGACCAGGTCAAAGATATTGACATCCGTACCATCCTCTACAACTCCTCTGGCTCTTCGCCCGCTCTGTTTGTCGGTACTACCGCATTCGAGCTCATCGTCAAGCAACAGATCAAGAGGCTAGAAGATCCCAGTTTGAAGTGTGTTTCTCTCGTCCACGACGAACTTGTGCGTATTCTAGGTCAACTCTTGAACAAGCCTCTTTTCAGAAGATATCCTGGATTGAAGGAGAAGCTCTACCAGACTGTCATCACCTTCTTCAAGAAGTCCATGGAGCCGTCCAACAAGCTCGTCAAGGACCTTGTTGCCATGGAAGCCTGCTACGTCAACACCGGTCACCCTGACTTCCTCAACGGCCATAGAGCTATGGCTATCGTCAACGAGCGTCGCCATGCCGCCAGACCCACCCAAGTAGATCCCAAGACTGGCAAGCCTCTGCCACCATCTGCCGTGCCGCCGCGTGCTGCCAGCCCCTCATTGTCTCTTGATGGCAACGAGGCGTCGGGCGGTTTCTTTGGCAGTTTCTTCGCCAGCAAGAACAAGAAGAAGATGGCTGCCATGGAGGCACCCCCACCTACTCTCAAGGCCAGCGGTACACTCAGCGAGAAGGAGAGCGAAGAGGTGGAAGTCATCAAGCTTCTGATCACCAGCTACTTCAACATTGTGCGCCGTACAATGATCGACATGGTCCCCAAAGCCATCATGTTGACTCTGGTGCAGTAAGTTGAACCCTTCGCATTCCTTATAAAGCTTGACTAACCATTCTCTAAACAGGTTCTCAAAAGAAGAGATGCAGCGCGAGCTTCTGGAACAAATGTACCGCACACAAGAATTCGACGACCTACTCAAAGAGAGCGACTACACCGTCCGCAGGCGCAAGGAGTGCCAGCAAATGGTTGAGAGTTTGGGCAAGGCCAACGAGATTGTCAGTCAGGTGCAGTAGTTTGTTCCTTGCTTGCCAATTGTATTCTGTTCTGGTTTCTGTCCATTTTGGTTCACCGGCGTAATAGTTTGCTCTTCTTTTCCCCCCAAATCACGGAGCATAGACGAGGATGAGACAAGTGAGCATGAAAGGGGTGACGGGAATGGAGGCAAAACGTCTGTTCTTTGGTTCTCTTTGCCGCAGAGTGGCGCTTGGTGTATCAATGGTCTATGTAAGAGAGAGAGAGAGAGAGAGAGAGAGAGAGAGAGAGAGAGAGAGAGAGAGAGACATTTGACCATTCCCAGATGTGTGCACTTTGTGGGGTTACGGCAGCATCTACAGAATACTTCTGCCGTCAAATGAGAAAGCATTGAGGTGAACGTTTGTTTATCAAGTTTAGGAAACAAAATGGTATCTGATTGAACTTGCATGTAACATGGCTTCTGAGCCTTCCTAGACCACACCTCAACGCCCATAAACAACCTGGCCAAGACCTCATATCCCATCACTCTGAACATACGCCGTATATCGCACTGGGTCATTAAACACCGCTTCTGTACACTTGGGCACCACCCTTTCGGAGTTGAAGACTGTCTCTCTTCTGCAATGCCCAGATGGCTCTGTTGAGAGATTGTTCAGAGTACTTTTTCCTTTCCACGAACTCGCGCCTCAAGGTGGCCAGACTTGCTGTGTAACCGATAGGCAAGCGCTTTCGCAACTCGTCTTCGACCTTTGAAATTTCATCAACGAGCTCACGATTGCCAGAGATTCCGGCGGCGTTGGCAGCATTAGACTCGCCATTTTGTGACAAGACGGCATCCATGGTACTGCCCAAGAACAGGCGGATGGCTTCATCAACATGGTGTTCTGTTGCGATGGGGGAGAGAGAGATTTTGGCCAAAGCTTCGGTGATACGGACGAGCGACTCCAACTGTCTCACAGTGATAGGGATACTCGAACGTTGGTTGGCAGACGCTTCGGCTTGGGCGACTTGTCTTCTGATGCTGACGAAGTGCGAGGACAGCTTCTCGGCGGCTTCAGGTGATAGACGGGGCGCGCATCGCGTCTTGCAGTAGCTAATGTAGCGCTTCATTTTCTCGACCGGAATTGAGGGAGCAGCTTGTTGTTGATCTTGGTTTCCGTTGCCACCCATATGAATGCCCATGACGTGCTTTGCGATGCGCTCATCACGGCCGCGGTCGTGCTCGTCTCTTACGATGAAGATGAGATCGAATCTACTGAGAATGGTTGTCTGGAAGTCAATGTTCTCACCAGGAGACTTGAGGTCATCGTAACGGCCGAAGATAGGATTGGCAGCCGCAAGGACAGAAGTACGGGCGTTGAGGATGGTTGTGATACCGGCCTTTGCGATCGAGATGGTCTGTTGTTCCATGGCTTCGTGGATGGCAACACGATCTTCATCGCGCATCTTGTCGAACTCATCGATACAGACAACACCACCGTCTGCAAGAACCATGGCACCACCTTCCAGGTAGAATTCACGGGAATTTTGGTCACGTTGTACTGAGGCCGTCAAACCCGCAGCAGATGAACCTTTGCCGGAGGTGTAAATGGCAATGGGAGCGGCTTTCTCGACAAACTTGAGAAGTTGAGATTTGGCGGTACCAGGATCACCAAGGAGCAGAACGTTGATATCACCACGAAGCTTCATGCCGTCGGGTAGAATCTTCTTGCTACCACCCATGAGCAAACATGTGATGGCCTTTTTAATGTCCTTGTTCCCGTAGATGGATGGGGCAATGCACTCTGCGAAGCGCTCGTATAGATCGGGCCTCCTGCTCATTTCCAGGAAGTCTTGTTCCTCCTCTTCTGTGAAGTGAGCGCCACCTTTTGCGGTGTGGTCGACGTCAGTTTGGATACCGACGGCGCGCAGGTAAGGAGTGCGGATGGCGACAGCGGCTCCTGAGCCCTTTGTCTTTGACTGGTATGTGCTGAAGACGCCCATGACGGTGCATCGTGAACCGGGCACGACGCGATTGGTCAAGTAGCGGTCTGCTGAGATGTGGATGTGGCGGGGCAGTTCACCAACGGGGACGTCGTCGGGAGCCTCTTGCAGCTTGATGACCTGCTGGTCGATGAACTGACACTTTTCGTGGACAACAAAATAGGGATCCAGGGGACACTTGGCCGAGTCTTCACCAGGTTGTGTTGAGCGAGCACAAGTGCGAGGCAGGGTCAGGCCGGAGAAGCCACCCAGTACTGAGATGTTTTGCGAGTGTTGACAATTGCGACATTGGATGTGCAAGACTGTGGCCTTTGAGGAGAGAGTGCTAGCGCCAATGACGATTCCGGGGATGCGGACCAGATGGGAAACGTGCATAGCTGTCAGGCCACGGATCAGGGTCTGGGTGACGGACGAATGCAACAAGAGCTGGTGTGCAGGGAGGTTGATGTTCCGTTGTGAGGGGTAGACGATTCGTTGGGCGCAGTGCTTGATGGCAGCTTCGAACAGGGGGATCATGTCGCCGGGCTCGTTGTTCAGGCGGTGGGCGAGTTGCTCGTCGTAAGCAATGAGGTGGGCCATGTCGACGTCGCAGTAGTACTGTTTGGAGAGGACGTTTTCTCGGATCTGATCTCTGGTCGGACTTTGTCAGAATTGCGACAGACGTACGACGCAAGCCAACACACCTGTATAGGAAGGCATTTTGGATGTTAAAGTCCAAGATGAAATTGACAAGTTGTTCTTGAATAGCACCGCGAGAATCGGGACCGCTTTGGCTGCGGTCCTCAGGGAAGACACTCAAGGTGTAGACTGAAGCTCTGTCCATTGTTGCGATGTGAAGGTGATATTTGGGGGGGTAAACACGCAGGAGAAAGTCGAAGGAAACAAGGCCCGAGTCGCGGTCGCGCGGCAATCAATTAGCGCCTGATCGGGCATAGCGTCGGGTCGTCTACAGAATAGCGCTGGCGTCGGTGGATTCACTTGATGATGATTGCGGAGGGAGCTTCAACTCTTGACATCGACTTGGTGATAGAATGTTCATGACATGTCGGAAGACGGTGCCGATCTGCTCGACTCGCCCTCGTCGCTCCACTCGGCCTATCCCTTTCCCTCGTCCTACCAGCGCCGTCCTTCGCGCCGCCTGTCCAATGACAGTACCATCTCGATAGCCTCAATAGGCGGCTCCCTAGATATCAATGCTCAAAGAGGCAGTCATTCACTCAGGGAGGCCGGTCAGAACGGTGCGCTTCCTGTCAATCCACACACACCGTCTACCATGCCTGTCCTAAACGTGATACAGCCATCTCGACCCTCCTGCAACCTCCCATAATCCGCACTGGCCTCCTGACTCCGGCCGCCTCGACTTCCTCCACCTACCGTGCTCCCACCACTCGCGACATTCCTCCCGTTACTCTGACCAACATACCCAACGTCGACCCGTCTGCCTTCAAGCACTACATCTCCCGCCTCGGTCCCCTGTTCGACAACCTCCATCGTCTACGTCGCGACACAAAGTCCACCCAACAGACCCATGTCCCGACGAGCCCCGTACTTAGTCGCCATAACTCGGCCGCCTCTCTACTCTCTCCCACCGACTCTCCCCAGCCGACTCGTCGTTCTAGCGCCTATGCGAGACGACGACTGAACGAGCCTACCCCCTTGTCCACCATCCCCTCCGTTTACTTCGATGAGAACTTCCAACTTGAGAACCCCAGGACCTTCGATGTCGTCAGCGAACGCGCCGAAATCGCCCCCGGATCCGCAAAGCAAGAGCAGTCTGCAAATGGTCTCCCTCTCCCTCCGCGAAAGGCTCTGGCTAGTAACGCCATCCTGCAAGAGAAGCTGTCATGGTACTTGGATACCGTAGAGGTCCACCTCATTCAGTCTATTTCGTCCGCCTCGACTTCTTTCTTCGCTGCACTTGGCTCTTTGCGCGATTTGGAACAAGAGGCTTCGGATTCTGTCGCAAGGATACAAAAGCTAAGGGCTGGTTTGGCCAAGTTGGATCAAGATATGGCAATCCGTGGTTTGGACGTCGCAAACTTGCGCAGGAGATACCAAAATATGCAAAAGCTCGCCAATGCTGTCGACCAAGTTGCCCGTGTTGTTCAGGATGCAAAGGATTGTGAAGAGCTGGTCGAGAAGGGTGAATACGATGCTGCTGCAAGTGCAATGTTACGTCTCGATCGCTTGATCGCCGGACAACCGAATCTCTCGTCAGATGCTCCTGCCGCAGAGTTGCATGATTTGCGCTCCCTCCATGCTCTCCAAGGTCTTTCTGACTCTATGAACCAACTGCGCTTCCGCATAGGCCGAGGCTTCGAGTCTCGCTTCCTCGAAACATTACTATCAGATCTACGAAGGCATATCGATCACGTTCCACCGAAAGACACTATGCGCCGCTGGGCCAGTACATCAATGCGTTTACGAGGCTTGCAATCTGGTCCGACGGCTTACATGGAGATTGACGAACAATTCCGAAAAGATCTGCTGGCTTCATTGCACGGCTTGAGCAATTCTGGCCAGACTGCACAAGCGACGGCTGATTTCAGAGAGGCCATCATGAGGGAGATGAAGCATCTGATACGGAAACACCTCCCTAGTTCCAATGACGACGACAACGAGTCTGTCACGTCAGTTGCTACCCGCACTAGTAAAGCTGCGAGCCAACAAGAGAAGTCCATAATTCTCGCCAGAAACCTACGTGCCATGGATGAGGAGACTGCTGAAGATATGGTGGTCAACATTTACACCGATATCAGTGAAGCTTTGCGACGTCTAAGTATCCAGATAAAGGTGCTACTAGATGTCACGAGTACTATGGACGCTCCGGACTCGCTGAAGTCACCTTTGAGTCCCAGTGTGAGGCCAGCCGATCGATCACGAAGTCCAGCACCTCGCATAAGCGGGATACAAGAAGAGTTGAGTCAAGCTCTGGACATGTCTAGTCTGTTGGGTCAGGCAGTCGATGTCGCGCATACTCAGGTCACGAGAATCCTCAAGGTCCGTACTGAGCAGGTGAACCAATTACCTCTGGAGCGCTTCCTTCGGTACTTCACCATCAACCGCTTGTTTGCCGACGAGTGCGAGGCCATCTCAGGTCGCTCTGGCACTCAGCTCAAGGCTTTAGTGAACACGCAGATCAACACTTTCGTGCGGGCATTTGGCGATGCCGAAAACCAGCGTATTGCGCAGACTCTGGACTCGGATCAATGGGAGGCTAAGGACTTCAAAGAGCCAGACCAGGCATTGCTCTCTCGCATATTGGAAGGCATGTCCTCAGATCCGGCTGTATGGCTTCGAGGGACGCGTGTCTGGGAAGACCCATCGCAACCAGAGTCCACTAATGGCACCCCTGCACCAAATGGCGAGAATAATGATACAAAACCAGCTAATCGTCCTGCTTACGTTGATGAAACACGCTACATCTTAGTTTCGTCTGCTATTTCTCTGCTTCGCCCGATCGACAACTTCCTTGCTCTGATGGCCAGCATACCATCCATCACCTCGGCCGCGGTGCCCGCTCTGATCGATGTTCTGCGAACTTTCAACTCTCGGACGTCGCAACTCATTCTTGGCGCTGGCGCCACACGTATTGCTGGCTTGAAGAACATCACCACCAAGCATCTAGCTCTCGCATCGCAGGCGCTCAGCTTCGTTATTGCCATGTCACCATACCTCCGTGAATCGGTACGGAGACACGCAAGCTCGGCCAACAAGGGCGAAGTGCTTGGCGAGTTCGACAAGCTGAAGCGACTATACCAAGATCACCAAATGGCCATCCACGACAAGCTGGTTGAAATTATGACGGCCAGAGCAACATCCCATGTCAATGCTATGAAGAAGCTCGACTTCGACGCAGAGGCGAAGAAGAATGCAGATGGCACAAGCGCATACATGGAGACCTTGACGAAAGAAACAGGCACATTACATCGCGTGCTGAGTAGACACCTGGCGGACATGGATGTAACAGTCATCCTGAGTCAAATCTTTTCCAGTTACAAAGAACAATGGCTCAAGGCTTTCCAAGGGGTGGAGATCAAGACGGCGGCTGGCAAGCAGAGGCTTCTCAAAGATGCACAATTGTTCGACTCCAAGCTAAGCAAGATCGATGGCTTCGGAGACATGGGTAAAACTCTCATCGATGCCGTAAGTGCAAAGACCGTTGTTCAGGAGAAAGCAGTTGTCCCACCGCCGCCACCGCCGTCCAAAGACGCAGACTTGAAGACAATCGAGGTTGCAAAGGAGAAGCCATTACCTGTAACGCCTGAGCCTGTCGAGAAGGAGAGTGAGAAGACAACGACTGAGCACCAGGAGGAAGACGATGCGAAAACTTAGAGGATATAGATATGAAGATACTCGACCACTATTATCGCATTTTGTGCGAGAAACGACTTTTTGATCAGACGAGAGCTCTCGCGAAGTTTATGGCCAGAAACAGCTAGCTCGTTTGAAGAAATTGTAGTGAAGGCAGGTGCCATGCATGGTTGGTATACTTGCACTCAGGCAATCAGGCAGCCGAGGCCAGGGTGATATGTTCAACGACCACTTTTTGCCATCATCATGCGATTTTGCCACCGACACCAATGCTAACTAGTTGATACTCGGTTGAGACTATAACTCGGTGTACTTTCCAAACTTCCTGCCTTTTTTAGATGCTGAAAGGTCGCCGTCGCCTGGCAATCTGCACATGTCATCTTTCTAACCACTAATTATTCAACCCGACCCTGAGCCACATATGTCTCGTAATGTCCTTCGAGACATGGTCAATCCAAAACTCTGATGTTGTGCAAGGGCTCCAAAACACTCCAAGAGTCCATCGAATCAGAACCACAGACCTGAAATTGTACCTTCGTGCTGACGGTGTCTTCAATGTGATGCCGCCGCGGTTACTCGTCTTGGTGGCCCACACCAGTGAAATATATTTTAACCTGATCAGGAATCAAGCACGTACGGCCACAGTCAGCTGAAAACTGGGCATCCCGTCCGCTCTGCCATACATAAGCAGTTGAACGGCAGATTAGTACTACGGTGGGTGACCACGTGGGAATCCCTGCTGCTGTACGTTTTGTTCGTATGTATACTCATTTTGTTTTTGCCATCCCAATGCAAAGTATCCGAGACGTCATCGTTCATTCTCATCACAATTTTCATTTTTCGCGTTGTATCTCGCTTCGATTACGGAGACACTGTGAACATGATGTAGGCCTGTCCTGTTGGATATCAGTCAAGACAATGGACATCGACTATTTGGGTAACAGAGAAGTTCGCTTTGCACTCTACAGTGATACGGTTGGTGGTGAGTGGTCGTTGGGAAGGCCTCGCACTTGCTTTCGGTGTTGATCTACTATTGTGCCATCCAATGTAGGTGCGAGCTGTGAATGAACAAGCGGCTTGTGCAACCCTCACCTGACGATTGACTTTGAAAAACCAGTATTATCGATAGACAAGCATATCGCTCTAGAGAGGAGCGTGAGCAGAAAAGAAAAACATGTCTTGTTGATTGTATGCTTCTGCTAAAGTATGTAAGTAATTTCTTAAGCTCTAAAAGAATGTATCACAAGGGTATCATTAAGCGTCGCAAAAGCATCATTCCTCATCACTCCTCATCCTCTGGATCACTTGCAAGCATCATCATCTTCCGCCTTCGCCTTCTTGACCCATGCCTTCCAATCCGTCTTCGGTTCCTCCTCGTCCTCGAAGCCCCAAGCTCCCAAATTCGCAAGGTGCCTCATCGTGGGTCTTCCATGGGGACAGTTCCAGGGTTTGTCCATTTCGCCCAGATTCCTCACGACCTTGAGCATTTGATTACCCGTCAGAGAATTGCCAACCATGATGCTTGCGCGACACGCTCTCGAAGCCAGAACTTTTCTCACTCTACTTGGGCGTGGAATATCCCCGCCCGCATAATCAGAGAGCAGATGGAGGAGCTCTTCCAAGTCGCTGAGATCAAATACGACAGACTTGCTCATGGGTAAAGCAAGAAGCTTGCAACGAAAACCCACATCGCTTTCGCCAGAGACGTCTGTTTCAATTATGAATCCATTGGCGGTAAGTGCTTTTTTGTTTTCGAGAATGATCTCTTCCTCTATAGCTGTAAGCTCTAGCTGTTTGGGCTGTGCCAAAGGCTGCGCTTCTAAGGTCGAGCTGGCGGTAAAGCGTTCGAAATTAAATTTCTCGTCTGCTGCGTGCTGATCAATGATGAATAGATCAGAGGACTTGACCGCTTCGCTAGAAGGTCGAACTGCGAGGACAAAACCCAAGTTGAACTGTCCGATGACGTTCATTTGTGCAAAATCGGATTTTAACACGGTCAGAGAAAGGCGGGCTTCCGCGTCCACTTGCTCGATGTCATCAGCGACAGGTTTGTCCGGCTGCAAAGCTTCTTGAGACGTCGGTAAGGACTGTGAGAGGAGTGCCACCTGTTCTGCGATTGAGGCTGTAGAGATGTCAAAGGCTTGAGTGAGGTTCAAAGTAGTGTGCTTTGATACTTTTAGAGCTTGAGCAGCACGTTTGATGCTGTCTTGGACGGGACGAGCGGCTTCATTCTCTGCATCTTGGATCATTCGAGCCACCTTAGCGTCTTCTTGGATGCGTCTCTCATCCTCGTCAACAAACTCCGGATCAGAGTCAGCCTCGCTTTCGCCGGCTCTTTGTAGATGGTCATCGAACTCCTTCGTGCTATGCAGAAACTCGTCGATTGGACTTGTATGCGAGCTCTCCAGAGCCTGAGAAGTGAGTTGAGGAGTCTCATGTCTTGCGCGATTAATTTCACGTTTGTCGTTTTGAGGAACGAAAAGCATTTCCTCGTCGCTGTCTTCGACAGCCTCTTGTCCATCTTGTTCCTCTCTTTCACCAGATTCGCTCTCCTGTTCAGGGCGTTCGTCGTCGCTTTCCATTTGAGTGCCAGGCATAGCGAACTGACTGAACTTCTTTGCAGCAGAATCTTTGGGTATGTGAATCCTGCGTCTTTTCGGAGTGAAGCTTCCACCGCCAACAACAGTTCTCGTAGTCTTATCTCCTATTGTGATCTCGGCTACCTGCTGAGGTGTACGCTGAGGACGCATACGGTCGAAAGCGTTCTGCACCGGTGGTTTCTGTTGTACTTTGGGAACGTCGTCCCGATCTTGAGCACCTCGACCTACCCAATCGTGAATCAGACGTTCAGGAGAGGCTTTCCGAGCTTGCTCCCCAAGTAATTCATCAACCGCGGCTGGGTCTTCTTGGCTTGATGATGGTTCTGGAATAGCTGATTCAGGTTCAAGCTCAAGCTCAAGCTCAAGCTCAGACTCAGGCTCTGTACGGCGGGCGATAGTGAGTGGTTTGTATCCAGGCAACTTTGGCTGAGTGGGAACACTTGTCTGTGGTACTGTCTGTTCGTGAGACTCGAACAATTCCATGAGGGACACCCTCAGAGATTCAAGCAACGCTCCCTGGTCATGCAGGAGGATGGTCCGCTTGTCAGGAGAGACGTTGACATCGTACGAGTTCGTGTCCATGATCAGATTTGCAAAGACAAAAGGAGATTGCGAAATGTTGAAAGCCTTGTATACCTCATTGAAGATCTTGGCGACTTGAGGGAGGCCGCAAGGACGTGAGTTGACATAGAACATTTGGCGGTCTGGTGCTGAGCGCCCCTCCCCTGTCACAGGACGGGATATATGTCCTTCCACCTTGACCGCACGACAAGAGCCACCGTCTTGAGTCGAAAGCCCAGAGGTGGTCGCTTGCATCTCGAACTTCAAATCAAGCGCTACCAGATCTCGTAAGCTTTTGGAGCCAAAGACTTTGATGATGTTGTCCTTGGTGGCTGCGCTGCCTGGAGTGGTGAAAGATGTGGTTTTAGTTCTGTGATACTGTAAGTTATAATGATCTTGCTACTCGACGCTCGATACATACCCTTTCGGCATCTGGTTGCTGACAGTGAATCTGACGCCAGTGCTTATACAAGCATATGCTTGCAAAAGCGTCAGAACTTTGCTGTATTCACGCTTGATGTTTTTCTCCAGCTCTTTCTTCCGTACAGGCAGGTTATGGAAGATCTTCTCGACAACGACTTTCGTACCTCGCGGCGTAGCAACGGTGCTTGTATTCTTGAGTCTTCCAGAAACTTCAAAGTCCAGACGCGTTCCTCTTGGGCGATCGACCTCGCGAGCTGTGATTACATAGAGCTGGGACAGGGCACATAGTGAAGCGAGTGCTTCGCCTCTGAAGCCAAATGTGTCCAGATTTTCTAGATCATCGTAACTACGTAGCTTGGACGTGTGATGCTTGAGTGCTGAGTAGCAGGCGTCAGACAGTGACAGGCAGGCAGTCAAGATAGTAAGGCAGGACATACCAACAGACTCAAAATCCTCAGGTGCGATGCCGGTACCGTTGTCAATTACCTCGATGGCTTCGAGACCATGGTTGCGGAAGCGGACTTCGATCGAAGTGGATCCAGCATCCAGGCTGTTTTCAACAAGTTCTTTGACGACGGAGTTGTGATCTACAATGACTTGACCTGACTGAATTTGATGCACCGAAGTTTGCTCGATTGCCTGAATCGAGGCCATGATGATGCACGAAATAGAGAGGCGACCATGATCCAGATGGCTGGAAGACGCGTCAGGCGTAAAGTGGCATCGCGCCTTCCCGTGCTGAGGCTTGGCATTTATCCGTCCAGGGTCACCCTTTACTGCGTAGATTATCTCTGAGTGCTACGCCATTCATCGATCCTCACATGCTTTCTCAAGGTAGGTGAGTTGCATATCCAAGTCAGGTTTATCGACATTCAACAGAGTATGGGTCATTTAATCGTAAATTCGCTATTATGGCATGGGCGCGTTATAACCTGCGAGAACGCTCAAACGAAGACCATTCTCGGCTTCTGTTTTGTACACCTTAAAACCCCGTGCTGGCACTTTCTTGACAAACATCTCATCCAATTCTGCAAATGACCGGCCTGAAGTTTCTGGCTGACACGACCATAGATAAATCGTCGACACGACTGCGAAAGCACCAAATATAAAGGCAACTCGAGCTCCAAGATTTGCTTGATCGGGGTTGAACAGATATGGGATCACAAAAGCCCACATTGCCTGCCAGGTTGTTAGACTGATTTGTAGATCTCCTATATGCTGAACTTACAAAGAGCCCGTTTTGAAGCGTCAGTCCAATTGCGGCTGTCTTGGTGCGTAATCGACTTGTGGGTGTTTCGATCAAAATAGGATAGGCAGTAGCTCCAATCGTGATCGAATAGAGCCAGTTGTACAACAGAAGTAAGCCTACTGTCCCTTTTGTGGCCGACTTGGTCCCGATGCAAGCAAGCCCTCCTGTGAGCAAGAGCAAAACAGTCAAAAGTAACATGCCATAGCAAGACAAAGGCCTCCGACCGACCCGGTCGATCAAGAACCAAGAGCAAGCATTTCCCGTCATGGCAAGTATGTTTTGAACAATGTTGAGACTGAAGGTGGTTGAGGTGTTGTACCCGGCCAATTGCTGGTAATAAGTCGAGTACGATGAGACAAAGAACAGACCACTCAAAGCTTGAATAGATAGAGGTGCCGCTGCAATGATGGTCCGTCGAAGATTTGTTTTCTGGAAGCATTCAAGGTACGTCGCACCTTTGGTTTCCTCTCTAGCGTGATCAAGTGCTGTAATAGCAGCCGTCATATAATCCTGTGCCTGGTCGACAGTGTATCCGAAATGAGAGAGTGCAACACTAGCCTCATGTTTTCGGCCTTTACTAAGCAGCCACCACGGTGACTCGGGCATACATGGAAGAAGAAAGGCACCTGTCGCGCTGAATCCATACTGGGCCAGGAAAACTGATCGGTAGGCCCACCGATTTGGTTCGTCGCCTGTAGCTCGAACGACAATCGACACGATGAAAGGACCGACTGTCAAAGCCATGCCGGCTGCTGCAGTGAGTATGCCCCTCGCTGGACGAGGAGCAACTTCACCTAGGTAGGTAAGAGCGGTCGTTGTGAAGGCGCCTATAGCAAAGCCAGCAACAAACTTGCCAATAAAGAAGACTAGGTTTGAAGTTGACAAGGTCTCGATCGTGATGGAAACGAAGACAATCAGATAACCAATTGCGAACATCCATTTCCTGCCAATTTTGTCCGCAAGCCAACCAGAGACTAGTAGACCAACGATCGAGCTGAGGACCGGTGCGCCGCTGTAAGCAGATTGCCATTCGGCCGACAAGACATAATTGCCATCATAAGGTGAGCCAAAGTCTTTCCGAAATTGTGGGATCGAAAGAACGACCCCGCCAGCCTGATTATCGAAACTGCTCAGGACCAGTACAAATATGGCGTAGATACACCATAATAACTCGCGCGGATGTCGTTTGGTCGCCTCCGAAGGAGCCTGGGGACGCGAGCTGCCCACCTCGATGTCTCTGTTGCTTCCGCTGTCGTCCGTTTCGTCGGTCGTGATAATGCTGATTTTAGGAGAGTCGGCCATAGAAGGCAGTGGTAGTCGTCGCGTCGCGATCAATAGGCACACATGCTGAATGAGCTCTAGGCTTCAGTTGTCTAATGACAGGAGGTCTCCAGATGCATACAGGACGCACCAAAACCAGTCTGCTCGGTGTGTCGGGCGAAAGAAGGTATCATGTCCACCGAGCGCGAAGCCGTTCGCGCCTTCCCGCCATCTGGATCGGATGCGGGCCATCACTGATCCGTGCTTTCAGAGCATCATGCGGGAAGTCTGTGGAGTTTATTTTTCCTACCATAGAGTCGTTCAGCAGTTGATCTACTCGCCATAAATCAAAGGAACACGGTAGCAATTGCTCACAATTGTCTCATCACTAGTCACTGTCGAGGCACCATGATTGTAATTATTTACGATGTTCTCAAATATAAAGGTTGTTCAAAAACAACGGCTAAGCTCCGTCGATCAGTATGGCTCAATATCTGTCGATCAGGGGCACTGTCCTCCACGATGAAGTCAACCATGAAACGCGAAGTGCTTCGTGGAAACATGTGATGCCTCTTACAACCAAAATCGCAACTCACCAAGAGATGGTCTTTGAACGTTCAACACAGCTAAATAATCTATTAATCATGATCTGCTACGGAGTAGCCCTTGCGAGGGTAGATATTTGCCCAGCCATGTGCGATACAGGTGTCAGAGGCAAAGACCCTCCCTTGATGGATCCGACATTCAGGATCGTATTTGGCTTTGATCTTGATTAGTCTCTTGACATTGTGTCCCCACACCCGGTAACCATCTGCTTTTGGTGAGATGTAATTCGGATAGTCCGCGACGAAAGTCCCGAATGACGCTTGGTGATCGTGTGTGATCTTGTTGAGGGCATCATTCTGCTGGACTACGAAACCATCATTGGAGGCAGATTTCCAAGCGGGCGAGAAAAGTGTTTGATGAGCGGTTTGTGCATGTGGCCATGCAGTAGCGCTGTCTGATACTGGACCATGGCCATTCTGACCAGGATACATGTACTGTAAGACCCAAACGGCGCTATGCGGGACGTCCCCTCGGTCAAGTGACTGGTTGATATAGGCCTCCATTCTATTCGATGCAGCAGTTATGTATGGCTTTGTGACCATGGAGATTTGAGGGCCCCAAAAGCCTCTTCGGAAACCATATGGGAAGAAAGGTGTGCTTAGCTCGGTCGCTTGTCCATACGGTACGTTGTATTTTGAGGCTTGCTTTAAGACGAGCCCATCGAGGAGATTGGAGAATGTCGAGTTGAAGCTCCTCTGCTTTGACATCTTGGAAGACATTCCGTGTGAGTTTCCAAATCTCAGTCCCACAATTACCATAACGGTGGTCAAATTTCCAGTCGTAACGTACTCAGGATAATACCCGAGTGAGTAGTACATGAGCGAGAATGGATCATCGTTAGTCTCGAAGAATTCGACAGTATTCTGCCGCGCCCTGTCCCACGAATCTTTGGCAACAACCCAGATCCCGAACTCGGAGGATGTTGGTTCTGGTACCGCCTCTTGATAGAAAGTTGTCACAATGCCGAATTGGCCGCCTCCGCCTTGTATTGCCCAGAACAGATCCGAGTATCTGTTAGTCTTGGTAGCAAGTACAATCTCTCCAGACATCAAGACCACCTCAACTGCTCTTAGACGATCGATGGCGTATCCATATGCGCCAGCCAGAAATCCAATGCCACCTCCCGTCGAGAATCCTCCCACACCGACTTCCCCGACTCGAGCGCCGACTGCTGTGAAGCCTGTTCCGTTTGTGTTGTCGGCGACGTGCTTCCAGAGTGCGCCTCCTTGATATGCCACGGCGATAGATACCTTGGTATCTCCTAGCTTGATGTTGTGCAAGACCTTTGTCGAGTTCATCCAAGAGAGGTCAATGAGAAAACCCGACGAGCTCGACGCATTGGTTTGTCCATGACCTCCGCCGACGAAAGCGAGGTCCCAACCAAATCTCGAGGATGCGGCAGCCCGTACGGCATGGCTAACATCGATTTTGGTAATCGGAAACACCACGACCGCGGAGTTCTTGGAGTATTGCTCGCCCCAATATCGACCAGCGGTATGTTCTTGTAGTGGGAAATATTGACAAGATATTGCTGCCCCAGGAGAAAGCTGCGAAGCCAGTATTGTCAAGGCAGCATCGTGCTTGATACAGTCACCCTGTACAAAGGCATGAGCAACATGTGCGGTGAGAAGAAGAACGGAACCAAATGATGGATACATTGGAGTGATGGTGGGTATAATACCAATGGGAGGAAGGAATTTATATTCCTGTTACGTGACCATGTTGTCAATAGACCAGTAACAAATATGGTTGGCGTATTTGTCAAGCCTTTACTTCGAGCGGGCAACGCTCATCACCTGTGATGAGATCTGCGAGAGCATACAAGTTGAGCCTCGTAGGGATTGGCACCGCAAGATCGCCCTATGCTAGCGTGATCATGTACGATCAACCGGGGGATGTAACCGGGTTGTTGGGAAGAGGGTTTATTGAGAGATTGGATAGTGAGACAGATATGAGAACGCCATGACAGCCGAATGTCCGAACAGCATAAGCTTGATTGCAAGGCATTGAAAACGGAACGAGCTGCAGAAAGTGGAGGCCGCCATGGCCTGCTCCACAGCCACGCCGTCTTCTGTTTGCCATCTTCGGTGCTTTCCACACTTTGCAATAGTCGAATACCAGATTGAACGTGACGTGCCAACATGCGCACTATGCAAACCAGTTGAGGCTTGATCGTGTTTTCGGTCAAAGTTGTGTCGCTCGAGCGCTCACTGTCGCTTGGTGAGGCTAAAAGCGACTTTGACCATGAGGTCCGAGTGTTATTCAGTAAGCCTGAAATCTGGCCCAGATGCTTCTGTTTGCTTGGAGTAGATCCTCTGGTGTCGCACTAGAATTAGATAGAACTCGATAGGTTTCGCTGGCACGTTTTCCCGTCATATGACAGCTGTCGTACTCCGATGACTTTCGATCACGTCCCCATATATCCCCTTACCATTCAAAGTCGTCAAAAAAGTCTACTTGATGTTTCCTACACCACGCAAGCTGAGGTAGACATCTGTACCCCAGCCAAGCAAGCTCTGTACTCTGATACCGCCACCAAAGTACTCAGCATACGCTCTGCCTAGCTTCAAGCCATAACCCAAACCCGCCAGGCTGTTTTCAGCACCGCCAGCATTTGAGAGAGCATTCAAGCCGTCGCCGTCATTAGTGCCTCCGCTGGTTATGTCGACGATCTCTTGCTCGTTGAAAGTGGTGAAGCCGAACTCCCAAAGTTTGGCATAAGCCGCGGGGGGTATACCGCCCCCTCGATCACGAATGCGGATAGTGACGCCTGGAGTGGACTTGTCCAGTGGGCGGATGTTTGCTGAGGCGGCGTTGGCAGGCCTCTGTGATGCACTAGCCGCATCCACAGAACCTTGGTCATAGTTGGTAATGCCATCAGGCTTCCCCTTTGATTCTTCTGGGGTTGGAGCAATCGTCACTTCAATTGGGTGGCGTTCGTTTCCCTTCTCGATGGTTGCTCTGAAGGCGTTCTTCAAGAGCTCTGTGATGATGTACTCCAGATGCATTGGAATGTGGGCCAGAGTCGTTTCCGCCTCGCCACGAATGACGACAGAGGGCCGTACGCCATATTTGAACTCGCAGATATCGCCGACAAGGCCTTCGCAATGTCTAATGATATCTACAGGCTTCAGCTTCGTATCGATTACACCAATATATGTTGAGTCGATGTGCGAGTCCTGTTCCGAGAGGTCAAGATGAGGCTTGGAGGAGAAGTGCAGAGCGATGTGCTGCTCGGCAATCAGGCGGGTGCCTATTCTCGCGCGCAAGTGTTCGTCGAGGAACTTTGTCACCTCGTTTGGGCTGATGTATTTCCTCGCTTCGAGGAAGCCACGTGCGAGGATGGAAATGGTGTTGGAGTGCGTCTGGACCAGATCGGCCATGACACTTGTGAACTGTATTTCCTCCTCGAGTGTCTTGATCTCCTTCGAGGCATAGGGCAAGAGTGTGGACAAGGAGTGGACGTAGTTGTTGTGGATCTTGGACACGTTTGGGTTGGCGACTACGATGAAGGGCAGGTTGCGAAGAGACTGGATGCGATGGGCGAGTCGCGATGGTAGGATTGAGAGGGTGAAGTTGGCCGAGTCGAGTAATTGCTCGGTCGAGAGAGGTGGCCGGCCGGACCTAGAAGGTGCCTTGTCAGTCATAAGGTACTTGGAGCTCTCGTCGACGACCGACTCACTTGGCCAGGTCTGCTAAAGTCAATGGGTGTAAGGGCCTACCAGCCAGCCGAGCGACTTCGCCGTCTGTGACCTTCTTCTTCTTGAGTCCGTTGTCGGGTATTCGGAGCGTCCTTGTCGCGGATAGCCGTCTTGTGGTATTGGGACCCGAGAAGCAGGAGGACCTCCACCAGCGGCTTCCTATACCTATACGGTTCATTGCGACGACCAAGATGCGCGATGATCCGTTGGCTTCATGTTACGGAGTGTCAACTTGCAAGTGCATTTTATCTGGGCCCACAAGGCTATGACGCAGGGCTGCGATACATCGTCACGCCTCACGTGCTTGATGGGGAGGCCTGATGAGAAGCATACCAACCCCTTAGGGCGCAACATGACTGTGTATCTGGTGATTACTAGGCCATCTGTCACAGAGAATACCATGTCTGCATTGGTGTTTCGAGCTGTTGGGCACAATCTGTGAGGCCATATGGCCACATCACACGACTCCGGCCTTATCGCACTGCATAGCGCCGGCCATATCGCCGAGTGCAACCGAGAGGTCGTGTTTGGGTATGGTATATTGTTTATCGTATCCTAAAGGTTCCCTCCCATATCTATGTCATATTCGTCGTCGATCAAAAGCACGGCATGTCTTGGTCGGCCCGCTCTACTGGGTTCTGACCTCTCCGTCGTTCTCAACGTTGATATGGTCGTTGGACGAGAGGGTGTGGACCTTGTCTTCAGGGAACTCGGCACTGTTGTGTGTCAACTAATGTGTATGCAAAGCCAGGAAGGTTCTTGTAGAAGAGAGACATACGTGAAGCCCTTGATCAGCTTGAACTCGGTGGTAATCTTGCCGCCCTGCTCGGTGACTTGCTTCTTGGCGCTGCCATGGTCAATATAGGTAGGCTGAACTTGGATATGGGCACTCTTACGAGTCGAGCTGGGAGGCATCGGCACCTTCCTTGAGGGAAACCTAGGCAGGTTAGCTACGCGTCTGCCTGGTTAAGCTTGTTCACTGGTGGGCTTACGTTGATCGAAGGCATGTTGATTTGAGGAGTATGAGTGAAGCGTGAGCTTGATGTGGTAGAAAGGGTATGTCGGAGAGAAGAATGCAGAAGATAGTTGAGAGAGTTGGCTTTCAAGAAGAAGGTGGGCATGAAGCAGCGGACAGTTGCCAATCTCACTTCTAAACCCGCTTCGACCCCTCCGCTGCGCGTTGACGTAGCTTCCTCTATTTACCATGAGCACGTGAAGAACGCCGCCGAAGTGCACGGTCGATCTTGATTTGTGCCCGTTGGACACAAACTCACCAACAGCGCTCTATTGGCTAACCATGCAGACGATCACCTTCTGCCACTTGTGACGAGGCTGTTCCCAGCATATACACAGAGATCAAGCCGGCATCATGCGTGCTGGCAGCTGCTTTGTTGACAAGGACCCCTCAAATGGGCTGGGGAAGCCGCGGCAGGGCGTCTGAGCACGGAGAGCAGATAAGATAAGGGCAAGAACGCCAAGAGTGCGGCCGCCTTCCGATCGAGGGTCCCGGGCCAGGGCTTTCTTCGAAAAGTTCAGGTCTTTAACATTTTCTGAGCTTTGCCGCCGTCAGCAGTCTTGTTACGCCGTACAAGATGTCGGAAAACCAAACCAACCGGCCGCATCGCGCGACCAAGGAGAAGAAGGCAGCACATACCGGCGACCGTAATCCGAAAGCCTTTGCCTTTTCGCGTCCTGGAAAATTGCAGAAGCAGGCCGCTCGTTCTCACGATGTACGACTAAGACGAGGCTCATTATTCGTCACTTTCTAACACAAGCCAGGTCAAAGAGAAGCGATTGCACGTTCCCTTGGTCGATCGTTTGCCCGAAGAGGCCCCTCCCATTGTCGTCGGTGTCGTTGGTCCGCCAGGAGTAGGCAAGACAACTCTCATCAAGTCACTCGTCCGAAGATACACCAAGCAACCCATCACTCAGCCCGTCGGTCCCATTACTGTTGTCACATCCAAGAGGAGGCGACTCACGTTTATGGAATGCCCGGCTGATTCCCTGGCCGCTATGATGGACGTGGCCAAGGTCGTCGACATTGTCCTGCTCATGATCGATGGAAACTATGGATTCGAGATGGAGACAATGGAGTTCTTGAACGTCCTCTCTTCCAGTGGTATGCCTGGTAACGTTTTTGGCATTCTGACCCATCTGGATCTTTTCCGCAAGCAGGAAGCCCTCAAGGCACAGAAGAAGCGCCTGAAGCACCGTTTCTGGAGCGAACTGTACTCGGGAGCCAAACTCTTCTACCTTTCCGGTGTCGTCAACGGTAGATACCCCGACCGCGAAGTCCTCAATCTCTCACGTTTCTTGTCCGTCATGAAGAACCCCCGTCCTCTTGTTTGGCGTAACAGCCATCCCTACGCTCTAGCCGACCGCTTCCTCGACATCACTCCTCCTACAAAGATTGAAGAAGACCCTAAATGCGACCGTACCGTCGCTCTATATGGCTACCTCCGTGGCACCAACTTTCCCGCCAACGGTGCCAGAGTTCACGTGCCTGGTGTTGGTGATCTCAGTGTCTCCAATATTGAGGCTCTGCCCGATCCATGTCCCACCCCATTCCTCGACCAAGCAATCGCCAAGGCTACGGGCAAGTCCGGAAGAAGAAGGCTAGGAGAAAAGCAAAAGCTCATCTACGCTCCCATGTCCGATGTTGGTGGTGTACTTGTCGACAAGGACGCTGTATATGTCGACATCAAAAGCCAGACATTTGACCCTGAAGATGACGAGCAAGAGCGAGGACTAGGAGAACAAATGGTCGTTGGTTTGCAAGGAGGTCGCAGACTGCTTGGACAGGCCGAGGGCGGTTTACAACTTTTCGGCGATGGCGAGAGGTTGACTGGCGAAGACCTTGGTCGCAAATCTGCCCGTGTCTTATCAAGAAGAATCGATGACGATGAGGCAAGCCCAGAAGACGAGGGCTTCGAGAGCGGCGAGGACGAAGACGAAGAGTTCCAGAGTGGAGACTCCGATGCTGACGAGGACGCCGAAGAAGACATGCTTGTTCCCGCGCCCAAGCGTAGAGAGGCCAGCCCTGACGCGACCGGCGAGGAGATTGCTTTTGCCGACAGTGATTCTGATCTTGGTTCCATGTCCGAAGCCGAAGATGTCAGCGACCCAGAAGACTACGATGAGGACGCCGAATACAGTGAAGATGAAGATGGAAATCTCCGCTGGAAGAAAAACATGACCGAACGTGCCGCTGCTTTGCACCAACGCAAGATGCCCTACCGCACCGTCGAGCTCGCCCGTCTCTTGTATAACGATATGCTGTCCACAGCCCAGGTTTTGCGACAATGGCGTGGCGAAGAAGACGAGGAGGACGATATTGAAAATGAGGATGAGGAGGATTTGTTCGAGAGAAAGAAGCCTACAGAGTCCGAAGCTGCCCTCGACCGCCACATCCCAGTATACAACAGGGCGGAGCTCGAAGAGAAATGGACAGACGAAGAAAACCTGGAAGCCATCCGGTCCCGATTTGCATCCGGTCATATGCTCAATGGAGGAGAAGACGATGATGACTCTGAAGCCGAGTTCAATGGCATCGAAGACGACGACGATGAGGGCGACGGTGCTTTCCAGGATCTAGAGACTGGCGAAGTCCATGGCGATGATAACGAGGCTCCAACGAATGGCGCCGATGGCGAGGAGGAGCCGGATCTGGACGCCGAGCGTGAGCGCAACGCCAGAAGGAAGGAAGAGCTCAAGCTTCGTTTCGAAGAGGAAGACAAAGAGGGCTTCGCAAACGACAAGGGCAACGCAAAACGCGAGACTGCCGGTGATGATGAGTTCGGCGAAGATGACTGGTACGACGCACAAAAGGCGCTTATTCAGAAACAGCTCGATATCAACCGCGCCGAATTCGACGCATTAGATGAGCAATCTCGAGTCCGGGTTGAGGGTCACAAAGCAGGCACATACGCTCGCATCGTTCTGGAGAACGTACCTTGCGAATTCGTGGAAAAGTTCAACCCTCGCTTCCCTGTTCTCATCGGTGGTCTGGCTCCTACGGAAGACCGTTTCGGTTACGTTCAGATCCGTATCAAGCGTCACAGATGGCACAAGAAGATTCTCAAGACGAATGATCCTCTGATCTTCTCTCTTGGCTGGAGACGCTTCCAGAGCATGCCAATGTACAGTATTTCGGACTCAAGAACAAGGAACCGCATGCTCAAATACACACCGGAGCACATGCATTGTTTCGGAACCTTCTACGGACCGCTAATTGCACCCAACACTGGTTTCTGTTGCGTTCAGTCCTTCTCCAACAAGAACCCTGGATTCAGAATTGCCGCAACCGGTGTGGTCTTGAATGTCGACGAGTCGACCGAGATTGTCAAGAAGCTGAAGTTGACTGGTCATCCATACAAGATCTTCAAGAACACCGCCTTCATCAAGGACATGTTCAGCACTTCTCTCGAAATTGCCAAATTTGAAGGCGCTAGCGTACGCACTGTCTCCGGTATCCGTGGTCAAATCAAGAAGGCGCTCAGCAAGCCCGAGGGCAACTTCCGTGCCACTTTCGAAGACAAAATCCTCATGTCAGACATTGTGTTCTTGAGAGCATGGTACCCTGTCAAGCCTCACCGTTATTACAACCCGGTGACCAACTTGCTGGATGCCGACGTGAACAGCGAAGGTTGGCAAGGAATGCGCCTTACCGGTCAAGTCCGCCACGCCCTCGACATCGCCACACCCAAGGACAAAAACTCAGCCTACCGCACCATCGAGCGTCAAGAACGTCACTTCAACCCTCTACGTGTACCTCGCAAGGTCGCTGCTGAGCTCCCATTCAAGTCCCAGATCGTCCAAATGAAGCCGCAGAAGAAGGAGACATACATGCAGAAGCGTGCTGTGGTCGCCGGCAAGGATGAGAAGGAGGCCAGAAGACTCTTGCAACAAGTTCAGACGTTGAGAAACGAGAAGGTCGCGAAGCGCCGTGCTAAGCAGGAAGAGCGCAAGCAGCCTTACCGTGCCAAGGTTGCCGAGAACATTGAGAAGAGAGCGGAGAGAGAGAAGAAGGAGAAGGAAGAATACTGGCGCAGAGAAGGCAAAAAGAGAAAGGGCTGGAATGATGGCGAGGGTGGTGGTGGCGGTAAGAGAAGAAAGGGATGAGCATATGTTTTGTAATCTGTTCAAAAGCGAGTCCATATATAAGCATTTGTTAGGCGTCAAAGAAAGGTGTTTTCCTCCAATTCGCATGCTCGTGTACGTTTTAGGATAGAGACCGCACCAAAACCGAAGCCCCCACCCGAGAAAGTGCTGCTGGCATGCTAGCTATGGAAATGCAAGATGTTTTCGTTAGCTGATCACATGCACCACTCAGGTCTTCGTTAATACCCAGTTTGGAAACCATACGTTGCGTGAACACCATCTTGCATCTCGATAGCCGAGAGGCCAAGGTAAGAATCGGAAGCTTGCAGACCTGAGCACTTCAAGTGAAGATGCTCTTGACTGCCTTCTTCACCAAATCGTCCTCTTTCTTTTCCATATCTTGAGCATCAGTGTAGAAGCGCCGTCCGAAGTCGAGGTCGATCTTGGAGATGTCAACCCACCAGGGGCCGCGATAGTACAAGCGAGCGCCCAGATACAGCACAACGATTGCCACAACCGATACATAGTTTCTGCTACAGTCAGGTTGGTGCAAAGATTCCAGAGTGGCATGGAACTTACGCGAAGAATGTCTTTGCGGACGAGGACTCGCCGAGGGGCCAGACAGAGAGATAAAACTCAACGACAAGAAGGATTATGCACCAAGCCAACCCCCACCATGCAGCATAAGGATACGTCCAGGACTTCCAGGGTAGTTCATCCACCGAACGACCTTGGGTCTTCCAGGCGAGACGGAAGCGAATATGAGATAAGCATATTGAACCCCAGCAGAAAAGGGTGAAAAGCGAAGTCAGGTCGGAGAACCAAGTGAAGACCTCAGCGCCAGAGTTATTGACATTAAGATACGCTAGGCCACCACCTATGATTAGCGTAGGTACGATACCATACCATGGACGACCAGTCTTATCTGCCTTGGCAAATCGCTTAGGTGCCATACCCAACTGAGCCAGGCCCATAAGAGTGCGTGCCCCCGCATAACAGGAGATACTGCCAGTCGAGACAACCGAAAGGAAGATGATTGCATTCATGATATGTGCCAAAACTGGGATGCCCGCGTTGCGGTAAGCGATGACAAAGGGCGAGGCATTGGTGCCTGAGCCTCCAAATAAGTTTTCGTCATATGGAGAGACACATATGGTTATCATCAACGATCCAAGGATATAGAAGAGCGAAAGGCGTAGCCAGATGGACCCAACAGCTTTGGGCACAGATTTTCGTGGATTTGCTGTCTCGGCTGCAACAAGGCCACAGTTCTCGGATCCTGACATAGCAAAGATACAAGTAGGCATGACACTCAAGAAGCCTTTGAATCCATTGGTAAATCCTCCAGTTTGGTTCCAGTACCGGAAGCCGATAGCGTCGCCCGTGGGTGCTCCACCAGCTGATATGACTAGTAGATTTTAGCTCACGACTACAGGGTACGGTAGTTCCTTTCTTACCGATCATTGAAATGATGACTACGAAGATCCATCCAAACTTGATGAGCGAGCAAACTACTTCGATCTCGCCGAAAACAGTCACCGCACCAACATTGATCAAGATGATGACGATCCAGAAAACTGTGATCCAAACAGCAACTGGCACTTTGTCGGTCCAGAACGACAAGACCGTGACCACTCCCTGGTACGTCAAATTAGTGAGAGGCTGCGGGTGGCGACAATGTACCCACTTGGAGCTCGTTCGCGATGGTAATCCAGTATGAAATCCAGTAAGCCCAACCAAGAGCAAAGGCCATGCTAGGACAGACGAACTTGCCAGCCCACTGTACGTACGCAGAAGGTAAAGGATACATAACGGCCATCTCTCCTATTGAATGGGTTACAGACCAAATCATAGATCCTGACAATAAGTAGCCGATGAAGATAGCCGCGGGTCCTCCGTTGGTAAGTGATGTACCGCTTCCAAGCCATAGACCCATGCCGATAGAAGACCCAAGAGCAATCATGGTGATATGGCGTGTACTCAGACTTCGCTGCAGCTCCGAGTCGGCTCCATGATCCAGAGTGTCGAAGATATTGCCATGCTCGATCTCTGGCGAACGTGAGATCGGCTCGGCTACGAGAGGGTACTTGTTTTCGCCCATGCTATCAAACGAGGATGAACAGTACGTATAGTGTACTTGAAGGAACTTGAAGAGATGGGTCGGCTTTTATAACATGAGGTATCAACCAGGAGAGCCAGATGCCTCGAGACAGGCACTGACCTGCCTATGTCCTTATCGAAGAGAACCCCGATCCGGGCGACACGCCGTGAGGCCAAGAGATAGGCATTCCTATTCGAAGTTCGTGCCACAGGACCATTGTTGGGATCCTGTAATAATTCAGCTGGCTTTCGCCAATGGTAGACGCGCAATCTATCATCGAACCGGATGGCTTCGACGCCTAGCTTCGGGACCCGACATGAGAGTTAGTTACCCTAGTACATACAGAATCTCTTGTCAGGGCGGAAAAGATTGTGCAAGAACTCACTTGTTGGACACCTACAGAACACTCAGACAGTTCATGTGTTGCCAGACGCGGATGTTGAAGGCATCAGAAGGTAACGGACAACGATCACATTCAAACAAAGCAATGCCTGATAGGTTAAGCTGAGACCGAACAAAATTCGCCTGATAACAAGGGTACTATCCTGACTTCTGTTTGGTGAGGATCCTTCGATATGCACAGATAAGCCTCTGTGACCAGATAACAAGCATTCACGATGGAGTCTTAAACATCCAAGGCGTAGCAGCTCGGATTACCTCCCACCAGCCAATTCGAGCTTACAGATGAGTAACGATTATTGTAGTTACACGGACTGGATTTGTCCGAGAATGAGGACTGGAGCTGATGTACTCTAGCAGATATGGATATGTTTGAGGTGTGAGGAAAGAGCGACGATAAGTTGCGTTGCGCTTGATCCCAAGAGTGGGAGCGCGGCTCTTGGCAACACCATCTCCAGTCAACCTCCTGCCTGACTCCCCACTGCTCATTCACATACCGCATACCACATACTATGCTCACCTCATTGCTCCCTCGGTTGACCAGTGCTTTGCTTGATATGCGCCGTCTCTAGGCTTGCAGTTCTGCCCCATACGCATCGCACGAAAAGGCTCGCTTTCGCCGTCGATCGGATCTTCTTACACGCAATATCACAGGGCTGTGAAGGCGTTAGTCGACAGCAGGCCTGCTTAGCAACAGACAGATAGACAGCAACCAGGAAAACAACGAGGGCTTCGGCCGAAGAGATGCAAGGGTAGGTAATAAGGCCTTCGCAACTACTGATACCACCACATCATCAAGAGGCTGAGCCAATGGGTTGGACGGGTCGGTGATGAGGATGTACAAAAGACTTGCGAGTCACCAACGAGAAGCAACGACTTCTGCAGAAACAGTAAAGCAAGTCCTGTTACATCGTGCTACTCCAGACATGCTTGAAGCAAACGAGTTCACAAGAAGGTCAACAACAAACAACACGTACAGGATTGACCATCTGGTTTGGGAACCTAGCTAAGCATGTCTGTTCAGAGTCGTTCCAGGCATCGGACCATATACTGGTCTACCACAATGGATCAGGGGAAGTCGGAAACCTGGGCTGCAGATGTGTCATCGGCCAGGATACGCCGCTGCCACGGTGAAGCGACTCGCATGCGCCACTGTTGAGCCCGGGATTCAAGCAAAACCCAGTGAGTGTGATCTTCAAGGCACAATTTGTGTGAAGGATGAACGCGTGGATATGTCTGCTTTAGTGTGCACGTGAAACAACTCGTTTGAGTTTCATGATTGCCCCACAATTCGATCGACCTTCGCCCAAAGCTCGACCACTTGACAAGCAACTAACATATTTCGATCGACTACGTGTTGCAGTACAAAAGGTTCACATCCTGGGCCCATTCTCCAAACGCACATCTCTCATTCTTTCTCCTTTCACCACACACTCACTCACTTCCAAAACAAATTCTTTGCGAATTTCCACCTTTCGTTTACCATCAACAACCGCCATATCACCATGCGTTACACTACTGCCACTGTTGCTCTCGCACTTGCAGCCGGTGCAGTTGCCGCTCCTCAGGGTGTTGTCTATGTCACCAGCGTCGTCGAGCAGACTACTACTTGGGTAAGCGTTGAACGAACGTCCTTGTGTCGGGATTGGAAGCTGATTCGTTGTGTTAGTGTCCTGCTGGAGCCACTATCACCCACGCAAGCGGTACCACCGTTCTGACTGCTGCCACCATGATGACACTTCCTGTGGTTTCCACAACTGCAACTGCTCCTGTTTCTTCTGCATCTGCCTCTTCGGTATCTTCAGTCCCTACTGCTGGCTCATACGAGTCTGCACCCGTCTCGTCTGCTGTGGTTCTCTCGACTTCTTCCGTGGTCACTGGCGCTATCATCTCGTCCATTCCTGCTTCAAGCCCCGTCTCGCCTGAGGAAACCTCCAGCATGCCTGTCGCAGTCTCATCAAACTCTGTTTCCGTCCCATCGGTCGCAACTGCGACCCCTATCATCCCCGGCGCTGCCTATGGTTCTTCTGCCCCTTACCCCGTCTCATCGGCTACTGGCGCAGTTGGCTACGCTCAGCCCTCCGGTGTGGCTGGTGCTTCTGGTAACGCTCAGCCTTCTGGTATTGCTGGCGCCACTGGCTCTTCGTCGGGCGCCAACCCTTCCTCGACATACACTGGCGCTGCCTCGCGCAACTTGGCTGGTGCCACTGGCCTCTTCGCTGTTGCCGCTGCCTTTCTTGCTCTCGCTTAAGTGCCCTGAGCATATATTCCCGTCGTTCAGCGTTTTCCGCTAAGAACATGAGATGTGGAAGTGTGTTTTGTTTTACGCCAATGATACCATCAAGCGCTGCTGGGAAAGCAGTGTCTTTTCTTCTTTCGACCCATCGGGGGTCTGTTCTTGTCCTTCAACTGCGCATAATGTGTAAAGAGGGGTTTTGTAGTTTGGCCAACTCGAGTCGTCTGCTCGACGTCGGGCTGCACATACATGTTAAAATTAAATTTCCGGAGACCGATTGTACATCATACCACTCTTCTGATTTCAATCGCGTTTTTCGCTGGCTTCTGTAATGATCTCTATTTCTTGACCCTTCTTGACTGACATCTCGAGCTAATATGGACGATACTAGCAATTGCGTGATGTGCTTGATAGGGTTTCCATTGTGAACGAATGCAAGGACTTTCCGAGCTCCATGCATCTAAATATCATGAACCACGTCTTCAGAAACTCAGCACGGAAGGCGAATGTTAGAAAGCTTCACGCGGGAAATGTGTTTCGATCTTAATCATTGATTTTGGTCCATGCTCGCTGTTCATCAAGCCTGCGCATCGGTCGTCTTCACTCTCTTCAACTCTCTCTCATCACCTATCGGGCCCTCAAGCTTCCGCTTCTCTGCGTTCTCCTTGTCTCTTCTTCTCGCTTCACGTTCTTTCTCCTTCCGTAAAGCTTTACTCTCAAACTCATGCCAGTCGCCTTCCAGATTCTTCAACTCTATCACCTTTTGTGCCTTGGGTTCTTCAGTTGCAAAGTACGGATGCTCCAAGACTTCGCTGGCAGTAGGCCTCTTTTCGGGATCGAAGATGAACATGGCGCTCAGGAGTTCAAATGCTGCTGTCGACACACGCTCTTGATATTTCTCGGTGAACGTGGATGGCACTTTGTGCATCGGCCGCAGGAGCTCATACCAAGCAAGGTCCACGATTCCGGGCCAGTCTGATCGCGAGGGCGTGCCGAGAACGTTATAGATCTTGTCAAGTTGATTGATCTCACCACCATCTCCTGGGAAGATGGCATGTTTGGTAAAGATTTCGACCAAGACACAAGCTGCCGACCAAATATCGACAGCTGGCCCGTACTGCGTCTCTCCCAGCAACAACTCTGGTGATCGGTACCAGATTGTGATGACTCGGTTGGTGTAATCCTGCTTTCGTTTTGCGTTCTTGTTATAGAAACGCGCAAGTCCAAAGTCTGCCAACTTCAGCTCGCCGTTACGAGACACAAGGATATTGGCCGCCTTGATGTCGCGATGGAGTACACCGCGCTTGTGAAGATAATCAAGTCCCTCGAAGAGCTGTTTTGCCAGGTCCTTTTTATGTCCCTCAGTGAGCACAAATGACGGATGGTTCAACAAGCCCGTCAAGTCGTGAGAGAGATACTCGAAAATCATGAAACAGTCATTTCGTTCGACCATAACTTCCTGCAACTTCACTACGTTTGTGTGGTTGAGAGATTGTAGAAGTTTGATCTCGCGAATCGCCGTGACTGGGAAGCCGTCGCGCTCTCCTTCCATTCTTATTTTCTTGAGAGCAACCTTGTCACCAGTATAGACGTGGACGGCCTTGTATACTTTTCCGTAGGTTCCAGATCCGACGACTGATTCGTTACCAGTCTTGCGGTAGTAGACCGAGTCTGAGGCAGCAAAATCTGTCGTCAACTTTGGCTTAGGCTTCAGTCGTTTGCGCATGACTATCTCTTTTCTGGTGCGCGGCGCAGCTAGGGGTGCTGGCCTGTGAGGAGCTGAGGGATCTGTTCTCCCTGCCATACCCTTGATGGAAAAGCTAATGCCCGACTTCCTCTTCTCGGTTTCATCCTCAGCTCGAAGATCCTTGGGCGGCCTGAAAGGATTGTCGTCATCATCAACAGAATCTGTCGTTGACCTAGGCGCAAGAGGAGTCTCGGTGCCAGATATCGAGTTCTCACGCTTGGATACTACTTTTCCGCCTCTGCTGCCGCTTGAGGGAGTCCAAGAAAGATTTGAGAAGTGGCCACCACGACCACCTCTACTAGCAGGAGGCGCAGGCGCCGGGGCGGGAACTGGAGGCCGTTGAGAATTGTTGTATCCCCTGGAGGGAGGTTGGCCACGGTATGTGTGCTGAGGCGGATATGCCGACATCGGTGGCTGGGCGACATAATGCTGTGGTGGTGGCGGTTGTTGTTGTTGAGCTTGGTAATAAGGACTTGCAGCGGGAGGCGGATAGTTCTGTTGATAATAGGGAGAAGGAGCAGCCGAATAAGCGGCATGTGTAGGAGAACTAATTTTTTTTCAATCAGCTTTAGTCAGTGAGCATGCAAGATCCAAACATACCCGTGGTAGCTCGCATAGGCGGCCTGTGGGGGATATGTACGGCCATAAGGAGACTGAGCATGAGGCGGAGAAGGTCCAGCGGGTGGGTATTGCGGCGACTGAGAGTAGCGCGGGTCTACGTACGAGCGAGGAGGGATTGGCTGGCGAGGAGGGCCACCTCTGCCGTACATGGCGTCTGGTTCACGCCCGTCGCGATAACGTTCTCTTCTGTCGTGGTAATCGCGTCGACCTCCTCGGTCGTAGTCTCGGCTGCGACCGTAATCTCCGTCGTAATCTCTTCCGTAGTCTCTATCTCTGTCTCTATCTCTTTCTCTTTCTCTTTCGCTCTCGCGGTAACGAGGCGGGTCCTGTCTGTAAGGCCGACGGCTATCTGGTCGAGGTGACCTGGAAGAGCGACGAGAATGCGCCGATGGGCCCCGACGTCTGCTAGACTTTGCTTCTTCGGGACGAGCAGTGGTCGCAAGCTGCGAGATCAGGTCGTCCGACGGGGAGTCAGAACGTCGGGCGTCACGAGGGGGTGAGCGTGTTGGAGGTTTGCTATGACGAGAGGCGTAATTATTGGCAGGACGACCACGAGCCGAATGGCCTGAATGGCGATACTCTCTGGTTGGTGGGGGCGAGTATCTGCGACGGTCGTTGTAGCGGTCTCTTTCAGATGGATATCTCGGTTGGCGTGAGCTGTAGCGAGATTCGATTGAACGGGAACGTCGTCTTGTCGGATATGTGCCCGGCGACTGTGGTCTACGAGCTGGTTGAGCTCGATCGGAATATGGCCGCTGAGCGTATGAGCGTGGAGGTCGAGGGGAATAATCTCGAGCTGAACGCTTGGCGTATCTCGAGCTGGTGGATGGAGCTGGCGAGGGACTTGCACGTCTCGTGTTCAGCGACGACGGCACAGCAGGATCGTCGGCCAGTGGAGGCGGTGGTTGGGTGCGAGCCGAGTCGTGATGGTGATGTTGATGATGGTGGTGACGATGGCGGTAATGAGCAGGTCGTTCGTGGTTGGGGTCTTGGGCCCTGTGTGCAGATGTTGAGCGAGGGCGGTGGTTATGCGATGTGGAAGGATATGGTGCGCGGCCTCGACCAGCGGGTGCAGTGGGCGACGGTGATAGCTTACTATCACGCTCTCTGCTTCTGCTTGGAAAATCACGTCCACGTCGCCCGTGCTCTGTTTCGTTGCCTGCCATGGGGAAAGGACATAAATTCAAGTCCGACAGCGAACGCGGCCACCGAGACAGCCTTGAAGCCCACGCGCCAATGACACGGCAGTGACAGCAATCCTCTTGACTCAGATACGACGTGCCAACGGCGACAGCAGTAGCATTTGCGCAAGCGGTACAGGTGCAGAAGGGGAAAGGGGCTTAAGAATGAATGGAGTGATCAAGTTTCCCTCACCTGTCGAATTGATCAGAGCGACAACTCTTGCTTCAGACGCGCTCTCTTGCCCAACATGGCCGAGCGAGGCGTTCCCCGCCGCTTACGCCTACCCGAAGCTTAAGCGACCTCCATCGACACCAATTGAAGCTGCTCAGTCTAGAGTGATTATTAGTATATCTTCACTTGCGGGCTCCTTGTCAAGTGAGCCAGCCATGTTACCTGCTTGGGGTGCTCCTGCAGACCGACCTCGTCTGGCTTCCGTCATGGTCGTGATCCGAATCTAATATTCACCCGCAATGCCAGTCACTCAAATCCAATATCCAAACTTCCCTTTCATGTCACTCGCCATGACTAGAAGAATGCTGCAACCTGGCCCCGTACCCTGAAAGGGCATCTTGTTAGCTTCTGAACAAAGCCAGGTCAATCTATGGTCGTTGTGCGGGTGATCAGATCTCGGTGCTCCAATTGCCTTCTAGCAAGGAAATGATGGGATCAATTCCAGAGTATCATACTGTCGAGTGCAAGCTTCGTCCTCATAAAGTGAATTATGATCAGTGAGTGTTGCGAAGCAGTATTGCTGATGTTCCTGCTGCATTCAAAAATGCAAGGAAACTGGCGCAGCGAGAGGCCAGACAGATGGTCCTGCCGAGCAGATGGAACAGGTGGTCAAGAGAGGCTAAGCCAGATCACAGACTCAACGTGTTAGCTGGATGAAGGACGTGGCCTCCAGAGGAAAGTGTTGCAAGCGAAGCCATCACGTCTCTTGAGCGACGTCAGAAACACGAGTTAGTTGCGGCTCGGAGGACAAGAAGATCTAACTAGGTAGGTGGTTGGGCGCAGGCACGGCAACAAGAGGCGCGGGTTGCACGAGTCAAGACGGAGGGGAGGATACAAAGGGCTGAAAAGAGCAAAAGTCAAGATAGAACAGAGAACAGCTTGTCGGGCAGGATGTGATGGTCGCTTTGGTGCGGCGTGGTGTCAAGCAGGCTGGCTGGTTGACAAGTTGGAAGGGCACTGGAGCGGCTGCCTGTGTTGGCCCTGTTGGGCGGTGGAATGCGTGCGCACGAGCCATGTGTGCTCTAGCTTGTTTAGCTCCAGGGCTTCGGGAAGGCGTGACTCAAAGAGAAAAAGTTTGGCGAGACCGGCGGGGCTCATGATGCAGCAGGAAGAATACTCGTACTGATGCCCGCTGCCTCTCAATCGCAGCCATGTCTCTGTAAATCTAGACAGACCGTAATGGACTTTCTCTTCTACCACATACAAGCTTCGCATTCAAACTACTTCCTCTAGGACGTGAACAATCATCTAGGCTCAATCTTCTTTCTACACCATCCACTACCTCGTGGACCGCCAGCACAATCACAAGCTCATATCCATAACTCTGGACAACCACAAGCTCATACCCACAACTCTGGACAATCGCAAGCTCATATCCACAACTCTCGACCGTCGCCGCCATGGACCAACAACCAAACTCGCCCATCAGGCCCAAGCACATCCCTTCGCACATGATCAACGGCTCTTCTCCCCTCGTCTCGCAGGAGAACCGGGATGCGCGTGAGAGGGAGAACGCCTTCAAGTCCATCAAGTCCTCGATGGGCCCCAAGAAAGAGCCTCTCGATCTCGAGGGCAACTACTTCCAACCTCAGACCCACGCTCAGCCGCGCGACAAGCGCCCTTCGAGGCTGGCAAACCTGGACGAGGTTGACGCCAGAGACCCGCGTGACGACTGGGCTTCCCAGCAGACTAGCCGAGCCAGCAGCCCCTACACCCTCGCTCCTACCATCGATTTCGATGGTCTCAGTTGGCCCAGTATGCTTTAGTCAGCTTCCCATCGCTTTTCCACATCTGACAACTCTCTAGGCACTGGCACTCGCGAAAGACTCGAGTCCACCCCCGAAGAGGCCGCCGCCCGCCTAGAGAAGCTCTCGGGAGCAGTCCGTACACTTCTCGAATGCATCGGAGAGGACCCTGAAAGAGAAGGTCTCCATGGCACACCCATGCGTTATGCAAAGGCCATGATGTACTTCACCAAGGGCTACGAGGAGAACCTGAGAGACATTGTTAATGGCGCAGTCTTCCACGAGGACCACGACGAGCTCGTCATTGTAAAGGACATTGAAGTCTTCAGCCTTTGCGAGCATCACTTGGTCCCCTTCACCGGAAAGGTAAGATTGAAAGCAGACACGGTCGAGAAGCTCTCTGACTTGTCTAGATGCACATCGGCTATATTCCTAATGGTCGTGTTATCGGCCTTTCCAAACTCGCACGTATCGCCGAGATGTTCTCCCGCCGCTTACAGGTCCAAGAGCGCCTGACCAAGCAAGTCGCCCTCGCCCTCTCCGAGGTCCTTCAGCCTCAAGGTGTCGCCGTTGTCATGGAATCAAGCCATTTGTGCATGGTAATGCGTGGTGTTCAGAAGACCAGCGCTACAACCACCACCAGCTGTATGCTCGGTAGAATGAGATCTACCGCCAAGACGAGAGAGGAGTTCTTGAATTTGATCAACAGAAAGTAGACAAGCAAACAAGGGTCAGCATTCGGTGATAGACAGGCGCAGGCGTTCCTCGGAGTACATGGATTTCAGATGAAGGATGAATGGCCACTCAACAGCCAGGTTACGGAATGATACCACTCAACGATCGTAAGTAAATGAACGAATTTTGCATATTTTTCTCTTTCTCAAGTCATGTCGATGCGCATATACGTCTTACGAAATCAATCATCGCTTAGAGCTCACTTCCTTCTCTCACTGTGGAACTCGTTCGTGGTTCTGATGAGAACCCACTTCACTCACTACTGAAAAGTGAAGCGCCAAATCATTCACACCGTTTTCTTGCTGCTATTGTCGAGAGCTGCACCGTGTGACAACAGCTCTCCAATATCCCGACGCTTCTTATTGTCGACTTGTAATCCATAAATCGAGTCACGACCGCACTTCGCATTTGCGCGCTTACGAAAAACATTCCTGATCAAACATTCGACAACGAGATCGAATCTAGCATCCACCACGATGACAGACGATAACAGAGCTACTCGAAAGCGCGAATTGAGCGAATCTCCTGAACCAGCAAAAGACGGTGGCTTTGGTGCTCTTTCCAACAAGAGGCGCTTCATCCTTGATAACGAACCGCTGCAGACCACGAACGATCGCAAACATCTGGAGGGCGAAACATTCAACGCGCTCGATGTGCTCGCCCAAGTCGCTGCTGCAGCTCCGCGTCTTCCAATCGTCAGAAATCGCAAACGCGTAATTCTCAAGACACCGACTCCACCTCCTCAAGTCAAGACATTCAACCTTCTGACTGGTCTTGTTTCGCATGTCGATATCTTGCTTCAAGTCACAAGCTATCTTCCACCACAGACGCTGCTTAATCTATACAGCATCTCCGCGCCCTTCCACTATGTCATGGATAGTCACTTTACAGCGTTCATCAAGGCCGCCACGCACACATGGGCTCCCGATGCAGACCGATACTTCCCTTGGTGGTGTTACCGTCAGCTCTGCATCGAAGATCCTGCTTTGCGTCGCGCTAGACCCGACCGCCGAAGCGTGAGTTGGAACGATTTCACTCCCAAGCCGGAGTCGGACACGTCTTCTCAGGACAAGTTCGATGGATCTGACACCCACACTTCCAATTCTGGAGACAGTCCAAACAGCATCAAGTCTGAGAGCCAAGCCGAAACAAAGGCAAGAGTCAGCAAGCTGGTCAAACATCGTCAGACAATCGCCGCACCAGTGCCAGGCTTTCGATGGCTGAAGATGGTGGTGTATCGTGAATCAGTTTGTCGAGAAATTGTAGGTTGGCTCGCAGCCCACGGCCATCGCATCCCGCGTCTGGAAGGTGTTGATGCTCTCAAGGTAAGCTGTCATCGACCTTGTCTGGATTTTTCAGATCTGACCGCTTTCACAGAAAATGTGGTTTCTTCTCGATGTTCCTGTCAACGGGCCGCGCATAGCCTTGATACACAACACTATCTACTTCACCAAGGAGACGCTCGCCGTGTTGCAACTCTTTTTCATCAAACTCGACATGCTTTATTGCAATCCAGTACACTTCTATGGCGGTGAGGCATCTATGCGTGAGATGCTGCTCGCCGAGAGAAGCCTCACCACCCTTTGGAACTATCTGCGCGGTGCGGATGGCACTTCAAAGCTTGACACCATGCGCCTCTGGATCAGACATCGCTACAAGAGACCACAGCCCATCAGACCGATGACTAGCGAGGCGCACGAGGAGCATCTGGCAAAGTTGAGCATGCCGATCATGGGCGTTCCTGCACAACTCGTCGGTCGCTGGGGCTACGAATGTTGGGGCCTAGGACAGACCAAGTTGTTGCGCCCTGACGAATTGGTATTGAAGGAAGCTGTCAGACGTCGTGCTGGTCTCCAGAGAATGTTCCTGTCTTATCTTTCCTACGGATATCTCGATGCAGACCTCAATCCTCTGCCGACCAATGTCAAACCTGAAGATGTCGTTCTCAGTATGATTCGCAGAAAGAAGCACAGGGAGCTGAAGGCAAAAGAGTCCGATGGTATGGACATTGACAAGAAAGAGGAGGACGAGAAACCTGCTCGGGGCCAAGGCTCTACATCGTTGGAAGACAGAATTAGGGCCATGCTCGCTGAGAGACACGGCTGATGGCAGCCAAAACAGGTTTACCAGAAGAAACTTAGTTATGTAATGACGCGGATTTGTACAAGTCATCGCTGCATCCTAAACATGTCTCATAGACCGAGCGAGTCATCCATCGTCAATGTTTGCCATGTTCCATTGTTCAAATGTGCTGGCTGAACCAGTTCAGGAAGGTGAACATACTTGCCTTTGGAGTTCTCTCGAGACTCGTGTAGTTAACATACTGTAAATATGTTAGTAAATTTGCCTTCCCTCGATGATAGAACGGATGTCTCACCTGGAGTCCAAATCGTGTGTTGAGACCAGATCCCCACTCAAAGTTGTCAAAGATGGCCCAGCCAAATGCTCCTGTCACATTGACACCGTCGTAATGAATCGACGCAAGGATGTTGTCGAGGTATGACTATAGGCAATCAGTACCGAACGTGTGTTATGTGGTGAACAGACTTACCTGGTAATAGTCTGCGCGTCTCAGGTCCCACAAAATCGTGTTGAGTGACGATAGCGCTGCTTCCCCTGGCTCAGCAAAACCGAACTCAGTAACCATAATATCAGGCACACTCGGAAACAACTCAGTCGTGATCTTCTTCAGGAAGCGACGGAGACCAACAGGAGCACTGTACAACCAATTGGCACCCCCATCTGCAGAGGGCCCAATAGGGAAACCATCTGGGGCTGTGGACTGCGAGCCAGCACACTCAGGGTATCCGGGATACGAGCTGTTGCTAGTGCAAGCCTCGAGATCATCGATGCCAGAGGCGTAGAAAGACGTATACCCGTCCAAGGCGAAGAAGTCACATGAACCCTTCACCAGTGCCTTTTCTTCGTCTGTGAATGTGGGAAGAGTATCACCTAAGGTCTGGCGAAGACTTTCTGGGTAGTCGCCATCTTTCCAGACTGGGTCATTGAACCAACCAAGAACAAAGTCGTAGTTTCTCTGCACAGCCACCGCATCAGCTGACGAGGTTGTGTTTGGCTCGAAGTAGTTGGCCGAATTCTTGAATGTGATTCGACCTCGGCCTTTGAAGTCCTCGTGATACCTGTAGGTAAAATGAATTAAAACCTGTTTCAATGATGGGGACCTTCTTACCATTTGGCTACGCGAGCATGAGCAAGCAGGGTGTAGTGCCCACAAAGGAACCTTGCTTCCAGGCCTCCAGTGACATTGTTGTAAGCAGGATAGTATTTTCCAGCCGGGTATGAAGCATACTGCCAGTTACAATACTGCGGTTCGTTGATGGTGAACCACGTTTCCACGTACTGGTCGTATCTTTGTATGATGAACGTTGCGAAGTTGAAGAAGTCGTCAACAATTTGTGGGTCGGTCCAAGCACCGTACTCGTTGAACAACGCCAATGGTGTGTCCCAATGGAAAAGTGTGATGGCTGGCTTTATACCGTTCTTGACTAGCTCGGCAACCACGTCGTCGTAGTGGTGAACTCCTTCCCCGTTGATCGGTCCCTTTCCGAACGGGAAGATTCGAGGCCAGGAAATGGAAGGACTGAAGACGGGAACGCCCAGTGTTTTCAGACGAGCAAAATCCTGCTTATATAGATAGTAGTGCTCGGCTACGACATCACCTGTGGTATTGTCGGCGACTTGATTAGGTACCCTATGAGCCAGTAAGTCCCAGATCGATGGGCCTTTTCCCTCGGCATTTGCTGCACCCTATGTTACGTAAGTAGGTGTCCTCTAGCGATACTGACTGGCATACCTCGATCTGATATGCAGACGAAGCAACACCCCAAATAAAGTTTTCAGGCAGTTTCGCATTGCTCAAATTTGCTTCGTAGCTTGGTATGTAAGGATGCATAACACCTGGCCTTGCCAAGGGTGACGACTCAGGGGTAGGCGAGACGGTCGTAGTCACAGGCCCAGCCGCAATTGGGCCGACTTGTTGCCAGAGAGCAGCCAGACGTTCGTTCGAGAAATCGGTCTGGACCGAGTACGTGCTTGCCAGGGAGTAATTGAATGAGTTGGTTGCAAAGGTTGTCGAAACACCAGTAGGATCATGGAAGCTGATGGTAGAAGCGTTGGCGGATGCGGTAGCATTGCCATATTGAGCAGCCACCACAGATGGCACACAGGCCAATGCTGCGAAGAGTGACCTCTTGCTGCTGATACTTATCATGGTGTTGTTCGGGATGTGATAACCAACGCTATAACCATAGTGAGTGGTACGGTACCATCAACTTATATGTTTGACCATCTTGCAGCACGTCAGTCGATACTGTGCAAGGATCCGTTCTTCATGCATGGCGTTTGCGGAGTAGATGCTCCATACGAAGCGAGTGAGGGGAACTGAGGGGAATGAAGTAGATCGACTTCAATCCATTGGTGGAACTCAGATCACACTCGCAACATGGTCAAGGATATCTCTTTGGTTTTTGGCCGATGCTCTGTCACGAGATCTTCGGGCCAGATTGGGAGTGGTGGTCGATGCGGCATTCTTGGCAACAAGGAATGGTCGTGAGTTTAGCCTGATTGTTGAAAGGGAAACAGCAGCCAAAAAAACGAGAATCGAAATAAAAGACTTTAATTCTTACAGCATAACCTTTTGCCGGGGCCAATACCCAGGGTATATTATTGGCTTCCTCTCAGTACATCACCAAATTCGTCATAAACATACAGGTTGTTGACAGAGTCATCTATTTCTTCTGCTTCTTCTTGGGTGGCTCATCGTTGGAAGGCTTGCTCTTGGGCTTACCCTTACCGACCAGTGCTCTCAGATCGATAGGCTCGTCGTCATCGTCTTCGTCGGACATGTCTTCGAAATCCATCTCAGACATGTCTTCCATCTCTTGGGCTTGGGCTGTGTGGTGGTTAGTAAGGTCCGTAGTTGGAGATGGATAGTGGAGTCTTACTGAAGTACTTGATGGCGTTAGGCCACACGTCCTCGGCGATAAGCTGGGCGAGCTCATCGCCCTCTGGGTGGACTTCATCGTCTCCCGACATGTCGGCCATGTCCTCCTCTTCGGGTTCGGGGCTCTCGACTCTCTCGCCCTTTGATCTTCTGTCCTGGCGCTGCTTGTACTCCTTGTTGGCCTGTGCTGACTCGTCGGCAGAAATGTAGCGGGTGGCAGAGACGAAACCAAACCAGGTGAAGAAAGAAGTGTTGTCAGCATTCCAGTTCTCGATCATGTCAACGAGCTTGTTGTGAGCGGGGAAATCCTTCTTCTTCATGTTTCCAGCCTTCTTGCGAGCCTCGAAGACGGCATAGGCGGCGTCGGTAAGACCCTCGGTGGGATCCTTGGCGTCCTTCCAATCAATCTTGACGGGCTCAGAGACGAGACCAGACCAGCCATCGTTGGATCTTCTGTACCAGAACTTCTTCTCGAGGACGGAGTTGGTGAAGTAGTCATTGTCATCGAATTCGAAGCGGATGACAATGCTGCGGGGGTCACCAGCCTCGGCATCAATCTTCTCGGGGCCCATGGGGATCTCGAAGCGCTTGACATCGAGGCTCTTCAGCTTGGCGAAGATGTTTGCATCGTTGGGAGTGATGTAGCGATCAACATCGGGGGGAGACTGCTCGAAGACGAGAGGCCAGAAGTTCTCGATCTTGGAGATGACCTCTTGACGCTTAGCGTAGAGGGGAGCGGTGCTAATATATTGCTTGGCCACTGCATGAATGCTTGTCAGACCACGTTCCAACGACGAGCTACTCGTAGTCAGTCTTGAAGAACGTACAGATTTCGCGGTCGACCTCGTCGAATTGAGTCTCGAGCAGAGCGAGGTCCTCGTAGTATACAGGTACTTGATCTTCGGCCATTGTGATATGAACGAAAGGATTTCGAGTATGTGTGTAAAAGTCGAGTCGAGGTCAGGCAAGAGGTCACAAAATTTTGGAGGCCTCGGTCGCGCAAGCTCCACACACACGTCAGTCAGGGTCCAGCGTGCAGGTGCAGTCGTGCTCTTTTCCTGGGGCTTGTCGGACGACCAAAACGTCGCTTTCGAGGAGGGCCGACTCGACCTCTCCTGCATCACACAACTCACCTGATGTCGCCGCATCTACATCGTGACTTGCACACTGTCCGGTAGGGAAGCTGTTTGTTGGCCGCATGTTCACGATAATATATTTCTCGTATATATAGTTTCGTAAACATCCATTTCCATCAAGATGTTGAACCACTCATTCAGAATGAAGGCCTCGCAGCCCTTGCTTTGTAGGGCTGTATCGTCAATACGCCCGATGACTCGCACAACATGGATGTCAAAACGAAGAAGCATCTCAATAGTCCCACCTCCGTGGCGCCCTGCTTCCGTCCTGGATAAGTACGGAATGCAAAACCTTCACTACTTTCTCGTGCTAATGTTTTGCAGATGGGTTGAACGAGAAGCGAGGCCTATTAGTCTACGCCAGCTCACCTTCTTCGGCCGACTCTTGACTGATACGCGGTTACTTGGATCAGCCAACTATGTTCGACTCGAGCTGCCTACTAGGTGACTATGCTTCCGAACCACGTATCCACACCACTTTATTGACTGTCGGCTAGAATCGCACACAGACTCCGAGACATGCAAACATTACCTTACGCTGCTCTGGTCAACCCACACATTAGCCATGTGTACGAACTTTATTACTCGGCATTCGAAAAGCTACGAAAAGTTCCAGAAATAAAGACTCTGGAAGATAACGATAGGTTTTGTGACGTTGTTCGAGAACAACTAAGGGATCATCTCAGCGTTATCCCGCGTCTGGCCATGGGAGTCTTGGAGATATCCGAAGCCATCCCTAGCGACCAATGCGACAAGTTGGTGAACTCGCTTTTGAGATCGAGAATCAGCCGTCGTGTCATTGCTGAACAACATTGTGCCCTGACGAAAGCCTACCACTCGCCCGATCATCTCCCGCCCGCGGCAAAGCTTCACCCCGAGCATGGTGATGAATTTGTGGGTGAGATCTTCCTCCGGTGTAATGCGAAGGAGATCGTCCAGGACTGCGCAGATACGATCAGTGATCTCGCAAGACAGGCATACGGCTCAGATGTTGCGCTACCCGAGGTCGTCATTCAAGGAGCCGAGGACATATTCTTCCCTTACATCCCCAGTCACTTGGAATACATCATTGGCGAACTATTGCGAAACTCCTTCCAAGCTACCGTCGAACGACATGGTCACAAGCCTCCTCCGATTGAGGTACTGATATGCGAGGCTGCACAACATGTCATTATCCGGGTATCGGACCAAGGAGGTGGTATTGACAGGGAGGGCCTTCCAAATTTGTGGTCGTTCAGCAAAGGTCCGGAACGAAACAGAAGACTACGGAATCTAGAGCAAGTCCCCAAATTGGCGGCTACACTTCAGGACCTGAAAGTGCCCGACTCAGAGTCATCCGACGAGCTACACGACCAAAGGCAAACACGATTTGATCACTCTCTGGGGTCACTCTCTGGCAGACACCCCGACCTCCGTCTGGGGATTGGCCTTCCCATGAGCCGTATCTTTGCCGAATACTGGGCTGGTAGCCTCGAAATCCATAACTTGGAAGGATATGGTGTAGATGCTTTCCTGCAGATCAGCAAACTCGGCAACAAGAACGAAACCTTGAGCACAAGAACTAGCATGGACGCGCTATAAGATCAATCGCCTTGTCGCACGAACATATTCATCTTGCGGTCCCGCATTGATCCACATGGAGTAGACGAAGAACTCGTGGCGATCAAGTATGCACAGAAGTTCCCTTACAACAACCGCCCCTGAGAAGGGGCGCACGACCGGGAGCCTCGCTGTGGCTCCAAAAAAGCCAACAAAACTCAAGACAAGCCCGTTTCGGGTTCAGAGAAATCGATATCTACATCATCGTCTCCCACGCTATCAGGTCCAACCACATATTCTTACGAGATCTCGAGGAGCCTCCAGCAACAGTGACTAAGGACACTTACTCGCACTCAGCAAAGGCTACAACAGTATTGTCGCAGCACAAGTATTATCGTAACGAGACTATGATCAAAGGAGTTTTATAGACAGAAATAGAAGCATGCTAGAACTTTGACACACGCACTCTCACTCTCTCTTTCTCTCTCCTGCCGGTGTCAACATTATGGAGGCCTAGAACTCGGTAAAAGTAGACTGTTCAGTTTGCACCCCAGCTGTGACTGTCAGACGAACGAAGGGTTTGGAGCGTATATTGAGGTGAGGAGTGTATTGCATAACTATGAATCAGAGTTGCATAAATCCCCAGATTCAGGGTGCGGGACGGCCACCTAAGTGACCTTGAGGCTTGTACCTTGACGCTGATAGTATTGCTGGCTTCAAGCTCTCTCAGTCTGCCGAACAAATCACAAACAAAATGCATTCGTCACTGGTGCGGATACAGAATGTCTTCGGCTTCTTCACGACCGTTGCCTTCAGTCTGGGCATGCTGATAGCGCTGAGTGTGGTTGCGTCGCATCAGAACCCATCAGCAGAGCTCGAGTTGCGCAACGTTCAAGTGTAAGCACCGATTTTATCACTGTTCTAGCACTATCTGACGAGTACAAAGTGTCAAGGGCCGTCCCCACTACTACAGCACCAAGAAGGAGGAATATGCGCACATCAAGTTCGACCTCGAGACTGGTATGCGACACCCTTCCCCTTACTGAAGACACGAGCCTCTAACATTACGACTCTTTTGCAGATCTCACATCCCTCTTCTCCTGGAACACCAAGCAAGTCTTTGTCTACGTGACTGCGACCTTCCCTTCCAAGTCTCCTCTTTCTCCTCCCTCGGAAGCAATCATCTGGGACGCCATCATCCCAGCCCCTTCGGAGCCCTGGCACGAGAACACCTACATCCACCCGCAGAAGAACCGCAAGCAACCCAGCCGTCGCCAAAACACCGCCGCAGCAAACCACAAGGCCTACCCTGAGGGCGCCGCTCCCGGCATCCTGAAGCTGTCAAACCAAAAGCCCAAATACCAAATCACGACTCCGTGGTCAAAGATTGGTGGTGCGGAAAACTGTACGTTACAGTTGAAGTACAATGTGCAGCCTTGGGTGGGTGCTCTGTATTGGAGTTCGCCTAGACCGTTTGGAATGTGGGAGGGTCTGCAGGGTGCTATGAGTGATGTCTTCCAGATGCCTTTTGTCAAGAACTCTGCTCAGGCTTCCAAGAGCAGAGAGGAGCTCAAGACCGAAACTGGTGGCGAGAGGAACAGAGGAAGCCCCGCTTGAATGTGTGGACAAAAGGGATGCCCTCTTTGCAGCAACCTACTTCTACATTGTTAATGAAGCAACCTTATTTTCTGACCCGTGTTCTTGGTCAACATTTGCACTTCACACGTGGAGAAGGTTCTGGATGGTTTGAGATGCTCCGTAAAGAGGGCGCTTGCTTTGCATTGTGCTCCCTGCGAACAAACAAACAAAAAAGCAAGCCAACAAGAGTAGTTCTGACACAATTAAAGGGTGGAAAGAAAAGATTGGGTATTTTGAGCATCTCTGAAACAACTCCTTTCTTTATTGGCAAACCCCGTCGTGATTCTCATAACTCAAGTTTCCCAGACGCCATCCTTATGCTACGCTTCAATCGTCCAAAACGACACATGGTGTCCTTCATTTCTTAGCAGTGTCCTCCTTCAAGCTGACAATGCGGTTGAGGATGATGTTATCAGCCGAGCTGTCCTTGTCGACGCAGAAATAGGCGGTGCGCAAGCCCTGGAAGCGAACGGCCTCGGGACCGGTGTTACCCTTGGCCTCACCCTCCTCCTTAGGCCAGGGTGCACGCTGCTGAATGTCAAAGAAGCCAGCCTCGATCATAGCGTTCTTGTGCACAATCTCGCTGTCGGGGTTGACATTGTCGTAGTAGCCACCCTTCTTCCAGTCGAGCTCGTTAGGACGAGGGTTCTTGAAGAGCGAGTTGAAAATGCGAGCTTCAGCTCGGATAGGCGACTTGTGTGCTGCCGACTCACCGATCCAGTGGATGCGGGCCTTGCCAGCCGGCACATCAGCACCGTATTCGGCGCGGATCTCGTTGACCTTACCGTCTTCGCCCTTGGTGAATGACTTGCAGCGGAGAGGGTGCTCGGCATAGAGAAGACCAACAGACTTTCCAGGGGCGAGACGGAAGAAGTCTGGGTCGTCGACCTCGCGGAAGTCGTCGCGGTCGATGTAGATGGTCTTTGTGAACGGGAGCTTGTGCATGCCCTTCTCCTTGTCCTTGGGATCAAATGGCACTTCGCGCTCCTCAAGGTAGTCCTCGGGAAGGTTGTCGATGATGACCTTGATGGGGTCGAGGACCACGATCAGACGAGGCACAGTGCGCTCGAGGTAAGTACGAATAGAGGCATCAAGCATGTGCATCTTGGTGTCGGCGTTGGCCTTTGTCACACCAAGATCGAGAACGAACTTCTTCAGAGCACCAGGTGGTACACCACGACGGCGAAGAGCGACAAGAGTGAAGAGACGAGGGTCGTCCCAACCACGGACGACAGGAGGAATCGATTGAGCACCAGCGACAGGCTTGGAGACAGCAGTTTCCGCACCAGCCTCTTCCTCGCCAGTCTCGGCGATCTGAAGCTCATCGGCAGCTCCAACGAGCTCGTCTTCCTCAGACGGCTGCTGACCACCAGTGTTCACACCCTCGACCAGCATCTGGATTCTACGCTTGGAAAGAATAGTACCCTCAACATTGAGTCTTCCGTACTCGCGCTGCATGGGACCCTTCTCCTCTGAGGCGAGAACCTTGTGATCAAGAGCCTCCAGAAGCCAGTTATAAGCAGGACGGAGAGTCTCGAACTCGACAGTGCACAAGGAATGAGTGATGCCCTCGAAGCTATCACATAGACAGTGGGTGAACTCGTAGGTGGGGTAGATTTTCCAGGTGTAGTGGGTGCGGTGGTGGTAGTTCTGGTCCTTGACTCTGTAGGCGGCCACATCCCACATGGAGGGGTTCTCGGCCAGAGTCTTCAGCTTCGATTTCTCCTTCTTGGTCTCTGGTGTGTCTTCTTCGGTGATAGCGTACTCCTCGGGCTTTGTTCCGAGGTACTGCTTCATGCGCAGGACAGCCTGGCCAGCCTTGTATTTTCCATCCTTCATGGCGCGGAACTCCTCCAACGACTCTTCAGCGGGTCTGCTCCAGTGGCTGCAGACAGAACGAGGGCCATGCTCAGAGCCTCCTCTTCCCTTCTGGACTTCCTCGGCGGTACAATGGCAGACGTAGGCCTTGTTGCGGTTGATCAGTTCCTCGGCCAGACGGTACAGTTCATCGAAGTTATCGCTGCTGTAGGTAATCTTGGCGGGCTCGAAACCAAGCCAGCTGACCATGTCCTTGATGCTGGTGAAGTAGCGCTCCTCCTCCTTGGCCGGATTGGTGTCATCGAAACGGAGGTTGCACTTGCCGCCATAGGCTCTGGCGAAACCAAAGTTGACGGTAATGGCCTTCGCGTGACCGATATGGAGGTAGCCATTGGGTTCGGGAGGGAAGCGAGTCTGGACTTCCTGGACGGGCTTCTCGTTGTAAACACCCTTCAACCAGCCCTGCTTGAAGTTGGCATTGGGGTCGGCAGGTGCGGCGGGCGTGCTTGGGGCGGCTTGTTTGGCAGGAGCTGCTTCCTTGTGCTTCTCCTTTGCCGCCTTTGCAGCTGCCTTCTTGGCTGCCTTTTCGGCGGCGCGCTTGGAGATCTTCGGTTCTTCGGGTGCTGCGTCGGCCATGGTTGCGTTGTGTGTTTTGGCGTGTTTCCGGGCAGGGAAGAATAATTATTGCTCACTCGCGCGACGGCTTGCGAGTCACTCAGTCGGCCAAGACCGAGGGGTCGCGATAAGCTGATAAGCTCCGAACCATGAATTGTGCCAAGCGAGCTCCCCGAACTTCTTGAGCCTTCGATGCTTCCATGAGGCGACGTGTAAACCACCATCTCCCGTGACAATCGCCAACATGTATGTTTCTGTCCCTCCCTTTGGCTCTCTCTGCCTCTCATCACTGACTCATGGCTTCTCTCAGGGCGCCACTCGTGGATAATGCGCAGGTCAAGTCTGCCTCGCTTCACAACCCGCTGCCTCTGGCACTGCATACCTACATTTGGCCCTTCCTGATCGTCTGGCCCGTCTTCTTCGCCTTCTACCTGTCCGAGGAGCGCTATGAGAAACACTTCGGCGCTCAGGAATGGACCTTCGTCTGGTCTGGTAGTATTGTCACTATTCAGTCCCTCTTCTGGCTTTCCACTTTCTGGAACATCAATATCCGCTCCCTCTTTACCACAACCCCCGCCTCCGATGTGCGCAGTGCTGGTTTGATCAAGGTCCTCCCTGCTGAAAATGCTGGCTCCGCCGACATCTGCCCGATCGAGCGCGAAACCGTCGACGGCAAGACCAACGTCTCCTTCCTCTTTCAAAAGCGCCGCTTCCTGTACTCTCAGGAGACCGGTACCTTTGCACCTCTCTCATACCCTCTGGACCAGGAAATCAAGCCTACCATTGGAGAATTCCAGAAGTCAAAGGGTCTCACTACCGCACAAGAAGTCGCTCGTCTCCAGCAATACTATGGCCCCAACACCTTTGATATCCCTGTTCCCTCCTTCACCGAGCTGTTCAAGGAGCACGCCGTTGCGCCCTTCTTCGTCTTCCAGATTTTCTGTGTTGGTCTCTGGATGCTCGACGAGTACTGGTACTACTCGCTCTTCACTCTCTTCATGCTCGTCGTTTTCGAAAGCACTGTCGTTTGGCAGAGACAACGTACCCTGACCGAATTCCGCGGAATGAGCATCAAGCCTTACGATATCTGGGTGTACAGAGAAAAGAAGTGGATTGAGGTTCAGAGTGACGCCCTTCTGCCTGGTGATCTCGTCTCGGTTGGCCGTACCAAGGAAGACAGTGGTGTCGCATGCGACATGCTTCTCGTCGAGGGCTCGGCTATCGTCAACGAGGCCATGCTTTCCGGAGAAAGTACCCCTGTACTCAAGGATTCCGTTCAACTCCGTCCCACTGATGCTCGCATCGAACCCGAGGGTATTGACAAGCTTGCTTTCTTATACGGAGGTACCAAGGTTCTCCAGGTCACACACGGTAATACTGGCTCGGACGATTCTGATAAGATCCGTCCCGTTGTTTCGGGCGTTCCTGCAGCTCCTGACAATGGTGCGATGGCCATCGTCGTCAGAACCGGTTTCGAGACCAGCCAGGGCAGCCTTGTCCGCACCATGATTTACTCTACCGAGCGTGTCTCAGCCAACAACGTTGAAGCTCTTCTCTTCATCCTCTTCCTTACTGTTTTCGCCATTGCCGCCTCCTGGTATGTCTGGACCGAGGGTGTCGCCAAGGACAGAAAACGCTCCAAGCTTCTCCTGGACTGTGTCCTCATCGTCACCAGTGTCGTTCCCCCCGAGCTGCCCATGGAGCTGAGCTTGGCTGTCAACACCTCGCTTGCTGCCCTCAGCAAATATGCCATCTTTTGTACAGAACCTTTCCGTATTCCCTTTGCCGGTCGTGTCGACATCGCCTGCTTTGACAAGACAGGAACTCTTACTGGAGAGGACCTTGTCGTTGATGGTGTAGCCGGCCTTACTCTTGGCCAGGAAGGTGCGCCTGCCGAAGCCGATGGTGCTCAGACTCAACTTGTTCCCCTCAACGATACTGGCGTTTGCACCACTCTGGTCCTCGCTACTGCCCACGCCCTTGTTAAGCTCGAGGACGGAGATGTCGTTGGTGAACCTATGGAAAAGGCTACTCTCGCTTCTCTTGGCTGGACTGTTGGCCGCAACGATACCCTTACTAGCAAGACTGCTGTCGCCGCAAAGGGTACCGGCCAGTCTGCAGCTGACTTGGTTCAGATCAAGCGCAGATTCCAGTTTTCATCTACTCTCAAGCGTCAGAGCTCTGTCGCTACTGTCGTTACCACTCAACGCGATTCCGGGAGAAAGACCAGAAGCACCTTTGTCGGTGTCAAGGGAGCTCCCGAGACCATCAGAAACATGCTTGTCGATGTTCCTCCCAAGTACGAGGAGACCTTCAAGTACTTCTCCAGAAACGGTGCCCGTGTTCTTGCCCTTGCCTACAAGTTCATGTCCACAAGCGATGAAATTGGTCAGAACAAGATCAACGACATGAAGCGTGAGGAAGCCGAGTGCGACCTCCAGTTTGCTGGTTTCCTTGTCTTGCAATGCCCCCTCAAGGATGATGCTATCAAAGCTGTCCGCATGTTGAACGAGAGCAGTCACCGTTGCATCATGATTACCGGTGACAACCCCCTTACAGCTATTCACGTTGCTAGAAAGGTCGAGATTGTCGACCGCGAAACTTTGATTCTTGACGCCCCTGAACACGACAACTCTGGCCAAAATCTTGTCTGGAGAAGCATTGACGACAAAATCAGCATCCCCGTCAACCCTGCTGAGCCAATTGATCCCGAAATCATCAAGACCAAGGATCTTTGTGTTACTGGGTATGCGCTCTCCAAGTTTACTGGTCAACAGGCTCTGAAGCAGATTATTCGACACACCTGGGTCTACGCTCGTGTCTCGCCCAAGCAGAAAGAAGAAATTCTTCTCGGTCTTAGAGATGCCGGATATGTTACTTTGATGGCTGGTGACGGTACCAACGATGTTGGTGCGCTCAAGCAAGCCCATATCGGTGTTGCTCTCCTCAACGGAACCGAGGATGATCTCAAGAAGATTGCCCAGAACTTCAGAGAGACCAAGATGAAGGATGTCTATGAAAAGCAGTGTGCTATGATGAAGCGCTTCAACCAGCCTTCTCCTCCTGTCCCTGTCCACATCGCTCACCTTTACCCTCCCGGTCCTACCAACCCTCACTACGAGAAGGCTATTGAGCGTGAAGCTGCCAACAAGGGTACCACTAGCGAAGTCCTCAAGGCTGTCACCGAAGCCAAGCACAAGGCTGAGGTTGCTACTGCTACCGCCAAGGACGGTGAGACTGGTTCAAGCGCTCCCCTTACCGTCCAGGAAGAGCGCAGAAAGAAGGCTCAGAATGCTGCAAGTGCCATGGCTGAGAAGATGTCAATCTCTATGATGGAAGACGCTCTCACCGATGATGAACCTCCTACTATCAAACTCGGTGACGCCTCGGTCGCTGCTCCTTTCACCAGTAAGCTTGCCAACGTCATTGCCATCCCCAACATCATCCGTCAGGGTCGCTGCACTCTCGTTGCCACTATTCAGATGTACAAGATCTTGGCTTTGAACTGTTTGATCTCAGCCTACAGTTTGAGTGTCTTGTACCTTGACGGAATCAAGTTTGGCGATGGTCAAGTCACTATCAGCGGTATGCTCATGAGTGTCTGCTTCCTCTCCATCTCTCGTGCTAAGGTATGTCGATTGCTACTTTTCATTTCCTGAACATTGCTAATTCGTCTCACAGACGGTTGAAACTCTTTCTAAGGAAAGACCCCAACCTAATATCTTCAACCCTTACATCATCGGCTCCGTTCTTGGACAATTCGCTGTCCACATTGTCACCCTGATCTACATTTCTCGTTACGTGCAACGCACTGAGCCCAAGAAATCTGACATCGATCTTGAGGGTGAATTCGAACCTTCGCTCCTTAACTCTGCCATCTACCTTTTGCAGCTTATCCAGCAAATCTCCACGTTTGCCATCAACTACCAAGGTCGTCCCTTCCGCGAGTCCATCAAGGAGAACAAGGGTATGTACTATGGTATCGTCATGGTCACTGGTGTCGCTTTCTCCTGTGCCACCGAGTTCATCCCTGAGATCAACGAACAACTGAAGCTTGTCCCATTTACCACCGAATTCAAGATCACCATGACCACCATCATGATTCTCGATTACTGTGGTTGCTGGATCATTGAAAAGGTGCTCAAGCAAATGTTCAGCGACTTCCGACCCAAGGATATCGCCGAGAGACGTCCTGACCAGCTTGCCATTGAATTCTCTCGTAAGAAGGAGGAAGAGGAGAAGATTGAAGCTGAGAAGATTGCAGCGCTTGAGAAGCAGCTTGGCAAGGCATAGACGAATCGAAAGTTAGATGGCAGATTTTGTACAAATACAGGTGTAGGAAGTTTTAGATGCATACCTTTACAAAAGAATTATTGTTCACCTTACCGGATCTTGTCACCCTTGAATAGTGGTAGTAGGATTGATCGCCCTCCATGCTGAGAGTGTGGCGAGGTTGAAGTGACTGGCAATATCCACTACACTCAATGGTAGAGCCGCTCTTTCAAATCGTCACTGTTCTCCCAAGCGTTCGGCTGTAGGTATTCCACCCATCTCATGGTTCGTTTTCCCATACACTATTCGTACCATCCTGACAATGGGAGTCTCGACTTCTCTGTAAATTAAAAGCACGCCTTCCCCTGGGCTCTTGATTTGAAGAGGCTCTTGTCACCAATATGCTTGTCTGGGGGACGACCCTGGCCTTTTGTATCTCTACCTCTCAATTCCACTACAAAGTTGAATACGATCTACAATGATTACGAACCGAGCTCATAAACACTAAACATGTCAAGTGTCTTGCGTCGCAACATTGCGACACGCAGATGCACTGTGATTTATGATGAAGCGCAAGTTGATCACATGTCCATGCCTGGGAGACAGTGACTTGAGCGACGGGCATTGATTGATATGATCACAATATCGAAAGTCCATCATTCATCTACCTCATCCCCAACCTCAAAGCCAAAAAGCGAAGGCAGCAAAGAAGAGAAAGAGAAAAAAGCTAATACTGATGCACGGGAACCGCGCCCCAAACTCCGTTGCGTGCAATAAGCTGTGCCGCCCCAGGAAGAAAAGTACGATCAAAAGAACACTCATACAATATTTGAGGTGGAGTGTGAGCCAGCGCCGGAATGCGTGTGGGTAATGATAAAGGACGTGCCGTCCTTGCTAAGGAATAGAAGCCATAAAGGATGAACGACGACGGTCGGTGGGTCGATTTGACCATCTGTGAAAGAGTCAGTAGGTAATCATGATGGCGAGATACAGGTGATAACTCACATCCTGACTCTTCTGTCATCGCCAGCAGAAGCGAATATGGCTGGGTTGGTGGGATGCCATGCCACCGAGTTGACGGTGCCAGGGGGGTGCGCTTCTAGCGCGACGACAAGCTGACCGGTATGTTTTCGCCAGACATAGACTCGTGAATCTGGCAGTCGGTTAGCAAACTATGAGGCATCAAGCTGTGAGGTTGAGTTATCACCTTCGCTGCCGCTAATGACAAAGTTCTCACCGGCACCACCAAAACCACTTCTAATAACGAATTCACTTTGGGTCAAGCCGGTGTAGCGTTGCAAGACTTCGCCAGTGTCCAAGTTAAGAAGTACCAGACGACCTTCGTTCATACTGACGAGCAGCGATTTGCCATCGCGACTGAGACTGACACAAGTTAGTCTGTCCTCCATGACCCACTCTTGGACTTTTAGACGAGTCTTGAAGTCGTAGACGATGACACGGTTGTCGTTGCTTATAGCGACAAGCCTTGATCCGTCGGCCGAGATGGCACAGTCATTGACGCGGAGACTCTGAGCATCATGGCTGATCCACGAATGCAGTATGGACAGGTCAGATAGCTGGAAGAGAGCGAGAGGCCTTCTGGAGTCTTGAGAACCAACGACGAAGCTTTGGCCGTCAGGAGCCCATGCAGCAGTGGTGACAGGGTAGTGGAAGTGATCGACAAGGCCCACCCGGGTACCTGTGCGAGCTTGATGGATGGCAAGCTCTCTGGACTGGGAGCAGGTGAGAATATAGGTATCGTCCGGACTCCAAGAAACATAGCAGACGCCAGTATCTTGGTCGTTCTTTTTTTGCTGACCGAGACGGCAGATGGGCATCCACGAAGTGGTATCGTAGATGACAACAGTGTTGTCTTTGGAAGCGGTAGCTAGCATTGAACCATTGTGGGAGAACTCGAGATGCCAGACTTCATCCGAATGATGTTGCAACTCGTGGAAGATGTGCAAGGGGAACTGTTCGCGTTCGCAGACGTGGTCATGTAATAGTGAAGGTGGTTGTGTAGTGTTGTGATACAAACACTGGTCGATGTGCTGCTGTTGGACATGATCTAGGAGGACGGCGAGACGGTGTTCGGGAATCATGACGGAGGGCGAGATTGACCCTGAGACTTTGTCAGTAAAAGAGGGCTACAGAGAGAGAGACGTCGGTGGAGCCTACTCGACAGTTCGGACAAGAGGTCCTTTCTCGAGCTGCCGTTGGCGCCATCCCATCTCGCTTGTTGCCTCAAGTCGTCGGCTCCACGACACATGATCAGACTGGATAGAGCGTGCAGACGAGAAACATCATGATGCAGAGGCGTCAACTCTTGTCGGAGGACCATCAAGGCCTTGGAGAGGTCCCTTAGTTCGAGTAGCTCGAGGTACTTTTGTTGGCGCATCAGAAACACCATGTCGTCCCTCTTGGCTCCTTCGCATAACGGTAGACCCTCTCGACCACTGCTTCCGAACAGCAAGGCTTCGGCCTCGACCCAGTTGCCACTCTGTACTGCAGTGCGGAAGGCGGCCACATTCGGTACCTCGAGCTCGAAGCCACTCTCTTGACTCAGTTGGTTGGCGGTGGATTGGTAGCCTAGGTCCGACAGGCTCTGGATGATGATGCGCGTCACTTCTTGTCTATTGTGGCCGTAGAAGTCGTTGATCTCGTGGGCGTCCTTGTCCGAGGCGCCGTTCGAGGCGTGCTTGGTCTTGTCGTCATCTTCTGGCTGGAGGTGCATTCTGCCTCTCTTGTGGGCTGCCGATGCCTCTGACGGCGACGCACTGCGCGGACGCTTGGCGGTCAAGGATGCAGCCACGGTTTACGACGACGAGAGTGAGTGCAGGTCGTGGTGAGCGATGTACCACGGTGTCGGGTAGCGTAGATGGCGTGTTTGCCGTTATCGAAGGCCTGCTTGCTAGAGTGACTTGGACATGGTCAGGTTCCCCCACTCCGACCGACATCAAGCATGTCCATCGGAGGACCGAAGCTCACTCCGCAAAATGACGTGCCAAATCTTCACATGTCACGGCTTTCACTATTCTCCATGCATACTTATTACTCGTGCTTATCCATATCATACACTCGTACATGTCTTTGTCCATCTCCTCTACTTGTAGACAGCCGTCCCCCCACCCCTGAACCACCCAACGTCTACGCTCTGCTCGCTGCATGCAGAGTCGGCCGGAACCGTAAACTCTCTGTTCTCGCAGCACTCCCAACTTCTGCTACCATCTGCTTCTTGCATAATATACTTGTACTCGAAAGTCGTGCCCTCAGCAATATCGAAGCGTCCGCCAAACGACGGTGCCCCGGCACTCTCGGCATCAAGATTCGAGAGGGCAATTGCTTTGGACGTATCCCAACCACCAAGTTCTGGGATACTGCCAATCAAGAGAATACTCTCGCCCGCATTCTCAAACGATCCGCTGACCTCGAAGATGATCGTGGCTTTGCCTGAGGTACACGCTTCTGCAGACTCCACTGGGATCGAGTAGGCACTAGCGTTGCTAGCCATGTTGCAGTCGCCCTGGGCATGCTGGAGATACATTATTTCAATCGGGTTGATCTTGCAATTGAACCAAGACGTCGAGTTGCTGATGTGCGTCGTTCCATTGGCAGTGATTTCTTGCTTGATCCTGCCTAATAGTTAGAACGACCATGTTCATGTCTCGCTCAAGAATCCCGGACTTACGCTGTGTCGGTAAAATTTTGCTGGATGGCTAGACTGAAGTTGCCAATGCTGAAATAAGGGAACAGCTTGAACCGGAAGTCGCTTGAGTCGCAATCAATCCATTTCCCTGTTGGCACTGCAACCGAATACGCTTCTGGTTCTGTCCAAGAGTTGTCTCCCCAGAATGTCTGGCAGGTTGCCGACGAGTTGGCTCCACCGTTGGATGACGAAACATCAAATGCGATACGATAGTAGTTTGTTTGACCTTCATTGTTGCCGATTGGTTGATGAGTGGACAGAGAGTTGACAAGGAACGGCGAGTATGCTGTTGCTACAGTGCACAAGGCAGCCGCTGAAGCAAAGGTCTTCAACATGATGGCCAGGTATAGAGGAAATGACCGGAACAACGAGAATGAAAGATCGTGACAGAAGAGAAGGAGGAGCAAAGAACTTATCTTGGTGTGGCCTACTTACCCTATGAGGTCGGCTTGCATGGCTTTAGTCAAACGCAAGAGAGATCCTCCTGCAGATCTCCTTCATTACACACCAGATGCAGAGAGGCACGGCACGGCAACAGACAGAGATATGCTTGCTCGCTCAACAATCGAATGTTTCACGGACCAACTCGCGCGCCGGATGTGCAAAGAGTCAAGGACTTGTCAACTTTTCATGCCGTGCAGCACGAACGCTCGAGCACTGCGGACGCTGCCGCGTGCCGGTCCATGGATTTGACTTTTGCCGAAGTTCCATCCTTGAACTTTCCTTTCGTTTGGCGTATCTTTGCCTCCGGAATCCGAATCCGCGAGTCTGAACACGCATCCGACAGTCGCCTTGTGCGGCTCCTTTATTTGGAAATCGATTGCCTGGGAGCTTACAACTATGAAATTGTGAGGTCTGTTCTCGCTCTGGGAGAATCTAGTCTGCATTGAGCCATTGATCTATCGAATTCCAATGCCACAGGCCATGCACCCCGCGCCATATTGGCTGTGTAACCCATGCCCCCAGACTGCTAAATATACGTTTTACAAGCAACCATCCCACGTTTGTCCATTCCGGTCAGTGAACGAGCGGTGAGCTGCATGAATCGATCAGAAAAGGCAGTTCTCAGTCACAAGCATGCACCACAGTCTTTGCAACACTATCGTGACAGGCAGATCCCCAACGCTTCACGGGTCACTCGAGTCCATCCACGCACACGATGCAAATTTAGACTTTTATCAAACATTGTATCGCAGGATGAGTTATTCCTGGGCTGTCTAGCTGTGTGATAACCGAGGCGTAGAGTCCAAATCTCGTAGATTGAACAGTGCTACTGGCACGACAGATATCAATTTATTGTTTTTGCCGACCCATCCCGTGACGCAACACGTGTTCCGGGCGCTAGCCAGATCCGACCAGCGTGAGGATCACGAGAGGTACGAGCAGTACGAGAAGGCAGCAAGATTGTGATCTGTGTTACCAGGAGCGTCTCAAGATTACCAGGTTCCTATGACAGCAGCAAGAAAAAAGTGGATGTCTGCCTGTCACTCTCCTTCTCTCCTCCATTGGCAAGGTCCGTGGGAGCGGAACAAGGAGTATGCTCTGAATCTCAGTCGAGGAGACGTTCATAGTTTTGGCACAGAAAAGAGTTGCAATGCACGTTCGGAGATATTCGCTACTGTCACGACTACAGTGTTCATTGTAGGCCACGACAACGTGGAAGTTGAGGGCAGTGAAGTGAGCAAGTGAACGTTCGGTGCTATCGTCTTTCTGTTGCTGTAATACCCCATTGCAGTCTCTCAGATAGCATGATCCATGCTGGCTCGCCCTCTATCCTGCTCACACTGCGTAGTCCGGCTAGCAAGAAGGAGAGCTGCCGGTTGTACTCTTTGGAAAGGCTGGGGACACTTAAGACGGACCTTTGATCATACTGTCCAGAGTTCGCTTCTTCCTCACCTTCCGAGAGGTCTGCTGTATCGTCGATCTCGGGTCTGCTGCGGCGAGCAGAGTAGTTTTGCTGTATGACGAGTTGTCGGGGTGTAGGTCGAGATGTGTGGTTGCTGACCTGCTTGACTGCATCTCGCCATTCAAGAGCCAGGTCCTCGTAGAGATCGAACATTGCAAGTAAAGACCCTCGGATAGGCGCCAGATCTTCGTGCAGGAGCAACTTACTGATCAAGTTGGACTGGAACGTGTCAAATGCCGCGACCATACCATCCACGTCTGCCGTAGCTTCGAGATCGGTGTTGAGTTGCTTCATGACAACTGAGAGCATCTCACAGACATAACCTCTGAAAGTTGTCGCGAACCATGATAAACGCTGTCGCAGGGCCATAAGTTCTTTGACTCTACGTTCATTCGAACGATCACTTATGATGTTGAGTGTCCACTCTTGTTGATTCAGCAGATATTGAGCCCGATACAACCTTAGCAAAATCGTGAGTGCTTCTTGGCAAGCTGCCAGCGTAGCTCTCGTTAGAACATTTTGTAAGGCCCAGGTGATCTAATAAAATGTCAGAAAATGGTTAGAGCATGAGCTTTGACATATACTCACAGAATAATCGAGGATGATTCGACCCATCACGTCTGGTCGCCGCTGATGTGCACCATGGCCGTGGTCACTGCGCGGCTTAACTCGAACCGTGATATGGTCGGAGTCCACGGCTCTAATAGCCTTGAACGCTGTTTGAGCTAACTCTGTTAGCAGGAACCGGTCATCCCAGCCATTGCCTCGATCCATGCGTTGGAAGACAGCGTAAGCAAAATCCTGGAAACATGCGCCGTTGGCAGCGAAGTACAGGTGGTTGATCGCTTCGATGGCTGTTTGCAGACCACATTGCGACACTAGAACCTTGCGCAGTGTTGTGATCTCTGATCCTTCCAAGGCGTCAGCCCATTGCGTCAAGGCGATCGTGAAAACCTCCGAGAATGGTAATAGGGTATTGTCTATGGACTGCATGATTTGGGAGATTGTCAAACTTCGTGCGCTGCGTTCAGACACATCAGGCTTACGGCCAAGAGCTTCGAGGAACATGACACTCTTGCCAGCTCTAAAGATCCTCTCTGTTATGCTTTGCATGAAGCTGGGAGCGAATATGGAACCGTCGGCATTTTTCAAGAGCGTGTAACGCGAATGCCAGATAGACCCACGATCAGAGTGCTGGTCATCGGATCGCACGAAGAACAGTTCGTTTGAAGCAATCAGCTTGCCATCGATCATCCATAGCTTGACAGGACGAAGATATGGGCTCAAGCAATCTAACAAAAGACGAGAGACGCTTGCGCTTTCGTCATCTTCGCCAATGAGCTGGAGGCTACAAGCTTGCTCAAAAAGCCTGTTGAGCAGTTGCAATGCCTGGACGTTGTGCCTGAGAGAGTTGTCTGGTATCAAACTAGCGAGATGAACGAGTGGCGCTGATGTTCGATCGATCTCAGCGTGCATGCTTATTAGGCTGACAACTGCTGAGTTGTGTGGTTGGAGAAAGCCTTGCTCGATTTTTGAGAGCACTTTTCCCAGTTCATGCAGACGAGCTTGAACTGCAGCTTGGAAGCTTTGCAATACCACACTTTGCTGACTTGATGCGACGAACTGTCGTACAATCATGATCTGAGAGCCGAGCAATGCAAACTCTTGTAAAACACGATCTGATGTTGATGGTGCGACGTTTTGTATACGACACGAGTATTTTGCTCGGATGCGGTCGCTACTGCCATGGCTGAACAAATCTGTTGGCGTTCCATGAAGCATCGCCAGTACCTGACGAGCGGCTTGCAGCTCAGTGACTTCCGAGTCCGAATGCATGCCTGTCATACGATCACGCAAATCTTTGACCTTGTTCAGAGCCTGGGAATCCTTGGGCACAACGAAAGCACGGGCAAACGAAACAACATCTTGCGCGTCAAGAGATGAGGAGTGAGTCGATGTAGTAGGCTCTCCAACGGACTCATCGCTAAGACTCGGTGCACAATGTTCGGAGTAGTCTGACTCGATGTCGACGTCGTCCCAGATGCCCTCCTCGGTCAATGGGTCGTCGGCGATAATGTCAGCCCATGTCAGCTGTTCGACTGGCTCATCAGGGATTACTTCCAGTGCTTTATTGATGTCCGTCTTCTCGGCTGGGCGGTCTGAGAGAGCTAGCAGAAGAGCCAATGTTTCAGGTCTCCATTTGTTGGGTATAGCAGCCAGTTCATCAAGACGGGGTTTCAAAGCGTCGGCCAGTGGCTCATTGTTGAGAACATGGAACTTTTCGAGCAAGCCTTCAAGACGGGCGTCAATCTCGAATTGATTGACACGAACGTGCTGTTGTGATTTGAAAGTTCTGAGGGCAGAATCCTTGGAATGTCTGAATTGACGAGCATCTTTCTGTATCTTGTCAAAATATTGCGGATCATGGAAAGAACAAGACAGCGTACACGAGGAGTTGATGCAGCGATGGCATTGATCAGGTCATCGGTAAGGGTACCAAGTTTCGCAGCTTGAGCCATGTTGAGCCTATCAGGTACATGGTTGCATTGAGACTATTCCATCAGATGATTGACTAGACGTTGACTGTAGAGTTTGGACAAAGGCCGTGAGGGTGTGGCATGGAGACGCGTTCAAAGGCGGTGAGGGCGGGGACTTGGCCGAAAGTCGGGGCGTCGTCATGGCTGGCTATGAGCTCCCCGTTAACGTTTGGCACTTGTCGAGTTGTGCTTTTGAAACTTGGTGTAGCAAAGACAAGCACCAGACATCGCAGTCATGGCATTGCCTCCGGCGGTCCGCTTCATGGCGATTGGCACTATGGTTGTCTTTTGCTATCTATGTGTACAGATATTCCGAGCGCCGACGAGCCTGTCGGCGGGCGGCAAGGATGCTGTCAAGTTCAGCGACATGCCCAGGGACCCCAATCTTGACCGTACGTGGGCCATCTTCTGCTTCTGACGTGCTCGAAGTCTAACGCAGCCTTGCAGCCACTGGAGAGCCGCCGGAGCCACTGCACAGAGTGTCGGGCAATAACTATGCGCCGGACAACGCAAACTCGAACCGCATCAACGCTACCATCTTGTCGCTTGTACGCAACGAAGAGCTGGACGGAATCTTACAATCAATGCGCGACTTGGAGCGTACATGGAACCACAAGTTCAACTACCCTTGGACCTTCTTCAACGACGTACCTTTCACCGAAAAGTTCAAGGACGCTACCCGTGCCATGACCAAGGCCGAAGTCCGCTACGAGCTCATCCCTACAGAGCACTGGGAAGTCCCCAGCTGGATCAACCATGACCTGTTTGTCGAGAGCGCAAACGTCCTCAAGGAGCACGATGTCCAATACTCGCACATGTTGAGCTACCACCAAATGTGCCGCTGGAACTCGGGCCTGTTCTACAAGCACCCTGCTCTCAAGGACATGCAATACTACTGGCGTGTCGAGCCAAAGGTCCACTTCTTCTGCGATGTCGACTACGATGTTTTCCGCTTCATGCAGGACCGCAACAAGACATACGGCTTTACCATCAACCTCTACGACTCTCCCCAATCCGTCGCAACCCTCTGGCCCGAGACTGTCAAGTTCCTGGCTAACAACGGTCACCATCAGCATCCTAATAATGCCATGAAATGGCTCACCGACAAGGATCGTAGACCAGAAAACTACAAAGAGGCCAATGGCTACAGCACCTGCCACTTTTGGAGCAACTTCGAGATCGCCGACATGAACTTCTGGCGTTCCTCAGCCTACGAGGAGTATTTCGAACATCTCGATCGTGCCGGTGGCTTCTTCTACGAGAGATGGGGTGACGCTCCCGTGCATAGCATTGCACTTGGTCTCTTCGAAGACAGTCGCAAGATTCATTGGTAAGTCCTCTGTCTTCAAACTGCTCTTGGCTTTTCTAATTTTGTCTCTACAGGTTCAAGGACATCGGATACCAACATATTCCCTTCTTCAATTGCCCCAACTCACCCAAATGCCGAGGCTGCGTTACTGGTCGCTTCGCCGACGGTGAGAAATGGCTCAACAGAGAAGACTGCCGGCCCAACTGGTTCAAATATGTTGGTATGAGTCCTGAATGGGCTGTCCAGAAAGACTAGAAGCCGGAACAACTCGATGCATTTCTATACGGCGTTGGAGCGTGGTCACTTTTCTTCATATATACCTCTTGTCTGACCATCTCTTATGAACACGGGATGTTGCATATACCAGAACATCATGCTTATACACTTCTTCCTCAGGCTCTTGTGCCACACCCATATCTCCAGTATCATCACAGCTTCTCGATGCCGCCTGTTACCTGGAACCGGTCTGCACAAAATTTGCTCTGTCACGAACTAACTCAAACCACCTTGGCCTCGCCACCAACAAGCTCGCTGCCGCCCACAATCCCACTAGCCTTTATATTCGAGCTTTTCTGGTCCCTTTTTAACAAGCAAAAAGCCGTGGTGGTGTAGTGGTATCACACCCGAGGTCTTAACACGTGCGCAGTCATTCGTTGTTACTCAACGCCGTGTCAGTCTAGATCCGAGGAGGTCGCAGCCTCGATTCCTGCCCATGGTGCTTATTCTTTTTTTGTTCTTCCAATCATCAGTTTGTATTGTCGATGGTGATGTCAGTTTTTTACAGAGTTGCGAATTACAGATTCACTTGTGAGTCTTGTGCGAACAGTTTTCCCTACTGCTCTTTTACACCTGCACCTGTCTTCGGCGGAGTCGCGTTGCAACATGTTGTAAGTACCAATTTTTGCCTCAAGATTGAGTTCAGTATTTGAGACCACGAACCTCAAGACAAGGTATGAGCGATGATGTTCCCCTTTCTCAGACCTCATGACAAGCTGCGCACAAATATCGGCCAGGGATAAAGAATGATAGCTGAACTCGCTGTCCAACAGGGCTCTGTCGCGCGATTGGTATGTTTCCGCGCCGTGACTTTGGTCAAAAGCGCAAAACAAAACAGTCCAAAATGTCCACCCCCTGAATCGAACACCAGCCCCCTCCTTCAAGTGCATATATTCCTACCAAATTCACTTGACCACAACAATCCGCTGAGTTGGTGTAGCGGCTAACAACCCTACTCAAGATTGACGATAAAACACTCGTTCAAATCTCCGCCGTGTAGTCTTAATTTGGTACCAATTAAATCCAAGCCAGAAGAGCCGCTGCTCTGGTGATATTGATCAAGGAGATTTGAGAGGTTTTCCCAAGCAGTGAAAGCTCTGGTTTTTTTGCTGTTTTTGTTTTGTGTGATGGTGATGGAAGAGGATGATGGAACGACTGAGAGGCGTTGTGCGCCTTCCTTTTGAGTCCGTTACTGTTTGCTCTCATCGAATCATGGTTGGCAGGGTCGTCCTGAAGAAGTTGTTATTAGCGAGTGCAGCTTCCGCTTCGTCACTCGCGGATGCTCTTTCCATCTTCATCAGTCACTCAGCTCCACTCTGCTTCTCCTTAATGTCAAAACTTGCTTGACTGACAGAACCCTCAAGGAATCATAAATTGCATACATATCTTAAGGACGGTCGATATTCTCGTGTTCACTGACACGTTGAAAACCCCAAAAGCCATCTTCACTACCGCTACCACCCATCTTGGTCATCTGTGTTCTCGGTCTCTTCAATACTTCCAGACATCTTGAATCTTGTTGAGCTTCGAGATTGGGCCAAACAACCATTTAACAGCCACCAGGCTTTGCACTATCCGACTATCAGTACACGCCCACAATGTCATCGCGTCTTCAAACTCCCTGAAACTCACCGGAAGAACCATCCAGCAGCAGTCGTCTCACCACCATGCGGACATTTGCTGATCTCACTGTTCAGTCTATCATAGCAATCCTTATCGGCCAAGTCGAAACCAGTATTTCCATATAGATTCTGGACCACGAAGTCGATGTTCTGGCCTTGACCGCGAGGACACATAGCCTTCAATTGACGTGGCGCATAGTTGCCGGTAAACATGCCACCGGACTTGTAGCAGGCATCATTAATGAAGGTACGGGCTTGTTCGCGGTTGTTCCACGTCGCGCCGTCGGGAAAGCAGCGGGCTGAGGTGGTCATGGCCAGCGCAAGGGTAGTGAGAATGATAGTAGTCTTCATGTTGGAGTGGTAAGGTCGGGTTTCGGTTGGTAAGAGATTCGTTGCTTTGGATCTTTGTGGCTGGAATGATGAGGACTCAAAGGTGGGCAAGAAGCATCATTTTATATCTTTTCAACCTGACCATCTGCCTCCTAAAGCCCTGCAGTATGACGATTGAGCTCATGTGGCTTGGAGGATTTGAGAGATTGTTCCCCAAATAAGGGTAATGTCTGTAGCGACTGCGAGTCTCGACCGTTCAGCGAATTTATCCAAAGTGCGTTTGGGAGTAGTGATCATGCGCTCTGAAGGATTGAGAAGATAGTTTTTCGAACTCAGAAAGTCTATACGACTAACCACAGCGCTTGACCGGTTGATGAAGGCCGGCATGGCATCTCTCGAGTCTAGACGCACTGTGGAACGTCAACACTGGTTCCACCGCCAAGGAGGCAGGGACGGTCATACGCTCCGACTGGAATCCGCGGCCTTCATTAAAGAACGAAGCTTGGAACATCTGGCGTGGTCTCTCGTATTCATGTGAGTAAGGTCTGGTCAGGAGGTAAAGCCATAAGGCGATCTGGAACAGTTCGTTGGGAGGCTGTGTATACGGTCCTACTTGGTTGGCTCATGAATCAATCCTTATGATGTTAACGACAGAAGCGAGAACGCAGCTATATGAATTTGCTGTGGAGCCGCGGTATGTAATAGGCCTATCCTGATTCCATAAATAGAGCACTGTAGAGTGCCAAGCTCATCTGATGTGGTTAGTATAATGTATCAACTAGTGTATCAGATAGCCTTATACTGTAGCTTAGCTACGTGTCGAAAATATCTGTAAGCTTTCGTGTAGTCAACAATGATTTTGACGCGGAGACTGTGGTGCTCTTCATGAACAATAGTTGCAAGATTACAGCCACACCACTAGTTAGTTTTTACCAAGTTACAACTTTACTTAAACTCTGTTTCCATTGGGTTGGGTTAGTCAAGGTACTCAATCTGTTAGGTCTATGGAGTGTGAGTTGAGCAACACCAAAGATTGAACTGGGCAAGCGTACATTTTCTCGGCTTTTCCTCACAGATCACTCACACGAGTTCAACATAGCAACGGCAAAACATCCAGCCCATACTTCAGGCCTTGAAACTCAGATCTTGCTTCTGATACAGAACATATCTCTCCCCTCATCACTGTTTCTGATTTCTGTCGTCGACATTGTATGTTTTTCAACGCTGGCTTTTTTATTGTCTTCCCGAACACTAAACACTTTTGACACTACTGCTATGATCTGGTACCATATAATCATCATTAGGATAGATCATATTGCTGTCACTATCCGTCATCTCGAAGTCAGGTTCTCCATCTCTCTCCTAGGCTTTTGCCGATGCTGAAGATCACTGTCCTCTAGCAGGTACCGGGTCTGGCACTGTTCACATCGTCAGCGTTTCATCCTCATGGTTATCACTTCGTTGTTGGTAGCTTACCGGAAGAACCATCCAGAAATCGTACTCTCACCACCATGATCGCAAGAAATCTCATTGCTCAATCTGTCATAGCAATCTCCGTTTCCCAGATCAAAACCAGTGTTGGTGTTCAGGTTCTGAACCACAAACTCGAGACCGGTATTTCCAGAGCGGGGGCACATGGATTTGGATTGGCGGGCTGCGAAGTTGCCGGTGAACATGCCGCCGTTGTTGTAGCAGGCGTCGTGGACGAAGGAGAGGGCTTCGTCGCGGTTGGGGAAGGTCGATCCGGAGGAGTAGCATCCGGCCGAGGCCAGAGCGACAAAGGAGGTGAGGGTGGTGAGGATGGTGATCTGCATTTCGATGGATGTCTTTGTAGGTTGGGTTGATGTTTTTTGTTATGGAAGTGATTGAGGTGATGGTGAGAACTCAATGGGTGAGCCAGAAGCACTCTCTTTATAGTCTTTCTTTTTCGCATTTCTGATCATGGCTCTTCTTTTTTTCTCGAGTCCGTGTAGCACAAGATTAGCGCTTATAATATGTTGAAGGAGCCAGGATTCGATCCTTCTCAAACTCCTGTGGTATCTGTGACAAACTGCAGGCCTCTACCGGTCAAGAGCATCACTACACGGTAACCTTGAGCATCAAGGTAATACACGTATAGGAAAGTGTAGTTAGTCCGCAGCGGTTTGACAAGTCCAAATTCGGAGAAAAGTTGGCTCGCTGAGTGTGTGCTAAGGACCGGATCTCAGTGAGCCTCTATCACAGCTCTTTTCTGCAAGTGTTGCGGCTTTAGATAGTGCTTCAAACGCCTGTCAATCCTGGGCTCTCCTGTACCAATGATGACAGGCCATCGCTGCGGTAGCTCCATTGGGCAAGAAGTAGATGCGCAGAAAAGTCTTTAGTGCAAGAGTATGGATACGATGAAAAGGCCAACTAAGTTGTGTGCTTGAAGTTTCCACTACACTAGACATTCATAGTAAGCAATGTCATGCCATGGTGGGACGGGACGGGGAAGTTGCAGCAGTCAGGAGGGATTCTATACGTTGACCGAGTGTGCCTTCCTGTTTGAGCAATTGATGGAATTCAGGAGAAGATGGGCCCCTGCATGTTTTCTCTAGAATCTGTAAGCTCACTGTTGGTTGTCAGTTGACTGCCAATCACGCTGTCCCTGCCAAGCCGGGATCTTGTGCTCCTGCTGGAGTTCGTGCTACAGTCTCGAAGAGGGCGCTCTGGAGGCAGAAAGGATCCGGTGTGATGCTCCGCTCTTTTCTGAACAATTGACGACGGCTTTGTGATGGTATTTCTGCTGGAAGAGCGCTGAATCCTTCGGCCCCTCAACCCTCCTGCTGTTTTGTGCCTCGTGTTTTTGGTGTAGGACACCTGGAGAAACGGTGTGAGCCAGGTTCTACGGCAGTCCAGAACAGCCTTGATCAGATGGTTGTGTACCCGAGTTTACTTGGTTACTGGTAGATCTGGCCTTGCTCCTGATCGTCCGACTCCTGATCTTCCGACTTTCAGATTGCCACACTCCGCCATGCTACACTTCGAAATCATGTGGGGAGCACGATAGATGGCATGATATTCAGAATCCAGCGTCCTGTGGCACCAGAGACTACACACCTGTCTCGAGAAAGGTCCAATCAGCACACATCGTGATGCTGTCTCACTTACGAATTCGCTCTGACATTCAATCTCATAAGCCCACCTTCCACGAGATCAGTACTTTCTCCATTGCTTTCTCAACCACTATTCCCAGCACCAATTTCTTGTCCCCTCTTGCACTCTCTCACAGTTTTGATCCGGCTTTCAATCTCACAAGCCCACCATCGACCAGATCGTACTGCCTTCCCCTCTTCCAGCCCATCCATCTGGCCAGCACCTCCTCACCACCGACACCTGGTGCTAGTCCCTTACTCTCCCAACCACTGCCCTCAACGCCGATACCTTGTCCTTCATGTGCAGGTCGTGTATCGGCCTCAGCTTCTGAGATCGCTTTGCTGGGCGAATCCTTCAATGTCACGATTGGTCGTTGGTCGTATCCGTTGTTTTCCAGCTCGTCTTGCGTAAGCACAGGAGTGCAGCATGCATCTGTGTCATCGAAGATCTTCTCCCACTCAGCTCGAGACTTCGACTTGAATCTTGTGGTGAAGAGTTGTCGCAGAGCTGGCCATGTCGTGCGGTTTTCTCTGGGACCAGGTAGATCGGCTGCTTCGATGTCAAGACCCTTGAGCAATTGAGCGAAAAACTGCGGCTCCAAAGCTCCTCTACTCCATTGTCAGCAACGTTCCAGCAAACAACTTGACACATACTCACACGGCCATATACCCTCCACGTTCACACTCATAAGTATCATAATAAGGACACCCACCATCCAACAAATTCTCCCCCCTCTCACCTCCCCACATCTGAGTCTTCCTTCCCAACCTCGGCATAACACCCAAATAAGCAGCCCCATCAACCATGTTCGCCTCGACGACCTGCCCCATCCCCGTCTTCTGGCGCTGCAAAACTGCCATCACAATCCCCAAAAAACAAACCAATCCCCCACCTCCAAAATCTCCTAAAAGGTTCGCAGGTGGATATGGTGTCTGCCCCGCCCGTCCAAGTTGAGATAGTACACCAGATACGGAGAGGTAGTTAACGTCATGACCGGCCATGGAAGCATATTTGCCATCGCGACGAAATCCGGTCATCCGTGCAACTATGATCCTAGGATTCAATCTTAGCAAGACTTTTTCCGGGGAGAGGCCTGCTTTCTCGAGGACGCCGGGGCGGAAAGGGTCGATAAGGACATCTGTGTTTGGGATTAGAGAGAGGATGAGGGCGACTCCGGAGGGTGATTTGATGTCGACAGTTATGGAGGATTTGTGCCGGGTTAGTAGGTCCGCGGTGGGTGGTGGCGAATTATTGGTGTGAGCTCCTCGGACAGCCCGATCAATGCGGAGGACGGAAGCCCCCCAGTCTGCTAATAGAAGGCCTGCAAACGGTCCTGTGGGATTGTTAACACAAAAGACGTAGTTTAGACGGTGAAGATGATTTTCGATATTCACCTGGAGCTAGGCCAGCAAACTCAAGGACCCGAAGGCCCGTCAATGGTGGCGACTGTGACATTTGACAAGTTGATCTAAGTCAATGCTACGATTACGAATGTTGTTGTTTTGTCAAGCTGTCAAAAGTTGATGTGAGGTCGTCCTTGATCAACCTCGGATGCGGAGAGATGGCCGAGTCACAGAGATGCGGGGAAATCATGTCGAATGTAACAACGCTTTCAAAATGAAATTATATACAGTCTCGAAGGACCATGGGAACGCCCTAAAACAATCAAAACATGTGTCTATTGTCTTCTTTACTCGTCCATGACGGAAGCGAACTTCTCGTTCATCTTCTGCAGAAGCTCCTCGTACTGTACAAATTGTTAGTATACAGACTTTCATAAGAACACTGAAATTTTGACTTACCTTCTTGGTGATCTTCTCCTCACCATCATCCGGAACCTCGAACTTCATACTTCTCAATTCACTCTGGATCTCAGAGGTTGACTCTCTGACCTTGCTCCAGGCGTGACCTTGAGAGATGGCCTTCTGAGCCTCGTCGTGGAAGCCCATCATGTTCTTCATCATCCAGAAGGTCTTCCAGAGAGGGCAGAACTGGTCGTAGTCACTGTAACCGTTTTGTTGCAAGAAGTCCTCCTTGAGTAGAGTAGCGACATCAAGAGTAATCTTGTCACTGTCACCGAGTGCAGACTTTCCGACCAGTTGGACGACCTGTTCGAGATCCTCGGAAGTGGTCAAAAGCTCCTTGATGCGGTCACGCAGACGAGGGAACTCGGGGTTGTTTTCTTGGTAGTACTTCTCCAGAGAAGTGGTGTACTTGGAGTAAGAGAGCGACGTATTGATCGAAGGGAAATGCTTGCGCTGGGCAAGCTTCTTATCCAGACCCCAGAAGACCTGCACAATACCAAGAGTAGAACTGGTAACAGGGTCTGAGAAATCACCACCGGGAGGAGAGACGGCACCGACAATGGAAACACTGCCCTTGCGGTCAGGGCTACCAAGAGCGGTGACGCGACCAGCACGCTCGTAGAAAGAGGCGAGCTTGGCACCGAGGTAAGCAGGGAAACCTTGGTCAGCAGGCATCTCTCCGAGGCGACCGGAAATCTCACGAAGAGCCTCGGCCCAACGAGAAGAGGAGTCAGCCATCATGGCAACATCCTTACCCTGGTCACGGAAGTACTCGGCGACAGTGATACCAGTGTAGATGGAAGCCTCACGTGCAGCGACGGGCATGTTGGAGGTGTTGGCGATAAGGGTGGTACGCTTCATGATAGGCTCCTTCTTGCCGTTGACATCAATGGTAAGCTCAGGGAAGTCCATCAAGACTTCGGCCATCTCGTTGCCGCGCTCACCACAACCGACATAGACGATAATGTCGGAGTTGGAGAACTTGGAGACAGACTGGGAAATAACAGTCTTGCCGCAACCGAAAGCACCAGGGATACAGACGGTGCCACCCTGGACACTGGGGAAGAGGGCGTCCAGAACACGTTGACCGACGATGAAGGGCGAGTCGGAGCCGAGCTTGTCGTTGACGGGACGAGGGACACGGACAGGCCACTCCTGCATCATGCTGTATTCGAATTTCTTGCCCTCGAATTCAACCTCGAGGATCTTGTGGTCGACGGTGTAGCTGCCAGCCTCTGCGATACGGGTGATGGTACCGCGAGCTCTGGGGGGAAGAAGGATCTTGTGGTCGCTGAGTAGCGAGTTTTCCCAAACGGAACCGAAAACGTCACCACCAGTGATGTGGTCGCCAACCTTGTAGCCGGCGGGCTTGAAGTCCCACTTTCTCTTGCGGTCCAGGGCGGGCACATCGATACCACGGGGAATGTAGATGCTGTTGGAGACGTCCGAGATGCCCTTGAGGGGGCGCTGAATACCATCGTAAATGGTCTCCATCAAACCGGGACCGAGCTCGACTGACAAGGGCTTGCCAGTTCTGTAGACGGGGTCACCAACGGTGACACCAGCTTTCATAAATCAGCGGACTGTGTGTGATCAGTGTCCTTGTACCAACATACCAGTCTCCTCGTAGACCTGAATGGTGGCCTTGTCGTTGTCGATTCTGATGACTTCACCGACCAGACCGTCCTTTCCAACTTTGACCTGCATCTCTTAGTATGACGCATTGTGTATCCGAGGCAGAAGCGGTACGTACGAGTTCGTACATGGCAACACCGATCATGTTCTCTGCGATAATGACGGGACTGGACAGGCATTAGCAGCCGCTGGGTGGTGCTGGGCGGCGACGACACGACATACCCTGATACGGAGAAGATGGAGCCTGCGCCATGGTTAGCTCGAGTTTGGTAGCGTAACGGATTGCACGATTCACTCACCCTGCTGGGACTCGACATCTCTTGAAGGGGCCATGTTGACTGGCTTGTGGTTCGTTGAGCTGTCTGGTATGGGGCTCTCTGGGAGGTCGATGGACAGCGAGTCCTGTTCTACGGGCGATAAGGCGGCGGCGCGATCTATGTCCTTCGTGGTGACTAGATCGATTAGGGAGGGTCGCGTTTGTAGTCTGGGTCGCAATCCTAGCATACAATTGTCTAGGCACGAATGGGGGAGTTGTCCAGGTCGTCCGCCTGTCGCTGAGAACTGACGTCGCAACCGCACAGACCACTCTTCCCGCTCTTGGGGCTTCATGAAACAGACGCCTGCCAATTCTTATCATTAATTCTCCTTTTTCTACTCTACACGACCTCAACATCTGTCGTCTCTCCGAATCCGTTGTACGCTACACCTCTCAGGTTCCACTGAGATCTCTCTGGCTGTACCTGTCCAGCCTCGTCGGTGGCTTTACTCAAAATCTTCAATCCCTTACCTGTCGACATCTCGATGTTCGCTCTCCACAGTCTCCAGGACCACTTGCTTTCATCAGCATCGTGCTCAATCTCTGCCTCCGTCCATGTTTTGCCTCCATCTCCAGATACCTCCACCTTGACAACAGCTCCACCGTCACCACTAGGCAATGCAAATCCTTTCACCCTCACTTTGCCTTCTGCCGATCTTTCTACTCTTGAGCCAGGTTCGGGGACAGCGATGGCACTGTTGACAGGCATGGTCTGGAGTGCCGGTGTTATATCCCAGAACTTCTCGGCTGACTCGGTATCAACTGCCTCTGGTGGAAGGATCTTGTAATCATGTTGCTGGTAGAAGTTGGAGCTCTCCATCGTCTGTACCGTGATACGATCCAACCACTTGACACTTCTTGCACCGGCAATTCCAGGCACCACAACACGTACTGGAAACCCGTGCTCTTTCGTAAGTGCTTCTCCGTTCATCTGCACCTATCAGTCGCAGCCTGTCATTGTATCCATACAATCATACCTCAAGTGCCAAAATCACGTCTTTGTCTTCATCCATAGCTCTCTCGAGGTCGATCGAAGCTCCGTACCAGTCATCTTCCTGGCAAGGCTGTATATGGCTTGCAAAAGCAACATGTCCCTTTTCTTCCTTGCTAAGAGTAACCTTTGCTCTTTCCAAAATATCCTTCAGCTTCGGTCCACTCCATTTGCAGTTCATCACAGCTCCATCAAACCAATCGATGCCTTGAACTTCCTTGATCGCCGTGCGCATTGTATGTCTTCTGATGCCAGCGCACTGCAGTGCAGACACGACCGTGTGTTGGGACAGGCTTTGCAGATCCGACACTGAAAGATCAAGTATGTTTTCAACTGCTCCATCTATCCGAACATGATGCTTCGAGGCGTCAATCTCTGGTATGCCTCCATGGTTGCGATCGTAAGCATCTTTTGTTGTAAGAAATGATGACACCAATTCGGTAGTCTTTGGCTCGCGATTAAGAGGGTCGAAGCCGAGATCAGGCATGGCATATACTTGATCGAGACAGTGCTTGTGTTAGGATGTGCGGACGGAAACCGTGAATTCAAAGACAAGTAAGACCTACTTACGAGAACTTACAATGTGTCGAGAAGGAAAGCTGCCTTTGGTGTTTGGAGAGCTCTGCTGCATCAAGCGATGACGAAATGGCTTGGCGGAATGAAGCTCCTCTTCCAGTTTGCTCAGACTTCCTGACTTTCTTCATGAATGAGATCTCTTGACTCTCGCTACTTACCTTGACGAAACACTCTCGGGTGCTCAGCCGTGTAGTGTCGCAGAAGCACCATCTTGGCAACAATTGCTTGTGATCTGCACCGAAGGATGATCGCGACACAGAGCTTCACACCTCGAACCACAAGAACACAACAGACAGTCAGATACACAAAGATTATCTTCGTACCACCTGCAATTATGCTTGCTGGATTCTACTACTCCAACAGTAATTCTTCCGGTCAATTCACCACTGCTGCAGTGTTTCAGCCTATATGCACTGCTCGGCAACACCTTTCCCACCTGGGACGATTTCTCCGTGACCCCTCCAACATCAGATAGACCCCGCGCCGGTTCAAACTGGTGATCTTCGTGTAAGCCCTGAGCAATAGATTGTGTATAGGTGTTGTCGTCTTGACAGGTAGGTATCTCGTTTCTTCCGCATCTTTTCCTCTTGTGTCTCCTACCTCCAAGCAGCCAAGATGAAGTTCCGTGATGGTAAGTCAATAGATTGTATGGATGCTATGTCTTGGTCTGATAATGTGACCAGGCATGTGGCTTGTCGCCGAGGGCAAGCGATTGGAGTATGCTGAAGAAGTGTATTCTATCAACGAAACTGAAGATGGCAAGAAACTCACTCTGCTCTGCCCTACCATGCAAATCCGCAGCAGAGGTGATACCTTGAACCGCCCCACTCTGACAGTGGTATGTACTGCCCGCTCGACTCATTGAGTAAACAAAACCAACATTTTCTAGGAACTGGAAGCCGCAATGGACGACGTCCTCTCAGTTCAAATAACCCACTGGCACGGCGCCCTGAACAAAGGCCCCCATTTCGACCTCTTCCCCTCCGGAAGACCGACCGTGAACGCCAATATCCAAAAGACAGAGAAAGGAACTACGCTTTCGGCAGGAAACCTTTCAGCAACCGTCTCTTCAACCCCCCACACCTTCGACATACGCTTCCACAACAAGACCAACACTCACAAACTCACCTCCCTTCAAAACCGCAGTGTTGGCCTCTCCTACTCCCCCGCCACCTCCTCTCCAATGCAAACCTCAGACATGCGCAACATAAATCACCACATTCTAACTCAATCCACCCTGAGCGTCGGCGAACAAATCTACGGCCTAGGTGAACGTTTCGGCGCCTTGAATAAAGTCGGCCAAGCGATTTCCCTCTGGAACGCAGATGGAGGAACTTCTTCCGAGCAAGCTTACAAGAACATTCCATTTTGGATGAGTAACAGGGGATATGGTGTCTTCATCGATGCGCCGGAGAGAGTGGAGTTGGAGGTGGGGAGTGAAAGATGTTGTAGGGTGCAGACTTCTGTGGAGGGACAGAGGTTGAAGTGGTATATCATCTATGGACCTTCGCCGAAGGAGATTCTGGACAAGTATACTACGTTGACGGGAAAGCCCGGAAAAGTGCCCAGTTGGAGCTTTGGTGAGTCTTTGCTTTCTTCTCTTGTCTGCCTTTATGGTATTGGTGGTATACTGACAGCGGATATCAGGTCTTTGGCTCAGCACATCTTTCACAACAGAATACGACGACGCCACCGTTCTTTCCTTCCTCGAAGGCATGCGCGCCCGCTCCATCCCCCTAGAAGTCTTCCACTACGACTGCTTCTGGCTCCGCGCCTTCCACTGGTGCGATTTTATCTTCTCTCCCGCCCACTTCCCCGACCCTGCCTCTTCCATTTCCAAACTCAAAGCTTCCGGCTTGATGAACAAAGTCTGCGTCTGGATAAACCCTTACCTTGGTCAAGCATCTCCTGTTTTCAAGGAAGCGGCGGAAAAAGGATATCTGTTGAAGAGAAAGAATGGGGATATCTTTCAGTGGGATCTGTGGCAGAGTGGGATGGGTATTGTGGATTTTACTAACCCTGCTGCTGTGGAGTGGTATGTGGGATGTCTCAACAAACTCTTCGATATCGGGGTCGACAGCATCAAGACCGATTTCGGAGAACGCATCCCTAGTAAAGATGTGGTTTGGTTTGACAGCAGTCTGGATCCTGAAAAGATGCATAATTATTACGCGTTCATTTACAACAAGGTTGTCTACGAGGCATTGCAAAAGAGATTTGGAAAAGATGAGGCTGTGTTGTTTGCCAGAGCTGCGACGGCTGGTACTCAGCGGTTCCCATTGCAATGGGGAGGTGACTGCGAAAGCACTTTTGAAGCTATGGCTGAGAGTCTGCGTGGTGGGCTTTCGCTGGGCATGTGTGGATTCTCCTTCTGGAGTGTCGACATTGGCGGATTCGAAGGTACACCTGACGCTTCGATCTACAAACGCTGGGTCCAATTCGGTCTACTTTGCTCGCACTCGCGACTCCACGGTAGCAACTCCTACCGCGTTCCCTGGCTGGTCGACAACGACGACGAGACCGAACAAGGCTGCAGTGCGGTACTCAGAAAGTTTACGCAGTTAAAGTGTAGATTGATGCCGTATTTGTACAGTACGGCTATGGAGAGCATCAAGCATGGTTTGCCTGTCAGTGTGAGGGCCATGGCGATTGAGTTCCCAGAGGACAAGACAGCTTGGTTGTGCGATCAGCAATTCATGCTTGGGGAGAGTCTGCTGGTTGCTCCTGTGTTCGATGAGAGCGGAGGGGTTGAGTTTTATCTGCCTGCAGGCAAGTGGACTAGCTTCTGGAACGATGAGGTTGTGGAGGGGCCAAAGTGGGTCAAGGAGACGCACAAGTTTGATACTTTGCCGTTGTATGTCAGGGAGGGAAGTATCCTGATTCTTGGCAAGGAAGGAGAAATGAGGACAACTTGGGACTGGACCAAGGATGTCGAGGTCAAGACATTCTTCCCCAACGAGAAGTCGAGTTTCAAGCTCGTGGACCCGGACAACAAGAATCTGGCTACTATCACCGCAGTCAAGGAAGGGGATGAATGGAAGGTCAAGGGCACTGATGCTTTGGCTTGATTACGCAAGGTTTAAAGAAGGTAGATTCAACATTTCTAGAGTACGCTTATTTCACTTATTCATGTATGTCATCTACAAAGTCTCCGGCGGCTGGGTGATCTGCAAATCAGATTAGCGTGAGCTCATCCTCTCGGAGTCGGATGGGCATACCTTTGTCAAATGGTCACCATTCAGCGTCTTCATAACCTTGCCCAAGCCCTCGTGCGAGTAGTCGTTGTGATTCCACATGTCCTTGTGGTACTTGACCTTTCCTTGGTCATCCAACGTCAAGGTGATCAAGCTGTTCACGGGCTTCGAGAAGTGAACGACTCTGGGTGTGTATTCTTGTTGAAGCTTGAAAATGATGCGATCGGGTTTCGACTCGACGACTTCGGTCTTGAGGGTTTGCGACTTGGCCATGACTTTGGGGATGCCGTACCATTGACCGGCAATCTTGTATCGGGTGTCGCAGTATGACCTGTGTTCAGTCAGGACATGGTTTCCTATGTGCCAATGATGTGGATGCTCCTAGAGAAACAGAAGGGCCGCCTCAAACATACCAAGGATCGTCGTATACCGCCTTCTCGGCATAAACCTGCATATCCTCCTCACTTGCACTACCAGAGTACAAAGCACAGATGGACTTCACAATCTTTTCTCTTTCTGGCTCGAGCTTGATGCTCTTCTCGGGATGAGGTTCATAGTCGACACCGGTGGATGCGTTCTGGCTGGGATCTTCTTTGTTTCCAGTCAAGGCTTGAGGATCGGGTCTGATTTCGTAGGATTGAGGAACCGATGGGTCAGGCATTGTTGCGGTATTGGGGATGCAAGTATGGTAGTCAGGTTATGAGGCTCTAGGAGGAAGGTTTGTTGATGGGGTTGTTCGCAGGATATAAATCAATAGCTTGAGAACGGAACTATGCCGTCACTATTTCACATGAAGGGGTCATTGGGGAAACTGCTACCAGACGCACAGACTCTCTTAACGGCAGCCGTCTCTTTCTCTACCAATGTTCCCGAGATGCCTGCGCTCCACGAAAGTGTCGGGCGTTCGTTATTCGAGGAAGCTGCAGCCCACCTATGACGCGCGCAGCAACCCTGGTGGTTCCTTCCATCAATGTTTTCGAACGACAACACTCGAGTGCAACCATCTTCGTACAGGCTTCAGCTTGCTCTCTTCTTCGTCCACGTCCAACTCCATCACTGTCCTTGACAAAAGACGCTTCATTCCTTCGCGTCTATCAATCTCCATTCCATCTATTTCTCTTTTCCATCAGTACATTCTTCGCTATCGCCGGCCGATACGCATTCTCATCGTCCACCTACCGAATCAGCAACTTCTCTTCAGCGGTGCTCATCTAAGCCACCAGTCAATTTATCAGTCAAGATGCCGGAAAAGGCGGTTGACCTCGAGCTTGTCGGCCTCACCATTCTCGCTATCCTCTCACCGATCGTCTGCGTCTTCTTGATCAAAGGCTGCTGTGGAACACTTTTCATCACTTTTCTGTTGACCGCACTAATGTTTGTCTCCCCGCAGCCATTTACTGTGTATCCTCTGACCCAATGTGACAGGGTTTTTCCCGGCATCTGGCACGCTCTCTACATCGTCAGCAAGCATCACAAGAGACAGCAGGCAGACAGGGCCACCAGCAGCGTGCAGGTCATCCAGACCGTCCCTCAGAACTCCGGCTCCGGCATGACTCCTGCTCCAATGGTCCGCGTCATTACATCTCCACCCGCAAACCAGACCATCCAACCCGCACCTGCCACTCAGACCTCAACTCAGACCATTCAAGCTGCTCCTTCACCCGTTGAGCAGGTTGTCGTTACAGCACCAGTCGTTCCGATCCCTGCCCCACGTTGAGCACAAGCACAAGGAATTGTTTCAACACCTGCTGTTCGACTCCACTGAGCCCTGATAGTAAGCATGAAGGACGGAAACATGAATAACGATACCACGACCCTCTGAAAGATACCTACTTCCATATCACATCTAATAAACCTCTGCCTCCACCATGATTGTCTCTCAAGCTTTCTCGTTATCTGCATCCCATGACTGACTGTAGCCATGTTTGTTCACTCAGTAGTAACGTTACGGTCAGCGTGCTCTCGAGGTCCAAGTAGAAAGTGCAAGATGAGTGGAAACTTCTCATTGTGGTCCCGATAAAGTCAGTAGTGAGTCTTGAGTCTGGAATGAATGCCATTCACTGCCATCAAATATGTCTCAGACCAGTTCCAGGTATATGTTGCCAAAACCGGCAATCCTTAGACTTCTGCTCCCCCTTCAATGCAAAGTAACCAAATCCCCCAAACCAACGCCCGCTCAAATGCAAGAGCAAGATAAAGTCCTCTCCACGATCCAGTTATGCCTGAGTGTTGTCCATTTTCAAGTCTTGCTGGGCTCCATTTTCTTGTTGCATGGATTCATCGCCGCCTGCAAGGACCTTTGTTCTGGGTACACTGCCCTCGTTGGGGTTGCCTCCGGGGGTGACAGCTGAGACCTTCCCTTGCTCGTCGACGAATTCGAAGTTGTAGCGGGATAGCAGATGAGGTATGGCCGAAAGCTGGGGACCGTAACGCTGGGCATTATCGTAGAGCTCGAACAGTGGAACCGCGAGTAGCTTCATGTTCTTGGGGACACTCAGGACCTCTGTAGTCGACTGTCAGTGTTGGAGCAGTATTTAGGGTGTCCTGGCACATACTGCTACTGGGAAGCTGGATGAAGTACAGCTTCTTGCATTCTTTCGGACGAGAGACGTGCGGCGGGATGAAAGGGTACATGAAGGTCTCGAAGTTCGGTCTCCACCATTGCGCCAAAGTCTCGCCAATCTCCCATTCACCCTCGTTGCCGTCGTTTGAGAATTGGTTACCAGAAGGAGCCAATCTCTCGTTCAGACGGGTCTTGAAGCCTGAGATCTCGTCGGCGTCGTGTGGAAGGTAGTCTCCGGGCAGCTTGAAAAAGGCGTTTGCGATTTGCAGCATGAGGACGTGTGGGTGATTGTGGTCGTGGCAGACAAGAATGCCCTCACAGGTTCTTCTCATGCCGTATTCGTCGTAGTGCTCTTCCAAGCGCTTCAGACGAGCGAGTACTGACGGATCTTCTTCCGGTTGTGTCTCTTTCGTGCCGAATGTGTAGTTGCTCAATGGGTATAGTCTGACTGTCTTTGGCTGGTGTGAATTAAAGTCTGGAGGAGCTATCGGACTGTGGGATGGTCCTTGTCGTCAGTCGTGTATGCGGTAGGTGGATGGATCATGGCATACGGATATGAGCTCTGCTGAGCATCTTTTGAGATTGTCGTCATGGTCTAACCAGTGGGAGCTGTGTGGACTTGTGGGAATGAGAGGAGGGCGTCGAGGTTGCGAAGTAAGATTTGAGCGCAACAGGATTGAAGGAGTGCTTTTCGATGGAAGTAAAAGTGATTGGCAGCAAGTCGACGACGAGACTCCAAGCTTGACGCCGACTCGGCCCAAGATGCGCGACTCGCGACAGACCGTGGATCTTTTGTGGGGAAACTCGTTCCTGCCAAGTTGGGCTCGGTGCCTTCACTCCGATCACTCGCCCTTCTCGACCGCTCGTTCGCTCCTTCCTTTCTTCTGACCAAAAGAAGGGTAATCGCAGCTATTGGCCTTATCCGGCATGTGACAGCATCGCGAGCTAGTGCCACGCAAGCACATCTCACACCTAGACATACGGCCAAGTAACCTGTTTCCATTGTTCCTATCATCTCTCGCAACCACTTACAACAGTACTCATCTACAGCTCACAATGTGCCGGTAAGTATCACACAACGAGACTACAGCTTCGGAGACCAATTCCTCGCAGTTGGTTCGCCTATCTCTCACCTACAGAGCCCTGTCTGCTCTCAGACGTCCTCATAACACCTAAACACGCTCTTACCAACCAAGTAAACGACCACTACCTACCTCGCCTTATCGCCCATCTGCCCGACAAAATCACTGCAGAACACGAAGCTAATGCGCGAAACCGCATTCTCAACGCCGATGGTCTGGGAGTAGCTTGGTACACGACCTCCTACAGCGACTTCGAAAAAGGCATCACTGGCGAGAGCGAAGATGGGAAGCCTCATGAAGGTCTCAGACCTGCTGTATACAAGACGATACAACCTCCAAAGGGAGACATGAACTATCGTTCCATCTGCGCCAACACTGAGACTCGCTGCTGTTTCGCTCACATCCGTGCTACCTCAGCATCCGCCGTCACTCAGGTGAACAACCATCCTTTTCTGTTCGGAAGAATCACTTTCATGCACAACGGTGCAGTCTCGGACTTCATCGACATCAGACGTGGTATTTGCGACATCCTGGATCCCGACACGTACGCCAATATTGAGGGAAGCACCGATAGCGAGCACATCGGTGCGTTATTTGTCCACTATTTGTCTGAGGGTCGAGGCAAGGACAGCTGGGATGAGGATTACTCAGTGCACGCCATGGCAACTGCCATCCGTATAGCCGTCAAAACAATCATCGACTTGCAGAAGGAGATCCTCGGTGCAAAGAGAAAGCCCAACTCGTTGAACCTGGCTGCAACCGATGGCACCAAGATGATCGCATGCCGCTTCCGCAATCACGCTATTGAGCAGCCTCCGAGTCTGTACTACTCGACCAGAGCCGGTGTGACTCTGAACCGCAAATACCCAGACCATGCCGATGGAAAGAATATATCCGATGAGGGCCCAAAGAAGTCAGAGGACGAGCACGGAAACCACGTCATTGTCGCCAGCGAGCCAAGCACATACATAGACGAGGATTGGGAGTTGATCGGCAAAAACCAGTACCTGCTTGTAAACAAGGATGGCAAGGCTATCATACAGAACATGATGTACGGTCAGACATGGGATGCAGATGATGAAGAAGCTTAGAAGGCAATCTTGGCGGAGGCCGCTTCACGTCGTTCATCCGAGGCATGATGAGAGGGACGTGTCTCAGCCAGCAGCTTAAACAAGACTCATAATCGCCAATAGCAATCGCCCTAATCTAGGCTCAGATGCACCTACCGACCGGCTTGGTCCCTTCTAATGCCCCGTCACATTGATAGAAAGTTCCATCTCACTATCACAAGATTGAGCAAAGCGGTGCGACCGTATTATTGTCCGTATGTACAATTGCCGTGAAATCCGGAGGTCTTGATGTTGTTAGGGCTCTTTTAGGAGACAAGCTTCTTCATGGCGTTTCAAGCATTAAGTGTTTCATCGCATTGTCGTTCGTGGTTGACTTTAAGCGAAGCCAGTCAAACTTCCACCCCGGCCCTAAACTTCAACTCTTGACACTGGTCCCTATACCTGGGCCTATAAAGAGTCCACTCGTTTCTATATTTGAGCTCTTAATTGGTGGCTTTTCTCTGCAAATCTTTCCTTCTTGGATATTGTTGTTCGAGATGCGGCATCGGCGGGCACCAGTTTCATGTTGATCATCCGCCCCAGGCTCGACGCCCAGCCCTTTTGCGGAAGGTCTTTTGGATCCGTTTCATCGAAATATAGAGGCGTCGTCAACCTTACACCTTCATCGAGTGTATTTAGGAACCAAACTTGGCTAACCAAGGATCTATCGGTTGTGCCCTAGAGAGGGTAGGGTTGTTCAGGTAGGATATCAGTCGAGTCTCGTCCGCTCAACTTCTCCTTCGTTCTCTTGTGCCCTTTTCATCTCTAACCACCAGTCTTTCGTTAAACATTTCCTGTCATTCTTTCTCAACCATGCGTTCGTTTTCTACTCTTTTGGCTTTCGCTGTCGCTCTACCTGCGCTGGTCGCAGGTGAGCTTTCCGGCAAAGTCGGTCCTACCACTTCCCACGCCACCAAGGCTGCAAAGAAGACTTGCGATATCACCAAGTATGGTGCTGTTGCTGACGGCAAGACTGATATCAGTATTGCTCTGAACAGCGCTTTCACTGCTTGCAAGGCTGGTGGTGTAGTTGTTATCCCCTCTGGCAACTTTGCCATGAGCAAGTGGGTCAAGCTTGCTAATGGCAATAACTGGGCTCTGCAACTTGATGGTATCATCACTCGCACTGGCACTGATGCCGGTAACATGATTATGATTGAGCATAGTGATAAGTAAGACACCCTAGATGTCTGCTTGACAGGCGTTTACTGACTAGGTGCAGCTTCGAGATGTTCTCGTCTACTGGAAAGGGTGCCATTCAAGGTAATGGCTACCAGATCCACAAGACCGGCAGTACATCTGGTCCCCGCCTGCTGCGTGTTTGGGACATTACCAACTGGTCTGTTCACGACATTACCCTGGTCGACTCTCCTTCCTTCCACTTCTCCATCGACACCTGCACGAACGGTGAAGTTTACAACATGGCTATTCGTGGTGGTAACGAGGGCGGTCTCGACGGCATCGACGTCTGGAGCAACAACATCTGGATTCACGATGTCATGGTCACCAACAAAGGTAGGAGTTATCCTTGTGCCAAGACAAACAATCATGCTAACCAAAATCTCAGATGAGTGTGTCACCGTCAAATCACCCTCCAAGAACATTCTTGTCGAGAACGTCTACTGCAACTGGTCAGGCGGTTGTGGCATGGGTTCTTTCGGCACTGATACTGCTGTCTCTGACATCACATACAAGAATATTTACACCTGGTCCAGCAACCAAATGTTCATGCTCAAATCCAACGGCGGTTCGGGCACAGTATCCAACGTCGTCCTCGAGAACTTCATTGGGCATGGCAATGCGTACAGCCTAACGTTAGACGAGGCATGGAGCTCAATGAAGACAATTGCCGGCAATGGTGTCCAACTTTCCAATTTCAAAATTTCAAACTGGACCGGCACCGAACTCAAAGGCACCGCCCGCGGTCCCATCAAAGTCGCCTGCGCAGCCAACGCTCCCTGCCACGACATTTCCATCACTGACTTCGCCATGTGGACCGAGCAAGGCAGCTCTCAATTCTACTCTTGCGAAAACGCATATGGAAGTGGATTCTGCTTGAAGTCTGGAACCAGCTACAAGTCTTATGCTGCTACTACCCAGTGGGTCAGCAGTGCTCCTACTGGATATGCTGCACCTACTATGGCTGCGGATTTGAAGACGGCCTTTGGTACTACGCAGAGTATCCCGATTCCTACTATGCCTGCCAGCTTTTTCCCTGGTGTGCAGCCTTATACTAAGTTGGCTGGTAGCAAGTAAGTGCGATGATGGCTCATAGGGACTCTGGAAACAACGGGTGATTGGAGGGAACGTAGTCTTCTATTCATCGTATTGTCAAGCTGTTCCCAAACTTTTAGTTTCTATGCGATAGGGGTGATTCAGGGGTAAAACCATCGCCCTCCTATCGCGATTGTTGTGATTTCGTCTTCATGGAGCGCCTTCCTCAGTAGCTTTGTCCTAAGGCACAATGCTTTGTCGGAACGCCTCAGCCTCCAAGGAAGCCAACACTACCACCGGCATCCGATCCGATCCGATCCATATGAACTATTTTTCATTCTCATGTTCTCGTACTCTCGTGCTCTCTGATGGTTCCATACTCCCACTATCTCAAGTCCATGATCATTGTAAGCATAGTAGTAGTGCTTACAGATGCGATGCTTGTCAGCGTCATCATGGGGGTTTCTGCACATATTTTACGAAGAGAGGCCACTCGGTCGCAGACTTATTTGCTACTTCAAAGCCCTACGCATCTTCCTATTAGATTCATCGCTCTTTTCTACTTACCAAACTCCATTACAAAATCTCATGGCTACCAGGATACACAACACAATCACATCTTACAAGAGGCAATATCAAGCATAATATCCACATCAATTCAGAAATCACACTACATCTCTACAGGAGGCGAACGACCCAGCTCACTAGATTAGGAAACAACAATCTGGCCTACCAAATTGAGAAGGGTCAATTCAAGTCACCAGATTAGGAAAGGGTGAACTATCAATGAATCATGGAAGGACCAATCGACTAAAAGAAATTGACGAACAGGAAAAGAGCGACTTGAAGGGAAAGACCGACAGGGTTTGTGAGGATGAAACAAGAAGAGACTCCTCGCGGGTGCACCGAGAAGAGAGACATAGGAAACTTTGACAGATGCACATACTTAGAAAGAACGATAAAACTTAGCAAGCAGAGAACAAGCAGTCTAGTTAACGAAGCACAAAAGAGCTATACGGCTAGGGGTAGTGGCAGGGCCAACGGATATTGCGAAATTACACATAAAAAAAGCCTAGCCGACAAAACACAGATGCAAGACAGGTTACAAGAAAATAGAGAAGTAAACATTTAGCTCCATATAATCACAGAACAAGCGATCGAATCAAAGGCTAGTACGGAAACGCATGAGCAAAAAGATAAACAAGAACAGGTCTACGGAAAGAGAAGAATATAGAGATAGTGAATGACGAATCCAAGAAAGGAAGGATCGACTTACAGATACAAAAAGGAAAGGAATGATTGATTACCTAGCGTACGAGAAAAGAGCGACCCAACTGACAAATAAGGAAGTAACGACCCAATCGCGAGAATAGGAAGGCACGAAAACGGAAGGAGCAACCTAATTGACGGAATAGGAAGCAACGATTGGGTTTATGGGTTAGGGAGGAACTATTAGGGGCTAAAGATAGAAAATGAGAGAGCGACTTCCTGGCAAAGGAGGAAACAACGACCAGCTTTTAATAACAGGGAAGGGATTTGAGATGCTGCACAAGGAAGGAGCGATCAATACTCACGGCAATTATAGCTTTCACTGACAATTCATCATCTCACCACGCGCATGCAGTAGAAATGCAGTGTTTTTGAGATTAGTATAGCCCTCCACTGAGAGCGTAATAGTTAGCGGCTTTCCACGGACGACTAGAGCGATTTTGAGAACATTGTGCATTTCTACAGACCAAACAATATTAGGCATGGCCATGAGGGATGGCTAGAAGTGACAGAACTTAGCACACGGGGATGATTGCAGCAACAGGTCAATATCGGTACATGGGCGCGTCGGGAGTCTCAGATACGTCTGGACATCCCGATCTCGTCTTGAAGCACATTTGAAGGTATGCGATCTGGTGAAAGCCACAGAGTGAAATTTGGTTTGTATTCATCTACGCTGCGCACGTCTCATACCAACCCCTCAGTGCGCACTGTTCGTTGTGTTTCAAACCAATAGATACTCTTGCATCGTGTCGTCCTTAGCGGCAGCTCCGAACTTGCGGGTTAGACGCTCAATGACCTCGCCAGGAAGATCGCCGTAGACCTCGAAGTTCTCGACAGGAATTCCAAGACCCGCGAAAGCATCGGCCAGATCAAACCCAGAAGTGTGAAAGCGTCTAACATTGTTGTGGGTGAAGGTGAAGATGGTGTTGTCCATACGCATCATCTGAACAGGATGAGCAGTGGGCTGCGTAAGAAGAGGGTCAATGTCTCCGCGCATCTCCTCAACTCTGCCGGCGAAGCAAGTGATAAAGCGTATCTTGAGTGATTCCAGGTTGTTGCCGAGCTTGTTGAGACTTTTGACGATGTGGTTGAAGTTGTGCTTCAGAGCGGCGACACCATTGCTGTGGCGAGGGTGTTTGATATCCAGCTGTGTTGACACGCTGATGACCAAATGCTTGATCTGGGACAGAGATTCAAGATCGAGCTTACGGGTGAACAATTGGCCGGTGATCTGGTAGCGGAAATACTCCCCAACAGGGATGATGAAGGTGTTCTGGGTGAAGAGGGTACTGGTGAGCTCGGCGCTGATCTGCTTGTTTGCATGAAGGAGACCTCTAGCATTGACAAGAGGCTGGTAGCCCTCAGTTCCCCACAGAGGAGTGCCGGGGCTGATCATCAGACGCTCTTCCACGCTGTCCTTGAGATTTCTGATGCTGAAGGGGTCGCCAGTAGCGTTGATGAGGGAATCATGCTCTGCCTGTTGGGCGGGCGTGTAGCGAGCGACAAGGAGATCTTCGTAGACCTGTTTCGTTCAGTCAGTGGTTGAAACGAATGAGATTTAACGGAGGACGGGCTTGCCTTGTTGCGAGCCTCACGACTGAGGTTCAGAAATTCGAGAATGCCTCCAGGCATAGGCACATAAAGAGAGCAGTGCTGCTTGTGCTTGGCCCAATGCTCCTTCTGGCAGGTCTTGCTGCAGTAGAATATGACCTTGCACTTGCCGCATTGAAGGGTGCCATCCTCACGGCAAGAGCTAGATGCACATCGCTTAGTCTGAGCAGTTGTCATGATCCAAGAATTGTACGATGTGGATGATGGGTGTGATGGAAAGAGAGCTTAAAGCAAGGAGAAGGGAACGGGTAAATAAGCAAGATGTGCGTGTTGTAGCAAGCGACGGTGAACGACACAAATGGCAGACGCGGAAGACAAACAACACCAGGTCCGGCACGATGAATGAGACACACGCAAGGCTTTCATGTTCTTCAGACTTCTTCGCACAGGCAACATGCCGAGAGCCGTGTCGTATGGCATGGTTCCTTGTCACGTTCTGTAGAATACTCTTGAGCCAATGCTAAATCCTCCTGGTGTCTCGCAGTAAGGCCTTCAATAACATGTTCCTTACTTGACGGCCTTTCCACCCACGGCATTGGTTCCATTGGCAGGAGAAGTTGCGACCTTGCTAACCGGAGCAGCAATCGCCGCCTTCCTCTTGAACAGCCTCTTCACAGGCAAGGTCGAAATTCTGGCAAAGTTAGGAGTAAGCCAAAGACTCAAACCCAATCTCAGCGGCAACAAGGCTTTCGTAATCGCATATGCAGTCGCAAACCTGTATCACTTGTGTCAGCTTCCCTCCGCATACACGTCTCTTGTTCTTCTGGCAGAGGAACTCACTCAACAAGCAATCTCACACCCCCCTCACCCCTGGGCCACCACTTCGCCAACCCCTTTCTGTTCTTCTCCTGCTCAAATCCTTCTCCATCGGCGTCTCTGATCCATCCCTTCTTCCTGAAATATCTTCCGAACTTTTCCACTCCCTCTTTAACGTAGTAGCCCTCTGAGAAGAACGGTGGTAACCAGTTGAACTTGTGGAATGCAGCGGTGAGCGCGAATAGTGGTAGGATAGCAGTGAGCTCGTGGAGGATCAGGAAAGCGGTGATGTGGGAGATCGGTGCATTGCGGAGCGGTTGGACGTAGCGGGCTAGGAAGCGTGGAAGACGGGCCTCGAGGCGCGAGATGCGTGAGTGTTTTGACGCTTCGCCCGTCGGCTTGGTGGATTGATGGCGTATCTGTTGTTGAAATGTACTGCGGCTATTACGGAAGAGCGGTGACACTCGCGATAGAAGCCTAGACGGCGGCATCATGGGAGGTATCTATCTCGATGGTTTTGTATTGATGTGGACGCGAAGTTGCTCGAGAACCTGATATGTGGCTACGTCATACTTGCTTCAGGCATCACCCTGTCTGACAGCTGTCATCCCAGCATCGTTCTATCGATAGCATTCCGCGCTGTAGCATGGTATGACTCTCGAACATCTAAGCTGAAGTAATAGAATGGTAGAGCAAATCAGTCGCCCCCAGTGGACAGCGTGCACAATTTGAAAAGGATCATGCATTTTGATAGACATTTCCCAAGGGCGTCGTTGCGGCAGGAGCAGCCAGCAATTCCATTGTGACCAACGACCATAATTCGTACGATGTTCATTTTCAGTCAAGTCCTTTACTGACAGTTCCAAACCCTTATATACTCACCGCCTTTCAATTTTGCTGGCCACTGGCCCCGGAAGAGACCAGTCACAGACGAAAATCCCCATTCCAAAAAAAAACTACAAAACAATCGTATGAGTAGCTGAGGTGGTGGCTGGGTGACTGGACCAGTGGCCGACTTTTTTTTTGTTACGATTGTTACGGCAGGTTGGGGTTCAATCCAGTCGAGCCACGTTCCTTTTCGCCTTTGTTTTTGATGGTGTTGATTGAGTTGGGCAGAAGAGAATAGAGATGGGGTCTATCGGTACAGTAACAAGAATGACCATCATGTCAAAGGTGACCCTGCTTCTGACCTTTTCTCGCCAAACCTTCCACCAGATAACCACGATACGCAACTTCCAATTTGGGGCTAAAGCAGGGCTCATAGATCCTCCATCGCTCGGTGGGGTTTACCTATCGCGTCAGTGAGAATCGGCTACTCGGTTTGAGCTCTCAACCTCGGGATTTGGGCATTTGCATTTGCAGTAGTTCGAGACCCCGAATCCATTTCGCTAAATCAATGCACGCAATGATAATGCTCTTATACATACCCGACAGTCGGGCAGCCAATCACTTCAGTTACGGAGAAGTGTTGTGGTGTGCACAGAGCCTCATCAATTAGTGTTTTGCGGTTTATTGTGAGTCGTCACGATTTCTGCATGTCGATATATCGATAAAATCTTTTGATATTGAATGAGGTAGTTATTTAGCATGGCCGACGGCATAGATTTCTGGCTCTTGAGAGTCAGGGCACTCTAGGGCCACGGCTACGGACTCTTTTCCGAAAGCATGTCGGGCATGCTCAGGGCTAAGTTGACTCAACATCAGAGCCTCTCCATCGTGAAGTCGCACTTGAAGTGGATATATCAATGTCAGAAGTCAAGTCTCTACTCCGTATCACCGTATGCTCAAGCACAGTGAACGCGATTGCACCGAGGCTCACCATCTCATCTCCGAGATGAGCTATTGCCAAGCGGGTCTTCTCTTTGATGCGATCTGCCCTGCTTTGTTTTGGCCAGTATTTGCTCATCGATACGGAGTCCACAAATGCACATCATGATCCTTCGCGAGGGCATGAAGAGGGGGGCGAAGTTGTCCAGGGCGTCGTCGTTGAAAGTCCGCCAATGAATCCTCAGGACGAGGATTCGTGAGAGGGTCAGCATACAGCATGATTATGCGGAATTGTGCCGCGGAGTGGACTCCTTGTGTCATTTGAAGCAGGTCTGCAGTTTGCTTCATGTACACACACCCTCTTCGATGTACAATACTCATCTCCCTTCCGAGATGGGGGTTACATGTTCCTCATCACGGTCATGTTTCGCGTGTCGAGCAAAGCTCTCATTCGAGGCTCAAGATGCGCAGCGATTCGCTTACCACGAAGATCACATTAAATTGATCCAGAAATCTGCGACTGTGAATCTTGTCATGTGTCATGTCCAAGGGCCACTCGGATAGAGGTCGGCGAGGTACAAGCGCGTCACACAAGCCCTTAATAAGGTTTGCTAGCGTATATGCACTCATGATCCGGTAGGACTCAGGCACGGCCCGCTCGCTCGCTCGTCGTGATTTTTCTTAAATGGACAGTTTTGCGAAGTCATGCTGGTGCTGCTGGCTGTTGGCAAAGTGTGGGACTGGCTCGTTTTCGTTTCTTTGGGACGCCTACTGCCGGACAGGTTTCAACGCTTTTCCTTGCTCTGCCATATTGCAGACCTGATATTGGGGCATGCTCTGTGCGCAGGACGATAGCCGTGTAAGAGTGCGCAAGACTGGCGGTTGCAACTAACGACAAATCATGAGCGAGCATCTCCGCAGCAGTTAACTCGATCTGCAGATCGGTGTGGTTTCTCGGCTTATAGGGGGGGGTTGAATGTGTTTAGCAAGCGTTGTGGGTTGTAAACGAGACATTTTGTCTGATCTTCCCAAGACACGCATGGCTGGTAGCGGTGGGCTGAGGAGTGGGACTTTCTCCTCCTGCATATGCAGGTCGAGACACGAGTATCTCGAGGAACTCCATGTGGTAACATAGCGGCGAACGATATGTCATTACCGACGCATTGCTGGCTGGCTATTGCCTCGTCGGCCATGCATTTCCGGCCACGCGCACTGTCGACAGCAAGGGTTTCCGAGGGGGTCGCAATTGACAACGTTACAGTTCGCTTTGCATCTACGAGTACCATCAGAGGTATCCGACCAAGTTCGATCCCATGAAGCACCTCGCGGCATCTTATGCGGCAGTGTAGTCAGCAGCTTGCATGCCGAGCTGGCCTTCCCCATGTTCGTGGAGGTCTCTCCTTGCCTATGGTCTTGCTATCCCGGATTACGAACACCGAAAAGCCATTGTATTACGACTACCGTACGGTCCGTACCCGTATTTCTATGGCGGTACAACTGTCACCAGGAGGAGTCAGCTCCGTCGAATATATCCTCATCATGTTTGATATATGCATTAAGTTACGTACTCTACCAAGTTACAACCTTGCCCTGCACATCTCCCAACCAACAACATGGTCCGACGAACGTTCAAACCAATGTTCATGCAATACGGCTTCGGTACTTAGTATCCGCATCTCGGCTCTCACGTACTGTATATTGTACATGAGTACTGTAGAACAAAACAAAAATGACTTTTGGTAGTTTTTTCTGCTGGGGCAGAACCACGAACTACACCGCTTGAAGGAAATGGCTCAGTATGACCAATTAACAGCCCGTCCCCAATCTTGAGAACCATTGTGAGATGTGTACAAGCCGGTAAGAGTAATACACCCGAGATACACAAAGCAAACGTCCTCGGAGGTCGCGTCAACCACGTTCGCCAAACTCCTCGCTGTTGTAAAATACAGTTTGTTCATAGTCATTCATGCGTGGCTCATTTCAAAGTCTAATAACTTGGGTATCCTTCAACGACCTTCTCTTAGCGCCGCGAAATAGATCGTGGGAGAAGTTCCGTAGCTCACGTCTTGCTGCAACGTGAACACCTTTTCCATCGGTTCATTGATCCTCCAACAGTCCTGATTCTCTCTGCCGTTGATTGCACGAGGCGCTGCTACCACTGCCGTTGACTCGAAGCTTTCAGCTGCTCGTACCTCGATTAGTGCCATCCTCTTGCTTGTTTGCCTCGCCTGTATTTTGGCACTAGCACAGAACTGAGAGAGGTCGTGCAAGGTGGCTATACCATCGTTCATGAGCATTATAGTGCGTCCAAAGTCTTCTCTCAGGCCACCTGCGCTGAGTGTGTCGATAGCTGCAGTTATTCCGTAGGCGAAGAAAGGTGACAAGAGATTGATCGGATCCTGGTCTTTGCCTGATCCAGGAGACTTTGTGCTTCGCACGTCGCACACCATCTCCAAAAGCTGGATAGCATGTGAGTGTGCAACATTGATCTGTCGCGCCATAGTACGGGGAGACAGGAGCTCATGGTGTGCGTTCCGTGCTGCTTTTAGTTGCGAAATGTGATACAAGGCATGCATGGCAATGAGGCTGCCGGCGTACCCATGCTGATTTGCCTCAACGAGCTTTTGTCGGCTGTATTGCAGGTGAGACGGCAACGCGTTTCTCCAGTCAAAGAGCTTGCGTTGAACATCGTCTAGTAACGATTCGTGGCTCTTCACGTAGGATCCGGGACCTGCAGTCTGACGAGGTCGGCGGAATATGAGCTTCGTCACGTCAGTCCAGAGAGAAGCGACGACCATTGTGTATGCTGCAGGGCTTGGTGCGCTTGAGTGAGGGTCCAGAGATTGTATACCCATGCCTGGCTGGAAACAATCAAACAGTGGTGCATCGGAGGCTAAGCCTTCTTCGTATAATCGCTCATTACAAGGGAGTCGAAGCTGAATGTCCTCAAGCTGGATGGCACAAAGTAACCCTCCGCAGAATCCATGGTAACGCTGGCTCAAATTAGTCCACACTCTTCCAATGTTTCGGAAATACTCACATCGACAAGAAAAGCGGTCCAGAAGGTTCGCCTGCGACACTCTTTAAGCTGCTCCCGCGAGAAGCTGTAATATCGGCGGGTGTATTCATCCAAGTCTTCCGCACATCCATCTTCGCTGTTCAGTCGCATTGCACTGATGACTCTGAGAGCAGAGCCGCTCAAGTCCCAGCCTGTGCTGTCTTTTCCGACCAGATGGTTGTATCCAGCTACAAGCAATCTTGCTTGTACCATAGCCATGCTGAACTTGCCATCGATACGCGAAACTGCTTGACCAGCTTTCTCCGCACAGGTTTTGGCAAAGGAAGAGAATTCGTTCTCGGCGAAGATGGAACCCAGAGCAAGGACTGCGTATAGTACCATACATTCCCGTTGACATTTCTCGCGACATTGCTGTACCCAGCGGGTGAAAGCATCCCGAGGAAACATGATGCTTATCTCGCGAGCAGACTGGGCAAAGAATAATTCGAGGAAGCGCATTGTAGCTTCAGGGTCGTGGAGGTACGGGTCCTCATCCCACGATGAAAGACTCTGCTTTTCTGGTCGGGAGAGTGGGTGAATCATATCTTCGAGGTCGACTCTTTTGCTGTCTTTGCGTTGTCTCTCATCAGTGGCGCCATCGAAAGAGGATGCAGAGCCGTCGGACTTGCGTCTCTTTACACTTTGAGGGGATCTGTCGCGGCTCCAGGTAGGCGGAAGATTAAGCACGTCTTGTTGTGCTGCTTGTGCTGAACGCCTGCGTTTCTGGTTCGGCACCTCTGCCATGACAATGCTGCCGGAAGATTGACTCGACCACTCAGCTCGCCCCAAAGGAACATTGGGGATGGTCAGAGTCGGATTGTTGGCAAGCTCAACCTGTGACTGTGGAGCTGGTGGCCTGCTTTCATTCCTTAGTAGACAGTCCGCGACTGATCTTGGAGACGCAAACCTGTGGCATTCTCGCTTGGCCTTTTCGCATTGGAGGCAACTCTTCTCACCAGGTTCACATTTGATTTTCTTTTCACGACAGTTCCTGACCTTCGTTAGTCGCAGCTTCATGCGGATTTATTTTGCTCAACCTACAGGCATGCCTGTGCAAGTCTTTTTCGAGCCTTGCCTGCCTTGGTAGTCCCCCAAAGCGGGTTTACCGGCTCTCCGTCAATTATAGTTGGACAAGTGCTACCGTCTTTGAAGACGTAGCACATCCCTTCTCCAGGTATGTGGCGTTGACCAACACATTGCAGGCTGTAATTACTAGCAGGAGGCGCATTTCGCATCCCTTGAGTCGCGTTCAGACGTCTGGCCATGTCGCCATCAGAAATTTCTTCGTGGTAGGGAGAGGCCACCTGTGATTGAGGGGGGCACGCAATCTCAACGACCTGTGTAGATTGGGACAGTTGGTCTGCAGCGCGCGAGCTTTGATAATCCGAAGGCCTGCGAAGCGGGGGTGGTGGAGGGGCGGGCAAAGAGGGCCTCGCACCCAGGGGAATATTAGATGAATGTTGAGGAAACCTGTCGATTGGAGAAACATCTAAAGACAGGCGATGGAAAGGTGGAGGAGTAGGGTTGAATGGGATTGATCCAATTTGTGGTGGTCTGTTGGCTGGCGGAAGCTGCACATTGGCCGAAGAGGCAGGGCCATCCGACCATTTAGGTTGTGAGTTGTTGACCGATGGCCAATTGGGAGAATATGACGGGGGGCCAGTTCTCAAAGGCGGACTTAATAGTTCCTGGAGGCCAGGTAGTTGTTGTCGTGGCTGGTTTGGGTCATTAATCCGAGCGGGCAAGTAAGGCCTTGGTGCATTTCCCATGCTGGCGGGCTCCATGGGTCTCAAAGCCTCTGGTTGCATCATGGATGGCCTGCGGTGATCTGGCAGCGGGTAAGGGCTACTCTTGTCGTCATGCGTCCAGGATTGCAATTGCCTAGAGGGCGTAAAAGCCGATGGACGGTCCTGGATAGATGGCATTGTAGTTTGGAGGACAGAGGGTCATGGGAATCAAGACAATTGCAGGGCCCTGGGGTTGTATGTAATGGTGGAAGGAGCGATACGTGCGAAGCTTGACCCGCGGCCCACAGGGACGAGATTGGAGCTAGGAACAACGATAGGGAGCAACGGTGACAATGAAATAATACCGTGCGCAAGAAGCCGGTCAGAAATAGCCGGAGCTGACGTTAAGAGGACATGCGCCACCTGGGAGATTAAAGTTTGCGGGACCAAACAACCGATAGGGACAAGTTCGCTAGACGGGAGTGATGCTGATCTCTGGCTGGTGTGGAGAGGATTTAGATCCTTCAAGATGCAGGATCAAGAAACCAAGACCGTACCGTGCGATCCGTCAGATTGTGCAATTGGGGGCGAAAACGTGGGCTCGATCTATGCTTGTGACGGAAAAAAACATATCCCATATATCGCGTGAATCGAGTTTGCAAAATATGCAACAGATCCGCAGAGCCCAACAATAGCTGCAAGAAGAGACGATCCGGTCGTCGTCTTGTACCGACCACACCAGGGTTGAGCAAAAGTCACGACGCCGGCAATAGCTTAGGGCAGGTACAGCGAGCGGTACTCTTCCCGGCTCACAACAACGGACGGATCCTGGTGAGACTGTCCAGGCAGTTGGTGATACTCCCGAGACCGATCGAACAAACGCCTCACGCGGGTGTAAAGCTAATAATCGAGATCATTTTCGTTTTGCGGATACAAGATCTGGGCAGGCAATTCAAAGCGACGGCGGGCGGCGACGGCGAATGGATACCGAAGTAAATTTGCTAAAGCACCGAAGTCACCACCTCGGCGGCGGACTCAATTTTCAGCACCTCTCACAGGAACAGGACATGGTGGGCGACAGAAGTCGTCAGGCGAGTCAGGTTCAGCACCCCGTCGCCGGCCAGGTTCCGAATGGCTAAAACGCGTTTGCACGTTGAGACTGATTCGCGCTTCTTCCTCCACACTATTATCGACTCACTACTTGGCCCAACAGAGACAGGGTATAGCAAGATACGGATTAGGATGGCTTGCATGTGGCTCTCTGCAGACCGCCAACCCAGCATTCGCAGAATGCTCGTCACCGCGGATGCGGTGCCGCGATGGCTCTGGTTCTAGGCCATGGCCCATCAACCAACAAGACGTGTCGGTCCGTCCAAAGATGCACCCCAATCAAGCGAGGAAAAAGCATACGCAAACCTGCCCTAGACAGCCTATTATCCTGTTACCGACCAAGAGATTGCGCAAACGAGCTTTGCTAAAGAGGGCCAGCTCACCACTACTACCTGAGTACATCACGATCGATTAGGTACATCATTTTCTTGGATCCTCCGTAACACGGAGGCGGCCCGAGCTTTGAATGTATCTCTCCTACTAACAGCCCTCCTTCTTGATGTGGTATGCATCTGATAATGCTGCACGGAACCGGCGGTCCTCCACCTCATGTATTGGCGACGACCATGCTAACAGGCCTGCATCTACTCTATTGGTTCCCCTCGGCGGCAAACAATAATCCTTCTGCATGACGAACGGAGCTGGCTCCTGACCGATTTATACCCTGCCAATGTCTTTCCAGAAACCTTCACTGACGGCATTTGTTGTATGGGTTTCTCCCCTAACGTCAATGACTGATCTACATGGCGATCGGCCAAGCACACCAATTGCTGTTGCAGATGTATGCAGAACAGCGTCCTGTACGTGCGTAACAAATATATTTGAGTTGACTAGCGGGGTTAGATGTACATGCGAGCCTGTGACGGATCCGCACCAAGACCAACGCCGTTTCTATCGAGTAGCACTCGACGAAACCGGCGGCCGTCGGCTCTGCAACCCATGGCCGTCGGGGAACGCAAGCAGAATCCATCGGTATCCACGCAGCATGGTGAGTCGCAGGTCGTGACAGGAATCAAGAATCACTCTTGGCTTTTAGGGTTGACCTAATTAACGAAACGACGGTTGACCCGGCGCCGGTCTCCGGGGGCTGAGATCTCATGAGGCCTGCAGTGTGTGCTTGCATTTCTGTGCCGCCAGTGCACGATTCCGACGACCTGGATAAGTCTGTCATGATTTCCCCATCGCTGGTACTATCCAAAGTGGCTAGTCCCTCGCCATCTGTTTCCACAAACATGACTAGCTGTCTTGCAGTCCCTTCGATTGCCATGTCATCTCGCTACGTAACCCGTCATTTGCCTATGGACAGACAGAAAAGTCGGCATCATCATGCTTGGGGTTTCGTCACGTAAGAAGCGCCAGCACACGCCACTGCCAGTTGGAAAACGGAGCTGTCAAGCAGCAAGGGCTACAAACAACGTGCAAAAGTTAAGCTGACAGCAGTCAAAGAGGGAACACATTGGGGAGGCTCAAGTTAAGGTGAGGTCATTGCCTTAGACTCACGGCGCCTTGAAGACTATTTGGAATCATGGATTCATACTCGGCGGTAGCGAACAAACTCAAGTGTTCCCTCATGTATTTGACGAACGGTCAAGGGGTTCTGGCAGGGTATGTACACAGGTACCGCACATCCGTTGTGACCTAATTCTGACTCGAGAGAGTGCCGTTGGCGACTCCACGAGCTCGGCTCCATGCCTGGAGCGTGAATCAGCCAGGGATGGCAGTAAGAAAGTCAATTCTGGTTAAAGTTTCGGTTTTTCAGATATAGAAAATGGTCGATGTAGAGAAATAAGAACGGAGATGCAAAGGTGTGGTTGGCTGAGATGGAGAAAAACATATGCTACGCCTCTGTTGACTAACAAGTACGGATTCAGATGCGAACCTGACTGACTTAACCGCTTAACCTTGTGGCAGATAATGGCTCGATCATGCCTACAGAATGTCAGCCGAAGTCGCCCGTGAAGAGGTTATCGTTTCAACAACCGCAGGATGCAGCCCTGGGCTGGAATAGGATTGCTTAAACCACGGTAGTCCGAAAAGGAGATCAGCAAGGTTAGCTAGCCAACATCTCCTAAATCCTCGTACTCCATGGGACCACGGCATGGCATCACAATCGATCAGACGGCTCAACAGAGCAACATGGTGCGATGGTGGATCTGGGAGGATGCAACGATTCGGCCAAGCCGAGACACACGCGCTTGAAGACAAATATCTTCGACCTGCACATGCTCAACGATGAAGTGTGACACGGCCGACGAAGAGATCGTTGTTGCAAGAAGAAAATTGCACCAGACCAATGAATAGACGCCAATCATCTATCATCCCTGTGAGATGACACAGAAGCCGTCAGTCCGGCATTGTATAGCAATACCGTACTTATATTAGTGTGAACCACATGATGGCTATGCCGACCAGCAGCAACAAACATTGCGGCATAGTAAAGTTTGGACGAACGGATGGTTGATATTGGGCGACGGCTTACTGGCCGACTTGTACAGCCGGCGAGAGTTTCGGCAGCCAGCAGTGGGGACATGCGCGGTGTAAAGCCCTTCAGGGGCCAGTTAAGGACTCGAGAGTTACGGCATAGCTTGTCCGCAACACTTCGTTTCCGATGGCTAATGAGGCTCCGTTGAGGCTGTAAATTGCTTGTAAAAAGACTTCCGGCATTAGCTACGTAGCGTGAACGTCCTTGTTGTGCATTTGATGGCAGACGTCGGGTACTTTCTCATAATTATGACGAGGGATATCGGCGAATAGTCTGGAGGCCTCTGTCTGCATCCGTACATTCCAAAGATGAAAGAAAGATGACCACGGAAAAGTGTTGACAGGGACAGACAGGGTTGCCCAGTTGATTCGCAGAACCGCGGAAATACCTCGGGACACGAAACAGAGGAATTGGGACCCCGTAGACAGTGCGTCGCATTTCCGCTGCACAAGGCAACATCATGATCATCGCCAGCGATTGTTGCTCAAAGCAAGAGAAAGCATAGGAACATGGACGCGAAGCAGGAAGGACTGCAGAGACATCCCAATCGAGGCAGGATTGTGCAAATTGTGATAGAAGACGAAAGAGATGTGGCCCTGAATATGAAACCCACCGAGCCATAGGTCACGGCAATAATGGGCGATTAACGACGGGCAGTTCGGTCTAGAGACCTGGAATGGGGTCTGACAGAATGTCAGACAAAAAACACCGGTATATCATACTGAGATAGTCCAAGCGGTGGGTGCCAGGTCCCATGTTGAAAGAAAGGAAGAAAAGAATTCGGAAAGCAGGAGTTTTGTGCTGCGCGTGCTGCTCGCCAAGCTTCCGAACGTGGAAATTTGGCCAATCACAGTCAGCCAAATTACAGGCTAGCCTCGGCCATCGGGCAGAGGGTGCGACTTCGATCCAAGGAAGCCGGGGATTCGATGTTGCTACAGCACTTGTAGTTATCTGCACTTGACGACGAAGACGTAGACGCGATAATCACAATGCTTGCTCAGAGACTTGGCCTTCAATCAGCGCGCCGCTGTGCGTATACCCATGTCCTCCTTCAGCTTCATTGACTAACACAACAACAGTGGCGGTCCGCCAGCCTGCGCTCCTCTCATCGCGCGCTCCTCAACTTCTCGCAACCACCGGCTTGACTCAGTTCAGGTACGAACAGTCTTCACTTGTGCCGCTCTAGCTTCCACGAAACTTACATATCTCCCACTTGCAGAGGTGCCGCCTTCCAGACCGTCTCCGACAACGAGGCCTCGCAACAGATCTTGGCCAAGCAGCGCCTGAACCGCCCCGTCTCGCCTCACTTGGGTATCTACAAGCCTCAGATCACCTGGTACGGCTCCGCCCTCAACCGTGTCACTGGTGTCGCCCTGTCCGGTACCTTCTACCTCTTCGGCCTCTCATACCTGATTGCTCCCGCCTTCGGCTGGCACGTCGAGAGCGCCAGCATTGCCGCTGCCTTCGCCGCATGGCCTGCTGCCCTCGCCATCCTGGCTAAGCTCGTCGCCAGCTTCCCCTTCACCTACCACAGTTTCAATGGCCTGCGACACTTGATGTGGGACATGGGCAAGGGTATTACCAACAAGCAGGTCCAGGTCACCGGCTGGTCCGTCGTTGGACTGAGCGTCTTCACCAGCTTGGTTCTGGCCCTTTTGTAGATGTCCCATTCTCTCTCCTGGCATGATGTTGTTTTTGTTCTTTACCCAAGTTCTGTCTTTCTCATGAATATATTTCCTCCTGAGTTGTTCCGACAACAAAAACTTTATTCTTGACTTGAGCTTCTCTCCACTTCGAATATCCCGCTCTCGAGGCTTCAGCTTGCCTTCCTTGCGCGATCATACTCGTTCTCTGTGAACGTGACTATGTGTCAGTGACAGTGTTATTGAAATCGGCATGTGGAATACTAGTTGCATGTGAAGCATAGGGCCTAGTATGTGTATCTGCTTTGACGCAACGACTACGTTTGAGACAAGGGTAATGTTCGCTACTGCTAATCATCTGGAGACTCCCAAGCTAATCTCTCTAGCCTTCAAATGTTGCTTTTCTCATCCGCCTATATGTCCTTCGGCTTCCAATCGCGCTCTCACATCTCTCACCAGAGCTTTGGCCTCTTCTACTTCAACTCCATCTTGACACAGTTCATTCGCCAGTTCTGACGCCCGCTGCCAATCTTGCTTGACAAAACTCCATTTGGCCAACCATAGTCTTGCCTTGCTTGTCGTTTGTGTAATGCCAATGCCTCCCCCAGCGCTGGACAATGGTGCTCCTGGAGGTAGGTCATCCTCATCCGGCCCCTCCTCTTGAGCCAGCGTAAGCTCCATGTATGCCGATGCCTCGTCCATGTTGTTATCTCTTTCAAACAGCAAAGCAATCTGATACAGTATCTCGGGATCCAAAGCACCGCCAACAGCTCCAGCAAGAGGGTCAGCCGAAGACGTGAAACTTACCGCACCGCCGCCATTGTCAAGATAGCTGCCAGCGACCAAAGCGCGCTTGTATGACCTTATCGCATTCTGCAATCTACCGCAATTGGCAAAGGAATTTGCAACAGCCATCCACATTTTAGGATCCCAGGGTTGCAAGGCCACCGCGCGTTGGAAGTAGAACAGAGCATACGAGTGCATGTCCAAGAGTTCATAGCCCTGACCCAGACCGTACCATGCTCTGTAATCCTTTCTGTTTGCATCGACAGCGCGTCTGTAACTTTCGATGGCGGCTTGTGTGTTTTTGAGTTCGATGTATTCGTGGCCCATCAGAGTCCAAGCGGAGAGGAATTGTCGGTCCAAGGTGAGCGCGCGGCGGAAGTACATGACTGCTTTCTCGTGTTCGGAACATTGTGAATAGTAGTTTCCGATGATGCAGCAGGTTTCGGGGCGGAATTTGTCGATTGCTGATGCCACAGATGCGAGGTAGGCTAGTTTCGGCCTTGATGGCATCACGTACAAGATGTTCGAATATGAGTCCATCGAGTCAAGTCGATAGGGGTGTCGCGAGAGAAGGTCAGCGAACAGCCCATCGGCCTCCTCAAATTCTGCAGGATGTCAACAAAATCGTACGAGAAGGTTCAGAATGCAAAGACATACCTTTCGAGTGGTAATGCAGCAGAGCGCGCTGAGTTTGTAAGAAGGCAGAATTGGGGAATATACTGCTGATTTGATTGATCTCGTTATGGACCTTTTCCGTGGATTGAAACAGCTCCTGACTACAGTAGATGTGAAACATGAAGGTCATGATGTTCTGCGGCAGGTGATCAGTTATCTCGTTGAGCTGCAACTACTTGTTAGCAAAACGTATAACTGCATTTCGGTCACGAATACACTGACCTCCTCGGCAGAGCTCAGGAGGTCTGCAAGCTCTTGCCATGCGCCCCAATTCCATGGACAGTGGTTTACGCTTTTCAGAAGCCACGCTTTTGCAAGCACATCGTTCTTGCCTTTCAACAGAACGATGCCATATAGGTATTCCAGGAAGCCTTGTGATTCATTTGTGCTCTGGAGGCCTCCACGAGCACTTAGATGTTCATCGAGAATGTTAGATATTCTGCTTAGCTCCTTGTTCAAGGTCACAGAGCCATCGGTAGGGCCTAAGATCATTTCACTGTCCTCTTCCTTTCGCTTCTCACCAGCCATGTACTTTGCGTATAAGGCGAGGAAGAGTGAACGTTGGCTCAGCTGTGGTATACCAGGTAAGGAATTCGTTGACTTCGGCTTGCTTTTCGTCGTAACGTTTGATGGATCTCGTGTGATAGGCTCCTGGGGCACCAGACTGGGTAGTAAAGTGGCAGCACACCTATCAAACTCTCGACAATCGAAGAAAGATTTGGCCATGAGGAACTTGGGATACTCTCTGCGTTCCAGACGGGCCTCGTGTCCATCTTGTGAAAATTGAAAGTTGGACCAAGGATCGCCTTCACCGGTTGGGGAGTTAGGCTCTGTGTCCGAGGCAATATCCAAGTCGTGGTCTGGTTCTGGGAACGAATTGAGAAGTTCTGCGGCCCTATTGTCACTTGATCAGAAGGGGTACGAATTGGCGATTTCTCGGAGTACGCACCATTTTGCAGAACGATATAAGCAGCGATCGTTACATGCTATTACAGCTTGATGCAACTGAGTGCGTAATTGTAGTGTTTGCTCGGCAGATAATGTAGCCATGTCGGAGATGTCGGATTGATGGTCGGCTTGCCCAGAATTGTTTTGTTGATGTTTATGTTTCACAAACGCAACATCGGAATAGCTCCCACTCGTGACAGCAGTATATTCTATGACCAGCGACGTGCAGACTGGTGTGGTCGATGATGACTAGCTGTGCAGTGATTATGGCGAATTGTTAATTTCGACTGAGTCGCGACAGTCTGTCGAGATTGGTGGGGCTCAAAGGGTCTTGCGGCGCAAGGGGAAAGAGAGCGGGCTGTCAAGGTCGCTCAATTTACTTTGCGCCAACAAATCGGACGACTTTTGATTCTGCACCACACTCTTTAGTATTGTCGCCATTCCACCTCTCGCTCGCTCCTTGTCACTACTGCGCTCTGCAGGTCATCGCCGTATCCTGAATTGCCAATCCATCGTCCCACTGCGACTCGACCTCCACACCCCGTCCCCTATACCCTCTTTGCGCCTCGCTACCACTGCCACCATCATGCCTACCACTCTCAAGCAGTTCGAGTCGGTCTTTCCTCAGCTCATCCAGGACCTCAGCGACCACTGCAAGCAATACAAGCTCCCCCAGCAGGCTCTCAAATGGTTCGAGGAGTCCCTTCAGCACAACACAGTTGGCGGCAAGTGCAACCGCGGCATGTCAGTCGTCGACACATCGTCTCTGCTTCTCAAGCGTGACCTCACCGAGGAGGAGTACTTCCGCTCTGCCACCCTCGGCTGGATGATTGAACTGCTCCAGGCCTTCTTCCTCGTTTCAGACGATATCATGGACTCGTCCAAGACACGCCGCGGTTCTCCTTGCTGGTACCTAATGCCCAATGTCGGCATGATCGCTATCAACGATGCTTTCATGCTCGAGAGCGCCATCTACATCCTTCTCAAGAAGTACTTCCGTCAAGAGAAGAACTACGTCGACCTGATGGAGCTGTTCCACGAAGTATCCTTCCAGACCGAGCTGGGCCAGGCCTGTGACTTGCTCACTGCCCCTGAGGACAACGTTGACCTCGACAACTTCAGTCTGGAGAAGTACACCTTCATTGTCATCTACAAGACCGCATACTACTCCTTCTACCTCCCCGTCGCTCTCGCCCTGCACTTCTGCGGTTTGGCCACCGAGAAGAACCTGAAGCAGGCACACGATATCCTCATCCCCATGGGCGAGTACTTCCAGGTTCAGGACGACTACCTCGACAACTACGCCGACCCCGAGACTCTGGGCAAGATTGGCACCGACATTCAGGACAACAAGTGCAGTTGGCTCGTCAACCAGGCTCTGAAGCGTGCCTCCAAGGACCAACGCGCTGTTCTCGAGCAGCACTACGGAAGAAAGAACAAGGACGACGAGGCCAAGGTCAAGGCTCTCTTCAACGAGCTGCAGCTTGACCAGGTATACCACGCATACGAGGAGGAGAAGGTCGGTGACATTAGAAAACACATTGCAGAGGTGGACGAGAGCGACGGCCTCAAGAAGGAGGTGTTTGAGGAGTTCCTCCGCAAGATTTACAAGAGAAGCAAGTAAACATTTGGTCGACAGTACGGGCAAGCTATGCTGCAAAAGATACCTCTAGAGCCATTATAATATATCCGTTCAATTTCCTCTCCCACCAGGGGAAACATCAAATTAGCCTCAAGTCATGCCTCGCCTCATGTATGCGAGCCTTTGTCGCATTTCTGCAATCATCTCGGGAGATGATCGAGCTGTAACGATGCACAACGCTTTCTGTTTCAGTGGCACCGTCAAAAGAGATGGGCCTTGTGAAGCTCTCTGACTGACTTGGGCACCACTCTAGGAAGATTCGTGCATTTCCACATCTACCTACAGTGACCGGTTCCGGAGTCGGAGACCTCGCTCAGTAAACGTATGGGAAGAGCTTGTAGGGCGTCTGCTTCCTGTAGTTCTGCCATTGTTCACCATACTGGACGCAACATTAGCTCAGCCGCAACATGCAAGATCAGAACAAACTCACCCTCTCCTGACAATATCTGTTGAGCTCTGGTATACCATCGGAAATGAAATTGTACGAAAAGAAGGCGCCAACAATGGCGCCCCAAGTCCAGCCGCCAGCGGCCAAGGCGTATCCGGCGCGCCAGAGGGTGTATCCAGCGTAGTTGATGTGTCTTGCGAAGCGGAACAGACCACCGGTGTAGACCTTCCCCTTGTTCGCGGTATTCTTCTTGAATTGCAGTCTCTGCCATTCCGAGAAGGTCTCGGTGAAGATGCCGACGACGTAGAGTGCCGAGCCGACTATCAACGGAGTCTGCGGGAAGTGTTCGCCGTTGACCGAGGCAGAGGTGAGTGAGCAGGTGAAGAGCAACGAGTTGACCGAGTTGAAGACAGTGTTGAAGACGGAGACCTCAATGGCAGAGAGAGGGGGAAACTCCTCTTGACAGATGCCGACAAGCCAGTAATTCTGCTTGATGGCACTGCCTGCTGCCATGGCAAGCAGGATCAAGCGGTAGGGCGACATGGCGAGTCGATCGATGAGAGTATTTGTGACGACTGGCGGACCTTGAGCCAGAGTCTTTCCTCCCAGCCTGTGAATGGCGGGAGCTGCGATGCCCTTGGCCAGGAAGGCATACTGAAGCACCGGGTCGATGCTACGGAGGCCTATGAAGAGACCAGTGCCCAGAGGGCTACTCTGCTTGCTGCCACGAAGGATCAACTTATTCTTGTGCACGTTCTCGTCCGAACTCATACTGGATGTGTGGTTAGGAGAGGGAGAGTAGTCGACTATCGTCGTCAGGCAACCAAGCCTCAACATCAACAGAGGGGTCCCCCACACAATCACATGCACAAAATCGGACCATGTTTTCCCGTTGAGCCGACGCGCAGTCTTTAACGCGTCTTCCTCAGCATTCAGACAAAGCACTCTGTACCATTAACAAACATCTTTTTTTTCTCGTTGTTCGACTCCATTGTTGTGTATTACTGCTTGGTTATTCGCCACTTATCATATTGGTTACTTGGGCATCACCGGTGCTCCTCGCCGTCTGACATACCCGTCATGCTGTAGCAAATGTCCTTCAAATTTGCTCATCTCTGCGACTATCTGGAGAGATGCGAAGAGATAGTACATCACAACCCTCCTCTGGCTCCGGCTGAACAAAAGTCAAGACATTATCGTCAACATGCTTCCTGGTTTGCCTCTCACCGCCAGGCCATTGATGCCCTGGATCAATTCGGCACTTCCGCATTACTATCAACGTTTCTCCCTTGCAGAAGAAAAGACCGTATCTATAGCTTACAGCCTGCTTCGCTTTTCAAGTTACTCGGCAGATGTCTTGGTTTGAGCGCTTCTGCTAGACAGGAACTTGCCACCTTCAAGACTCCAGGGAATGGCGACCTTGGAGAATGTTTACAGCGCCTTCTGCGGACTCGTGGCCCGCCGCCTCTCCCTACTGTCACTTTGCAAGAGGTAGATGACGCATTACACGCTCTTGCCGCCGCTAACAGGTTCTCTGGACCGTCGGTCCGCCAATCCTTTCGCCCTCCTGCAACGAACGACCCCTCGCTCGCCGATGTTCTTCTTCGCCTTCATGCTGTCGAGGCAAAATGGTTTGTGCGACTCGTTCTCAAGGACTTTTCTCCTGTCACTGTGAACGAGCGCTCGATATTATCATCTGTTCACTTCTTGCTACCCGATCTGCTGTGGATGCAGGACGATTTTGAAAGCGCGTGTACCGCCTTGAGATCGACTTTTGGCGCCTATCCGAGTCGTCCAGACATGCAGTCTTTGCATATTCTTAGACAAACAGCGCTTCCATCACTGAAACCAATTCCTGGTATCAAGGTTAGTCGTCCTGAATACACCAAGGCTCGGTCCATAAAACACTGCCTACAAATGACTTCCGGAGAAAGGTGGTTACTGGAAAGAAAGTACGACGGGGAATATTGCCAGGTTCATGTTGATCTTACCAAAGGAGAGGACTGGCTGAGAATCTACTCGAAAAGTGGTAGAGACTCGACTGAAGATCGGGCAGGTCTACGAGAAACCATCAGAAAATGCCTACGAATTGGCAGCGATAAGTGCAAGTTTGAACGCGCATGTATCCTGGTCGGAGAACTTGTGGTCTTCTCAGATACGGAGAACAGCATCCAGGGGTTTGACAAGATACGCAAACACGTGTCCCGTGCAGGCGTGTTCCTCGGAAACGAGAATGATTCACCACGCCAATCAGGTGAGCATTTGATGATCATTCTGTTCGACCTCCTGTTGTTCGATGACGAGGCCGTCCTGTCGCGGTCTGTTGAGGAACGCAAAGCGAAACTCAGCAGCGTCTATAAAAAGATCCACGGTCGAGCCGCGCCAGCCGAATCATGTGTGATCGATTTCTCTCAACCAAAAGCCGAACACAGGCTTATGAACCAATTCGCTGCGTCAATCGCATGTCGTCATGAAGGTCTTGTCCTCAAGCCATGCGGTGTTCCATATTTCGCCCCTGGCTCAGTAGCTGGTATCAAGCTTAAAAAAGACTACATCACCGGTCTTGGAGACGAAGCTGACTTTGCTGTCGTCGGCGCATCATACAATGCTCAAGAAGCCAAGAAACGACCAGGGCTACATTTGAAATTCACTCACTTCTATCTTGGATGCTTACTGAACAGAGAGGCTATCGACAACGATGGTGTTAGGCCTATTTTCAAGATCGTTGCGACAATGTCATATGACCATTGCATGTCGACAGAGATTTTAGAGAGGGTCAACATCGAGGGCAGCTTGCTGTCAGAGCCTTACAGCAAGTCAGGCTCCTCAACGTTTGACATTGAATCAGACGAGACGCCACGAATGGACTTTTGCTTTCGAGATCCCTTGGTATTCGAAGTTTTAGGAAGCTCGTTCAGCAAATCGCCTGGAGGTTACTTCATGTTACGGCACCCCCGTGTCAAGAAGTTACATCAAGATCGTACATGGAGAAATTGCATTACTCTCGACGATTTGCAACTGGCGGCTGCAAAAGCTTTGGAAACTCCTCAAGAGTCTGAAACACAAGAGAATATCACTTGGATCACGAAATTGGAAAATAGCCACAAGAGAAGGTATGCCAGGCATAGTCTGAACACTACACCTCGATCGAGCACCACTTGTACCACTCCACGATCGAATCGTAGCGATTCCGCTCGTACACCGCATACCGGGAGCGTATCAAGAATTAGGCCGCTTGCTATATTGGAGAGCGGGAAGAACTCGAAAGCGTCACATCTCACTCACATTACTCCTGAAAAGCAGAACGCACCACTGCCTACACCGCCAGATTCGTCTCCTTTGGATGAACACCGTTCGGATGGGTCATCTACCGCAGTGGCCAAGCGTAAATCGGATGACGGCAAATACGACGTCTCCAAGAGACTCTGCATCCAAACAGCATTCACACCTTCAGCGATAGGGCAACCACAAGGAAAGCACGTTGTCGAGCAGAGTGTCAATTTGCTTCAGCGCACGCCACTTGCAGACATCACTCCGACAGCCATACAGAGACTAGTCGAGTCGAATTTGAACAGCCTTGCGACGCGTCAACCGGGCTGGACTGAAGGGCGCTGCAAGTTCGAGGAAACTGCGCCGCCGGCGAAAAGAGACACATGCATCTTCGCTCAATCGGTTGTCTTTATAACAGATCTACAAGACGCAGAGAAGGAGAGAGTCAGACAAAAAGTGCTCGACCATGGAGCGTTGGTAATTCAAGACTTGGTGCATTGGGACCGTGATAGCCACGGATATGCCAACCGCACAGATACGGTGTGTGAAAGTCAGGCGTACAAAGGGATGCGAAAGATGGTGCTCGTGGATCCTCGAGAGAAGCAACAATACCACACTTGTTACGCAGAGGTTGAGAGGCTGGGCTTGCAAAGAGTCGAGATCTTTGACTACCGGATAGTTGACGCCATGTGTAGCGCAGCAGATAGATAGGCAGACAAGGGCTACGCGAACGGATGTCCTGTGCCGGATTCAGAGCATGGGCATTGGATTGGGTACACAGACCAAATAGAACATCTTGACATCAGTTCGAGTTGCACAAAGATCATGCACAGAAGCGAACTGTAGAACAAGACGAGGAGCGTTGAAGGGAATTAAAAGACGTTGTAGATTAGCCGGCAGGAAAACAAACAATCATGACGGTATTGAGGTGCGGAAGAGGAAGGCGCGAGTCAGTGGAGGGGTCGCCCCCTGTTTGATTGGCCGAATGAAACATCAGGGTCGTCGGATGCCCTTAATTCCAGACCGACCATGTTACGTGGGCAGCGGCGGAGAACAGAACGTCGACCATTTCAATGCAAGAGTTGAATGTAGACCTTTGCTCATGAGCAACCCGAGCATGGAACCACAACGGCCATGGAGCAGATCTGGCGTCAGTCCTCATTCGCGCTCCATGTCAGAGCGCAAGGCGAAGCGCTTCAGCCTCACATTCCCTATCCAAACATCCTTGTCGCCGACATCCGCAACACTCTCGCCAGTGCTACCGTATACACCTCTGTTGGCTGAGAAGCCAGCTCCTCCTGCAGGACCAACAGATTCGGCCTTCCTTACCGCTCTTGCCGCCCACGAACGACGCGTGCTGGAGTTAAGAGAGGAGCTGGTCAAGGCCGAGCACGAATTGCACCGTCTCAAGCAGACATGGGCTGCTCACGAGGCCCACAAGAAGCGCCAACACGATCCTCGCAAAGTACACAAGCTTCAGTCCTTCCGCACAACAACAGAAGCACCCGAAGTCATACCAGTCTCCCGACAACAGGATATGGAGCGGCGAAGAGCACTGCTCAATGGCAATAAGACCTCGAATCGTACCGTCTTCTCAGGATCTCGCCATGCTCGTACCTTGTCGTTGCTATCACCAGAGGCCATGCGCCCACCGCCACCTCGCCCACAAGAGATCCCACGTCCCGAACAAGACTCCCGTCCTCCACACCCTTCTCGCGTACCGACCGATGCCGATCTGACTACCGAGGTTGCGCGCACAGCAGACGATGCAATCGATTTGGGCTTACCTCGTGAGGTTCTGCTCAAGACAGGCAAACAAATGGCTTCCGACTTCCGAGACGGCCTATGGACTTTTATCGAGGACTTGAGACAGGCCACTGTTGGTGACGAGGGCGTCAATGGAACTACTTCGCGAACACAATCCCAATCTCCAAACCTCTCGAGGTCTCCTGCACCTCACTCTGGTAGAGGCAGCCTCAAGCCATCTCCAAACCCGCAGCCACTGAAAAGAAGTGCTACGACTGGCAGCAGACGGACTACTTCTCGCTCACCAGCTCCATCTGCTGCTGAGGAAATTGCTTATCTCGATATTGGTAACTCTTTCTGGAAAGAACATGGATTGGAAGAACCCAAGCCTGCCAATCCCCCTATCGTCCGTAAATCTTCAAAGAAGGGAGCGCATCCTCCCGCCAAAGCGAATCGTGCCTCAACCACATCTCTTGACACTTGGGAAAACTGGGAGGCTACTATCCCAGAACCAGAACCGAAACCTTCGCGATCAAATTCATCGGTATCTGAACCACGAACCTCTCCAAGTCCTGATGGCACCAGTCCCAGGACTAGCATGAGGTCGGTCGTACCCGTCCCAGTCACAACATCACACGCTGACCCTTTACTCAGTTCAGTCAGAGACCCTAAGCGAGACTCGCTCCCATGGCCAGCATTAAACAAGCTAGCGCCGAGTAATCTTCGACGCACTGCTTCGCATCTCATGAATGAATGGGAGAAGAGTCTTACGCCTTCTCCTGGTGATGGTGAAAGACAAGGCGATTATTTGGGAAGAGCCATCTCTCCGGCAGGATCCTTCAAGGAGACCAAGAATGATTGAAATTGAGTGTGGATACGATCACATATCATTGGCTACGAGGCAATTTTCACGGCATGTATGTAGCAGGACATTTACAGTAGATTTCAGACGATGCAACTTGCATTCGTCTATGGACATATTCCAATTTTAACCTCTATTTCGATACCAGCATGGCACGATAGCCATGTTGACGGTGATTGCAACACGTTTTCCTTCCTGTGGCTAGCTAGTGCAATCAAGGTCTGGCAAGACGAATGGTGCTTTGAGGTGTTTTCAAGACTGAGTTCAATTGACAAGGACTCATCGCCATAACTTTTCTGCATGATGTTCAGATGGCCTGGATCTGCCATGTAGGTAGCATCTTCGCCATGGTCATCGAACGATGTAGAATCCAGGTCCATCGAGCTTGAGGCGGTGCTGTCGTCGACGATAACAAAGTTTATGAGCATGTCTCCGGGATGACCCTGGCAATACCATCTCGGTGATTACCTAAGCTCCTCCGCAAGCTTCGCCGCAACTTTCAGAAATCTTGGCGCTGATCAAGGTCGTCGCCGTTGGTCGCAAACACCTTGTCAGTGCTTTTGTCCTCTCGTTGCGCGCGCAAAGTCCCGTACACCAACTTTACGAAACCATGGCTTTCCCTGGCATGTCGGCTCCTGGCCTGAGCGGTGACGCCAGCTTGGACGAGCAGAAGTTGAAGGAGCAGCAGATGATCAAATACGTACGCATGCGCATTCTCGCCTGGTACTTGTGAGCAAGAGACTAACAAGAGGGTAGATGCAACAAGCGATGGAGTCGTGCCCTGCTAAGACTGCCATGTCTGGTGTCATGGGTTTCGGTCTTGGTGGTCTGTTTGGTCTTTTCATGTCGAGTGTGAGTATCTCTGCCAATGACAATCATCACTCAAAAAGCACACCAAGGTTGGACATAGGCTGACAGATATCTTGAATTTAGATGCGCTACGATGCACCCATGACGGCTGGAACAGACGCCATTACGAAACTGCCAGTAAAAGACCAACTACGACAAGGATTCAAAGAGATGGGCAAAGCGAGTTGGAGCAGCGCAAAGAACTTCGGCCTCGTCGGCTCCATCTTCGCAGGAACAGAATGTTGTATTGAGGGCGTACGTTGGATCTTCATCACCAAAGTGCATAGGTCTATGCTGACAAAACAACTACACAGTTCCGCGCCAAGAACGATCTCTACAATGGTGTGGCAGCTGGCTGCATCACAGGCGGCGCTCTCGCTGCCAAAGCCGGTCCTCAGGCCGCTGCTCTCGGTTGCGCTGGGTTTGCCGGTTTCAGTGCCGCTATCGATTACTACATGCGCATGCCGAACGACGACACCTCCGCCGATCCGATCGCTTAGATATCCTGGACGTCCGGTCCCTTCTGTAATACTAGGAGCATTTTGGGTTTTGAGAAAAATGGCGTTAAAGGGCATTGTTGGTCTTACCGACCATATGGAGTATTTGTGGCGTACAAAGAGAGAAATCTTGACTCTTGTCCTGTTTTGGTGGAAGATATCTGCCTGTTCTGGTTGTTCCGAGTATGCATATACCACGTTACCTACGGCATACCGCTCTCCAACCACGTCTGCAGTATTGACGCGTTCCAGCTGTATCCGTCCAGCATCGGCTCAGAGTTGAGCCTCCGTCCATCCGATCGCAAGCATCTCGGCACGGCTAAACGAACACGCTTTCTATATTGTCCTATGAGACGATTTGCCCCTGCTTCTTTGCATCGGGGCAGAGCCGGCAGATCAGATCGAATATCCGCAAGGCGTACGCATGCTTCGATGGTTCTAGACATTTAATGTCATGCGGCCGCTTGGATAGAAGAGAAAATGGCCCCTCTTGAATTTAGCCAACTCGAAATTTCACGATTCTGGGTTCTGGGTTAAGGTCACGAAGGGCATTTTGCATACGCAAGCGAGATTCGGCGTATGATGCGTCGATAGTATATGCATCTTGGAGGCTCATGTGTTGTATGCCACTGCCACAGTTGCTTGGTATTGCTTGATAGTATGCGTTGTGTAAAGTCAAGCCTTCCCATCAACCGGTGTCTTGGTATACTAAATGTCTTGGGAGAAACGATCATGTTGAAACACCAACTATCGCAGCCACATATCCTGACAGAAGCCGAGGCCTCTTCAAACCTCAAAACCTCATTTTACAAAAATCCACCAATACATATATCATATTTAACCGCCCCGCTTCTCCGCATAGATTGTACGAGGAGAGATGCGGGTGCGGGAGCGGGTATGGAGAAGAGCAGGGCAAGATGCGCTCTTGCCTGTTCGTCTGCCGCTTGGTGGGGCCCCGAAGGCCAGTGCTCTCCACAGTCCACTCACTCTCCTGCCTTCTACTCGAGAGAAGGCGAAAGCGAAGCTTTTGGCAATCTGCCACTGCCAGCCAAAAGCCTTGTCCTTTTAGCCTGTTCGTACGCACGCAATGGAAGCTCTTGGATAGAGAGTCTGGCATGCAGGAACTCAAGCATACTATGGCAGGTACAGATTATCCGGCCAACTGAGGAGTGTCAAGGGTCTTTGAAAGCAGTATATATATGTAGGTGGATGGATCCTGTGTTAGTCTTCTCATCAAGCCAGCAATCAGCAACTTCCTTCGTTTCAACTACTGCTCTTCACGATGTCTATCCGTTCGCTACTCAGCTTTGGCTTGTTGGCTGCACCTCTGGTGTCTGCCCTGCCTGCTGCTGATTACAAGTCAACTTCTTGCAGCACCAGCACTTCCCACAGTACTTCGCACTCGACTTCTCACTCTACCTCTCATTCTTCTACTCATACTTCTACTCACACTTCCACTTCCACCCATACTTCTGCCCACAGCTCTTCTGCAACTTCTGCAGTTGTCACCACGACCACCAGCTCTGCTTCCAACACTGTGCAGACTACAACTCTTGTAGCTACAGCTACTGGAAAGAAGGGTCTGAATACTTATGCCAAAAAGGCTGGCAAGCTCTACTTTGGCACAGCAGCAGATGTCCCTGGAACCAATGAGACCACCGACAAGTACTACCGTGCCGAGCTCGCCAACAACGCAGATTGGGGATCAGTCACTCCCGCCAACGCCATGAAGTAAGAGAAAACGTCAAGATATCTACTTATTTGGAATCGGATGACTAACCTTCTCCCAGGTGGGTCTTTACCGAGCCTGAACAAGGCGTCTTCAACTACACCGAAGCAGAACTCTTCCTCGCCGCCGCAAACCCCGACGGCAAGAGAAAAGTCCGCTGCCACAACCTGAACTGGTACAACCAACTCCCCAACTGGGTCACTTCAGGCACCTGGACAAACGAGACTTTAACCGCTGTGCTGATCAACCACGTCACCCACCTCGTCGAGTACTTCGGCGACCGCTGCTACGCCTGGGATGTCGTAAACGAAGCCCTCAGCGACAGCGGCACGGGCAACCTCGCCGACAACAGCACCTGGAGATCGGACATCTGGTACAACACCATCGGCCCCAACTACGTCGCCGTCGCCTTCAAAGCCGCCGAAGCCGCCGTCAAAGCCAACAAACTGAAGGTCAAGCTTTACTACAATGATTACAACATCGAAAGCGCTGGCAACAAGGCCACTGCCGCTCAAGCTCTAGTCAAGAGCCTCAAGGATGCTGGAATCCAAATTGATGGCGCTGGTCTGCAGTCTCACTTTATCGTCGGAAGTACTCCTTCCAGAGCTGCTCAAACTGCAAACATGAATGCATTCGCTGCTCTGGGTGTCGATGTCGCCATCACAGAATTAGATATCCGCACTACCGTTCCTGCAACCGCTGCCGCTCAACAACAACAAGTTGTCGACTACGCCAGCTCTGTAGGCGCTTGCGCAGACGTTAATGCTTGTGTAGGCGTCACAGCCTGGGACTTTGACGATGCTTACAGTTGGATCCCATCCACTTTCCCTGGCCAAGGCTATGGAGATCTTTTCTTCCAGCCTGGTGGTTATGGTACTCCTCTGGTCCGCAAGGCTGCTTATGATGGTTGTATCCAGGTAAGTCTTTGACATGATTCCTTTGACTTTTGAGTTTAGGTGCTAATATATCCACAATAGGGTCTCACCAGCTAGATGTCTTTGTTGGTGATATGACAAGCTGCCAAAAGCCCAGCAAAATCAAATCCATGGTTCGCATTGATTTCTGGAAGAATCGCAAAAACAGATGGATATGTACGCGTGTAGTTTACCAGTTCCGAAGCAACTTCCTTCACATCCATCAATTGCTCCTTCCCCAATGTGTCTTCTTCGCTCATTTCTGATGAATAGGTATCTGTAGGAAACCATGCTGTAGAGACGCATGATGTGGTTCGATATTGGCAGTCGCCCGCGATAGTGCGCCAAACTGACAAGCTTCTCGCTATAGATTCCTCTAAGGTGGCGAAAGTCATACCTAAAAGGCTTTACCGCACCAAAGGCAAAAGGCACGATTGAATGTTTTAGGAAAAATGACAAGCAAGGAAGAAATCCGGAAGGAACGACGGCAACAAACTGGAAACAGCGGTCGAGTTTTGAGACCTGGAAAGGACGATCAAGCGGAGAAACGAAAAGTAGCGAACCGGAGCAAGAAGAAAGAGCATAGCATGGCCAGAGCGGAGAGAGTCACAAGGGACGATTGGAAAAAAAAAAGAGAAATAGAAGGTAAGGAGCAGCCAGATTGAGGGAAATCACCAGTGTGTAACCAGGAAGAGAGTATCAAGGGGAGGGTGTATAGGAAGAAGTATAGAAAAGAGAGTATAGGGAGAAGATTTAGAGAGAAGTACGTAGAGAGAAATGCGTAGAGGCGGTAGAAGGACATACTTAGAGTTATACAGAGAGAGAGGGGTAAAGCGAAGCCTCTACATCCTAGACGCATAGTTACAATGATTCAACGAGGCTCGACGATGTCCTAGACAAGTAGGCAGAATGACACAGCTGTGCTCTAGCGAAAGTCATTATAAGATTTGACGGCCATGTGTTCTCTTAAAGTACTTCATCTCTCTCTTGTCACATGCGATGGACCGGATGTTTTGCTTTCAGGAACTGTATATTCTTCGGTTGTTACCTGCAGTCGAACAAAACAAACAGTATGCTCGCCGAAAGTCAGAATAACCTATGCGCTGTTACGCCGTCGCTGTGATTTGAGTAAAAAGGAACAAATGAACACAACAAAGTCCCCCATAACAATATGAAGAAGCAAAGCTCAAATCCGAGAAGATGGATGTTGGCCGAAAATAGCCAAGAATTTGGCTAGAAGGTAGAAATATACCTCCGATGTATATGCTTTCTGTTGGCCAATGGTATGGCCACGGAAATCAAACCAGGTGACCACAAAATTTGTGGTCGATAATCAGATTTGTGTCGATAACTTTTTTATGCCGTATAACGCCGAAAATGCTTGCTTGTTGCAAAGCAGAAGACCCCCCTCCCAGAAAACACCTTTTCAATGCACTTTTGATAGTCCTTGCGTCCTTGATTGGACGGGACAAGAGGATCTCGTATTCGCGTGTTCGTTCAATTGCGGAGTCACAATTATCCGAGGGAAGCGAGTTGAAGGAATGCGGAGAGAAAGGAAGGAAGCGGTCAACAGCTTCCTACGAAGAAGTTGTGGGCATCGGCTTCTGGGTGGTTGAATGGCGTTCGCATACCAGGTGTCCACGAGGGCGTGATATTAGTGGTGCTGGAGACACTGCTTTCGTCTCTATCCTCATCAGGGTCTTCATTGCTCTCGGCGTATTCGGGGAATTCTTTGTCGTCGTCCATCCAAGTCAATCCATTGGCAGCTTCTTCGTCCGGGAAAACTTCGCGAGCGTATTCTTCCAGTGAACGGTAGCCTTCCCAAAGACTTCTGGCTTCTTGAGGATATTCGAGGGGACCGAAGTAGGGGGCTCTTTTCTCGCCGAGAGTTTCCTGAAGCGATTCCAAGTGTTCCCGGTAGCCGCTAGGAATGGAGACTTCGATGTCTATCGGTCCGTGGATGTACTTGACGGGTCTACCTACGCCGCGCGAAAACTTGACACAAGCCTGAATTGGACTAAGGCGTTCAAAAGCAAGTGTGACCCTATTGAGGAGCATTAGCATAGTCGCGCGATACTCGCAAGGTTATAATTTGCCCTACCTTTGGCCTTTCCAGGCATTTGGACCCATCTTGAATATTTGCAAGAGGGCTGGGCCGACATCATGCTCGGCGTCTAGCCAAGGCAATGGGTCGTGAGGGTGGAAAGGAGCCTGCCAGACGAAGCTGCCGTCTTCTTGGAGTTCCATGCGGAAGAGCGGGTAGGGTAGTGATGTGAAGTTGTTGTTGTAGATTCCAGTGTAGGTAAAGGTAGCCGGGATTCCAAGCTGGCGAACATAGTTTTCTATCGTAAATTTCTGCGACCACAAGGGGAGCGGTCTCCAGTCCGGGTTGTAGACAGAATGATCTGGCATGGATGAGTAGATGTAATGAGTTACACCCGCCCTTTTGGCGGCGTCCGCGCAAGCTTTGCCGATAGCGACCTCATCACCCCAATGAGTAGTGTTGATGAAGGCGAGTTTAGCACCTTCGAAAAGGTGATTTAAGAAGGGGATCAAATCGGCCTTTGGTTGGCACAAATCTCCTTCAACGATTTCGACATTGGGTAGAGCGGCAAGTTCCTCGGCGACCAAACCATCGCAAGTTCGGACCTGGGCTCTAACGCGCCAGCCCACAGCAGAGGCGACACGGACAAAGGAGGCCGTCTGACGGCCAGTCGAGTTGATTGTAACTACGGTCTTCGTAGGCATCATCAATGGCATTATACCAGGAGTGTCGGGCAAGCCACCACACGTGATATGGCGACCGTGCCCAGATTTAGAGGAACCGTTTTTTTCTTTTGAAGAAAAGAGAGGGGCGAAAAGAGGACTCTTCGAGCAAGTAGCAGCTGGAGGAAAAGTTTGCAAAAGTTCCAAGGGTCCGGTGAGTGGTTTGGCGACACTGGTGCTGCGAGTGCTGTGTGTGCGAGGGAAATAAATTTAGACGATCAACCAAACAGACCAAAGAAGCTTCTGCAAACTGACGCGAGACAGGACGCAGAAGGGGGAACGCTCGGATGATTCGCCGGCTTCGTTCACCGCAGGGAGCAAGGTTTCGATCTGAGCGCAGGGCGAGGAGACGTAATTTTGTACTTTGGGCGGCAGCTCCCCAAAACAAGGGCTCTCTAGTGCAAGGTACGAATTTGTGGGAAAACGTGCGGGGCAGCGACCAGTGGACAGTTGAGAGGCGAGGCAAGGAGACGGAAGGAAGGATGAAACAAGCTGGCAACACGTTGCTGCTGATGCTGACAACCGGCTCTTGTCGTCAGTGGTAGATGTGCTTTTCGATGGTAGCTGGGAAGTCGTGACTATGTGGCTTCGCGAAATGGACGAAGCCGTGCATTTTGGGTACAACATCACTCGCCCGGTGAGATTCGACCTCGTGGTGATTTCCTGCACCGTCTGTCGAGCACATTTTCATCCTTTTCGGACTAGGCTTTTGCAGAGTTACATAATCGTCCCTGATGGCACTTTTTGGTAGGCCCGGGATCGGAACGATCGATAGCGCTACGAAACAGTACCTGGCTCTCTTGTCAGTCAAACATTCCAATGAAATTGCATGCTGTCATGGTCAGTGGCCTGCCGCGTAGCTTTGCTATAGCCAAGAAACACCGCGTGACCAGTGCGATTTGCTTACACCTTCCTTATTCGTGGTGAGTTTACTCAAGCCAAGACAACAGAGGTGCAGCATCTCCGTTCATCTCCTCTCCAAGCCACTGGAAGCCACAGTTCCTGCTGTGAGTCGTCCGCCAAAAGATCGAGCGGCATCACCGACCTGTGAACCACGAGAGTGTCGACATCGGCCGTTGATCGATCGTCCCGGACCATTTCCCTCGTGCGTTCAGAGCCGAAACCTACCGCTTGCCGGCAGTCTCAACTTCACATCGGCGTGCGGCTCCGGAGCGGCATCGCACTCTTGAAGAGCAGTCGGCGTGAACCCACCGGGGTGGCTCCTCCGAGGCTCCTTCGTGTGGCCTCATTCCCGTGAAGCATCACGAGATCATGTTATACCTTTCCAAGGATCAAGTGATGAGCTCAACCACATATAACTAGTCACACACGTCCCACCCGATTCGATGACGCGAGCACAGAGAATAAAGACATCATGGAGACACAAAATCCTGATGTACCTGTCAAACATCCAGTTGTACTCCCGGACTTGCACGTGGCATCTTCTAGGCGAAGACGACCTCACAAGAGGGTTACATTCAGGCACGATTACTTGCAAGTTACCTCGACTCGGTGAACGAGAGCAGAATTACCAAAGGTCACTCGTCTTCACGTTTTTACCTATCGGAATCGTTCCCGATGCCACAACACTGGGATTGCAATTACGGCAGAATACGCCGATACTGACCCGCCAGTTCAATCTCCCAGACCACCAACCTCGCCACGTGCTTTCAACATAAATCGCGCTCGAATTTCGCCCATTTACGAATCGAAGAATTGCAAAAGCACACAGATCTTTGCCAGGGTCCAAGATGCCCGGAGTAGCGTCTCTCTTGGATCAAGAAGAAGAACACGTATTGACGGACCGCATGGCTACCAAGTATGAACTGTCGTGGCTCCAAGACTTGTGTCCTTTCATGCGACTGAAAGTCGTTGTTTGTCTGGTCTTCTCTGTATTGGAGTTCGGGGGATTTCTCGGTGGACAAATTCAACCAAACGGATGTTGATCTCTGATCGTACATGGTCTTCGAGCTTCAGAAACACCCCAGCCTCGTCGGCCGCAACAAGACACCAGTATCGACCAGGATCGAGACAGTTCATTCCCAGGTCCGAAATGTTGGGTGCCTTTTGCGGTATCTGTCAGTGACAGATGCGTACATGCATACCTGTCGCTCACCATACAAGACCAATCTGAAGGCATACTGCTAGTAGAGGCTGAGAAAGGAACAAGATCTTCATCCACTGCGCTACGTCGAACGCCTGTCTGGTCGACCGAACGACTCGACAAGAACACAAGACCCCACGTGCACCCTCTCCGTCCATCGTGGCAGATCGTGCTGCTTTTCTGACCGGTTTTGCAGAGTAGAGTATTGCAGCTGGACCCTCATTATTGACTACCCCAATTGTGCTTCATGGGTCGTCTCACCCTGATCTTTTGGAGGTCTGACCAATTTTTGGTGCCAGAATTTTAACACCTGGCTGCCTCAGTAACAAACTCACTCAATACCCCTTTCCTCCCGCCGTCACCCGCCTGATCTTTCTAACCTTTATATACGAGCTTTTCTAGGTCCTTTTAATAAGTCAAATCAGCCGTGGTAGTGTAGTGGTTAACATACCCGTGGTCTTAACACGTGCGCAGTCATTCGTTGTTACTCAACGCCGTGTCAGTCTAGATCCGAGGAGGTCGGGGGTTCGATTCCTTCCCATGGTGCTTATATCTTTTTTTGTTCAAGCCTTGACATGAACGATTTGCTTTTGGTCGCGTACCGGTGTTGACTCATTTGGAAAAGACAACTTTGGCATTTTCTTTTAGTGCGCATGGTGTGAAGGTCTTGCAAGAGACAGGGATCGCCCATCTCAATCTCGCCTTGTCTTTTCAAAGAGCCAGAGTCGACATGCAATATTTGAGAAAATGTCGTGCGCTCGATTTTTAGGAGTTCATCAAAGGATCCTTTGATATCCAGCTGGTTTCGGCAACATCGTATTTAAAAGCTATGCTCCACCGTCAGAGCTAAGTTGACTTGTTGCTCAACTGCTCAACGTTACCGACTTGCCAAAATTCTAGCTTTCCTTCCTAAGATCGCTGCACACTGCATACATCAGAGCTCTCACGACGCTACGACTCCGAAGAAGCTAACGCTTCGACCTCTCGCAATTTTCGAATACGGGATTCGAGGTCATTTAAATGTCTCATCCTGTAGAAGTCATCTTTTCCTATAAGCCAAAATTTATTTTGCTATCTTCTCTTATCTTTGTAGCAACGACAACGACACTTTCCTCGAAATGACTATGATATATGATTGGTAATTTATCTGCAAGAAATGAAAATTAGGTACTGCACACTTTTGTATGATCTGGCAGGTGAGCCTCTGTAAAGCCAGCACTCGATAACAAGCTCGATGATATTCGAGACGGAGATGATTATGCGACAACTCAAGAGAGGCTCAGCTGGAGAACTCAACCCAACTTTTCCTAATCCCCAGATAGCCTCTGAGTCGTCAACAAACATAACCAGACTTCCAAGAACATTCGGTGCCTTGGAAGAGTTGCACGTATTTGAGAATAACATCACTCGGGAAGCAGCTTTGCAAGTCAAAGGTAAGAGTAGAAGAAAAGCAAATGATCGCTCGTTTCGCAATATAGATCTATCAACAAGAATCAAAACCCATCCGCCAGAACCAAGCCCTTAGACCAGGCCGTCCAAACCACGCTATCCCGGAAAACTCCAACAAGAAGAAAGTGTACAAGTCCAACCAAATGACAACCAGAACCCGGTCCCTCAGATAAGGGGGTATCAAACTTAAAAGACAGAGCATCGCAAGAAGAAAAAAGGAGGAGGAAAAGCGATAAAGAGGTTCCGGCCTCGCTCGCTCAAAAACGCCATCCCAAGACAAACGCACGCTATGCTATATAGGTATTAGAGGAAAAACATTAGAGGATGAGAAGAAACCGCCAAAGCATTTTTGTAGAGATTGTTGTTGTTGCTCGGCGGCTTATGCGTTGGGCCATCGCATGCGCAGACCCTCGCTCCAGCGGCCATATAAGGCGTCAGCAAGCATGCCGATGTGTTCGAGGCCAGTCTCGACTTTGCCGGGCATCTTGTCTTCTAAGATGGCGGTGCGAAGAACCTTTTCGCGTTCACTGTCGACAAAAGCGCTCTGGCGACGCATGGAGCGAGAATGAGGAGCGGGCTCCAATTTGTAAGGTGAGGTGGGAGGAGTAATGGTGGTTTCCTTTTCGGTCACGAGGGGTGTCTTCTTGACGGATGGGTTGCTGCGGAGGGTGGCGAGTTGAGAGGCGGGCATGATTTGAGCGGCGAGTCTAGGGTCTTTCTGGACTCGCTCGAAGATGGCTTTGAGTAGGAGTAGTTCGCCTTCGGGGTCTGTTTCGTCCAGGACATTCCAGGCTTCTGCCATTCTGGCTAGAGCAGTCTGCTTGGGGCCAGGGGCTGTGGAGGCGTACAGCTCTTGCAGTGCCGGATCGATACACTTGACGTAGGCACGTCTGCCAAGAATAGCTTCCTTAGTGTCGGGCATCATGACGGCGGCGGCAGGAGGTTGGTTCTCGGAATCGTCGACAGCTGTCTGTGATGAGCCAGAGCTCGAGGGTCGGGTTCCACCAGATGGGACGCGCTTGAATTGGCGGACAGTGGAAGCCCCGTTACCGAAAGACATGTCGAGACCAAGAGGCTGCTTGGCTTGAACGGAGTGATGGCGTGTGGTGCGGTTAGAGGTCGAGCTTTGTCTGCTTACGCGACGCGCTGTAGGAGTTGAACCGGACACTTTACGAGTCGTGGCCGAAGGGTCAATCTGGTGTGATGGGGAGCTAGACGTGTGCTTGGAGGTACGGATGGTGGCAGAGGGATCGTATGAGGGCGAGTCTCCTAGTGAAGCGTCAAGCTTCTCCATGGCAGCGAAAGCCTCATCGGCGTCACTGTCCCATGCAATCATTTGCGACGGATCGCGTTGCTTGATAGTCTGTGATTGATATGCTCCTGGTCTGACGGTATCGAAGACCCAATCATCCTCCTCGGTTGGGGGGTGCAGCGCGTGCAGGGTCTGTTCGTAGTATCTCATGCGGTCCTTCTTATCGTTGGCAATGCGGTTGCGTGCTCTGTCGACCAACAACTTGAGGGAGTCAACTCTTCCTGCACGCTGGATGAACTTGTGCTTGAGCAGAGTCTTTGCTGTAGGTCGTGTGTCGGCGTCCTTGTTGAGGCAGAGAGCGACAAAGTCGCGGAATTCTTTAGACCACGTTCCACCTTCGAGTCTGGGAGCCCTCTCTTTCGGGATCAGGAACAGAACCTTCATGGGATGGACTTGGCTGTGAGGGGGCTCGCCGTTGGCCAGCTCCATGGCGGTGATGCCCAAACTCCAAATATCGGCTTTGAAATCGTAGCCGGCTTCTTGGATAACTTCGGGGGCCATCCAGAAGGGGGTGCCGACGAAGGTCAAACGCTGAGATTGAATGTTGGTCAATTGGGCGGCGACTCCAAAGTCGGCGATCTTGACTCTGCCAGAGCTAGACAAGAGGACATTAGCAGCTTTGATGTCTCTGTGGATTTTGCCAGTGTTGTGCAGGTAGTCGAGGCCTAGCAGCAGTTCGCGCATAATGATGGCGATCTGAGCCTCGTTGATGGGGCCGGATTTAAGCTGCTTGTGTGTTAGAATGTATGTCAAGTATCCGACGAGCTGGTCGACATACCAGGTCCAGACACGAGCCTCCGCCAAGGTATTCCATAACGATCCATAGTTTGACGCCTCGCACGAAGCTGGCCTTGTATCTTGTAACGTGTTCGCTGGAACATGTGCTCAAGAGCGCGATCTCTTGTTGGATTTCTTGAATGTCGTCGTCGCTGCCTTCGAGATCGATCTGTTGCAATTGCATTAGTCGAGAGATCTTTGGCATAGGGGTGTGGGGGAAGACATACGTGTTTGATGGCGACCAAATCACCCGTGGCCTTCTCGACGGCCTTGTATACGACACCGAAACTGCCGCTTCCCAGCTCCTCCAGCATGTGATAGTCGTCGGCCATGGCGGCTTCTCCGAGAGCAGGGTGCATTGTTGTTATTGTTGTGCAGCCTGGGTCAAGTGTGGAGTGGGCGTTGCAGCAAGCTGTGATGGACACAGCAGAGAGAGGATGAGCTTGCTAACAATTGAGGTCGAAGCATAAATGCGAGCGAAACATGTTGGCTTTTTGTATCAAAATGCTGCCCGAGTTGCAAAGAAAGCACAGATTCAGAACGACGCATTGGCCCGTTGGAGATGATATGGCCTTCTCGGAACATGGCCGTTGCTGCGGCGACCAAATGGCCAAGCAAGATGCCCGTCCGGGGTTCTTTCCCTGCGGCTTTCTTCTAGAAACTAGGATCTCCCTGTGCGTGCCGCTGCAAGCAATCTATATATTATGAGCCGCTTGCTTGCATCGACTCTACTTCAACTGCACTCGTTGTCACCTATCCGACATCTGCTCGACTCGTCCTTGTGTGCTTCTTCTCAGCTCCCCTTTGGGCCTCCAGAAATGCCGGAACACCGCCTACGCACTGATAGCTAATCTAACGTCGCAGCCAAGGAGCCTTTTCTATGACGATTGTCTACTAACCATGGTACCAGCACGACCGCCAGAGGGTCAATGAGTCAAAGGGAGCCTCAACTCGAGACCTTCCAACCGTCACCGCAGCAATCTTACTGTAGCCGTACCCGTTGCCAGTCAAGTCCACCGCTCGAGAGCCCTGTATTGGTTCAATCGTATGCCTACCCGCCAGCTGCCGTCACGAGTCTGCTGCTATCATTACTCGTTACCGGTCTAACCCTACACACCATCTTCCTCCGCACCATTGCTCTGACTCTAGCTCGCTGACCGTAAGACCATTGTTCGGCCAATGTTTCCCGACGTCGCTTCTGCTAAACATGTTTCCGTGACAGCGGCAGTCACTGCTCGACATGCCCGTGTGTTGACACTCTTCTCTGCCTTCAAAACAACACGAGCGTCCATGATCAATGATGCCTGTTCATCTGTCTCTCGGCCGATACGGTCAGGCCGCCTTCTGTGAACTGTACCTTTGACCGTTCTACAGCCCATCCAGGCAGGGGTCTAATCGGTCTGTTCAGTGCGCCCACGGGACCAGATGGTCGACGTTTTCAACAGCTCCCTCTTACTAGACGTTGCAAGATGTTGTACACCCCTTTCTCCTATATCACGAGCCGACCTTGACTCGCTCGCCAGACATCAAGGTATGCTATGTGGCAGTCATGTTCGAAAGATCGATCTCGATAACTGTTGTTATCTTGTTCCTTGATTTTGATAGCGTCAAGCCGGAGATTGTTCCACCGTGCAGTCACATGGTTGCCAAACCGCCATTGCATCGGGCCGCCATGGCTTTCCGCACCTTGACGAGAGTTAGGCGGCAACAATTGTATGGATATGAAGTCATCAGCAAAGCACAAGCCGGCGGTCAAGGATCTTCTTTGACAGGAGACTAGACTCCTGTGTTACGAGATTAGTGAGAAGAGAATTTTTCGCGTCCAGACGGCGGCGAAATGAGGTTGGAAGGTGAGCGGTCAGTGTGTACGAATATATCACCGATATGTACAGTAAGCGCGTGACGACAGCAGTGTACCTTCGTCCTTAGGGAGATCGGCTCGGGTATCGGGGCCAGGAAGTGTGCATAAATGAAACGAACTTTCTTTCCAGCCCTGCAGCGTCCACACCTGATAAATCGGAAGGTCATTAACCGACATGTCAGCGTCAGTGCTTGCGACGAGGCGGCAAGGCTCAAGCGGCTTCCTGATTTCTTCTCGAAGTTTCAAAAGCAAGCTCAGACTTGACATGCGACCTCGGGTGAGTCAGTAGGCGGGCATACGAGGTGTCATCAAGTTGTTCAAGTACTCAGCACTCCCATGAGCTAAAACAAAAGGCACAGGAGTGCCATGGCCGAGCATCGATGCTTGTTGTTGCAAAATGCGGAGGTGAGCCGCAGACCAAAAGCAATCGAGCGGCTGCCAGCTTTTGAGGTGTGGAGCAACGATTGAGGCGCATGCCAGCCAAGTGACGTGAAGAGAACGGCTACAAAGAAACTGCCGACACGTCTTCGAACTTGCTCACTACGAGTGGCACCGTCGTAGGCACACCGTCATGCCTCACCTGATCTTCCTTCTTCGCACATGTCAGACGACCTTCAGCTAACACGGCCATACCAACATGCCAATGCAACGCGCCTCAGCCCACAATCAACCATGAACGCGCAACACACAGCCGATGCTTCTCCACAGCGTGCTCTCTCGACCAAAGAAAAAGTAAAGAGCTTGGGACGTGAAACAAAGGCGAAGACGAAGAACTTGCTGCACCTCAACAAGCACTCTCTCACTCGAGAAGAAGAAGCCACAGAGGGCCAGGAAGATGATCCCTATGGTGACATTCGCCATGATCCCGCCTTCGACCCATCTCAGTTGGTCACGCAGAAGCCCAGTCTCTCAACGCGCATCGCTGGCGGTTTCACCAACGGCGTGAAGATTATCATCCACCCTCAAGACGCTGCCAAGAAGTTGGCTGCCTCCAAAGCAGCTGTACAGGACCGACCTTATCTGTCCGAGGAAGCCGATAAGGAGTTTCTCGATGCTCACGACAGTCTCTCAAGAGCCAAGACGTCGGCCTCGAGATCAAACAAGTCTGGTGACCATGAAGCTGTCGATGATCAACGTGAGCGCGTCAAGAAGATAGAAGCTCTACGTCAAAGCAGAAAGGTCGCTTGGACCACAAGTCGACACTTCAGACGCGCTCTTGTCTTTCCTAAACGTGACTTCCCTCCACCTGCAAAGGAGGACTTCTACTATGTCGATGAGAAGACAGGTACGCGCCGTCTCGATTACATAGCATGGATGCAGGCGCGCCAGCAGAATTCGATGAAAAGCTTCGCTGTGAATCGTTTGGGTCATGTTGATTATACTGGCCAGCCTCCGTTCGACAGGGATACAACTTCACGCTTCGTAGAGCGTATCCTTATTGCTTCTGCACCTTGGCAGACATTCTTCCTCTCACTTCGCAGCCTCTACCTATGGGAGGACCCGGCACGAACCAAGAAGTGGCTGGCAATCTGGTTATTCGTATGGTACATGGACTACTGTGTCTGTTTCGTTCTAGCCTACTCTGCTGTGGCTGTGCTACGAAACAGATTCCAGCACAAACAAGTCGAGGAGATGCGCGAACAATATCAAAGTGCACTGCAGAAAGGAAGTTCCGCCTACAAGTTCAGCGCCCTTCTGCAACAGCACGGTTCAGATTGGGTCGACCCTGTGCTTGAGAGCGCTGGGCCCAAGATCCAGCTTCATCTGGGTGACTTTGCTGATTTGCTCGAGGTACTAAACAACTTCTATGATTGGCGCGTCCCCAAGCTCACATGGGCTACTCTTTTCTGGTTCTTGTGTGCCATTTTACTTGGCGTCTTCACTCATTCGGAATACTCTATCAAAATCTGCACCATGTGTTGCATCGTCATGTTTTTCGGATCCCGCTTCGTTGCTCACAACCACCCTGAGTACAGACACGTTACCAATTCGTTCAATTACATCTTCTGGGGTATTCCAAATGATGCAGAATGGTCAATGATGTACCTGAGGGAAAAGGCTCAAGAGACCAGAGCAGAATTGATCGGAAAGAAGGTCCAGGAAGAGTGGGACAGGGATCTTGGTCACTCTAGCAGAAGCGTAGTTGCTGGCAGCCTCGACCTCCCTCAGGTTACCAGAACAACTTCCTTAGAAGTCGATGGCCAGCTTTCGGACAGTGATGATGACGATGACGCTGCCAGCTTCCACACTATGGATTCCGCAACAAGCATCCTGGGCAGTCTCGACATCCTATCCTTCCGCTGCTCCATGCACAACATGCCAGGCCGTCTTATCATCTATTCAGACGGCCTCCGTTTTCAAAGAACATCTCCACTCGCATCCATGCGCAAAGAAGTCTGGAATCGCCTTTGGTCAGAACTCGTCGAGATCGAGAAGATGGACTACAAGACTGCCGGCTTGATAAAGTCAGATGGCCTTCACTTCGGCTTCACGGATGGGAAAGAGGTTAAGCTTGAGCATGTGCGCCAGCGCGACAAGGCTTTCAATTGCGTGATTGGATTCTCAGGCTTGCGTTTCCAGGTCGTGCAACCCGCTGCAAAGACTGGCACGGATGACGACAGATTTGGCCAAGATGGCGAGGCATTCGGTCATGGCAACCAGCAATGATTTCTCTTTCCCTTTTTCTTTTCTTTTCTTGTTTATTCTCATTCTTGCTTTCTTGCTTTATTTTTATGATACCCATCCAGCCAGTCGTTCGATTATGATTATCACTTCATTCCTTCCTATGACCATCATTCTTATGATCATTCAACTTTCACCCGAGTCAAGTGTGCGTAACAATCATGTCAGAGTAGAAAGATGTTTCCTCCAAACAGGGTCAGCATTACGTAGCAAGTGGCATAGACACCACTGTAGAATAGTCTTGGAAGCGTGTACTTTCAGCCATAGTCATGCTCTTCTATCAAATGCCCCAGACGGTTACAGTGCCATCTCCACCGGCGCTCGCCCATTCCTTTCTCAATTGGTTCCAGACCACCGAGTTGACCACATCCCTCTTGGAAGACATGGAGACGAAACTCTTGGAGCCATCCGTCAATGCAGGAGCAGAATGCTTGAGCTTATGGTTGAGGCCTCCCGTAAGCAAGTCCCAGACATAAATATACCCGTCCTCCGATCCAGAGATCGCCACGCTGTCTCCAGCAGCCAATGTAGACCTCAGTCTATAGTTCGTGTTCTTGAATCCTTCATCCCTGAACGCCTGCAACAATTTCCCATCTCTTTTGTCCATAAGTCGTAATGTCGAGTCCAATGTGCTGGCAAGGTAGGAATCGTTAAGCACAGTAGGTGTGACGGAAGTGACTGGATGGCCCAACACATCTTGCTCCACCACACCCATCCTAATATCATAACACCTGACCCTACCATCCACACTTCCAGCAATAATCTCCGCTCCCCTCACCGCTAAACTGGAAACCGCATCTTTGGCCTCTGTAAACGTCATCACCGGTTTCTCCCCCCTCTGCTTGCAATCCCAAATCTTGACCGTGGAGTCGAAACTCCCGCTTATGACAAGCGCATCTCCTTCTCCGGCGAACGCGCAACAGTTTACTCTTCCTGCGTGTCCTGTCCAGCGGCGTAGGGTTTGATGCGTGCTCACGTCCCAGAGGAAAACGATCTTGTCGCCGCCGACGGAGATGAAGCGGTCGTTGTCTTCTGCGACTGCTATGTCATGGATTTCGTAGCCGTGGGCCGAGTATTTTTGGACCTCGAGGGAGGTGGTGGGATTGAAGAGGCGGATATGGCGGTCGGTGCTGCCGGTCAGGAGCTGCGGAAGCGGTCAGGTCGTGGATAGAGGTGGGGAGGGTGGTGGGATGGAAGATCGTACGTATTGGCCTGTTCCGGCGCTGTAGCAGAGTGCGAGGACTTGGCCTAGGTGTGTGTCAGCAAGGCTTTCAGTTCGAGAGGGTAGGGGAAGGGAAGATACCATTGTGACCTGTGAGGCGTGATATTGGACGGGTTGGAAATTGTGCGCTCATCACATTGTTGTGTTGTGTGATAGGAAAGATGGATGGCATGGTTGCGCCGGACTTGTGTTCCGCTGATGTTGCACGTCACGGCTGTCACCGCGGTGTAACCCTGTCTCCAACGAGCAACACCAATAACAGTAGCCTCCCCGTCACGTCTGCCCTCATATGCTGTTCAATATTTTCTGAGTAGATCCAGATATGCTCTGTATAGGTGGATTTACGTATGACTATGATCACAGAAACCCACATGTTCGTCGAACTTCATATTCTCAATCATAAACACCGGGTATCTTCACCATGTTTCCATTTGGTGAGACATAGAGGCACAAACATAAAGTAACTCACAATTTGAATTGTGATTATCTGATCTCATCAGCATGGTCCAAGCAAAGATACAAGAAGCTCAAAGGAGCAAGCAAAAAGCAAAATCATCCCCTCCGTTCCCCTGCGAGAGCCATCGTTCACCACAACTTCCATCCTCCAACAAGTCCCTTCTTGGCGGGAGTCTTTGACTTTCTCTCTCTACGAGCACCGTCCAACACTCCTTCTCTACTTCCATGACCACGACCATCTTCTTGTGCAGATTGATAGACTTGTTCATCCGATATCTTTGTTCTTGAGCTTCGACGACTATGGCCATTCCTGACTGCACCCGAAGATCCACTCGTAGTGGAGTCGCTCTCAACGTATGGTCTCTGATACTCGAGTCGGTGAGGTTCAATTGTAGGTGGCTTACGAGCTGTCACGGCAGACGAAACAGAACTCAATGGGTGAGGTGAGATGGCACCTGGTCTTGCGAAGCGCGTGACGTTCTCTTGGGTGAGCATGGTTTGAGCATGGCTGAAATTGCTAGGCTCTGGCTCTTCATAGATGGTAGTGAGCATTGGCATAGGTGGAGGAAGTCGGCCATCGTCTGAAGGCGACGGCAGGTATTCGAGTAGTTCTTCCTGGATGTTAATGGCTGATGAAGGATTGGAAGTTCTGTTTGAGCCCTTCTCTGTCGTTTCTGCTGCTTCCCAGTCTACGTAGCTCTGTTCAGAGTCTTCTCTAGAGTAATGGCGAGAGGATCTGGATCTGTGTGATCGGCTGCGGCGCGACGTCGATTCCCGAGAGACTTTCGAGGTCCTTGAGCGATGTGAGGATGGTAACGCTTCCCATTCTGCGGTCACCTCTGATTCTGTATCTTCTTGAATTGTTTGGCGCGACGTGTTCTCCGAAGGTGCTTTGTCTTCCCATTCTGAGATGAAAGGCGCCGAAATTTCATCCCACGTCTGCTCATCTTGTATCGACTTTCGAGACGCCGAGCGGGAAGGCCGTCGAGAATGTGTCAACGATGATCGAATTTTGCTTTCTTCGGAGGGAGATTTGCGAGAAGAAGGCGATTGGGTGTGGTGAGTTGACTGGCTCTTGTGGGTGGATTGTTGAGTTGTTTCTGATGTGATCTCCTCGAATCGATTCTCGATGATGTGTCCTTCTTCGGGAAAAGGAGAGAAGGCTGAAGGTATGGCCGAAAGCGATTGATCCCAGAAAGCATCATCTTCTGAAGTGTCTATGTGCTGTAAGAGCACACCGCCAGAATGGCTGGAGTATCCGGACGGCGGAGACGCACTCTTCACAGTAGAGTCGGAGTACAGAGAGTCATTTGGCACCTTCCAATCGTAGTAGGCATCTGGGTTCGACCACTCTGGCTTGGAATGCGACAAGCTGGCTGGCCACGGCTCTGTCAGGCGAGGTGTTGGTGGTATAGAAGGTTTTGGGGATGTCACGACAGAGTGCTGGGATGCCGTAGCAGCTTGCTGAGGTGGCATGATTGATTGGGTTGGAGTCGAGGCATAAGAGGAGGCTGATTGACGGGCTGATGGGTTGCTGGATAACTTGCTGACCGAGTCGCTGGAAGAGCTTCGCGATGAGGGAGCACTAGTGCAAGAAACAGGTGACATAGGCCTTGACGACACAATGGCATGAGTCGACAGGGCTGAGATAGATCTTGCTGTGACGGAGCCCTCGAGGGAGTCATCCGGAACTATAACAACCGCCTTCTGTGAAGGAGTATGGAATGAGTGCTTCGAAGGAGTGTAGCGAGATAGATCCTTACTGGATTGTCTGCTGTTATAGCGCGGGGAATAAGAAGAAATAATAGAATCATGGATAGAGCTGGCTGGCTTCTCGGGAGGAAGGAGTCGGGATCTCGAGGAGTCGGGAGTTGGAGCAGGTGACGAGTCTGGAAGAGCTCCTGACATCTTGACAGAACTGCCTATTGACGATGGCGCAACACCCGGAGTAGCGTCGGTGACAAAGTCAGTGAGTGTAGTGGGTCCTGCTATGAGTCCTGCTGTGAGTGCTGGTCAGCGCGGCTCATGTAACCGAGTTTCAAGTCTTGCGTACATTTACTCTTGACTCCCTGCTCACGTTGAGGAGACGAGTGTGATGAGCTGGCGGACCAGTACTTGACCTCCTCCGCATCGGCTTGGTCTCCAGCGACAGTCGTACGAGCACGACCGGATTGAGAGGCGAAGTGCAAGGGCCTCTTGATCTCCTGTATGGCTTCCTCGCCATTCTTGCCTCTGATACGGATCTGGAAAGTGCGCGAGCGAGCGGCTGATGAAGAAGAATGCTGGCTTGCCTCCTCCGTCTGTTCGGACGGGGCAGCTTCGCTGGGCGGAGGGCGACATGTTTTGCGCAGCACAAATGGGTTGCTAACAACAACACTATCTCCATCCTTGCTGCGAATGCGGAAGCTAGGCGACGGACGGCGCTTTCCATGGGCTGCTGTCTTGGTCGATGATCGGTGGCGCTTCTGATCACTCTCCGCTGGTCTGGTCATGTTATTGTTGTTGTGGTGGGGATATTCGACTGCCCCAAACTCCGTAAAGCACCTGTCATCAACAGCACTGCGTCCATCTCCTGGCTCGACGTAGTGTTGATAGTCGACTGGGATAGGCGCCGCATTGTGACCAGATGCCCATGCATCCGGCGCATTTGTGAGGGTTTCGAAACTGTCGTCGATTGCGGACCCTTGGACACTGCCAGCCATCTTGACGTCTATTTGGTGATCTTGGTGGAAGCAGGATAGTGAAGAATGGGAAGGCGCAACTAGATGTGTGTTGTTGCCTAGGGCGGGGAATTGGGTGTGTAAGCGACGAAGATGGAAAGCGCACAACACAAGAAGTGAGTGAGAATTGAACAGTGAGAATCGAGAGCAACGATCTGCTCAGCACCGCGCAAATGAACTTGAAGTCGTGATGAACATTAGGGTGCCTCAGATGTGTAGGAAAGTCGTGAATGTGAATAAAAAGAAATTTAGAGCTTTGCCTTTTCTCTCAGCTTTTCCTTCTCCCAGCTCTTCTTTACCCACACCCCATTGAGATAACTCCAAGTTCCCGATGCAACTGCCAATGGCGGGCAGAGTAAGAGCAACCAAGACCACCAGGACGGAGAACCGGTTCTAACAACCTCCATGACCCTATCAAGTTCGCGTTTCAGCTCTTCCTGATCGCCGTCGTTCCAAATGACAACTCCGCTCTTCTCGCCTCTGCGTAAACATCTGGCAGCCTTATCTCTAACGTCCCACTGACTTGCGACTCTGTTTTTTGCGTCCTCTTCTGTCAAGTGGGCATCTCTGGCCAGTAGTCTTTGCATTTGGATTTGGGCGTCTTTGACTGCGACTACCATGATGGTTCCACAGAGCGGCTCCCAGCCACTCTCAAAGAGCAAGGGTATATCCAGCACACAAGCCCAGTGGCCCTTCAAGTATGCCTGGAGCATCTGCTTGTACATCTCGCGACGCACAGCCGGATGAACAATGCTGTTTAGAACCTTCCTATCCGACTCTTTACCCTCACCAAATACCCGACGTCCCAGAGCCGGCCGGTTGAGCGGTCTGCCTTTGCCATTGGGTCCATTTTCACCACCTGAAGAGGGGTCGACCGGTACAAGGAGATCAGGCGTTGATGGTCCGAAATGTGAGACGATTTTGCTATAACCAGCGGTTCCTGGTTCGACGACCTGACGTGCAATCTGATCGGCGTCGACGATCGGAAGTGAATAAGGATGCGCCGACAGCAGTCTTGACACGGTAGACTTGCCGGTGGCGATACTGCCCGTGAGACCTAGCAGAAGCATGTTGATGTCTGTTTGCGATGAGGCCCCGAGCTGTCAACAAGGACTGTCAGTGAAGGTGTCAAGGGCAGGAAGGTGGCCGGGAATCGGTCTTGGCTTACGTAGCTTCTTTGTTGCAACTCACTCGGCCTTCCTTCCGTCTTTGGCTTCCAAGAACCAATAATTATCTTGAACGTGGCATTTATTCAATAATCTTTGAACAGACATTCGATCCGTCTTGTCAATATACCAAAATGCCGGGCTCTATCGCTGTCGTCGGTTCTTTGAACATTGACTTCATCACTCGCACCCCTCGTGTACCAGCAGGAGGTGAAACTCTTGAAGCCAGCTCTTCGGATACTGGCTTTGGAGGTAAGGGTGCAAACCAAGCAGTGGCATGCGCTAGACTGTCCCGCAACAGTGATGGCTCGACTCCTGCCGACAGCAAACCCATCAAGGTCAGCATGGTCGGCTTTGTTGGTGAAGACTCGTTCGGATCAGATTTCATCTCAGCCATGAAAGAGACCTTCATCGACACCGCGCATATTCAAAAAGTGCCTGGTCAGAAGACTGGTATCGCAAACATCATTGTCGAGGAAAAGACCGGAGAAAATCGCATTCTCTTCTGCCCAAACGCAAACTTCTCAGGAGGGGATCAGGTCAAGGACCTAGTGCCCGAGGATGCAGACGTTGTTGTCTTCCAATTGGAGATGCCCCTTGCTCAGGTAGTACACAACATCAAGCTCGCACACTCCAAGGGCAAATACGTACGATCCCCTGCTACTAATGCTGTGTTTGCTGCTGACCTTGAGCTAGGTCATCATGAACCCAGCACCCGCACAGAAACTGCCTGATGATCTATACCAATACATTGACTGCCTGATCATGAACGAGAGTGAAGCCGATATCCTTCGCGAGGCCAAGGAAGAATTGAAGAATGAAGATCTACCACAAATCTGCGAGGACTTCTTCAAACGTGGTGTTCCTGACCTAGTCGTTATCACTCTTGGAGCCAAGGTAGGTGGATCATGCATGCCATGTCTGGCGCCGATGAGCTAATATTAGAGCAGGGCGTCTACCACTCTGCCAAGTCGAGAAGCTCAGGACACACACCTGGTCGCAAGGCGAAGGTTGTCGACACCACGGCTGCTGGCGATACTTTTGTCGGAGGCCTCGCTGTCGAGATTGCAAAGAACGGAGGCAAGACTCCTCAGTCACCAGAAAGCATGATTCAGTTTGCCAACTCAGCTGCGGCCCGCACGGTAGAGAAACCTGGAGCCATGGCTGCTATTCCCTGGGTCAACGAGCTGTAAACTATTCCCTGAGACTCTAAGATCATGCCGACATCACATCAAACTAAATAATAATGAATCTCAACATCTGAGCTGGATTCTCCGATCCGGATGCCAGTGCACTGTTCTGGTGAGTGTGTAAGTGAAGGTGATGGCCTGTTCTTTTATGCGCCAAGGCAAACTCGTCAAAGTCAAGCCATATATACTGGAAAGATCGGATTGACCTCCAAGAGGAAAGATGGCAGTTTAGCACAATCGGCAAATCACCTCTTCTGGTAGGACCCTTGTTTGTAACCAACAACCCGAACAGGCGCAACTGGAATCATGTGGCCCTACCAAACCGAAGACTCCTATTTCTAACCAACAACCCGAACAGGCGCAACTGGTATTAGGCAGTCTTCAACTTCTTTTTTGGTTCTTTACCCAGAGGAGTGGTTGAGTGTTGATGTTTTGTCACAATGGATACGATGTTTGTATTCACACCAAAGGTCAGGGGTTCAATTCAGAGCATGGTTTTGGTCAGACTTTTGCGAATTTCCCTATCTCATACTCTTGACATACCCATGTTCAGAGACTCTCTCACGTCGCCGAGACATGGCATGATCAGTCTCACCCGCACCAAGTCTCGTAGCCTCAACAAAGCTGAGACTGATCTTACTGGTATTGACAAAGCGACGTGAGACATCGACCAGCACACCATTTTCACACCAGCACACTATACTCACACCAGCAAGATCCCGGAACTTACGATTTCAGAGCAGCCTCTTATATATGGCTTCCTCTATCTTCTGAGCATTCGATTCTTCGTGCTCTCCTGCAAACACAAATTTGTTGCTTGAGGTCAAATTTGTGTCCACGGCTTGACGATTTTGTTTTACCAACGAAAGAATGGATCAACACGATGACTGTCAAAGGCACATCTGGACCAAGAAAACGGTGGAGTAAGTCTTCTGCGGACGCTGCTGTGACGTCCTGCTAATATCATCAAGTCAGCTCGTAGCCACACCTTGCGAGACGATTCAACTATGCTCTTCGCAGGGCTCAATACAAACTATCAACAAGGAACTTCTGTGCTACTTCTCCAAGTACTATCGTGCCGCTCTGAACGGTCGATTCGCTGAGGCTCACCAACAACTATTCAACGTTGATCTTTCAGGACAGCAACTCAGAGTGTTCACAGCTTGGATCTACACAGGCCAGCTCGAACTTCTGAAATGGAACCGCGAAGATCGTCTGATGCTTTACGTGTTCGCCGACTTCGCAGAGATTCTCGCACTTCGTCGCCAGATCATGACCGAGGAAGGAAGAATGGAGAGATACAAAGAAGTGGGTCTGGCAATCACCCACCTCCCAGATAACTCTCCATATCGCAGGCGAATCGTCGATCACTACGCCCGCCACTGGAAGACCGCAGATGATCGGTACGACGGTTGGCATCCGAAAGATGACGCTATATACCGAGGTTTCTGGTACCAGGTGTGGGATGTCCAAGCCCAAGAAGGATGGTTCAAACAACCCAAATGTCCTTGCTGTCGCAACCCGTGCAACTATCACGAACACGTGAACGAAGAGGAATGGGAAGCAAGTAAGTGACATCCCTCTCTGTCCGTTTAGCAGTCGCTAACTGGTCGGACAGCTTGCGGACAGCTGGCAAGATCGAAAAAGCCAGAGGAAAAGTTCTTCCTCCGCAGTGATCATTAGGTCAGGAGGAACGGCGAACAAGAAAGAAGGCGATCAAAGTAGGCCAATTTGCATACCGCAACTCTCCCTGCAACTACAATGAGCACAAGACTATGAAAGAATGGCAAGGCAGTAAGTGATCTGAAGCTTGATTAGAATTTTTCGTGTATTAATCCGAGTCAGCTTGCGGAATTTCAAAGGGCCAACTCAAAGCCTTTTGAGAGATACTTGGGCAAGACCCTTCTCTGACTGAGCGGCACAGCCACTTCTGCTTTCTGGGCTTAGTGAGAGGTGACTGATCGCTTGAACCGTGAATGATCATAATCAGTCGATCATTGTCGAATCGCCGGTGAAGACAGACTTGAGGACCTTTTGAAAGAAACTTAGCGAATATGGATGAAAATGGAGAGCAAGAAGAGAAAGAAGGGCAGTTGCGATCGGGAGATTGGTCACTGACATCCGCAGTTGCCCAACATCGATTGGAACTTGGGGTATTGGTTCGCAATGACGCTTGACATCCAGATTGGCATCACGGCGGATAGCGACAGGCAAGAGTGATAGACAAGTGATATTGAATTTCTTAGCAAGACAATAACCCTCACTCGGATACATGTTGTGCTTCACTTTTTGCTCTCTATTCAACTGGTCTCATACCCCAATTCAGATCAAATCCTCAGCGGCGATGGCTTATTCAACCAGTGAGATACTAAATATTGACCACATGATCACTCACAACCGCAGTCGTCGATGATCGGTCACTCTCGGTGTGTGAACAGTAAGAAGTCCGCAGTGTCTCTGAGCCTTTGTTACGTGGTTCATGCACAGTGAACTCTCTAAGGACGATAACAAACTTTGAGTTTCACTGCAGATATTCAAGTCGGGCTTTCACACTTACACTCTCACTCTCACTCATCGTCACTCCGGATCCTTCTCTTTCTCTCAACTCGACACCGCTTCTCTCTTGTTCTACACGGCATCTGCCCCCATACCCACCTTGCATCTTGCATCGCACAGTATGGCAACCCAAGCTGAGAAGAATGACACGGGCTCTTCAACCGATTGGTCGAGTCACATGTGGTCTCCTGGAGAAGTCTAGTAAGTCTTACGGAGAAGTGGTATGCTCACGACTAATGTCTTAGTGCTGCTGTCACCAAATCTCCAGAGACCATCAAACTCGTATCGAAGAAAGGCAAAACAACAGTCTCTGTTCACAAAGAGCTGCTTTGTTTCTTCTCACCTTACTACAAAGCCGCTCTCAAGGGCAACTTCACCGAAGCAACAACAGATTCACTTCAAGTTGATTTGACTGACAAGGGTCTCAAAATGTTCGTAAGATGGATCTATACTGGTGAAGTTGCCAGCCCGAGATGTTTTCCTCGTTACTTCAGTCTGTACATCTTCGCCGACCTTGTCGACATCGTTGCACTTCGCCGTATGATCATGACTCGGATCCAGGGCTATAGTGAGGACCTACCTGAGTACAGTACGGTCAAGCTTGCTTTGATGAATCTTCCGGAGTCCTCGCCATTGCGTGCGTGGATTCTGGATGTCTACATCAGCCATTGGGAGCCGGCCTACGACGATTGTGATCCCTACCCAACTGATACGGCCAGCGATCCGGACAATACGCTAGCAGCATTCATGTACCAAGTCGCAAGAGGCCTGGCGGTTCGTGAAAGTGTAAACACCGCCGGTTGTTTGTGTTGCTATAGCGACTGCAAATACCACGAGCACGAGAGCAAGGAGGAATGGGAAGCAAGTATGTTGAATCGTCCATGATCAACCAGAATCTTATCACTGACCACCGACCAGCATGTGGACAGATCGAGGACATGGAGATGCCAGACCATCTGAAGTAGCCGAACACCAGCAAATCCGACGATGCGATACGGGGGACAAGCTGGCGGTCTCGTTGCCAGAGCAAGACGCAAGACACCGCTCAGAATGGAAAGGTCCAAGCCATATCAGCCTCGCAGTCCAAGACTATCGAAGAGGTTGTAATTTTGGCACAGCAATAAGATTTGATCTTGCTGCATAACATCAAGTAATCAGACCGAAGATCAATACCAACTATCCTCTATCAGAACCCCTCATAATACTACATTGTTCATCGCGCTAGTAGCTGCATTCAGTCGTGACCGTCGAGATATGAGAGATCGAAGTGGTGGATCCTGAGAGCGTGTCGAGATAGTCAAGCTGAGTACTGTAGATGCACAATGCTTTTCTTCTCCTACGATCGCCCACTGAGACTATAAGCTCTCTCTGGACATGGCATCAGCTGAAAACCCATAATGTCTTGCGACAGCTACTTACGGGACAGACTTTGGCACTTGGGAGAGCTGACTTTGGTCGCTCCTTCCCAAAGTCATACTCACGTTCTCTTCTCTCGTGCGAGCTTCTGCTCTACCGCATCGCTCTTTTCCATCGTCGACCGTTAGCTTTGCTGCTAGATCTCAACGCCGATCTTCACGCTATGCTCAGAGACAATATCGAGAACACATAAGGACCGACAAAAAGAACATAAGATGGTGCTCCCAGGAAGGCAAAGCCAAAAGGAAGGTACAAAACAAAACGTACAGCAGCAGGGATTCCCACGTGGTCACCCACCGTAGTACTAATCTGCCGTTCAACTGCTTATGTATGGCAGAGCGGACGGGATGCCCAGTTTTCAGCTGACTGTGGCCGTACGTGCTGAAGTTGTGGTTTGTTGAAAATATCAAGGTAAATTGTCTGAGAGACAGGGTGGCCCAGCTCTGCATGACAGGTCTTGGTGCCAACCCGTGTATTGCCTGTGTAGAAGGATGGCTAAGGGTTGTCTGTACTGTCTGGCGTGTGAGACAGAGTAATGGTCTGCCGACTTCTTGCTATACCATCTAGTCCTCCAGGTTGCTGTGTGATACCGTTTCATCCGCGTGTCGTCCTAAGGCTCATGAGCGGCAGAGGAAGCTGACTATGTAAGGCCACTTCGCTGGTAATGCAGAAGATCCATTAAGCTCGAAAGTGGTATTAGCATCCAGATGTTGCTGGTCTTCCGGCCTATAAACCTAGTGTGCAGCTGTGTGACCAGAGTGGAGGCCATTGTAGATGCTAGAAAGTAAGTCATATCGAAACTTGCTCTTCTGGAGACTGTTTCGGCCGGTTCATGTCAGCGAACGGTGTGAACTGTTTACATCTATACAGCTTTGCCTATCCGCATGCGAAACGGTGGTCCGAAGAACAAATCTCCGTGGCTTCGGCCGTGTATTTATATTCTTGATTGCTTGGTGATGGTGAGGTCGATTTCTGAAGAACCGTCGCGGGCAGCCGAGAGCGATGATTGCCTTTTCCTTTTCGGTGGGTGTATTTTTAAATCACTCTATTGGTTGTGTCAACATGAAACGAAGCTTCAGGTCATGAGTTGGGCTTGAATGAATCAGAGCAACGGCAGCCAAGGATAACATCCCGCAGACCTGACTCTCTGAAATGCTTCCAACAATTGTCAAGTTGCTTGGCTGATGATGATGATATCAAAGTCCTGTTCTCTGCATGCCATGACAAGCTTGTTGGTCTGTGGGAGAGAAAGCCCACAAATATTTGGTGATCATGGAGTTGGCTGCGGATGATCTTCTGGAGAGCCAATTTGGCGACCAGGGGGCTTGACAGCTTCTTGTCCCGGACCTTGCAAGTCTTGTTGAAGTCTTCTTCATGTAGCCTTGTACAAAGTCCGGCGCTGACATATTCGACTCGCAATCATGTCCGAAGGTCGCGGAGTAGATACCACTGCATTTTGAGTACAATGTACATCGAGCAAGTAGTGCATCTCAATGAACTCTAGCGAGGTGTGCAATGTACAATATAAACTTGCATGAGAGGCTGATACTCCGAAAGCGTCGCACAACATGTTATCGGCTGGGAGACGTGAACTTGCCAGCGAGTTGCTCCTTGGAAGCAAGGACTGTGAAGCACGCTGGACTTCCAATATTATTGCGACATGAATTGTGATGAGCAGCTAACGTTTCTGTGCGAGAGGTAGTCATGCACCAAATCTGCTGAAAACACCGGACAAGCCGGCGATAGGGTACGATCGTCGCCAAGTGCAAATTGATTCCTGTCGAGCCGCAGCTAGAACGAAGACGATTTTGGCAACCTGAAACATAACTCCCAACAGGCAAGCACACCGAGCAGAGGTTGTTTAACTTTTTAGAGGGATGCAGCACTGTTTCCTGCCACGGAAGCTGGAGTTGATCTTTTCTTGACGGAGATGCCAAGTCGGAGGGTTCGATCGAGCGGCCGAGGAAGCAGCCACATTTTCATGACGATCATGTATGTTCGAAAGGCTTTAACAACGGGTATCACGGGACCCGCTGAGCTTGAGTCGAAGAGAAATCGGTCGTTGAAAGCATGATGTCAAAAGAGCAAGCTTTTGCGAGGTGATTCGTATTGCCGGAACCTTGACGCGACATCCAGCAATCGGAGGCTGGGTGTCAGCCTTTTTGAGCATACAGCATGCAAGTCTGGTCGAGAGGGCAACACCTTCGGCGAGCTGGAATGGTTGGTGTGCTCCACATCAATCGCGAACTCGCCACCACAACCAAGCACGAAAGCAGTTTAGGGCAAATCTTGTTTGTTTGGGGACGGGAAGGCATCCCGACCGTTGATCTGAGCCACGACGGAGGAGAGAAATAGAACAAGAATCTCCTCCTGATGCAAAAGAAATACAGGTAGCTATCAAGATTGGGAGGAGTACGAGAGCAATTTGGGGAGCTTTAGTTGAGCAATCAAATCGTTGCTGATAACGGACATGTAATGGACCAAAAGAACGATGCGAGATTGCGGTGGCTGCAGGGATGACATCCAGCCGAAACAGTTCGAGCACCGGGACATGTCAAAGCGTCTGGCCAACGACAGAGCGAAATCAAGAGATCGACCATTCGGTTGGCGACGGATTGTGGATGGGCAAAGAGGTCGGATTTGATATCAGAGTTGTGTTGAAGACCTAGAGGCTTGGATTTGGGTGGAGCTGGATGCCGACCAAGACACGTTCGCCACGCAGTCTGGTTGCTAAAGAAAGAGAAGAGTTTCATTCCGCGGCGCTTCAGAGCGGCCAGAGCCTGGGGAAACCTGATGTTTGGTGGTGGTGTTTGTGCAGGAAATAGCCGCGTAACGATGTTTGCCACTAAAATGGCACTAAGGACTTGGCTAAAGCTCAACCCAGGGCGGACATCTTTCAAAACAACCCCCTGCCCGGCCCTCTCTTTTTGAAAGCACCTTCGCACCTTCCTCTCGTTGATTTCATTACGAGTGCTTTTATACCGCAAAAGGCCGCTTCTCTTTTCTCACATTCGCTCTCCATTACTGTTGCTTCTGGACTTTTCCACTTGCACTACACTTATCCCAGCGCTTTCTCACCTGCAACAGTTTATACACTTTCAAGGTACGTTTCCAACGAGCATCTGAATTTTTCGACATCAATCCGCCTGTCTGCGCCGCCCATCCACGCGATCCTCCTTGTGACTCCAGGATTGAGTCGCACTTGGAGTCCGGTCAACTTGCGCAGTCGCACATCAACCCCTCTTCTGTACACATTACAGCAAGCCTTATCATCCATACTGACGCGCGGCCTCACAGTTAATTCCCTCTCACAATGTCGATGAAGTACCTCGTCCCCGCACTCGCCGCTGTTGGCGGTGCCTACGCCCAGAGCTCTTGCAGCGTTTCTGGTACCACCACCATCAACGCTGCTGCTGATGCTTCGGCTCTCTCTGGCTGCTCCACCTTCTCCGGCTCTATTGCCATTGCCACTGGTCTCGGTGAGGCTGTCTCAATCCCTGGTGTTAGAAGAATCACAGGTGATCTTGTCGCAACCAACAACTCCCTGATTCCCTCCATCTCGGCCGACAGCCTCCAGATCATCGGCGGTGCTTTCCACCTCGACGACCTGCAGATTCTTTCGACCCTGTCGTTCCCCCAGCTCACCCAGGTTGACGCCATCCAATGGAACGCCCTCGCTGGTCTCCAGCTGCTCTCCTTCACCACTGGTGTTCAGCAGGCCAACGAGCTCAACATCCAGAACACTCAGCTCCAGACCCTTGACGGTATTAACCTTGCTGTTGTCGACACCGTTTTCATCACCAACAACAACTACTTGAACGACATCTCTATGCAGCTCGGCAACATCTCCACCTCGCTGACCATCGAGTCCAACGGTGGCAACGTCTCTGCCATCTTCCCCAACTTGATCTGGGCCAACAACATGACCTTCCGCAACGTCTCCCAGATTGCCTTGAACTCGCTCGTTTCCGTCAACGGTTCCCTCGGCTTCTACGCCAACGAGTTCGAGTCGCTGCAGTGCGCCAACCTTACCACTGTCGGTTCCAACAAGGGTGACTTGACCATCGTCTCCAACCAGAACCTTAACAACGTCTCCTTCCCCCAGCTCACCAAGGTTGGCGGTGGTCTCTCCATTCAGAACAACACCGACCTCATGACCGTCAACGGCTTCCCCAAGCTTGCCACTATCACTGGCGCTTTCGACCTGTACGGCGACTTTGCCAAGTAAGTCCCCCTTGAACAACTTCCTGCTCGTTTCACATGACTGACATGCTCTAGCGTCACCATGCCCGCTCTCAAGGAGGTTGACGGTGCTTTCAACATCCAGTCCTCAAGCGTCCTCGGCGGCTGCGACGCCTTCCAGAAGCTGAAGTCTGGCGGTGAGATCCGCGGAAAGTTCTTCTGCAACGGTACCGTCGCCAAGCCCTCCGGTGTTGGCTCCAACCCCAGCGTCACTGGCTCCGGCAGCTCTTCCAAGTCCACCGCCTCCGGTGCTGCCAACGCCATGTACGTCCCCACTGCCGCCGCTGGTGTCATGGGTGTCGTCGCCGCTCTCTTCGGTCTTCTGTAAACGGGTCAGTTCTTGACTTGGTGTTGATCAAATTGCATGGCGTTCGATTTCATTTTCTTTGTCTTGCGTAGACTAATCGACGGGACATTCTCAATCTATTCAATTCCCCGAAGGTTTACTCTACCCACATACCGGCTTCGGGTTTCACTTGAGCGAAAGCATTCTTTTAAAATACAGGATAGCGTGCATCGAATGGTCCTTTTACTCACAAAGTTTATTTCCTTTTTTCTTCTAATGGCTTCTAACGAGTTAGGCGGACGGGGTTTATTGTAATAACTCTCTTATCGTATGAGATTCTTCATGTTCATACTTTTCTCAAACAATTGTTCATCTCAACACCTCTTTTCCTCAGAAATGATGAGTGTGTCGCTTGGTGGTAGGTTGTCGTCAACCTGAGACGCTCGGTGCATAATTAGCCGACAAGATGTCTCAAGCGTGGAACTCTGATTTTGACACAATGCAGACCACACTCTGAGGCTCTGAGCTTTTCTGAACGTCACGCCGTGTCATGAATAACATGACCTCTCGAGTTTTCATGGTACAAGATCCATGAAGTGAGTCGATTGGATGACGGGCAATCTCCATCGACTCTAATTCACTGATGCTACTCGTATATTCTGTGCATATATTCGGGGACCTTCGACACGAGGTCGGCGAATAACTGCGTCTGCAACATCTCGATATAGCAAGGACGGGACAATTGTCGACTCATGACAACATGCATCATGTGGTATACCGCGCGGAACTTGTTTCATCGGTCTTCAATACTTGCACGACACAACGTCCTGGCATTATCCTCCGCGCCTGTTCAATTGACTGTCGCACAGCATTCGCCGCATGAGCTTGTTGATTGGGAAAGTGGAGCCAAGTCTTTCGCGACCTGCATGAGCAGAACGCCTCCTCTGCGAAGCTGCGGCTGCGAACCAACCGGGGCTTGCGGATGCAAAGAGCCGATTCTCAGAGAGTCAGTCAAGGTCGTGTAACCTGAGTCCAGCATCCAGCAGCCGCTCTCGTAGACCGACGATTGACTTCCGGCAGTCAGATCTTTCGCGCATCAACTGACCGTTACCCGTTGATGATTGGGGCAGCCATACCTGCACGCTCCCGCACTGTAAGCAACTTACATCGCGAATCAATCGTATGGTCCTCGCTCGCCCAAAGCACTACTCATCCGATCATGTTCCCACAATTCGGTCAGGCAGCTGCTGCATATCTCCCGACTCATCTCAGGCTCTCTATCTCAATCTCGACCAACAGAGGACGCCTTGTGGATATCATTTGATGCCCATCAATCTAGGGTGTGCTCGTCTGATGCTCTCGAACTGGTGCACGCACCCGCTGTAGGACAATCAACCTGGTGTGCATTTCCGCTTGCCGCTCACATGGCAGATTGACAATGAAGCAGCTATCCGTTGAACAATGTGATGATATGCAAAAGAGCGGTATACACTGTCTGTTTGCCATGACATCTGCCAGACAAGGGATAACCGCATGATACATACATACATACAGCACGCAGTTACAGGTGTATCAAAGGTGTCAGTCTGCGCTCACGGAAGTATTTCCGATCGATGCGGCGCAGAGTCCCCACTCTAGCATCAACAAGAGCCTCGGAGTGGGCATCGGATCTTCCCCGCGCGCGCAAGGGAGTCAGAACCTGGATGCCGGACCCTCACGTCGACAACTGCCTAATGAAAGCCGTGCAGCTTGAAATCTGGTAGAGCTACTCTAACAACTCGGGATGGCGCTCGTTCTTGTTTCAAGCCACCAACTAATCAGCTTTCTCGGTCTTCCTCGATCCTTCAAGACTTTGATATATCAGTTTTTCCTTACTGCTCGTGCCCTGCTAGCATGCTTCGGTGCCCCGGCTGCGCCGCTTAAACAGACGAATCAGAGGGATAGATCTGTCCATCTCATCGGCTTGGACCCGCTATCTTTACCGCCGGATGCCGGTATTCTTCTGCCGATACTAGTTGCGTCTTCAGACACGACATACCCCTTGACACTTTTGTTCGCAATCGGGATGCAGAAGAAGCGCCTCACCTTGATCTTCATGTCTGTTTCTGTAGAGCCTACAGATTTCTGAATGAGAGTATATTGTCCAAGAAGCAGCGGTGAAGGATATGACGCATGCCACTGGTGCTCAAACTGGAAGATTCTGGGCGGTTGCGTGACTGGAAGAAGATCTGGAAGGGAGCTGACCAGGTTTGCGAACGCTGTCCCTGCAGACAGGCTCAAGCGTCTGACGCTCGCACCAGTAAATTCCTCCTGTTGGACACAATCTGTAACTGCCTTGAGCGGCAATGGCTGCGGTACTAACACTAGCGTTCATGTTGTGCACAGTTCCCCGGCGGCCGGAAAAATGTCATGATCGAGGGTGTAATACTGACCATGCCTGGAGATGCTCTGGTTATATATCAGGTCGGCAGATACCTCCCTTCTCACTTTCATTCTTCTTCCATCTCACTTCACAACTGCGTTACGTTCCTTGGCTTGGTTCTTGTTGTTCATCTTTCATATCATCTGGGTTGGGCTTTTTGACTTTTGCATCTTTGGAACGAATCTTCTGTCAGGTCAACAAGAGTCAACATAAGGCATCATCAGCCGACAGACAGCAAACCAGAAGATCTCAACCATCAATCCATTCACCAGAAACTCGGATATCTTCGTCGAAATTTGCTCTCCAATTCTACACCAATACTGAGCAGTTCAAGATGGCTCCTCAGGTGTAAGTACTTAATATGGGTTTGCAAAGACAGAAAGTTAATTCGATATAGACACAACCACACAGCTGCTACACAAACAGCAAGAAATCGCGTCGAGCATTTCAGCAACCACTTACCACCGTACCCTGTGCAAGCCCGGCACAACGTGATTGGGTCACAAATACAGCACGTGGTCGGCTCTCCTGCCATGCTGCATCACCAAACTGGTCTTCCCCCGAGACAGGCACCGACACCTTGGCATAGTCCTGCTCATGCAACAGTGTCTCTTCCGCCATTCAGTTGTTTCGCTGAAGTTGCCGATCAGTCGAACTTGCACTATATGCGGTCTCCTTCGGTCGGGTCGGAGTACATCCCGGTACCGCTCATCAAGATGGAGTCGACTTACAACTCACCTCCTGAGTCTGTGGTTTCCTTGAGCCGGTCTGGGTCTGTCTCACCCACCATCTCCGCAGCTACTCTCTCCAGTTGCAATACCACGAAGCGACGTGCCCCACTTCCTTCAAGATCTCGAATCGAGAAGAAGACCAAGTGCACAAAACGGAAGGATATGTCGGCCATGGCTGAAGCGCTGGACGAGAGTATCAACCGACGCGTTGATGAAGTCCACCGTCCTTACCGAGATGGCAACATTCCCGGTACCGCTTCAAGCCGAGTCAACGCTAGCCAGTCGTTCCCTCGGTTTGACCATGCGCATATCCCTCGTGGAGCCAAACGTGCCAAGTCAACGACTGGAAGCAGCGACCCAAGTACTAGACACAATGTCGCTCAAACCTACCTTCGAGCTGAGAAGGGAGGGTCCAGGATGACACTTCAGCGTCTTCTTGTGAATGGCATCAATTGGAGAGGTCAAAAGCTTCAGACCAAGGTCAATGCAAGAAGCAGTGGTATGCTGTACGAGGAGAAGGAACTCCTCCAAGCCAGTACACAGTTCAACGCATTCGCCATCCTCATTTTGCAACAGCTTTTTGGACCAGAAGGCATGCAGCACATTGGCAGTATACTTGAGTGTTTCGAGCCCGAAGAGGTGCATCCTATGCAGGTGGCGAGGGATCCGCAAGACGACGACAAGACGTATGAATTCAAGCGTCAGGCAGCAAGGGTCGAGGTGATTGCAGAGGCATCACAGCCGCTTGGTTTGAAGAACGTGCAGAGCATGGACGAGCTTCTCCACATCATCGAGGAGAAAGTGATGCCTATCGCCAACAACATCGGCAAACAGGTACTGCACCAAATGTGCTACAGACCTAGGGAATCTCAGGCCAAGTTTTGAGCGAGAAAAGGAAAGGCGAATTGTTTCATGGGATGGTTTAATGATTGTGACGAATACCCTCTGTTTTTTGTTATGTTTTGTATGGTCTGGAGAGTTTCGAAAAGTTGTTTCATCTAGACGAAGGACAAGAGATTCCGGCAGCATATTTATCAAACTCTACAGCATATATTGTATGTTAATTAATGAATAGACGATCAGATCGAGGAAGCACGTTGGAATATTGGCAGAAAGTCGTGATGGATGCTTGACTCAGGGGTCGGTTCCTCCAGGCTGGACATGTTCGCAATAAATAGGTGGCTTTCGGGATGCTGGGGTCGGTCCATCATTTCCGAATGGGGAAAGCTCGACTATGTGGCAGAGACGAGAGGCCAGCCGTCGCAACAGAAACAACGACTCCAGACGAAACTCGCAATCCTCTTGTGACAAGGCAGAAGAGGCTGATATCCGAACGAGCAAAACATCCCTTCCCACGACCGACGACAGATCTTGGCAAGCCAAGCAGAACTCCAGCGTATTGAAGCAGCGTGCACGCCAACGCTCCACGGGTTCATACCAAGCGCCAGCCAGCGCGGAGCAGGTTGCTGTCATCTCGACTTTCCCGCGACATCAGATTGCTTCAGGGCCGCCTGGCGTTCACTGGTCATAGTTGCACATCACCATGCTGTTGCCCAAGAGCGGCGTATCATGGAAGGCGGCTAAGGCCAGGCTGCCCCCGACCAGAGCCGTCTGGACTTTTCTCACGCGCACCCGCTTCCTGCTGGTCGTCGCCATAGTCGGCCTCGTCATCTTATTATGGAGAGGTGTCACAGGCACGGCAGAAGACCTGCAAAAGTAAGCCGCTCTCTTGCCTTCCCTTCTCTTATCTTCTTCCGATGCGACATGCCATGTACCGTCTGTACAATCGCTGTCTGCCGTCGGCTGTAGCCCCAGCTCTCTCGCTCAACTCAATGCACCATGCTGACCCGTCAGGTTCTACTGCTTCGGTCCGGCCAAGTCGCCCATGCAAATGACGCCAAATGAGCAGATGCTATGGACCGGCAGCCTGCAGACTCCCGTCATCTTCAACCACCACGCTCCCGTCGAGGTCAACCACACCACCATTACCACCGTCGACCTCAATCCCATAAAGAGCACAAGGCAGGCCATTGACAACAAGGAGCGCGTACTCCTTCTCACTCCTCTGCGCGACGCCGCTCCCTATATCAACGACTACTTCGACTTGATCTCGCAATTGACCTACCCTCACGAGTTAATCGATCTCGCTTTCCTTGTCGGTGACAGCACCGACGATACTCTGGCCGTCCTTGCAAAAGAGCTCGAGCGCATTCAGACTCGTTCCGACTCGATTCCCTTCCGCAGCGCTACCGTCGTTCAGAAAGATTTCGGTGTTCATTTGAGCCAGAGTGTTGAGGATAGACATGGTTTCGCTGCCCAAGGTCCTCGCAGAAAGGCTATGGGCAAGGCTAGAAATTACCTTCTCAGCTCCGCCATGAAGCCTGAGCACAGCTGGGTCTACTGGCGTGACGTCGACATCAAGGACAGCCCTTCGAAGATTATCGAGGACTTCATCGCTCATGATCGCGACGTCCTTGTTCCTAGTACGTTCACTCCATGAATTTGGGTTTACTCGACCAGACTGCTAATTGCGATTACAGACGTCTGGTTCCACCGTTACGAGAACGGTCGCGACATTGAGGGTAGATTCGACTACAACTCATGGCAAGAGTCTGAAAAGGGCCTCAAACTAGCCGCCACCCTTGACAAAGACACCGTCCTGGCAGAAGGTATGTTGCCTCCTCATCTCGCCTACCCCAGCTCAACACTAACAAACATACCCAGGCTACAAAGAGTACGACACCGGTCGTGTCTACATGGCCAAGATGGGCGACTGGCGCGAGGACAAGGACGTCGAGATCCCACTCGACGGCATCGGTGGTGTCAACATCCTCGTCAAAGCAGACGTCCACCGCTCCGGCATCAACTTCCCCTCCTACTCTTTCGAAAACCAAGCCGAAACAGAAGGATTTGCAAAGATGGCCAAGAGAGCAGGGTATGGTGTTTACGGATTGCCGAATTATATTGTGTGGCATATCGATACGGATGAGAAGCCCGGAAACGCGTAAAAGATGAGATGTTTGAGTTTTTTGTGTCGTCTTTTTGAAGAATTGTATTTTTTTCTTTCTGGTTTTCGTTTTCCTCGTCCTCATTGTCCTTCGTCATCGTTCTTGTTCTTTTTCTTCTCGGGTGTTGTTGGGCTTAGACTTGGTCTGTTGGGGCATTGATTGTTTCTCTTTTGTTTCGAACACTGCAAAGATAGCAGAAGAAAGCATATAATGAGAGGGGTTCTTGAATATTGTTCATCATTATTGGCTATCTGTGTGTGTGCATTAATCTGTTGTTCGTTGGCTTTGTTTTCTGAAGTCTCTTGCGATTTTCCGTATCCCATCCATCCCTATTTCCTCTTTCCTGGTATTGCAGAATTGTTGTTTTGTCAGTTGGTCGAGTTGCATGTGTGTCCTTTGTGAGGTGTTTCAGTCATAGGACTTTTTGTTGGGGTGATTGATTGGAAATGGACTTGAGGAGGTTTGTTTGCTCGTGGTGTGGTTTTTGTGTCAAAAGTCCATGAAAAGGCGAGGATTCAATATTCAAGTCTATTTCACGATTAGGCACACCGGTCATCCTATTGCTTTTAGAGGGTATTTGCGAGACTGGATAAGATCAATGAGTAGAGAACATATACATGACATGGTCTCTACAGGTGTTGTTTCGACATGGTGTGGTGAAGATCAGGGTGATACCATCAGCCAGAATGACTTGGTGACGAAAGAACCCACGTATCCTCAGCTTGACTACAACAGAGGAGAGAGAGAGAGCAAACAGCGTAAATCACGAGATATGAAGCAAAGCAGCATATTGTCAGCAACGACGACTCAACGTTTCAAATTCCTTCTCTGCTCTACCTGTTCAGACTCAACAGATTCTCGACATACTTCCTCGCATCAATTCCAATACCTCCAGCCAATGCGGCAGCACTACCCCATCCATTGCCAGAATTGTCTTCTCCTGCACTACCACTACCGCTTTCCTGCCCACCTCCTCCCCTGGCCCCGACAAGATTATACATGCCACTGCTAACGCGACTAGCCATCCCCTTAGCGCCACCCATATTCCTCTTCTCCACAACATGATCGCGAGCTTTGCGGACGAGGAAGGCAGTACGGCAATGTTCGGGACGGGGATGTTTGCCATCCTCCTGACCGGGTTGAGGTACGCGAAGCCATACTATCCACCAATGCCTGCTGGTTTTTGAAGTGCGTTCGGTTTCTTGCGGGTTGCGGAAAGAGTGCTGGAGTGTGAAGAGGATGTGAGAATGCACGTTCAGGGCTTCCAATCTCGTCCATTGGGGAGGTGCATCCCTGCCACTGGATGTGGTGCCGATACTTCCATGTTGTGGTGTTATTTGCCCTGGCTCGGGGATATTGGGGAGGGAAGTGTGGCAGGTCAAGTTCACGGGGTCGAATACGAGGTCGAATACAGGGCTGTTGCGGGGAGGTGCGTAAGGTGGGTTTTGCGGGTTGACGGATAAGGGTTCGGGGGGAGAGGTATGTGCTGCTGCTATCCGTTCTGCTACTTTTTGTGCAGAGGTGCTGTTGAGGAGGGATTTGTGCAGTGGTCGGAGGTGTTTGTGTAGGTCGCGGTAGAAGCCTGTCATGGTGAGGGAAGGTGTTCTCTGCTCGAAGAGGAAAACGTGAATGAAAGGTCTATGCACATAGACCAGGACGCGGAAGCGCGAGGACGTGTCGTTGTTCATAAAGCTGGCGCGAGAATCCATTTCTTCCATCTGCGACGCACTTTCTGTGAGGTCGACTTTGATGGTGCGCAAGAGGTTGCGTTCAGCTTCGGGAACTTCGGAGCCGCCGATTGTTGTGTCGCTGTCGTCGTCGTTTTCGGCTGGTTCTTTATCGAGGTCGCCTTGGTAGCCGATCAGGAATTGGCCCTTATTTTCTCGGTTGCGCTGACGCTGGACTGCAGCCATTGCTTCATAGCCGTCAGGATTAGGGTCGAGGTGCCGCATAGGAGGTTCGTCCTTATCCTCTTTGGACTTTGAAAACGGAACTCCTTTGACGGTCCTTGAGCTGGATGTCGATGTACGGCGTGGACCCTCAGGTCGTTTTGGTGATTCAGATCGCTTTCCTCCTGATGCTAAACCAAAGCTAAGATACTTAACCCACTTGTCGGAGCTTCCTAGACCCCATCCTGACGACTGTTCAGGAGGTGGTGCAGGTTGATCAGAAGTGTGGGAGTCAGCCGAAGCGCTGGCTCGATTGAGTGAGGCCTCCACAGCGCTGACGATAGGAGGAGGGATGCCAGGATGCGAAGCGACTTGAGTTCCTGCATCACCAGTCGCATGGTCGTGAGAAGCGACTCTATCGTGCATCTGCGGACGAGGATCAGGTGGAAGCTGGATGCCCTTCAACTGCTTGATGGCTTTCTTCTTGAGATCCTCTTCAGTAGCGATCGGGGTCTCAGACTCGGGATCTGGGTTGCCCACAGGTTGACGCCTACGCCTCTTACGACGTTGACGGTGTGGATTATCTTTTACACCATAAGCATGCTCGCCATAGGCATATATATCACGGACCCAAACAGAGATGTCGCGAATGGAGGGACGTATGATGGCACCCACACCACTGAAGATAAGACCATCGGGAGCCTGAGGTTCGTGTCCGCAGCCTAGCCAGGGGAGACCGTGTCGAGCATCATCGATTGTGTCTTGAGACGGGTCGTCGTTCCGGAAGTCATTCTCGGGAGGAGCGGCCTCGCCGAAGCGATGGACAAGCAGATCGACCAGTCCTTCGGTACGGTGAACCAGGTCCTCGAGCACTTCCCTGTCTCCACTGCCCCAGTCTTCCTCACCGACACCGTAGCCCAGTTCACCTCCCGCTGCAAGCTTCAAGCCTCCGAAGATATCAATGGCGGGGTTTCCGTGTAACAGGACGTCCCAGTTGCGGCAGAAGCGACTCCAGAAGCGATCGAGGACGCCCGTGAACTTGTCTCTGGTGAGCTTGACATACATGTCGCTGATTGACGGGCCATGGTGCAGGGTAAAGACGCGATATGCGGCAAGGACCTGTTGTAGGAGGAGTGGTGCCGGGCTGACTTCTCGCGACGAGTATTCATATTCCTGCTCTTTGTTTGACGACGGGAGACGAGTGAGGTCGACGGACTGCACGACATAGGTAAGCTACCGGTCAAGCAGATGACAAACATTACATACTGCCAGCACCCACCAGTCCTTCTCCAATTCGTGTATCAAGATACGCGACTTCTCCGTCTCGACGGCTTCGATGGGCTCTCCGTCGGAAAAGTTCCTTGACCATGTTTAACACGCATCTCTCTCAGTCAAGCGTTTGCTGGTTGTACCTGGCAAAGCCCGCCATGCCTTGAGCAAGGCCAATCTGTCGTAGCTTCTCATTCTCGGATAGTCGGTCTTCGTCTGCTGTTGCTTTGGCCTTCAGACGCGCATCCCGGACGGATCGCGAATAGTAGAAGACGACCTGGTCGCCGAACGTCTCGTCGGTCGGTCCCAGCGGCGGACTGTATATGGCAAAGAAGGACAGTTGCGCCGGCGAGAACTGTTCCTTCTCCATGATCGTCTCTAGTCCATACGCGACGTTGATGTCGGTGCTCTGTTGCTTCCAAATGAGGCTCTGCTGCTGCAAAGGTGCTCGTGCCCGACACGCTTCAAAGGTGACGTCGATGCATCTAGATTCGATTCACGCTCGAGATCGTGCAACATGAGACCACCACTTTTCGTGTTTCTCCTTTTCGCATCTCGACATTGCTGTCGAGTTGAGCTGTCTTTTCTTCCAATTCTGTATTGTTCATGTTCTACCAATGTCGTTGTCTTCTATTCCAAACACTGGTGTTGCCATCACCAATCCTCTCGTCCTGTACCGTGCCCTAGTCGCGACCAACCGCATAACTCAAGATCCTGCTCAACATCGACTTGGTAAGCAAACTTCAGATACATTTTGCAACCTTCCTGTACCAATGTGTTTCAGCAATCCATTTGCAAAAACTGTACGATCGGTTGAAAGATTATGAACCCACAATCGAGTACAAGCACAAACTTGATCAGATAACACGGGCCGTCGGTCCTTCGACAAACACCAATGTAGAGGCAGATGGTTCTAAGCGAGGAGTATGGCAAAGTCTCCTCGCTCAAAGAGAGAAGCGGGACAGTCTGGCTCTGACCAGAGTCCTTACCAGCCATGAAGCCGCCATGAACCTCGACTCACCTCGAGGGCTAATGCTTCATGGTGAAGTAGGCACTGGCAAGAGTATGCTTATTGATCTTTTCGCCGACTGCTTGCCAAACCGGAAGAAGGCCCGATGGCACTTTAACACTTTCATGCTCGATACTTTCGCCAAACTTGAGCAATTAAGACGGGATCGTCTGTCGAGGCTACCTCCTCACATTGCCAACGCGGATGTGGAAGAGCACTCACTACTATGGCTTGCTCGTGATATGATCAACAACTCTCCAATCCTCTTCCTGGACGAATTTCAACTACCCGATAGAGCGGCCTCGAAGATTATGACCAACCTGATGACCTCCTTCTTCCAGCTTGGTGGCGTGCTCATTGCAACTAGTAATCGCATGCCCGAGGAGTTGCACAAAGCTGCTGGTATGGCTTTCCCACCTCCTTCACGACTGCAGTCAATCACCCAAAGACTGGGTATGGGACGAGCTAGCAAAGGTAGAAGCAAGAACATGTTTGCGGGACAAGGCGAATTCGCTGGCTTCCTCGAGGTTCTCAAGGCTCGGTGTGAAATCTGGGAGATGAGCAGCGGAAAAGACTACCGCAGATATGAAGCTAGCTCACAGGCACCACCTCCAATTGCTGAAGAAGATAGATTCATGGATGTCACAGACACAGAAGCTTTTGAGAGTGACACTGCTGTCTCTGATGCTCCAGTCGTAAGTGCTGAGGAGGCCTTGGAAACACCGAATGATGCTGTAAAGGCACCCACGTACTTCCTGATCAACCCCGGACCCACGGCTTCGCAAGAAGAACAAGCAGACTTCCTGAGTCAGGTCTCAGAAGCAGAGAAAGAATTACTTGGTGCTGATGCCTCGACTCTCGAATGGTCACCCTCAAGCATCCGTGTCTACGGTCGCACCGTCCCCATCCCTCGAACATCCAACGGCATAACTTCCTGGACCTTCGCCGAACTCTGTGCTTCCAACCTCGGACCCGCCGACTACATATCCCTCGCCTCAACCTTCCACACGATAATCCTCCGCGACGTACCAACCCTATCTCTGCTCCAAAAGAACGAAGCCCGTCGCTTCATCACCCTCCTCGACGCCCTCTACGAAGCCCGCTGCAAACTCCTCATCACCGCCTCCGCCGGCCCCGATGACCTCTTCTTCCCCGAAAGAGCCTCAGGCGCAGAGGGTGTAAACCAAGATGCCGTATACGCCGAAACCTTCGCCGAAGCCTACCAAGACGCCACCGCACCTTTCCGCCCCAACATCTCCTCTTCCACCCCAGACTACCAGGAACCAGACTACACACACTCACGCCTGCAAGGTATGCTCGCCGCAGATTCCCTAGAAGACGACCCACCGAACCGTATTCGAAGACTCTCCGAACGCGAACGTGGTCCCATAGATCCAGACGACGACATGCGGATGCGAGGATTGCGACAAGGAAACTCCGGCCCCGACTTCAGCAACACTAGATCTTTCACCGGCGAAGACGAACGTTTCGCTTACCGTCGCGCTCAATCCCGTCTTTGGGAAATGTGTGGTCGGAAATGGTGGGCCAGAAATGAGGACGGTTGGCATAAACCCCTCCCCTCTTCCATCCGCTCTTGGGAAGTTTCAAAACCATTGCCTGTCATGGGGGCGGCTGCGACTGCTGTATTTTCCGAGGGAGTAGGAGATGCTAGAATGGGAGCGAGTAGAGGTGTGGATGAGGTCAACGATGAAGTCATGTTCCGCCACGGCGCCAGTCCCTTCAGAAGGAGTGAAGAGCCACCGCCAAAGTTTTCCTGGACGCATATCTGGGGCACCATGAAGTGGGGCAAAAAAGCCGGTGCTTGGGGCCAAGGTGTCGAAGGGTTAAAGGATAGGAAGAAGGAAGGAAAGTAAGAGTGTTTTAGACATTGTATATAAAGTGTTTTTGGATTATAGATGTCAATCTTTTCGAAGTTATGATGTGATCTGATGCTTAAGAGGTGATGTGTGGATACAAGGACACGAAAGACACAACAGGCACAAGTAAGGTAATATCGATCAAGGAAACAATAATACGGGAAACTGAGCAATGAAAAAGGACAATGTATGTATGTTGATAAAATATGGGAAGCTGCAAGGTATGTTGACCTTAAACATGGACCGATATGCCCACGCTCCGAAAGAGGAGACATGCCGGTGAGTAGTAGGACAGAAGATGTAATCTTCTTTGCACTGAAAATTGGACAGGGCCACGGTAAATATGGGCAGAGTCCAGAGTGTGGCAAAGTGAGGAATGGGTAGGGGAGAATAGTCAGAAGATGACACAGGTCAGGATAACCGGGACCTGGGAAAGCTTTACCTTTACAAGTCTACGTTAGGAAAGCTGTTGGTTAGCAAGATTGACACATTGGTACTCGTGTGAGGAAGAGGCAAGTGGACAGAAGAGAGAATGCGGGTATCTTTCGTTCATCAGCCAGAGCTGGACAAGTGCATTCCGTAACTATGTCACAAGACGCTGGGTAGGATCTGATGCCAGAAAAAAAGAGGAAGCAGAGCAGGGCAGGGCGGAAAAAGAGGTGCTCGCAGCAGCGGGGAGAAGAGACGTCGTTGTTGGGTGTTTTTGGAAACTGTTTTTCATTTTTGTTCGCAAAGTCCCATTTTCGCCAGCCGAATCAACCCGCAAGCATGATGATGTTGACACCAGGTGATGTGAAAAGAGAATCTTTTGTTGTTGCTTGTTTCCGCCCGCGAAGAAAGAAAGCGTAAGAGTCGTACAACGCAGAGACGAGTTGTTTACGATCTGGGCTTCTCCTTCTTCTCCTTCCAGAGAGCGGAAAGACCGACACCGGAGACCTTAACGACCTTGAAACGGACACCGGGAATATCACCCTTGGCCTTGCCCTTACGACCGAAACCGGCGAGGAGGACCTCGTCGTTCTCGTCGACGAAGTTCAAACAACCATCGTTGGGGACTGGTGGGTGAGAGTTAGAATTGCTTGTCCTGTGGTGTGCGCCCTTGATCCAGCGTCTTTTACGTACCGAAAGCCGTGACCTTCTTGCCGTTCTTGATGAGCTGAACACGGACACACTTGCGAATGGCCGAGTTGGGCTGCTTGGCCTCGACACCGACCTTCTCGAGGACGATACCCTTGGCGTGCGACGAACCACCGAAGGGAGAGGACTTGTAGGCGGTACCGAGCAGACGCTTCTTGTAGTTGAGATCGGCCCAGCGACCCTCGCGGCGGGTGTTCTGGAGCTTGCGGGCGGCGTTGAGACCTCTTGGCTTTCCTTTACCCATGATTGCTGCAGGCGGAGGATGTTAGTTGACGAGTTCGAGATGTATGAGGGTTGGGACGGCGGTGCGCGCGCGTTTCGAGGCGAGAAGTTGTCGGCGCGGCGAAATAGAGAATCGTGACGGTGCTGTTGACGGGCTTCTGGAGAGGGTGAGGAATTTGAACGTACCGGTTGTTGGTCGTCAAAGGTTGTCGATGAAAGGTCGCGGACAAGGAATCAAGAGACGCTGGAAGATGGCGACGAATTCTGGCTGGTGGACCAAAAGTGTCTGTGCGTACAAGCGAGAAGCTGGACATTTTCTCCCGTGGGCGGCGCCAAGCAATCCGACGGGCCAAGCTAGCAGGCCATTGGCTTTCCAACTCCAGCTTTTGGGCTCGCTCACTCGTTGCTCACTCTGCGCCAGCATCCTGCTTGTTGCGCTGTAGCTCTGGCAACGCTAAGTAGGTATCACTGCAATGCCAATCTATTTTCCTTTCCGTCTCACTCTGCGATATATGCTTGGTTATGCGCCTTCACTCCTGAGTAAAAGATAACCCTTTCTACATTTCCCATTGTTCTCTACGTTGGAGTTGATGTGATTGCGCCGAGCTTACGAGATCCTTACTTCGAGCACAAATGCGTACTTCAGTGGTAGGGCTGTTTGCCTTGCCTGCTACTTTGTTCACTGTAATTTTTATTACTCCAGTCAATGGTCAAGATTGGCCCTATAACCTACCAGCAGGCGCAAAATATTTTCCCGAACATGAGCACCACATCAGACGGGATCTGGAAATCCAACAAAGACTCAATGTAGCTTCACCATCCGGCATCCGCAAAATGAGCGAAGACGAAGGCGAAAAGTTCTTCCTGGACTACTGGCAGTTCGGCGAGCAAGATTTCAATTCCTTTGAGATAGGCAGTCCCCTGAACCTCCGGCGTTCGGTCAATCCTGCAGCACTGTTGGCAAATATGACCAACGTTGAAGAACTGCTTCCACCGCTGCTTCTGCATGCTGAGTCTCAACAATTTCCAAGCCTCTACAGATTTCTTGGTCGTGGTTTGTCCGAACGGGCATATCAGTGTCCGACCGGAACTGACAGCTGTGCATCGATTGGGTATCCCAACAGCTGCTGTGCTACAGGCGAAACCTGCATCTCCCTTCCAGAAAACGATGGGGCAACTATAGGCTGCTGCCCTGATGGAGCAAGCTGTGGGGGAGAGATTGGATTGTGTGATACTGCTGCCGGATACACGAGCTGTGACAATGAAAATGGCGGTTGCTGCGTTCCTGGGTACTCATGCCAGGGTATTGGATGTGAGCCGACCACCATTTCCATCCTGAAGATCTGTTACTAACACAAGAGCTAGGCGTATATGCATCGACCGCTACAACCACTACTACACTACCAACAATTACCGTGACTACTGGAGCTTCCTGGTCAACGTTGTCTGACAGCACCACTACTCAAACACTCGTCGTTCCAGGGAACCCTACGTCACAGACAGCTTCAATCTGTACGACTATAACGACATTGGTGGTAATAACGTCCGGAACTGCTGCTACAAATACAGTCATCCAGACGACAACAGTAATCCCTGGCTCGAGTGCGTCAATAACGTCGTCAAGCCTGTCAACACCAATCAGCCCTTCATCTTCCGGCCAGGGCCCATTGACATGCAGTCCTGGTTTCCGAACTTGTCCTGCGAGCCTCGGAGGTGGCTGCTGCCATACTGATAGGGCTTGTGGCTCTCAAACTTGTCCGCCGCTGTCAACAGCTGCTCCGCCCGTTCTGCCAACAAGCGGATCTGGATCAGTCTCGACCTCGACGTCAATATCAAGTTCCTCATCACGCACGCGCACATCAACACGCGCAACCACATCGCCCTCCAGCACAGTCACCTACTCTGGGTGCCCTACTGGCTTCTATATGTGCAGTGCATATTATCTTGGCGGATGCTGTCGAGTTGGGAGGAACTGTGATACAACCAGCTGCCCTACCTCTGCAAGTACTGCTGTGGTCACCAACTCAGACTTGACTGTGATAGCTCCTAGCGGTGCCACTTCTGCAGCTCTCACTGGAAGTTGTGCTAATGGATGGTTTAGCTGCGCGGCCAGTGTAGGCGGAGGCTGCTGTCCTTCTGGCTATGGCTGTGGAACCAGCTGTACGGCCATGGCTAGCGGACAAAGTAATGTTGGCAAAGGAGCGCCCAGCGAGGCAGCCAAAGCGAGAATATGTGGATGGGTGCTTCTGAGCCTAGGAATCATTTCGGGAGCAGGGATGATCTTTTTGTGATCTGCCAATATAATGTCCAGATTGGAAAAGCTCGCTCGTTCTTTTTTGCACCAAGACATGCATGCTTTTAGGATCATGGGCGCGGGTGTGAAAGGGGGAATGGTAATGGACTCGACATGCTGCAACGTAATATATACGACTCAGGAATTAGCATGAACAGACAGCCAAAGATGCCGGTGTCATGCTCTTTCACATGTGGCCAATCCAAGCAAAAAAGCAGCCGCGTGATGTCCACAGCAAGACAGTATAGAGGTTAACTCTAAGCGGGTGGCTTGAGAGAAGGTGCGGCGCGGGGTAGCGGCCAATCAAACGTCAGTGCAGCAAGAGTGACTTTCACGCTGCTTCTTGCTGCTGTTACAAAAGTCGACCTCTGCCCAGTCTTTCTGCCACGCCGCCGTCGCTGACTTTGTCGAAATATCATTCAACCTTCTCCTGCCGAATAGCTGTATACAAGATTCATCCTCGACAGGCGACGGCGTGCCCGCCCGAATCGTCGTCCGTAGCTCTGACCTGCGCCTGGTCCCCGCATATCTAAAATCGCTCACGAGCAAACGGAGCCTTCTCCCCGTGCTGTTGGTAGCCTTGAAACAACTCGAAGTCCGCCGAGTCCTCCGTATCTCGCTGCCTTGATTAGTCGTCGAAAACGCCGAGAGCCATTGATTAATCGTCGAATACACCGAGAGCCAATGGAGCAAAGCTCGCCGCTTGTTTAACAGCGCGCGAACTGAAAGACATTCTTGTCTTCAGCAACAATTCCTCTGCGAACCATTTGGATCACGCACCACCCAGTATGAGAGATCCAAACTCCGACTCGGACAAGTCACACAATGAGCAACAGACGCCTACACAGCCACCTAGGCTCGGCATCTTGGAGTACGAGGCCAGTGATGATGTCAAGAGATGGGCTAGAAGATACAGAACTGAGTTGGCTTCCATGTCATCCAGCGTGCTCTCGACATTCATAGCGGTATGTCTACTCGGACGACTCGGCCATTGGCCTTCGGGCCTGCTTATGCTCCCAATGCTTACGGTCCTTGTGCAGTTTCCGCTGGACTTCGCCAAAACTCGCATGCAATCGTGGGTAGACATCGACAACAACTTGCGTACCACTGCTTACCCGATCCCAGTTACGACACTCGTTTCATCGCAACAGTCAAGGATGCCTACCAAGTTGAAGGCCTGCGTGGCTTCTGGAGAGGTATGTACAAGGTTCGTCTAGCATCGCTAGGACATTAGCTAAGCTCAGCTCCCAGGTGTCGGAACCCCCATGGCGAGTGTCACGCTCGTGCGCACCATATCTTTTGGTCTGTATCAACGCTCCAAGCACGCCATTGATCGCTACATGACCCAGATGACTGGTCAATCTCCGCTCGACTTGGCCAACCAGAAGGGACAGTATCCCACACTCTCTACAATTGCCTGTTTCAGTAGCGCAGGTGCAACGGCAGGAGCTGCTATAACATTCATCTCTTGTAAGTCCAATCCTTGAGCCGACATGGATGATTGCTAATTCTCGCAAGGTCCTTTCGAGCTTATCAAGCTCAATGCCCAGCTTGCTGGTAAAATGAAGAGAGAGGTAAACCCTTCAGATCGCCCTCAACCTATTAGCGATCTTCGCACTGGTGCTTTCAGAACTGCGCAGCAGCTGGTCCGGGATCGCGGAATCCGTGGCCTGTACTGTGGCTATCGCTTGCATCTTGGTAAGTCACATACATCGAGAATCAAAGTCCCGCACAGCTACTGACGTATCATCTTACAGTTCGTGATACTATCGGCACTGCTATATACTTCGGTACCTACGAGACCGTGAAGCAGGTTCTCTCGAACGGTCGCGGAAACGAACCCGCCGAGCCAGCAGCAGTAGCTCTTGCTGGAGCAACCTGCGGTATCGTCAGCTGGGTATTGGTATGTTCAATGCAGCTCTAACGTCTTCATGCAATTCCTAACAATCTTGCAGATCTACCCTATCGACGTTGTCAAGACCCAATTCCAAAAGCATCAGCTGGAGACTGGCCGCACACAAGTCACGCGTCCGGACATCAAGTTCTTCCAGCCTGGTTCATATAGAGGTAAACAGAGCCGGAAAAAAACATGCATGAGCAGTAACTGATATGAAAGCAGGTCTTGGAGTGAGCGTCATGCGCTCCGCACTTATCAACATGATCTTCTTCTCCTCATTTGAGCAGATCAAGAAGCGCATCAACAATGCGGGAGACATATAATTGAGTTTCTGGGAATGTACATGTGTAGCGAGGCGTCATCTGGGAGGGAGGGATTACTGATTTACGCATGAACGATTGCGCACGAACTTGCATGGAAGGAGTTTTTTCGTGGTGGCATAAGGTGTTATTCTGGCTTCTTCAAAACGGCGTTTATCCGAGGGCACGAGCTGTATCATATCCGGAAGGGTCCTGGACACGAGAGAATAACGCTATCGCTAAATGTTAGACATTGCTCTCTTTTTCACAGATGGAAGAATTTGAGACAGCACAATCTCAACATGCTGTTTGACCGTTCGTTGCTCGTGATCTTTTGATATGTCAACGGTGGTTGCTGTAGCTGTGAGATTGCGGCATGCCGGACTTGTCTATAACGGCTCGTTTATCCTCGTGGTTGAGCGACCGTCTTTTGTCCAGTAATACTTGGCGGAACACAGAAACCGACTACTAGACAACAGTTCGGTCCTACAGTTGTATGAAGTAATCAGAGTCTGCAATGCTTACCGCTGCTTTAGATCAAGATATCTCATGATAGCCGATGGGTCCGAGAAGTGGCTGGTCGGCTTGCGGCTGTGCAAGCAAGCGTCAGAGCCCTAGTATCTTATCGTCATCCAACAAGGGTGGACACGCTCGTACTTGAATATAGCCTTTCCCTCGACCCTCAGATTTACGGGATGGCTGTCGCAATGCAAGATTGAGTCAAGCGAAGACGTGTTTTCGAGTAAGAACCAAGTTCTGATCCGAGTCGGAGGGGCAGAAGCTAGCGAACAAGGGTTCGGGTTTGGGGGGTTGCTGCAGCAACTGGGTTGATAAACTTCTCCAGGGAAGGAAAAAAGTGCCACAATCGCGAGAAGGAGCTGTGGCTGCCAATTTATCCAAGCATGCCTTTCCACTGCTGCCCAGCGACGCGTCAATGTAAGCAGGGCCCAGACGTTGGTATCGAACGGTGGCTGGTGCCTCTTGATGCAGTGGGTATCAAAGTGCGTGACGAGCTTTGTTTACTCTAAGGACCGGAATGACCGGGCGGTCGCATGTGCGAGGCCCTTGTCCAGCTGCAGAAGAGGCCTGTGGCCCTCGATTGATTGGATTGCTTCCTTTGTTCGTTCCCCGCCATCTATTTACCTTGAAGGTACCTACCTAGCCACTTCTTGTCTCACCCCGACACTACTATCTCGCACTTCCGCGTCCGCTCTTTCTGTGAAGCATTGCACCCGCGACAAATCGATCAAAGACGCGACGATCACGACGGTAATGATGTATATGGGTTGAGAAATCCGAGTTGTGATATTCTGTCTCGCAAACATGTCGAGGACAGCTCTCCCGAGACACGTATTTGGATATCTCGCGCTCACGGCCGCCCAAGTCATTGCACTGGACTTACCATACAACCCGACACACATTGTCATACCTGAACAAAACGACGAAGACGACCAAACGATATCTTACGCATATATTCTACAACCCAAAACCAATGGCCAGGCCAGCTTACTCTCGCTCGATCTCACGAAATCATTAGAGACTTCAAAACTTTCCTTAACAACACTTTACGACTCACTACCGTTCTTGGGCACGACATCAAACCGAGCATACACACCACTCAAAGGCAGCGAACAGAATATCACTGTTGTCGCCGGCGACTGCGCCACTGACGGTGACGCTCCGGAAGTATGGACATTCATTCCAGCAGCTGGTGGCAAGAATGGCAATGGAACTTGGTCACAAAGCACACCTGCAGCAGCAACGAAAAGCAAGGTCCACGGGCCTGATTTCCTGAGCTCTGGAATTGCTTTCTCCGACTTGGCCAAGGGCAATGCATCGACGACAAGCTTGTATGTGTTTGGAGGAATGTGCCCGTTGCCCAACTCTACCGATGAAACCTGGATGTCTGCGGCCAACTATACCAACCAGATGATGACATTTTCCCCGAAACTGGATAGCTCGAAGCAGGTGGCCTACACCTCCGCGTTCCTATCAAGCAAAGGTCCACCCGTCGCTGAGGCAGGCTTCAGTATGACACCCTTGGCCCCAGCCTTCTCGGACAACTCCAGCAGCACACAAAGTGCAAGACAGAGCTTCGTACTTGTCGGAGGACACACCGGAGCCGCCTTCATAAACATGTCATCAGTAGCTGTGTTCTCTCTTCCTGAAGAGACTTGGACGTATCAGCCTGTGGATCAACCTTCATCAGCCAGTTCAGAATCGCCAGTAGAGCCAAGGTCAGGCCATACTGCAATTCTGACCGAAGATGGCAAGAGCTTGGTTGTCTTTGGTGGATGGGTTGGAGACGTGACAAACGCTGCCTCTCCTCAGTTGGCCGTCTTGGAACTCGGCTCTGGCTATGGTGGCGATGGTGATTGGGAGTGGACAGTACCTCTACAAACAGCTTCTGGTCTACCTGGAGCAGGTATTTACGGACATGGTGCAGCTATGCTTCCTGGTGGCGTCATGATGATCATGGGTGGTAACAACATCCCCACCAGCTCGTCAAAGCGTCTCATACGACGCTCTTCAGCTACAACAAACTCAGAGACACTCTTCTACAACGTCACATCGAGATCTTGGATAACCTCCTACAGTCCTCCACCCGCTGTAACATCAGGTAGCAGCGCATCAGCGCAAGATCAAAGGAAAGGTGCTCTTACCACAACATCCCAGAAAGCTGGCCTCGGCGTCGGCTTGACTATCGGTGCGATTGTCGTTGGCCTTCTCATCATTTTTTACTTCTGGTACAAACGTCATCTCAAGCAGAGACGAGAAGCTCGTGAAAGCGACAGAGAACGTCTTTACAAGAACGGAGGCAATGGTTACGAGCAAGCTTGGTTTGGCAACGCTACCTACGAGCCCTACCACAGCGACTACGCCTCTGGTGGAAACTGGCAGGAAAAGGATGAGGAGATGCACGATGGATTCACCACCTGGACTCCTCACGGTGTTGAGAACAGCCCTGCGCAGATGAAAGAAGGAAACAAGGAGGTCGAGAGATCTGGGTTGTCGATCAACGCCCCAAGCCCGACAAGAGGACTCAGAAAGAATGGTCTGACGCGCAGCCAATACCAGTATCATGCCGCTCCTCGATATGATGACGGCAGGTTGAGTAGAACTAGCGGCCACATCCATCCGATCCAAGAGAGGGATGAAGAGGAGGAAAGACTATCATCCCGTCACAGCAACCGCTCCTTCAGGGGGCTTGGAAACATGATTGGCTTGAAGGGCAGTGAGCAGGATCCTTTCAAAGATCCTCTACCCAACCCTCTTCGCAGTCACCCTGTTACCCCTGAACTTGGGTCTGCAGTCGAAGGCTCTCCTATCCACCGCCAACCCACAAACACCAGTGTTATGACAAGCACAACTAATGGCACAGATCAAGTCAGCAGCTGGATCAACCACTGGACAAACTCTTATGCCGCATCTCTACGTCGTACAATGTCAGACTACCCCACCAGTAGATCTGGATCTCCTGACAAAACTGACGAGAGAACTTCCTCTGGTCTCAGCGAGAATTCGGAGCGATCCGGTTTGTCGGGCGATGGCCGCTCTGTCGCCCGAACGTCATCGACTCGTTCTGGTCTATTCTTTGGTCTGTCAGGTCATCCATCAATCACTCCATCGCAAGCACCTAGTGCATCAGTCATGTCACGTAGCATGTCACCTGCATACTGGGAGAATCGCCCCAAACATGCAAGCAGTCTGCATCCGCCGAGTTTGCGTCCTGGACTTGAGAGAGCACCCGACTCTTCCTCAACTCAGTGCACGACCTTCGGCCAGCTGATTGCCGAAAGTGAAATCCTTCTTGGGAACCCAAGCAGCAACCAACCTACAACAGCACCGCTCAGCTACAAGGTGAGACCAACCTCGACAGAGCTGATAGCAGCTGCCGTTGGAAAGACACCCCCACTTCCTCCTCGACGTCGTGGATGGATGGGCAGCATTCGTCAAGTTTTCAGCGGTGATCGCAGCATGAGCGCCTCTCATGCTCAACGACGTGTTGGTGCTCCCATGGTACCGATTCCTCCACAACAATATAGAGATCGCAGCAACAGCCCGGTCAAGGGTCACGCTCGTACCGGATCATCCATGTCAACATCTGCCCCTCGTCGTGCAGCTAGTGACAGTTCCCAGTTCTTGGGAGCTAGACGTGGCAAACGCGACTGGGAGGGTGACGAGAACGATCCGCGCTGGCAACCCTACCGAGATGACCCCGATACTGGTGACTGGGGCGACGTACCAGAAGCAGAAGCAGCAAAGGACGCTGCTAAGAAACCGAACTCTGATGACGAGCGTGAAGACTGGGACATCGAAGAGGCTGCCGCCAACCGTGACGTTCAAGTCATGTTCACGGTCCCAAAGGCCCGTCTACGTGTGGTCAACGCCGATGTCGACAAAGCCAGTCTGAGAAGCATCAGCGATGGCGCGAAGAGCATCCGCGCTAGACAGATACTCAAAGAACAAGAGGCAGAAGAGGCCAAAGAAGAAGCAACCGAGGCAGGCGCTCAGCGCAAGCCGTCCAACTACGGCATCCAGATACAAGACTGGGAGAGAGAAGCTCTAGAGAAAAGAGATGCGGAGGAGGCACAGACGAGCAAGAAGCTCGAGTGATGATGCTTCGACGATTGATATGAATATGGGCGGATCTTTGTGGATATACTGAGGAGGTTACCTGTTGATTATAACTTGGGCAAGGGTGTTTTTGGGAGTATTCTCTCTGCCGATTGGGAAGCCATCGAGCATGACTGTTTTGTTTTTGGATGCACTTGCATCTCTTCTATTCTTCTTGTCAATCATTCATTAGACTTTTTGATTTTGGCTGAAAACAGCTATTTTATTTCTCTGGACTTCTTCAATCAAATCTTGATTATCATGAATAACTCCACATTTCCTTGGACAGAGCAGCGATTTTGAAAAGCATCTTGCATTTTTACAGATGTATAGCTGACCCTACCTGCTGTCAGGGATGGCGGATTCTCATGTACTGTAGATCAGATGACGTGACGTGATTTGCAGTATCGATTGCACCTTATCTATTTCTATATATCTATCTTGCAACCTCCGTTAGTCCTTCTACTTCTCTACCAAATATCATCATGGACTTGGGCCTCGGACTCGAAGATACGCATGTGCTAGTCACCGGGGGTAACCGCCTCTTATGTCTATGCCAATGATCCTACAGCTAAAGCATTCACAGGCGACGGCATCATAGGCAGCATAATAGTCTCTGCTTTCCTCTCCGCCGGCGCAAACGTATCATCTCTAGATATGACCCACCCACAAGATAGCCAACCATCTGTCGAATCCCTCTCACCCGGAAAACTCCTAAACCTCCACGCTGACATCACATCTACTTCTTCCCTAACCACAGCTTGGGACTCTGCAACTTCTGCATTCGGGACGGTAGAATGTTGTATAGCAGCAGCAGGACTAGACCTAAGCGTCCTCCCCCAAAGCGGAATCACCGACATGGATCCCTCCACCTGGAACCGCATCTTCACTACCAACATCCACGGAACCTTTCTAACCACACAATTCTGGCTCCGCGGTCTCCGCGACCATATTTCCTCCTCCACCTCTTCTTCTTCTTCTTCTTCTTCTGCAAACACAGAGATCAAAAATCCAGGATTGATCGTCATAGGCTCAGAAGCAGGTCATTTCGGAGTAGAGACACAAGCCGCGTACTCTGCGTCCAAATCCGCTGTTCAGTATGGTTTGCTCTCATCCTTGCGTGTTGAAGTACCTAAAATTCACGCGAGAGCAAGGAGTAATGCTATTGCGCCTGGTGCTGTAGACACGCCTCGGTTTCGGGAAGAAACTAATGGGGCGGGGACGAGACGGTGGTGGAAAGAATGTGAAGCCACCACTGGGCTTAAGAAACCGGTGGATGTCGAGGCGGTGGCGAGAAGTGTGTTGTTTTTGGCTAGTGAGAGGTGGAGTGGAAACATACATGGACAGTGTTTGAATGTAGATTCGGGGAAACAGGGGGTGGTCGTTTGGGAATACGAGGGTGATGATGGGGGAAAGGAGGAGGAGGAGAAGGTTTTGATGGATGGGTAGTGTTTTTGGCGGTAGAGAGGTGCTGTGGTGTGTTTGTGGAGTTGCAGGATGGAGTTTCAGAGTCATGGCTTTGTTCATGCAGACTCTGAGCACTCATCTGCTCTCTATGGACGTCTATTCATCTCCGAATAACTTGTTGCATTCCTACCGTTACTTCCCTGACTCTACCGGCAGACAGAGACATCAGGCATTCAACAGCAGGGCGCACATCGAGCTCATATAGATAGACCATCTCTAACAGCTGGTAGCGTCAACAACAATCCCCCATCAAAATACAAGAAGTTTCAAGATGTTGTCAGATGGAAAAGAAAAGGGGAAGGAAAAGAAAAGAACGTCTCGATATAAGGGGCGTAGCTCCCTTATATCAAGAGACTACTCTTCTAAAAATGAACACTGCTATTCCTTCTAGAGCTTATCCTAATAGGCCATGTTTTAGAGTTTCCCCTAGAGTAATTGATTCTACTAGGCACTTAGCTCTACTAGCAATAGCAGCGTTCATTTATGGAGGAGAAGTTTTAGACCCTACTATTAACCGGTAGACCTACTTGACTAAAATTGAACGCTNGAGATACTATCGCAGATAGTCAATATGCTACATGCGTCCAGTACCATAGAGGCTGTAACACATTCGATAAAATGCACAATGCTTTTCTCATTTGTTGAAATGTTCACCAGGGAGAGGTCGAGCAAAAGCGCTTCTTTTTAGTGGCACACCGATGTGGAAATGTATGTGTGCATTTTAATGTGGTAGCAAGTGGCCGCATTGGGTGAATGAGATACTGCTCAAGCGACATGTCACAAGTGAGGAGTTCGGATAGTATAGAAACGTGTATTTTCTGTATGTTAGCCTAGGGTATAAGATATGGATACAATCATGCAAAGACGGCTCTTCCGTTGGGACTACCCTTTCCTCTCTCGTACAGCCACTTGCTGTTCAGCGACACACTTGCCTTTCCAGTGGCCAGACCCGACGAGCTGCTTCCCAAGCTGTTGTCCAAGGGGGAAGAAGTTCTTGCGGCCGAAGCACCTCCTACAGCCTTTTGCATCAATGGGCTGACAGAGAAAGGGCTTCCGGAGGGACCTTTGCTGACACCAAGAGTGCTCTGGTCGAAGGATGACGGGCTGCCCTTACGTGTCATTGGCGAACCCGAAGCATGTCTCTGAGCGCTGGAGCGTGGTGTAGAAGAACGCGAGTATCTTGGAGGAGTGATGTAACCAGGAGAACCAGTGGGCAGGGGAGCATCTTGAGGAGTCAGGCCGAGGAGTTGGCGCTGTTCTCTGGTCAAGGCGATGTCGGTCATGTCATCAGTGGGACGGGCGAGCGGCATCAGAGCGAGTGCGATGTTGATGACGGGTACGCAGCGGACGAGGATGGATGCCCAGCTGGCGTATGGGTCCATTGAGTGGAAGAAGGAGATTAACGCCGAGGGAGTGCTGTGGTATGATAAGCTCCAGGGAACGTTCGGGGAGGATGGTCGAGTCTTACTAGCTGTAGAGCATGGCTGGAGCCAGCAGGAAGGACAGCAGAGCGACGAGATTGATCAGGATGCTGTGGACATTGTCCGAATTGAAGGTCGAGGCATTCTTGCGACGGTTGATCTCATCCATGTTGGGGTGACGCCAGGTTCCGGGAGTTTCGACCTTGGTGGGAGACTTTTGTGGTGTAGAGGGAGCCGACGAGGGTCTCATTGGCGTTGTAGGAGCGACAAAGCGCGAAGCAGCCGGACTCGGCTTCAAGACTGCCGTCGAAGACATGCTGCGATGTGTTGTGTGTGTTGCGAGGTGAGGCGGGAGTAGACGATGGAATTGTCTGTTGTCGAGTGCTGCAGGGGTTAGTATCAGATGCGGAATTGCGCTTTTAGCAGACAAAGCGCATCGCGTGACAATCAAATCTCTCAATCGATGTATGCTATCGTCGCTATTGCTGGTGTGTTTGTCGTCGGTTATTAAAGTGACTTGATCTTGTAGAGAGCAAGCGACTGTGACAGTCGATCGGATTCAATTGTTGATTTCTTGAGCTTGGACCCCCGAGGCTCGTTTCCACGACGGCGGCGGCTGCGACTGCTGTGGCTGTGCTTGTCCAACACCCCGCCATGGCTCTGCTGACATCCGATATTGCCAGTTGTATGCACGGAGAAGGCCAATCTTCTTTCTCTACTTCCAGATCTTGGTCTTGCCGGACAAGTCCTGAACACTACTGACACCATGGCCGGTTTGATTGAGCAGCTGGATGCTCTCATTGCAGACACCTTGTCCGCTTGGAACCTCTATACCACTCTGATCGCTTTGGGTTTGTTTGCCTTTGTAGCATATCCACTGGTCTTCTGGGCTGAACCTGATACTCATCCTCTACTTCTCGCCCGTCAGGCTGCCGCTTCTCCTATTCGTCAGCCTCGCGAATCTGCTGTCTACCGCTCAACTGAAGTTCCTCATGGCTACGGTCTGAAGTCCGGTCTATCCGTCCGTCCTCCCGGTGCTCCCAAGTGGACTGCCGGTAAAGATGGGGATCTCAGAGATATCTGGCGTGAGGTTATCAACCCATCGTCTACTACTGCTACTGCCCCTCCCAAGGCAAGAATCTTTTCCGTCCATGGAACCGATGCCGTCTTCGAATACGACTTTGCCGAGCTCTCCAAACTCATCAATATTATCGGCTCTCATCTGCAAAAGTCTGGTCTACAGAGAGTCGCTATCTACGCACCCAACTCTGTGCAGTACCTTGTTACTATCTTTGGTAAGACATCTGTCGTTTCTGCACAATACTTCGCCCTGACTGTCTGAATTCAGCTTGCTCATTCTATGGCCTGACTCCAATCCTCATCCCTTACAACCAAGACCATGCCACTATCTGCAAGCTTCTTGAGGAAACTGAGGCTCATGGTGTCGTCGCTACTGCCGGTTCTTTGCCCCTAGCCGGTCTTACTGAAAGTGTCCCCTCATTGCGTCAAGTCATCTGGATTGCAGATTCTGCCAACAAGCATATGGACTGGCAGGGTGCTCCCGAGAACGAGACCAACGGTAAGCTCGGAGTATCTGTCTGGCACAATCTCGTAAAGGAAGCCTCTTCGACAAGTAGTGAGCTACCTAAGGACGATCAAGGCATAGTACCCGGTAACTTGATCTTCTTGTGGCAGAAGAGCCCCAACTCTCCCGCAAAGATTGTGGAGTTCACTCAAAAGGTAAGACTTATATGCTCCGTCATTAGCAACACCTCTCGCTAAGAACAATAGAACATGGTCGCAGCTATTGCTGCCTTGATCTCGGCATTGCCTCTTCGCCAGCGTCTCGGCCCTTCAGATCTTGTCTTGCCAGCGGACTCATTCAGCCACTCTTACGCCTTTTGTCTGACAATGGCTGCACTGTTCAGTCACAGTTCTCTCTCCATCAACTCGGTTGCTGGTACTGGTGTTGACCTGGCTCTCGCTTCTCGTGGTGTGGCCCCTACCGTTATTGTCGCCTCATCTCAATCTCTTTCGAAGCTACATCAGAACCACATCTCGGGAGGATCTTCTGGCCTTCACAAGCTGGTGCACGCAAACCACAGTCGCGCTCTTGCCTCTGGTCGCATGCCCGGAGAGAGTTTGTTGTACCGTCTTGTCGCTCCCAAGAGCAGCGCCATTGGTACAGCGCCTGGCAAACTACGTCTCATTCTTGCTTCAGAGAGAGCAGGCACTGAGGCCGAGCCCTTGAGCAGTGCTGCTCTTAGAGACCTTCGTATCGTTACACGCTCTAGAATCTGCTGTGCCCTGACCGCTCCTTCGGTGGCCGGTGCTGTCGCACAAAGCAACATCTACGATTACAGACACAGTGACCGTCCAGGACATAGCCACTTTGGTGCGCCTCTGAGCAGTGTCGAAATCAAGCTCGTGGACAAGGACGACACAAAGGTCGATGGTAGCACTCCATCAGGAGAAGTAAGTTTCTTGCTTAATCCCCACCTCTGTATAACTGATACTGACAACTTCCTGCAGATTGTCGTGTCTGGTCCCGCAGTTGCTGGAGATGAGAGCAACCTTGGTGTGAGGGGTATCTTCCGCGAAGACTGCACCTTGGGTTATGCATAAGCGTGGTTACATTGTCGAAAAAGCATTGATTGTCAATAAACATCTGTCTGACAGCATGTCCTGGGGGCTTTTCCGGGCTCTATACGAATGTCCTATTAGAGAGATCGCATGCCTCATGTCGCGTGTCCAATCGGAAGAGAAATGGTTGGGATTCCGCGCATTGACGTAGGCAATTGTAGTTAATTGTAGTGTGGGGGAGGGGATCAGCGATGAGCGGCGGTGACATCGCCAAGGCCTTGATATATGCCGCAGTGAAAAAAATAACAGCGACGCGTTTGTGTGGTCCAGCGACAGCACGCTTCCTCCAACCTGCGACCTTATTGTTCCTGAGGCTTACAGTCTCGCTCACCTTTCTGACCCGGTACTTGAACAGGGTATCCGGGCTTCTCATAGTCGCCCAAAATTCCGCGGCAACAGTCTTCTTTCATCCCCCTCTCGGCCAGGCCACCATAACGTCCCTTCAAGGCATCTTATAATACCCGCTTGTTGCTGGCGCAAGCCAGCCTCCCCCGAAAAGAAGTCATGGTCAACATCGATATCCCTAATGACTACACTGTCTCGCCCTCTTCGGCCACCCCCCACTTGACTATCAACCGCGATGTCACCATCGACCTCGACTCTACCAACGCCTTTGAAGGTCAGCTGCTCTTGAAGACTGTATATCGAGCCTTTGTCTGATTGTAGTACAGGTCCCGAGAAGCTCCTCGAAGTATGGTTCAGCCCTTCAGCCAGCTCCCTGCCCGATGGGGCCAAGCCCTACGGTCTGAAGGCCGTCTCGTCAGACACATGGAAAGAGATGCTTGATCTTGTAAACTGCAAGGTTCTCTCGATTATTGGACATGGACACATGGACGCCTACCTCCTCTCCGAGTCCAGCATGTTTGTCTTCCCCCACAAGCTCGTGCTCAAGACCTGCGGTACCACCACTCTGCTGTACGGCCTGCCGAGAATGCTTGAAATTGCTGCCCTCGAGGCCGGTTTCCCTGGTGTCAAGGCCAACCTCTCTGCCGCCATTCCTGCCGCCGCCACTCCTCATCGCGTCTTCTACAGTCGCAAGAACTTCCTCTACCCTGACCAGCAGCGTGGTCCTCACCGCAGCTGGCGCGACGAGGTCAAGTTCCTTGACCAGAGATTCATGGGAGGCAGTGCCTACATGATCGGAAAGATGAACGGCGAGCACTGGTACCTCTATATTACTGGTCCCAACACCCAGCTCACTCCTCCTGCCACTCCCGAGAGAGAGACCCCAACCAAGATTTTGGATTACCCGGAGCAGCTCGCTGCTGACCTTGCAAACGCTGAAATCGACGAGTCCCAGGATGAGACTTTGGAGGTCCTCATGACTGATCTCGATGAGCAGAACGCACGCCAGTTCTACCTGGAAGACGCTAGTGCTATTGCCGAGAGCAAGTACCTCAAGCAGTCTCAGGAGGCTCGCAAGGACGCCATCGCGCACTTGGGCAACATCACCGAGACCGGTACTGAAGATGTCGACGTGTTCGCCAATACTACCTCAGACGCGTCTGAGAAGCTCACTTTCCCCGAAGAGCTGACCACCGAAGGTCACACTCTTGGTTCTGTTGTTTCTGAAGCATGTGGACTGGCCGATGTCTACCCGGTGTCTAAGTACCCTGAGGCCAAGATAGACTCTTACCTCTTCACACCTTGCGGTTACTCTGCTAACGGTGTTGTCCCTTCGACTGGAGAGTCTGGCTCAGCCCACTACTTCACCGTCCACGTCACCCCCGAGCCCCAATGCTCCTACGCATCCTTCGAGACCAACGTCCCTGCTCGCCAGACCGGGCGTGAGACTCACGACATCGTCATGCAGGTTGTCAACATCTTCAAGCCCGGTCGCTTCAGCGTCACCATCTTCGAAGCTAAGACCGACGAAGACGGTTACGGCAGAGCAAGAGTCAAGAAGGACAAGAACATGGACAACATCCCCGGCTACAGACGTGTCGATCGCATTGTCCACGACCTCGAGGGCTACGAGTTGGTCTTCAGATACTTTGAGCGTCTGGACTGGAAGGGTGGCGCTCCTAGATTGGGCGAATACATGCTGTAAGCAAAGGCTCCATCTATGATCGGTGACGCCTATGAACTGCTTGTTTACACCTAACAGCAGAAGTCTCCCCGACCTGACCACCAGCCAATCCACACTTGGATGATGTCAACATTTATGATGCGCCAGCCATATGTTTGACATGCGTTTGTACTTTGGTGACGGTAACGCACATGGAATGACAGAGCGATTTGGAGATGATGATGTTGTGTATACGGCCGCAGATAAAAATTCCTGTCTTTTCCTCTTGCCTATCGAGCGTTTCTTTGTTATCGTTGAGCAGTATCTAAAGATCAACCTAATAGATAACCGGTGGCTCCCAAGCAATCCGGATATGCTGATCCCACATCGTTGATCCTGGCAAAAGTGTTCGCAGCATGTTCAACGTGAGTTCGTGAGCTTCTCAAGATTGCTTTGAGTCAGGGGGGTGGTAGAGTTGTAACCGTCTCGTATGACTGACCTCCACCTCGTGTGGCTCGATGTCGACATGTTGTATCAGGCAAATCCGACTCGGGACGACAGGTCTCGCACCTTGTCCAAACATGAAGTTATGCTCGGATGATCGGTATTGGCAGTAGTACCATGACTGCCGTAGATCTATACCTGGTGACCCCATGAGTCGACTCCGAGACCTGCCCACCACGGATGTTCCAGCCTCACGCCGGCAAGACGTTGCTGATCCAATGCCCAGTCATGCGTCGAAACCGGAGCCACACCGTGTCTTACCACGGCATACGGCACTCGCAAACTCCCATCTGAGACCGAAATGTCTCTGCTGTGAACACCGACATCATGATTTCACCACCTCTTTTGCTTACCTAAAATCGTCCTGTTTTTGTTCGCAAAACAACGACATTGCAGCTGGGGAGATTGAACAGCTGCTATTTACGAGCTTGATAACTCGCGTGCAGCACTGTTATACGTTTTGATAGGGGGTTGCGTATCGATGGCAACAGCTAAAAACCGTTTGCACGCGTGCGTTGTCGATTGTGAGGAGATTGCTGCAAAGCGTTTTGGGGGCAGGGGAAGGGGAGAGAGAGGCTGGATAAACAGGAGACACGAAACGGTGATCGTACGAAACAGAGACTCCCAAACCATTGCGATAGTCGAAACAAGACAGGCATCAAGGGCAAGAAAAAAAAACATGTCTAGATGATGCAGTTCGCAAACAGTGGTTCGCTGTCTCGGCAGCTCAGATTGAGTACATGGGCGGCATCGAGCCTTTTTCTCTCTTCCAAATCTCGAGTGATCCCACCGAGTCAAGCCGCAGATTCCGTGCATGATGCTTGACGGTTGCGTCTACTGCACCGGGTCTGACGTGCGAGTGAGGAAAAAGGCTGAGAGCAAAGCTCCTCGGCGGCGGGAGCCAGCAAGCAACCAAGCAGGAGCAAGGAGGAGCAAAGCTCGATCCAGAACTGTTCTCGAAGCCGCACAATCGATAATATGACAGCTGGCGGGAAGAAAACATGGCATCACCTCACCCGTTCGATAAGGTAAGATAGCATGCGTGCCCCATCAACGCAAGCAAGGGTGCTAATGCTGGTAGAGGTTCATGCATGGCAGAATTTTCATCGCTGAGAGTCAGGACGTCAAGATTGTGTCGTCGCTTTGGGGACCTGAACACCCTTGCAAACAACGAGATAAACTCGAGGTAGGCGCGTAGAAATGCCTCTTCTCTGCCAATCGGAGTCGAGGCGTGCCTTTCGATACCCAATACTTTGGGACGATGCACCATGATGATCGACTCTCCCACGCAACATCTTCGATTAAGCTCGGCTTCCCGCTGAAACCGTTGGATAGGCGCGGTTAGTGCCAACGACATTGTGCACTCTGTAGGAGGCTCCTACACGCTGATTGCTCGTTCCTATTCTTGCGTGCGGGACAGAGACGTAGTGTAGGAGTGGAGCAGACGTGGTTGGGTTGTACGTACGTTTGTACCGTTTTCGACAAACGCATGGTACATTCAAAAAGCGTCGCGTAGCCGCATCCACGAGCGCAAACAAGGCCATCTCATTCATTTTGTGTGCACCGCTCGAACAACCACACACCCAAGCCATTCTTTACCCGCCAACTGCTGACCGTCGTTTGATTGCCATAACGTTTTCCGACCCTGCCATTCTTTCAAAAATCTATTCCTGTCATTTATTCATATCTACGCGCTCCTGCCGCTACTTTTGCAAACCCAACCCCGCCCAACACTCTGGACGCTCCGACAGGCGAATAACCCGAGATCTCCAACTAAGAACAAGCCACTGCTTCACTGCAGGATCGATATTCACAACAACCCAATTAACGTTTCAGGACCCCTTTGCTGGGCACTGCTCCTCCACCTTCTCAATTCAAGTGTGCCCACTTCCCTCCAACAACACTCACACTCCCTTTCGCTGTTGGTCAGATCCAGTCAGCCTGGTCACACTGCCAACGTAAACATGTCAGCCGAGCCTGTGATATCTACTGGGGATGTGGAGCTACTGCTACACGCAACGTGCGTCAGGGGCGTACCTAAATCTGGACCCGCACCTGCACCCCTTCAGGAGAGGACGATTGACTTCAGAATACTTGTCGAGCCTCCTCTTCTATCAGCTACCATCACGGATCTTTGCAACGAGCCTCTTTTCTATTCAGGATACCTATCAGAAGAAGAAACCATGTCGTCGTCGTCTTCCGATAACTCAAGTCTGTCGTCCATCAGCACCGTTGCTGACGAGTTCCTCGACGAACTCGAAACAAACTTTCCGGAACTATTGGCCGAGGACTGCACTTTCGTCGAACAAGCTCAATGCAATCAGGCTGAGGTCGTGACTCTTGTCTCGCCTGGCAAGGCAAGAGTAGTTCGCGTATCCCGAGTCAACTTGAGTGCCTCATCGTCGCCAATCATCAAACGTCCTGCAACCTCGTCAAGCCTGACACCTAGTGGTAGCTCATCACGTCTGAGCATTATATCAATCCGAGCCCACAGCCATGACGGCTCTGTTGCTTCTCCCAAGATGGTCTCCCCCAAGATGCCATCAACACCGGAACTTGAGCCCGGATCACAGACACCGGAATCCAGCCACGGGCCCCCGACCCCAGGCTCTCCAGCCTCCGCATACTTCGACGCCCTCACCAGCCCCACATACGCATGCCCACCCAAGCATCGCATGTCACGAAATGGCTATCACTTGAAGCTACCTGGCATGACCAAGCAGCGTCCTGGCTCTTCCCAGTCGATGATGGCAGCGCCTCTTTCCGCCCCGCTCGTAGCACCCGCCTCATTCTTCAAACCTAAGATGATGGCCCGCGGTGCTGGTGAGCGCATGGCATCTCTCGACCTGCCACCCTACCCTCGGGACTTCATTCAACAGCCTCCCAAAAGCCGATGGACCGTCCGCAAGGACTCCGTCAGTTCCATATCCTCAAAAGAGGTGCCCAGATTCAGGCTCAAGCGGGCCGAAAGCGGCATCCTGCCGACTTGGTGATGATCCTTCTACCACCAACTCAACTGATTAATGTTACTACGAATATTGCGCATATCATGAACCATTGGAAAATTTAGCGTTGCTTTTTATAGCTCTCGGGATGGTTGTCTTCAATACCATAGTCTTCAGCTCTTGGAGAGAGTTCGGCTTTTGTACCTTTCTTTCAGCCCTCACATACCTTACCCTTTGGCTTCGGGTCACTGCTGATTTTTTGGCTTTCGAACGATGGAAGGAGATTTATTCTTGTCAAGTAACTAGAGAAAAAACAAACTCTCGGAGAAAATGTATTCTTATCCAAACAAGCTCATCGCTATCCGCCTGCTTCGTTGATGTTCTCGTTCTTGAATAGGTATCGGATCGTGTTTAGGCTTCCCCGCTTCCGTAGCCGAGGGATCTCAATTGATCGACAATGGAGGAACCGCCTCCCCACCTCGTCACGACCTTTGATGGGAGACATCATGTTCTCTGTTCGTACATCCGCTTGTATAGCCTTGGTATCGTTTGACTGGAGCTCTAGAAGTTGATTTGTAGCTTCTGTCTGATTGATTAGCTCTTTGGCAATCACATCTTTCATCCCATCATGGCTTCCCCGTCAATCATGCCTCGCAAACTGTGGGAGCATCCCAATCCAGATGCTACCAACATGGCCCAATTCATCAGAGATGTTAACAAAAAGAGAGGCTTGAACATGAAAGTATGTCGCTTATCGAATGATCAATCTTTGGTCAAAAATGACATAACCGATAGCACGATTAACAATACCAGACATTCCAAGACCTTCACAAATTCTCCATCGACCAACGTACAGACTTCTGGTCTGATCTCTTCCAACTGCATCCCCTGATTCATACTGGAAGCTATACTCATGTCGTGGATCCCAACGCCAGGATGGATTCTGTACCTTCCTGGTTCTCTGGTGTCAAGCTCAACTTTGCAGAAAATATCTTGTATACTGCAGATCCAAGGAACCCTTCCATCCGGACTCTCGCTGGGAAAGAAAGCGAAAAAGTTGCTTTGACTGAGGTTCGCGAAGGATGTACCGAGATCAAGCACTATACCTGGAAACAGCTCCGCTCCAAGGTTGGGCTACTAGCTCAAACCATGAAAGCACATGGTGTTGCAAAAGGCGATAGAGTCGCTGTGGTCGCTTCCAATTCTACAGATACATTGACTGTATTTTTAGCAGTAACGACTTTGGGCGGAATCTTCAGTTCGAGCTCCACTGATATGGGAAGCCAAGGTGTTCTGCAGAGGCTTACACAAATTGAGCCCAAGTGGATCTTTGTCGACGATTGGGCTGTGTATAATGGCAAGACTATCGACTTGAAGCCGAAGATGCAGGAGATCGTGCAGGGTATGAGAAAGAGCAAAGCCAAGGGCTTCCAAGGTGTTGTTAGTATGCCTAGGTTTCAGGAAAAGCCGGCGGATGTCAGTGATGTTGCTCAGACTATGAGCTTGGCAGCTTTTCTTTCGAGAGCGGGTGGTAATTCGGAGTTACCATTTGAGAAGGTCGATTTCAAGGATGCTTTCTTGATCGTTTATTCTTCTGGTAAGTCCGACTCAGTCTGACTTTCATGCGCTCGCTGACGAGTTGTAGGCACTACCGGTGTACCAAAATGTATCGTACATGGCTGCGGACCAGTTCTGATCAGCAGCAAGAAGGAAGGTATACTACACGTGGATTCTGGTCCTACGACTGTCAATCTGCAATACACAACAACAGGCTGGATCATGTACCTCATGTCCACGATGGCACTTCAGCACGGAGCTCGGTCAGTGCTATACGATGGTTCGCCATTCCTACCAGATCTCAAAGCCTTCATTCGCCTTGTGGGAGAGCAGAAAGTCACGGACCTAGGTATCTCGCCCCGATACCTGCAAACTCTTGCTTCGGCGTCACCTCCAGTTATCCCTAAAGAAGTTACGGACCTTTCAAACTTGCGTCGTGTATCGAGTACAGGCATGGTTCTGCCAGAATCTCTCTTCTACTGGTTCTACGACTCTGGCTTCCCTCCTTCTGTCCATCTCAACAACATCAGTGGAGGTACTGATGTCGCCTCATCATTCGCCATGGGTAACCTACTCACGCCTCTATACGCTGGTGGCTGTCAAGGACCAGGTCTAGCCATGAATCTCCAAGTCTACGACCAGACCATCGAAGGCGGAAAGGGCATCAAAGGGAAGCCCCTTCCCATCGGTGAAGCAGGCGAACTGGTCGTGACTTCCGCTTTCCCTAACCAACCAGTCAAGTTCTGGGGCGACACTTCAGGTCAAAAGTATTTCGATGCATACTATGCTCGCTTCGACAGTAATTCACCCTCTCCTTCCTCCTTAACCGCTCAACCATTACTAATCTCCTCCACAGACGTCTGGACCCACGGCGACTACATCTTCATCCACCCCAAAACCGGAGGCGTCTACTTCCTCGGCCGCGCCGACGGCGTCCTAAACCCCTCTGGCGTCCGCTTCGGCTCGGCAGAAATCTACAACGTGCTCGAAACCTTCTTCGCCGACGACATCCAAGACAGCATTTGCGTTGGCCAACGCCGCCCTTCCGATAATGATGAAAGTGTAATGTTGTTTTTGCTCATGAAGCCCGGGAAGAAGTTCCACGAGCAATTGGTAAAGGAAGTCAAGCGGAGGATTGGAAAGGAATGTTCGCCGAGACATGTGCCGAGGTTCGTATTTGAGACGAAGGAGATACCTGTGAGTGAAGTGTTACAGAATGTGAGGGAAATGATACTGATATTGTGTAGACGACGGTCAATCTCAAGAAAGTGGAATTGCCGGTCAAGAGGATTGTTTCTGGCGAAAAGGTCACGCCGTCGGGAACACTGCTTAATCCGCAGAGTTTGGAGTATTACTACAAATTCGCCAAGGTGGAAGAATTGGTCGGTGTCAAGAGTAAGCTGTAAGATCGAGATCTTGGTGGGAGCTTCGATAGAAGAGGAAGGTAGAAGGAAGAAGGTCTTGCGACTTCACAACTATAGCTACAGTATACAATCACTGATGCCAACAAATGAACTACACTTGTTTCAGAGATGATCGTGGTTGGTCGGTCGTTTCTCCTAGTCGACTGCTTCCTGCTCGAGGCTTCCTTCCCCTTCTTACTAACCTCGAGTCTCCTCGGTCACTCTTTCCTCATCAGTCGCACCTTCCTCATTTCGGTGTTTTGCCATCCGGTCCCGGTCGCTCCTTCTGTGTTTCGCTGCTCTTTCCCTTTCTGTCCTCGTTCATCGCTCCTTCCTATGTCTTCGGTAATCGCTCTTTTCTTTTTCGAATATCATTGTCTCCTCGATCGCTCTTTGCTTTTTCTCTTGGAAATCTTTGTGGGCCGTTCTGTTCTAGATTTATCTCCCACAAGATGTTTTGGATGTTATGCCTCTCTATCTCTGTAACGTGTCTCTTATCTCACCGCGCCTTCTGCAGAAATACGTCTTACAAATCGACAATGAAGTAGTTAACAAGATAGGAGGTGTAACTAGGAAGATACATATATAATAGGGTAGAGGTAATAGAAACAGGAAAGAGCTTTAGATTGATAAAATAGGGGAGATTGTAGATGAGAATAGAGCATATAATAGGAAAGATCGTAGACTAAGAAGAGCGTATAATAGGAAAGAGTAAAGTAATAATTAGAGAAGGAGCAATCCATCCATCGGTCCTTCTTCTTGCATATTCATATAGATTACTCCTTCCTTTCTCGTCATCTTCCGTGTTCAAACGACATAAGCATCCAATCCTACAGTTCACTCTTCCCTGTCATGGATCTGTCACAGCATCAAGTTGTGTTGAGAACAATATCATAATCGTCTATTCTTACAATTCTGCTTTCTACATAGCTTATTATCCTCGTTTATCACATAGCTCCTCATGCTTCCTAAAACGTTCCAATCGTTGGTGCATCCTGGAGTATAGTCCTTTGTGAAGAAGAAAAAAAAAGAGAGAAGGAAGGAATGATCCCTAAGCAGAACAAGAAAAGAGCGATCGACTCGACGAGGAAGCTATGTTGGGCAGGTCGCTGCTTCCGTCGCAACTCCCTTCTTCAATAAGACGAGAACATAATGTCGAACATCAAAACAGATTTATATTCATTTTCTCTGCTACTTGTTTGTATGAAACACCACTATTAGAACAATGTGATCTTCTTTTCCCTCCACTCTTCTTCTAAACATCTGTTTCTATTTCAACATTATATCCGTATACACACTCTTTGTTTTTCTGACATGATTAGGAACGATGAGGTAGACTCTACTTTGACTCGTCGTCGGGCTCATCGGTCTCCTTGGTGGTAGGATGAGCTTTGGTTTTGGTACCGGAAGCGGCAACCTTGGTCTTGGTACTGGAGACAGCAGCCTTGGTCTTGCTGCCAGAAGCTCCACTCTTAGTCTTGTGACCACAAGAACCCTTAGTCTTGCTGCTGCTGCCATAAGGCACAGTCTTGTTACCAAGAGATCCATTCTTGGTTGCCGAAAGCATCGAGGACACGGTATCGTCTACAACCTTAGGATCAGTGGTTGGTTTGGCGACCGCACGAGCTTTGGTGCCAGAAGGGTGGATGGTCCTGTATGAGATAGGCATGCCGTTGGATCCAGTAGGCTCAAGTGAGGTAGCTTCCATGGTCTTGGAGCTGTGATGGGTCTTCGATGCCCTGTGGGTCTTGGATTGGACGGCACCCTCTGACTCGACATCATCTTTTTCAGTCTGCTTGGGCTTGGAGCTCTGATGCGTCTTTGAAGCTTTGTGAGTCTTGGATTGAGAAGAACTTTCTGGATCGGCGTCTTCTTCGTCAGTCTGTTTGGGCTTGGAACTCTGGTGGGTCTTGGAAGCTTTTTGGGTCCTGAATCGAGAAGGGGTCGCCGACTCAGTGTCTTCTTCCTCGGTCTGCTTGGGCTTCGGGCTGTGGTACGTCTTCGAGGCTGTGCCGCTCATGGGTCGAGAAGATTTTTCCGACGCAGGATCTTCCATTTCAGTCTGCTTGGGCTTAGTGCTGCTGCGACATTTCGAGGCTTTCCTAGTCTTGGACTGAGCAGAATTCTCAGCTTCCATATTCGAGGACTTTGCTGGAGCGGCGGTTTCTCTGGCAGCCAAAGTGACAGCAGCCCACTCATCGGTAGGCCGGATAGTCTTGATCGTTCTGTACGAGACAGACTCTTGGACCTTGATGTCTTCACTCGGTGCCGTGGGTTGTGTGGAAGGGGGAAGGGTCACCCATTGGGTAGAAGGGTAGACCGAGATGGTCGAAGGTTGACAACTCTGCTTAGGGACTTCTTGGTGGACAGTCTGCTTGGGGGCTTCTTTCCAAATGGTCTTATAAGATGTGGATAAGACTCTTTCGATCTCTTGTGGCGAATCCTTGACGGTAGTAATAGTCTCTTGTGGCGATTCCTGGGTGGTACGGGTCTTATGGCATGATTTTGTGTGGTGGTGGTGCTTCTTGGACTTTGTAGACTTCTTGTGCTTCTTGGACTTTGTGGACTTGCCAACATCGTCATCGTCGTCGTCGTCTTCATCATCATCGTCAACATCACCACCCAAGATAGCAGCATTGTTCTGCTCGTCTCTAGCGGCTAAAGCAGCGCTGAGGGTCACAATCCCAAATGGCTTGGTAGGGTAGGCTGCGTCGGCGACACTTGCTGAGTCAGTCACCATATAGGTTACGACTTCAGTCTCCTCGACAATTGTTTCTACGAAGTCGGAGTTGGTAGGAGAAGGAGATGCTGTGATATATTCCTCGGTCAAGTGGTGCTTGGTCTTGCTCTTGTGATGAGGCTTATTAGACTTGAGCGATTTCGTGACAAAAGTCGAAAACTCGGCGTCATCGGTAGCACTACAGCTCTGGGTGGCGGTTTTGGTCTTTGACTTCATGACTGCGGAGGAAAGGACACCTTTGGGGAAAGGCTCGAGCGGAGCAGCAAAGACGCCGATGCTGCTCAAGACTGGAAGAACCAGCGAAAAAGAGACGGGCCGCATGATTGGGGGCTGACACGTATGGACTGAATAACGACAGACTGAGTTGCAAGCAGAAAAGAGGAACAAGAGAAAGAAGCGTGGTTTTGTAGACACAAAGGAGAATTTTTAGTGTCCAGACGAGGACGCTCCGATCCTCCAGCCTTTGTGGATGATATACTTCTGATCAACAGGCCCAATCTCGATGGCCCTTTCGGGCATTAGTCCGCAGAGGTATGGCCATGTCCACCAAGAGTTCAATGGCCGGCTGTTTAATTCGAACGCGTCCTGCAAAGTGGAGATTGAGGCGGGCGTCAGTAACAAGCCAAGAGCAAGAACCAGAGCGTAGGTGTGATAGGCCGAAGGTAATGTGGCATTGCCTTTGTGAGGTTCATGTTGGGAGAGAGTGTTTACTGCGGGGTATTGTTGATGTTGATCAAGCTAGAGGTATTTTGCTCAAATCTACGAAGCTTTTCTTTGGAAGGCGAACAAGGCTTCGTCTTTGGCAGCGAAGCTGGGAAGAGGGATCTGGCAGACCTTTTCGAAGACGGGCATCTCTCTGGCGATCCAATCTGCGATGGTTTCTTTGGCAAAGGCAGTGTAGCCGTTTGAGTTTTGAGTGCCTGCACAAATGATCGTGTCACCCTCTGTGGGGTGGTCAGTGGATGAGTTTAGTATGTTGGGAGCTCAATGAAACATACTGTATGCTTTGAGAATCTTGGAGGTGAACTCTAGGCCGACTTGAGGGTAGACAAGTAACAAGACTTGGTCCTTTCCATGGGCATTCTTCTTGAGGTAATCAACACCATCGGTCTGGATGGTATCACCGACCCAGACTGTTCTCCACTCGCTGATGCCGTTGTCTACGGGAACGACAGTCAGAGGCTTCTGCTTGTTGAAAACTCTCAGCATGTATGACCAATAACCATTTCCACTACCAAGGTCGAGGACAGTTCGACCCTTGGCGAGCTGGTAGATGATAGACAGCGACTCGTAAGACGGGCAGACGCAGCCGAAGTGGTGATACAGAATCGGCAGTATGGCATGCGAGAAGCGGACCTTGCTCGTGGCATCTTCGGGACCAGCCCATTCGAGGTTCTGGCATGACCAAGCCCAGACGTCAAAGTAGGGATTTGTGTGTTCCTTCTTCAGCTTTGATATGACAATCTTGCGATCGGGCGACGGGGGTTGGTATAAGGCCTGCAGATGTTGACCGACTGAAGCACGGATCGAATCCTTTTTCGCGTTCGAAGCCAGTCCGACTAGGGCCTTTTGAGTGGCAGTCGTGCTCTTGAAGATGTTGGTATAGGCAGCAATGTCGACAGCGGGCGGCGGCGGTCTCTGAACAGAAGATAGTGTTGGCTTATGCGTACGGGTTGGTGGTGCTTTATGGCGGGCTTACTGGCTTGCCTTCATCGTCTCTGTACCAGGCGTGCAATCCACCTTGGCCACCAAACTCGACGTATGTCTGAGCTTGGAGAAGCGAGACCTCTGCTACGGCAGCATATGTGTATGTGTCGTCGTGAGGCAGTCCGAAGGTGCTGAGGATGAACTTGCGAAAGTCATTGTCGTATGGTGCTGTGATGTCGCCCTTTTCCCACGCCTCGAAGTATGCATCCGGACTGAAGCTTGTCGAGTCCTCCGTCTGCGCCCTATTCGGTATCTCAGGCATTTTGATCGTACCTTCCTATGGAAATCGTGTAGACAGCAGTGAGATGGTTGAGCATCCCACTTTCCGACTCGGTTTCGCATGTGAATGTCTGTCTTGGCATGACGTTTGAGAAGTCAATTCATGAACTTCCATCGTCGACGCCCGAGTCTTCCTCGGCACACTCGTTCATCCATCTCTTCTTCTCGTCCACAGAAGTCTCGGATGCCCTAATCACAAGGCTCTCAACTGTTTGTCAGAACTAGACCACTGTCTACGGGAGGAGCAGAAGCTGTCACCACCAAAGTCCTTCACACGAGCTTCAATTGGTCAAAAAGGACAAGAAGGATTCTCTGGGCAAATCACACCATCGCTCTTGACAGGAGAACCATCCTATTTGACCCATCTTTTCGCCGATCACCCCATTCAACGCGCTGTCATACAATACAATTGCCTAAACACCTTCCATTTCCCATGTATTCCACTGTCGCTTGCGCCCGCTTCAAATTATCCGCTGTCAAACAAAGTGGATACTCACGCTGGCGACATATGGCACAATCGTATCTGACATGAGAATTTTTTCAATGCTGCATACACATGTAACATCACCGATCTTGTATATAGAACGAGTAGCATGAGGTAGGTATGGCTCTTTGTTCTATTGTATTGCATCTCTTCGCATTCTCCTGTTGCAAAAATGTCGGCCTCGACCAACTCCGACCTGGCTGAGAGCCATGAGGAACATACCACAACCGAGACCAAGAAATGGTACCGATCAAGCATGTTTAATGCATGTGTCATTGGTATGGTGGGCTTCATGGCACCAGGCCTCTGGAATGCTATGAATTCACTAGGAGCTGGTGGCGCACAGAAGCCATTCTTGGTGAACGCAGCCAATGCCTTGGTCTTTGGCCTGATGGGCTTCTTCTGTTTGTTCGGTGGTCCCATCGCAAACCGCATTGGTCTCAAATGGACCCTCGTTCTTGGAGCCGTGGGCTACCCAGTCTACAGTGCTGGACTCTACACCAACAATCGCTACGTAGGTTCTTATCCATATTCACAATACTACTAACTGGGACTGACCGATCTCGTAGGGCAACGTTTGGTTTGTTCTAGTCGGTGCAGTTGCATGCGGTGTTTCCGCTGGTCTTTTCTGGGCTTCAGAAGGAGCCGTTGCTCTGGGCTATCCGCCGCCAGGCAAGCGTGGCCAATACATGAACATTTGGCTTGTTTTCAGAACAGGAGGACCTATCTTGGGAGGTGCCATCCTTCTTGGCCTCAACCAGTATGTTGAAACAACATGAACCATCCACTGGCGACGCTGACTCTTGTAGCTCTCCCAACCAGAAAGCAAAAGGCAAAGTTGGCTACCGTAAGTTCAGCATCATTGAGAGTGCACTGATTCCTTACTAAGCTTTGTTGCAGAAACCTATCTTGTCTTTATCGCTTTGCAATGTCTCGCTGTACCTGTTGGACTCTTGTTGTCACCACCCGAAAAGGTATGAGATCTTCTTGACGCGTTCTGTAACACATGACTCACGGGTTCCAGGTCCAACGCTCTGATGGTAGCAAAGTCAAGATTGTTCAAGAAAAGTCATTCGCTGCTGAGATGCGTGCTCTGATTGCAGCCTCGAAAAGACGCGACATCCTTCTCTTGCTTCCTGTCTTCTGGGCTGCGTACTTCAACCAGTACTCTGGAAGTAAGTAAAAATGTTGCATCAAAATCAGACATGCCTAACACCTCTTTCAGACTTCCAGACCTACTATTTCGGCCTTCGCGCGAGATGTCTTATCGGCTTCCTGACCAATTTCAGTGGTATCTTGTCTTCATTCATTGTCAGCACCTTGCTTGATTACAAGCCATGGCCTGTCAAGAAGAGACTGAACATATGGTAAGCCTTCTGTGTTTGCAGTGTTGAAACATATCTGACATTACATAGCTTCTTCTATGTCCTCTTCTGGCACCTTTTGGCATGGTCCTACGGCTGGGCCATTCAGGAAAAGTACACAAAGCACGAGCCTGTCTGGGACTGGACCGACCCTGGCTTTGTCGAAGGCTTCTTCGTACTGGTGTTTTGGGGCTTTGCACAGCAGTCTCTTCAGAACTTCCTTTACTACTTCTTGTCCACCAAGACTGATAACATCTCCGAACTCTGTAAGTCTACACCATGGAAGCATCATATGTGTGAAAGACTGCTAACACGTCTTTACAGCCCGATTCTCTGGTATCCTCCGTGGCCAGGAAAGTTTCTCTCAGGCAGTCTCATTCGGTATTAACACCAGAGATTGGAAGGGTGGTAGAGTCCCTCTTGCTGTCAATACTATTCTTTTGGGTCTTGCTGTCGTCCCTACGTGGATCGCTCTGCAAGAACACGTCCCTCTTGAAGGCCCCAAAAAGTATGATGATGCGGCGACTGAGCTCGCCGAGGAGCTTCCTTCTGAGGAGGATAAGAAGAAGTATTCAGTCAGACAGACTGCTACAGAAGTATAATGCTCACACTGCACAACATGAAAGGAGGACAACGCACATTGATAAATTTAGTTCGTAATACAAACACTGAAGTTTAACAACTGTTTCGAGACATTATTTCTCTGCTCACGAAATATTGCTGGTCGCTGCAATTCAGAAGGAAGCAGCTGTTCGTTCGTTCAGTTATGCTCTCTATTGTTCATAATGTTGATTGTGTCAAGATGTTCGTTAAGCATGCGCCAGGAAGCTTGTGCAAATTTTTGACCAATGAAAATGCGCACTAATTAATGGTCAGCCCACATCTTCTTATCCCACTTAACACGAATTTCGGAGCTCGATAACGGCATGACAAACCTTCGGCATGGAAGCTGTGGAATAAATATCATAATCAACGTCCCTTCCATTCCAAGTATAAGTATTTTTCAATTCTGCGTTTTTACTTTTTCGCATGTCTTCTCAAGCGCCTGAAACCAATAACACCACACAATCTCCTTCGTCTGCACTCAACCTTAAAGCTCTAGCCGTTCTTGTAGGCATAGCAGCGATCACCGTGGCTTTCTTTACACCTTTGCGAAACAGTCTTCCAACTCTCTTCTCCAAATCGACACCGGCAATTCAACGCAACATGTCTTCTGCCACCAACAACTCTCTCAAGATTGTCAAGCGTCCATGCCATCAAAGAGGCCACGCTGACCATGGCTGGCTGTACACCTTCCACACCTTCTCCTTCGCCTCCTACTACGACCCCCGCCACGAGTCCTTCGGCCCCCTCCGCGTGATCAACGAAGACCGCGTAGAAAAAGGCACGGGCTTCGGCACCCACTCGCACGCCGAATTCCTCATCTGGTCCTACATCGTCAACGGCGAACTCGAACACAAAGACAGCATGGGCAATCTGGAAAACCTCAAACGTGGAGAAGTTCAATTCACCTCTGCGGGCACGGGAATCAGACATTCCGAGTACAATCGCAACAAGAAGGAAGATGTGCATTTCTTGCAGATCTGGGCTAAACCTTACACCAGGGGTTTGCAGCCTAGTTATGTTACCAGGAAGTTTACGGATGAGATGAAGGAGAACAAGTTGGTGAGGATCATGGAGGATTTGAAGAGGCATTCTGGCAAGGATGCGGAGGATCAGCCTATTCCTTTGCATGCGGATTTGAGTATGGATGCTAGTATCTTGGCGCCGGGCAAGAAGGTTGTGCATGATATTGTTGCTGAGGGAAAGAGGAATGTGTTTGTGCATCTTATCATGGGTGGCAGGACACAGCCAAAGTCTGGAGGTGCCAAGATCAAGGTCGGCGATGTTGAGTTGGGTGAGGGTGATGGTGCCTACATCACCAACGCTACTGGACCTGGCAAAATCGAGGTGGAGAGCGTGGGAGACAAGCCTGCCGAGTTCTTGTTGTTCGACATGGGTCTCTAGATTTTGATATCATTACAATTCATAACCCTATCTGCGAAATCTTATTAATACATGATGTCTTGCCATAGCATTGACCCAAATCATTATATGGCATGCCCAGTCTTGTGACTTCCAAAAGATGATGCTTGAGATACTTCTCGAGGCTCGGCACGTTTGGAATTGCGAGCAAAGGATAACTCGATGTGATCCTCACGCAGGATCCCATCTGACTCCGAGTCGATGGTGTTGCGGCGACCTCTTCCAATCACAGACTGTCCTTGTGTTCCCTTGGACGTTCCCTGACCCAAAGTGGTCCTGCGGATCCGCGAAGATTGAGTGATCTCGCCCCAAGCTTTGGGGATGAGAGCACTGATGACAGGCAGTGATGCTACTACTACCGCAAGAGTGAGATCGACCACAGTCCATGCCAGCAGACTTGTGTAGCCATCTGTTGATAGTCAGTACATGTGGCCTGATTACATGTGGTTGTTGACTTACAAGTGATATCTTTGCTAATGCTTTTCTGTGCAAGCTCTCGCAAAACACTGGCCACGCATGACAGCGAACCCATGGAAAACACAATGAACAATCTTATCTTTGTGCCCTTGTTCAGTCGCACTTTCCATAGCACAACGATGGGGGTAAGGAGCAGGACAAAGTCCATGACGACATGGATGATACTTAGTGCGTTGGCGACAACCAATGTAGACCAACACTTTGCCGGTCTTGCGAGTTGTCCGGAGTATATCTTGTCCCACATGGCAGGTGCAGGTGAGCATTGGAAGCAGGACCAGAATAAGGCGAGCAAGGTATAGCCTACAAGTAGAAAGAGGAAGAAGTCATTAGCGAGTCGAGGATATTTCGATGTGGCCTCCGAGATGCGGCGAAGGAAGAGACAAATCGATATCTTAATAATGCCAACAGTCGTGAAGAAAATGATCTTGCAGACAATGGCAAGCTGCGTTCGATTGAGTCAGTCGTATTCTTGACCTCATAGGAGTTCTCACGAACCTTGTTGAAGATATAGTATTCAGCATAGGTGACATCCCATGTGTGCTTTCCGCCCCCACCGTGCGTGACCATTGCGATCTGTAGTGCCGGATACAATATGGCCATGATCTGCAGTCGCACGTCAGCAACTGGGGGATCTGCTTTGTGGTAAGACATTGCCCCATACCGCTCCAGGTATTAGTACCCAGTCGTCCGCTCCCCATCGCACACCGGTCTTGAATTGTCGAAGAGCGAGTCGCAGAACTGTGGTGAGAAACATGATGGCTATCGCCACTGACATGCCAGCAATGATACCGGCTTGCTTGTCGTTGTATTCATAATGGGTGGGTCTTTTAGGTACGAATAGGTAACCTTTGCTCGGATCTTTGTCGAAAGCGTAAGCAGCTCTGTACATGCCCTTGATTGTCCAAAAGTCATCCTGGTTAGCTGGAGGCTGCCCGAGAAAGGCCGAGCTCGACATTTCTCCTCTATACAGATGTACAGTGAGAGGCGTAAGCAGAAGGAATGGAAGGAAGCTAGAAATCGGTGTCTCACAGGTGCAAGAGGACTCAGACCATATGTTTATGAAGATCATTCACGGACCTTTGATTTCTGCCGATATCTGGGCTCGTAAGTTGAAGCATAGGCGAACCTTTGCTCTAGGGTCAGAAAGTCTGGATGGCAGATGTTTATTGAGGACTGAGTTCATCTCCCAATCTTGGGGATTTGCCATTGGTTCAAGATGAAACTCATCGCGACACACACGAGTTTGCTCAGAGCGATGAGTTGCTCGACATGTGTTGTTTCGAAGGAGTAGCGTTTTGTAGGCTCCTTCCTCTTGTCGCGATCTTACAGTGCTCTGGAACACACGCTTGAGCCCTGGAGCGACCCATGAAATGTGCTGGCTAGAAGCGAGGGTTCCCAAACGATGGTCCGTTCATTTGACAAGGGTAGCTCCGCATTGACACACCATCACGCTCTCTTCGAAGTTGCGCTTTGCTGAGCTGAGGCAGGGTTCCTCATCTAATTCGGTTACTATTCATCTGGGATAGAGATGTTGTATCGGTAGAAAGCTTCCAGATTGAGAGTGCCCCGATGGAGCAAGACAAGCGAAGTCGTGAGGTTGTCGCGAGTGCCAAGCCTGGTGTCATCACGCGTCGGCTAAAAAGACAGACCATGTGTTTGAGCTCTTGAAACTCTAACCTCTACACCGCTCGACTAGGCATGATGTCTGGTTTTTTTCGTTTTGTTTTAAACGGTTTAAAACTTCTTGGCGTTTGTTTTATTGCTTAATAAAACGTTCAAAAAAACCGGATGGTATAGCCGGCAGTTGGCGGAGGAGGGGGAGGTGGCGCACGTGACAACTTTAAGTGGTAGTCTATAGGGACCCCCGTAGACTAACATTTCGACCCCCTCTAACAACACTAACATAAGCTATTAATTTATACTCTTCTGTAGGAAGTCAGATAATGGTATTACAATGATATTAGAGTAATAATTAATTGATTTAGACTAAAGGTAGTAGTATTATAGCCATTAAGTAGATCGGTTTCGGGTTAAATGTGTAAGCTTCCCCTACTAGTCGCAAAAGTTTTAATAAGTCTAAATCGTTCAAATTAGCAATAATAATTAGAGACCTGTAACTATTAAGGTGTTTGCTTTGTTTGCTAGACCTATTATAACTACGAGGGCTCTAACATCGAGCTAATGTCGTCGTAGCCGACGTATTGCTACGAGTCGCCTTAGGTCTCTACTTAACATAGATAGCTATTACTAGAGCAGATGTGTGTATCGTAACTAATTAGCTTAGCAGCAGCAGGCTCGTAAATAGGTAGCTCTACTAGATAGACCTCCGAGGTGGAGGTAAATTAGCCCTCCTCGGGATCATTAAATTCCTAATCCTCTAACTCTGCTACGAGGTTAGTAATATCTAGCTCTAGTTGTTCCTCGACCTCTTTAGAAACGTTCTACTAGCTTACTGTCGGCTAGCTAGGAGCTCTTCGGAAGAGACGTACGTTTATGCTAATTATTACGAGCTTATTAAGTCGGTCGATCGTAAGGTTCCCTCTAAAGTCGTTCTTAATAAGATTTATAGCTAAGAAGGAGCGCTTATTAGGAACTAAGTTTATAATAGTTAAGAAGATGCGTATAGTAAGGGCAGTAAGGGGTCCCCCTTCGCATCGTACATATCGCTAAAAGTTAATAGGACTAGCGACTATGTCGTCGCTCTAAAGCTCTTCGTTTAATCGAGAGAATAGATGCTCGCACTCGCGGAACGACTAGAATAAGGTTAGCGCTTGCCTAGTAAGCTTTAGGTCGCTAATATAATACCTAATAACTCTTATAACTCGCTGCTATATAGGCATAGTTATGGTCATTATTTAAGTAGCTAGATCGAGTGCCTAGGCGGCCTAATAGAGATCGTCGTGCTAGCGCTAATAACGGTAATAAAACATACCCCTAGGCTTAAATATCTCTATAACTTCCGCACTAAGTAATAACTTAGATAGAGCCTTAATCTAGTTCTGTACGTTAATCTATCTACTATTAACCTTACCTAGGTAAGCTCGCTTAGATTTAGACATCTTTTACGCCTCGTAGATAGGAAGTAATAGCGCCTTTAAGTCTCTAATGCCTATCTAAAACGACGAGTCTCTAAGGACTGCTATTACCTTAGTTAGCGACCCTAGATTTGCTTGTTTAGTAGCTCGTTTTAATGTTGCTTAATAGGCGCTTATAACCCTTAGATCTCGTAGCTATATTAGCAATGCTTCTTCGTTTCTAAGGACCGATACGACGACTCCTATTTATAATCCCTATCGGGTAATAACGCTTAAAATAAAGGCTCGGACTCGGCCGTAATAACGGATCTAATGCTCGCGTAGATATACGAGATAGAGGCGCGAGCGCTTAAAGAACTTTAAGATAGTCTAACACTATACGAAGAGGTGTTTAATGCGAGGGATCGAAGCAATATCCTTAACTAAAAGCTAGAGCCTATACGAGTCGCATAGAATAAAGAACATATGGCGGAACCGGTTATCCTTAAGCATCTCGGCATGCGTTACGCGCATAGTAGAGTAGGTGTCTATTACGACTAAGTTAATACGAGTATAGTCGCCTTCGTAGAACTCTAAGATATGCTTAATGGCCTATTAGGATAGATTCTTAGCATTTGCTGCTATGCTTCTAAGGCTCTCGATGCTAAGCTAAATAGTACTAACCCTATTAATATGTATAGCGAGGGAGATAACTCGTATGCTACTAATATCGTCGCTCTTATCTATCGAGAAGTTAAGGAAGTTCTTACTAGTTGTAAGGGTCTAAATACGACGTTTTATGTAGTCGTATTCTATATCGAGAAGCGGTCCGGTAATGGTTATACGGTTAGGAGGTATATACGTAGGATTTAGAGCGTAGATGAAGTCCTATGTCGTAGGTTTTATGGCCTTATCGAAGTTATTAAAGGGACGGTAGTCCTCGTAGATGCTCCTATAGAGTAGGGCATCTAGTCGTTATTTCTTAGTTGTTAATACCTAGGTAGCGAAGCCTACGAGGACGGTATTCGCGTCCCCTTAACGGACGATATAAGCATTATAGTTAGCGCATTTGCTAAGGTGTTCGGCCTTGCGAGAGGCGGCATTAGAGAACCGCTTATTGCACTACCTATATACTACTCTATCGGTCTTCTCTAGCTCGATCTTCGGACTATAGGTAAATTGTGCGTGTACCGAGGTAAGAGGCGGTCTTATAGCGACGACGAGGGTTAGGATAGCGAGGGCGACGAGGTAATGACTAGAGAAGGTAGTTAGCAAGGGGAATAGAAGGAATAAAACCAATAAAACATAAAAAAACGGTGTTTTAAACGTACGTTTTAATAAAACCGGTTTTTTGGGAAAAAAACATTAAAACATCAACCCTACGCTCGACACGATGTTGATCATTGCACATATAACAGTCAGAATCGCTGCGTGCACAGCGACGCGAGGCAGCGAAAAGTGGGATTGTCGCGGCTGCTCAATCGGCAATCATCAGGCAGCCCACGCTGCAGCACATCGTCCTGTTCTTATCAATTGTATTGCTTTCGGAAATCACAAGGGTCGAGCTCAAGTCAGTCTCTATTGTGGATCTTCGCGATATGAAGGTTGGCTATGATTGCACTACTTTGGGCGGACGGATGTTCGGATTGACAGCCAGGTGAGGAATACAAAAGCAACTGACTTCCGCAACCCTGCCGACACCCATTTCTTCTTGGCTTGTTTCAAGTATCGTGAATTTACATCTCTCCACGCAAAATGATCTCCTCAACCCTGCTCAGTGTTGCCACATTGGCAGGCGCTGCTCTGGCCGCCGTCGACTGTACTGGTGTCAATGCTATTGCACCAGGATGCGCCTCTCAAGAATCGCTGCACTATCGTGACTTCTTCTACATCGGAGGACGATACGTGGCAGGTGCTGCTGGCAACCTCACATACGATCAAGTTTACGTTGAGAAGTTGACTCCCGCAAGTGGAGTAAACCAGAGTCATCCTGTCGTCTTGTATCATGGCGGAGGAACTTCCGGGGTGGTGGGTTTTAGTACAAGCTCGTCTTTCTCGAATTAGGCTGATCAGAATCTAGACATGGTTGAACACCCCTGATAATCGCAAAGGTTTCGCCTCCCACCTTTTGGACTATGGCTATCAAGTCTATATTGTCGATCAGACTAGCGTCGGAAGAGGCAGCTCAGAGAACCTTAACGATTATGTTATGCGCATTGGCTCAACCGCCGAGATCACCGAGAAGGGTTTTACTGCTCCTGAGCTCACCAACGCCTATCCCCAGTCCCAAGAGCACACTCAATGGCCTGGTACTGGTGTCAGGGGCGATCCTATCTTTGATGCATTCGAGTCGACATTCATTCCTCTGACCAGCAACTTGACCGTTCAAGAACTCTCTATGCGCTCAGCAGGCTGCCAACTTCTCTCATTGATCGGTCCCTCGTTCTTGGTTTCTCACTCCATTGGTGCTTTGCACCCTCTGCTCCTCTCCAATGATTGCCCCCAATTGGTTGCGGGCAACATCAACCTGGAGCCTGGAAACATTCCCTTCCAGTCATATGTTGGAAACGCCACTTCTTCAGTCGGCCGTACTTCTGCTCGTCCCTGGGGCATGACAAACACCTATGTCACCTACGAGCCTGCCATCAGCAGCTCTTCAGAGCTTACTTACGAACTCGTCGGCGACGACACTCCTGCCAACCGCAGCTGTTACATGCAGACTGGAACAATCCACAAGCTCACTGAAATTGCCAAGGTCAAGTACGTTGCTCTTACAGGCAGTGCCAGCCCTCATATCACCTACGAGCATTGTGTCATTGATTTCCTGCAACAAGCTGGTGTCGCTGCTGAATGGATCAAGCTTGCCGACAAGGGAATTACTGGTAACGGCCACTTCGGCTATCTCGAGAAGAACAGTCCTCAAATTGCTGGTGTTGTCCATGATTGGATTCAAGCGAACTGTTAATATGTATGAATTGGTCGAGAACTACACAATGTATAATAATACCACACAATGTTTGTTGATTTCTCAATGCAGTATTTTTGTGCCTGGCAGCCAAGGAAGGAAGCTTGGAGATGGCCGGCGCAGCGGCCCGACGAGCCGCGACTGCCTCTTCCGACTTCCACCCCTCTTGCTCGGATGACTTTACAGTCTGCCTTCCCATTTCCTATAAGATGATGTTGCTTGACCGATGCTCATCTCACCCATCATTTTAGCGACTAGAAAGCCACCACCGCGATTGCTTTGTAATAATCTACGAAGCCTAGCATCAAGAACATGTCTACAACTTCCGAACAATCACCAATTGAACTGTCAGAGGTTGTGGCAGAGACCGAGACGAGCAACGAGACTGCTGCGAGCTCCCGTATTGACAGGCGCACGCTTCTGAGACTGCTAAGTGCTGGCTTTTCCTTCTTTGTCGCCGGCGTCAACGACGGCAGCCTCGGTGTATTGATTCCTTGGGTGATTCGTGACTATGGCATCAACACAGCGATTCTTTCCAGCGTGTAAGTAACCACAAACGCGATGATTCGCGACGATGACTGAACCGTCTCAGCTACGGAGCAAGTTTTCTGGGCTGGTTCACGGCCGCATTGACAAATACACATCTGAGCCAATACCTCGATCTGGGTTCGATACTTGTGCTTGGAGCAGTTTTGCAGGTGATCGCTCAAGCTCTACGTGTTTGGTCGACACCTTTTGGTCTCTATGTCACGACATTCTGGCTCACCTGCCTTGGTCAAGCATACCAGGACACTCATGCCAATGCATATGTTGCGGTTGCTGCTAAAGGTGCCCATCGATGGCTCGGTTTTATTCATGCTATGTATATGGCTGGCTGCCTGATTGGACCTTTCGCTGCATCACCTATTGCCTCTTCCAAAGGATCGACTAGCCCGGCTTCTCCCTGGTACTTATTTTACACTATACCACTAGGCCTAGGTGCTGTGAATGTTGCCCTTTGCTTGATTGCGTTCAGTGACACATTGCGTTTGAAGCCAAAAATACCCGAGCCTGAAGCTCAAAACCGAGAGACTGTTGGCCGCCAACCTGATACCAATCAACAAGCACCAGACAGCAAGACAGCGATTGAACTCATCAAGAAGACGCTCGGCCAAAAAAGCTTCTGGAATCTGAGTGTCTTCTATTTCTTCTACCTAGGAGCCACAATCACAGCAAGTGGATGGGTCGTCGAGTATCTGGTCAATGTCCGAAATGGCGATATAGTTGCAATGGGATATGTTCCGGCTGGCTTCAGTGGAGGTGCCTTACTGGGTAGACTGCTTCTTCCGGAACCAACTCGCCGCTTCGGAGAGAGGCTGATGGTCAGTATCTACTGTATCATCTGCATCGGTCTCCAAGTGATATTTTGGCTGTAAGTCTGATACTACAAAGACTTGGTGCGGATGCTAATATGCTATCAGTGTACCCAACACAATTGCAGCAGCCGTCGCGATCAGTTTGGTCGGCTTCTTCTCTGGCCCTCTGTTTGCCACAGTAAGTCAGACGATACAGCTCTGATCTCCAAGATGTGCTAATTCCCCTGCAGGGCATATCCGTCGGCTCACGACTCTTCCCGGCCGATATTCGAGCAACGGCACTTTCACTCGTCTTCGTGTTTGCGCAGATTGGTGGTTCTTTATTCCCTATCATCACAGGGCTTGTCAGTTCTCACAAAGGTGTATGGGTACTCCAACCTATGCTAGTAGGATTGATCTCAGCGACGGCGATCAGTTGGCTGCTCGTGCCTCAGCCGAAATCTTCGAATCTCGAATTGCATCAGGAGTAAACAGAATGGGCCGGAGTTGGAGCAAATCAGGCTCTTGAAATGTATGCAAATTGATATTCTGTATTTACTTCTCTATATGGTCCTTCCCAAGACGTTAAGCTTTCTTAATCCTTCTTGCGACCAATTCTGGGAAGGCACAGCCACAAGACCAGCTGCACGGCGAACAAGGAAAGAATGATCGGCTGCAAAACCTGAACGCCTTTCGCTTGCGCCAATGCACCGATGGCAAAAGGGAAAATAGCACCTCCAGAGCCACCAAACGCTGCCGCAAAACCAACAGCAGGCACATGCAAATGCTTTGGCAGCAATTTCGTCGTCACCACAATGATGGCCGGGAACATTGGGCCCAAGAAGAATCCTTGGAAACTGACTGCGACTGCTGAGACATAGAATGACGGTACCAGCCAGAAGAGAAGTTCCAGACCCATCGCAATAGGAAGGTAGATCTAAACTTGTCAGACATGATCTCGTGCCGTTTTGATATGTGTTTGAGGCTTACCGAAACTGCTAGCTTTTCACCTATGCGAGGTGTGATGAAGCCAAGCACGATACGACCCAGAGTGATGCCGAGCCAGAAGCCGACAGACACCATACCACTAGCGAATTCAGTGCCATCTCGAACTTTGAGCATGAATTGCACGATCTGAGACGAAAAATTTAGCAGGAGATTCTTGCCATGCCAGGCACTTTACTTACCCAGCCACCCAAAGCGACTTCGCTTCCAACGTAGCAGAGGAGGAAGGCTGCACAGAGCCAGGTGATTCGAGCTGCCGGCATCTTCAGGGTCACCTGCGCCAGTCCACCCTTACTTTGCTCTTCTGCAGAAGTGGCTGAACGATATACGGTCTCGTTGGCGCCCCAAAACGCGTGCACGGAGGTTGCAAGCTCAATAAGAGCAACACCGATCTGTGATTGTTCTTAGCATTCTATTTCAGTCCGAGACACTGCTGGGTAGATACCATGACATAGTACCAGGAGTACCAGGGAAGGCCGGCTTTCGAGATCATCGAAGTGGCGATCAAAGGCGCGATGGTAGCACCAGCGCCGTAGGAACCATGAAGCAGTCCCAATATTTCATTCGCATTCTGCATAGCACCAATCCAAGCGTTCCATGCTGAATCAACCAATCCGTTGCCAAAGCCGGCAAGAATGAAGGCGACCACGAGGACTGGGTATGGCGGGTGAAGACAGATGATTATGTATGCGATCAGGTGAGCAGTAGGTGCGATGAATGCAACACCTCGTTGTCCAAACTTCATATGAATTGAATTGTTGATGAGAGCGGAAAGGGTGTATCCGACAAATGGTGAAAGAAAGACCAAAGAGACGATGACATAGCTCAAGTCGTAGTATGACTCCAGATATGGAAGCAGCGGACCGTAAGACGCATCGTTCATGCCCGTGACTGCCAATGACCAGAAAGTGACCGGGACTCGGTATTTGTTTATCGAAGGCTCCTTCCATGTTTGCTGCGAGTTGATGATTGCGCTATCCGACTGGTCGTCTCTTGAAAGATTTGTAGTCTCTGTCTGTGGTTGCAGTTCGATTGTTTCCGTCATGGTAGCCATGTTGGCAACGAGATGATTGTTCCAATGGACGCCGAGTTGTTAGGCAATTTGTTCCAAGATGTGTCTTCACAAAGCACGCAAAGACTGGAGTTTGGAGTCGAGGTGCTGCCGCTTTTATATCGATCACGAGCTGACATCGACACGTTGCATGGCTTGCATAGGATGTGTCAATGATATACTGTTATGGCATTCCGGAGCGCCTGTTCCAAGCTCATTGGCAGGAAGCGAGCTTGGCTTCAACGAGCCCTAAGTTCATCGCATGGATCGGAATGGTACATCGTCACCGGTTTACTTCCAAAAGAAACTCTTGCGATGTTTGTCAGACCGATCATCTTCAGTGAGCAAAATAGCAGACAGATTGCATTGAGAACTGGCAGTGTTGCATCGTGACGAGGTCCTCGGTCCGAGGACGTCCCGCGCGTCGCGAATTTGAAATCCACCTCCACCGAGTCCACTCCACTCTTGGCGCCGGGCAAGAGAAGCTGAACATCCTTCGGTATTTCGTACCGCAATCCCGTCGACACCTCAGCTCGACGGACATGTTGTCCCGCTTCTCTCGAGGTGTTCCATCATGATCTGGCAGTCGCAGAACGTGGCAGGAGCGCACGGCAGTTTCGAAGACTCGCGTGTGAGGTTGGGCGCTAACGCCGGGGACCTCCGGGTCTTGCAGCAACCAGCTTGACCAAAGACCCATACAGACGCAGGCGGCCAGAATCTGTCAATTCAACAGGAGACCTGTCGTTATCTGTCAAGAGATAGGATGTGATGGAATACTCTGCAAGGATTATGCTTGTTGTGGTTGTAAGCTTTGAGCGGTAACTGACCAAGCTATGGAGTACATGAAGCAGAGTAAAGGTTAGGGCGGCTGGCAACATAAAGTGCCCATCCTCTCTGCTCTTGAAGTTGGTTCGAATGTCGCTTCGCTCCTATTGACAAAGACGTTCATCGGGCTTGGACTTCACCTTTGCGTTCGAAATGAACCAGCTGACTAAAATACCCAAAGGCAAGCATGGCAAGAAACGCGGAAGCAAGGACTGCCCTACTTCAACACGTGAACAGTTACTCGAGCGTTTCTCGGTATGAGCCCTCCATATATCTCCCGTCAACCAACGTCTGGCTTTAAGACACAGAAGGAGAAGTCCTTCCTCACCGCGTTCGAGAAACCTCTCAAACCAGATCCTTACCCACCTTGTGCAGTACCGCTGAAGAAGCTCAAGCGTGTGAGTGTCATCCTGTGAAATGGCTCCTCAAGAGCTGACTTATCTGTTCTTGCAAGATCTACCTCAAGGATCTCAAGAGTAACACTCACAATCATGGCTGCTATGTTGTTCTTCGAGCGTTCGGTGAGCCTGTCATCAAGCCTATCGTCATCAATGCAGTCGAAGACCAAAGTGGTGAAGTCGATCGACTAGCCATCCACGATATGTGCGAACCGTCTCGTGGTTATTTGGTGATGGTGTATATCTCTTTACAACACTCCTTTGTCTCTTGGTGTCGAGTGAACAATAGTCTTCTCACATCTCGGTTGGTAAACATGAATTACATCCTCACTTTACCTATGAATCGCTTCCAGAGTCCAGGTGATTTAGTAGCTAATCTGGATAGACGGTCGATGGATACCCTAAGGGCTTTGACATCGCGTCAGGCATTTCTTACTTGTCGTTCGGCGAGAAAGGAAGTTTATTGAGTGTTTCATCATCGTGCAAACTGCGAAGTCACATCTGATGTGAACCATCGTCATGATAAACCGAAATCATCATGTTAACCATCACCATCAGACACTGGTAACTTCTTCAAATAAAAACTTCAATTGCAAAACTGTCAAGGCAAAAAACTGCATCGCTGCTTATCTTCTTCTTTAGCTAATTTGTTTACTCCTCTATCTTAGAGAATCTGCCTCCATCCCTCAAAAATTTCATCAAACGCCATTTGCCCGTTTCCCCAATATCTGCCCGTAGTATAATTTCCTCGTGAATGTCCTTTAATATAAGCAGCAGCAACCGCTCATTTGTATACAGTGCGCTTCCCTTTCCTTCTAACCAACCCACTTTCTGGCGCTCTTGAACATTCTGACCCAAGGGCCGAATTCGCCCCAAGTGTCGGATTGCTCTCTGGGCATCCAGCTGCCGACTTCCTTGAGAATAGTACGCTCAGGGTGGGGCATCATGGCCAGGACGCGACCGTCAGGGGTTCTGACACCAGTGATGCCTTGAGGAGAACCGTTAGGGTTGTAAGGGTACTTCTCGGTGGGCTTGAGGTAGTTGTCGACGTAGCGCATGGAGACAAGACCCTCGTTCATCAGGGCTTGCGGGCTTGCTGATGAAGCGGCGGAGGTGTCGAAGGTAGCTTGACCTTCGCCGTGGGCGGTGATGATGGGGATGTAAGAGCCGTTCATGCCGTGCAAGAACACACTGGGTTGTTTAGGCTGGTCCATGACCTCGACCATGCAGACGCGGGCCTCGTATTGCTCGCTGACGTTGGTTTCAAAGGTGGGCCATGTCTCGGCACCAGGAATTATGTCTGTGAGACGCGACAGGAATTGACAGCCGTTGCAGACACCAAGGGTGAAAGTATCCTTTCTCTCGAAGAAGTCCTTGAACTCCTTACGGGCACCTGAGTGGAGCAGGATGCTCTTGGCCCAACCTTGACCGGCACCGAGGACATCACCGTATGAGAAGCCACCACAGGCTGCCATACCAACGAATGATGCGAGCGAGACGCGACCAGAGAGGATATCACTCATGTGCACATCGACGGCAGAGAAGCCAGCAACGCTGAAGGCGAAAGCCATCTCGGACTGACCGTTGACACCCTGCTCACGCAAAATGGCGACGCGAGGCTTGGCGCTGATGGCCGAAGAGATGGTTGTGGTCAGGGGCAAGATGTTGTCCTTGGGGTTGAAGGTGAGCTTGTATGAAAGACCGGGGTCCTGGTTGTCGGAGGTGTTCTTCATCTCAACATCGGCACACTCGGGGTTGTCTCTGAGGCGCTGCATAGCCACAGATGTAGCTTGCCAGGTTTGTTGCAGGTTTTGGCGGGTCTCTCTGTAGATGACGTCGGTCTTGTAGTGGAAAGAGATTTCTTGCTTGGTGACTGCAGGAACTCTACCGATCTTCTTGATCATGCCAGGAGGAGGACCGCAGCTTGAGAAGCAACGGTTGAACTCAATCTCGTCCTTCTTCCTGACCTGGAAGACGGCACCAATCTCCTCGTTGAACAGAGCCTCAATGACATCTTCGGTCTTGTCTGACTGTGAGATGCCGTCAAGCATAATCTCGAGACCAGTACGGCCAGCGAACATCATCTCGACGAGGGTGGTGAAGAGACCACCATCGGAACGGTCGTGGTATGCAAGAACAATGCCAGACTCGTGAAGCGACTCGACAGCGTCGTAGAAGTCCTTGAGCACCTCTGCATCACGAACATCGGGAGCCTCATTGCCGATCTTGCCGAAGACTTGAGCAAGAGCAGAGCCACCCATTGCCTTCTTACCGGCAGCAAGATCAACGAAAAGAAGGACAGTCTCGCCGACATCTTCGAGTCTGGAGAGAGTAGGAGTCCAGGTTCTGTCAATGTGGTCGACAGGGGCGAAGGCAGAGATGACCAGCGAAAGAGGTGCAGTGACCTCCTTGGCTTCCTTGGTCTTCTCGTCTTGCCACTTCATCTTCATGGACATGGAGTCCTTGCCTACGGGAATGGAAATACCAAGCTCGGGGCAAAGCTCCATACCGATGGCCTCCACAGCCTCGTAGAGAGCGGCACCCTCACCAGGGTGACCACTGGCGGCCATCCAGTTGGCGGAAAGGCGAATGCGCTTGAGTCTGTCAGGGATGCTGGCAGCAGCCAAGTTCATCAAAGACTCAGCCACCGACATACGAGCGGAAGCAGCAGCCGAGATCAGAGCAAGCGAAGGACGCTCACCCATAGCCATAGCCTCACCGGTCTTGACACCAGCCATGAGCGAGGTGGCAGTGACTGAAACATCAGCGACGGGAGTCTGCCAAGGGCCGACCATCTGGTCACGGACAACGAGACCACCAACGGATCTGTCGGCGATGGTAATCAAGAACGACTTGGAGCCGACCGAGGGCAACGAGAGGACACGCTTGACGGCCTCGCCGAAGACATCCTTGGTGGAAACTTTGGGGAGGTAAGTAGCAAGAGTGGTGTCGAATTGGGGCAGCTTGAGTTTTCTAGACTCGACAATTCTTGACATCTTGGGAGGCTTGCCGAAGAGGATCGACATGGGGAGGTCGATAGGGCTGGGGTACTTCTCGGAGTTGCGGTCCATGAGGATCAGACGCTTCTCCTCTTTCGAGGCGCGGTCGCTGGCTTGACCAACGACAGAGAAACCACATCTCTCACGCTTGCAGATCTTCTTAAACAGCTCCAAGCCCTCGGGAGAGACGGCCATAACGTATCGCTCTTGTGCTTCACAGCACCAGATTTGAAGAGGGCTGAGGCTGCGATCAGCGTTATCGATCTCTCTCAGCTCGAACTTGGCACCGAGTCCAGCATCGTGGACAATCTCGGGCAGGGCGTTTGACAGACCACCAGCGCCGACATCGTGGATAAGCTGGATGGGGTTGTTGGAGCCAAGCGAAGTGCAGGTGTTGATGACTTCCTGAGCACGTCTCTGGACTTCGGCGTTGCCTCTTTGAACACTGGCAAAGTCGAGCTCAACGTTGCTCTCGCCGGACTGAACACTTGAAGCTGCACCACCTCCGAGACCAATAAGCATAGCAGGTCCACCAAGAACGATAAGGTGAGCTCCAGCGCTGACAAAGTCCTCTGACTTGAGAGCGTGCTGGGGACGGACAGTGCCGACACCACCAGCAAGCATGATGGGCTTGTGGTAACCTCTGATCTCAGTAGTGTTCTCGTCAATGGGAACTTCGGTGGTCAGAGTACGGAAGTAACCAGTAGTGCAAGGTCTTCCGAATTCGTTGTTGAATGCTGCGCTACCGATGGGAGCTTCAAGCATGATGTCAAGAGCACTGGCAATGTGGCCAGGTCTTCCAACGTCCAGTTCCCAAGGCTGTTCGTGGCCAGGAATGAGAAGGTCGGAAACGGTGAAACCAGAAAGACCAGCCTTGGGTTTTGAACCCTGTCCAACAGCACCTTCGTCACGAATTTCACCTCCAGATCCGGTGGCTGCTCCAGGGTAGGGAGAAACTGCAGTGGGGTGGTTGTGGGTCTCGACCTTGGCCAAGAAGTGGACGACTTCCTTAGTTTGCTTCCATTCACCAGTAGAGTGCTCAGGGGCCCAGAGACTGGCATTTTCACCCTGAAGAACGGCTGCATTATCGCTGTAGGCACTGACGACGTACTCGGGGTGCTTCTTGTGGGTGTTTCTGATCATGCCGAACAAGCTGTGAGGCTTGCGCATGCCATCGATGGTCCAGTCAGCGTTGAACTGCTTGTGTCTGCAGTGCTCAGAGTTGACCTGAGCAAACATGAAAAGCTCAACATCCATGGGGTTGCGCTTGAGCTGGTTTGAGTAGGCCTCGACCAGGTAGTCGATCTCTGAGGCGTCAAGAGCCAGACCGAGAGTACGGTTGGCCTTTTGGAGGGCATCCTTGGGCGAGCTACCTTCAGCGAAGAGTTCAATTTCTTGAGCTTCGGCGGGCTCGTGCTCGGCAAACATCAGATTGAGATCCGGAGCTCCAGATTCGATGGTCTGAGTCATACGGTCGTGAAGCATGTCAGGGTTTGGGATATCGTCCTTGGCAGGAGCGTCCTTGAAGCTTGCGGCAATAACCATACCGCGCTCAATACGCTTGATCTGCTTCTCGAGACCACAAACGTGGGCGATACTGGTGGCCTTTGAGCTCCATGGTGAGATAGTTCCGGCTCTGGGAGAAACGTAGTAAAGACGAGTGTTGTCGTCTCTGGCGTCACCTCCACGGTGGACGGCATCCAGAAGAAGTTGTGAAAGTTTGTCTTGAGTAGAGAGTTGAGTACCATACTTCAAAAGTTGGTCCAGAATCTTCGAGTCCTCTTCACTGAGCTCCTGCTTGGGGTTGACATAGTGCATCCATACTGCGCGCACTTCAGTGGCGCCGATTGCGGCAGCGATGCGAGCAGTGCGGAAACCAGAGAATGCAGAGGAACCTGGCAAAGCCAAGTAGGGTGTTTGTGAAACCATTGTGTTATGTGTTGAGCGACCGAGGCTCACACCAGAAGGAAGTGAGATGGATAAAGAAGCGTTAAAATAATGGTCGGCGCGAGATTTTTTGGAAGGGACGAGTGGAGGGGCTGCTTAAAACGGCTAGCGTCGTTTGAACCCTGATAACCTTTTGGCCTTACTGAGCCTCTTCCTTCAGTTTTGAGCAAGGTTGTTCTTGCAAGCACATGTAACTTGGCTTCATGTCTCGATTGGAGCCTTGAAGCCTTCACAGTGAAGAACGTATTTCTTCTATACTACAGCTTTCACCTCACGCTGCTTCACCCACATTGCTCACTTATGATGTAGCAAAACGCGCACTGACTCACGAACCCCAACCTCCCCGGCGTTTGACATGGGGTTTTATCTAAATCGCCGTCAGGATGAGCAATACCATAGAAAATTTTCAGACGAAGTGGATTCTCGAGGCCGATATCGTGCGATTGGGAGAATACTGTAAGATTGTTTGCTCGAACTATCAATCCGTCCTTGCCTTGAAAGCATCGATTGTACTTGTGGCAGAAGTGTTGTCGGACTTGATTTCGTGAACTTTCATGTCCATGCCAACCCACAATTTCTTGCCTCTCCACACTACAGTGACACCTCCGTAAACTGCCCATGTCCAGATGGGTAGTGCCAACGTTTCGCGCGCAAGCCAAGCAAACAGCCAGACATGGAAAGGTCGTCGCTTGCCATCCTTTGGTGGACGTGCAAATGCTGGCGTGTTCTCGTCGACTTGGACTGACGCGCAAGAGTGCAGCTTGCAATATAATGTCCAGTCAACATAACACCACATGCACACGCTGAACATCCAGAACAAAGCAAAAGCGGTCCATGTCTGTGGTACACCGAGCTTGTTGTGGAAGAATGGCAGTGTTGTGAATGCAAAAGCACCGTAGAGTGAGCAGAGGAAAGCCTCTGTACCCGGCTCGACAAAAGTCGCCAGAGTGACTGTGAACTTCCTTACTCTGAGCCATCTGCTTCGGCGAGCGATATACTCGGCCACACTCATGCCAGCCATTGGCTGAATGGCCAAATCACCAAAGACCTGTGCATGCTTGCCCCATTTCTCACCACGCTCTTCTTCCGGAATCTTTCCCTTCCAAAGCAGGTCACCGATCAGATGATCCTCGCAGATGTTCTCCGAGAAGTAGTCGATGCCTTGTCCGCCGGTAAGACTGTTAAGATGCGATTTCCGGAACATGGTGGATTTGCCGACAATGCAAGGTGCGATGAGGACGGTATTGATGGCGGTGTAGAACTTTGCATGTGCCGATGACATGAAGAGTTCTTCGATTCTTCCGCCGCCTTCGCTCAAAACGTCCAGTGAGGCACTGTCAGATGCACGCAATTGGTGACCAGCAGTGCTCGTAGAGACGACTCGGAAGTTGTTGTCTGGATCGTGGCCCTCGAGGAGACCCTGTGCACTCTCAGGAACAGGAGTGCCTGCAATATCCACGACTAGCGGTAGCAGGTGGACGAATTTGTTCTTGATGCCTCTATTGCCGATCAAGGTATCGACCATTCTGCCGCAAGCCCCCCTATTGACCCAGACATTGCAGTCGATGATCCAAATAACGTCGCCTTTGGCCTCTCTGTACGCACGGCTCATGTTTCTGACTTTAGGGTTGGGTCCAAGTCTTGTGTCTGCCGCATCTCCCTGAAGTTCTGGGTCTTCCTCTTCAACAAGCACATGAGCGTCGAAGGTTGGATTGTCTTTGATGAGTTGCTGGAGAATGGGAAAGGCCGGATCTTCGCGATCAGCCACGCAGAGGAAGACAGTCAATTTGTGTTTTGGGTACTCCTGGAGGAACGTCGACTCCAGACATTGGTACAGACTGGGCTCGAGGCCTTTTACAGGTCGGATGATTGTGACATGCGGCGCATCAGAGTCGGAGACTTGCGGTTTCGGTGGTGGACGAGAATAGTGACGCCTCCTATATAGTGTCAGTACCATTCAGCAGTGATGCAGCATCACGTACTCACACTTGGGTATAGCCCACGGCGCAAACTAAGGAGACTGCGGCGTACCACACGGTGCAGACTACCGCGGCTCCCAGTGCAATCGACGAGACATGAGCGGCATGACTTTCGTCACTTCGAGACACCAACGTCTCTGTGATAGCACTCAATCGGTTCATGCGCTGCGAATGTTGTGTTCTGACAATGTCAACAATAACTTCCGACTTGTTGATCGGGAGAGACATCTCTCGGCCCGAAACTAAAATAGATTGACCATGACCTCATCTTGCAAATGGGATGACCCTGTCGCTGATATCTTCCCTTTCGGCATCCAACCACAAGGTGTGTGACACTTTTCTAATAGTTCAAGGACGTGTCAGGCACACAGAGGTAGGCACTCAGATAGAACCGATGTCTTTAGGGGGTGCATTAGCGTCACACTGTAGAAGCTGATGTTGATCATCAATTGTCCTGACAGTCCATTGCGTTTCAGATCATTTTCTGGGAAGTCGATATTGAAATAAGTGTTTTGCACATTTCGCAGCGACAAGGTACTTCAGAGACAGGACATGAGTACACGAGATGCCCGAAGGTACTCAGGATGGTCTAGCATCGTCAAATACTGAGGAAGTCGTGTGGTGCTGCTTCAATATCGTCAACAACCTCAGCAAGGCATGTCAGGAGTACCACCCTGACTCCCAGCCACCTCCAAACAAGATGTTATGAGTAGTCGCGCGTGCACAGATTCGGATAGGCAGGTCATAATATAGGGTTGTGAGCACTTTGAATTATGTGATCGTCTATGAACATGCTTTCCCAGAGAGCATGCTATCGGAAACTAACTTGGTCCCTTGTCCGTTCCACAAACAGCCATCGAATGAGTAACAATAACCTCTCGACATGCCCATAACAGGTGTGTCGGAATCGGTCAGAAAGCTCGAGCAGTGAATTCGGCCTCTTAGTGGATGGTGACAGTCCTCGTACCAGTACACCAACCAGTAAACAAAGTATACCGTCTCGATACAGGTATGTCGCTCCAAAAACAACGCTCCAGTGTTAAAAGCAAATGCGGCATTGTAATGTGTCGTTGAAGAAGAAGAGAAAAGCAAAGAAAGGCGATGAGCAAAAGGTCGTTATAGGGGTATGGTAGTTCATGAAGCAACGGCTTTCCAGACTTTGTCGGCTTCGTGTTGACCGACTCGGGCGAAGCAACTTGACAAGGTTGCCTTGATGGTATCGTTGGTGTGTTTTGGGAATCTGTACATTGTTAGAGATAGCTGGACGGTGCTGTGAGCATAACCACATACCTCTTCTTCAGAGCCTTCGAGAGCTCGATCTTGTTGAGATTGCTGCCGTCGACAGCTTCCTTAAACTCTGCCAGGTCTGAGCCTTGTAGAGGCTTAGGGGCTGGTTTTGCGGCCTTGCCAGAGATCACGCTCATGATGGGCCCCTTCATGCCAGTTGAGGCACCGACGATGGTCATGGTGTCGTTGGTGTTCGATCTTTGCATCAGAGGGAGCTTGGGTGGTTTCATCTTGCCATCCAACTGCGTCTGAGCACCGATGACTTTGGAAGCCACAACGGCTGATGTTAGTGGAGTCTGCCAGTAAGCAGTCGAGAAGGGATTGATGGATGGTTGAGTGAGAGCTGCGATATGTTAGAAACAGTATGTCACACGCAGGATCATCGACTTACGGATGAGGAAGTCGATCTTCATGCTGTCGAGATCGACAGGTGACTCCTCAGTCGATGGAACGACTACGCCCTGAGCGTTTTCCCAGCAAAGACCTGTGCTGACAGGCTTAAGGTCGCCGGTGATCATGTGCCTCTTGTTGTCGGCAGCATCATCGTCCAGGAACTCATCCATCTCTTCGGCATCACCCACACTCTCTTCATCTTCCTCGCCATCAGAGCCAATATCTTCACCCTCCTCAGGCTCTTCCCATTCTGCTTCCGAGTCATAGTCGTAGTCAGTGTCCTGGCGGAGCTTGCTGAACGGGTTCTTGCGTAGCTTAGTAGCGTTTGTCGAAGAGACCTTCCGTGAGTAGGTACCGAAGTACGCCGGTCTCACGTCCTCGCCGAAGTGGAGATGGCGGACAATCAAAGAGTCGAGAAGGTCTGTGGGACGATAGTGCTCGCCCGATTCGTCGGTCAAGTCAATGGGAGCTTGTGACGAGCCTTGTAATGACTCGATGACCTCACGTGCAGTTGGTTGCCAGAGTCCACGTGAACGCGTTCGCTCCTTGGAGAAGAGAGACTGTAGAGAGGAAGCGGGCGACATGGCGGAGCGTTCCTTCTTGGAGATGCGTTGTAGAAGCTTGTCCATCTCTTTGTGTGAAGACTCGAGCTCACCGGCGTTAAGCAACGGCAGTTGAGGGGCACATTTAGTATGAGCCTTCAACTGAAAGGCCAGGAACATCTTCTGGTAATCAGTCTGTTTCGGTGACGTTTGAGGTGTGGGAGATGTCATGGGAACATCGGAGGATTCGGGAGGTTGCGATGCAGTGCTTTCCTGTCTGACAGGAGTAGGCGGGACTTTTGTAGGGGTTGCTGGAGACTTCTGCGAGGAAGGCATCTTGAAAAAGGACGCGATTTTGGGTTGCGCCTGGAGGGAGTTAGAATGCAATCGAGAGACTGAAACGGACAGACGAAACCGACCTTTGCTTTCTTCAACTTCTCTTCCTCCTCTTTCGCTTTCTTCAAGTCCTTCTCCCTTTGCTTTGCTTCCTTCTCCTCATTTTTGCGACGTCTTTCCTCGTCCTTCTTTTGCTTCTCCTCTTCTCTTTTGAGCTTGGCCTCGGCCTTGACCTTGTCGCTCTCTTCCTTCTTCAAACGCTTCTCTTCTTTCTCAGCAGGTGTGAGCTTTACTCTTTTCTTTGGCGGAGCATTGGGGTCTGCAGGTTGATCGCCAGCTGCCGATGCAGCACTGCTCAGGGCCGAACTGCTTGGAGCAGGACTGGCTCGACGAATTGTGTCCTGGTTGGCGGGACTAGCGGTGAGCGGCGGTGTCGGTACCTGACTCTCTGACTTGGACACGGAGGTCTGGTCGTCGTCGGGTAGAGAGCGTTTACGCGACGGCTCTGGTGAAGTGATGTCCATGGCGTCGGTCATGGTTCGTGATGACAGAGAGACAATGTGATGGTGAAGAAGATCAGAATCGGTTATACGTAAATTAGACGGCGACAGGTCAATGCCCGGCGGGTTGCAGGTGTTGTGTCGAAGAAAGTGTGATAGCGGGCTGGAGGTTGACGCGAGACGCGGAACGCGCCAAATTGAACTGCATCAAGAAGGAGCTGCACAAGCCACTCTCCGCCTTCCCCGCCAACTCGCGCTCCATCTTCGAACCCTGACAACCTGCTCGCCGTCCTTCACAATTGTGAATGAAATGGACGACGAATTCGATCATGACATGCTATTCGAGTTCGAGAGCCCCGTAGCATCTCCTGGCAGTCGAGATGCTTTCCTTCTAGACGCCCCTCAACTCAGCCGTCAGACCAAGCACAACGACGTAATTGCTCAGATTGAAGCAGTCTTTGAGACTGTAGCAGATGCTCTACTCAACGAAAGGGCTGACATAACTGTATCATTGGCTGCTCATTCAACGAGCAGTCAAGATGACCCGTCGACCCGAGGTCCTAAAGCGACCTTCACTTTCCCTGGAAAGAACGCCAGTGATGCTTGGAGATTCTGTTGGTAACATGGAGATATCTAATAACTCATAAACTGATAAGCAGATTTAGCTGTGGTTATCAGGATTCTTGAGCTTATTCACGAGTCACTCTCCGACGGCGTCATCTTGACCAAACGGCATGTGAGCTAAGACTGAGTGCAAGAGGCCGCCATCTGACTTTCCTTCTCTAGAGATCTGTACTATCGCGATCCAGCTTTGTTCGGTAAGCAAGCAACTGTCGACCGCTATGTCGACCAGATTGCCGCCGCTTTTGCCGTACCTAGGTCATCTCTCAATGTGGTTCGTACGCTACTATCACAGCGATCGCAACTTACTAAGCATTGTAGACTGCCGGAGTCAAAGGCTTGATGGCCGGAGCCGCTGTGATCCATCGACGAGATGGTTCAAAGATTGGCCTTACCAATGTGCAGAATGGTGTTCTTGTACCAAGCATGGAAGAAGTCTTGTCTGTAGACCTGAGTCGAGTCAGGTGGATACTTGTCGTTGAGAAAGAGGTAAGGTAAACAGGAGCTTGGAGGCCTATAAGATACTGATTTAAACTAGGCGACATTCCAATCAATCATCTCGTCCGAATTCTGGCAGGAGATGATGTGGCATGCCGTAATTGTCACCGTGAGCTCGCAGCCTTGACGCTTCCTAAACGTCAATCTGACAACCTCGATATTAGGGCAAGGGTTATCCAGATATAGCGACTAGAGCGATAGCTCGCTTCATGAGTATTGCCTCGCCTCAGAACGGCTTCGCAGAACCTCCAGTCTTTGGCCTTGTGGACTACGACCCCGACGGCATGGCGATATTACACACATACAAGCACGGCTCGAAGAAAATGTCTGAAGATAATGCTGCACTTATCGTGCCGACAACACAATGGATGGGTTTGCGCAGTCGGGATATTACGGACGAAGACCACACCCATCGGAACCAAGGACTAATGCCCTTGACTCGGCGAGACCGCCACAAAGCCAGGAAAATGCTCGAGTGGGAACAGTTCAGTGATCTCGAAGAAGCGGCACAGTGGCGGCGTGAGTTGCAGGTCATGCTGATGCTCAATCTGAAGGCAGAAATACAGATTATCGATTCCGACCCATCTGGTCTCGCAAAGATGATAAAGTATGCTGTAAAAGACACATGAGCCCGCTACACTTCAGACTTCAGAGGGAAATCCAACTTTCTACAAGGCGGCACGTCGATGCGAGGACGCATTGTCCAAGGAATTGAGTCGGACACGATTAGAAAATATTCCGAGGGTTGCTGACTATGCTCGATATGTAGCCGGAATGACTGGCTACAAATTCAACATCACTCTGCTTACATGCGGGGGTTTTATGCTGCATTACAAATGCCTATAAGCACATGTGATGGTGTTTCACGTTGCCTTATGTCTGAACGTTCCTGACATTCATGCAAGGCCAATCCTAGTAGATCCATGTCTACTGGGTGTGGTGACATCTCACTGGCGCAAAGCCACACTTTCCACGAAACAGGTCAAGAACCAAATCTTCCAACATGACGCGGCCAGCCTTCGAAAAAGACAGTAAGAATCTTCTTTGTCGCATTGCATCCAAGTGCCGCACCAATAGAGGGTGAACGAAGATGGTGAGGGGTCAAATGCACCCGCTTGACAGGGGAACGAGTGGTTCAAGAGAAACAGCGCTGCATGTCGAGACCACCAACACGCTTTTCTATTCCGGAGTGATACAGCAGTTCGTCACATCGGGACCTTTGTATCAACTGGAAGAATTTTCATTTGCTACGTCGTATGCGGAAGTACTTGTAATGTGGGTAGAAGGTAAGATGAAGGGTGCTGGTGGCGCATCCTTTTCATATTCCTTAGACTGTCGAACTTGCCTCTTCTTTTCTATATCACGATACGAGATCCATCGACAGATTTGCCGCTGATCAAGACTATTTCTTATAATCTCTCCAAGATGCAGCAAGCGCTCCTCACAATTGCGATAGTTTTGTCGGCGTCAGCAAATGCAGCAAGCTGTCAGCTTTCAGCTTACTCTTGCTTGGCCTCAAACGCGGCGGCCTCTGCATACTGTACCTCAGCACTCGGTGTTGCGGCACAGGCAGTTGTCACTTCGATGGCCATTGTCTCGAAAACGAAAACACTGTCCGACGTTCCTACCAGCACGGTCACTGTCACTTCGATCAAGTCGATCGTATCCCACAGCACTGCAACGACATTCACGACATCCTCGGTGAAAGCAACTCGCAGAAGGCGCAGAAGAGCAGCATCATGCAATGAGCCTGAGGATATTCTGTCTGGTCTAGACGACTCAGCACTTTCAGAAGCATGCTCTTGTATTGGTGCTCTGCCGACTGGCGAAGGCGACTTGCTCAAGGCTGAGCCATCAACGACGACCATCACCGGAGAAGTATGGTTTACCGTCGCTCCTCAAGTCACAGTCTCAATCACTAAGACTGTATCAACCTTGTCCGTTGAGACAGTCAAATTGGCAGCTCCCTCTTTTACTCAAGTCTGGGGGCCCACAGCCGGCTGTGATGATATCGGCATGGCATCTGCGCAGTCCTACATAAGTGGAGACATGGACGAAGAACAAGTCACTACCATCTGCAAGGCGACTTGTACGAGTATGTTGGCGGATCTAATATGTTTAGGATGATGCTGACTCTAGATCAGAACAAGACGACTGTGATTTCTTGTATGTGCAGTCGATCTATCCAGCAAACAACTTCTGGAACTGCTATTTCAACAATCATACTTTCGACGAAACTAAGGATCTCAATTGTAGCAAGGACAAATCGATCTGGGGTATGGCAAAAGGTCACAGGTAAGCTTGACGGGACCAAAAACAAGAGCAATGGCTGACCAATTTTCAGTGTGATCGGACGAGGCTAGGATTGATGGACGATAAGTACCAAGATGTTCAGAGCACTGTAGCAGGACTAGCTGCTCGGAAGACATTTCGTGAAAACATGTTCAATCAGCAAGGAGGAAGAGACAGATTCAGGATTTAGGTAGAAAAAAGTATCGAGTACAAGCTGGTGGGGAAGGTTTGGCGAGCTCCCCCAGATTCATGTCAACACGGACCCCCTTTGTCTGGACCAATGACGCCGATTTAACGGCGGCCATGTGTTTCGTAGCAACCTGAAATAGCAAAGCAATTCCCATCAAACATCAATTTCCTATGTCTGAAGACTTCCGACAGTGACGCGCTTAGTATGGACGATCTTCTGAATACGGACTGGAAGGCTCCGCCGCCGCCGGCAAAGCAGAATGCCCCTCGGCCAGCATTCGGCATGCCCATGTCCATCCCTAGTGCACCGTCTAGCTCGCGTGCAAGTCCGGCTCCCTCACCCTTTGGCAACAACCTGCCTGCTCCGAAAGCCCCTACAAAAGCCCCATCGCCTGGCAATGACATCTTCGCCAATCTGGTGTCCACAAATGCAAACAAGAACCAAGGCAACCTCAGTCTCCTGGAACGTCAGAAGCAGTTGTTGCAAGAGAAGAGCAAGCAAGAGCAGGAACAACGCCAGAGATATGCCCAGCAGTATGGCAACGAGGCAAGCTTCTGGGACAATCTAGGAAGTGGAAAGGGCACGCCTCAGCCAACCGCACAGCGCGTCGCACCTCCTGCCCAGGACGATGAAGACGACCTGCTTGCTGCTTTCAATTCGGCTGCCCCTGTGGACAAGTCATCACATTTCCCTGTGCCTGCTGCCTCTACTGTCACTAGTGGACGCAACACTCCGGCCGTCGCCAACTCGACCAACTCTACTTCTCTGCTCGCAGATGACGATGATGATCCGTTCGGTCTGGGAGCAGCCCCTCAAAGAAAACCCAGCCCTTATCAGCCTCCTCCTTCGAACACAAACGACGACGATGACGATATCCTTGGCGACCTTGGAAAGCCTGTAACGGCCAAACCACCTCGACGCGAACCTCCCAGACGAGAGCCTGTTGATGAAGCCTTCGCTGTCAATGATCGCCGCTCTCCTGCACCTTCGGATCCTCTCGACCGTCAGATTGCCGAACTGGTTGATATGGGCTTCCCCGCCGACCGATCCCGGGCTGCCTTGCAAGAGACAGGAGGTGATGTTCAGTCAGCTGTGGGGTGCTTGCTCAACCAGGCGCATCAAGAGTCAAAAGAGAGAACACAAGCCCGTGGTAGCGCTCGTGCGAGTCCAGCTCCTCAAGCTCGTGATGAGTCAAGACGTGGGAGAGGTCCCTCAGACGATGCGTTGCCTCCTTGGATGCGACAGGAGTCCCGTCCGAGCTCGAGTCAACGCAAGCAGGACAACGGAACTCCCTCTTCGGACAAGGATGTGGCTGCCTATGCACAAGAGTTTGGCACATCCTTCTTGAAATCTGCTGGCTCTCTCTGGAAGACGGGCCAGAAGAACTTGAAGAAGGCCGTTGCAGAGTTCCAGCAACCAGAGGGCGACCTAAACACACCCAAGTGGATGAGAGATGTAAGCGCTGATAGAGCACCTTCGAGACCCGGACGCTCCTCGACTCCCCGCGCAGCTACGTCTGCACCTGCTCAGACTGCCGAGGAGTTGACCAATGAAGCCATGCTGCTAGAGGCCAGGGATGAAAGACCACGACCAACAAATTCGCGTACTCCTGAGATACGTGAGTCTGTATCGAGACCTGATTCTAGAGTGCGATCTCCAGCCCAGGATTTACCTGTACGCACTCAGCCGCAATCGCGATTTGCACAGCAAGCACCACCCCCGCAGGCTCAGCGTCCCAACACCAAAGTTAGTCGCTTTGATGTCGAGGAAGAGTCATCACAGGCATATGTCAGCTCTGCAAGACGGAGGAGACCCGCCAAACCAGAGCCTCAGCCAGAACCCGAAGTCGACTTGTTCAGCCCAGCACCCGTCCAGCCTCCTTCACAACCCACCTCTACCAGGGCCACGCCTGCGCCGCGACCAGTCGCAGCCAAGGCTTCCACTCCAGTACCCCAAGCCCCACGACCGAAAGCACCTCCACGAAACGTTCCCGCCATCTCTCCCTCTGCGCTTTCAACATCCAGCAACCATCGCCGCGCAGGTACGGAAGCCTTCAAGAGAGGAGACTTCGATGCTGCACACAATTCATACTCTGCTGCGCTTACTCCCCTACCTCCCACTCATCCCTTGATAATCATTGTCCTCTCAAACAGAGCTTTGACGGCCATCAAGACCGGTGACCCAAAAGCAGCAATCATCGATGCCGACCGTGCGTTAACCCTCATCGGCTCCAGCAAAGGCGAAAACGAAAAAATCGACCTCGGCAGCGGCGAAGGTGAAAAAGATATGAAAGAATTCTACGGCAAAGCCCTCATGCGCAAAGCAGAAGCTCTAGAGAATATGGAGAAGTGGTCAGATGCCGCTCTCGTCTGGAAAGATGCCATTGCAGCAGGCGTAGGAGGTGCCGTAAGCTTACGAGCTCGCGACCGCTGCGAGAAAGCCGCTACTGGAGGAACAGCAAAACCAGCCACTCCTCGACCTGCTGCCGCTGCTACCAAAACACCAGCGGGTAGACTCGCCCAACCCAAACGTCCTGCAGTCTCTCAAGTACAGTCGCAAGAAGCAGTTCGCAAATTGCGCGAAGCAAACGCCGCAGCCGATAAAGCTGACGATGAGAAATTCGCCCTTTCCGATCAAGTTGAAGCCAAAGTCATCGCGTGGAAAGGCGGAAAAGCTGATAATCTACGCGCTCTGCTGCAGAGTCTGGATACAGTGCTTTGGGCTGAAGCTGGGTGGAAGAAGGTCAGCATGAGTGATTTGATTATGCCCAATAAGGTCAAGATTGTGTATATGAAGGCGATTGCCAAGGTGCATCCTGATAAGGTATGTTTGTAATCTTCTCTTGGACACATGTTGTGTGATTTGAGGACATGAAGTGCTGACTGGTACAAATAGATACCGCAGACTGCTACTACGGAGCAGAAGATGATTAGTGGATCAGTCTTTAGTACATTGAATGAGGCTTGGGATAAGTTCAAGAAGGACAACGGGTTGTGATCGCACGACTGTGTTCAGGTAACAACATTATTGCCAGATGATTGGAAATTATAGACATCTTTTTCTTTTCTTTTTCTTTTTCTTCTGCTTGATCAGAAATTCATGACTGTATTCTGTGCATCGGGGCTGTGAAAACTATGCAGAAATTCACAAATTATGCGTGATGGTGCAGCTTCCGAAGCCTTGTTCACGGAAGAGTTGAGGACGACGTTTCCTTCGTGCTTGCCTTCGTCATGAATGTCCAGCCGCGAAAGAATTTCAGCTACTGCGATATAAACGTCAAGGTCCAAGTTGTCGCGATACAGCATACTGAAGCCTGTTGAGCCTCGAGAGCTTCGCCTTATTCAGGACGTCGTTGATTCGGGTGGCTTCTCCTTTCTAATGACAGTAGGCACCGGTAGTCTTGTTCAAGGTCTCAGCAGCTCCTATCTCTTGTTCAGTAGCCTGTATTCATTTCAGGCCATAGGCGGGTTTGCAACGTGGCGATGCGTGACTTTACGGTGCTATCAAGCTCCAGACCAGTCATGAGAAATCGTTACACTCCATAAAGATCCATGCAAATTCTCATCGCTACTTGGTCGCAAAAATCTGCAACTCTAATAATTCCCAGGCCACTCCAAACAACATGGACGACTCGCAAACAAATCAACACCTTTCCACCAACTCACAACTCCCGGATGTCGTGTTGACTTTCGGTGATGAGAGGGTTGATGCACACAAGGACATCCTGCGCTCAAAATCAGAAGTGTTCGTCGCAGCATTCTCCGGCAAGTTCGGCGAAGTCAACGAATATGCCATTGAAGGCCATTCCGACGCTGCAATCCACGCTATGATCCAGCATATCTACGGCTTCGGTATCGCACCGGAATATTATCCCAACCGAACTACACAACCTACGAAAGAAACAAGACCGTAGCCGCAATCGTCGCCAAGTGTGAGCTCTTTCTCGGTGTCTATCTTCTCGCCAACGAATACGACATTGTTGGACTCACTGTTGATGTGACTGAAGCGATCATCTATTGCATGGAATACTTGCTGTGTGTCCAGAGATTCGAGGAACCGTCACCGCGCGCTCTGGACTCTGTCATATCGAGCGTAATCTCGCTCTTTGAAGAGTATGTCATAATAGACGAGACCCTAATCGATGCCACAGCCCTTTTCTGCCTTCAAAGGCGTTACAACGTTATGCAGAAGTGCAGTTGCTCGGCGGCACAGTGCATCAAACGTCCGACCGAGCTCGGTGCGGGCTACACCATGCGCTACAAATACTCAACCACAGATCCGAGCTTGGAGCTGCTTGTCGAAAAGATGTCCGTAATCGATCTCGATATCGACGCTGACGACCTTGGATTTTTGAAATCAGGAGCTTGGCATGGGTTCGAAAGATAGTGTCGTGGTTGGAGGGACGAATGGTATGAGCTCAAGAGGCTCAGGGCACTGCAGAGCGCCAGAATATGTTCTTGCTTAGATGTAGTTACTTCCTTCGAGACTTGTTGTGCAGTTGTGTATTCAATGAGTAGACGCCTCGCCCCCATTTCACTCTGAGCAACTTTGAGAGAACCTGTCCCTGTGGAAGAGATCAAGCAGACACTTATTAGAAATGGTATCTTAAGGTGAGTCATGCGGTCGAGCACTAACCTCTATTCAACATTTTCTTTCTGCTTCTCTCTCCATCCGTTCGTCCACGATCCCGCTCGGAAACTCTGCAAATCTCGTCAACCCACTTCAAAGAGTATATGCAAAACTATTCAACCTACACAACCACAGACCATGGCTTCTTCAAACATGTATTCATCAAGCATTCCTCTCCCAAGCATGTCTCCCTCGCACATCTCCCCGAGCATCTCTTCCCTGAGCATCTCTTCCTCGAGCATCTCTACCTCGAGCAGCTCTTCTCCGGGCGAGTTTTCCTCAAGCGACTCTTTCTCAAGCGAGCCTTCCTCGAACGGATTTTTCTCAAGCGACTCTTCTATAACGACTACCTCAACCCCTGCTCCGAACAAAACTACTACCTACAAGGATGAGATTGCCAACGGAATCATGCTGACCTTTGACGGTAAGGTCAAGCTGGTTGACAGGGAGCTTCTGCGAAGCGCCTCTGAAGTCTTCCGCAAGGCGTTCGACGGCGAGTTCTCCGAGGCCACTACCAACAGCTACAAGATCCAAGACCACAGTCAGGAAGCAGTGCTGATGATGATACAATGTATCCAACGTGACCAGCTTGACCGCGAGAACACCAAGCGTTACTTCGAGAACCCAGATGACCACGACGCATCGGAGCAGGCCAGAAACTTTGGTTATGACTGGAGCATCGAGCTGGATACCTCAGACCCGCACAGCTTCTCACGCAACGTGGACTTTTGCCTGGAGGTCTTCCTTCTCGCCAACGAATACGATATTCCTACATTATCCATAGAAGCCATAAAGCTCCTCATCGACCTTAGAAAAGAACTTTTGATGCATGGCCTCCCCCTTTCCACCGACGAGATTGTCGACAAAGTCGTCGAACTCTACGACACCAACCATGTTTCGACTTCATCACTGATGCAGAGGTTGGCATCGGAGAGCGTCTGGAACCCAGACGAAGTCTCAGAAATATATTGCAAGGTCGAGGCCAGATATGGATTCATCGAGGGAATCTGGCAGCACATCGGGCGAAGATGGGGTGTGAAGGATCAATACCATGCTTCTTTCGTGCTGGAAATGAACAAGGTTCAGGAGGAGAAAGAACTTGCCGAGAACTCGTATTACTATTATGATGATTACGAAGGTGGTTGTGAGCTGGAGGACTACTACTATGGTAATGATGACTAAATGGATTTGGAACTTTGGATTTGCCTTTGGGTAGCATTGCGTCGCGTTGTCCCCTTACATCATCTTGCGCTCTTTCTTGTTCGCATCAACGCAAGGTGTTGATTGACACCGGTCAGTACTCAATAAAAGCTTGCACTACACTCGACATTTGTGCATCCCGTCTAAACACACATAATACACCGGAGAAGTGCAGAAGCTCCGCTCACTCTTTGGTGAAGCATATCCATGCCTTCCATCGCGTCGTTGTTTGATGAAGCTGGGCAGACCTTTGCAACGTCCCGTCATTGCGTGATTGAGATGATCGAACTGAGCATAGAGCGACGACAGACTGAACGCCCTACTCTGATGCAAAACTGGATTACTATGCGCAGAAGTTGACATAACCTTGCAGTGCTTTTAAAACTCCAGGTGCTTGTTTTTTTCATTCGCTGCTAGAGGTGTTCAAGACATATCGAGCTACAAATTGCTGTGACTAACATACAGAGAGAAAGAGAGACTTGTCGAAGACTCATAACATGCATTGCATACGGAAAGAGTCATCATACAGAGGCAGTGGCCTACACCTCCTTCAGAAATAGACCGAACTTCTTTGTCTGCACCAAAAAATTAACAACGTCTTTCCAACAGCGGTAAAATCGTCCTTTGTCCGCTTTACATTTCACCATGAATGCACCTTCCAGATATACGACGTTTGCGACTTCTTCAACTGGATCAGCGGTGCGAACTTCGAATTGGGCCAAGGACCATACATTGTACGAAAATCCTCACAATCACGGTGATGTGGTGCTTGTCGTAGGAGGGAAAAGATTTAGAGCGCACAAAAAGGTCCTAGGTGCGATGTCTGAAGTCTTTCATGCCGCCTTTACCAACCCAGAGTCCGAGAACAACATCGAACTAGAAGTCACCGGTCACTCCCCCGAAGCAGTCAAAACCATGCTGAAGCATTGTCACGGCATCAGACTTAACCCTCATCTTGAAATCGACCGTCTGGAACAACAAACCGACATACGCTACTACTCGGACGAAAATGACTATGCAACAAGGAAGATGATCAGAGATCGAGTGATGGCTCGTCGCACCGCGGTCCAGGATCATACCATCGAAAAACGACTGCATCATCTCTTTGAGGTCTATCTGATTGCAGACGAGTACCGCATCACTTCTCTGACCACTTACATCACACAGAAGGTACACTGTCTATTGAACACGACGATACACAGATATCTCAAGAACCAGAAGAGGTTCGATTTCTTGTTCGCCAAGATCATGGAATTCTTGGAGAACAGCAATCTATGTGATTGGTCGCTGCTGCATGTTACGAATGCCTTTGTGGAGGGAAGTTTTGGCTCGGGGGAATGCGGAACTATGAGAGGGCCTACACTGGCTTCGATGTATAGGTGGAGAAAATTGGTTGCGAGTCTGGCTCCTCTAATGGTGAGGAATGTAAGTGAACAAGGGAAGAATTAGATCGATGAGGACGAGCGATGGTACGTCTGACCACAGTTGGCATCTGCAGTCTTTTCAATGACATGTTTGAATCTTGATGACTCGGAAGACGACAGCCTGATAAATCATGCTGTCTCATGCTCCTCGTTCCTCTTTGTTCTCTTCAACTTGTCTATTCAGTGTTTTCGACAACACAACCAGAAGCGTTCGGTACCAACAACGGCGTACACATTGCCGTGACCTCACTGACTATTAGCCGACTATTCACTCGGATGGAAGGACAACGGCAAGATTCGGTTTTGAGGCCCTATCAATTTCTTGCCAAAGTCATGTCGGAGCAAGTGGTCTAGTGATCGTCCGTGTATAAGAGTCTTGCCTAAAGCTTTGAGAAAATAAGACCGGGAGGGCTGTAGTAAATGCCCACGAAGTAGCATTAGTATGTACGGCTAGAATGAGCGGCTATTAGGGATAAAAAAATGACAATCCCGTTCAAAAGATCATCCCCGATGACCTTGACGCAAATCGTATATAGTTTCTCGATGACTAAGCCATTCTTTGTACAGTCTACTCTATTGTTATTCGTTAGTATCGCGAGGCAAACTGCTTAAAATGTTACTTACTCGATAAATACAGAATGCTAGGACCTATTGCAGCAGGTAACTATCAGTTAGGCAGCCGCCGTGACTCATTCAAGAGACCATAACTTGTATGCTTCGCTCTACTCCAGTCTTTCACTCCCATCTACACTTGCAACTCAAATATCGGAATCCAACTACACCAACCATGTCTTCCACCAGCCACGTGCCGAATATCAACCCTACCAACATGGATCGCACCTCAGTCCTTGTCTCCCATACAGAGCCCAGACTCTATCACAATGGCGTTGCCTCCGAAGGGGTCAGACTGAGCTTCGATGGCGAGAGCATAGTAGTCAACAAGACGGTACTGACGAATGCCTCGGAAGTGTTCGCCGCCGCTTTCAACGGCAACTTCTCAAACACTGCTACCCAAGAATATACCATCGAGGGTTATAGCAAGTCCACGGTCCTCGAACTACTGAACCATATATACGACACCAATACCGACTTTGGCATCATATGGTGGGAGAGTCTTGACAATGCAGTCAAAAAAGATGCTTGCTACCATTTGAGAGAGGTCCTACTCATCGCAGATGAATACGGCCTCCCTGAGCTTGGAGAACAAGTTCGCATGGCAATAGTTGAGATCAGAGAGAACGCCTACAGCAAATTAGGCTACTCCGGTAGAGATCGTACCCATGACGCCGCGCACGAAATCGCAGTCAACACAATGCGCGACATGGTCATTGATCTCTACAAGAACAACTACATTCCAGACATGTCCTTGATGGAAGACGTGGCCTGGCAATGCGCTTACAACTCTCTCTACGAGGACCACTCCGCGATGTACCAAAAAGCTGATGTTGAAGGTCCAGACCAGGTCACACGCAATCAGTGGGTTGCCAAAGCTCCTGAATATGAAGAGTTGGTGCGAGTTATGCACCTGGTCGAGGATAGGCACATTGACTTTGATGATGATTACGACTATTCTGAGGACTCTGGTTTTGGCAGGGATTGATCGCATCTGGCATCTCAGAATGGTATAGATAGACGCATATTTCAAAAGCCCATCTTTGCCGCACATTTCTGCAGCACTTCAAGTTTGTGTGACGCATCGGATAGGTACTCAGAAGAAAGACTTGCGCAACTTATGACACACCTTTTATCTTCTGCTTCTGCGTTCAGGTGAGCAGAAACTTCGCGGTGACTGGTTGCGGTGACTGAAAAATAAGAAGGAGCGACCATAGAATCTGATGCCCATCTCATTCTCGACGCTACTTCTTCCTTAGCTCTCAGAAAAATACAGATTCACAAGTAACAAATTTCATCGCCCATCAAACAACATCCTTCAGCTTCGACAAAACCATGGCTCCAATTATCACCAAATATTTGACTGAAGCCGAGCTACCACATTACTACAACAACGAGAGCCTATCCAACGTTGTACTTCACTTTGGCAACAAGACAATATTCGCGCACAAGAAGTTGCTCGCTGCAAGAGGCAGAGGTTCCCGCGTCTTGCGCAACGAGTTCAAGGAGAATTCGCCGTTCGCGAAGGCTGTCGAGTACACAATCGAAGGACATGATGAGGAGATCGTAGAGGTTATGATAAGGCACATCTATGGGTTCCAGTACGATAACACACTGGTGCGCAGAAACTTCGATACTGAATTGGCCAAAACAGAACGCCTAGAATGGCTTATCAGCGTTTACCTTGTCGCTGTGGAATACAGAGTCCCGTCTCTGAGCATTCTCGTCACTGACAAGCTTGTTGGAATGCTATCCGAAGGCTTCCATACTTACAGATCTCGGCATGGAGACAAACTCAACAAGGAGCAGAAAGCAAGGATAGCCGAGAGCAAGCAAGTCCTGGAGAGAATCGTCGCTCTGTACGAGCAGAACGCTCTGCCCGACAAGTTGACATGGAAGATCAAACCGTACGAGCTATTCCACAAGGCTGCTCGACAGATGGTGCAATACAGATCTTTCTGGGTGGCTGAACTCTGCGGTGGCTCCGATGAACGATACACTCCATTTGCCATACGAATGGCTTGGTGGTTCGCGAGGATAAAATTTGACAACATGCAGTGTGTGGACTGTGGTTTTGACGAGGAACCCCACTATCACTACCTCTACTACGGAGAGTGGCCTGTGGAGTTCAGGGATTTGCTGTGGCGTGGCTTCCATGAACATATTGTGAAGCAAGATTACCGTGTAGGAGAAAACATGTTCTGAGAAAGCATGCTCTGAGAAACAGGATACACCGGCATCGCAAATCACATTCAAGACCCGCAGTTTATTTCGATTCAGCTCCCTGTTACTAGCAATTATAGTAAACAGAAACTTACGTCGCGTTTTATACCTTAGGCCTTCTCAGAAAAAGGAGTCGTTGTTTAATAATACGTGCTATTCTTGAAGAATGATGACTGCCATTGAAGCCTCAAATCAGGTCAAAGAAATATCATATCATCCGGCTTGGGTTTGTATCGCGGCCAATAACCCGCACACCTGTCATCTGTGAAATCGCTCAAGTTCTTGCGGCATCGTTTGACTGTTGCCACAAGCAGTGTCGTACATCAAGGTATGTGTGTCAAAAAGTGTGATAATTAGCTCGAAAGGAGAACATAGGTCGTTCTGCGATGCTATCTTGCCGTTTGCAGAAGGCCAGTACTAATGCAACCGCATTGGCAAGAGATAGTGTATGATAGAAGTTTGCAAGAAGATATACACACATGTGAAAGTCAACTTGTCGAGTGTCCATGGAATCAAAGCCGTAGATATGCTTTATTGTTGCCTCCTAGGAGATTCCGTGTTTGGCAAGGGAGATAAGCTTAGCACAGAAAGCAAGGACATAAACGGAAAACTCGCCTTTTTCTCCCAGGACCAATCACAGAGGATGCTCCACGGTTGCGGAAAGCGGCTGGCTAGGTGGATGTGATTACAAAGTCCGAACTCCTATTTTTGCACACTAACAGTCCATGGTTCGACTCATGGACTCACGTGTCAAGATCATTTTGCCTGGATGCTGTAGGTAGTCACATAAGACCCAAAAGCCATTGAAATCAAGTATAACGTATAGCAACACCTATTACCTTTCTAAGATCGTGAAGCATAGTGCATACTGACAAACATCGAAAACGTCCACAGCATCATGTCATCATCTTCTACCGCTCACCATCGGCCGTTGATGGCGAGAAGAGGAAAAAGGCGAGATTTGTCGAGGGACGAGTCACTCCTAGTAAGATGTAGTGGAATTCAGTGAATAGCACGACCAGTGTGCGAGAAGGCAAGCGTCGCTCCTTCCGTAACATGTCATTGAATTTATGTGTTATATGGAAGCACAAATTGGCTAAGATTGCCCAACAGACCGGAGAAATGGCATCCTATTCAAACGCATCATAGTCCCATCTACGCTCCGCCTCTGTTCGCTTCCCCTTCATCATGGCAAATACTCGTCTGTTTCTGTTTTCATTGTTAAAAAGCTCTGTATCCACATAATCTCCTTCCTCGACTGCTCTTCATTATAGCATTCAATCAAAGTATAAAAATAATCCTCTATCAAAACACTATCCAATATCATGATCCTTGTTCGTATATCTAGAGTCGTCAGAACCACTTGCGAATCTCGCCACTGAATATACTGTACCGTCTATTAAGAGAAACGCCTTTTTCCGCAACATAGGCTGGGCGGTATCGAACGCAAAATCAAGCCGCCTTTACAGTAAGAGTAGCTTTCTCCGTTCCTCTCTTATTCGCCAGGCTTAGCAAAGTCTGTGAACCCGAAAGTCGTGATCAATGAGCATATTCAACACATCTACGACATGAACTATCTGTATGGTTTTTGCAGCGCGGCGATCGTTTACTATGTTCTCAATCTGGTGTTTTCGGCTCACGAAACCCTGCTCGAGAGCCCTGTCTATGATGATATTGTCGTCCAAGATGGTGTTGAGATAGTCAACGATGGGGTCCAGCTGAGCAGCGATATCAAACTCAAGAACCATCCCGAGATTGCTATTGTGTCAGACCTTTGCTCGCCCTGAAAGCTCTGGAGAAGATTCTCAAATGATTGCGACAGGTGGGTGGGATTGCATAATTCCCAGAGCGCGAACTACGGCGGATGCGTGTTCGGGACGGTGCTTCCGGAAATGGAGTGATGATATTTCTGCCTGTGTAAGAATTCATAGTACTTTTTGACCAACCAAGCAAACGTCCGAAGAAACACTTTTCTCAATTCTTTTTTTTAAAAAAAAACGCCATTCTAGATGATGACTCTCAAACTCCAACCCCCGGTCAACCCTCTAGCAACCACAAAAGCAACACTAGCAGCAACATACAACCCCCCAGCAAAGATGATCAACCCATCATAATCCTGTCCACTCCCAAGAATAGCCCCAGCAATGGGAATACCCATCAGTGTTCCAAAACTACTAATCGTAAATGTGGTCCCTGTCCTTTTGCCAATGTCCTCAGTCTTGCAGACTTGTTGGATGCACACCGGAGTCAGAGAAATAGCAGCGCCAGACCAGAAGCCGAAGAGTACTGTATAAGCGATTATACAGGCGTGAGAGGATGAGCCGATCAGCCACAGGAGAAAAGTGAGGAGCGTGCAGATGATTGCTGTAACAGTCATTGTGTTAAGCCGACCATACTTATCAGCAATGTATCCAGGAAGCAGTCGTCCAGGAATAGCAGCAGCGTTGAGGATAGGGATAAGTGCATAAGCCAGCTCCCTTCCCATCCCAGCATGCAACGCCTGATCCACCAAGAAAGTATACGGGATAAACACTGCGAACTCTACCAAAAAGATAGCAGCAGTTGTGGCGGCGTACTTCGGATCCCTGAGCGCCAGGATATCGATTTTTGCCCCTTTGGTCTTGTTGGGGGGAAGTCGTCCGCGCAGAAGCAAACAAGCCACCACACAAAGTGCGGCGCAAATGAACCCGATGATGCGGATTGCCCAGCCGAACCCAATTTTAGGAGCGAGGAAGAGAATAATGAGTGAGAATGCAAGACCACCGGTGCCGCCGGCTGTACATGCAATACCCATAGCAAAACCTCTGCGCTTGTTGAACCAATGCCCCACGCAGGAAACAGCGGTGGTGAATAAACAACACGTACTCAATCCTCCCAGTACTCCAAAACTCAGAATCAACTGATAATACTCCGTGCTAACAGACAATGTCATAAGACTAACCACAAGGCCCAAGCTCCCCGTGCAAACCAAGACCTTTGCACCATAAACATCGAACAGCGGACCTATCTGGACGCCAGCGAAGTATAAAAAGAACGGAAATGTAGAGAAGATCCAACCAACACTCGAGGATGAATAAGATTGTAATTGATGCGTTGATATCCAAGCGTGGAGGGTGCCGAGGGTATTTAGAATGCCCATGCCGGCGGTCATGGCGCACCAGGAGCCGAGAACTACTAGCCAAGCTTGTGCGCCGCCTTCGGGGTATTTTGTGAGGTCGTCATCGCTGGATGAAGAATCCAAGTCGTCCTGAGTTGATGGATCCGGATTCGATCGTTTCTCGGAAGTGGTTTGGTGGGATTGGGAGGATGTATCCAATGTTTGTGATTCTACTCCCTGAAGTGATTCCTCGTCCAAAGATCGAACATTTTTCGACGTGTTGATATTTTCATCTTGCATTTTTCGAATCTTTCCAGATAAGAAGTCGTCTCGAGATGTTGTGGTCAAGTCGGCGTCTCCAGTGTCGCGGGCTTCAATTCGCCTCCTCAGAAAAAAGTCGTCAATTGCGCGCGAACGATAGTTTTCCTATCCATCGATGCTTATAGACAGACAAAAACATGCGAGTGTATCTCAAAAAATTGTTCAATGACCTTATCGTCGCTGACAAACATCGTTGACGGTTCGGAAAAGGAAAGAATGTCCGTAGCCGATCTCCGACGCAGCTGATCCGATCTACATTTTTTTTTTCGAACATAAAGGGCAGAAAAATTAGAGACCGAGGAATCTCACATTGAGCATTGGATGGAAGTCCAACTGTCAAGTTGCCGAGCCCTATTCTCGAGTTCAAGCCTTGGTGATAGTAGTGCCTGATTTTGATTCGATTTGGGAATACTTTCGTGCATTGTTATTGAGTAAATATTGTTGTCGCTAAGTGGAGTACAAATGGTTGTCATGAGAAAGCAGTTTTCCTTCGCTCCTGCCGCATGCATTTCATAGACTTGTCGTTTTCTGTTCATCGATAGAACCGTGAGATATCCTCGTCTTCATCAGACTCACTTTCGCTGTCGCTGTCGCTGTCGCTGTCGCTGTCGACTTTCTGCTGCTGATCCGGCTCCGGCTCCTGTTCCTGTTCTACTCTCTCGCGCTTGATGACAGGGTCAAGATCAGTTTTCTGTGCGATCGCCTCATCGTCGAGTCTCGACTTCTCTCCTTCGAAGCTGCCTCCGTCTCTGGAACCATAAGCTGAGTCGACTCTAGACGGTTTCTCTGACCCTTCGTCCTTGTCATCATCTCCATCGTCAATTTCAAGCTCGAAGCTGTCATGCTCTGCAAAATCAGTCGTGCGGTTGACTTCGTGAGCGGGTAACAATCCTGCTGTATCGCTATCCAGAGCATCGAACAACTGGATTGCCTCGGCTCCTGCTCTCACTGCGCGTGCTTTCAGCAAAATTATAGCAGCTTCAGCATTGGGCCTGTTTCTTATGGCTCTAGGCTTGTCGTTCGTGCTTCCGTGAAAGAACCAGAGGAACAAGGGGCTGTCGTCTAGAGGATAACCAAAGAGAAGTTCGTCGAGACGCGCCTCGTCTAGCCGATTTTGATCGAAGAGATTCTCGACAATGCCAAAGCGTTGACGGTTGACCAAAAGCTGTTGATCGACGATCATGACGCGAGTGATGTATAGTATCAAACATGACGGGTTAATTTGACTCAAAGATGTGATAGCCTGTCCGACTCCCATCCTGTCCCGGTTGAGTAGTTTCGATCTCTCAAATGGCTGTCCTATTTCACTGGCTTGTGAGCCGGTTGCTGTGGCGGATGGGCTAGGAGGCATAGACATGGAGGAGATCACAGGGAATGGTGTGGCTCTTTCTGTCATAGTGGTCCGTTGCCGTTTAGTCTGAGGCTGGTCGTTGCGATCTTCGTCTTCGTCTTCATCATTTTCGTGATTGTGTTGGAATTCGTTCCTCTTTTGGGCCTTCCTGTGCAAGTTCATAGCTGCTATGAACTGCTGAGTAACATTCTTGCTGTTGTATGGCTGGTCTGAGATGGGTTCGGCACTGATGAATTCGGGCACAAACCACGTAGGCGGGTCCGAGCCATGTCGTTCGACGAAAAGATCGGGGTGTTCGCGGACTAGCTTCTTCTGTATCACATGGCGTAGTCTGGCCTTAGGACCGGCAGTGGGGAAACCTGCGGTGTTACCGAAAGGTTGTGTCTCCAGCTCAGTGATGGTGTATTCCCTTGCTTGGACGTATTCCTCGTACGACCAACCGAAGAAGCTTAGAAAGTAACACTTCGGTTTCTTGCTCCTGTTTTGTCCCACATAAACCTTGAGCGCCTCGTATGTCCAGGTAGTCACGTTTGTAACCGCGAATGGAATGGCGGCGCGGGCCATGATGCTTCGGGGTTTTGGTAGAGAGGGCGAATGCAGAAGATGGAGTTTGTCCCAAGACGTGATGGGGATATGCCGTAGAGAGGATGTTTCAAGGCGCTCGAAGACCAATCAAAGATCTAGAGCAGATTTTGTGACCGAAAGCAAGATAGTTCGCTCCGAGAAGAGAGATAAGTGGAAGGTTATGTGAGTCTTCTGTAGACCAAGCTGGTCAGTGTGATGTAGGGTGGTCGCAGATTCTGTTCTGAAGCCTCTTTAGGCCTTCAACACTTCTCGAGAAACGAAGGTTCAAGTGAACAGAGGTGTACCTAGGAGCTGCTAGAATAAGCCTAGGTGAGGCTTGAATCGATGAACAGCTTAGATGCAAGACAACCTCACGAGAGTCGATTGTGGTTGTGGGAATCCGGCACAGCGAGAAGTGACTCCAGAAATGCCAACGCTCACTCAAAAGCTCGTGATGAGTGAACCTTCGATGAATGTATCCATCAAGGATGATGACGAGTATTCGAAGGATTGTGTTCCACAGATGGAAGAGGGATGAACGCCAGGCTTCGGTCTCTCGGCTGCATACGAATGAACACACTGAAGCAGTCTTTCGCGGATGGAAGGAGTGTGAGCTCTCACTCGAATGTGTGCTGGGATGAAAGACTTGGCTCTCTCACAAGGAGCTGACCAGTCGACAAGCCGCAATGGAAGTCCCAGGATGGCGAATGCCTAAAATTTCAAAATTTGTAAATTTGAGAGAGGCATATCATAGTTGACGATCATTCTACCATTTCCGACCTCTGATGCTTTTTCTTCCAGTTTTCCCCTCCTGGTGACTGATAATGAACCAAAGATCCCGCTTGAACGCACGACAAAAATACACAAAAGCAGAGCACTAGCTTATCTTCCCTCTCTGGTGAAGCCACGAGCTCTCATCGAGGCTTCAATGGCACTCCAGATCTCCTCAACAGTTTCACGGTCTCTCCATCTCTGCTGAGCGGTCTGACCCTCGCGGTATGCATCGATGCCGACGTTCAGAACACCTCTACCCCAGCCCTTGATGGTATCAGGCAGTAGCTCGTTGCGCCAACCAACATAGACACCCAGAGCATGGCTGAAAAGTTCGGCAGGCTGACTCCACTTGTAGCCCTTGAACTGCCAAGCTTGACCGGTGGTGAAGACAGCAACAACGCGATTCCAGTAGTCGGGCTTGAAGTTATCAGGCGACTCGACGAGAATAAAACGCAGAGGGCGGGTGGGGTCGATCGAAGGCATGACACGGTTGACGTGAAGGATGTTCAAGGCGGTCGAAGTTGTGGATGTGGGAGGAGTGTAGACACCATCCATAAGGAATGACTTGACGTTGGACAGGCGGAGTAGAGACGAGGCGGAAGGTGAGAGAAGGATGATGGGCTCAGGGCGACGGCCGCCGGACGGCTTAGCAGGACGAATGGCAGGAGCAGGTGCGACGAGGGCTGGAGTAGGAGCAGAGGCCTTCGAGCGGCCAAGGAAGGTTTCGGCGTGTTTGCGAACATGCGAGAAGTCCTGTGAGACTGGATTAGTTTGACTAGTTGCAGAAGAGGTACATGGCCAACGTACGATGGGCTTGCTGCCTCTGAGGAGGGTATTGCGGTCGCCAGTCTTGCGCTCTAGTGCGTAGATGTCACGCAGCTTGTCATCCTCGGCCCTGGCATCTTGCATAACGACATCACCGTCTCCGCTAGCCATCTTAGCAGCATCGTGGGCTTGGGCGCGTGTCTGACGGTTGTCGTCCAGGCTCTTGATGAATTCGCTGTCGTTCTCGCCAGACAACCAATTGATCAAATCCAGCTTTTCGGCAAAGACCAGGTTGCGAACTTCGCTGAGGCCATGCGATGTACGGGCTGTGTTCAACTCTTGTGTAGCAGCAATGTAGTCTCCAGTGCTCTTGTCCTTGTTCTGCCAACACCAGAAAACACTGGCCAAGTCGAGGGCGCCATTTGTTTGCGACACGAATCTCGTAGTTGTTGTGAGCGGAAGGGCGGTATGTTGAGCGCCATCGGCAGCGGATTGTGTGTTGAAGAGTAGGTGTGATGCTTCGGTCAAAGGCGCAATGTCGCTCGCTGATGATACATCGGCGCTGCGTGTTGGCAGAGGCGACGACGTGGCGGCCACACTGGTCCGGAACAATGTCAGAGCGTCAATGTCTCCTGCGCTCATGTTGACTTGGTATGTTTGTCGAGATGATTAAATCGTGTCACCGTGTCTGGCCAGCTTGATCGCATCCAAGTCGAGCTGCTTCCCACGGGGAAGGTTTGCCGCGCCTTGGCATTTCACCTGTCAAGCATTCATCGACCAAGAACATTTTACTTCTTGCCTTCACACTTCCTGTCGAATCATCTGGTGACCAGCATTCTCTCATGCAGTCTCAATAAGATACAGTAGCTAGGTATCCTTATCGAACTCGCTAGCAAAAGCCATTCATATTCCATCAGCCAAGCCATGTCAAAGCCTCATCAGCATCTTTTTGAATGTTGTCGTCCTGCCATCCCTACTCGTTCGTCGCTCTGCTACAATACTTCCTTTGCCGTGTATCGGGCACAACAAATTCCTTTTCGCGATGTTCTTGGGGTGAAGAGGACAAAGCGGACTGTTGGGAAGATGTTCTGGCACATCGCTTGCCAACTCTTCTTCATCCATGTCCTCTTCTGCCTCAGCTTCCACCTGTTTCATCTTTTGCTAGAAGTAGTCCGGTTTTTGCATGGCTCCCTTTGCGTTACCCATACCATTTGCTTTCGCTTCCCATGGAGTATTGAATGTCCAGGGTACATGCTCCATCGATCCTGCCACCGAGTCGCGCCGAGTCTCGGGTTCATCGCCTACTCCTGGAGGATTCGTGTAATCGAAGAAGAATCCTCGTGACTTTGATCCTGGGCTCATCAGCGCTCCCCCCATCGGTGGAGTATTGACTCGCTGCATCTCTGATGGTAGGAAACTCAGTCCAGGTACAGCTCGGCTCGGATATTCTCGTCCGTCCGAAGCAACATATGATTCCTTGCGCTTCGAGGATTTACCTTTGCCGGTATCTGATGTCTGAATTGATGAATGCGTGCCTCTTCGACGAGATCGAGAGCTGAAAAGGCCGAAACATCTTGGCTCGGGTGATGGTGGTCTCGACACAGCTGACGCTTGTTTTGACTGGCGTCTGTGAGGACTTTCGTTCTGCATCAACTTGGTTGCCTCTCTTCTGATAGGACCTGGAACGATGCTGTGCACCGTCAAGACTCGTAGGAAACCTTGTTTCGGTGGCTCTTCGGGTGGAGGAGACGGCTTTGCTTCTTCTTGACCTTGCTCAAGTGATTCTCCGACCGAGCCGACTGTGCTGACAAAAGATACAGGATTTCCTGGATGCCCAGGTCTTCGACGTATGTCTCGTATGGGGATGGCGTCGCTCGATCTTTGGGGTGTGATTGCAGGTGGACTGAGTTCACGAGATACTGAACTTCGGTAGCGTCCTCTGAATGGGCCACTGTTGGCTGGTCTTGGAATTGAAGTGGCGACAGAGGCGCCTAGTCCGATGGATGCTCTCACACGGCGATTCTTGAGCTTTGAATTACGAAAGGATATATGTCCATGGTCTGCGTCATGATGATGAGGAGAAGCATGGCGTGTCTTGTTTACGGCTTCAGAAAAGGTCATTGATTTAGCGATTGGTTGGAAGCCAGGACTCGGGGGAGCAGATTGCATAACAATAGCGGGTGAAGATACGATTGAGCGAGGTGGAGCAGGTCGAGCGGGCGTAGCTAAGGATAGATGCGGTGGCGATACCATGACCTTTTTGAAGGTCTTCTTACTCGTGCGCTCTCTTCTCAGGCAATAAGCAAAACTGCTGGCTTCGGAATACGAATCTTTTTCGCTGGAGGAAGGAGTCGGAGTAGGTGCAGGTGGGAGTGGTGATGGTCCTCGGACTGGAGTGGGAACTGGTCCTTGTGCTGGTTTGGTCGGTGCAGGGTGTAATCTGGACATGGTTAGTGATTGAACTTCGACAGTCCATGAAACTTCCATAGACTGACTCAATAGTTGGAGTTCGGCTCAAAGCAAATTCATGGTTGGTTTCAGGTTTGGCCAAAGCAAAGAAGTCATCGTCGTCATTGGTGTTGGTTGGAAGCCTCAAATTCCCTTGAGGGTATTCTCCCAAGCGAACGGGTCTTCTGCTCTCGAATGGATTGCTTGGGGAGAGTTGTGTCTTTGGTGATGGCTGTGGTGATGGTGCGTGTGGTGGGCGTAGTCCTGAGCCGGAGGGTAGGGATAGCGAGCCCGCATTCCATCCCTCGAAGTAGTGGGATACTGAGCTCTTCTCGAAGGAAGGGGTTCGTCTAGGCTGCTCTGACTGCTGCTGCTGCCACTGCTGCTTGACGACTCCGACTCCGACAGGCTTCTGCGGTGGCGACCACATGCTCTGTTCGTAGGCTCGTCGGCTTTCTTCTCCGATCTGAAGATGCCGCCTGGGTTGGCAAAGCACAGTCCTGCAAGTGCCACTGCAAAGAATGAGAAGATGCCGCGCTGAAAGGTTCTCTTGTCATCAAGGTAGTCGTAGTAAGGCATTGTCATTTGGAATGGGCGGTGGGGGACAATTGAAGTAGGGAGGATGAAGAACAACTCAATAGCAGCTCAGCATCGGGTGTAGAGATGAGGTTGAGAAAGGAATCTAGGTGTGCGCAGAACCAATTTCAGGCTGCCACGTTTTTCCCTTTCAGACACGATGTCCTGCTTTTTTTCACTGCAAGAGGAAGGTTCGGCCAGGTCGTGACTGCCATAATCGTGCCGTCGACTGAACTTGACCTACCAAGCTTCGAAATAATGGCGTTTGCCTCAGCATCAAACATGCATCAACACTAGACGCTCTTCTTTCTCGCCATCCTGCATTCGGAAGCTATGGTTGTTTGTTGTGCGATGAGATACACTGGAGATGGTTCTGGGGTCATGACTCCAGGCATTGGGCACTTTACAGATATCTGTAGGTACCGGTGATTCTTCCAGGCATCCCTGCATAGGTCAGCCATTAATTTTCATCGTCTCTGCAGAGCATCAAGGTAGCCGTCATTGCCAGATCACACGCGATTGGCTTTGGACAAGTAACTAGAGCGAAACGACTGCTTGTGTTGCAACATCAGCATCGTCCTCTCGATAGGTCTGGACACCTATCACTCCAAAGTCAAGACATTGCTGCCGCCGACATTGGAGGTTTGACGTCCAGTAAACTTCAAAGATCGACTTGCGGTGAGCAAGAAAGAAACGCCACCAACCGGAATGTCTTAAGATTAAGGGGTCACGAGACTGGCGCAATCAACCGCCAATTGATCCTCTCTCATCAGATAACATATCAGTTTCAACATCGCAACAAAAAACAACGCGTTTTGGTACGCGTCTTCATCTCACATCAAGTGCACAAGGTTGGAAGAAGAAGGAAACACACGCCAAAATGTCGACACAAGCGCCCGCGCCAACGGCCCCGCAGCAGCCACTCTCGGACCCGAACACAATTCAGATCCCAGAGTGGGACTCAAACGCAGTGCACACCTCGAAAGATGGAGTTGCGACAACATCACAACCTGGAGCTCATCATGGAGGGAAGGCAGTACTCCAAGAGAAGTTCAATGCAGTCCTCCCAAGATCGCGATCATATTTCGGTCTCAAAAGACGCACCTTCCTGATCGTCGTCGCTTGCGCATTTCTTGCATTGCTCGCTCTCATTATTGGTCTCGCTGTTGGTTTGACCAAGCATTCAAAAGGGTGGGTTAGATTCAATATAAAGTGGCTTTGACTGACGTTCTTCTAGTGGACAGAATCTGCCACTCCCGACAAACAGCGAGCAGCATGAAGGAGATCTTACCTACTACGGTACTGGTCTAGGCTCTTGTGGCCTTACATCCACTGACAGCGACATGATCGTTGCTGTCTCCCACTACGTCTTTGACGCTGCGTCAAGAAGTTCGGATCCGAATCAGAATCCATTGTGTGGTCTGAAGCTCAGAGCCTCGAGATATGATGAACAAGTCGGAGAGAGGAGAAGCGTTGATCTTAAGGTTGTTGATCGCTGTAAGTCCTACCTCTGCGTGATTAGATATTTAGGTTGAGACTGACATAATCCTGTAGGTGTGGGATGTGCCGCTACGGACATTGATGTGTCTCCGGCTGCCTTCGACAAGCTTGCAGCTAGAGCCAGCGGCAGAGTCGACGTGACTTGGGCATGGCTTTCTCCACAGGCCACTGCTTGAGCAGTCCATCATCTAGGAACCACGACCGCACATGGGATATGGACGAGAACTGGTGATCGACGAACGTTGATGAAGACATGATTAATTCGTTTCGCGCATCGAAGTGCTCTTTTCTCTGCAGAACCAGCCTGCAACTCTAATTTGAAGAAACAAACTCCGCAATCAACTGAATATCGACACAGTTGCGAGGAGTAGTAACGTTCATCCACCTGTACCAAATGGCAGTAGCTCTGCCCCATTCCAATGCCTGATCGCAGGCTATTTATCAAAGTCAGCATCTCACATCCCACAACTCTTAAGGATCGGGGAACGAAACTCACCATACCAAGCCACTCTCTGAGAAGCCCAATCGACGATTCCACCCTCGTTGACAAACACGCCCTTGGTACCCTGTTGACCAGAGAAGATCTGCGCAATCGAAGCATTCGAGTACGACAGCAAGTTGTACAACACAAACCCTTGAGGGTACTCCCCATCACCGAATACTAAACTGCTGTTGCTAGCATTTGTGGTATCGGTAAGGTGACCAACAATAGCTTCAGTCTTGTTGGGTCGCAGAGTTGCGTAGTAGCCGGGAGGGTATGCGTATTCGGCGTACATGTAACCCAAAGTCTTTGAAGTGTCGTTGAATTGTTGTGCGCGGATGATGAAGTTGTCGGAGTTGAGATCAAGAGGAGGAAGAGTGTAGTTGGATGTTGATGTGGTGTTGGTGATTGTGCCATTGGCCTGTCTAGGCAGGACAGCTGCAGTGGCAGCGTTGACGCTGAGGACCAGCGAGGTGATTGCTCTTGCGAAATGCATTTCGGACGACGAAAATGTTAATGAAGGATTGGGATAGGAATGATAATGCGATTTCAACAGTAGATGGTATTATTTTATATCCTTCTCCATCTTGCTGAGTTGTAGTTGGAGAAGGGAAAAATCTCAACAGACCTGCTGGATGACGATCTCGAAGGCGGGTCTGACTTGCATGGTTTTTTCCCATCTCGTAAACCCGGACCCATGTGCGGCCTGTACGATATGCAGTGCTACATATGCCAAGAAAGAATGCTTCGATACCTGTTTTCGGTGTCGTCTTTCGCTTTCTTCGCGGTCTGTGTTGTCGACTTCTCGAAGCTGCTTAGATTTTCTAGAAGTCGCTGCTTTTCTCGGACTGGCCAGCTCACTTGGATTTCCTTCGTTTCCAAACGACTATGCTTTGACTGCACACAGCAATTTTCCATCCTCGTATGTTAGGTATTTTCCTTGTCTCACTTCGCGACGTCAGGACCGTCGAAGAACAAGCTCAGAGTTCTTCGCAACGCTTTCACGTTTCGGCTCTCCTGTCGATCTTTTCTGGACCGTTGCATGACGACTTTTTGCAAGCATGACGGCTTCGCGGTTTGTTCTCAGCCACAGTCAGTGAGAACAAACACACTGAGAAGATGATAATAATGTCTTTAGCTGGTGCTTGAGGTCTATATATCGCACAATTGCATAGAGAAGATCTGATGGGACAATAGCAGAAGCAAAATTGTTGTTTCGACAATTTTGCTCCAGGGCTGTTTTGGACGTTCTAGTCGGTCATCTTGGTTCACGCACAGCAAAAGCACGTGACCATCGGGATACCCATGAGCCTCTTGTCATATGTCACTACAATTTTGAAGCATTTGGAGACCAAGACCAATGTTCCCACCACCGTCCTCGTCGAAAGGTGATATGGATAGATCAGAGACAGGGTCGCCCCAATTCTCAAATCGCCAAAACTTCGGCTCTTCCCTTGCTCGAGGAAAACCTTTCGACTGGTCCTTGGTGCATAACATGCATTTGGCTTCATGTCCGTCTCAAGCATCTTCAAATGACTGTCCGAGACACTGTCTGAAGATCAAAGAAAATGCATCAACGAAACATACATGAAAAGAAAGCATGCTTCGTGTGTAGATTTAGCACTTTCTCACGAGCAAGAGCATGTTCAAAAAGTGTAACAGCTCTTCTCGAGCATTTATAAGAACGAAAAAAAAGCATTATAAAGTAACAATCGCTATGCTACCATCAGTACAACATGAAACTCCTACAACCTGTTCCAGTAAAACCCGAAACCTCAAACTCTACTGATATCGTACAACATAAAACTCCGGCGTACAATTGTCAAGTGCAAAAAACAGTCCAATCATAACGATCAAACACATTCCCACTCGGCAAAAACACACCATCTGGCACTTCTATCCGCCAGTACAAGACCACGATAAACTCCCCTCTCTCCAACCTTGATGACAGTCTCCCACGTACTCCCCATCCCTTCATCTTCATCTCTAGAACTGTTTCCACTGCCCGAACCTCCATATTCTTGCTTTCTGGTAAACCTTATGATCTTCCCACTCGGAGATTGAATGGCGAGTTTGGCAGGTTTGGATTGCTTGTCTGTGAGCACAGAGGAGGATTCGGAGTACGTGGAGCCGGTGTGGGAGAGACCTGCTGAGGAGGAGGCGATGGACATGGCGGAGGAGGGGCGGGCGTAGGGGGCTGGAGAAGTGGAGCGGAGGCCTAGAGCGCTGTTGCTGCGGCCGCGGCTGGACGATGAAGCGTTGTTGGAGCTGCCTCCCCATGTGTCTGGTGAGAAACGAGATAGGGAGGAAGGATGTTGGCGCACGCAAAAGACGAAGGTATTGTTGATGACCAATCTTGCGCATTGAGGTTGCGCGACATAAAGATCATGGCGCTGAGCGTGAGGGGTGGGGTGGCGTGTCAGGAAAGTATAGGGTGGGTTCTGTCCTGTATGCAACAATGATATGGCGAGGGCGAGAGCATGCGGGTTGTCCTTGATAGAGTGCATGAGCCCGCGTTTGCCTGCGTATACTTTCAAAACACCTTCGCCTTCATCGCCGGGGAGGAGTGCTTTCACAACGTAACTCTTTCTGCCGCCAATCCAGGTTGGTTGGGCAAGAGCGATCTTGCGAGTCACGTCGCCGGATTCAAAAAGGTCACCATCCATGTCGCGGGCGAAGGCGCGGGCTTCGACTTCAGCAACTATCTCCACGTCTTCGGGGACTGTGAGTTGGATGTGTGCCATCTCCAGATTCTCGAGGTAGGCTACTGATGTGTCGTAGTTTGCGAGCTCCACATGGTGGCGGAAGTAAGGCGGACAAGCGCATGGAAGTGAGATGAGGACTTCGTGAGGAACAGGAGGGACGATGTGCTGTTGCTCGGGAAGAAGAGGAATGTGAGTGTAGCAGATCTCCATGGGTCGGGTAAGGAAGAACCAGTGGTCGGCTACTGTGTTGTTTGCAGAACTGTACATGTTTCGTTTTGGGTTGGTAGGATTGGCCAGAGAACAGTCCATGATACGCCACTCGCCGTCAATGATGACTGCGTTCCAGAAATGATTGGCTCTTGCGATCGTCTCCAGGTCCAGTCTTTCTCCAGGCCCCTTTAGGTATCCACGAACGACTTCGGCATGTAGACCGACAGCTGAGCAAAGGTCGCGTACGAGAACAGCGATCTCTTCGCTGCAACCCCGTTTTGTCTGCAGTACTCGTCTCGTGTCGACCTGACCCTCGAAGTCTTCCTCCCAGGTGATTTTCTCAGCCACCCAAGTAAAGATCGCACGTAGACGTTGCACGTCGCTACGATACGGTCTGCACAGATAGCTCTGTGCCAAGGATGTCGGAGTGACCATTTGAGGAAGAGCTGAGATGAATCGCGTGCCCTTGTCTACCAGTCCTAGGCTCGGAGCAACAAAATCGGTTGGTTCAGTGATGGCCAGCCCATCGAGACCCTCGTCGCCTTCAGTTCGCTCAAGCAGCTCTTCGACAGGGTTGAGAACAAGAACATCCATCATCTCGCAACGTTCAATACGCTCAACCCTCTCATTTCTACTGAGCGAGTTGGATCGATTGACGTCTCTTCTGACCTGCATCCAGCCATCACCACCTCCAAGTCCCATATCGCGATGAGCGGTCGATGTGAGCGCAGAAGGCGAAGTAGGTGTGCCACCGGAGATTGAATTGACACCATCGGGTATGGTGTTCTTTCTCGGTGAGCCTGCTCTACTGGGCGGCCTGCCAGATGCGATGCTACTTCTTGCATTGGCTGCTCCAGTCTTTGCAGTTGTCTTTGCTGTGTCGATCATCTTCCTGAAAAAGCCGCTCTTTTTGGCCTTGGGAGCAGAAAGTCCTCCAAGTACACCAGCAGTCTCGAAAGGGTTAGTAGTCCAGTCAGCGACGGGTGTAGGAGCAGGCTGTGTAGCATGGCTTGAGTGGAAGCTGATACCTGTTTCGGGCGATTGTGGTCTTGATTGCATGGCCGTCTTGGGTCGTTCCTCCTTTCCGAACTCTCCACGAAGATCTCCGTACGATCTCGAGCTCAAAGCGCTCAGCGGACGTCTGCCCTTCACACTTCCAGTCAAACCCCACTTTCGCCTGGCAAAGCTACCAGCACTAGTGGCACTGAAGGCACCTGCAGAATGGCCACTCATGATACTTGTGCTAGTAATCTGGGTGCTCGTAGTGCTGGCTGTGGATGTACTGTTGGTACCTGAGGATGAGCTGGTCTTGCTTGTTTGGGTCCGGCGGAGTTGTTGGGGCCTGCTTGCAAGGTCGTAGACGGACTTTCTGGGGCTAGGAACCTGTGTGCTGAAACGAACACTACCGGTACTGCCTTGGCTACTAGATGTGGTGGGTCTGTTGTCATACTGAACAGCGCCTCCTGCAGTCTGGAGCTCGCTGCCGGATGATTTTGTTCGTCTCAAGCGTGTTTCCATGCGCGAAACGTATTCATCCAGTGCGGGTGGGCCGTCTCTTGAAGGCGGAAGTGATGGGATGGAATCGTGGTCTTCTTGCACATCATCTAGCCGATTCGGGCTTGCTTCTCTTCGGTACATATCCATGGCCGACTTCGCTCTGGCTTGGTGGGCTGATCGGGAGCGGATGAGATCGAATGCGTCAGGCGACCAGATTCCATTGGGACTTTCGGGACCGGGGGCAGGTGAGGATCTGCCTGCAACACTGCTCATATCGTGTAATGAAGACATGACATCGTTCATAGCGTCACGCAAAGGAGAAGGAGTCATGCCAGAAGATTGGCCGTCTCTGGAATGACCTCCAGGGGTCGCGTAGCCATTGTTGTGGTCGGAAGAGTCGTAGGACGGACGCGGAGAAACTGGCCTGTTCTGTTGGTGGAGGATACGATGAGGTGGCGGTGCAGGAGGTGGAGGAGAAGAAGCATCGTCTTGCGGTATCGGCGAAGGCTGTCTTGAGATGTGGTGCATAGGAGCTGGGGGAGCGGGAGAAGCGGCTCTGAAGTAATCATAATCCTGTTGAGGTCTGTAGGCTTGGTATCCACCTACTCCGGGCATAGGCGTGGGTGTGGGTGAGGGAGACGGTGTGTGATGGAACTGAGAAGCAGCAGGAGATGGACCGCGGTATGGTGAATTGCCTTGGTTCAAAGGAGCGGGCGATACGGCTCGGTATGGGTTTGGAGAAGCAGCTCGGTTGTATAGATCAGAGTTCATGTTGGGGTTTGGTGAAGCGGCTCGACTGTATAGATCGGAGTTCATGTTTGGATTGGGAGAAGCAGCACGATACATGGCAGCGTTGGGCGAAGCGTGTCCACTATACATCGCTGTTGGATTAGGAGAAGAAGGGCGATAAACATCTTGTGGATTGGGTGAAACAGGACGATACATGGCTGAAGGAGCAGGCGAAGCGGCTCTGTACATGGTCGAGGGAGCTGGTGACGATGTTCTGTACATGGCTGACGGAGCTGGCGAAGTGGCGCGGTAGAAAGCCGAAGGAGCAGGAGATACTGAGCGGTGCAACATGGTGGGTGCTGGAGAGGAAGCTCTATACATGTCGACGGGCGAGGAAGCCCTGCTGGGTGTTCGGCGCGGGAGTGGTGATGGGACACGGAAGGTCGACTCTTCCTTCAGCGGTGATGATTGTGGTTTCTTGTCTGAGCCAGGAGCCTTTGCTGTCTTCATACTCGAGTATGGGCTGAACTTCTTCTTGACCGGCCTGTCCTCTGGTGTACTGCCACGCGAATTGCAGCCGTCATCGCGGTATCCAAACTCTTTATATCCTTGGAAGGGTTTGCGGAAGACGCTCTTCGACTTTTGCGGCGCTGCGACGGTGGGTGGTGAGACATTTCGGCGAATGGGTGCTGGTTGGAACTTCTCGTCGAGCACTTGGACGAAGTTGGATGGAAAGAGGCCGACCATGCGCCTGTCGCGTCGTAGACGACCCATCCACCATGATCCATCTCCTGCGTTCAGACACTCGATCAAATCTCCCTCGATGAATCCCAGGTCTTTCTTGGTCTGCAAAGTTGGTCAGCTCGTGTTGCGCTCCTGACCACGTTTGAGTGATGACCCACCTCTCCACCCCATGAGTATACAGCCTTGCACCAGCAGGGGAATTTCGTAGGTATCGATTGTCCAGCCATGTTGCGCAATCACGTCGTTGCGCCGAGTTGTGCGAAAGTCCAGACAAGAGAGCGGCTTGTTTACGTTGGTAATCCAGCAACCAGAAACGCGCTCCTCCAGAATAACAAGTGCCAACCTCCACACGGAATGACAGAAAACAAGAAACGCTCAAGAGGAATTATTATCAAGACTCGACATGCGACCGCTTGGAAGGCCTTATGTTGTGTGGCCTGTCGCTGTCCAATTAGCTATATGTTTCGTCGTCGGTTGTCAAGGGCCGCTTTTGTTGATTTGTTTACAAAACTACCCAGGAAGATGGAGACGGCCAGCCGTGTGCGACATCCACATCCAACAAACGCACCCTGGCCAAGCTGCTGCTTGCCGTGCCCCATCCAAAGCTTTAGACTCCATAATCCGGATATATAACAACATGGGTCTGTATTCTCGTCGACCTGTCCCTTGCGACCTTTTTCTCACTTTTGTTTATACTTTTCCATGCCCCTTACAGGGCTCGCTGTCATAACAAACCATGTCCCTTACTGCAACTGCCCTGGATTCATCAGATAGACTATCATCACAACCACGGTCCTCGCGTGAACCGTATCCTCGTGCACAAGGTTTGCTCCACATGCGAGCATTGGCATGCGCCGAGATACTCCACTTGACTACTGCATGCCCACACTCTTCCTGCCCTGGTTGAGCGACAGACTCCATGCAGCTCATCGCCAGCCACTTGTTTTCCATGCATCAACAAGACCCGTCATTTTTTCCGACTATCACAGCAGATCGCAAATCATCCGAACCTTGTTTCATCGATGCTTCATCCTCAATTGGGAGAGCCTGCTTCTTTTGTACACATCGAGTGCGTCGTCCTGGTATCATATCTATTTAGAATCTCAAACCCCTCCCCGAACTCCATTTTTCTTTTGCCTAATCAGCCCCACGCCGCTATGCATTAACTAAAAAAGAGAGGCGCCAATCCTACTCGCCTTATTCTACACCGCCATGTCTTTGTCAAGCACCACGGATACAAGCCCTGCTCTTCCGCTCTCATATACCCGTGCGCCGAGTACTTCGCCGATGGCTTCTGTCAAGCGTTCCTTCAATTCTGCACCTTCGGGGTGTCCGTTGGTCATGTTTGCCGAGTGTTGCTCGAGAAGCTCCAACGACTGAAGCAGCACCAATGCGACGCGTTCAGCTTGGTCCTTCTTCTGTTCATCCGCCAGGCCCTGCTTAAGCACCTGGTCGTAAGCCTGAAGGTTGGGAAGAATAAGCGTCCGGACACCTGCAGCACCAGCGATGCCTCGTAGCCCGAGAATGGCTCCATAGTGTGTGCCGAAGGGCTTGTGTGAGTCCAAGAAATCCTTCAGACATGAACGTGCGATACGAGGCTTGAGAGTGCCTGAGGTTTGGCCATATTGCTTAGCAATAGCTGACAGTAACGAGGCGGAGAAGTCGCGAAGCGCGAAATGTGCTTCTGGTCCGTCTGCGGATATAGATCCGAGGTGCTTTCCGATGAGACATGTAAGGACCGGAGGGATCAGAGAAGCGACGTATGGAGCAATGTACAGACTTGGGTTCTCCAAGAGAGCAGCTAGCAATTGCATCATTTGCCTGAGAACGAACAGACTCTTGAGGTTGTGTGTGACCTTGTCAGCGACGAACTGAACAAAGTAGGGGACCAGTTGGTGAAGCCCAGGATCGGTGCGCAAGCTGGCGAAGGCGGAAATGCGGAACTCTTCGTTGGTCTCGTCGAGAATGGCGCTGCAGATTCGTTCGAAGTAAAGTTGTAATTCTTTCGAGATGACGTGTTTGACCAGAGGCTTGACAGCGACATTGTCGTTTCCACCGATAGCAGCCAGATTGGGATTGGCGCCAGGACCCTTGGGAAGAAGTTCTTGGTGTCTCTGGTCGGCAGAGGTGGGGTTTTGAGGGATCGAAGGTTGAACACCTTCTACGGCGAGCCAATGTGCTGTCAAAACTGTCAGCTGAGAATAAAAGAGTAAGAGACGATCAACAAACCTGTGAGGGAGATCTCGCGAGGGACCTTTGGTAGTGGAGCGTTTATGAACTTCTCAAAGTCGATCTCCTCATCTTCAACATAGTATAGCGGTTGTCCAGGGCCTATTGAGGCTTCTCCGAATCGCAGAGGTCTGGTTGCTTCGTAACCGTATAGAGGCTCAACGTCAAGCAGGCGCAATGCCTGAGAGATGTCCTGTGTGCTCAAAGTGGTCCTCTTTGCATTGCGCATGAATTTGAGGGCTTCTTCCAGAATCTGACTGACGCGGTATTCAACATCCTGAGCCAGCTGAGTAACGACTTCGTTGTTGAGGGCACCAACGCCAACGGACTCGGCGACGTCGGTGATGTTTTCTACATTCCAGACTGGGTTCGACATGGCGGCAGGCGCGGCAGTGATGCGCAATCAAAAGACCGGACCACGTGTGATAAACACTTCTCAGGGGTCTTCGAGATACGATGGGCTAGCCAGTGAAGTGGAGTCGTGGTATGGTGTTCGGTTTGCGCGTGGTCGTGTCCAGGTCGAGGCTGCGATGATATGCAGCTCACGGCAGCGGCGTCGTACGTCCGTAATATCGAGTGAGATTCAATCTCGCTTGTACTGTGAGAGAGGGTAAAAGCGCCGACTTAGTTGGTGAAGTGTTAGTAGAGCCAGCTAGCACTGAGTGGAGTTGAATAGTGCTATGTACAGTAAAGTGCTCAGTTCCAGCCCGCATCAAACGCGCCAGCTCGGAAGACGCAACTCCTTCCTCCTTCCAAGACTGCGGTCTTTCCCGCGCTTTGCGACGCCAAGCTTTGCCCTTCTTGCCTTTTAGCTCCAAAGCTCTCCTCGGTTACGCCTTCTGCCCCTCGTTTCGCCCTCTAGCTTGTGTCTTTGCTTCCTTTTCGCTGCTCCATCACGGACTTTTGACCCGCCGAGCCCTCTCGATCTTCTGGTGAAGGCTTGATCAAACTGACGCGAGCCATCTTTACGTGCCGCCCGCAATTGCGCTATTGACACGCCATCAAGTTCAAACATGTCAATCTGCCTGGGCATGATTGTCATCTGTCATAACCATTAATTGTCATCATCTGAGCCTAACAAGTACTCTGTTGCTTGGTGATCTCTTAGGTGAGCACACTCGCTATCAAAGCGCCCATAGCGCCGAGACTCGGCATGTACACCTGCTTTGGCGAGAGACACTTGTGTCGACTATCCGTCCATGCAGCTGCATGTCTCTAGATACCCACGTTGCATCCTTGTCTGTAAGGTAGTCAGCAGGCGCTACCATGGTGAGCTTTGTCCTTCCCATGACTTTTGTGCTTAGAAGCTCGTGGTCAAGGCCCGACCCTTTCAGAGTTCAACAGCCCGTGCCGTGGTATTGTCCCCTCTCTCCAACGATTGACATGACGTCCGCAAAGACCCCTTCACTATGCTTAAGTTCGAGCCGCTTGAGCACCGGCTGAAGGGACTCTTATGACATTTGGAACGCTAGCGGTCTTGACTGCAACCAGTGCATCCACAATTGCGCTCCTTCCACACCTGCATGTCCGATCATATGCTTGTGCCGTATTCTCGTCTGCCAATCTATGATTCTCATCTCTTCGGAAGACTAGAACTTCGTGACCATCTATTTGACGTCACGTCTTCTTCCATGACTTTTGGTTGACAGTCCTCAGCGAAGAATAAATACCTCGTGGTCTCCCGCGAAGAACCAACGCCTATCCATCATCAGTCCTTCATCCATCTTACTTCGCCATGTCATCCATCGCCATTCTTGCCCTGCTCGGCACTGTGGCCTCAGCAGCCAAGGTCTGCACCAATGTCACTGTCCCAGTCTACATCAACGCAAGACAGGCCGTCTTCAATGTCCCTACCCTTGAGTCGAACCTTGATGCCACCACTTTTGCCCTCAATTTCACCAACATTGGCATGAACTTCACCGATGTTGTCACTACTGGCTTCCAAACCGTCACTGGACACTACAACATCAGCGCCAAATACTGCAAGCCTCAAGGTGACAACAAGGCCAACCCCGTTGTTCAAGTCTTGACACACGGTATTGGTTTCGACAAGAGCTACTGGGACTTGTCATACGACAACTACGCCTACTCCTATGTTGATGTAGCTGTTGCTGCTGGCTACCACACTGTCTCAATTGACAGATTTGGAATTGGCAACTCTTCTCACGCCGATCCTCTCAACATCGTTCAAGCCCCCGCCGAGGTTTCTGCCCTGCACGAGATCACCACAATGCTCCGTAACGGTACTTTCCCTTCGGTCAGCCACAAGTTTGGCAAGGTTGTACACGGTAAGTCTCCTCATCTCAAACTGTGAGATTCCATCAAACTGACAATTTTCAGTTGGTCACTCTTTCGGTTCTCTTCAGAGCTATCTTTTGACCGCTCTCTACCCTGGCTCTTCTGACGGTGTTGCTCTTACTGGCTTTTCTATGAACGCCACTTGGCTCGGCCAGACCCTTGCTGACTGGAACCTGCACCTCGCTCGTCTCAACCAGCCTCTCCGTTTCGGCAACCAGGCTATTTCACGCACCAAGACCAACACTGCTTGGCTCGGACAGAACGTCATCTCTATCCTTCAATCTGCTCTTGGTGCTGTCGGTATCGACCTTTCAAGCTACGAGCTTTGGGAAGAAATCGCCACTACCGAAGTTGGTGACATTATTAACGGCTGGAATGCTACCGTGGCTCCTGTTGCACAAAACTTGCCCACTGGCTACCTCACTTGGAGCGACCTTACATCAAACATTTTTGCCTTCCTGTTCCCTGGCCACTTCGATATTGGCGCCGCTGTCTACGCTGAGATGACCAAGCAGCCCGTCGCTCTCGGAGAGATTTTCACCCTCGGAAATGGTGCTCCCGCATCTTCTCCCCACACCGGCCCTGCTCTTGTCCTGACCGGTCGCCAAGACACCATCTACTGCGGTGGTGACTGTCTCGCTACTGGTGGTGCCGCTGCTAGCATTCCCGCTGGAGTTGCCAAAGCTTTCCCTAATGCCAGCAAGTTCGAGGCTTACATTCACCCAAACACTGGCCATGGAATTAACTTCCACAAGAATGGTATGTCGTCTCAGACGTACGAACGTTGGAATGCGTGGGATATGCTAACGTCTTTTGTGTTTCAGCCACCGGTGCCTACCAGGTCATTCAAAACTTCTTCTCCTCCAACGGTCTCCAGAGCTCATAGGTGCAAGACCAATTGTGATTCCTCCATCTTTCGTCTAATTGCTACTTGGACTCTGACCGACTGTATTTGTCATATCAGCATGATCAGCGACCCGATGGAGCATCTTTAATGTATTATGTATAGACATTGTTTTTATTCCTATCAACAACTTTTTCTTCTTTTACTTGCCGCATATTATCGCGCATCTGAACTATCGAATATCCCCATTACGGACGTATCATGTCGTATGGGGAAAGCTTGCGGCTTGAGGTTATGGATGCTGTTAATATATTTTAGCCTCGTGGCACAGAAACTGGACTGCAGCTTTCTCATGCATGGCGGCTGTCGGTCAGGTACCCAACCCGACACATCTCTCTCCCTTGCTTCCATGATACGGATGTCACCTCATCTCACTGCAAGAGGTTCTGGAAGAAGGGGCTTGCATGGAAGCATCAATGTTGTGTTTGTCTTGAACATTCTCGTCAATCTTCCATGGATCGAACTTCGGGAGCAAATTTCGTGATGAGAGTTCCAGGGTGAAGTTTGTCGTAACTGCAACCGAAGGTAGTGGTGGCTAACCTCAGACAAGAACTTGATGTTCATCAATTAATATATTCAGGGCTGCACGCCGCACGTTCTCGGCTGGTTTGTTCGCGACGGGGCGTGCGCGCCAGTTGCCGTCTCCCGAAAGAGCCGTCCGTCCCTGCCGCAGAGGCCCGCTCCCTTTGCCTCCCTTGCCGACCCGTTTGACAGTGAGACTCGCTCATACCAATACCGACAACTCGAACATCAGCTCACTGGTAGTCCACATCTGCGGGTTCTTCCACTGACACTGCTCCTTCCCAGTCAGCTTAACATGCAGTTACGGTCTTTTGCTGTCGAAAGAGGATGGCATGTCGTTGGAAAGCCATGATCTTCATTGCTTCACACGCCTCTCCACTCTTTGCACTCGGTTAATAGAGTGGTGAAAGTGGAGTCTGATTTCTGGATCTGCAGAAACACCAAGACACGTTTCGGCCCTTGCGTTTTGCTCTCTTTCTCTTCGCGTGCAATATATTAATTTACGCAGCTGCCCCTTTTTCCTCGTTCGCAACAAGGTCTGGAAGGAAAGAGGAAGGTGGGTTAAGTGGTCAGATGTCTTGGTTTGTTGCTGCATGATGGGAGTGCTTATTTCCGGCATGTGGTATGGTGGTGTTTTCTGCTTTGCTTTTGAGGTGTGAAGAAGCAGGACAAAACTACTTACTCGGAACAGCATCTCTACAACGGTCTCTTACCCTGCTGAAACCCCGGCTCTGCTTGAACTCGACAGCCTGGCTGTGTGACTCTCTCGACTACAAGATGATTTTAGGGCTCGACATCTGGATCTTTCGACCAAGCCCACCCACTCAGCTAAGCATTCAATAGCGCACTCATCGGCCACCAAACACCACTATACCAACAACCTTATCTTCTACTCTCCCTATTCATGATCGCGCCTTTTCCGTGTGGCGTAAACAACCAAGGAAAATGGCGCAGATACTTTGATCGCGCAATTGCCTTTGCGGACAAGCGAGACCATGAGCACCGGACTTTTACGCAGGTGGGAAGTCAGTGGATTTCGGTCCTGGATCGTGCTGCTATGGGGCTTGATACTAACTCGAGCTTGCGTATATTTCGTTTGTATGTATGTACTCCGTACGCGCATCGGAGATCTAGACATGAGAAAGTGACGAGAACCAGGTCTGCAATGCAAGGTGGGAAGGAGGGCAAGAAGAGACGAGGGATGATTAGGCTGTGTGTAGCAAAGTGATTGTGACATGCATCTTCCTTGTGTCGTGTTTGAGTGTCTTGTCTCCTTTTTTTTTCTATTCCTTTCAATTATTGTCTGGAGATGAGAGATACCTTGATGTGCTTGATGTTTCTCAGTCCATACACTTATCCCTGAAGACTGGCTGTTGACTGCACTGTTATTGTTGACATGTCTGACTTGGATTACATGTTGTGACTGCATGGCCTAATCGGCCAAGGCGCAAAGTTGGGTGTATCACATCTCTGCGTCTCCACCAAGTACTTTTTCCACCACACTCTCAGCGACGAACACTATTTCGCTATCACTAGAGCTCCTTTCTGTTCGCTTTGATACGTGTAGATATCGAGGTCGCTACGACCATTTTGTTCGGCCCTCGTTCCAGTCGTCAATCTCGTCGCACTCAATTGGAAGCGTTCTGTTTGCGTTTCCTGGCAAAGACCATCTCAAAACACATATTTCAATTCCACGCCACCAATCCTTCTTACATTAGATAACCGACAGTAAGCCTCACTCAAGTATCCATCACCTACTAGCAAAAAGTGTTTTCTGTACAATAGACCTTCTCGTCGACACGTAAAGACCAATTTCGTCCCCAAAACCATTGCTGCGGGTATCACCCTGTCGATTTCTCAACCATTGATATCACGACAATGATCTGGCAATGGACTCTATTCTTCTGAAGACGAGTAGAGATATGTTACTAGGGGGACAAATGATGCTTAGAGAGATGGGATGTGTAGTTTGATAGGTAGGAAGTGCGGGTGAGTGTGCCTGAACGAGCACGGGTTGTGGAAAGCTACACGACCGAGCAGTACGTCAAGGGAAGTGATCCAAGGACGGCATAGTCAGTGGCTTGTACAGTGCTTTATAAAGAGAATATCCTAGACCTGATGGGTCTGACAGAAGGACCGAGAGAACGGAAGCAGCGATTGAGAATATAGAAGGAGCACTAGTCCAAGCGCTCTTTCCTTCGTATGCTGGGAACAGTCCAAAATGTGTGATCTTCGTCGTTGCGGTGATTCGTGATGCTTGTGGCTATCGTTGACATGTGGTAGGCAGAGAACGCTACAGGTCTACTCGTCGTCGTCAAGTCTGACGCTTCCCCAACCGTTTCCATTTGCATCTCCGTGTTTGACTCCCTTGTCATCGCAGTAAAGATGCACCCACCACGAGTACGCTCCGGTGAAGATGCCTCCACCAATTGTGTTGCCAAGTGTGACCGGAATGAGACATTTCCAAATGAACATGGCAACCGACATTGGGCTGCCCAAAAACATAGCCGTGGATCCAAGATACATGTATTCGACCGTGTGCGGACACTTCGCCGCTGTCGAGATGAAGAATGGCAGATGCAAAGCTAGAGCTTTACTAATACCATCTTGATTCTGGGATCCCAGCATCATGGAAAAGGTGACCAGCCAGCCGCAGAGAATCGAGCGGAGGAAAATGATGTGCCATTGGGACTCGATAATGTCCTCGGAAATCATGGAGATGGTGCCGCTGCGGAAGGGTTCTTCGGAGAGGATGTCTGTGAGGTGGGTGAAGAGGCCAGCGAAGAGCAGGGAGCCAAGGAGGTTGCCGGTCCATGAGGCTATGGCGCCGCGAATGTATTGGAGGGGCTTTCCTTTGCGCTCAAGGGCGGTCATCACAAACCTTGAAAAGATCATCAGGGCACACATCTTCTAAGAATGTTGGTATGGAGAACTCACCACATCGGGTAACCAGTGTACAGTTCTGCTCCTACCAGATAGACCAGAACAAGACCAATTGGGAATGTGAGTCCTTGCAAAATGCGAGGTAAACCTGGGTTGGACTCTGATAAACCCGGACTTCCAGTCGTTATGGTCAAGGACAGCAGTCCTCCTGCAGACACCAACAAAGCACCATAGACATTCTTGAGAAAGGTCAATTGGAGGTCCTCTTCCAAATGATGCACACCAGTCTCCAAAGTCTTCTCAGCAGCCTTTCGCGGCGTCAAAGCTCCAGTAGACATCGTTGAGGCTCAATTCACTGACGATGATAAGTGATACGCGTATCGAGTAAGTTGTCTTGGCCAATGTCAAGGAAGATGGTGTCAACCTACGACCCAAACGCGAGTCGAGGTCAAGGGCAGACCCAGAATGATGACGCAGTTCTGATACGATGAACCCTGATGATCTTATCTGATCCAACCTCCTCTGACTCCATCATCCTCAACGGTGGGTGGATATCCTCAGACCATTTTTCTCACCGCCAGACGCGTCTGCTCGTCGCTCGAGTGGAAGTGACGCGTTGCCGGCGAGGATGGAGTGGAGATTGACGTGTCTTGGTTTGAACAGCGAGTCAACATAAACTTACGGATCCGTTATCGGTGTATGTGTGCTATGCAGACAGCATGATTGTCGGAGAGAAACTTGAGCTCTCAGTTCTCGAGTGGCTCGAATACAACTGCCAGAGAGAATACTGCCAGAGACAGGTGTCAATGTGGTGAACATCAAGGTGTACGAGCAAATATCCATTTCAATCGAATCAGGAAATTGTAACCCCGCGAATCGAACAACAAAGCAGTCAGGGTCACTTCGGGCGTGTCCGGGCGTAGAATCGGCCCCGCGTTTCTCTCTCCCTCTCCAAACATGCCGACCACAACTTCCGCCCTGCAAACACCGCAACCGAAAAGCAGTCACAAGTACTTCCTCTTGCCAAGTACGATTGAAACCTGCCGAAACAAGACTCCGAAACTCTGAATATTATCGGGTTCTATTTGCGGTAAGAAAATCTGGTAGGCAAGCAAGCAACGGAGAACAATTTCCCTGCGGGCAGAGGGGACAAGCGCTGGAAGCAATGGCGTGACCTTTTGTCATTTTGGCGGAATCGCTCCACATGTCATGCCAATGGAACAGTCGAAAGTGGGGCTGGTTGCTTGAGGATATGGTATGATTTAGGCACGCCATAAGGCAGCACTGCATGTGCGTTAGTTTTTGAGTTGTCGAAGGTAGGATCAGGTCGGGTATATAAGGGAGGAGCTCCTCCCTGCTCCAGAAGGATTGAAGGTATTTTAGACACTGCGGAAGAAACATCTACTACTTATATCCTGTTGCTCGCACCCATTGATACTGGAGACTACCAACACGTTCATCCTCAACGACTCGTAAGTACTCGTGTTAGCATTACTGCTGGAATTCACGTACTGACAACAAGGCTAAAGACCACAATCGACCCCACCTACCATCATGACATCTCCCTCAGCAGCCCTTATGCAGAGCATTCGCTCAGGCACTACACACTTCAACGCCATGAGCCCCAAGGACCGCGTCAAGTTTGTCGGAATCATGGGATACTGCACACTCGCCTTCAGCGCACCCTTCGCGGGGGCAGCAGAGATGAGCAGACGTACACGCGACGACACAACATACGCGAAAATGTGAGTCTTGGTCACAGCTAGGATATGTCTTCAATGATACTGATAGTCCATCAGGCGTCCCCTCAGCTACAGAGATTGCCTCGCAAATGGCTCTCGTCTCGAAGACTATGCTGGACTGGCACGCAGATCCTGAGGAAAGGACGAATTGGTTGTACATGACATGATGTTTGCTTTTGAGGATTGGCGTTCTGGGAACAGCCTGGTATGGCTTTGCATGGAACAGGGCGTTTGCAACAGATGAACCTTTCGCAAGGACATTCGTATTGAGAGAGGAGAATGGTCGGTGTTGTTGTTATTCATGATATCCAGGAAACAGGAAACGCATCCCTTAGTAGGACAGCGGTTTGCGCTTTATGCGCAGCAATAGAAGAAAGTGCCAAATGAACTCCATGACGATGCTTTATAGTACAACTCTTTCTTTGATGACATGTTCAGCTGAAGCGATCGCCCTTCTTGCTCCTGTATGGCGCGGAGCTCTCGAATGGACTCTGACCTCCGCTCTCTGCGGCGTGACCAGAGGCGGGAGACATGTCTTCGGTGGCCTCTTTACTCGGGTTTGCGTGGCTGTCTTCCTTCTGGGCAGGGACGGGGTATCTGTTTTGGAGTTCGCGCATTTGCATGCGTCTCTTGTTGTCTGCTTCTGCGCGCTCGGCACGATCTGCGTTGATGCTCTTCTTGGCGAAGTAGTATGCGCCGCCACCTGCGACGATGAGGACACCCCAGCCGTAGCTGTGAAGGGAGGTAAGTTAGGCGAATTGAATTGCGAATCTTGAGAATTGGAGACGAAGCGTACCCGACAGATCTGACCTGTGGGGCAAGTTAGTCTTCGGAACAATGCGCTGTGACGTCCAGCGAGCTTACAGTGTTCATGATTGTAGGATTGATGCGTGAAGTGGAAGTTGCAATAGAAAGTAAAAAGTTACAAACAAGAGGATGCCTGAATGTCGAAGAATCGGGCAAAGTCGTGGCAGACGAATGGTTGCATCACCTGAGATCTACGAGGGACGGAAGCCGCAGCCGCATCTTTCCTACCAAACAAGCAATCGCAACCGACCATCTTCTTTTCACATGTTATTGGAGCATGCTGTCAAGTATCTCTACGAAGTCAACTCAAAAGTCCCTTCACTAGTCATATCGACAAGCCAGCGCATACTGCTGCCTTGCCTCAAAAACGAACAAGGCGGTGTTAGCGGAAATAAGGGCCTTCCAACCATCACCGAAGCTTCTCCGCCTCTTGAACAATTCCGTCATCCATCACTATTCAAAGCAACAAGCACGTGGAGCCAAGAGTAGAGAGTCACTCAAGGCAGACACTTCCATACCTTCGACACTTTCTCGACTCACTCTTCACATTCCATCGCCATGCCGCCCAAGAGGAAAGCCCCTGCCGCCGGCGCCGGTCGCGCAACCAAGCGGGTGGCGTCTGGTGTGAACACTCCGGTTTCCATGGGCAGCAGCGACGATGAGTACATGAGTGACGATGGTGACGACTACGTGGCCGAGGATCACAACTACGACGATGTTGTGAAGAAGTTCCAGGCTTCCTCATACCGCACCAAGAATGCGAAGCCCCAGGAGTCTGATCAAGCCACTCGTCTCTTCCGCAACGATCGCGACCTGTCCGCCCTTGAACTGAAACCCGACCACTCCGTGCGTCCGCTTTGGCTCGACCCTGAAAAGGGCAGGATCGTTGTCGAAACCTTCTCTCCTTCCTTCAAACAAGCTCAAAACTTCCTGATCAACATCGCCGAACCCCAATCGCGAACGACCAACGTACATGAATACACCATCACCGCGCACAGTCTGTTCGCCGCTGTCTCGGTCGGCTTGACTACCGACGATATCATCCGCCAACTCGAAGTCTTCTCAAAGACGAAGCTGCCCGATGGCTTGAAAGATTTCATCTACACTGCCACTCAGTCTTTTGGAAAAGTCCGTCTGGTCTTGAAACACAACAGGTACTATATCGAAAGTCAAGATGCTTCGGTACTGCAAATGCTGTTGCGTGATCCAGTCATCGGTCCGGCCAGAGTTCATGAGACGGATGAGTTGATTCAGGAAAAGGCTCCACAAATGGGCGGGCTGGTCATTCCAGGAACAAAGGATGCCGCTGGCGTAAAGCAAGCTGAGGCACAAGCAAAAAAGAAGGCTGCCAGGAATGATGATAGTGATGATGAAGACGAGGATGAGAAAAAGGACGATGCCGAGCAAGACATGACTGCCTACCTGAGAGATGAGGACGACGATGATGACGAGACGGACCAGGTCCATTCATTCCAAATCGATGGTGAGAAGATTCAAGCCGTCCAAGAACAGTGTAACGTCAAGCTACAACTGCCTCTGACGGAAGAATACGATTTCCGAAACGACGAGATCAACGCAAACCTGGATATTGATCTACGCCCTATGGCTCAAATTCGATACTACCAGGAACACGCACTTAGTAAAATGTTCGGTAACGGTCGTGCCAGAAGTGGAATCATCGTTCTACCCTGCGGTGCCGGTAAAACTCTGGTCGGTATTACAGCTGCTTGCACTGTCAAGAAGTCTGCCATCGTCTTGTGCACATCTGCCATGAGTGCATACCAATGGAAGAATGAGTTTTTGAAGTGGTCAAACATCAATCCTGACGACATTGCCATCTTCACCTCTGGTGAGAAGGAGAAGCTGAATCAAAGGGCAGGAATCATCGTCTGCACATACAGTATGGTTACTCAAAACACCCGAAGAGCCCACGACAGTCAGCAAGTCATGGATTTTATCACCAACAGAGAATGGGGTCTCATGGTTCTGGATGAGGTTCACGTCGTGCCAGCTGAGATGTTCAGACGTGTCACTTCCAAGATCAAGACTCATTCCAAGCTTGGGCTGACTGCTACTCTGTTACGTGAAGACGACAAGATCAAGGATCTGAACTTTCTCATTGGTCCGAAATTGTACGAGGCCAACTGGCTGCAGCTGTCAGAGGAAGGTCACATCGCCCGTGTCCAATGCGCTGAGGTGTGGTGTCCCATGACGACCGAGTTCTATGGTGAATATCTGAAAGCGCGTACTACTAATAAGCGCTCTCTTCTCTCGACCATGAACCCCAGAAAATTTCAAGCCTGTCAATTCTTGATTAACTATCACGAAAAACGAGGCGACAAGATTATCGTCTTCTCTGATAACGTTTACGCGCTCGAGAAGTACGCGAAACGACTCAAGAAGCCATACATCTACGGAGACACACCTCAAAGAGAACGCGAGATGGTGTTGCAGAACTTCCAGCAAAACGAATCTGTGCGAACAATTTTCCTGTCCAAGATTGGAGACACCAGTCTGGATTTACCAGAGGCCACTTGCTTGATTCAAGTGTCCAGTCATTACGGATCACGTCGTCAGGAAGCGCAGCGTCTAGGTCGTATCCTCCGTGCTAAACGTAGGAATGACGAAGGTTTCAATGCCTTCTTCTACTCTCTGGTGTCGAAAGACACAAACGAGATGTACTACTCGTCAAAGCGTCAAGCTTTCCTGGTCGATCAAGGCTATTCTTTCAAAGTCATCACCCATCTGACAGGTATCGATGAAGTCGAGGGTCTCCACTTCCGCGACACTTCTTCACGCATGGAACTTCTCGAAGACGTTCTGATGGCTGGCGAGGACAGCGGTAGCGTCGAGAATATCCAGGATGATCTCTTCAGTGGTCGACAAACGCACAAGGGTCCCAGAGGCAAACCTGGTGTCCGTCGCACTGCTGGTGCTCTCTCCGAATACGCCGGTGGCAAAGACATGGCCTACATCGAGTACAACAAGAGCAGAAACAAGGAACTCAAGAAGAACAAACCTGCGAGTAAATTCTTCAAGGACATTCAAAGGACGAATGAGAAAAGAAAAGCGGCTTCGAAAGCGGATTTGTGAGCCTTTTCTTCTTGCATTCTCCTTTTGTCCTTACAGAACATTGCGGCGTTCATGATTATGATACGGAGGGCGTCTTGGTTTTCATAGGCGCACGGTGGTATTACTATCACTTCTTTTTGCGAGGGATTACAAAGAATCAATGACAAGAGCTATGATTATTCTTATCCAACTCAACATTTCACCACTGTCTTTCTCGAAGCTCCAACTTTGAAGCATTTTCGCTCATGGCGTGGAAAAAGACCATTTTTTTCTCTGTCAAAATGTCCATTCACGATCAAATTTCAAATCATGTTGTTCTGATCATCATCCAATGCCATTCCTCCCTTTTCTCCAACTTCCCGTGAAATTTGAGAGGGTACCTTTGCTAAGTTAAGTGATTACGACTTCTAAATAAGAGAATATCCTTGGCTTCCTCCGTTACACGAACGAGCGGGGCAGTGCAAGGGTCACTAACATGCAATCTTCTGCTTCTCCTTTCCTCTCTTTCCTTCCTACTTCCATATAGATAATTTTGTACTGCAATCATGGCTTATAATTTCGGGATGCAAGAAAGATTCGAACTCGCAGAGGCGCAATGCGGATTCCTGCCTCTTATCACCATTATAGGCTTTTTGTCTGTCGCCGGAACACACGAGCTCAGGATGACCCTCGAAGAAAACATACAGACTTTGACCACAACACATCCGATACTACGTGCCATCATTATCAACAGATTGACCAGAAGACCGGAGTGGAAGGAAATGGACGTGGTGCCCACCACTCAGGAGATCCTCGATGCAGACACGTCTATAGCGATGTCTGTCGAGGAGGTCATTGTCCAAGAAGACAAAAAGGGAGCACTGCTCAATCTGGACACTGGACCGCTCTGGCGTGTCGCGATCTACGAGCAGGAATCCTCTGGTGTTGGAAGAGGATGCTACATTGCGTTGAGTATATGTCACATAGTCACGGACGGCAGCGGTGCATTGGAGCTCTATCGCCAGCTCTTCCGGACCAGGAAAGGATCTGATACGAACATGGTCAAGGATCTTGTCCCGATACCACCTAGGGCGGAAGATACAGTGGACTTGCGACCCTCTCTAGTGACAGCGTTGAAGGCGTTCGTACAGGAGATTGGCGTGAAGGTACTACCTTCAGCTCTCCAACGCTATGTTGAGAAAATCCCGGCTTGGCCGGCACAGAACACTTCGCCCATTGATCCGATTTCTCCAAAGGTAAATCGTATTGCTCTCGAGCTCGGGTCAAACAAATCGCTGGTTCGTGAACTGAAATCATTCGGCAAGATTGGCGGAACAGGGACGCTCCAATCGGTGCTAAACACTGCTGCGATTATCGCTTTGACAGCAGCTATTGATACGAGCGACGGTCTGACAGCACTTGGGACAGAAACCCCAATATCACTCCGTTCTCGCGATCTTGGGCACCCGCCTTTTGGGGGCAACTATACCGCCCTTGCAGAGTTTATCTTGTCTCCGGAAGCAATTCGAAGCCAAAGCGTTTCAGATGTGCTCTCTGCGTACGGGGAGTGCTTGCACACCCCTCATGGTCTGGAAGAAGCCCGGTCGAGAGCCGGGATGCTGCAGCTTATTCCAGACATCCCATATCTGGTCAGCCCCACATTCAAGATACAAAATCAGAGGGTGCAGCCACCTCCGACAGGCTGGGAGTCGTTCTTGAATCAACAGGCGGCATCGAGGAATCCCTACCGTAACTCTTTCGCCATTTCTAACCTTGGACTATTCGACTCAACGGCCCATCCGGAGTTGGCGGGTGTTTGGTTTTGTCAATCCCCAATGCCTTGGGGTGTTGCATTGTATCTTGACGTCGTTGGTTATACCGTGCGCGGCCCTCCAGAAATAGATGGAGGTGTAGAAACCGAACTCGGCATAATCATTTCATACTTCGAAGGCGCTGTCAGCGGCAATACCATCGACAACTTCTGCAAATATTTCGTACGCGCGCTCGAGCTTTTTGCTGCCGCCGGAAATTCTGGCGTCGAACAGACAAACGCATTGAAAGCCTCTAGGCTCGCCGAGCTGGTTCGAGTAGTTAGGTGTTGAGAAATAACAGATAGGTATAGAAAGGGTACCGTGGTCTCATTGGTTCCTGCAGGATTTTTTCGTGATCAACTGCTTGATTAACACCTCTGATGGTACACAGCTTGGTGTAATCCATTCCAGTATCTCGGTATATCCATCAATGTTAGATCCCCAAGCAAGATACCTTCATCTCTCATTCCTCTTACGTGTCCTCACGTTTATGCTGTTGAGAAACCTGACAACCAGCCTTAGCAAAAGAAATACATCCGCTACTTTTTCCCCTTCGTGTACATTTGTACTATTCCCCTCAACTACCAGACTTTCCATGATCATCTCTCTCTTCTCTCATACATAGTGGTGTGTGACCTGGGAATTTCCATACAATCAACCCCTTGGAAAGATGGTAATGTTAGAACGGGAAGAGAGAGAGCACTACTCCAAAGCAGAAACCACATTCACTCCAGTACAGAAGGAGGCACTTTGACCGTGAAAATCTTTTTCGCACTTGTAACGAATAGCGATTTGCACGTGCTGGGTGGTTCGGAGAACGAAGGTTCTCGGACCTGGTCGGTTGTTGTTGTAAAGAGACGGGGGCATGACGCATCAGCAGAATCAGGCAACAAAACACTCGTTGTAACCAGTGTCAGGAGAAAAGCGACGAAAGGTGTGACCGAAGCAGGAAACCACCACGACTTGAAATAGTTGTTTCCACGTTTTGTGTTTAGTCATAATCAGGCAACTGCAATCCACCAGGAGCAGATGGAAGGCCCGCTTGGTGTAATTCTTCAGGTCAGGTTCGATAGCAAACGGCTTGTGTGTTCATACGACGAGAATTCGTATGGCTGGACGAAACCCGATAGCGGAGAGTCGAAATAGAATGCAAATGCAAGTATAACTACAGCTAGCAACATTAAACGTCCTTTAGTACCTACCGTTTACAACAGGGCAAACACTCCAGATACTTGTAATCAAGAAAGTGGTAGATGGCGCAGTCTTCAAAGAACAAACCCAGAATCTCTTCTGTCAATACACTTCTTGTCAGTGACTCAAAAAAATCAGCGAGGTGACTCGGAACAAATCTGCATCCATCAGTCACCAGTCTCTCAAGCCTGCATGAATATTCCAAACGCAAAGTCCCCAACTCGGCTACCAAACTCGAGAAGCAAACGCTCACACTGCAACAATGTGCGGCTACAATGAACTTCTCACCCCGTGCTGCCACGAAAAGACCGGCTTCTCCCCAACCATAAAATGCACCCTCTACTTCCAAAACAACCGCTACTGCCGCACCGGCTCCATCCACAGCTGGATACTGTCCTCTCCCCCATTAACTTCACGCATCCTCTGCGACAACTGCAAAAAGATCGACGATCACGAGATCAAGGAGATCGAGAGGGAGATTGAGGAGAGAAAGAAGGCTGAGGAGGTGAAAAAAAGAGGTGAAGAGGCTAGAGAGTTGAGAGCGTTGGACAAGGAGATCAAGAGGCGTAGTGATGGGAGAAGGGAGGAGAGACAGAGTGCGGCTGCGGCGTTGAGGAGTCAATTTGCTGGATTGAATATTGAAGATGGTGGCGAGGGATCTTCTTCTTCGTCGAGGAAGTGATGCTGTGATCGGAATTGATACAATGTTATCGGACTGGCGATCGATCGGTTGCGTTTCAGAGAATTGTTCATGTGCCATGTAAGAAGTGTAGCTCACATTTAACACCGAAGAGTTGCGATCCCCCAAGGCACGCTCTGTCTGAAATCAAGCCATCGAAATGCATGATGTTTTTGCAATCTATAGAGATGTCCGATGAAGGCCCCAAGGAGAAGCCGTGCGGGTGGATTAAAACCAACTCCTTAAACCGGATCGAGAGCCTTCTCACCAACAATCGACATTCCTCGTGAGCCAAGCAGGCGTTGACGGGCGCACAACTATCGTGTGGTGTGTGGTGCTCGACCATACCGGTAGACCGAGCACGGTACCGTCCTTCGATACTCGGGTCGACGATAAAGTAACAGCGAGCCCCCGTTCCCGATGCCTCGTCGTAGGATTGTAAGCCGAAACGGATAGCACGCACGAGGTGCCACAATTAAGGAGGCCGAGGAGGAGCAAGATTGATGGTACGTCGACTACCCGGTACGGTCGTCGAAGTGTACCGCTAAGGCAGGCAGTGAGCACTCGATCGGTGCTTAATACTCCATGTGATTAGGCTTCATGGCGGAACAGACTGGCAAACATCAGAAGTGTCTGCTCAGGATACCATAGAGCTGCATCAAACATGTGTGTCGGCGACCCGATGCGTACAGCGGAGTGTGCGAGCCTTGGAACGAGGGCGCTGAAAGGTCTAGAGAGAACCGCTTATTGCTTGAGCGAACAAGAAAGCTGCGACGCTGCCATTGATCAGTGTTCAAAGAGCCTTATGATTATTCCAAGGGTCTCTGTTGTCGAGGATAGTCGTTGACAACCTAGTATCGCAAGGATCGGGGGCTTTAGCGTAAAAACGATCAAAGACATTCCTCTGACGCCTGACTGATACCGTCTGCATATGCTGATGTTGTTCAGCAACAGAACCAGAAAGAAGCGAGATTGATTAAAGACATCGGTGACGCCAACAGCCAGACAAACGCAGAAGATCAAAGACGTCGGCTATACGCTTCAAGTTTCTTACAGGCGTTAGTCATATCCATGAACACAAGCAGACCGAAAGATCATCGACTGGAAGGGCAAAGAGGAAACAACGACTCACCGTGCTGAACGTCAAACCATGGCAACCGTCTCGTGTAACCTGCAGGCATCAATCGATTTCACGGACGGAAGCAGAAAGAACCACCCAACCAACAAACACGCCGAGAACGACGACTAAGCTAACTCAAACATCAACCGCCCGCCTCTTCTTCTTCAAGTGACCTGACCTACCAAGCACACCGAACTCAACTACTTCTAGCATCCCATCCAACCACCACATTCTCACACATCACCACTCATCACAATGTGCTCCAAACGCGTCAGCCCCTACCACGAATGCCCCTACAGCCACAAGGAGGTCACAGACGAGAAGTTCTGCTTCAGAGACGGCGTCATCGTTCCCTGCGTCAACTGGGAATGGCTCATCATCAAAGAGCTTCCCACCCCTGGACCTTGCCCTTGTGCCGACTGTCAGGCTTGGAAGCGTAGGCAGAATATGCAGAACGGTACCGTTGGCTCAAGATCGAACGATATCTCCCAGTAACGCAAGCCCGGTAAGTGGATTCGATTGTGCATTTCGATGGGCGGAAAACTGATGATGAATAGCTGTCGAGATGTCAACAAGAACGCCAATCCAGGCACGATAGACACAAACATGGCCCAGAAAGGCAGGAGATCGCTAAAGAGTCATGAGCGTAGCGGAGTAGCGGAGGATTGGAGGAGTGTTCTTAAAATTCGTCAATTGGTGGCATGCATCGCATAATCACATCTCCATCTCATCAGGATTGTATCCCTTCTTCTTGCTCTCTTCGAGCTTCTTCTTCGTCTTTGTTTTCGAGTCCTCGATCCAGGCATCGTAAGAGCCGTCTGCAATCTTGGCAGCAGTGACACCCTTCATCAATTCACCTACGAAACCGACAAAGTTGTGTCTGCGCAGAGCATTCTCCCACTGCCATGCACGTCTCTTCTCTTCTTCACGGTACACCATGTCTTCATCTCCGAATTCTCTTGCTTTTACGCGGAGGTCTTGGCACATGGCGAGTAGGTTGAAGCGGATCTCGTTGGAGGGGTAGCGTTCGATGCGGCGTTGGAGGACGGGAATGACTTTGTCGGCAAAGTCTGTGGGGGCACAAGGGCCGTGACTGATGGGAGCTTCTTGGAGACCGTCGAGTTCGTACAATGTGCCGTTGATGCTGGTGTATGCGATGAAGTGGAAGAGGTCGTCGTCTTGAGTGGCCATACGGGTCTCGTCTGAGACGAAGGGCGAGCTGCGGGCGAAGGAGTTGTGCGTGTCGCGGATAAGGTCGCTGTTGCTGAGAGCCTCACCACGGATCTGAGATGGTCAATATCTAATTGACATGCTCTCGAATTGATTAGACATACATCCGGTGGGAAGGCAGCTGTGAAGTCCTTGAAGTCTGTCAAATGAGGACCCAACTCAACACCATCCTTGTTGTCCTTGTTCATCAAGACACTGAGCAATGCCTGTGTGCCGCAAGCATTTTGAATTGTCTGAGCGGCGAACCACACCTTGCCCTTGCCATCACCTCCACTGCCAGCGTCGTCCAGGTTGTAAGTTGCTTCAAAGTCGAATTGACCGTCTAGCGGACCATCTGATTTGCGGCCATCGTTGTTGTACTTGAAGAGGAAGATGACGCCTAGCGGCGACAGTCGACCGAGCGATTGTGAGTCTAATGAGATGAGCTCTTCGAACTGGACGTTCTTGACACCGAGGTTCTCGAGTAGGTATGTGAAGACGCCCTGCAGATTGTTAGTATGCGCAGACTGAGGTTCTGTCAAGAAGGCTACTGACAGCGTCTGACTCGATTGTGTTCCAGCCTCCCGACATGTTTGCTGGTTCAAGTAGTTGATGTTGACTGCTCAAGCTTTGATTGTCGCCGCGCAAACATTCATGTCAAGCGCGGACGTCATGAGCTGCACAAGCTACCGCCAAGCCCGCTCGGTGATCGGCAATCCGGTTCGAGTGACCTTCACAAGTTCGCTCAGAATCCTTCTTTGATACTTTGCTATGATAATCTATCAATTTCTAAAGGTGATGTATACTCGATTGAGTAGCTAGTCTTTCCCAAAGGCTGGATTTTCAAACGCACGAAGCTTTCCAGAATCGATGAAGGTCCAGTGAGTAATGAGAGAGCAAAGTTCGGACATATGGTGGACACCCGTCGTTCTTAATACTGTTGTACATGTCTTCCATTTAGCATGAGCTGGAGGAGCCCGACGATCCTTCAGATGGCCGATAATCCGGATCCGACCGTCGTCCACTTGAATCTGACCCTTCATCAGAAAGATATGGTGCAGGGCTCGAACTAGCTAGGAACTTCGTGGTCTGGGAAACTGGGGTGTCATTCTCGTTTACAGGGCGGTATAGCGGTGTGTTCTCTCGTGAGTCGTTTATTTGACCTGCAAGCCTTCGAGCGATCGAAAAAAGACTGGCAAAATTTATTACGCAGACAGGGGACGGCGTGTTGTCAGGTAGATGGGCATTCTTACAGAAGTCTGACCAGGTGCCACATTTAATGTCTGCCCATCCGATATCGAAGGTCTGATTTGGGACAGACAAGGGACTAGGAAAGACTGGCAGCCTGTCTATGACTTGTTTGCCGGTCAGAGTGCGATGTGGCCGAGATTCAGACGCCGGCTGTATGACAGATTTGTACACATGTACATGTACAGTGTCGTGGTCCGCAGATAGATTCTCATCGCCATTCTCAGACGGGCGTGTCGTGGGTGGGTCAGCCTTATTCGGCTTCTTTCTAGGCCTCTTCTTGACTATGACAAGCACCACGAAGATAACTTTACCCTTGGAGAGCAGGATGTAGTCTTGAGCCTTGCGTTGCGCGTGTTCTTCTTTCTCCGAATACGCGATTTCGAGCACCAGGAATGGATCGCGCGAGCCGAAGAAAGAAACACTTGCATCTGGTGCCATGATCACAGACCCGTAGTCGAATTCGACACTACCAGTCTGCAAAATTTCGTTTCGCTTATAACGAGTTGGCAAAAATCCTGAGTTGTACAATTGATCGCAGATATTTGTGCCGAAGGTGACGAAGGCTTCATGTATGCGTGAAGGCATGGTGATAACCAGGCGGCCTCGCTTGCTACGTGAGGCAGTGGCATGTGCAGATGTTTGACGACGGAAGAATTCACACTTCCAAGCAGAAGTCCGAGGATCCGAGCGAAGCAAAGGACAAGTGATTTTGAAGATGGATAAAGGAACTCTGGGAACAGATATACAGTCCGCCAAGATCGAGGCAGTGGGATGAATAGCGGAGGCGCATAGAAAAGGGGGCTCTACAGCGCGTAAGACAAGACGCCGAATCTCTGATTCGTCCCAGGTCCTGATTTTGTTGCTCATGGCTGGTATCTGGTCAACAGAAGTTGGGTCTTGTCCATGGAAGAGGCGTGATCTTTTAGGTTGCTGCAGGCTGCGTTGGTCACTTGCACCACTACCTTCCGAGTCGTCTTGTCTGTCATCATCTCTCTGCCGTTTCCATGAAACCTTGCGAGATTTGTGTGCCATCTGTTGGTATTTGATAGGGTGTCGCTGACGTTGACGTGAGCAGACGTGCTGTTGGCGATGTTGGAGCTGTTGCTAGAGCGCCCGTGAGTGGATGGATGGTATCCATACGTGTTGACCAGACTTCGTACTGGGAGCTCAGCCAGAACTATTTTTGCTCATCATGGGGTCTTTTGTTTACTTGTTCTCAAAGTTTGATGTTGTCTCGAGCAGTTGACAATCACTTCTTTGAACGTTGTGGGTTCCTCATATGTATTCATTCGCTACAACCCACCGCCAAGCCCGCTCGGTCATCGGCTTTTCGGCTTCAACAAGCGCTCGCTTCCCCATACCGTTTTCGCAAAAAGGAGGTTGCACTTTGTAAATTTTTCATTTCTGCCAGCAAAAGGTAGTGTACATCTACAGCACACAGGAAAACAAAAGGATGGAGTAGCTGGGAATCGAACCCAGAACCTTCTCCACTCAGTAATGCTCGAAGAGCAATGCTAAGAAGATGTCATACCACTAGACCACAACCCCATTTGATGAGAAAAAGTGTTTCAAGAGGGTATACAAACTAACTTGTGGTGAGTAGTTTCGCCTGGTCACGGCTGATGAATGCCTGAAGCTTGTGCGTGGAGCGCTTGGAGTATAGAATTGAAGTATACATGATTCGTGATTCATGAAGCCTACTGATCTACAGCTTGCTAGCTTCTGTTGCCTTCTCAAGCTCAATGACCAGTTTGCCGAATTGGCTAGCATTCTTCATGTCCTCGAACAAGCCGTTGATCTCTTCAAGGTTGTCGAGTCCGGAGACGCTCCTCGATACAATGGGTCGGATGTTCTTGGTGGAAACAAAGCTGACCATGTCGGCGAACTCTTTTCTGGAGCCCATTGTAGATCCACGGAGGTCAATGTTTTTGAGAACAGCGGCCATGGTGAAGGGCATCTTGGGGCCTACTGTCATGCCATAGGAAACAATGACACCACCAGGCTATGTCATGTTAGTGGAAGACAACACTGAACGAATGCAAGATGCTCACCTTCATAATTTTGAAAGCCTTCTCAACGATGTCACCGCCGGCACCGTCAATGACAGCATCGAGGAATTTTCTGTCCTTTGGCAATTGTTCCAACAGCTTCTTCTCCCATCCCTCCTCCTTGTAGATTGCACCCCCTGCAGCACCAAGCTTCTTTGCCTTGTCCAGCTTTTCCTGGCTTCCACTTGTCACGAAGACGTTGGCACCAGCTGCGCTTGCAAATAGCAGGGCCATGAGCGCGACACCACCACCAATACCAGTGATGAGTATGTTGCGACCAGGCTTGCAGTTACCACTCTTGGTGACAGTCGCTCTCCAGGCAGTAAGACCCGTGAGAGGGAAAGCGGCAGCCTCAGCGTTCGTGAGATGCTTAGGTGCCTCCTCCAGTTCAGACGCATCAATGACCAAGCTCTCAGTCAATGTGCCTAGAGGGTTGAGCTTTGTTCCTCCAAGTATAGCATACCCCTTGGGATCTTCAGGACCATCAGGGTCATCTTTCCATCCACTACCGGGGTTGAGAATGACGCGCTTGTTCAGCCATTTCTTTGCTTCGGGTGACGATCCGGTCGAGGTTACAATGCCGGTGCCATCTGCGAGTAATGGTACACCGAATGTGGTGCCAGGGTATAGATGCTGGCGAATGAACAGGTCTCGATGATTCAATGCGGCAGCGGTGATTTTGACGACGACTTGATTGTCTTTGGGCGTGCTTTCGGGAACATTGATCTTCTCTAGAGGGTAGTAAACTTGACCGGGCTTGCCGTCAACCTTGCGAATCGAGATTGCAGCAGGCATTTCGAAGATGTGTGTATAGTACAGTTGAATACAACAGAGCGAATATGCAGCGCTTGACTTGTCTTCAAAGGTTACAAATCAACATTGAGAGGGCTCCTTTGCCCCAGTTCACGCGGTTATTGCGGGGATTGGTCGAGGTGGGGAGAGCTTGCGAAGGGTCAACTTGAGCCGAGGCTTCTTGTTCTCTGCTGAGTCAGCTTTGTGCAACTTCACGTCCTGCCTTTGAGGCTTCAGTGCTTTGTATGTCCAAGGACGGTCACCGTGATGCCATCAAGTTTTCATTGTGTTGGACACCAAATATTTCAATCATAGATATGGACGCAAGGACTAGCGTTAAACCTTCTTGCCGCACCCAATACCGCAGAGTCGAGGCCTCAGCTCTGAACCTGGATGTTTGATCCTGACCACGGTAACTCCTTCCGATGCCCGACATGATCATTCAATCTCAACCCATGCGATGGCGAGTAGCATCGGTCAGATTTCTCTCAAGAGCTTCTTGACGCATCTCAGCAAGACGACGATTCCACTTGACACAGTCGGCATGCTCGCAAGGGATGTTTGTTCCTCCGAAGTACTCCAGCCTCTCATAGGACCACTTATCAGCAGGACAAGCCGAGCCAGTACGTCTGGCTTTGTCACAAACACCTCTGTCGACGGTTTCATGGCGACATTGGTACCAGACCTTTCGCTTTGTCCAGCACATCTTGACGGTTCTGGAATGCTTGTCTATCGCTTCTGTCAGTAAATGGCAAACGACCAAAGCCCACGGAAATCTCACCTAGGAGGCTTCGTGATTTTTCTCTTTCACGCAGTTGGGATAGTACCGCCTTCCTGGTGTTGAGAAGCATTCCTTATACCACCATTCGTCCAGCAAACTGGCATTACAACCATTGGAAGATCTGACAGCCACGCTACTCCGCAAGATATCCTACTTTGACCTCCACTCCATCGCGAGGCATCCATGCATGGAACTTGTAGGCTTTCAAATCTGGATTTCGAGTACTCATTCCGTTGTCCTTGCAAGTTGGACACTCGTTGCGGTGTGGAACAACCTCGTGCTGACACTGTAACCACTCGCAAGCTCTTCTCTTCTCTAATGCAACTTTGCATGGCTTAATAAGCGTCTCGCTTTCGTGTCGGCAGCCTGGCCAAACCATTTTCTCGTATCGACACATGGCGGCAAGACTTGTTTGATGAGCTACAATTTCGGAACGAACAAGCTTCAAGGACGGAAAAGATGTCGATCAGGATCAGCAGGAAAGATAGGATCAGCAAGAAAGAGTGGCTGCATTGTTCGTCTTGAGCATGCTCTCAGACTTCTATTCCACTGCCAGAAGCCTGTGCATCTCCCTCTCCCCAGACTGTGGCGCTCTGTACCACGTCTGTCATGCTTTGTGTTACACGTCAAAAGCAGGTCCGTTGAAATCGAGCCCTGTGTGCTGACAGCAGGCTTTGGGATACAAGCGGCTTTGTTCCAGCTATATTATGCCATGCACCATTTGGTATCAATTGAGGCTCGCTTGCATGCCTCGGTTTGCATCGACCCAGTTTCGGAAATGTGACTCAGCAACCCTTTCAACATCTCGGAGCTCAAAGTCTCAGGTACCCCTTCTCACAGGTCACATGAAAGATGACCAGTCGCTTTTTTGACCTGCTCGATTGATCCGCAGAGTCAGCTTCTGTAACACCCTTGCTGCTGAGTACTCTCAACAACAGCTTGCCGCTTCTTGCTTTGTTCAACTCACCCCAGATCTTTGATGCGGACCCCAACTATACACCCCACAGAGACCGTACATTGTTGCGCATCTTCGCTGCTGATTCGTCGGCTCGCTTCTTGGCTGCACATTGCGAGCACTCCTTTGTCTTTGATGGTGATTGTACAACACGCCAGTATCTTTCTCCGCAAGACTGTCCCCGCTCGCGAGCTCCATCGCATTGGTTGAATGTACGTGTCTCGGGATGCCCGCAAGCAGAGCATGTCGGCTGCTTATAATGACACATCGTCATGGCATGTCCGAGCTTTGAGAGTGGAAGAAGAGAAGACAATCATGCCTGGGTGTCTATTCCGGTGATCTTATGTCAAGGATTGTCGTACCCTCTGCTTGACGTTCCCGAAAGACCTCGTCGAAATCCGGCTACAAGAGCTTATTCTGGTCACACAGTCGAATGTCCAATTCCAGGTGGCTGAGGTATGGTTCGAGCTCTACCTTTTATCCGGCTCCATTTGAGCCATGTGATTGTCAGCCAGTGCAAATTATCTCTTTGATGAGGCTGTTGCTGAAATCAGGGAAGCAAGACACTGGTGATCGTCCACCTAGTCATCGAGCCTACTAGATCTATCTTGGTGCCTTCACAAAGACGATTTCCGGAGAATGACCAGTGATTCGATTCAGGACTTGGACGTCAGACACTTCCGAGGAATGCGCGAGCTTTCGATAGATTCCTAAAGTCCTTATCAGCATTGGCTCTTTCCTGTCATGCTTGTACCGGTTCGACGCCCGACCGTGGAGGAAACCACGCATTCACAGACATTGCTTGGAAGATTGTTGGCGCAGACTAACAGTGGCCGTCATGGTTGGAAACCAGTCGTTGCGTCCCTCGCGGTGGTGTGCCGACCCATGAGATCGGCACACTGGCTGGAGCTTTGAGTGTCAAATCTTGCAGCTTGAAGGCGCGACTGTATAGCATCGCGAGCAAGTCCATGCCGACGACCTACCTTCTCTGAACATGAAAGCAGTTTGTGGAGCGCGTCAAGGGGATCACAACACGCCAAGACTCAAACTCGACCAGGCTTTATATTGAGTGCTGCCTCAGAATTTCCAATCCGCACAACGGACCAGTCGGACCCTCCGTATCCGGGACCCAGCCCAGCTGTGGTACATCCTTAGTACGAGGGTCGGGCGCCCAATTTCCTTTTTGAAGGTCTTCCTTCTTGAAGGTTGCGAGTTCGATTCACCTCGCGATCAAAATTTTACTTTTTTGCAACTTTCGAATGCGTTGCGTTCTTTGTGGACTGAAGGCGAGACCATGCCAACGGCATTCTCTGGAAGCGAGTCTCGACTCTCGAGCACGTCAGAGGCAACAAAATACACCAAGGCCCATGTTTGCCCAAGCTTTATATTCAGCGTTGGCTCAGAATTCCCAATCCGCACAACGGACCAGTCGGACCTTCCGTATCCGGGACCCAGCTCAGCTGTGGTACATCCTTAGTACGAGGGTCGGGCGCTCAACTTCCTTTTTGAAGGTTGCGAGTTCGATTCACCTCGCGATCAAAGGTTTACTTCCTTTTTGCAACTATCGATGGTACCCGCGCTCTTCACCGCCTATCGCTCCATCTTACTCTAACAAAAGCTGCCGCATGCTCTGTTGAAATATCTCCCTGTCACTTTTTGTCGAGTTAGTCAAAGATTCTCAACGAGCGCGCTTTCGTGACTTAGTCTATCGCTGATCCCTTGACATCACGATGCGTCGCTGCTGCCGGCCTTTATACCTTGCTGGAATATGAGGTCAAGCTTGGACTCTGGCTCTCTATGGGTGGCTCTCAATTCGACCTATCGTGACATAGCTGGCAAGAGTGCAGCAGTCGGCAAGTGCATTTCGTGAGTCGAATACGCCACAATGTTTCGAAGACATGCGTAGAGTAAACAGCTCTTCTTTGCCGGTGACGAGTTTGATTCTCACCATGCTCCCGCTAGACAGCACTGCTTCGTAGACGGATGTGTATGCCTGTGCAATGTCTTCGTCCTGCAGCATGGCCATCATGGCGTGATTGTGTGGCATAATATCCATTCACCCAAGGCTACAGGAACAACTACCCTCACTGCATGGAAGGTAATGTTCGCAACATAATTTTCTATCATGTTCGATACCCCTAGCGGAGGCCAAGAGAGACAAAGCATCTGGAAGAAAAATACAACTCGCAAAGATCGAAAGCGTATGATCGGAGCTCTTTTCAATGGACCTCTCAGCAGCCTGAAAAGCATCGTGCATTTTTAGAGCAATAATTCGGCATGTCGCCGGAACAGGGGGCTGGTTTGCAAAAATGAAAGCCGTCCAGCTTCTCATCACTTGGAGTCCCACTTTCACACCACGAGCGAAATTCCTAAAACTCTTCGCCAAAATTTGTCAAGATTGCAAGTCTTGTCATCCAACCTGCCTAATGTCGACCTCGCAGCACACATTCATGCATCCCGCGCGCTTAGCTAGGATGGCGCCATCCCACTCTCCATCTGCCCCTGTGAAGCGCGAACCGGATCCCACTGACCAGGATGCAGAACTTGAAGTGGAGGCACAGCGCCAACAAGATTTACACTTTTGTGATCAAGCTAGATACACTGAAGCTGCCGAAAAGGCTACAGTGGACGGCATCTTCTACCAGGAATTCTTCCACAGGCGCCTAGGTATTCCGGACACTCCGTTTGACACAGATGCACAGGGCCGTCGCCTGTATCATGCGTGTGACCCAGCTCTATACTACAGAGCTATTGACGAGGCAAGCTTCGAGGGCGCCATCTCCACAGGATTCTTCAACAACATTGTTGCGCACATCACCTACCGTATCGTGAGTTCGAATTGTGTTGTCTGTCTCCCTCAGAATGCTAAACCCGCACAGGTCCCAGGACCTCTACGCCAGGCAACCCACGCTACGCACGGTCAGGCATCCTCGCCCTCCCGCTGCGATCGCAAACTGTCGACCCAGGCCCCTTCCCCTGCACCAGGTCGTCCTTCTCAACTCACACAGTCTCAAGACGACCAGGATAACCATGAGTGCCCTCAATCGCCTGTCGTCTTGTCGATCGAGCCCCGTGGGAACACTCAGAACCTTACCCGCTCTCCTGATGCTCAGGCCAACTACAATCACGCCCCTCTTTCACTTCGGCAGTCAACAGAGCCACGAGAAATGTACTCTCGCGCCGGCTCATTCCGAGTCTGCACTCCCCAGCCTCCACAGCCCTCAGAGTTCACACAACACTCTCGACCTGCTCGTCCCTCACGCCCCCGTCGCGGCTCACACACTCCTCGTCTCCCCCAAATTTCTCCATCTGACGCGCTTCAGCCTGGTCGAGCCCTGAGCGATCTTGCTCCTCGTGCACAGCAGAAGCTTAGCCCTGGTAACGGACCATGTCTTGACCCGGCCCTCGCAGGGCCTTCTCGATCCCACTTTACTCAGAGAAACCAACCTCGATCTGAAGACGCTCAAGATGGTAGTCGCGCACCTCAGCACCCTGGCATTGGTGCCAGCTTTGGCTCCGACTCTGGTTCCGAGCCACTCGGCCTAGAAGTAATTCCTGCTGCACGTCCTGCTCGACTCGGTGGCTCATCAAACCAGGATGTTCACTCTCCCTACAGCCGCAGAAGCCGCAGTCCAGACGTCGCCATGAGCCTCGCTCTGACTGACCGCAATGGCTACAGATCTCGCAGCCCGCTCGACTACGGTGATGCAGAGACTCCTGCAAGCAACAGCTGCAGGGGCAGAGAACATCACCACCTTCCTGAGGTCAATGACCACGAAGCATCAGGTGCAGCACCTCCTATGCACGACCACGTCGGACTATCAAATTCTGAGCTACAGAAGACGAAGAACCAGCATATCGTTTGCGTCCAGTGCTGGGTCAAAGACCTCTCATGCGATCACAGCTGGCCATGTCATTCGTGCGTCAGTAAAGGCAAGGTCTGTGCCTATGTCTTGTGCCCTCTCTACGACTGTTCGCTTAACACCAAGTGCCCGGCATACCATGTATTCCCAGGGCTCGCAAGAGAGCCTGACGAGAAGGTCGGCTCTTCGATGCACCTCGTGGCATTGCTGAATCTTAAGTGCGACTTCATTCGTTCTTACGACTTGCGCCAGATTCGAGAGCTCCACGATGACACGAAATCTGCACAGCACATTTATCTGATGCTCCAGAAAGAGATCGACGACATTGTCCAGCAAAAGAAGGGATTCGGCGACTCGGCTGCCAGAAAGCTGCTCAGAGATTCGGAAAAAGTGCCTGACATAGATGGACCGTCGTTGAGCTTCAAGGCTTGCATGATTGCTAAGCTGGTTCAACAGAAGAAGTAAGCACTTTCTCTTGTTTTTGAGCACGTTGCTGACCCTTGACAGGAGACAACCTTACACTGAATTGTGGAAGTACGACCACAGACAGCGCAAATTCGCAGCTACCCGCAGAAACTCAGGCCTGGCAAGAGATCATCCAAGACTATTAGGTGAACGGTGACATGTTAAATCGCCTTGTGCATTGCAACAGGCTTTCAACAAAGCTCGCTGCTGGAGTCAAATTGAAATCAGACTGGAATCCAATTGGAGTCAAAGCATTTGCTCAGCATTCGTCTTGACAATGCTCACGAAGGCGATTAGAAGAGAATCTTGTGGCAGATGGGGGGTCTTGGGGGTTGGTCAGGAGGATTTCGGGTTTGTGTATTTCAGAAGGTCGCACATGCTCTGGCATCGGAAGGTCTGGTTCAACATTCAGGCTTTCTCTTCGTCAAGTAGTATGCCGACTGCGACAAGCTTGTCGGCCATCTTCTGTCATGAGGATCCGTAGGTACACTCTACAGCACACTCCCTCCAATCAACTTCCTTCCCCCTCTAATCCTCGGATGTAAAATCATGTTGAGATGATGCCTCTAGTCACACGAATACAGTGATCAAGCTTCAAGTTTTTGAAAGACAGCAGCTTGCTACACTGCCACCAAGAAGCCGAAAGCTTTTCGTACTGTCACATGTGTTTCAAGAAAGATATGTGGAAGTGTGAGCCCCTTGAATTTGTGTTTCATCCTCTTTTCCCCTCTTGTGTCATCCAAGACTTGTGCAAGCAAGTACAAATCTTCGAAGATACAGCTGTGGAAGTCGGATAGGCTTTCACCTGAAAAATTCCCGAACTAGCGCGACAATCAACTGTTCATCAATTTTCAAGCCAGCACGCAACAGCCACATCTTCAAATCATTGGTTGCGCGGCCATCCCTTCATCGGCAATGGCGCGCACACTTACGAATAACAGAGACTCCCCTGTAGCGCACGAGTGGATGGAGGAGTTCATTGCCTATGAGCTGGATGATTGGAAGGAGGCCACCCGCAAGGCCACTTTTGGTCAGCACGTACACAAGAGTTACTTCGACAATCTTCTAAAGTTCATGCAGCCACGCACTGTGAGTCTGAACTTGAACCGCCCACTTCCGCAGACAGCTAACACTGTACCTCATAGCGCACATGGATACACGTGGGAGAGCGAGACAGAGCTCGCCGTGCCGCTGCTCGCACAGCTGTGCAAGACCGTGGACGCAAGTTCATCGTCTACGACAAAGGCGACTGGAACGTGGCTAGCCGTGCCGCATTCTGTCAAGGAAGTCCCGTGAAGCACATGTTCGAAGAGGCGCTCACAGGGATGCAATACATTGAGGTAAGTCTTCTCTGCATCAAAGATCCTTAGATTGAGCTTTGTCCTGATTCATGTTTGCAGTACACAGTGCCTTACCCTAGACGTCGCGTAAGGCTCGACTCACACGGTAATGTCACTGAAGTCATTTGGGACCGCGACTCGGTTGAGAATGTGCCCGCACGCCGCAGGAGGAGAAGCAGAAGCCCTGCACGCCATGAGGATGCCCGCACAACTACTCCCGCCCATCTCGAACGCCGCCACGCACACGATGCCATCAGCCCTGGTTTCTACTCACCCCCTCCACGTTACACCAGCCGCCAGCCTAGTAGTGGCACTGCTAGCCACACACACTCTCCCCAACTGCCTCCTGACTTACCACCTCCGTACACCGAGCGCGCTCAGGATTCTAGAGCAAGAGAAGCCCATGGCCATGCTCGACGCCACCATGCTCCTATGATTCGTCACCAAGCTCCGGTCAACGTATCCCCACGCCGCAGAAGCAGAAGTAGATTCCGGGCTCGTATCGACAGTGCGACTGCTGCTTCTCGCCATCGTGGCGCCAGCATTGACCAACACACGGGCCGTGATCAGCTCCCCGGTGAGGCTCGAGGACTGCTGCTTGTTCGTCCACCGCGGCCGCCTCCTCCTCCACCACCAGGCGTGCCATCTCAACTCAACTCTGATCGCCGCCAAGTGTATACTACAGTTAACTCTCTACCTCGCTCTACCCCTCCGCGCCGTACCACTCGTCCTGACCGTGGTCCAGACGGTCGTCCGCATCCTAATCTATCAACCCCTTACGTTGGCCACCAAGACCGGAACGGCGCGGTCCCTCCTGTAGCTCGCCAACATCTTCGTCGCTTCGCTGTTGACGAAGGCGGGCCCCCTTTCGCAGCAGACCAACCTATTACTTGCCAGGAGGCCCGCAATCTTGTCGCTCTTGAGCAGGAGATGGCAAACCTGATGCGCATGATGCAGGAGCTTCGTCCTCGCAACCTTCTTATCCTCGACTAAAGCAAGTCTACGCTGCTCAAGCAATAATACGGTGTCTGCTTGTGGGATTGCATGACATCTTGATTGAGGCTCTTTGGTCGTGGAAATTTAGCCTCCATCACGAAGCGCAATCTCCTCGACGGCAAAATGAACGAAAGGCTTTGATTTTGTCCCGGCGGATCTGGTGGACTCTACTATGGTCTGGTAATTCTTGGGTTGCGCCATACTGTACGCAGCGCTTGGTCATTGTGTAGGCAGCCAAGGTTAGTGGTTTACGGAAATTTGGTCCATGTTGAGGTCAAGGAAGTGAGAGCAAATAAGTCAATGGATTGCATTGTCTTTAGTAATAGTATCATGCTTTGTTATTCAGTATCCGATGCCCATGCACAAGACTTCTGTCGACAAGCATGTCTAGATATGATTTGCTTGTCCTACGATGACTGGCACAACTTTTGAGATGATAGAATCCTGGTCTATCGCGAATCACGCTGTTGTTGGAAACATTACAAATATGACGGGAAGAATGTTGCTGTTCCAAGATTGAGATGGTAGTCTATATCTTTCTTTGCCAATCACTCGAGCAGAAAATGCTATGCTCAGCCATTGGTCGGTGTTTAGGAAGACGAGAAAACTGGAATGAATCGGTGGGCTGGTTTGGATGCGGATGGTCTTTTTGCATGATATTCCTTTTGCAAACATGGGACACGATCAGATGTGTCCCAAGCTCAGCAGCGGTAAGATGCCCATAACTTTTGGGGTGTTTTTGAGATGCATCCACGAGGGGCAGCTGCCTGACTTCCTCAGCAGAAACAGGATCAATGCCCAAAACTCTTTGCACTCTTGAACTGGTATCAGATAGAAAAGCTCTTGTACTCAGGAGAGCAAGCTCTGGGCCAGGGTTGGCCCCATGACGAGGCATCGGCGTTTGGAAATCTTGAACGTCAACTATCCATCGTGACTTCCTTTGCCAACGACTGCTAACACAAGTTCTGTCACAGATCAGGACACAATCACATTAAAAGCAAACGAAAAAGTCCATCAAACGGAAAGTTTTGAATGCGAATTCTTGAGCGTGGCGACCTTCGTTCCCCTGTGTGCTTCTGCCTCAGCAAGCCCCGACGCCCCGTAAACGCCCTTCATTATCCATCATCGCACGAACGTATCATCGTCACCATCTGAGGATCTTCAATTGGCCGATATCTCATGATCATCTAAGGTCACTGCGCGTTGTGAACTGCAGGGAGAAGTTCCGGAGGTGCACTGCAAGCAGAGCAAATCCCGAAACACCGCCAACGTAACACCCAAAGCCCGAATCGATCGCAGTAGATCCGAACTTGGAAACAAGCCATGACAGCACACCACAGCTTATCTCGGGATCTGGTGTATGCTGTGCTTGTGGCAGAACATAGCACATCATACGACTTCTCGAAAGTCAGGCATCTCCATCCGAGAATGCTACGACGGCAAGGTAGGCCTGAACGTTTTGCCACTGCATTGAGCAAGAGGGACGCCGAGTATCAAGCGGTGTCGGAAATGCACGGTAAGGTGACTGCGAAGGTAAGAAGATATATAAACCCGTATGCTCTGGACGATGGATAGGAGTATCACTCATCATCACAACTCGCAAACACCAAAGCAAACCCTCTCTGATTCATCAACAACATCTTTAACATGGTCGCTACTATCAAGAAGTACAAGGCTGCTGCCGTCAACGCTGAGCCTGGATGGCTCGACCTCGAACTCTCCATCCAGAAGACTATCCACTGGATCAACGAGGCTGGCCAGAATGGCTGCAAGCTGATTGCCTTCCCTGAACTGTGTATGTTCATCACTAACCAATCCTGCACTGTAATTCTACTGACAGAAGGGATAAACAGGGGTTCCTGGCTACCCTTACTGGATGTGGCGTGTCAACTACCAAGAATCTTTGCCTCTGCTGAAGAAGTACCGCGAGAACAGTCTTCCCAGCGACAGCCCTGAGATGCACCGTATCCGTGCTGCAGCAAAGGAGAACCAGATCTTTGTTTCTTTGGGATACTCCGAGGTTGACCTTAACTCGCTTTACACCACTCAGGTCTTGATCTCTCCTACTGGTGACATCTTGAACCACCGCCGCAAGATCCGCGCTACCCACGTTGAGAGACTTGTCTTTGGAGATGGTAAGCCACTTCACCCTCACTTGCATCCAGGAGACTGATGGGAATCCACAACAGGCACCGGCGACACCACCGAATCAGTCGTTGATACTGAGATCGGTCGCATCGGCCAGCTCAACTGCTGGGAAAACATGAACCCCTTCCTCAAGTCATACGCCGTCAGCAAAGGCGAACAAGTCCACATCGCCGGCTGGCCTCTTTACCCTCACGCCACAACCCTCAAGTATCCCGACCCTTACACCAACATCTCCGATGCCAACGCCGATATTGTGACTCCCGCATACGCCATCGAGACCGGCTCTTTCACCCTCGCTCCCTTCCAGATGATCTCCAAGGAGGGTGTTGATCTCCAAACTCCTCCCGGCAAGGAAAGAGAGGACCACAGAATCTACAACGGCAACACTAGAATCTACGGTCCTGATGGTCAGCTCTTGATCACCAAGCCCAGTGACGACTTTGAGGGTTTGGTATACGTCGATATCGATCTTGATGAGACACACTTGAGCAAGGCTTTGAACGATTTCGTAAGTACCTCTGCCTATCTCTCTACACTAGAAGAAGCTCAAGCTAACATGTATCTCTGAAATCACAGGGTGGTCATTACATGCGTCCCGATCTTCTCCGTCTCGTCGTCGACACCGACCGCAAGAGTCTCATCAACAAGGTCGATGGCAGTGGCAAGTTCATCGTCGAAAAGACCGTCGACCGTGTAGGCTTGAGCACTCCTTTCAAGGACCTGCCTATCGCTCGGAAGGCTGAGGCTGACTCTACTTCTACTCAAGACAAGGAGTAGGGAGTGGTATAGTGGTGGTCGGAGGTCGATGATAAGTCAGCTAGCTCTTCTTTCTTGCGGGTTTATAAAAATCTCTACTCTTTACTCTCTCTCAAACAACACTTTATCCTGAAAAATGATCAATCTTGATCCTGTGAAACATACTTCCTGGTTAACTTCGGAATCGATGTGGAATGTGCGACCAGATATTATAGCGAGTAAGGAAGGAACGCTCGAACTCGCTCTTTCCAATTTTATCGTTGTATTAATCTTCCTATTTGCTATGCTGGACTATGATACACGGTTTTCCTCTTCTCATCATTTGCTCGTTGCTTCGACCAAGTACAAGAGTTGATCCCCTGATATGCAACAAAATACACAACTGGATTGGTCTTTGAATGGACATGTAGTCACTCGTTTCCACCATTGCCCCTCCTTGTGCGCTTACAAATTCAAAAATCAACGAATGACTTTCCAAAGTGCTCCTTCCATTTTTCATACACAAACCCATTCCTCCCAAACAAAGTCAAGAAATTGTTTCTTCCTAACTCTACCAAAATCTCACCCCTTACTCACCCTATGGCATAATCACCTATTATCTTTCCTCCTTTTCGAAACTCACTTCTTCCCAAAACCGTACAAAAGGTTTATTTTCCCCCATTCTTGATCTCCATCTCTATCTCTATCTCTATACTCCTCAACAAAGAAACCTGAACAAGCAAAAACCAGCACTCATCTCCAAATAACGGCAATGCGTCGTTCGAAAATCAGGCATTCGTGTCCCTTCCAGGTCATAACCACTGACTGAACTAGAAGAAAATTGCCCAGATCTATGGAAGTCAAGTCAACCAACAACGACGTGTGGATTCGAATCGATGATTGACTCTACGTCCTTACGTACAGACAAATACCGATGCAGCGTAGCGTGCTTTTGTCCCAAGAACCCAGCGAGCTGCGGAATGTTCGGAGCAAAGAGGGAGGTATTAATACGGTACGGCTGTTGTTTATGGTTTTGATGAGGAGGTTGTTGGACAGGGTTGGATTGTTTTTTCAACACGCTGCATTTTGTGGTCATTTAGGCCGAGTCGAAAACGTTCAAGCTTGCCTTTTGACAGAGAGCTGAAGATAATAGGGTTGCTGGCTGGGATCTGTGATGGATGTTTGACGATAAGGAGACAAGATGTCATTTTTAAGGAATTGAGGGAGGATTCGGTAAGCTGCGTGAGCAGATGTGAAGCGAAAAATAGTCGAAAGAGAACAGAAGAGTGATCAATAACTTGTAAGCTATGCAAGATGAGCCTCGCGCAGTGGATCAAGAAGCAACGGCCTAGCTAGTGACACACGGAAGATTCAAGATTGTGAAGACATTCGCAGGGAAGAGCGATCAATACAGACTACTCTTACTAGTTGAAGGCTATATCAGACATAAACGATTCCAATCACAGCAGCTAGAAGACAAGGAACGAATAAGCTCAAGATGATTGAACATGAAAGGGACCATCTGCCCACTAAGATAGAAAGAACGATCTTTCCGACGGACTATGAAAGAACAATCCAGCCAATCCAATGACGATACAAAGAAACCTCCCCTTCCCACCTACCTTGCTCTCCTAACCATCGAATATCTACATCTTCGCAACAACCCACTCCACAAAACTCCAAGGCAACGGCCCCTTCAGATGCGCGCCCATCCTCACAGCAGGTCCAAACCACACAATCAACGTCGCCCCCTGGAAGCAAAACACCCACACATATCCAGCGATCCTCCAACCTCTCCCCTTCAACCCTAATCTTCTCCCCACCTCCATAACCTTTTCTTCAACCCAAAATGCAGCAACTTGAGGCACATAACGATACAAATCCGCCGTGTACCCCCCACCAGCGATCAAAGTGCCATAAGCATGCACAGCCCAAGCCCAGAAAAACGCACAAGACACTTTGACCCAATAAGTTGATTTCTGGCTGGGGTTAAGATGGAGTGTGCGGACCAGGGCGTTTGTATATGGGAGGGCGAGCGTGCGCATCATTTGATGCCAGGTGTGGGACCAAAACCCCTTGATCGTATATGCATGTCTGAAACTGCCGAAGAGAGGTGGGAAACCAGCGGGAGAAAAGATGTGCAGGGGTACGGTTATGGCGGCGAGGATGGAGTGGAGGGCATTCATTGTCCAGCGGGCTTGAAGGCGTTGAAGAGGGCTAGAGGGAGGGGTTGGGAGGTTAGGGGGCGTATGGGTAGAGAGGCGATGGGCGAATTGTGGCGGAGGTGGTAGTATGATAGATCGACTAGGAGGAGATCGATGGCTGCTGAGACTAGATGTTTTGCTACGAATGGTAGGCGCGGAGTGTCTCGAGCTGGTGTTGGAGGAACTTAGGAAGGTTGCGGAGTTGGAAGTTCCTGGCAACGAGATCTCACGTCAGTATATGACTGTGCTCGTCGATGTTCTGATGTTTCGCTGATGCGGATTGGGTACATGGACTCAACATCTCACCGTCGTCGACTTCTCAAGTACGACAACAGCGATATGCAAAGAAAAGGGCGGCAGAAAGGGTCCGAATCCTGATCCGAAGCCTGTTGAGATGACACAGAAGGCAAGCATTCCAGGAATCACTGTACCAGAAGCCACAGAAAGAGCAACGTAGTCCTCTCGTACCAAAAAGGAGACGTTCTTGACTCCAAGTCCCAGTTCGAAAGGGGAAGAGAGCAATAGAAACAGAAAAGAAACAGAACTCACCATCCAACACCCCTAGGGTTCATGAATCCCAATTCCACCGCATCTAACCCCGTCTGTACCCAACCCTTTGCCGTTTCTTCCATCTTCTCTCCCACTTCGTAAACCTCCTTCTTCTTTTCCTCCTCCTCCTCCTCGCCGCCCTTTCTCACCCGCCCCCTCCTCTCAACGCCCCCATCCTCCAAGTAATTAACGTCAATCATCCTAAACACAGCGCTAAAAATCGTACACCCAGCAATATAAACATCAGTATAACCACCCGACCTCCTATCGATCGCCAAATCAAATAACCAATAAATACCAGCCCCGATGGATAAAGTAGTAAAAGCGTGCGAGCGAGTGGTCAGGGAGAGACCAAAGAGGAGTTGAGAGAGTGGTGCTATAGAAGTCGGGAATGGCGAAGCTAAAGGCACAAGAGGTGATGGTAGTGGTGGTGGAGAGTCTATAAGTGGCGCCGGTCATAAACCAACAAGTGTTCCGAAGTGGATAACTCAGAGTCAGATCAGTGGGGATGGGAATGAAAGAGCAGTGAAAAGATGAGGCTTGGGAAGGGGGGGCATGCAGTGGCTTTTATAATGATAAGATGCAATACCACAGGATTGGGATGTGAGGTTTATCTTGCACAATCCGACCGGTGTATCAAGTCACATCTCGCGTATGTGGTTGGAAGATCGTCGTGCCTCTTCAAGCGACGGAAAGACTTCCTTGGCCTGCTGTCGGTCATGCAGGTCGAGTGTTAGCGTCGAGACGAGCAGCATGATCCAAGGCCAGGGAAGGTCAGTGCTCATGGACGATGGTGATCAACAACACGCAAAGAGCAAATTGGTCGTTAAACAAGAACTTTCATATGCTTTGCTGCTTGCAAGAGGAAAATAAAGAATCTAGCCTATCCAGCTGCTACAATGCTTGCATGCGTGCGATAAACAACAATCGGCGGTCTAAGACGTCCGGGGGCCAAATGTCCCAAACGACCTCTGTCGTCCCAAATACCCTTCTTACTTCCTCTACCATCCCCAGAAGAATAGTGTTTCTAAAGCTTGGCCTTGGTCTCGATGGAAGGAAGCATGAGTTCCTTCATCTCCTCGGCGGCCTCGTTGATGTAGTGGCTCATACGCTCGGAGCCCAACTTCTTGGATACAATGTTGAACTGCAAGCTGTTCTCGTTGATCATGTAGGCGATACCCCAGCCCTCGTCGATGACTTGGCTCCAGCCGTAGCCGTTGAAGTACTCGGAGGATAGTTGAGAAGAAGAAATGAACCAGGAAGATGAGTATGAGAAAGCAGGGTCGCTGAAGATGGAGGGAAGTTGTTCGCCTTCCTTGAGCAACTTCTTGAGACCGAAGAGGTGGCGATCGACACCCTTGCCGTCGGAGGCGTCGGAGATGTAGGCGACGTGCTGCTTGATGGCGGCCTGCAGCTTTTGTCTGCATTCTTCAGGTGTGGCGTCAGGGCTTGCCATGGCATCCGTGAAGGCGACAGATTCCTCGCTGACGGTACGGCATGTCTCAGTACGTCCCTGTTGGAAGCGGCGGGTGGCAGCTGATTCGTAGGTAGGTCTGTTCTTGCCGTAGAACTTGTGGTAGGCGAGTTGAATGATCATCTGGACGTATGCGTCGGGACTGCACTTGAACTTCTTGATCAAGCCCTTTCCGTAGCCTTGGTATGCTTGTACCTTGAGCTCGTGCTCGCCGATGACCTTTGTGAAGTGTGATTGAGCGCGACCAATATCTTCAATGTTTGAGGGAGAGAGGTCGAAGCGGATGGGAGTGGGTTCGGGGAGGTTGCTACGGACTGAGGGATTCTCGTAGTCGAGCTTGTTGTTGAAGATGAGCATGTTGATGTAATCGTTCAGACGGTGGGTGGGTGTGCCATCCATCATACTGTGCTCGCCCATGAAACCTGAGGTTCCGTTGTCGTTGATGATGAACTGGAGGGGCTTGTCGAAGAAGCGGTTGGCACCGTTGCCGTGCCAGTATTGGTGTGCACGCTCTTCGAGTGTTACAGGCTTGGCCTCGTCCAGGCAGACGACGAAGGATGAAGCCTCGATGGTTTGGAGGGCGGCCTCGTTGGCAGGGTTCTGAGCGATCAAGGCATCGCGCATCTATGGCTGTCAGTGCTTGTTCTCTCATCTCTTCATCTTCTCCACTTACCTCAGTCCAGGTGTCTCTGTTCTCGGTGGTCATGACACCAACAGCAGGAGTGTCCTCGGCCAATTGGTAGATGCGGAGGAACTGCTGCTCCAATTCCTTTGTTGTGAGCTCCTTGCCATTGACCTCGTGGAAAACCTTGAAGAACTGGTTCTTGCGAACAACAGTAATGTACTTGTGGTCGTTGGGAGCGTACTGCTTGGGGTAGTCGGCGGGCTTAGCGGGGATACGACAGCAGTTGAACATGTACTCATAACTGCTCATGGCAATAGGCAGCTTCTTCATGTACTCGGGCTCGAGGGTGCCCTCCACGACTTGCTTTCGGAAGTCAAGGACAGACGATGTGATGGCAGCGGCTCTCTTGGCGGGGTCTCTTCTCTTGCGGTCATCGCGGTGACTGTAGAAGTATGAGACGTAAGGTACGACGGGGTCACGGTAGCCAAGGTAGGCAGCGTTGTTCCACCACTCGTGAATCCAGTTCTTGATGTCGGGTGTCTCTCTTCTTGCGATCAGACGCTTCTGGAGAGTTTGACCAAGGCTGTCGGGAGAGATGAAGTCGTTGACGGCCTTCTCGGTTTGTGCGTACTCTGACTTGCTAAGAAGAGGGTGCACCGATCTCAGGTAGCGCTTGGCTGTCTCCTCGAGGGTGGGAACGGGCAGACGTGGCAGCGAGTCCTCGAAGCGCAGCATGGGACCCTTGGACGCATCCTCCCTGTAGCCTGTCGACTGGTCAGTGTGCTGGAGTGCGCAAAGATTCAAGGTTGCACCAACCTTCCGGCAGCGAACTGCTCTTGCGCGCAGGAGCCATTCTGGACTTCGCAATCGTCGAAGGGATAGTAATGCGTGGGCGGCTTAGCGGGGAGGAGATGATGCGGGCTCGGAGACCAAACATCCCAAGTGTCGTGCGTGAGGGTTTGTAGGGAAAAGAGAAGGGAGAAGGTAGGTCTCCAAAGGATGGAAAAGAAAACAAAGACGTAACGATGCAAGCTTACCGTCACAGGCTCGAGAAATAGCCTGCTGTTGCGTGTTTGCTAGCGAATGGCCGAGGGTTCCTCGGTCGAGAGCTTTTCCCCAGACTTCACTGCGGACCGAGGTTCACCAACCATGTCACTCCGCGTGAAACCCCAGAGTGGGCCCAATCCTGATAGAGAACAGTCCAACTGTTTGCTGTCTTCACTGTGGATACAACTCATGCTCTTGATAGCAATTCGGATGTTCAGAAGGATGACCCTAAGTCCTCTTTGAGAGAACTGAGTGAGCAGAAAGAAGTCTTGAACTCACCAGGAGACAGAGATACAGTCAGCTCGCATAGAAAGCGAGCTTACCACTGTTCGATACTGTGGTACAACCGCTCTCTACTGTGACATCGGCCACAACACAGCCGAGTCGCGGCCAAGATGGGCCACCGGATGTTGGAATTTCGGCCATCTGACAACAAGAACATGTGATGGGACATCAGAAACAGAATTGTAGGCATGCACATAGATTTTAGCCATGTATATACCAATTGCTACTAATACACATCATCATAAGAGATCACCTCATAATTTAAGGGTTCTCCTTGGCGAACTTGACACCCTTCTCAATGTTACCCTTGAGGTCCTTGAGGCAGGCGTCGAGGAGCTTCTGCTCGTAGTCGGTGATCTGGCCGACGGGGTGGATCTTCTCAACACCGTTGGGGCCAAGCTCGACCTGCGAGGCGAAGAAGTCAACACCCTGGTCCTTGTAGAGAGGAGAGTCGACGAAGGTGGGCTCAATGACACCCTTCTCGCCCTGGGCAGCCTTGAGGAGAGACTCGGCGAAACGGGCACCAGCCATGGCCATGGAGAGAGTGGCAGAGCCAGCACCGCCCTTGGCCTGGACGACCTCGTCACCACCGAACTGGACGCGCTTGACGTAGGCGTCGAGCTGCTCGCCCTCGAGGTTGTAGCCAGACTGGGAGAGGAGAGGGACGATGGTAGCACCGGAGTGACCACCAACAACGACAATGTTCTCAGAGGCGGGGTCGGTGCTCTTGAGCTGGGAGATGAAGCGCGAGGCACGGACAACGTCGAGAGTGGTAACACCGAACATGCGCTTGGGGTCGTAGACACCGGCAGCCTTGAAGACCTCGGCGGCAATGGGGACGGTCGAGTTGACGGGGTTGGAGATGATGAGGATGTTTGCCTTGGGGCAGTGCTCAGCAGCAGCCTTGGCCAGGTCGCGGACGATCGAGGCGTTGGTGTTGAAGAGGTCTAGGAAGTGTCAGTCTGTGTATCCTTCTCTTGACATCTCGAAAGTGCATACCATCACGGGTCATGCCAGGCTTGCGGGGGACACCAGCGGGGATGAGGACAATCTCGGAGTTCTTGAGAGCCTCGGCGACATCGGCCTGCTCGTAACCCTTGACCTGTGGAGATTGTGAGTATGGTGATGTGCGTGTATCGACAGCGGTAGCTACTTACAACAGACTTGGTGTTGACGTGGGAGCAGTCGGCAGCGACACCTGCATTGACAATTAGATTAGCGCCTCTTCAAAAAGATGAACGGAGGCGACACGACATACCGGGAGCACCACGGACGTCGTAGAGGGCAAGCTCAGTGACTCTGGGGTTGAGCTTCAGGAGAAGCGACAGAGGCTGGCCAATACCACCACCGGCACCGAGGACGGCGACCTTGGAGGCCTGCGCGCGGATAAGTTAGTATACCATTGAAATGATGAGAGACATGAACTGTCTTGAGACATTGGCAGCTAGAGTAAAGACATACATCGCGGGCAGAAGCCGAGAAGGCTCTGCGCTGAATAGTACCAACAACTTGACGAGCGGCGAACATCTTGATTGTAGCAACGAGTGTTTGTTGGACAAGAGACGGTAGAGAGACGGACACAGGAACTCAAAGATGTTGTGCTCAGCGTGCGGAAGCTCGAGCCACCCGATTGATCCTGATCCTGATCATCTCTCCGATCGTGTCCGGCGCTTGGCAGGTGCAATGGAACCCCTCCACCGAGTTTCACTTTGTTGCTCAAGTCAGCTCATGCAGGTGCTGCTTACGCCGGATCAGAGGATATCATGTCTACAACCAGGTTCAGTCTGGCTCGGCTCGTGAGGGGTACCAAAAGTCACGACAGTCTTGGATCTGCACCTTCCGCAATGAAGCTTGAAGCACGAAGCTTCTAAAATCCCATCTCAAAGCTGTAAATCCTGACACCCTGGCATGAACGTCAACTAGTAGAACAACATCGTTGAAGCTGGAAATGAGTTCAAACAAACAGGCACGAAGTTACGCATCAGGTCATGATGTTGTACAAAGATTAGCTTCAGTAAGTTTCGCTAAGGTTGATATCTCAACAATGATATTGTCTTTTTCGAGGTCTTGTAAAATTGTGGCCAATCTTCTGCGAGGCTCATGCCCTTTGCAGTGGCTGTCTACCGTAAGTCTACGTCTTAACAACCCTCTCCATCACACCGACATGATCATTCGCGTCTCCGCCGTGTGAAGCCTCTTGACCACATTACCAAACACGGAGTCTGATAGCTAAATCCGAGCCGAACCCTCGATGCTCCATGACGTCGAGCACAGTAAGCTTCCACTTCCTATATCAGAACAGCCGTCTCTTGCATTCGATACTCGAGTACTCTTTTCTCAATCATCACACAAGCTTTGCAATATCATAGCGCACCTTCTTTTATACAACAACATCATACTCTGCAGCCGTCAGACCCAATTCGCTCAACATGCCAGACTTCAACAACGATCTCATCCTCATCACATGCGCTTCAGGCAAACAGTCATCCGCCTTGATACCCCATCTCCTCAAATCATTCAAGAAACTCCGTCTGCAATGCAACAGCTCCAAATCCGAACGAATGCTCTCCTCAAAATACCCCGGAGTGGAAGTCGTCCAAGCAGACATGGCCTCCCCCTCCGACTGTCACCGCATCCTAGACGGTGTAACAACCTGCCACCTAGTAGACCCACCCTTCCACCCCCATGAAACCCAATTGGGCATAAATATGATAGACGCAGCCATCTCTCAACGGTTCTCCTCCTCCGGTCCTTTCACCCACATGATCTACAGCAGTGTCATCTTCCCCCACCTCCGCAAACTGCTGAACCACGATTGCAAACGATACACGGAAGAATACCTCATCGAGTCCGGTCTCAACTACACAATACTCCAACCAACACACATGATGGAAATGCTCCCGCTTGCCCTACTGATGTCGCAGAAAACACCCATCTATCAAGCCAATTGAAACCCCGACACGAAATTCAGTTTCGTCACCGTGTTGGATGTAGCGGAAGCCGCCGCGAAAGTAATCACACATGCGGAAGAGCATTATTTTGCCACGTATCAACTCGTCAGCACCGCGCTGCCTCTTTCGTATACGCAAGTGTGCGAGCTGGTTGGTAAACACATTGGCAAAGATGTCGCGGTAAAGCAAAAATCCTTCCAAGACGCCGTCAATATCTCGATCAAAATGATCAATGGGGGCAAAGAGCCTCCTGCTGCGACCAAGGAGATTGGCGCGAGGATGTTTTTGTATTATAATGAGAGGGGACTGGTTGGAAATAACAACGTGTTGGGATGGTTGTCGGGGAGGGAGCCCACGAGTTATGAGAGTTGGTTGAAGTTGAAGGTCGAGGAGATTAATGGGCAGAAGGCTTGAGATATGGAGAAAGGTGTCTGCGTTTGCTTTTTGAGTTGTGTTAGCAGATGTTAGGAGAAGATGCCAGAGCGAGTTTTCAGCTGCTTCATCGAGAGTGACGTTGAAAATTTGCTGTCTGCAGAGTTGTAGGATGCAAAGAGAATTACCACGATAACATCTCAGCATGAGAATGATTACAAACGGAAAGATCAGAAAGGAAAAATCATGAGACACATTAGGAGTAGCGAAAGAGACCGAAGCTTGATCCACAAGAAGAAAAAAAGAACAAGGAAAATGCTTCCATAAGAAAAGAAGAGGTATCGTGGTCTAAAGAAAAAAAAAAAAAGAAACAATGCTGTCGTGATTTCATACCAACAACTCTCGCTTTGCATCGATCAATTGCAATCAGGATTCAGCCACATCAAATCATTCTGTGAAATATCATGCATCAGCAAATTTATGTTCGGGCCCGGGGAGATCACTACTCAACGGCAACGGACCCTTTTTTCTCTCCACTTGGACTGCTTTTTCCTGCTGCACTTGGGAATGTCCCTTGACTCCTCCATCGACATAGCTTTGCACGCCTTCGGTGTCGCTGCCTATACCGTCTTCTTCTCTTGTACTGCTTGCTTGACTGACATCTCTGCTGGCGGGAGTTTCACTTCGCAAGCCTAGGTTTCTGCCTTGGCCTGGTGAGGGGTTGTTGTATTGATGGCCTCGCCAATCTGCTGCTCCGGTTTCAGGGACGTCGGTGCCTGGTGGTGGTTCGTTGATGACTACACTTGTTCTTCTGCCTCGTTCGGGTTGCTCCACCGTTTTCCAGACCACGGCGAGTTTGTCGAAGCCCTTTGTGCCCTTTTTGAGACTACCCTTGATGCCGTCCATGGCTTCCCAGTCGATCTCGAAGACGCCGGAGTTGGCGGGTGGGAGGTTTTTGGAGGCGTTTTCGGGGCCTTGGCCTTCGAAGAAACAGTTGAACCAGACGTGGGCAACGGCTGTTACCATGCTCATGCCGTAGCCTGCCTTATTCCTTCGCTCAAAGTCGATGTTAACGTCGCTGGTGGGGAGGATGAGGTCGTGGGAGGGGCGGAAGACGACGTCGCCGGTGGCATTGTGCAACTTGTCCTTGGTGACGGTGTCTGTTGTAGCCTTTGCCTTCTCTTCCTTTTCGAGCTTCTCCGCTTCCTTTAGTTGTAAATTCTTCTCGGCATTGTTCATGCCCATGACTGCGGTGACGGCGTCGGCAAAGCCGCCAGACTTCTTGATTTCGCCGCGGACGATCTCGCGCTCCTTCTTGGAGAAGGTGTGGAAGTTTTTGATGACACGGCCTTCGTCAACGAAACCTTCAACGCTGACTTTGACACCATCTCTCAAGCCCCAAACATGTACCTCCATGACTTGGATCTCACGCTCGACATAGGTCTTTTTGTGTTGTGTCCAGCGATCCACATAGCTGATCCAGCGCAATTGGCTAGGAATACTGACGCCAGCACCAAAGCCAGGACGCATTCTGCGCTCGGTAAATCTGCGAATGGCGTCTTCTGCCTTCCAGCCCTCTTCCGAGATCAAGTAGCTGCAGCTCATGGAGCCACTGCGTCCCTTGCCAGCTTTACAATGTACCACTGCGACCCTCTCTTTATCTTCCTTCAGCCAGTTGCGCATACTAGCCATGATCAACGGAATCAAGGCGAATGGCGGGGGATGGTGATCAGGCCAAGGGTAATGCTTGACGCGACCGTAGACTTCAGAGTCAGGGTATCCGGTCCCCTCGGCGCGGAACTCCCAGATGGCCCAGTTTTCACCATGTTTCTTGTCAAGGAAGGCGACGAGTTGGGATAGGGGGTTACGGTAGGCGAGTTGAGGGTAAGTGCCGCTGGGGCCGGAAGTTGCGATGATGTTGTCTGTCACGTAGCAGAGATCCAGGCCGGCTTCTGGATGTTGGGCGCGAGGGCCTGCTACGATTTGTCGTAATATTGAGGCCATTGCTGATGTGCTTGTGAATGTTGCAGAAGCTCAGTCTGCTTTGTTTGGGAGCGAGCGTGTGACGGTTGCGAAACTTGGTTGTTTGAAAGTACCGACGTCATCGCTCAATGCCTCGGAGCCCTGCACTTTGACCAATCCAGCACCTTCTTCAGCTTGGAGTCCTGACTGTTAGACGTTCTAGAGATAGAGAGCATGACCAGCAGCAATTAACGTGGAGATGTAGCTGGAAAGTTTCGTAGAGCCTTCAATTAATGGTCGTCAATGCATGCCCAGGACCTCATGCCAATCGACTTGGCTCAATTGTCCACTCGTCCGATATCTCCGATGTCGTCTCTTATCGTCATTGTACCTGTACATCAATGTCCTTTTTCTCAGGATACCGATAGCATTGTTTCTCCATCTCAACAACATATCTACAACCATGTCATCTCTACTATCACTCCCTGCTGAGCTTCGAAATCAAATCTATGACCTCCTGTTCATTGAAACATGTCCCTACACCTGCCCTACCAATGACACCTCCACCTCACAGCCGACCCTCGCCGACTTTGGCAAGTCTAGCAGCCTAGACGACGCCGTGTTGATTCGAGCACAACCACTCCTCCTGACATGTCGTCAGATGCACCGAGAAACACAGCTCCTGCATCTCCAACGCACCTCCTTTGCAATTGGCGGCAACTACGCTGATCCGGAAGCTTTCTCGCGTCTCTGCACCGCCAATCTGCCTGCCCCGCTCATCTCGCAGCTCAAACACATCACCCTCGTGGGTCGCATCAATCGTCTTCGCGCTCTGAATGAGTCTTGGAATGGTGTACCGTTTGGATGTCAACATCTCTCACTCGAAACCTTGGTTCTTGTACCGCGACGTCCTGCGCAATACGATCGCCATTACGCCGAGATTGCAGACTTGGACTCGGCACATACTCTATCATACACACTTTCCGAGACGCTGAAGAATCTACACAATGTTGAAAGAGTAGTTGTGAGGAACGAGGACGAATGCTTCAATGAAGTCGTGTGGAAGGTCATATACAGAAGCATGATAAGTCGATTGCTAAGGTGGGGTGGGAAATTGTGTAGCTGTAGATTCAGAGAGGGCGAGGGTTGGTTTGAAGTTCTGGTCGATGGTCGAGATGCAGATCCTGACGTGTATAGTGATGCTGATAAGGAGTTCCAGCGATTGGTTGGTTGAGGATGAACATTAGAATCCAGATTTCCTCTTCGGCTTCCTGCTTCGAGATCTTGTCGAACGTGCTGGTTCCTTTGATTCTGCCCGGCTTTCTTCATGAATGCTCGCTTGCTCATCCTCTTCAGCGTTCACTCCTTGGCTGATCACGTCTTCATGAACCCCGTCCTCTGGGGATCTAGACAGCTCCTGTTCCTCTTTGGGCGTGACAGTGCTTTCAGTTTCCACCGACATCTTTCCTGAGATAGACTTGCGCTTTGCTTCCTTTGCTCTCTTCTTTTCTTCTTTGACTTTTTGCTTCTCTTCTTTGATCCTCTGCTTCTCCTCTTCATCTTTTTGCTTCTTCTCTTGTTGTCTTTGCAGTCTCTTGTTCCGCTTCCGTTCCTCTTTCAGCTCTTCGTCTAACGCCTGCTTTTCTTCTGCTGACATCAACTTGCGAGCTGCTCTGGCCTTTCTCTTTTCTTCCTTTGCCAGCTTCTCAGCCTGCAGTTTTTCAGCGGCAAGTCTTTCTTCCTCGTCGACTTGCTTCGCGTTGCTTTCGATTTGCTGGGTAGGTGCTCGACTGAGTAGACGACCTGCCAGACTCAGACCTCGTGGATTAGACTTGTCGCTGCGAACAGAATCCTGTGAACTCTCCCTCATGGAGGATGCCCTGCTCTGAACTCTGCTGAGTATAGGGTTTGGATGCTTCTTTCTCGGCACTCCATCGTCGAGAGTTTCTGTTGTAGGAATGACCGCTTCTTCGTTCGGGACATCTTCCATCTCGACATCGGTGTCAGTCGGATTGGCCTTCTTCCTGACAACGATAGGTTCAGGCGCCTGCGGAGGAAGCGTAATAAGACCTTTTTGCTCAAGATATTCATAAGCCAAACGTCTTTTCTTTTTCCCCTGTTCGCCGCGTCTGCACATGTTTGCAAACTCTTCCGGCTGAACAGCCTCAAGTCCATGCTCCCATGGTGGCTGGTACTCGAGACCGCTCCTCCAGTCCACGATATCAGAGAGCCGTCTCTTGTTGACTGGTTGTCGAGGTATCTCGATTTCTTCGTTTTTAATCTCATTGGGCGGTGGCATGCCGAGAGTATCCCACATCTCCACCTCATGTATTCTACTGATCTCTTGGTCCATAGCTTCGAGGTAAGTATCATGAGCCTTCTGGAAGTTGCGCTCCATGCGTCCACGACGATGCCGTTTCCCTCGGGCAGCAGCTTGAGCTTCTTCGCTGTCCGCTGGGTCGTATGCAGCTTCATCTCCTGATTCGTTTGACTGTTCATCGTCGGGTATAGCAATTGGTACCTCGTCTTCGCTTTCAGACCCTTCGGTCCAGAGTTCGGGATCTTCGTAATAGCGGTCTGGGTCGAGAATATCATCCTCCACACCATCTTCGACGCTATGAACAACTTCGTCATCCGTTTCGACGTTGACAGTAGAGGTTTGACCAACGCCCATCCTCTTCTCCGTCTCTTCCATACTGAGCTCGGCACCAGATCTTGACTGACCTTTCGCGAATTTTGAGCCACGCTCGTACACTCGAAGTCCATGTCTTCTTGGGACGCCTGACCAGAATTCACGCGAGTTCGGTGGCAATTCCAGGATGTCGGCGGCGGTACGTACATCGTTGACTGTTATCGTAGTGCTTGGCTGGTCCTTGTCTCTTGCTCGTAAACGAGTCATTGTCTGGAAGATAGTAGCCTGTACGAGACGACGGGTCAAACTGACTGTCAAGTTGTGAAAATCTTGAAAGGCAGTGTGGTACATCGATGGCGTCTCATGACGAGACGTGACGAAGTTGGTCCAACTGTCGCCTGACTCTGGCGGTTGGTGCATGAACAGCAGAGACAATCGGAGCCACATAGGAAGATCGAGAAGTTCCGCTGCAGGTACCATGAGTTCTTCTGCGGGTTCGGCAAACTCTTGGTCAGGCTCCCCGGTCTGAGGCGCTCCTTCCCTTGCGATACTCTGTCCGCCATTGATGCCTGGTTCGAAGCCATCTTGGTCTGTCTTGACATCATTGAGATGTCCATTTAAATTGTCCTGGCCATCTACCGTGTCTTCCGGTTCCAGTTCTCGCTCCCCGTCTTCCTCTTCGTCGTATATCTTGGAATTCATGTACCACTCATCACGCGCCATAACCTCATCCTCAATTTCTTCTGCAATCTCGTCCGTAAGCAACCAGTAATCACCATGTCTCTTTTTCTCCCTCTTTTGATCGCTCTTCAGCTGGTATTTAGCAAGGCCGTCTGCGTATTCTTCAAGCAAGTCCTCTGACTGCTTGCTGATCTCAACCGCTGGTGAAACGTCGGCGGCAGAAAACACAGGCAGTGCTAGCGTCACGTTGCCCTCAACAGTTCCTTGGTCCAGGAGTGTAAGATATTGGCGCACTTCCGATTCCGACTTTGTCTTGATGGCGTCCGAGACTGCTTTGATATTGTTCTTACCCAAGGTAGAAACTTTCTGAAATAGGATTTCCTTCTCAAGAGGTGTCCAGACAGTTATTCCGATCTCTGATGCAGGCAATCCACTTGTCCTGGGAAGAAAGGGATGGGCAAGCTCTTCCACGTGATCATTGTAGTAATCACGATAGGCGTCGCTGTATGTAGCCTTCGAAGATTTGACAATTTGTGGTTGAACAGATGTTTTCATGTTTGACTTCTTCAGATATCCAGCGTTCGAAGACCTTGCACTTGTCTTGCTAGACCCGCTGCGTATAGAGTTTGCCTCATTCTCGGAATCATCGTCGTCGATTTGATCATCTTCGCTGTGATATTCGGATCCAGAGTCTTCCTGTGGTTTGAAAGCTTCGTTGTCGTCATGGTGAACCGACCCTCCGTCGGCCTCGTTGTCGCTCATCCCATAGTCTGTGTTCCGAAGATACGTTCTTCGGCGCAAGAATAAAACTTGAGATTCCGAAGCATCAAAACATTGCATGTGAAAGAGAAGCGCAGATCAGCAAAGTCTTGGCACGATTACATAATCGTCGCATCGCTGCATCGCATCCATCTTGACGAGGAAGAAACAGCAAATGCGATTCGAACATCCTTGTCAAACAGATGCTTAAAGTCTTTCAGGTCATCAGAGACTCGCGTGCACATTGTATAAGCCGCCAAAGTGTCTGGTCCCTGTCAAAATCTCAGCGGTCACACTTCTTTCGTCAATATGCCACTGTTGAGCCTGCGGTGGCAGCCCCCAAACCGCAAATCAAATTGAGATCATATCAGGAAGAATGTATCGAAGCAGTGTTACAACACTTAAACCTCGGTCAGAAGCGTCTCGGAATATCATTGGCGACAGGAAGTGGCAAGACCGTCATTTTCAGTCACTTGATCGAACGAATTCCGGAACCAACACCCGAAGCCACCCAGACCTTGATCTTGGTCCATCGTCGAGAGCTAGTAGAACAAGCCGCTCGCCATTGTCAAAATATCTACCCAAACAAGCTTATCGAGATTGAAATGGGCTCGAGACATGCTACTGGAGTCGCCGATATCACTGTTGCCTCTGTTCAGAGCATCATGTCTGGAGATCGCATTGAAAAGTTCGATCCAAGGCGCTTCAAACTCTTGCTCGTAGACGAAGCGCATCATATCGTTGCAGCAAGATACCTCGATGTTCTCAAACATTTCGGACTCGATGAAGAGTCCCAAAAGATGCCCGACAACCGAGCCCCGGCAGCTCTTGTAGGCGTTTCTGCAACATTCTCTCGACATGACGGTCTGAGACTCGGGGCTGCTATTGATCAGATTGTATATCATAAGGGCTATCTGGATATGATTGAGGGTGAGTGGTTATCTACCGCTTCGTTCACCACAGTGCGGTCAGGAGCAGATCTCAGCAAAGTGAAGTCGCTTGGAAAACAAGGAGACTTCCAGACTGGAGACTTGTCTCGAGCCGTGAACAATGACGATATCAACCAAGTCACGGTCCAGGCATGGCTTACAAAAGCAAACGACAGAAAGGCCACATTGGGGTTTTGTGTCGACCTGGCTCACGTCTCAAGTCTGACAGCAATGTTTCGCCAATTTGGTGTTGATGCTCGGTTCATCACTAGTGAGACGCCAAAGCAACTTCGAAGCGAGCGCTTGGAAGCTTTCAAAAATGGGGAATATCCTGTCTTACTGAACTGCGGCATTTTCACAGAAGGCACTGACATTCCAAACATCGACTGTGTGTTACTTGCTAGACCAACAAAATCTCGCAATCTTCTGGTACAGATGATCGGTCGAGGTCTGAGACTGTATCCGGGGAAGGAGGACTGCCATATCATTGATATGGTGGCGTCTTTAAGTACCGGAATCGTGACCACACCAACCCTGTTTGGCCTCGACCCTTCCGAAATTGTCGACCGTGCAGACGCCACCTCCATGACCAAAACACGAGAGAGACGTGAGGCGGAAAGTCAGGCGGCAAGGCAACGTGAAGAAAGTATCAGGAATGAGCCTCTTCGTCCTGATTGGAAAAGGTCTGGTCCACCCATCTCCTTCACCCACTACGATTCGGTGAACGACCTCATAGAGGACACTCGACATGATGCCTGGATCAGGCAGGTCAGTCAATTTGCTTGGGTCCAGGTCGGTACTGACCGGTATGTCTTGTCAAGCGGTAGTGGTGATACCTTGAAGATTCAACCAGACAGCTCTAATGTACAGCAACCCTGGGTTGTCACGATTGTTGTAAAGCTACCGGAAAGCTATGGCTCGTTGAGTCCGTATGCAAGGCCCCGAGAATTAGCAAGAGTTGAGACATGGGAGCAGGCTGTGAAAGCCGCTGATACCTATGCGACCAAGCACTTTCCCCAGAGAAACATCGTTACGAGAGCAGTATGGCGTAGGTTTCCCGCTACGGAAGCACAACTCGCTAGGCTGAACAAGTCGCGCCCTCGAGATCGACAACTTACGCCAGAAAACACCACCAAAGGACAAGCGGCAGACATGATAACAAAGATCTTCCATGGTGCCAAAGGGAGATTCGACAAGCTCGACCACATCCGGCGCAAAGAAGCACAAGAAACGGAAAAGCGGCAGGGTATGCAAAAGAGGTTCTCAAGACATCAAGTACAGGTCGGCCCTGTGCGATGATATGCGCGTTTGCCGCTGCCCATCTCGGTGGGAACACCTGTCATGAGGCCGAGTGACTGCACGTTCATGATCGACTGCACCTCTCAAACAAGCATGTTGTGCTTCCAGCTCTGCAGCGGGTGGCTACATGCAGACTGTCCAGCAGCCGCACGCCGCACGCCATATGTGCAACCTTCGTCTTGTTTGCATCTAGTTTGTGTGTCATGTCCTGTGGGGGAAGACGCATTGAACAAGACACCGGCAGCCACCTACAACATTTCTTTATGGATACATGCAAGGAACATCGCAAGTGTATGGTCGATGGGATTGTGCAGATCCTCCAGTTCGATGGCTGTAGAGAATTGCTCAGAGGATAAATAGAGTCTCTTCGCCGTAATCCCTAACTCACTCACCCCTCACAATAACACTGATCATGCTCTCTACCATACTACTGTTTGCTGCTCTGTCGATTGCAGTCACTGCGCAGGTTGGAAGACGCCATCCTTATGGCATCTATCCCAGCCCCAGTATCACGGCTTCTCTGAATTTTGTGAGCCGGCCTCGAGTATAGCATTAGCATAATCCCGAATATTGACGAAACGAACAGAGTAGCTTGTTAATCTCGTCCAGTGGCTATCCGACTGCTGTATCATCGATCAATACCACTTCGTCTGATGCGTCCCTCTCTACCGGAACGTCGACACCAACCTTCAACCTGACAACTTCGACAACACCCGTCACCATTTTGACCTCGACTATATCAGGACCTCCACTGAGCTGGACAACTAGCAATGGAACATTTGTCCTGGGGTCATCGACCACACTGATGGCAAGCAGCACTTCTGCAGCCGGGAACGACACTGCCGCTGGGAGCACATCCACCAGCGCAGTCTTGCCCAGAGCAACTTGCGCGTCCATCACAATCGGAGACGTTACAGCTCGAGGAGCATGCGGATGCAACTACAACATTCACACCTGCCTGGAACGTCTTTCCAACTTGAGCGAATGGTCAAACTCGCAGACGACCGAATCGTTTAATGGCTGCATGGGAGCTTGTGACTCGGAGCCAAACTGTTTCAGCTTCACGTGGCAGACAAGCAATGGGGTGTGTAGAATGTTTGGTGGCATGTTGAATGGAGGCGCGGGGGTTGTCTCTGACGCAGATTTCATCTCTGGAGAGGTTGTCAAGGGATCCTGCACCGGAAGCTGCTCTGGGTAGTGAGGGGTGGAGTTGAATGGCTTGCGACGCTGCCGTCCACGTGTTTGGTCTTTTTCTTGTGCCTTGATTCAGACAGAAGTATCTTGACGCCTTTTATGATAGTGAACCATTATGTCCAACGTTTATTGCTACTTGAGGCTTGAGGGCAGTGATGATTCGGTCTAATGCGGGGAAGCCCATGGTCAGCGAATGGTCAAGGTTTCCCGAGGCGTCTCGTCTCCAGACGCCGCTGGTACCCCCGACCGCGCGTCCCGTGTATCTTTGAAAATGAAGATGTACGACACAGCCCTTTGCAGAGTCGAGGGGGTCAGGAATCAGGATAGCGGGTGGAGCATGGGACTAGGGGAGCCGTTGAGCTTCTTGCGGAAGTCGGCGGCTGAACAAGCAATTGCAACTACATCATTGACTAGGCTTGACCAAGTTACGGAACTTACGAGTAAGTTACTTAAGGTAAGTTACTGCCGTAACTTGCTGCAGATTTTGAGTAACTTACCGGTCTCCGATATAGCCGAGCTCGGCCGAGGGTTTAACGTTAGTGGCGTAGCGGTATTGGTGAGGGGTTGTTAAGGCTATAGAGGTAGTTAAGACCGTCGTCTCGAGTCCTATATACATATTAGATAGTTAGTAATAATGTTAGCAAAGAAGGGAGGCAAGCTAACCGGTGTTATTAGTCGTTAGTTCACTAATATCGGCGACGTCTAGAAGTGCAATTAGTGTCCAGATTTTACCCTTAGGAATAATGGAAACGACCGTAAGGTAGACTACCTTCTCGAGTATATACCGTTCCTCGAAGACTTTAAGGTGCTAGTTAGATAAGGGGACCCTAAAATTAGCTAATACCCGGATGTTTATCGTTAAAAGCTCCTACGGAAGGTTAGCGTAGAAGGTACTGTTTCCTCGTCGCCTGTTTTAAACCGACATAAGTTAGATAAGATAGCTACTATAGCTATTTATCGAGGGGGTCTGCCCTTTAATACGTACTAAAAAAACCACGAGCTTAGAGTAATGTTTAAGGCTCTAAATCTAGAGCTCGATTATACACCTCCTACGCGAGGTCGACTATTAAAAGAGCTACTCTATAAGTGCTATTAGGAAGTTAAGGATTAGCTCGAACAAATCATCTTAGCTAAACGACCGCATGGAACTTACCGTCACCGCCTATACCTTAATTTTATTACCGATAAATCCGGTGCAAACAATAGAGATAGAGTCTCTAATCTTTCTCTTAATACTGCTAATAGGCAAGCATTCTTCGTCGACGTAATTAATAGAGGAGGGGCGACGATAGGTAGTAACTAGACTAAGGAGGTTCTAATCGAGAAGGTTAGTAACTTAACGGGAAATAAGCTCTTAAAATGGAACAGCATCTACACTAATATATGCTCTACTTAGCGCAATTTCTACCGCGCTCTATAGGCCGATGTTAGAACTAAGCATATGTTCTACGTGTTATACGATAAGTATAGGTTATAGCTCGGATTAAAGGATATAACTAACTAGGAAACAGCTAGGAATATTAAGTTCTATTCTTTAACTTTAAAGGAGGTAAACGTAGCCTTAACGTTCCTAAGGGCTTCTAACAAGGTCTAGTAGTTATTACTCGAGTTAGCCGACGAGGAAGGGGAGAAGTTATATGCCTTTATAATCGCCTATATAACTCGTTAGGGGTCTTACTACGCCGCGGTAATGGCGCTACTAAAGAATTAGGTAATATTAGAACGGGCATTGCAGCGAGGGTTACTATCTAATGTTAATGTCTCTACGCTCATTAAATCATTAGAATGGTAGCAGGAAGTTAAGTGCCTAGCCTTGCTAATTAAACCGTTCTACTTTACGTAGAAGCTCTCTAAGAACGATAGGTCGACGGTCGGTATAGTAATTCCTCGCTAGCGTAATCTTCGACTTAAGCTCGAGGCCCTTCTAAACCTACCTAAGAAGGAGCTAATTCTTAAGAAGTTAGACGAGCGCCTTACGATCTAAACAACTAACATCTACTATGCTGCTTACCTTTTAAACTACTAGATCGATGCCGAGGACATCGAGTAATCGCCCGAGGAGTAGGTAGCTATATACCGGTTCTTCGAGCAGCATGTTCCTACTAATAAGATAGGCGCATTCTAGCGACAACTTGCTTACTATGTCGAGCGTAAGGGAGTCTTCTTAAGAGCATAACTCTAGCGAGAGGAAGTAAGGTTTAAACTATAGAACTTCTAGAACTTTACTAGCAACTTTAGTGCGTTAGCTCTAGCTAAGTTAGCTAGTCGTCTCGCTATCACTCCGGCGAACTTAGTACCCTCTAAACGGTCCTTCTTAGTAATGAATTACATCTAGAACGCCTTCCGAGCTCGTATGTCGACTATTACGACGAAGATGTTATACGTAATCTACATAAATTCTCGAGCCTTTAACCGGCGCGAAGTCCTTTAGACTAACTAATTACGGCGCGAGCTAGTTTAAAGGCGCGTAGAGCGACATAAGGCTTACCTTAACTAGCAAAAGATCTATCGCTATTGCATTAACGAACTTAAGCGTATTAACAACGAGGAAGAAGTGCATATCGACAACCTTATCGACGACATTACTATATTAGTTAGCGCCTCTCGAATCGATTAATTAGAGGCAATAGAGGACGCTAACTTACCTCCTCTTCTAGAATCTTCCTACTAGTACGATGTTATTCCTCCTACGCCTTAGTCACTTTAAACTATAGATGTTAACCTCTTAGACACTTTATCATTACCTGTATAGGTTATAAGGCCTTATTAGCAGTTTCTTTAACATCTTTAGACCAGCGAGAACTATCTAACTAAGCGACAGTCTTAACCTAAGGCTATAAGGAAGAGGAAGAACGACGGTACGTAGTCTTAAGCATCTCGTACGTTAATACCGGCTCCGGATCCTCCTTCGAGTTAGCAGTCTATATTAACTATTAGGTCGTCTTTCCTAGGCCACTAATATTCTCGCCCTAGGACTCTATATTAGACCTATTAATATACTGGATTACCGTCGCTATAGGTCACTCTAGAGTAGCCCTAGCGAGAGCGACGACCGTTAGAAATGACTACTTAAGATGACCGCAGTTAGTCTTAAAGAACAACATAGACTTAAGGCTCTATAGCGCCGCCGGCGAGGCCAGTCCTTAGAGAGCTAAACTATAACTTAAATAGCTATAAACACCATGCTTAGCGGAAGACTTATTCATACGGAGGGGTGCCGTTGCTGCCGTCGCCGTAGTTTAACTTTATGAATTCTTCGCAATAGATATCATTAAAATATGATTTTTGAGAATCCATGACATCTGACCCGTGCTGACCCAATAAATGGCCCTTTTCCCTTACTAAATCGTCCAAAAACAGGGCCTCGGCGGGCGATCAGGTCACCGGTGCGGGGCGGTCGTACCTCGGCCGTAACTACGAGGTAAGTTACTGGGAACTTACCTGTCAGTTACCATTTGGTAAGTTACTGGATCCACCCCTATCATTGACAGACAATGCCAAGCATAGAACCGCGCAATGAAGGGTGGAAAACGCGGTGGCAGACGGGCTGTTGTATGGAAGCGCAGTGGGATGAAAAGGCTCAAGGAGGTGGCTGGAAGGGTTATCTTGTGTTAAGCAGCGAACAGAGCGTTTTTTTAATAATGACGAGGGCGCCTGTGCTTTGTTCTTTTCGAAGCAGCTCGTATTTCGTCCAAAGTTCCAAACATCTGGCAGGCACGCGGGTCCGCAGTAGCATTGAGGTTCGAGGTCCCTGAGCCCTGACTATCCTCGACTTATTTTCCTCGTCTCTACACCACCACCCCTCTGTCGCTTCTGTACCTGTGTGTGTATCCGACCAAGTCGAGGACGGACTTGTCGGCGATTTGTCTCTTTCTGCCGAAGATTGCTCATGCGAAGACGGGCCTCTCTCGCAGGCGCCGATGAAGATGACGGATTGAAGGTTAATATGCGAAGCAATGTTGAAGAGGTGGATAGCGACGACAACAACGACGGTTCACCTGCATCTGCACCTGCCTCATCACGAACCACACGATCCGTATCACGCGAAAAGGAAAGCGACGACGACATAGACTCTCAATCGACGCCCACACCCACGCCGGCGCCTTCGGCCGACACCAAGATGGAAGACTTCTATCGCAAACAGCGCCAACGCGCAAGGCTTCGAAGCCCTTGGGCCTGTTCGTTAGTGACCATGGTCTGCACAGCCTTGTCGCTGCTGCTACTGGCGACGATAGCGCAATCCTTCCTCGGACGACAACTAGATCCTAAGGGGTGCAACATGTCATACATGCTGTCGGCGTTTGCCAAGTACACAGACTTCGACACGGAGCATACGAGATTCGCGACAAAGTACTCGCTGTATCTGTATCGCGAGGCTGGTATTGATCAAGACACAAGGGTGCGTACAAGACAAAGGGACACAAAGAAGGCGGCTGACACGAGACACAGGTCAAGGGTATTCCGGTGCTCTTCATCCCAGGCAATGCAGGCAGCTACAAGCAGGTGCGCTCTCTGGCAGCAGAGGCAGCCAACTACTACCACGATGTGCTGCAACACGATGCGCAAGCCCAGCAGGACGGCAAGCGCCCCTTCGACTTCTTTTCGGTCGACTTCAATGAGGACATCACCGCTTTCCACGGCCAGACGTTACTGGACCAGGCCGAATACTTGAACGAGGCAGTCGCATACATCCTGTCGCTCTACCACAATCCCCATCGAAGCCTCCGCGACGAATCGCTACCCGATCCTAAATCAGTCATGCTCGTCGGCCACTCGATGGGCGGCATCGTTGCTCGTACAATGTTCACAATGCACAACTACCAACCTAATACCATCAACACTATAATTACTCTCTCCGCCCCTCACGCCCGTGCACCTGTGTCTTTCGATCAGGATATTGTCGACACCTACCAAAACATAAACGAATACTGGCGCAACTCCTACGCACTCGACCAGAGTCCGTTGGATCATGTTACTCTGGTATCAATCGTTGGTGGCGGTCTGGATACCGTTGTGCCTTCAGACTATGCCAGTCTGACTTCGCTCATGCCCGAATCGCATGGCTTTACAGTCTTCACCTCAACTATCCCCCATGTCTGGACTGGTATGGATCACCTGGCCATCATATGGTGTGATCAGCTCCGGAAAGCAGTCATCAAAGCTCTGTTCGACGTAGCTGACGTAAAACAACCTACCCAAACGATCCCACGCGAGGAGCGCATGCGCCACTTCCGGAGACGCTTCCTAACAGGCTTGGAACCAAGTGTGAAAAAGGCTCTCCCGGAGCAGGAGGCCAAAATGCTTCTCTCTTTGGACGACCAATCATCAGCCATACTCAGTATCGGCGAACGCTTGAGTTTACGCCAATTGGGCTCTTCTGCAAAGACTGAAGCCCATGTCTTGCCCGTACCTTCCTTGATCGAGAAGGATACACGAAAACTCTCAGTCCTGACTAACCAGCGCATCGATGAACATGGACCTGTTCAGGTTTTCCTTTGCTCGTCTCACATTCCTCAAGCCGGTGCGGGCGGCAATGCTTATGCCATCAACTTGGATCTCTCTGGCGGCTCATCGGGTTTTATGCGCTTGTCCTGCAAAGACGCAGCCTCTGATGCGATTGCTCTTCCTGCATCGACTTCAGGATCTGCATTCGCTTTCGACGATGCTTCGCCGTTCACATACATCGAGTATACGCTAAAAGACCTGTCTGACTACCAGTACGTGGCTGTCATCGACAAGGCGAGCGAACTTACAGACGGCTGGGTGGTCGCCGAGTTCAGCGATTCCGCAAAGTCAACCATCACCGTAAAGAGATCATTGCGTAGCCTGATGCTGAGTGGTATGCACCGTATTCTGCCGGCTACTCGTGCCATGGTTAACGAGATCCGCATTCCACGCGTGCATTCGAGCTTGCTGGCTTACACGCTGCACATCCGCCAAAAGTGCAAGAGCGAGCCTCTTTTCCAGCCTTTGTTGAGACAATATATTTCGGAGCCTTATGAGTCAAAGTTCTTCCCCAACGTGCGAGGGGACGTTAACATCAACTTGCACGGTGTGTCTCCCTACGTGCCACCACCAGCAAACGCAGCTCACACCAAGGACGGGCTTTCCCTCCAAATCTGGTCGGACCCAACTTGCAACGCAGAGATGGAAGTGGCTCTGGACATCGATATCCTTGGCAGCTTGGGCAAGCTTTACATGCGTTACAGAACTGTATTTGCCGCGTTCCCCTTGGTCGTGGTGGCTTTGGTGTTGAGAAAACAGTTCAAAGTCTACGATGCTACTGGTAGGTTTCATGAGATTTCCACGACCATTTGAGATGCTAACAACGTGCTAGGCATTTTCATGAGCTTTTCCGAGGGCATGGACCAGTGCATTCGCACGTCTCTGCCTGTACTATTTATCGCGTTGTCATTCTTGTCACTTGCTTTAGCGAACCATGCCACTGCAGCAGTTGGAGAAGAGATCCTCGGCCCCCAGCACGAGGCTACTGAGTCTTTTCTAGCATTCACCAAGAATGACCTGTTGCTCGGCTCTAACGATCCGTTTTTCTTCTGGTTGGTGCCATTATTTGGAGTCATCAGCGTTGGCGTCTGCATCGTCATCAACTACATCGCATTGGCTGTGACACAGATCTTCACATTCTGCTATACGAAAATAAGAAACGTGCGGCTGAGAAACGATGAGGGAAGGTGAGTTCGACATGAGTATCAATATGGAGAGTTGTCCATCTGACAACAACACAGACGAACGACAACAGCATTCGCAGTGACCAGCCCTCTACAACGTGTCATTACAACCAGCATCTTGCTCATCATGGTCGCGACCATCATTCCCTACCAATTTGCCTATCTAGTTCTCTGTCTCGTGCAACTCGCAACCTCGGTGCGCGCATTGCGACTAGCACAAGAAACAGTAAGCAATTGCCCGGCTGCTCTTTAATTTCAGGACGCTAACACAAAGATTTAGCGTTCTGGCAACAACTACAACTTCTACAATTACGTCCACAGTCTCCTCGTCCTCATGCTCTGGATCCTCCCTATCAATCTCCCTGTCCTCGTCGTCTGGATCCACAACCTTGCCGTCCACTGGCTGACTCCCTTTTCCTCCCACCACAACATTCTCTCCATCATGCCCTACATCCTCATCGTCGAAACAATGAGCACAGGTCACATCATCCCTCGCCTATCCTCACCCTGGAAGCTGGTCAACAATATCATGTTGTTCGCTTTAGCACTATACGCAGCCATCTATGGTGTCAGTTACGCGTACGTCTTGCATCATTTGGTCAACGGCGTTTGCGCATGGTTGGTAATCGTGCACTTCGCACCAGTGTTGAGAAAAAGAGGATCAGGCATGGAGGCAGAACAACGTGGTGCTGGGAGTCCACCGCCTGGACCGCCGCAGGACGGACATGTCAAGAAAATACCTTGATTGCATAGGCAGTTTACACCATCACACATCATGGCATAGGGAGAATGTGTATATAGATGTTTTTGTTTTGATGTTTTCTTCTCCCTCTCTCTCTCTCTCTCTCTCCCTCCCTCCCTCCCTCCCTCCCTCCCTACCTGTCTTGACTCTTTGGTATCGCTTTCCCTTGAGCGAAATTCTTGTTAGCTTTGGGGTGTCATATTTGTAATGATTAATCTCTTCTTTATTTCTTTTCTTTTCTTTTCCCACATTGATTGTGGTGCTATTGCATCCCGCTCATGGAAAGAAGTCTTTCTTTGTCCCCAACACTCGCAGTGTGTGGTTTTTTTGGTATTTTGACAAAGCCGATCCTTGATGTAAATACCCCCCCTCCCTTTGCCCCTCCCTCCCATGCCTTTTTTTGTTTCATCACTTGCTACTATTACTGTATGCAAATTGTGTGTTTTTTCATCGTACTTTACATACAATAGCCTTTTTTTTTTCTTGGAAATTTATTTCTCTGCAAAGTGCCAAACCCTGTCATTGGCGTTTTTTAAGGTTGTTTTGCTCATCGAGAATTTTTTCAGAGGTAAAGAAAGGGTTTAATGTCAAAAGTGTCGTGTGTACGGTACGTGTTGATGTGTTTTTGCGAAAGTAAAGGCGGTTAGGTGGGGTTGGAGGGGGAGGTTTGGTGAGGTGTACGGTGCGTGTGTTAGTTGGATTTACTATGGGATGGGATGTTGATGGGATGTAATTGGATGTGGCAAAAAGGTATAAAGATGGTCGCTTGATGGGTGGATAATAGCACGACCATTGATAGAGTAGAGCACGAGCACGTCAATCGAAGATGTGCACACAGAGAAACAATTTCAAATAAAGAGAAAAGAAAAAACACACATCAATCGCTGTTTGACGGGCAGAGAATAAAATGAATAAATTCATCATTTGTAGCAAACACCATTCGCCAATATTCTCGCGTTTTACACCTCCTCAAACTTCATCACCTAATCGCAAACAATCCACCGCCGCTTGTATCTGATCTCTCATCCCCCCCAACGCCTCGAACGCGACGGAATAATTCCCCAACGCCTCTAGAATAGCCCTCAACCCCGCCTCACATCTATCCAACAGCTGTTCGGCTTTTTCCCTGCCGTCTTCTTGTTCTTGTTGATGGCACAGCACCCAAGTTCGATGATATACCATCAACAAAGCATACGCGGATTGCATGGCACAACATGCGAAACTGGGCATGGTGCGTGGAAGCAACGGACCCGTGGCGGAGGGAAGAGGTAATACAGAGAATGCGGCGGCGATAGCGAGGGCGGAGTTCAAACACAACCGCGAAGAATCATGGCTGCTAAAGGGGAAAGGGTGGAAATATTCCGTCATTGTGGAAGCCGAGGATGTAGAATTTGGAGGCGAGACTGAAGAAGAGGTCAAGGTGGGCAATTGCAAAGGTAAAGAAGAGGAGGAACTGCAACTGCAGGATTGTGGTGATGGAGAGTTTGTCAGGGCGGTTGTGTCGAGGGGATCGGAAGTGGTGGAGGAGGAGGAGGGAGGGAGAAAAGGTTCGGATTTTTTGAGATCGCAGTGTTTTTCGCTGAAGACGGGGATGTCGAAGAAGGCGCTGTAGCGGTGGAGTTTTATCCTTGCACTGGAATCCCGATATCAGCATTGCTTTTTTCTGCTTTTGGTTCCAACCTCGATGGAGAGTTCTAAACATACCTGTTTAACTTGATCTTGGACATTTGCTTCAGCGAGTACGCGATCATGGCTTCTGGGTCAGTGGACACTGGTTTGATGTCTGTCCAGGTATTGGCCTGTGCAATCAGCGGTTCTATGGTATTGTGCAACTCCTGCATTCGAGTAGGAACGTCCGTCCAGTCTTCTCGGCCGTCCACTGCTCGTCCTACAGCAGAGACGAATTGTGTTGCCAGGAGAATGGTTTGTTGTGATTTGATGAAGAAGGGCCATGCCTTGGTAAGCTGTCAGTCGTGATTCTCCATACAGGAAGGGGGTTCTGAGCCTACCTCTGGATCTGATGCTTGTGGAAAGCTCGTTGTAAATCGAGAGTCAAACAACGGTATCGCTGGAGGCTTCGCGAATGTCAGTAACGTCCTCTCGTTGAACAAGGTGGGAGCTGGACTTACCGCGGAGCTCACAATCGAAGCCTGACATACACAGATGTACTACGCCTCAAATCAGCATACTGCCAAATTTCATTCTTGCAGCTTCAGACTTACCGTCATCCACCAGATCCTCCTTCTCGCCTCTGCGAATCCATTAAGCTCAGTTCCTCGATCATGCAACGACAAATTCATTGCCATCATCAAAGCCTGACTTGCTCGATCCCTCATCTTTGTGATATTACCCCGTTGCGCATACTCATAAACACTTAGTATGCTCAACGCAATCACACTTTCCAACCCCACCGGTACTCTTGAGTGGAAAGCCGGTCTTGAGATATGTGAGTATCCATTCACAAGAGCCTGTGCTGGTGAGATAGAAGAATCCGGCATCTCGGAGTCACTTTCTATGCTCTCAATTGTGCGTTTAGCAAAGTGGTGGGCGGCTTCTCGACGGGCTTTTATGCTTTCTTCGGAGAATGGTGCGCCCTCTTCCGGATGTGGTATTAGAGCCAAGATTGCTGAGATAGCCAGACTAGCTGGTGATCGTGGCTCAAAGGTACATGCTGAAGATTCCGGAAACCAGAGTTGTGGGTTGTCTTTTGGATGAGTAGCTTCCGATGGTGGGAGGATTGGAAAGAACGGATGTAGCCAGATGTAGTAAGCATCCAATCTGCATCATAATGTGAGTACTTAGTAGAAGATGTGCTTAGATATATGTGAGACTTACATGTCACCGTCGCAATGATATCTCCGCACTGAGCCAGCTGCTCGAGGAGTTTCATCCAACTCAATTGGTTGAGGTAAAGGTGCTGCTGTGAATATGCTGTCAAACAAGTTGTCCGTATTGTCTAGACTCAGATCCAATTGTGTTAATCCAGCCCCAGGCTTGACCATAGTAGGTACTGATTCATCGAAACCTAAATACCGTCAATTGTGTTCTACAGGAATCGCTGATTTCTGCACCACTCACATTCTTGTGCGATCTTGACATAATCCGCCTTTTCGTTGTCTTGTCTCTTACTCCTCGGCACACGAGCACCGCCTCGTCGACTTTGGACATATACACATTCTTTTCCTCGATGATTGCACTTTCCGAATGTCAGATTGTGATTCTTCTCAGGAGACAGCGAGATGAAGTACTTACACCAGAACATGGTTCTTTCCCATCACATCGAATCCGCGACGAACGACTTTACAACATTGTTAGCCACCATCAATTGACCATAAGTTGATCACTCATATACACACCATGACAAGCAAGCAACTTTGACCGGAGGAACAGCAAACGGCTTCTTCCGAATGCCAGAGATTGAAGTCTTCTGTCGCGTCTGCGTCTCCGTGCTCATGATTGACCGTGAATGTGGGGTCGTCACTGTAGAATAATCGTTGATGGAAATTTACGAATCGAGGTTTCGATAGTAAAATCACGTAAAGGAGCACGAGTAGTAGTGGCAATCAAATTCAACTCATTGGATGATTTCCAAGGATGAGTCGGGACGAAGCCTGAGGGTTTCTCGGCCGTTTCGGAGTCTAGGTTTCGAGGGTTCGAGCTTCGCGATCGAGGATGACTCGTATCACGTGGTGGCCTGATTCGAGAAAGCAAAAAAAATACCATTTCCTGCCCTCGTATGTAGCAACAGAATTGTAGTCATAGAGGAAGGCGCTATCTAGAAGAAGTTTCTACAATATTGAGAAGCAAGAGAAGAGAAACAAAGAACGCGATTTTTGTGACCCCCATATCATAATGTCCTTTCGTTAAAAACAAATTCTCCAAGAAAAGAAAAAATGCCAGCATTTGGTCGCGCCAAGAAAAAGAGATTTGTGAACACAAAGACATTACCCAAACCCATTGTATCGTGATAGTGCAAGCTTGAGAAAGGGTTATGGAAAAGAGGACTAGTAGAAGCGTGATATCAGACTGCCAAAGCCTTTGGCTGCGCACCGGGCGGCAACTTGGGCAGAGGAAGTGATGGTGGAGGTGCGGGTGGTGCTAGACCGACAATAGGCATGCCCAAGTCAAGGGGAGGTAGAGGCGATGAGGTAGGTTTTTTGACCATGGGAGCTCTGGGAAGGGTGCTCGCACCGCGAAGGCAGGGTACAGATTCGGCTTTGTATAGTTGAGGACGGCTTGAAGAGGTCTTGGGGCGAACAGAAGAGAGAAATGGAGCGTGGTTGCTGCGAATCTGGATACTAGCCGGTCGACGAAGCGGACGATCTTGGGACCGGACCATATCCTCAGCGGGAGAAGGAGGAAGAGGCTTTGCAGGAGAAGGAGCAGAAGTTGGAGCGGCCACAATATCAGCGTTGGGGAAGAGCGAGAGTTTAATCGAAGGGGTACGCTGAGGCTTGCGAGAGAAGTTCTCAACCTGTCTAGAAGGCATTGTTGGAATTGCCGGTAGTGCTCTCGTAGGTGGTGGAGTCGGTTTTTGAGGTGAATGTGAAGGCCTCTGTCGAGGTAGAGACATGCTGTTGGATGAAGGATTCACCTTCAGAGGCAGACGCTTCATCGGTGGTGATGATATTTGTTGATTGATGGATGCCAACACTGCTTCGGAGGGCTTACGTGCTGGCCAGAGCAGAGGCAAGTCGGCAACAAAAGAGTCTGGACGAGGTCTGTCGACAACGGGGTTCGGCTTTGGACGTTCAAGTTGACCAGTGGTTGCTGATCGAGGAAGAATAGGACTATCAGTACCAAATTCGTCATGCAAAGATCCTATCGACGACTTTTGAGATGCGTTCTTCTCACGGAGCATGCGCTTTCCTGCGCTCATGCCGAAACTGACAGCTGAGTCGTGGGTAGTGACAGACAAGGGTGAGTCGTGAGATCCCATCGTATCGAAAGAAGCCATCTTCTTGAGCCTTTCGATACCATCGCGCTCTGGTAACGGCTTGCGAGGGATCGTCGCATTGGAGTTTCTTCGCGGGTGCGAGATGATCTCAGTCACTTCTGGCTGACTGGTAGGTGCAACTGCAGCACTAGAGTCGCGTCTCAATCTTCCGGTGCTGCCCAACTCCGGGCTGGTCTTCGGGAATGAAAAGTTGGTGAATGATGGCTGGTCTTGTTGACTTATCGAAACCCGTTGCTTTATTCGCAGTTTAGGCGCAGTAGTGCTCTGCTTCTCGATTGCGTCTGGCTTGACACCTTCGCCAACGACGGCACCCAAGACGAGAATTTGCTTTCTCACAGCATTCATCCAAGAAGTAAGCTCTTCAGCAGTGTCAAGGATGATGAGTATGCTATGTTCGCCGACACGAGGGAGGTTGTCCTTGAGTCCAATCTTGGTGAGAAGTGATGTTTGCGAATGAAGCATGTGATGTTCGGAGACAGCATTTGGCTTTTGGTCGACCTGTAACACATATGGTCTTCCAGGCACCAAGTCACAAGCAAAAGCAACAGACTCGGGTCCCAGTTGCAGAGCTCGCTCAGGCAGTCTCTCACCACCACCTTTCTCAGGGTATTGGAGGATGAGACCATCGTTGGAAAGGGCAAAGATCTTGCGTTGGAAAGGTCCCTGGCTGAGCGAGTTTCGTCCGCTCCTGCTTTGTGCTTTGTGTTCCCCCTTGATACTATCGACACTGCCTCTTCTCTCTTCATGAATATGTGCTGGGATGATGTGGGAGGCGTTCGATTTCCGAGGTCGTGTCAAACGAGATGCGCCAGATTCGTCGATGGCTTGTGCGATGGTCACTTTGCTCGAGTCCGAGTAAATGTCGAATAGTGTAGGCAATGCAGGCGTTTCGTCTTCTTCTCTGACATCGTCTGACGTTGGTGTTCGGCTTCGTGCCAGTTTGCGAGGATCTTCACGTACTGAAAGTGAGGTACTGGGTCGTCGGTATACCGATTGCGGTCCATTAATAGAGGGAGGTGCAGGTTCGCGCACAATCAGGTCCGGGCTGGGTGTATCTCTTCCAGGCTCGATGATTGGGGTGGCAGCATAACCAGACTCATTGAATCCTCTTTGCTTCTCCACCTTTGGTCGACTGAAGAGATTAAATAGACTAGACTTGGGATTCAATCTTCGATACCCACGTCCGGTTCTGTTTGAGTTTGGTGTATCTCTGCCATTATCCTTTGGAGGCTCTTTTATGGCCGGTAAAGGTTTATCCTTGAAAGAAGTTTGAATCGGAGGCAGATCCTTGAATTTGCTCTTGTTGATAGCATCAAAAGCGTCATTCTGATCGGCCGCCATGAGGAGCTTCAATGCATCCAAAAAGTCGAGTCGTTAAGGTTCGAGGGAGGACGACTCGGAAAGAAGGATCGAAGGAAAAAAGAAGATGAGCGAATGGCTAAGAAAAGAAGCAAAAGAGCCGTGGAAGCGGCATTTGGATATGACAGGAGCGAGCGTGGAATAGAAAGAAAGAAAATGAAGGAACAACAGAATTAGATTAGCCATGTTGTATTGGGAGTTCGAGGGCTTAGTCGGCCCAAAGTTCTATCTGAAGCAAACGAGACAGTGGAGGCGGACCATGCGGACCGCGCACGCAAGCGGATTTAGTTGGGCTCATTATTGAGAGGTCGTGCTGTAGGTGGCGTGCAAGCAAGCAATAAAAGGTCGAGTCGAGAAGCGTCACAATAGCACCGAAAGAATGGTCATCGGATAGGCATTACAGCACGAAAGAGGACTTACGGGGACGGATTCCAGAGGCATCTGCAGGCAGCGCTGTGACGGGCAAGGGCTTTGTTGCAGTCTTGATGATTCCATCGACACCGGTACAATAGATTGCAGATGAAACACGGCTGAAGAAGGGGGACGAGCGTGGACGAGGGGGAATCGGGCATGCTGAAACGAAGGTAATTTGCATAGCCGGAGCGAACGCCCAGACGCCAAAGAGCAAAGCGGGTCAATAACATGGAGCGGAAGCCGCGTCAGATCTCCCGTCTACGATGCAAGCATTGACTGTAAAGAGAGTCGAGAATGTAGGTTATCGGGAGCGTACCAGAGATGGCATGAGGGGGGAGGAACGGAAAGTGGGTTGCTCGAGTAGAGGTCAAAGCAGTGCGTTGCGAAAGTGGCCGTGTGCATGCGGTCAGTGGAGGTTAAGCGAAGGATTTGTAGTTGTCGGCCAGCTACATATGTCTGGCTTCAACCTTATAGCAAAAAGTAGTCGTTTGTAGACGAGCAAGCAGATGGCTAGTCTAGAAAGTTACGAGGTCGCAAGGCGAAGGATGGAGGCTTCCAAAAGTGAGTGGATTGTGAGGGTTAAACGGCGCGATTGCGGGCAGTCGAGGGCAGGGTCGCATATTGACAAACGCAGCAGCTTCTGCATGCACGAGCTCACAAAGGGGGGGCAAAAAGCACAGAAGTGATTCTGGACACAGGCCATGTCTCTGTCGGCTGAAGCATTGTCTACTCGAGTACACAGGGTCTTCGGGTTGTCGAGGGTCTAGTTGTGCTCGCGAAGTGTCTTCGGACTCGAGCGGTGATTCCAGGACAGGCAGCTCCGCAAAAGTCCGAAGATTTGGCCAGCCTGAAGGAAGCCCTCGGAGGCCTGACTGGCGGACAACTCAAGTGAGCCGACTTTGATGTCTTGAGTCGAGCAGTGCATAGATAGTGAAGTGTATTATTGACGTGGCTAGAGAATGAGGCCAACGGCCGACATGAGATGTGATGGTCACAGGGTGCTGCTGGTCGCTATAGGTGGAGTGACTTCTCCAGAACATGTCGTGACTCGTCACGGCGGGGCACGTTTGGCAGGCAGCGGTCAACGAGTGATGGAAGCACAATTGACGCTTTAATATATCATGGCTCCAGATCTCAACTCTCTGCCTCCATCACCAACCCTAGGACGCACGCCAGACACCATGACAGGCAGCGAGAACCATCCGTCGCCGCACTCGCCGTCGCTCTCGTCGCTGCAAGCCGCTGCAGCCATCAATGCCGGCATGCGCAACTCAACCTCCCCTCGCACAAGCGCCACCCAGCGCAGAAGATCCAGTCTAATGACAAACTTGCATCTCAATGATGCCCAAATGCCCGCTCCCGGAGAGATGCAAGATTCCCACCACCACCGTGCCCCCAGCCTGGGTCAGATGCATCAAGAGCTGGAGAACGAACAAGAGGCCCAAGTCAATAGACTGCTGCACATGATAAGAGTCCAACAAGACCAGATCGATGAACTGCATGGTGATCAGCCCGCTACTGCCTCTTCGCCCGCTGTCACGGACTCCGAGAACAGGCCTCGTACTCTGTCAAGCTCGAGCAGACAGCAGCCAGCACTGCCCCAGCGCCCCGTCACATTATCGCGACACTCATCCCAAGCCATATCCGTCACCAGTGGTCCCCGAAGCAGTAGCAGATCTCCTGCCCTCCGTCCTGTAGCCTCACCGTACGACAACCAACGCGAGGATTGGCTGCTCGGTGCCAACCGTGATGAGAGTGCTTTCTACCAAGCAGAGACGCAGATGTTGACCCGAGAGAACCAGATGCTCAAGGCCCGCATCCGTGAACTTGGTAAGTTCATCTAAACATATACCTGGCAAATACTGATGCACTTCTGCAGAACGTCAATTGGCAAATCCCGAAGCTTCTCCTACTCACCATCAGCCACCCACGCCTCACAGTCCCGCCGTCATCTCTCCTCTGACTAGCCCTCCTATCGTTTCTGAGCCTGCTCGTCAACCTCAGCAACACCCATGATTTCCATTTTCTGACGCGTCACGATTCGCATCGCATCTCCAGCAAGGAAAAAGGCGTTATCAGGAGTTATCGGCCTAGGTACAACACCGCCGACTATTGCTTCCATATTCATCTCTTCATTCTCTTCTTTTCAAACTGCTTGTTGTCGTGAATCCGTATTTTCTGACCAGTTTTGGGGTTTGTGTCGTTGATCAGACAATCACAGCTGAATTGCCCCTGTCGCCTAGGGCAAGAACAGCATTTCGCTATCTCTTGCTGTGTCTGCCCTTGTCTGGTTCCGCATAGGTTCAAGAACCAAAACGACTGCTCCGCAATATGTCAGTCCAAATGAGACACTGGGGTGGGTAACAACGTCTTGTATAGGTAGACTCTCCCACTCCAGACGTCGATATAGGGCTCCAGCAACAACAACATGCAAGCCCTACACGTGTTTCGCTGCCGAACTGCAAACACCCATCAACTACCGGCGTTCGCTTCTTGCCAAGAATCAAACGTTTTCAATTTGCCTGCGTGGACTTTTGATATGGCCGTTTCGATACCCAACTGATAGGCATAACGTTCACAACGGTCACCGCAAACTGCACTTTCTGACTGGTCCTTTTCCATCTCGACAACAATCCGACCCTGGATCTTCAATCTTGTATGAGGCGAACAACGTGCCTGGGCTTGATTTGATCCAGCGAGATCAAAACGTCTACCGGCGAGAATGTCCTGGACACTCAACATGTCTTGTGTTATCTCTTTATGCTTTATCTGTTGTGGTTGTTATATAACCATGAAGCCTCCTGTCTAGTAATTCTCTTTTCTCAGGTCGTCCACTAACTAACAGTCTATCCTAAGAGCCTCGCCTGGTGCGTTGCTGTCGTCGCCAAGTTTCGAATCATCCTTAATATCTGTACCTCGCCTTAATCCTTAATCATGAAATTCTCCGCCACTGCTATTGTGGCTTCTGCCCTCCTGCTCCAAGATGCAGCCGGTCGTGGTATGTTGATCCTCTTCTCAATCGAGTCTTGTCCAATGCTAACATTCATCAAGTCATCGAACGTGCTACTGCTACTCCTGTCAAGAACACTGGCAAGCGTGGTCTGTCATACAACAACCCTGCTTACACCATGCCTTTCTCCCTGTCCGGTCAGAACTCGCAAGTCTCTTGGGCATACAACTGGTACCAAACTCCTGGTAGTGGATTCAACCCTGCGCTTGAATATGTTCCTATGCTGTGGAGCAACGCTTCCGACCTTCTCAGAGATTGGCCAACCAATGCACAGGCTGCCATCAACGCTGGTAGCAAGCATCTTCTGGGCTTCAATGAGCCTGACCTTTGCGTCGCTGGCGCTGGAGCCTCTTGCATGGAAATGGACTATGCTGTCAAGGCTTGGAAGCAATACATGGAGCCTTTTGCTGGCAAGGCACTTCTCGGCTCCCCTGCTGTGACCAACGGAGGTTCGCCCCTCGGTCTGACTTGGCTTTCGAACTTCATGGGCAACTGTACTGGCTGCCACATCGATTTCATCAACATTCACTGGTACTCGAACAAATGGGCTGGTGCCAACTACTTCAAGCAGCAGGTCCAAGCTGCTCATGCCATGTCTGGAGGTCGTCCCGTCTGGATCACCGAGTTTGGTCTTGACAACAGCGACGGCACTTACACGACTGCTGAGCTCCAATCCTTCTTGGAAGAAGTCATGACCTGGATGGACGAGACCGACTATGTCCAACGCTACGCCTACTTCATGGACACCACCGGAATGCTCATGAACTCTGCCGGTACCGACATGAGCGACACTGGCAACATGTACAACAGTTACCCCGAGGTGAGTTCTCCCTCTTCGACAGCTGTGCTGTCATCTTCCTCATCATCATCTTCGACGGCTGCGCCGTCTTCCACCTCCTCTTCCGTAACCTCACTCGCTGGTTCGACATCGACTTACGGTTCCTCAAGGATTACGAGTGCGACGACTAGTTCGTTGACAACCATTTCTACCAGCAGCAAGGGTTCTGCCGCTACATCGACTACACAGAACTCTTCCTCTTCCACCAAATCTGCCTCCCCTTCATCGACCACTACGAAATCTAGCGTCGGTACATCGACTTCATCGGCTGCTGCAACAGCTTCTGCCGGCATTCAAATTCTCAGCGCCTTTTTCGCCGACAAAGACGTCACCACCGCTGCCAGAACTGCTTTTGTACAGAGTGGCAATCTGGTCGTCAACACGTATACTCTTGCCTCTGCATTGTCAGTGTCTGACCCTTGGTGGGGCACTGTAAAGACAATCTCGGTCTTGTATTCCTACAACGGCGCCACCTACATCTTCTCCCAAGCCGAGCAGACCGGCACCTACACAATCACACCCTCCACCATCGCCGCTTCTGCAAAAACACCTTCCATCGCAGCTACCCATGGCGCAACCGTCAACATCATCGGTATGGTTTGGGGAGCACAACAAATCAAAACCGCTAGCGTGTTCGACCGCGTCGACTATGAGCAATCCACAAACTGGGGTTTCCAGATCACCACCGCACTATTCGGCGTCGACGGCTTCTGGGGCCATGCCAAAGTTGGCATCATTTGGTACAAAGATGCACAGGGTGTATTGAAATCTCTTGTCAGCAAAGAGAATGGATGGGTCAAGTTCTAAGAATGAGAAGCTTGATTTTGACACATCGTACTCGTACTCAATCAGTACAATAATGTTTAGTAAATACACACTAAAAGTAATAGAAGTAATAGAATGATAGTTTCGAAAGAAGAAAGCTAGAATTTGTCTTTCATCGATGATCTTTGCGACCCATGAATCGAGTGTGTCTAGGTCAGTCGGTGAGATGAGATTGGGTTATTGGACCAATCTAAAATAGAGCTAAGTAGAGTACCAGAAAGAAAAGGTCTTCGGAGATTCAACCCGTTGACATTGCCCCTGAATGTGTTTGCATGTGAAAGGACAGGGTGAGGGTCTTCAACAAGAATTTCCAACGGAATTGCTTCCGCGACTGGAGGCTTCAATCAATGACGCGCTTCCTGGCAACCGCGTCGTCGTTGCCAAACCACTTTGCCCTCTCTTCTTTCGAAAACCAAGATCAATGTCCTCATAGCCCAAGACCGCAAGACCATCACAATCACAGCCATTATCGCATAACGCACCACACCCGCACCAATGCGTCTTTCAGCAACCCTCCCACTACTTCCCCTCGCAGCTGCCCTCCCCACCGCCCACCCAGACGCAAACGCAAACGCAAAACCTCTCCCCTTGATCATCTGGCATGGCCTCGGTGACCGCTATGATGCCGACGGAATAGCAGATGTCGCCGCCCTAGCCAACGAATTACACCCGGGCACCCTCGTCTACCCCATCCGCGTCGCCCCAGACGGCAGCGCCGACTCTCGCGCCACCTTCTTCGGCAACCTCACCACGCAAATAAACGACGTGTGCACCACTTTATCCTCCAATACCTCTTTCTCCGCCAACAACACACGCATCGACGCCCTAGGGTTTTCACAAGGAGGTCAATTCCTCCGCGGTTTGGTGGAGAGATGTCCAGGCATAGAGGTTAGAAGTCTAGTAACTTTCGGCTCCCAACACAACGGCATTGCCAAGTTCCAAAACTGCGGCACTTGGGATTTGGTTTGCAAAGGAGCCATGGCGGCGATCAAAGGAAATGCATTCGGGGATTGGGTACAGGGCAATATCATCCCTGCTCAATATTACAAAGAGGTCAACGCAACCACCGGAAACCCCACCACCGAATACTTGGAAAAAAGCAATTTCATCGCCGATATCAATAATGAACGCGCCAACAAGACAAAGGAATACAAACACCGTTTGGCCAGGCTCGATAATTTCGCAATGTACGTTTTTGAGGACGACAAGACTGTTATCCCCAAGGAATCCGGATGGTTTTCTGAAGTCAACACGACGAGTTTGGAGGTCACTGCTTTGAGGGACAGGGAAATCTATCAGCAGGATTGGATTGGGTTGAAGCGGTTGGATCAGAAGGGTGCGCTGGTGTTCAGGAATGCTAGCGGTGGACACATGGATTTGAGCGAGAAGGTGTTGACGGAGGCTTTCTTGGATTTCTTCGGACCGGAGAGAAAGAGTTTAGTAGAGGAGGTCAAGGAGGAGGTGGACCAGGTTATGGAGAAGGTTAGGGAGGGGGCGCAGATGGTTTTTGAAGAGCTGTAGATGACCCGCCGGAAGAAAGACTCTAGTGTCATTTAATCTATCCTTGCATCACGTCCATCTTTTTCAACCGTTCCTCTCATCCATGCTCGGTCTGGTATCTTTGCATGCTTTCGGATATGCCTTTGGTCATCAGCATGAGCATTGATAATCAGCATCAAGTACTGAAACCTTCTGCAACAGTGACCCAAAAGCGACATGACTACATCTGCCGTGTCGGGATCTCATCGTCCAATACTAGTGGTCTCGGGCGCATACACTCTAACCCAAACATCACTAGAGAAAGGAGGACGTCTCTGCTGCTGTTGCTTTTCCTCAAAATCAGTATCTCTGCACCACTAACCCACCACTAAACCCTTGACCAAGGAAGGGGTAGAAGAAGATCCTCCCGTCCAACGTAAGAAAATAGGGAGGGAAGGCAGGATGAGGAAAGAGTACACCACACGACCTTCGACGCAGGAGTAGTAGGAGGGGGCAGGAGGGGGCAGGAGTGGGTCTAAGGAATAGGAGGGGAAATGTCAGGAGGTGTAGGACTCACAGCTACCGCAACATCATCAAGTTCATATGAAGAAGCCGAGTTTGTAGGCGAGGTTCCTAGACTAAAGATGTGGTCGCAGATGCGGTTGAAGAGGTGTTTGAAGAGGTGTTTGAGGGGATCGTAGAGGCACATTTTTGGTGACTGGGGAGTGATTATTAGATAAAGGAGTGTAGTAGTCGGGGATAAAGGAGGAAGAGAGGTAAGGGAATAAAGGAGTTTAGTAGTAGGGAAGGGGATAAAGGAGTGTGAGAGGGTGGAAGAGAGGTTGGAGAGTGGAAGAAGTGGAAGCAAAAAGACTTACCGGCAGAAATGTTGAGGCGTGGAATTGGATACAATGGACAAAGCCAGTAACATGGTCACGACTGTGCATTTCCTGCAGGCTCGTTCCATGATATTATAATCAACCGCTTCTTACCTTGACATTCCAAAAATTCCATCAGCTTCCACTATATCTGCTTCTTCTTTCCCTCTCCATCTCTTTCTTCTCGAAAAGCTCTAATTAAAAATCCCGGAATGCTTCTGAAGGACCCGCGCGTAAAGTCTTGCTTTGTCGTACTTGTTCTTTCTCGCTTTCAAAGCCGCGACTATCGCGAACGAGGTCGTCGTCGCCGATAGGGAGATCTCTTTGCTTCGTGATGGAAAGTGAGGGATGGTTTAGGATATTTGAAGTAATGCAACATTGTTCGAGCAGTTGCCGATTTGGGATGTGAGAGCGAAGGAAGGAGGTGATTGTGATTGCCGGCCTGTCCCTGGTTTAGGGTCTTTGAAGAAGGCACCGAGAGATGTTATACTACAACAGACCTTACTTCTGTCTCCAGAATTCGAAAGCGATAGTCTGTCAAGATGCAGGATGAATTTGAGATCGGTGTGTTTGTCCAAAGAGAGGAGGCAGAAGTGGTGCTCACAATGGATATCCAGTTATGTGTAAAGATGATGTTGCTTTTTGGCAGAGTATGTGTGGGAAGCGATTTCTGTTTGGGATGTCATATGCTACAAAACATCTCAGAACCCGGGAACAAAGGCGGAAAGCTCAGAATCCCATTAACTTACACCGACTTCCCTGGTCAAAGGACTTTTGAAGTTTGCTCATTGGTCCCGATAGTATATAATGAGCCGACGAGTGCCCAGGGCTCAAGCGTTGATGATTCCGTCCCTCTCTTCAGCAATACTACTCCGGAAAATCATCGGGCAGTGCGATACAATCGGAACGGCTCAAATGCTCGTCACCCATTTATCGAATCGGATCTCTGAGGACAAAGAGATTCGTTGTCCAGATATGGTCCTCGGTTTGGTAGCTTTTGCTGCAGTGGATGTACAATAGAGAAGGCCAGCCGAGGTTTCCCCGTTGGAGGGGTCTTCTGAAGCTTCGGACTTCATCTCTTTCCTTTTCGATCTTGAACACTTCCCTTCCAGCGAGCATAGGCTGGACTATATACGGAGCCCGGTACGAGGTGTTTGTAGTATATACATAACCATGGCCTTGGAAGTTGGAACCCATGCTGCCATTACCATCATGGCTCCCAGCAAGACAACTATGACCATCACAACCAGAATTGCCATGGCAGTCCATCTGTCAAGGCGCAAGAAGCGCGAGCAAGTCAAGCGTGTTGCATGCTAAGTTGAGATGATGGGAAGTGCAGGATTGAAGTACCGCAACAGTGTATTCGGCCGCGAGGCTCACGACGAAGGCACCGAGATTGTCGAGATTGTCGTCCCTGGCAGGAAACTGGCGATCAAGATGGCCAGAGCGCAAGAGCAGACCAGCCAGGTCACCGCATCCAGTCAAGCCCTCGATGGATCTCTCACAACCGCTAGACGCTCGGGGCCGTTGATCAGCGTGATGCTTCGTATGAACGGTGAGTGCTTCTCTTTCTTTGACATCTATCATTCATCACCCCTTTGAGAAAGAGAAGAAAGAGAAGGTACGCTATGAACGAATTTCTAGCGTGAACTCAGGTGGAGAATGGTATAAGAATACAATCGCTTGAGAGGATGGAAGTCTGCAGTCGGCATCAGGCACGTCAAGGATGGGATGAGTCTCACCGGTGTATCCAAAGGTCTTTGAGATACTCGGGAGCTCAATATGTAGGCGGCAAGCACCTCGTGGTCGATGTCGCTTCCTCATGAGATGAGCACCGGCCTTGGGGTTCTCAACGAGTCTCAAGCATGCTGCACATATCGACAGCGACATGCTCGGTATTTCAGCAGGCACAAAGACAAGCTCCAGCTAAGCCAGAATATCTGAGGCACATTGTATAGTCAGCTATAGTCTGCATCGAGGGATGAAAGGTCTCTTCTCTGGTCTCAGACTTGTCTTGCACAGGTTTCAGTCTCGGACTCAGCCGTCTCAAGGCATCGCTCTGAGGGACATCATATATGCTGGCCTTGGTCTATATTTTCAATGATACATCTCTAGGAGAATGGGTCTGTCTCGAGGGAAATTGGGATAGTGTATGTTGTTGGCCCGGACGACACCCTGCACACGGAAGCACAGACCAACCGCACAACAAGCTCGCTTTCACCACAATACTCGACTCTCACACATTCAATCTGCCATCCGATCTGATCGCGCAGATTCTCCTCTCCATATACCAACCTTCTCTCCTTGACACCTCTCAATCACCCCATCACAGCGCCCTTTCTTCACGCGCAAACACATCCACAACTATTCATCCGTTCCAACTTCCACCATGGATAGTTTCGGCTCCCACGAGGAGCAGCACAGTGTTGCTCAATTCAACCTACCCAACTCGGACTCGCGCAGCGCCAACATACACAGCCAGGTCACCGACATCGCCGTGGAGAAGTTCTCTCTCCGGTTCCATGACTTCATCGCTCCCAACCCCGCCAACTCCAACGCATCCATCTGGATCAAGGGCAGCAAGGCACCTGTCAACGATCTCGCCTCGATCGTGAGCGAGGGCGGCACAGTACAGCGCAACGTCAGAGCCGACCAGGAGGTCGTGGCTTACACCCCTCTCGTGACTGCTATCAACTCAGTCTGCGCTCGTCATGGTCTCTTCCCGATTACTGAATACGATCTCATTCATCTTCAGCGTGAGCACTGGTTCGACGCCTTCGCTAAGCAATTCTTGAAGAAGTATCGTGCGGAACGTAGCATCGACTACATGTCGTTCTACGATATGAATGCGGTGACGGGTGACCGCATGGTACTGCTACTTGAGGCTCTGGAGTTTGCCAGAAGGCTTCCCAAGGTCGCGCTCGGCGTAGTAATCCACAACAATGGCTCACAGCCATGGGTCACCTTGTACCCGTGCCCCATGTCCGAGAGCCCCATGACTGCCTGGGTTCTGGTCGAACCCAACTCCACTGGAAACAGGTACTACGGTATCGGTGTTATCACCACTCAGCAAGTCAGCGAACCCGACATGGAAGAAGAAACTGAGCATGCTGCACCCACCCCTGCCCCTAGAAAGACTGCAGCGCGTATCTTAGCCCTACAGGCACCCCTTGCCGCCGGCACCTCCATCGACGACATCCTCGACAATCACCCAGAGCTGGTACATTACGTCAACCTCTTGAAGGTTGGGCTGAGACTCAGTAACAAAGACATTGCGAAGCGTTTGGGCTTTGACTATTCCAGCGTTATCGTCAAGCGCATGACTGTCGCTGTCGATTACATCGAAAGTGAGTTCGATATCGATCAGAACTGCTTCCGCACCCTATACGACCGCGAGCGCAAGGCTGCAGAGGTAGCAACCCGTGGCAAGGATGAGGCGTCAGAAGAAGCTCTTACAGCCAACGAGGGCAAGATTGCGCAGGCCATGGCCTGGATCAAAGCCGGAGGTCCTCGCCCGACACGCACTACTGCCGGCGCTCATGCCGCTCCTTTTGGTCGGGGCGTTGCTCTACCCCCAACCATGAACCCTGGTCCTTTTCCCAGGTCCTACACTGCTCCTACCTCTCGTTCCGTGACTCGGGATGCCACTACGGCCTACCATAGTGCTCCACTCGGCTACGCTCCTGCCTCCCATCTTCCCCTCGACCACCAACATTTCTCCGATGCTCGCGGCCCTGCTGTCCAGCGCGTCTCCACCGGGGCCAACTCCACTGGTTTCGCTTATCAAGACTTCCAGGGCTCTTCAGACGCCTCTAGCCACAACCAAGGCTCGCAGATGGAGATCGATAGAAACGACCCCCGAACTCCACAATAGGACCAAGCACATCAAACGTCGTTTTCGCCATAACGTGAGAAATTCGAAGGTGGAGAGGTCGTTTCGAGATGGGTTTCAAGCAAGGACACTCTTGCTGACATGCTTACCAAGCCATTGGGTCGTGGCCAAAAGCGCCACTGCTTCCCTCCCTTCTGAAGACATCCGGCCTGTTCCTTTGATTTACTCCTCACGACTGCCCAGCGGGGAGGCAGCCTTCCTCATACCACTCTCATTGCGGCTATCTACCACATTTCTTCACCTTCTTGCACAACAACCGGCCGACACAACTCTGGTTCTTACTCAGTTTTTTCATCCTGCGTTTCATCATAGAGCGACCATCAGCTTGATGTCAAGAGAAAGACCTCGGGTGAGAGACACCTGCCTTTGCTTTCCGTACACCATACTCAGCTCAGTCAAAGATCTTGGAGCTTTTCTTGCTTTGCCCGTTCACGACACAAACACTCGACGTCGTGAGCCGAAGCTTGTGTCGATGGACATCACGGCCTTTACAACCACTTTCCTTACCACTGCTTGATGCCAAGTTTGCTTTTCTTCCCCACTAACAATTCGCATCGATGCCAGCCCATCTTGGTACCTTTGCACACATATTTTCCCACTATCACGGTTACTCGACGTTGGTCTTTTATATGGCGGCTGGTTTTTGCGTCCAAGATACCCCTATTGCAAGTGCGTTAATCAACTCTGTCTTTACCGAAGTATGTGCGTTGTGCTATGCGTTAACTATACGACCCGAGTGCTGGCTTATGCTCGACTGGACTAGTATCTCTACTACTTAGCTGCTTCCCCCTTGTGATTACTTCTTATGATCTCACGCCTTAACGCTTGCTGCAATCTAATATCATACTTGATACAAGCGGCTATCTATTATGGCATATGGGTTGTAGCGCTCATATTATAGCTACTAACTTAGTAGCATCTCGGAACTTGTTCCTGTTAACGAACACGATCTCCTCTAGATCCAGCGTTAGCCGTGATTTGCGGCGCCTTGAAAAAGCAATCCATTCAAAGTTACTACGCCGAGGCCTTTATCGACCACTTCAGCTTCGATAAGATCGACAATCTCATGGGTGGCCGCATGGTCCTTCTGTTGGAGGCTCTGGAGTTTGTAGGCAGACCGCCAAAGATCTTTCTCGTCACCAGCATGGCTCACAGCCTTGGGTTATGCATTACCCCTGCCAGGTTTCTCAGTGCGAGAAGACTGCCTGGGTGCTTGTCCAGACTAGCCCTACCGGAGACAGATACTATGGTTTCGGAGGCGCTGTTGCTAGATATATCAGTAGATTGCACACTTGCTGGAAGGAAACACATTTCTTACCGCCACGAAAAGGTGTTCACACCGGAGCACGAAGTGGGTAAATTACCCTTCCACCCGAGCCTGCCAACTAATCTCGCTTCTTTCCGAGCGTGACCAAAGGAGGTGACCATGCTTTCTGCAGTCAGACTCCAAAGACTCATCACCATTTGTGCAGCTGATATAGGAGACAAGTCTGTTGAGCAGCCTAGAGACTAGGTGCGAAGCTCTCTTGTGAGTGTTGCTTTGGCCGCTCGTCCAAGATAGGTCATAGTCGATTGGTCAACCAGAAGCTGTTTCTGTGAGCACTCGTTCCCCTGATCAGAGGTTGGCAGCAAAGGTAACAGCTCAATCGCCTCCCGCAGACCGTTTAGACCAATAAGCAGCTCACAAAAAGCATCCAGGTCACACTCACTGCTTTAAGAGAGTTCTGCCCCGCTGCAGAAGAAGCCATGGTTCCCGCCACTATCGTCTACGATCAGGAGACATACGACAAGCGCCGCAGATCAGTACTAGTGTCAGACTGCAGAGCACGCGCTTACAAGATAGATCCGCTCTACATGATGTATTTACAGATGGCCTTGTCGACTCATGTCCGTAAAGTCATCATGACCACTTGAACAAACGATTAAACGTACCCATCGAATGCCTGCTGGTCTCGACGATCACTAGATTATACAGGAAAGACTCCCTTGATACTTGACCCCATTCTCCTACCTTTATATACCCCCAATATTTTCTCTCCCTCAGCATTGCCATCATCTTATCAGCAGATGGTGGTGGCCCAGTGGTAGCGAGCGCACGCCCAAACTCTTATTTGGGAAACCCCCCACACTGAAGGTCATCGGTTCGATTCACGCCATCGAAGACAATGTTAGAGTCATGACACTCCAATTAGAAACGAAACTGGTCCGCTAGTTCCTTTCCACCTCCGAAAGGGGGCGTTTGTTTTGCTCGATGGCGTAACAATTCCGGTATAGAGTCTGTATGCTTTGCTTTTACTGAATTGGCAGGCTATTGATGTGTGTTGTTGTTTTTCCAGGTCATTAAGCCAGACCGCCATCAAAAAGGAGCAACAATAGTCTCACGCCAAAGAAGAGCCCTTAGCACACGAAAGCCTGGACTTCCATGGCAACTACGCTCAATAAGATCCTCTGGTCAAAATGAGCCTGTTCCTGAACAGAGCACCAGCGACCGCACGCTTCAATCGGTGTCCCTCAACCCACTGCTCGTCAAAACTCTTCCTCTGCTACCGCTCAGCAGGCCCGCGGCGAGGCTACTCATCACGCTGGGGCTGGGTCGTAGGAAGCCAACAAGTAAAGACGGAAACCCCTTCATGACCGCTATGGTCTATGCAAATCGACCGCCAAACTAGCAGGCGGCAAGTGAGGACGTTTACACATACAGAATTGTGTTGAACACGAGATATTAGAGCTATATTTGGAACATAATAGGTGGTTTGTTATCGGGAAGTAGTAAACACAGAGTACGCACGCTATATAAACAGAGTGCATATCTTATGCAGGGTCATCCGATCGCATAGACGAAGAAGAATTGCATCGACATCCATGTCAAGTCCCACAGCGCCGAGATAGAAGTCGGTTTTCACACTCAGTCATTTACACACTCAACTTTGCGCACATCTTTCTCTTCTCTCTTTTTAATTCTTCTGCTACCCTCTCACACAACTCCTCTCTTCGTATCATTGATCCATCTAGCCTCCAACAACAAGGAAAGCAACAACCCCTCTTCCATCGACACTTCCTATAGTCATTCAGACTCTAAAGGCTCAGGTCAACGAGCAGACCGACAGGTTCGGGGACTTTGTCACCCCAAACTTGTACGCAGACATCCTGATCACCGGGACATTGCCTTGAATCACACTTTGAGTCGAGGTTCTTTCGTTCAGCACACGACCGAGCCTTTCCCTCAGAAAATAGACAAAGACTGAACAGAGTACTATGTTATAACAAAGAGACAAAAGAAAAGATGGAAGTGACAAAAGGTGACAGAGAAGAAAAAATGAGGGAAAAGAAAGGAAAAAGGGGTAAAGTTGCTCTTCAGCATTTTTTGGGGAACGAATCTTATGTGGAGAGAAGCTCTCTTATTACTTGTATGGACGCTTCCATATCAGCATCTTAAATGTACCCAAGGCATAATGGTTCCATCTACTCTCGATGCATTGAGATGGCCGTGATCTTCAAGACTGCCGACAAGTAAGGAGCCTGTCTAGTTATGGAGAGAGGTGTAGGAAGAAGCTTTCGCACCTCTGCGGTCGGTGAAGGATGTTCTTTCTTGCCATTCGATCTATGGTAGCTCTTCAGAGTTGTGGAGAAGTGATGTGCGATTCGATGCAAGGTTATCGATGAGATAATCCTCGCTCATCTACCAGTCAAACTGACATTATTAAGCATTGGCTCTGCTTACAGCTACTTTGATGCTCGACCGCCTTCTTGTAGTTGCCTTCGCAACTAGACTTGCCCCTGCTTGTATCTTAGAGGTTCATGTGCCCCTAGAGAATAAGTTAGTATTATAATATAAGCACACGAGCGACGACCTCGTGTATCCGGCGTCTCTCGATCTCCAGCTTAGAACAGAACTTTCTCGCCTTCGGATCCGATCCATATATCCTGCTTGAGGGCCATGAGGTCACCTTAAACCTCTTATAGAAGTGTCTCCGGCAATGAACGAATACCTGCAAGCGTTGTGGTGGGTGGTTCGCATGTTTATTTGCCAGCGTGCGGACAGCGAAGACAATCACGTCAAACAGTATGGTACTGATTGGAAAGATCCGTTCTGGAGATATGAGCTCGAACACCCTGCCGACACCATGGACGTTGGATATATCAAAACGCAGCTCAAACGCCAACCCCAAGTAACTACTGACGACATTTGGATCGCTAACGAAGTCGACATCCAACTACATGAACCATGGGAGGACGACATTCTATCTCAGTCAGATGAAGCCGCAACTATTCCAGTAGGGCCGGACACACAAGATCTGATGGATGTGGATCTGCAAGATTTGAATGAAGCAACACAATCAACTTTGTCGGGAACAGAAGTTCATATAGCTCTTAGGAGCAAAGCCTCTTGGTTGTGGTTATGGTTCAGTAAGCAACTCTTTCCTCGAGTAGGTGATCATGTCTTCTTTTGAGCATGCAATCGTGCAACATCATAAGTTGGTTTATAGTAGTCAAGGGATGGGCTTGTCGTAGCGAGAGCAGCATAGGTGCAGCGATCGAGTAGATCCTGTCGCGAGCAGAAGTTCGGCGCTTCCAGGAGGTCCCTAAGGTCTCACCGTTTACGGCAATTGCAATCGCCATGAACGCTATTTGCCCAGCGTCCTGCTACACAAAGGCTCTCAATACGGTCCAATTCTCGAGCCTCGTCGATACTCGACCTCCTGAAACAATTTTGGCTTGGCGGAGGGGGTTCCGGGACGAGTGAGGAGCAATACTGCACTCTCGAAAAGAGCCATGTAAACACTTCACTTGAATTTTCCATCGACGATTGCTGTGAATTGCGAAGTCTGTTGACTCGACATCGCGCATCGAGTCCGCTTTCACAACCACACACAAAAAGCTTACCAATTCTACAACCATCTTCTATTCTCCTACGCTCAACATCACCGCCAACAGTACGACCACGCAAAACCCACAAAATGTCCAACCTGAACAGTGGCAACGTCTTCATGGCGTTTGAGAACTTTCTCGCCTTGGGATCGGATCCTTACATCGTGCTTCAGGGCCACGAAGCGACTTTGAACCTCCTACAGAAGTGTCTCCTGTTAGGAGCCAAAGTACAGCGCTTCCAGGAGGGCCCAAGGGTCTCGCCATTTACCCCCATGGCGACTGCACTGAACGCTGTTCGCTTAGCACTGCAGATCGCCGTCATGACTGAAGAAGTTCTCTATCGCTTGAGCCTGGAGCCATGGTTCTCGGTCCTGGTCGAAGTATACCGCCAACAAAACAAGATCGACTCCCCACTAAGTATCGAAAAGATACTCTCAGGGCACATCTGTTGCTTGGACGTACACAGCAGCTTTCTGCTGGTCAAGGCGGTTCAGATCTCATACAATTTGCCGGACCTCGACTTGGGCATTATCCAACTCAAAGACAACATGACAAGCGCATTTGTCTTCGGACAAGATGGCCTCCATGATGCTCCTACCGCATGGCTCCTCGCTGAAGGGGCACCGGGCACCCTTGTCTTCCATGGCATTGGCCCTGCTCCAGAACAGCAGGTGGAGGTCGTCGAACTGGAGACGGATCAAAAAGGCGATAGTGAGGAAGACAGTCCGGAGCGTACAAGCCCTGCCGCAAGCTCTACGCCGCGCAAGACAGCAACTCGCATCATTGCGCTACAGACTCCGCTTCCTGGAGATCTATCAGCAAAAGAAATCATCACAAACCATCCCCGAAGTCTGCACTATATAAACCTGCTCAAGGTGTGCCTCGACTACGACAACAACGAGGTCTTCAAGGTCTTAGAAAAGCTTCCAATGCTCCACCAAACAAAGGCCGGAAAGGAAATGGAGATGAAGAAGGCATCAGGAGTTGTCAAACGGCTCAAAGTGGCCATCGAGTGGCTAGAGAAGCTGTTCGAACTCACCAAGGGAGCTTTGAGGGGAACCTACGACCAAGCCAGGGTCGCCAACGGTCGTAAAGTAAGATCAAACAAGGAGGCCGAAGAGGTCAGTGATGCGGCCGAGGGTACCCTGATCGTTGCCATCATGGCATGGGTCAAACAGGGTGGCCCCATGCCTGCCGGACTTACCGCTAGTGCTCATCAACCTACTAGCACTGTCGCCGCCCCTGCAGCAACAGGTGATGCACCTACATCTCCTATTTCACGCAACGCTACCCCTGCACGTCCCGCGCTCCCTCCTCAACCCTCTGCTGAGCCGCTTTCTATCAACTACAACGCAGATGCTGCCGCCGAGGCTGACGCTCTCGCCATCTTCACACGCCAACCACGCCTCTACTACAACGATAATTACAACCACCAGTAGAGAGCGCTCCGAGTCCCTCGCCCGGGCGCCCCTGCCCCTCATCTCTGTCATCAGCATCGACCGCGATAGAGCAACACTGCCATAGAGCACCATCGTCACGTCCTCCAAGAGCAGCTACACCACCAAGAAGTACTTTCTTCGCTTGCATCCCACCCAGACCAGCACCCCTGCGACATAAGGAGAAGGAAAGACCTTGCTACACAGCTCTACAAATCAATACCTCCAAACCAACAGAATCAGGATGCTACGAGCAACATTCAACCTTTCAGCAACCCTTTGGGGCAATACATTGGCCTTTCTGGTTTTTCGGCTTTTGAGGGAAAGCAGCTCTGCACAACAGATGCATTTTAAGCAGGAGTTTTTTGGTTTTCTTTATTTCTTTTGGTTTTTTTGGTTTCCTTTATTTCTTTGGTTTCATTTCTTTTGGTTTCTTTCAGGGTCGCGAGCCTCCGCACATTGTTGCGTCGAGCAGGAGTTCTTTGCGTTTCATGATTTTTACAGAACGATACAAGTACCCGCTACGTGCGAGGGAAATTAACGATTTGATGTTTTGCTCGATGCGTGTGCCTGGTAGTTTGGGGCTTTGAGGGAGGTGTGTGATGTGCTTTTCTCGATGTACTGTGAGGGTGTTGTAGTAGGTGTTTCGGTAGAAGGCGTTGATGTGCGAAGATCGAGTTCATTTGGAGAGATATCCTGGGCAATTGCCATGGTGCTGGCGAAAGGTAATCTAGCACTCCTACATCTATCTGCTGTGAAAGAATTATCTGACCATGATAGCAATCTCACCTCTAGGCCTATTATCTCATGATTATGGTCTTTCTCCATAACGAGGAGAACGACTACCAAACGCCCCTCTTAGATTTCGCTCGCTCGCTTTCTTGATCTGCTGTATATCTACCGTCTTTCGTTGATGTACCTATTCATCTTTCTCATTCCAGATCAGGCAATTCGATCAAGAGATATCCGATGGTCAAGTCTGCGTGAAGTTGCGGACGACGCAGATGAGGTTGATACTCGAGAGCAAGGGGCTTGGAGGCTACCGGAGTTAAGAGGGCTGGAAGCAGACAGAATGGAGGGATGGCAGGGTAGTATTGGCAACAAGGGACAATGAGGAGAGATCCTTGTTCCAGGAGTCGGCGAGCGAGCCTCACTGAGCTCTTGTGGATACGAGAGGGATGGAGGCTGGGGACGGGGAGGCAATGCAGCGTCGATTGTGTAGTAAATTGCGGAGAGGACGGGTACTTTGTAAGAGATGGTTGGAAAGGCGCCCGAGGTGTGATGTTGATGGAGCCCAAGGTCAGGGATTGGTGTTAGGACTCTTGTGCAGATCCATCACTTACAGTTTCCACTCTCTACTTTGCACGAACACCTGTTTGTCCAGAGTCCTCCACCCCTTCTCTCCTTCCTCTAATCCATTCCTCTTGCCCTTAGGCACATCCCTCCAAGCGAACATCTTCGTGTACTCTGTGCTCTTCCCTTCGACAACATCAACGACATGTTTTCCTAGCACAGGCAAGAACTTGAACCCATGTCCACTACCTCCACTCGCAACCATCAAGCCTGGTTGCCCAGGAACGTGAGAAATCAAGAACGAATTATCCACACTGTCAGTATACCAACACAGACGTCCACGTTGCAACTCCAAGTCAAGCAGATTGGGCATATTTTCCGCGCAAAAGGCTTTTACGACATTGAAAGCACGTTCGGGGATTTCCTCGATGTCGGTCTTCGGGTAAGAGATTTCGGTGTTCCTAGAAGAAGCAGGAAAGGCATAATTCGTCCACTTGGCGCCACGGAAACCGAATTTGATCACTCCTTCTGGTGTACGTGGAAAGCCGTATAGGCCACCGGGGTTCTCGGAGGCGGCATCATATCCGCCCATATTCCAAGACCATACCGGGAAACTTTCTGGTGCGTATTTGTCCCAGAGATCCGGACGGGAAGGGGGAAGGTTTATTGTAAGAACTGTACCTGCTGTAGTTTCGAGCAAGGACTGTGAGGTTGGGAGAAGAGAGGGTGTCCACCCTCCTGTTGCTACGATCACCAATGCTGCCTGATGGGTTATGCCATCTGCGGTCTTGATGCCGGCTATTTTGGTGGAGGCGGTGAGCAAGGAGGTGAAAGTGCCGATGGAGGGACCGAGATGGAGGTGGACACCAGCGTGACGACAGAGGTGGAGAGCGTAGGTACAGGCTTTTGAGGCGAGAGTGTAGCCAGCTGTCATGTCTAGTATGCCGTCTGTCTTCAGCCCACGGCTTGCGCGATTGAAAGGGTCGAACTTTGAAGCTGGAATGCCGGATTGGGTGGCCTCTTGTGTCCGTTGCTGGTCTGTGATGCGATATTGTGTGTGCTTGATCTCCTTTGGAAAACTGTTCTGCGTATCGACTTCATGTTGGCCGAAAGACACCTCGATGCGCAAGAAGCCACACCTGTCCCAAAGTTTCTCTGTACCTTTCAAGGCTTCGGGAAGGTTTTTGTCAGAGGTCATGTCTGAATTCCATCTCTCCCATTCTCGCATTGCTTCGAAAGCCATGCGTTGGTAGAGTTCTTGGCCTCCATAGGATGCTCGAAGGATCTTGTTCTCATCTGCCGATGCACCATCGCTGCCGGCAGCAAAAGAATAATTTGTAGACAGGAAGTCTTGTTTGTCAAATAGATGAATGTTCGTATAGCCAGCGCGGGCAAGATGAAGGGCACTGGACAGGCCAAAAACGCCGGCGCCAACGATAATGATGGATTCGTCTCTCTTGGGTCCAGGCATGGTATGCGTCTATCGAGACTTTCGTTTGAGGTACCTTAGCTGATGGACAGTTCTTGAAGAATGTTCAAAGAGGTACTGTAAGTTCGGCCTCCCAGATAGGCGTGCGTGATGTTGGCCGATAAGCACGAATGACGTGCCGCATCCTTCGGGCGGAATGATCGTTATGCCATATCACGCTCCAACGCAAGCTATATGAGCAAAGGGTAAGCAGCTGTCAAGCGAGACTGACCATACCAAGTAAATCTCTCTAGAGTTATTGTATAGTATGTCAGTATCATCTGATGATTGCTTAGATGGCACTTTCATGGCCACCTAAGTTCTTTTGGCAATGCACAAGGCGTCAAGGAAAGCATTCTCGTAACGAGTTCATATATATATTGCCCTGATATTGACTTGCTGACGCGTCTTGCTCTGATGGCGTGCAGGGCGATCTGACATTCCAATGTCTTGCGGCAAGCTCGACCCGGAGGCTCTTCTTGAGCAAGAAGGTTGTCGTTTTGGGAACGCTTAGGAGCCGAGGGAGGCAGTTTGACGCGCGGTCGAGAGCAGAGTTGATAAAGAGCAGTGGAAGGCGTGCCTATTGAACAGCGCTTGGCATAATATTCCGTGCTTTGGAAGCTTGGACCGTTCTAGAAAAGCTAGCCAATGTTCGCTATGAGATTGTCGACATGCCAAGCCGGAGTCATGACCACTGTTTTGCAAGCTTCCAGGTTTTTTGACTTCTTCCAACTCGATTCCAAGGGCGCCGAGACAAAAGGCGCTCGCGAGCCGGTGGGCGATCCGTTCAAATCCGTACCCAAGACGTCAGTCCTCCCAAGGGTAACGTGAGGGGCACGCGGGTGCGTAACTCAAGTCGCGAAAGCAGGAAAAAATAGCTACCAAGGCCTCCGTCAATCCTCGTCAATGGGTTAGGTAGTAATCAATCCTCCTCCTATCTTTGCATTCCTTTTCCTTCCTTCCCTAGAGCAAGACTCGGGAGGTATTCCGTGCTATTCTTTGCATATATATACGCGTCCTTTATACCCAACGCCAACAAGGGCTGGACCCCTCGCACCTTGACGGTCGCGCATTGGCAAATCAGATGACGGTCCAAGACGAAGACCTCGAACGGCGTCGATACAAGGCGCCGTACAGCAACCACCGACCTATACCAACCATTCAAAAGTACCAGCAAGAGAAGGAGAAACGGCAAGCAAAGGCTGGCGCTGGCGATGGCTACCCACCACCAAAAGGGCAAGAGGGGGAGCAGGAGGATACGGATACCGCGAATCGATACCTATACTCGAGAGAGCATAGCGATGTCGACTCGGACAACTCGGACCTCGACAACCCTGCCCACGAGAAAAAGGACCGCACCCAGCACTTCAAAAAGAAGCTTGTCGGTGGTGGCGCCCATGACCCTTCAGACTTGATGAACGACACATCCGAAGCTCCCATCCAAGACCAGGATCCCAAGCAACGACGCAAAGCTTTGGGTAAAAGACAACGTAAAGGCGAACGCGCCTACCGAGAGGTCACCGACCCCGTCACCCATCTTCCTGTACGCATCCACGACTTACAACCTGGAGACTTGAAGAGAGTACCTGAGAATCTGGGGCCACCTGGCTCCGAGTCAAGGTCGGCGACAGGCTTGCAGAACAAAAGAAAGACCGATGACATGCTGGCTGAGGAAACAGAAGAAAGTGGACGACATCACGCCGCGCTCGAGAATCTCTTCCCACCACCAGACTTTGACGAGATTAAGAATCGGCTGAACAAGATTCAAAAGCTAGGAATCACAATTGGTGTCGTCGCCGTCTTTGTCGCCATTGGAGCTTACAAGGCTATGGGGGCTTTCTTCTTTGCGCGGAATGATGCTCGCCCTGGCGTTTCGTGGTCATTCCTTTGGCCGTACATCTCCAGTGGCTTTGGTACCATCTCGCTACTCGCTCTTACGGTGGCTGTCATATTCTGGATTCAGAAATGGACCGATAGACAAGTCAATAGGCTGTGGGAGGAAGAGATCTGGCACGCCGATAAGCACACGGCGAAGGATCACGACGGTAAAGAAGAGACGACTCAATGGCTCAACAACATCCTGACTTCGCTTTGGCCGCTTGTGAATCCCGACCTTTTTGTTTCGCTAGCAGACACTGTCGAGGATGTCATGCAGGCTTCGCTTCCGTCAGTTGTCCGCATGGTCAGCATTGAGGATATCGGTCAGGGTAGCGAATCTATGCGCATCCTGGGTGTCAGATGGCTACCCACCGGTGCTGCTGCCCGTTCAGTCGGCGCAGATGGAAAACTCAGCTCAAGGCCGCAGGAAGAACAGCACAACGATCGCAGTGTACCTGGTGAATGGCAGGTCGACGAAAACGCATCTCCCGAGCAGGCCCAGAATCAGGATCAAACCTTGGACAACGCTCAAGGACCCAAGAAGAACCGAGAACAAGAAGAATCGGATGACAAGCAGATCGCCGAAGGCATGGAAGCAGAGGAGGGCGACTTCATCAACATTGAAGTTGCATTCGCCTACCGAACTCGTTCTACCTCGAAGAAATTCAAGGATCGAGCAAAGCATGCGCACTTATACATCTCTTTCTACTTGCCCGGCAACATCAAGATTCCCGTATATGTCGACTTGCGAGGTTTCGTTGGCATCATGCGTTGTAGGTTGCAGCTCACGCCGGACCCGCCGTTCTTCGCCCTTTGCACGTTCACTCTTCTTGGACAGCCCAACGTCGACGTTGCTTGTACGCCTTTGACAAGAAAAGGTCTGAATATCATGAATCTGCCAGTCATATCGCATTTCGTCCAGACTGCGGTTGATGCTGCTGTGGCTGAATATGTCGCTCCCAAGAGCATGACCATCAACCTTCAAGACATGATTGCTGGTGAGGATTTCAAAAAGGATACCAGAGCTCGAGGTGTGATTGTCGCCAAGATCAAGCGCGCTTTCGATTTCAAGGAAGGAGATCCTGCCATTCCCATGATCAGAGAAGGCTCGGCTGACCCGTACGTTTCGGTCGGATGGGCCAAGTTCGTCAAGCCATTGTGGTCGACTCGTGTCATTCTTTCTGAGATGAACCCGCACTGGGAGGAGACTGCGTTCATCCTGGTCACACCTGATGAGCTGAACGTGGATGAAAGACTCCGCGTACAGCTTTGGGATTCTGATCGCTTTACTGCAGATGATGATCTTGGTCGCATCGAAATGGACCTTAAGGAGTTGATCCGCAACAAGGAAACCAGAGGCAGAATGTCCGACCGTGTTGATGGATTCAAGGCTCTACATGCTGGTGAAGGTCTTCCTGGAAAACTCGAATGGAGCGTTGGCTACTTCCCCAAGGCCCACATTGTCGAGGAGCAGCTCAAGCGACAAACCGAGGAACCCGAAATCAGATCCAGGGACGCACTGGAGAAGATGGTCGAAGAATCTGCCAACCGGAAGCTTCGTGAAGCTAAAAAGGATGAAAGCAGAGAGACGGAACAGCTCAAGCTACAACAGTACAAAGAGGTGGAGGATGCGATGATCATCTCCGCACCGCCCCTTCACGACTACCCCAGCGGCATTCTGGCCATCCAAATTCATGAAGCTACTGGTTTGGAAGTACGTGCACACCACAACGCTGCTCGCTACAACGACGATCCAGAGCCAAGCGGCTTCGAAGAGCAGGGCGATGAACTCCCATCCTGCTACTGCAACATTATTCTCAACCACCAAAAGATCTACCGAACACGAGTCAAGCCCAAGAACGCAAAACCCTTCTTCAACGCAGGCACCGAGCGCTTCGTTCGTGACTGGAGAACCGCCGAAGTCTATGTCACCGTCCGAGATGCTCGCGTCCACGAAGACGATCCAGTCATGGGAATCGTCCGACTCCCTCTGATCGATATAATGAAGAAGCGCTCGCAAGTCAACAACACATATCCCCTCTACGGTGGCGTAGGCTACGGTCGCATCCGTATCAGCATGGTCTTCCGTAGTGTTGAAAGCCAATTTCCCAAGGAACTACTTGGTTGGGATTGGGGCACGCTTATCATCGACCCACGCATTACCTCCTCCGCCTCTTTCCCTTCTGACCTTCAATCCTGCCGCCTGAAGGTCCAAACTGCGATCACGGTGGCGCATATGAAAGCGCACAAAGATGAGCATGCATGGGCTAGTCGGCATAACAATGGCATTCATCTAGGCGTCCGCCGCCGCTACGCCAGTTGCCTCATCATCCAATTCCGCAAAGATGCCTCTCTGCGTGACAAAACCGCCGCCTTTGCCGTGCTTTGGCTCTGCGAGATCCCCGACAACGAAGACGTTTCTCTCTCCCTTCCAGTCTGGAAAGGCGACTTGAAGCGCGCTACAACTTGTAAATTGGACTCCTACGGCGACAAAATGGGCGAGATAAACATCAAGCTCAAATTCTGCAGAGGCTTGAGCAGATATCACAAGAGATTGGCCAAACACGATAAACACCTCGCCGACGTCATGGAAGTTGTGGAAACGGCAAGATTCCAAATGACCAACAGTGAAGCCGACGACCCCGGCGCCGTCAAGAACAACATTGCCAAAAATGGGGACGGCGAGGCTAAAGGCCTTCAAGACTCCACAGGCGCAAATAACGGCAGTTGCCCGCACGCCGAAGGCGACAGTTCCGACCACTCCTCCTCCTCCGACTCTTCCTCCTCCGACTCCGACTCGTCCTCCACAACCACAGAATCCCTCTCCCACCGCGAAAGAATTAAACGAAAACTATCCCACCACCGCCACTCCAGTATTTCGAAACTCACCACTGGCACCTCTGAAGACAAGACACAAAGAGGGGAAAACGGAAGTAGAAATGTGGTGGACTCGTATCATGAGTACAGGGAACACAGTAAACAGATCAATAGGAGGCACAGAGGTGTCATGCAGTTCAAAAGTGCGAGGACCATGTGGTGGATGAAGCACAAGGCTGAGCATTTGCAAGATAAAGTGCAGGGGATTTTTGAACATCATGAGAGAGCTACGGGGATAGAGAGTGAGGCGTAGGGAAAGGGAGAGGAAGTGGAGGGTGATAGGGGTGTAGATGGAGATGGAAGTGGAGGGTGAAGCACCTAATAGTGGTAGAGGTGGAGAAGAAGGAAGAAGATGCTCTATACGATATATGACTTGAAAAGAACCAAAAAGCTTAATAATGCAATCTCTTTCTCAACTGATCCTCGGAAGGTTGTGTCCCTTTGATCAACATGTGGTGCCGAATATGCCAACATCCCGATCTCATCTTTCTCCTATTTATACCTTTCTTGTCCACCAAACCGAGGTGAATTGTCTTGGTCTTGGATACATTCGTTCATTACCGATCTTGCTCTAGACTCCTACAGGCCCTCAAAAGGGCATTTTCATCTCCCTTCCTTTTGCATCTCAAGTCAAGCCCGGGCATCATCGATCAGATCGAGTTCGTTTTGCCTTCAATATTCCTTTACAACTCATCCTGAAGATCCCGCAGATCGCAGTGCATACTCGGTCCTCAGGCTTTAAACTGAGCTAGATCAAAAGAGGTATATACGCTGTTGGGCAGTCCTCCATGCATCTCGACTGGCTGCCGCTGCCCGCCGGCTACTACGCGACATGCGGCGGGGGATCTACCTTTCCACCCCTTTACAGCGAATCCGCTCGTTGTTTTCCTTTTCTTCGGCAAGGTCAAGTAGAAAAGGTGTCTCGAACAAAGAACTCCATCTCGATTGTCCAAGAAGTTGCGTCCCCAAAATCCAACTTCCCATCAACATCACACATACAAGCTTGATATGCCCTCAACATCCCTGCTCAAACCCCCCAACTCCGTCCCAATCGACATTTATCCCAAATCAAGCCTCAGCCTCATCCTTCAAAACCTCATCCCAATCCTTATCAGGACACTCCCCAAATATCTCCACCTCAGGCTGGATATTATACTTATTAATCGAATACTCCACCGGATCCATTTCCAAATAATGCTTCAAATTCCCAGTACTCTCCACATATCTCTGCAAAGATTTATCTTTCAATTCGACCACGCCGTTGTTCTTTGTAATTGTTTGTGGCTTCTTGTCGAGTTGGCGGAGGAAGAAATACTTGGTATATCCGCATTGGCGATCTGTGCGGTGGTCTGGGTGGAGGGAGAAGATTGTGCGTTTGGCTATCCAGTTCATGAAATCTTTGGGGGTGTAGTGTGTGTTTGCGATGCCATTGAGGTAGCGGGTCCAGTGTTGCAGTGCTCTTGCGATGGCGATTTGGTAGATTTGCTGGATACCTGTTTGGGGATCGATTTCTTTCTTTGTGGAAGGGTCTTTGTTGAAGTAGTCATTTATACCGTCGTCGTTGGCAATGAACTTGGGGTTTTCCTTGACCATGGAAGATTCGTCGCCGTTTTTGAAAACATAGGTTACACGAATACGGTCATGGTTGGCCGGTTTGTTACATTCCAGCATTTGCCAGAGACGAAGCAGGACGACGAGTGCGCTATGAGTAGGCAGCGGGAAGTCTTTTTCTTCACGTTCCTCCTGCGAGGGAAACGATGGATTGGTGAGGATGATCTCAAAGTTTATTTGTTGGCGACATGCGGGTACTGCTGCGCGAGACTCACGTATGAAAGTTGTGAGTCTGGCTGGGTGTGGGTTCTCTGGATCATAGAAGATTTGGAAAAAGTCTCGTACGATGGCCAAGAAGTCACGCCATGGTTGCTCGGCTCCAGCAGGCAATACACCTTTGGGGACACGCCCCCAGACTTCGCCAGGGATGAAGAGGTTTGAGTATCGCCAATAAGTGATCGAGGCGGCTTGCCCTTGGTCCGCAATGAACTGGGGCACTTGATGGGAGCTCCTTAACGTGAGGTCTAGTGGTGAGGTTTTGGCGACCATCTCTTCGAGAGCGCGTAATGTGATCGAGTCACTCAGAGGTTCATCATTCTCCAAGATTTTCTTTTCGAATACCTGCACGTCCAATTCCTGCACGTCGATTTCCATGGCGTCCGGATGTGCAGCGGGAGTCGTGCCGGATGAAGGAGGCCTAATGGCAGCGGGATGGACTGGTCCAGGGGTTACCGACTTCCTCGCCGCTGTCCTTTTCAGTAGACCTGGCCCAGGAGGTGCCGATTTCCTCGCAGTCATCTTTGTCCGTGGAGCTATCTTTATTGGTGGAGCTGGTCTCCCCTCAGGCGAAGGCTCATCGAATAAAGAATTAGGCTCGGATGAAGATGAAGATGAGGATGAAGATGGGGCTGGCGACGAAGACCCAGAAGACACCTCCATCCCCATATCCCTTCTGTCACCTTTCCCCATTCTGTGTCCTCTTGCTTTATCCTCTTCCGTGTAGGGTTTTCCTTTTGGAGCCATTTTTCTTGCAGCTCTTGAAGGTGGCTTTGGCGGCTTTGGCTTCTTTACTTTCTTTGCCTTTTTGGCTGGTGGTGGGCCATCGTTGCCTGCCGGGTCTTGGCTATGTGGACGTTTTCTTTCGTCAGTCATGATGTCTACTATTTTTTTGGAAACATATTACCGAGTAGAGTGGACGTCAAGATGAGTGCTTTATGTTGATGGTTGACAATGGGTACAAAGAAGTGGTGAGTTCGCCGGATCCGGACGTGAAGTCGTAGAAGGTAATCTAAGGGAAAATCGACTCATGGCAAACGGCGCATTGTCAGTTCCATCGAGAGATAGCATGATTCGATGGAACAAGACAGATAAGTGCTGCTTGCGGTCGGTGGTAGAAGTCAACAAAGAAAAGTCGAAAGGTAATGATGTGGCCTCGACATCTCTCAACCACAACTCGAGAACAAAGGGAAGCTACGACTCTCAAGCATGCATGCACTCTTTTCAAGTTGGCTCGACGAGAACAAGGAGACCCCACGCCCCTCATCATACCTGCCTAACAATCGCTCCTGTGCTCAAGCTAAAAACTATTGCAACGAGTAGGATTCGGAACCCACAATTTCCTCAAGGCTCATCATTACAACACACCTCTCACCTCCCAGTCCATGCCGTCAGCAACCAGGCTCAGGCCAGGTAGGTTTGGGCGAAGATCACAGCGACTAGACCATCATTGCTTTGAGGGTTGGAAGTTTGATAATCTAAAAGGTTGAGACGTGGAGAGATGTGGTATGGAGAAGAGTCGAGGAAGCCGCGTAGCGAAATTGCGGTTGCCGGACTTACGAAATGCGTTGTCTGTTTTCCGTCAGTTGTTTTGGATTGGGAAGTTGTGCCTTCAGACTTACCTCGTTTGACGGCGAGGATGAGATGGTCAGACGGGATTGTCCTGTGGTCGAATTGTACTGCGCTCATCTGGGCTTGAAGCAGCAGCGATGGTATGAACCGAACTATTGAGAACACTGTATAAGACAAGAGCATAGTTATAGACAATTCTTTGGCATTGATCCATTAAGGTGAAAATGATTGACAGATAATAAATTCCACCAAAACTCCCCAAAATATGTGATCCCATTGAAAAAAACAAAAAGACTCCAAGATATGCACCTTCTCCCTTTTTCTTTCCTCCTTCTACATGTTGGCCAGTTCAAAGTCAATTTGCTGGTCGAGGAAAGCTCTCTTTTGAGGGTCAAGCTGGACCTTTAGTCTCTGCTCTGTGAGTACCTTGAGTTGCTTCTTTGTCACGTTGTCCAAGTCAACTTCTCTCAAGCAGTCTCTGACGGCATCAACGATTTGACCATCGGTGACTCCTTGGGTTTGGAAGCCAGGTAGGCCGAATGTGCTGGCCGGACGAGATGCGGTCTGCGAAAGCGGGCTGCGAGAACGAGGAGGGAAGCCGGCAGAGGGGGGTGGCGAGAGCTTGGGTGCAAGCAGGTCGGGTTGAGACGACAGGTATTGGCCGCTTGGGTTGCGGGTGAGGTGTGGTGAGGCATCGCTCATGTTGCCCATGGACATGAGGCGAGAGTTCTCGTTGGCACCAGGCATAGCGTCTGTGAAGCGAGAGTAGCTCGACATACGGTTGTATGCGTTGTAGGGGCCAGGAGATTGGGTAGGAGGGCGGTAGGGCATGTTGTTGTTGGGAAGACCAGTGAGGATGGTGGAGGCCGGGTGAACAGACGAGTAGACTGAGCGGATTTCATCCATCTCGTAACCACCGTTATCCTGGAAAGGCGAGAAGCCCATCTCCTTCTCCTGTGCAACCATACCACGACGACCAGGAAGTTGGTTGACATAGGCATAGTCGTCCCAGCGTTGGAGAGGAATGCTGCGAGGGTCGAACGTTTCGGCATCTACAGCAATGACTTGCTTGGTACCTGTCTCTCCGATTACAACACGAGTATTACCCCATGAGAAATCATCCTGCTTCCAGAAAGAGTAGACAGGCAAGACAAACGAGTACAGGGGGTAGGCAGCCAGGTAGCAGATCATCCATCCAATGTGCTGCCATTGTCTCTTCGCAATGAAGATAATTGCTTGCAGACCGTACACACCAGCCAACATAATGATGGAAATCAGAGGAAACTGACCACCAGTGGATGCGGTGACGATGAGGTAGACTAGGTATACGACAGTGGCGGGAAGGATGACAGTACCGAACAGATCGATGAACACGACGAAGCGCATGGAGAAACAACAGAAACCACACATGTCCTTGATGAGCATGAGTTCAGCCAAGTTGTGAATGGTCGAGTTAATCCAGCGACGTCTCTGAGAGAGAAGAATACTCCAAGTCTCTGGAGCAGCAGTTTGAGCGTATGCATCGGGAATAAACTTGAAAGACATTGTGGGGAAGTTCTTGGTCATCAACGTGGTCAACCAACGATCTTCACCAAGAGACAACAAGTTCTTCTTGTGCAGGGTGTCAACGTTGCAGTCACTGTACTCTTCGATGACGGCATCGGCGATAATAAGAGGTTTGCCCTTATCTGCTGTTCGGAGACGGTACATGGTGAAACTAGAACGATGTTAGCAATGCAAGAGCATTGTGTAGCGTGTGCATATAACTCACCATCCAGGAAGACAGGTGACACTGCCGAACAAACTCTCGAAGGCCTTTGACAAGTGATGGGAAATGTAGTACTCGTAAACCTGAATCATGGTAGTCCAAGATTGTTCTTCGTTTTCGAGACTGGTTTCACCACAGATACCGGCGATCTTGGAATCGTTGGTACAAGCGGCAACGAGGCGAGTAAGAGCGTCTTCCTTGACCAGAGTATCGGCGTCGACCATGAGCAGGTATTCGTAGAGTTCAGGATCCACACCAATAACGTTGTTGATTTGATGGAACATCTCCAGCTCGAGCGGCGACATAGGAGAGCGGTGGTGGACTCTGTTGAGGAAGCTCATGAGCAGAATTTGAGAGTCACGCTTACCACGGTTACCAGGTTTGGCCTTGACTTGTTCAGACTCTTTGCCGCACTTGACGACAACGATGTATGGGACGACGTTGCCTTCAAATTCATACAGACCAGAGTAGACCTTGCCGTAGTTCAGTTGTTCGGCACCAGCACCAATAGACTTGAATGGGAGAGCAGGAGGATCGATCTTGGGATCGACACCGAGAATATCCAGAACGATCTTGGGTGTTGGGCGGTCGTTACCCCCTCCAACAATCATGCCGTCGCAAATAACACAAATGAGCTTTCTTTTATTGTCGTATGCCAATGACGTGAGCGAATCGAGACCCTTCCTAAGGTGATCTTCGCCCTCAGTATAGGCAGGTACTTGACAGATGACGAATTTGTCTTGCGGTGCTGGTCGAGGCTTGGAACCAAACTGAAGGGCAGCCAGGAACTTGACCACAATGACGGTACAGAGGATGATGGTGAAACTCAACAAGATGTAGTTGTTTACCTGGCAGCGGGCAGACTTTCTGAAATCGACCTTTCCAGCATAGAACATATTGTCCAAGCAGTTGGTGATTGCGGACTGTTGGGTCACGTTGCCACCAAACTTTTCGTTGAATTCTTTCTTGATATTGAGACCAGGATTGCTCTGAACCATGGATGAGAATGTATCGGGGAAGAACTCGTAAGTGTCGAGGTTGTTCATCAAATCCAGAGTATGGAAGTAATCAGTCATATCGTAGAGCTTGTTGTCCATGGTGAACCAATAGTGATTGAGATCTTGGCCGTCGCTTTTGATTTTGCTCTGCTTGACAACTAGATCACCCTTGTAGAACTCCTTCATCTTAGGCAAGAAATCATCTCTGTACCAGTTGATGCTGTTCAGTTTCGAATCCGTATCGGGGGCGGCGACAGGGCCTGAACTGTGTGTGGCTTGGGGGTATTCCAAAGTCGTGTTTGAGGTAAGTGAAATGGTTGATGAAGATCCTACCAATCCGGGACAAGCGACGGTAAGAGGAGGAACAATGTATTCGCTGACATCAGTGCCACCAAAAGGCTCCATGTTAGTAGTAGTCGTGGTAGTGGTGGAGTCACTGTGCTGGGTCTTGTGGAATTTGGTAAGATCGTAGACATGACCGCGGAAACTGACATAGTAGTCATTGGATGCCGCGTGGTAGCCGACTTCCTTAGCATTCCAAGCTTTGTCGAAGTTCGGGCAAAGTAAACGACCAAATGCGACGATGTAGAAAACGACGACGGCGTTGATGATGAAGATGATGATCATGAGGGCAAACTTCTCTCTCCACGCTTGACGAACGTCAGGTCTCTTCATGCGACCAAGGTAACGAAGAGCAAACGAGGGAATGTAGAAGGTCAAAGCCCATACAGCCCAAATCCAAGCCTTGCGACTGAAGGTGATGGGAACCTCGGTGACAACTTTGGCGTCACCATCTTCAATCTCGCCATAGTAGGTCACATCACCGTACTTGTCGTCGCCCTTAGTACCAAGACCGTAGTCTCCAGGGCGGCCTTGCTGAGTTGGTGCTTTTGAAGGCGCAATTGATTTGGCTCCGAGCTGACTTCTGCTTGCGAAACTCTGGTTGCGACTCAAGAAAGGGTTGCTAGGGTTATCGTGGTAGGGTTGTTGGTAGAAACCGTCCTCGACCATGGGAGTAGACACCTGGTATTGACCACCAAATGGCCCAGCGTCCATTGAAGGATCCATAGGCTTCAGATCAAGCATGCTTTCGGCTTCCCACCAAGGTGCCTCACGGATCCAGATTCTTTCGTGGCCGATGACGACTTCGCCATTGCTCCAACCACGTTCCATAACCCAACTTTCAACACCATCGCGGCCGAACTGACAGCCAAGACGCGCATAACGCTCCTGGAATTCGTTGATGTCGAAATCGGCAGTGTAATCAAGCTTCTTGTTACGGTGGTTGGCCCACTCGGGAAGTCTCCATGAGCGAATCTGGCTAGACACAGATCCTGCAGACCATGGGAAAGTGTTGGGCGAGTGGTTTGCCAAAGATGCTGGTGATTCATCGGTGGGGTGGAGAGCGAGTTGGAACCAAACACGACTGCTTCCCAGAAGGTTTGTAAGGCTGAACCGGCCAGTCTTACCAAGTTGAATACCTTCGCCTTCGATAGGATACAAAAGGCGTCTCAAAAAGCTGTCGGCCTCGGTCTCAAGTCCCACTTTCTCAAGCAGAGCCTCGCGACGGTCGAGGATCTCCTCACGTTCCCTTGTCGCAACAGAATTCTGGACCTCGAGTTCGGCTTCGTTCTCGGCAACAGCGTTATTCATCTCTTTGATGACCGAGGATCCGGCTTGATATGAGGGCACGCCATCTTCTTTCATCTCGAGGTTGATACCCGTCGAGTCATCAAAGACAGTACGAAGGGCCATGGCCTTACCCAGCGTCACACTAGGCAAATCCAGGATAGTAAGGCTGACAGTATCTGCGCCCTCCTCGCCTGGAGGGGGGGTCAGAACACCGCCGGAGTTCTCAGTGTCGCTTCCACTGGACGAGTTGACGACACCTCCGTTACGGAGCTCCATGCGGATGGCCTCGTTGGCACGAGCAATGACCCAGTCGACCAGAGCCTCGTAGATGGCAGCCATCAAAGTTTGACGCTCCATCGTGTCGCACTTCTTGGTCAAGACGGCAGTGTCTAAATCCAGCAAATCGGCCACTTCTTCGCAAACGTTCTCGAGAACATCTTCGTCAACCAAGAAACCCATAGTCTCTCCCAGCTTGAGAATGGCGGCGACGACAGAAAGCATGTTCCTGAGAGCAGCTCCTTTGATGCCAATTTCCTTGAGCGAGGCGCGGAAGTCGTCCGCAGCGGCAGCATCATCGGCTGTTGGGAGATATAGCGGAGGAGTGTAAGTGTCGGTCTTTTTCAAGAGAGAATAAGCCTTGGGTTCTTGCAGGTTCAAGAACTCCTTCTCGGCTGGCGAAGCGCTCGAGAGAAGATAGTAAAAGACATCAAAGGCACGGTATCCAATCTCAGCAGGCACATCAGTAAGGCCTCTTGCGACATTGATGCCAGATGAAGACAGGCTCAAAGAAGCGCCCGTCAGCTCGCCCTCCAAGTTGAGGTTGAGTACAGCGGCAAGACCGTTGTGCTGCGCTGCCGAGGGATTGCGCGGTGTGACTGAGTAAAGGAATGGGCGGACGGCGTTGAGGGCGGTGTAAAGAGTTGAGGGTACCGCAATAGGTAGCGAGGAGAGAAAAGGGACGAGAAGCGAGGGTGTCGACTCATGGAGAGAGCTGTGGCATGAATTTTAGCAGGCTGAACAACTGGCCTAGTAGTATATCGACTTACCCCAGAACAACACAGCCATCTTCGGCTCTTCTCCTGGCGTGTTCCCAGGCACGTCGACCCAGCTCGGCGTCCACAGTACCACCTTGCCTTCCATCAGGGCCGACGATTAGGCTAGTGACCCATGTGTTGACGACCAGACTAGTGCTGGATTCAAGAGCGTACGGCTGACTGCTGGTCCATACAGAGTGCAGCGCATTGAGCAGTGTTGTAGTTGAGACTTGTGCAGAAGGTTGGGCCGGTCGAGGAGCGTTCGAATGATTCGAGTAGACCGACATGCGGCTGCCAGGTCCCGCCATGATGAATTCCGGGCAGAGGAACAACCTCTGTGTCTAATTTGTGGTTGTAACGAGTGCTAGGAGCGTGGCAATAGGAGTTTGTCTCGTCGGTAAGCAGGAGAACGGGAGGTTCCTGATTTCGAGGGGTGAATTTAAGGCAACGATCGAGTTTCTGTTTGTGTCGTGCAAGCGAATGTCGAGAGAAGAGGAGAAAGCACCAGACACGACGACGACAACAGCACAATGTGAGAGCAGAAAAGATGAGAGGCAACTATGCAACACGAGAGAGCCAGCCTTCCCGATACAAGCGGCGAAGCGGGAAAGGAAAGGGTTCCAACTTCCCAGTCTGTGCACCAACCAGCCAGGCTAGCACGACCACCAGCGGATTTTCCATTTCGAAACAACACCATAGACCATCGCCACTTTAGTCACGACAATAATTTCAAGTTGTAGTTCTAGTCAATTCAAGCTACAATAATTTCTGCACTCATCTCATCAATTGCCAATCTTGCTAAACCACGAGTAAGTAGTCCTCGAAATCCGTGGGGACTGTTGCTATTGTTGATTGTGCCGTGTTTACCTATGGTTGCTAATTCGGGGACACGGGGCTATTTTTGGTGGTTGGGAAGGAGCGGCCGGCCAGTGACCATTAACCCTTCGCCTTCGTACTCTATTGCTCCTGCCCTGCAGACAACAAAAATTCTATGAGCCTCACACCACACGCTTCCAGTTGACATGTCACCTCTGCAATCATTGCGTGTTATCGACAAGGACAGTTGCTCTGGCGGAACGCTGGCTAGTCATGTGGGAAGGGAAACATCTCACACCGCGAAACGTTTGTTTCAATGTCTCACTCTCGGCGAGATTCAAGATTCAGGAGAGATTTGCCAAGTAGATCCCCATGGGCCCAACAATGCTTTGCATCGAGTAGATGGCGTCTCGAACGCCCACTCTCTCAGGTTTCTGACGGCGTTATCTTTGAGCGTCGCCCTCTCGACGAACGCTGTCTGAGGTCATGAATATGGTAAGGATGTTCGTCTGACACGCGTTCTCGGCGGCAGGAAACTGATGAACGGAAGAAGAAAGCAAAAAGCCATCCGGTGGTTGGCTTGAAATCTTAGCGTGTCTGCCCCGCGTCCGCCGCTGACCTCGTATTTTGTATTGTGCCAAACACACGAATGGCAAAGATGCGGTGCCTGGATTTGTTTTGGTCATTGATCGATGGGACAACAGAAGGTGTCAGTTGCATAACATAGAGCTCATAGTGAGCAACGATAAAACAGAAAATCAAACAGTGACCAGGCATGCAAAACTCACAGTTCTTGAGATTGTCATTATTCTGCTCGCGGGGCTGAAACGCACTGCAAGAAGGCAAGAACGGTCCGTCCGCGATGGAACTTGCTGCACGGATGGCGACTGCTTAAAATAATACGGTACCGCTAAAGGAGGCACCGGAGGCTTCGCGCTCTACGCCGTCCGTGTCTGAGCATTCCATCGACCACTTCCATTTGCTCGCCGCCACAGACTGTTTTTCACGTCGCGACAAGACATAATTTTGGGCTTTTTGTTGTTTTATCACAGCCCACCAACAACCACGCATCACCACACTCGCTTCTGTCTCGTCTTTCGTTCAAAGGGGTCGACTGATAATCCGACTCAGCGTCTGCTAGGAACAGGAGAGCAAAGCAGCACAAGGCCAAAATGGCTGTTCCTGCTCACGCTCAGGCTTCGTTGCCTGCGCTTCCTGCTCATCTTCAGGATGATACCCACTTGACAGCACACCTGGCCAGCAGATTCCACGTCTCGCTGCCCACGGCCCAGTTGTCATCACACGCCATCATCGCCCTCAACACATACACATCTTCAGCAAAGGGTCCAGATGGCTCAAAAGAAGGCAGCGCTATGGGCGCGGCCGAAGATCTGGCTTCAAGGGCGTGGACTCGTCTAGGAGCCAGACAGGAGAATCAGGCTGTCGTCTTTCTGTATGTGTCGTTCCGTCGCTGTGTCACCAATGCCCACGTTCTTTTCTAATCATGTCACAGCGGTGAAACCGGTTCAGGCAAAACAACCCTACGTTCCCATGTTCTGTCTGCCTTGCTCAACTACACATCGACTCCCTTGTCCAACAAGCTGTCCTACGCCGCCTTTGTTTTCGACACTTTGACCACTACCAAATCCGTCACCACCCCTACCGCCTCCAAAGCCGGTCTCTTCTTCGAACTCCAGTACGACACATCTTCAAGTCTGCATCCGACACTGGTTGGTGGAAAGCTGCTCGACCACCGTCTCGAACGCAGCAGAGTCGCCACTATTCCTCCTGGCGAGCGCAACTTCCACGTCCTTTATTACCTACTCGCCGGTACCAGCCCCGCAGAGAAGGAGCATCTCGGTCTTGACCAGGCCGGCCCTGCAACCAACAGACATTCGTTAGGCACGGGCGGTGCGAAAAGGTGGAGATACTTAGGACACCCCAGTCAGCTCAAGGTTGGCATCAACGATGCAGAGGGTTTCCAACACTTCAAGACGGCATTGCGCAAGCTTGAGTTCCCTCGTGATGAAATTGCTCACATGTGCGAGATGCTCGCTTGTATCTTGCACATCGGTCAGCTTGAATTTGTCACAACCCAATCGACCACTCCTTCGGCCGATGACAGCGGCGGTTACTCGCACGAGGGAGGTGAGGACGTAACCTCCGTCAAAAACAGAGAAACTCTGCACATCGTTGCGGCTTTCCTTGGTGTCTCCGAGAGACACTTGGAGGAGAGTCTAGGATACCGCACAAAGAAGCTGCACCGTGAGCGTGTCACTGTCATGCTGGACCCTAAGGGAGCTAGAGACAATGCTGATGAGCTCGCACGCACTCTATACTCGCTCTTTGTCGCATACATCATGGAGCGCATTAACCAGAAGATCTGCTCGTCAGAGGAAGCCATCGCCAACACTATTTCTATTGTTGATTTCCCGGGTTTCGCTCAATCTTCTTCGACAGGCTCCATTCTGGATCAGCTGTTGAACAACGCAGCATCTGAGTCTTTGTACAACTTCTGTCTCCAAAGCTTCTTCGAGCGCAAGGCCGATCTTCTCGAGACCGAAGAAGTCAGTGTACCCGCAACCAGCTACTTCGACAACACCGATGCCGTCAAGGGTCTCCTCAAGTCTGGCAATGGTCTCCTTAGCATTTTGGACGATCAAATGCGCCGCGGCAAGACCGACCAGCAATTCCTCGAGAGCATCAGGAAGCGTTTCGAGGGAAAGAACCCTGCTATCGAGGTTGGTGCTGCCACTCAGACCCTTCCTGGCAACAACTTCGCTACTCGCAACGCCAATGCTGCCTTTACCGTCAAACATTACGCTGGTGAAGTTGACTACCCCGTTGAGAACCTCATCGAAGCCAATGGTGAGATCATCTCTGGCGATCTGATGAACCTCATCAGCTCTACTTCAAACTCGTTTGTTAGCGACCTGTTCGGTCAGGAGGCTTTGAGCAAGGTTGTTCATCCTAAGGATCGTTCTGCAGTCATGCAGGCATCGGTTGCCTCGAAGCCTTCGAGAATGCCCAGTATGGCCAAGCGCAACGGCGAGCGCCCTGCAAGACTTGGTGCTATGAGGCAGGACAGTGATAATGGCAAGAGAAGTGTTTCTCGTAATCGTAAGGGCGAGCCCGAACAACAACAAGGCGCCGCCGCCCAATTCTTGTCCTCTTTGGACAATATTACCAAGTCCCTGTCGGATCCTCGCACCAATCCATACTTTGTATTCTGTCTGAAGCCCAACGATCGTAGAATCGCCAACCAATTCGACAGCAAATGCGTTCGCACTCAAATGCAGACTCTTGGTGTTGCCGAGATCAGTCAGCGCCTGCGCAATGCTGATTTCAGCGTCTTCATGCCTTTCAGCGAGTTCTTGGGAGTTGCCGAGGGTGACGTCTCCGTCGTAGGAACTGACAAGGAGAAGGCAGAGATGATTCTGGATGAGAAGATCTGGCCTGGCAACGAAGCAAGAGTTGGCAGCACCGGAGTCTTCCTCAGTGAGCGCTGCTGGCGTCAGATCGCACGAGTCAGCGATCTTGACGTAGCTCCCGCAGGCATGCACGACCAGACGCCTTACGGAGAGCAGGAGGGTATGCTGTCTCCCGAACATGCACGCAACGGTCGCAATGATTCAAACCTAAATCTTCTTGGAGGTGTCACTCCTTCTCCCGGCGCTTTCTACCACGATGACAAGGTCGCGGGCTACTTTGGAAGCCGCGACCTCGACGCAAAATCAGAAGCAGGTCATTCGGCGTTCCACGGAGGCGATATGTTCCAAAATCTTGAGACCGTCTCGCAGCTCGCTGAGAAAGGTAACGAAGCCAAGGTGGCAGCGATTGATGAGGTGCCCACCACAGGTGAACGTAAGCGTTGGTTGTTCCTTGTCTACTTCTTTACCTGGTGGATTCCCGACGTCTTTGTTCGCATCATCGGCCGTATGCCTCGTCCCGACATCCGCATGGCCTGGAGAGAAAAGGTGGCCATCAACTTTATGATCTGGCTCGCTTGTGGCAGTTTCTTGTTCCTCATGATTGGTTTCCCTGCACTCATTTGTCCGACGCAACACGTTTACTCGGCTGCTGAGTTGCAGTCGCACAACGGAAAGGATGGTGCTTCTTCTTACATTGCAATTCGTGGTGTCGTTTTCAATCTCGGAAACTTCGAGTCCATCCATTACCCTAACATCGTCCCGACGACCGCTCTCGATAAGTATGCTGGTACTGATGCGACCGCCCTTTTCCCTGTTCAAGTGTCCGCTCTCTGCCAAGGCAAGGACGAGGACGGCATTGACCCTGCTGTTCAACTCAACTACAAGAACACTAACTACACTGGACAAGCTTCAGCTGTCAGTGGCTCTGATGCTCATGCTGTCTACCACGACTTCCGCTGGGCCACAAACGACTCTCGTCCAGACTGGTTCTCACAGCAAATGAACTTCTTGAACCAGAACTACAGAAAGGGTGCTATGGGTTACACCTCCCATTATGTCAAGTCCCAGGGCAAGAAGCAGCAGTCAATTGCTATCCTCAACGGAAAGATCTATGACTTCACTGACTACATTGTCGGTGGTCGTGTGCCTCAGTATCCTCCTGGTACCGATGCGCCTGAATCTCTGCCTGACTCCAACTTCATGGATCAGCGTGTTGTCAGTCTCTGGCAGCAACATGCTGGTAGCGATGTGACCGAGCGATGGAACAAGCTTGGCATGACTGTCGATCTGAAGAACCGCATGCAAGTCTGTCTCGATAACCTCTTCTACGTGGCCGACGTCGACACCAGAAACTCGACCAAGTGTCAATTCGCAACCTACCTCTTGCTCGGAATCTCGATGTTCTTGATTGCGGTCATCGGTGTTAAGTTCCTTGCTGCTCTGCAATTCGGTGGTAAGAACGTTCCCGAGAACCTCGACAAGTTCATTATCTGCACTGTACCAGCCTACACTGAAGATGAAGACTCCTTGCGTCGTGCCATCGATTCAGCCGCCAGAATGAAGTACGACGACAAGCGTAAACTCTTGCTCATTGTCTGCGATGGTATGATTATTGGTCAAGGCAACGACCGTCCTACTCCTCGCATCGTTCTTGACATTCTTGGTGTTCCTGAGACTGTCGACCCTGAGCCTTTGAGTTTCGAGAGTTTGGGCGAAGGTCAGAAGCAGCACAACATGGGCAAAATCTACTCTGGTCTTTACGAAGTCCAAGGTCACATTGTTCCTTTCATGGTCATTGTCAAAATTGGCAGACCTGCTGAGGTCGGAAGACCTGGTAATCGTGGTAAGCGTGATTCCCAAATGGTTTTGATGAGATTCTTGAACAGAATCCATTACAACCTGCCAATGGCTCCCATGGAACTCGAGATGTATCATCACATCCGCAACATCATCGGTGTCAACCCAACCTTTTACGAGTTCTTGCTGCAAATTGATGCCGATACTGTCGTTGCTCCGGATTCAGCCACTCGTTTCGTCGCTTCTTTCCTCCACGATACACGTCTCATTGGTGTTTGTGGTGAGACGGCTCTTACCAATGCCAAATCCTCCATCGTCACCATGATGCAAGTTTACGAGTACTACATTTCGCACAACCTGATCAAGGCTTTCGAATCGCTCTTTGGCTCGGTTACTTGTTTGCCTGGTTGTTTCTCCATGTACCGCATTCGTGACTCGGCTTCCGGCAAGCCTCTCTTCGTTTCTAAGGAAGTCGTTGAGATGTACGCTGAAATCCGTGTCGACACACTCCACACCAAAAACTTGCTGCATCTGGGAGAAGACAGATACCTGACGACTCTACTAATGAAGTGGCATCCTTCTTACAAGACCAAGTTCATTATGCGCGCTCATGCCTGGACCATTGCACCTGATAGCTGGACTGTCTTCATGTCTCAACGTCGTCGCTGGATCAACTCTACCGTTCACAACCTTGTCGAGCTCACATCTCTGTCTCAGCTTTGCGGTTTCTGCTGTTTCAGTATGCGCTTCGTTGTCTTCCTTGACTTGCTCTCGACCATCATTCAGCCTGTTTTGGTCGGATACCTGGTTTACATCTTTGTTCGCATTGGACAAGATCCCGGTGGTGTCTCGACAATCGCTATTATCATGCTGGTCGCCGTTTACGGTATGCAAGCATTGGTCTTCATCATTCGTCGTAAGTGGGAAATGGTTGGTTGGATGATCATCTACCTCATTGCCACTCCGGTCTTCTCCATGGCCCTTCCTCTTTACTCTTTCTGGCACATGGACGACTTCTCATGGGGTAACACTCGTGTCGTCACTGGAGAAAAGGGCAAGCAACTTGTTGTTTCTGACGAGGGCAAATTTGACCCAGCCAGTATCCCAAAGAAGAAGTGGGAAGAATACCAGGCCGAGCTTTGGGAAGCGCAGACTTCGCGTGATGACGACGCCCGTTCTGCAATCTCCGGCGTTACCGGCGTTTCGTACGCAACCAAGTCAGCTTACCCTGGTATGGGTGGCTCTGTCTATGATTACCCACCTTCGCGCCCCATGTCCACGTTGGGTGTGCCTCAAGGACCATTCGCCAACCCTTCGCGCCTCAGTCTTGCACCAAGCGAGATGGGTATGGGTGGTGGCTACAGCCCTAACTCAGTGGAGATGACCGACATGCCTCTTCCCAGTGACGACGCCATCCTTGCCGAGATTCGTGACATCTTGAGCACAGCCGACCTTATGAGTATCACGAAGAAGAGCGTCAAGCTCGAATTGGAGAGACGTTTCGGCGTACCGCTGGATGCTAAGAGGGTGTACATTGGCTCCGCTACGGAGGCGATTCTTAGTGGACAGCTTTAGGAGGAAGAAATGTGGTGGTAGCATTTGCATCTGACGGCGTTGAGCATTCTTGCATTTTTTGGGTTCATTCATTGTAACGGGCCATCTTTTATTTAGCTTGGGTATGTGGGCGCTTTTGCATATAAAATGTTTGATTGTCTTCTTCTTTACCAAGTCAGAAATATGATATGTATGAAGGTAATTGGCCCTCACTATAACTCTTCCGGCATATTGAATCCTGCAGAATCGACATGACCCGCCTATCGAAAGTACACGCATATCCGCCAATCCAGAATCTAGAGTAAGTGCGTGGCAGCGCTGTGTGATCGATTAGGATCAGATGCTAAAAGCCGTCACCAGGGTTATCAGGTCAAGTCAACGCATTTATCTAAGAATTATGCGCATGATGATGACATTCACATGACGACCGAAGAGCTAAGTTGTTGAAAAGTACGAGATTCGCTTCACTTGGTTGCTGTTGCTCGGGAGTTTGGTCAACGTTCGTGCCTCCGCGCAACCCTGCAACGGGCATCCAACAGCCAGCCCACGCAACGCTCACAGACCCTTCTTGATTTTTATATCACCCATCCACGCTCATTTTCAACCCTCCTTCTCTTCTTCATTGTGCTCTGCGCATTCTTTTCCCAAACCACACTTGCTCATCAATCTTCATCAAATCCACATTCGCTATCACACGATGAAGACCGCTAACATCGCACTCTTCGCGTTAACCGCCGGCAGTGCTTCCGCGCAGTTCTTCGTCCTTTACGGCAGAGACACTGTCGTTTCGCGTATCGATCCCATTGTCTCGCCTGGAGGCATTGGCATGCACGCTCACGAGTTCATGGGTGCCGGTAACGTCGACCAGAACACCGACTACGATTCGCTTCAGAAGTCAACCTGCTCGAGCATGGGACGCGCCAACGGCAACCCCATCATCGAGGACAAGAGCGTCTACTGGCACCCTACTCTCTACGTCAAGGCCAACAATGGCACCTATCTCAGAGTTCCTGTAAGGCACGCCCTTTTTTGCACGCAAGATTCCATGGCTGACAGACATGCAAGACCAACGGACACCAGATCTACTACATCAACGCCGGCACTGGCCAGATGCGTGAGCCCTTCGAGTTCCCTAAGGGCTTCCGCATGACTGCTGGAAACGCCTACATCCGTGCCGCGCAAGAGCACACTCCTACTAACAAGGATGACATCACTCAGTGGATCTGCCATGAGACTCCTTCATGGAACGAGGGCGCTCAGGGTGGCTTCCCCAAGGGTGTCACTTCCTGCTCGCAGTATCCTTACTTCAACGGTGCCATCGAGTTCCCCCACTGCTGGAACGGAAAGGACTTCAATCTCAACTCTCCTTACTCGCACGTCGCTTACCCCGTCGGCGACATCAGAAACGGAGCTTGTCCCGACACTCACCCTATCAAGCTTCCTCACATCTTCATGGAGAACAACTATGATTTGTCGAGCCTTCAGGGAGAGTTTGAGGTTGACTCGTTCGTGCTCTCTAACGGAGATCCCACCGGCTTCGGGTTCCACGCCGACTTCGTAAGTGGAGCACCCATTCATAGACCATCACTCAAGTAGAGGCTAACATTCCGACAGTACAACGGCTGGCAAGAAGGCGTCCTGCCCAACTTGCTTACTGGCTCTAGCGCCTGTGATTCTCACGACGTTGGCGACTGCTCAGGCGTCACCTTCGACTCCAGCATGAACTGGGCTCAGTGCACTACTACTAACAACTTCTCTGAAGATCTCGACGGTCCGCTTTCTGCCTTGCCCGGTTGCAACCCCATCACCACCGTCAACCCTGCCCCGCAGTGTAAGGCTTGTGCCGCTGGTGTGGTGGGTGGACAGTGCAATGTTGCCGGCAGCTCTATGACCACCAGCACTAGAAAGGCCACTTCTTCAACCCTGAAGACCAGCACCAAGCCTGCCACTTCAACCATGCAGACGACCACTACCACAACCACCAGAACTGTGACTTCGACCACCACTCAGCAATCGACCACCACCGTGACCGGCAGCGCTCCCACGAGCACCGAATGCGACGACTAAAAACCTCACTGTTCTGACTTCATGACGGCGTCCCTTTGAACACGAATACATGAACCTGGCCGCTGGACGGACAGGTGAGTAAGGCATGCATCGCGCTCGCTAACTTTCTTTCTTCTAGGCCGTTGAGACTGCGTTTCAAGTAAGAGCCCATACACCATTACCACTTTCCGATACACGATGCAAGACGTCGCTTGCTATTTCGAGCCCGATTCGAACACGAATGCCCTCGCTACCGTATCGATTCCGAAAAGGAGAAGACTGGTCTCCACCAAAAACAAATCGCACGAACCACGATCACGACTGAGACATGAATGCATGGAGGTCCACTTCGGAAGGAAGGAAAATGCTTTTTTTTTAATGTTGATGAGTTGCTGAGCAACATTCTCTTCTATAACACAATTCACTTCTGTCAAACTCAAAACAAATGCTCTTTCCCGTCGCACATCAACATCAAATTCCTACGTATCTTTTCGTGTGCTTCTGATTTTTACTTTGTGTGCTCCATTTTGTGTGCTGCAAGTCGTGTTGCTGAGGCTGGTAACCCTGCTCATGCCAAGCACTTTCCATCTGCAATCACTATCCGCCGAGAGCTGCTGTCTTCAACCTTTGGGGGCACTGTTTGACTTATCTCAAGGTCCTGTTGCTTCGTTTGCTCTTCTGTTTATAGCCATCTAGTTTTGGTCTTTCGAATGTTGTCCTTCGTTTGGTGGTCACAATCCGTCTGGTTTCGACACATTTTCTGACGGAAGGATGTTTCCAACACAAAAGTACACTCAGCTCCGAGACTACCCAATATTTCAGCACGACACTACGTTCTGTCCTTAAAAATAAGTCAAAGAGTAGATTATAACATAGAGTATTCGGATAGGTCAAGTGTTGAGAGGTAAAGGTCAAGATATATGCTGTCGAGGCTTGTTTTGGGTATCACCCTGGCCACATGGTCCTTGCGCTGTGTCTCGCCTCAAGTCTTCCGGCGTAGCGACGTGCAGTCTGCATCCACCAAGATGCGGAATGTGTTTATATAGCGATGTACTGTCCACTGAGAGCGAGCATCTGATCCTATCTCACTAGACGGAGGTCTACTTTTGGAAACGATGGATACGTTGGAAGGAAAGAAGTGGTATCGGGGATTGCGGACATAACTCAATGAAGCAGTTGAAGGCCGAGCCGGCGTGTAAGAGACCACATGATTCATCACGCCATCTGACAACCTCCTATGCTTCATCTTCTCCTATGTCAGACTCCTGTACCACAAGACAACGAACAATAGAACAAATATGGAGATGATCCAGCAGCAGCTGACTCCTCCGCCAGAGAAGAGCAGCCCCTCTGAGAAGGCACTGCATCATGACCCCGCAATCTCCCAGCCACCGCCGGTTGCAGGCAGCTGCAACCAACCATCTATGATATCAGCAATTTCCCACTTTGACCAACTTCCGCTGGAGCTATTGACGCTCATTGTTTCTGAAGTCGAACGGAGCGATCTAGCTACAACCAAATCATTGCGATGTGTTTCCAGGAGATGTGCCGACGTTTGTACTGGCTTGGTCTTCCGCAGCTCGACACTGCTGTTGCGACAGAAGAGTATCAACAATTTGAGAAGCCTGCTCGATAAACCGGGTCTCTGCTCCGCTGTCACGCATCTAACCATCGATACGGCCGAGTACACGGACACCTGCATGGATACTTATGACTGGGAGTATCGCGATGAAGAGTTGTTACAATCCTTCCTGGCTGTCTTGAAGAAACTAGGGCGACTCCGAAACTTACGGTCTGTCAAGCTGAAAAGCAGTAGTGAGTGCGTCGGTCCGCAGCAACGACGACACTGGTGGGCTCGTAACGTTCCCGAAAGTATCAAGTTCAGGGCGGATGTGCTGCAGAGCCTCTTTGCAGGCCTGAACGCCGAGTACGCTTCGCCGAAGCTTGATCAACTTTGCATCGAGAACCTGCAAGGCTGTGGAAATGAGATGTTGGTTCGATCCAAGGACTTTGGGGCTGTTCTCTCTCGAGTCCAGAAGCTGGAACTCCAAATCACCACCGAAGATGTCGATGGCGATGGCTCTTTGCCTGCTAACCTTGGAAAGAAGGAGCTTCATTCTTTCTTTGGACAACAGCTTGTGCAAGGCTGGCTTGAACCCGTCCGCGAGCACTTGACGCATCTCAAGCTGTACTCGAGAGACATGTACTTTGGATATCTTCCCAAGTGTCATCTTCCCACCTTTCCAGCTTTGAGGTCTCTAATCCTCGGCGGCTTGAGCTTCAGCCACGAAGAGCAGCTGACCTGGGTACTGACACATGGAAACACTCTTGAAGAGCTCGTCCTCGACAATTGCCCTATTGTCATCGGTGTTCGCATACCATCGACGCTGGACTCGAACAATTTCCCCATCGAGCCGCTTTTCAACTCCAGCAGCACAGGATCTATACTCGCACCGTCCAGCTTCTTGTATCCAGCACGCTGGCACGACTATTTCTCTCGCTTTGCAGTCGGTCTCAATAAGTTGCGGTCTATTCGCTGCGGCTTTGGCGACTGGTATGCCAATGCCGCTTTTCCGAAGTCCAGAGAGCTTGGTGTCGGTCTATGGGCGCAGAGATACAGAATCCTCGATGATGGAGAGTGGAGAAGGCCACCATTTGAAGGAGGTTCGTATGATGGTGTCTGGAACAATCCACCCGAATATCCTGACTGTACGGACGAAGACTGGATTGCACTCTGTGAGGTCAAGGCTGCAATCGAATCGCGAGTCGGTACTTGGTAAGCCTCTCTCGCGAGGAGTGAACCATGAAAACTGACTGTCAAAATGCAATGCTCTCTTGAGATCACTCACACTGTCTATTGAGAGCGGTTGCTCGATGGCGTCTCACATGAGGTGTATCCGCTTTCCAAAAACATCGTGCAAGTTTACAAACTCGACCGCGCCACCATGCGAGTGGAGGAGAGGGGCACCTTGGAGAGTAATCCCTGCAGCCACTAACCCGTGAAAAGTGTCTGTCAGGACGCAAGATACTTTTGAGATCACCCACTCTGACCACTGAGAGCCACTGCTTGAATGTCTCTCACTAGGGATATCTCTGGTTCTCAAAAGCATCGTGCAGTGCATGTCTGTAGGTCATCAATGGAAGAGCGTAGAGAAATATCGTTCCTTTCATCTCGGATCGTACCATCGTTCAAAGCCCAGCACATTTCGAGATTTTCGTTTGGAGTCATCCCGAGTACTCTGGTCGACATCTCGAATGGTCGCCGGTACCCTTCACTCTAATTCACGACAGTGACAACGTTTAGTAGCTTAGCTTATTCCGGGAGCTTCCATCCACAGTCATCGCCAATCACCCGGTCGACACTTTCAATCTTCCTATGTTGTTGCCTCGGGTCGACAGCAACTCTTGCTACAACGTCTTCCAACGCGCCGTGTCAAGAAGATCGATATCGTTTCTGAAGCTCCTCCAAAGGTTCTGCACCTTGAAGCGACCGTAAAGCATAGAAGCAACTCAATCCAGACTCAAACCTTTCTCTGTTTACTTTGTCAACAACCAAACGGAAGTCACGCACGACATCTCTTGTCGACCTCGATCGAGTCGAGAAACAAACAAACAAACAGTGAACAACCCGTGTTGTCACTTGGCCGACCATCACTTAGCCTCGATACCTCGTCGTCCGGAGCCCGCGCTAGACATCTCTTGATCCTTCACCAATAGACATAACTCTCTCGTGTCTTTCGACCGCTTCACAGAGTCGCCAACCGCTTTCACATCCGTTGCGTCGCTGTCGAAGCCCCTTCATCGACTCTCACTCAGCCTCGATATTGCGTCGTCCCAAGCCGTGTCCGACATCTCTTCAACCATTCTCAACACGCGACATCCCTTCGTGCATTGAGCATCTCTCTTTTCAAGGACTTGATCACCAACGAAGCAATCGCGCATAGCAATTCATACAAGCAGACACAGACGCGTAACATGAGCGCCTCAAACCCCGCCGCTCCAATGGCTACCCACAACAACAGTCACCAAGTCGAAAAGACAGGATGGCCCATCCAGACAGCAAAAGAGATCAGTACGGACACTGGACCATCGTTCGATGCCGCCGCCTTGGATCAGAACTTCGCAGCCGCAGCACTCGCTGAGGACTTTGATTTTGCAACCGCAGATTTTGGAACTCTTCCCGACCTCTTCACAATGGAAGGCCAGCCGACGGAAAACAACCACAGCCACAACAACCACATGATTATCAGCAACAACAACCATTTCGACGGTGACTACGACGAGGCCCGTACAGCAAAGACTCCCGGCTGGAGCTTCGGTCACGGCAACGCCGACAACATGTCCTACCAAACCGCTGTCCATGCCAACGAGGGCTACCAGTCTTACGGCGGCCAGATACCTTTTCAGCCATCCTCTGACGCATATGGAGTCCAGACCCCCTATGTCAACCGCAACTCATTCTCCCCACGTTACGAGTCGCCTACCGACAACTACGACCGTGTCCCTGAGCACAGCTTCAACATTGACGACAGCACAAGGACCGCCGAGGACTTTGTCCCGCCCGAGAGTCCTCTGGCTGCCAACTTTGCCGCTTCGACCGTAGCCCTTCCTACCACCAAGCCAGGCTCTGCCAAGAAGACAACCAACAAGGTGCCCAAGAAGACCCCCGCCCCTCGTACCAAGAGCTTGGCCAAGTCGAAGTCAAAGGCCCCCTTGATTGAGGATGACAGTGGCGCAGATGACGACGAAGAAGGACGCAAGGTTGTTCCAACTACTCGTCCCAAGGGAAAGGGTAAGGCGGTTGTGGTCGAAGAAGATGATGCCGGTGACAACGAAGAAGAAGCACCCAAGTCTCGCGCCTCAACTCTTTCCAAGGGCAAGGAAAGAGCCAGACCGTTCGTGACCGCCGATGATGGTGAAGACGAGGATGAGGACGAAGATGGCGACAGTCGCATGAAGACTGCGCTAACTGCTGCCTCGGCCAAAAAGGGAAAGGGACGCAAGCGTCCCGCCGCCGGCCAGGCGCCTGTCGGCGCGCCATCGAAGAAGCCCAAGTCCAGCACTCCCAGAAAGTCTTCCCTGAAGAAGACCACAACAGGCGCACAGAACACCATGGGACACCAGCGCAAACGCGGAGTAGGTCTTCACCATATCTTGAACGGGAAGAGTATCAACTAATGTGTTATCAGGCTGCCAAAAACGGAGTAATTGTCAGCACCAAACCCATCCCCAACAGCTTTGAGGACTGTAGCGAAGGTGACAAGGTGCTGATCACCACTCGCGATGTAAGTTTGTGCTTTTCTCTTGACCACATTTCTTCTCTGACAACCCTCTTCCTAGGCTGGCGGTTCTTGGGCCGAGTGCAAGGCCGCCTACTTCAAGGCCACTGGCATCCAGCACGGCAACTCTACCCTTCCCAACCGTTACGAAAGACTCAAGACTGCATTCATCGACATGCGTGACGAAGATAACCTCCACCTTTTCGACGCCAAGAAGAACATCGAAGAAGAGTTCAACAAAACCAAGTGGGCCATGATCTCCAAGGCCATCGAGGACAAGTCTGGCAGCCGCATTGATCCCATGGACCTCAAGCGCCGCTTCAAGCAGTTGATGGAGAAGACCGGCTTCGCCGTCGACGAAGGTTTCGCTCGCAAGGACGTCGACTTCATAGGAGAAGGCGATGACTTCGAGGAAGATGTCGACGTTGAGGATACCCCCGAGCCCTCTCGCAAGTTGCCCAACATCGAATGGGATCCCTCTTATGAGGATGAGGAGGACGCTGTCGGTGGTGCTGAGCTGGAACACTACGACGGCAACGAAGATGCTAGAGACTTTGATGACTCCCACTTCGAAGACTCTCGTTTCGACGACACCCACTTCGATGACTCCCGCTTCGACGACTCTCACTTCGACGACTCTCGTTTCGAGCAGTACGGCGAGCAGTATGGCGAGCAGTATGGCCAGCAGTATGGCGAGCAGGATCAGGAGCAGATGGATGTCGACGATGACGATGAGGAGGCTGACCGCGGTCCCGCCTGGTAGATGTTGACCTTCTCTTCTACAAAAACTCGATCATCAAAATCTGCAGAGCGCAGAACAATTGACCGCTGAAGGATCAGCGGCACTGGATGGAATGACATACCAGGAGAAGCAACTCTGGAAGCATGGACATGCCAGGAAAAGACTTTGAAAGCAAAGCACACACACACAGATACTCTTTTTACACAATGCATAGTGGTTCTTCATATAAGAGACCGAGAAAACTTGATTTTCCACACAACTTTGACACCCGCTGCCTTGTACGTGAACATCGTGTTTTTCATCCTAACTATTCAACAGGCCAATTTCTTCGACCTAGCTAACCTGCAGCTGCCAAAACAGCGCTGTAGAAATGCAGCTTACTTTTCGCAGTAGCTTAGATGTCCACTAAGAGTATGCAAAAGCACTCGCTCTCAGTGGTCATCTGAACGGAAGAGAAAAACAATCTTGCATTTTGATGGGCGTGGAATTGTCGACCTCGTGGGCGAAGAGAGCGCGGGTATCTTGTCACAAGCAGAACAGTGTTGGAAGTAGATACAACACTCTTCGCTTCCACAAAATGGGTCCACTGAACGGTAACAAGAACTCTCGTCTTCAGTGGGGTATCTTGGTTGAGGGAAAAAGAGAAACATGTTGCAGTGTTTGAGGGCTACCTTTTATATCAACGCAATCGCAAAGCAAGGGGGTCTTTGACGTGTATCTTTCTTTCTTTCTTCCGATGACAAAAATACTTCTCCCTTGCATCTTTTTAGCAGAAAGATTTGGCATTCTAGCCATCGACGAATGAAACTTGTAGAGCTGGAAAAAGGCTTGAGAAGCAGAGAGAAATAGAGAGAATGTGTATTCACACACCTTCCACAGACAACTCTACTATATTTAACCCTTTATATACCCTCCCAGCACTACCACCCCTGTCCTAAAATGTTGATGTTGTGGTGAGGTCCAATGACTATCACCTATCTCCACCCCCCTTCACACGGGGCGAATGGTGTAGTTGGCGGCTCCCCCATCACAGCATCAGCATTTTAGGTCAAATTTTTGGTGCGCGTGCGCGGTTCAAATCTCTCGCTCGCTGATTGGGAATATTGCTTTTCGCCCTTTTTCTTGGTGGTTGGTTGGACTTGAGGTATGGTTGATGGTCATTTGTCACTTTTGTTCAGGGATTGTAGAGGGTAGAGTTGTGTGGATAGAAGACAAATATTGTGCCAATTGTGCTAATTACGTGTAGAGGTAAGAGCTGGATCGTGTTGGGCTTCGCGAGGCGTCTCTGTAGACTCGTCTTGTTGCCAGTTCTCATCTGTGCGTGTGAGCTATGTACCGGTGAATCACCGTGTGGGATAGGTAAGGAAGAGGGTAGTTGGGCTCAAGAATAACTTTCATCTGTATATAAGGCAGACCTTGGTTGTTCTCCATATCGCACATGTTGAAGAGGTGGCAATTCGTCATGGTAAGATGTCTTATCGCTGCCGTAGCCATGTTTTTTTCAGGTCGTCGTAGCGAGTGGGTAGAAGTCTTGATTGTTCGTCGCGGCGAGGACACCTATCCTCGCGATAGCCTTGCCTTTGAGAGTTGTAGTAGCCAGAGCGTTCATTCCTGTGACTGCCAGGCCTTTGACAATCCTCGTAGCGGTTAGGTATTCGGCGCCGAGGAGGTTCATCGCAGTGAGAGCGGTCGTTCGTGCGAGAGCCAGACCTTTGGCAGTCGGCGTGACGAGAAAGCTCATTCCTCCGATGATCATACCTCTGCAACTCCTTGTAGTCAATGGATGATTGATGCCGAGCTGGAGGCTGCCCTTTACTGCGGTAACCTGATTGTGTCAATTCATGAGATACAAGAGCAATTGATTCGAGGAAGGTACGATCATGCAGCCTGGAGAGACTCTCCTTCCTCTTGTCATGCTTTCTTCATCTCATCTTTCTTTATCTGCCGTCCTTATCTCTCTCTGTCACAGTGGAATTTCGCAGGCGTAGACAGTAGATCTTCAGGTACAAAAGATACAGTTTCTCGGACCAGGCGATGGTTCTACTCTTTCGAACGTCACTCGGAGTCTCAAGCAGCGAGAATAGTTACGATGGCACGGAACTGCAGCGTACCTTCCCAATTCGACCACATTTCACAGTGAGACATGTGGTTGTGATCAGCATGGACGTCATTGTCCGCCGACGACTGCTTTATGCTGATGGACAGGAGACAGAGGAGAAAAGGAAGGTAATCAGACCAAGGAGAGTACAACCGGGCACCATAACCACCTTGCTATCTTCCGCTTGCCCGGTCCTCTCGCTCGCGGTCCTGTTGTCGCTCATATCCACGAGCTGATCTGTAACACATAAACCACAATCCGACGATCTCAACACAGAAGGCTCGTCCCCAGAAAATACTGATATACCGACGATCCCAAGTATGATCTCCTGGGCTTCCTTGTTTGAGAGTCCTACATTCGATCAACATTGCCAAAAACGTCAGAGGCAGAGGTTGGAAAGATCCCGCAAACACTTGCCGCTGTTGAGAAAAGCACCTAACCATTTTATATTGCCCGAGCACACCCACCAACTAGATTGGGCTTTTTAATCTATTATACTCAGCAAATGACACCTGCCACGCAAAGTCACGGGGCGGTCAATATGGAAATCTTGTTCCGAATGCGGCAGTGCTCCTCAAAATGACCGAATAGGTAAATTGAAATTGAAAAATGTACGCACGCGATTTTGATGAAAGGTTGGTGTGGTTGATGGTGGTGAACCGATTTTCAGGCCTGGCGTCGTCGCCGATGTTCGGGGGTTGGCGTTTGGTAAAAGCCGAGTCCCTGGTTCGCCGCTGTGCACTGGCTGGCAGATCTGCTCAGATAGATGGATCAGACGTAAGCATTTTCGAAGATCGCATCCAACAGTAAAATGGTGATTATGGTTGTTATCAGCTTATGCGATAAGTGACCAGATAGAAAGTCGACGGCGTTGTCGCTGGCCGCTGCTTTCAAGCCTGCTGCAGGAACAACCCGTAGACGTTGTTGGCGGCTTCACAGCCGAGCCGCACCACCCACCACCAAAATGCAAAATGGCACCAGAAATAAAAGCTCGCTGTCAGAAAACGTAGATGCTGCGGCAAGAGTGCGGGAAGGAAGGAAGGTAAAGCGGACCAACAGCGAAGGAAAGCCAAGAAGGAGAGGAAAATATGCAGGGTACTCTAATACTTGACCTGTACGAGTAAGGTGTCGCCGAGAAGTCCGACGACATGTCTTCTTTGTATCCTGCGATACCTTTGTTCAATGTATCTTCTCCTTTTTGTCGCAGATGTTGGTTGTGTGGCTAGCGATGGTAATTGCATATTTGCGTTCATCTCATCTCACGTCGAGATTTGTATCGGTAATTGAGATTTTGACAGCAAGTGGCACGGCCATCCAACCGGAGATATAATCCGGGCGAGAAAGGGCGGGCGTTGTACGAGTCGGGCACCACACCTTGCCGTCGACTCGTATCTCGACTCGCGGATGACGAACCGCAAAGTGCCGGACTTTCTTTCGGAATCTCAACTGAGTTTTTCTAGGTGTGAGATTGGCGTGTTTTGGTGTACGGAAGGGCGCGTGCATGTGCGGACCCGTGTTTGATGGGTGTGGAGAAGGAACAGATATAGGGAGGCTTGTGGGAGAAGAACCGAACCGTCATTGGGAGTTCTGGTGTGGTATTGGGAGTTGATGTTGTTGGAGATCGAGGTGCTTCATGCCCGTAGCCAGACTCCAAGGATTGCTGAACGGTGTGATTGCAACAGAAAAACCATTGGCCTTTGAGAATCCAAGCTGTGGGCTGTAAGTGAAAGCTTCAATCAGTTCAGGACATGGAATGTCAGAGCTGTAAACATGTATCCTGTACTCACGAAGGCTACCGAATCATGTAGAGGCCACCGATACAGTCATACGTGTGCCAGAACTTCATCTTGGAAAGTTGAACATGGCGAAGAAAGGCCACAGCCAGAGAAGCATAGCTGACTGTTCACGAACGATGAGTGCGAGCGGTGGTTCAGAGGCTGTGCAGCGAAAACATTGGCAGAGTACCCACCCCTGATCCAACCCCCTCTTCTGGTCTGGACGTGACGCGTAGAGACGTGAATATGATGATGTTATGGAGTGGATATCTTATCAGGATATAGTGAGACAACACAAATGTCGCCAGATTGCAAATACAAGGCTGGACGAAGGATCGAGCTATGAGAAGAAGAGGTTGGTTTGTTTTTATTTGAAGGCCGGTGGTCACCTGGCCATTTCGGAAGTGCGGCGATAGTCCAACGGCAGACTGCCTTGATATCCTAAGGCATAGAGATGAGTTGGTAAACAGGCGGACTTACCGACATACCGAGACAGGAGGCAGGTTAACCTTCTCCATCATGTCTAGAACATGTTACTCAGATGCGACAACGTGGAGGTTGATGGATATCGTCGTGGGAGATGGACGTGTTTCTGAGCGGGTAGGGATAGACAAACTCAAGCAGGGAGAGACATGGCAGACAGAGTTCGAACTCATGTGCAATAGAAGACAAGTTGCTCAGAGGGTTGCTCCCGAGTCTCACAAATCGCGTGCGGACGACTTGACCGTGAGACCAAGACATACCTTCGCATCTAAGACAGATGTCTACTGGTTGCAACTGACCGAGATTGTAGCCCTTGGTGACTCGAGCTGACAACGGACAACAGGACTGAATTGCCAACCTCCTCCCGACTCTGCTTCGCGCGTATAAGCGGACCTTTTTCGCTCTGCCCCCGCTCCACTGAGACAAAGCGTTGCCTGATACGCAGCCCTTGGCTCTTCGTAGCGAAGTGCGACCGACGATCTCTTTGTGGATTTCCTCGCGATGGTCACGAGAGAGTATTGGGAGAAACGGTCGCTCAAAGAAAAGTATGGTAGATACTCGGGTGTGCCGAGTAGTCCAACCGACGCGTAAACGGGGTGTGAAGAGGGGGTTGAGGGAGATAGAGTTCTGGAAGCAAAGAGAAGAAGCATGAGGCTCCTGATGGTACCAACTCTGATGATCCGGATAAACCGACACCATTATGTTACCTACTGACATACTCTTCCGGGTGTGAGATACCCGTCCGCCATTTCCGAGATCTGAAGGCCGCTCTGCTTCGAAGGACCAAGGCCGGTGTGGCTGATAGCCATTACTTTTGCTAACATGCCGTTATCCCAGATGGCTAGCAATCAGCCTGCTGAGACAAAGGCTCCTCCTGTAGGATCAAGACCAGTTGATTGGGTGATGTTCATGTGGTTACTCAGAAGAGTAGGTACATGGATGAAGTCTTCCTATGGGCCTGGAGTTGTCATCCTGATCCGGAAAGGCCTGTCCAGAGAAAGATCGTTGTCTGTATGGTGGAGCAGTAACAGACTCCATTGGCCGGAAGTCAGTAGCTCCTGGAAATACGCGTGACTGAATAGAGATTTCTTCACGTTTCTCGCGAAGTATAACCGCACTTACCATACACGTGTTAGAAAAAAGTAGGACGGTTGTCTGAATAGAGTCGTCCATAGTCCACAATTGCTGTCGGATAGTTGCGATATAGGTATTGGAGCAAACGTGTGCAGTGGAGGGTATGAAGACGTCAATGATCCCTGGCTGTAGGGCTCCCGGTACCGTTTTCATGTCAGACGTTGCGATAAAGCAGCAACGGCGTTATCGATATTGGCTTGCGAGTGGAAGAAGCTGCAGAAGGCCGAGCGAACCTATCACCAATATCGATAGAAGGATTACAACGGCGATTCTTCGTGCTATCGAAGGCCGTTTGGCACATACAATGACCGTTGTTTTTGCAAAACAAGCGTGCGCGACTCAAGAAATGATGGCTTCAATTCGGCGTTTGTAGGGAAGCCTCGAAAGTTGCGAGAGTCAGCGCCTGTTTGCGACCTCTTGTGCTTGGGAAATGAGAAAGGAAATAAAAAAGGAGAAGGTCGTGTAGAGTTGCGATCGGCCAAGGCAGTGCGCCCATCTGCTTACGCCGCAGGCACATACCGCGGTTGAAATGAGTTTGTGGAGATACCAAGCCAATCCCAGCTAGCGAAGCGGGTAAGTTGAAGCGGTCGATCTGCCAGCTTGAGTCGATCGTTGATCGAAGCGGTTAGACGCAAAAAATCAGTCTAAACCTCTTCCATCGTCAATTCTCCTTGCTGGTGCTTGGCCAGTCCGATTCTGTGTCAGAGGCAAGGGTCAGATGAAAAAGCACTCAGGGTTCTCTGCGGCGGACGAACCGTGCAGATCTGTATGCAGGAACCAGCTCTTCTACAACATCTGCTTCCCAGTTTTCCAGTTGCCGCCGCTGATCGAGGTGTGCAGAAAATGCCTCCGGCTGCGTCAAGCAAGGTCCACTCGAATCGTCAATTGCGCAGCGCTTCTTGTCAAGGGTAAAAGATGCTTCTTTGGCCAAGGGAAGGCCTTTACTTTGGGCCCGACCAATGCCGTTTGTCCGCCGACGAACCACATCTGATATAGCTAATGACCAGAGCGCGCCCGTTAGCGCTCGCGTCCGAGAATGGCCGAGGGTTGTGTCAACTGCCAACGCCGTGGTCCTTTTTGTATTGCGAAAGCTCGCAGCAGTTGAGCAGAACGTTTGCAGCCCACAACCGTCGTGATAGAGTTGCTTAAGGTTTCTGCTCAAATGCAAGGGCAGACCGGCGCACCGGCGCGCGGACCCAGAATAGGCGGCGCCCACAGTTGCGCCCACAGTTGCGGAAAGCTCCTGCCTGCTTCTCGCTCTAGCGTTCCATCTGTCACCGTTTAGAACGATTGCGGGAGCTGCTCCAAGCTCCTTGTCATCCACTCAGCGGTCGATGATGCGCTTCAATGGCTTCCACAAAATGCACTGATACCGTTCGGTGCCCTTCTTTTTAACATATCACTATCCCTCCTCTCCACCTAAACCCTCCTCTCTCTACCCGACTCGCTGCTTTCCCCCCTCTTGTGTGCAGCATCCAACCGGCAAAGGGAGGCACACTCACACTCACACAGCAGCGTCTCTCTCCACATATCTCAGAGAGTCACGCCCCCACGCTGTCAACCAACCTTTTTTCGATTCGCACCTGCCTCTTGCGAGACCTGTTGAAACACCTTGACTCAGATCCGGATCACGGCTGCGCGCATAGCGACCCAATCATCCATCCTTCCAGCTACTTCCTATTCGGCTTTGCATATACTTGGAGGGCCAACTTTCACCCAATAATCTATCGACCCAAGACATCAAACTAATACACACCCATACTACTGTCTTCATCTTGCGCATTACTGTCGCACCTAATACCACAGGACCGGATCCATTCAGCCTCTACTTGAAATAATGTGAGTGCTATCCTGGATGTCGGGACCTGCTTCTTCAACCTCCTTGCATGCTTGCAACGGTCCGACAGACTTGGTCAATCGTGCAAAAAGCTAATCGCAGGCAAGCCTAGACTTTAATATTCATCGCGCCATCCGGTTCACTCCAGCTCGACTATTTCTTTGTCAACACGAAACGATAGTGAGTATTTCCTTTCTTCAGTAGGCTTGGACTCTTGCTCCATCCTACATGTTGTCTTGACGACATTGCCCAACATCGTCAAAGTCGGACGGGAGCTTACCTTAGCCGTGTACCAGAGCCTTGGGACCATCTTCGGAAGACACCTGCAATCTCCTGCGAACGCCCTCTCCGAGTATTCTCATCGACAATCCTTCCAACTTCAGCTGGACTGTCTCTTTTAATAATCCAATTGCAAGACCTGGCTGGATCTACGGACTGTACCTTGTTTTGGCCTGTATATCCATTAATCATCAACCATCGCATTTTACGCGTGCAAGCCATCGACGGGTTCTTGCTTTATTACTCCAGCAAAAGCGTTCGTCAGGTTTCTGATTCCCAGCCCACCTGACGCAAGTCGACCTTCACCGCGGTGTGCATTCTTGAGGTCGCTCCGTGCCTCATTTTGACTCTGTTCTCCGCTACTTTGCAAACCTGGCGGTCAGCACACTTATGCGCCTTCAGGTTCGTCGCCATCCCTTCTTTCTCAATTATTCTTTCCTTAGCATTTTATCCTGACTTTCATTTCTCTTCACGCAGTCTCCTCCACAGTTGAGAACTGCACCTGTCATCGTCGACGAAGAATCGGCTGTCCCGGAGTCCGTTATCATTGCCTGTCAGGAGGCCCAAAAGGGTGGCCTCCTGGCCTCGTCAGATTACGGAAATCTGCTCGCATCAATGTCGGGTTACGAAAAACCCCCTTCCTATGGCTACGGTATGTTATTGGTGCTTCCAAGGAAGACCTTCGGCCGCTTAGCGGATCTACCCGAGGGTGCGAGGCTTTATCATGGCTCAGATGACTGACCAGTACCGAACTAGGCTACGGCATTGCCACACGACCTGATCAGGCACCTGGCTATCCCGCTTACAACCAATCATCATATGGCCTCTCCTACTCAAATTCCCACGCGCAGGTCCCATCTGGCCTACCTGATGCTGCTCAAATCCCCCTTCTCACTGAAGAGTCATACCAATCCCATGACTCCTCTTTTGCTCAACAGAATGCATCATCCTATCCCTCTTACATGGCTGCAGGATCCCGTACCTTGCCTGACATCGTCTCGATTACGCCACAAAGAGGCCCTGCAGGTGGTAGATTTATCATTTACATGAACGCCACGGAGGATCTAGAAAGCAACGGAGTCTCTTTCATCGTCTCATTTGGTACCAAGCGCTGCGAAGGTCGTCTCACCACTTTGCCCGGTTCAGGTCAACAACCCAACTTTGCCATTATTGTTGACGTTCCCGCATTCGAGTCCACTGCATCATCAAGCACTGCTGTCAACATCTACCTGGAGATGACAGATGGTAATAAGCAGGCTCTGAGCATGCCCATCGAAGTCGGTCAGTACACGTACACAGACGCGACACCTTACGCCATTTCGAGTCCGTCGCAAGGCAGCACGCGCAAGAGAAAGATGTCAGAAGACGCTCAGTCACCATCAAAGCGTCCTTCATCGCAAAATCTCCGCGACTCTCCGCTGCACAACCCTACCGACGTCAAGTTCTCGCCGCCTTCGTCCACTATTGTCGACCCGTATTCGTCGCGTCCTCAAACGGCTTCGAGCGCAATGTCCTATGCCCGTTCGTTCAACGCTCCCGCGCCTACTCAGTACTCACAGACCATGCAACAAGCTCCGACATACAGGCTGGCTCCTACGCCTATCGGCATGCCTCAACCGCAGCCTTTCAACTCTTACCCTTCGACCTACATGACTGGCGACCGCGCAGCACCTACCTCCCAGGTCAGCAATGTCTCATCCACCGGCGCAAACCCACCTCTGATCCGTACCACTGCTCTGCAGCCATCGCCTACTGGAATGTCTCCAAGTCAGCCTTTCAACCCATACGCCATGTACCCTTCCAACATCAAAGCTGTCCTCAAGCTAGAGGGTGACTTGAACGGCATGGCTAGCGACTGGAACGCCGACGAAGTCTGCAAGACGTCGCATCGTCCGCTTCCGTCGCAGTCAAAATGGCAGTGTCATCTCTGCTTCATTCCAGCCCGTCACACCCGAAGAGCATGCACAAGCGCCTGGCTGCATCTACGTCAACTGCATTTGGTGGGAAGAGGAGAACGGCTGCTACATCACCAGTGTTGATACTATCCAACTTCTGGAGTCTCTGGTCGCTGTCCGCTTCACCGTAGAAGAGAAGAACCGCATTCGTCGCAATCTTGAAGGCTTCAGACCTCAGACCGTGTCCAAGACCAAGACGAAGTGCGAAGAGTTCTTCAAGATCATCATGGGCTTCCCAAGTCCTAAGCCGCGCAACATTGAGAAGGATGTCAAGGTCTTCCCATGGAGAATCCTTGCAGGCGCCCTCAAGAAGATCATTGGCAAATACGTGAGTTTTACATTCCTGTTGTCTGGATGCCCATACCCTATGCTAACGCACTCGCAGTCTGCAAGTTACTCTTCGACTGCTGGCGCTCTTCCTTCCCCAAGCTCGGTCGCACCGCCCAGGCATCAGCTGCACAGCTCGTCCCCTCCTTCAGTCACAAGCAACACCTCGATGACCTTCCCCACCAGCATGACTGCAACAAGCATGCCCATGCATCAGTCAAATGTATCAGCAGGTATGGGTGCTATGTCAGCAGGGCTCGGCGATTCACGCCTCATGATGCAGCAACAGCAGCCGCATGCGCAGCAGCAACAACATCATCAACATCAATACCAGCAGCAGCATCAATATCAACACCAAGGTCAACAGCCGCCGCCACATCAAGCTCACGCTCATCAGGCACCTCAGCCTGGTATTTCATGGCACCAACCGTCGAACAATTACACGACCGAGCCAATCATGCCAAATCGTACCGGCAGCATAGACTTTGCCACGTTGTGGGAGACTACCAACCCACAAGCGCCCCAGGGCCACCAACAGCAGCGTATCCCGTCTATCAGCCAGTCGTTGCCTCACCTGTGGCCGCAGCAAGACTGGAAAGACTTTCGCACAACACAAGCCTAGGCGAATTAGACTGTGATTGAAGCAACTTGTTGCGATGCATGCCGCAGTGTATCAAGTTTCGCATGCATGATGGTCGGTCATGTGGTCGAACAACGCTAATCAATTCCCGGATCTCTCTACACCTATTTGCTACTCCCCTTTTTTCCTTGGCGTTGCGCCCTGCTGTTGGTCACACTTGCAGATGATCGTCATGGCTTGTGACTCCCCTTTTGCGAACCACACGCCTTGACTGCATCATCCACCAAATATTCCTATCGCCTTGCTCTCTCGACCAAGCGCATCATCGACCACAATTATCTATCCCTGGTCACATCACCCTTCTCGGAGTTCTTTTCCTTGGCTTGCTGGAAATACATCTTGCGATCTAGATTTCTCAAAGACATGTCTCTCGCGAGACTACGGCGGGCGTTTGATACCACACTTGATTTTCTTGTCCGCGGCGTTTTTCGCCACAATCATCACCATCACTATCACCACACAGTCATTCTTAATCCACCACCACCATCACCACCCACACCTTACACTTAATTTTAAACCAACACAACAAGACAAACAGGCTTTGATCAAAGGGGACTGGGACGGTGCATTTGGGCGTTTTTCCTTTTCTGGTTTCGATTCTCACAAGGGTTTTTGAATTTCGTTTTCGGCTTATCGCTTCTTTCGCCTTGGAGGTTTGAAAGAAGAATGCATAACTTTACTGTCCGGCTTTGAGATACCCCCCCTTCTTATTTAGTTAACAACGCTCGCTTCAAATACCTTCTTTAGTCTAGATAGGTCTTTATCTTTTTTTTACTATTTTCGGAGCGTTCGCTTTGGTCGGCTCTTTTTTGATATATCTCTCCTTCTCAATTTCTCTTTGGAGATGTGGCTTGGCTGTGTAGTGATCCCAACCCTATATCTGACAAACACTAGATCAAGAGGCTAAAAGACTCTTGTGAATTCTTCGTCTACTAGACAATCTGGAAATTCCACCAAGGACATGTAGTCACTTTTAAGCACATCCACGACCGCAACCCAAGTTACCCGACTTTTTCAACTCCCCACCGCCAAAACTAATGCACCCACGCTGCACGAGAGGCCCGAACCCGAACCTTTTTTTTTTTTTTGTCTCTTCCTCTTCCTGTGATGGTGCGATGGGGAGTCGAAAAGGAAAAAGGGAAGGGAAGGGAGCGGGGGAAACAGCGGGCCGTGCCGAAGTTTATCTTTGAGAGTGGGTGGAGGTGGTCTGGAATACTTTTGTTGAGCGCTCGGATGTGGCGAGTAGGGAGGAAAGGGATTGATAGAACGCAAGGATAGGTATGAGGCTGGAGATAGAGTAGAATCAAACTCGAGGAGTAAGTGGTAGTATGAATGTACAGCGATTTCGGCAAAGAATAAAAAGGTGTAAGCGAGGACGATAGTTTTTCGTATGTACAGTTCAGCAGTGACGAGAGTAATATACAAGAACGCAAGAACAGTGATGGTGATGATCGAGAAACGTGCGATGCAAAAAAGAAAAGGCAATTAACGAAAAGATAATGTGTACAAGATGCTCGAAATATGCGCAAGAGAGGGTGGGTCTAGTGTGGTTGAGATGAGGGCGGCTTCTGTATACCGCCGGGAAACGTTGTTGAAGATATGCAAGAAGGCAGACAAGATTGATGGTGGAAGGAAGGAAACTGTGGTTAGTAAAGAGGAAAAAAGGGGAAATCTGCCGGATGAGTGAGCATCGAGGTTGCCAATAGCAGAGTGTTGATGCCGAGATCGAAATCCACGCAGCCGCTGTGTTCAGATGGCCACATGCTCGTAAGCGGCAAGCAGTGCTCCGTGTCTGTGCTTATTCATCTCTTGAGATCCTCCTTGACGCTGCAAGAGGTCGATCATTTGCCGAACGGCTTCTTTGCACTTGGTGTATAGAGGATCTCTTGAGTTTTGTTCACTCGCCTGGAGGGTTGCAAGAAGATCGGTCATGGTGAGCTAAGATGTCAACATTAGCAATCGTTAGAAAATCAACAGCTGATATGGCGCTTACGGCTTCTTCGAAAGCACGGTGTTGGAACACCCACCAGACACCAGCATCACCTCCGAAGAAATCATTCAGCTTAAAGTAGGTCCAGATAGCTTCGTGAGCGGCCTCTAGCGCACCACGGAAGTTGAGCTCGACACCGGTCTCTGCATCTTCGAATGCTTGAATGATCATGAGACAGTGGTAGTAATTGCTGGTGAAGAACAAGTTCTGACGAACTGCTCTGCCACTATTCTGTGCCATTTGGCGCAGTGTCTCGTAGTCCGAGGTCGTGAGGAAGGAAGGTGCGTTCTTCCAGATCTCACGGAAGGAATTTACGAGTGTTGTCTTTGCTCGAGGGTTCTTGGCTATTGGGATAGAGAGCGATACTGGAGAGCAGAGATTCTCTTGGACCTTCAATGCCAGTCGCCACAGTGACTTGACGTATAAGACATCGGCTTTGTCGACATCCTCAGTAATTCTTTGGTGGGGAAGAATGTGTGGTTCGGGCTGCTTGGGCACTTCCTGTGGAGGCGCGATAACGCTAATGCTCATCAAATTCTCGATACGAGCACTGCTTCCTGTGTATCTCGTCGAGTCCTGTGCCTCAGCCTCTGTCTCATTGGCTAGCGAATCGATGGACACATCGCTGTGAGTGGCTGTCGGCGGCAATTTGAGGAGCACTGTAAGGAAAGTGTCTTGATGCAGAATAGCTTGCCAAAATCTGCGACGAGTGTGCTTCTCGACAGGCGAGATGTTTGGTAGGATGATGTCAGGATCGCGGTGAAGTCGTAGAGCATATGCTTGTCGCACAATAATGCCAGACCAGGCATAAGCATCTGATGCGTGATTGTCGTTCATCAAGAAATAGCACAGCAGAATCTGCGCACCTAGAGCTCTGAGCGAGGATCGGTTGAGATATGAGTAGATACGAAGTGCCTGGTTGGCAGCAGATGCTGTTGCTCCGTTAGTGATCGTGGTTGTCATATTGTACTTAGGTGGACCTACCTAAGAATTCTGCACTCGAACTCTTCGCATCGTAAGCTGGAAATTGCATGAACTGAGTTCCCATGGCATAGAGAGCAAAATGCAACGCAATCAAATCAGCATCTGCTGTCTCTCGCTCCTTCTCCGGCAGTTGCCAGAAGCGTTCATACGCCACGTAGAATGTTCGGCGATGCAGGAATGGATAGACAGGAGCGACGCATTCAAAGTACTTGGCGATCAAGATATCAGCCTGCTGCTTGCTCGGCAGCACTGCCAAAACTTCCGGTAGACCACCCTGACATGTCCAATAGTTCGTGAAAGGATGGGAAGAGCCGATGCCGAATATGTTGGATGGTGTCTGTTTCGAGAATGGGACTTGCGATTGCAAGAAAGGTGAGCCGAAACCAACAGAGGTTTCCCGTGGAGACCGATGATGGAATTTCGAAAACAGATCTGTCCGTACTTGCTTGATGCCAGAAGCGCTTGAGGGAGAAGATGAAGAGCCATCGAAAGACCCCGTAAGTTTCCTGATCTTGGCTGGTGGTGGCTTCACCATGTGTCTTTGCCTGTCAGCTCCGCCATCTTTTTGGCTTTGTTCGGCGTTAGCATCACTCGATACAATCAGCTTCGTGATGTACACGTTCGCTTACCTAGCATCAGCGATTAGATTCGCGACATGAGTGTATTTGCATGTCGATTGCCGTTTGATGCAAGCCAAGCATCCCGGACGTCCTCGGTCGCACTAGAAATGTTTCGTCAGTACTTATTGGTCACAGCCAAGTTTTTGAGCTAGGCAGATGTTGTTTTGTGTGTTCGCAATCGGGAATAGCAGTGCTCACTGTTGATAAAAGATAATAAAAAGAACAAACTGACCTTTGTCTTACGTTCGACACATTCCTCACAGCTCAAAGTTGGCTTGTTTCGCTTCTGCTTAGGCTTAGCGCGTTCGCCATCAGGTGTGTATGTACGTGAATCCCCAGCTGGTGACTGGCTGGCACTAGTATTGAGTGGTGGGAGTGGTGGCGCAAATGCATTAACAGGCGTCACAGGTACTGATCCGTAAGTCGCGGCATGGTATGGCGACTGTTGCTGGGCGAACTGTTGGACTGGTGGGAGGTGACCTGATTGATGTGGTGTGAATACCGACGATTCAGAGATGGGTAACCCCGACATTCTTATCGACTCGGGTTCCTGCAGTGGTTAGGCGGCTGAGAATGGTCGTGTTTCTTGACCCCACGTTATTGCGCGTCCTTTGGAGAGATGGAACGTGGAGGAGGTGGGCCGATCTGCGTCTTGTCAGAAGATGCCTCTTGGTGGAAATAATCTGATATGAGCAGTTGCCGCCGGGAATAGAGATTGAACGCGACTTCGTGGGAGGCATCCGGGGCGACCGGGGATGTCATGACTGGAGGAAAAAAAGCCAAGCCCTTTTTCCCAACATCGGCCGTTTTTCATGTCGTTGAATCAAGCAAAACACTAACAAACTCAATGGTGGCTAGCCTCTATTCGACCAGATGCATCCGAAAATGTACCACGGCGATGGTATCGAGGCCAGAGTGGCAGTGCAATCCTTTGGAGGTCGCGATGAGTCCGCGGCACCGGAAGAAGCTGGGGAAACAAAGTCCGCGACCGGCGCTTCGCCAGCGAAAAGTGGACATCTCTACGCCAAAAATGGATAGCCCCAGTCGACGACCGTATATCGACCGTCTTCAGTGCAGTAAAGATCAAATCTGTAGGTCAAAGCTAAATAACCCGTTGATTTGGCTCTTGATCGCCGGAATCTACGATATCTACTGCCAAGACACACCGTTTGCAACTGCTCTTCGGAACCTGTTGAGCATTTCCGACGTTCATTATCGGATGTCCATCTCGCATACCTACCTTTTGTAGACACTGTCCCATGCCTTGAAACGCGAGTGAGGGCTCAGAAACCACGATTCCCCTGTGAAGACAGTCTACAGCAATCTTCCGGAAATATTGCACCACTCAGTCAGCGATAGGGAAAAAAAAAGGAAGAAACAAGAAGGAAGAAAAGAAAATCGCCTTTGTCAAAGCAAGATTGACATCTAATATCAGCTTGTTTCTCATCTTGCGAGATATGCCAGCGTAAAACCAGCGCACTCCTCTGTGCGGATTCATGCTAGATCCGTTGCCTGGATAGTGTCTGGACATTCGCAACCAACTTATCTCGAACACGCTTTCGAGCGTGGTCTTTCGGACTATCAATGTCTCGACTTGCAGTCCAGACTGCATGTCCCGAGTCTTCTATCTGGCGTGACGTCCCCGAGGCAGCTTTTCGTCAACATCTTGTTGATCTCGAGAAGCAATGCAATGCCGTTCCCATCGCATCCGAAGTTTTCACATCCTCTTCATGGACGCACGTATCAAGTCAACATAAGCTGTCTGTTGAAGAAGAGCAACAGACTGCAGATGATTTTGCGTTCCTAGTAGCGGTCAATGAAGGTGCTCAGAGCGTCTCGGCAGTTTGTATCGAAGAAAATACAATACTCTCAGAGGGTCTGACTCTACGGATTGCGGCACTGGATACGACCCTCGGAGATGACGTGACTCAAGCACTCAAGAGTATATGCGGTCACCTCACAAAGATTGCAAACAAGACGACCCAAACACCAGAGGATGTTGAGGAAGTTTTCCATGACATCGTCGCGCTACACCAATATCGACTCAAGGGATATATGCGATCATGCAAATGGACGAAACCGAAACATCTCGCTCTAAGCCACAAGAAGCCACTGTGGAAAGACTTCCCTTCCTTGTTACATCGCGCACAACATTTATACACTAAAAAAGAGAAGCAGATGCGTCAACAGATGGAGTCTTCTATCTCGTCTCTAGCGCTTCTCTATACCATGTACGAACAACAAGAGGGCGATGAAATCATGCAATTGAAGCATCTGGTCAGAGCCACCTACCACTTTTGCATCAATCACAGTACGAAAGACTTTGTCGAAAGACTATTGAACAGTGTTGGAGCAACACCAACATCGCAAGTCCAAGCGGCGATCAACCAGTACAGACAATTGGAGAAGATTGCTGCTTACTATCGCATCGCCACCTTTCTCGCTCGCATCGCTGTCAAACACTCTAGTCTGTTCAAAAGTGGAATTGCCATTGACTATCTCAAACCATATGAGAGCACTCCAACGACAATTGCTCATGAGTCTTGGGCACATACCTGTCACGTCCACGCAGAAGTCCAACTCGCCGTCCACTACGACTTGAAAGCATCATCAGCCGTGACACTCCGACCCAGATGCATCGGGACTTCAAAATGGCTCTGCTTCCTCTGTTACTCATTCTTGGAAGCCCACGGCAAATTCTTCCCCTCAAAAACGCATGGAAAATTGTACGACCAATGGACGATACCGGACTTGGTGGAATTCGACGATGAGACGGTAGCAAGATACCGGGACGTGATCGCAAGAATCGACTCTCGAGTTTTGGAACTGGATGGCAATGTTTTCTGGAGACCAGAGCCTTTGACGAGTCGTCAAGACTTTGCCTTGATTCACACGGACGACGGGTTAGTGACAGGAAAATTGAACACGGGTCTATCGAAATTGGCCCTTTCAGACTCCGTCGAGCCAACAAAGGAGATGGCTATGTAAGAAATAGAATATTGATCCAAGTGATCTGAGCGTTCAGTATCAACATGGTCCGAACCACTCATTCCAAACTGGTGTTTAGACACTGCTCTATAATCGACTACGCATCTTTTCATATCGTGTAGTGTCTATGAATGCCATGATCTTGCTGAGAATGAAAGCACATATGATGTCTGTCTTTCATTACCTCGAGAATCCGTTGCTGGTGTTGCGTTGCAGTCACTCCGTAAGGGACATATGTCCTCATCACACTCTCATTGAACAGAACATAGCCTGCAGAACCCAGTCACTATTCTCACGATAGGTTCACAAGCACAGTGGGCATGGGTTGACGGGTCTGTCGTGTTTTGAATACGTCTCGAGCTATCTCATTCAGATCCCACTCTACTCCTTCTTCTCAAAGTTCTTCTCCCTCTCCTTCTTCATCTCCTGACTAGCAGGTCTCGCCATAATTCTCTCGAACCAAGCATGATATGTCGGCAACTCCTTCTTCACCTCCGCATGGAAAGCCTCAGACTCTTCACCAAAGATGAACGGCAACAGCAAGTTCCAAGGAATGAAGGCCAGATCTGCGTAGGTGTATTTGTCGCCGACCAGGTAATCGGTACCTTGGTCTTTGAGGTGCTTGTCCAGCACGGTAAGCACACGCTTTATTTCCTTGCTGTAGCGGTCGATGGCAGAGGGGATCTTGTCCGCATGGTAAATGTTAAACCACACACGTTGGCCAAAGTAAGGACCTTGACCGGAAACTTGGAAGTGCAGCCTATTTCAAGTCCTTCTTATCAGCATAACCATCCAAAAAACCAAAAAACTTTCATCCACACATTTGCATTGCTGCTCTTCCTTACCATTGCTTCAATTGATACTTTTCCGGAGAAGAGGTGTATGTGAATTTATTCTCCTTGTCGTATTCTTCGATGAGGTATTCGAGGATGGCGCCGGATTCCCACAATGTGATGCCGGTGTTGGGGTCTTCGATGGTGGGGGTGCGGCCGTTGGGGCACAGCTTCTCGTACTCGGGCTTCTTGAGGTCGGGGAAGTCCCAGAGCTTGTGCTCGTAGGGGATGTTGAGCTCCTTGAGGAGGAGGACGACCTTCCAGCTGAGGGAGAGAAGGTTAGTATGGGTTCTCGCAATAGGAGGGGGCGGAGAACTTACGGGTTGGGGCCGCCAGCGTGGCCGTGGAGAAGAATGGGCTTGAGAGACATGTTGTGTGGTGTAATTGATGTCAAGAAGTATGGAATAAACAGTCAATGGCTGCGTTGGAGCTGCACTGAGCTACCTTATATACCCTATCTACACCTCTTAGTGATAGTCTGGCCTCTTGCCCCACTTACCGTTGTTCGAAGGTTCCATGATGTCGATGCGGGAGGTAGCGTTTCGGCATTTTCGGTGTTAAGCTTGCATGTCTGGTACGCTGCTTAGAAACCCCATACCCCTCCTCGAAGAACTTTATTAAGCTCTGAACAACAGTGACAATCTTGCAGAAAAGCGGTGTGAGAAGCGCACAGGATAGTGGCGATATGATGGCTGATAAACATAAAAACCACATTGATGGTGGTACCTGATCCTTCGAGGCACCCGATTCAAGTGGAGACTCTCAAGATGATTGCGGGGAAATGTTTAGTTAACATGAAAAAAGACGGTAAATTAAGCTGCATTAAAATAGAAATAGAACTATTAGATGTTTCTGGAACTGGGTATCTCGCAGGAATGTAGCAAAAAAAAAGGACAAGTAGCAGAAAACAAACGTAGATCGTTGAATCATCAGTTGACACCCATGGCCATGTTGTTCCAGTAGTCCCAAAGACCACGAGAATCGAGTTGTCCTCTATCTTTTCGGCGACGGAGGGCCTCCACGTATGACAAGCTTCTTTGGCTTTTTTCGCGAGGGACTCTCTGCGTCTCCGTTGACGTTGTGAGGTTCGACTCTTTCTCCTGTGATCGGACTCTTGGCAATGGTTCTGCTGGTTCCGTTGAATCGTCGGACTCCGTATCCGTTGTTTCGTCGAGCTGAGTCTGGGGGTGTTGGGGGACCAGACTCTCTTTCTGATGACTGTCCGGAGTCTCGTCTTCGTTCGGCGCCTGAGGCTGCAGAGGGAGATGTTGGTCGTCTGGGAGATGTTGGCGTCAACATGGATGCAGGACCTTGAACTCTTTGTTATTCGAGTTCTGATGCGCGTAGAACGGCAGAAACAGGAGCTGAGTTGGGTAGGAATAGGCGTGGGGCTAAATACCTTTGCCTTTGCTGTTCAGACGTGGAGTGGTATCCTCGTGATATGCGTCCTCATCACCGTCGGTCGGGTCGTCGAATAGTATACCTCCAGTACCCTCCTTGATGGCATTGACCATGTCGACAGCAAAATCTGGATTGTCTTTGAAGCAGTTTCGGTAGCTCTCTGCATTCTTATCACTGTCCGGATCCATGATCTGTCGAGCAGCAATTTGAGCCATGAGCTTTCGGAAAGGCGAGCCTGTAGGAGAGCTGCGGTAGATGTCGTTGATCTCATCGGCGTCTGGAACAAGTTGGGCTTCGAGTAGTCCTTGTCTGTAGCGATCGATAGACTCGTTCTTCAGGTTGGGAATGTCGAACTTGTTGCAGAGCAGATATAGCTTGTGGCAAGCGACTGAGTAGTCGTACTTTTTCTCATCCGTCATATCAGACGTGTCGTCCAACGTCCCTTGGTATAGCCATTTTACAAGCAACTCAAACCCGGCAGGGTCCTGGTCAGGTAGGTCGAGTTCCGATCTTTTGGAAGCCTTCGGCGGTGCGGTGTCAAGAAACTCGGACTCGAAGTAGGGCGAGTGGTGACATAGTAGATTTCGGTGCAGCGACCAATGCCGGCGCTCTTCACCGACATAAAAGTCGATAGTCGGGCCAGAGAGGAGCCTTTTCCACAAGGTCTTAGCTTCGTCAGGCATTTGCGCCAACAGGAAACAAGCAGACAAAGCTCAAGTGGAAGCGATGCAGTGCAGTGTAACGTACTCGGCAAAGGTCTTTGCAGTTATCTCGCTGACGTTAGCTCTGGCCATGCGAAGTACTACGGGCGCGTTGTTGGCATACGCAAAGTCGCGCGAGTAGATTGGTGGCAGGTATCGATAGGCGTGCTGATACAGTCTTTCAGACCATGAACCCATGCGATGAAGCGAGTATTAAGTAGACGTGATGAAAGGCAAGGGAGCAGAACATGGCATTCCAGAGACGATGCGACAGGATTGAAAGGGGGGTTCAACAGGGCGCAGGAGAAGAATTGGAACAAGGATGGCTGGCTCCGTCATCATCGAGGGGTGACAAGGTTTCGGTACATTCTGCTCGACCTCCCGCCTGTCAACCCGCTGCCACCACGATTCCCCTTTTCGGTAATGATCTTCTGCTTACACCCATGACACGGAAAAGCACTCATCGCGTGATTGTTGAAGACTCGAGGACCTCTTGTACTGTACCTTATAAAGCGCGTGCATACATTTTGTTGGTTCCTCGAATCATACTATTGATTGCTTGGTAGGCAATCAACACTGCTTGTTGGTCCTCTGGAGTTCACGGCCCATCGTTTGAAAGCTGGGCTGGCGCGACGCGTGATAAGCTTGGCAAACTCGAGAGCGCTTCTGCCTTGCGACAGCAAATCCATATCAACTCTTTCGTTCGCGACACCATTTCTTTTCTTTCCATACCCACTATTTTCGCATCGTTTGTACGTGTCGCCGCTCATGACAATCCTTGTCGCTCTTACACATTCCCATCGCTCCTACGCTCGCCCGTAAGCATTTCTGCTGTTTTGCGCATTATCCTTCTGCACTCGCTCATACACATACAACACATAGGTGACGTCCCCATTTCTTTGAATCCTTGAGTCAGGGCTGCTCTCAAAGCCCGGTCGGGAGGTTGGGACCGGCTACGGTCAGCTTCAGAGTTAAGATGCCTAGGCGTTGACCACCAACATGGCAGAGTTCAATGGCAGGCCATTCTACTAGTCGCACTTCCGAGTGTTGCTAGGGTCTGTAGGGTCCGTTGGTCACCGATCGTCATCGTCTAACAGCTCATGAGCTGCAGACTTTACGAGCAGGTCAGCTGGTCTGATCTGTTAGGAGCCGTGAGAAACCCGACATTCGATCTCTAACCATGATGCTGGTCCGCTGCGGTACTATCTCTGTTGAGTCAGGGCTGCTCTATCACAAAGCCCGGGTGGGAGGGTCACGCTTACGCTTGCGTGGGGTTCTCATTTCTACTAATTCTCATTATTGCTTTTGACTGACAGGTCCATCTATCCAGTCGTATCTCAATAGATCAAATGGAACCAGACTTTTCTGTTGCATCGAATGCTTTCGTGCAAGTTTATGCAAACCTTCAAGATGACTCGATATCGCGACCATATCTCCTGGACATTGCTTTTGAAAAGGAAAAATTCCACCTCAAGCTTCGTGCTCAGGCAAGGCTTTGGAGCTCGCTCAGGAAGACAATCGTCTACCTGTTTCTTGACGCCAGCCACGTCGAAAGTCTTGTAGTATGCGATGAGGTCGCCCCACCCGACATCGCAAGTACCCTTATCAAGCAGGGCCGCTGCACGACGACATCCAAAATCACATGTTTGCAAATATTACTCAAACAACACGGGACTATCCTTGCTCCCAGAGCTACGCTGCAGAAAAAGCCGGCCATACGCGAAGATATGAAAGCCTTGATGCGGTTGAGCCGATGCAAAACGTTCAAAATATACATACCATCAGACTCTATTGACAAAGAGAAACTGTCGGGCCTCTGCAATGCGCTGGCGAGTAGCTCTGTCAGACCGGCACCGGACGTGGTGAAGACCTTATACGAAGGCAGGGGCAGCAATATTGTGACGAATGTCGACGACCTATGGACACTGGCGCCGGTCGAGGGTCCACCTTCGTACGATGCAGCAACGGCTGCTGGGGCAAGCGCCCATGGGTCGTCAGGTCACTCAGACACCGAACCATCGAGGGGTCCCAGAGCCCCTGGTAAGAGACAGATGTCTCCGGAACCAAGTCAGACACCTACGAAACGCCATGCTTTGATGCAGAAAGTTGCACCAGTGGCATGGGAGGCCGTAATCGCTGCTCAAGCCGCGCAGCTGGCCATGCTCAACGAACAGGTCACAGCGCAAGCAGTTCAAATGACTGCTTACAACACACAGCTTGCCGCTCTACGTGAAGAGATGCAGCATTCCCGGCGCCCCCCTATGGTCGACGCAGGGAGTCAAACCGAGCCAGCAGTTCCTGTGTCTGAGCATCACTCATCGCCAGCAACTCCTGTGTCTCAACAGCACTCGTCGCCAACGTTTTTTCCTAATTCAGCTAGCCAAGCTAGCACGATTGAGAACAGTATCGAAGACCGTCTCATAATGCTTGAGGATGGCTTGATCGACGAGCAAAGGATACGGAGATCATTAAACGAGAAGATAGATAACAACGACGAGCGAATCAAGCGAACACTCGATGTAGAGTGTAGCGGATTAGAGCACGCGGTCACGGAACTTGAATCTCGAGTCGAGGATATAGAGAACGACTTCAAAGAGGATTTACGGCAGGAGTTGTCGCTTGAGCTACAGACTAAGCTCGAGGAATTTATCGAGTTCCGACTAGAGGATGTAGAGGAAGTAGTCAAGCACGACGTGCGAATGGCAATGGAGAATGCGTCGTACAATTTCAAGATGGATCTAGGCTGGGTAGAATAATGTATATACAGCATAGGCATCTCATCCATGTCAATTCTCACCATTTCCAGCTGCTTCAAGACACTATGCCTGTCCGTTTAAGAGTTTCTAGTGGGAACAATCCCTATGACAAGCTCTCACTGGGACTTGCTCTATTTCTCAAAGACAGCGTGCATTTTGCTGGGCATATGGCGGAGTTCAGAGCATGTAGGATCTGTGTACATAGTAATGTCTATGCTCGGATAGCGTGAGATATGTAGATGTTATGCATATTTGTGAAAAGACAATCAAACGCGCTATGTCGCGCTTCGCGTCCACTCGGAAAGCGCTTCATGTTTGTCCGGAACCAAAGCACGATACGAACAAGATGAATCAATGAATGCAGATATTGAAGAACCGACGTTCTCAGATGATCTTGCAGCCCTCTACGAACAAGAAGCAGAAACACGCGCAGACAAGAAACGACGAGGAATTGTGATACAGCACCGAAGCTGGCCTTTGGCAGACGCTTTCCGCAGCGAAGACGACCGATCTAATTGTAGGATTGAAGACTGATATTTGATGACCTGTTTCTGATCAAGAGCCAGATCCACCTTCGAGTCAGGTTCTCTACAAACGCAATCACGACCCACCGTCTTCACCACCTGCGATGCCCTTCATGTCCTCGGCCATCGCACCACCACCCGCACCAGTCACAATGTCGCCCAAAGCAAAAGAGATGACGAACAATGTCTTCATGGAAGACTCTGATAGTGATGAAGAGATGCCTTTACCCCAGAAACAACCGAGCCCGGAGCAAAGTCAACCACAGGAGCAACCCGCTTCGAACAGCCAACAACCCACCTCGGCACCTACACAGTCGCAAGCCAGTCAACAGCCGACGAGTCAAAGTCAGAGCCAATCTCACGACCTAGGCTTGTCTCTCTTCGCCAAACGTACTATTCACAACCCGCTCCTCTCATCAAACAAGACTCCTTCGACGGCAAGAGTCGCTATCCGCACATCCTCTGGCAAGTCGTTTTCTGTCAGAAAGAAGCAGAATGCCGAAGCCTTGTCTACCGAAAGACTAGCAGCATCACGCTCCGAAGTCGTTGAAGGAAGAGCTCAGAGAAATTACTATGGCGTCGATATCCACAACCTGGTCAAGGAAGCAAAGGCCCAACAAGTCATCGACCAAGCAGAAGCAGAAAGAAAGGCTGCCCTGCCATCGATAGAGCCTGCTATTCTTACCGAGGGTACAAGCAAGAGCCAGAGAACATTGATGTGGACGGAAAAGTACAGAGCCCGCAAGTTCACCGAGCTTGTGGGAGACGACCGCACTCATCGGTCTGTCATGCATTGGCTCAAGCGATGGGATGAGATTGTGTTCCCTGGCTCGAGCAGAAAACCCAAACATCGCAAAAATGCAGAAAACCCTATCGAAGAACGACCGCATCGCAAAGTCTTGCTTCTTACCAGCCCTCCTGGTCTAGGAAAGACTACACTGGCTCATGTATGCGCTAGACAGGCAGGCTACGAAGTTCAAGAAATCAATGCTAGTGATGAAAGAAGCAGAGATGTTGTCAAAGGTCGTATCAGGGATATGGTCGGCACTGAGAACGTCAGAGGTGTGGATCAGAAGACTGCTGCAGGCAAGATTCGCAAAGCCGGCCGTCCTGTCTGTGTCATTGTTGATGAAGTCGACGGTGTTGTTGGTGGCAGTGGTGGTTCTGGTGAAGGAGGTTTCGTCAAGGCACTTCTCGACTTGGTTGCTCTCGACTCGAGGAATTCGAACAAGACGCGCTCGCAACAGCCACCTGGAAAGAAAAAGGGAGACAACTTCCGCCTACTACGACCTCTCATTTTGATCTGCAACGATGTCTATCACCCTTCGCTACGACCGCTTCGACAAAGTACTGCTGCTGAGATCATTCATGTCCGCAAACCAGCAATCAATTCCGTCGTTGCAAGAATGCAATCCATCTTCGACAAGGAGAACATTCCTTACGATGGCGATGGTGTGCGAAAGCTTTGTGAAGCCTCTTGGGGTATGACCAACCGCAAAGAAGGTGGTTCGGGCAGCAGTACAGGCGAGGGTGATATTCGAGGGATTTTGGTCGTGGGCGAGTGGATCGCAGGCAGACTACGAGCTACCCACGACCCACTCGCAAACTCGATGCAAAGACTAACTCGACGATGGATCGAAGCCAACATCCTAGCAGATCTCTCCCATGGAGGAGGTTCAGCAAGAGGAGTGGGCCGAGGCGGACCAAAAGAAGTAGTCGAACGTGTCTTTAAAGAAGGCGCTGGCTTCTCGAAACCTACAATGCTAGCCGCACCGTCAACTTCAACCACTGGCATGAAGGGTGTAGCTGAATCAGCAAAACGACAAGCCATGGACCGCCTGCGCGAGATGGTAAACACATCTGGTGACATTGACCGCATAATGACCGATTGCTTTTCCGCATTCCCGGATCAACCCTATCAAGATGACAACTACCTCAGCAAACCATCTGCAGCCTACGAATGGCTATACTTCCACGATCTTCTTTCCTCCGCCGTCTTCAGCCACAGTGAATGGGAATTGGCCACCTATCTCAGTCAACCAATCCTCGCTTTCCACCATCTTTTCGCCACACCCAATCGATCTCACGGTATGACTGGTAAATACAACGATGCGGAAAACGCAGAAGATGCGGAAACACCGATCCCATTTTCCGGCCCTCAAGCCTCCTTCCAAGCCCTTGAAGCTCAGAAATCAAACAAGGAGATCTTGCAAACGCTGCAATCTTCGCTATCACTGCCTCTGCTGCGTATGTTCCCTGCTCCAGCGGCTATGGCGACGGATTTCGTGCCCTACCTCACGAGAATGATAAATCCAAATGTCACTCCCGTGGTTGTGCAGAACAGTGGTACTTCTACCGCTTCCGTCCGTAAGGCTTCTGAGAAGACATTGGTGGCTAGAGCGGTCAATGCCATGACGGCATCTGGTGTGCGATTCGACCGTGTCCGCTTGGACTCGGAAACCTCCTCCTCCTCCACGATGCACACGTCTGGCCCGCAAACGTGGGTCTATCGTATGGAACCCGCTATTGATGATTTGGCTGTATACGAGACCCTTGACCTGAAAGCTGCGGGAATGGCTGCGGTGGATAAAACACGATTCGCCGTACGTCAAGTCTTGGATCAAGAATTCAACATCGCGACCAAGAAATCTGCGGAGGCGGCGAGGGTTACCAGAGGTGGTGGTGGTGCTATCACTTCTCTCACCGATGTCGTTGCTGGTGCTACTTTGCCCGCTGAGCAAGGCAAGGGCTTGAAGCTCAAACGAGACTTCTTCGGAAGAGTTGTTGAGAAAGCGGAAACAGCAGAGGAGGAAGACCAGGATGAGGGATCTAAGAAAAAGAGGAAAGTCGAGGAACAAGATGCGGAAAAGAGGGTTTGGGTCACTTTCCACGAAGGCTATTCCAATGCTGTGAGGAAACCTGTTTCGTTGAAGGAGTTGATTGGGGCGTTGTAGAAAGAGTAGGATGGGATGTTACAGAAGCTAGTATCAAGTTTTTTTCTGGTTTGATGGCTCCTTTTCTTGTTTTTTTCCGTCTTTCACTTGTTGTGTGTTCGATATCTTTGCTTTTGCTTCTCTTTACACGTTCATATGTCGTGTATGCGGTCGCTGTTTACCTAGAGATTGATCCAATGCTTTCTTTCTTTGCTGCATGTGGATGTCGTTCTTTCCTTCTCAATTCCCTTTTCCGTCATGTGTCCAACTTCTAGACGTGCGTCCTTGCTAATTCTTATGAGCACTGTCTTGTTTGCCACATACAATTCAAATACTCGATGGAAAACACAGGAAGAGATGGAGAAAAGGAAAGATTTGACAAGGGAGGAGAAGTATTTTGTTCAAAATTTCATTTCATTCTTTGCAGGTTTGTCGCGCGAGCTATAATCGTGATGAAAAGGTAGTACATTTGTCGGGAGGAAAAGAAAAATCATCATGAAAAGAGCAGGGAGAGGGAGAAAGAGCGTCATTTCTAAAACCTCCATCCAAATCCCTTTTGTTTTTGTTACATACCCTCTGGATATTTATTTCTTCTCAAAGCTTGCTCTTGAACTTATCGCTGTCGTTGGTCTTGAACAGAACCTCACTGTTCGGGTACGGGTCCACTGTGATTGCGTTCAAAGGGTTCAACTCGCTGGCACGGTAGAACATATCCTCATACACTTTGCCGTCGTAGCGACCGAGTGATGAATCGAGCTGCCAATCGGGGAAAGCCCATGCGTCAACCAATCTCACGGCGTGAGGGCGGATCTCGGCCAACAATTTCATAACGGCATTTGTGCGAGCAAGTTGGATCTGACGGACTGTGACGGCGGCGGAAGTGTAGAATTCGGAAGCCTCGGATTCGAGGGTGTGCAGGGCGTAGAGGCGGAAGAGCTTGTGCATGAGTTCTCTGGTTTCGGGGTCCAGCTCGGAGTTTACAGAAGACGAGTTGAGGGCTTCGTAGAAGTTCTTGACGACCATGTATTGCGAGTGTGCGCGAGACAGACGGTAAAAGTCAACGAGCAAGTCATTCCAGGCCTTCTTGTTCTCATCTCTGTGCTTGAGAGCTTCGAAAGTTAGGAAGGCTGATCTCCATGCGAAAGCGGAAACCAAATCTTCGTCCTTGTCCATGATGTTGAAGGCGGCGCCGGTTTCGGACTTGGCGAGGAAGTTTGCGAGGATGGCGGTCGTGTCGTTTGTGGGTTCGTTGCCCTTGAGGACGCTGCGGGCGGCCTTGAGTAGGTAGCGGGCTACTTGTTGGGTCAACATGTAGTTGTCGCCTTCCCAGGTGGCGGTGGGGAGGTAGTCGGCGTACCAGGGGCCGATACCTGAGAAGTTGCTGTAACCGTGACCACCGCAAGCGCGACGGCAGACCTCGAGGCCGTCGACGGCGGTGGATGAGGCGAGTGACTTGAGACCGCAGGAAGTGGCGTGGAGGTCGGCGAGCAGGTCGCTGCCAGGAGTGACTTCCTCGGGGCCTGCACCCCGCTTGGAGGTGCTAGCCTTGCCAGCATCCTGGCTCATCTTCTTCTGGTTGGCCTCGTAAAGCTGCATCATACCGCGACCTGTGAAGTGCAGGGCGTAGCAGGTTGCGAGCAGAGTCAGAAGTCTGATCTGAACAGTTGTGTAGTTGAGAACTTGGTTCTCGTCCGACTTTGGATCTTGAGCATCACGGTCCTGGAATTGACGACGGACGGCAGCGTAACGAGTGGCGATGGTAACACCACGAGCGAGGACACTACCAGACTGCAAGACGATGGTGCTACGAACCCAGGTGAGGGTACCGTAGATGAGCGAAGGCGAGGCAGGACGCAAGTACTTGCTGGTGCTAGGGTCGACGCTGGAGAAGCGAGCCAACATGCTGATGTGAGGCACCTTGACCTCGTTGAACAGCAGGAAACCGTTGTCCATGGTGTTGTAACCGAACTTGGGACCAATGTCACCAATGTGGATGTTCTCGAGCGGCTGGTGTGTCTTGAGATCACGGATCTGGACGACGAAGGGGTGGGGGCCGTAGGGCTTGTTGTTGATGTACAGCTGAGCCATGACGACGGCGTGGTTGGCAGTGCGGCCGAGAGAGCCGATCCACCACTTGCTGGCAGTCAGGGTGGGCGAGTTGATGATGAAAGTCTTGTCCTCGGCACTCCATGTTGCTGTTGTCTCGAGTCCTCGTACGTTTGAGCCATGGCCGAGCTCGGTCTGGGCGTAACAACCAATGTATTCGTAGTTTTGTGCTTTCTTCAGGAACTTCTCGTGCTGCTCGGGTGTGCCTTGGTCGCGAAGGGTGATCTGTGGAGCTTGTTAGCAGCTGTCTGGAGTGTCCATCATCGAGATACGACATACCAAGAACATGCTCTCGTGCAGGCCGTACGGACCAGGCTCACTGATCAGGTCATTGGCGACCGTCTTGTCCTGGTCGGTCCAGCCGTGCTTGACCTGCAGCTGTCGGAGTCTCTTTGCTCTGGCCAGTGCCGTCTCGAATCTGTCAATGCGTCCAGCAAAGTAGTTCTGCGACTTGTCAAAGACCTTCTCGTTCTGCAGGATCTTGAGGATCTTCTGCTTTCGGTCGAGTCCTTCTTGTGTGAACAGGAACGTCGACAGTGCCTCGACATTGACGTTGGACTTTGCTCGCTCTTGCGACAACAGCTCGGTGCCTTGGGGGCCCGCAGGCTTGAGGTCTTTGACCCATGAAGGTGTAGGTGCCATGATGTGTGATGATGTGAAGGGTTTGAGAGTGTGAGGAAACAATCAAGGTGATGATCGCTGCATTGTACTTAACACTGCGCCTTCGGCTGTTTGACTTCGACCCTGTCTCCCTGCCTCGGTGCCTCGGTTACGATACACTTTCTGGGGCAACCTGTGACTAGAGAACGCTGACGTGAACCATTTCACAACCTCTTGACAAGCCGGATTTCGCCTGTCCTCGCCGGACATCCTTTCACTGCAAAATTACTCGACTTTGCAAGGAACCGATCTTTATGCCTGTTCTCTGTCGAAAGAAAGCATCTTCGCCGGACTCCCTTGCTCGCATCTCTTACCCGAAGAAGCCGGTCACGTCCTCGAAGCCAATCTTCTCTGTTCGCTAACTAGTCTCGACGGCCCCATACTGTCGTTTTGTGGAGACGCCTTTGTCTGGGGCAAAACCACCTTCAAGTCTGTGCTCTCTCTCCATTTGCTTGTGAAAACGGCGAATCGTCCGACGAAGACGTGCACATGAAAGATGATGAATGATTGCATGATTCATGGACACGGATTTGTGTTAGGAGGTGCACATGAAAGCGGTAAAGGAGGTTATGTCGCTAAAAGTGCGTCTCACGGGAGACGGTGATTTTGCCGCTCGCTTCTCTCATGGCAACATCTTGGTGACTGGCCGAGCAATGTTATTAGCAATAGCAGTCGACCGTCTGAACAGATTAAATGGCAATGCTTGAATTGTGCTTTCTACTTTTTCCATCGAGCTAGACAGCTCGAGCTGTAGGGGCATGCTTGCCACGGATGATGGAGGCTATTTTTTGGTTTCGACCTTCGGAATATACCAAAATCCATTTCACCCTTGGTTGATGCCCACGATCGTACCAACCACCGCTCAGCGGTATCTTGAGATTAGAATGGACGCTTTTGTGCATTACAGCGCTAGTCAAGTGCCTTGTGGACCGTCCGATTGAGTGCCGATGCAAAATCGAACTTGTTAATGGTATGACCCTGTCAACTATCATGAAAGGGAATCACTCTGCTTCAGTACGCTCCATCTTCTCAAGCGCTGATACGTCAACGTCGCTGAGACGCCACATATACCACATGAACAAGCTCCTGTAAGAAACTTTAGACTCGAATCACAAGGGGTGCAGATCATGGCAAGATTTACCTGTATGGTGAGAACTTCTCTGCAGCTTCCAACATGGCTTGCTCAGAGCCCATGTACTTCCACTTACCTCCTCCTTTGGCCTTGAGTTTGTTGACGTCTTTGCCGGTATAGACTGCCAAACCACGTCTGAATATAGAGTCAGCACACTTTTCCGATCGACATGTGTTCAATCACGACTCACTGTACACCAAGATCTCCTGTAGAGAAGACGTTCATCCTCTTGAGATCGAAGCAGGCGAACATCTCAACACTCCACTTGCCCAAGCCTCTGACCGCTATCAGCTTCTCCATGACCTCTTCATCCGAAGCCTTTGCCAACATCTCAGCGCTCAGCCTGCCAGAGTCGAAGTGCTCGGCCAAGCCTTGAATATATTCCGCTTTCCTCTGACTCAATCCAGCAGTTCTGAGGGTCGGAATAGGCATCACAGCAACCAATGCAGGTGGCGGGAAATCAGGCGATCCAGCATAATTATGCGCTTCAGAAGCTTCAAACAGACCCACAAACTTCTTCTTGATACTGCTCGCTGCCGCACCTGAAACTTGCTGAGAAATGATACCAGAAGCCAGAGAACGGAAAGGATCAATTGGTTGTGCCAGTCCTTCGGCGTCAAAGACCTTGCAGTGGAACTTCTCAATGTATGGAGTCAGTCTTCCGTTTTCGTCCATGCGCTTGAGGTGGGCTACGGCGTCATCCAATATTGAATTGGTCGTGCCTGTTGGAGCAGGTCCGGCGATACCGCTACTCCAGGTCGAGTAGGCAGTAACCACCTTATTGGAATCGGGTGACTTGATTGGCGCATTTGCGACGTGAGGTTCTGCAGGTCTAGGAAGTGGATCTTGAAGTGGGACAGTTCCATTCATCTTCACCGCACTGTCTGGCAAGGCGGATTCTGTCTTCACAGCACTGATGTCCGCAGGCGTTGCAGTGTCATGTTCAACTTTCGTGCGCTTACGAGGTATTTCTCGTTTGGCAGGTGTGACTGATGTGGAGGTTTCTTCACCATTGATTATTGGAATTGCTTCGGCAGCAGATTTTGATAGGTCCGAATCTGCAGTAGATGCCTTGCGCTTTGTGACTTTGAGTTGGGCAGTAAGCGTAGGTGCCGCTTTCGGTAGCGCCTGCACTCGAGTAGAGCGTCTGAGAGCCATCCTAAGAAGGTTTGTAGATAACGAGACAGAAGCCAGTGTCAGAGTCAATCGAAGAGATGTGATGGAAGAATCGATTGGTAAGATTGGTTGATGGTTTGCAGAGTCACGGGAGGTGGTCGAGAGTTCTCAGGTCTGACGCAATGACGCATGCAAGTTGGTCGCTTTCACTCGCTACAACTGAAGATAGAGATGCAACACGAGTCACAAAGCAAGTAGATGCGTAAAATCTGCAAGTTTCGAGTGAGCAATTCGAATTGTAACAATGAATCACGTACGGGCACGTAGAATGGATATCAGATTAGGCAGTCGTGAGAGAAGCACAGACCATGCATGAAACGCGTGAGGCAAAATGGTTCGCCGAGTCCAGTTGCATGCATGCATATGGTGCATTTATAGGATAACTCTCGACCGCGACCGATATGTTGCCAATCGCAGACCCAATGTCAAATCCAGTATTGTCCATGTACTCGCGTATGTTATGATCGGTAGAGGATAGCGCGATGCAACTATGCGAGGTACACAAGAGAGTTGTAGAAACAGAGTAAGAATTGGCTCTTCTTGTATAATCTTTTCGAGTCAAAGGAAAAAGCGGTTTTGGACATTCTAAAGGTATAGAGTACATGAAAGCGGCGGCGACTCGGGGAATGCGAGCAGATGAAAGGGTTGGGGCGATTATTTCTTGATGACCATGGCGTCAAGGTCCATTCTCTCTCTGCGCTCGGCCTCGATCTCCTTGATGATAGGGCTCAGGTATGGGATATCCTGGTGCACGTGTAAGCAATTGGCCATCGGGAAGCAGGATATGTTGTAGAAAGACGCACCTCGTCGGGCTTGGTCTGCTCGTTCTTGGGGAGGAGCTGGTGTGAGATGGAGCACTGCAGTCGTATGTCAGTCGTGTATCCGGGTTGAGGTGGACGTTGGTCGAGTTGGGCGAACCTGGAAAGCGCGGCGCATGCGGAAGACACGGTCGTAGGCCTCCTTGGGCGGGAGACGCTTGAGGGCGAGGAGGACGGTCTCGGACTCCTCAGGAATCAGGTCGTCGGCTCTGCAAGGCACAAGCGACGTCAGCAATTGGGTCGGAATGGGCGATTGAATACGGGAGGGGCGGCGGACCTCAAGCCCAACTTTCTGTAGCCAGCGGCGTCGGTGTACCAGTTGGCGAGAGGGGTCATCCAGCGCTTCAACCAGGGGCGCTTGACAATGAAGTTGGTGAGCGAAGGCTGCGACATGGTGGCGGTATGTGTTGTGTGCGGAAGGAGGGAGCTTCAATGTCGACTGTCTTCACGTCGATAGACTTGAACTTGTCGTCCAACTTGCAAGCCCAGCCCAGTGCGAAGGGCGGACGCTGATTGGCTGCTTACGTCGACAGCGCTGATTGGCTGATCTCGGTCGTCTTGTCCCCCGCTCTTTCCGCCGACCGAAGCGGTTGTTCCCTTTGATGCTCCACGCCGACCGGGCCAAGGTTATTGCGCTATCTGCCTGCTTTCTGGACACGCTGCCACCTCAAACAATCCACTCAACTTTTGCTTAGCTGTGCCTTTCGCAAACATCCTCGCTCTTGGCCTTTTTGTGCAGATTCATGGAGACTTGCAATCGCTAACGAATCCTTTCTGGCGGTGCCGGGCCGCGCGCGCATACAACCTCCCGTAACTGCTCGACGACAATCAGTGACGGATCTTTCCTCACCGTCACTTCTATACCAACAATCTCCACTCAGTCCGACCTTTCCGAATCCGCCTCTGGCCTGAATATGCGAAGCTATTGAGGAATATACCCCGATACAATGTCAGCCCCGGCATCCGACTCCCACGATCTAACCATCCACAAATCCCCGCCATCTACTGCGACTCTCCTTGCTCAACGGCTGCCCAAGCCATATATCAATAGCTTCTGTGGTGCCGCTGCTGGTGTTGCTTCGGGTATCGTCACTTGCCCACTTGATGTTATCAAGACCAAGTTGCAGGCACAGGGCTCTTTCCGTCACCAACAACATTTACAAGGCTCTCCCTCAACCACCCAAGTCTACCGTGGTCTCGTTGGTACCGCAAGAACAATCGTTCGCCAGGATGGTCTCAAGGGCATGTATAGAGGTCTTGGACCCATGATACTTGGTTATCTGCCCACCTGGGCCGTCTACATGAGCATATACGACATAGCAAAGAGCTCATACTCGGAGCGTATTGGTGCGTTGTTCATGCTGTATTCAATCGTCCTATACTGACCTCTCCAAGAACCACAATGGTTTGCTCACGTATGCTCATCTGTCACGGCCGGCGCCTGCTCTACTCTCGCGACCAACCCAATCTGGGTCATCAAGACTCGTCTCATGTCCCAAATATCTACAAAAGCCGTCGAGGGTCACCGCACCCCCTGGCACTATAACAACACCTGGGATGCTGCTCGCCAGATGTACAAAGGCGAGGGCATCAAGGCTTTCTATTCTGGCCTGGCTCCTGCTCTTCTTGGTCTTACACACGTTGCTATTCAATTTCCTCTATATGAGTTCCTGAAACTCAAGTTTACCGGAGTCGAGATGGGTGCTGCTCCTTCGAGCCAAGGTACCAACTCGGTTGGTGTGCTCGCTGCCACCTGTATCAGCAAAATCTGCGCTACAACTGCCACATACCCCCACGAAGTCCTCCGTACTCGCCTGCAAACTCAGCAACGAGGCATTCCCAGCTCTGACGGAATGATCAACAAGCCTCGCTACCAAGGTGTGCTCAAAACCTGTCGACTCATCTTGTACGAAGAAGGCTGGAGAGCCTTTTACAGCGGCATGGGTACCAATCTTATCCGAGCCGTTCCTGCTGCCATGACCACGATGCTCACGTTCGAAACGCTCAAGAGCGTCATCGTTCGCATGCAGGCCGAGGACGAGCAAGGGCACCCTCAACCTCTTTAGATCGATGTTACATCCGACACAGCTTTTCTCATCCTCCATCTTACGAGCTACGCCCAAATGTATAGAAGCTTCTTTTACGTCTTGCCCGGACTGTTATCCTCATCTCGCTTTACCGACCAACTCCTCTGGGGCCTCTTTCAATTTTACACACGGCATTGCTTTGCATTTAAACCCCGGCTAGGGTGTTCACAGCAAGGCGTTCTGGCGTTTACTTTGCCCAAACAAATCTGGTGGTTCTTTTGCATGATTTCGTACTTTTTTAGTCCTGCGAAAATAAAATAACGTCAACTTCAGTCTTCATCTTACGTTTGGACGACGCGTGCGTTATAGATCACTCTATCCCTCGGCAAGCGAGTACAATGTCTCTCAGGTCGAATTTTGCTTACTAAGAAACTCTCTCATTGACGCGCTCCCTACCCAGCTGACACCTCGCCGCCGCCCGTACAGTCTAACCTTTATATTTTATAGATTCTGTGCCCTTGTAAGTTCTCAGCCGTGGTAGTGTAGTGGTTCAACACACCCGTGGTCTTAACACGTGCGCAGTCATTCGTTGTTACTCAACGCCGTGTCAGTCTAGATCCGAGGAGGTCGGGGGTTCGATTCCTTCCCATGGTGCTTATTCTTTTTTCATTTTTGCTTTTTGCTGTTTGTCCAAGCCACCTCGTTAGTTATGGCGTAGGTTCTTTGCTATCACGTTGGTGTTCTGAAACAATCAGCCCTTTGCTTGCACACCTTTCGGCAATGCCATTGTTGAGGTGGACGAAGGTAAGGCATATCGATGATTGATCGACATGATGAGCGTTCCCGTGGTAGTGATTTGAAGGTGGCAACTCGTTATTACCTACGACTGTAACTTTTAATCGATTGCACGCAAGTACATAAGAGAGCAGCGGCTGGACAACGTTTGTCATGGTAAATTCACGAAGAAGCAACAGACGCCGCCGTTGTTATGATATCTTACTTCCCTGAAGAAGGAGCGAGCGACGTGGTCTGTAGTGCCCGTCAATGTGAGGCAAAGTGGCTATGGCAGGGAATAATGAGCCAGGCACTGCGCGATAACTCATTGTAAGAGCTGCAATAAGTGAGCGGTAAAGCACATAGACGTAATCATGTATCAGAAGCAATGCGTGAGATATCCGGCCGGCTTCGACATCTAGCCAAGCCTTGAGCAATCCCGTCACCACTTGGGAGTGTGAGAAGTGCAGTAACTAAGCAAGCCTGCACAGCCAACATGTCAAAAGATGTCGGACAAAGCTGTGATGGAATTCATGAATTCAAGTGACGAACTGAGACGGAGATGGGAAAAGCCGGCGGACGAATCGGGAGCTGAGCGGGAGCGGGAAGACTAGATGGTAAAAGGCTAGCGTGGTTTGATTCGCGACCTGTCGCGCCCTCCTCTTTGGACTGGCGATTCCTCGCGGCGAAGCTCTCCAGACTTGCAACACTTGACGCTCTTAACGATTATCTCTTTTACGGCAGCTTGTTCTTTCTTGGGTCACAGTCGATCGGCGCATTCGATTCTTGTCTTTACCACCCTTAATTAACGACCTTGGTGTCTAGTCACACGACTGGATACACTGTAAACCATCAAAAGTCGCAAACCAGACTCGCTTTCCACCCCGCGTGTCTTCTCTACAGCACCTCTTTGCGCGCCCGACATTCACCACCACGTCAATCACTCGCACCCGAGCAACGTCCTTTAACGGCGCCCCATTGATGGAAGGCACATACTAGGTTATTGTTGAACGTTCTCATCGCTCGCTGTCGTGCGACACGGCGCAGCCATGACGGAGCGAAACCTTGACATCTTCGAGAGCAAACTCTCCGATCCGAACACAGGTATCCTTGAACCCCACTACAATTACCCCGTCGCCGGGACATTTGCTGACCATCTATCTAGACCTCCGGACAAAATGTAACTTCCTCATCGAGATCCGTGATGGCATGGACCATTGGTGCCAGGGCACCACCTACCCTGTCTTTCTGCAAAAGTTCGTCCCCATATTACTGGACATTCTCAGCGGCTCTCCGGTCTTCGTTAGTACATCGCCAGAGCAGCGGCTACGAAACTGCGCCCTCGAAATCCTACATCGTCTGCCCATGTCCACCCCGGACGTCACCGATCAGTATGCTCCACAGATTGTCGACAAGTTGCTGGAACTGGCACGAATTGAGAACGAGGATAATGCTGTGCTTTGCATGAAGATCATAATGGAGTTTGAGAGAAACCACCTGAACTCATGCGCAAGCAAAGTCCAGCCTTTCCTGGACCTCATCCTGGAGCTTTTCCAGACAATGGACCAGACCGTCAAGGATACTTTCGACACCCCAGCCGCGATAGGCTCATCTTCCGCCGTCGCCCCAGGCACGCCCCAATACAACTCGCCCAGGCCAGCTTCACCGGTCGCATCAACCACTTCTCTCACAGCCGACGTGGGTAGCGATCAGCCTCAGACCAGACAACTCCAGAAGGGAACACAGTCGTTCAAGCTTGTCGCAGAATGCCCCATCATCGTTGTTAGTATCTTCCAGGCGCATCGCAGCATGGTGGCCAAGAATGTCGAGGCCTTTGTTCATCGTATCAAGGCAATCCTGTCACTCCAAGCTGGACCGCAGAAGAGAGCACACGAAGAGGCTAGAGAAAGGGGCGTGGCTTTCGTGGGAGTAGCAAAGGACATCAAGAACCGTGCCGCTTTCGGAGAGCTTGTCACTGCTCAAGTCAAAACCATGAGTTTCTTGGCATACCTGCTGCGCGTTTACCAAAAATTGCTGGCAGACTTCCTTCACGAACTTCCGGAGATTGTCGTGCGTCTTCTGCAGGACTGTCCAAGAGAAAAGTCCAGCGCGAGAAAAGAGCTCTTGGTCGCTATCAGGCATATTGTGAACTTTAACATCAGAACTATATTCCTCCCGAAGCTTGACGAGTTGCTGGATGAGCGCACACTGATTGGTGACGGCTTGACGGTATACGAAACATTGCGCCCTTTGGCCTTCACTATGCTGGCCGATTTGATCCATCATGTCAGGGAAAATCTAAAGCCAGCACAGATCGAGAAGAGCATATTCGTCTACACCAAGAACCTACATGACGACTACCCGGGAACAAGCTTCCAGACCATGAGTGCGAAATTGCTCCTGAACATGGCGGAATGCATGGCAAAAGTCGAGGACAAGCAAGACGCTCGCTACTTCCTCACCTTAGTCTTGAACGCAATCGCCCAGAAGTTTGCGTCAATGAATCGTCAGTACCACAACGCCGTCAAGGCCTCCGCGCAGTATGCAGAGACGACGATGGAGGCGGGAGCCGAGAACTACCTCGCAGATGTCAACCAGAAGCCGGAATGGGACGAGATTGACATCTTCAACGCAACACCAGTCAAGACAAACAACCTTCGAGACCGCGGATCTGACCCTGTGGCCGACAACAAGTTCCTTTTCAAGAACCTCTTGCATGGCTTGAAGACGCTCTTCTATTCATTGCGCGCCTCGAACCCTACTCGTATTCGCGATGAAATGGATGCAGCCAACGTACCTCCGAACTGGCAAGACGTCTCGTATGGTTTCAACGCGGAAGAAGTCAACGTTCTGATCAAGCTCTTCCACGAGGGTGCCCAAGTCTTCCGCTACTACAACGCAGAGAAGACCCCCACTGAGACACCCATGATGAACCCTGTTGAGTTTCTCGCCAACAATCATATGATGAGCAGCGGAAAGGAGGAGAAAGACCTTCTCGAGACCTTTGCAACCATCTTCCATCACATCGACCCTGCCACATTCCACGAGGTCTTTCAAGCTGAAATTCCGCATCTCTACGAGATGATTTTTGATCATCCTGCTCTTCTGCACATCGCACAATTCTTGCTTGCTAGTGAGGCTACGTCTCCTGCGTTCTGCGGCATGATGTTGCAATTTTTGATGGGCAGACTTGAGGAAGTTGGCACTTCTGATGTTCAAAAGTCGAGCGTGCTGCTTAGACTTTTCAAGTTGTCTTTTATGGCGGTCACCCTATTCTCTGCGCAGAACGAACAAGTCCTCCTGCCTCATGTCACCAAACTCATCACCAGATCTATCGAGCTATCAGTGACAGCTGAAGACCCCACAAATTACTTCCTCCTTCTCCGATCACTCTTCAGAAGTATTGGAGGTGGTAGGTTCGAGAACTTATACAAGGAAATTTTGCCTCTGCTTGAGATGCTGCTGGAAGTGTTAAACAACCTCCTTATCTCGGCACGCAAACCGCAAGACAGAGACCTCTTCGTCGAATTGTCTCTTACAGTACCAGCTCGCCTCAGCCACCTGCTTCCTCACCTAAGTTACTTGATGAGACCTCTGGTTGTGGCTCTCCGTGCTGGCTCTGAACTGATTGCTCAAGGCCTTCGCACGCTAGAACTCTGCGTCGATAACCTCACTGCTGATTACCTCGACCCTATCATGGCGCCTGTGATTGATGAGCTGATGGCAGCTTTGTGGGATCACCTCAAGCCTCAGCCTTACAGTCACTTCCATGCTCACACAACGATGCGTATCCTAGGCAAGCTCGGAGGCCGTAATCGCAAGTTCCTCACCTCACCACCTGCTCTGGTTTACAAGCCATACGCCGATGACGAAGCAAGCTACGACATCAAGCTCATCGGCTCGATGAAGGACAGAGCATTCCCTGCCGCACTCGGTATCGACGTTGCTATTGACAAGTTGCGAGAGCAACCCAAAGCAGCAGCAGCTAAGAAGTCAGACGCTTTCCACAAACAACAAGCACTTAATCTCGTCAAGGCCCAGATCAAGCTGTTGGTCGGATTCGACCACTTACCAGACGACTTTGCGAGACTTGTCCGCTTGCAAGCAAATGACTTGTTTGACAAGAACTACGACGTTGGATATGATCATTTCTCATTGTCTCAGCGTGACAAGTCTGTTGCGAAGAAAGACGCCCAGCAAGCTACTCTGCTCAAATTGATCAAGGCTGCCATGTTAGCTGCTGCAGTCCCCGAACTGAAGCAAGACGTGGTACCTTTCTTGAACGGGCTCTACAAGCATCTGACCATTCTCGAACTCGGCCGATCGCTTGGACAAGAGAAGCACACCAAAAGACCGTTCGACCCAACCTCTGGTGAAGGCCCTGTCTTTGTTGATAGTAAAGTTATCGCAGATGCCATTGCCGACACATTGTCTTCGGACTCAGCAGAGGTTCGCGATGTTGCTTTCAACGCCTTGGACACGATGTGGAAATCGGCAGCTATGATATTTGGCTCAGAGGACCGAGTTGAACGTCTGCCATTCTTCCGCGACCTCACAAAGTCTTTGATCCATCACTGCTTCGAGGAAGAGTGGTTCTCAAAGTCTGGTGGCACTGCCGGTATCAACCACATCGTCAACAAGCTCAACTTCAGTGCCGCCTGGCTGAAAGACCGACAAATTGATCTCATCAGGGCGCTTTTCTTCGTGATGAAGGACATGCCCCAAGACCTCCCTGCCAATGTCCGCGTTCAAGCCAAGGACGTATTGAAAGACATTATCAGGAAGTGCAACGAAGGCACTCCAAGTTCAGACGTCGGCACGGCAAACACCACTATAAACAACGTCTCCAACAAGCTTGTCACCGAAGTGTCGCATATGAATCGACATGTTCGCGAGGCAGCTCAAGACGGTCTTCGACTGCTCGCCGAGGTCGTTGGAGTCAAGCTTTGGGAGATCGTCAAGCCAGTCAAGGAACTGGTCCTTCAGCCTATTTTCAACAAACCGCTTCGAGCTCTTCCTTTCTCCGTGCAAATCGGTTACATCGATGCTTTGAACTTCTGCTTGGACATGGAGAATGAGGTCTTGCACTTTGAAGATCGCCTCAACCGATCGCTCTTGGAGACGTTAGCTCTGGCAGACGCAGAGGACGATACTCTTGCACCGAAGCCAATGGAGCATAGAAGTGCCGAGTCCATAGTGAACCTCAGGGTTTCTTGCCTTCGCCTTCTGACCACTGCAATCCGATTGCCGGCATTCAACACATCGCCACATGCGCAACATCGTGGCCGCATTATTACCGTTTTCTTCAAGTCTCTGTACTCTAGAAACACTGAAGTAAAGACAACGGCCAACGCTGGTCTGCAAATAGTTCTGCAAGCCACTCAGAAGCTACCGAAAGACCTTCTCCAGAGCGGCTTGAGACCGATCCTCATGAATGTCCAGGACCCTCGCAAACTGAGCGTTGAGGGCTTAGAAGGTCTCCGCACGTTGCTCCAGCTTTTGACCAACTACTTCAAGGTTGAAATTGGTTCACGCTTGCTTGACCACATGAAGCATATTGCAGACGCGCAAAGCTTGCAAAAAGTGTCTTTCTCACTCATTGAGCAAAATCCGAAGATGCGTGTGGTCACAGCAATCTTTGGTGTCTTCCATCTTCTACCTGCCGCTGCTGTGCAATTTCTCCCTACGCTGGTCGAAAGGGTGCTTGAGCTTGAGCATAGTCTGCGCAGGACTCACTTCAGTCCATTCCGTGAGCCTTTGATCAAATACCTGAACCACTACTCGAAGGAAGCCTTAATCGACTTCAGTGCAAACCTGAAGGACGAGGCAAAGGGCAGATTCTTTGCTCAGATCTTGTCTGACAAGGCAGCCGCACCACTGCGGGCAGCCGTCATTGAGTCTGATGCCTTCTGGGCCCCGCTCACGGGTGAAGGTCTGACCGATGTCGAGAAGGATCAAGCAGCAGTGAATGCGGTGCATGTCGCTTTGTCCCTTTCGGAGTTCCCTGAAAGTCGCACTTGGCTCACTACACATGACAAGACCAGATTGGCTTTGTTCGAGGCTGCTAAGTATCTCCAACAGAAGCTTCAGAACAAGACATTGGCTTCATCGCTTCGTCTGCCAGTCGAACAGGTTGGAGACCAACTCATGATCATCATCACCAGATATCTCGCGGTGAAGCCAGATGACTTGGACTTCTTCTTCGATCTTGTACAAGCCTGCGCGAATGACGAACTCCCAGAGTCGCATCGCTTGTTCCACTTTATCTACGAGTTCATCATCACCAGCACGTCTGTTGACTATCAGCGCTCGGTTGCCGTCCGTTGCATTGACATCTACACCAACCGCCAAAAGACACCGCGCATGAAGTCTTTCGTTTTCCACAACATCTTGAATCCTATCTTCGCCATGGATATCCAACGCAACTGGGAAAGCCTCTTCGGTAATAACAAGGGCACTGAGCTATTTGACAAGTCGATGACCGATATTGTGCACGCCAAGCTGTGGAAACCCCAAGCCAACAGTGACATCTCCGAAGACCCTACCCAACCTGGTGTTGACCAGTCGAGAATGGAGTTGATTCAATTGACCTCTATGCTCCTCAAGTATCATCACAACATGCTATCTGATGCTCGCAAAGACGTGATCATGTTCGGCTGGACCTACATTCGACTTGAAGATACCATCAACAAGTACGCATCCTACGCGCTCATCTCATACTTCATCGCGCATTACGACACACCTGCCAAGATTGTTGTGCAGATCTACGGCAAGCTGCTGGGAGCACATCAGGCTGAGGGCAGACCTCTCGTCATGCAAGCTCTTGAGATTCTGGAGCCTGTTCTTGTCAAGCGTACTGGTGGTGAACAAGCCAGAGCACCTGCCTGGACTCGTATTCCTCGCCGTATACTCAGCGAAGAGACGTCTAACACACCACAACTCACCAGTATCTTCCAGTTCCTTGTCAGACATCCTGACCTCTTTTACGAGGCTAGAGAGTCCTTCGCATCCATTATCATTCCTTCTCTCAACAAGGTCGCACAGCTTCCGAACCCCTCCACCGAGAACAAGAGATTGGCCATTAACCTCTTCAGTATGATCTGGCACTGGGAAGAACGTACCGTCAAGGAAAATGGATCCCTTTCTGGTCCTCAATCTCCCGATAGCGAAGCAACCGTCGCAAACAAGAAGGCTGCTTCGGTTTCCTACGCTCTTCGTACAATGATGATCAAATACATGGTCAACTTCATTGCTATTCTGCCAGAGAGGTTCCCTGTTCCTAGCTCTACCGACGAAGGTAAGGATGCTAAGGAAGGTAAGGAACGTACCGCTCCTTCTTCCAACGAGACGATAAGGAAATCTTTGGAGTTGCTCTGGCGATTCTTGTCACCAGGCTACTGGGATGATATTGATGTCGATGCCATGTTCCCCAAGGTCACTGAACAGATCCTCCTCTCTGAACCCAAGCAGGATGAGAAGATGGAGGCCTGGACCAGCCGTGTCATCAACACGTTGCAGATGTTACGTGCTCTTGTCAACGCCAAATCCGACGAGTGGATTGTTGCTCGTCTGCCTCAGCTGCAAAAGCTGCTCGCAAAGTCGTTGAAGAGTGAAAGTGCCGAAATCCAGGATTGCTTGCATTGCAACAAGTCGGTGGATGGCTTCCCCGAACTCAAACCATTGATGAAAGCCATCTTGGATGCTGTACCTCTCCAACAGTCGGAAGAAGATTTGCCTGATGCCGAAAGCCCGACTGATGATTTCGTCAATTTCCTTTCTACCCTCGCGGGTGATTGTATGTCTGCTACTGGCAAAGACACTCAAGCTCAGACCGCTGGTATCAACGTCCTCTGGACTCTGGCGCAGCGCAAGGCAGACAGTGTGGACGCCCACATCCCTGCTCTTCTCAAAGCCCTTCAAGGTAACTTGGCAAAGAACCATCTTGCGGCCCAAATGCCGCAGCCAGTGGCTACCGCCAACGGTGTCGCAGCCCAACTTCCCGCCAATCCTCAAGAGGTCGACCTTAACACTGTCTTGATCATCAGAGTGATTGAGATGCTCTCTGCTCGTATTGGCGCGCTCGGAGAACAGCGCAGACCTTACCTGAGTGTTCTTGCTTCGCTCGTCGAAAGATCCCAAAACAACATGCTTTGTGAGAAGATTTTGAGCATGGTCGAAGAATGGGTATTCAACTCCACAGAGCCGGTTCCCACTCTCAAGGAGAAGACGGCCGTGCTGCAGAAGATGCTCATGTTTGAGAACCGCTCTGATCTGACACTTTACCACAAATTCTTGGACCTCGTCATCCGTATCTACGAGGACCCGAAGATCTTCAGATCTGAATTGGCTGTTCGTATGGAGCATGCTTTCCTCATTGGACTTAGAAGCCCCGATATTCCGATGCGCACACGTTTCATGACCATCTACGACCGCAATCTCAGTCGTACTGCTGCCAATCGTTTCTTCAAACTGCTCGCTGAGCAACAATGGGACGTACTGGCTGATAGCTTCTGGCTTAGCCAAGTCATTCACCTCATGTTCGGCTCCATCGACATGAACACTTCCTTGAAGTTGCACACGGACGACTTCAAGTGTCTGGCAGCTTCGAAGCTCTACAACACGCACTCCGCGGACCCGCGACTTGCTGATCTCATGCTCGACTCCGAGTTTGAGAACTTCATCGCAGGCCACAAGCGCTTCGTGCAAGAGCTTGGCGAAGTGAAAACTAGAGACGTGCTTGAACCGCTGGCCAACCTCCAACACACCGATTCAAACCTTGCTCATGACATTTGGACTGCCTATTTCCCACTCATTTGGTCGAGCCTGTCGAGAGACGACCGTGAGGATATGGAGACGGGTTTGATCAACCTCTTGACCAAAGACTTCCACCAACGCCAGACAGACAAGCGCCCCAATTGTGTTGCTACTCTGATCGACGGCATCGTTCGTGCTAGACCACGCGTCAAGTTCCCACCCCATGTGCTCAAGTTCCAAGCTAAGAACTACAATGCTTGGTACAGTGCCGCTACATACATCGAAGAGCTGGCAATGAAGCCTATCGTCGACACTCCTGCCATCCGTGAGAGTAACCTGGACGCTCTCGTCGAGCTTTATGCGACACTGCAGGAAGACGATCTGTTCTACGGTACTTGGCGCAGAAGATGCCAGTTCGTTGAGACTAACGCCGCTCTTTCATACGAGCAGAATGGCGTTTGGGACAAGGCTCAAGCAATGTATGAGCAAGCACAAATCAAGGCTCGTACCGGTTCCATCGCATTCTCACAAGGTGAGTACATGCTGTGGGAAGATCACTGGGTGTATTGTGCTGGTAAACTCCAGCAGTGGGAGATCCTGGGAGACTTTGCCAAACACGAAAACCTTAATGACCTTTTCCTCGAGGCGACCTGGCGCAACTTCGATGCTTGGGAAGAGCCCGAAAACCGCACTCAGCTAGACACAATCATCAAGGCTGTGTCCGATGCTCCTACCCCTCGTCGTATGTTCTTCCAAGCTTTCATGTCTTTGCTCAAGCTGCACAACAAGACCGAAACTCAGCAAGACTTTAACCGCATCTGCGATGAGAACATCCAGCTATCGATCAAGAACTGGCACAAGCTTCCCAAGCAAATAACTCAGGCTCATATCGGGCTGCTTCAGAACTTCCAGAACCTAGTCGAACTGCACGATGCCAGCGTTATCTGCAGCAGTCTTGCACAGACCACCTCTGCCAATCTCGACGTCAAGAGTCAGGAGCTCAAGTTGCTACTTGGCACGTGGAGAGACAGACTGCCCAACTTCTGGGACGACATCAATTCGTGGCAGGACTTGGTCACCTGGCGTCAACATATCTTCCAGCTTATAAACAGGACATACTTGACGCTGCTACCATCTACAAATCAGGGTAACGCCACAGGTCAGTCATATGCCTACCGTGGATACCATGAAACTGCTTGGATCATCAATCGATTTGCACATGTCGCTCGCAAGCACCAGATGCCAGATGTTTGCATCACTCAGCTAAGCAGAATCTACACTCTGCCTAACATCGAGATCCAAGAGGCTTTCCTCAAGTTGCGAGAGCAGGCCAAGTGCTGCTACCAGAACCGCAATGAGCTCACCAGCGGTCTGGATGTTATCAACAACACCAACCTTAATTACTTTGGTGCTCAGCAGAAAGCCGAATTCTACACTTTGAAGGGCATGTTCTTGGCCAAGCTCAACCACAAGGAAGAAGCTAACGACGCGTTTGGTACTGCTCTCTACTTCGACATCAAGCTTCCCAAGGCTTGGAGCGAGTGGGGTAGATACAACGATAACCTCTTCAAAGAGAAGCCCGAGGAGAGCATGGATAAGGCCAGCGCCGCGATTAGTTGTTACCTCGAAGCTGCCGGTCAATACAAGAGCGCCAAGTCAAGAAAGCTCCTCAGCAGAATTCTCTGGCTGCTCAGTCTGGATGATGCGGACAATACCCTCGCAAAGGCATTCGAGAACTTTAAGGGAGAAACTCCTGTTTGGTACTGGATCACGTTCATCCCTCAGCTGCTCAACAACTTGTCTCGCACCCCAAGTGAGGCCAATATTGCCCATGGCATCTTGAGCAAGCTTGCAAAGACATACCCACAAGCACTTTACTTCCAGCTGCGTACTAGCCGTGAAGATATGTTGGTCATCAAGAGAAGTCAAGAGGCTAAAGAGGCCAAGGAACGACAGCAAAGAGCCAGACAGTCCGGAGGCACACCCGCTGAAGGTGTCAAAGCAGAGACGAAGCCAAACGGAGAGACTGCCAGCGCCACTCCTCAGCCCATGTTTGACGATCAAGTTGCGAACCAGGGTACAAAAGTCGAAGAGCCCGCGAAGCCCAAGAAGCCTTGGGATCACACTGAAGAGCTTACTCAGACGCTCAAGACTGCCTTCCCTCTCCTGGCTCTGTCAATGGAGACCATGGTCGATCAAGTCCAAAAGTACTTCAAGTGTACTCTGGATGAAGATGCATACCGTCTTATCGTCGCTCTGCTGAACGATGGTCTGGCCTATGTGGGAAGATACCCGACCTCATACGCTCAAGGCGTGAATCTGCCACCGTCAACCGAGGCTAACATCACTCGCTTCGCGGAGTCCATTCTGCCAGCCCACATTCGCAAGTCGTTCGAAGCTGACTTTGTGACCAAGAAACCATCAATGTTTGAATACATTGCTAAGCTTCGCAGGTGGAGAGACAGATTCGAAGAGAAGCTCGACCGTAGAATGTCGAAGTGGCACCTCGAACAGACCACTCATCTGGCCGAGTTCCGTTTCTTAAAGTTTGATGAAGTCGAGGTGCCCGGGCAATATTTGCAGCATCGTGACAAGAACCAAGACTTCGTCAGGATTGAGCGCTTCTTGCCTGATGTTGAGCTCGTTAGAGGTGTTACTGGCTGTCATCGCAGACTGACAATTCGTGGTCATGATGGCAGTGTACATCCATTCGCCATTCAACACCCAACTGCAAGACACAGTAGGCGTGAGGAGAGAGTTTCGCAACTGTTCCGAATCTTCAACAGCACACTAGCCAAGAAGAAGGAGAGCAGACGCCGCAACTTGCAGTTCCACTTGCCTCTGATGATTCCTTTGTCTCCTGGTATCCGCATGGTCCAGGACGACGCTTCGTACATCAGTTTGCAAGGTATCTACGAAGACTACTGTCGCCGAAATGGCATCAACAAGGATGACCCGGTCTTGTTCCAAATCGACAAGCTCCGCGCCTTGACACCGGTAAGCAATCCCAACGGCATCGCCACAGAACGCGACACTGACCGATGGTTCCAGCAAAAACCCGAGCAGGCCGCAAGCATTCGCTTGGAGACCTTTAACGCCATCCAGGAGAAGTATGTGCCCAATGATGTCGTTCAAGACTACTTCCAGCAGACCTACCCTTCGTACGACTCGTTGTGGTTGTTCCGCCGCCAGTTCTCTTCGCAATTGGCTGCTCTCACGTTCATCACTTTCACCATGCACATGACTATGCGCTATCCTCACAAGATGTCGATCTCACGCGGCACTGGTAACATTTGGGGCTCAGAATTGGTGCCTGCAATGGCTGCTGCCAAGCCGTACTTCCACAACCCGGAAGCAGTGCCCTTCCGTCTGACACCCAACTTGCAGACCTTGATGGGCCCGATCCACACCGAGGGTATCTTCGTCGCCGCATTGATGGCGATTGCGCGCTGCCTGACAGACTCGTCTTCTTCACCCGCAAACTCGACTCCACCTGCCATTCCTACACCTACCAACTCGACCAATGGAGGTAACAACCAAGAGGAGTCTGAGACCAACACATCGGATCTTGAAGGCCAACTCAGTATCTTTATTCGTGATGAGATGAACTTCTGGTCGCTGCAGCAGCACAAGCAAAGCATCAAGGATGGAGAACTGCGCGAGCACGTCCACCGCAATGCTACCGGCATTGTCAAGAAGGCAGTTGCCATGGCCAAGGAACCGGACGCAAAGAACTTGCCTGCTAGTCAGAGCGTGCTGGACTTGGTGGCTAAGGCTACTGAGCCTAAGAACCTGTGCACGACTGATGCACTCTGGCAGGCTTGGCTCTAGATAGAGGAGGAGAAGGATGATGGTTCTTTTGAAGTTTTTCTGGTGTGCTTTCAAAATCCGTTGCTTTTATGCATAGCGCTAGGCGAAAAGGATAGGGGAAGGATCCTAGCGATTTGCTGTTTTGGCTCATGATTGAGATTCGATTCTTTCTATGTACTTATATACTTATCACTGTTTCACTTCACCGCTTTCCTCTCTTCGCTCTTTAGTTCCGTGAATCAAAGCGTTCGCTTCAACCAATGGTCAACGTGATAAAACTTGGCGGAGATTCGGATTGATCTCTGATCTCCAGCAATTAATCGCACAGCTTGGACTAATATCGAAAATGAAACTGTCATATCTTAGGTTCAGCGGGTCTCATCATGTAAATTGTACACAATGGCATCTCTTTGTTCGTTGCCATCTTCGCTGATCTCTACAAGCGGCCAGAGTGACGCTCCGAACAGTGGTTATCATAGACGCGATAAGAAAGCTTGGCGCATGAGTCAAGCACGCGGCGGGGTTGAGCTTCTGCGAGTGAAATTCACAATTGACCTTGTTTCGTCACACAACATCAATCATGGCAGCAGCACAAATCGCCGAATGGCAGAAGCGCGCAGAGGCCTTCAAGCCTCTTAACCTCAAGCAGATCGAGGGACCTATCGCCGAACTCGACGCACACCTCACCCTCCGCTCATACATTGTTGGCTACTCGGTCACCGACGCCGACCTTGATGTGTGGAAGGCCATTCGCGGCAACCGCATCGCCCACTCGTCCGTCATCAAGCAGGGTCTCTACATCAATGTCAGCCGCTGGTTCAACTTCATCGAGGAGAGCGAGCGTCCCGTCGTCGAGCTCGCCAGCCGTGGCAAGGAGATGGCTAAGAAGGCCGAGGGCAAGTCGGACCAGGGCAACTACGACATTGGTCTGCAGGGCACCGAGAAGGGCGTCGTCACTCGTTTCCCTCCGGAGCCTTCAGGCTACCTCCACATTGGCCACGCAAAGGCCGCTCTTCTCAACGACTACTTTGCCCACAAGAAGTACCAGGGCAAGATGATCCTCCGATTCGACGACACCAACCCCACCAACGAGAAGCAGGAGTTCGAAGACTCGATCGTTAAGGACCTCGAGCTCATGGGTATCAAGCCTGACCAGGTCACTCACACTTCCGACTACTTCCAGGAGCTCTACGAAGCCGCTGTCAAGATGATCAAGAACGGCAAGGCCTACGCCGACAACACTCCCCAGGAAATCCTCCGTGATGAGCGCATGAACAACGTCGACTCCAAGCACCGCAACGACTCGATCGAGGACAACCTTGCCCATTTCGAGGAGATGAAGAAGGGCACCCCCGAGGGTACCACCTGGTTCATCCGCGCAAAGATCAACATGCAGGACCCCAACGGTGCCATGCGCGATCCCGTCATCTACCGCTGCAGCCCTCAGGTTCACCACCGCACCGGTGACGCCTGGAAGATCTACCCCACCTACGACTTTGCCTGCCCTGTTGTCGACGCTGTTGAGGGCGTCACCCACGCCCTTCGTACCACTGAGTACAACGACCGCGATGCTCAGTTCCAGTGGATGCTCAAGGCCATGGACTTGCGCCATGTCTACAACTGGAACTTCGCCCGCATGGCCTTCGTTCGCACTTTCTTGTCCAAGCGCAAGCTGACCAAGATCGTCGACAAGGGTGATGTCTGGGGCTGGGACGACCCTCGTATGCCTACCGTCAGAGGTATCCGTCGTCGCGGCATGACTGTCCCTGCCCTACAGGAGTTCATTCTGTCTCAAGGTCCTTCAAAGTCCATCACTTTGATGGACTGGACCAAGATTTGGGCAACCAACAAGAAGCACATCGACCCCATCGCTGGTCGTTACACTGCCATCGACACCAAGGACAAGGTCACTGTCACCGTGACCGGCGCCCCTGCTACTCACACTGACATGAAGGACTTGCACGCCAAGAACCCCGCTGTCGGCCAAAAGAAGGTCGTCTTCAGCAAGAACATCATCCTCGACCAGACCGATGTCGCCTCGTTCGCCGAGGGCGAGGAGATCACCCTCATGAACTGGGGTAACGCCATTGTCAAGTCCAAGTCCACCACTGTCGTCGACGCACTCAAGTCTCCCCTCGCAACCCTCAGCGGCAACGCTCCCATCTCCAGCCTTGAGCTCGAGCTGCACCTCCAGGGTGATGTCAAGAAGACCTCCAAGAAGGTTACATGGCTCTCCACTGACCAGGAGCTCATCCCCGTCAAGCTCTACGAGTTCGACTACCTGCTCACCAAGGACAAGCTCGAGGAGGAGGACGATTTCGAGAAGTTCCTCAACCCTACCACTTCTGTCCTCACCGAGTGCTTGGCCGACTGCAACGTCGCCGACTTGAAGGAGGACGACATTATGCAGTTCGACCGCAAGGGCTTCTTCAGAGTGGACAAGGCTTTCAAGAATGGCGAGCCTGCCGTCTTGTTCCAGATCCCTACCGGAAAGGGCGGTAAATAGATGATTTCTCTTATGACGATGGAACGAAAAAGGAGCGCGATGTGGAAAAGTATGTAGGTGTAGATGAAAACAAACCAAAAATCTGCCATGGACGATCGCTCCTTCCGATGTTATTGATGATGCTAAATTTGTTCGTCGAATGGCAGGCAGTGTGTTGGCCCAGTAGGCTGTGACTTCCCTGCAGGCGCTTAGACCTTCTCAAATCCTTCGCCAGCGTGGATGTGATCGCTCTTGCATCTTCTCACGAGTCACCAAAATATCCTCCACTCGAACCGATGCCAGCGAATTCCGATATGCGATCGAACCTGTTCGTTCTCAAGTGGCGTTGTCGGCCTTATCTTCTACTGACTGATATTCTACAGTGGTTTCTAAGCGACCGTCGAGATGACGCTCGAGCCTCCTGTCGCTCGAATCCTACTAATCTATACTGCATGCATCGTATATTATGTGGCTGAATTGTTCCGCATGGCAAGGCCGCCAACTCACTGACGGTCCTTGTTGTACACAAAACCCGTCTTTCCCAACCGTTGTTAAGGTGAACCGTAACACCTCTTGAACCTTTAGCACGCTGTCATCGATACACGCCAATTGACTGCCTGTAGCGAATATAGGTCACTGCTACTACCTTGATTTGCTGAAACATTTGAACGACTTGGAATTCAGACTACTTATCTTAACCAACACCTTCCGTCTCACAGTGGACGACTGACCTGATTCTGCCAACGGAGACAACAAATGCGCGATGTCCTTCGTGAGTCGCCATTGGAAGCAGTCTTCCGACAAATCCGAGCCGGAGCCTCTCGTCCAGGAGGACACTGATGACAAAACAGACGACGACTCGTTTCTTCAACCTCGGGAGTTCGACGCACCGAGTCCAGGATACAATCTCTGGTTCGGAACTGGACAGTTCGAAGCACCCAAGGCCGGCAGGAGAGCGGGCTCTTATCTCGATCTGAGATACTTCATTCCGGTATTGGCGATAGTGTGTGCTATCGCAGCCATACCATTGACCATACCAGATGCCACAGGAGAAAATCTTGCATATGACTATCGCTATGGGATGAAGGTATATGACTGCGCGTCAGTATTGCCTAAGACTTGACGGCGTTGGGAGTTTACTGAACTTTATCAGGTCGGCGAGTGTAACTTCGAGTGGTACAATGCTTGGTGACTTGGGTATGTTCACACTGACTTCTGATGTTGAATCACCGAGCTTATTTACGCGACCTACCATAGCAATTAACCTTGTAGCTTTTGACAAGCTATCATTCACAGCGGCAAAAGCCATCGATCTTGCCTGGAACGTGCTTGCGGGCCGCCTCTCTCAATTTCTTGCGGCATACCTCTGCTATCGCGTGTCGACTGGAGTATTGTATCTTACGGCCGAGCAACAGAGGGTACCTGCAGAAGCATTTGCAGCGCTATCGTTGAATCCGAACAGCATATGGAGCTGTCTACCGGTCTTCAAGTCGTTGTCTCTCACCAAGATGAGACTGTTCAATAGGCTGGCTCTTGTTTGGGTCATCGTCTCCACAATATATCTACTCTGTATTGTCACGATGGTCGATTTGATGACTGGATATCAGACGGGACAGGCGACATGGGTAAGCATCTTCATGAGAACTCAGGGAATAGCCGGCTAACCAATTCTCACAGCTCAAGCAACCGAACGGAAAGATGGTCAACACAGACGTAGGGCCTGAAGCCATATTGAAAGACCTTCCCACTACAACTCCACCTCAGAATATCACCATGCCTGGTGGTAAACTAGTCACACTACACTGGAACGAAGATACCGGAGACATCCATGTTCGCCAAGCGCCAATGCCGACCGATCCAAATACCAATGAGAGCACAATCTTCTACCAATCATGTGTTGATCGCGAGACGATGGGCATATACTACCTCAACGTCACATACACCACTCCAGATTACTGGTCCCCGTTCACAACATTCGACAATGGTACTCGCCATGGTAGTACGCCCAGTCTTATCACCAGCTATGAAGACGAGTCCTGCAATACCCTGTTCGTGACTCTGCAGTTGAGCTACTACGACCTCTCTTACGGAGTAAATCGCACATTCTGGGAAAATCCGACTAATTTCCTGTGCGTACCGGCTGACTATTATCGCTGGGTAATTTTTCGCTATACACCGCACACGGAATGCTCACATACTGACACACGATGCAGGGCTTCTCGCAGCGCTACACCATTCTCCTCACCTCCATCAACAGCGTCTGGCTCCTCATCACAGCTGCACTATGGCTATACGTCGAACTCTACAGTCAATTACTCCAAAAGCGCGGTCGCCTGGACAAGTGGCGTGCAGTTTTGGACATGGCATCCGCTCTACAACAGAGATTTGGTCACGACACTGGAGCTTATACGGAAGATGAATTGGAAAAGGAGGTTGAGAAATTGACGCCTTTGTGCTATAGTACTGTTGCGCATGAGGGGATTAATGATGAGAGGATTGTGTTGGAGGAGTGTGAGAAGGGTGAGAATTGGAGAAAAGGGAGGTTGAGGTTGAGGTGGAAGGTCAAGTATTGGTGATTAGGATGGCGCCGGTCATACGGTTCGCATGTTGTCTACTGTGTTTAGTCGAGGTTACGATAATTTCACTTCAAGCACTCCTTCGTTCAAATCAAGAGAGAAACAATCACGAGCTCCTATCCATCATAGTATATACGCAGAATGCACTCGGTATCAGCGAATGCGTGTGTCGGGGCAAGACCAATTAGAAGCAGAGCTTCCTGAAACCGATCTTCGCACCAGCCCAATAAGCAGTTTAATAGTCTTAAGGCAGGCCTTGAAGAAGTCATGTTCGCAGTTGAACTCGCCACCAAATTGATTATAGCGGTTGTAATGGGGCAGCACTGGCGCCGTGTTTTCGGTGTGACTTGATAGAGCTGGTCAATCACCCAGTTCTTCTTTAAGTTGCCTAGATTGTCGTTTCCAACAGATAGCCAGGCGTTGGAGCTTAATCCGGCATTTTTTCAGCAACACCGGTTGTGCCCTATCATGTTAATTTCTTTGTGTTTCTTTTGTTTGGTTTCTAGTCTCCTGTTCTTTGTGGCACCAACCTCTTCTCCTCACAATGGCTCGTTTGATAACCATACACGGACGGAAGAGGCTTTAAAGATATCCTCTGTCATGATTGTGTCTTTGTCACCTCGTGATCCGACGACGCTGCTTTTTTCTTTTCCTTTCTCAACATGATCACTGCCACCGAGTGGATAACAGACCATTCTCGAATGTGTCCACGGGTGATCAGGAGAGTCGCTGGGGACGTTGGTAATGGGTACAGTCGAGACTGGTTGAGGACTTGAATGCTTGCTCGGAGATCGACGGTGGCTCGGGCGAAAAGAATGATCCTGAAGTGGTTGTAAGAGGTGACGATGTAATTATCAGGAGAAGAGATGAACCAGTATGCTACCGGAAGGCTTTGCTAACAGCGATGGGTCGATGTCAGCTCTTCATCAACAGGAAAGCCACATCATCTGCCAGAAACATCCTCAGTCAGCATATCAACTCAACGACTCAATAACCATCAGCGCTGCGATCAACATCACCTCAAGATCACCTCGTATCTCCACCCATCTACCCACATCCATCAAAACCACTCAACCCAGTCTTCATTACATTAACCGGTTAACCCGCTTTTACACCGCCCCAAGACAACGACACACGCGAAGGAGCAAACTTGCAAATCGGCACGAAGGCGTCAGCAGAGGGAAGCCTAGGCGGTGGCCTTGGGTCTCGCAGCCATGGGACTGGAGTAAGGGTGTCGCGTGATGGGCCGTCGCTGGTAGAAGTGCTAGGGGAATTTGATGGAGGTGGGTAGATGGGTGGAGATGGGAGATGATGGTTGATGGTGGGAAGAACTTGACGGATGTGCGTTGAGACGGATTGGAAGGTGCAGAGGATATGACGTTGAAAAAATTTCTTGGAAGGAGGTGGGTTGGTTGCGTCTTCCTGGAATTTGACTTCAAGCACATTCATGAGGCCGGACACTCTAGCCTGTCAACAACTGCAACACCTTAGCCATCGACTGTCTCTTGATTCTGCAGTTTGCTGCATCTCTGGTCGCCACTTCCATGATGTATATCTGTCTGTATCAAGTTGATTCGCTCTACGCTAGTATCCCGAGTTGGCACATTGAGTGTTCATTGTTCTTCCAATTGCAAGTCGCTCCTTCCATCAAAGAACGTCAACAAAAGATATCGTCAACAAAGCGCATAAAGAGTGGAAGTTGCGAAGCCTCTCCGCCCACGGAACAACGAGCGCAACAAAGGCTAGACAATGACAATGTCAATATCAAATTTGCCATGTGTGCCACAAAAGAATTGTTCTTTGAAGCGTCTTCGACGACCAAGCCACCAAGAGAGGAGTATAAGTCTTCCATCCCCGCTCTTCTGAGTCCGCTCATACATATTTCCGTTCGCCACTTTTTTGTTTCTGTTCTCAACACGGCTGTGCCGCTGCCCACTACTTTCATCATGTCTACAACACTTAGCCAGCTGGTTCTGGATATCATCGTTTTCAGTATTACTTATTATATCATCCTTTCCCCACTAATGCAGCGTGCTTTAGAATACAGTTATGGACAGCCGATAACACCTTTGAGGTTCACAGCAAAGTTCGACAGTATCAAGAATTGGATCAGAAATCAACTCCGCGACGACCATGAGATCCAAGATTGGATCAAGCAACAAGTGCAGAGGAACCGGGATGCAGAGTCAAAGTCTGCCACAGCGTCGACAAATTTGACTGCAACAACTGAGGTGGAACCGACTGAGTGCGACAGATGCTGTGGGCTATTCGAAGATGAATCATCTATATTGAGATGGTGCTGCGGATGCACCTGGTGTGCAGAGTGCGTGGAATCATCTTTCGAAACTGCCATTAATGAGGGAGATAAAGCTGCGGACAAACCTCTGAGGGCATTGAGTAAGAGATGCCCTTTCGCCCAGAAGCACACTATTCGTGAGATGCTTCCCAGATCTGAGGCTGTGCTGTCCGAAGGCTTCTATAGACACATTCAGAGAATGATCATGGAGCAAGACACCTTGGCTAGCATCAACATGGAGAAGAACGATTGGATGCTCGAGGCTGATGAAGATGAAGAGGTTGTGAAGAGGAGGTCGCTTCTCGACTTTTCTCCCATCAAGCGCGAATCTTGGTAATTGAATAATCGATAATAGAAATTCTCATGAACCACTAGATCCGAGATATTCAATGTGTGCAATGTACAGACTGTGATCATGTGCTAGCCAGTGAGTTGTCTTCGGAAGCAAAAACCTGCGACAAATCCAAGTCTTTACTAGGACCACGCTGTCCAGTCTTGAACTGTTGAAGCCGACCTCCGACTTCAGCGAGAAGTGGCCCTGCGAATGTTGAGTGCAGTAATGTGCCATCCAGGAGTAAATCATGAAAGGTCTGGTTTTCCAGTAGAGTCTCAATGTTCTCAAGGCATAACTCGAAAGCAGTATCTTGTAGCGATGTGTCGGCAAGGAACAGAGCAGAAGGACCAAGTAGTCGTTGGAAAGCGCAAGGGACGACTCTAAAGCACATCAGGTTGCACACGTCCATGGAGAACCAATCTACGATGTCGGCACGCAAGGTTGAAACGTCGTACTGGTCCGCCAGAGCAAACAGGCTGATACCCAAGTCTAGAGTTTGGGGCATCGGCACCGAACATCGCAGGTCGGAATAGGAGGAACCATTGAGGTACCGCAGCATCAGGAGAACCAGTTCAAGATCGTCTTCATCACCAAGATCAATGATAGGGCTCGCAGCAACCTTCGCTGTCAGCTTAATGGCCCAATATCCGAGTCCTCGTGCCATCCTACCGGAAAATCTCCATAGAAAGCCCTTTCAAAATACTTTGATCCGGCTGCGAGGCGGCACTTGGTAGCCAGAAATCGGTTGTTCCTGAACTTCACTGTGACACTGAGCTTAGACTCCAGAAGACTGCGTGGATCCATGCTATGCTGTCGTCAGCATCATGGTGCACTGATGTGGTTGACATCACACAAACCTTCTCAAGACTGTGTGGTCTTCCATGAGATCTCTACCGAACGAACTGATCTGGAAGTATTTTGCTAGAAGATGGAGTGAGAGATAGAGGGCATGGTTCTGAAGGCCTACTGCGTCTTGAATTATCACATACTATCACTGAAAGCATGAAAGCCTGCGCCGAAACATCTTCCATGCAGAAGACTGCGAGCCTTGAGACAACCAAGACTATGTCAAACGATATCAGAACAGCAATAACGCTTCTGTGTTGCAGATTTTGTAAGAGTCGCCTTTCAAGATGCAAGACAATGAATTTGGTTCTTTGTCCCAAATGGTGAACCGATATCCGGATACGTGAGCTCGCGCGACATGGTTGCAGTGCCGCGGCGGATAGGACTCGTTCTTTCAGAGGTAAGATCAAGAACCCATGAAGCGCGTCTCTTATTTGCGAGATGACACGACTTTGCAAGGCAAATAGCAGGTCAAAGAAGAAGTCCAAGTCGTCGCCAACCCTAAAACCACTTTAATACGATCCTGTCGTCTAGGAGAACAACCAAGACGATCCCGAATCGGGTGTGTGTAAGAGCCCATCTGAGAGCATTGTGAAGAAGTTGCAAAGATATTGGTTGATAGCGGTAAAGTCTGTGCGACGAGATAGGGTAAGAGTGCCGCAGAATTTTGTAAGAAAGTATGGTGTAAGGAGAATGGCAAGTCCATGGAAGAGGCGGAAGTGTGGCTACAGAGTGTCAGAACTGATCGGTACATTAGTTATGTGTATTGAGTCGGCTTGGGTAAGTCAGCGATGTGTTGGATGCACGTCGCAGCTATCAATGCAGACAAGTCGTGGAAGACGAATTAAAGAAGCTTGCGGCGAGGCGTCATTGGGCTTGCAAGGTCTTGTCTCTCTAGAGCCTAAACTGCTGCTTAGGCGCGACCGATGGAAAGATAATCGCAGGCGCATGCTCTAGCAACATGTGTTAAGAAGGGAATATGTCCGTGGAAATGCACAAAGAGTTTGGAGCATTGGTGGTTGTCCATTGAGGTCTCGAGCTCGTTGCTACTTCGGATCCAACATCTTGGTGCAACCTGAAAATAACGACGGTTACTTCAAGCGTTGGGTGGCAGTCGCGTCCGAGGGGTCCATGTGGTGAGAACAATGTGGTGGAAACAACGCCAAGGCCGATGGGACCCTGGAGCGTGACAACTCGTGGGAAGCTTGGCAGAGCGCGCAGGTCAATTTTGTTTTTGGCAAAATTTGATTCATCAACTGGTTCTGTGGTGTAGTTGGTTATCACTTCTGTCTAACACACAGGCGGTCCCCGGTTCGAACCCGGGCGGAATCATCATTTTGGCTGAATTGTGCATCATTTTTGGTCTATCAAAGGTCACGGTATAGAGGTTTGGACAGGTGGTTGGAATTTTGGAATTTTATGGCGTGGAAGGTGCGGCAGTCGCGGCGTCACATTCTCCCGATTCCCCGACGGCGTGGTAAGCACGCGACAACACACCGAATTTGAAACAACGACCTTCGTTCCTTCCATTGTTCAATGCTTTTGGCTGCCCTAGCATTCGTGACTTTGTTAAGTGCGATAGTACAGTACAACAGGGGTAGATGATACTCGAATCACCTCCGACCTCTGGAACACCTTATCATCCGTTGTCCGACTTCCACGACCCAGCCCTTGCCTCCTCACTCGTTGACACCGGACTTCAGGTCGATTCTTGATTTATATCACGATGTGCAATAGCTGAGCCACCTCGTCCTCCTGCGCATACTCCAGAAGGCGCTTCAGAGCTTGTGTCTTGGTGATGACGATAGGCACAGTCTCGATCGAGAGGATGGGACTGAACTTCAGCAGAGTCAGCTCGACAGTGGCTTCGAGCGAGGCTTCTGGGTAAGAGACATCGAACTCGAACATCTGCAGCCCTCTCTCGTCTTCATTCCCGGACGACACGAGCTTGATTCTCGCTCTGCGAAGAAGCTGTCTCGCTTGATCCATTGAGATCTTACTGGACGTTTCGTGGAATATGGGTTCCATCCTTGCAATTGGGGCCGGTAGTGAAGTCTCATGGTGAGGCGCGATGGTCGGACGACCCACGAAATGCTTGCTGAGACTACCAATAGCAATTTTTTCTAAAGCGCGGATAACGCGCTCGCGACTACGGCCTACCGGTGCAGTGTTGATCGATTCCATCGCAGAGAGCTTGAGAGTTGGCGCTTGGAAAAGAGCTTTGGGTAGAGTGGCAGTGATACGCACCCGGGGTGTATTATCAGTTTCGGCGACAGAACACGAGAGTTCAATGTGTTGCATCAGATGAGCCATAACGGTTCTTGAGGCTTCGTGAGCCGAGGTGCTCTCCAATGAGACCTCGGGTCGCTCCTGAGTGCCATCCAGGGGATCCACGGAAGACTGTTGCGATCTAGACACAGTGTTCTGGCTAGAGATCCTGTTCTTGCGTGTCGAGCCATCGCTGTCACTCGTATCACTCCGCTTCCGTTTGTGTCCTTGTTTGAGTGCGCTGTGGCGAATATCGCTTTCGAGGGCGCAGGCTGAGGGTGTCACCTGGTGCCTCTTCTCGTCGTCGATGGATATGCGCCCATTCGTCGAGTCCTGTGACTGGGCTAGTAGCCGATCACGAAGCTCGGTCTCAGAGCGTCGCGATGGGATGCTATGCCGATGGAGAGACCGCTGCTCTCGCAACCACTTGGAACCGGGCAGGAAGGGAAGTTCTGGCGGCTCGGAGCTTGAGAGAGCGATACCGGGATTATCAGGATCAAGAGCCCGGCGCATCGACTTGAAGTTGGACAGAATCTCGTACACACCGATTAGGTACGTATTCTGATCCTCTCTGATAAGATTGGCAAAGTCGAAGAGTCTGGTGAAAGGTGGCCAGATTTTGTCTTCGTCCACTCTTTCAGCAGTTCCCACTGGCCTGAATGCTGTATGTTCGGGGCCGTAGCAAAACACGATCTTGCGTGCCTTTTCTTCATACAGCGGACGATATCCCACAGCGAAGACACCATCTTCAAACTTCTTGCGGCCTAGCAACACATAACCATCATCCCAAACTAAGTCAAGGTGCTGTACGAATGCGAAAAGTGCTGTTTCGCAGCGACGTTTCCTCCACTCTGCATCGACTTTGGCAAGCAGCTCGAGTTCATTCCTGATGGCGTTTGTGGGCGTCCAGCCGGCTTCTTTACAAAGGTTGTCGAATCGTGTACGAACGAGCTCTTTGACCTCTATAGAGTCTGCCTCGGAAACTCGTATAGTGTCAGGATTTATCACGTACTTGAGCGGCGACTCTCTTGTCTGGATTTTGTTGCGACTGTCTACTTGGGCGGCACTGGAAGACTCCATGATTGTCTGGATTGATCGTCAGGGACTGCTTCTGGGCGGATCGGTATCAAGACAAACCTTGGTATCAGACGTCGCGATGAGACAATTGCGATGTTGCTCCGAAAGGAACGTTTGGCTGGTAAACAAATGTGTACGCAAGCAGTCGCTGAAGAGCTGGTGATCAAGGTTATTCAACAAGTGAGATGTTGCGGCAATGAACCAAACAAAAGTATGCAGTAAATACACGTAAAAAATTGAAGGAACTTCTGCAAACAAATCGTGCTGACGATCGACGAAAACCAGTCCACGGTTTGAGCTGGATGAAACAAATCGTTTATAGGGAGCTTGAAAGGACGACGTCGGAGTCGGCGACTCTGACATGCAGAACCCGAGAGATCTCTCACGTCAGGAAGGCTGAGGAAGCAAAAGAAAAGGATAAAAACGTTCCGTTTGCTGGTGAAAATCGAAGGACGATTGTATGTACGGCACGTGATGATGTCTGTGTAACGTGAAAAACTGATAGATCACTTTTACGCATCACCAGTCTACTGTCAACCTAACAAAGCAGTTCAATCTACAAGCGAGCGATCTTATCCGCAGCATCGTCTTGAATAGATTGCAGTAGAACATGCAAAGTGCACACTTCGCGACCTCTTTCACCATCTCTCACAATCCAAAACACAACCTTCCATCGGATTCATATTTCAACAAATCCATCCCTCACCATCGAACCGGTGGTGTGGTGCAGTTGGCAGCTCGTGACTCACTGTGGACTATTGGCCACCGGTTCGATTCACACCAACGCCATTTGACTAGAGGTCCCAGTAATCCTCACCCGACAACAATTATGATGAAAATTGGTTTCTCTCCCCTCCAGAGCTAGTCTCCTGGGGGGTTTCTGTTTTGCCAAAGTTTGAGAAATCTTTGGTGATGGTTTGATTTTGCGCATTAGGGGAGATGTTGCTGGTGTGTGTGAAGATGCGAGATGAAGTCAAATATGCGGCTGCTGTGTGTTGCAACTACGCGAGGTCCGTCAGTTGTCAACAAAGATCTCCTTAGGCCGTCTATCCACATTTACAAGGAGAGACTCTGCCAACAGATGTTCTCTAGCTTTGAACACTATGGTCTCTCTTCTGTTCATTCAGAAACGCTGAGCGAGGCACCCAATCATCTTCGAGGCGCTATCACGATCATACAACTCGCATGTCGCCTGATAGCCGTGGTATTATTGATATGTGAGTCCTGACAGATACCCTCCCCATGGCACATCTCGAGCGCAGTCAGATATCCCTGAGTCTTGCACATTCAATTCAATGACATAGGCTTTCTCACTGCGAATTTTGATAGGATTGAACAACAACTTCGCAATTTCCTGGGCTACATATGAACCTTGAATGTGTTTTTATCTTTCTCCAAGGTCGTTCCAGCTCTGTCGGTCATTCTCCTCGACAAATGAACATTCACCGAGAGCAATTTTAGACTTGTGATCTCTTCGTGGGTGTTCCTTCGGTAGAACCACTAGCTCTACGCTTGTGCGAGGAGCGACGGATGCTTGAAGGTGCTTGACGAGGAGTAGAGCGTCCAATCTGTTGGATCTCTTGGGTGTAGAAGGTCCAGCTCCAGCATTGTCGAATGATTGTCCCTCCTTCTCTTCCAGAGTCTCGGAGCTATTGGTATCTCCAGTGGCGTGTTCGGCAGGTCTGATTGTTCCATCGCGCATTCAGGCAGAGTTGGGCAGAAAAGGGAGCTCTGCAGGTTGAGAAGGTGGAAGAATCATATTTCTGGTCGGATCGAAAGAGCAGCGCATGGAAGGAAACATCGCCAAGATCCAGTAGATACCCATGAGGTATGTATGCAGATCATTGGGCATTTGAGATTCGCCCAGGAGACTGATGAAGGAAGCATGGCATTCAAGAACCCTGTCCCTAGAGCCAGTGAAGGAGATCTTGTCGGCATCTTGAGCGAATCTGATTTTCGTCTGCAAAGCTTGACCACTTTGTACCAACGTGAGCGAAGCCCTCCTCAGCGTAATTTCTGCCGAGAAGAACCCATCCGTCCTCCTAGATAAAGTCGAAGTGCTGCACAAAGGCCAGAAGAGCTGGTTCAACTTCAAAGAGTCACCAAGTCATCACTGCGACCTCTTGGATCTTGTTTCTGACGGCGGTGGTAGGTGCCCATCCGGCGTTTTGGCAGAGGTGGTCGAATTGATCTTCCCATTGCCACTTGATCTTGATAGGTTGCATCTCTGTAGCACGAAGCGGAGGGTCGAAGATGTCGTGGAGGCGAACATGCTCGCCGTTATCCAGAGTTAGATCAACAGACGTCTTTCTGGTTGCCTGTGATTTGCCAATTATTTGTCGATCGCTACTAGCCTGGAGGAATGATGCAGCGAGCATCGGGATGTTGAAGGACGGCGTGGGCGCGGGTGTAGCTATGGTTGGAGATTCTGTTGGAGAATTTGGCTGCAGCCGGTGATTTTCTAAGTCGATATGAGCAGAGGTGTGGACTGACGAGCGGGGTGTGTGATCTATAGGCATATCAAGAATCCGCCCAGAGTCAGCGAGCAGTTTCTTTTCCACTCTCCCATTGAGATGCGTGTACAAAGAAAACGAGAGAAAGATTCGGGATCAGACCGTATACGCGTTCCAACAGCGCAGTGCGTCAAGATACGATACCTAGTCGAATTTCTCGAGCATTGTCGACGACGTTATACGTTGGTGAATCTGTTGCTATCAACTGTTCATTTACGGAGCTTTGTGAGAGGGAGATTATACAGAATTCACATTCGCACGTTGAAACACTGGCACCATTCAACAACGAAACCAGTACTTCTTGATTATAGAATACTCTTTCAGGTATGCGATCCCGCATCACCTGTCGCTAGAAAACAGTGCAACTCTGAGGCTACACCAAGTGGGAACCAATGCGGGCTGAATGCCTTAGTACGAGTAAGGACCATGCCCGTATCTGGCGACTCTTACTGAGATCCAGAAAATTCGGTCCAGGGGGTCAGAGAGATGTGTTCGTACATGCCATTATCATCATAGTATGGTGTGTTAGTTGTGCAATCGCAGTGCATGCAATGCTTTCTCGCATATTCTCGGACACCGCTAAGAAACGCAGGGTTCCTTTCACCAAGTTCCTTGCACTTTGACTGTTGACATCTGAAAAATGGAACAGGCGGTAGTGCAGAGATACCAGTCACAAAGCCAGTGAGAAGGCGACCACTGAAAGGCTCCTCGTCCTGGATCATCTTGACGAAGGTCTCTTTCTTGATGAGCTTGGTGAGATTCTTGGCGCAGAAAGCGGCAGCGGCGGCCTGGAGAGTGTTGTCGGCAAGGTGTCCAGCGGACGGACCGGTAAGCTTCTGAATGGCGGTGGCGAACTGGTCGCCCTCCCAGGTGGTTTCCATGAGATCCTCGAATTTCTTGACAACCAAGGGACGAAGGGTAGAAACGTCGTACTTGTCGGCAGCGGTGAAGACAGCGATGTGGAAGAGCAGATCTTCATTGGTGCTATAGGCGGCTGTGTCGTCGAAGGTGTTTGCCTCGAGCATCTGATCGTAGGGAAGATCGTAGATGTGGCGGATCATGGCGCGAACGGCTTCGGGGTCATCATCGTCGCCGAGGTCGATCTCGTTGCTTGAGGCGACCTGTGATGATGGTTAGAAATGACCAAATGAAAACATGAGATTGGGTGACATACTGGAAATTGGCCAGTGAAGGCTCTGTAGAAGTACTCAGACTTGCGCGCGAGAACCGTCTTGTGGCACAAGAGCTGCTGTCCGCCGAACTTGACCTTGACATCAGAGAGTGCCTCAGTGTCGAAGAAGCTGTTATCACGTTAGTAGGCAGGAAGTTATGATTGAAATGAAACGCGGACCTTCTATCACTGCGGATGGAGATTGTATTGGTAGCCATGTTGGATAAACTTGGATTCCCAGATCCACTTGGTAGAGGCGAAGATGTGAATGAACGTGGAGAGTCAAGAGGAGTTGAGCTGAGGCTGGAGTCAAGAGAAGTTGAGCTGAGGCTGGAGTTGCGTCTGCGATTGTATGAGCGCCTGTCCCGCGGCATCGTGCAAAGAGGAGAACTTAGTTCAAGAAACAAACAGCGCGTGCAAACAGCACACTTTTATGTTTTTCAAGAATTTCCGCGTGTTGCAGCAGTGTAAGCGAATAATGTGTTAGAAGCTACTTCACTATCAGCAGAAACCGATTCAGAGCTGCGACCAATAAAGCCAGTGAAGACCACTGACCACTCAGAAGATTCTGGCACAACGAAATGCAAAAAAGAAACCACTGGTCTGGTGATTGAGGAATTGTTTGACTCACCCTCTGTTTGTTCCGCCCCTCTTCATGTTCAAATCCTCCCGCCTCAGATGTTTGACTCGACCTCCTTCCGAGAGGCACCTTCACCCAGAGACCCTGAACCGAGATTCAGTTGTAGAGGAATTTCACCTCCAACGACCGAAGTCATTGATAAGAAAGAACAGTTTGTGCGAAATGATTAGCTGATGCTTGGATTCGAACTCGAGTGAGGGGCTTGTTGTTGAGGGTTGTGACTGGAGGATGAGGTTAGCTTGGCGTGAGTTTGATGATGCTAACCACCAGACCAGATAGGATTGTTAGTGAGGGCTTGATTATGTGGGATCAATAGGCCTCGGAAGCGGTGGTCACCATAATATGGCGAGCGGTGAGTAAAACATTGAGACGATGAGAGGAGAGCCTGACCTACTGCAAACCATCATTGGTTTGCAGTAGGTCAGGCTCTGCTCGCGCTGATCCGTAGACGCCTGGAGAGAAAGCAGGACATGGACATACGGAAAGGTGGGACTCTGTTGGGAGTTGCGAGAGAACAGGTGGTATTTATGTGCTGTATCTTTGGAGCAGTCAGAGCAATCGTTACGTGCACATATCGTTTGACCTTCATGATCACTATAGGAATGCTCTCAACTCGAGAGTGAAGACCAACATGTACCTCGAGCTGCCTTTGTATCGGCCTCAAAGCGGCAAAAAGTTCTTGTAGTGTTGAAGTGTGGTTGGTGATGCACTGCCAGGAGATCCGCCAAAACGACCACCAAAACCAGCTTCGTGGGGATATGCAGAACGTGAGACGCAACCTATGCATTTCTGGCTCAGATTGGCCTGGATAGTACTGTCTGGCAGCGATTCGCATTTGCTGCATTTGCTAGTTCGGATCACACTCCCAGAGTTGCCTCTCAGAACAGCGGTAAGGAGGCGGCCAGCGAAAGGTTCTCCCTCCTCTAGCATCGTGACAAAGCTGTCAATCTGAATCAAGTCCATGATGTGCGAAGAACAGAACGAAGCAGCTGATGCCTGGAGTGATTTATCCGCAAAGCTGACAGCACCGGGTGCACAGAGACGCTGTATAGCCTTGCCAACCTCTTCTCTTTTGGCAGACCAGATTTGTTCCATCAATCCAGTAAACTTGCCAACAACGAGTGCACGCAACGAAGGAACGTCGTACTTGTCGGCAGCCTCGAAAACATTGATATGGAACATCAAGTCCGCACTGGCCGAATTTGAGAAGAGCACGGAAGCCTGATCGTAAGGAAGGTCGTAGAGATGGCGAATCATGGCATGGATTGCTTTCGGGTCATCGTCGTCACCAAGAGAAATAGTTCCGCTGGAAGCAACCTGTGTATCACTTAGTATACCTCACAATGATTGCCCTTTCACGCATAAGACGGACTGGAAATTGACCAGTGAAGGCTCGAAAGAAGTATTCTGATTGGCGGGCTAGGATGGCCTTGTGCCCAAAGATGTGCTGATCATTGAACTCAATGCGGACATCTGAAAGAGTCTGATCATTGAAGAAAGCGTGGGAGAGGCGGGCAGCGCTATTCACGGGTGGAGCAACGCCGGGCTTAGACATGTTTGATTTTGATGTAGAGGCAGAGGGTGTGAGAGACATGTCAAGAAGAGATAGCTGTCGAGATGTGGGAAGAGACTGCAAACGAAGTAGTAGCTGATGAGCCTAATTACAAGATCAATCATGCAGCCGATGCCCTGTGCTTTCCGCCCAGACTACACGCGCCGCAACAGTAATTCGGTAACATACGAACATTTTGACGGTGAATGGACGGCAAGCTGCAGGAGTTGAGGTTGGAAGCCTTCACTCACATGAGTCATGTGGATCTTCGAGATTGCGCACGGACCGCCAGAATTTCCAGCGCGTCGCAAAAAAACCAAAAAAGGCTCAGAGCTTTCGAGCATCAGTCTTGTGTAGCTTTCGATTCCAACTTCTCTTCAATCCTATTATCAACTTCTCACCGACCGTCACTACATTGTCGCGTCGATTCACACTTTACGAAGCTCTACTTAAACGCGCATCCAACACAACCCGTCAATCACATATCACAATGTCCGACATCAAGGTCACTCCCACCGCCGAGCCCGACCCGGCCGCCACTTCCATCCAGAACGACAAGACCGTCGAGCAAACCTCAAACCCCGATCAGACCACCGAGCTCTCCGCCGCACCCACTACTTCGGAAGATGCAGTCATGGCCGAGGCAAAGACCGAGGAGAAGAACGAGGTGAAGGAAGAGAAGCCTGAGGAGAAGGCCGAGGTCAAGACCGAGGAGGGTACGACCATCCATCATGCGCAAAGACATTGCGCAAATGCTGACCAGAATCCAGCATCCAAGCCCGCCGAGGAGAACCAAGGCGAGAAGAGAGGCGGCCGTCCCCATAACAACGGTCGCGGCCCCAAGCGCGTCAGACCCAACTACGAGGAGCTCCCAGAAAGCAGCGACCCCGAGGAGATCCGTCGCCAGGTCGAATTCTACTTCTCCGACTCCAACCTCCCCTGCGATAACTACCTCCTTAAGCAGACTGGTGGCCACAAGAACAACCCCGTCGACCTCAAGGTCATCCACAACTTCAAGCGCATGCGCCACTTCCAGCCTTACTCCGCCGTCCTCGAAGCCTGCAAGGCCAGCACTCTGATCAACGTTACCGATGACGGTCAAATCACCCGCAAGGAGCCCATCAGCGAGGACTTCAGCGACAACGCCGATGAGAACCGCAAGAAGCTCGAGGACCAGACCATGGCCCGCAGCATCTACGCCAAGGGATTCGGCGAGGAGAAGCCCAGCACCCAGACCGACATTGAGGAGTTCTTCACCGTCTACGGTGCCTTCAACGCCGTGCGCCTGCGCAGAAGCCAGCAAGGCGAGTTCAAGGGAAGCGTTTTCGTCGAGTTCGCAGACGAGAAGACCGCCGAGGAGTTCCTCAAGCTTGACCCCAAGCCCGCATTCCAAGGCCAGGAGCTGAGCATCAAGAGCAAGAAGGCATACGTGGATGAGAAGCTCGAGGGCATCAAGAACGGAAGCATCAAGCCCAACGACAACTGGAAGGAGCGCAGAGACAACGACCAGCGTGGTGGCCGTGGCGGCCGCGGTGGACGTGGAGGCCGTGGCGGTCGTGGAGGTCGCGGTGGCAGAGGTGGACGTGGTGGTCGCGGAGGCCGTGGTGGTGACCGTGGCGACCGTGAGGAGCGCCCCAACACCCGCAACGCAGAGCGCGAAGACCGCAAGCGCGGCCGCGAGGATGAGGGTCAGCAGGGTGAGGCCAAGAAGGCCAAGACCGACGAGTAAACAAGACAAGAGAGGATTGTATATCCCAGGATCCACGGCAAAAGGGTGGAGATCTGATGTTGCTTGACGACCAAAAAAGATATTGCATGGGCCATGGCGTTTTCTTCTTTGAAAAGGACTGGGAGGTGGTTGTACAATTTTCGGGCTTGATACCTGTGAGTACCCCTAGAAGGAGGGGACTACTCTGAAAAAGCAATTTATTCTTTTCTGCTTCGATTTGAAACTTAGTCAATCTCCTATTATCGTGTCTTCATCTTGGTTGTGGTTTTGTACTCATATATGTCTTGTGCATGGACAAATCTCTACACGGCAGCACACGCGGAAACCATCTCTGATTCCAAGTCTTCTCTTGCTTGGTCCGTAACATCGGTTCACGATTGTTGTTCTCCATCCTTCCATCAAATTGGTTCCTGAGTCTCGAGATCAACTTGAATCGCGAATTGACAAAGTCCGCAAAGTCCGAAGCACGTCCTCCAGAAAGTTCATACCACAATCCATGCGACGTGAACAATCGACACTCAATCATTACACCCTTTCTCTCGCATTCTATATCAGCCTGTCAGGAATTGCCGCTGTGCACTGACCGAAATCATATATTACCGGTCTTGGACGGATAAACCACTCATCACGCAGACGACAACAGACCACTCGATCACCTCTCCCGACCTCATACCCTGGACACACCTGCCGCCGCCATGTTCACCAGACTCACCCGCCTATTCAACAAAATCCCCGCCGAAGCCCGCCTCTGCGGCAAAGGCGCCTTCATCGGCTGCAGCACGTGGATCGTGCTAAACGACCACGTCCTCGAACCCATAACCGTCGAAGGCGTCTCCATGTCACCGACCCTCTCCCCTACATACCACGAAACCGGCGCAAAAGACACCCTCCTCATGAACAAATGGTCACCGCTCAAAGACCTGCAAAGAGGAGATGTGGTAATGTTGGACCTACCGCATAAGCCTGAAAAGCTGGGGATTAAGAGGGTTGTGGCGTTGGAGGGGGATTGGGTTACGTTGGATTATAGGAGGAGGGATAGAGGGGGCAAGGAGGGGAGTACGGCGGAGGGAATGATTTGGGAGGGTGTTGGGGAGAAGAAGGAGTTTGGGGTGGGTAAGAAGAGGTGGAAGGTTCCGTATGGGCATGTGTGGGTTGAAGGCGATAACGTGAATCAGAGTAAGGATAGTAATTCCTACGGTCCGGTAAGTCTTGTCGCGTGGACATCTGATATTGTGTGTTCTTGCTGACATGGTGTGATTTAGATCTCAAAGTCTTTGATTGTGGGCAAGGCGATATTTCAACTACGCCCCTTCAGCAAATTTGGTGAAAAGCCATGGGAGGGATACAACATCAAGACCAAAGTCGAGAAAGATACCAACTTCGAACGCGAAGGATGGGAAGATTTGTTCTACTGAACACGATATGAAGAACTCAATCGACGTAAGCTGACGTCCCTCCCTACATCCTGAAGACAGCCTCAATCTCCTTGCACACTGCTTCCGTCACTTCTTTGGTGTTGCTGCTTCCTGCCAAGTCCTTCGTTTTGACACCAGCTTTAGTTACATTCTCAATCGCTTGCATCAGTTTGTCAGCGGTACCATCCAATCTTCCTTGACCGAGCCACCTGACCATCTCGGCCGCACTCCAGAAGGCGCCAACGGGATTAGCAACACCCTTACCAGCAATGTCCGGAGCGCTACCATGGATAGGCTCGAACATACTCGGATGCTTTCTCGTGGGATCCAGGTTACTGCTCGGAGCAATACCGATACTGCCGCTCAATGCGGCTGCCAAATCACTCAAGATGTCGGCATGCAGATTCGTTGCGACAATGGTGTCCATACTGGCAGGGTTGTTGACCACTAGGAGTATAGTCAGCAAAGCTTTATGGAAGAATGGATACGGTACTTGGTCAATGAGTCAGCGCACACATTGTGATCGAACATTGCTTAAACGGCGTCCTTGGACCCCATCTCATCAATGTCCAGACATATGTTCAACACCGGCCCGTCGACTGTACCTTCGAGCAAACGTACTGCGTACTGTCATCGCATCGACAAGCATCTTATCCCAAGTCACATCTGGATAGTCCTCGGCGACCTCATAAAACACCTTATCCCACAAGACCATACCATGTCTTTGCGCATTACTCTTGGTCACCATTGTCAACTTCTTCCTCTCTCTGGATCTTGCAGTCTCAAAGGCGAATCGCATAATACGCTCGATGCCGACACGGCTGAAGATGGCGAGCTCGGTGGCGATGGTGTGGGGGCTGTTCTCGTGTGTCGTGCCGCCCTGCCCTGCGTATTCGCCCTCGCTGTTTTCGCGGATGATGATCCAATCGAGAGTACCTGGGTTGGCCTCGCATGCAGAAAGAGGAGACTTCGTGCCTGGGAGGATTCTCGTGGGTCGGACGTTGACGTACTGGTTCATGTTTTTGCGAATGGGGAGGATGAGACTCCACAGGGAGATATGGTCGGGTACATCTATCTCGCATCAGCATGTTTCTCTTTTCCATGCCTATCATGGTGTCGTACCTGGCCAACCCACAGCGCCGAAGTAAATAGCATCATGCTTTTTCAATTGCTCCATTCCATCAGGTGGCATATACCATCCTCTCTCCAGATATGCCTTACTGCTCCAATCGAAATGTGTGTAGTCGAACTTGAAGCTGCCATCTACCGAAGCCAGTTTATCCAAGACTTGAATAGCTGCTTCTGTGATTTCAGTGCCGATACCATCGCCGGGGATCGAGGCAATCTTGAAGATTTGTGTGTCTGACATTTCGTTCACTGCTGTTTGGAACAATCGATGGAAAGTGAGAAATGGTATTACCGATTATGGAGGGGTATGGCGGGGTTTTGTGGGTTGGGCGGAGTAACGAATATGCGGATATGCCGAACTCGGAGAAGTGCATGTCCGGTGATGATCATATACCTCTGGTTGATGATATAATAGCCTCATCCTTTTGCCGTGCTATATCCCCAATTCTAAGAACAATGCTTATCGATTGTAATGACCGTATCGTCAGATCGAGATCATGGTATCAAGACAGTGCCTAGATAATCATACAGCTCGGAGGAGAGGTTGCGGAAGGCATCGGAGCTTGAGTGTTCTAAACGCCGAGGGTGACGATGTTTACCTTTGAATTGTTTTGCGACAGCTTCCAGCACATCAACAGCATCAACCATCCTCGCCATAAACAGATACTATAGTGCATTTTAACAATTCAGCTCTTATACCTTGCATCTGTTCCAATTGCATCATATCCCGCCTAGACACACCTAAAAATCAAAACAACAGAACCGCCGTGCACATGGAAAAGTTCCTCCGCGACTGGAGACAGGATGCTCTGAACAAACACCAGTACGAGTCAGCCATCTTTGTTGGTGACAAGCTGCTCGCCTTGACCAGTGTGTGCTGCATCTTTTACAGCTTGTGATTGAAGCATTTCTGACATGTGATGCAGACAATGACAAGGACGCCTTCTGGCTGGCTCAAGTCCACTTCTCGACAGCAAACTACACACGCGCCCTCGGTTTCCTATCTCGTCAAGACCTGATCGCACGCAATCCATCATGCAAATACCTCGCCGCACATTGTTACGTCAAACAGAATCGATACGATGAGGCATTACATATCCTCGGCGACAAGAACCCCGTCCACCTCATCACCTCCTCGGATCGATCGCGTCGGAAACTGCAACATCTCGATCCACGCAATGGTCTTGGGAAGCTGGCGAAACTGCCACAGTTGAGATCGGATCGAGTGGATCGCAGTGAAGAAAGAGACAAGGAAGACATGAGCAATATTCGTTTCGAGGCCGCCATGTGCTATCTACGTGGTCTTTGCTACGCCAAACAAAACGCCTTTGATCGTGCGAAAGACTGCTACAAGGATGCCGTACGGATAGATGTCTTGTGTTTCGAAGCTTTCGACCAGCTCATGAAGAACTCGCTCATGTCTCCAGCCGAAGAATGGGAGTTTCTAGACTCTCTAGACTTCGATAGTGTCAGCGCCTCCGACACTCCTACCTCGAATATGCAAGAAGCTGGAGAGTTTACAAAAATGCTCTACATGACGAGGTTGTCCAAGTACAGCAGACCCGACGACTTCAACGCCGCCGTCGAAACCCTGTCGACCCACTACAACCTCTCCAGCAACTCTTCCATCCTCCTCTCCAAGGCCGAACTCCTATTCACAAACTGCCGCTTCCGAGACGCTCTCTCCCTAACAACCCAAATCGTCGAAACGGACCCTTACAACTTCTCCGCCTTGCCCGTCCATCTAGCCGCTCTCTTCGAATTGAAAGAAACAAATGCGCTCTTCCTGTTAAGTCACGATCTAGCAGACACACATCCAGAAGAAGCCTGTACATGGCTAGCAGTAGGAACCTACTACCTCTCCATCTCCCGCATCCCCGAAGCCCGTGGCTACTTTTCCAAAGCATCACTCATGGATCCTCATTTTGGCCCCGCCTGGATCGGTTTCGCTCACACCTTTGCCGCAGAAGGTGAACACGATCAAGCCATTTCCGCCTACTCCACCGCAGCACGCTTGTTCCAGGGTACACATCTCCCTCAACTCTTCTTGGGTATGCAAAATCTGTGTTTGGGCAATTTATCGCTAGCAAAGGAGTATTTGGAAACGGCGTATACAATGTGTGAAAATGATCCGCTGGTCCTTAATGAAATGGGAGTGGCGTACTATCAAGAAAACGCGTTCGATTCTGCCATCCGGACGTTTGAATTGGCCATCAGTATCTCCTCTGAGATTTCCACTTCCTCTGCATCATCGCTGGATACGCGCACGAATTTGGCACATGCCTATCGTCGCTGTCAGCGGTTCCCCGAAGCTCTGGAGACATTCTCGGAAGTCCTCAGGTTAGGAGGGAAAGACGCGGGCATTTTCTCAGCCAAAGGGTTGGTGCTTTTGGAGATGGAAGAATGGTTTGAAGCTACGGTCGTGTTGCATGAAGCACTTGCTCTATCGCCGCAAGATCCCATCGCCACTGAACTTTTATCTCGCGCGTTGGAAGGATTGGAAGGGGAATCCAGAGCGGCGGATACAGAGGATGAAGAAATGGATAGGGTTTTAGAGCAGAAGTTGGCTCTGGCTGAGAGAAATAACAGGAGAAGAAGGAGGGGAAGGGGAGGCTTGGAGAGTGAAATCGAGATGGAGGAGTCAGGAGTAGAGATTTCAGGCGTGGAGATGACTGAGGTCTCTGGTGTTGATGGAGAAGATTGGACGGGAGCTGATGAGTCGGGGGTCTAGAACGCTGTTCTACACTTCGAGTGGGAGTGTTAGATATCCTAGGTTGTCTTTCCCTTTCTGCTTGATTATGCATATTCTTTACGATTACTGGATTCTCTTCTGATATGCATTTGTGCTGTGTCAGAGAGCTGTGTTTACCCCTTTTTCTTTTTTTTCCGCCTTTTTTCTTCTTCGAAAAGACAGAATATGGTTTCGAAAGTTTTGTCATCTGAACTCGATGAGGATGGAAGAAAACAAGGAGGTTAAGGAAGTGCAAGTGCGGAGATCATCTCGTTTCGAACTGGAAGGAGCTGCCGGCAGTGTTGCTGCCCGCAGACGCCACAACGGTTATACCTTCCCAACTTTGTGGCTCGAGACGCGTTGCACATTTGCAACGCATCGCAGGACTTTGTTTCTCTACTACTCGAGCACGTCAAGTCACGATTCGTTCCATCAAGTAGTATTGACAGCGACCATCGATTCTTCATTCGATATCACCAACCCAGTGTGCCTGAACCCGAAACTTTGCAAGCGATGTGATCCTTTAGAAATGAACACAGCCCCTCATGCACGAGCTTATTGGACTTCATAGGAATGGCAAGGATTCTAACCATGTCATCTTGCATAAGGTCTGTGACCATAAGATATCACGACCATCCCGACGTCTAAAGTTCCTGGACATAATGCTGAGATTCACTGGCTGAATACACGTGTTCACGTTTTTCTGAGCATGGACAATATTGACGTCGAGCAGTGTGCATTGTACAGCGGCTCAGATCTTTCCCTCCGAAACCCAGCTCATCATCTTCGTACCGCGGATCCTAGTTCCAGGTCCTCATCTGCTACTCGTACCAAAGATGCAAGCTCGAGACGATATCTATCATTTGACGACCATCATTACCAACAGCTCCAACCTGATTCCAAGACTGAATGTCACGTCAACCAGCAAATTGAGACAGCTTCTGCTGAAGGAACCCGCCTAAGACCCCGAAGCTTTGAAGCACCAAACTCGCGTCACACCTTCTGGCTCGGGAGCAATCCTTCTGAGACGACCGAGAGTGGGGAGACGGGCAACCATGTTGATCTGCGATACATGCTCCCAATAGCGACAGTGGTCTGTGTGGTCGCTGTTGTGCCTTTGATAGTGTTCGCTGCGACACATAATAAAATGGAGAAGATCATATACGAGTACCAATACGACACATACGAATGCTCGTGGGTACTGCCGCAAAATAGGCATAGCATCAAGCCTTGCTAACACGTGTTTTCAGTGTTGCCGCAAAGGCGTCAAGAGATATGCTCTCTGGAGATCTAGGTAAGACTATGTCAGTAATTTAGCCTAGAAGAGCAGACAACTAAGCATATTATGACAGCAATCAACCTTATTGTTTTCGAAGACATATCTTTCACAGCTGTAAAGGTCATAGATCTAGCTTGGAACATGCTTGTGGGTCGCGGTTATCAAGCTATTGCAGCATTCGCCTGCTACCGTCTCTTTACCGGAATACTATACCTCACAGCAGAGCAACAAAGTATATCCGCGAGAACTTATTCGGCTGTTGCTTTCTATGCCACGAGTTTGTGGAGCTCTGGATCGATCTTCAGAACGATACGCCTGGAGAAGTTGAGATTGTTCAACAAGCTGGCTTTTGTCTGGATGTTGATTTCAGTCATGTACCTACTTTTCGTAGTGACTATGGCTGATCTGATGACTGGTTATGTGGCAGGTCAGGCGATGTGGGTGAGTGCAATCTCTTAAGAGCGCAACACCCTTCGATAATATTTGGCTGACTACAGACCAGCTCAAATATCCCAATGGTACTATGATGGAAACAGGCCCGATCAACGAGACTGCGCTGTTCAATATCGTATTAGATGTGCAAAACGCGCATCTGCCTCCACAAAACATTACCATGCCGGACAAGATGGCCATCGAACCGAATTGGACCCTGTCAGCCGGAGGAATACACATGGCTGTCATACCGTCATCGCCAGAAAGCAAAAACGGAACTATGATTTTCGAAAGCTGCCTCAACGTCAATGAGATGGGTCTGTACTACGTCGACGCATATCTTGACCCTAGACCAGGTAACCCGTATGGACCCTATTGGTACTCATCTGGCGATTATCGGTATAACGACCCTCCTCGGCAGAAGCTATTGACCTCCTATTCTACTGAGTCGTGTTTGAATCTCTTCAACTTTGGAACTACGGACTTGTTCCAGCTACCTAATTATTCTCCTAACATGACATGGTGGCGAGATGAGAAGAACTTCCGCTGTCTGCCTTCTGAGACTTATTCCTGGGTGAGCTTTCTTCCTGCCATTTCCCCTTCTTCTTCTTCTTCTTCTTCTTCTCTCTCCCAGACAAAGTCAAGGGTAGGGGCCTGATAAAGTACAAAATCTGACAAGAGATCTCTTCAGGGCTTCTCATACCAATACACCATCCTCCTCACGTCTATCAACAGTATCTGGCTTCTCTTGACCGCATTACTATGGCTTCACGTAGAGCTTAAAAGTCAATTCCTTCAAAAGCGCGGGCCGCTTGGCACCTGGAGAGCCGTCATAGATCTAGCCAACGCTGTGCAAGAGAAACTCGGTCGCGACACTGGAGCATACACAGAGGCGCACCTGGAAAAAGAAATCGGAAAGATACAGCCATTGACGTACAGTATTGAACAAGATGCACCGGATGGTTTAGGAAGAATTAGACTTGGAACATCTGGTGAAGGTGACGAGGAATGGCCAAGAAGGGACCTCAATTTGGATTGGAAGGTCAAGTACTGTTGAAACATTATTGGCCACAACCACATCGTATGACCCGAGCCTATTCTATCCGAAAGTGGCCAAAGTAACATTGATGTAGTATCACAATGACCCAACCATGCGGGCGTCACCGGCGGAAGCGGTGTATTTGTTCAGGTAACGATGGTGCGAGATGGTGGGACCTCCGAGGTAGAGACCGTCCTCAAACTTCTGCTCCGGGGAGCAAGACTTGTAGAAGAGCAGACGTTTGACGCCATTAGATTTCTTTACGCCAACGAACAGGGCGCCGTCGATCCAGGGGAACTTAAGGTGTTGCACAAAGTCGAATCATTCAGATCATCGTGGCCAGTGTTTCTCCATCGCACGATGTCGGAAACAGAAAATGAGACCAGGCAGCCATATTCACCACGTCCACAAATGTCTCCTGTGCCATTATTCCACCTACTACACCGTTGCCCTCACCAGTGGATTTTAGAAGTCGACCCGAAACAGGATCGAACTTGTAATAAGCAACCATGACCATCTCGCCGATAGATTTGTTTCTTGGTTGTACACTGGCCAGATACTGGTTAGTGATGCCAATCATCTGTTTGCCTTGTGTGTATTCGCCGACACATTGGATATTTTGGCTTACGCAGGGCTATCATCAGTATGCTGATCAAGGAGTGATTAGTTCCACTGTAGAATACTGGTCCTACGGTAGAGACACAGAAGGCGAACGTTTTTGCAAGATTTCATTTTGTAAATGCAGCTACATGCTTTTGATCTGGATTTGAGTGCAGAAGTCGCAGCGCAGGGTTTGTAGCAATGTTGCAAATATCCCGAGCGCTCTTGTCATATCAATTTTTGCTTCAAATTCCACAAGGCCGGTGCAGTATTTTGGTCTGATTCTCATCGGGGCAGACTGTCTCTGTCCCAGGCCCATAGCTATCGATATCCTCCAGGTCCAGCCAATGATTCGCGGCTGAATGGTTCCCTTGTTTCGTAGGCATTGCACAGAAGAGCACTTGCTGTGACATGCAAAGACGTTCTGCAAGCTCTTCTGTGTAGGCGTTTTGGTAGACAGCATGAGTCGGGCTATCGACGCCTCACAAGAGCCGAGACCCCGGTCAAAAGTACCAAGAGTCAATCGCGTAACCATCAATGGCAGCAGGTAACTCAGGCAACTCGTTGGTACCGTTTCTGCGATCTCGCATTGCCGAAACAATCACTTGTCTGGTATAGGCCCATCTGTCCTCGGTGAACTCCACACTTCTGTAGTTTTGGAACCGGCTTGGCTCAAAGATACTGGCTCTGAGTCCTTGTCTGGTCGCTTCCTCGTCGCTCAGGGGATTTTGAATGGCTGTGTAGAGTTTGTAATAGTCCCGAAGTTGGTTGGCTGAGGATGTTTGAAGACGGGCATGCAGTGCTCCCCTCGCTTCAGGGTACTCGAAGGCAAGCACACACAAGCGGATGGGGTAGTAGCAAGCAAGGTGTGGAAGATCATCGCGAGGGCTCCACATAGCTCGGTATGAAACACAACCGGCGTGTGCAGTCGCAGAGAGGTCCAAGATACGAACCAAGTTTGGCAGCCAAAGATGTGATGGTGGCGGACTCTCGTGGCTGATGAGTCCACGACATCTGGTCTCCAGCACGGCGAGGTCCATTGCTTCTTTGGCTTGAGGAATCGTGGACTTAGCGATACTTCTGACGATGTAATCATTGTTGTCGAGCCAGATGTTGTGCAGAAGTTTGTGCACGCTGGAAAGACGTACTGAGGTCGGGATGTCTGGACTGTCCTCGAAGATACGGATGAGCAGCTCGGTCGGCATTGAAAGAAGACCAGTCGTAGTTGATGCAGATGGTGCCATGCCGTAAATATCTTCGATGGGGTTCGCCCTTGTTAGCCCGAGCAATCACGGCAAGTATCGATAGTCGCGTGCTCGAGATAAACTCTTTGTGATGCACTGGGAGGGCCAGGGTCTTCGACGAATTTCGAAATTTGATGATGTCGCGAATGACCGCGTTTGCGTGGGTTCGACGAATCGACTCGAACTGAGCAAGATTCGAATAGGTAAGCGATTCGACCCAGTGCTTCACAAGAAGTTTCACCTACACATTCGACACCCCTGCTATCACATTCGAACTTCGTGGAAGTGAATGATGGTATTGTTCGGCATGGTTCATCACAATGGTCGAGATGCATCTCTGTAAACAAAATGTTTGTGTGGCAGGCATCACTCCTGATTCATGTGTCTATACTGAATAGACTATTATCTGTACGACAAGGCTCATAGAACACTTGCGTACAACCTCTATCAAGCCGGCATATATCCAGACCTCATCACTTCTTTGTTGTGAGATGGTGAAAGGAATCAGGTGAGGTTGCACGAGTCGTTGAGCGAAGGCGTGATCGCAAAAATCTGGGGATGTGAAAAAAGGCCGTGCGCGACCTCCCGCGACAGCACCCTGTCCACAACGGGGAAGCCAGCACGCGCGACTTCGGCGATTTCCTTGATCTCCCTTTCTTTCCACGTTCTGCTTTCTTGTGCTTCGTTCTCTCATTTACATTTTGTCTATATCGAGGAGTTTCTGGAACTATGCACAGAGTAGCCTTTTCCGCTGGCCGTTCGGTCAACACAGCTAGCAAGATTTCGAGTTTGAGAACTTTTGCATCAGTAAGCTCCGCTTCAAAAAACCACAGAGTTGTTGTCGTTGGTGGTGGATCTGCTGGTCTGGCAATCAGTCACCAGCTCCTCCGTACCGGAAAATTTACACAGGACGACATTGCCATCGTGGATCCTGCGGCCTACCATGATTACCAGCCTGGATGGACACTGGTCGGTGGCGGCCTGAAGACCAAGGAGGAATTGAGGAAGCCTATGAGCAGTCTTGTGGACTCTAAGCTGAAGCTGTACAACCAAGGAGTCGGTAGCTTTGCTCCTGAGGAGAATCTGGTCACACTCGGCAACGGTGATAAAGTAGGGTACGAGCACTTGGTTGTGGCACCTGGAATTGGCATCAAGTACGACAACATCAAGGGACTGCCCGAAGCATTGGCAGATCAGTCAACACCAGTCTCCACCATCTACGGCTACGAGACTTGCGACAAGGTCTTCCGCAACATCAAGGAGTTCCGTGGTGGTGAAGCCCTTTTCACTCTCCCTACTGGTGTTGTGAAGTGCGCTGGTGCACCGCAAAAGGCCATGTGGCTCGCTCTGGACCACTGGAAGAAGGCCGGTCTCTATGATCCCAGTAATGTCGCCAACTCACCCATCAAGATCAGTTTCGCAACTGCTTTGCCCGTCATGTTTGGTGTGCCAAAGTACAGCGCTACTCTCGAGCAGCTGCGTAAGGAGCGTGGTGTCGAGGCCATGTTCCAGCACGATCTGGTCGAGATCAACGGCGACAAGGCCATTTTTGCCCGTCTTGACGGCAGCGAGGAGAAGGTGTCCAAGCGCTTCGATCTACTTCATGTAGTCCCTAAGATGGGACCTCACGCCTTCATCAAGGACAGCCCTTTGGCCAACGCAGCTGGGTTCGTTGATGTCGAAGACGCCACTCTTCGCCACAAGAAGTTCTCAAACGTCTGGTCAGCAGGTGATGCATCTTCATTGCCTACCGCCAAGACTGCTGCTGCTGTTACTTCTCAAGCTCCTGTACTGGTCCAGAACATGCTGCTATCCATTGAAGGCAAGGAGCTCAACGCCGCCTATGACGGATACACATCTTGCCCTCTGTTGACCGAGTACGGCAAGGTTTTGCTCGCCGAGTTCAAGTACGGTGGTCAGCCGAAGGAGACATTCGCCAAGTTCGGTGTCGATCAGGCTGTTCCCCGCCGTGCTTTCTACCACCTCAAGAAGGATTTCTTCCCTTGGGTGTACTATAACAACATGGTCAAGGGTACTTGGGGCGGTCCCAAGGGTTGGGTTTGGTAGAGAGTTCATCATGTTCAGATGAGGAGCGCTGTTCTTGATTTTGGTAACATTTGCATTTGTTGGATGGATTGATCTGGAGCGAATCATGAATGGGGTGTTATATTGTACATACATAGAGGACATAAAAGTTATAGGACACATGAAGAGAGACTTTGAATATACAAAGCTCTTGTACTCAACGTCAGACCGATCTTCGATCATGTTCCTTTCATCTCTGCTCAGAATCAACGTGCTCTTTGTTCCATGACCGAATTGAGATTCGGCGTTGTTCGTTCAGGCCGAGCCGCAACGCGTGAAAACGCGTCATCCGCCGCCAGTCGCGACTTCCACTTCCACTCAACTCAGAAGGCGCTCCCCCATGGAGCTGAATGCGGAGAAGGAAATGGCGACCCAGGATCAAAACAGTCTCGAAAGCGAGCATATATCGTTACTGCACGAGAAGATACTACAGGTGAGTTTTCTTTGAAGTTCAAGAGTCGAATGCACGACACGATCGGCGACCAGGGTATGCAGCATGGCGGCTAACAAGCGACGTGCAGGAAAACAACCACTTCTCTCTCACACAACTGTCGCAACGGATGAACGATGGTCAGAATGATCAGACACGACCTCGTCACACGTCAAACACAAAGATCCAGCGAATGAAGCCTTCATCCACCGCTCCTGCTGCGCCTACCCTGTCCGACATGGACTCGACCGACCAACAGCATGCCACGCCCTCGCTAGTAAAGCACACGACTTTCCACGGTTTTCCTCTTCCTCTCGACCTCGATGGCGACACACAGCCAATGCCTTCGCAGTTCTACAAAAACTTCACTAGCGGTCTTGGAACAGAGGAAGACACTCAATTCGGAGACGAGACGGCGCCTGAGACAGAGCAAGAGACGCCACAGATCCATCTGATGCAACACTGGCAAGAGCCAAAATACCATGAACTTTCGAGTGACGACGAGGAGGAAAAGGACGAGGGTCAATACTTCCTCAGCTCTGTTGCGAGACCTGCCTTTCCGAAAACACCTGCGACCGCCGGCCACAAGCGCACTCACCGCGGTGATGTTATCCCCTCAACTACCAGCACGAAGACACCAGGCTCGGGCGGCATGTCAGCTTTTGCGTTTGGCAATGCTGCGCCTTTGACTAGCACTCAGCTCTTCCAAGCGACACAAGCTCCCTCAAGTCCAGTACCCGACGTCCCCAGAAGCGATCCCGTCTTGAGTCGACCAAGCCCGAATATCAGACAGAGCTCACCTGGACAGAATCTGGCATACTCGTCTCCGCTCAAAGGTCTGGTGCAGAGTCCAAGTCGATCTGTCAATATGGCAGGCAGGCTAAGCAGGCCAGGTACAAGAGATGGACTTTTCCAAGGCAACACCGGCATATTGCATGGTCTAGAAGACCGAGGTGAGAATGAATGGGAATATCACGATCGTGAAGGAGTCAGTCTCGAAGACGACGAAGGCCACCTCGGTCCGGCTAGCGAGTCGATGGATGAGTACGATGAGTTCGCTCAGTCAATAAGATTCAGTCAGAGACAAGCTTCTTCCTCACCACAGCCCGCCCAGCAGTCGGATGATGAGAACGATGATGTCGACTCCTCCAGCCGTACGTCGACGCACTCCAGTCAGCACGCTCTTGAGGCTGAAATGCCGCATGCGTCTGGACCTTCAGGTCGTCAGCAAAGTTCACATCAACTGCCCACAACGCAAATGTTAGGCCGAGATGCAGAGAACGACGACTATACTATCGCCGATTCGCAACCTACCAGACAAGAAGAGACTCAACTTCCGCCACCTTTGGTCGAACCCTCGTCCATGTCGTCTTTCGTTCCTGGATCATACCCACTCAGCCAAACAACACAACGTCTGAACGTTCTCAAGCGCGATGCCGCAGACTCGTCTTCCATACCCAAACCACCTCCGACGACAAGTCAAATTGCGCCTCAAACGCAGAACCGTCTACCGAGTAGTCCTCCTCAGCTTCCTGTCGCATCTGAAGAGTCTGAACAAGGGGAGCCTCCGGATTTGAACACACAAGCACAGACCGTCGATGGCGGCGCACATTCAGGTGCATCCTCTCCACTACCAGAGACCCGACCTGCCCCGTCTCAGAGAACCAAGGAACTGAAACAAGATAACCACCAGCAAAGCTCTAACGTTCCCGATACTGATCCAGCCGATGAGGGCCGGTCCTCCAATCAAACTACAGAGCCGGTCGCGGGACCGGATATCGTTGTTGCACAACAGCAAGTTTCGAAGTCCGTTACAAGTACGCAGAGCGAAGCTTCCCCCGTCGTTCCTTCCGTTTCCCAGTTCGACAAGCATCGTGCTAGCCAACTGCAAACTCAAAGTCAAGTTCAAAACTCTCCATCAAGTACTGAAAGTCCACGCAAGGCCGCAGGCATTCTCAACTTCGCGGACATTGCCACAGACTCTACTCCACCAGGCGCTTCTAGCAAGGACCTTGACCTGAACATTGACATACTCTCGAATGACGATCACGATTTTATGGACATCATGACATCGCCACCTGCAAAGAAGATGCGCTTGTATGGCAAGAAAGGAAGAGGCTTGGAGAGGACAAGGTCGAAGATGGATGACAAGAGTCCTACCAAGCACAGGACTACCACGAACAGTCCAGACAAAACTGCAGCGAGGACTGTCACTTTTCATGACGACGTTTCCGAGCCTGTCATCACTTATGCTGCGGATGTCCCCGAGGTTGTCGTGCAGGAGCCGGAACCCTCGAAAGCAGCAGACCATCATGAAACGACGACCAAAGAGTCGCTTCAACCAGCGGCGGCAGGATCGGGAAAGTCGCCCGAGGTAGCCTATGAGCCTGCTGCAGAGGCTACAAAGACAAACACAACGCTACCGGACAGGTCCGCCGAAGCAAGGCAAGCCCAGGCGGTTGAAAATGAGGAAGACGAGGAGACACAAGAAGATGGTCTCCATCCTCAATCCATTTCGAACCTTGATCCAAAACTCCAAACTCCGCCGTCTGCAAGAAAACGAGAGCAAGCTGGTGCATCGGCAGCGACAAAGGCTCGCGAAACAACGCTCGCTCGGCGAACACTCGAAACAAGAACTCCGAATGTCAAGAGCAGCACAGGAAGACTCGTCCGACCAAAACGGAGGACATCTGAACAGAGCCCTCTACGAACACCTATCTCCAGGGGACAACATGCTGAAGCGCCAAAGTCAAAGCTTTCTCACGTCCAGCGCGTCTCGCAAGATCGCCCTCAGCAGGCAAGATCGACTGTCCAAGATGAAACTACCGCTTCCGTAGCTCCCGCACAAGAAGGAACTACCACTACTACCACTACTGAGCATGCAGACATACTCACGGATGTGTCTATGACTGACATTGCTTCCGAACAGAACGAAGCTCAAGAGGAGAATGTCGTATCAGAGTCGGAGATCACCCAACCAGACAGAGTACTGGCTCTGTTCAAAGGAACTGCACAAGCATACTACCCGGCTACTTGCCTCGGTGCGGCTACGCTTGATGGTCTTAAGCTCCGTATTCGATTCGATGACGGTACAATCACTCAACTAGATTCTTATCTCGTGCGACGTCTTGACCTGCGTCGCGGTGACCAGGTCAAAGTTGATCTGCAAGGCATGCGCAGCAAAGTGTATGTTGTCGTCGGCTTCCAAGACAAAGTCGAAGACGTGCAACCTGATTCTTATCCTAAGACCGATGTCCATGGTTTCGAGACTCTACAGTTGGTGCCCAAAGATAGAGACAGTGTCGCAGCGGTGCCCCGAGCCGACACTGCAGCATTGATCAAAGCACCTGTCACCAGCGCTTATTTTACACAAACCATGTGGGTCCGCTTCGAAGGCAGGGACTATCTTCCTTCCACGGCAAGTATGACGACTATTGCGACCGGATTCTCGTCTCGTCCACAGACGCCTGTGCCTCAGAACACTACTCTTGCCACACCAGCCTCGAGATCTAGACGAGGTACGGTGACTTCTATCCATACATCAACAATCACCTCTGTGCGCTCATTAGCACGGCCGGACTTTGCCTCACCTCTTCCAGCTGGCCGCGGTATATTCTCTGGTATGGCTTTTGCAGTGTCATACAGTGCGGATTCGCCTGAGAAGAACCGTGTTCTCGAGCTCATCCAATTGCAAGGAGGCCTGACACTTGAGAAGGGCTTCGATGAACTCTTTTCTGTCAAGGATCTTGGTGACGCTTCTGAAGAGGCAGCCACGCCTTCATCAACAGCGACGAACGATACTGATGCTTTGGTCTTGTCTGCTCGTGCTCAAACGCTAGGCTTCGTTGCCTTGATCGCCGACAAGCATTCCCGAAGGGCAAAGTATGTACAAGCTCTTGCCCTCTCCTTGCCTTGTCTATCGGGACGCTGGATCCTTGACTCGGTCGCTTGTACGGCACCACTGCCCTGGACCAAATATCTCCTACCAGCTGGCGAGTCGGCGTTCCTCTCCGGAGCCGTACGCAGTCGCACCTTGACGTCTTACCTTCCGACCACTGTTAAGCTAGCACAAACAGTGCAAGAGCGCGAAAGGCTACTCCAAGGTGGACGAGTGCTTCTCGTCAGCGCAGGAGCCGGCGGCAGAAAGTGGGAAGCCAGGCGCGCATACGCTTTCCTCACCGTTGCTCTCGGAGCTAGCGTCGTACGTAGAGTCTCTGGCCTAGATTCTGCCAAACGCATCCTCGACTCAGAAGAAGGATGGGGTTGGGTATATGTGGAAGGCACTGTTGAAGAGGCAGAGACTGTCCTTTTCCGCGATGGCAGTGTCGAGAGTACTGGAGCTGTAAAGAAAGGCAGAAAGAGAAAGAGAGATGAAGAGGGGAAGGAAAAGATGGTAGCAACTGGTCGTGATGGCAAAGTCAGGATTGTTGGTGATGAGTTCGTGGTACAGAGTCTGATTCTGGGAGACTTGATGTTATAATGGTAAGGGAGCGCGCAGTTCAGGTAAATGGTGGACTGGACAAGTAGCCTCACTAAAGGCAGGACATTGGACTAACGGGCCTCATAAATGGCATGACGAATAATATTAGCTTCTAAAGGATGTCTTGCATCACAACCTCCGACTTTTGCTGGATCCAAGCTGGCAGAACACGCATGGATAAGGTCCCCACTTGTATGTGACTATGTTGCATCCACTAATCTTAAGTATCTGCACCTGACGTTCTTACTGCTCGGTCGAACCTTGCTCAAAATCACAACAAGTCCTCCGTAATCGGTGCTGGAGTACAGGGACTATGAGTACGCCAAGGCTTTCTATACTTCGAACAGACACGAAAGATTGTGGGGCACTCCACTTCTCCGTGCTCCATGCTCCATACTACATCCTTCGCACTGTCTAGCATGAATGGCGGGGCAATGATCTACTTATACGTGACACAATGATCAACAATTGAAGCAGGTAGAAAAGCATACAAGGTGCCTTCACATCCGATGGTTAGCGTGGGAGTCCACTTTCCTGCATCACAAGGTCATTTGGCCAATGACAACAGTTACCAAGGTCGATACAAGCAGTGTTCGAAGCTCACACACTGACCGTCGGATGCAACTACACCCTGTACTGTTATGCCCTAGTGATATCCGGTCGTCTATCCACCTCCCTTTAGTGCTTCCTTCGCGCCAGAGTCGTTAGTCAGGCACAGCGGATCGATCGATGCAAGACTTTAACGTGTGGAGTGATGGTCGTAGAATCAGGAAGAGATATAAAAAAGCCACAGACCAGCCATCTCACAAGTACAGCAGCACTTCTCTTGCGTTCTCTTTACAACCCAAAAGTCTTTCATCTGAAGAAAAAGAAACACCAAATTCTTTCGCAGTAATGCTCTCTTTCTCTCTCCTCGCTTTGGCCTCTGTAGCTTCCTTCGCCACGGCCGTTCCTTCTGATCAGAGCGGCACCGCTCAATTCGCTCTCTCCTGCAGTGGAATTACAGTGCCTGACGTCGTCGCTCAGAGTGGCACGAGCTACTTTACATCCTCGCTCAAATTCTTCCCCGACGGTGGAGATGGCGATGCGATCCCGGCTACCGCTTGTACAGACGAGAGTTCAACTTGCAGCAACTGCCTATTCGAAGGCGGCGGTCTCAGCTCCCCGACCAATGTGACCGGTTGCTGGAATCCGTGAGTGTTTCACCGCACCCAAAGTTGCATTGATCTTTGCTGATGGTGACTTTTTTTTTCTCAAGTCCTGCCGGTCAAGCTGGATGTTCTGTCAGTTTCCAATACAATGGTTATGACTTTGATACTCAGAACAAACAACCTTACTGTAAGTCCCACATCACTGCACCCCAATCCCCTATTCGAGACGGGCGGTAGTGGCTTATGGGAATCATGTATCAGGTGGACATAAGAACGGATTTCAACCTTTTGCTTCTGACCTTACCGCATTGTGCTACTTCAATGTAGACCAGAACTACAGTGGAGCTTAAGGAATGGGTTGCATAAGAAGACGTGTGGTGGTTTGAGGGCTCAAGGACTGGATGTTGAAGAGTCATGGTGACTGGAACGTGGAAATCCAGCGGTAAACTCGAAACGAGAAGACGGCAGAAAAAGATGTGGTTAGCATGGCCATGTCAAAGCACAAATTCTAGAGAATGGGCAGATCAAGGATGTCTCTAGAGGCAAGATGGCGAACTACAAGACCTTAATGATGGCGTCACACATGCTGATGGCTTCTGAATGACATGTTCTATTGATTTTCTATCTATCGATTTTCTTCTATGCTCATCCTGCGTGATGATTTCTGCACAGCGCCTTCCTCTCAAGTATCACGGACTTTTAGCCAAGTGGTGCCTTCTGTGCTCTTCAACGACTCTTTCTTCCCCCATAGCCTTTTCTAACGTGGTCCTGCCACAGTGCCACTGATAAGACATCGACAGTAGTCGTCAAACACTGTGTTCTCAGCTTTCAAGCTATCGACAAATTTGTGTCGAGGCTATCAAGAACCAACTCGTTATTTCAACTGCTGTTCGAGTGCAGAAGATGCTCTTGTATTCGGGAGGTCATGTGTCACTGTGGAAATGAGAGATTGTATCTAGACACGCTTTCTCGAGAAAAACGTCGATCCTCATATCCACGATCACGTTAAACTCGCTGGTTTCTAGTTTGAGACATCAGATCAGTGTGAGTTCGAGGGTGCTGGAAATAACAGCACTAAGAACGAACAACGCTCAAACCGAACTTTGAATCGATTTCCTTTTAGCTTTGTCTTCTACTTCCTGCGCAAAAATGTCAGTTTGAGCCAACAGAGTAACTTCCATGGATGATGCCCTATGACCAAAACTGTAGAGTAAACTTGAAACGGAAAAAGGGAAGTTTTACGATAAGTGGAACATGATTACTAGTATGGAAAGGTATTAGAGAGAGGGAAGTGTTTTCTATTCTTCAACTGTAATGACTGTAAAGACTGCGTGTTGCTGAAGCCAATTTCCTGGGCTTAGAGCAAGGCATGATGTGTGCTGAGGCACGAGCCTTAAGTGATGAGAGAGAGGTCCTGAACCTGTCTCAAGTCTGATACTAAGGATGTTGAGGCGGATCAAGGCGTAAAGGACGATGAGGCTTGAGCTTTGATTGATGTGATAAGGTCGCGTCAAAATGGAAGATGGATGAGCATATTCCAGGGCAGGCCAAGGCGTAAGTGGTGCATGAGGCACAAGCCGTGAGTGACACAGAAGATGTCTTGAAGGTTACGATGAAAAGTGCTGGATGAGCAAAAAAGTGAGACATGCGCTGATGAAGGTCAAAAGCGGAAAGGAAAATGGAGAGTGGATGTCCGGCGCATTGGAGAAAGAAAAAGCGAAGACAGTGAATCCAGACTGGTCACCAGCCTAGTTCTCCGCCTTCCCTTTTCCTTTACTCTTGTCTTTCTTGCTTCTGCTCAGACTTAAACGACTCAAGCCCTTGACCAATGTTATTGTCATCGAAATCGTCAAAACTGCAGACTGGGTCGATTTTTAGAGCCTTGAGAAGATTCTCTGCTTTTTGATTGAGCTCTAGTCGATAGAGAAGCTTGTCGAACACCGCTTCCAACTCGTCGTCCTCCATAGTTTTCTCGCTGAGGACCTTTCGAACTGCAGTGTGCAGACTGGTGTTGGGACTCAGATTGTCAGGTCCAGGTCCCGAGGTAAGATATTCTTTCGCCGCACTTCGGACTTGCCTGCGTACAGCAGACATCGAAGGGCCTGCACGGATCCTTGCTGACGCAGTCAAGATCCTGTACGGACTTGCCATGTGTGAAAAGAAGTCATCATCTGTAATGGACGAGGGGCTCAATTGGCCAGCATGTCCTGATGCACCGCCACGGAGAGAGACAACATGGTCTCTGCTTAAGTTTACATGGCTGACGAAAGCATCAAGCTCCTCCAAGTAATCCTCCGAATGATAGCTACGGTCGGATAATTCGTACTTGGGTGGATCCGGCGCAGGATGTATCGGCAGGGCATGAAAGCGAGACGTGAACTCACTCAAGGGTAGATTGATCAGTTTTCTCCATGGCTCCAGGATCTGGTTCTCTTGAGCAGAAAAGGTGATTCCGTGTTCATCGTGGAATCGATCGAGCCAGGCAAGTTTGATTTTGATTCCTCTTACAAGATCCAAGAAAGACTTGTCCTTCGCCTTTTCGACAACATCCTCTTCCTTGAGGAGCTGCTCAGTGACAGCAGAGGCGTAGATGCCACCGCACCTTCTCTCAGAGATACTGCCTACTTTCTCGCCCCACGAGATTGACTTTGTTTGTGCGCCAGCAGCTGCAAGCACGGTCATTGCCGGCGAGCACCATGCCCCTGAGTAGCATGACGTGAGCAGGACATTGACAGTCAAGCCAGGGAACTTCGCAAGGATCTTCTCCACCTCCTCAGGTTCGATCTTGGCTTTCACGTTTTCTTCGTCGCCAATGACAAATGCTCCACTGTCAACACCGTGACCAACGAACACAAGCATCACTTTTGCCTTATTCTGGTGGACAATGGCAAACGTCTTCTCAACTTCGCTCAGAAAGGCTTTCTTGAGCGATGAGTGTTCGACCACTGTGATGTTTGTTGGGAGTGGATGGTCTTTGCTAAGCACAACCCGTCTATCCTGCCACGGATTTCCATGGAGAAATACTTCGTGTCGTTGTAGGAGATCATGGGGAGCACATGATGTCAACCATTTGTCCTCAAAGTCTTTTGTGTTGGCAAAAAGGTGATGGAAGAGGTAAAAGTCTGATATGAACCAGCCGTCGGCGTCAGGTCTCGACAGCTTGATATCCGTACCACACAGAGCAAGTAGATGGATCTTTGGAGCCATAGAAAAGGTTGTCGGGAAGATGGTTGAAAGTACAGGTTAAGAGCACAGGACCGGCCACTTAAATAGTAGGACGATGCGTTGGGAAGCCTACATGATTGCGTTGCCTCTGTCTTTGATGAACACATGTAGCAGCAGGTCTTCGGGATGATTGGAACATGCTGCTGGTTTCTAGAAGCTGTCGAGGTTTTCTGGTCCCTTTACTACCGGTACAAACACAAGGTAATGAACAATCAAATTCCCCTTTTTCTCATTGAGGATGGTTCCAGAACGGCAACCCGTGAAGAACAGATTTCCTTGTCAAGTCGCCGACACAACAGCGTCATATCTTTGATTAGTTTCGACTGCATCTGTGTCATATAGACCCATCTTCAAGTGAGATTCAGCTCATGGTCGTGTGAACAAAGAAACTCGAATGCAAGTCCGCGTTGTGTGGTTCGACGAATTAATGAAGGTATCAAACGGCACGCTCTGGTGTTCCACGAGCACGGCACTGGGGCATTCTTTATCGATATAGCATGTCCTTCATCACAAGAGCGCTAGTATTGGAGCAAGACCTTCTTAAAGAAAACGAATGACATCGGCAAAGAACACGTAGTCAAGTGGCCTGGATGGGGAAGCAAAAGTGATGAATTGGTGGGGCTAGGCGGTGAGGTTCTGCCGCGAATGTTATTTTCGCTCCGCGACAGGCTACAGCGCATCACAAGGTGTCCACAAATACTCGTCTAGAGCTTCTAGTCTTGTCCTTTGATGCAATCGATAATTTCCAGCTTTCTTGCGGTCGCAAACCTCTCCTCGGCGTGCGCCTTTATCAGTACAAGCTTGTTCTTGAAGGCTTCCACGTCCAGCTCCATAGCATGAACGACAATGTATTTGTTGATCTTTCGATGCAAGGCTGAATCTGGCGGCAGTATCTCTTGGGCCACAGATAGGAGTTTGTCTGCCTGAGCCTGACGTGACCTTCCTCCAGTGGTGACAAGCAATGCCCATTCGTAAGTACCAAATCTTTCAAACAGCCACATTGGCTCAAGTTCCATGGCTTCCAACACATCGTACGCATACTCATTACAGTCGTTGCGATAAGTTTGTACGTCGACCTTTGCGCGAACCACTCTTTTTTCGAACTCGAATTCCTGGTCCATGTTGCAGTTTTGCCTCAAAAGGTTCAGACAATCTCCTTCAGTCTCGTCAGAATCTCTGAGCTTCAAGGTCCGTTCTTTGAGAAATAGGAATAATGTCGATTCCCTTCCTGATATCGATTTTGCCATCTCAAGCTTTTCCTCAAATCCTTGCCCAGGCAGAAAACCAGCGGCCAAGAGGCTATGTAAGACAAACATTTGAGGCTCGTTGTGAGGCTGACCAATGGCTGTGTCCTGAAAGAATAGGTCGGCCTCGCGCATCATGCGGTATGCGTCTGTTTGGCTCGCCAAAGCCTTGAGCTTCTTGTCGCCGAGAAACTGATGATCAAATTCGTGGAAATCGCACACAGGAGCAATAGCCATGACGTCCAAGTATTTTTGTGCTAGTTCAGTGACTGCGTTACGGTACAGCAGAGCCGAAGAAAGGTTTGCCAATTCTTCAAGCGACACTTCTTCTCTGGACAGACATCTCCTAGCGCGGCTGTGCAAAGAGGTGTTGGGGCCTACACAATCTGGTCCTGGATTGCTGGAAAAGTACCTAAGAGCCTCCCTCCTAACGGCGTCGCGTGCCGAGATCTTGAAATTCCTTGATGTGGCCGGGTTGGCGCTCGGTTCGTTGCAAGTAGATGCTTGGGTCATCTTTGATGTGTTGTGGAAGTTCTTCGCTGATGCAGGAAGAAAATAAGAAGTTGGGAAGAGAGAATGGAATGAATGGGTGATGTTATATGATTAGTGAGTCACTCTCAAATTTGCTCCGTTCTATTTGATTCCTGTTGACGCTTGTCACGACAACGCTTGAGTCTTGACCAGGATCAATCCAGTACAAGAACTGTTCGACTTCTGACTTCCATTGTACTGATCGAAGATCTCTACTTGGGCTATCTGTTCTTGTCACACTGACAGGCCTTCCCCGCTCTCAGCATCATTGCATTCTCTCGACGGCTTCCTTCAAGAAAGACAACCCCTTTACCGGGCCCGCATTTAGGAACAAGAAATGACAGACAACGTATCTTTGCACCTTTCTGTCCAAAGCAGTCTCACTGGGACAGATGCCTTCGAGCAGAGAGAGGCCGCGGTCCGACAAATCCTTCGCTCTGTTATGTAAACTCCACTCATAACTACCGAATGCCTCAAACAGGTAGAAGGGCTGGACTCCAATGGCTTCGAGAATGTCATATGCTCTCTTGTTGGCGTCAGAGTAGTAGTATAACTTGCCGCAGATCTCTCGTTTCTCGTATTCAAATTCTCGGCTCATATCGCAACATAGCGGAAGCAGATTAGGATGGTCACAGACGTATGCTGCTGGACAGCTATCTCGAAGGTGCGATCTTGCTGCCGAGACTCTGTTGTAAAGCACCGTTTCCTCGTTTTTGATCGACTTTGCCATGGCCAGCTTTTTGTCAAGATCATCCCCAGGAAGAATGCCAGCAGCGAGGATGCTGCAATCCAAGAAGTCTAGCGGCTTGTTGTAAGGTCGAAAGCCTTCTCGTCTAATGCACACGAACAGGTCTGCTTTATGGACGACATGAGTCAGTCCTGCTTTTTCCCCAAGATCTAGTAGCTCTCTGCCGATCGCTAGGGGACTGTGGTACTCCGAGAAGTCGCAAATGGGCTTGTATCCCATTGCCTCGAGGTATGCTTGCGCCATATCGTTGAGAGTATTGCGACAAAATATGCCTAAACAGACTCTAGACAACTCCTCGACAGTCATCGGTTCAGTGGATAGCACTTTGCGCGCTTGATGGTGGAGACCGATATTGTTTGCGAGGCTATCTCGTCCAGGGTTGCTAGAGAAGTACTTCAGAGCTTCTCTTCTAACAGCATCGCGTGGTGATATGATACAGTCGTCAGCCAGGCTTTCGATATCCATCGTTGATGCCATCGTGGAAGCTGGTAGTCCTGTTCGCTTTGTGATCTTCGAGACGATCCAGAATCTGGTCTCTTACGAACGGAATACGGAAAGATTTCATCGGAAGAGGAAGAACGGAGAACGAAGGACCGCTAACATCCTTGTAAGCGATGATTCTCGCTCAAACTGACTCATCTACTTCTAGCGCCACTCTCCGAACATCAATTGATGGAATCGTACTCTTGAATTTTCTGCTTATTATACAGAGACAAGATGCGACTCCTCTGAGCAGTGAGGATGAACCCGGGCCGATGAGGTGATCATAAGATGAAGGTGGCGCGCGAACACCCGCCAGCGTCTTGGACATGTTACTTTCTCGAAATGTTTGCTTGCTCTCGGCTTATCTCTGACAGTTCTAGATGGTATATTCTTTGTTCTTGATGTGCTGGATCTCCATCGAGTCTTTTGCAGAAGCAATCTTCTCGGCTACTCCTTTTGTCAGCTCCAGCTTCGCGTCGATGGTCCCGGCAAGTCGCAAGACATGACACACGATGTATCTGGTAGTCTTTCTGTGCAAGGCCGTCTCGTTAGGAAGTATCTTGCGGATCAGAGAAAGACATTCCTCCGCGGCGTGTCGACATGTCGGTCCGCCAGTGACGACACAGTTCTCCCAGTCGTAAGGACCAAACTTCTCAAACAGCTCGAAAGGCGCAATCTTGATGATCTTCAGAGCGGTGTATGCATCATTGTTGATGTCACTCCAGTAGACAAGCTTGCCGCATATCTCACGTTTGTCGTATCCGAGCTCTTGGTCCATGCCGCAGCTTGCTAGCAGCAACTCCGGGTGCCCTCTTGTATCAGCCTGAGAATTTCCGATGAGAATTTGCTTCCTCGCCGCTTCAACGTCGCGGAAGACCGTGGTCTCCTTCTCCATCACTGATTTTGCGAGGCCCATTTTTCTATCGAACTTGTCACCAGGAAGGATGCCGGCCGCAAGTAGACTTTGCTCTAGGAATCTCCTTGGTTTGGTGTGCCGGCGATTACCTGCAAGGTTGACCGAAGGGAATATTCGAGCATTCAGGATTATCTGACTTGCTCCTGTCTGTATTGCGAGCTTCCAAAGATCCTTGTTAGGCGAGAAAGTGCAGTCAAACTCACTGTAATCACAGATGGGGGAGATTCCCATGGCTTCGATGTACTTTTGCGCCAACTTGATAGAAGTGTTACGGTCTAGCAGTCCCAAGGAAAGTCTTGCGAGATCTTGAACAGATATATCACGCGCTGACAGGCACGTACATGCGCTGTTGTGCAGTCCAACATTAGGTGCTGCGGTGTCCATGCCGGGGTTACTGGAGAAGTATCGGAGAGCTTCTCTTCTAACAGCATCGCGAGGTGAGATGTTGAAGTCGTCGGTTGCGCTCTCGATGTCGATTATCGACGCCATGATGCAGAGGCTAATATGAGTCGATGCTCTTGTTGGCCGTTGACTCTCAGAATTTGTTGCACTGAGGGACGTTGTTCAATGATGACTTGGGAACTGGGAGAGGGTTTTACCTGTACGTGTGGTGAGTCGCACTCAAACTTACTCATCTGCTTTCAAGATCCTTGAATGCTTGGCGTAGCAGTCACAAGATAACTACTCATGATACAGCTCCGCTGCAGCAACTGACAACTCGTGGTGGATCTGACCGTTCTACGGCTGTATTTTCACTTCTTTCATGGAAAACCGGCTGATCTTTGGCACGCTTATGTCGCCAACGCTTTGATTGTGAACTTCTCTAACCTCCCACAACGCCTGGCATTGACCTTGAGCATTTCCCGAGCACCATTTGGGGCTCTTCATAGCATATGCGTCCTCTTCCTCACTTCTTCTAGAAACAATTTCCAACTGTTCGTCCGCCATGATGATGTGGCGCGCCGCGAGTCGCACGAGGATAGTCCTGGACGAACGGACTCTTGTAACGACTCTGGATATCTGCCCGCATGCTCTTCATATCCTCAGCGAACGCCTCAATCCAATCCACCGAACAGCAGACCGTCTCGCTGCCGTTCTGCCACGAAACGAGTCGTGATTCAACATCCCGTCGAATAGTCTTGTTGAAGTGGGCCCTGACCTCCGTGAATGTAAGTATCTTTGGTGGTCCTTCTGCTTGAAAATCGACGTGGAATTCGAGACCAGCATGACTGCGAGAGAACCCGACATGCAAGTTGAGTGATCTGATGTGATGAAGCTGATTCTTTGCCAGGTTCGAGTCGCTGAAAATCTTCCACTCGTTTCTGAGGTGTGTGTCACGAGGGTCTTTTTGTAGTAGTCCCGGGTGGTAGGTCTTATGGGTCCATGGCTCGGGTGTAGCTGGGCGAAAGTCCACCGACCATGAATGTTTTGGGTGCTGAAGCCAGCCGTCGAGATGCAGCGTCAATGTGCGCATCAACACCGGTGAACTTTCTTCTCGGACTTGTTTTGACACTAGCAAAAGCGGGCAAGTCGGCATAAAAATCCTGGATCGGCTCTTTTCTTCGTTGCGGCTCTTGACGTATTCTGTATAGATCTTTAGGCGAAGTCTTTTGGGTAGATCGATCAGCCGAAACTGGCTTACGCTCGCCTGGGACATTTTGACTATGCTTTCCGACTTTCTCACTCGGGATTGCGGTTGAGGTTGTGGTGGTTTTTGGTGGTTGATGGTTGGTGATTGTTGGAGATGTTTGGTCGAGGTTGCAGCGAACTTGTTTGTTCTTGTTTGTAAGATTTGACAAAGAGTCTTGGTATGTGCACAAAATAACTGGCTTGAAAGACTGGAAGGAAATGCGAGTAGCAAGGAGAGCTCCAAGGTGAACTTGCTGACTCAATTTTATAGGCACCAATCAACGACAATTGCCTCAATCACCCTCACTATGACCGATCTGGACTCCATATGTTTCTTCCTAGAACTCACTCTTGACAACAGGTCCGCAACAGTGATTCGCCACACATCCTATCAAGAAAGGGCAAGACTTTATGAACACTCGAATCGAGGCGATCCGGATTCTCCTGTCTTGCCTTGTTGACTTCTTATTGCAACATTGATATCCTTGACAAAGGCTTCAATCCAGGCAACAGAGCAAAGAACTGCCTCAATCAAACTCTGGAGAAGAGCGATACCTTCTTGCCTTCGTCTTGGAGTTCTCGCACAAATCGAGTACGACATCCTATCTTGGTGGGTGGCCTATGCCTGGAATGCTATAGCGCGTTCGAAGACTCGGGAAGTCCGTACAGATGTCTTGGTCCACATAAGGAGTGTACACAACAAATTCTCGTGGCTAGCTTCCATGTTAGGTGCTACCTTGATGAATAATCATTTGTAAGCTTGAGATAACATGCCTTTGCCGCTGGCCAGGCGATTTGGCGTTATTATCATCTCAACCATCACGAAAATTACGGCACTTGCCCCACGATGCGGGTCATCGGTCGATAACGAGATTCAACAGCCAGAGATATTGGAGCCCACACCAATGCAGAGAATGTCAAAGAAACCATAAAGGTATGTATGAACGGCAAAAGACGGCTGAAGGTGCTCTTCGAAGCACTGAGCTATAGCGATGCGGCAGGAATTGAAGATCGTGAAAGGTTGATTTAAGCAATAGAACGGTCGCGACCGTGTTTAAGTCGTATTCAAGTAGGGCTCATCCGCGATGTTGTGTGATACGGTGGACTCGGATTCGGAGCCGGAGTAGTCACCGATAATATCAACAAGGTATCAACGGAGTTTGTCCCGTGAAAGGCTAGACCTTTAAGTCATCGAGGTTTACTCTGGAATGCCCATTGAGTATCTATCGGAATCAACAGGTTGCTAAGCCAAACGACGCTTTTTTGAAATCACGGGTCCTCGTGCTTTTTTACTGTATCCAGATTCCAGAATGTCGAGGAAGCTACGTTCCTCACTCCCAAGCATTGCCAACCCTGTTCCGGACCTTTCCGAACAAGACGACCACCGACTGGAAGGAGGAAAGAAGCGACGACTCATGAGCAAGGTTGCCGCTTGCAACGCATGCAGAAAACGGAAATCTCGCTGTGACGGAGTCCGACCTTGTTGTGGCGCGTGCAACCAGCAAACTCGAAAATGCATCTACGACGTTGAGCCAGGTGTCTCGCGACATAAATCTATACGACACAGACTGGATGTTCTTGAAACCAAGCACAAGTTTCTACAGGATGTGGTTCATAAAATCCGCGATGGCACGCCTGAGCAGGTGGACTTGTTGTTGCGGCGTCTCAAGGCAGGGGACGTTGATGGTATTGAGCCTATGGGCATCACGCCTATGCAAATGCCTGACTCGCCGCCAGATTCTTTGATAGTCCCGGATCAAGATGGAGATAGATGTGTCTGCTTGGGATCTGATACTGGAGAACGGCATCCGCTTGTCGACGACACTTCGCACGGTTGTTGTAGCATACTTCCCCCAAGGCATGTCTTCGATACCGCTGTGGCTGGTTACCTCGACTCAGTCGATGTGCTATTTCACGCTTATACGTCGGAGCAAGTCAGACACTTGCTAAATATCGTGTTTAGCTCGGATCAACTTGTACAACCTGTACAACCTAGCAGCGCTCTTACGCAGCTATGCAGCATAGCGGCTGTAGGTAGTCTGTGTGTCTTGAGTACGGCTTCCATTCAGACGACTGAGAGCTTTTACAACTTTGCTCAAGACTTTCTAAACTCGTTGGCTAAAGAAAATACTCTGGAAGCGGCCAAAGTGGCATTGATGCTTGCTTATTGTGACATCACGACGAAGACCACAATGGCACTAAATCACATCAGTAAATATTTTCTAGCAATCTCGTGCTCTGAACTAGGGATTTGGTTGACAAAGAGCTAGATTTGGGGCTGACGCTGTCGGAGAAGTGCATTTCAAAACCTAGTCAAGATCCTACTTCTGCTACTACACCTGAATGGTTGGTTCGAAGAAGACTCTGGACCACATTGATCATATTGAAAGGGTAATATGCCCTGGTCTCACATCATCAGGACATAGCTAATTTTCGATAGATGGATCTTTAGTACGACGGACCTATTCGTGGAGATCAACTGGCTTGCTTGTCACCAGATGGTGTGTAACCTTTTCACATCATTTATATCCTTACTGATCGTTAATCCAGCTCCGGGACTTCCAGTTCACAACTGATATGCACTGGCGTGATGCAATACAACTAGAAATGGCCAAGATCACAACTATCAAGGCTGACGTTCGCAGCACTTTACACAATACCAAGAATTTCCAGCCACAAATCTTTGCAGAAGCTCGCTATCAACTACAAGGATGGTGTAGGGACTTGCCTGAGTCCATGTGCCTCCACTCTCTGTTGGACAACGACTTGCTCGCCACTGAAGACCGGAGTAGAACATTGTTCACCCATTTAACATACCTTAGCGGTCTGATGTTGCTTCCACAATATCTCGCGCGGGAATGGATTACGAAAAACTTCAGCACAGCAGATCTCTCATCTGTGGAAGCAGTCAGAGGTCTCAATGCAGGATTCTCGGCCGCAGAACAATCCGCTCGTATGTTAAGTCTACTCAGACCACAGCAGGACATCATCATGAAACGGTGGTTCTGCACGTAAGTCCTTCGAATAATCGCCATTCCACAAAGATACAACATTCTAATCCCCAAGATAGATCAATAAGCTACACATCAAGCACGATGTTGCTATTCACACTCAGCCAACAACTCCTCCGTTCCAGCCCCCACATCCAAAACAAAACGACATTCAAACCAGCCTGGGAATCGTTGAAATGTCTGCAACTCTGCGCGAGCAAAGATCATGCTGCCAAAGTCCTTTATTCTCGCTTGCAACCACATATCGCTGTAATACAAGCAGAGCGGTTACGGATATCTACGCTTCCTCGACAGTTGCCAGTAGGAGATGGGCATCTATTCGCTATCCCTAGCGGTGATAGTGCGCTTTATCGTACTGCGCATGCACTTTTGGATCTTGTGGCGCAGCCGTTTCCTATCATCACTGGTGATGGGGGATATAGTGTAAGGGATGAATGAGACGGTGGACCAGGGACTTTATGGTGAAAGTGCAGAGATAAAAAAACGTTGACACTCGGCCAAACAAACTCAGACATAAGTAACGTGTATGGCAAAAGATCCCTCTGGCATACCTACAGCTGCCGTGTATGATTTCTGGCTAAGAAGTATATCTATCAAACATGAAGTTTCTCTTGCCTTTCGCATTTTCTCTTGTCCTTAATATTTTGCTTCATAGATCATCCATTCTTGAGGTCAGTCGTTCTTTCTTCTTTTGTCGACTCGATCGTTCCTTACTTCCTCGAAACGCTGTTCGCTCCTACCTTGAGTGCGAAGTATCATTTTTCCGTCTACTTCACCGCTCCTTCCCATCTTGCCAGTTCTCTACATCTGTATTCTAGCTTCGAGTAAGTTGGAATTTCATGCGCCTTTCTCCTTTTGTCTTCCACGGCAAGCAAACGAATATTACATCAATTTCGATGCTTGTAACAGCATATCCGCCAATTCACTATCGATTCTTGAATCCTCCCTAACATCTTCTAACCTCCACTTCCAAAATGCCCACCTCCTCTCATCAACTACATTCGTTCCATCTCGATCTGGCCAAAGTTGCCCTGCACTCGCTGTCCAATATCTACCCTCTTGCCCCACTTCCACAGCTTCCCAGACGGTATCTCTAGCCAAGCATATCCACGCACAAGCAGCAGGAAGATGCAAAATCATATTCCTACCCAACCGAGACTTAGGCGGGTGTTCGAGAGCCATCGCCAAAGTATCAAAAGCATGCCAAATTCGACCGCCAAAGAGAGTCGGGGAAATTGTGGCGTGGTCGCGGATGAGGATTGCGAGAAAGGCGTTCATGTTTTTCCACTTCCTTGCGGCGAGTTTGGGGGGCTCGTTGTAGCAGAGATAGGTTTCTGGTCCTTGCATCCGCTCGGTGATGTTTATGGATAGTAGAGAAAGATCGTGCCATGGATGTTGGTTGTGGCCGGGTGAAGTGGCAACGATTGAGTGATCTGGTCGGATGGTTTCTTGCTCTATCACTTCGTCATTGACAGCATTCGGGGGACTAGCTAGACTGGCCAGAAGATCTGATAGAGTTGTAAGAGTCTGGAAATCCGAGAACGATTCGACGGCGTTAAAGAAGCAACCCCAGAGGTTGTCGTAAAGGGTTTCGGTGTCTTTCGATGGCAATATCACGTCGGCTAGACGCTGAGCTGCCTCTTCTCCTCCAATCCCAGATTCAAGCAGATCTTGGAATGTCTGGACAATGTGCCATTGGGGAGATTGAGGATCAAGATTCCGCTCTGTAGGCGGTAAAACGTCTCCATGCTTCGGGTACAATTGTCCGAGCCATGCCCTCTGCTCTCTCACGTATTCTTCAACCATGTTTTATGAACAGGAGTTTCGGATTCAGTGAGTAGTCAAGGTCGCGATGTCTTGTGAATGCAAGATAATCCAACTAGCGATTTAGACGTCATCGCCAAGTACAGAGGATCTGAATCGAGACACCGCAGGGTGAGAAGTAAACTGTTAACGCACCGCCTGTGATTTTGCCACAGAGCAGGAGTTGGAGAACTGCATGAGGCTTCTGGAAAAGTCAAAGGTGCGCTCTCGAACACTTGGCTGCCTACTACGAAACGTAGCCTATTTTCGATATCCAGAAGTCATCACCAGACTGAATATTTCGTCAAGACCGCAGATCAATGTTAGATATAGGTCGATTCAATGTCTCCATCAAGTGGTCGATACTCGAAGGGGAAAGAGCGACCTACGAAAGAAGACAAGGGTCGCTACTCAAGTAAAGCAAGAACAATCAACGAAGCGAGACTCAAAGAAAGAACGACCAACGCCGCAGAGAGAGACATAAGAAAGAACGATCACCTGAAGAAGGATAGAAATCCACTCAACATAGGACACAAGCGTATGGATCTACAATCAAGCCAGCGTCGATCTTAAAAGCAATAATAATATCACATCAGAGAACGACAAGACGCAAGAGAGAGAGAAGATCAAGAGTAATGGTAAAAACGATTCTTTTATACAAAACTGCAGGAACCCGCCCGCAATGATAGTTAGAGTTCTTTAATTGGTTCGCGCGCGATCGTGTGATCATAAACTTGGCCTGATAAAAACTGCAGCATTTGTATATCGAACAAGACAGAAAAATGAAGAACAAACAACGAATCAAAAGAGGTGGGTGAATAAGAAGAAGTGTAAAAGCCAACAAGCAACAACAAAAAGGGGAATAACTTGTCGCAGAACTCTCCATAAGTAATAAAAACACAAAAAGGTTGGTTGGTTGGGGGGGTGGTCATCAAAAGGTATAAAAAAGAGTTTTTGCTACGTCCAAAACAACAGGCCTGCTAGTACCCAATCATTGATAATACAACAAAAGAGATGCTTAGCGACGAGGGTGACCGCGAACACGGCGGTGCTCCTTGCCAACGTGGCGGCGGGCGTGTGCGTTGGCGGTCTCGACGGCAGTGGCGGTGACGGTGACGTCGACCTCCTCGATCATCATCTCCATGACCTGGTTGCCAGAGGTGTACCAAGAGGTGGCGATGATGTTGCCGGCAGCGTCAGTCTCAGCATCGGCGAGCGAGGCAGCGGCAGTGACGGTGGAGGCAGAGACGGAGACGACAGCGGTGGGGCTCTGGACGTATGAAGAGGCGGTCTCGGCGAGGAGGATACCACCACCGTACTTGTCAGTGACGGAAGAAGTGCCAGGAGTGTAGCTCAAAGTGGGGACAACAGCCGAGGCGGAAGCAGCCGAGGTGGTTGCCTTCGACGAAGCCTTGGTGGAAGTGGCAGCAGCCTGAGTCTCGTCACCGGCAAGGACGACGGGATAGTTGGTGGCGTAAGAAGGACCAGACTGGATAGGAACAGCAATGGGGAGACCGTCCTCACGAGGACCAAGAGGGTTGTCGTCCTTGATGGCATCAACTTCGGCGAAGGTGCACTGACCCTGGTCGGCCTCGGATTGGATGTTGAAGAGCGCGCAGTCCTCGATCTCACCAGAGGCGTTGGTGCAGGTGTCAACGGCAGACTGGAGGAAGTCGACGCTGTCCCAACCCATCTGGAAGTCACCGTGGTATCCGTAACCGGTGGGATCACCGTTGGAGAGAACGAATTGACCGTCCATGCCCTTGAAGGCGTAGGTGTTGAAGATGGTCTCAAAGAAGAGCGAGGGGAGCTTGGTGCCGAAGCCCTCGGGGCAGGCACCGCTCATGACAAGGTCGGGGAAGGCGACGTGCGACTTGTGGTCGTCAGAGTCGACATCCTTACCGTTCCAGCACGAAGGGAACATGAGCTCGAGACGGATACCGTCAAGGCAGTTGGCATCGAGGTAGTCCTTGTCGGGCAAGAAGTGACGGTAAAGAGACGCCTCGGGGGTGGCGGCGTAGTTCAAGCAGTTGAAACCAAGAGCCTTCTGGGAGAGAGCGCTCTGGGTCTTCTGGTCGGCAGTCCAGCTCGACTTGTCGTTGTCAGGAATGGGATACGGGAAGCTGCGTTGACGCTTGTCGCCAGAGATCATCTGGAAGCCCTCAGGGAAGGCAGTGATCTTGCCGTTGGGGTTGGCAGAGTCAGTGTAGAGAAGGTAGTATGCGAGCATGCCGCCGACCTGCTCAACCATCTCGGCAGTGCCGTTGGAGTGGAGGAAGTAGATCGGAGGAGTCCAGTAGGCAGACTTGTCCTGAGTAACGGCACATGAGGTGCAGTCAGAGCTGGCAAGATCTTGAGGAGTGTTGTCGATACCGAACTCTGGGAGTGTATTAGTATGTGGCAAGTCATGATATCAATATCAAAAACATACTGTTACCACCGTGGATAACGTGAACGTGGTCAGAGACCTCGCCGGGGTCCATGATGGGGTCAAGACGGCCGACACCAGTACGGCCACGGCAAGGAAGACGCCAGAAAGCATCGGCACTGCCAGCGAGGGTGAGGGCGCTGACTGCCAGAGACAGCGCGGAAGCCTTGTTGTTCACCATATTGGCGAAAGATGTTTTTATCGATTGGAAGTTGTAGGGTTGATCAAGCTTGACAAGACTGACTGCAAGGCCGGTCAATTGTCAGGTGAAGGAGGATGGGAATTACGCAAGCCACGGACGACTCGAGTTGTTTTGCTGCTGCGACTAAGGAATGTGGGAGAGAGTCTGGATAACGAGTGAAGGTGGTGCCAAGAATTGGGCTGCAGCGGATGCAGGTAGATAATGAATGTTTTTTGACCGAAGGGAGGCCAGGTGAAAAGAGTGACGGTAAATTGAAGCAGCAACAGAAACAACAGACGAAAGTGAGGTGACCAAGGCGTGCAGGGGAGCCAGAGGGGGAAGGGTGTTTAAGGAAATGAAGCTGTTTCTAAAAGGGGCACGGTGCTCCAACACGCGCCGCCACAATTTAGAGCGTTTCATCTTGCAGTACCCCCGATGCACCCTGCGGCATCTGCGTTAAGAACCGTGTTATTGCCTTGCCTTGTGTGAGTCCGGGTCCTATCGATTGTCCGCTGCTTTCACTGTCATTGTCACCTCGCATCGCTGTCACTAGCCGTCCGCCGCGGCCCTCGTGTCGGAGCGCAGATTGTGCTCTGCGACCTGCTTTCGCCTTCTGCAAATCAGGGCCCCAAGACAGCGTGGATCATCGTGTATTCTTGGGATATCGATCTGCATGTCGGAAATGAGCCTTGTCAAACAGTCGAGCCAGTGGTTGTTGACACCGCGAGAGACGAGGTCACAACAGGTCTCAACTTTTGGTTTCGCGGCAAGCCTCAAAGCTTAGCTCACAACGGCCGGCCAGCGGCAGAAAGAGGAGCAGGAGCACCATCACACAAAGCACAAAAATGCGTGTCATCCTGCATTCTTTTCTTGTTGTGTGGGATATGATTGCAACGAATGAAACGTCTGCTAACACAACGATGCCTCCTCCACAGCAACAGTAACCGCGACAAAGTCTCTTGTCATTGCGACACCCCTTACTTCGCTCACATTCTTTGACAGGTGCACATGACACGGTCCCGCATGAATCGACCACGCTGTTTAATGCATCAAATCGCAATCTTGCCATGACGAGGCCGTGGTTATTGCCAATACGTGGCAGCCACTGCGGCCCTGGGCGCCTCTGGACATTCGCGGCACAGCGCGGGCGGGATCTCTCCTTATATCGTTTTCCAAGAGACGCAGTAAAATTATCGATATGATTGCGCACACCGTTCTTCCGGAATCTCTACCGGCCTGGCATAATGCAAACCCCTTATGCAACAGTCAAGCGACTGGCCAAGCCTGGATGTCGGAACCATTGTATGGGGAATGGTGGCGATCCCCATACAATCGCAAAGGCAATGGCCTGCTCCTGGTCACCCCTTGTGCATCTTGCCATTTTTATCCCCTAGACACGTCGATCGTTTCGTGTCAAATACCAACACAAGGAGATCTCATGGCAACTGCTTTTCTACCATGACGTTTTTGTTTTCAATCGAGGCTCCGATGCAATCGATTTCCCATCTTCCCGTACTCCTTCCAACGGGCGGTTCCCCTGGCGTTCACCTGCACTGCCCCTACTAATATACAAACCCCGCTTGTTAATTGGCAGGGGCCTTATCCACGCAAGAGTTTCACGGTGACACGGCTTTCGGCATTTCAGTATAGGGATGCATCGAGTTCAAGCCACAGGGTTTGACGTTTTGTTACAAGTATCGCACTGCGACGAACCAACATTTGCCTCTTCCTCCATTATACCCTCGATCTGTACTTGACGTAAACACGCTCCTTTGGCTTAACGGCAGCGTGGTTGTTGGAATCGCTCTGCGGCACTTTGACGCCGGTGTTGCCATTCTTGTCCGCCAACTCAAAGTCAAAGTACGCTAGGAAGAAGGCAAGAATGATGTTTTGCTCGAGTTTCGCAAAGCGCATGCCGAGGCATGGATGTCTTCCTGCGCCCCAGCCGATGAATGCATGTTTCTTCTTTTGGTCCTCTTCCTTTCCTGGTAGGTATCGTGATGGATCCCATTGGTGAGGGTTGGGGTATACCTCGGGATCGAGATGAACGTCCGCAATGGGATATGCTACGTAGCCTCCTGCTGGTACTTCGAAGTCCGCTATTTTGACAGACTTGGTGCTGTCATTCTTGCGGAACATGGAGCCAGAAGCATTCAAGCGGATACTGTCTCGTAGGCACAAGTCAATGGTAGGCAATTCATGCTCCCACGCTTCTAGAGGCACGTTTGCAAGACGTTCTGCGAATGTTTTCGACGTGTCGCGGTCGTACTTCTCAGCGACTGCTTTGACCTCCTCCCAAACGACACCGCGCCAGTAATCGTCGTTCGCCAGATAGATGATGACCCAAGCAGCATTGATACCAGAATTGAGCTGACCCGCATAGAGCGCTCCGAGCACGAACGTCAAGATCTCCTTAGTGTTGTCGCCTTGGTCAATGAGGTACTGGAGAGGATCTTCCTCTCGATGTCCGGTCTTGGCCCGTCCATCGATAATGTTCTTGAAGATCATGTAGAGCTTGCCGCCGTACCACAGTCGTCTCAGCTTTCCAGGAAATAATGGGAACCAAGGGAAGATGATCAATTCTGCAGAATTTGCAGCTTCAATCTGCTCGAACATTTCCAGTGTTTGGTCCAAAAGAACACGGTCGTTGGCGATATCATTGCATGCGACCGTTCGCATGGTGAGTTGGTAGACAATACCATATATGCTCTCGAACGGGTCCGTCAAGCCTTTGGGGTCTTTCGCGAGTTCGTCTAAACGTGTCGTCGTATCGGATATCAAGAACTGAAGACCTGGGCTTTTGTGAGTCTCTGTTTTATGAGATCCTCCGTTTGCAGCCATACCTTTCACGAAATTCTCTTTCCTGGTCATTCCCAAAAGACGTCTGAAGAACAAGTGATCGTCCATCTCTCCTTGATCTGTGTCATGCACCTTCGATACAGTCGGCGAGCCAGCAAATAGTGCAGCATATCTACAACAGACCTCATGTTTAGTACATTTGGACAGTTCACCAAAGACTAATTTCTGACTCACCCAGCCGTGGCATCTAATTGTTTGCTCTCCAAGAACACTTTTCTGCCTTCATCTCCAGTGACTCCAACAACCTTGTGTTGTCCAACGTGAAATGAGAAATGGCCATTAATCGAGTGCCTTGCTGCCTCCTGGAAGAAATCCCATCGTCTCGTCCAGAAACTCGTAGGGCCAATTATGGGCCAATTGCCCTTGACTGGTGGTGGTAGTTTGCCAGAGGAAGACCGATTGACGAATAGATAAGCGGTGATGATGCCCAGCGTCAGAGACAAGACGGTTAGCAACGTCTGAGAGGAACCGAGACCCTGAAGCACTTCCGCCAACGCCATGGTGATAGTATGTCAAGAAACCAGAGAATGTGGAAAGTTGAGATCAGAGCCGCAGGGCCTTGCAGACATGATATAGGAAGCCATGACCCTCGTGATGGGCCGCAGTTGAATCACGCTATCCACGACTATACCTTAGCGATGTAGGATCCTCTTGGAGTCGTGGTCGTGCCTCTCCAATCAGATGGCGTGGACGTCACGGCCGGTACAAGCGAGCTGCAGGTTTATCCGGCCCTTCCATTCTCCGCGCAGATCCTTTGGAGTCTATTCGTGCCCTCGGATAGGCATTTACGACATACGTGACGTGCGGCTACCAAAACTGCTACTGATTCATGCGGTTTGTATCTTCAACTATAGGATTTCTTGCTTTAGAGTCTGTTGTACAAGGTTAGAAGGTGGTTGATCGTACGTAGCAAGATCGTGGGGTCATAGTAGGCGGACCTGAGAGCCGCTGCTCTACTTCTGTTAGCGACGACGATGTACATTCTTGCGACATGACACTACTGATATCTGGTTATGACATGGCGTACAGCCACCGAAGATGTTTACCTCGGGAGGCTTTTCGTACCTTAATATTTATCATGCTTATATTCTCGTAGAGGCTGGGACAGTTTCGCAGCGTTTTTCCTGCACTTTCTCCGACTTCGCGTCTTGGATATCAAAATTTACTATTGCGCCATTGGAAGCAGTGTTTTCACAATTATGACTTGAAAATATGGTCGGAATTATCATCAAAAGCCACTATGAGCATTGAATCATATTATATATTGAGCGTGCGTGTCTCTGTGGTAGAAACACTCGCCGGAGCAGTCGTTACGGGTACGACCCTGGTATATCAGTCCAGGTGGATCTGGTGGAGCCTCACAACGGCCGTATCAACTGTAGTCGTTGCGCCTCACTCAACAAATCAGAAAAAACCTGCAGCAAGACATTCGATAAGAAGCCTCGAAGCGGCTGTTCTCAATACGAACTGCCGAATGCTTGATCGAAGAGCCAATGCGATGATGCCTGAGTCGTGTGTAGTGCATGGCTTCGCGTACTGGACAAAAGCCTCGGCAGCACGCGCGCATACCATAACGTGAAAGATGGAGACGTGGGTGGTAATAGATATGTCCAATGCTTGATATGGATACAAAAGCTCATTCGAGCAGGGTCGTAGAGTTCATTGCGATCTGTTGGTCTTTCCGTCGACGTCATGACCATGCATTTCCTCCTCATGGTATGCGTATGTCTTGCAATTCCACCTATTGCTTATCGGTCCTGGCACCTAGACCAGCCTTTCCTCCCTTAACCTCATCGACTTCTTGGAAACCGGTGCTTCTGTCGCTAGGCTTTTGAGGATCGGGCTGCTTGGCAGGATGGTCGTCGCCGCTCTTGTTTGCGGCGGAGCTCTTTGTAGAGGCAGAAGACTTTGTGTCGTGAGCTGGTGACTCAGTATGGCCCTTTTGCTGTCTGCCCGGGGGAATGTTTGGTGGTGGAGGAGCGTCCTTTTGTGCGAGGCTGGAGGTGGTGCTCAGAGGGCGCATTGAGGCGATGCGGCTGGTGCGCATGAAAGATGTTCGTAGAGACATCATGATGGTGGTGATCGTGTGAGTTGATTTGGAGATTGTGTCTGGGTGATTGAGGAACAATTCAAATGTGAGTTTGCTGAAGGTGAGGACAAGCTCTATGACAAGCAATCAAATCGACTCGTTCATGATATCATCATGATGGAGATCAGTCCGGCGGGAGAATGGATAATCTCAATCATATCAGATCTTCATTTACCTTCTTGCTGTTGAGCTCAATTGAATGGCATTGCTTGCTGCAATAATTATACATGCTGGGGAGGTGCAGCATTCTCAATCTCAACTCGAGCAGTGAGCTTCGCGTTGTATATAGAATGTTATTTCTGACATTCGAGTAAAATCAAACCAATGATCTATATGTAGTCGACATGATTGAACCTGAAAGTTCAAGAGACGTTTGTGACTGTGCCTTGCATGATTACGATCGAATCGAGCAGTCTCCGAATGTGAAAGTTATTGTCGCCGTCAAAAGATGGTATTCATAGCGGAGCGGAAACAGCCGCCATGGATCGGAAGTCTTGGCATGTCCGAAGTTCGAAGTCGAGGCCGAACAATTTAGTGGCAGCGAGCTATCGACATCTGATATACCACACACTGTCGCCATGGCCTCCACAAGAACTTGCTTGTCACAATTGACACGAACGACTCTATCACGACCAACCCTCTACGTTCCCTCTATCTCGATACAACAGCGCGGCGCTGCACAGAGTGCCAACGCGCAAAAGTACAAGCGCAAGGAACTGCCCACATCACAGCGCAAGAAGAAGAGCAGAACAACCTTTGTCAACCATGACTTGAAAGATGCCATCCAGTTCCCTCTGGTTGATGCCATGAGGTATGATTTTCTGCCCGCCCTACACCATACCCATTACATCTTTCGTCGACCCATACCATAAGATTGGTGAGACTGACAGTATGCAGATACCTTCGCGCAACAGAAGTTGGTCGTGTACCGACATCGTCCAAGTACGAAATCCATCTTCGCCTCAAATCGCTCAAGAACGGTCCCGTAGTCCGCAACCGTATCCGCCTCCCACACCCTGTAAAGACCGACCTCCGTATCGCTGTCATCTGCGATCCAAACTCTTCGGCCGCCACTGCTGCAAAGAAGGCTGGAGCAACCTTGGTCGGTGAGGAGGCCATCTTCGACGCTGTAAAGGAGGGCCGCATCGAGTTCGACCGCTGCCTCTGCCACCAGGACTCGCTCGCAAAGATGAACAAGGCTGCTTTGGGAAGAATCCTGGGTCCCCGAGGCTTGATGCCGAGCGCAAAGACCGGAACAGTCGTCAAGGACGTTGCAGCAAGTGTGCAGGACATGGTTGGTGCAAGCGAGTACAGAGAGCGTCTGGGCGTCATCAGAATGGCAATTGGACAGTTGGGCATGACTCCTGAGGAGCTTTCAAGGAATATCAGAAGCTTCATCGAGAACGTCAAGAAGGACATGGCTGGTATGAGCGACAGAATCGCCAAGGACATTCACGAGGTGGTAAGTAACATTGCTTTCCTGCGCCTCTACCGTTTCGAAGAGGTCGCACACTCTAAGAATCGCAGACTAATATGGTATAGGTCCTCTCCTCTACCAACGGACCTGGTCTCAGTCTGAACGGTGACCTCAGAGGCCCAGACTCGATACCCACAAAAGACCTCGCAACTGCTATGTAAGCAAAGCAAGCAGGTAATGCATTGTAAATATACCCGACTTTTCATGTGCCCTTCTTCTTTCTGTTCACTTTTTGTATCATTATCCCGAGTCTTCAATATGATCTGAAGAGGCAATCAAAGATGTTTTCTAAGTTTTGCTCTTTTCTAAGCCCTTGATATTAGCCCACCTTCACTTGGTGGTAGCGTTTCTCTCCTAAACCCCATCCCCAAGACTTGCTACTTACATTCGCCCTTCTACTTTCGCCCGTTACCTTCGCTTGTTCACTAGGCACCTGCTTCTTTATCACTTCGATGTTTGGTGACCGGACTTCGCTTTGATACCTTCCCTCGTTATTTCCTCTCTCTGCACTCGAGGATCCAATTGTCCGAGCACGATAACAACCGGCACAAAGCCTTGTGCGTCTGGGTTGACGCCTTCGGGTCTTTACCGTCGTTGCTCCCAATCTGAGCGGGCACAGAACCCCAGCATTGCTGTTATTAGCACCGCGAATTTCTTCGCGTAAACCATCACTAAATCAAACAACCTCGTTTCCACAACCAGCGCGTTGACGAAAACCAGAACAGCATCCGCGCAGACACCTCGATCTCGTGTCGACTCGCCGATACTTTGATAACAGCATTACCCCTACCCCGAGTGTCATTCGATATCATCGGACACGTCAAGTCTGACACTCAACTCGTTAACCACCGTCACTCTTCTTCCAAGATCTTACAACTTTTCGTGAAGATCATCGAGACGAAGCCCTTCTGTCTGTTATTGAGAAGAGATAACTGGCACACCAACCACTGTGCGCTCTACTCATAACTTTCGGACACCGACTTCAAGTTGTAAGATCCCCTTGGACCATATTCATGTTGGATCTGCACTAATGCAAGAACAGCACACGATCTTGTCTCTCATTCACAGAAACTCACAATGGACGGTCAAAAGCGTGCTCGTGAAGACGCGCTTACAGTCGAGTCCGCTGCATCTAAGTCTGACGCAAAGCGTGTGAAGACCGACCCGTCCGTTTCGGTGGTCATTCACAAAAGCTCAACTACTGCTAGGCCCAAACGAACACTCAGTCTACCTGCTCCAAGCGACTCTTCGTCAGAGCCCACGAGAAGAGAGATGGAAGCCAGTCTTAAGTTCTGTGAGCACATTCTGGAAGAGTTGCGCAAGTCTAAATACGATCGCTGGTCCGCGCCATTCCGCATTCCGGTCGACCCTGTTGCTCTCAACCTCCCAAACTACTGTGCCGTCATCAGACAACCCATGGACATCTCTACAATCACCAAGAGACTCCGGGAAGGACAGTATGCCACTGCCCTTGAGTTCAAGCATGATATGGATTTGATGTTCCATAACTGTTTCAAGTTCAACCCTCATGACAACGTCGTGAATCAGATGGGAAGAGACTTCCAGTCTGCGTTCGCATCTCTGTGGTCCAAGAAAGACGCCTGGATAAATCATTATAACGATCTCGAGTCAAACACCACGTCAATTGCTACGCTCATAAAACAGGTCGAGAAAAATCTTTTCGCCACACACGGTGAACCGAAGAAATCAAAGGTTGTGTGTCTGAAGGTCGCGCAGAAAGACAAGCTGCAGGAGATTCTGAAACGACCACCAGGAAAGCAAACCAACGAAAGGTCTGCAATAAGCGCCAATCATCTCCTTGAAGTACCTGCTCCTGCCACCTCAGAGCCCTTCAGATCACTGAAGCCAGCAGTCAAGCAAGTGGCTAAGAACTCACTCAGCCCCGAAAGCTTTGAAGTCAGGATCGCTCGCCTGGAGAAGATCAAAGCAGACGCCGAAGCGGCCGATAAGAAAACCAGAGCAAAAGCCGAAGCAAAACTCGCTGCCAACAAGAAAATCATCGAAGACGCCGAGGCCGAAATTGCCGTCAGCAAGAAGAGAAAGACACTGGAGGAGGAGAACACAGTCCTGGAACTGGAAAGAGGAGAACTCAGTAGGAAGCTCAGCGAGAAGAGGGCCGAACGCGATGATGCCGGCAAAGAGCTCGAGAAGATCAAAAAGAAGGTTTCGACTCTTGATCAAGAGATCGAAAGCATGCGCACGAGGGATGTCGAGGCTAACAACGAGCAAAACAGCATCCGGGCGAAGATCAAAAAGATTTGAGAAGATTCAAAAGGCTCGACAAGAGTGACTAGCTCGCTGCTTGAAATAGGAAGAGTTCCAGCAGAACATTTTTTGATCAGTGAGCCCCTCAAGTCCGTCGTCAACGGCGTCCATTTGCACACAATATGTAGAGTAACAAAATCTGACCTCTCTTCACCACACAAAGCTTTCAAAACACATTTCCTTGCTTCCCCCTTTTTACAATGACGCTGATCAGAAGACTTACTGATCACACTGATCACACTGATTACACTGATTATACTTCACGCTTATCACACTTGTCACACTGATCACGCTCACCTTCCTATACAGCAGGAGACTGGAAAAGAATGCCAAAATAAGCAGATCGACATCTGTCTACCAAGAGCTCTCACTATTTTCATGATGCGGACCACGACTCTTTGGTCACATCCAGATACCTTTTCGTAGTAGAAAAAGAGATGCACTCTAAACACAACATCTAGCCAGTCACTTCTGTTCTTCAGCCAGACCAACACATACGGCGAATATCAAGAAGTAGATAGATGTAATCGAAACGACAAAAGCGTGCGGATGGATCTCTTGCCAAGCATACAGCAAAATGCTTCAGAGGCAAGAGATCGGCTGGGTAAAGTGTGTCTAGCTATCCACACAGTAAGAAGGCTTCCTTCCTTCTGTGAAAAATGGGCATCAATCTTGACTTAATGCTGCCATTGCTGCCACTACACAGCATAAATCTGCCCCTCTCTGAAAATATTCCATCATACCTCTAACTCTCTTCCTCACTCTCTCAACCCTGTTTCAAAGCACCAGCACCTTCCTCCCCCTCTCCCAATTCTCTATATATGACCAAGAAATCGAGTAATTGTTTCCCGCCAACTCCAGCGGTTTGTGCTTGTTTCAAGCTCGTCCTCAAGTCCAGTAATAGTGTATTTCTGATGCGTAAAAGTCGAGATTGCTGGGCTGTGATGAATGGGTGATGGTGGAGTTTTTGGGTCAGGTGGGTGAGGAGGAGGTAGGCTTGTGCGTGTTTCCTCAATCGCGCGAGAGTGGCAGTGGTCGCGGAATCTCCGTCTCCGTCTTCGTAATCCTCGTCCTCGTCTGAGTCTGAATCCGAGTCGTCGTCATTGGCGGATGTGTTGTTTGCAGATAAAGAGTTGGAGGGTTCGACCATCAATCTGGCTTCTAGGTCTTCCAATCTCTCTTCAATCTCCAAGAGTCGTCGGCCAACCATGACGTCTTTTCTAATCCTCTTTTTCTCTTCTAGTAATGTGCCGAATTCTTGCACTTTTTCCGCGACTGCATCTCTGACGTTTCCGACTTCTCTGCTGAATCCTAGTACGCCTACGCGAACTTCTTCTATCTTCTCCTCTCCTCCTTTTAACCTTAGACCCAGGGATAGAAATTCCTCGTAATTGGCATTTACCAGATCTAACAGTTCTTTGGAGAGTAATTGAGAGCGTTGGCGTAGATCGGATCGCAAGTCCTCGAGGGTTTGGTGGCGGTTGGAGAGGGTGGAGAGGTAGGCTTCGGGTGTGAAGTTTGGGGTTAGGAAGTCGCTGCGGGGGAGAGCTGCTGGGAATGGTAGGGGGGTGTTGTCGGCGTCGGAATCAGAGTCGGAGTAGGTAGAGTAGTTGTTGGAGGAGTAGGGTTTGCGGTCCAAGGGATTTGATTTGGGAGATGGAGGGGAGGTGAGGGGGGAGGGTGTTGCTGTTGTTGCTGTCGAGTCTGGGAGCTGTAGAGGGGTATGTTAGCGTTGGCTTTGGGATTGGGAGGATAGAGAGATGTACGTAGAATTTGCTCATGGTTGCGGTATCAATGTGAGTAGGCGACAACGAGGTGAATTGCAATCATCGCAAAGTGGTTGGTTGGTTGCTACTAAAGACAAAGGTCCCGGTATACAGATGGATAAGATAAGATTGGCTTTTGCTATCTCCGCGATACATTGATTACCAATAGCCGAGGGCCCGGTGACGACATGTCATAACGAATAAAGCAAAGAAAGAGGATAACTGTGGTCCGGTTGTTCTTCTTCTTCTCTTGTAAATGCAAGATCGAAGTGCAAAGTGACAAGAATGCCTACACCTTCTCTCCCTCAACCCGCACATCCAGAGCTTGATTCAATGCTGACGCGGAAGTTTGGCAAGGAAGTCGCCAACTACTTTGCCGGTAATTGGACACCCCTCCACCTATTTTCTCAATCCAACAAGATAGCAATGATTCTGATAACGGACAAATCACAGGCTCTCCTCTGAACCGCTTTGGCTTCCTTCGTAGCGACAATGTCTTCCTCTCTGGAGCCCTGAAGCACCCGTCTGCTTCCTTCCTCCTCTGCAACAACCTGCAGCCATTGACTAAGGACAAGACCAAGCTCGCCTATGTCCAATACAAGGATGTCCAACCCATCATCGGCGAAGACCCCTACGCCACCCCGGAGTCCAAGATGATCGAAACCTACAACTCCAAAAACTTCATCCCCCAAATGATCTTCCTCGGCCTGGACGAGTCCGTCAAGGAAAACTCCTTTAGCTACGAAGCAAAGAACGCCGTACACAAGGGCGCTCCTTACTTCGCCATCGATGTCACTCCCAAAGACCCTCTGACCCAGCAATGCAACGACGTCATCAAGTCGTGCGAAGACAAGGGCCTCACATTCGCCCAAGGCAGAGCAATGGACCTCATAGCAGGCGACGCAGCGATCTACGCCGAAGCCCGCCAACTCCTCGACTGGAACATGCGCAACCCCTTCTGCGCTCAATGCGGCCACCCTACCTTATCCGTCAACGGCGGCTTCAAACGCACCTGCCCACCCACCGATTCCAGCACCTTGCCCTCCACCGCCGTATCCACCTCCAACACCGACGCCTCCAGCATCGACCGCCCCGCCTGCGCAACCAGAAAAGGCGTGTCCAACCTCTCCTTCCCCCGCACCGATCCCACCATCATCGTCGCAGTGGTCAATCACGCAGGCGACAAACTTTTACTCGGCCGCAGCAAGCGTTTCCCCAAATACTGGTATTCCACCCTCGCCGGCTTCTGCGAACCCGCAGAGTCGATCGAAGAAGCCACTCGTAGAGAAGTTTGGGAAGAAGCTGGTATCCATCTCGGTCGCGTGATCATTCACTCCACCCAACCATGGCCATATCCCGCAAACCTGATGATCGGCGCAATTGGACAATCCGTGCCCGAAGGAGAAAAGATTGATCTGGGCAATGATCCAGAATTGGAGGATGCCAAGTGGTTTACCTTTGACGAGGTCAGGACGGCGTTGAGGGTGGGGACTAGTGGGTTGGATGAGGGCCCGAAACCTGAATACAAAGAGGGAGATTTGAGATTGCCTCCGGAGACTGCTATTGCTCATCAGCTCATCAGTGCCGTCGTGGAAAAGGGCTTTTTGGCTGCAGAGTCAAAGATGTAGATGCTGCTGCTTTGGTTAGATTTGTTGATATAGTTGGATTGATGTAGATTGGAAATACAGATCCAGGATTTGGGAAGAAACTATCGCCCGCGCTCTTTTCGATGTCATGTCTTGCCGCTTTGTTGATTAGAGCAATGGTTGGAAGATCGAGCCATAGAATACAGCACAATGAGCCGAGTTTCAACATGAGTCATGAAGCAAATGAAGAAGTAGATGGAGCAATAAGTGAACAATGTCAAGGTCAAGGATATCGTCAGTTCTTTTTCTATCCATATGCCCCGTTATCCAACTCTTCCACGACCTTCATCAAGCCGTCTATAGCAACCCTTGCTTCTGCAAATCATAGTACACCTTCTCGGGCATGACATTGCCCTCTCCATCCTCCATCTGCACAACCTGATCACTAGCCGTACTCTCCACCTTCCTATCCCCCTGCAATTTCTTCCACAACTCGGTCGCCTCCTCAATACCCGTCACATCCCTAAACATACTCGAATTGGTGATGCCCAATCGCTTCAACCCGTACAAATGTCTGGCTTCTCCGAAATGCTTGTCGAATGCTCTGCGGCCCATGTAGACGTAATTGCCGCAGATTTCGCAGGGGAATTCGACGCCTAGGCCGTGCAGTTTGTAGAGCCAGAAAGGGATGGGTTTGTCGTCCCAGCCCAGGGGGAGTTTTAGCGGGTTGTAGACTTTGCCTTCTTCGTCTTGTTCGGGGTCGTCGGCCTGAGGGTCTGCGGAGGCGAGGTCCATGGACTCGGCGTAGAGGGCTGCGAGTTCTTGTTGGCGTTCCTTGTCTGTCATGCCTTGTTTGCGTTCGACGTTGGCGCGAGTGTCGGAGCGCTCGGTTTGCATGGCAGCAGCCAGTTTACGGATGCGGTGTTCGCGTTCGGCCACGGCCTTTTCTTTTAAGCGGTGCATTGAAGCTGCTGCTGTGTTGGCGCTACCATTTGTGGATGCGGCTTCTCCGTCTGCGGCGCGTTGTTTTCTTGCTTCTGCGTTTTTGATGTGCTTCTTTCCTGTCAAGTGGCCTTTGTAGACGTTGTCGTTCTTGAACTCCTTCTCACAGTCCGGGCACCACATTCCCTCGCCTGTACCTTCTGTTGCTGGTGCGTCTGATGTTGATTTTGTGTTGAGTTGCCAGCCGGGCACTTCGTCCTTTTCCCAGAGTTTCAAAAAGTCCTCGTCGAAGCTGAGGAATAGTCTATCCAGATCCTCCAAAGGCTTGATTCGGCGCATGAAGCTTTCAAGGTATGTAGCCAGGTTTCCAAGGTATTGGAAGTATTGATCCTTCAGCTTTTCCGGTCTGGACATGCCATCAAACTCGTCGAATGTGTCCAGATATTGCAGATATGTGATGCGCCTCTTTGAACCAGGCAGGTTGATGTAATCCTCGTGCAGGGCGTTCATGTCGAAGTAGCGACCAAAGGCCTCCTCTCCAGTGAACATGGTGTCGATCTCGGATGGGAAGGGGGCATCTTCTCCAACAGCTCTGCGCTTGTATGCGCGCTCGAGGTTCTCAACAGGCTCGTTTGGGTAGCGCTTGTGGAAGTCTTTAATGTGGTTTAGTTGCTTGTAGAACTCGTCGAATGTGTCGCCGGTCGAGATGGATTGGACTTCGCGTAAGCGACTGCCATCGTTGTCTTTGTACAGGTCGACTGCGCGATTTGATTGCGACTTTATGCGATCGAGGAAGGCAGCGATTTGGTGGTCTCTTTGTAGGCGGTCTCGAATCTGAGAGTGGATTAGCATCTGCACATGAATGGCATAGTATCTTCGCAAGAAAACGTCCTCATTTCCCTGGAGGCTGATGTGCGATTGAGAGCAATACAGCTCCCAAAGAACTGAAGCGTAGCTAGATGAATTAGTGAGATGCGAAAGATTGACGCTTACATGTTTGGGATCTTCAAGCGAGCGCTCGGCTATGGCCTGCTCGAGACGCTCAAGGTCCTCCCTCGTATTGCGCAAGTCTTCTAACAGCATGGTGGTTAATGTGTGTATGTGAACGTGGAAGAAAGATGATTGCTGGTATACTGATTCGGCGCGCGGCGAGAGATGGAAGAGGGTCCGTGCTTTGGATGCTTCGTTCGTTCTTGCCTTTCGAGCTTTATTCCTCTTTGACCGTCACTGCCACTTTTTATATCTTTACGACTCGTACTTTCCGGATCTTTCGGTCTATCGCGCCTGCCGCCTGCTATCTCCCGCAAACACAAAGTCACATCATCCAAGATGGCGGAAGGAGGAATCGACCGCAAGATGGAGGAGCGCATGGAGTTTTCGACATCCAAGGAAGTTCGCGTCGCGCCCACCTTTGAGGCCATGCACCTGAAGGAGAACCTGCTCCGTGGAATCTACGCATATGGATACGAATCTCCCTCTGCCGTTCAGTCGCGCGCTATCGTCCAGATCTGCAAGGGTCGCGACACCATCGCCCAAGCCCAGTCCGGTACTGGTAAAACTGCCACCTTCTCCATCTCCATTCTTCAGGTCATTGATACCGCTGTGCGCGAGACTCAGGGTGAGTCGCATCTTTCTAGTCGGATAAACCTGTTCAAATGCTGACGTCCCCAGCTCTCGTCCTGTCTCCCACCCGTGAATTGGCAACTCAGATTCAGTCCGTGGTTATGGCCCTCGGCGATTACATGAACGTCCAATGCCACGCTTGTATCGGCGGCACTAACGTTGGCGAGGATATTCGCAAGCTCGATCACGGCCAGCACGTCGTCTCTGGTACTCCTGGACGTGTCGCTGACATGATCCGTCGCCGCAACCTCCGCACTCGCAACATCAAGATGCTCGTCCTGGATGAGGCTGATGAGTTGCTCAACCGTGGTTTCCGCGAGCAGATCTACGACGTCTACCGTTACCTTCCTCCTGCCACTCAGGTCGTCGTTGTGTCAGCCACTCTCCCTTACGATGTGCTCGACATGACCACCAAGTTCATGACTGACCCCGTTCGTATCCTCGTCAAGCGTGATGAGTTGACCCTGGAAGGTCTCAAGCAATACTTCATCGCTGTTGAGAAGGAAGAATGGAAGTTCGACACTCTTTGCGATCTTTACGACACCCTCACCATCACACAAGCCGTCATTTTCTGCAACACCCGCCGCAAGGTCGACTGGCTTACCGACAAGATGCGTGAGGCCAACTTCACCGTGTCCTCCATGCACGGTGAGATGCCTCAGAAGGAGCGTGACAGCATTATGCAAGACTTCAGACAAGGCAACTCAAGAGTCCTCATCTCGACTGATGTCTGGGCTCGTGGTATCGATGTTCAGCAAGTCTCTCTTGTCATCAACTACGATTTGCCCAGCAACCGTGAGAACTACATCCACAGAATTGGTCGTAGTGGAAGATTCGGCCGCAAGGGTGTTGCCATCAACTTCGTCACCAGCGAGGACGTCAGAATTCTTCGTGACATCGAGCTTTACTACTCTACCCAGATTGATGAGATGCCCATGAACGGTAAGCCGCTAGAATCTCCTCTGACAAAATATCTTATGCTAACGTGCCATAGTCGCCGACCTGCTTACCTGAGCAACCTTTCCATCGATATGCTATATCTTTTTTCTGTGCAAGTTAATAAATTGCAAAACGCCGGATGGAGTTGAGAAGTTTGCCATTGAGAGCATAAGTAGGGGGAAATGGGCCATGTAGCCAATACGGTTAGTACTTTCTTGATCCTATTTCATCCACGAAACCATGCTAACATGACACGAGTGCAGTCAATATCACAATTGCCATTCCGCGACCCCGATCTCAGACTCTTTTTCCAAATGAAGCTCTCCTGAGAAGTTCCAGACCACTAATCCCGAAAGCCAACGAGCACAACAACGCCGGCGTCGATGGCGAAAGGCCGAGAAGGACGATGTGTGCAATGCGCAACCACCCGATCGATGGGGTCACGTCACAACAGCTTCACAATTAAGTGGAATAGTCTGCAGACGAATTTGAGAGATGAGAGGGACATGGACGAGGTGTGAAGGTAGAAATATCAGCTCTGCAAGCGAGCGAGATGAGCACCTTACGTTTAGGCTCACATTCAGAACTAGAGCTTTCGCGCTCCGTCGAGTACGGAAAGAAGCTGGCGCAATACCAATGTTTTGGATCTAGTCGAGCTGGCCGCCCAGAGGGCTCTTCACTACGATTCTCTTTGGATAAGTAAGAACTTCTGATTTTGTTTGCATTGCATCAGCAAGACTTTCAGTGGTGAGGAGAGTGAAAGCGAGATCCTAGTGAGTGACTGTTGAGATTTGCCCGCTCTTGTTGTTCTCACTGCTTTCACTGCGGCAGCCCACTTGTTCACTCAAATCCAGCCTCTACCATCACCTGCCACTCTGAAACTGCCTTATTACTTCCCAACTCGAACGCCAAAGAGAACAAGCTTGTTATCACTTCTGCTTTGTCACCTCTCACTCGGTCAATCTTGTAGATCCCGCCACACAAGCCGCACTCAACTTCATCGTCTAACTTGCAACAACTTTACTATAATCAACAACAACAAAACGTCGAATCAAGCCTTCCAGCAAACATTGTCAATATGGCCACTCCAATCACCGCCAGATCCATCTTGCCGACACTTCCACCAGAGCTGCTTGGTCGAGTGTTTGCCTTCGTCGACGACAAAGATCTGATTAGCTTGCGCCTCGTCTGTAAAGACATCTGCGCGGCCGCTAACAGACCATTCGCAATCTGTTTTTTCGCCAACAGCCACCATGTCACGACCGAGTACAGCATTCAAGCACTCGTTAAGATCACGGCACATGGGGTGTTCAGTCCTCACATCAAAACGGTGACAATCTGCTCCGCTCGCATTGCAACCCATGTTCTCGACGAGAGAGACAATACTGAAAACACGGATGAGGAGAACGTTGAATCTCACGAAGAGCCCGGGGATGAGGCAGATGGGGAAGCTGACGACAATGACGACGAGTCTGACGATGTCGAGGAACTTCTTGTCGATACTTCGTTCGTGCGTTCCGGGCAATTTGACCGCCTTCTGAAGATCGCATTTTATAACATTCGAAAGACCTCACGTTATATCACAATCGGTGTTTCATCAGATTATCGATCGAGAGGACGTTATACAATCTCCTCGCTAGCCCCCAAAAGACGACCGTACGGCTGGAGAACCATGCTCGATGCATCACGCATCATCTATCGAACTGTCGATACGCTCAATATCATTATGGCAGCCGTAGCGGACTCTGGTTGTCAGATGAATGGCCTGTCCGTTGTATGCTACACATTCCCCTCCAACGATGACGTGCACAGGATGAAGAAAACACTCGAGAAATTTTTCCTGACTCGTACTTTGCCTCTGGACCTCTATTTTGACTGGAAACGTCTTCCCGTCATGCAGTATGCCTGCTGGGAAGAATCCGTGAGACTGATTGGGCATTTCGTTTCCAGCCGCGGGGACAACGATGCTCAATTTCCTGTCGATACTGTAATTCGTTGGATCCTCAAACAACCCATGTGGCATCTCTATGCCGACAGGTTTAAGTTTTCGGACCTGTCTTTCTCGAACATCTATTTCGTAGATTCTCTGGAAGACGTTGTGCTTACCAGACTTGAGCTGCAGTCAAGTCCATTTGGCAAGGAGAGTTACAGCGATCTGTTCGTGCGACTTGCTGCCATGCCAAACCTGCAATCATGCGAGTTGTACAAATTCAGATACCAAATTCCTAGACAACGCGCTGGGTACTCCATCGGACTTCGGTCCGGTACATATCCTGCTAAGAGGGACAATCTCTATCTCCTCTTTCCCAACAACCAAATCCGTCTCAACGTATCGGGTGAAAACGTCTCTCAACAGTTACTGGGCCTGGCCGCATACACCTCGGCAGCAGAGCGCAAGAAGATACTGGCGATTGAGGCTGACGGAGAAGTCAAAGATCCCTGGGTCTCCGCGCTTGACATCAGCCATGAGCCGCGCAAATTCCGCGATAACGACTTGGGCCTAAACAGTGGTTCTGATGATGACGGCTTGTGTGAGAGCTCTGACTCAGAGGAGTACGAAGAAGAGGAGTCTCCAGAGGATTCAGAGGACTCAGAGGACTCAGAGGATTCGCAGAGTTCGGAGGACGAAGACGATTTATCAGAATTCGATATTGCATAGGCGTCGATCAATGCTCTTCCAGTGTTGTCGCTCTAGCGAATGTCGTCTGCCACAAAGCATATAACCAGCTAGGCGACTAATCGGTCACGAGAACGATCAAGCAGGCTCTCCATGAAGATATCTGTCAAGGCTTGACATTCTGCTTCACAACAGCATTCTTCAGAGCTTTTCAAGCTCAAGGACGATTTTGCAATGGTACAATTCAGTCAACATATAATATTCGAAGACGAGGAGAATTTGCGAAGGTGCAGGACGAGTTTGCTACTATGCAGATACTGAAACAGAAAGAGGATACGATGGCTTCTGGTAAGCCCCCAAGAAGTCACATGATGGGATACGAGGGTAAGATGGCAGACTAGGGGAGAGTGTGGAGGTCATGGCAAAGAGCATGGCACAACAGAAAGGAAGAACCAAAAACATCAGTAAAATGGAGAATGAGAGAGAACGCTTTACCGCACCAAAACTAGTAGGTACCACCCATGAATATGCAGAAATGTGACATGATCTCAGATCAAGCGGCTCGTATCGAGAGACTAACAAAGCGAACAATGCAATGTTGGAAAGCAGTAGAGCTCTTGAGACAGAGTTTGCTTTGCTGAGCTTTGTTCGGACTCGTGCCTTCTGGAAACAAACAAAAACAATGTGCATTGCGTCAATTCAACTTTCACGAAAGTGCGAGCCGCGCAAGGAAGTCTCACCTCCAAGTGAACTGTTCCTTCTCAATATCAGCCTTGGCGTTCACTCGTTCGACACTCATCATCACAACAACACAAAACTTCCACGCGCTTTCTACTTCTTCCTCTCCAACCAACACAACCACATAATCAATGGTAGGTCAACCATCACCTTACTGCCACCGACGTCCCTGACATTATTCTAGGCTACCTCCACAGCCAACGATCGAAGCACCAACACGGTAAGTCCATCATCAGCGTCACAAGCGCACTTTCTGACCTCTATCTCAGGCCATCTCAACTCCCAACCAGCCAAACATTATGGATCTACCACCCGAAGTCCTCGTCGAGATCTTCAACTTGATCGACAACAAAGACCTTCCCAACGTGCGCCTCACATGCAAGAAGCTGTGTGAAGCTGCCAACAGACCTTTCGGATTCGCCAATTTCACCGAAAGAGCCCACGTGGTCTCTCCCTACAGCATCAATGCGCTTGTTGACATCACGGAGCATCCTATCTTTGGAAGCTATGTCAAGTCTGTCGGAATTTGCAGCGCAAGGGCAGGCCTCGAAAAGGATTATCTTAAGTACCACCGTGTCGACATAGATACCAGCGATAAAGCGATTTTGAACGGATATGTCAAGACCGGTCGCTTCGGACGTCTGATGAAGCGAGTTTTTGACAACATCAGAATGCATTCCCAATCTGTCACGATCAGCATTTATAACGACAATCCTGATGGAACGAGATTTGACAACGAGTCCTGTTTGGCACCCGAAACGTATTTCGGCTGGGCTCAATTCATCAAACAGAGCCCTGGAACCCCTGTATCCATGCCAGCAGAGACACTAGAGCAGACTGTGTACGCAGCCAGACGTGCAGGCTGCCTTGTCAAACGTATCAGGATGGACCGCCCTTCGCCGAACCTGCGCTTCAGAGATGAAGCCCAGAAAAGACTGGACACGACCATCCAGCAAATTCTTGAATCCAGCATCACACCGCTGGACCTCCATGTTGATGGGATCCGCTATCATGATAAGTCAGCCAGTCTGGAGATATCTGAGTTCATGCCCAGGTTGAGGGAGGATAAGATTAATCAGTGTCCTTTGAACGCCTTCTACTGTTGGGTGAAGGCGAAGAAGATTGCTCGACTCAGATTTCACCACAACAGCGACTTCAACATCCGCCCTTTCCAACCACTACTCACATCCCACTTGAGGTATTTAAGGCTTGATCGACTTGGGGTTGAATGTAGGTATCTTAATGTTAATCTCTGGAGCGAGCATATTCAACCTCTCTGTGGATTACGGGGATTGAGATACTGCAGGTTCGAGCGCCTCAAATATGAATGCGACCTTGATTGGGGCGTCATAAGCGACATCAGCTACCTTTACCTGCCTGGCCAAGGTGAATACCTTTGCGACTACGATAGCTTTCAGCTTCTATTTCCTGACGGAACCAAATCTTTCGAAGCAAAAGGCGAAAGCGTGTGCACAGAACTCAAGGGGTTGGTGTGCTACTTGGAGGCATCCGAAGAGCAGAAGCGTTCGCAAATCATCAGAGAGGGACTTGTCAGCCATGACAAGATCGGAATCGTTGACTAGGGCCGCAGAACAAATTTCTGATAACCACAAGAATGTCGAGGATGTTGAGGGAAAACTATCACTCAGCTATTAGCCAGTCCCCGAATCAGGTACAGAATTGCACTCTCATTGAACCTTCCAGCAGAATTAAAAGCATCGTACATTTCTACAGTGATTGTTGAGACCCCTGGTTACCCATGAGAGCCAACATTCTGCTCTTGATGTATTAAAGACTAAAGGACGTGAATAAGATGTGATTTCTTCCAGGCTGAATTCTATGCCTTCAGTAGACATTCTGAGTAGAGCAAAATATCTTACATTTCTCCAGCATATTCTGAACCTCCGTTCATACCTGAGTAGCAGCCACGAAGTATGTTATGCTAATGCCATGTGGAGGTGCTATAACTGTGAGGAAGATGTATTCGGAACGAGAGAGAAATGGAAAGAACGACCAAGCAAGATATAATAGAGAAAATGGGAAGGTGCGACCGAGCAAGAACATGGGTTTGTAGATGTAGACCAGGAAGGAGCAACCACATGTTCCAGGAAAGAGCGATACGTGAGCTCACTCCAAGATGGAAAGAAAGAAGCAGAGTACATAGGTATCATGTGTGAAATTCATTGTGATTGGAAAAAACTATACTACGTTGAGCTTTTCGCGTGTGCTGGTTGTCGACTTTGCCCCTTTTTCCTCCCTTTGTTCTTCTTATTTTCTTCCCTCTCAGGTTCTCAATCGCTTTATTCTTTTCTCCACCATCCCTGGACCAGCGTTACGGCTCTCTGGATTATACCCAAGCTTCCAGATTGATCGGTGGTCTCAACTCCAGATTGATCAGTATTCTCAACTCCAGATTGATCAGTATTCTCAACTCCAGCCTCATCATCTCCCGAACCGGAGGAGTCAAGCAACTTCACATATCTGTCACGAACGCGTCCATGTGTTTCGATGTCGGAGATCTTGTTTGCTTCCATTTGTGCCACTTCGACTGCCAACGACTTGATTCTGGCGGGCACTTCTTCTCCACGGATCACAAACGGTTCGTCAGTATCGGAAAGAGACAAACGAAAGTTTGCGGTGTGCTTCCTGTCGTAAGCAACGTACTGACCGCTCGAGAGGATAAAGCAGTAGTCGTTATCCAGTTTAGGCTGACTGAACTCATAGAGAGCACCTTGGAGTTCGAAGTGCGCCAATCCTCGTAGACGGGAGAACTCTTCAAGGAGGCTGCTCCAAAGATTGCGGTCGAAATGCCAGGTTTCGAGGGACACCCTTCGTAGAGTGAGACGCTCGAGGGTTGGGCTGCACAGAATCATTGGATATTCTGAGCCGTCAAACCAACAGTCCTGGATGTTGATGACGGTTATTCGGAAGGTCAAGAGACAGCTCAGGACTTTTCTAAGGTAGTTGGTATAATTATAATACCGATGACCGAACTCGAGACCTGATAGGTCCATCGTGGCCGTCTTGTGATCATATCTGAGCTGTACCAAAGGGCTAGAGCGACTGTCGTAATTGAGGCTCAGATCTAGGTTTAGTGGTTTGGATAGAGAGACGACGAGGCTTTTCATCAGAGTCCTGATATCGCTCCTCAGGTCCGTATTGCTTATTTTGGACACGGCATATCCCAGAATCTCAATCTTGACTCCTTGAATCTCGCAACCAGAGTTTTGGGCTGCTTCTTGAATCGGTTGAAAAGTCTTGCTTAGAGAATAATTCGTGAAAGATTCTTCACGATCGGAATAGTACCACTGTCTCTTCAGTGAGTCTTCGACAAGATCAACACAAAGCTGGTAACTTTTGGAGCCGTAACATCCAAGCGGTTTGACACAAATTCCTATGGACACAGAGTGTGAAATGCGCGCGATGTTCGAAAAAACGTCATCCAGCTTCTCTCTGAATTGCTCCGGAGTCATGACGAGATGACGAGGAGCATGGTCCATACAATAACGATCGTGCTCTGGTCGCCAGTACGAGCCACAGTCCACAGCATAGTATCTAGCCCTTTCGACCTCAGGTCTGAAAGCACTAACAATCACCTTCTTGACGAAGATGCCAAAGAAGGCGTGGGCCGTGATCTCGACCAGGGCTTCCATGCTGTGCAGAGACTGGACATGCTTGCGCTCCGAGAAGTTCAGAATTGCAAAAGGCTTGTTCGCGATTGCGCGGAGATGTTTGTTGGTAAGACGCAGTGCAGGAAAGGCCTGTGGACCGGCATGATCGACAATCATGGAGAGAACTTCGTTGGGCATTCCGAGCAGTAACGGGTTGGCATCTTGGACGGCCACCTGTACATTGCCAGTGAGGGAAAATCGACCGTGCCGGATAGATGTGCGCACCATGATGGAACGACTGGGAGAGGATCGAGGTTTGTGAGTGATCTCGACGCTGTATGGCGCGTGGTTGACAATGTTGTGAGAGAAGACTTTCAAGTCTATGCCGTTATGGCGTGGACGAGAAAGGATTGCACGTCGTTGATGCAGATCGTTGAGAAGCCGAGTGCTGGTGTTGTCGAAATGCTTCGCGGTGGTACTGTGATACAGAGAGTGAAACTGAGGCGAGTGTTGGTAAATCGAGAGGTGTGAAGGTGATAGAGGTAAGTGAGTTACTTTCTCGATCCGATCGTCACTGGTCGTATCGCGAATAAAGCTGGTGGCCGAGTGTGTTATATTTACGCAGGTGAGTTATGCTCTTTGGCAAAAAAGCACCTGCCAAGGCAAATGCTGAAGTGAAGGAAAGAGGAAGCCGTGATCAGCGCAAGTCGGGAATATGAGAATAAGACAACAACGCGAAGATGGGCGATGCATCGTTCTTACCATTTCTCTTCACTTGGAGACACTGTCTTCCAATGGAAACATATCTAAGCTTCTGTCTCACCTCCAAAATCATCAAGGTCGCCTTCCATATCTCTGTCATCTTCCATTCCATAACCTGCATCATCTTCGTCTGCGCCATCTTGTGCATTGTCTTCAAGCACTTCCTCATCGCCTCTGAATCTGTCTCTGACTCTGGAAGCAATATCCGTCTTGACTAGGTTTCTGATTTCCATGGAAAGCTGCATCACCTTCTCCCCATGAGCATTTCTGTCGAAATAGCATTCTGCATAGCTCGACTTGTCCACTTGGTTTGGTATGACGGATACTGTCTGATATGCTGCAGTGTCCGGAGCTTGGCCTGAAAGCATCATACCGATCATGTCTCGCATGATGATACGCGCTTTTGCGACTGTACCGTTGCGGTACCAGCCATATGTTTCGAACTACCAAGTCAGAATGGGACTGCGAACAAACGAAGGTCTAGACTCACATCGAACTCGGACCGCAAATCTTCGGTAGCTAGCAAGTCTGCAAGAACAGGCTCTTTGATGTCACAGACTTGCCATGTCTTTCCGTTTGTCGTCATACTTTTGCCGTCAAAGACGTGTGAAGGCTCCTCGTCTTTCCGATATCGGTCGCTTCTGATCCATTGATTCTTGCCATCTCGCATCTTCTTGGCTGCAGCAATGACCTTGTCTTTTGCGATGAGTTGGAAGGAGAAAGTCTGGTAGCAACGGTACTTTGGATCGGTACGAGGGTCGAGACCATACTTGACAAGTGTATCCCTGAAAGGACCAGACTTGAAGCTATATCCCACATACTGCGTAGCTTCCTTGAAAAGAGCCTCGTTGCCCCAGTCTATCAGGTTGCAAGCCACACGTCTTGTGACGGCAGGTCGATTTTCAAGAAGCTCCAGTAGATTCTTGACACATTGTTGGAGAGCTTCCGATTGCTTCTCGATGGCTGGAAGGCCTTTCGGTGGCTCCGTGGGTACCTCATCAATGTCGTGAGGCACTGAGACGACTTGTCGCTTCTTCGGAGCTTGTGTGTTGACAGTCTTCACACGACCTTGCTCATCTGTCAGATGAGTAACACCAGGGTTCTGCTTGTAGAGGTAGTTCAGAGATTGCTCGAATGAGGTAAAGTTCGGAGGCGCAATAAGCTCTTCGTTTGCTGGCCGGCCAGGAGTCATGTCGAGGTGGAAGTTCTTGATACTCGACACTATTCTTGTCAGATTTTTTCCGAAGAAGGTCTGATACGACAGGCGACTCACAAGTGGGATTGACAAGGCTTTTTCCAATTTGGTCCATTACCGGCTGGGAGCCAGCTTGCAGTTGGAAATCTGGAAGGGCTCGGAACCTGTGAGTCTGTTTGATTGTCGCAACAGGCTGGACCGTGTATGCATCCGTGTTGTCAATGAGTCTACGTCTTAGCTGTTCTGCCGTCAGGGGAGGCGCGATGGGAGCGTCTTCAGCATCCTCATCTAATACCTCCCTTCCCTCACAATGATACTCGAATGGATCATCCGACCCTCTCTTTCTTTTACGGCCGGTTCGTTTTGGGACAGTCACGCGGAGAAGGACGTTCTGAACAGCCATCTCTTTCGAGACGAGCTTTTTTGCGAGAGGGTCATGTGGGCGTAGAGATAGGCCGACAGATAATGTTTGACCCGCAGGAGCAAGCAGCTATCATGACAAGTCTATCAGATGACATGGCAAGAGAAATGAAGAAATGTCATTGACCTACATGTTTGATGTGATGTTCGCCGCCAAGAGAATGAAGACCCTTGTCGATATCTTTGATAATACTCGGATGCTCTACAGAAACAACTCTGTCGGAAGAGACAGCCAGCCAGTCAGCTAGTTGGTGACGGTTGGAGGCCAGATCTGGCCGTTGATCGGTCATGATGGAAATATCTGTGTTGTGAAGGTGAATATGTCTAAGGCTGACTCGTTGTTGAAAGGGTGGAGCCGGGCATGCAAGCAATTTGTTGGTGAGTGACAGAGAAAGGGTGTTGGTGGACGAGGCTCTTTTGGCAAGCGCACTGAAACCGAAGTGTGATTTGAATGTACCGTAGAAGGAGATTTGGCGCGGATCTCTATGGCGGGAGTTGAATTTAATCAGGCTGGCGACGGGAAGCGGTTTCATTATTGGTTGCGGCGGCGGCGGGGCTTGCGCCAAGGCCCGACCTAACGGCGGGTGCTGGTTGTAGGGCAGTCCGGACAGCCATGTTGTGATGCATCTGGCATAGCTAATCGTCCTGCTACGCTCAAGTCTGCCATTGTTCACGGCCATCGCATCCTCCCTCCTAGCAGCTCAATCCCAGAGAACATAGTGTCCGCAGTACCTGGAGACGGCCGGCTCGACGCCTCGACTTGTACCGTGTCCCTAGGACGACGTCTCGCAAGCATCCACCAAGCCCGTATCATCATCCCCTGCAGGCCACCTCCTCCGCCCACCTCCCCGGCGCCTTCCTATCAATCTGCCATCTCTGCCACCCGTGACGGAGCGAGAATCAGCCAGGCCAAGGGCCATCATCTTCCCAGTTGTAGCTACCCATGATGAAGGGATTCAGACAGCGCGTGGTAGGCAATCCCACACCTAGCAATCAGGGTCCCCACACAAGACACACCATGGCTAACGACCTCAGCATGAGCAGCTCTCACGAGCCAAGGATAGCAACAAGATCTCAAAAAACAAGAACAAGGACCAACCTTCCGGCACCGCCTCTCCCCACGGCGGCGCCGCCCAATCGCCCGCTGGCACCCCCTCGTCCTCGACCCAGAATCTTGCCGAAACTCGCAAACCATCAAACGATGCTCTTACACCGGGCCAACAACAGCCAGCAATGTCGCAACACCAATACATCCAGCAAAACCAGGGTGCTAATGGTACTCAAAGCCCCAACCGCTATAATCAGCAGGGTGTAGCTCCTAGTGTCGTCATCAGCCCCAGCGCGCCCGTAAGTGAAGGCCGTCAACAACACATCACCACACAAATACTCACTAAACGCAGCACATTCCTCCTCCCGGCGCCGCCGAAACCATGCCTCACGACCTAGCTCCTCCCAAGGCCGGCCAGAAATCGCTGCTGTTCGACAGACTGCAGGCCACTCCCAAAGACACCGTGCCGGAGGGCGTGCGCACTCCCAAGCGCCAACATTCGTCGAGATTCGACATTTCAGACCAGAGACAGCGCGAGCTGGAGAAGCTGCCTGGCTTCCACGAGGTCCCTCCAAACCGTCGTCAAGAGCTTTTCATGCAGAAACTCGACCAGTGCAACATCATCTTCGACTTCAACGATGCAAGCGCCGACATGAAGTCCAAGGAGATCAAGCGTCTTGCGCTCCACGAACTGCTGGACTACGTCGCCCAGAACCGCCAGGTCATCTCCGAGCCCATGTACCCCAGAGTTGTCGAGATGTTCAGCAAGAACTTGTTCCGCCCAATTCCTCCCCCGATGAACCCTCAGGGCGACGCCTTCGACCCTGAAGAGGATGAGCCAGTCCTTGAAGTCGCCTGGCCCCATATTCAAGTGGTTTACGAGTTCTTCCTCCGTTTCATAGAAAGTCCGGATTTTAACACAAACTACGCCAAGCAATACATCGACCACAGCTTCGTCCTGTCATTGCTGGACTTGTTCGACTCGGAAGACCCTCGCGAGCGCGATTTCCTCAAGACCACCCTCCACCGCATCTACGGCAAATTCCTGAACCTGAGATCATTCATCAGACGTTCCATCAACAATGTCTTCTTCCAATTCATCTACGAGACTGAGCGCTTCAACGGAATTGCTGAGCTTCTTGAAATACTGGGATCCATTATTAACGGATTTGCCCTGCCACTCAAGGAGGAACACAAGCTTTTCCTGACCCGCGTCCTCATCCCTCTACACAAAGTGAAGAGCCTCAGCATGTACCACCCGCAGCTTGCGTACTGCATTGTGCAATTTTTGGAAAAAGACGCCGCTCTGACTGAGGAGGTCGTGCTTGGTCTCTTGCGTTACTGGCCCAAGGTCAACAGCACCAAAGAAGTCATGTTCTTGAACGAGGTTGAGGATATTTTCGAGGTTATGGACCCCGCCGAGTTCGCAAAGGTGCAAGAAGCTCTTTTCAGCCAACTTGCAAAGTCGGTTGCCAGCCCACACTTCCAGGTATGTTTACACTTTCCACTTCTCTAACACGGCCGTGTCTAACAAGTTCCCAGGTCGCTGAACGTGCCCTGTACTTCTGGAACAACGAGTACTTCTGCAACCTCGTTAGTGATAACGTAGATGTTATCTTGCCAATCATGTTTGCTCCTCTTTACGAAAACTCTAAGGGACACTGGAACAGGTACGCTGCTTCTGACTACCAATTCACGTTATCAAGACTAACAAAGCATAGAACAATTCATGGAATGGTATACAACGCTATGAAACTCTTCATGGAGGTTAACCCCCAGCTGTTCGATGATTGTTCTCACGACTACACCGAGCAACAGAACAACGCGCCCGAGGTGAAGAGAGTCAGACAAGAGAAATGGGACAGACTCGCTTCTCTTGCGCAATCAATGAAGAGTGGTCTTCCCCCATCGGCCGCCATCAACACGAGTACCGTACAGAGCGCCACACCCGCACGCACAGACGACACGGATCCGCTGCGCCTAGAACAACTCAGATTACAGGACGACTCGGAAAGGAGACCGAAAGAGTTTGAGAGACAGACCAGCTCGGTACGTTGATCAAGTGCGAGCATCTTCTCTCCCTCTCGATCATGGGTCTGTGAATGAGTATATGTTAGACTTTGAAAACACACCGTCATCCCCTTCACATGCCCCCATCACATCTTTCTTGTGTCACATCATCCTCTTTGTTTTCTGCTTGCTATCGGGTCACATCGGGGCAAATATATTCCACACAATGGCGTTGGGCGTTTTCTTCATCAATCTGTTGCCTTGAACTTCTGGAGATCTTCAAAGCTCCCATCACCTTTTGTCCCTTTCTTGATCCCTGTATCCAATCCAAGCACTTTTCTTTTCTTTTTCTTCTCTTTTCTCGTCATTCGGGCGAATCAAAACTATTTTCTCGCTACAAACAAAAATGCCATGACAAGTTCAATCTAACATGAAGGCTTTGTGGTGGATGTGCAGAAACGAGACCACCGTCACAATCGTCACAAACATGCGTCGAGCGTCGGCAACACGAGTGGTTCGAGTCACAGTCGCCGACGAAGCGGAAGTCGTACGTCGTCGAAAAGTGTTGGCTCAACCCCACAGATGTCGAGAAGCAATTCAAGAAGCAGCTCCAGCAGCACGACTCATTCGGTCGGGACGTTGGATGATGTGGAAAGGATCAGACATAGGCAGTGATGAGATGTTCGGCGTTCTGGGTTTGGAAGAATCGGTGTTGAGCTCGATGGGGAGAATGTCTGGTAGCAGAGTCCTGGCAAACTTCTTTTCTTCCTATCTTATTGTTCTTTCTTACTGGCTTGTATTGCAACCATGTGATGTCTGGAGCTTCATTGAGCGTCCTACTTGCAACCCCATCGCCGCAGTCTCATCGGACTCGGTGAATCTCACGTCGTGTTATATTGGCCGAAAAGCTGGTCCAATGACACAAGCTGCACTCCCATTTGCATACCTAGATGCTATGTACGTTATCGAACCACGCCAAACACCGCTTCATACTATGAGAAGGTGCATGTGCATGTGCATCAAGCTCTATTCCAGTAATCTCCTCCATCCATATACTTTCCAAAGGCAAGGCAAATAATTCTCATCAAACCACATGACAAAACCTCGATACCTCCAATTGCAACTCTTTGGAGGAAATCATGGCATCTATTCGAAACATCAAGCACGATTATCGCTCCTTCTACAACACAACCCTACCTCTCCGGTATCATCGGGTCTACTCTACTGTCATGTAACTGATTCTCTCAGGCCTCATCATGGAATCCCAGTTCCGGATGCAAGGTGAAGTTTCGCGATTCAGTATCTTTCTACAGGTCTCGAGACCATCATGCAGAACGCAGAGGTTTGAGCGGATGGAAGGAATGTCGAGATTTGGAAGATGCCAGTGTTTGAGTGGAAAGAAGACGGTGGGTGTTGAGGGTTACCCTAGCTATGGTGAAAGATGTCGATGTCGATGGCGAGAATGAGAGTGGGAGCAGATCAATGATGTCGTTTTATTGTGCGCAGGATTCTGGAGGTTGTGAATGTGGCATGCACAATGGGGATCAGAAATGAGATGGTGGACGCGATGTTGCTTGTTCCGAGCATTGGATGGAGATGAAGAATCAGTGGGACTGCTATTTCGGTGGCGGCTTAGCTAAGTATATACTGCTCATACATCTGTGTTTTGTGTATCCAATATTAGTAATCTGTAAGCATACATGTCCTCTCAGTATCATTGTGGCGCTTGCTTCGGGGCAAGATTGGACCAGGAAAACAAAGGCATGAGTTTGAAACAATATACATTGCTGCGGGCGAGGTACACAACGATCCAATGGGGAGCCCCTCCCGCTTTCGTCGACTGTCAAGCAAGAAAATATTACATTTCATCTTTCGTCTTGTTCGTTCTCTCGGACATGTGTAAGTGGAATGGCGTTGATGATTTCATCCTCTATCGACAGGTGGAAACGGATATAATTTACGAGGACTCGGGGTACATGGCCTCTCTGAGCTCGATGCCAAGCTCTTTCCTGAGGCTCTCGAGCTCGGTGAGGTACTCGTCGTACTGAGCCTGGTTCTCGACCTTGGCCTTGATGCCTGGATATGTGTCAGCATGCTGATGTGGTTGTCCGGTGGGTTCGAGATGACGCACCCTCAAAGACTCTGACGGCGGTAGGGAAGTCGTTGACTCTGCGGGCGGCCTTGAGAGCGGCAACGATGACCGAGGGAGCGGGGACGAGATCGTAGGCGAAGGCGTTGTTCAGGTTGCGCTGTTGGATGGGTCGGTTAGATACGGAGTTGCGAACAAGCGGGAGGTCAGTTGTGTGGAAGTACCTGGAGCTCGAAAACATCCTGGACGGCCTCGAATTCCTTCTCGTATCTGTATTGAAGAGATATGTCAGCAATTGACGAGTACGGGGCCGTGGGTCGTGGTCGGGAGTGTCGGAGATTGGGGAGCAATTGGCATCCTCAGACGGTCGAGTGTGTGCCTGGGGATTGACTGAAAAGCGAAATGTGGACCGGGAGATGAACGCACCTGGCGGTGAACTCCTCGAAGCTCTCCTCGTGGTGGGGGTCGTGTGCATCGACGTCGGCACGCTTGACGCTGGCGACGCTGAAAGTTCTGGCCTGGTTGAGACGCTGGATGCGCGATGCGACCTGGATACGGGGCTGTGCGGGGGCGCGGACGGCGCGAGCGGCGACACGGAAGAAGGACATTGTGAGTTGAGCGGAGAGCGAGTATCGAAGGAGGTGAATTGAGTCGACGATGAGCGGTGCAGCCTGTCTGGAGAGGCAGCTTTGCATGACCTGTAATCCGCTGCGCTGTGAGTGCTTGGCCCGTGCCCCCACCCAGAAGGCTCACGGCTGCCTCATCATGACCATCACCTGAGAGCCGATACCCTGACCCTGACGAACATTCCCATCTCTTGCATTACGCGAGCCTGGCCCGTAATTCATCCTTCCAGTCCTCTCAGGTCTTGTCTTCAAATGTGCCAAGTCTTCTCTCTTTATCCAATCTATCTTCGTGCCGCGTCTGCGTGAGAAACAGAGATGAGCGATGGTGCCATGTTTGTTTGGCAAGTGCAATGCTTGGACACCCATGTTACTCGGTACCTGCATATATCTGTTACATATCATCGTAGATACTTGGATATACACACATCAGCAACGTCTATCTCTCTACAAGTATCCTATATCATATCCACAAATGGAATTGCTTGCGAGAAACTCTTGGACGACAGGCTCGCTGACCATCTAGCCGCCCTCTCCCTGAGGACCTCGGCCGCCAAGACCAGCCCCAAGTTGTGTTGGAAAGAATAATTTCCCGACCTCCTTTATAATGTAACCTTCCTCCTTCTCACAATCCTCCACCCTATCTCCAGGTCCAATTCTTCTCTTCTCCACTCGGTAATCCTGTCATTACCATATCTGTCGCTCCTTTGCTGGCCGCTGGCCTCGTATCTGCCTCTACAAAGCTTCAGCTCTGAACACGTCTCAACCCTCCAGCTTACCGACAACAATGTCTACTCCCGAATGGATCCGCTACGGCGTGCCCACTCTTGACCGTCCCTTCGGTCTCGAGCTGTGGCCCATTTTTGAGAAGGCCTTCACCTCGATCAAGGGCTACAAGCCCCAGGACTTCCGCTTTGTCCCCGGAAAGACCCCTATGGCTACCTTCAAGGAGACGGCCACCATGCTCATTTGCTACTACATCATCATCTTTGGTGGCAGAGAGTTCATGCGTGGTCGCGAGCCCTTCAAGCTCAACTTCTTCTTCAAGGTCCACAACTTCTACCTGACCCTGATCAGTGGTCTTCTCCTGCTTTTGTTCGTCGAGCAGCTTCTGCCCGAGCTCGTCAGAAACGGCGTCTTCCACGCTGTCTGCGCCTACGAGGGTGGCTGGACCGACAAGCTCGTTGTTCTTTACTACGTATGTTCCGCCGAATCCGCGACCACGAGACGCGCGTACTGACAGATTGCAGCTCAACTACCTCACCAAGTACCTCGAGCTGATTGACACCTGCTTCCTTTTCCTCAAGAAGAAGCCCTTGAGTAAGCACAGATCAATCTCAATTGCCAATTGCGCCAGCTAATTGATTTCCTAGCTTTCCTCCACACCTACCACCACGGTGCCACCGCCCTCCTCTGCTTCACCCAGCTCCTCGGCCACACCGCAGTCTCATGGGTCCCCATTACCCTGAACTTGACCGTCCACGTCGTCATGTACTGGTACTACTTCCAGGCCGCACGTGGCATCCGCATCTGGTGGAAGAAGTACATCACCGTCATGCAAATTCTCCAGTTCATCATCGACCTCGGCTTCGTCTACTTCGCCTCGTACACCTACTTCACCTTCAGATACTTCCCCAACATGCCCAACATGGGTATCTGCGCCGGTGAGGAGTTTGCCGCCTTTGCTGGTATGGCCATTCTCAGCTCTTACCTCGTCCTCTTCCTCTCCTTCTACGCCGCTACCTACAAGAAGCCCACAAAGAAGGGTCGCAACCGTGCCACCAGCGCTCTGGTTGAGATGAAGGACGAGAAGGTCCCCACTGTTGGTGAGGCTAGAAGAAGATTCAGCGGTGGTGAGGCTCACTTCACTGGCCGTGACGCTCCTACCCCCAACGGCCGCGTTACCAGAAGCCGCAAGGCGTAAATGCACAAACCAGTGCATGCCAGCGCCTGAAAGTACGCAAGGTTGAACATACTCAGCCATCTCAAGATGCGTAGGTGAATATACGACATCTTGACCATTTTCCAGGGAATAGTCTGCAACGACTGTAGATTGATGGAGCGCACAGTCGCCAGGGGTTGCTGTCCTCAGGCACTTGTTGCAAACTCCTCGGCCTTTGAGGTGTTTTGGCCGCTTCTTGAGCATCTTGCTATGCAAGTACAATGCTCACTTTATTACTTCTTTGTAATTTCATTAGGGCTCGGTGTCAAAAAAGGAGTACTGGGCGGAACACAGGTCGACATGATTGTTGTAAAAAGAATCCAAGAACAAGAGAGACAGGGTCAACGCGTCATGCTCGCTGTATGATAGAATCATGTAATGAAAGAACGAGAAAAAGAGTTATAATCACACTGCTGCACATCATAATTCAGGGTCCTCTCAGGTTTACACCACTCTCGTGCCTATCAACATTTTAGCCGGGGACAAACCTCCGAGGAGCAAGTTGTCGCGTTGTTCAGTTGCTTCCCTGGCAGCAGCCACTGCATCTGGTGGCTTACAGGGGTCTGCTCGTGCGAACGTACTGGACTTCTCAGTACAGGTTGTCTCCAGGCTCTCCGTTGCCGGCATCCTTCAAATTTAATATTGTCATCAGTATAGATATGGTTCGTTCGCGGAGCCCATGACACATGTAGGTTCGACTGGCCATCTTGTTCGGTGAATCAAGCATTACCCGGGAAATGTTTTGAAAAGCCGGGATTTGGCCCACCATGAACAAGGAGGCGTACCTGTAGTATCCGGCTCACAAATAGAAGCACTTATCTCTTGGTGAGCCCTGACTGTTCGAGACGTTTACCCAGGTCAATGGAGTGCATTATCAGACCAAACTCAAAAACTTGTCTGCCGTTGAGGAATACAGATTGCCGTTCGCACCCGAATCGCAGACACCGTTTACACTGCATCAGACACGGGACGTCCTTGCCAGTACTGAGACAAGATCGCAGCACCAGAACATTTCTAGAAAATGATCACGACGGTGATGTAGGGTGTGACACACGTTGCAGTCATCACATCCTCACAAGGCGGATCATATGTCTGAGATGCAGCGTTAACTGTTCATCGAGTTTCGAGGCTTAGACATGATGATATGTCAAGCTAGAAGGGCGAGAGAAGGTTGTGGAAGGACTTGATCACGTTAGTATGGCACGGCTCAGACATGGTAGCTGAGAGAGATATCAACGCATTCAATGTGGTTGTCTGTTAGATAGCAGGTGCCGGCATTGGAGGCTGATAGATATTGACGGCCCGCTGTGGATGCTTGGATGTTTGCTTATAACATTGCTGCAGCAGTGAGTACTTGGTCAGCGATATAGCGGATAGACAAAGCCCCAATACAGTGTACTGTTGTGTAAATTAATTGCGACTGTTTGTTGTGTAGAATTGTGAGGCTGTCCAAGGCTTCAAGCCATGGGCAGCGAATCAAGTGACAAGGCCCAGATGCGGAAGTCGTTTTGACGCGGAGGCTCCGGACGCAACTTCTCGCCGCACGCACACCGGACTTGGACATTGCTTCAATCCACATCCTCGTCACACGTCCACGACAACCGTTGCACATACCTGCTGTTCGCTGATTGAATGCGCCCGTGTCAATAGCACAACCCACATCTGTCATTACTAACTCATCTATAGCAATAGCTGTCTGCACTAGTCATGGCAGAACCTCAAGGCCAAACTCCCACAGCCGATGCCGCGACGGCGCTTGAGCGCGACGACCCGCAAGAGGCGACTACTGCCGCATCAACCACCTCGCAGCCGGAGAGATCTCCATCTCAAGAAGGTTCTGAAGAAGGCGAGATGCCCGACACCGAAAGTCCCTCTGCGACTGGTGATGCGCCACCACTGCCTGACGAGCCATTGCCTGGTGATGCACCGCCTCTCCCTGACGAGCCTTTACCAGCTCAGACCGACGAGGACGATGGCTGGTCAGCTCAACTAGACCCTTCCTCTGGCTGCTGGTATTTCCTCAACCGCTTTACTGGACTGTCGCAATGGGAGAACCCGCGAATGCCCACTACGGTTCCAAGCCAGCAATACGCCCCTGGTACTGGTCCAACTTCGCGTGCCCCTGGCACATCTGAAATTGTCGCAGCGCCTCCTTCACCACCAAGAGAACCATATCTGGGCTACAATCCAAAGATACATGGCGACTTCGACCCCAACGCAGATTACGCAAAGTGGCATCAGGAACATCAAACAGAAGAGTGGGCCGCCTCAGAAGCTGCCCTGGCACAACAACCTACGACAGCATTTGAGCAGGCTGGCACTTTCAACCGCTTCACCGGAGCTTTCCAAGCTGCCGACAAGAGTGCCGAAAATCACAATGACGAGAACAAGTCAAAGCGCCAGTTGAATGCCTTCTTTGACGTAGATCGCGCCGCCAATGCTCATGAGGGTCGATCCCTCAAGGCAGAGCGCGCGAACCAAAAGTTGAGCAAGAAGCAAGTCAAGGCATTCAACGAGCAACGACGTGCCAAGAAGGAGCAAAAGCGCCGCGACTTTCTCATGAGTTGACGAGCCAACATGTGCTGAGAGGACGTAGTGAGTGTCAATTACGTGACCTATTTGTGCGTGTACAGTACTACGTACGGAGCAGATTCTGCTCGCCTATATCGGCTGTCTTCTACCAACGACTAACATTGCTACTCCGCAGGATGAATTATGGGACAGAGATTTTCCTTCTTTGCATCAAAGCAAAACGGCGTCTCGAGGCTAGGATGAGCGGACGGCGTTGAGAACCACTGGAGACATCTCTGCTTTCTCTCGCCGATGTTGCACTCGAATTTCATACTTGATTACATATCTTCCCTCGGTCGATGTATATCGCGATCCCTTGCTGCTTTGGTCGACGCTCATCTCGGTCAGAAGCGCAAAGTAGGAGGCATAATAGATTCAAGCGGGTTGGGGTAGGAAGAGCACCCACATGTCATGCGATATCCAGGCGAGCTCGAGCCTTCACCTTCACCTCGCCAAATACAAAAAAGTCCACTTCAACACCCACAATTCATCTATATCGGCTCCAAAAAGTGAAACGAGCATATCGTATCTACAAAACGCAATCCCACCCAGTTACGTGTATCACGGCGTGCCCGTCCCTCTGTACAGGTGTTCTCCCGCAGCCTCGGTAGTGCTCTCAATCCATCAGATTATATTGAGAGGCTTTCACAATTGCCCATTCGGCGCATGTGCCATTTTAGCTAGCGCCAACGGCTCGCAAGCGTGGAGAGGAAGCAAAGGGTTTCGGTCGTTAGTCTCGGCACTGAGTCAGTCTCAGAAGTCTACTGTGCTTCGTTTCGTCCAAAGCAGCTGCTACGGGTGGAGGACAGTTGCAGTCGTTAAGTGGCAGGTTGTAGGCTTATGGTGCTCCTGCAGCTGTCAAGGCTAGATCGAGAGTCTCCCTAACCCTGCGCGTGGTCATGCCTTTGATGGCATTGGGTGACCTGCATAACTAGAGATCATCAGGTACATGCAGGGAGGGCTCTGGCGGGCTTGCCGGATCGCGTTAAGCAGAGATCCGGCCCGCTGCTGCCGAGTCACTCATGGGCCCGTTCTCTCAAAAGCCAATTCTCGCTCGCTCAGAGCAACATCTGCCTCTGCACTTTCCCTGCCGAATGGTAGTGTAGCCGGGCCGTGAGCGATCAACGGGTGTGGAAATGTTTCAATGAGGATCACTGCTCCGACGTTTTCTTCTCGCGACCGAAGCTGGCTTTGGTGTCTGCTCGCTGGCAATAGATTTTTCATGGCGTGAAAGCGTTGGCAGGCTAGCTCGTGGATGGATTGGCATTGGTCGCTCGTGCAGTGGCAGATCCGGGAGCCAGGTCGTTGAAATTGTTACGGGCAGCAATAACGTGAATGCTTCCTAAAAGACGCCACTGGTGAAAAGTCCCCGCGGGCGAGGCACTTGCGACTGGGCAGCAGTAGCTCCACTGTCCACTGATTTCTCTTATCCCTACTCGTACTTTTATCCGCGAACGTCCCGTCTTCTCTTGTCCTCTTTTTTCGCTTGCTGGTGCCGTGATAGCAAGGACTCGACGCATACCTGAGATCTGACATTGAGCCTGACCTGACCTGATTCCGATTCTGATCCTGACCTTGACCTTGATCTTCGGGACTGAAACATCTCACACGCCTCGATCAAGTTTCTTCTTCCCCTCCACCAACCCGACCAAGCAAGCCACCTCGCGCCGCGACTGCACCCTCCGCCTTGACAGCAGTGTCACACAGCAACAGTCGTCGCCATGGGTCTCTTTAGTCGTAAGGACAAGAAGTCAGCAGTGGATTCGGAGAAGGGCCCCGGATCAGATGCTGGATCCATCCACAAGTCGCCAGCCAGCAAGCCCATGAATGGCAACCCCTCGGCCAATGCCTCTCTGCCACATGTCCCGCTCCCCAAGGCACCCGACCCAACTCTTAACCCCGCTGCCTACCTTCGCAGTATCTATGCTGTGCGCGAGAGATCAAAGTATGTGCTCGAGAGAGCTAAGCGCAACAAGTCGCAGCACTTCGACGTCGACATGACCAAGTTCGGTGACACAGCACGCTTCGTTGTTTCGATCATTAACGTAAGTTCCCAATGCTCAGGCAGAAAACCCAAAATCATTCGCCGAGCCTCCTCCTAACGCTTAACCGGTAGAGAGATTACGCTCCCGACTACGCTTCAATCCCCCCACACGGCCGTTGGCAGCACTTTGAGGTTGGAGGCAGACCGAGAGTTGACCAACTCATGGCAACATGGCCGAAATCAGTCAACCCCCAAGAACGTACTCGCAGACTTATCGACCTCTTTCTCGTATCTGTGCTGTTGGACGCTGGTGCTGGAACAAAATGGACCTACAAGAGCAAGGAGTCTGGCAAGATGTACAGACGCAGCGAAGGTCTCGCAGTTGCCAGTTTGGAAATGTTCAAGGCTGGTGCCTTCAGCAGCAACCCCGATGAGCCATGCCAGGTCGACGCCGCTGGTTTGAAGAAGATCAACGCACAGTACCTGGCAAAGGGCCTGCAAGTCACAGAACACAACCCTCTCGCTGGTCTGGAAGGCAGAGCAAGTCTTCTGGTCAAGCTCGGAGATGCCCTGCAAAATCAGGACATCTTTGGCATCGAGGCCAGACCTGGATACCTGCTTGGTGAGCCGCATGTGACCTCGCAACTTTCTCAAAAGTGCTAACGTTGTCTCTCTTACAGACTACCTCCTTTCGCACCCATCTACTCAAGCCTCATCAGTTCCCGTAGTTCCGTTACCCACCCTCTGGAACGCCCTTGTTGACGGCCTCGCACCTATCTGGCCCGCAACCCGCACACAAATCGACGGTGTCCCGATTGGAGATGCCTGGTACTGCTCTGCCATGCCAGCAGCAACGAATGCTCCTTGGGAGAAGATTGTTCCTTTCCACAAGCTGACGCAATGGCTTTGCTACTCTCTAATGGTACCCATGACCAAGCTCATGCACGTACACTTTGCCGGAACCGAGCTTCTCACTGGACTGCCGGAATATCGCAACGGCGGTCTCCTCATCGATACCGGTCTCCTCACACTCAAACCCGCAGATGCTAAGCGTGGTCTCGAACAATACCAAATAAACGCCATGAAGCAAGGACAACCCAACATGGAGGTTGTGCCCATGTTCAGCGTCGACGACGATGTGATTGTAGAATGGCGAGCGCTGACTGTTGGCTTTTTGGACGAGTTGTGCTTTGAGGTCAACTCTCAGTTGGGACTTGTGGGCAGTAAGAAGTTGAGTCTGGCACAGATCCTCGAGGCTGGTACCTGGAAGGTATGAATAAACGAAAGAGCATGCGATACAGGAATATCACGCTAACAACCACAATAGGCAGGCAGAGAGATCGCAGAGGTCTCGAGACCAAACACCAAGGAGCCACCGATCATGATTGTGTCAGATGGCACTGTCTTCTAATTGATACCCCCTAAAACCGCAGGCCTAATCGGTTTATTCCATTCGTTTGTGCATCATCACCATTTCTCCTTCTCACGGCGGAACATTGTATCTTTTCTCCTCTACTTTCTCTTCTAATGGTTCCCTTTGTTCTTATCTGATCACTTTTCTCTCTTTGCCTGTGCCTGTTTTCTTCTTTTTCCATCCTCGCACCAGATTCACCCAGTCTTCATACGGCAGCGCATTTTGTTCATAGACTGCTTTTTCCCACTACCGCGAACCACGCACACGAGCCCAGAAGGATGCCCACCCCCAAAAAGAAAGCAAGGAATGCCCTGGCTCTCGGCCAGCTATTCCATACGGCCAAGAAGCTTTTCGTACTCTGCATGTAGATATCGACGAAACAAAAAAAAGAAGAGAGGTTTCAGATCTGTCATACACTTTCCGTCATGAATCATCGAACTTGCCAACTTACCCATACACTGACGCATGAGAGGATCAGATGGGCTAAAGTGTATTGAGTCGGCAAGGTCAGAATAGGTAGAGTCAGACAGGGCAGGGCACAATTGATACGCAAAAAGCTTCTCTGCCTTCGGCAAACAGCTTAAACGCTTTGCAGATGTACCCTAAGAAAACAGTCCCTTAGAAAGCCCTATCCTTGAAGCAATTCTTCAATTCTTCTCCACACGGGTGAGAGTACTCCGTAGACAGTCAGTATTGAGCGTATCTCACGTGTGTGTCTGTCGGTAGAAAGAACCGAGATCGTATGGTCCAGCCCCTGATTTCTGCCTCGTGTGCGTATGTCGATCTGTCAATGCCGAAGTTGAAGAGTGGTTGAGATAAATGGGTTTGTGAAAGCTTATATCTGAGATTGCTTCTTGATTGATCTGGACGGTGATGGATTGTTTGAGGATGTCTCGAAGTACTGATAAGATATAGACGGCCTGTGCTCAAGTATGCGGTAATGGCTTGCTTCCTTATCGGACCTCTCTTGGCCGAGGCAGTTGCAGCGTTCAAGCAGCGTCACATTCAACAAACACACGACAGCAGTCAAGATGCTGAGCTCGGGGTCAGCGCGGAGGCAGAAGCAGCGCAAAGTGCTGTTGATGGGCAAGTCGGGCGCAGGCAAGTCGTCTATGCGCTCGATTGTCTTCAGCAACTACGTGGCCAAGGATGTCCGGCGATTGGGAGCGACCATCGATGTCGAGCACAGTAATATTCGCTTCATGGGCAATCTCATGCTCAACCTATGGGATTGTGGAGGGTAAGGTGCTGATGCATTGGCCAGTGTTGGGCTCTGAGTACCAAGACTGACACTATGCGACAGACAGGATGGCTTTACGGAGTCGTATCTCACCAACCAACGCTCAAGCGTCTTCGCATCCGTCGCCGTCTTGATCTTCGTCTTTGATGTTGAATCGCGCGAGTTCAATGCCGACCTCATCAACTATGCCTCGATTGTCCAAGCCCTCCGCGAGAACTCGCCGCAAGCAAAGATCTTTGTGCTGATCCACAAGATGGATCTGATCATGTCCAACATGCGCGATGTTGTCTTCGCCGAGAGAAGCGACGCAATCCGCCAGATCAGCATAGAACATGGTTTCGGCCGTGACCAACAAGATGCTGGGAAAGACGTCGACTTTTGGGGCACGAGTATCTGGGACCAGAGCTTGTACAAGGCGTGGACACAAGTCATCTACTACCTCGTGCCCAACGCCGGCGCAATCGAGAACCTGCTGCGCCAACTCGCTGAGGTCATCGATGCTCACGAGTTGATCCTCTACGAACGCACAACCTGCCTCATGGTCACCCACGTATCACGCCCTTACGAAGCAGACGGCAACCCACATCCCGACCGCTTCGAACGCCTCTCCTCCATCCTGAAATCCCACAAGCATTCAGTCGCCAAACACACAGGCATGCCCGCCGGATCAGCCAACTTTGCCGAGCTACAGATCAAGACTGGTGAATTTATGTTCTTGATCACTCGTCTTAGTGAGAATACAAACTTGGCTGTTGTCATGGGCAGCGGCGAGGCCATGTACAATGCTGCGAGAATCAACATCACCAACGCACGCGACAAGTTCGCCGAACTGGACATCGCCAGCAAAAGTCGCGAAAAGGCCGAGACCAGAGCCTAACATGACGCCGCAACGAATGCTGGCTTTGCACACTGAAGCACGGAGCGGAACGTCCATATCTGGCCTTCTCTCCGTCTTCTCCCTCTACACCTGCGTCCAGTCAGCGTCTGGACCTGCCGTCCTTTTTACCTTTTACCTTTCCGTCAGTCCTGTTTTGTTCCAAGATACCCACAAATCTTCTCATCCCACCCACCGTCGTCGGTTGCCTCTTCTCGCTACATGTAACATAGAGGAAAAGCATAACTTTACTTTAACCTTTTTTTCTCTTGTCTTTCCACGCCGTTTCCACTCCGTCTTCTGCCGCCCCGGCCATGAGGCTGCCCGAAGTTCGCTGCGAAGTTTACCTAAAAGTCTGGTTAATCTCCGGCTTTTTGAGGATTTAACCCTACGACAACTTCGAAAACTGTCGCAACCTTGATGTTGGTGCTTGACACGCGGTGCGGGTATAACACTATTTGGAATCTAGACTTTGTTTCCTCGACTCTTAGACGAGCCAGTGAGCCCCTCGAACAGTTGTTTTCTCTGCCCTGCCCCAGCGTGCAATGGGAAGTGGGACTTGGTTGACGCGCTGTCATGTCAGCAAACCAACACGCTCTCGCGTCTACCGAGCACGAGGTTGGTGGGTATATCCGGCATCCGAACCACCAACCATGATGAGTCCTATTCACGTGGCAGCACGAGACAATTGATCGCTGCGCCTTTTCTTGACAAATCTAAGCAATATGCACGTCTGACATGCCTAACATAGCTTAATTCTAACATTAATCCTGTTGCTTATTTTGGGCTTGTTACATGTCAGATCTACGCATCTTACTGGATGTCAGAGCTGAAGAATGTGAGATGCTTAGCTGATGTTATGCCAGATTATAGAAGTTGGGGACGCGACTACATGCGGTAACAGGCAAGTAACTTGTAGACATGCGACTGTGTATAAAGAGTGTGGATCTGCTGTAGAGATTGGGAACATCATCAACATTTGCAATTCAAACATCTTTACAGTCAAGCCTCCATCTTCTTCTTTACAACTATCACTTCTCCTCTTATCACAATCATTCTTCCAAGTCTACAACACACATCTCATTCAGCAATGGCATACCGTGCAACCGCTCTTTTGGCCCTTTCCGGCCTTGCTTCTCTTAGCAACGCCAAACCCATCCATCCTAAGAGCTCTGCCGCCTCTTCCTCTTGGTCAGGTTCTTCCCATACGACTTCCTCTTCCTGGTCAGATCCCTCTCACTCGACTTCTTCCTCCTACCAAAGCTTCCCCACCCAAGTCGCTTCCTCCAAAAACCTCCTCCTTAGCAACGGCTTCCCCAATCTCTCTCCAGCAGCTCTCTCGGACGTCAACAACGCAGCTCACGGCACCCTCTCCAATGCCTCTGCCGGCAACGTCACCCTCTCCAATGCCTCTGCCGGCAACGTCACCTTCCCGGCCGACTCGCTCACAAACTTCCAACTCGTCGCCTTCAACGAATTCTTCGAAGTCGCATTCTTCACCTCCCTACTCACCAACATCACCACCGGCGTCCCCGGCTTCGAAATCCCCACTCATTTGAACTCGACATTCATCCTGGACACCCTCATCGCCGTCCAAGCTCAAGAAGAACTACATGCCATCAATGCGAATACCAAATTGCCTGTTCCGCTCAGCACTTGCGAATATAAATTCCCGACGACCAAGTTTGACGATGCTATTGCTCTGGCTGCGACATTTACCGATGTGGTGTTGGGAACGCTTCAAGACATCGCTACTATTTTCGCAACCAATGGAAATGCTGGAGTCGTGAGGGGTGTGGCTGCTACGATTGGGCAAGAAGGAGAACAGAATGGTTTCTACCGAGCCATTCGGAATAAGATTCCCTCTGCCCAACCATTCCTTACCGCATCGGCTAGAGATTTCGCCTTTTCGGCGCTGAACCAAAACTTTGTGGTCGAGGGCAGCTGCGACATTTCCTCCATCCCCCTCAAAGTCTTCGACGTCCTCACTTTGAACACACCCACCATTGGCCTCGGCGATCAAACCATTTCTCTATCTTTCGACATCAGCGGTTTCCACGGCAGCGCTGAAGATTTGCAATTCGTGCTGATCTCTGGGCAAAATGTTCCCATCGTTCAAGATCTCAAGAATGTCAAGCAGGATGGCAAGATTGTTACTTTTGATGCCGACTTCCTTCAGCAGACTGACCTGCTTTTTGGACTTACTCTTGGTGCTGTTGTACGTAAGGGCGGGCCTTTGGCTACGGTCAATCAGGTTGCCAATGCTGCTGTTTTTGGCCCTGCGCTTATTGAAGTCGCTTAGATACTGTTCCCGGGTGGCTATGGAGGTGGAGGTTTGATGGGAGGAGGCGTTGAGAGCGGTGTAGAAGAGATGGACCTGCCTCACTCTTGTGCGGTGTTTTCTGTTTTTCTTGGTTGATCTGCAGCATCTTTGGTCTTGCATTTTCTGGTCTGTCGTTTCTGATATCCTGGGCCGCTTTTTCTGTTTACATTGTTTATACTTGTTGTTTTCTGCTTTTTATACATATAGAGCGTTTTATTCGGCTTTTTGAATTGGTTGATACTTTGTGGACTTGGTAGTTTGTTTAGCATTATATAGTCATAGCGATTTCTTGAATTCAAGCATATTGCTCTAAAACATGACATTCTTCTATTTCCTTCAAACCGCACCTTGCCTTGTTTCGATAGCCGTGTCGTTTATGTTAATAATGGGCTTGGCTTTGTTGTTTTGCGTATGCTCTTTCCTCCATCTTTAAGACGGCCGTCATTTGAATGAAATGACAACTTCCTTGTTGGTTTGAGATTGAACTTGATGACCAAGGCAGTCGCGTCCAAGTATATTCAGTCAAATACGATTTTCCCTTCCTGGTCGACGGTTACACCGAGTCTTTAATGTATCTTCAAGGAAAAAACACTTCCTGAGAACGTTGTCGCAGCAAAGAGTGCAGCAAAATTCTTATGCGGATAACACTCCTAGAGACAACTCCCCTCCTAGTCTCCACCATTCGATCTCTCTCGCCCCCCTTCTCTGCTCTTTGTCTTTTTTTTTTCTTTCTATATTTCTCCCTACCCAATATGAAAATATCTCTTGGATATCCACAAAAAGGGGGAGATTAGAAGGAGAGGGAGGAGCATTCCGCAGCTGAGGAGGGAGCAAAAGGAATGCGCTATCGTGACGAGCAGTGTGCTGCTGGTAGTGGTGGTGGAGGTTTGAGCGGCAGGATTTGAAGGGGAGGAGGGAGAAGGGAGTTGGGAGTCTTCGGAGGAGTCGTTTTCGGAGTGGTAGGAATCGTCGGAGTTGTAGTTTTCGGAGTCATCCTCGTCGGTATCGCTTTCCTCATCATCGCTGTATAACGAGTCTTCAAGATCTTCTAGCCAGTAGCATCTTGGACTCCAGCCACCACTGTTGTTAGGCACTTGAGCTCTACGACGAGGATGACGGTTGAGGATCTGCAGAGTGGGACGGTACTCAGGGTTCTCCATGATGGCGAAAAGTGTTGGATAGGCTTTTGGAAGTTGAGATGGCTTTTGTGAGGATACAGGTTTCTTTCCAGGATAGGAAAAGTGGGAGAGAATGTATGTTGGAGTGCGATACGACGGAGTCATTGGAATAATGAGTCAATATATCCTCAAATGTGCTCAGATGGACTCTCGAATATTCATCAGCTTGTAAACAGCACGAGAGTACCATAGCTATCTGGCTCATCGCCGAGGCACGACTTCATTCATCCCAGAAGTCCCGACCTTCTAAGCCAACGATCAAAGAGCCCCGCCATTTTGTAAGACACATTCATAGCAATAACGCATACAGGAGGGCCAATGAAGAGATGCACCATCCAGTACCCCTTCCATGTACCAGGTAGCTCCCAATCTGAAACCGGTTTTGCTACACACCACATCACTGCATTCAATGTCCAAAAAATGGCGAATTGTTGACACCATATCTTTCTTTTGTGAATGGCAAGCTCCATCTTGTTCTGAGGTGCTGCCAGGTGGAAGTGGGAAATCAAGGAAGATTCGTAGTCGATCCATTCGCGGTACGGAGAGGTATGTTTGGAGTCGTTTTCGGAAGGGTAGTCATCTTCGCTGTCGTAGTCCGAAGAATCATCGTTGCCGTTGTCAGTTTCATCGCTTCCGTCGTAGTCGCTGTCGCTGTCGTCTTCTTCGTCGCTGTCGTCTTCTTCGTCGCTGTCGTCTTCTTCGTCGCTGTCGTCTTCTTCGTCGCTGTCATCTTCTCCATTAATGTTGCTCTGATCGCTATGTTCGTTATCGTCTCCATCACTGTTGCCTCCATCATGTTGTCCAAAGCAGTCATTGCCTTCGGTTAAGCGGCCATGGTTGTCGGTAATGTTTTTCCCCTGGCAGGGCTCATGGTTGTAGATATCTCTGCTCGTTCTGAAGGTAGGTATGAAATCGACAGCTCTGCATTCAGCATGGAAGTCCAGACTATCCGGGACGACGGAAGGGCCCTCCATGGTGGGAATAGACGGATGGTGATATCTTCTTGAGTGATGACCTTGGAAGAGAAAGTGGGAATCCGGAAGTTTTTGTGTGATTCTTTCGACGCGGCTCTAATTTGCTCAATGACCAGGAAGAAATGGACAAAGAGCAGGAAAGAAGACAAATTCTCACGTGTCTGAGGAAGTACGTGGCAGAGATTCAGGCAACTGGAAACTTCAGCAAAGCACTTTGGTGATCTTATGATTTGCAGTTCAAGTCTGGCCTTGTAAGTTAGGCGACGACGAAAATCGCGATCAAGACCATCAAGCAGTCAAAATCGCTCAGGCCCACCCACTCTTCCATGACAAATTCAACGTCATGAGGAGTGTGTCTCTTCCATCGCTCCAGGCATATTCGTCTTTAACGGTCCGAGTGCGGGTTTTGATTCGAGAGTTACGCCCGCTCTTTTTATTTGATCTCTTCATGTTGATAGTTTGGGATAGATACTGTTTGCAAGAGGTATTGGCGATGAAGACCTCAACAAGAAGTGAATTGAGCGTGAATTCCATAGTCGGATGCAAATCTATAGATAGCTTTGTATGCAAACGTCAAGACATGTCATTCAACAAAGCCTTTCGAGTAAGGCAAAAAGGTGACTCAGAATAATGCAGCTTATTGCGTGTCGCCGTAGCATGCATCCAGACTGCGTGTCTCATTAATACATTCTAAAAGTCGATGGACAAGGGAAGATGTTGTACTGAGCAATGAGACTTTCATAAGGTCTTTGTGTAGAAACGTAAAAGACCGTGCCTTAGGATGGTTGTTTGATGAAATACCTCAGCAGACATACCCCAAAATTCACGCTCAGCATCCGACTTCTTCCACATGGTCCGATGTGGATTTCTCGCTCATGACTTTGTCATTCTCTAGCTTTGTCATCGAGCCAAAGGACTCGACGCTCGTCTCCTTGAACTTGCGAGCGGATGTGTGGGCGTCGAATAGCATGTCCATCTCAGCATAGGTGCGACCCTTGGGCTCTGGCACTCGGAAATATGTCCACACGGCGCATAGAGCTCCAGTGCCAGCCCAGAAGAAGCCAGCCTTCGCACCCCAGTTCCATGCGTCCGGATTGAGCATGTGAGGTGTGAGGACATTGGCGACGACACCTGTGATGTTGTAGAGATTACGGGCAAGAACGACTGTTTTGTTTCTCAGGCGAGTGGAAGGGATTTCGGCGACTAGAGAGTAGCTGTTCATCATGTCAATTTGAGGAAGACTTTATAGATTGGGTGATATCTTGACTTACCAGACTGGCCCTACCGTCATGTCGTAGATAAAGGTGTAGATCAAGATCAAAGCTCCGATACCCCAGTGTGCACCTGCTGCGGATGCTGGTGCGATACCAAGGAAGCCAACGACCATAAGTATGAAAGCCATGGCGATCTGGCCCCAGAGGTAGAGCGTGCGACGCCCGAATTTGAGCATCAACAACCACGAAAGGATAGTGCCGACAGCACCGAGACCGTACTGGCCGAGAGACATAGAAAATGCAGATGAGACGTCAAGACCAGCTTGTTCAAAGAAGTAGGTCGAATATCCTGTGAACGAGGATGCACCGCACAGCGTCTGGACAGCCCAAACCATGCACACGATCTCGGTGCGGCGGCGATCTGTGCCCCTGAAGCAGTCCCAGTAACTGGTACCAGTTGTATGTGCTTTCTCGAGTTCATCGGTGTAGATCATCATATTTACTGTTTCATCGACATTGAAGCCAGAGTCTGTCTGATTGCGAGAAGTCAGTCGGAGGACCTGCTTCTTCGCCTCGTCAGGACGTCCTTTGCGGACGAGCCACCACGGAGACTCTGGTGCCAGTGCGATGCCAATGATCAAAGGCAGTGGCCAGATCCATTGTAGACCGTAGGGAAGTTTGTAGCCGATCGGTCCGGTCTTGTTGGCAACAGACTTGAGCACTGCCGAAGATAGGAATTGACCGATGACCCAACACAAATTGACGTAGGTCGTGAGATAGGCACGGAGACTGACAGGGCATACTTCGGCAGCGTATGTTGTCGTCAAGGTTTGGAATGCGCCCCTAAAGGTCCTATTAGTCAGTACTTGAATATGCTTGAGCATGCGAGCCACCTACCAGGGGATGCCCATGAGAATTTCGCCGACAAGAAGCATCGGTAGACTTTGTGCGAAAAAGACGATGAATATGAAACCAGTAAGAGCGATGAGCGAGCCAATCATGGTTTTCTTATACCCGACACGCTCGACGATGTATCCGATGAAGAGTAGACCGATAACTTCGCCAACCAAAGCTCCATTGGACAAGCCGGATTGCCATGCAGCACTGATTTGGTATCCGCCATCAGGCGAAGGCTCTCCAAAACGCCTCTGGAAAGCAGGAAGTGCCATGAGAGAATTGATGAGCACAATATCGAACCCTTCCATCTGGGTAATCAGGTAAGTATATAACCAAAAGACACGAGGGGTTCCCTTACGATGATACATGTAGACAGCAGTACGGACCAGCCGATGGCTTTGGGATAGGTCTTGATCCCCTGCGACAGCGTCATGGAGATTTCAGACTGTGTGGCTCTTGCGGCTTCAGCAGCGATGGCGGTATCGACTCTAGCCAGGTGGTGGACATCGTCTGCCGCAATGCTCTCATTGCGTTTGGGACCATTGTGGTCAGAGATGGAGAAGGTTCGTGTGTCGGTCATTGTAGGAATGGTTCGTGACTTGGATACCAAAGAGGATCGTAGTAGACTATGACTGTTGCGTCTTGATGCTTTCTCTGAATGGGAAGTTGACGAGCTTTATATAATAACACGAGTACAAGATAGGCTGTGTCAACTCAGGGATCCGATCCGGTGCCATGGGGTAACTGGTAGTGAACCGGTCGGTAGTTCCCATTCCCCAGCAAGTTGTCAATTCCGAGAGTGCGTTCGAGTCTCGCATTTCTGCGGCGATAAATTATTAGACTTTGTGGCAGAGGCAAAACCATAGAGCGAGCGGTTCATAAACAGAAATGCGGAGAATGCAGCGAGAGAACGAGCGAGAGAACAAGCGATAGTAGTAGCTTAATCACTGTGATTGGTTCGGGATGATATCGGTACGGCCCCTCTGGGGAAAGAGAGGCGGGGTCGAATACGTGGTGGCGTTCTGCAATCGATGCCCGGCCAGAAAGCTACGAGAGAAAGAGCGAGCGAGCGAAGTCGCGATCCACTCACAGATGGTGTCTGGTGGCATATGGCGGCCACAACGCGTTTGGCCGCGAAGGATCATCATGCTAAAAGATGATAACCGTCTGATCTTGGTGCCGCTGCCCGGCCGTAAGAGACCTCCGCCGTCCTGCATTTTATGACTAGATCTCCCACTTTTGTTAGCTTTGCTCTTCTTAAAACTTGCCTGCCAACCCTCTCGAGATACTCACCCCACGATATGGGATTCACAAGTGCTCAAGCGAACGGTGAAGTCCGCTCGACAAGTCAACACCCTTGGTGGAAGGAAGCCTCTGTCTACCAGATCTATCCAGCATCCTTCAACGATAGCAATGACGACGGAATTGGTGATATCCCAGGAATTACCCAGAAGCTCGACTACATCCAGTCGTTGGGTGTTGACGTGGTCTGGGTTTGTCCGATGTTAGTGCTGTCCCATCTTTGATATGCTAGATGTAGTGTTTAATCTTCTGAAACAGGTACGACAGCCCTCAAATTGACATGGGATATGATATCTCAGACTACGAGGCTGTCTATCCCCCATACGGTACCGTTCAAGACATGGAGACCCTGATCAACGAAGTTCACGGTCGCGAAATGAAAATCATCCTTGATCTGGTCGTCAATCACACTTCAGATCAACACGCCTGGTTCAAAGAATCACGCTCTTCGAAGACGAACCCAAAGCGTGACTGGTATATTTGGAAGCCTGCCAAATACGACAACGACGGTACACGAAAGCCTCCAAACAACTGGCGAAGCAACTTCGGTGGATCTGTCTGGGAATGGGACGAATTGACCCAAGAATACTATCTGCACCTCTTCTGTCCAGAACAGCCAGACATCAATTGGGAGAATGAAGAAGCACGCAAGGCCATCTACCAAAGTGCGATGAGATTTTGGCTCGACAAAGGTGTCGATGGCTTTAGAATTGATACAGTCAACATGTACAGCAAGCCTGTAGGCCTTCCCGATGCTCCGATCAAGGACTCCGCCGCAGAATGGCAAGAAGCCGGATTGGTCTATTGCAACGGACCACGCATGGACGAGTATCTCGGCGAAATGAACGCTATCCTATCGCAATACAATGCAATGAGTGTAGGCGAGTGTCCATTCACTCCCGATCCTGCAAGAGTACTTGGATATGTCAGCGAAAAGGAAGCTAGGCTCAACATGGTCTTCCAATTCGATTCCGTGGACGTCGGCATGGGAAGTGTCTTCAAGTACATGACCAAGCCATTCAACTACACTCTGGCCGATGTCAAATCTGCGATCTGCCGCACACAAGGCCTGATCGACGGCACAGACGCTTGGACGACAAGCTTTATAGAAAATCATGACCAAGCACGCAGTATCTCCCGCTTCGGTAACGACTCACCTCAGTGGCGCTCACGCTCTGGTAAAATGCTGGCCATGCTTTTTGCATCTCTATCTGGCACACTTTTCGTATACCAAGGACAAGAGATTGGCATGATCAATATACCCAAAGAGTGGCCGATCGAGGAGTACAAGGATGTCGACACCATGAATTACTTTGCAGAAGTCGTTCGGAGAAACCCGGACGATACTAAGGCACACGATGAAGCAAAAGCAGCTCTGCAAAACCTGGCTCGCGATCATGCCCGCACACCGATGCAATGGTCATCGCAAGCAAATGCTGGATTCACTAGCAAGTCCGCAACTCCTTGGATGAAAGCCAACACCAGCGCTCAAGAGGGCATCAATGTTACTGATGAGACGAATGACCAATCCTCCGTTTTGAACTTTTGGCGCCAGATGCTCAAGCTCAGGAAGACACATGCAGAGGTCCTCATTCACGGCACCTTCAAGTTGATTGATGATGACAATCCCAGCGTCTTCTCGTTCACCAAGACCTCACCTGATGCTCAATCTCAGGCTACTGTGGTCTGTAACTTCTCGGACAACGAGAACAAGCTGCCTCTGTTCGACGAATTAAGCACGGCTGACATGTTGCTTGACAACATGTCCGAGGTCTGCACTGAGGACCAGTCGATACTACAGCCATGGGAAGGAAGAGTGTATTTTTCCGACAAGCGTGAACACTTATGATGATGAGATATAGATATCAGAAGTACTATACAGATTGACAATAGAGAGCTCTTCATACAACGTTACAGCTTCACACCCAGTCCCAAGTTCATGAACTTGTCCCACTCCGAAACACAGACCCAAACAAGTGTTTTCACTTTTGCAGATAGGAAAGTCCGCACACACTTTGAAAATGCGCTCGACCCTTCAATCAAACATATCGTGAATGCGAACTAGATTCCCTCCTCGAGTTCTGTCTCCCGCCCCGACCCTCTCTCAAAAGCTGCACATCCGCAAGATGAACATACTTCTGCTCAAACCTACTCCCTTCACTCTGATCCATCTTCCTCTGCAGAATATGCACATAGACCTCCCTCGAAGTCGGTGAAACAGACAAACTCAACAGCAGAGATCGCAGCACCTCATGATGATCACCCGGATGCGATATATTCGAAAACTTTAACGCGTCGAGCAATGAGTATGCGATTTCGAATTGTTTCTCAAACTAGAATGCGTGGGTTAATTCTCCATTCAATTTTGATGTTCTCGGGATTTAATTGGTAGGGGAGGATCTTTTGACTTACGATGCCCAAGCCGTGAACTTGTATCGATATCGGCGCCAGTGTTTTCAAAATCTCACATAGCGAAGACGCAACCTCGACCGGATATCCATATGAGAAAGCGGAATCTGCAGCGGTGGAGGATATCAAACCGAGTCTCAAAGCGGTTTGCCACACCATCAAGCGTAACCATTGTTGCGTGATGAGAATATTCGCGGATTGAACATCATTGACTCCATTGAGATGTAGTGGTTGACATAGATGTTTCTGCAGCTCTCCAAGTTTTTGGGGAGTGGTGTCGGATAGCAAAAGGTCACTCCATGCTCGAATGAAGTTTATGTCGAGAAGAGAGAAGAGGCGAAAAAGGCCACTGAGACTGAGCGATATGGCAGGGTCTTCGTTAGGCAGTGCTTCGCAGGGCAGATCCGGTGGCTCCAAAATGCTGATTGGGAATCTGTCATGTATACAAGCTCCGCGTTCGGTGATGTAGAGTATCGCACATACACGCTGGTACAGAAGCCTCTCTTTCGGATCCAGCGCAGTGTTTCTCCCACTAGAGGATATACCCACATGATGGGCCAGTGTAATAGATTCCCTGAGATAGTACCATGAAGTCTTGCGACACTTGAGATCAAAGTACGTTACAGCGATGAAGAGCGATGTCAGCACATCCTCGATTGAAGCTGTTTCGATAAAACCAACGCTCAAGCGAGTTTCCAGGCATTTTCGGATGTAGTTGCGTGCAGTGGAAACTCTCCACTCTGTGCTCATTCCAGGCCAAGAGTTCGCGGTTACGAGAGTCAACGCGCAGATGGACCATATCTGACAAGTCTCTGCCCAACTGCCTTCTCGAGAGCCTGATAGTATCGAGCGAATACTGCTCTGATCGACTATCGGATATATCGGATAAGTGTGCTTGAAGAACAAGTCAACACTACGCTCGACGACTTTGTCTATCTGCAAATGATGCGACGATGAGATCTCCGGTGATAGAAAACTCGCAGTGGCAACGGAGAAGGGACTTTGCTGCTCTGTAGCCAGTTGAGTCGCATGATTTGTTTGTGGCCATGAATAATCGGTTTTTGGGTATGGAAGCTGTCTCGAAGAAGTGGCAAGTACATTCTGAGCAAATTCGTCGAAGGTCAAATACGTGTCGTCAAGAAAGCCATCAGGTCCCGCGTCTGATTCAGTAGGGATGGTATTTCGATCTGTATCCAAGATGCCATCATAGATATTGTCGAGATCCTCGGTGTTTGGTACAACTGTGTTGTGATTGGAATGTGCAGCTCCAACTGGCTGAGTTTCCCGTACATTCTCGACTTCAGTCGTAGCTCGAAATGGCGTCGGCGTGGCTGTTGACGATTGCGCTCGCAGCCGGTCAATGACAATGCCCCTGCCGGCTTTTGGACCTTTCTTTTTTCTGATGATATCGAAAGTACAAGCTAGATTATGGCTCTGACATCGATCACAGGGCAAAGAATAATTACACCTCACTTTACGTCCACGACATTGATCGCAAGGGCGTAAGGATCCTTTCTTGGACATGTTTAGACTCTTGACTGATCTCTGACATGTTTTCCCGACTTCTGTCTCTGGTTTTCTCACAAAGCACCCTTCCCGGTTGGTTCTCTCATGTTCGTGGGAAAGTGTCGATAATCAACAGAAAATACAAGTAGTCGTTTGATGATTAATGCCCAGGTGTTAATTGAGGGCACGTCCGCCTGCTACAAACTATGGCCGCATCAAACATGACATAAAAGTTGGCCAGACGCTCTCCTTGTTCAGCTTGACACCTAAAAATATTGAAAAACACACTACGCTGCCTTGCCTCCACTGCGATTTTGGTAAGAGGATCGAGATTTGAGCTAATCGCCGTGCCTAGTCATCTCGAAGCGATCGTCCAGTATACACGCTGCCTAGCTTTCGTTACGGGTCACTCAAAGCCAATCGAGCTGTGCGAGCAACGCTATAGAGACTGTAGCTTTATAAGCCTAACCCCTTGTTTGGCTCAGTGTGCCACTATATCCATCATCTCAAAGCCTGGTTAAGTCATGCACACGCTGCTTTACTTCCGTTGCGGGTTAAGGAAGTCATCGAGCAGTGCGAGCGACGTCGCTCACACTACGGCGATGTTGACCTGGTTCGCGTACTTGGCTCGGACTTGCTCTGGAGACGAGACGATTGGCGGTCCAGGTAACGCTTTTCTTGAAATGACGAGAGACGGACGTCTGCATCGTTGAAACACCTGGCGGTAGGGAAGTCGAAGCCCTGGTCTATGGGAAGCTACTTTAGAGGCGGAGTAGCGGGAACCTGAAGCATGTGAGTGAGAGGGCATGTCATGTAAGAGAATGTGAAAATTAATTTTTGAAGTTGTGTGACAAGAGTCGTGAGGAAGACATCGCGAAATGAAAGGCTTCCAAAGCAAGTGGATGGGGCATCGCAATCCACTCCCTATTGGTAAGGTCACGAAATCAGTGGCGAGAGCGGTAATAACGTAGTCTTGTGCAAGGCGTAGCTTGCGATTCTTGATTAGTGATTCGTGATAACGTCTATGTGCTTTCCAGGTCCTTTGTATTTCTATAGCAATGGTATCCAAGACCATCGATGTACATCCTGGAAGGAGCCCCATTGCATGCTGATAGTCCAACTGGCGGTGAGTGACTTTGATCGCATAGCCTTTGGAGGCCAGCGAACGGCTGTAGAGCGGAAAGAAGGCTTTGGGATGGGTGTTGCTGTCTCAGCTGCTCAGATGTGAGCGGGCGTCCGAGGCGCATGGGCTTTGCTGTTTGTCGATCCGATCGTATCGGCTCTTCTCACTTCTCCAGGCTTGATTCGTCCATTTGGCTTGTTACGCCCTCGACATCGGCCTTATCTTCCTCAGTAGCCTCGCCCTCTTGTGCCCTTGACTTCTCCTCGTCTTCCTTTCCACCAGCGATCAACAATGTTGCGACAACCTCATCCTTTTCGGCACGCTCTGCCTCGAAGACGGGCAAGTGTCCAGCAGCGTTCTTGACCCAGACGTCTACGCCGCTGTCAATGAGGGCTTTTACTGCTTCGATGTGACCATTGACTGATGCCCAATGCAATGCTGTGTTGCCGGCTTCGTTCTTGCGGCTCAAAACTTCCGTCTTTGTCGAGGGCTCGAGTTGCGAGGAAAGTGTTTTCAAGAGGTCTATGGCGATTGTTGTTAGCGGGGAGTCTTCTCTCATCTGCTTGGGCGAGTCTCGTACCAGCATAACCGTTGGCGGCGCAGTAGTGGAAGGGTGTGTTGCCGTTGTCCTCGTCGACACTGCTCTCGAGCAGAGCAGCAATACTGCAGTTGTGTTGTTGGGAAAGCTGGCCAAGATATTGCTGGAGCTCGGTGCTCTCGTTCGTGCGGGTAAGATAGAGGATATCGTCGACCTCGTCGTCGCTGAGTTGGACTCTGGCTGCTTTTCCGGATGCCATGTTTGTGGATATGTCTTGCGCGGGAGTTTGAATAGAATGAACACCACAAGATTCGAGATTGGCGATTCTTCAAAACAACTTTGGTATAATCAATCGATGCGATATGCGACAAGGATCAAGGTGCTTCGAAGGGTAAACTTTTGGGAAGAATTTCTTTGGGAGGAACCATGCTGAAAACGCGGGGTCGATATCTGATAGAAGAAAAATAGAAAGAAATTAAAAAGTATTCAAGCAGGATCTCATGACATCTGCCCTTTTAATTTATCCCGCATGTGCATCTGCCAGTACTACATACCATATTGAACATCGAAATGTGACCCATCTTTTAATCTCCTCTGAGACTATCGTAGGACCAGATAACTTGACGACAACAAAAAGATGTCGCGCTCACGCTCAGATGATGTTCTCGACGAGCATAAACGTTACGTAAATTGTGCAAGGGCACAAACATCGTCATTTTTGTGACTCAAGACCTTGGAGCCGCGAAAGAGAATTCCCCACGACCAACCACACGGCCGGCATTGGACTTTGACTCGCTAAACATCACCACCTGACATCGCTAACAGTAAAGTTCGCTCTTTGCTGTGTACCTATCAATTCTATAGGAGCATATCGACAAATCCGCAGCCATGTTCCCGCCATCGGCAGGGTACAACCTCGATATCGAGGCCATCAGCGGCATTATGGGTTCCATCTCAATTGGTGAGTGCTGCTATATTCGGCAATTGGCCTTGTTGTGATATTTGAACCTAATCACTAACACAATAATAGCCTGCTGGGTCGTCGTGTTCTCGCCTCAAATCATTGAAAATTTCAGACGTAGCAGCGCTGAAGGTCTGAGCATAGAATTTGTGATCATATGGTTGCTTGGAGATTTCGCCAATATCATTGGTGCTGTCATGCAAAGAGTTCTTCCTACAATGGTGAGTTATGAGCTTTCCTTGTGCCTGATTGAATCAAAAACTTACGTCAAACAGATCATCCTGGCCATTTACTACACATTCGCGGATATCGTATTGCTGGCTCAATGCTTCTACTACCGCGGATTCCACTTCAGAGATCCCAAGCCTGTTAAGCCTTCGGATGTGGAAGAAGAGACTCCCACCGAGCGCTCCGGACTTCTGTCGACCAACGGTAACGGCACCAATGAGCTTCCTCGCACTCGCTCAGCATCGTCTTTCGGCGAGCGCTTCGTCAGCGATGGTGTTCACATGTCTCCTGCCAACCCCATGCATCCCACTCCCAAGGTGCAGAAGCCGAGATCCGCCAAGCGCACAATCATGCAGAAGCTGCTGTTCAACTTGACCTGCATTGTCCTCGTTGTTGCAGCTGGTATTGCTGGCTACTACCTGAGTCCTTCTTCCAACAATGCTGGCGAGACCGAGGAGCAGCAAAACGACAGTCTGCACTTCAACATTGTTGGTCAGGTCTTCGGCTACTTGTGTGCTGTGCTCTACCTTGGCAGCCGTGTCCCTCAACTCCTCCTCAACTACCGCCGCAAGAGCACTGAGGGTCTTAACGCTCTCTTCTTCCTTTTCGCCTGCATTGGTAACTTGACCTACGTTCTCAGTATTTTCGCTTTCAACCCCATCTGCCACCACGACAAGCACGGACAGAAGTGCAGACCCGGCGAGGCCAGCGCAATCTACGGCAGATATATCTTGGTCAACCTCAGCTGGTTGCTCGGCAGCTTGGGCACGCTTTTCTTGGATTTCGGCGTGTTCGCACAATTTTTCATCTACAGAAACATGGACGAGGATGAGGAAGATTTCGAAGACGTCATCGAGGACAGAGGAAGATCTATTGATTAGGGATATGACCATTTGGATTGGGCCAAAAAAGGGAGAAGGAAAAGGAGGAACGGATCATGAGATTTGATATGAACACGCGTGTATAGTAAGTAGACATCAAAATTTGATTGGTTGCAATTTTGACAACCTGACCAAACAACTCATCGAGATCTTGTGCCATTCAACAGGTCTTTGCAGGCTTATAGATCCTTACAGGCCTGTACATCCCGACCTTTGCCATAAGTACATCTATGGAGAAGCTGGCCGACCAGCGTTGGACGCACTTATCGCAATGTCGGTTCGAAAGACATACCGTGCAATTCCGAACACTTCGTCGAAATGCCTTCTCCGTCGATAGACTTCTTCCGAGTCTCTTCGCCAGCAATCGAGGAAACCATCCAGTATCCTCACACGTATCATACCGAGACTCAACATAGTATGGTCTGACTTGATTGCAATAGTCAACGACAAGATTGATCAGTGTTCTATCCCCTATAACACGAACGTCATACAAACTGACGATCGGCTCGAAAAGATCAACACATGCATCATCAACGCTCTTTTCGTCCAGCCTCTTCCAAACGATATCCGTTACTCTCTTACTCAGAGATGTAATCTGATACTCATCTGCAATCAGATAAATCTTCAACAACTCTTGTGAGGGTTTTGCTTGAAACTCTGCATCGTTGTGGGGGCCGTAGATGTGTTTGATCATCGTATACACTGTTTCGGGCTCGTGGTCTTCAATGCCGTATTCGGTGACATCTGCGAAGCCGCCGAGGAAGGCGGCTTTGAAGACTAGTGATTGTTGACTCAAGATGCGCTTGTGGGCGTATATGACCTCTCCGTTGTCAAGTCGCAGTGTCATGTCCGAGGGTCCCGGATGGGTCTCAGAGGGAGCGTTCAACATCATGGCTTTGGTGTAGGAGTTTCTTCAGTGCTCGAGGAAAATCTGGTCGTAGGTCGCTGCTGCCTTTTTTTATTCGCGACTTCTGAAGTCAGGATTTTGCTTACAAGTTACAGCAAGTTTCTGTGGGCGATGACTGTCGTCGGACGCATGACGCCGAGGAAAGTGTGCCACATGGAAGACAATGTTCAACATGATTCCTGGATGCTGTCTTCAGAAGCAAATGAAACCGGAAATAAGCAGTACGATCAATTGTGTAGTCTACGCGATGGGGATGCTTTCTGGGGGATTACAGCACTGCCAAATGCATCTTGCCGCAAACCAGCAAGAATGAGCATCAAGAAGGTTGTCAAAGCTTCGATGGACCCCCAATGGACCTTGTCAGATATTTGGACTGCATCAAAAATGACCAAAAGCGTGAATGTTTGAGCAAGTTGCTCACGCAAAGTTTTCTGACCAATTTCCCAGGTTTTGGCTCACTATAAATACTGGCAACTTGGCTCTCCGCGCCTGCCTCATCGAGTTACAAGAATTTCACCCATCAGCAAAAATGACGGATTACAAAGACGCCATCTTACGAGCTTACGAGCAGGCATGCGACAAACCAGACACTATGACTTGGGGCGACCTCATACTTAAGACGGGATCAAAGCCCGATCAGAAGATTCGAGTGATGAAGTTCGTGCTGGAGTTGTCGTCGCCTGTATTCCTTGCAGCTTTCAAGGAGAACAACTTTTCGAATGCCGCCAGCCTCGAGTACGTGATTACTGGATACTCGGAGACCGTGGTCAAATCCGCCATCAGACGTCTGAATGGATATGCTCTTGACGATATTGAGAACTTCGACGCCGAAGCAATCGAATTTTACATGGAGATCTATCTCTTTGCGAACGAGTATCAGCTGACTTCAGTCAAACGAGATATTATTGAGCGCTTGATATTCTGGATGTCTCATCTCTGGCACAACGACGGAAGCCCACTGGTGAAACACAAGGAGGATGAAAACTATCGCCACAGACCTCTTTTCGAGCAACTATTTGAGAGTATCATCACGCTTTACGACTCGAACGCGTTGTATGACTTGGACACCAGCTACAAGGACAGTCTTCTCATCAGCACGGCACGGTTCTGTGATAAGAAAAAGCCCGGATACGTGGCAGAGAAATGCAAGTCCGCGGATGAGAAGTACAGCGAGATGACAATGCATATTTCCGCCTATCGAGAAGAATTTCGGGAGCCTTGTTATCTATACAAGCGCTGTTCTTGTTATGATGGGTGTCACTGCGTATTCGGCACCACAGAGATGATAAAGGCAACTGCAGCACGCCAGTTGACACCGCTAGTATACCAATAGCGATCTCGTCGTCGTTACAAAGCTGGGACATCGAAATTGCGACCTTTTACAATCCAGTAGTCCGTACAGAGTAGAGCAGCAATGGGAGCGAGAAAGATAGCTAGCCCCGACATGAAGGTGAGAAGGGAACTCGCGGAATAAACGATTTTCCAGGTACCATGATCCAGCATGACGTAAAGGTGGTGAGAATAACGCCTCGGCGCATGTTGATGTGTTTTGGGAAAAGGCTGATCAGGTCATTCGAGCATGAGATGACGCTGGCAGACAAGTTCGTGCCAATCTGCGCGACGACCCAGCAGAAGCCGACGAAGAAAGCTCCACATCGACCACCAGGGCCGTCCCATTGCGCAGCCAGCTCCAATGGAGACCATATATACTCCCCATACACGACCTTGGCACAGGAAGTGCTGATGACTCCGAACATAGACATCAAGAGGTTGATTACAGGCAGGAAGAGTGCCTGCCAATATACACCTCTGCTTGAATGCATGTACCTAGTGAAGTCAGGGATATTGGTCGCCATGGTAGCCCAACCTCCACATTGAGATGAGAAGTTGTTGAGAATAATCCAAGAGCGGGCTGAGCCGGAGGTGGTATACTCTTGATTCCAGATATCGCCCACGCCTCCTGCCTTTCGCACCATCACAACAACAGTGGCGATGCTGACGACTGGAACGATCAAAGTCTTGAAAGCGAGGAAGTACTTGAGTTTGTGAGGAGGCGTCAACAAGATTGGAAACTGAACGCAGAAGAAGACGAAATGAGCTATCAATTCGTTAGACGTGATGCCGGCGCTCTCGGGCAAGCGGTTGGGTATGTCCAAGAAGCCTGGCCAGATAGCTCGGATGATTTGGAACATAGCGGTACTTCCGGTCCATGACTGGATGGCATGCCAGAACAATGCAGTTGCCATTCGCGTGACAACTGCAAAGCGCGAGAGGTAATAGCCGAATGACGCTCTGGCGACAATCGGATAGGGAATGTGATAGTGAGCGCCGATAGTACCGTTGAGCATAAGCGGGATTGCATCGACCATGCCTCCGGTGATTCCTATCCAGGTTAGCCATAGATTCAATACGATCTAGAGTGTATCCAACACACATAAATATATCGCTTCCCGCCATGTCAGACCGGCAGCGATAATAGCGCTTGGCCCTTCCCAGCCTTGAGCGTTGAGAGCATCACTGCACCAAAATCCCAAGAGTGATCAAGAGCCCCAAGTTCTTCTCTCGAGAGGCGTGACATCGGAGTCAATATTCGACCAAGTACCCTCATTCGCAAAAGATGTCGCTTGCCTTTCTAGGACCCAACCGTCTAGATGAGCTTTCGTTCTTAGATTGACGACTGTACGGCGCTTGGCGGTAGAAAGTGTCGCTTGAATATCTATCGCCATCGTTCTGGAAGGAGCGGTGCTATGAAAGAATAGATTGGTTTGATCTGTCTCAGCATCGCCCATGTTGTATTTATCAAACCCCGCGAAGGCGCTTCGGGCAACTCTATCATGTTCCTATCTGCAGATGTTGTCGTTAGCGTTATCGCGATTACGATGATTGTATGAGATTTCTAAGCAAAATGGTGAAGATGGGAAAGTGGTCGGGTCGATTAGCCATATCTGTCATGCAAGACCGCACATCGTTGACTTATCTGGATTCTAGCTTGCCCGCACGTTAGATAACATCGACACCACGCCTTGTATATAAGAAGTGACCCTACAGGTTTTTACAATGCTTCATGTCCGCCATAGCTATCACATACAAACCTCAGTCGGATCCTGTACAAAATGACATTTTTTCTCCTTTGCTTTCTGGTCGAAATTGACCCTTGCTGCAGAGCAGACGCCCTTTACAAGGCCTAACATCTGTCGCTTCACGCTTGCCATACCACAACACAAACTCCTCGTGCATGCACTCCGGTTCTGTAGACGTGCGGGCGTGAGCAAGCGCCCCCCACGAAACCTAACATCTCCCGCTCCAGGCTCTACGACAAACCCTTCGTACATCCGTTCCGTTTGTTTTGACATGCGAGCGTGAGAGTCGGACCCGCTAGCAGAAAATGATCTTGGTGACCCGATGCGGCCATACGCATGCTACAAGCGTGGAAAGACCCGGAGGAAGACAAGACCGGTAGGCACGCAAGGGGATGGTCTGATGAGTCCTGATGATAGGCTGATTGGGAAAGAGAAGGAGTATGAGCGAGTTGGGTTGGGTTTTATAGGTGGTGGAAGGGAAGGTTTGGGTTTGGGTTTCACTGTCTTGCAGAATCGAATTGCGCATAATCGTAGCGATATCTTGAAGGTCTACGGAGTACTCGTAACTTACATGCCGAAGAGGAAAGGTTTGTCTGCATCCCCGAAGATTCTCCGTCCAGCCACCTCTGAACGTTTAGGCTAAATTCTTCCACCCATGCTTCCATGTTTCCATCCCGCGATGATGATGCAGATCTCGAGTGGAGAAATCGCGGGGATCGTGACATCTCGACTTCTTTTCCCGTGCCCTTGGTCGAACAAAGCTTGAATGGCAGGCATACTTCCTGCCGCGTGCGAAAGCGAGGGCTGGCAGAACTAGTGGAAGTGTGCAGTTCTCATGCCGGTGCCGTAACCGAGACAGGCTGTACGATACTTCTCATAGGCTCTTGTAGATGGACTTGGAGAGGTATAAGAAGGTAGGGTCGTTCTTTCCCTCCCAGTAAGTTTCTGTCAATAATCTCTGAGATTTACACATCATGCCTACCTTTTCACTATCAGCATTGCTAGCCTTGTCCTCAGTGGCATCAGCATGGCCACACTTTGGTCCTCCTAATCCTCCTCTTCACCCGCTACCTAAGTCATCAGCTTGGAACTTGAAGAAATTCACTAGCTTGGTCGCTTTCGGAGACAGCTACACTGACGATTCTCGTCTTGGATACTTTGGCTCTCATAACGGCAGCGCACCTCCAGTCGGATGGATCAGCCCAGCAAACTACCACTCTGCAGATGGTGGTCGTCCTTGGCCTCAATACGTGGCTCAATACTCCGGTGCTAACATCTACAATTACGCTGTATCGGGAGCAGTCTGCAGCAACAATATCACTCCTCGCACATTCTCCAGCATCAATGCCCTTTTCCCTGACATTGACGGCTACGAACTCCCTGCCTACCTTGCTGACAGCAAATACGTCTATCCTAATGGCACAAAAGCATTGAACGTGCCTGTGGACTCGACTGTCTACTCCATCTTTATCGGCACCAACGACCTCGGCAACTACGCCTTCATCGACGACAGTCAAGTCGCCAACAAGACCATCCCCGACTACATCGACTGCGTATACACTCAATTCTCCCGCCTTTACGCTTCCGGCGCCAGATATTTCGTCCTTCAGAATGTTTCTCCGCTGCAATTGAGTCCTCAGTATGGTTTGCCATCTAAGGGTGGCTTGAACGCTACCCAGTACTGGCCCGAGAAGCCGGCGAACACGACAGAAGTTTCTGGCAGAATGTTGGAGACTGTCACGACGGTCAACGATGTGTTCAAGTATCGCACGCCATTCGAGATCTTGGTGAACAAGAAGTTCCCCGGTGCTCACTTTGCTCTGATGGATATGTACGGTTTGGTAAGTTCTTTTCCTACTCTCTCTTTCTACATCTTGTGAAGAAGGAAAGCTAACATGGCAATTGCAGATTACCGATATGTACAACAACCCTTCGCAATATCTCAACGGCACGAACCCCACTGTCACCGGCTATGTCAACCACTGCACCACAGCTGGAACTAACTGCGTTGCTGCTTCCAACCCTGATTCGTACCTTTGGTACGATCCTTTGCACCCCAGCGAGCAGGCCGATCGTGGCTTTGCTAAAGCTTTCATTGATGTGGTCAATGGAAACAGCAAGTGGGCCACTTACTACTCTGGTTAGAGTCGGTATATAACTACCCACAAAGATTTTTGTTATGCGAAGCCACATTATGCAATGTTGATATGAATGCACAATGAACACGGTGTCCTCTCATACGTCTTCCACAATGCCAGATCAGGCTCCACATATCTGTAAAAATGCAAGAAGGGTTTGGTCAAGATCAAATCCGCTAATGAGAGTCTTCTTAGTCTAATTTCTCAGCGGACAGTTGCGATTAATTAAAAACTTTTTGCCTTTTGATGGTAAATCATGCAGTATGACTGAGCAGAGAAAGAATCAAGATTTCCAGAGTCTAGCTTTCTCTGCCCTGACACGTTTCTCAGTTCAATCCATCCTAGAGCCCTTGTCACAATGCAGAATGGTTTTGCGCGGGACAAAAAGATACAATAAGCAGCTCTCCTCGTCTTTGAGTCCCTAGAAGTTAGCGGGATCTGGTGGGTTAAGATGATGCATTTGTCCATTGAATTTGCTTCATGGTCGAAAGCAGGGTGTCTGATTCTGTTTGAGCCCTGTCCTCTTTGTCCTTCGGTTTGATACTAGATGTAATGGGTTATTTGTTGTCTCGGATATCCAGCAATCTTCCCACATGCAGCTGTGACACTGAGTTCAACATCAGATGTGTGTCACATTGACCAGCCAACAATGAAAAGGGGTCGGATGGCAGAAAAGGATGCGGGTCTGATGTCTTGTGCTCTCATGTATAGTGAACTCGTGGGTCCATCAGCCCGTACAGTGCTGCTTTGACCCTCGACCTGCTAGAAGACATTGGAAGCGTTGTCGCGAGACAATCTTGAGCATTGGGCGCGAGAGAAACTAACATATGACCACTTCTCTGACTTGGCTTTTCCAAACCAAACACACCAGGTCGTTTACACTCCTATAATCACATTCGCTCACCATTATGAACAACCATACACACCGTCCACTTGGTGCCGGTCATGATCATCTATCTGCGATGCCAGCTGAGATCTTACACGAGATCTTCAAGCACGTTCTCCAGACCTCGTCGCAACAGGTGCTCCCTAATCCCTTGTCGCAAATATCGTCAGAGATCGCATCGCATGTGTCAAATCTCCTTTTGAAGAACTGCACAATGCAGCTTGAGTGTCGCCATAAACATTCCCACCACTTCTGGGCCACCTCGCTGTACCGCTCGTCCGCAAAAAGTGACATCCTTCGTTCCCCTGACCTCCCTACCATCAAAGGCTCGAACGCGCGCTGGAGCAAGTTCCGCCAACTCTGGAAGCATGTCGAGATGCTCAAGGGGGTGGACTCCTTGTACATCAAACTCAACCATGCCGTGGCTTTCACCATCCTCCTTCATCGCAACCAACCGCCAACCATTACCTCTCACACCCGTCGTCGTCCAGGGTTTCAACCTGATCTGAGGCACTGGAAAGAGCCTGCACATTGCTCGGTCGAATGAGTCGAGCTCTTCATCGAGGATATGCACAATCAGTGCACCGAGTACCGGAGGCCCGGCACCCGCGTCGACGATGACCGTGATGTTCACGCTGGCGTCATGCATGAGATGGATCTACGTCAACCCTGGCCTGGCCATCCCGTCCTCCTGAGACAGATAGATCGATCTGTCGCCGTACCCAAGATCCTGAGTCTCGACCAGAGAGAGTCACTAAAACACACCTTCTATGGACAGAAGTGGGTAGAGGAAAGACGTTTCAGAAAAAATCGAGAAGTGCTCTACGAGTATCGCGCAGGGTGTTTCAAAGTTTGGGTTGGTGAACAGATGAGGGAAAAGGCAGAGGATTTTAAGAGATTGGTGAGAATGGAGGAGGGCCATGGGGCATATCACAGCAAAGCCCTAAGACGCCACTCGTTCTGAATGGCCTGGATAGGCGCTGGACACCTCATTCGAGAGCGCTAGGAGAGCGAGTGACATGACAGGCGAGGATGGTCGCTTCTTTGTTTCGCATGATGCAGGCGCTGCTCTGGGTTGTTGGATCGTGCAATTGAGACCACCGCTTATTCAAGCAAATCGAGATCAGGCAGCCACGTTGAGCATTGCAATCGTCTTTATCGAAACATCCGAACATGTGTTGTTTCTGAAACCACCTTGTGAATTCTTTGTCATGATTTGCCTGTGGGACAATGATCTGAGTCCAGACAAAGCAAACTCCGGCCGTGTAAAGTTGGCTCGACTAGCAACATGTCACAGGCATCGTTTGTCTCAGCTTTTCGTAGATGACACTCGCCTTCTGCTTGGGGCTTCCCTCGAGCGTGACTTCTGTCGGACTGACCCAGCCATCCTTGGTACGGAAGTAGATGCGCTTCTCTTTATCATGCTTGAAGGCCGAAATGGCGCCAGGGTCAAGAGGATGGTTGCCAATCCTGATGATGGGACCCTTCGCTTGAACCTGTTCCCAGCAAGCATCGGTCGTGTCTTCAAATCCATGAAATGTGATTCGCTTCGTGGGTGCGAGGCCTGTATCCAAAGCGAATAATCGGCCAAGCACGCGATTCCTGAGTAGGATCTCGGAGGAAGGCCAGCGGAAGTTGACATGACGGTCTTCTGGTATGATCTTCCGGGCATGACGAGGGTACTCGGCGGACCCGTCCATTTGTCCAAACAGATCGTTCTTTGTGTTCTTAAGACTTCGGCTCGCTGAGGGCGTGATGCTGGTGTCGGTAGCGAAGTTGCCGTTCATGATGTTATTGTAGAGCATGTCAGCGCCGAGAGGACCGATCCAGCCAAGAACCGAGTCTAGGGTAGCCGTCGCTTCATCTGGTATGGATAAGCCGGAAGAAGGAGTCTGGTCAATGATTCTACCCTGGTCGAAATGCTTGGGATGTAGCGTTTGTAGAGTGACTCCAGTTTTGCTCAATCGCCGTAGTAGTGTGTGATGTAGAGGTGCTGGACCAGGTAGGCTGGGCGAATGTCAGGATCACGAATAAGGTTGCATGTTGATTTAGTGCATATTTACTCGGGAAGCATCGAGGGGTGAACGTTGAGACCGCCATACTTTGCAGCGTTCAGAATGCGCGGTGGAACAAGCAAGCCAAAGGAAACTGCGACCACCATGTTGAAAGGTTGACCATCGGTTTGAGGAGGCGTCCAACCAGTGAACGTGTCTATCTGATGTACATTGAGGCCCAACTCAGTAGCAGCTACACTTTTGATTGGTACTACATAGACTGAGCATTTGGAAAAAGACATGCGATGTGGCAAGAACTTACCTTCACGAATCTGCTTCAGTCCTCTGCCAACACGCTTGTCTTTTCTACACACGACATCAATGGAAGCAACCTTTTCAGGATTTTCTTCTCTGATCTTGTTCAGTGCCTTCAGAGAATATATGCTAAACTCGTCAGCGCCGCAGAACAGGACCCGCAGAGGATCATGCTGAGGCTTGTCTGAAAGATAGCGCCTTGACGCTACACAAGATTGACGTGTGAAGTGCCCGCTTCTGGCAGCAAGTGATGCTACGACACTCACTCGCGACAACATTGTTGATAGCTGCTTAAGGTAGTATCCTTGTGGTCGTCAGTAATGGAGTTGGTCGCTGGGCGGAACATGTCAAGCCACATCCGGGAAGCGCACGTGATCGACTTCAGCGCCAAGGCTCGCTTGTGATTTCGCCAGCTTTGTGGGAAAAGTTTGCGAAACTCCATCTTCTGTGACGACCTGAAGAGCATCTCGACAAGCAACCGCCCTCTCGCCCAACGACGACGTAAAAATGTCCACCACCCAGAAGACCCAGAAGCCCAAGGCTGGCCGTTCCGCCATCGCCGATGTTGTCGCTCGCGAGTACACCATCCACCTGCACAAGCGTGTACGTTCAGTTTGATGAAGTCCATCAATGGCCGCTCTCCAACATGAGCTGGTATCGGACGGAAGACTGATTCCGGATTTTTCTAATATAGGTCCACGGTGTTTCCTTCAAGAAGCGCGCTCCCCGCGCCATCAAGGAGATCAAGGCTTTCGCTGAGAACGCCATGGTAAGTCGAAGACCCTCTTCCCTGTCTGCGATTGTGTCTTGTATACGCGCAGAGTTTTCCGAATGCGATGCGACTACCAACTCACTTGCGACGCCGCCTTTCCAACTCCAGAGGCTAACCACTTTTCACTTGCAGGGCACTCGCGACGTCCGCCTCGACCCCCAGCTGAACAAGAAGGTCTGGGAGTGCGGTATCAAGGGTGTTCCCTTCCGTCTCCGCGTCCGCATCTCGCGCAAGCGTAACGACGAGGAGGGCGCCAAGGAGAAGCTCTACTCCTACGTCCAGGCCGTCAACGTCAAGGACCCCAAGGGTCTCCAGACCACCGTTGTCGAGGACGCATAAGCCTATCGCCACGGCATGCTGGATTGAACTTGATTGTTTTCACAAAAGGGGGCGCTGGTCAATGGATTGGGAATGAACAACTGTTTTACATTTTTTACTGAGCTGGGATGCATCGGTTTACGGCCATAAACCATCGAGTCACGATATGGCGGGAAAAGCAAAGTACTTTTCTTGTTGCTTCAAAATACCACAACAAATCAGGAAAAACAGTTCGACCCTTCCTGCATAACTTTCCTCTTGTGAATTTCCATCTTGTCTTGAAAAGTCTGCAACGATTCGACTCACGACTTCTTCTTCGTCTATCTATATCCAACAAGTCCCTATTGTCCATGTCGCTGGCATCTCGTTTCCCAAGAATGTATGTTATGTATTTCGAGTCTTTCGTCGTTGGCGATGGCTGTCACCGCTGTATGACCTATGCTCACTGATTCATACTGACAGGCCGACAGCTCTGACATGAATTGGACAGTTTTAGTGCTCTTTGTATGCCTTCGGCCGAGTGTTGATTGTTGCGAGGTCAGATCGTCCCAGCTCGATTTCGGAACCGTCGATATAACGTTCACACATAAAGATCACAGCTGCATGATTCAGCAGTACGAGGGGTCTAGATACCTGGTTATTGGTAAATCAGCCGTTGCTATATGGCTGGACTCGTCCTTGCGAAATCACTGATTCATGGGTCACCTCTTTTAAGGTGAATTTTTAGGGTTGGACACAACGTCTACTGGTCGATGACAATTCTCCGAATTGTTGGTTTTTTGAATCAGAAAAGATGAATCATCCTAACCTATCTTTGAGATCTGTTTGCTGAAAAGACAAGTTGCTGCAACTTGCACGTTTGATGCAGGCTACCCACCCTCTGCTCATAACGATTCCACCAACGACTCCCGCGGCTTGGCGGTGAGACACTTACATGCCTCGCTGCTCCATCCCAGTCTTCTCCGAGTCAGAAGATCAACGAACTCGCTTTCGCAAGTAACGGACAGCTGTACTGCAACAGTTTTGATGGCGACAGGGCAACCACTAGTCGTCATGGTTCAAGCTTGTCGGCTCATAGAGCCCATGTCCTCTGTGTTATACCTTTCTGTTCGATATCATCCATTCAAACTTAACTTCCTACCAAGCGGTTCACATCCGGTCTCCGAAACTCTGATAATACACGCAATCGATCGTTTGGAGACTCCAGGATGTCCTCTGCCAATTCCATCTTGACACGCCTTGCAGAAGTAGAAGCTGAAAAGCACCTTCTCCAATCACAACTCTCTTCTGTTCGCAAGAATAGAAGTCCAGAGAGACCCAAGAGACAGACGGCGTTCCTCCAGAGCTCAAACAACGTCAAATCTCCGGCATCCACACTTGACAAAGTCACAGGCTGGCTCAATAATGACAAGCCTGCACAAAGATCATCGCACTCACCTCTATTGGACTTCTTCACACAACACGAGCGCTATCATGTGGTCTTTGACAACATCTATCAACGACTAGAGATCAAGGACATAGTTGCTGTGAGTCGAACCTGTAAAAGGCTATCGTCCTTTTACAGCAACATGTTGCCCTGCCGCTGGAACATAAATCGACGACTTGCACGATTCGTGAATGACCCAAAAGAGTTCAGGTCACGACTAGGACAAGCTGATGCCTTGATATCTGGAACGTTCGCTCTACTATTTTTCGCGCAGCTATACTGGCTAGACTCTGGACTCGATATCTACGTACGGCAAGGAGCCAAAGCAGACACATTGATTCGATATATTGGCGAAGACAAGAGCTATGAATTTGATCACAGTTATGGATGGTCAGACAACGATCAACATCGCACCCTCACCAAGGTAAGTCTTTGTGACTCTGTTTCAGAACTCCACGCTCACAAGACAAAGGTTCTCATCTTCCGAAGGACGGTACCGCCTGGATCACCACAAATCAGATTCCACCTGACTCGAACGCTACCCTTGCACAGCATCTTGACTGATTGCGCTTTCTCAACTGCTCACGTCAACATCATCACATGGAACAAGGCGTACTGCATGTTTCCGAACGTCACCTTCATCGATCGCCGCATGTACTTTCTACACAATCCGGATGAAGCTCTTGGACAAATCTTGAGCAAATACTCGGCCCATGGGTGGCGTACATCAGAATGGGTAGACTACGATCAGACTAAGGGGTGTAACAAGCCAGGGATACGAGAGAACTTTCGAAGAGTAGGCGATTCGTCTTCGTGGGTTATACCTCTTAACCTTCACAAAATACGGACACCTGAAAGTTCGGACTCGATACTAGAGAGTTGCACCTTCCAGATCTTCCCCGATTCGGGACCCCAAAAGTCACGGCATGCTGTCACAGGACTCAAGACTTTCAGCATAGGCGCACAGATCTTCTCATGCTGCATGCTAAAGCATAATTACACATTCCACACGCCAGATGCCAGCTGGAGCAGATTTCTTCGAGAAAACCTCAGTCGAATGATTATGCTCGAGATACTCAAGACTGGAGATGCTGATCTCATTGCCAGAACAAGGCAGCCAGACTTTATGCTCGGCGATCACAAGTGTTGTCCACTGCTACGCACGAGACCACGATTCCAAAGACCCGAAGGCTGGGAGTATGTTGACCACATGATACCTTCTTGGCTCGAAGAGTGGAAATCGGCTCGGAGAAATAGAACAGGCAGTATCGACCTGACGCCACATCCCTTGACTGTCATACGTTCGAAGAAGCAGCCATGCAATGTACCCCAAACATCGGATCTATCTTCGCCACCTCCCTTGCTTCCTCCACGCGCAAGAAGTATGACAACAAGCAGGTTGCCATCCAAGACAGTACCACCTCTGAGCTCGAGAAGTGACCACTTCCCTCTGTCGCTCAGAACGACTCAACAACCTCCCCCGAGGCTCCCTCGGTCATCGTTCAGTCACATGAACATGCCACAGACTATAACAACAAAGCTACCAGCTCTGAAGCCATCGCCACGCCGTGTTGTCTCCGCTCAAATTCAATCTTCAAAATCCGAATCCATGCTCTCTCACAAAAAGTCTGCTTCAACACTTTCTTTCAATACTCGACCTAGCCACATTCCAGCTCCTGGTAATGTACGACCGACTCTACACCCACTTTACAGGACTGTAACATCACCTCAGAATACAAACTCCAGTAGATCGTCTCAGACCACCACACCGGCGACATCGCCTCAGAAGCAAAAAGGCGACTACTTTTCACTCATACACAGACGACCTAAAGCTTCCATGCCTCCACCTCTCAATTTATCTCCGACCAAACTCGGCCCTCTGATGCCTGATCTCCTGACACCGCCCCCCGACATGCCACTTCCCGACGTCCCTAGCGAGCGTCAACCAAAAAGATCTCCTCTGCATTTCCCATCACATCTACCCTGGTCGCCCTTTGAAAAGAAGTCACGCGGACTACCCAGCAAATCTGGCTGGATAAGCGCTGCCTCATTGAGTTCCAGCTCGACCGGGCCCGAGAAGATGATTCCTGGAGAGATGAATTGGATCTGAGATATCTTGGTATTCTTTGCATTTGTTTTTCTACAACTATTTATTATACAAAGGCCTTTTTCATACACTACGCACAAACACTTTTCTATCTGAGTTTTCCATATCATCTGACCTTGGTTCATCTAAACTTCGCAATCTCTGCACCGATTCATCGTGTTTGGATTCACTATTTCCTCTCTGAACATGGTAGGTAGTTGTTTCCCTTGTGAGTCGGTGGTTCTTTCCTTGTTGGTCGGTGGTTACTTCTTTCTTTTAATTCGTCGGTTAGTCGGACGCTCCTTCTGTGTTGTTGGGTCGTTCCTTTCTTTCTCTTGAATGCTTCTCAGAATGTAAATTCCTCTCTTCCTGCTCCCTGGGACATGTCATTCGGTTTTCGATCACATCTGCCTCGAGGAGATGGGATAGGTGATACGATCAAGTCATCAGGAGGTGATGAGAAAGCACCAGCAGTAACAAAAGCCAAGAAAAACAACAAAGTATCCTTGTCAAGAAAACAACACACCAAAGAAAGCAACAGCAAGCCAACAATCTCACAAAAAAGGTGCATTATAATACAGAAGAATTAGTCATAAACACATAAAAAAGCCCCCAAAAAAAAACTTCCCCATGCTTTTTTTTCCCCCCTCTCCACTTGCTCTCAACATGATCTTCATGATTGTTATATCTAAACAAGATATCTATATTCCGGATTCAAATCTCCCATTTCCGTTTTTTCGTATTCGGTGAGACCGACGTCGGTGGCGGTTTTGTCTCGTTGGCGGTTTTGGGATATGCAGGCGAAGTAGTAGGCGATGCAGCTTACGATGCTCAAGCAGGTGAAGGCGATGCAGATGCTGTAGCCGGGTTTGTACAAGGGGGCGTCTTTTTTGAGGAAGGAGAAGACGGCGATGATGCCTGTGGTGTTGAGGTTAGTGAACATGTCCGGAGAGGATAGGAGAATTTGGAAGAGGAAATGGAGGAGGATGGAGTATGCACTTACCACCAATGTTGCCGAATGCCACTTGCCATGCTGATCCGACACTTCTGCGGTGATGTCCTCCCAGGTTCATGTTGAAGCAGCACACTATAATCGGCATGGCGGAATAACAACCCATGGCCACAAGGAAGAGGGCTGCGTATTCAAGAGGCCTGTTGTCATGTACAGAGAGCAAGATGGCGAATCCAGTGATGGCTACACAGATAGCGAAGATTGCATAACCCAGGCGATGGCGTGTCTTGTCGGAAATCCAGGCCAAAATCATGGCAAAGGCGAAAGCGGCCGCCCATGGGGGTACACTGTGCAACTGTGTCTGGATCTTGCTATAGCCATAGCCGTTGACAATAGACGGCGAGAAGTACGCGTACGAATACGCAGGCACAATCAGCCCGAAGTACATAAAGCCTCCGAGCCAGATTTTGTAGTCCTTGAAGACATTGGCGACATCTTTAGCGCCCATTTTGCGTTCCACGGCCGAGGCACCTTGTTCGCTGCGGAGACGGTTTGTGACGAAGTGCTTCTCCTCCGGGGTAAGCCAGTTACTGTCTTCGGGAAAGTCGGGAAGAACGAAGAAGAATGCTGCGCTGACGACACAGGTGAGGATGCCTTCGAGGATGAAAATCCATCTCCATCCTTGGTATCCAGCAATTCCGTCCATCTTTCCAATGGCTGCAGCAAGCAGACCAGCGAATGCACCAGCAAGAGTAGTGCTCGAGAAGAAGAAGCTGTATCTTCTCTGTGCTTCCGTTCTCAGGTACCAAGTGCCCAAGAGGTAGAAGCATCCGGGAAACATGCCAGCCTCGAAAAGTCCCAGGAAGAAACGTGTAGCGAGCAAGCCAGAATAATTTTGTACCACTCCTTGCAATGTTGTAGTGAGGCCGAACAGGAACATGCAGCCCGAGAGCCAGACATGTGGCTTAAACTTCTTGAGCAGAATATTGCTGGGGATCTCGAAAAGAATATACGGTACGAAGAAGATGACGAGGGCGGTGTTGTATTCGTCACCTTCGAGATGGAGGTCCTCGGACATGCCTGCGACATTGGCGTTCGCGATGTTGACTCTGTGAGCATATCTAGTCAGGATGTGTTTTCTATTTTCCCGAGGCCTAAGCGCGACTCACCTGTCCAAGAAGGCGAGCAAGTAAAGGATACACAAGAATGGTACGACGTGAAAATCAATCTTCGACACCAGCTTGCGCTCCGTTGTGTGTGGTGGGCAGACGAGTGCATCGTCGTATGACATGCCTCGTTCGCGGTCGTCAAATGAGGCTGGCGAGCCGCCATCAATGTCCTCTGATTTCATCGAGTCAGTCATCTTCGATGCGCGTGTCGCAATGGCGAAGATAGTCTTACTCTCTCGATAACCCATGCTGGGCAAGGCTTCTTTATATATTCAATGCTTTTCAAGAGTGAGGTAGGTCCGAAAGATCAACTCGGCCGTCGACGAAATGAGTAATCGCACCGCAAAGCAGTTACGTGCGATACAGCGACTCGAGCTTATAAAGATGGAAACAAAAAGGTGAGAGAGGAGATCAGCGAGATGTGGAAAGATGACTGTACTTGTGCCCTTTCCATTCTTCCGACACCGCGCATATGAATGCGAGGTCCTCCATCCTGCCACACAAATTTGATCGTTTGACCTAGCAAAACGACACATGCAGGCCTTCAACTCGCGTCTCTAATTCGTTCCCATCTTCCAATCCATCTCCCCGCAATAATGATCGACACAGACTGTATGGGGCTATCCTTGGCGATGACGGCGGAATCCTTCCGTAAAGGGTTGTAGCAGTCGCAAATTCACCACCGTGCACTACTCAGTCGGTAAAGCGCTAAAGCAGATCTCAACGACGTTGACGCTGTGTCTTTCTGCTGGGAAAAAGTCCTTTCATCAGTTCAAATGCTGCTTGTCTTGAGGACGGGCTCTGGCGGGCTCCGTCTCTGTATATTGATGTTGTACCGAAGGATTGGATGGTGGCTTCAAGAAGAGCGATGTTCGCTGACAAAATGATAGGTTGCGCCGATCTCGGCAAGTCCGTTCGTGTAACAACACCTTCCTATTTCTGCCTCGGCATTGTGCCTTCTTTGGGTTGTACAAGATACTCAGAGACGTTCACTCCATCGTCGAAGTTAGCTGTCAGCTGAATATTCGAATGCTATCACGTATAGCGGATATACTCCGCTCAACAACGTATCGGGCAGTGGGCACTGCACTAGTCTACATGCTTGGTAGCGGCGATTCTTGTAACCTTGGACGCTCTCTAATAATCACATAATACTCCCTGCTGCAAGATGAACACATCACAAAGAACAAGTCAGCAAGGGTCGGCCACTCGAGCCTGCCTACATTGCAAGAAGCGGAAGAGGCGATGTGACAAACAGCTCCCAACATGTTCGAGCTGCAAGTGGTATGTCATCTTCTCCGCAAGCTCTTCCACGATATGCTGAAGTGTTCTCGAGGTTGTTAGCCACTTGTCAGTATGAAATGCCTATCTCTTCCGCCTCAGACTTCGTAACTCTGGGTAGCTCTCGGAGTGGCCCGTCATCATTGCCTTGGGTGTACGGCGAGCCTAATCTGGTTGCGACTACAATTCACGATTATGCGACAAAGCTATTTGCATCAGTACAGCGACTTGATGCGATCCTGTTTGATTACTTCTCGCGTGTACACCAATGGATGCCGTTTATCTCGCGACAGCGGTTCTACGGACGACTGTCAAGACTTTCACATACACCTGATCATAGCTTTGTTCTCCTGATATGTTGCATGCACTTGATACTTTGTATTCCCCCACAGGTGGAGAAGAGCCCATCTCGGTCTGTCGAATATATGGAGGTCAAACGCCTACTCGCGCTGGCTGAATCTCAAGGACCACTGACGACTGATCTCGTACAATGCGACCTGATAGTGGCGCTGTATGAGATGAACCACGGTGCATTTGACGAATCATATATGTCGCTCGGGAAATGCACTCGGGTTGGTATTGTTCTCCGCTTGAACCAGTTGCAAGAACGGGAGCATGCGTCGCAAGACAGCTTGTATGTTATGTCAGAAGAGAAAAGAAGGACTTGGTGGTCAGTCATTATCCTTGAAAGGTATGAAGGCTCCCCCACTGTCTGCAGTATGCGTTCTAATGAAGTCCAAGAGTTCTGCGACTGCAAAGACCAGAATGGCCGACCGCTGTCAGGGATCCAAACTCGAACGATCTTTTACCAATGGACGACGCCGAATGGGATCAACTTCGTCCTGATGACTCCAGCGCATCGACTCAACATATGTCGCAGAATGGTTCTCTGGAAGAATATCCCAGGGCTATGTTATCACTTTCAACGCCTTCACAGGTTCGTGTAGGATACTTTGCGCGTCTGGCGCAAGTCTCACACCTTCTCGGTCTGGTCTTGAGGAACAAGTTCGATCCCACACCCGATGAAGCTTTTAATGCACAAGAGACTCAACAGTTACGACGAACCACAGCTGTTTTCGCGGAGCTTCTGCCAAAAGAAGCCACTGCTGCAGACTGCTCCCATTGTTGTGGCCCCATCGCAATATTGCAGAGGTACTTGGTATACTGGACCTGAAGACTGTAGCTTCCGCTGACGAGCGTAGTGCGCAGCTCATCCTGGAGCAGGCCCACATCAGGAATGACCTCTTTTCTGACTTCAACCTTGCTACCAAGGTCCTCTGCGCCGAGGTCATTCGGCTGGCTGAACAGCTGAACATAGAACTCGCTGAGACGCAAGCCGATCTTCTACGCCCTCTAGCCATCTATTCTGTCTACCAGGTTGCTCAGATCTATGTCCGACAGTATCGAAGAGATCCCAACCCCGACTATGAAAATGGTATTCATACTCTCTTAAAGACACTGGGCTTCTTTGAGCAACGGTGGAGAGTCGCAGGTGAGTTGTTCCGATACTTTCAGGCCTAGTGTATCGCAACTAACGTCCAAGTAGGCCTGTACAAGGCCGAGATCACGTCAGCAATCGATCTGCTCAACATGACCGTGTGCAGTGATACAAATGAGGGCTGAGGCCCATAGCAGCACTCCTGACCTACGCCACCAGTGCTGCGAATCTCTTCCTTTGGATCGTTGCCGTGTTGTTGCTGCGAGTGCTATTATTGGGGACTGACCAGCTTGATCCAATGGAAAACAAGATGAAAGACAACGAGGAATCCTGCATCTGAGTATGATCGAATTTGGGTTTACGTACCGACATAGATTCCATAAGCTCAATGCTTGGGATAATTTGTCATCTCGACATGGACTCGGTGGATTGCTTCTAAACTCCGTCACAGACACTCGGTCCACTCGAGGTTGTAACGAGATACTATCTTCAAGCAGCTATGAGTATATCCGCCTGTCATGCATGTTGCAATGCAAGGAGCGGAGCTTGGTCGAGACAGGGAGTGGACGCTAGAGCGGAGCGTGGAGAGGGCGCTATATAGAGCGGGACTTCAAGCGGACGCTAGAGCGGACACTAGAGCGGGTCCGACGGGCATCTGCATACATCTCGAAGAGAAGTATCTCGTTTGTACCAAAATGATTCGTCTTGATGTGTGATTGCTGCGCCATCTCATAAGATGGGCCCGCACCTGGAGTCATCAGGAATCAGGTATATAAAGCAAGCATTCTCACCTCGAAAGTGATATCCTCGGAATCATCATATCTACTTAGCTTGACTTCAAGAAGGCACTCCTTGATCCAACTGTACTTCCTACCTTTGAAACATGCCGAGGATCCTTATCCTAGGAGGCACGGGCTTATTGGGTACTGCCCTCGCTCAATCCCTGCTACGCGCAGGCAACAATACCGTCTTTGTACAGACCCGTGCTGCTTCGAAGAGGGGAGCAATTGTTGCCGCCGAGATGACACCTCTGGTCTTTCCTCTCGAAGACAAGGCAGCCTTGAGATCTGCACTGGACACATACAACATCGACACAGTTGTCGACGTCTCTCAAGGCTATCAACAGGCCACCTCTATTCTTGAGACAGTCGCCTCTGTTGCCAAGGATCGACACGCTGCTATTGCCAGAGAAGGAGCCATTGGACCCAAGCTTGGTTTTGTCTACACTTCCGGCATAATGGTGCACGGCTCTCCAGCTGAGCGCGTGTCTGATCTCTCACCCGTTGGCAACAAGCTCGCATCGGACAAGCCAGCAACCATGGTATCTTGGCGGCCATTCCATGAACAGGCTGTGCTCGCCTGTCGTGACTTCCTCAACACCGTCATTCTCAGACCTGGCATGCTTTATGGCCGCAACGCCTGGAACTTCGGCGTGTGGTGGGGTCCTGTCGCTGCACTCAAGGCCAAGGGTGGTGAGAAGCTCTCTATCAGCGCTGACAAGTCTACACGTATCTGCCTTGTACATGTCGACGATGTTGCATCGGCTTTCCGCGCTGCCATTGATCGCCTGGATGGCCGTCTTGGTGATTGGCCTGTATTTGATGTTGTCGCAGAGACCATCAGCCTCGAGTCCATCATCGAGGGGACCACGGAGGCTGTTGGCCTCAAAACGAGCGTGGACTTTGCCGGGACCGGCGGAGATGTCTTTCTGGAGGCCATGGGACTACGCGCAAACGTCGACTCCTCACGCGCTCGGACAGTACTTGGATGGGAGCCGAGAAGGCGAGACTTTCTGCTCAACGTGGGAACGTACTATGCGGCTTGGGAGGTTGCCCAGTAGCTTTCAGTAGACATTTGCTTCGATAGGGCCTCAATTTGCTTCGATAGGGCCTCAAGTCCATGCTCACAGTCTGGTCAGCGCTTCAATGGTGATGTTCGGACCTCAGGCATGAACCTCGTTACCTGTGCCAACAATAGAACGTGAGGAGCATGCGAAATTCAGAGAACAAAGTGATTTGTGAATCGGCGTCAAAGGAACCGATCCGAGATTTGTACAGGGAGAGAGGTTGGCTCAGCGTCATCCGGCTTGCACATCCAGCAGCTGGGAAGGCATTTAGCTCTGCGATACTGGCGAAAAGCAGCCATACATCCGGTGAAGCGTGGATTCGTTTCGCACATCCAGATTTGGTGTTCAGGTACTGTCCAGCCCAGGGTCATCTGAGGCGTCCTCGTTGGTTGATGAATTTGCTGACCAGCATGCGGGTCGATCTCCCCACGCGAACTCGACGATCTTCTGGAGAACGAACATCCAAGATCGCTCTGAGGTCTCCAGGTCTGATGATGCTATGACAACCTCAGACTTACATGCGCTTATCGCCAGCAAGACAGAGAGCAGTTTTTGTACTCAAAGATGAGTGTTTGCAGTTGTGTTGGAACTCATGATTTTTGGTCCGATGAGAAACATGGACACTGGTATAGATGCTTGTTGCGACAAAAATATGTGATCGCGTTGTTGAAACACGCCATTCTTGACCATCCAGGTTAGGCAAGTTGTCCCGGATGACTGTGATTGCATGTCCGCATCGGAGAAAGAGATCCATCGCGAAACGCGACGATTGCCGTTGCGAATGCAGGAACGCGCGAGTCGGCGTTCACTTTTGACGGTGTTTGTCCCTGCACTGCGGAAGTTGCCAGCAGGTGGCCGACCAATCATGGCGCACACGTTGCAGCTTAACCGCTTTATCCATCAAAGTCTTTGTCAACATAAAAAATTTGTATGGCAAACGCCGCTCATCATGGACACTTTTCTGCAACAATTGCTCGTCGAATCGTAACACGAAGGAGACGGCTTCGATTCTGGTGTCTCTTGTGTTTACGCGACTTAGGGCAACACAGCAACAGGCATACCGAGGGCCGATAGCATAGATAAGGCCTCGATGGTGGGTCTGGATGTTGCCGTCCGGGAGTCCCTTATCGAATCACGGCGAAGGCTTTGACAACTTTCTGTCAGCGACAATGAGCTCTTCATGGCCCATGCGCTATCAGATCGCGGCGGTCCCATATATTATTGACAAGTCGCCGGGAAAGCTACAGCTCCTTCTCGCTCCTGTCCTTCTTTCTTCCCTTTCTTGTGATACCCTGAGTGTGTTTGTCTTTTCTCTCCTCTCTATCCTAATTCCAATACATACACAATGGCTTCCGCTGCCAGATCTTTCACCCGCGCTCTTCGCACCCCCACCGCCTCTTCCTTGAAGAGAAGCGCCACCTTCGTCCCTCGCACTACTTTTGCACAGCAGGCCCGTCGTGGTTACGCTGATGCAGCTGGTGCCAAGAAGGGCGGCAATGGCCTCCTCATCGGTGGTCTCGTTGCTGCTCTTGCCGGTGGTGCTGGTTTCTACTACATGAACGGTGCTGAGCAGGTCAAGGCCGCCGGTGTGTTCACCCCCAAGCAGGAGTACTACCAGAAGGTCTACGACAAGATCGCTCAGCTCCTTGTTGAGCACGATAACTACGATGACGGCTCTTACGGACCCGTCCTTGTCCGTCTCGCCTGGCACGCCAGTGGTACCTACGACGCTGAGACCAAGACTGGTGGCAGCAACGGTGCCACCATGAGATTCCCTCCCGAGGGTGACCACGGTGCCAACGCCGGTCTTCACGCTGCCCGCGACTTCCTCGACCCCGTCAAGAAGGAGTTCCCCTGGATCACCTACTCTGACCTCTGGACTCTTGCTGGTGTCGCTGCCATCCAGGAGATGCAAGGCCCCAAGATTCCCTGGAGACCCGGCCGTAACGACCGTGATGTCTCTTACTGCACTCCCGACGGCCGTCTCCCCGACGCTTCCAAGGAGCAGAAGCACCTTCGCGCCATCTTCAACCGTATGGGCTTCAACGATCAGGAGATCGTCGCTCTCTCCGGTGCCCACGCTCTCGGCCGCTGCCACACTGACCGCTCCGGTTTCTCTGGTCCCTGGACCTTCTCCCCCACCACTCTCACCAACGACTACTACAAGCTCCTCATGGAGGAGAAGTGGGCCTACAAGAAGTGGGACGGCCCCAAGCAGTTCGAGGATGTCTCCACCAAGTCCCTCATGATGCTTCCCACCGACATGGCCCTGATCAAGGACAAGAGCTTCAAGTCTTACGTCGAGAAGTACGCCAAGGACAACGACGCCTTCTTCAAGGACTTCTCCAACGTCGTCATGAAGCTTTTCGAGCTCGGTGTTCCCTTCGAGACTGAGGAGCGCATGACCTTCAAGCCTTCCGAGTAAACAATCTTTCGATGCCCATAAGACCATCAACCAAGGAAAATAAAAAGGAGGGAATAGAAACATACAATGGCCCGGATACACTACTAGACGCTGCTTCGGCCAGAGCGCATCACGACTACAACTACAACTACAACAATAGACCGTGCTGGATAGCATCTCTTTCTCGATGATACCTCGATTCCGCATCTAAAGAAGTGGATGCTTGATTTTTCTGTTACTTGGGTTTTGTCTTGTTCATTTAGCGCTCTTCTTTTCTTCTCATCATCACAAAATCAAAAACTTCATAACCAAAACCAAGACTTGACGTTCAGTTTGCCTTTAGCCATGCCATGCCTGCAAGGCACCATAACCTTAACTCTCTTCGGTTCTGTTCCGCGTGCCGTTGCAGGATCATGTTTATGAGGCGTTCGACCCCGCTCCTCAGGAGAGACCAATCAGTTCCGGAATAGAGATTGCGTATCGAATTAGATATCCAGAAGGCAAGATGATTTGTATGATTGGAAACTTGTGTACTGAGAGTGGGTGGTTCTCAGGCAGGATTGATTTGTGAATTTGACAAAAATATGCTCATGTCATCATGCTTCTCTGGTCACCCTGTTCACAAATATCTCGATCTTCTCTGTTGGCCTCCTTGATCGTTCTTGGTAGTTTCGAGCATTTGTGTCATACCTGTGGCCTAACGCATCTATCTCTCAATCTACTGTGAGCCTAAGTGATGTAGAGATCGAGTTGCGGTGGCGAAATTATCAATGTTCGGGTTGCTCAACCCTCACGCTCTGTTTCCTGGACTGGCACACTGCAACGAGGCTCCAATGAACTTGTTCGACCGGCAATAGGATGCAAACAACAACGGTTTCGACAACCAGGCTGTCTTCATAGTCCTAGGCCGCTCTGCCTTCCCTCTTCTCCGATACGACTCTTACTCAAGTCCCCAAACTGGGCGCGAAGTTGAGCAACCTGCTCTCCATCTACCTCAACATCACCTCCAGCATCCTCACCCAACGCTCCCATATCTCCCTCCTCCCCAGTACCAGCCAAATTCCTCTTCAACCTCTCCACCATCCCAACATCCACACCCTCCCCATCCCCATCCACCGCCTCCGCCATCTCCTTCCTCATAAACACCCTTTCAAACCCATCCTCCTTCCACCTCCCCACCTCTACATACCCAATCTTCCCATACAACCCGATATTCTCCACCATCTTGACATTAGTATACAATTCCAATTTCTTCACCCCCAAATCTCCAGCCAAATCTTCCGAAAACTTCATCAGCAGTTTTCCGAATCCTTGGCCTTGGGCACTGGGATCGATGGCTACATTGTTGATTTCCAAGGTTTGGGTTTTGGGGACGAGGCGGAAGGATATACAGCCGATGATGGTGTTGGAAGGGGTGGTGGTGGTGGTGCGGAGGATGAATAGTTTGCGGGTGGCGATTAAGAAGTCGTAATTTGCGGTCATGGGGGCTGGGGATTTGCCATTGAGGCGGGTGAGGTAGGGGTGGTAGGCCGCGTAGACGAGGTCGTTTATGCGTTGGAGGTCGCGGTATTTGGCGACTTCAACTGTGCCTTGGGGGTAGGTCTTGATTATGACGTCGGTGGTTGATTGAGACATCTTTTGACTGTAGGCTCGAAGGAAATTATGTGTCGCTTGACGGGGAAAAACTCGCAATGGGTGCATGGATCCTGCTTCCAAAAAGTTTGGACGGAAGTTGATGGTGTTATACTAAACATCAAGATGTGACTCAGAAGTCAATTCACGCCTGCATGAGATAAGCACTTTGGAAATAAGGGTCCAGATACCGAATCGAAATTGAAAGATGAAAATGTTGAATATATTGACAGTCGTGATATCGCTGATATGCTAAAACGCTAGAATGAAATTACAAAATGCTTTTCTTCGTAAGGAGTCATCTCATGACAGCCAAGACCAGAACTTGCCGAAGAAAGTTGTTGGTACTGGCTCCTCGAAGACCGCTTCGTCGATCTCCTTTCTTCCTGAGTCAATGTCGGCCTCTGACGGTCTAACAAATCTCGGTCTGACAATAGCCTTGTGGCCAATGTAGAGAACAGCGAACAAGATCAGACTGATGTACGCGATGAAGAAGGCAGATGTGTCCCAGGGAATGAAGGCGGTGAATCCTTGCGTGAAGATGATCAGGACCCAGAAGAACAGACCATAGTAGGTAAACCATGGCTGGAGCATGGCCTTGTACGGCAGTGTATCTCTTGAGATATCACGGTTCTCCAGAATCTTCATGAAAGCCAAGTGGGAGACCAAGATACATGCCCAAGCAATAAAGCCTGCAACTCCGGAAATCTGGATGAGCCAGTTGAAGGCAACACTTCCCGCCGACGAGACATTCATGAAACCGAGGAGGCCAAACAGAGAGGTGAATCCGACAGCGTAGACGGGCACTTCACCCTTGGTGAGCTGGAAAAACTTGGGAGCGAAACCTTCACCAGCAAGTCCAACCAAAATTCTCGAAGCCGAGTAAACGTTCGAATTGGCAGCGCTCAACACTGTGCAGAGCAGGACGGCGTTGATTAAACCAGGCAAGGTCTTCACGCCTGCTAGTTTAGCTGCGATGACCAGAGGCGAAGCAGTTGCATCATCACCACCAGCTCGCAATTGCTCATTGTCGTAAGGAACCAGAAGACCGATGAAGAAGATGGTGAAGACGAAGAAGAAGATGATGCGGAAGAAAGTCTTGCGAATAGCCGAGGGGATGGTCTTACGGGGGTTGTATGTCTCGCCTGCAGCTACTGCGACCAATTCTGTTCCAGAGTACGAGAAACCAGCTTGGATCAGGACGGACCAGAATCCAACGAATTTGGCCAAGGAGGTACTTCTACCGCCATCAACGAGGTATGGTGCAAAAGCACCAGGGTTTCTCCATGTCTCGAAGCCCAAATATCCTTGCTGACCAGCTCCTGCATCGATGCAGATGGCGAAGATCATAAAGCCGAGGACGGTGATGACCTTGATGAGGGCGAAGTAGAATTCAATCTCTCCGTAGAAGCGTACTGGCAAGAAGTTGAGAGCGGTAATGACGATCCAGAAGCAGCCAATGAAGATGGCTTGACTCAAATCAGGTCGCCAGTATTGAATGATGATACCACTTGCTGTGAGTTCGAGGGCGTAACACGAAGCCCAAGCCCACCAATAGATCCAACCCATAGAGAAACCCAGCGAAGGGTCGACGAAACGACTGGCGTATGCGGTGAAAGCTCCTGTGACGGGAAGGAATGCGCACATCTCTCCTAATGATACCATGACGGAGTAGACAAGTGTACCAACGAAAGCGTATGCGATCAGGGCTCCAGCTGGACCTGCATTGGCGAGGGCTGTTCCGGAACCGATGAACAATCCAGTACCGATGGTGCCGCCTGATCTATGTCAGTCGATGAGACTTGTATAAGATAATTCAATGTGCATACCAATTGCAATCATTTGCAAATGTCTAGACTTGAGCTGTCTAGAAAGCTGATGTGTAGTTCCTCGCTCGACCGCATGATCCAGAGAGCCTGAGCTCGCATCTGATTGCCAGGTGTGTTTCTCGTTGACATCGAATTCTTTCTGTGGTTGCGATGCCGCACTGTGTATAGCGTTATCCGCCATGATGGTTGTCGGCTTTCGATTGCTCAAAGTCAGGGAGCTTGTGGTATAGTATGGGACGAAACAGACACAGAAGGCAAGTGAAAAGCGACGAAATCATGGTGAGTCCGACTTGGCCAGCTCGGGCCGTAAAATTTGCCTGTGATGCAGTCAGAGGTTGCAAGTACGTAAAATTCAACGTTTATTAGCCCCAGAAAATTGAGTGTCAAGAGCTTGGGCTTCGCGAAACGACAACCCGAAGTCGCTGTCTGGACCAGAAATCGCGTGGAGGATCAAAGGGGAAAGCAGAGAAGAAGATGGTGGAGTGTGGATATGGATTCTGTTGAGGAAGGTCATATCCGAGCAGAAATGCGACGTCGAAGAGAAGTTGAGTCTCAGAATGAGTGTGAAGGAGAGGAAGCTGCTGAGTATGGAGACGAAAGCGCACTCAAAGAATCAACACCACTGCCGACGAAAGGTGCGACAACGACAACATAGCGTTGATTACTTCGCAGATGACATGTCTTCGAGCATAGAGACGGAGCGAATTGATCGTGGTGTGTCTACTGTTGGTTTCGCAGGGAGGAAGAGACACATGAGGAGAGGGCAGGACAGGGCTCAAAAGAAGGCCCGCAACCGGCTTGGCACCGCGTCGCGTCTCAGGAAAAGCATCGAAACCACTTCGTCATTGACAAACAGCAAGAGCCGCGAGCATTACAAGATTTCTAAGCAAGCTGTCCCTTCTTGTATGGGAACGTCGAGCGGAAGTGCTCGGCAATGGCAGTACGCGTCGTGACCCAGACACCTTCCTTCTGCTCAATGTACTCGACAAACTTCTTCAAGGCTGCGAAACGAGCAGGCTTGCCAATGCATCTGCAGTGAAGACCGATTGTCATCATCTTTGGCGATCCCTCAGAGCCTTCTTCGTAAAGCACGTCGAATGCGCCTTTGACATGGTCGTAGAAGTCTGTCGGGCTGCCGAAGCCTGTTGGCACGTTGAACTTGTAATCGTTGCAGTCTTGTCGAGTCAGCAAGTGTACATCTTTTCATGACTTGACCATCACTTACCATAGGAATACGGGATCATCAGCATGCCTTCAGCCTTCTCGACGCCCTTCTCTGCAGGCACATCGACCCAATACGGAACATCATCAGCGTACGAGTCTGACATCCACAGAAGTGGAATGCCCATCTCCTTGTACACATCCCAGACAAGTGCTTGCGACTTTGGACTCAGACGACCATAATACCATCCCTTCGGATACTCGCCTGTGACATCCTTGATTGCGTTGATGCCCTTGCGAATATACTCCTTTTCTTTCTCTGGAGGGAAGTCGTGGTAGTCAACCCAGCTGTAGCATGTCAGCAGACTGGTCAAGAGTAAGGAATTGTTGAAGATACCGGTATGCATGACTGGCAACATCATGACCGTTTCCAACACAGGAACGGCCAACCGCTGGATTGTCCTCTAAAGCCTTACCGACACCATAGAGGGTAAACTTCATGTCGTGCTTGTTGAAGAGTCGGAACAGACGCCAGACTCCTGCTCTTGCACCATAGTCATACTCGGACTCGACATTCACAGCACGCTCCTTGAGTCTTGGTGGACCGCCCTGCACAACTGTGTCAGCCTTGTCGTGGACTATCGCGAAGATCCAAAACTTACCGGAGCTTCCCACAGATGGTTCTCGCTGTGGATATCGCCATTCAACACACTATTCTCAGCACCCTGGGGAAGGTTTAGCGACTTGTTCCCTAGTGTCAAGGCTTCTTATGATACTGACCTCTTCATAGTTGATCACAAAGGAGACCGCGATCTTCGCGTTGTTAGGCCATTGGGGATTGTGGCTCTTCTCGCCGTAGCCAATCAAGTCTCTCGGGAAGTCGTAGTGATCGTCCCACTTCCAGTCAGCTATGCTGTCTAGGTTGTCGGGCAAGACCGAAGGCGTAAGTGACATTTTTGTTTGTATGGAAAATGTGTCAGAAGTTTGGATTACAGTGCCTACTTTTCCTCTGACCCCAGAGTGAACACTGATATATACTTTTCAAGACAGGCTGACCACAGCATTCAGCTATCATGTTAATATACAGTCGGCCTATCTCTTGCAGAGAATCGATTGATTGGAATAGTTGGAGTATGTGCCGCTCGTGGATAGCACTTGCTTGTCCTGCTTTGTAACCATCAGGGTAGGGCGATAAGCGATAAGAGCTGATAAGATAGATGAAGCTGTCACCCTATCTCAACCTCGGCGGACGATCATACCAGACCCCACCATGACCAAGCAATCATAACAAGTCTGTTGAGTATGTCAAAGATCCATGTCCGAATCAATGTCCGCGTTATCGCCCCAAGATGTCCGTTCTCTTCACATCCATCTCAGCGTCAGTGAGCCTCTCAGCCTTGCTCATCACCTCTGTTTACTGACATTCGACCACTAGTGGAAACACGGTATCTGTACAAGATGTGCGTGAGACCTTCGCCAAGCTCAATGTCAGCGTACCCGAGTCAGAAGAAGACGACTATCAAAAACTACTAGCAGCAATCCACGACTGCGCAGAAACAGTAGCTGCACTGCCAGACTCGCATCCGCCAACAGACCTCGAGCGATTTTCCAGAAACAATGTCCATCGACCAACTTTAGAAGAAAACATACTCGGGCACGCTTGGGCGCATACTTTCTCTATCAAAGACAAGAACCCTACAGGTTGTCTGACAGGCAAGACTGTCTGTCTCAAGGACTGTATCTGTGTTGCTGGCGTCCCTCAACTTCTTGGTACCGACATCATCGATCCTTGGACTCCTGAAGCAGACGCTACAGTCGTACGCTGGGCTTTGGAAGCAGGTGCAGAGATTGTTGGTACTGCACACTGTGAGAATTGGTGCCAGAGCACGAGTTCATTCTCTAGTGCTCAAGGAGTAGTCCACAATCCATATGCAGAAGGCTACTCAGCTGGTGGAAGTACCTCTGGCGCTGCAGCACTGGTAGCAGGTGGCTTCGTCGATATCGGCATCGGAGCGGACCAAGGAGGTAGTATCAGAGTACCAGCGTCTCTGTGTGGTTGTGTAGGGCTGAAACCTACTCATGGTTTGGTCCCGTACACAGGCATCGCTAGCAATGATCCGATAGACGACCACGCTGGACCGCTCGCTCGCACAGTAATGGAAGTTGCACAATGTCTAGACGCCATCAGTGGCTACGATGGTATAGACGACCGCAGTCTCGGCGCCCCAAAACACGGCACTACCACCTTCGCCTCTGACCTCCTCAGCAACCCAGGAGCAAAAGGCATGCGCATCGGTATCTTGACTGAGTCCTTCGAAATTGCCCTTCTAGACAAAGACGTGAAAGACCTTGTGCTGTCTGCAGCCCACAAATTCAAAGACCTCGGCGCCACAGTCGAAGAAGTCTCCGTCCCTATGCATCCCCTCGGTATCGCAATCTGGACAATCCAACAACGCATTTCCGGCTACCTAGCCCTCCAAGGCCATCAAACCGGTCGTCACAGCTACGGTCTCACAGGCCTAGAAGCAGCAAAACTCCCCTGGACGCAAGAGAAATTCGACAAATGTGTGTTTTCACCCCCTCCCCTCTACCCTACCTCCTCCATCTCCGCCTTCAATGCTGATAGAATAATACAGGCTTTCCAACAACCAAAAACATATTCCTGAATGGATCTTACCTCCTCACCAACTTCCCCACCTTATACCCAAAAACCATGAATCTATGCCGTCAACTCCGTGCTTCCTATGAGCATGTGTTCCAATCCTATGATATCCTCATTACACCCACTACTCCTTTCGTAGCACCCAAACATGGGAAACTGACGACGCCGATCGAGACTATTTCTCCAACGGTGGGGTTGACGAGTAATACGGTGCAATTTGACGCTACGGGACATCCGGCCATGACGATATCGGTGGGGAGGGTGGAGGTGGAGAGGGGTGTGAGGTTGCCGGTGGGTATGCAGATTATAGGGGGCATGGGAGAGGATGGGAAGGTTTTGAGGGCGGGCCATGCTTGGGAGAGGGCGATTGATTGGAAAGAGATGAGATGAGAGGTTCTGCACGTGCGGAAGAGGAGTAGTTCAAAGATTGAATTCAAAAATTTATGTAACGTCCGTAGCACTCGTGAATCATCTATGCCTTCTTTGCCTTTTTCACGACCATCTTGCTCTTTTCTTTATCTGCCATCTCAGCCAACTTTGTATCTCTCCATGCAGCAGCCTTTTCAACAGCCTCGCGAGGCTTCTTTCTGTGTAACAGTAGATATCCTTGCACATCAGAAGGTGCAAATCTACCCTCCGGCAGCAGTTCAGCAAATTGTGTGCTCAACACTTCCAACTCGGCTTCCGTGAGCGATTTCTCTGTATCGCCAGTGCTAGCTATATCTCCAAAGTTCTTCATCAAACCAATCTTGGGCAAGTGCTTGGTTCCAGCGGACAGTGCAGGGAGATTATCCACAGCATACATGCGCAAAAACAAACTTTTGATTTGCGAAGAAGTGGCATTGGTGAAGGCGATTTGCATATCCACTCTACCTGCACGAATGAGAGCTGGATCGAGCTTTTCTGGGTGGTTGGTCGTCATGATGAGGATACGACCTTCATGTGTTGCTACACCGTCTATGCAATTGAGGAGGCCAGAGAGCGAGATCTTGGATGTGGGTTCATTCTCGGTGTCCGAGGTGGATGTATTGGCCTTACGATTGCGACGGCGCTTGCGAGGGGATGGAGAGGGCGATGATGAGGTGGAGCGGGCACGTCGACTGGCGGCGATGAGGGCGCGAGCGAGAGACTCGACGGTGAGGGGATCATCCTTGTGGTGGGGGGAGGATGAAGCCGAGGTTGAGGATAGACGGGAAGCTGAAAGCGATGCAGACTCAGAGGCTAAGGACAAGCCGTCGGCGTCAGACATGTGATCCAAAGTATCGCCGTTGATTTCGAGCTTTGGGGAAGGTGCGATGGAATCGACTTTCTGAGTTGCGTCGTCATCGGTTTCGCTGTCAGAATCAAGTGCAATCGAGCTTTGTTTCACTGGCCTGGCTGCACCATTTGTGGTCGTCCGCTTTTGAACTGCAGCACGGCCTCTGCTCTTTCTACCGTTCTTGTGAGATACCTTCCTTGGCTTTTCATACTCGCTCTCCGAATTACAGTCAGACTTGGAATCAGAGTTGGAGTCCGAATCACCATCGGAATCATCCTTCCGCTTCTTGATACCTGCAGCATCAATGTCCTCGAACAAGACAATGCATCTCTTTGGCAAGTTGTTGAACAATCTCGACAACATGCTCTCACTCATCGACGGATCCATGAGATTGATGATGTGAATATCCAAGCCGAAGATACCAGCGAGGGAGAAACTGAGACTTGTCTTGCCAGTTCCAGGAGGTCCAGAGAACAGGTATCCACGACGGTATGGGATGCCACGAGATGCATACCACTTGGGACTCAGGGGATGAAGATACTCGTCCATGTCAGACAAGATGCGTGACTTTTGCTCAGGGTCAAGGATGACAGTGTCGAGAGGACGCGAGGGACGCTCTGAGCTTCTCATCCAGGCGTTCCAACGCTCAGAGCATGGTATACGAATGACAGTCTTGGAGCCTTCCTTACGTACAGACCAAGCCTTGATATCAGCGATGAGGAGTTTGATTGGAGCGGTGGTAAGGCCAATGCAAGAAATGTCAAGAGCAGACTCTGTACGTTCACCGCCATCGTTGCCCCGAACGGTGTACTCGGTTTTGCTGAACTGAAAGGTACCACGAGGAGTCGTAAACCAGAAACGACCATAGAATGGCTCATAGCGTGGAGGAATACGTGCAGCCGTCTTTGAGAAGTTGAAGTAACCGTGATCACCGATTGCGACTTTTGCAAGCATATCTGCATCTTCGCCGTCGGCGTCGCTCTCGTCGTCAGAGTCGTACTGGTTGCCGTATTGTGTGCGAGCCGTAAGCGAGCGCTTCGATAGATCGGGTCTGGTGCCTCCGATCCACTCAAGTACTGTAGTGTAGAGATCATCACTGCCATCGATGTGTACAGAGCTGCTGAAATGATCCAGAAAAGTCTTGTATGAACGAGACCAGAGAAAGTCGAAGGCACGCTTGGCGATGAAGAAGAAGGCGACGCAGGTCATGACCAGACTGATATCGAAGCCGAGCCATTGCTGTACGGTGGTTGCGAATAGACTATATCCGGGAACGACCGCCTCGAGAAGCTTAATGGGAAGGTCGCTGACCTCAGTGCCATTTCCTGAAGGTAGAGCTTCCATAATCTGCCGACCAATGTAAAGAAAGTCCATGTCGATGGTTGGAACAAGCCAATATAGTCGAGTTGAAGGTCGTACAAGCCTGGTTTGATATACTTCACGGCGGTGACGGGATTCGGCGGCGATCGAACACAGCGACCGCGTTATTGTAGCAAACGCGTCTGTTCAGGCAATAAGTTGTACACCGAGAAAACCTAGCAAACCTACACCTTATATGTCATATCACAGCGGACCAGGTACCGACTGCGGGTTAATGATCGATGACTCTACATCAGGGACTCTAGGCTGCAGTATCTCACGTTCGCAGCACGTTTCTGTGCGTTTGCAGCAAGTGAAAGCATGTTAGACGCTACAAACCTTTTAGCATAGCCATATTTCAAAGGCCATGCGGCTATGTCTCCGTAGACGCAGCGTTTAGGCGCCGTCCGCAGTGCTTTCAGTCGTGGTTGTCTAGGATTGGTCGATTGACCAAGGAGGAAAATGGTGCTGTGTGCGAGAGTCACATGTGGGGAAGCACAAAGGAGGGGCAGGAGCGAGCGTCACCAAATCAATGAGACATCTGCGAATTGAGACAGCTGCATCTTTGCCATGCATGATTATAAGATTGACAGATCCAATGAATATCACGGACTGTAAAATAAGATGATCACGGGATGGTGAAGAATTGGTCGGTGTAAAGATTAAGTACTCGAGCGAGTTTCTTCTCCGCTCCCGTCTGGATCTTCCTAAAAATTATTTCCTGTACCCGCTCGGTTCTTGATCGGGTTCCTATTTCTCAATGCCTTTGACGACTAACGAGATCCCTTAAACAAGAACGTATTGCTAAATCACGTCACCGAACGCGGACTCGGTTGAACGCAGCGTGGATGAAATGGTAGGAATGTGACGTTTAAGTGATAAAATGTCAATTTTGCAATATATATTCCTCTATGTTTTAGGGAAAGGACAGGGTATAAACAACTAGTAGTGAAATGAATCGAACATGAATCGCCAAAATGCAAAAGGCACCTCTATTGTAAAAGTGGAGAGGCAAGAAAAAGGACAAAACATCCGAAAAGGCAGAGAAGTCAAGCAACTAGTCGCTTACTCGGCCTTTGACTTCTTCTTGGGCTTCTTGGGCACACGAGCAAGCCAGTAAATACCAACAGCGGCGACAGCGTTGAAGATGATGAAGACCCAGAGAATACCGAAGTTTCTCCAGCGGTGGCTGTATGAAGAGCTGACCGAAGACAAGAAGACATTGGTGTCCGAGATCTGACAGAATTGGCAGTCCATGGTTTGGTTGTTCTGGAGATAGCCGCCATAGCTGGAGATCCAAGGCTGCATGAATGTTCCACAGTCCTGACCCTGAGGTGCGCGGAACTGAAGATACTCGTTGTCGGCGCAGATGACGTTAGTGTTTGCAACACCGACAGACAACATACCATCGACGAGGTAAGAGAAGGGCGACACGCGGTACATGAAGATCCAGAAACCAGGCATGACGGTGGGTCCAACAAGGACACCACAGAAAATCAAAGTCAAGGAGAACATCAAGTTGGCGATGTTACCACCGGTCTCAGCGAGATCAATACCAGCAATGACCATGTTGGTGAAGGTAGAGGTGAACAGAAGGAACTGCCAGACGAATAAGAAGAAGAGGCCACCGCGCTCGGTAACTTGACCATCAGGAACAGCGTTGCGATACAAACCAATGGGGTAGTAGAAGCAGAAGAAGATGATGATACCTCCAAGAGAGTTCCAAGGCAGCTCGACGAGGATGTTGCTCAACATGAAAGCCTTCCAGGAGTATGTCTTGGAAGGGCGCTCGCGAACCTCGTACAAAGCACGCTGTGTAACGAAGTGAGGCATGATCTGTTGCACAAGTTGACCGAAGATGGTAAACAGCATGAAAATGGAGAAGAGCTGGTTCTGGAGACCTTGCTGGGAGTTCGGGGCCTTGTAGAACACGAATCCGATGAAAAGAGCCGAGAAAGTACACAAAGCGAGCTTTGAGAAGATGTAACTGGGGGTTCTCCAGTACTGGATAAAGACACGCTTGGTGACTTCCATGAACTGAACACCGAAGGGAGCAGCGAATTCGCGGAAGCTGGTTTGGTCGTTAGGATCGGTCGAAGGTTGAGTTTCCTTGGGAAGCTGAGTGCGGAGTCTCTCGAGCTCAGTCTTAGTCTCGCGGTATTCAGGGCTGTCGCGCCAAGTCTGGTGCCAGTCGATGTCGGAATGAGAACCGGGAGCTGCACCAATGACTTCGAGCATCCATTCGGCAGGGTTGGCATCAGGAGGGCACTGGTGAGCACCGTTGCGTTCGAAGTAGGAGGTCAGAATGTGCGAACCCTGGCCGACTTCGCCGAAGTAAATAGTCTTACCACCTCTGGCGAGGAAGAGAAGACGATCGAAACGCTGGAACAGCATAGCAGAAGGCTGGTGAATAGTGCAGAGAATGGCCTGGCCGGACTTGGTGAGCTTCTCCATGAGATCACAGATAGCCCAAGAAGTTTGAGAGTCGAGACCGGAGGTGGGCTCATCCAAGAAGAGAAGAAGCTCCGGCTTAGCAGCGAGTTCGACACCAATAGTCAGACGCTTACGTTGCTCGACGTTGAGACCTTCACCGGGCACACCGACGACGGCATCGGCGTATTCTTCCATATCCAAGAGCTTGATGACCTCATCAACATAGTCTAGCTTTTCCTGGCGAGAGACGTGGGCAGGTTGACGAAGAAGAGCACTGAAGTTGAGAGCCTCGCGAACGGTCGAGGTCTGGAGATGAAGATCTTGCTGTTGGACGTAACCAGTCTTTCTCTGGAAGGAATCATCACGTTGGCGACCATCGACGAACATGTCACCCGAGATGACACCCATGGTGACACGAGTAGCAAGAACATCAAGCAGAGTAGTTTTTCCTGCACCAGACACACCCATGAGAGCAGTGAGAGTACCGGGCTTGACCCAACCATCGACGTGGTCAAGAATTCTGCGATCTTCCTTCTTGATCTTGATGTCGTAGCAGACATCCTCCCAGTGGAAAACGGCGGTTTGCTTCTTGATGATGTCGGTGGGGTTAGTGTCATGGTGCTGCTTCTCAGCAACAGCTTGAGCAGCACCGGCAGCCTCGAGATCGTCGGGGGTGTTCTTGGTGAGGACAGCAGGTGCGTGACCCCTACGGAACACAAGGACTTCACCCTTGGACTTCTTGGCAGAGATGAATTCAGTGGCAGCAAGGTAGAAGCACATCAGACCAATCATGAAGGCAATGACGATTCCGAAGTTGCGCCACTTGTGGCTGTGGTAGTATTCGAACGATGAGTTGATGTAGGCGTCTCCATCGACAAAGTTGTTACCGGCGACAGCACCGACAGTGGCGCAGACCTGAGTTAGCTGGTCGTAAGTTCCGTACAACGGAACAGGTGCCGAGCAAGGGAATTGTCTGCCGTGGAACTCGTTGATCATCAAGGCCTCGAAACCATAAGCCACAGGATCGAGGTAGTTGATCCACCTACTCCACCCAAGCATGTAGCGGGTAGGAATGGTGAAACCAGTAAAGATGACGATAGCCAGAATCAAGATAGCGGCAGGAGCCATAGCTTGCGAAAGGGTACGTGAGACCGAGGCGATGGTTCTGAACAACATACTCATGGTCAGGGTGAGGAAGAAAGAGACGAGCAGGAAGAAGAAGAAAGGTCCAGGTTCACGACGGAGGTTGGTCATGAAGTAGAGCGTTGTGTTGAAGATGATGGCGTTCAAAATCTTGTAGGGCATGTCTGTAAGCATAGATGCGAAAGCTTCGGCGGAGGGATGATAGAGAGCGTATCTGGAGTGCTTCTCGACAATGGGTCTTTGGGCGTAGAGGGTCAAAATTTCGAGAGCGGAACCGAAAGCGTTCATGAGGATAGCAAAGAAGAGAAGAGCACCTCTGCTGTAGAAAGAGTCGGTGCCGTTGTCGAGGTTGTAGAAGATAGAACCGATGACGAGAGACATGATGAAGTTACCGAAGAGTTGAGTAAAGGTCAGACTGGGATCTCCCTTCAGACGCTGGAAACCACGCCACAAGCACAACTTGACCTGCTGAGGGTAAGACAAGGTGTAAGGAGAAGCCTCACGCTGTCCCTTTGCCTTCTGAGCCTTGCGCGATGAAGCGAAAGTCTCGTGTGCTTCTCCACCGAAGGGGTACTTGCGGTCAAACTCGTCGATTTCTCTCAGGAGGCGCTCGCGTTGAGGACTGGCCTTCCAACAAGCAGCAAATTCGTCGGGGGTTCTAGGAGCCCTGTTCTCCCAGCCCTTGCGAATGACACGCTCTTGAGCGGAAGTCATGGAGGTAAGGAAATCGGCGTCGGTTTGACGATCAGGGCATTCGAAGCCAAGGTTCTCAAAGTATCCCTTGGCTTCAACGGCACCGCCGAAGAAGATCTGGCGTCCCTCGTAAAGGACAATGACCTTGTCGAAGAGGTCGTAAGCAGCACCGGGAGCTTGGTAGATAGCAACCATGGGAGTGGTGCCGAAGAACTCGGAGGAAAGGCGCAGAGTCTTACAGAACTCAACAGCGTTAGCACTGTCGAGACCACGAGTGGAGTTGTCCCAAGCCTGGAGAGGAGCACCGCTCAAAGCGGCCTCAGCGATCGAAACACGCTTTCTCTGACCACCAGAGACACCACGAATGAAGTCGTTTCCGACCTGAGTGTTGATGGTCTCGGAGATACCGAAAGTGGCCATGATCATGTCTCTGGAAACCTCTGCCCATCTGACCTTGGAAAGGCCGCCAGGAACTTGACGGGGAGCGCGCGCGCGAGCTGCGAAGTACAAGGTATCGCCGACAGACATGTTTGGGAAGTGGACGTCTACTTCAGCGGTGTAGATGGCTTCTCCTCTGTACTTGGTGTTGATGTCCTTGGCTTCAATACCCTGGTAGTTAAGGTGTGACTTTTCGTCAACATTGAAACCGTGGGTCTCACCAGTCAAAGTTTTGAGGAAAGTGGAGCATCCAGAACCAGGAGGACCGAGAACGACAAGCATCTCACCGGGGTTGACGACACCTTCGAAGTCGCGGAGAATATCAATTCTCCTGGGCTTCTCAAGGCCCATCAGCTTCTTGATGCCTCCAACCACCTCGAGAGCGACGTTCGAAACAGTCTTCTGGTAATCCGAGTCGGCACCGAAACCGTGAACGCTCAGGTTCTTGAAAGCAATACCGGCGGTACGTTGTTGCACGCCTTCTCTTTGGTTCAACTTGAACATGGACTTTACCCATTCGCGGGCTTTGAAGTTAGGGCCATTGGGGTTAAGGGGCGAGTCCTCGTCGTATGTGAATGGGTCGTCGGGCGCTTGTGACATGGTACGGCTCAAAGTCTTTGCGAGATCGTGAACCTTCTCTTCTCTTTCGTAGGCGGCTTCGCTCTGAGATGATGATGGTGATTCTGCGGGTTCGAGCTCGACCTTCTCGTCTGATGGCGCGATTCCGTCGGGGTAATATGTGCCGTTGTGAATACCATTGTGTGATTGGTCTTGTTGCTCGGTGGTGAAGGTCCGCGATGTCTGGCGGGATGCAGGAATGTGAGAGTGCTCGTGGCGAGAAGGGTTTAAGTGTGTATCCCGGGTCGAGTTGTCGGCCTGTTCGTGGTGCTCGTCATGGTGGAAGGCAGTGCCTCCCAGAGCACTGACTCCACTACGCTGGTTTTCACCATCGTAGTTGTTGAAGGTAAAGTTGCCTACAAGCGACATGTTGATTAATGTATTATGTCGTTGAAGCTAATTGGGGTTAAAGTCGAAGGGACAAGCCCTTGTTGCAAGCAGGTAATTGCTGCTGCTGGTCGAGGTATGTGGCGTATGCAACTGAATTTCCAAAGAAACAAAGATGCCGGCAACCAGAGCGAACGGCTTCCCTTAATATTGCCAGAGATGCTGAGGCGTTAGGCCGAAGCAGTGACAAGTTGACAACAAACCACCCGTAGATGACGGCCTCTTCGAGATGCGCTAGGGGCAATTCAAACCGACTCGGACAAACGCTAGCTCCTCTGTAAAAAGGACTTCCGTGCGGGAGGCCCACTTTCCACCCCTCCAAGCACGGAAACGACAACATCCGAACTGGAGAATAGCTGTGAGATATCGTACCATCCGCATCCCTCCGTCAAGGAGAGCACACTTCAGGCTGTCAGATCTGGGCTGACTGCATGCTTCTACTCCTATCGTTTACTGGAAATCCTCCAAGCCTTGAAATGTCCTTCATAGACGACTTGGCATGATTGTATGACGCAGTAATTCTCACCTACATTGCCCATGAACGGTTCTACCACAGACGACAGCCCAGCTTTTTCGCAAACCTTGTAGAGTCACCGGATCAGTGCCATTCCGTGCGGTGTTCAGAAACGGATTTTAGGTGCAGCAAAAGGCAACGCATCTTGAGCAATCTCTCAACAAGCTTAGCAATGTCCTCGGATGGGACCCTATCCGCGCGGGATCGCCGCACTACCTTCACGTGGCGCACCTTCCCCGGCTCTTGAATCGCGTTCTTTTTGACAGGGGCTGACGCTGTACGAATACGAGTCGTCGGATTCTTTGTTTTGCAGCCTGGAGTCCACGGACTCCGCGGTTCCTGACCCAGATGTTTCAGCATTCTGCCAAAAATTGCAGAAAGAAATTGCCGACGCTGCTTCATCGCTTTACAGTGGATGACACGAGAAACGGGGAGATTGCATCTAGAAGCCGCAAATCATCGTCGCGCCGCAATATCAACGCGTGTAAGCCTTGCTGCAGATACAATCGGCCGACAGCCAGCACGCAGCTTATGAATCCCATAAAGTGCTGAGGACGCGATTCTTCGAGGTTTGCGTGAGCTCAGAACCTTATTTGACATGCTCGTACTCGTATAGCCATGGCTCGGATTTCTGAAACCTTCTCTTCTTGGACAACGCTCAGATAAGGCTCCATCTCGTTCGATGCCCTCCACCCTTGAGCTCGCCTAATCTTGTTGACAAGGGGCAACTAATGAACCACTGGCCGGTCACCCTTGACGCTGTGACCAATCTCTTAATGAAGTCATGTTCAAACAACAATACAATTGTCGCACAGCCTGATTATGGACTTTGGATTTGCGAATTGTCGGGTTCGATTGACTGGTGCCTGCCTTGGATGCTGGGATGTCTGCATGATGTTCCTCTGCAGTTCGTAAGTCGTATTCGGAGCAATATAGAAAGATCTGTCAAGATTAGGCAAACAGTGTGGGGTTAAGGTATGCGACACAACATGCAAGATTGTCGTGCTTACAAACTAAGCCCGGAAGACACCTACTTCCTAGTTCCGATGGAAGCTTTTCTATCCGTTTTCGAACACCGGATGCCATTTGCATCCGTCAATGGCTCGATGGGTCACCGAAAACCAGGAACAAGTCGACCTTGGTGCTCGTACGATCTTCTGCAAACCCCTCTCAGGCACACGTCAACAAATGGTACGAGGTTCAGCCAGCAATACTGGATTTCAATTCCACGACCTTCCACAGCAGACCATTTTTGGAATGAAACCCATAAACACATCGCTCTGAGCAGGTTCCTGACCAAGGGAGTCTCGAGCACATACCTTGCCTCGAGCATCAAGCCAAAGACATCCGTCAATCAATACATTATTCATCCTTGACTCTGGCTTTGACCACAAGCTTTCTTCCGATAAATCTGAGGCCAGGGCTAGTACTATCGTGCAATGCACTCAGTCAGTTCTCAGGAAACTACATAATGTTATTGAGCCACGGATCCCAATCAAAACATCAACATCGCTGTCGCACTAGGTAGCACTAAACGATGGCCAACTTGAGGGGGTACTCATGTTTGTAAGTCTTGAGATATAGGCACGACGTCGAGAGCGCGGTATACGATGTGCGTTGTCCCCGGCGTCTAGTAGGGAGAAACTCGCCACAGCCCTGAGCAACGACATCTCCCTTCTAATCATTCGTGCTACGACACATACCTCTTTCGAATCGAGGCTACGAGCGTGTCGAATTTTAGACACGACGTCGGGAGCACTTTCCGCGACGTATGTGGCCGCGGCTTGTATTGGGGAAGAATAAGTCGCCGGACCACAGCACTCAGCCATCTATTGTTATAGTATTCGGGGATGAAGGAGAAGCGGGAAACGCAGAATAGGAGAAGACTATAGAGATGGAACTCATAATGGAAGAAAACCACAGAGAGTTGGTGAGGTTTATACAACGCTTGCAGGGCGGAGTTAAACCAAAGGATGAGTTGAGCCAAATGTATGGCACCACGCGATTGCCTCGATCAATTTTGTAGAGCCGGTTCAACTCCTCCTTTGGTTCAATTCGCTCTGCGTACTTTAGGCGTAAAAAAAGCATCTACCTTGCTCGAGAAGGTGTTTTGCATTCCTGTCGTGGTTGTGCTCTTTCCGTCAGGGTCATGCTCCAGACAAGACGTTCGTTGAATCGAAAATCAGCTATACCATAGCCACCCAGCGCATCCCATCTAGTACAGATTCACTAGCTCGTAGATTTTCTCACCAGTCGACTGCATTTTGGTATGAGCACAAGTTGTCGTCGGCTACACACTCTGATTGGTCATTCTCGCTATACTAGCTTTACCGGATAAACTCATGATTGCTGGATAAATGCTGAATGTGGATGGAGCTTCCTCCGCAAAAGTTAAACCCCTCCAACGTCTTCCATGCCACCTTCCAGAATACTTTCTCCTCGTTCTTTCCTCGTTCTTTGTCGTTGACTCCAGAGAAGACGTCGATCATACCAAACTTGTGGAAGGAACAATATTGAATCCAGAAAAAGCCCGGACTCGTACCTAGCAAGAAGACCAACTCGCAAGGACAACTATCAACTGGAGCGCTCCTGCATCGACAAAACTTCTCGTAACAAAAATCAAATGGCCAACCCAACCCTTCGACCCCGCGGCAATATGGCCTCGGAAATCACTCCCATAGTGATGGGCGGAGCAGCATGGTCACACCAACTCAACCACGACGCAGAAACCCGCCCCGTCATCCCCGTCATCCTCAATGCCTTCGACCACGGCATCCGCACAATCGACACATCACCCTACTACGAACCCTCTGAAAAGATCCTCGGCAAAGCGCTCGCGGACCCGCAAATTTCTTCCCTCTACAAAAGAGAGGATTACTTTTTGATGACCAAAGTTGGAAGAATCGCGAGTGAGGAGTTTAATTATTCGCCCTCGTGGATCCGCGAGTCGGTGGAACGTTCGCTGCAGAGATTTCGGACTGGGTATTTGGATGTGGTGTTTTGTCATGATGTTGAGTTTATCTCTGATGCTGGTGTTGTCGAAGCCGTCAGGACACTTTGGGAATTCGTCGAGCAGGGCAAGATCAGATATGTAGGTATCAGTGGCTACCCTATCGACAAATTAGTCAGAGTGGCGAGATTGTGCAAGGAGAAATTGGGAAGACCGTTGGATATCGTGCAGAATTGGGGACAACTGACATTGCAAAATACGAAGTTGAGGACGGAAGGGTTGAGACAGTTGGGGGAGGCTGGAGTGAAGATGGTGTGCTCATCTTCTCCGTTGAATATTGGGTTGTTGAGGGCGCAAGGTGTGCCTATTGGGTAAGTGTTCTCGTTATTTCAATCTTAACCTTCAATGATACTAACAAGCACACAGACGATTAGGCGACTGGCATCCCGCTCCCTCAGATCTCCGTCTCGCCGTCTCAAAAGCAGCAGATCTCGTTGCAGAAAAGGGAGATGATCTCGCCAGCCTAGCTCTACGCTTCGCCGTCCGAGAAACAGCAAGGAAGGAAAAGGGACTACCTGCCATGGCACTTATCATGGGACCAGGCAGTGTAGCAGAAGTCGAATCCTGTGCTGCTGCTGCCAAAAGCGTACGGGACCAAAACACTCAAGGGAAGTTTGGAGATCTGAGAGATGATACTGTGTTGGATAAGGAAGGAGTACAGAGTGATGAACCTCTTGTACAGGGCGTCAGAGAGATTCTTGGAAGGTGGATTGACTTTTCATTCGAGAGCCCACCCAAGGGGTGGGATGTTGAAGCTGGTAAGATGGGCAAAGTCGAGTGAAGGTCGAAAGCCATTACTCAAGGCTATCCTTTACCTGCGGGCTGTATGTATATTCTGCATCTTGATGGCATTCTAGCAGGGTTGCACGGGAGAAAGTTCGTTTGGGATGCAAATAATCTGCGGATGCCTCTGCATTTACAGTATGATAGCAAAAGTAGAACGATATAAGAAAGCTAGTATAGGTATCATGCTTTGCTCGGAACTTGGCTCGTCTTTCATAGTAGCGTTCAGCAATTCCTGCCTCTCTATCAATGCTTAACAGACATTCCATGCGCTAGTAGTATTCGTCAAGACATAATCGTGGCTTGTCTGAAGCAATCAATGCTTCTGCAAAACACTCTTGATAATAGCAGGCAACTCAACATGACCCTTGACTGTGATCTCATTGATGCCAGTGCTACCTCCGCTACCAGACTGCAGCCATCTCTTCAACAAATCATTGCTCTCTTTGGGCTTGATGTCAGGGCTGACAGTGCCGACAGTGATGTGAGCAGTTTCATTGACACTACGCCAATGTACGCCAGCCTGATCCTTCTCGTCAGGGATCAGACGAACGACGAAGCACATCAATCTACCATCCCAGACAAGACGCTCAAGCAACACCTTGCAGCTACCAAGAATTGGCTCGGGTGCGGCGTTGGGCTTGCTTACGGCGGATGTGTGAGCCTCTACAAGCTGCTCCCAGTACTCCTTGTTCTGAGAAGCAGATGCGCGGTGCATCAAGGTGACGTGGAACTCTGGCTGAACACGATTCTGTGTCTGTAGCACGCGATATGTCTTTGCGGTGTCAACATCTGCGTCGCGGAAGACTGCATCAAGGATGCTCAGGACACGCTTGGGATCCAACGTAGCGCTGAAGTACTCAAGCTTGGGAGCTTTCTGTGCAGGTTGACCATTGGCTCCGTTTGGACCACGCTTTAGTGCCTGGTTCTTGTACTTGTTGCTTCCACTGATCTCGTGCTTGATGTCAGGCTTGTAGTCGTTGAGAGCTGCTTCAATCGCTCTGTCGAGATCTTCACCAGAGGGCATAGCACCGAAAAGCTTGGGGAATTCTGCGTTCAGCTGAGCAACGACGGTTTCCAGGTTCTCGCGGGAAGAAGCGGTGACATCAAGATCGATGACATGTTCGAAAGCATCGTCAGGCTCACGCTCAATCCTGACTGGCTCGAAACGCTGCATGAAGCCGTCCATGATACCAATGATCTCGTGCTGTCCCTTTGAACCAGCCTGAATTGTCTGATGATTGTCTCCCCTGCTCAACACACGCTCTCTTGTTGCCTGCTTAATCTGATCGTAACTTGCGCGGTCGTGAACATAGTGGAGACCAACAAAGTGTACATCAGGAACAGTTTTTGACACGTCGTCGAAGATTTGCTTTCTCTCGCGACGCTGGTGGTTGTTCCTGTCGGCAATCATGACTGGGTAGTCAACAAGCCCATCGCAAATTGCCTGTGCAAATCTCAGGGGCTTGGGCTTCTGAGTGATGTTGTCGTTCTGAATGTGGCCCCAGCCGAACAGCTTACACAGGGCGAGAGCAACGGTAGTCTTGCCGCAACCAATGGTCGCGATGGGAATAAGCACAACATTGCGATCGATAGCCATGCCGTGCTGGTTGCCCTTCTCCATCTCCTGACGAATTATGTCGGAGCCCTTTAGGCCACGTTCCGCCAAAAAGTCGTCTCTAAGCTTGATGATGCCATGGTTGTTGTTGTAGTCCTTTCCGAGCTTGGGGTCCTCCTTCAGACGTTTGCGAGCGTAGTGAAGGTATTCTTCTGTAATGTCCTTGTGCTTCTTGAACCTGGGCTGTTTCTTAGCGATGACGGCTTTGGTACATTCTCTCCACTGTCTGTACATGAGGTAAGGCTCCTCGAATTTGTACTTGAAGAACCAGTCCTCGAATGGTGTGTCGGGAGTCTCGCGGGCCTGGCATCTGACAACGAAGCCCTCGGTCTCTCTGCCGTGATAGCTTCCAGTTTCTGCAACCTTGTCGAGGAAGGACTTGACCTTGTTGATGTCGTTCTCGATGATGAACATGGTGTGCTTAAAGCCCCATTCAGATGCGAATCTGTCGACAAGGTGGTGGGGATATGTGGCGAATTCAGGAAGATTGAGGTTGATTCCGTGAAGGTACAGACCAGCAGTCTCCGGGTTGTATGCGAGGACGTGCTCTTCGAATTCATCGTCACACAACTCTCCGACAGCAGTAGCGTTCATGGCGCGAAGCTGGGCGGCCAGATCCTTCTTAGACTTTCCTACAGAAGCGAGATGTCTTTCGACCCACTTCTCACCAGCGATTGCGTGGCTGACTTCTGTATCATCGCGAGGACCAGTCGAATGCTTGCTGCAAACCAGTAGAGTACCATCTTCGAGACCAGAAAGGAAGATGATGCAGCCGTTTTCCTTCACACTAAGTTCGTAAGGGCCTCTTGTATTCTGCTCGACGTTTGTCCATTCTGTCTTCTTGACTTCGCCGTGGTTGAAGAACTTGTCGTATCCTCTTGTGACAATCTCGGGCTGACCTTTTGAGTTTGTTGTTGTGAAAAGACCTCTGGCGTAAGTAGGAAGATTGGGCTTCTTGTAATCCCAGTCCTGCATCTTCCAAGAGTCGACTTTGATATTTGAGCCGACTACGTCGAAAGTATTCTTTTTGCATGAGAAACCGCCCTTTCCTCCGTTGCCTTTGATATGGCTGTTGAGGCCGCGGATCATCTCGGACACCTCATGGGCATCCTGAGGACGGTATGGAGCCTCATCGCGGTAGGCCATGATTGATGAATTGATTCAAGGCTTGGATGAGGAGTGCAAGAGATGAATTTATGTGTGCGATGGAAAGTTGATGGATTGTGAGAAAGTGCTTGGACCCCGACTGAAATTGTGAGTCATTAGCGCCTTTGAGATGGCAAGCTGCTTGCAATGCTCCTTCCTGTCTTGGTCACCATTGTTGCGCCGCAATCAATTCACAATCACTTCGAGTTGATCGGTAAAGAGCAGATCATTACGTTTGATTTGTGTCCAAGTTTCTGAAAAGATAGGTCCGGAATGGAATGGTTTCAATGGTTGCTTGTCAAGAAACAGACACCGAAGCATGACTCGCGCGGTGTCACGAAATGGCAACTTCTCTCGAATGAGGGGCACCAAATCTGACATCAGTCTTCGCCAAATTTCACATCACCGCCCGACGCTCTAGACTCTGTCCAGCAAAACATCCATCGCAAAGAGCCAACACAACTCAGCTTCCACCACCACCTCTCAAGGAATCACTACAATGTTGCCGCAGCAAACAATCGACAAACTCCTCAACCTCGTCGTCGACAAGCCCGACGAAGTGCTCCAACATCTTCAAAGCGCGCCACAACTAGCAAACCAACAAGACCGCCACGGCTACTCGCTCCTCCACGCCGCCGCATCCTACAACCACCCTCACGTAATCGATCAACTCCTCTCCACCTACAACGTCTCGCCCAACCTCGTAGACGAAGATGGCGAGACTGCTCTATACTCCGTCGAAACAGTAGACATGGCACGCCTGCTGGTCGAACAACACAACCTCGACACCAACCACAGGAACGACGAGGGTCAAACCGCTGCTGAGAAGTTCGAGGCTGAAGGCGATTACCCCGAGATTGCTGCATACTTGTCTTCGCTGGTCCCCGGCGGTGCTGCCGCTTCTATTCTGTCGCAAACCGGCAACCCTAGCGCAGAACAAGCAGGTGCTGGCACAGTCGCCCCTGGAGAAGCCACAAATGGTGCTGTTCCTCCACCGCCGCTTCCCCATGGTATGAGCTTGGAATTGGGCACAATGGCTGAGAGCGAGATGGGCGAGGCTCCGGATCCGGAGTTCAGAAGGAGGATTGAAGAGTTGGCTGCTAGACCCGATTTCGAGAGCGAAGAGACACAAAGAGAGTTGAGAGAACTGGTGCAGGATGCGCTGGGCGGTATGGCAGGAGAGAGTAATGTTCGCCAGAGAACTTCATGAGGAAGAAAAGAACGTGTACAAACATCATACTATACCCACAGACATGCCGATAGAACGAAAGAAGCCGCAAATTACACTTCTTACTCGAACTGCCTTTATCTCAGCAGCGCCTTACAAATTATGCAAAGCTTTGCTCACCAAAGCTCACCAAAACTCTGCAACATCTTTGCAGGTACAACCAACACCAAACCCCTACACCCTAGAAGGAAATCATCACCTCCACCAACCTCAAGTGCAGACAAAGCATGTTGTCTAAAGCATCACCCACACTGCATGCCAATCACACCACTTCATCAAACCCGCAATGGCCCGTGGAGAGAAAGCGTGGACACTCGATGAAAGATGGCCATGATACCAGACGAAAAAAAAAACACTGGGTACACGGACGAACACTCAACAGCCTAGCCGCCTCATCATACGTCAGTAATACGAGTACAAAGCTATCGGATCGATGACCCTTGGAAGGTTACGTCGAGGCCTCGCTCCAATCTTGTTCCTCCAGCCACTCCTTGCTTTCAAAGCCCCCCGGACCACCTTTTTGCAAGTGAAAGTGATATTCGTGCATTACCTTCGTAACTACACTCCCACCGAGCTATGGGACCAATGAAGTGGTAAGGCTCGATGAAGTAGTATAGAAGCCTGAGTCGCGTCCTACTAGACCAGGCATTCCTCCACAGTCTTCGAGATTGAGAAGTCTTTCGGCGGGTAAGCAGGATAAGACAAGGGACGTGCTGAAGGGAAAGATGCTGTCGAGTGTGTTGACGAAGAAGAAGGGATGGAGAGAGATGAAGAAAGTGTTGAAAGGTAATATCAAGAAAAGTCGCGGGCTTATAACTTGCATCTTTTCTTGCTGAGAATATACGAGGGCATCCATGTGAAAATATCCTATCTCAACACTACCAATGCCTAACCACATGAACAACACTCTCACCCTCCAATTTCTGCAATAGCGCTTGCACTTTACTCCTCTTCAACCCCTCTCTAGCTCCAATCTCTTCCATAGCCCTCTTGCCATCGAAATGCTTAACCAGTACACCCCAATATTCTTTTGCTTCTGCATCTTTCAGATTCGCGCCGATATAAGCAAGCCATCTACTTTCTTCAGTAGACGCTTTATGAGGCGATAGGACAAGAGTTTGTTCATAGCTTGCAGGATCGCAGGAAGGCAGGGATGCAGAGGCGATGGTGGAGGTATCGTCATCGTGGTTACTGCTGTTTGAAAGAATAGATGGAGGCGAGGGTGCTAGATCGCGAGTGGCTTGGAGATTTGGCGATGTTTCCGCTCGATGGGGTTGAGGTGGTGGTGGTATGGCCGTTCTTCCACTACCATTGCTTCCTGCATCGCTGGCAGATCTTGACAATGTGGGTGATAAAAGCTGCGAACTCGCAATCGATAATCTCGAACTGGCGACTTCGGAGATGGAGTCGAAATCTTCAGAGGTGCGTCTGTCGTTACTGCCTTGTTGACTCAATTTCGAATTCAACGCTGCTTGTTTCAGCGCACTCGGTGGTCGTTTCGCCACTTTCTCTTCAAAGTCCGCGCGCATCTTGATTCCCACAGCTGCTTTTACCTCTGCAGACACCTTCACCCAAGCAAACGTCCTGAGTTGTGTCACCCACGCTCCTCTCAACAACCAAGCCAATATCTCCATATAAGCCGGTTTATGATCTTTACTAGGAACCAAAAACCCATACTGAATAGGTTTCCCGCTCAAATTCTGCAACATCTTAGGTAAACTAGGAAGAGCAGAAAACCTCGCAGCATACAATGGCATGGCTTTGGTGAGTTGCCGCATATCGCAATTGGGAGAAACGATGTAAGTGTCTCTGATATGCAGGGGTGGGATAGCTCTAGCTCTGCGCCAATAAATCAGGTGGCGGGCTAAGAATTGTACATCTGAGAGTGGTAGGGATAGGGCGGCGGAGAGTTTGGTGAGAGATTTGGTGGGTGTCAATTCGCGGATGAAGAAGGCGAGGGGAGAGGCTGGGTCTTTGCCGTCGCCTTCGACTTCTTTGAGCATGATGTCTTTGTCTTCGAGGAGAAGGAGAGCGGCATGGGGAGATAGAGATTGACCGTCGTCGGATAAGCTATTTGCGGTAGTGAGCCATAAGCCAGGTAATTGTGGCTCTGTGGGCGTAGGCACATAGGGTGTCGAGATGGCCTGTGGAATCTGGATGCTCGCTTCGAAGCCTTGGCCGATACTAATATGGGCAATCTTATTGTTTGCAATACTGGTATACAAGATAGCAATTGCCTTTGCTAGCGAGCATTGCGTTATCAAAGTCGGCCACAACACAGACATGGGCGTCTTGTTCTCTTTTGCTTGTGCTTTCAGTGATTGCATCTTCTTCGCATCTTGATAGATGGCGTTTGAGCGAGCTTGTTCATAGCGAAGGGCTTTGGCAAATTTCTTGACGACATTGTCGTACATTTCCTGCAGACGAATGTGGTATTCTAGGGCCGGTGGATTCATAACGAAGACGACGTGGAACATGGTCATTTCGTCTTGGTTACTGTTGGCACTGCCAGTCTCTGAAGCAGCCTCAGACATGTTGGCATCAGACCGGTAACTGTGTGGCAAGTCTGAGGACTGAGGCGGTCGTCGAGGTGTGAGGGGTGACAAGGGTGGACTGAACATGTCACGGCCTTCACCTTCTTCGTCGTCGTCATTCTCATTCTCACTACCGCTGCCATTCGCATCTTCCTCCTCTTGGCCGTCACCGCCTTGACTGCTCTTCCCATCTTGTGTTGTTGCCCTCCTCTTGCTCTTCTTTTTCTTCCAAGTTCCGTCATCGCGTACAAATATTGGGTATCCGAGAAAGACCAGATCATCCAGCATAACCTCGAAGCGTTTCTTGTGCATGCTTGACGGGGGTGAGAGCATCATCTCAAGGCCCTCTACCGGATATCCTAGCAGCTTCTCCCATTCACAGACATTGCGCTTATCGGTCGTGGTGGTTTCGTGGCGTGCGTTGTTCGTTGATCGATCGTGAGTCGCATTATTGTTCGCCGCAGCTGGCGAAGGCTTGTCGGCGGGAGAAGAGTTCAGATCCAGTACATCGACATCCAAATTGTCGATGTCATCGTCGTCTTCGTCATTATCCGGTGCGTCCGAGTGCAGCGTGCGGGTCGTCCTCTTGGAAGAGATGCTTCCTACACCACGACTCTGCGATACTATACTCGGTCTTGCTGTCTGTCGCGAGGATGTCGTACTCTCGTCATCAGAGACCACAGTCTGATCATCGTCCGACGAACTGCCAGCATCCTCTGAGTCGCTGTTCGCTGATCCAAAGTGCCATGATGTGTTGCGCTGAATCGCCTCAGGGATCCCCGGGTAATGGAAGACGAGTCGCGGACCAGATCGAGTACGGATGATGAGAATTACAGCCACCAGCGAGGGATTGGGCGGTAGACTGAATGGTCGGATAGGCATTGCTGTTGTATTCCAGACACGGGTCTGTGGTTCATGTACTGTCGCGTGCCATAATAAGGAGTAACCAGCTTACTACCTACATCAACTTGATTTGGTAGAGCAGCTGAAGGTATCTGTCTGTTCAGGACATTGCAGTCAATTGCTCAAGCTGTCTTGCTATCGTACATGCTTGGAAGCTTGAGAGCTCGAATCTCAACTCCGACTTCGGCTTGAGGCTTCCCCGACCACCGGCACCCTGTCCTTCCTTGTAAAGATGTCCGATGTTGTACTTTGCTGTTAGGGCCGTCAATTGTATGAAATAACCACCAGGCCAGCTCCCTACCTTCTTGATTGCGATGAGGACGCTCGACTAGCTGCTAAAAGTCAGATGCTTTTGACATTGCTATGCCTGTCAACAAGCATGCATAAATGCATCTCCCCCATGGACTTGTTCCCCTATCAATACTCCACTAGGCACTCGAGCAACCACATCGAAACTCTGACAATAGAGACAAAGTCCGGCCTCTTTGCGGCTACGTCTGGCATGTACACCACCAAATCCTATGCTCTACATTCCTGAACAGACTAACCACACTCTGCCCCAATTCGCGATCACCATCGACGAGTCATGCCCCAAATCCTTCCACAACAACATCCCTCCCACTGTCGCACGTATAGCACGTATACCGTTCAGCTCTTCCCTCCGCAATCAAGTCACACGCTTCCTCTTTCCCCCTCGTCACCTCTTTCCCCCCAATCCAAAATACCATAGCTCTACGTTTACAGTGGCGGCAAATGGGCTTTCACTGTCGCAGTAGCCGAAACCGCCCCACCAGCACGCAACGTAGAATAGCATTTCCCAAATAGGACACAACCCCGAACTCTAAGCTACACAAACACGCATAACCCGCGGGTCTTATATCACCGCGCAACGCAACCTGTGGAGATCGATGGGAATGTCGACAGATCTAGACTCAAAGGTTATGAAACCTACGAACCAGCGTACTGTAGAAGATATAACGTTCAAAATGGTGGGATGTTGGATAAAACCCGCATGCCCGCTGGAAACGTTGTGTGATGTCTGTCTGCCACTGACTCGGTGTGCATTAACCGGCTCGGCCGACAAAAACCGTCGTAACACTCTGGTAATATTTGTTGCTTATTGCGGGTTACTGTTGATTTCAAAAAAGCTGCGAATCTTGAGCGATCCGGGGCTGCGCACACTTTAAGAATTTCACGACGTCGAAATGTTAAACTCGCTATAACACTACGGCGCCTTCCTTAAAAACAGGGCGGATAGTACGAAACTAATGCTTACACTGCGCGCTATAAGATTATCGAAACAGATTCAAGAAAATAGTGACTTTGTGATTTATTTACCTTGTAAAATAATGTAAAATAATCAGATTCGCAGCGGTAAATTTACAACAAAAAACAGCCAAACTTTGGTAGATTTCTCTGGCAAAACTACTGCGAAAATAATAATTGACTTTTTTTGATATTCGTCCATTTTCCATTTTTTTAATATCTTTAGGAAGCGCAAGATAGCAGTAACAAGATGCACCTATTTATTATATCTGAAAATCGCGCGCCGTAGTGTTATAGCAGTTTGAAGTGACGGATCGCTCAAAAAAAATCCATTTAGAAAATTTGGCGGGGATCGGCTTCGTGGAGGATTCGCAGCTATTTTGAAATCTACAGTATGCAATAGGGCAGAGACATGGTTCGAGTCATGAGTTTAGCTGAGTGGTCACGCAAAGGCTGTACGCTGCTGACGGTAGCATGAAATGATGAGAAGGATCGATAGTCCCGTAGTGGCTGTATGAGTTGCAGGTATGTGGATCAGTAGTCCTTGACCAGCTTCAGGGAGTCGCCATCTGCGAGTAATGGGTAATAGTTTAGCACGTATAGGACGAGCTGAAGCTGGAGCTGAGGAATTGAAGGAGGAAATGACTGAATATTAGGTATGTAGATAGTCTAGATCGGTTGGGGGGTATCTCTAAGGATTCTGTTCTGTCGATGCCAGTGTGAAGAGGAAAGGAAAATGCAGGAGTGCTAGAAGACGTCAAGAGTGAAAACAAACAAGGCTTTTAATGCGCTATGCAGAACGAGAGAAAGCCACCAGGGCCATCAGAATGCAAGGACTACACGCGCTCGTAAACAGCAGTGTCATCAGACAAGTAATCCTTGCCATCCTCGATCGATGCACTTGATCTCGACCCTGCATTTCTTTCCTCTGTAGTCGTGACTTGCACACTCTTACTGATTCCGTGATCCCAAGTCTTGAGGGGCATCATATCTCTGTCACTCTCGCCTGGGAAGATGTTTTCCTCGCTGCTGTTGTCATGGTTGTTTGACAGAGGCCGTGCGCCAGTGACAGTGGTGACGACAGTATGCTGGTTGCGACCGCCGTTTTCTGCGCTGTCCAGGGGGTCGCCCTTGCGGTGTGTGCGTCTGCCGAGCTTGGTTGACCATTTGAGGTTGGAGTTTGCGGGACCAGAGGAAGGAGCGTCGGGCAAGAGCTTGGGGAAGAACTTCTGGACGAGAGGGCGGAGAGTAGCCAAACTAGCTGCAGAGATACCAATGCCGACTTCGACGGTACTCCATAGTGCAATGTATGTGGATGTGTAGAGGAATTCTGAGAAGATTGTGTTAGTTGTTTGCCATCTCTGTATATGAAACGTGATCGCATTAGCACGCAAGATACACCATTACCGAGCTCTCGGGTCGCCGACTGAGCACCAAATTCACCGTCAAAAGGCAAGATGATCTCTCCTGTACTGAAGGTGTCCATCGAGGGCGCGAAAGGCTATACGCTCTCAACGGACACGTACTCTGTTACTGAAACCCTCTTGCCTTTTGATAAGTGGTTTGATGCTCGGTTGGCGACCGCAAATCTCGATTTTGGGAGTAACTTCTCTCCCGCTTCGTGCACGTCAGATGTTTGTTCTTACCTCCTTTGTACGTTCCAAGTTGCTTGACATAGGGAAGGCGGACCAGAGTTGAAAGAGATCCGATAGCAGCGAAGCCAAGAATAGCAGCAACCACGATCTTGGTGTTTCTTCTCATGTTGAGATCCTTGACGATGAAGATCGGTAGGATACCAAAGAAGAAATCGGCTGCTCCGTTGAGAACGGATGCAATATAGGAGATGACGACCAAAACCATAGGACTGATACAGTGGCCTTTGGCATTTTCCGAGAAATCCCAGTAGAATGAGATAGGCGTGCACTGGAACAATGCGACGAGGAGGTATATCGTACCGATAAGCATGGTCGCTGCCATCATAATTCGGATGATCAAAATGTGCATCTTGTTTTGGGTGATGCGTTCGAGGAAAAGGCCGACGGCAACCTTCAAAATTGATGCCGACGCGGTATAGAAGACCTCAGCGAACATCCAGGCAGCGAATCCAATGTGTAGGTCCTCATGGGGGATATCCTTGCGGTGTCGTCCAATACCATGTGTTACAGCCGCCGCTTGACATGATAAATATCCCGTGAATAGTAATAGCGCGACAATCATGGCGACATCGTCCCTGCCGAAGGATTTGATCATGACAGCACTGTCAATGTCAGTAGCTTGTATCAAGTTGAGTCATGTGGAATATATATACCGGACATATACCCTCAATCCAACGATGACCCATGTGAGGACCCAAAAGGCGATCATGACACCCATTACCTGGGGTCTCAAATCATCGGCACCCATGATGGCAATTGGTCCAATGTACTGTTCAGAAAAGGAGTGTCGAGTAAGTCTCTCCGACCAGAAGACAGAGATCCAGGTACTGTAGTCAAGGGAAAGACCGTGCGGAGGGACAACCCCGAACAAAGAACTTGAGTAAGGAATCCGAAGGAGTTGACACCCAGCATGTCAACGCGGGAGGCGTAGCAAACATATATCAGGAACAAGAACAGCAGTGCAAGGACCCCGGCGAAGTACGGACCCTCTCGTCATGTCTCTGCCCAGAGTGCACCATGGCGTACCTGAGTACCTACCACCGCTCATCGCCCTTCACCCACAAAAATCGTAGAACCCGCCGCTACTAACCTAATACCGCTTGTACCCAATGGCCCAATCTGCGGTGCTGGAGCAGCAGCACGAGAAAAAATAGTGTCCAACCGCCAGGTCTATCGAAATAAGGTGCGGTTGGCGGTAAACCCTCCGCGGACGAGCTGCGACCACGTTGGCGAGAAAAGCCAGGTCCAACGGAGGGAAGCGGGCTAGAGTAAACGTCCCAGAGCACGTACCTGGAGCAGGTCCAAAGCACATCTTGGCCACGCAAAAAAGACCAAGCCAACAAGAGGGCGTAGCTTCGAGATCTGAATCTCGAACGAGAAAGAAGCTCCTTAGATCCGTCTCAGGTTTGGAGGTTGTTTTCTCAAGCGGACACAGCGGGTCGGTGATGCCTGACTTTGCCAAACTCTATTCACATCACCACGAGTCATCAAAAGCAGACTCGTTATTCGCAACGGTTGTGCTCGTCAAGCGAATGTTCAACAAATGATTTGAGAGACACAGGCTTGTGGGAGTTTTGCTCCGCAAGCAATGGAAAAGCAGTAATAGAACCGATCAAGCGTTGGGCGCCAGAGATTGGAATCAGAGTCATAGAGTCATGGAATTGAGGTGTTGGCATCGAGAATATGGAGCTCGATGATTCACACAGAATTCGAGAACATTTTGCACCCTTTGGCTGGAAGGCCATTGAGGTTTGTTGCTTCGGTTATCCCCGGTGTATGCAAGTGGCAGTGGCAGACCGCCCTCTCACATGATCTGAAGGGTTTATCCCCGCGACGTGGAAGTCCCGGCGGAGTAGCTTTTTGCCCTCATGCATGCCCCTGCGCATCACTTCTTGATTGCCTTGATGGCGAAAAGGGTACTCCCTACAAATACTTCTTTCCTCGTTCACGCATGTCAAAAAAAGGTACGAACTTCTCTCGAAAAGCCAATCCCCAGAATGACAGTGGAGATTCGAGTTGTGATGGTTTGGCTGTGAGAGGCATCTTGATTCATGATTAGTGAGCTTTGTCGTCTGTTTAGCCCTTGATCGATGTTCGTGAAAGCAAAAAATCTGGATTCACGAAACACGCGAGATCGATGAGATTCGGATTGCGCGAGGCTGGAACCTTGTTGGAACAGGTGTACCAAAGTCGAACAAAAAGGGGTCGACGGGCTACACGGTGAACCTTGACCGTCCAGAAGCAAAAAGATCCATGACAGACGAACCTGCGGACCTCAGGGTAAAAAAACATCGTCACTCCTTCGCATGTTTCCTTGCTCTTTCGCGTCCGAACATCTCCAAGATATGCACCAAGCAGGAGTCATGAATGTTAGGGCTATGGCTGGGTACTCGTACAAGATGGAGAATTACCTTCAGCCTTTCGAGCCTATCACCCGCAACAAGCAAATGCGACTCAGGAGTCAGGACACATTCGTCAAATGGCTTGGCCTTCATTCGAGGCTCGGAGCTGGAATTGTCAATGGTAATATCGGAAAGGCATACGCCATACATCCGATCGGGGCGCCGGGCTCAACCTTTCGGGAGTCTGGGAGCTCGATTGCCAATCTTCCTTCACTTTCGAGAGTTGCATGAGTCGTGAGTAGTTTGTTCGTTGTTGGTTTTCATACAAGGGGTACTGTATATCCTGAAGACGGTCGAAGACATTTTCCAAGAAGAAACACCACGCTGCTCGATATTCACAAGCTTCACCTAAACCTCTGCCTTCATCTTTCTGAAGAAGTCCATAACGCCGGTGAAGACGACGAGCAGGATACCACCACCAGGACCCAGTCTCAAGACCTTGGGCAAGAAACCCTTGTACAGAGCGCTGAAACCTTCCTCCTTGTACACCGTGCCGAGGGCAGGCCAGGCCCAGTTGTACTTGGGCACACCTCCAGGCACTCTGGGGGAGTTTTGGATTCTGCTCTTGACAACATCCATGGGAGTGTTCAAGATTGTACCGACAGTTCCACCAACAGCACCAGAAGCCAGATCATTCAAGACTTGAGACTTCTTGTTCTCGGCCTTGGGAAGGAGCTCGCGGACTTGGAAGATACAGCCAAAGTAACCAGCGTTCCACAGAATGTGTCTCCACATTGTGCTCTCAAGACCTTGGTATAGAGTAAGAACACCCTCTTGTTGGACGACCTTGCGTACACAGTCGACCAGACCGTTGTACTTGTGTGATTGTGCCTTGTCTTGCAGACGGATCTTGACCAACTCGAAGGGAACGACGACGAAAGACTCGGTAGCACCAGCGGTGGCGCCAGTCAGGACGGAGAGACCCTGGGTCATCTTGGTGACGCCGAAGAGGTTACGGTAGAACTTGCCCCACTCGTCGTTGGCAGCGAACTTGGTAGCTCTGTGTGAGGTTAGGAAGTGTTTGCGCATGTGATAGTAGTGACGACCAACCTCTTGGGAGCTTCCATGAGGATAGGAGCCTCAATACCTCTGTACAGCCTTGAGAAGCCTTCATTGCGGACGATCTTGCGGAAGCAGTCGACCATGCTGTTGTAGGCCTCCTCACCGGTAGCGGTTGAGCTTTGGAGCTGGATTCTTGTCTTGACGACATCCAATGGGTACCTGAAAACGTGTTAGACATAAAGGTGGGTGTAAATCAGGCAGATGGTCGCGTGTACATGACAAGAATCTGGATATACGTCAGTCACGAACGGGTGAGGATTCAATGGTTGAGGTGATGTACCTCGGACACACCAGCAACGGCACCAGCGATGAACTGGTACACGAAGGGGAGGGGCTTAGGCTCTTGAGACATGATGGGCGACTGGACTGATGTGGAAAGAATGTGGTTGCAAGTCTACAATTCAATCAACGAGAGACTGTCGAGCGCGACGGATGATGGAAGTCGCGACGGCTGATTATCTGCGGGTCCGGGCCGACGTCGCTGTTGGAGGAACCTCAGCCCGCGGTTGAAGACCTGCTTGCTCAAACATGGTGATATTCGTGATAGCATTGGAGATAGTACACCAGGAGTGTACAAGTTAGCTCTATAACACTATCAGATCCACCTTGCATTCAGATGCCTCTTGTGAGACAACCGTGAATGCACCGGACATATGTGGCATTACCCCAGCCTGAGCGGTGTCGGCGATTCGTGGTCAGCAACTCGATGGAGGCTGCGATCAATACTCGAGTAGCTGTGACAATACATAAAACATTTGAGAAAGGAGTCAAGGTCAGTGAGAGCGAAAAGAAAGTCAGGCTCTCAGTAGACCCTCGCTGAGTCCTGGATATCATTATTGTGTCTTCTGATAGCAACTCGAGAAGGTACGGAGCTCGGCAGGAGTCAGACTCCGTCATTGCGTGGACCCTGCACATTCCTGGTGCGGGGAAGAGTCCGTACGGCTCGTCACGGACCCCCTTGGCCGGGACAAATTAGAAGCGGTAGCCTGTAGCCTTTCAGGCTGCTCTGGCCATTGGCAAGTCCCATAACTGCTTCAGACACGCTGCCCGCCGACTGAACATGGCAGCTGCAGACGTAGCAGGTACTTTCTACGCACTCGCGCGCCCGTCCTTCTCGCCCACGCAGCGCTGACACGTTATGCCGACAGAGCGCTCCGCTCACAAGAGGCCCTTTGCTGCCTGGGTCAAGCGTCTGACCAACCTGCATCCAAGCAGCAAGAAGGCAAAGAAGGCCTCGCAGCTCAAGAACAACCCATACCCGCAGTCCGGCCGTGTCCAGCAGTGCCGCCACGAATCAACAAGCTCTCATTCCAACTCTGCTTCGGATAATGCCAGCCTGAACGTTCACCACACTCCCAATTCGACTGCTAGCCGGAACTCGTCGCTCTCGGCCCCTCCCGTAAACAGCAACCGCTCGCAAGCGAACACCGTCGCAACCAACCCAGAGACGATCAATTCGGATGGAGGCTATTTCAAGTCGTCAACCAACGGTCGAGGCGGCGCCCTGAGCTCAGTTGACGGTGCAGGCCCGAACAGCACCTTCTCCTCGCCTAGTCAATCCCAGCAGTCGCTCACAACTACTCTTACAACCATTCAGTCGACCACCGCTCACCTCACCCCCAATCTGCCTCTCACGCACTTCTCACAGCAGCCTCCATCAGCCATTCCTGCTCATCTCGCTTCCAACACGAACACGAACAACAATCACAACGCTCACAACGACAATGCCTCCATCTTGACCCTGGCTTCCTCGTCCAAGCGTCGTCGTCGTTCTATGGATACAGATGCCTCGGTTCGCGCCATCGCTCCCAAGAGCATGTGGGGAGACAGCAGAGAGTCCCTACCTTTGAGCGTGCTAAGTGGCAACATCGAACACACATCTGCTCGCCCGTCAGTCGGTGGCCTCGTCAGTGCCGAGCGCGCCAGCATCTACTCCTCCCGCGATGTCTCTGCTCCCGCCATTGCCTCTGATCGCAACAGCTACTACGCAGCAAGCCACCGACAAGTTCGAGACCGTGAACGCGACAAGGACGGCCACCGTGATCGTGAGTATGGCGCTGACGGCAGATCCATCAACTTCGATGCCAAGTCGCTCAACTTCGATGGCAGAAGTCTTGGTGGTGATGTTGGTAGTCTGAGGGGCTACGAGGGTAGTATCCGCAGTGGAGCTCTGGGACATGGCCGCAATGATAGTATTCCTAGCGGTGCACCTAGCCCAATGGTCGGCGGTTCTCCTTTGCTGAGACGGCCTTCTGGTGCTCTAACTTTCAGTTCCGACGTTCGCGATAAGGAGGAGCATGAAGCTACCGATCACAAGACTCATGCTTAGCGGCGGGCTTTCTTACTCATCATCGAATGGGTCTACTAGGGGTTTGCGTACTTGTGCTTTACTGTGGTTTAGGGCGTTCTCGGGATGCGGTCTGCGATTTTCCTCTTTTCTACCTTTGTTATATACCCCGTCTGCAATACTCGCAGTCTCAGATTGGTCAAATCGAGAAACAATTATTATTCGTTTTCCAGGGGTCGTTTACAGCAATGTATCCCTCCGGTTCGGCTCTCACTGGACACAACCCTGATGCGAAGAAAACATCGTGCGTTTCAACAACTAGATGCGTGGATGAATCTAGCCCAGGGAGTGATGTTTTCCATATAGAGTGACCGCCATGGTCGCGGTGTCTGTTGTCGATCTCCTGGTCCTTCAAACGTCTGTACCTCCTTTTGATCTGTGGCTTCTTTCTCAAATCCATATACTACCATCCCTTGTTGCACGCTTCTGCGATAGTTTGAAAGATTCTACCGCTGTTGTTGATATCGAAATATCTATCTTGACCATCTGGATACGTCAAGCTGGGGATTCGATATGGCAGATGTGTTAGAAGGGTACGCGACATTTTCTTTTTACTTTCGGGCGAAGAATTCGATGAAAAAGGTAACGCATAAGGGTAAAAGAAATCTATGGCAAGGAGAGGGAGGAGCGAGTGTACAGCGGTGGCAGTTTTGGAAAAAGAGGGTCGAAGAGATGGCAAAAGACGAGGGGGTTGGAGAAGAGATTAGGGAGGTTGCGAGGGAGACGTTGGAGGAGATGAGGAGGGTGGATGGGAATGGATGATAGAGGAAGTGCTTTGGAATGGTTATGATGGGATAATGAGGGTGACACACTGGTCGTGAAACCTTACAACAAACAACTCAATCAACGACCACCTACGCAGTCCTTCTGCTCCCAAGTATGTGGCATGAACATGAGATCGATGGTGCTCAAACCTGAGTAGATCATTCAGGCGATGTGAAATCGATATCATCACTGTGTCTTCTGAGCTCCATTTCTTTAATCATGTAACTGCAATGCAATGCAGGACAATGACCTGTTGTCGATCAGTTCATTGTGGCATCTCGCGTGCGTTAAACCTTGATTTCTGTCTGCTGTACCGATTGGTCTTCGAAATGTGAGACTGCTTTGGGTATAAGGACAGAGCGGGTAAATAGTTTAGTGTCGTTGAGGTCTCGAGTCACTGCAACATGAGAAGACTTCCATTACGAGACTCAGCATGATCCTGCAGCGTAGAGTTTTGTAGCAAATGACAAAGTTCGTGATATGTATGATATGTACAAAAGATCTGATCCTCCACTTTTCCAATATATGCCTGTATACGAAACAGTCTCTTTAAAGCTTGGCCTTAGGACCCTCTTGCTTGAGCATGGCCTCGGCAACCATACGTCTCTGGATCTTGCCAGTAGCAGTCTTGGGCATGATGTCGGTGAAGAAAATCTTCTTCGGGAGCTTGAACTTGGCGACACGCTCGGCCATCCATGACTTCAGGTCTGCGGGTTGAAGCTTTTGGTTGTCCTTGAGAACGATGGCGACACCGACGTCTTGACCGTACATGTCATCTGCGATGGCGAAACTGACGGCTTCAGATACAGCGGGATGTTGTGCCATGACATTGTCGAGCTCGATAGGACTGATCTTTTCACCACCCTTGTTGATCAATTCCTTGATTCTGCCAGTGATGATCACATATCCATCCTTGTCCTGCTTGCCCTGGTCACCGGTGCGGAAAAAGCCCTCTGCGGTGAATGAAGTCTTGTTTGCTTCGGAGTTGTTGAGGTAGCCGGTGGTCACGTTCTCACCACGAATGCAAATCTCAGCTTCACTACCTTGAGAGACTTCCTTGCCGGCTTGATCGAGGATCTTGACCTCAACACCTTGGCCTACACCAACAGAGCCAGGTTGGCGCTTGCCCTTGTGAGGCAGAGGATTGGAAGTCATTTGATGCGCGGCCTCGGTCATGGCGTAGGCCTCAAGAACAGGAGCCTTGAAGGTCTTCTCGAGCTCGTGGAAGACCTTAGGAGACAAAGGAGAAGAGCAAGAGCGAATGAAGCGAATGTTTGGTAGAGGAGACGGAGTAGGGCTCTTGAGCAAGATCTGGTGGATGGTGGGTACCGCAGTGTACCAGTTTGCCTTGTGAGTGGTGAAGTCACGCCAGAAGTCGGAGGCCGAGAACTTGGCCGGAACGACAACAGAACCACCGGACAACAAGGGAGCCAAGAAGCCAGCAAGGAGACCGTGAACGTGGAACAAAGGCATGACCAGCATGGTACGATCAGCAGAGGTCAACTCGTAAGTTGCCTTGATGTTTGACATGGTGCGTGTCAAGTTCTTGTGGGAAAGAGGGACAGCCTTAGGACGACCAGTGGTGCCGCTAGTGTGCAGGACGAGAGCAACATCATCAGGCTGAGCGTACTCAATGGACTTTTTGCCCTTGCCCTTCAGCTTTCCCTCATCCTTGATGTCCAGAACCACCTCTTTGCCGTTCCAGTAGCATTCTGCAACAGCAGCGTTGTACTTCTGCGCGGCCTTGACAGCAGGACCGTCTGCCAAACCCTGAGGAACAAGAACAAGAGCAGACTTCAAGTCGTCAATGTAGAACTCGAACTCGGACTGCTTGTATGCAGGGTTGAGAGGGGCGGCAATTCCACGCTGCCATGCTGTTGCCAGGAAAGCGACGATGAAAGGGTATGTGTTGGGAAGAGCGATTGAGACGGCCGAGGCAGGAGTGATTCCCAATTTGGCGAGTTTCAATTGGAAGGAGAGGATGTCGGCTGTGAGTTGCTCGTACGAGACGGTCAAAGCCGGGCTTCCAGGCACGATGATGGCCGTGTCATGAGACGAATGTGAGAAGGCGTTCGTGAGGGTCGTCATTTTGGCAGATGGTTCAATTGAATGTGTCTATTAGATGGGAGTATCAAGTAGCAAGAGAATTACGACAGTAGACAGAAGGAGGAAAAAAAGAAAGCAGCGATAAGCAAGTACGCGTACAAGTGCCGCTTGATAATAGTCGGAGATGGCTGTTACTGCGGGTGATCGGGTGGGTGGACTTAACGGATGCTGTCATAGTTGTAGATCCGACCTTTCCCCGCTCCCGCAGTTTGAGAACAATCCCTGGCTTGGCGTTGACTTGGGCCATCGTCGTCGTCGAGTCGCTGTCTATTCATCGTCGCGTAACTACAAGTCGACATGCCGCCGTCACTTTATGCAAACCTGCTGGATCCAGCTGCAGCCCCTCCAGCAGCCACAATCTCCGGCGCCCCCGTAAAATACTCGTTCAAGAAAGATGATGAAGCTCCGGTCCAAGTAGAAAAGAAAACACCCGATGGTACCTTCGCAGCTCAATAATCAAAAGTCCCGCTGATGCTCAATTCGACGCAGCCTCTCTCCGTTTCCAACCTGCAATCAAGCGTCCTCAGCCTGTACAGAAGCAAAAGCCCAGGCCAAACTCGAATCCCACCCTCGCAACAAAACCTCCACCGCAGCCTGCTCCCCCTGTCGCAACTGGGCCCATTGTCCAGAAATGGCAAGACTCTCAGCAGGATGACTTTGATGTTGTCAATGAATACCACAAGTTCCAGGAAGAGCAAAAGGCTCGTCTGAAAGAGGAACGCAAGAGCAAGAAATCAAAAAAGGCTTCACTTCACATCGACGACATTGATTGGTCTGCCCCGTACAATGTCCAGGACGCCTTTACCAAGACCCGCACAAAGTTACGTCTAGATGCCTGGAAACACTCGGATTCAAAGTTCAACGCTCGCTATCAATGGAAGCAGACGCTGCATTCCTTCAAACGATCTGGCACGCCTCCGCCAGCTAGACATGAGCCCACACTCGCAACAGACGTCTCGTACAAGAACATGCCACCTCCACAAGAACTCTCAGAATCTGTCAAATCCTCTGCTGCTCCTCAACCGCTATCTGCACCACCACCGCCTGCTGTTGCTCCAGTCGCATACCCTCCTCCTGCCGCTTTCAACCACTACCCACCTCCTACCTTCGATCAATACCCACCTGCTGACTTCAACCAATATCCTCCCCCGCCTCCACCTCCACAGTTCTCTGATGTCCCTGCTCTCCCTGGTCTACAGTACTATCCGCCCCCTCCTCCCCAATTTGTGCCTCCTCCACCGCCTGTTCAGACATACCAGCCCGCGCCTTCGCCCGTTCCGACGCCGCCAGCTCCATCACAACCGTCGGGAACTATCTCACGGGAGCCTGTGCGCTATGAGAAACCAGCACAAACTGAGGACGATATCGACACTGCCCCTGAATCCATAAACATGGAGGTGTCACAGGAACCTGAAGTACGGACATCTGCCCCTGGCCAGAAAGGCTTTGCTCAGAGATACATGGAGAAGATGGGCTGGAAAAAGGGAGAAGGTCTTGGAAGAGAAGCGACTGGTATTACGACAATTCTCCGTCACGAAGCCACGAAACGAAAGCGCAAGGGAGATGCGGAAGGTGGTGGCTGGGCACAGCCTGCTGCAATGGGCCGCATTGTCGGTGGTAAAAAGACAAAGACTGATGTTCGCATAGACGAGAGCAAAGCCTTCAGTCTGGTTGCCAAATTTGAAGGCATGCTTAGGGACATGGACATCGATCAGGCCATCGAGGAGGACAATCTGATGCAAAGAATTGGTGAGAAGCTGGAAGACTACGGTCGATCAGAGCGCGTCTTCATCGATCGCGCTACTGGAAGGGTGTTTGTCAAGTTTACAAGCGCCCTGAGTGCTTTCAATGTAAGTTTGACAATAGCTGCACAAATTATTCTATACTGACCTGTATCACAGGCTATCAAAGCAAGCGACGGCACAGACTTCCTAGGCAACGGGCGTATCGTTCAAAGCACTTTTTTCAATGCTGACAAGTTTGAAGAAGGTATCTATGAATAGGCTCGAGCAATGTTGACTAGTAGATAGTTCTGGTATAACACTGACTTCATGGCCAAGCTCTCTAGGGTCGTGAATAGTGAGATCGCGTCTAGCAATCATTCTTCATGATCAACTCCTCAGTCCACAAAACCTTCTTTCCTCAGGATCATCTTCATACTCAAGAACTATCTGGAATTCATCATATAAAAAAATCCAGGCAACCCAGCATGACTCGGACGTTGAGACACGACATGCCATCACCTCACGCTGCTGCCATTTTAGAGTATGTAGGTAGAGATAAGGCAGGTCGGGGAAATCTCGTGGTTACCTGTTGTTGCGTTAGGTGTGCAAGCTGCTGGATTTACTCGTGGGTATGATAGGGGTAGGTAGGGGGATGTTTGTGGAACATCATGGGGTCAATTGGTGAATGCCTGTGGATGGGTGTGGTTGATTTAGTTTGTGCTTTGGTTCATGGTGATGAGTTGGAAAGGAGCGAAAGGGGAGAAGCTGATGCTGAATGATTTGTTCACGGACTTCCAGTGGAGAGTTGTTTTGATGGGAAAGAATTACTGCTTTGCGACGCGGCGGAACCTGGGATGATGGTTTTGGCAGTCACGTCCGCCATGACTTCCCTTAGTGCGTCCCTCGCTCTCTCTTTCCATCCTCTTACTGGTTCCTTCTCCTTGATGTTCATCCACCTGCCCACTGCTTTGAAACCCGAGATGATCCTCCCGGTAGTAGCAGTGCCCAGATAGGAAGACCTTACTGTCTGACAACAGCTTTCCACCCCACCAAGTCAGTCTCATCCCTGCACACTTCTTATCCACTTCCTCATCAACTCCTTCGACTTCTCCTTCCACCCCTCATCCCCCTCCTCATCACTCCAATAATCCTCCTCATACTCTGGCGGCTGTTCACGACTCCACCCCTCATCAATCTTCCACTCTGCCAAATTTCTCTGATTCCTCAACCTTATGGCCTTTTCCTGCCAATCATCACATTCATCCTCCAATCTCTGAATCTGCTCTTTGTAAAACACTTCTCTGTCTTTTAGTAATCCGTACATTTGCATTTTTGTGCCGTGGAGGTCTTCGATCAGTTTGACGTTTTTTAGCTTGCGGAGGTGTCGGTTTGTGGTTTTTATGCGTTCGAGACGGGTTTGCAGTGTGTAAACTTTTGCACTCCAGGTGGTTTTTTCTTCGAGGAGGAGTTGGTGGTTTTCTTCGAGATCGGCGAGTTCGCGTTTTGTGTTTGCGAGATCGGTGGATCGTTTTGCGGATAGTTTGTCACGCTCATCCAGTCTTTTGTGTAGTTCGGTGACGTAGGTGGTTTCCTCTAGTTCGAGGACGTGGATGTCTTCTTGGAGTCTTTTGATCTCTTGGCTTTGGCTTACGTTCAAGGTGTGTAGGATGTCGAGCTGTGCGGAAAGTGATTCGATTTCAGAGTTCTGAGCTTGGAGTTGATCGTTGCGGACCGTATCTGCTGCGATTTGGGAGGCGATTGTTGCTTGAAGATGAGGAACGTCGGTGGACTGGACTATGGACGAAAGGGGAGTGGCGGGTAGAAGGGGATTGTTAGGGATGACTGGATGCTTGGGCAGGATATGGTTGATGTTTTGGCCAGGGTGAATGATTGCGTGGCCAGAGTTGGACTCTTGCTCATCGATTGTGCCTCCCCTGTTGTCTTGAGACAGTTTGAGGCGCTGTACATGTCAGTCCAGGCAGTCGATTATGTTGAGAAGTACAAGTTTGGGAGGGTTGTAATCGTTTAGGACTTACCTTTGCTTCATTGGCCTCTTCTGGTGTAAGAGGTCGTCCTCGGGATGGATCAGGCACGAGTGGGTGTTCGTGGACGAAATTAGCAGCCTCGTCATCGTAATCAAGGCCCGTTAGATCCATGATGTGTTGATATGCTGTGTTATGGAGGAAGTGTCGAAGGTGTAGATTTTGAGATGATCTATCTTGTGTTGTATAGTGCTGGGATATGCTTTCACTTTCTATCGAATGCGGGAGTGTCTCGGAACTTGGAACATACAGCAAGCAAATGATGACAATGACGTTCGAGACATAAAGCAACTTTGTCGCGTGTTCTGCCGGTAACACCTAGGCGTTTCACAACGCATATCTCGAAAGCACTGGAGCCCTTTGGAAGCACCCATCAAAATGCACAATTGAGTTGGATTAGAAGTAGTTGGCCACTGAGAGTCATTATCCCCCAATTGTTTCACACTATATCACAGATATCCCAGCAGCACTGGAGCCCCTTCAAAACACCCGTCAAAATGCATAGTTGTATTGGATTAGACGCGGTTGACCACTGAGAGCGACTGTACAGATTACCCCTTTCGATGGACATGAGAGATCTCAACGGTACCGCTACCCTATGAAGATATCCATCAAAATGCAGAGTTGAATTGGGTTTCACGTAGTTGACCACTGAGAGTCACTCTTATTCACGCTCTCACTGGACAAAACACTGATGGTACAAAAAACTGTGCATTTTGACGGGCCTAAAGCTGCCCCTGGTCCGCCCGCGGAGCGAGCAATCGTTTCCATCTATTCTATCTACTGACCCCTTGATGCGAGACGGTCACAAGCCTCAGCAAGCTCGGCCTGCAGCCTGGTCGTCAATTGTGTAAGAAAGTTGTGGTTGCTGACTGCCCTCACATACGCCCTTATGGCATCGATCCTCATGCTGCGATTGTTCTGCTGCAGAGTTTCGACTCTAGCCTCGTTCTGGGCGTTTGCGGTGCGGAGCGCGTTGTTCTGCTTCTTGATTGCCTGACTCTCGGCCAGGTGCACCTTGCGTTCTTCGTGGTGACGCATCTCTTGGGAGTAGAGCTTCTCCTGGAGCTCACGGAGTTGCTGCTCGAAGTTTGCTTTTTCGAGAGTCGTGAGAGTCGTGCCATGCTTCACTGCGGCGTCGTACTGTTCTTGGGCGTGTTGGAGCCTGTCGAGGAGGTCTTCGATGGCGTTGTCCTTGAGGAGAGTGAGGTGGATGAGGCGGCCGATCTCCTGATTGCTCTTCATGCCCTGGTTGCGAAGGGTTTCGATCTCGTCGTTCTTCATGATCACCTGATCGAGCAGGTGTGTGGCAAGTTTGTCCTATCAGGTATCTATCAGAATTTGCCTTATTGATATGACAAGCAGCGCTTGACATCAAACTTACATTGACTTGCGCCTTTGCTTCCAATGCAGCATTCTGTTTTTGTAGAGCTTTAATAGCTGATCGGGTATCGTTCTTCTTGCGCTTGAGCGCATTTGTCATCTTAGACCACATGCTTAGAGATCTCGTCGCTTTCGAGACGCTATGAGCTGCTGAGGACGTTGACGAGATGATGCAGTTGTAAGGTCTGAATTTCAGCGAGTAAAGTAAAGTCTAGAATTGCAGGTTGGCAGAAGTTGGTCGGATGATTGGCTCTAGGTAGCACTCCGTCCCTCATGCAAGCCTTTGAACGTGCTTGTAGGATTGCGAGAAGTTTTTGATAGTTGGGTACAGGTCCGAAGAGAGCAGTCCGAGACGAGCGGTTCGAAGAGAGGACTTCGAGGAGAGCGTTTCGACTAGAGCACAGTAGACCATCACTCGATCACGATAGAAGTCGTGCTTTTCAATCGCAGTTTTCGAAGTTCCTTGTGGCAGACGGAGGCTTCCCTTCTTCTTTGTGGTACCTACACCTTACTCCTATGTTACTTCTCCGGTTCATGAAGACCTTTCTCATCGTTGTTCTCAATGATCAAATCCACCTTGCCCAAGTGTTCGGTGATAAAAGCATTGTTCTTGCCGTCCGACTCGTCGTATTGCTGGTAACACTTGTCCAGGTCTTTCTCAATACCCTTGTTCTGCCTCCTCTTAGCAACCCTCTTCCTGCTCAATCCAGGCTCAACATGAACGAACCACTTGTCGTCCACGAGTTCTTGGATCTCTTTCCAGGGCTCAGTATCGGACAGCAGGTAGATTCCCTCGAAGATGAGAACTTGTGTCTCCACGTCCACGATTTCGCCATGCGGGTGAGGATCCATAGCCTCCTCATCGAAATCAGGAGCTCGAATTTGTTTCTCCATCTTAGTTTGATGCCTGCACCTCCTGATGAAGTCTACCATCGCCTTGCCGTTAAACGTCCACTTAGCACTACGTCTAGCATGTGCCTTTTCCGGATCGTCCGTCTTGTCCAGGTCGGCCTTTGGAAGCATGAAGCCTTCGACTGATACAACACTGCAGCTAAGTTTGTGGTCTTTGCCAATGCGTTCGCTAATGTCTCCGCCGATGGTGGATTTGCCGCTGCCCGGGCCACTAGCAATAGCAATCATGTAGCGATGTTTGTGTTAAGGTCGTTCTTCGACAGGAGAGTCGCGGCCAGTCTTCTGTTTCGAAAGATTGGCGTAGTTGTCTGCTACACGCTGGGCGAGCTTTGTGCATACTTGCTCCATCTGCATTGTGTCGGATGTGGTATTGGAGTGGTTAACTGTTGGTGTTAAATGGTAAGTCAAGACACAGAGAGGAAACCTGCTTTTTAACACTCTCCTCCGCTCGAAGGCTTTGTTAACGTGCCATGCTCTTGACGGGATTTAGTGCCAAAAGCAAAGGATTCGAAGGTCATGACAACGTTAGTCTCCGAACACGCGAGCGACTGAGAAAGCACTAATGCTAATTAATTCTGGTCAATGTGGAGTGTCTCCGCATTTGTTATACACAATTAGGGGAGGCTCTGCTGGGGATCTGCAAGGGACCCATCTTTCTTATGTCGCATGGCCGACGTCAGATTTGATGATTAGGGACATAGTGCCAAAGTGTATGACAAGCCAGAAAATAGCAATTTGTGGTCGGACCTTATGGAGCTGAAGAAATGATAGACATGGGTTTTGAGTCGAGGAAGATTGGGTATAGTAGAGGAGTACTGCTGGAGAGACCTGTCCGCGTTTGCTACGCAACATACAAAATCATGTCAAAGATACTCATCGTGACCGAAGCATGGGCGGTTGTTTAGCTTGTACTCGTAAGTCTGGGAGCAAACAAAAAGTCGGTGCATGGCACAAATAGGCAAGTACAGAAAAATCGGGAAGGTTCAAAGATCCCGTGACGTCAATGCGACGTCGAACTTCACCTCACCTCCTCCTTTGCTCTTGCCAGAAACATTCGTGCATGAACAGAACGACTCGATGACTCGAAAATCTGGGCGAAACGTTCAGCGTAAACACATTTATGCTATTTTATATGGTGCGTTATCGTCGTGTGGCCAGCAAGAGCCATAGCAATCATGAACCGTAGATGGAATACTTATAGAGTTCCATTTAGAATCCAACTGGAGTTAGACTTGACACCAGGTTCCCTAGTGCTCCATCTCCATTCGCATGCGCCATGGATCCTAGATGTAGGTGCAATTTTGTGCAATCCACCAGCTTCGCCACAGCACCGTCCGAGATGGACAAGACTCTCAAACGATGGCTTCTACAAGACTTTCTTCGCTTTCGTCACGGACTTTAATGCTTTAGAGGATAGAAAGATCTTCTCATGTTCTGGAACGCTGGCTACTTTTTTGATTCCTCAACATCCAATTCTTCGATCTTACAGCTCTTCTGACATCCTAAGTGCATCTCGAAGAAGGTTAGCATTACTGTAGCCTAGCCCTCGATGATAGGGGTGTTGTACTTTACGTACAGTTGGGACCCTATAACAGCTTGCCGATATACGTCCTCGCCATCTCTCTCGACTACCCTCAACCATGACCGACCTCGAAATTATGTGGCAGCCCAAGAATAGTACTCGTTGGACTGATGATATCAACCAAATAACGGCAGTCATGGTGTGGACTCAATCGCTTCAAAAGATGGATATTCGTTGATGTGTTCGTGACATGGGCTGTTGCAGTTGCGAAAGGAACTAGCAAGCAATCCAGAATCAATCAGCCCGGCGGGTGTCTCTTTACCGGCTGGCGAAGAAACACAGATTGGCTGGAGAGGACTGTCTTGGTCTGCTCCAGACGCCAAATACGAGCGTAGAAGCGACACATGCCGGCCCAGGCTGTATATATCGCGCAGTACACCTTGGGCACCTCTTGTGGATTTGCATTTCCGACGGCCAGACTGTGGATAGAAAGCTCGGAAGCTGGAGGCTGCGTAAGTCACGCGCCCCGTCGTTTCTGTATCTGCGTAGAAGATCCGATACAACCAGAGGCTCAATGGCAAGTCGCGTAACTGCGCGCGAGCGGAGAGACAAGGACTTCTATGTACACGTCTTTGCCCCGGGGCTAGAAGTTTGAGTCGGCCGTGGCGCAAACACAAACCTCTGGGGGCTGTATAGACATGCAAAGAGTTGAGTCTTCTTTGTAGCGATGTTCGCTTCTCAATCATGACTTGCGCATTGCTCGCGGCTGGACACTTCCCTCGAATCTCTGCGGTCTCATGTTCGAAACCGTGAAGCAGCAGAAGAAGAAGATACGTGGCAGAAAGCCTTTTTTGCCAAAAGAGCAAATGAAGCTACGCCGTACGGTGGAGGAGAGCGTCGCTTACTCTTGTCCACTAGATGTATGGAGGGCCCAATCGATTCGATATATATGTTTGTCGTTTCATGAACTCATGGTGGAAGCCCATCCACCTCGATTGGCGAGCAAGAAGCTTTAGTCAGTCTGAGTCTTGAGTTTCTGCCATGCGACATGAACCATTCGTTTTCGCACTTGAGCTGGGGAGAGAAACCCCAGGACGCCCATGCAGTTGTCGAGAGTGCAGAGTATATAGGGCTCGTCAAATTCAGCTTCGGCAAGCATATAGGAGCTTTGAGGGGTGAGAGATTGGCAATGCCTTGCCACGCTCTCTCTGAGGAAATACTTGATCATGACTGCGCCGAGCGCTTTATGATCATGTTGACATAGGGGCAGTCGGCAGTCAATGGGTAGGCTGTGATCGCTCCACATACGCGCTTTCCGCTACATTTCGCTAGTGGATGGTCTGGCCACCATCGAAATGTTCTCAAGCGGTCAGGACCAGCCAAACTGGTGAGTCTGGTATATACAGACCTCGTCGTATTTGGTCTTTCTTCTCTTGTAGGGTACTCTCTGCTTTTTCTTTTGCTTCTTCTTCTTCTTCTTTTTGCTCCTATCCTCCATCACCATCGCCAGTTCCAGCATCATTGTGGTAGATCGTACCACAGTACCTGGTTTCCATATATCCACGTATACTCCATGCCATATGCTGTCTTCTTCTGCGACAGGATATAGCTGACGGGCTTCTGGAGGTGGCACGACATAACGTTGCAGAAATCGGAGGAGAGACCATGCTGTTGTTCCCAGCTCTGTCGGTATATAGCAGCGTATCGTTCGGCCACTAGTATCTTGGGTAGATCAAGCACTGGTTCAGCAGTTGTTGGTAGACTCTGGCTCGCTGGCCATCTCTCGAAGTCTGTCCTTCGTCGACTTCAGCGTTTCTCCCGCCATAGTTGCGGGTGTTGGACTGCGTTCAGCCCTTTGCGTTGGACTGTGCAATTTATTGACCTTGAAAGAATCATCTTCATCTGATAGAGCACCGCCGCGGTGATGGTGTCGTTCCCGAAAGCCAGGGCCAAGTTTTTTCGTGCTTCTTTCTCCTTTGCGAAAGAATGAACAAATGACGTCGAAGCTGATATATATCGAAGGATGGAGGAGTGGCCATTCACTACAGAATATCGAGGTAGGCGCGCTCTAGCTCGGAGCTAGGTCTTGCCTCGTAGCGACTCCATTATATCGGTCCCACATTTTGTGGTAGGTGTGCTCAGGTCTAATATGAGCTCAAGATTAATGCGCATGGACGATTGTTCCAAGATGTCTGTAAGCCAATGTATAGGAGCGAGAGCTCGACTATGACGAATGGCTTTGAAGATGCCGAGAACAAAATCCCGATATAGATATCGAGGCCAAATGACTGAGGCTCTGGATTATATACAGCGTAGGTGGCCGTATTTGGTGTGTAGTAGTCATTGACGAGAAGGCTCCAAGTGTCAAGCTTGAGGACGACGAGGTCGCTCCAGAATGAGGTTGATATTCGCCGTGCTCTGGGTATTTGCACATTTTCTGCGCTTCCAACAATGCATTTCTGTCGTTACACAGATAATGGATTGAACACAGGAAGCCGAATTATATCCCCCACAGGCGTATTCCGCCTCTGATGGTAGCCAACAAGTACAAAAGATCGTAGTTGTGTATCGTGAGCTTGGAGTTCTCGTTTGTAACTCCAATGGACGGACCCGACTGCCTCGAGTCTGTTCAGAATCGCGAGATGAGATGGACAGGCATGAATCCAGCCGGAGCGGAAGCTGCAGACGCAGTCGTCCGGAAATATGGCTCAGGGGATACCATAGTTGACACCACATCCCTTGTATATATGCAAGGCCTGCAGCCCGAGAGAAGAATGAAGGCGTCTTGTCGCTATCTCACAGACGGAGGCGGTGGAAGAGACCTTGCTCAAGCTCTCCGTACAAGAACTTGAAGATTGTAGGTAGGCTCCGCACTGATAGCTTTGATCCTTCGCATCTGTATCCGGTATATAATGATAGCAGAATCCTTGTGTGTTTTGGAAGGCGTGTACGGCCATCATGGTTATTGTCTTCGTGGAAGTAGATGATATAGACGTCATCGAAGGGGGAGCGAGCAGGACCGTTCCCAGGTTGGACAAGATTGTGTCAACGATTCACAGACATGCAAGCGCTGTAAACTGAAACTTTGCTGCCAGAGAGCAATGAAGGCGTCTTGCCGCTGTCTGACCACTCTCAGCCAAGATTGACGAAAGCCATACCGGGTATGCTTTTCGAGCAAAATCTCAGACAGTGGATGTTGGAGTTGCGGAGGCTGCTCCATACCGCTTATATAACGTGGAAGATAGAAGTGTGGCGAGCGAGCAGGACAGATGTGATCGCTGTTCTTCTTCTCCGCTGTCGAGCGAAGGCATCCAGGTTTGTTCGTTGTAGAAGTTGTGAGTTCGGGTAAGTTGGTCTGTTGCCTGTCCAATCCAGAGAGTCAGAAATCAAAGGTTCTGAGTTGACGCAGTCGATGTGCGGATATATCGACTTTCAAGCCAGAAGACCTCTGACCGCAGCGAGATGGATACGCTCATCCCATAAGACTCTATGATATCCTTCGAGCAGATCCAGGATGAGGAAGTCGTGACTACGTCAGGAGACCATCCCAGGTGACCACGACTCTCGTATATAGAAGATTTTTGCCGGAGTGGGAGTCAGAGCGTTCTCGACGACATCAGAATGGCTTCCAGCTGCAGAAGGTGTTGATTTCCAGCAGTGCAAAGACACAAGGCAGTGTCCAGCAGAACGGTCACCGCTCGTAATGAAGACCGAACGTAGATCCATCCAGTCTGAGGTACTGGCGACCCCAGAACAATGAGGGAAGAGAATTTGCATATAGAGATGTTCAGGAATCGAGTTGGTATATAATGATGATAGGAAAGTAGAAAGGAATGGGAAGCGAAAGAGACTACTTGTATATCGGTTGCGAAAGGATAACCTGCAACAACAAGAAACCAGGCTACACCTTCGAGTACTGCAAGAAATGGCAACGAATCTTGGTTGACGAAGAAATTGCAAGTCTTGCTGTACCTTGTGGTAGGTGATTTCATGGTTCTGTCGTGCTGTTGTCACTAGCTCGAGTAGTGTTAGAGACTCTTTCCTGCCAATCGGAAGGATGATGTGCTTGGTGAGGGGCGAAAAGTGGGTGTGATGTTCAGGCATGTGACAAAGCTAGTCTCCGTTTTTCCTGGTTCTGTGATCGTGGAGGTGCTCCAACTGGATCCTTCGACCAACGCATAGCATTGTGTCCATCAGCCAGTAGATGATTGTATGCCAACTCATAGTTCCTTACTCAAGGGCGGAGACCGCATGTGGTTCCACCATGGTCAAGCAGGCGGCGATCTCGTGTCGTCAGTAGTGGCGATGGTCTTGTGGGTGCACATGATAGACTCTGTTCCTGGTTTTGAGTATGGTGGTCATTGGCTGGAAGCGAAGGGAAGAGCTTTACAAGCGAGAGCGGGTTGTTGGTGAAACAGCTGAGGGTCGGCAGTGGCATTGGTTGGCTCGAAAGAGTACCCATAACAGTTCTGTGCCAGCAGTAATGGACAGAGGCAAGGAAACATAAGCAATGAAAGTGTGGAGTAGGACAGAGAATCGGCAGAGTGTGCTGAGACTGCAAAGGGCGAGGCTCAAGTTGGCATGATCATTCTTGGGAACGGCGGGAACTAGTTAGCGACTACCGGAGGAGCGAAAGTCGACAACATAATTGGTGGTAACACATTCAGTTGGAACATGTCATATGAGTTGGAAGCACGAAGGCGTCATTGACCTACTGCACCTCAACATGGTCGAGATGTCTTGCAATTGGATACGAATGTAGCTCAAGCCGCTACTTCGAATACTTTTTGTCCTTAGTACGCTCCCCCGTGACAGCCAGATCTCCCTCAGCAATAAGCTTAGCAGCTGCAGAAGTCAAAACTAAATCGTCCTCCTCTTGTGCGGTACTAGTAACAAAATATGCTGTGGTCTGGACACGAGAACAAGAGCTTAAGGCAAGTTGCCAACTCGAGTGCGCTCAATTACCTAGAATCGTGTCAGCGCTATCGTACAAAGATGAGCAATTATGAATGCTGACCAACCATCTGACCATTTGAGCGAGCGGCGACTTCGGAGACGTGGTAAATGCAGCGTCTGACCTGACCCCACTGGCTGCGCTCCAAGCGCTGCTCCTTGAATGCCTTGTCATCAATGGCAGCTCTGTATAGGCGCTTGACGAGGTCCGTGATGAAGTCGGGATGGAATCCTTCTCCAAAGCGTGACTGTCCGTCGATGAGTGCCTCGACATTGTCGTGAGAAAGCACAACGATATCGGTGATGAGTTTACGAAGAGAAACTCCGGAAGGAGTCAGTTCGTACACCTTGTCGATTGTTGCAGCGCGAGGGAAGGCGAATTGGTCAGTGAAAAGTGATATCATTTCGTTGATGGCGACGTTCTGCAGGCGTGGGATGCCATACTTGTTGCCAAAGATGTAGATGTCGACCATCAGATCCCAGTACGTCCAGGGATCGATAGAAGGATTGTCAGAGCCGAGGCCGTAGCCACCAACTCTGTGGTCAGTGACCCAGCGCATGAACCTGCAGGTTACGTTATCAGCCACAAGACCCATGCTATTACCAAAACCACTTACTCTCGAACAACATCAGGCGAGTCCTCAGGCATACGGACAGTGTTGTTCTTTGACTCATCGTAGCAGCTGTATTTGATGGCACCAGCGAAGAAAGGTGAGTGAAAGGAGAGAATCTCGTGGAACCAGGTAAAGTGGGTTTCCTCGGCACCGACAATCAGAGTCATGAGCTTGTCTTTCATGTCTGTACAGGTGGCTGCCTGGAGAAGGATGTTGCTGGGTAAGAGTCAGCAACGTTATGGACGTATGCAAGTTGATCAACGCACCGTGGCCAAGGACCGCCAGGCTCGTTGGAACAGCATTTCCTGTTTGTGGGCTTCTTTGGGGGACGAGCTTTGGTCTTATTGTTCTGCTGGACGTCGGCATCACTGTCTGAGACATGATCGGGGCCGGCGGCGGCGGCGGAGGCGGCGACAGGAGTCACAGTGGTAGTAGGTGCTGTAGCGGCGTTGGTATTCAAGGCAGCCATGATGGCGAGTGGGTTGTTTTGGTAGATGGAGCGCGATTGGATAAAGAACAAAAAGTGTGAGAACAAAGTTCGCAATGGAAGCAAATATCGCGCTTTCCAAAATGAAGAGCAGACACGAAACTCGAACGACACCTTGGCGTGTGTTCACCTTGTGAAAGACCCAGATGGGGAAAGAACGTTCCGTAACTCTGCGGAAGTGTCAAGTCGCCATCGGCTCTGCCTGATGAAAGTCTGTCGAATAAGGTAAGAGTGAGCTTCGACCAAAGTAGAGAGATTTTCCTACTCACCCAGCTAGTATGCTGACTATTGCCTCTGCCTTGCCTCAACATCCACTCTAGCATCACTTCACTGACTCTTGCAAACATGCTGGCACTGCTGATAGAAAACTATGCAGTACATTCATCTTACAAATAGCAAACGCCTCGCATATGCTGATATATCGGACAAACAGCCGCTCTGACACCTCAACTCCTTGAAAGGGTATCTTGTTTGCCCTCAACACCCATAATCGAAACAAGCCAATTAACCTCTACCGAACGCGAAATTATTGCTTCAAGCCGCCTCCTCGACTTCTTCCAACACCCTCTCTCTTGCTTCACGCACCTCACTGTTGGCAACACTGACCTCGGATGTACTGCTGTTATTGCGACTCAAGATGGCCGGTCGCTTGGGTGACCTGTCTATCGCAGTTGGAGAATCTGAACGGCGGCGACTGAGCGATTTTGCCGAGCCTTGACTATGCCAGTTTTGTGTTTGAGGATGCAAAGCATTCTGTGACGAAGACTGTGATGGGGGAAACTTTCCTCCATTGCCTGGACTGCCGCCCATCAACATCAAAGCGTCCATGGCGTCTTGCTCGGCTTGTTGCGTTGGCATTGTTGAGCGTACGGGTGCTGGCCGCGACTTTGGTGTTGAAGGTATGTGCACTGGCGAGGAAGCTGATGGACGTCTGAATGTGTTGCTGCTCTGCGACGAGGCATGCAAGCCTGTTCCCGAATCTGGTAATGACCAAGATACTACGCCTGAGCCAGAACGTCTTTTCGAAGGTGGTGAGCGTATGTCGATTGGAGCACTCGATGCTGGTGGTGATGCAGCCATGCTCGGATGCAAAGCAGCAGCTAGTTTCTCGACCTCGTTGATGTTGCGATGCTCCCAGCCATGCTGCACCTTGACCATGGCATATGCGAGTCGTGTCTTGAGTTGAGCTGCCACCTGTGGCGACGCGTCAGTGGACAGACTTCGACATGGACACGAGAATCTTACCTCGCCAGCCTTGCTACCAGATGAGCTCACGCTCTCGGCCCTCGGTCTTTGTTCACCAGGAGTATCCACGACCTTGAGTAACCCATTGGCAGTTCTCTTATGTCTCGTCGGGCTGCTCATAGAGTCTGTCTGAGATTGCGACCGGTCTTCCGGTGTACGTAGTCGGCTACTGGATTGCGACGCGTCATTCTCGTCATGATCTTGTGGAACCCCAGGAGAAGTGGATTGAGACGTATCGCCAGTAGCTATACCGGTTGGAGCGGCAACGCCTTCGTCCTGAGAAGCCTGCGATTGCTGTCCTTGAGGATGCGATCGTTCCTTATCGACCTGGTTGACTGATGGCGGCGGCGGCATGCGCGTCGCGGGGTTTAAGGCCGAGGCAGATGGGCCTGACGGATGCATTTCGAAATGCTTTCCTACTCCGGGAACAGGTATACTCAAGTCCGACCTTGATGTTGTTGCTGTCAGCGTCTCCATGACTTTACGTGAGAATGCTTTGGTTGTCGAGAACGGGAAAGTAAAAAGATCAATTCAACATGATGATCCAATTGGCAGCAGACGCGACGTGCTGGTGGAGACGCGCACGCGCAAGGACCAACCATCATCGACATGAAGATGCGCACCGTTGAGCCCGCCCGACTTCCGAGCGAGACCCTGCCCGCCTTCACAACCTTACCATCACCTTGGGGCGGAGTGCACTCCTATACACTTTGCCGCCGTCGATCATATCGAGCACCTAGCTTGTAGCTTGTGGAACCTCAACGCCAGCTCATCAAGGTACCACCTTGATAAATCGTCTTGCTTGCATCTCGTTCCTGATTGATGTGCTGGACGTTGTTTGAGCTCCAGCGAATACTGAGGCTGATCACTTACGACAGATACGGTGTCACCGGCTAACAACACAGCTTCATTTGTTCTAACATGATACATTTATCGCTCTGTATCGAATGGGAATCGCAAGCCACGTTGTTTATTGGAGAGAACGAAACGAAAGCATATACGGCAGAAAAGCTACCAAGGCTGAATCGCCAGAAATGTAGCCTCCCTATGTGCTGGAGTTTGATGCTATCATGAACCACCAGGCCGACACACCAGACATCCCGCGCACTTGCCCATGACGCACCAATTCCAATCATCCTCTTCATGGATACACCAATGTCCATACCTGTTCAACTCTTGATTCGGATCATGCGCCGCTGGTAGCCACAATGGATATGGCCTTCTCAGAGGGAATCCGGCGAAAGATGTAGGCTCGTAACCATCCGGACATCTTGCATGCCAGGTAGGGATTGCAGCAGGTTTCTCATGAAAAGGCAGAGGCCGGGGCGTTCTGGCGTTGAGCTCTGCCACAGGCTTGAGCCTTTCCCCCCATCGTTCTGGTGTGAGTTCTACATCGGCGACGATTTCTGCAACTTCTTTGATCGGAGGAAGCCAAGGTCGGGGAGGCTTGGGATTCTTGTTCTCAATCATGTCCGGATTACGGGCAGTCGTCGAAGTCGGATAGGGGTTCCAATAGATCTGCTTGGGCGGCCAACCATCTTTGGTCTGCTGTTTGCGATGGCTCATTAGCTTCAGTGAGTACGGGAAGGCAGTAGTTGTGTTGTGTCAAAAGGGGCAATCGTACCGAAGATGTAGGTGATTCTGGAACCAAAGTCTCATTTGAACGTTCTTTGATGTCCTTGAAAGGCGAGTCGATGGGTTCATTGATGCCATCACCTTCAATCTCGGCGGGTTCTGGCGTTCCACGTGGTTCTTTGTCACCCCCACCATCTTTGGTGACAATGGGTTCTTTCTTTGGCTTGACTGGAGGGCTCCGTGGGATAGGTTTCCACACAATAATGCCTGGTATACCCTTCCCACCACCAGTAGATACAGACTTTCTAGGTCTTTTTCCATCTTTTTTACCCCCGGCTTTGACGCCTCCTTTTCGTTGGTCATGTCCCTGATCAGGATGCGGATCAGGACTGCTCCATCTTCTGGGCCTTTTTACCTTCGGACCGTCTCCCTTATTTTGGAGATGTTCTTGCTCAACCGGACCTCCAGTACGGCGAGTACCATGCCTCTGGCTTCCAGCGCTAGGTGTGATGCCATTTGCTCTGTCTTTGGCGAGAAGCTCCGCGATGAACTCGGGGATGGTCTGACTCAATTCGCGACTACTGAGGGTGAACTGGGGATGTGCAGGATTTGGACAGCGGAAGGTGAAGTTAGCTGGTGGAGGGAAGTTTGTCGTTGCTGGGGCTTGAAGTGGCAGGTTTGTGTTGATTATAGGTAGGGGTGGAGGGTAAGGTTGCTGGATGGGTTGATATTGCTGAGGTGAGCCACATAGGTAAGGTAAATAATCCGGTAGGGGTGGGCTGTAGAGTTGTAGATTTTGGGTCGAGGGCGATGGAGCCGCTGACCCGTCGTAGATTCGATGAACATTGGAGAAAGGTGGATGAGCTTGTCGGCCGCTTCTTGGCTGAGCAGATGGATAGGGTTGATGACGATGTTGGCGAGGATTTGGTGATGGCCTCGTCGGTAGATCGGTTGACTTTGGCATTGAGTCGCGACAGAAGGGTAATTAGGTGATTGATGATCGGTCAGGGAAGGAGGGTGTGAAGGTTGGAGATGATTGACTTGACTTTGAGCAACCGCTTCTGCTCTTAACGTGTTGGAGCAACTACACGAGACATCTCAGGTGTTGGATGTCTTGGAAGCGAGATGTTGTAGAATCTTCGTGATCCATTATAACACTGAAAATGTCTCTTCTGAATTGGGATTAATGTCTCAATTCGCGGCCTCGCTAATTCATCAGCCGTAGATTCATTGCTTCTTTGCTTTGCGCTACTCAAGCATCATCACCAAAAACGAAATTCTTCCAATTCGACGCCAATTGCTTGACTCCCTCTTCCAAGCTCCAGCCTTTGATCTCACACAGCTTCCTGACAATCTCCTCCAGATACCCATCCATTCTCTCGCCTGCAGTGTGTAAGTCGCTCTCAATCAGAATCCTATCATCGGGCACGGCCTTGACAGCCTCTTCAGTCTTCTCCACCCCGGCATGTGAAAAATTAATCACGGAAGAGAAGGAAAAGAAGATTTTGGCTGGGATGCGTGGGTCCAAGTATTGTTTCACTGTTTCTGCTGGTCCGGAGTAGGAGTGGAGACATATGCGTGGGGGATAAGGTGTTGGTTTTCTTTCTTCACCCACTTGCTCGTCCTTATGTTCAGTGGCTTGATGTTGTGCATTGGCTTCCTGTTTCCGGCGTTCTCGTTTGCTGGGGACTTTTCTCTCATGTCCTTTCCAGGTTTGTTGGAGTGTGTTGAAGACGACGCCATGGGCCTGAACGCCGTGGATGGAGGTTGCGCGACCGAGCTCCCCAGCCAGGTGTAACTGAGCGAGCAGAACCTTCTTCTGGTGATCCATGGAGACGCGGTAAGGTGAGAGGGTTCTGCCTTCCCGACCACCTGGTGTCAAGGCTTCATCTCTTTCTGTCTTCTGGCCAGGAAGCCAGGCCTCAGGGATGCGGAATTGTTTGTCCAGGCCTACTTCGCCGATCAAAGCAAGTGGGTACTTCTCGAGATATTTGCGCGTTTCTGACAGGAAGACGGAGAATGGGCGAGGATCTGGCAGGCGCAAGAGGAAGTCGCGATCCTCGGGCTTGGGCGTCAGAGCGGACTGGTAGTGTTCGACCTTCTGGTCGGGTGTAAGAGTGGTGGTATCTGGGTAGGTTTCTTCGTCGAACATCTGGTGGGAGAACCAAGGGTGCCAGCCGAAACAGGGTATCACTTTCTGCTCCTTGCTGTTGGGTAGTCAGTAAGTTGGAGGTATGCCGACAATGACGATCAGGGCGGGAGAAGGGCTGAAGTGTACCTTGCTTATCTGTACCTACCTCCAATCTTCTTGCGACTTGCTTTTAACACCCAGCTTGTCGGCGGTCTCAGCTACTAGTTCTTGGTCCTGAGCACGTGTGGCCATGATTGTCAGAATTCTGGCGTGCATGTCCGGGATAGAGCTGATGTTGGCAACAGTGTCTGTCGGGTGACAATGGGCATCAAAAACACCCAAGTCCCACGGGAAGGCTTCATCTTTGTGTTCTCCCATATTGATGTCTTATTCCGATGATAGAAAGAATCAAGTGCGGTGGTCATGTTCGAAATGTTGCTTTCCCCAGCGATGACGTTCATCGTACGCGAGTCAACCTTGAAAGAGCCGCATCTTCTTTGTGTCGCAAGACCCTTTCTTCACATGCTGAAGAGTCGCACAACATTTTTCTTACGCTGAGGTACAAGATGATTGAAAGCCAGAGTCCATGACGAGTCCATGGTCTGGCCATGTCAGGTCATAGATATATCCACCACCAATCTCCTGTAAAACACTTTGCCCTCAGTGCGCCGGCAGATGCGACCAAAAAGTCATGACCAAGGGGTAAATACGATTTACGGCGGCTAAGGACGCCGGAGATTATCACTGGCAAATCGGAAACGATGGATCCGAGGGGCTCAACGGCCTTGGCGAATATCGTTCGACTTTTTGTTGATGCGTACAATTTAACGCGGCGTGGTCTTGGGTCGCCATCCTATCGTGACTTTCGCCATTGTAATCCTCTAGATTTGCATTGCGGGAGGCGTGTCTTTCATTCCTTCTTTTCAATCGCCGTTCTTTCGTTGAAGAGGATCCGTCTTTCCTTCTTCCTTTATACCCTTTTTGTTCTCTTTTCTCCCTTATCTCGTCTCTGGATTGGGATACGGCGACGGACACTTTACAATGTCTGTCATGAACGCGAGTTATGCCTCGCCCGTCGCGGATGCGGCTTTCGCAAAAATCAATGCGATTGCGCCTGAGGGATTTGTACAGCGTCTTCTCGCCGGTGTGAATGCATGGACTGTTGTCTTTACTCTACTCATTGGCGCTGTTCTCTACGATCAGGGTGAGTCCACGCGATCGCGAAATCATGAGATTCTCAGACTGACCCAATCGCAGTGTCATATCTCTACCACAAGGGCTCAATCGTGGGCCCCATGTTCAAGATTCCCTTCATTGGACCTTTCCTCGAATCGGTGAACCCAAAGTTCGAAAAGTACAACGCAAAATGGCAGAGTGGTCCCCTGAGCTGTGTTTCCGTCTTCCACAAGTTCGTCGTTATCGCCTCGACACGCGACATGGCCCGCAAGGTCTTCAACTCTCCCACCTACGTCAAGCCCTGCGTCGTTGACATCGCCTACAAACTCCTCCGTCCTACCAACTGGGTCTTCCTCGATGGCAAGGCTCACGTCGACTACCGCAAAGGTCTCAACGGCCTTTTCACCCGCCAGGCTCTCGAGCTTTACTTGCCCGGCCAAGAGGAGGTTTACGACGCATACTTCGCTCGCTTCCTCAAAGTTACCAAAGATGCCGGCAACAAGCCTGTTGCTTTCATGTCTGAGTTCAGAGAATTGCTTTGCGCCGTCTCTTGCAGAACCTTTGTTGGTCACTACATCAGCGACGAGGCCATCAAGAAGATCGCCGACGACTACTACATGATTACCGCTGCTCTCGAGCTTGTCAACTTCCCGATCATCATTCCCTTCACCAAGACCTGGTACGGCAAGAAGGCCGCTGACATGGTTCTCGATGAGTTCGCCAAGTGTGCTGCAAAGGCCAAGGTCCGCATGAACGCTGGTGGCGAGATGCACAGCATTCTCGATGCATGGGTCAAGCAGATGATTGATTCCGAAGCCTACCGCACCAAGCTTGCCAGTGGCGTCAAGATGGACGATTCCGAGAAGCCTGCCATGCTTATCCGTACATTCACCGACTACGAAATCGCCCAGACTCTTTTCACCTTCCTTTTCGCTTCTCAGGATGCCACCAGCAGTGCCGCCACTTGGCTCTTCCAGATCGTTGCTGACCGTCCCGATGTTATGGAGAAGCTGCGCGAGGAGAACATGCGCGTCCGCAAGGGCGACAAGAACGCTCGTTTGACAATGGACATGCTCGAGTCAATGCCTTACACCAGAGCAGTTGTCAAGGAGCAGCTCCGTTACCGTCCCCCCGTCCTGATGGTTCCTTACCTCGTCAAGAAGGACTTCCCCGTCACCGAGACCTACACCGCAAAGAAGGGCTCTATGATCATCCCTACAACATACCCTGCCCTTCACGACCCTGTAGCATACCCCGAACCTGAGACCTTTGACCCTGAGAGATGGATCACTGGTGATGCTGAGAAGCACCCCAAGAACTGGCTTGTGTTCGGCACAGGACCCCACTACTGTCTCGGACAGACATATGCCACACTCAATCTGATGGCCATGATTGGCAAGGCATGTGTTGAGATGGACTGGAAGCACGAAGTTACGCCCTTGTCAGAGGAGATTAAGATTTTCGCCACGATTTTCCCCCAGGTGTGTATTCTTGATGATCCTTATACCACGAAAGTATTCACTAACATAACTCGCAGGATGACTGTCTTCTTACATTCAGCAAAAGGGATTAGAGGAATGGATATCATGTGCTCCGCCTCAGAGATTACACGCAGAAAGAAAAAGTGCTGTGTGATGTTTTAGAAGTACAGGAATATTCCCCAACCCCTACAAATGATAGACTAATTTTATTTTAATGCTCTTCAACTTTATCTCTTATGACATGTCGTTCATACAAGAATGTGATACCTGTAATCTTGTACGCTGTGTGACAATCTACTTTGCTTGTGATCCGTACTCTGATTTGTAGAGTGGAAATAATGCTGATCAGGGACCTCGGTTTGCGGAGAACAAGACCGACAGTTCGGCGATGATGCAACCTCCAATCGAAATCCAACTTCAACTTCGTTCACGGGTATCTACTTGCTGTCGCACAAAACACAAGTACATCCAACATGTCGGTAAAAAGGATCTCTACTTTTACTACCAGAGCAGTTATCGCATCGGCGCGACCTGCCAGATTCCAGGCTTCGAGTCTCTTGAATACATCAACGAAGCTTCGAACCACCATCCAGCGACCGGCGACGACATGTCACGTACAGCACCGCTTCCACTCGACTGAAGGCAAACTCAACAACAAAGTCTGGGATTTCGATTCTATCAAGCAATTGACCGAACAACCATCTACCGACCGCGTCTTGATTGGTACGTTGTCCACTCTTTCTAGCTGTCTCCTGCCAATCTCTCGGACCCATCTCTTTTCCTCTTTATCATCTAGCTCAGACCTAACTCCCTACCACAGACGTCCGCGAACCCACCGAATTCGAAGCCGGCTACATCCCCACCGCCATCAACATCCCCGTCGGTTCCGCTCCAGACGCCCTTTTCATGCCCGCCCACGAATTTGAAGATAAATTTGGTTTCGAAAAGCCCACCGCAGATCAAGAGCTTGTGTTTTATTGTAAAGCTGGTGTTAGGAGTAGTGCGGCGGCTGAGCTGGCAAGGCAGGTTGGCTATAAGAACGTGGGTGAGTATAGGGGGAGTTGGTTGGAGTGGAGTAAGAAGGGTGGGAGGAGTGAGAGGGACTAAATGTCGAAGACGTGAAGAGGCGGGATAAACATCCATGCATAGAGATAAGTCTTGCAGCGAGTCGTGGTATAGCAGCATATCATCGTGATGACTGCCTCGTCATGAGAGGCTATCTCCAACGATGCTTGAATTGTGCATTTCTACAGCTATACGCGTGACAAAGTTTAGCACATAGTGAAGTGCTTCCGCTACCGACGTGCTCGCACTCGGCCTGTGAAGCGTGTCGCATGCCTCTCACTTTTTTCTCTACATGCAGTACACATACTGTAGAGACAGATAAGTGCGAGTCTCGAGTACCAATTCTGGGCCTTGCCTGTTCGGGAGAAATAATAGAGAAAGCTTATTGTTCGATAAGCAAGACGCGCGGAAACCGACCGCATAAGGCCACTTGATCGCAGAGAGGTTGATAACATATCGTATCTGCAGACTGGACCACCTTTCTTGGAGCGCAACACAGTCAAAACATTAGACAATGTATGGCGAAGGAGCCCGCGGCCACCCGTCGTGCCCTTCTCTTGCCGTGTGATGGCCCTCCCATTAGCGGTCCACCCCAGATTGGGCATCTCTATGCGACTTATCTTATCGTTCTCCCGGCTGTACATGCTTAATTGGGTATAGCGCATTTTGACAACAGTACCGCCTCTCATAGCTCCAGTAAATATAAGTAGAGGTGTCTGTCCTTGGTGACACGATTACTCCTCTGCTCATACCATCCTCGCCTTCTCCTCTTTGCCAGTCATGGCTCCCTCTCATCCTCTTTCCATCCTCTCCATCGAGGAGACCAACCTCGCAAGAGAGATTGTTCTCGCTCACCACGACAAGGAAGTCATTGACTTTAGAGAGATCTTCCTCCAAGAGCCTACTAAGGCAGAGCTTGTCAAGTACCTTCAGCTTGAGCACTCTGGTCGCTTGTCTCCTACATCTCCCCGACCTGCTCGTCTCGCTAAATGCCAGTACGATGTCATTGGTTCGGACAGAATTCCTTCCTACCAAGAATCTGTGGTAGACATTGGTTCGAAGAAGAGGACCAAGCATGAAGTTATCGGCAAGGAACACCAGGCTGCTTTGACCTTGTAAGTTGTACAAGCACCGTCTTCCTCATAATCACTAACCCCTAGCAGGAAAGAATTTGAGGTTCTTGTCAGTGTCTGCAAGGCTGACCCCAAGTTCAAGCAAGCAATTGCTGAGCTAAACATCCCTGACTACTACGAGATCGTCGTTGAGCCTTGGCCATACGGTGGTCTTGATGAGGAGGATGAGAGCCGTCGCTACTTCCAAGGCCTCATCTTTGCACAGGACACACGCAACAACAATGCCGATTCAAACTTCTACGCTTTCCCCCTACCTTTGATCCCTGTCCTCGACATCCACAAGAAGGAAATTTGCCGCATTGACAAACTTGCCACCGGAGGAAAGAACGACGCTTTGACAGCAAAGACTCATGGCGAAAAGATTCTTGAGCACTGCACTACCGCCGAATACGTTCCTGAGCTTCTGCCTCAAGGCGTTAGACAGGATCTCAAGACTCTGAATGTTCTCCAACCGGATGGTCCCTCATTCAAGGTCAGCGATGAGTCTCTGGTTGAATGGCAGAAGTGGCGTTTCCGTGTCTCTTTCAACCCTCGTGAGGGTGCCGTTATCCACGATGTTCACTACGATGGAAGAAGTGTCGCCTACAGACTTTCCGTCAGCGAGATGACTGTCCCCTACGCAGATGCTCGTCCTCCCTTCCAAAGAAAGCAAGCCTTTGACTTTGGTGATGGTGGCGCCGGAAATTGCGCCAACAATCTTTCTCTCGGATGTGACTGTCTTGGTGTTATTAAGTACTTCGACGCTGTCATTGTCGACGATGATGGTAAGGGTAAAGTCCACCCCAACGTCATCTGCCTGCACGAGCAAGACGAGGGTATCGGCTGGAAGCACACCAACTGGCGCACTGGGCGCGCAGTCGTAACTCGCAGCCGTGTTTTGGTCGTCCAATTCATCATCACTCTGGCCAACTACGAATACGTCTTCGCCTACAAGTTTGACCAATCTGGCGGCATCGACATTGAGACTAGAGCAACCGGTATCGTCAGCTGTGTCAACATCGACCCCGGCAAGACCAGCAACTACGGCAATGTCGTCAACCCTGGTGTACTCGCCCAAAACCATCAACATATCTTTGCTTTCCGCATTGATCCTGCAATCGACGGCCACAGCAATACAGTCATCACAGAAGAATCCCACGCTGTACCCATGAATCCCAAAACCAACCCTCGCGGAAACTACTACGAAGTCCGCAAAACGCCTGTCGAGAAAGCCACCTGGGCAGATGCTGAACCCCGTCTCAACCGCGTCTTCAAGATCGTCAACGAGAACATCAAAAACCCCATCTCCGGCAACAGTGTAGGCTACAAGCTGGTACCTCCCGCTACACAGCTTCTCCTCGCAGACCCAGCTTCCGTACAAGCTCAACGTGCTCAATTCGCTCAACACCACGTCTGGGTTACTAAATACAAAGATGACGAACTCTTCGCCGGTGGCCGCTTTACCATGCAATCGCGCAAGGAAGTCGACGGTGTTGCAGACGCCGTTGCCCGTGGCGACAACACCAGAGACACTGATGTGGTTGTATGGAGTGTATTCGGTCTCACCCACAACCCTCGCGTTGAAGATTGGCCAGTCATGCCTTGCGAAATCCACCAAGTGCATTTGCGTCCTACAGATTTCTTCACCGCTAATCCCAGTATCGATGTGCCGCCGAGCAGCAACAAGGCTAGTGTGGAGGTGCCGAAGAGTTGTTGTCAACCTGCTCAGGGAAAGCTCTAAGTGCCCTTCTTCGAAAAGAGCTTTGAGTTTGGGGAAGATGTGTGGAGGAAGGAATGAGAGGTGTAGGTCCCTCGGATGACTGTAATGACTTTTGATATAGGGATGTGAGTCTCCCGACATGTTCAAGATATTAATGACTTCTAGACCTGGATGCGAGTCTCCATTGTAACGACTTTAGATACCAAATTTGCAACTTTGTTTTTGCCAGTTTACCTTCTGCTTCTTATCTCTGCCTTATATGTTGCCGCATCTGATTTTATAACGTCTCGAAAGACTTTACGTTTTTAGAAAAAGTAGCTCTTGACAAAGTGGCCTGGCGTTTTGAGAAGTCACTGGTCGGGGAAGAAGAAGGAACGACCACGTCAATGAAAGTTAGACCCCTCACTGCGATGAAAAGCACGACTTTCCATGACCAGATCCATTCCAAAATAAGCTGCGTTGTGCGTCTCAGCAAGACGATCGCCAGCTAGAATTTAGTGACAGGGTCAGCCTCTCAACACCATCCTGCAACAATATCTCGACCACTTGAACGGGGAATATTCATGTCTAAGTACTTGGAAGCCATCATGTCTCAAGATAGCAAGTAGAGAACCTTGTTGCCACTTTTGATCGCTTTCGGAACAGGTATCCCCATTCAAAAAGTTATATTTTCTTCGCAAGCAATGGGGCTTCGTCGAGATCATGTTCACATGGAAACTCAAAGATGCACACATCGATCATGCATAAAGGTCTGACAACTCCAGGAGAATGAAAAGAATCTTTGAAATCATGTTTCTTCATTCCTCTCTCGCGTATATATCATAAATCCCACTTGTATCCTCCTTGAAATCATCATTACACAGCCAGTTCATATGTCAGTCATGAAAGCCCGTACACTTTCTCCTACACCCCAAAGGAATGTCATTCTTTCGCTTAGTGTTCTATTTGAATGTGCTTAGACACAGTGCACGACACCGTCAGCGTGGGTGTGGCATTCCTGTAACTTTGTCAGCGAGGAATCGCGGTCTCTAGGGAAAAGTACTTACAGCAGCAGCGCTCGATGTCTTCGAGGCGGTTTGGGAAGCAGCTTGAGCCGAAGTACTGGTGGCAGCGGCGGTAGTGCTAGCAGAAGCAGAAGACACGGCAGAAGAGGCAGCCGAAGAAGCAGTCGCAGCAGCATGTGAATCACCCTCCTCTTCTCCAACTGTACCAGTACAACCCTCCCCAGGCAACGCAACATCCATAGCATAAACGTCCAGCGCAAAATACTGCAACGTGTGCGTATTTCTTACAGCTTCGGCAGGGTTCTCTTCAGCCAACTCCAGACACTCGGTGTATGAATCAGCATAATGCTCTGCAGCACCTTCGCCAATCTTTGTGGTGTGGAAAAGTCTGTGCATCAAGTCGGCGGCGAAGTAGTGGTTTAGTTTTCCGGAAGCTACGGTGTAGCCGCCTGAGCAGAGGGCTTCGAGGGGTTGGCGGGTGGAGTAGCTGAGGGGGCAGATTACTGTTTCGTCGGTTGCGTTTTCGCCGCGCCAGTGGCCGCCCCAGCCTGTTTGATTTGTGAGTGGTTGTTCAGAGTATTGGAAGGAAGGAAGAGGGGGAGGTGGGACATACCTTCTTGGTGGCAGTTTCTGTCAATGTCGTCGCAGCGGAAGAGAACACGTTCGTGGTCACCGTGGATGAGCTTCTCATACCAGCCGATTACTTCAGCAGTAGGTGCTTGGCCAAAGTACTTGGTGTAGAGGGCAGAGTCATTGCCGTGAGCGTAGATATGCTGAGTGGCTTGTTGAGCGATCTTGATGGTATCACCGAGTGCCTTTTCGAGCTGTCTTTTTTCGGTGCCATTGCAAGATTGGTGGATAGGGAAGCCTTGAATCTCAGAGGCGGGCTGGGGATATGAGGTTGCCGTGCTACCGGAGACGGTCACAGTGGTGACTTCTCTGTTCTTGATGACAGGTGAAGCAGCAGCAGTGACAGCAAGAGCTGCACCGACAAGGAATTGAGTGCGCATAATGATAATGATATAAGAAAGCTTTGTAAGCGTTGGAAGAGGCTGTTGAACTGCTTTGCTTGCTTGATGGTTTCCAACGAACCTGCATGTCGTTGTCTCTTTATATATCTACTCTGCTTCTCAAGACATTGAGCCACGACCATCCACTGACGAAGATTCTGCATACCATTACATCCGCATTGGGCGAGTTTACCCGAAATCCCAAATGCCCAGAAACACCCGAGTGGTCGTTATATACCTCAGCCGTACCAAAATTCGGCCTTCACCGAACGTTGGGCAGGGCAAAATGTCTATACCAAGACAAAAGCATTGCATTGTGGCTTTTCAGAATCATGAATGCATGTTCGCCAAGTGTGCAAACACCAGGAAGGAACGATGCTGAGTGGGGTCCTACCTGCATGCGAAAGGTCGTAAAAACCCATACCTTGGCATTGACCATCAAGGTAGCCAAGCAACACTTTGTTTCTCAACGCAGTGAGGCAGTGTAAGTCTGGATTTGCACTGAGCATGCAGTCAAAGCATGGCTCAACACATGCTGAGGCGTTTCTACCAAGGCTCTTGGGTTGCTTTGAAGGTCTTGGTATAGGGTGTTCCCTCCCAAAGATGGCAAGAAGAAGTGGTCATCGCACCTTCTCGCCAAGTTTCCGTGGGTATAGTGGAGCTCTGCTTTGTCTTTGATCATGAAGGAATTTTAGCCGTACGGAAAGTACTGTGTGAAGGTTGAGGTTGGATATAAAGAAGCGTGGGCATCGTGTGGACTGCTTCAGCCGTCAACAATCCGTCAAAATACTCGTCGTCAAGATGCGTGCTTCTCTATTTTTGCTGACATCCGTTGGAGTCGCCGTTGTACAAGCGCAGTCTTTGAGGACATTTTCGCTTACTGCTTGCACAACACAAAGTGGCGTTGTGTGAGTATGTCGTCTTCCTCATCATGGGTTTGTCTGACCAGATACTAGGAACTGTTTGCGCGATGATACAACGGTGCCATGGACGACTCTAAGCAGTCAAGCAACTGCAGCACCCTCGACTACTGTGGCCCCCAGTACCACACAAGTAGAGGCGACTGCGGCCCCTACTGCTATCACTGGTTGCCACATGCATGGCGACACACAGTGAGTTCAGAACGCGGAACGTATATCTTCGATCCTCTTGTTAACCATCTGCAGGTTCTGCTTCGCTGGAGACGCAGAGTATGAAGTTTTGACAACCGCCACAGCTACCGAGGAACTTCCTTCAGAATATACCGGATGCCATGCTCATGGAGCGGACTTGTGGGTATAGCAATTCCCGACACTAAGAGGTCATTATTAACAATATCAGGTTCTGCTTCGATCCGCAAGGCGAAGAGGTCGAGGTCGTCGCCGAAGGTGCTTCCCACGATGAATCAGCTCATGAGGGACACGCAAGTGCAACGGCATCTCCAGCAGTAACTTCAGCCGCCGCTACAGGCGCTGCAGAGTCTGTCAAGGTGACGGCGCTCAGCGATTGTCATATGCACGAGACCCAACAGTTTTGTATGGGCCCTAGTGCTACAGAATATCTGATGAAGATTCCTGCTACAGCGACACAGGACTTACCTTCCCAATATACTGGTTGTCATGCTCATGGAGTACAGCTGTAAGTCATATCTGTGAATCTTAGCAGTCCATATCTGACAGTAACAGTTTCTGCATGTCTCCAGCCGGTGGTGAGGTCCTTGCCCAAGCACAAACGGCTGAAGGTGAAGAGGCAGCAGGCGAGGTATCGGCCGACGGAGTCAGCTGCCATTTCCACGCCGGTGTTGAGTGAGTTTGTCCCCATCATCGGTGTATCATCACACTGACCTTCTATACAGACACTGCGTTGATGGCAATGGAAACACCGTTGAAGGAACCTGTGAAGCCGTCGATCGTGATTACAACATTCCTCTACGCATCGGGCTGGTATTCGCTATTCTTGCAACAGCCTCCATTGGTGTCTTTGGTCCTATCTTCTTGTCGCTCGGAAGATTCAAGAGTGGTGGTATAGTCATGTCCATTGTCAAGCAATTTGGAACCGGTGTCATTATCTCGACTGCGCTTGTTCACGTAAGTCAAAACCATGGAATATCACGCACCAGATACTGACAATCTGCAGCTATTCACCCACGCAGAACTTATGTTCGCGAATCATTGTCTGGGCGGCTTAAAGTACGAAGCCACGACTGCTGCGATCGTAATGGCAGGCATCGTCATCTCGTTCGTCCCAGAGTATGTTGGAGCCAGAATCTTCCTTTGGCGTGTATCAAAGCACGAAGCTCCTGCCTCGCCTACACCTGACCAAAGCCATGATTCCAAAGGCGCGGCGACCAACGAGGAGCCTGTTGGACATCATCTCATCCACTCTGGAGATGCTCATGCTCAATCGCCTGCCCTGCAGAAGTTGAAGGTCAATATCATGGAAGCCGGAATTATATTCCACTCTCTCTGTAAGTTGTTCACACCACGATCGCGGTTCAGGGCTGACAGGAAACAGTGATTGGTCTTACTCTTGTCGTTGCCGGAGACTCAGGCTTCATCACCCTTTTCATCGTCATAATATTCCACCAAATGTTCGAAGGACTCGCTCTCGGCAGCAGAATTAGCGATCTCAAAATTCGCATGGTGGAAAAACTCCTCATGGCTACTGCATTCGCTCTTGTAACACCAATTGGTATGGCCATCGGTATTGGCGTTCTCAATCAATTCAACGGCAATGACCCTTCCACTATCATTGCTATTGGCACTCTTGATGCATTAAGTGCCGGCATCCTGATTTATGTGGGATTGGTCGAGATGTTGGCGCATGACTGGATGCATGGAGAGTTGAGCAGGGCGCCAATGAGACAGGTCATTCCGGCTGCTATCAGTCTGGTGGCCGGATTGGTGTTGATGAGTGTGCTGGGCAAGTGGGCGTAGGGTGGTGGAAATAAGAGCTGAGAATGAAAATGCGCCATGGATAATGACTATGAATTCCTCTAGACCGGTTAAAAGTTGTGTAGAAAGCGAAGCATGATTTTCACTCGTTTCAACCTCAGATATTGTAAAATCAGGTGAATTGGTGTAATAAAACCGATTCGAGTGCGCGGTGGTTTCGGCAGGTGCTTTCTGACAGGCAGGCGCGTTTGTCAAGATACTCTTGCCTTTTGACAAGGTTGACAGTCGTTGCTGCCTCGCCAAGGGAGAACAATATCGGTCAGCCAGTCTGCGAAGGCAATCTCGTAGCAGAATCAGGCGCGGATTCCCCTCAGCAGGCATCAATACAGGCACTCGATCATGGAACGTGATTCTTCCAGGCGGTCACGGTACTTTGAGTATATTCTGAGCGCACAAAGATATGACTTAACGAGCAGCTCCCGGACTTCCCCCAACCTCCTTTGCGCAAAGACAACCACTCCTCGTCATGGATGAAGATGGGGATGTATCTCTTGAAGAAGTGAGCAAAAGCCTACTGGACTGGCTGGAAGCGACAAAACCGCGTCGATCTAGTCGCATACAGAAGCTCCATCCAATGTCATACACGACGACTAAATCCCAAAAAAAAGAACACGGTTATGAATCAGGCTCGTAGAGATTTTGCGGTCCAGATGAGCGATGTGAAGTCTTCGATCTCTACAGCTCCGAAATCTGTGCAGGTGCGGTCTCTGTGGATAATCCATTCCCAAGCTTTCGATATCTGATTGCCACTCTAGACATGATCAACACGTTTGGTGCCGACATAATACCGGAGCACCTGCGACAAGCGGTTGGACTGAATCTCGACGCGTTTCCTGGGTCATTGAGGAGAGCCGAGCTTCTTTCCACAGTCCCCTTTTCCGCTTTGGACGAGCTAGCCAAACAATCAAACATCCATTATTCAACAGAAAACTAGGGAGACAAAAGCTGGAGGTGTGGTTTGCAAGGTCAGATCCTAGTCTTGCAATCAATCATGCTGATTTAAGGGGCAAGACCAATTATTCAGGCGTCACCAGTGCGATCGCACAGGATCCTGAGGTTGCAGAGGAGCACACGCTTGACTTTATGTTGCTCTCAAAAGTCACAGAAGCAGACATGACAGCGAGAAGAGTCAAGAGGTTGCCTGCTTTGAACCCGCTGCAATGAATGCGTTCCTCTATGCCTGACTATCATGGGTTCCTTCTCTGTCTGGTAGCAACCAAGGCTGGCTGGGGCAGAAAGTTGATCCCTGATCTGGCAAAAGCGGGCTGCCAGACTTCGTAATGGCTGAAAACGACCGCAGACGATGACTACAAGGATGATGTTCTGATGCCAACGATATTCCTGCTGGCAGAAGGCGCAAAGTAGTACTTCGCAATAGCGATCCACGTGAGCGGCAAACATTGTAACATTTACAAGATGTCTGATGGTAATCCTGACTCGCGTACATCGTTGCTCAAAGTGAATCGCGCGATTCAGAAGCTCCTTGTGTATGGCGATGGGCCTCATCTCGGATGGTTCAGAAGGTCGCATTCTCGAGTGTTAGGAGTACTTGATGCTCAGTCACAGTTGCTAAACAACTGATATGTAGTTTTGCATGCAGACGAGATATATTATTGTCGTACGTAGTAACGTCATCGTCGGCTGTGATGGCGAGTTGAACACAACCTTGAACGCGTTGTTGTCCACCGCGTCTCCCACGTGGCTACGTGATCGTTGCCTGCTGCCTCCGAAGCAGCGTAATTCCAATGGATTCTCGAATCAGGTGAGAGCTTTCATGAGTTCGTTCGAGTGCAAATCTGCAAACGAGATGATTAGCGCATTCGGGACCGAGAAACTATCCTGATGTTGTTGGATAGAATGATCCATCTCTTTCGAACGTCATCGAAACTTCGGTGACCTATATAAGCTGCAGAATGGTTCATGCTTAGGGTTTTTTACTCCAACATCAATAGAAATGGCGATGCCTTGGCCATCAACTCCGTCTCCTTCGTTTTCAGTCTCGGCCAGCGATGAACGTACACAGCTGAATCGTATGGGCCAGGAAATGGACGCCTTGAAAACACGCAATTCAGAACACTCCATGATGATGTGCGAATCGAACAAAGTCATCCAGTCACTCAGGCAGACGCTCAAACGTGCAGAGCAGCCATCGAATGTGACTCCTGCCGCCGCTTACCGTCGACAACGACTCACCTCGGCCGAACGAGCGTCCGGCTCGATCGATGAACCCACCGACTGCACTCTCGACAGCGACAACGACACCGAACCCACCGACTGCACTATCGACAGCGGCAGCGACGTCGAACCCTCTCACAAGCCCGGCCGAGCACTCGAACGAAGGAGCGCAAATTCTCGGAATCTACAACTTGCAAGTCAGAATATGACTACTCCGCAGAACAGAGTCCATAAGGTCCCAACAAAGCGCTTAAAGTGGACAGAGACAGAGGTACAGGCTTTACTGTCCTATGTCAAGCAATACGACTTGCATTACTCCAAGATCAAGAGCATAGATGATGCAGGAGATCGAAAGCTTAGAGATCGTGGTGGCGAACAGCTGCGTTCCAAAGTGAGGACTATCGTGGTCAACGTCATGATCAATGACGAGCCTATGCCTCCTGGGCTCGAGCATTGCCCCTTGCGTGACAAGGATCTTGAAGAAATAAAGCGACGAAGGAAAGGGTGAAGACGACTGGCATCGCATGACTGATAGACGAGACAGCAGGAAGCGACGGTGTTTCTTGATGCCGTGGCGCCAGCTTGGTTGCTTGGTGTGGGAGCGCTCCGATCACGAGTCTATTCTGATTTTGACCGGTGGAGGATCGTCTGTTGGTGGATCGGGCAGTACTGATTGGCGCCCTCCTTGGGGCGTGTAGCAATGTCAAACCAAAGCAAGAAGAATCGACGTCAGAATTAGAGATTACCCCAAGCATCCATCAGACGCAGACAGGCGACACAACTACGTGCAAAATTGTAAGGTGTCCATTTGGTATGAGTTCAAGTTCGTTGAGAACGATTTCTCGTTGGTGCTCTCCCTAGTCGATAGCATCGAGATCCAAATCATCTTGTGTTTTGACAGAACACCGGACTTGCAGGGTTCTATGAGTGACTTCCTCGATCCAATTGCTGGTAGCCTAACTCATTGTTGGTGCGAGTCGTATCAATCGATGGTTCTAGTCGATTGGAGTTCGCAATCAGACGCTTGATGCCGTCGCTTTGTCATATTCACATCGGCCGTCCGATCGTGATGTGCGGCACGTCGCCTGACAAGAACAGCAAGATGAAATAGCGCCGAGAAGATCATCTCTTCGCGAAGGGGGAAAAAGAAGCTCCAATATATCAAGTCGGAAAGATTGGTGCCAGTATCTCAAGATGGAGAGCATAGACGAGAAAGGCCCAAACCGTGTCGAGGCGTGGATGGTTGCCGGCTTGCGTGATAAATCAAGATATGAGGGTTAAATGCTTGAAATGAGCACGCGAGTTCCAAGCCTTGAGTTTAAGTCTAACGTGTTCGTATATTCATGCATAACCTCTTCCACCAAACCTCGACAAAGTCAAGCTAGCTCTCCCAGCCAGAAGAAAACGTTAAGGCACCACGGGGTGAATCACGCCCAACACCTCGGTCGTCGCCTTCGCCATGCTTGAAGGTCCACTGTCGCTCTGGGTATGGACCAATCGTGGCCAATGACTTGATGCTTTGCTAAGGTGCGACGTTGGGTTGTTATCGTGGTTTCGGGGTCTCATGAATCCATCAATTTTGTTCATCCTCAGTAACGTCTGGCTCAGCCGGCGTAGAGATGGACTCTGTGAAGAAAGCAGGCGGCTCTTTAGGGTATTTCTCGGGCATGTAAAGCTCCGTATCCATAATAAAACAATTGCTGCACATGTACCGACCTACAGCGTCAGGGTTCTCAACAGTGTGATCAGACTTCTCGAAGTCCTTGGTCGAGTCGTCAGGCTTCTCTAACCACCAATGAGTTAATGAACGATCCCTTTTGCAGGCTGTGCATTCATGGGCAGCCCGGTCAGGTAATATGACGAGCTGATGGGTTCTCCATGACCACTCGTTGAGGCGTCCAGATTTGTGCCACCAATAAATGAAGCTGTGCAACTTGCGCGATCGAGATGTCGCTGTATCAGCGCGATATTGAGCCTTGAGTTCTGATGTATGGATGTCGCGACGTTTTTGCCATGATTTCTGGTTGGCCAAGGCTGCTCTCTCACGAAAGTCAGGATCAGTGGCAATGCGATGGCGCCGACGAGCTCTCCGAACAGCATTGCGAGCAGCCTTGATGGGGTCCTGGGACGATACTTGACTTGAGGAATACGTCGTTCTGAGCAGCAAGAAAAGTGGAGAGACATTTGTTATCCAAGTCTGACGCCGGACAGACAGCGATATGTTGGAGAGGGTTGAAAACATTGCGATGGGTGATGTTTATCAAGGGAAGTCTAGCAAGAAGGAGTCTGTCGGGTGTTTCGCGCGCGCGTCGGGTCATGGCGTCAACTCGTTCCATGTCTGGGTCCGGGGAAGCAACAAATTCATGACAACATCAACACAAAGACCAAAGGCAGTCATCAATGGCATGGACGGCGACTATGGCCCGTTCCATGTGCCTGACTTTTGGTGCAAGTCGGCTTACAGTCTGCCGGATGCGCCTGGTCAGACTCTCTTCAGCGACACGCACTTTGGTATGCTTGACACGCTCCACCACCAGAAGCGACCTACTAAGACGACCACAGAACTGCCCTTGATCGATAGCCACTTCGACGCAGAGTTGCGACTCCCAGACATCGACACGTTCCAATTTGGCAAGCTCGACGACCTCAGCCTCCCCGAAGAGCCTGAGCAAGAGGCTAGCATCAGCCATCACAAGCCGTCGGAACCAAGCCTCTCGGGCGATATTGAAGCTCTTTGGAAACTCGATCTCAACACACCAGATAATGTCTCTCTACGTACGTGGGAAGCTTTTGCCAATGAGCATCACGTCGAATCGCGCGTCTCTTGCATCTCCGAAGCTGGTCCACGCGCATTCGATGCTCTACAGTCCCACGACACCGACGTCCTCCAGTCCGCCTTCACCCTGAAGTGCCTGGCCCTCCTAGGTCTCGGAAGGTCTTCAGCTTTGTTCCAGTGGAAGAAGGAAGAGAAGACATTCGTCCCCACACTCGCTAACGTACGCCTGTCTGGTCTAAGCAGGACTGCTTTTGACAGTATTATTGATCGGCTTTCCACCACCGGCTCTGATTTTGCCGAGCTCAGACAATTTGTGCACTCTTCATATGCCAACAAGCATCCTCTAGCCGCTCGTGTTGCTCTTGCGACAAGCGTCCAGGCTGTAGTAGAAGCTCTCGACCAGAACTTGTCTGAGTGTGTTCTGCAAGCTCCTTCAACCTTGCAGCTACTGGCTTACTTCGATGGTCCAGCCGTGCTGTTGGCTGAGATGAGGAACCTCGTCGATGCTACTTTCCATGCAAAGACTGACACAATCTTTCTGTCTGTGTGTCACGAAGTGATTGACAAATTCACAAACGCATGTTCTTCCTTCCATTCTCTCCACACAGAGATACTGAATCAAGTTTCTCGTCCTTGGTATCAGGCAATCTGCCAGAAAACTGGCCTCACCCGCGAGCGACTGGATTTACCCGATCAAGACGATATCCTGGAAAGCAGCGCTCATATCTCGCCTCATGACAGTGCGCAGATACATGAAGTCATGACTGGTACAGCAATCTTGGCCGTCTCGGCGCCTAGTCATCCTCTGTTGCATACCGCTTCCTGGGGGATTGAGCAACCTGATCTCGAGACGTCAATGATGAACACGGACATTGATCGTATCACCAAGAAAGCAGACAAGTATCAGCAGGACTTGCTTGCTGCCATCTCTAGATACGAAAGCGGAGATTCTAAGCCGCATGGTGCAGAGACTAAGGAAGACTTTGATGACTTGACATCAGAGCAGCTACCATGGAGCCTTGATCAGGCTCAGCAGACCTACTTCGAGGGCGTGGGGACCCAATTCACCCAGTATCCTCTGAATCAAGCCGACGCCTCTGAAATCCAGCTTCTGGTTGCGAACGTCCTCAAAGACGTAGACGGCAATCAAGATGTCTCGCGGCTTGATCTCCACATCCCCACAACGACAACACTGCGGCGTCTTCAACCATATCTTAATGTCCAAGCTCGGCTTCTAAATGGTACTCTTCTTCGCCTTCTCTTCCGACAATTCTCCCTTCGCGATCATTTGACCTTGAACCGTTCGTTTCACCTTCTAGGCAATGGCTTGTTCGTCCAACACCTCACGACCGCACTATTCACATCCGAAGCAAACACACATGGCTTGCGCCTAGACAATCGCTCCAAACAATGGCCACCTGCATCTTCGGAACTCAGGTTAGGATTGATGGGTGTCTTGTCTGAAGCCTACGGTTCGAACGACATACCCGGCAATCTCTCTTTCGCCATCCGAGAGCTTGGCGATGAAGAGATAGAGAAATGCTTGGACGCCGATAGTATTCACGCTTTGGACTTCTTGAGGCTGAGATATGAGGCTCCTGCGCCCTTAGATGTGATACTCGACGACGCTGCTATGTCGAAATATGACGACTGTTTTCGCGTTCTGCTAGGTGTGCTTAGGATGCTGCATTTTGTCACTCTACTTCGTACTACAGCACAGCAAAAGGACAGTCCCGCAGCGGTGCAGGCGTTTGCACATGAAGCCTGGAGCTGTGTGTCAAGTCTTGCGTCTTACTTTTTCGACATCGGGATCACTGGTCCTTGGAAAGAGTTTCAGAGGACTCTGGACGGCATCGAAGCAGATCTCCTGACCGAAGATCAGGAAGGGTGCTATGGCGAAAGAGTTCGCATTAGTGTTTCTGGCCTGAGGGACAAGCACAACGACATGTTGGACACGATTCGCTCACGTCTGTTCTTGCGGTCACGGCATAATAAGCTGCGCAGCGCTGTCGAGGACATCTTTGGCTTCATCCTTGGAGTCCAACACAACGATCTCGCGACCGACGAAAGCTTGCTCTGGCAACAGAAAAACACGCTCAGGGAGAAGATCGCGGGATTGAGGGATATATTGCATGAGCTCACAAGAAAGGTTGGCAAGAAGAAGGATCTGGCGTCACAGGATAGAGATGATGTATTTGCAGCTGAGGTCTTAGGCTTCAGACTTGGTGATGAGTAGTCATACACGGGTGCACCTATTGCATCGCAAACGTTCAACGACAAGTTCCAAAAGCCACTGTGTATTCTCAGATCCCTTCCGTCGAGACGAGTGGTGGTATAATCATTCTTTCCTGTTGCGTATATGTGATTTGACATAGACGTCTGCACGCTACTCCGTTTCCTCCTTGTCCGGTAGACATCTCTGCATCTACGCATCCATACACATCACTGCAAGCTTCCTGCACGAGACCCGATGTTCTCCGATCCGTTCGAAAAGACGACCAGGTTCATAAGTCTTCCGCCGTCTCCGACCTCTCTATGAACTCGTGACTCACTGCAGCGATGACGACTTCTCCATCATGCCGGCGACGAAGCGAGGACATTCCAGCAGTATTTTATCGACCCGATTGTCGATCATGGTGTACCGGTGCTTGCGAAAAGAGGTGCTGTCGAGTCAAACGACGAATTTCGCCGAGAGATTCGAGAACGGCCATACCAATACTGTCTAAGATGCTTGATCAGACAGAAGAGCTTTTACGGATGCCTGATGATGAGCGGCGAGGGCGTTGGAAGGTTGTGAATCTGAGGATATCCTGCTCGTGATGGTTGCTTTTGACGAGGATCTGTTAAACCAGCGTTCTCTTGGGTAATCGCTCTCTGTGAACGGAGTGTTTCTTTCCAGAAAAGCATCTTGCATTTGGATAGGTTTATGACTGGAAATTGACGCAGCCGGCGGGTCGTTGTGATGCTTCAGTCAAAATGGTTGATCTATGGTGCGATTGTGCTGGTATATCGCTTCATTCATCATCAAATAGTGCTGTCGGATGAAGCAATTCTTTCAGCTCATTCGTGTATTCCGCAATCCTGTTTGCATCGTCGGCTTCCTCGCTCAAAGCGATTCTGAGCTGCCTGATCGCGTCGACGACCTCTTTGCCAGTATCCTCTCGTTTAAAGGCTTCTCTGAGGGTAGCAACAGCTTCTCCATACATTTTCCAAAATTGTGCGGTTTCTTTGACGTAAGTTGTTTCTTCCAGAGGCAGAGCCCAGTCTTCCTGGCGATTCTCAATCATGTCGAGCCAATCTGTCATTAGAGGCTCACGATCGCCGAAGAGACCGGGAAGATGGACGATGAAATCTCCCTTTTTACCCTCGAACGCATGAGGTTCCTCGAATCCAGTAAAGTTTCTCAGTACATCAGTTCGTCCGTCTCTCATGTATCCAGGAAGCTCGTAAGCATTGAAGAGGTTTCTAGGCAGATAGACAATTCCGCGCTTGAAGCCATAACCATCTGGACCACCGGAAGATTTGAGCACTGTGCGTGCCATGGCGGCTTGATCGGCGTCGTTGCCCAATTCGACTTTGGGGTTGCAGAGAGGGAAGGCCATGCCATCTACAAACATGGAAATTGTCCAGGGGTGTACGCGGACGAAGAAGACACCAGTGTTCAGGCCTTGAATGTCTCTTGCTGCGACGATATTGATATGGGTGAATTCTCTAGGTGGGAGGAAGATGTGGGCTGGGATGTTTGGGTTGAGGATGATGGAGTCGGCATCGACCCACCTATTGATGTATGTTAGCTTCGTGTACGGGTGGGAAAGCAGGAAGTAAAAGCACTCACATCAACCATTCTGCTCGCTCATGCTCTGGCTTTGCGAGTTCCTGGGCCACTTGTTGTATCATGAAGGTCGGCTTGTTCCAGTATCCGCAGTACTCGTTTTGTCGCTTGATATAGGTGGGATATCCCCATCTTTCTCCATGGCGGGTGTGTGATTCCAGAGCTCGTTCGTATAACGAATTGTTGCCGTATAGCATAGACACTCTAGCAATCTTGTAGGGTCTGTCACCGTATATGAAGGATGGCCGGTGCCATAGTGTTCCGAGAAAAGTAAGTACGATGAGACCGCAGGACATCAAACTGATGAGTCGGTTGTTGAACCACTGTGCTCTAGTCAGTTTTCTCCGCAATTATCCTGACTTGAGAGGTATACGCACTCCCATCGTCAACAGCGGCTTCCGCGGCGAATGCATGAACATCTCAGATCTCGTCGTCTCAAACGACCGCTTCGATTCCTCGGCATCCAGTTGACTATATCGTGAATCACTCATGTTGTGTATGTGTAGATTCCAGGGAAAAAAAGAACGCTCGGAGAGCTCGGGTCGAGCCTTGCAATAAGTATCTGACCACCATGATGTTTCGACTGTTCTCGAGCGTGGCCGTTTTGTTTGTGATCCATACAACCGTTCGAAAGCTCCGGATGTTTGGCCGTTGGATGTGATTTTAGAAAACCTCGGCTAGTTTTGCCATGTGAAATAGGATCTTAGTGGCCGTACACTGATCAGACGTAGAGAGAACCTTGGCGTATGTTCGAGAATGAGAAGCCAGTGGTTCAGAATCTGTATCATGCGACACAATGCTGAGTGGTTTGCAGCAAAGAGTGCCAGAGAATGCCTATACAGACCCCTGGCCGAATCGGGTAATCAGCAACGGCCGAATATAAGAACCATAATCTTTGACATATAGAGCCTACATATCACATTAGCAACTTCCCATCTTGAGCCGAAGCTTTATTAAATAGCTTTCGTGCAAGTAGCCGAAATAAAATCAGCATGAGGAAAGAGCTTCTCGCGACTGCCAGATATTCTTTACGGTCAAATCAAGACACATTCGCTGTCAATATCGATACACAGTATGAGGTGGTATCATCAAGTTTTGGTTATCGGGCTCTATGGAGTTATTTGTGCCTTGCTGCGTGCTCAAAACTGGTACTAAACAGGAGCGTATGAGTAGCTTGCTTGTTCGTATTAGCTAGCAAACGCCAAGCCCTCAAAGGCGGTGGCCGTTCTGCCGCTTCCTCCACTCCACTCTCCATTCAAGCACACTTCGCTCCTCGCCATTATTGCATACCAAAAAATTCTCGTTGCGCCCTTCCTGGTTCTTTTCAGCATGCCAGACAATAATGGCAAATAAGCCTGTAGAGTCAGATCAACACCACACTCGCAATCATGTTTGCCCAAGAGATCCTCCGGATACGACAAGAGCACGAATTGATGTGTAACTCCACCAATCTCTGCACAGCGGCAAGAATCAGGGCGCCAATGTATCAGCGGAAGCGAACGACAAGAGAAGCTCTCTCCATCCTGCCAGCTAGAGCAGCAGCTCTCTTTTTCTCGCGTTCCTCTTTTAGCTCGTGCATCTTCTTGTGCATCATCGCATTCATCTCCTCGCCTCTGAGCCTCTTCGCCGGATGAGGACCACGGAAAGGCTGCATGACGCGGATCTTGTTGTAGTCTGGGCTTCCATTGTCCAGCACCCTCATGTCTGGAACCTTCCTCAGCTGTACACGAACTCCGGGGTAAGGCTGGCGCATGCGCAACTCTACCAACACGCGATTGAAGAGCGTCTTGTAGCTGGCACCCTGCTGGGTCATTTGCTGCTCACAGGCGTTGCGCATGTCTGTAAGGAAAGCTTTAATCCAGGAGATGTCGCAGCTACCTGGTGAAGGGGGTCCAGGAGGTGGTCCAGTGGTCCAAGCCTGTACACTAGGGTTGAAGACGAAAGTTCCAGGGCTCATTGGGTGAGCAGGATTGACAGGAGTCGTGGCATGGACTGTGATGCGAGGAGCTGCGCCTGCGGCAAACTCGATGCTGAATGCCAACTCGCGGAAGCAGGAGAATTTGATGTATAGCTTGTGCACACGACCAAGCACCTCCTCGATGTTGAGTATCTCGCGAAAATGAGGCCAGAGAGCGTTCTTGCCAACGAGGTGGGGCTGCGAAGGGCTGCGAAGAACAGGGGCGGTAGCACTCGTGAAGCTGACTTCCCAGAAGCGATTGTAGGAGGCATGATGGATGTCGAGTTGCAGAGTGATATCGTGGGTCAGCTGGCGTAAAGCAGTACGGCGAGTGTATCTGGACATCTGCAGCAGGGGGCTGGGAATGATCTGGTGAGCTTGGGCGTCAAGGATGTACGCGAGGATCTCGAGCTTGTTCTCAAGAGGCAGCAACGTAAGACCGCGGCGAGTGGCTGCCATGGCCTTTGTCTGATTGAAGGCCGGACTGATGGAGGTTGGTTGAACCATGTTGGAAGTCTCGCGTCTGGAGATCACGTCCACCTGATGAGTGTACTTTGCTAACTACCGGACAGTATAACCAGTATTGTCTACGGGTCTTCCGTCTCCCCGATGTTGTACTCGGCGCTGTACTTTGTTCATCGGCGTGGTGATCAACATGCATGCTCAACAAAGGACCCCGGGCCACCTTCACACATGCCTGAGTTACAATTATCGCTAAGCTATGCTGTGGCTTGCTATTGGCCCTCTGTGCCGACAATTTTCGATACTGCAGATCAGTACTAGATCATTAGCCATCAGGATGCTTATTTCTTTCATCCATCACGATTATCAACCGAAAATCTTGGTAACGGCATGAGGATCATTTCACATGCGAATGAAAACAGCTTCTTACGAAATTTTTTCTTAATCCGACGATTGTACGTATTCCGATGCCAGTAAGATAGGGTCTGTCACAACGATCTTCTACCGAGGACGCACCAGAGTATCGAGGCTCGACATCAACCTGCAATTTGCGTCCAGATTCGATCCAGGAAACCACATGCATTACACATAGTAGACGTTACAAGTCTTCTGCTTTTCCCTGGTTCGGACGTTCACTGCAAGCTTGCAAAGCCTGACAGCAACATACCTAATATGCTCCCGGCGAGAGATCCTAATCTCTCACGCGCGAATCTTTCCCCTTGGCCTCAGTACGCAACTTGATCCAGCTGGCTCTCAGATCATTGACAAATTCGTCAACCCATTTTACAGAACAGTCGGCTTTTCGAGTGCTCCACCTGATCGCCGTTGCATCCATCATTCGGTATGCTTCATCAACGGATACGTGAGACCTGAGGTCTGGTTTCTTCCAATGTTTATAAACTGCAATTTCGGGTGGAGAGTCGACTCGGAAATCAATGATGAAGCCCGCGGAAGGGGTTAACCAATGGATGCTGATTTGTTTAGTCCGTGCCATCATCTGCTTGCCAATGCTGCTTTGGCGGAAGACACGCCATTGCGTCCGACCGCGTCCAAGAGTGAACAATGGGGAAGCTCGTGCTTCTTTTTTCTCAGGCTGACGGAAGCGGAAAGTGTGCCTGATGCTCCAACTGGTGCGACGAGTGTTGTTGAGCTTCAGGGTAAAGTGAACCTTGGTCCCAAGTATTCGTGCTGCAGCATCCGTTGCTTCTTCTTCCAGTTGCTTGCAGGTTTGCATGAGAGGATGCGGGAGCTTCGGTTTTGCTTCTTCTGCAAAGATGTGTTCGAATATCATGTATCGCATTTCTAGCGGAAGAACTGTCAACAGTGTGCAAGTCTGGACAGGCCTGGCCAGCGCCGTAGCCAGCTCTTGAGCCAACTTCTTGGTTTGCGATCTGGTCTTGATGGTCTTCATGATGATAAGACAGCGATGTGGTCAAAGTAGAGTTGATCGAACGCTACGATTAGAAGCGCAGTTCTGGGTCGATTCTCTTCGTACGGAGGCTAGAGAGAGAACAATGTAGGTATGAAGAGTGCTATCGGAGTGGAAGTAAGTCGAATTTGCTTTGAAGTTTCTGACAGGTCACCACGTGGATAAGCCGAGCAAATTAACTCTAGTGTGAGTGCCTGTCCTTCTCTGCAGTCTCGCCATTCTCTCCACAAGAAAGGAAAGCACGAATCAAGTCGCTAAAGGATTGCGATAATTTTTTCGGACCAGCACGTGGCTTGGAGTGGATAAGCAGCCCTTCGCTCTCGCCTGGTTTTTGTTAGACGAATGGGCTATCTCGGCGTCTTTGCAACTCTACCACCCCGTGTCACATCAGCCATTGTAACATGAGCCAACTTAGGATTCACTCGATAATCAAGCCTGTACAGTCAACGCGGAAACGTACTGATGCCTGTATCAGCGTTGTTGATCAGCAGGACTTCAACGAAACAAAGTTGTAACAATCGGGCATCATTACAACGACCGATCAAATCCCATTCCGAATCTTCCAACAACGATCTCTCGAGATGTTCTCACCAACATCAGGTGGTAATTTTTAGGTAGGGGCGAGAGTGTACTTCTCGTTCCTGCCATCGCCCTTTCTTGCGTCTACTCGAGTCGATTGTCAAGATCTTTGTGAGTCATTCGATGACTGATGAACGGAAGGCCTTGACATTCTTAACCTCACTCCTCTCCTCCTTCTCGCTCTCTTCTGTACATTCAACATAATCTCAGCTGCAGTCCATCCTTCAACCGTCGAACGATATGGCGGCGTCCAAGATGATCGAGTCACAAGCTCCAGAGAACTGCACGAAGTCCAGGGATCAGACCGTTGCCTTCCTAACAAGACTCCCACAGGAGCTCCGCGATCTCATCTACGACGAAGTTTTCGCCGCAAATTCGGAGCAAAAGATCCCTCATCCGTTGACGCAGACATGTCAAAGCGTCGCCCGCGAGTCCACACTTCGCTTGCGACGCTACTTCTCCCCTCGAACGACTCTCCAAATTGAATGCAGACATGCTTCGATGCCCACAAGTTGGAACACCAGCTTCTATACATCTGCAGCAAGAGGAGATTATCTGAAACTGCCTGGATCCCCTACGCTGTCACCATACTACTCGAGATGGAGTAACTTCCGCACCTTGGCCGAACGAGAAAACAACCTTCTTGCGAACATAGGATGTGTCTACATCAGAATGGTATGCTATCGCAATCTGGCGTTGAGTATCCATTTCAGCAAGGATGCACCGACCACGATTCGTGTGCATAGGGCCCTCTACTCGTTGCCGATGCCTCTCGAGGGCGACCATACCCGATTCTACCTTGATCCCATCATCAAGAGCACACATGAGGCTCCAGCAACCTGCTCAGTAGCTTGGATCGAAACCTTGATCACCAGCATACGAATGCAATGTGACCAGATATTTGCAGAGACAAACTACTATCCGTTGCACGAAGTCCTGACTGAAATGCACACGCGAAGACCGCATCAAAGATGCATAGACACACGTGGACTTGGACTTGGACTTCAGCTCAAACCCCAAAGATCCATAGACGCAGGACTTGGTCTTGGACTTAAGCTCAGACCCCTCGGTGATGGAACATCGTATCCACCCAAACGAATCACCATGAAAAAGTTGGATAGATTGCAGAGAGAAAGAGAGATTGAGCTCAAACGATCAGAGGATGAAGAGCGGTGGAAACAGAGAGGGGGAATCACAGAGCGGAGCAGGCGACTTGCAAATGAAGATGGGGAAAGGGTTAGTAGGAGAGCGAAAAGAATTCGCCTATTCAGTATTGTGTAGATCCACCGGGATGCTGAAATATAGTTTTCCAGACTCCATGTAGCTGACCTACGACAAGTGTTTCTCGTCTATAGAGTACGATAGACATATACATGATCATACAATCAAAGAAACCCCGACTCATCTCTCGTTCATGTCTTTCGAAAAGTTGCTTGCTAGAGATGACACGTATAGCTGTGAAAAGTGTAATGTGTCTTTACAGATGAAACCAGACAATATTGTCAGAGGCTGCTAAGGGAAGTAGTGATGGCCCTGCATTGTTAGATCATGCCTCCTAGGATCCACGTAGGATTTGCTGCGCGCCTCTATCCACGCATCCCGTATAGCCAGCAAGAGCTCTTCGATCCAGGCAATTGAGCAGGCTGTAAACTGGTCTTCCCATGTTATGATTCCAGCACGGAATATTCTGTCGGCTCTGCCCTCGAACTGACGGTCACGGCAGCATAACCAGTCGGCAGCGATATGAAGCGGCGGATCGCACTCGAAGTCGATGCTCAACAAAAGACTACCCACAGGTTTTAGGGCCAGGAAGATTTGCTGCAGACGTGGGACGAATTCATGTGCGAAGTTGCTTCGGCGAAATACAGACCACCTAGAGCACAAATGCGCCTCTCGAGGTCGCCTGTTGATACTGTCTGCGCTTGGAGCTTTCCAGGTGAAGTAGCATCCGATGTTTGTGGGTTTCTTAAGGTCGCAGCCGATGTAGAGAATGGATGAGCGAGCTAGTGCTCTGATGAAAGGAACTCTTGCTTCAGCTCTGAGTTGCTTGGAAGTCCGCATGAGAGGGTGCGATGTTGCACTGTCCCCGAGCAGTTTGGCGTAGTCGACTGAGAAGACGTAGTCGTAGATCATGTCTTTGAGTTCTTGCGGAAGCTCGATCAGAAAGGAGCTGGTCTTGATGGTCGTAGCCATGATTTGACAGTCGATATATCTAGGAGGAATTTAGTAAATTGCAGTAGGAAAATTTGATATCAAGGGATGGAGAGCTCGTCGAAATGACTCTTGCATGCCACGCGACGGACCCGGAGTCTTCACGGAGTATTGTGCTCAATGAAACGCGAAGGCGAACAGTTTTCGGACAAAAGATCTTGATTAAGATCTCAGCTCACTCTGTGGTGTGTGTTTACTTGCTGGACACAAGATAGAGAATCACATAGCAGGCGATTGGTCGAGATTCGAATTGTGGAAGCAAAAACAGATCTGTTGTTTATCATATCGTGTAGCTTTTTCTGCAGGCCGCCAGGGCTCATTCGTAAATTACCACTTGGCCTCCTTTGTGGCCAAAAAGTCGTTCAATGTCTTGACAATGTTCTCGAGGCTGGTCAACCAAGCACCGAGCTCCTTCTCGACGCGAGCCTGGTCGTCACCGAGCTTGGCGTAGAAGTCCTTTCGGTAAGGGGTGGCGCTCATGGCAGCGCTGAAGACAGGCTTGATGAGGAAGCTGTGGTGCTTGCTGAGGGTGTTGCCGTATGCGGCACGGAATGAGACGCTGACTTCCTCACCACTGTTGCTGAGATTCTGGCGGAGGGCTTGGGCGGTGAAGTCGAGAGCACTACCACGATTGTCAGAACGGATGTTGTGAAAGATATTGGTGGAGACGTACCGGTTCAGCCAGACAAGACCCTCAGTTGCGACGTGCTTCTTGGTTGCGAGCTCGTTGCGAACGAGGTCTTGGAGGTTCTCTGAGTCGACGGGAGCAGCGAGTTGACGGTCACGGATTTTCTGGGATGCGTGAGATCACGATTGCAATGGGTAGAGCGGCGTGTAGTACCTTGATGTTGCCAGTCATGTCCGACTTGACAGGCTTGAAGGCGGTCGAACCGAGGACATCTGTTCTTATTAGAGCATGACCAATGGTAGAGATTCAGGAGTTACACACCGAAGAGAGTGGTCAAGCTCTCAGCAGCCTCGAGGAACTGAGAAGTGGCAATCTTGCCAGACTCGACGGGGACATCGGTGAAGCTACGCTTCAGAGTGTCGAAGAAGGTACCGCCAGGAGGGTAAGCCATTGTGTCTGTGGATGGGTTGGGAGGTAGAGTTGGTTATGATATGGGTCAAGAAGAGCGAAAGAGATAAGTTTGAAGAAGGGACGGTGTTTCTCAGGAGTTCTCTACTCTAGATTGGAAGCTACGGCCAGACCTGAATAGATTGAGGGTTTCGTTTCAACAGCGGAGCCCGCCCCTGCCTCGTCACCCCTCCATCGGCGGTGTGATGCGGCCTTGGCATATCAATACTGTGGGGTAGCTTCTCTGTTGACATGAGGGGCAGAAAAGACATCATTATTGCATGAAGCGAGCTGCGGATCTGTTGCGGTGAAAAGAAGAGATCAGAAGATAGAGGCAAGCTTGAAGAATGGCTCGCTACCATCGGTGATTGCCCTGGAAGTATCGTGAACGCCTCACATCATCGACATTAGAAGAGCTAGCCCATAGTCTACTCGTCCTTTGCGTAGCCCATAGCTTTCCGCCACCAAGCATATACACCACGATCTTGAAGCTGTTTGCCGAAATCGCTCACCGTCTCTGTCTCGTAGAGTCCAGGTCTTACTTCTGAATCTTTCGTCGGCTGATTTTCATGCTGAATGGCAGCAGGACGAGCAACTAGCTGATAATCCTTGTAACGGAGATTCTGCCAGGTGGGTCAGACTCATTTCTGAAGAACAGTAGATAAGACGTACATGAACAGTATCAACCCAATGGCGAACGCCCTTCTCTTCTCCTTCTACATACATGATACCAGGCGAGCTTCCGCTCCTCAGCATAGCAAAGACCTGTGTAGCATCGGCGGCCTGCTTCAATTTGGTCACCTTCTTTCGAGAAGTGATATGATGTGTTCGGATCAGAGCATTGAACATGAAGAAGAATGATGTTTGATAATTGGTGTCAAAGAGCGTGAAACGCAGATGTGAAACTCAAGCATGCAATGGGCTGGCTCGGTTAAACTTTCCCACGTTTTCGGGGCGCCAAAGTGAAAGTGCATTCTAGAAGCTCCACCGTCACAGTCACATGCATTACTCTTTAACACTTTCTTCCTCTTTCCCTATCGCAATCACATTCCACACATCCATCCACATAGCAACGGAATCATGGATCAAGCAAAGCTCGGCGCAGAGGCACTCAGTGCAGGCAACTACGCCGAAGCCATCAAGCTATACACAGCCGCCCTTGCAGTCTCACCCACATCACCCGACTACCTCATCAAACGATCTACCGCATACCAGAGAACCTCGCCCGCCGACTATCAGTCAGCCCTTGCTGATGCCGACAAGGCCGTGCTCAGTGCACAAAAGAGAGGCAAGCGCGAGCTCATCGTCCAGGGCCAGTTCCGACGAGCCATAGCACTCTTCGGTTTGGAACGCTACCCCGACTGCCGCTTCCTGCTTGACGTTGTCAAGCGTATGGATCCGAAAGACAAGTCTATTCCTATGTGGGAAAGCAAGGTCAACACAAAAATCTCCGCCATGGAAGGCTCGACCGATGTTACTGTCAAGGAGACACCTGAAGAGAAGGAGGACACTACAGTCGCAAGCCCTCCCAAGAAGGCTGACACAACACGCACAACCACCTCTACTCCCGCACAACCCCCTGCAGTGACTCAGACACCCGCAGACAAGATCCGTCATGACTGGTACCAGAACAACGACAAGGTCTACTTTACCCTCCTCGCAAAGGGCGTCCCCAAGGACAAGGCCATCATCGATATTCAAACTCGCTCTCTGAGCATCTCCTTCCCCCTACAGAGTTCTTCCGACTTCGACTTTTCTCTCGAGCCCCTCTTCGCCGAGATCGATCCTTCAGCATCAACCTCTTCCATCATGTCCACCAAGGTCGAAGTCGTCCTCAAGAAGTCACAACCCGGTCAAAAGTGGTCAGCTCTAGAAAGCAACGAGCCTGTCGCGAACAAGTCGACTACCACCGCATCCGTACCCTCGTCGGTTCTCCAACCTACCACCACACAAAAGGCACCTTCATACCCTACCTCATCCCGCAGCGGCCCCAAGGATTGGGACAAGCTGGCATCTGAAGCTCTCGCCAAGCCCAAGACTGGCGATTCCAAGTCAGACGGTAAGATCGAGGAAGAGGAGGAGGACGAGGGTGGTGATGCAGTCAATGGCTTTTTTAAGAAACTCTACGCCGGTGCAGACGCTGATACCCGTCGCGCAATGATGAAATCCTTCAGCGAAAGCAACGGTACCGCTTTGAGCACCAACTGGGAGGAAGTCAAGAAGGCCAAGGTCGAGACCAACCCACCTGACGGCTTGGAAGCAAAGAAGTGGTAGTCCACACCTCTTGATGGACTTCTCTTGGTTAGTTTATGGTTATTGATTTACATGGTGCCGTACGGCATAGCATGGTTTTTCTAAAATAGCAGGGTGCTTTGGAGTTATTTTTATTTGGTCAATACCAGCGCTCACTTGGAGCCAGGGTAGTTTCGGCACAGTCTAAATCAATTCATATTGACATTGATCTCACGCATCAGAGTTCGTGACATGAATAAACTGTGCATTGTGACAACGCTCGAAATTGTCAATTCAGCACAACGCAAGGTTGCCTCTTGTTGAGAAGGTTCGCTCAAGACCACAATCAAACCGAATGATCAAATTCCGGACATACGACCTGATGATCATAACCACCCATCCCATCTTCATCTTCACTGCCTTGCACATCCATCTCTCGAGAATACAATATACAACCCTCACCTCCCAACAGCACCCTTAGCAGCAATCCTCGCCAGCGCAGCACGATTCGGCAATTCTAGGATCGCCCTGATACCTTGACATACAACATAAAACGCTATACATCTCAGGAGAACAGCGAAAGCGTAGATGAGGTTTCGTATCTCGTCATGGTAGCGTTCTTCTTGTGTTGGTTTTGGTGGTGGTTGCCAGCGTGGTCGTGCTTGTTTCTGTTCTTGTGGTGTGGGTGTTGGTTCTGTGGTTGGCGATGACATGATGATTTGGTGGAGATGCGTGAAAGATTTGAGTGGCAGCGTGTTGTCTTTGGTGATGTCGAAGATGGTGGTGTTGGGGGTTGATGTTCGAGGGTCGTGGAAATTGGTATGGGCGAAGTTGTCAATAACGTGGATATTAGAGGCTTGGCTCGCGAACGACTTTCATACGTATGAGGCTAGGGCAGCAAAGGAGTTGTTGTGATGATCGGGTCTTTTGTTTCTGTGATGAACAATTGAGAGGGGTATCTATATATGCTACGCTATGCTGGAAAAATACATGAGAAGTGATGGTAGCCTGCAATCTAGAAGAAATCGTCAAAGTCGAAACCACCTCCATCGCCACCGCCAGAGTCGCCACCTCCTTGGTTTCCACCTGACCATGGATCCTGTTCTTGAGGTTGTTGTCCCCAAGGGTTCTGCTGCTCGCCCCAGGGGTTCTGCTCACCCCAAGCATCTCCTTGCGACTGGCCAACACCGCCGTCATTCTGGAAAGGCTCGACAGGGGCTTGAGGGCTAGCATCGTCGGCAGGCTGGCCACCATATCCACGGTTCATGGCTTCAACACCTGCCATAGTTCCAGCAGCTCCGATGGCGCCTTCAGTGCCAGCAGCACCTCTCGCTGCACCACCCATAGCACCGCCAACGCCCTCTGCAGCACCGACTTCACCTGCAGCTCCTCCAGCCGCTCCACCAACAGCACCTCCCTCAGCAGCACCGCCTCCCATGCCAGGGAACCATAACGGCATAAATCCACCACCACCGCCAACACCACTATGTCTACTGAAGTAATCGAAATCTATAGACACGGCTGTAGCAAGCATGACAGCCCTTTGATCCAACGTCATGGCCGTCTCTTCAACTCCTTTCCCTAGACTAGCAGAATCCATACGTAGAGCATAAACACCAGTATCGGTGAAGATCTCCCTGGCAAAGCCGACAAAATTGCGATTTACGCTGCCGATCTTGCGTTCCTCGGCATCTTTCAAGGAGAAATCCCAAGAGAGGAAAGGTTCGTTGACAAAGGCGAATTGTTGCATTCCTGCTTCTATTGCTTGTTCAGATTGCCCTTCTGAGACCTTGAGGGCTTTGGCTTCAGTGTTTGGTGCATCTCCGGAGGTTAATTTTGGGGAGGAGTCGTTCGCTGGTTCGAGAGAGCGGTAGTTGAAGAGGTTGTATTTGCGGCGGAGAGGTGCCCACTGTTGCTGTGCTTCTCCGATGATACGCATATCGGCCAGTGGGAGGGGTGACACTTGAGCTGCAGAGGTTTGGTCTATGGCTGACTGGACCGAGGTGCCTTGAAGCGTGTCTGATTGTGAGTAGTCACCATGAGCAGTAGGATCGTAGATGCGAATGCGCGATGAGATCCAGGAGAAAGGTCTGTGAATACGCAAGACTTCCCTCTCGTTCTTGTCGAAGATATGGGAGGTAAAACTTCGGTGCGTCTTGAACATCTGGCGGCCCAGCATACTGCCTACTCCGTGATCCTGCTCGGCCATGTATCCAATTGTTTCTCCTCTTCCATTCATGATGACATATCTGTTGGCTTGTTCGAATCCGAGGAAGACGTTCATCATCTCGATTTGTCGCTGAATGACCAGAGAGCTGTTGTTTAAGAGATCCCACGCCGGATGGTTTGGTGTCAGAACACCATTGGGGTCATCTGGAATTGTGACAGGCGCAACCAGATCTGAGGACTCGTTCTCTGCTAGAGCCGTGGCGACCAGAGCGTTCTTGGACGGTTCTTCGGGCGTTTGCTGAGTTTGCTCGTTCGGCTTGTTCTGCTGACTTGGCTGCTGCGAAGACTGGTGGCGGCTATTTGTAGCCAAGGGCGAAGCTCGTGATGGACGAGGCGTGATCCGGGAGGGTGTTCGTGGTTTATTGAGGATACTTCGAGGACCTTTTGGACCTCTAGAGGTCGAGACATAGCGTCTAGCTGCTCGCGATAACATTACTGGTGGTCGTAGAGCTGACATGATTGATGAGAGGATGTGAGAAACAGCTTGGAGGACGGTGGATCTTGGTGGTGAATAAGAATGACGATGGATTATTCGAGACCCGCGCTTAACTCCGCGCTTCGGTCCGCTCTTCCGGCATGTGAAGCTTTGACCATATCAAGAATAATTCGGCAACCATCGTGCATTGCTCACGCTGTCAGTCAATACCAACCTTCTCCGCTACTAACTTCACTCATTGTATATACGTATATTGGACGTTCGTATCCCACTGGGTAAGTCGTCTCGTTTTCTGCCATCTTCTGTCATCATATCGCGAAGCACAGAAAGATCATATCAATCTTCAAAGTCCAGAAAAGCAAAAGAGATATCAAGCATACATTTGTTAGTCTATTAGTTCTTACGCAACTTCTCTGGTCATGAGAAGATGTACGAGAGTATGATTCTATTTGAGCCTGATGGGTACTACATCAGACTTCTGAGCAAGACACCATACATTTCTCTCTTTGCCTTTTTTGCCGGCAGGTTTCTTAGCCAGAATCTGCTCTCTGGTGCAATCTCTTCCATTACCTTCCTACCATTCGCGTCGCATTTTATTTCCTCACTCGCATGAATTAGAAGCAGTCCTGACAATACCAACAGCATATCTGCGCGAAGAGAAGAACATCTGCAAATATGGCTTCTCCAAATACCGAGGCCAGCGGGAGCTCAAGACTGGACGTAAAGCCAGTAGCAACAGAAACAGTCCAGGCATCCGCCCCTAAGGATGTGGCCGCACCAGACAAACCCAGGCCAGCCAGGACGCGACCACAGAGACCGAACTACTTCTTGATTCACTCGAAACCTCTGCCTTTGGAGACCCATCCTCTTCCGGCATTTGTCCCACAGAATCCGCTTTCTCTACTGCGCATCGCATACATCTATCTCTCACAACTCATCTCGGCACCTTCTTCTCACCCCGATGTGCCCATCACTGGTATCTTCAGCTCGGAAACAAGGTCTGTCCACATTACAGACCAGAAGTCTATCCGCGCTCTGTGGGAGATGGGTTTCTTCGGAAAGGGAACGTTATCACGTAGTGAGCCTAGCTGGCTCGATAGAGAAAAGGCTCGTCTCAAGGCCAGCAAGCACGGCGGTGGTACAGCAGAAGAAAACACCAGAAAGCGAAGAGAGGAGAGAAAACTCTTCAAGCTGGAAAGAGCCAGACTGGAAGCTGAGCAGATCGAAGAGACGTTGAGAAAAGAGAGAGCAGCGCTAGAAGCCAAGAAGGAAGTAAAGGACGAAGAAAAAGCGACAGAGATTGCCATCTCTCACGTTTTCCCCTGGATGCAACAGGAAAGTGCAAACGCAGAGTTCACAGAGGAAACCCAAGCCGTACCTGCGGAAACCGCCGAAACCAAGGAGCCTGCCACCAACATCGTCGACGTCCCCATCCTCGAAACCGGCACCACAATCCACACAACCGGCATCCCACCCTCCACCGTCCCAGCAGAAACCCCTCTCTCAACCGACGTCGAAGCCCCCATCACAAATCAAGAACACCTCCAACTCAACCTCGAAGAATCCTTTTTCCTCTGCTACGCCCTAGGCGCCCTCACAATCCTCGACCCCTCAACCTCCCAACCCATCCCGCCGCCCTCCCTTCTAACCCTCTTCCGCCGCCACTCCCATTTCCCCACTGCTTCCCCCTCTTCCCTCCGCCCCGATGACCCATTCCTTCTAAACTACATTGTCTACCACCACTACCGCAGTCTCGGCTGGGTCGTCCGCCCCGGTGTAAAATTCTCCTGCGATTTCCTGCTCTACAACCGTGGACCTGTATTCTCGCATGCGGAATTCGCATTATTGATATTACCGGAATATGAAGAGGGGAGTGTGGAGGCCGAGCAGGGAAAGGGAAAGATGGGATGGTGGTGGTTGCATTGTGTCAATCGGGTGCAGAGTCAGGTCAAGAAGAGTTTGGTTATTGTGTATGTCAAGGTGCCGAAGGTGTTGCCTGTGGGAGAGGATATTGGGGAGGTGCTTAGGAGTTATGAGGTTAGGGAGTTTGTTATCAGGAGGTGGTTGGCTAATAGAAGCCGTGATTAGATATAGCTATGTGAGAAAGAAACAGGCTGGTGAGACGGCTAATTTTGTTTTGTCGCAGCTATTGGAAGCCATCATTCTTTAGTTTATCGAACTCCAGCTATCGAGCTCCACCTCACGAATGCAAGCTAAATAATGCACTCATGTTCTCCTGTCTTTCGATCTCCCTTTCCTTCCGCCTCAATCTCTCCTCGTGTTCATCCAACCTCTGAATCAACGTTACCTGCTCGTCAGCAGCCTGTTCCTCGAACTTCCTTAGCACCTCTAGCGCTTTCAATGCCTCTTTCACAGTCACTCTAGCCTGTGCATCTGCCTCTTCTCCAGGTTCATGGTCAGCACGAGTCACGAACGCAGGTACTAGCGGGGCGTTCGGAATGTCTTTGTAGTCTTCCTCTCGCGGATCGATGAAATCGTTGATGGTATTGTGTAGACGGATATCTGTCTGTTGGCGCAAACGATCAAGCAAGGTCTGGATCTCTAGCGTGGCTTCTAGGGTTCCTGGTATAACGAACTCTACGAATGGATCTGGTGTGATCTCATCTTCAGATGGAATCAGTGTAGAATGTGCCCAGCAAGTATGAATAGCGCTTGCAGATGTCGATTGCCATGCCTGGATGGCCCATCTGACTGCATGTAACACGTTGGTTGTGTTTAGTGGGGCTTTTCGCATGGCAATCTGATCACACATGTGGCGCAGCCACTTCTTGCGATAATGTGCCTTGAACGTCCTAATAATGCCTTTGGCGGGTGGCTGGAACTTCTCGGGGTGAGGGGAAGGTAGGCGATATACGATGGTGTTTTGAAGTGGTTGCTGAGTGGAGCGAAAGCTTTCGATGACATCTTGATGGATATTTAAATCGTCAAGGAACAGCAGAACTCGTCGGCCTGCCATCCTTTTGTCAAACCACCGAAGCCAATCGCGCATAATCACAAATTGCAGCTCAGCAGAGTTGTTCGCTCGCCATACGCAGTTCAAGGCGTTTATGTTGATGCCAGCCAGATCGAATGCTCGAGGCGACTGATGTGTGCCGATGAGCCACAGTGGGAGCTTGTCAGTTCCATCGGCGTTGCAGCAGATCATGTTGAGCATCTGAGCTGTTTCTGAGGCCAGCATACGACGATCGGGTGATTGATTCCAGTAGAGCTTTGTCTCATCGCAGATGTATATATCTGCCGGGTTGAATTGGCTGGCAATCTGGCACGCGTTAGACACTTGTTCCGCGATCTCATCATCGCTGGAAATACGTGGTAGGGCACGACGTGGCTCCGCTTGCAGCGGAGGCTGCGCTTGAGGTCGAACCTGAGGTCGAGGCAGAGTTTGGGGTTGCGATTGAGGTTGTTCGAATAGACGACGTGCTGCAGCGACTGCGGGATGAGGCGCTGGAGTATGTTGACTATTATATTGTGCGATGGAACGCTCAAGCTCAGAAACACTATAGTCAACCTCGGATTGATCCCCAACTCCGTCACTAGGTTGGGCCTCGACATGGATTGGGTCCTCAGGTTCTTGGCCAGATCGGGCCTCTGCCAGGCGTTGCAGACGAACTCCGGCTGGTACTCTGGGTACGATGCCGTGATGTTTCTTGTGAGAACGCCTGGTGAGATTGTGACGTCGCTTGAAACCATCAATCCAACCATTACTGAATTGTGGAGGGTTCTGATCTCTATATTGTTCCATCTCATGCCACAATCGAGCAGCCTGCTCAGCGAGCACGGAATAGTTGATGTTCATTGTGCCTTCATTTTGACGATACCATGTGATCAAAGCCTCTTCGAGATCGGGCCAGCTCGAAGGTCTCAACTTGACGGCATCATAGTTGATGTTGACATTTGGGTCATCAAGCCAATCGTATTTCGCTGATAGACTATCCGAAATAGTTCCTTGTGATGGTGTATGGCCAAATCGTTCAAGGAACCAAGAGCACAGGTCCTTTTGTCTACCGTGAGGCGTCAATCGAGCACGATCGCGTAAAGCTTTGCGTTGGCCATTTGTCATGGGAAAGCGTTTTCGCACATAGTCTTCTGGTTTTCCTGCTGGTTGAGGGATTGTGGGTGCCATGATGTTTAATCGTTATGGAATCGTATCGCAGGGCGAGAGTATCGTTGTGCTTGGGAAACGTCGTACCGTGTCAGAGAATTTGATAAAGAACACAAGGGATCTTGTCGTACGACGTATAGATCGGTCTCCATGCAGGATGGCAAGGAAACCACCAGCGGGATTACCCTAAGTTTTTTCAAAGACCAGGAATGAATTGGATTCTCTTTCGGCAACCGCTCTGATCGAACACCTTTGTGTCTTCTAACAGGATCTGATCTGGTAGCTTCTGGTGCTGGACAGTCGAGAACGCTTTGCAAGGAAGCGTCGTGCGTCTCGTATCATGACCCTGGAACATCCATCGGCTTCCATCGTCACCGCCTCCACCCGAACGAACACTCTTTGACTCTTGTGATCAACATACCAATACATCTCTCACTCCGGAATCCAAACCAGATCATACATACAATACAAGCAACATGACCACCTCAGTCGCATCCAAGCGACTATTCCAGGAATACAAGCACCTCACCCAAGACCCTCCGGATGGCATCACTGCTGGCCCTGTAGAAGAGGACGACCTGTTCATCTGGGAGGCTCTGATCGAAGGCCCTGAGGGCACTCCATACGAAGGCGGCATCTTTCCTGCCGAACTCAAATTCCCAAAGGACTATCCTCTCATGCCACCAACCATGAAGTTTCTCACAGACCTTTGGCACCCCAACGGTAAGCTTCCCACGTGTCTCGTATTATCTTGAGGACTGTACTGATGGACCTTGTGATAGTCTACCCCAACGGCGTCGTCTGCATCTCCATCCTCCATCCTCCCGGTGACGATCCCAACCACTACGAACACGCATCCGAACGCTGGTCGCCAATCCAGAGTGTAGAGAAGATCTTGATTAGTGTTATGAGCATGCTGGCCGAGCCCAACGACGAGTCACCCGCCAATGTCGACGCTGCAAGGATGTGGAGGGAGAGAAGACCTGAGTTTAACAAGAAGGTCAAGCAGGACGTCAGAAGATCCTTGGGACTGTGAGTGCAGTCGGTACGGGTTGATTACAAGAACAATTGCATAAGCGTGGCGTAACGGACATCGGCGTTTGGGTGACATCAAGAGCACATGGGATACAAGGAGGATATCGAGTTAGCAGGAGACCGCAGAGGTCGCGTCACTATGCTGGTATGTACACACCAATGAAGCATTCCCTACTCAACTTTGTGGTTTATCGTCAAAAGCATTGGGAACATATGGACATTGAGCCAGGAGCTGCCTGGTCGCGTCACTTTTACTGTGCCGGACTTGGTGGCAAGTGAAGGATTTCCCACCCTCTACCTTTATATACTCACACCCCGCAACTCCTGCAACATTGCCATCGCTTCCAACAAGCGGTGGTGGCCGGGTGGTAGCGAGTGTTTGTCATTAGGGGGTCTCGCTTCACTGTAGGTCATCTGTTCGATCCTCCTCGAAGACAATGCCAGAGTCTTGACACTCCAATCTTTAGAAACGAAACTGGTTCGCTAGTTGCTTTCCACCTCCGCAAGGGGGCGTTGGTTTTGCTCGTGGCGTGCTTACTTTTAAACCTTTGGCATTGCTTGCGCCTTCTATATGTCTCTTCCTCCAGCACTTCTTTTTGCAGTGTGTTGGGTGGCTCTTGATTAGACTTCGTTGCTGTATGATATAGTTTTACCCTCGTCTGAAGGAGGCGATCAAGGTCTTTTTGGTGCGAGTATGCTCGAGAGACGCACGTGAGCACCCTAGAAGTAATGGTTCTAGCCCACGTATACTACGACAGCCCTCATTCGCCTTGATCACACCCTCTTCATGCGGGTGTGTGCGAACAAGAATCACGGCATCTGAAGCAGAATACAACCTCACATTTCCAATCCATCCACCGTTCAAAGCCAAGACGGACATGTCAAGACATACAAGACTGGATGCAACAACCTGAATACATGAAGAATAGAGCACAAGTGATTTCATTGACACCTCGCGCATGAAAGACTGGTCATGACACTATGAAGAATTGTAACCAGTTGAACGAATTGAGTGTCTCGCCGATCGCATAACCCTGTCTGAATCTTGTAGAAGATATTGAACATGTCGATTCGAGGAACGCTTTATTGGATCTCTCCGTTACCTCTGCGCTAGGCTTCTGCTTGTTCACTCGTGGTGTGGCATACCACCCAGGAGTGAATTTGGCTCGTGAGGTCCTGATTCTGCTTGGGGAGTTGCTGAAGCACAACCTTAGGCGTCAACCGTAACATCGCCGGTCTTACAGTGGCCGATCTAGGAAGCAACATTTACGTACAAGTTAACATCAGTCTATACTACTTCTTGCCTTTTTTCTTATTACCAGCTTCTGGTTTTGTGGCATCTCTGACGTATCCGCCTTTCACGAAGGCATCTCGGGCGGCAGTATTGATCAACCTAAATCGATCAGGTCCTAATTGAACACCACCATACCATCTCGTGACAACCACCATCACACCCCAGATATCCATCAACTGCATGAGATGTAGTAGCCTGCCACCAGCAGCAGTCTCTCCATCATCATCGCAGTCCTGGAAAGCCGTCTCGTTAGGTCCATGAATCCGCCAAGCAGTAATGTTATGCGTAGCTTTGGCGACCTTTTTATCCGTAGCAAGTAAATGCGCCAGATACGATTTCGCTTCCCCAGGCGAACTCACAGCAGCAGCTCTAGCAACAAAGACTGATTTCTTTTCCGTAAACACATCGGACAGAATCCATGGTGGTTCCTTGTCCAGCAGATCTAACGACTGCATATCGTCAGGATCTGTGTCGTCGTCGGGGCTTTCCTCGTGCTGACCTCTCCTTTGAGCATCTTGTTGCTCTTGATGCCTTTGATTTTGGCTGGCTTCCTCTTCGTGCTGCTGAAGTCTCTGACTGACTTCTTCCACGAGGTCGAATATACATGGCGAACCGGGTTGGTATACTTCAGCGAGGACGGAACGTGCAATGTCGACGGCGTGGGTACCTTGACCTTTTGCAATGTTCTCGCCCACTGATTGCGTACCGAGGATTGAAGGAGGTGCATCTGGATAATCTGTCGGAAACTCGAGGCGTAGTGATATACCGACTTCTCCGGGAAGTTCGAGGGAGCAAATGGTGGGGCTCTGGGAAAGAACGAGTAGAGTGGACTCAGAGTAGATTGCGTTTATTGCTTGACATTCGTCTTTCAGAGCAGAGTCCATTGGAATATTTCGAAAGCCAGTCAGGATTATTGCATAAAGCACTCGAGTAGATGGTCGGATATGGTCTGGAAGACACCGATTTGAGATGGCCAATACCGAAAAATCCTGGGACCAAGGATCTGTGGAAAACCAGTGTCTGCTAAGGGTATAGAGGAGAGAAACGGTGTATCAAGAAAAAGACAAATCTGAACGATGGTGGTGATGCCTGAAGGTGTAACTTGAAGATATATCAACGCACAGACCATGTCTCTCGAACGTCACGTCCGGTGAATGCAGCTTCAACTTTCTACTTCTTCCCACGACTGCATCAACACTGACTTCCTCGGCCTCGTGGAGCTGCCCATATCGCATTCGACCACCGCTCTCACATTTGCATATTTCAACCATCAAGCGAGTACCTGGACAGGCGCCAGTCACTGGAAGTTCACGTCGTGCGCACCGCAAAACCTGCCGAGTTCACGCGCTTTCACTTTTCGCGACCTTCAATCCTGTCTACCGGTTGTCCACATCATCACCAGCCATGGCTTTATTCGCGTCTTTACCCAAGCCGAAATACACGGGAGAAGAGGAGGAACAGAAGCAGTCGGTTGGCCCTCGGATCATTGGAGCAGATCAGGCAGCATCACAGCAATTGCAAATCGCCAAGCGCACTGGCATTCCTCCGTATGGTCAGCGTAACAACTGGAGGCCCCGCGGCAATGAGGACTTTGGAGATGGAGGCGCCTACCCCGAAGTCTCGGTCGCGCAATATCCTCTGGACATGGGCAAAAAGCACACCGGCTCGTCCAACGCGCTGACATTGAGTGTCGACGCTCAAGGCCAGGTCGATTATACTGCTATCGCCAAGCGTGGTCACGCCGAGAACAGAATCGTCCACGCCTCATTCAAGGACCTTATCCCTCTGCGACACCAAGCAAATGCCGGCGAGATCTCACTTGCTCGTCCTGACGAGGAGACCGTGGCAGAAACGAAGAGAAAGACGGAAGCAGCATTGGCAACTCTTGTCGCTGGCGCAAGCGCTGCCCAGCGTCCCAAGAATGTCAAAGGTGTCGAGAAAAGAGAAGCCTCATACGTCCGCTACACACCGGCCAATCAGATGGGCAACGACAACTCCAAAAAGGGCGACCGCATCATGAAAATCATGTCCCGCCAAATCGACCCCATGGAACCACCAAAATTCAAGGCAAAGAAGATTCCTGGCCGCCCTCCATCACCTCCTCCTCCAGTCATGCACTCACCTCCACGCAAACTTACCGCCGAAGATCAAGAAGCCTGGCGCATTCCACCCACCGTCTCGAACTGGAAGAACCCCAAGGGTTACACAGTGCCCCTGGACAAGAGATTGGCAGCAGATGGCCGTGGCTTGCAAGACGTAACCATCAACGACAAGTTCGCCTCATTCGCCGAAGCCCTTCAAACAGCCGACCGCCACGCCCGCGAAGAAGTGAAATCAAGAGCACTGATGCAACAACGCCTCGCCGAAAAGGAAAAGGAGCAAAAAGAAGAAAACCTACGTCTGCTCGCTCAAAAAGCCAGAGAAGAAAAAGCCGGTGCTGCCAGAAGACCCGCCGCTCGCGACACCTCTCGCTCAAGAAGCAGAAGCGCAGACAGCTATTCCTCCCGCTCCTCCCGCTCAAGATCCGCCTCCGAAGATGAAACCGAAACCGACCGTCTCGCCCGCGAAAAACTCCGCGCCGAAAAACGCCGCGACGCACAACGCGAGATGCGCCAGAAAAACATGGGCCACGAACGCCGCATGCAAACCCTCGCGCGCAACTCCAACCGCGACATTTCCGAAAAAGTGGCCCTGGGCCTCGCGAAACCTACTCAGAGTAAAGAAACAATGTACGACAGCAGACTCTTCAACAAAGATGCAGGATTCGCTTCCGCGGGCTTCAATGAAGATCAAGCCTATGACAAACCTCTGTTTGCGGATAGAGAGGCGTTGAATAGTATCTATCGGCCTCAATTGGATGCGGATGATGGAGATGACGGTGGTGAGACTTTGGAGAATATTCAAAAGACTTCGAGGTTTGAGACGTTGGGGAGGGCACCCAAGGAAGGGATGAAGTCTGCTAGGGCTGCTGAGCAGAGGGAGGGGCCTGTGATGTTTGAGCGCGATAATGGGGATCCGTTTGGTGTGGATCAGATGATCAAGGATGCGCAGAAGGGTGGAAGTGAGAAGGTTGGGGGTGCTAGTGTTAGTGGGCAGGGGGTTAAGAGATATGGTCTCAATGAAGGTGGAGCTGAGGAAGAGGAGAGGGGCTCTAAGAGGGCGAGAATTGAAGATGATGATGAGGATTAGGATTCTGATTTTGATCTTCAAGTTATGTAGTCTCTCAGCATCATCAAGTCCAACACTGAATATCACATCTCAACTGAGTTCTTTTACAAGATCTGTCTTGGCTTGCATGTGGCAATGAGCAATAGTAAGAAGAAAAAGAATTTGCAAATCATTACGGACATAAAATAGACTGTTGCTGTGCTTGCAGAGCTGCTTCCTGTTGCCAACTCTCCTCTACATCGCATCTTACCCTCGCTGTCATTATTTTCCCGAACCAATGAAAATCAACAAAAGAAAAACTCCTCGCTCCTTCGCTCAGAAAAGATACATCCAACAATAGAAACAGAAAAACGAAAAAATGTCATAAGCCAAACCAAGCTTGTGCTCGTGATGGTGCGATACTGACAAGCAAGATCAAGCGACCACGGGTATGGTGAAGCGGCTACGGTCATCGGCGACCTTGCGCTTGAACATGCCTAGGTCCTTCATCAGCTCATCGATATCAGCCTGCCACTCTGCATGCTGGGAAGCATATCCCTCGTCATCGCTCTCGTCCTCCTCTTCCTCTTCCTCATCACTGTACACCTCAATCTCATGTACATCGGCGGCCTTCTCTTCAGCAGGAGGAAGCACGATAGGGTTCTTGAGTTCGCCAACAGCAAGTGCAAGATGACGTCTCAAAGAAGAAACCTCGTTTCTCAAGCGATCATTGATGGGACGAAGTTCTTCCAGCTCTGCATTGAGAGCACGAATCTTGACGTCGGCGACAGCACGAGATTCTTCCATGGCTCTCTGCATCTTGGTGACCTGGCGTTGGTAGTCTTCGAGCTCTTGGCCGGCACGATCGACTTCGTCGCGCTTGCGTGTGGTTGATGCGTTGACAGAGAGTTGAAGTTGGCGAATTGTCTCGGCCATCTCCTTGATCTGGGCGTCTCTTTCGGCGGCAGACACGGCATCTTGATTGACAGTGGCGCGTGTGCGGATGCGCTTGGCTTGATCGGCGTAACGTAGGGTCGAGAGGGTCTCTTCGTAGTCAGTAGGCGAGATGCAGGCTACCATAGCTGTCTTGGAGTTTCCGCCCAGACTGTCCTTCAACAGCCAGGTGAGTACCGAATCACGGTAGGGAACCACATCTGCACGACGCTTCGTCTGATTTGGGCGAGCATTGGGGCGTTGACGCTTGGGGTCTGCAAGAGCAGCAATGACACGACCGAGAGTAGTGAGAGACTGGTTGATGTTTCCTCCTTCACGTAGACGTTGGCCGGTCGCTTCGGTTCTGTTCGCTCTTTCCGAACCAGCCAGATCGACAAGACGCATGCGGGCTGTGCGTTCAATGGTGCTATCAGTGGCAATGTCATGCTGGATCTGCTTGAGTGTGAGAGTGAAGACGGCGTGTGAACGGGATGAAGTGTCGTTCATCTTTGTTGCGGCGACTGTACGGTTCAAGTCGCCTGTGTGCATGAGTCTCTGAATGTCGGCGAAAGTCTTGACGGGGCTGTCGGTCAAGTTCTGGACGTAGACGCCATCTGACTTGCTCTCGCGGATCTTGAGGTGGGTCGGCGGGTTGGTACGAGGGGTGAGAAGGTCGCGGACGTGCTCGTTGTAGATTTCGAAGTACGAGACGTGGACGTTGTATGTGATGTTGCCATTCTGCTCTTGCTCGATTCGCTGGAAAAGGTTCTCGCAGGTTCGTGGTATGAGACCTGGCTGTTCCTTTGTGCCCATCATGGTGTATGATTTACCAGAACCAGTCTGACCGTAGGCGAAGATGCAAGTGTGATAGCCGTCGAAGTTGTGGTCCAGGAAGTCCTCACCGAACGAGGCGTAGACATCTTGCTGGTGAGCAAAGTGTGGCATGGATTCATCATGGGAGTAGAAGGACTTGTCAAAGACGAAACTCTTTTCTTCGTAGACTTTGCGCGATTTGGCATCGAGGGAGGCAGCAGGAGGAGGGTGTATGGTCGTCTTCTGGGTGTTGGGGTCCATCTCGATTAGACATGGCGCTTGTCGTTCAAGCTCTGTTTTGACTTTGTTAGCCATGTGTTCACCATGTGGCAAGTGTTCTGCGCATACCTCGTGGCAAGAACTTGCGCACTCTGACCACAACCTTGACATTGCCCTGTCCCTCTTCACCTGCCAGATAAGAAGGTCTTGGAGGAGGCATGCTTGCTGCCGAATCTCTGGCGCGTAATGATGGAGCCGACGCTGTTGATGCGTAAGGAATATCAGGCGCGGATACTGTGTGAGGGACGTCCATGTTGATTTCTCCCTCGTCTAATTGCTGTTGGAGTAATATCAAAAGTTCGACAACCGTTGTCTGGAAACGGAGTCGATTGTGGGTGAACATCTGTCAGTCCGTCCAAGCGTTGTGCCTTCCTCCGCAAGAAAGTCCCCCAAAAGTCAACACTCGGCTGTTGCCACGACAATTGTTTGCGGCTCGGCGCGCCGATCTTTCGAGATCCTGTTGCAACTCTGATCACACCTTGCACACTTGTATCATCTCGGAGCAGCTTGTTCGTCTGAAGATCATGACTGATTCACGATAGCTCGACAGAAATTTCTGTGTATTCAGTCGTCTTGAACATTCCGGTAGCCACCCACGCCGAGGAATGTTTAGAAACATCAGCCCCCAAGGCTCGAAAGACAAGATCCCCGTGTCTGGAGTATGTCACGCGTGAGCTGTACGCAGTAGGGACGCAGAATGTTTCTCGGAAGGAGAGCTGGGTCTAAGGAGAGAGCTCTGAATCATTGCTCATTTGTAAATGATGTGCTTTGCTCACGACTATCATGCATCTTGACAGGTGGAAATGAGCATCGCTGTGACAAGAAGGTTAAGGTGACGCAGTTTAGCATATGGAAAGGCATCATCTACCAATCATTGCAAGTCGGGGAGCGCCCTATCCAAGCTGATCTATGAAGCTCTTAGACAACTCATATTGATCTGAGCGGTGTGTTGCTGGCATGTGGGTCGCCGTAGGATCAAACTAGCTCCTTTATGTTGCTGCCTGGAGAAGTGCGACTTTGGTGATTAGTATTCTCGTCAACTCACCTTTCACCTTACTGACCAAGCCTCTATCTATATCACAATCATCCGACATTGGCCTTATCCAGATTGATACCATCGCACGTGCAGTTACACCATCACCATGCCTCCTAGCACCAGACGTTTGAGCCGCAAGTCACGTCCTCTCGAAGCCCCTCACAACAACGCAAGCACCGTACTCAGCAAGCCATTCCCTTTTCTCGACCTTCCTGATCCAGTTCGACAACGCATCTATGAGCTTCAACTCGAATCACAGCGTGGTTTCGTCCGCTTCTATAGCAAGGCAGGGCCACAACGTTGCAAAGTGACTCCTGCCAAGCTCAAGCTCAACATCATGCTCACCTGCCGTCAAATATACCAGGAAGCTATGCCCGTACTCTATCGTGTCAACAACTTCTGCATGATTCCCATCACCACCGAGCCTGAGCAGGACACATGGTCTGAGGAAGACCTTTTTACTCTCCAGAACGACAAGTGGATCCGCTGCATGCCTCTCAAAGGACGAAATCTTATCAGGACACTTGAATTGTCCATACCTCTTCCACCAAAATCCGATAGCCATTATGATTACAAGAACATGCGCGATCTATTTCCTGGTCTGAAGAGTTTGACACTATTTTTGGACTTCGCCGGTCAGTCTTACTATGGCTGGTGGTCTTTGCCAGAGCCCGAAGAGTACCGATCTTTCTATCAAAAACTCAAAGAACATATGCCACAAGCGAGAGATGTCTTTCTGGATGCAAGAATGCTCGAAGCTCCAGAATGGCATCAACTCATCGAAACCGTCTTACAAGTGTGGAACGCCGCTCCAGGCAGAAGTGCCTTCATCACGCAAGATCTGCACCATGCAGCTCTGTACGACACCTACAAGAAGACCTTGGAAAAGGCACTGGTCGACAGACTTGGCCAGAGAGGCATGAACTATCAGCGTCTCAGCTACTGGGACATCCGAGTAAACCAAGTCAACAATCGAGAGGATTACCCAACTGACGATGACACCGACGACGAGATTGAGTGCTTCGATAAGTTCGATGCTGAGAAGATTGTCACGAGGACAAAGAAGCACTTTGACAATCTGGAACATGGCCAATTCTGGTCTATGCCCGATCAACCAGAAGAAGATACACACGACTGGTCTTATACTGATGATTGGTCGTATTGGTAGCTTTTGTAGAGACGAACTCGCCCATAACCCGTACCATGCCTGTTTCCTCTCACGCTGCATCGCATCAACCCGATTCTCGGTGTATCTTCGTCCGGTTCGTGATTTACTTTATTTGTCGATCTGCTTGTATGTTGCTTCTGCCGTTTTCAGCACAGGTCGATTCCTCCAATAGATCTGCGTCTGAAAGTCGCTTCTTTTAGAGCTTAGGACGTTGAGAGTGATGATCTTTCTTTTGTGCGGCCGATTGGCGGGTCGTCAGAGGCGGTAGAGATCGATGTTCATTGTACCCAGCATCTGTCCCGAAATGGTTAATGCAATTGAGATCTGAAACTTGACACATGCCAGGGATGCTTTCCTGTCAGACCATGGGGAGGACACTCGAGAGTTGAGGTTTTTATCAAAGCGACCATGTTCCTTTAGCTGTGATACTCAATTAATCGATTACTATGAGAAGCTCTGCCGCGGAGTGTCCACTTCAACGGGGGATGATCAGCAGGAGGATTGTCGAGGTCGGAAGTCTCTCCGTTCAGGGTTCCAAAAATTGTGATCTAGACCGACAGTTTTCTGATGCCGAAGTTACCCCGAATCGAATATCCAATTTTTGTTTGATGGGCCTGAAAGATAGAGTGAATATATGCAGACACGTCGCGGCGTTCTGAGTCGCTGCTATACACGTTCATCTACTATTCCAGGGCGTCGTTTGCGTTCTTTCAAGACAATGGTCGCTCCTTCCGTGTCAGTACACTCGACGCTGGCGGATATCTTCCTTAGCAGAATTTCGGAAAGCGAGCGCTTCACTGCCGTCCGCGACCTTGCCTCCAACATTGACAGCAACACACTGGGCCTCGTCGCTGCTCTTGCTGATAGTTGTCCGGATGAAGAAGCAAATGTATATCTGAATCAATACTTGATCAGATCGATTGAACAGGATGATGCTGCTTCAGCTGCAGCTCTCTGCGTTCAATATCCTCGCATCCGAAATGCTTTACTGCACTGGACTGATCGCGAGCTTCACATCTGTTTCTCACAACTACTTAGACAACCAGAAAACTCTGAGTTTGTCGTTCCTGTTGAGAAGGTCCTGATTGTTGATCCATTCGTTTCACACTATGATCCCGAGCTTGGTGTTGATCGCCAGCTGGATGAACTTGTCAATACGACTATTCTATACTTGAGCTTCGCCAAACAGCTTTTCAGAAGTCCAATCCTTGACAAATCATTCGTTGTCTCAAGCCCGATCGTGTGTGCCATCTTCGGCTTCCTCGCTTCATCGAACGCAGGCATTGCAGCAGCCGCCAAAGACACCTTACTCGCTTTCTTGGCATCATTCAAAGCAGGCACATTCACCTTCTCGCACTACAAGACCGATCCAGACGAGCTAGATAGACATCTCTGGCAATGCATTCGCAACCTCATCGATTACAGTGGGAAAAGCTCGTACAAGACGACTGCATACACGATCTGGCTACGATGGCTCGATCTGGACAGTCATGGCTACTCACGTCAAGTGGCTCTGCAGAAAGACCCGTACTGGAAGTATATGTTAGCAACACTCGGCCAGTCATCCCAAGGTGATACCGAGCAAAGAAAGATCTGCCTCCATGTTTTGAAGAAGTCGATCTCTATCTCTCGCAACAACATTCGCGCCAATGACATGGAGTTGACTTTGGATCAAGAAGACAAGCCAGGTAAGCATTCACAAGCTATCAATGTCTCTGAACATACAGTTGTACTCTTGCTCTACCGGACATTAAGATGGCGTAAGAATATTCACACAAGTCCAAAATACTGACCGCAGAGCAGGATCTGTTATCACCGAATCTCAGTATGCCAGATTCTGCACTGTGTACGAAACAATCGTCATTGGCAGATACCTCAACCAAGCCTTAGAATGTGTACAAGATCTGGACCATCTAGCTTCTGCAGAGACCATGGTTCAGAAATCGTGGTTATTCGCACTTCTCGAGTCGTCCCTATCTCCAGTCACACAAGACAGCATGCGCAAAATGCTGGGAAACTGGCTCATGAGCACCGATATCAGGCTGTTCAGCCATGCTGAAGAGTTTGCGACACTGTTGCAGAAGTCGTTCTTGCCTTGGGCAACTCAAGGTACCCTCTTCACCGGCAGTGTGCAAGGAAAGACCAGAGATATGAGATGTGCTCATGGTACGAGATTATCGAACTTCCTCGAAAGACTGCTACAGGCCCATCTTGGCAGAGACGACATCTACTCTAGAAAATGCATCGTCAATGCCGTCCTCACATATCTGGATGCCAACAAAAACAGGATCGTCCCGATCGCTGTCATCTATCTCCTCCAGGGTCTGGCGAAGGGCTTACAGGCAGAATCTACAGCTTGCATGGAAGGCGATTCATTGGAGTTGATCCTCAATCTATCAAGAACGACTGGCTATCCCGAGGTTGCTCGCGATGCCATGCTGGTACAGTGCTACAGACTTTCGCAACAAGTCAGCCAGGATGCAGAGACCTACGGTGAACATGGCACAGAAAAACTGACCGCATCTGATGCCAAGCTCGAGGTTCTCTCCAAGCAGATCGAAGCGTTCAAGATTAGCGCAGCCTCGCGATTTGAATCTGACGCCAGCCGCTCGTCCAGATGGCAATCACTTGATCAGTTCTTGACCGAGCTAGACACCTCGCGTCATACTAGCATCCAGGGCGATGGGTTGCTGATGGCCATTGAGTCGTTGACATCCATTCTGGATAAAGCCGGCGTCCAGAGTGTAGATGCTCAAAAGTTGGACCGCGCATTTGACGGCGTCTGGAATGAGGTCGAGAGACAAGATTATCCCAGAGATGTTCTCATATTCTTGCCACGCATGGCACTACACCCTACTTGCGTCAGCCTATGCTTCGAGGACGATACTTTGTCTGCCACGGTCCTAGAAATCTTCACCCAGCTTCAGCGATTACAGAAAGGCAGAATCTACCTCTGGACACCAATCATGAAAGCGTACAGGACAGCCATGGTCAGCTGCCCCGCCGCAGCGGAGAAATTCGGCTTGGACGAATTCATCATTCAGACCGCGAATAACCTACCAGCTGCAAGACTCGAATTTAAGTTGGAAGCTGCAGCCATTCAACTGCTGTCTGAGAGCGAAGAGATTCATCGCAGCTACAGCGACTATTACGGCGAATACGAGGAGGTTGGACATGCCGCCTTCTTTGATCTCGTCAATCGTCTCAGCGAGATCAATCATGAGATGGTCAGTGAAATCTACGACCGTCTTCTCAAGCCATGGACCAAGCAGAGAGCTCCCATCCCAATCATTAGCCGATGGAAGGCCACTACACAGCTTCAGGTCCTGCTCATACTTTCTGAACAGCGTCTTAGAGTGATCTCAACCGAGGAAGCGCAAGAGCAGCTTCGTGTATTGCTGAAAGTTGTCGCCATCGAACCGCTCCCTAGATATCGTTTCCTGCAGGAGTGGATCATTGCTCGAATTGTATTGAACCATCCTTCTACTGGCGACGTCGTACTTGATACGCTCTCATCTAAGGATCACCACTCGAACCCAAAATATCTTGGTACTCTCGTCAAGATTGCTCTGATGATTGCTTGTCAAGACACCTGCTCTCGCGATTTTGCAGCAAGAACAGCATACCGTCTGGTGGCTCTCGCATCCAGTGCCAAGATCATCATTCGTCATGAAGCACAATGGTCCTTCCCCATCTTGTGGGATTATGCCGAAAGCAGAGGCTGGACCGAGATCAAGTCGAACCCCGCCTGCGCTGCTTTGAATGAGTACATCCGCAGTCTCGAGCGATTCGCAGAACCGCCAGCAGCAAGAGAGCTGGAACGCCTCGACCCTGCTGCTGACAACACACTCACAAACTTGCTCCAAGGCAGATACCTACGTGTAGAGCCACCTGGCGAAGAGTCTATCGTATCTGGCGACTTCCAACGCTTGTGGGAACAAGACACAGTTAAACGCTCAACAACAGAAGCTCTCCCTCTCGGCCAATCTGAAGAGCCTGCTAAAAACACTGCCCTCCCCGCCCAACCAACTCAACAACAATCGAAAGAATCCGCCCGCACAGAAGCCTTCGCCGCCCTCCAAACAAAGGGCACAGCATACCTTTCCGCCTCCGATGCCTCTGACTCCACCTCAGACATCACGGCCACCCGTCCAACCCCTCTCCTTGTCGTCGGCTCCCTGGTCGACAATGCATACAACCTCGGCGGTCTCTCTCGCATCTCCGAGATTTTCGGCGCCCAAGCCCTCTATATCCAGTCCCCACACTCCGCCCTCGCGAATAGAGATTTCATCTCCGTGGCCGTGGCATCACAGAATCATCTCCCCATCATCGACCTCCACAGCGACAATCTCTCTGCTTTCCTCACAGAGAAGAAAATGGAGGGTTATACTGTAGTTGGCGTTGAACAAACTGACCGCAGCGTCCTGCTTGGCTCTGAAGCATGTAAACTGCCGGAAAAGACATTGCTTGTTATGGGAAGGGAGAAAGAAGGTGTCCCTGCTAATGTGCTCGGGGAGTGTGATCTTTTAGTCGAGATCCCGCAAAGAGGTGTCACTAGGAGTATGAATGTGCAGACTGCGGCTGGTGTGGTGTTGTTTGAATACGCCAGACAGCATCAAGGTTAGGACGAGTATATAGACGAGTGTTCAATGAAATACGTGCATGTTCCACGGTAGCAGTGCTGTTTTTGTGATTTTGTGGGTTTTCTTCATTTGAAAATTAAGCTATGTTCGTCGTTGACTCTTTCCTTTGTTCAACCTCGGTGCTGAAAAGCATCTTCGCTCCTTCTCTGTCCATCAATCTGGATCATTCTTTGGGAAACGCGTTTGACGCCCGTGAAATGCAAAACCTTTCTCCACTTGGTCCGCTCTTCCATCGAGCCCGCTTCCTTGACCTTTTCCTTGGGCAATCTCCATTGTCCGAAAATAATCTTGCATTCCCACAACCCCGATCAAGCTGCTTATTCGTTTTCAGACTGTTCAAAAATCTTCATCCTTGACCATATCCTCGTCCTTAATCTGATCGTCCTCGTCCTCCACAGAAGCAAACTCGACTGTCTCGTGGTTTGAGGGAGCAACCGGCACAGACTCGATTGTCTCATAGTTTGAGAAGGCAAAGCCCGGAGCTGCTGGTTCGGTCAAAATAACCGGTTGCTCGGGGACCGTCTCGATGGAGGGTCCAGATACGTAATCAAACTCAGACGTCGACCATGTGAAGAACTCTTCAATGGGGATCTGGAAGGTGGATTCTCGGAAGCTCTGGTTGTCTTTGTGAATGACACGAGACTTTGTGGGTGCAGTGGGAGCGGCAACCAGGTTGTCGCCCAACTCCACGTCTTGTACCGAATGGATTTGGCTGCCTTGGTCGAAAGCCAAGTCTCTATCCTCGCTTGCTTGCTGGATATCGACATGCGAGACTGCTTGACCAGACGGTTCGGTTCCGTGGGTAGAAGGTGTCATGTCGTCCTCGATGCTGGGCTTTGGCCTGGGACGCGGCTTCCTTAGTGCGGCAACCTGAGCAGGTTTCGACATACGCGAGATGGCGGTGCGGGCGCGGGTATTGTATCCCTTGACTGGCTGAGTAGGTAAAGATCCGGTCTCTCTTCTGCTTTCTTCGCCTCGACCACCGGTCTCGTCATCAGCGCGATCGAAGTATCTGGATCGGGCCATGTTCGGCCTACTCGAGGCAGTTTGGGGGGCCAATTTGCGTGCCTTCGAAGGAAGAGATGTCAAACCATCATCGTCGGTATCATACGAACCCAACCCATCCACTGCTTTGTGGTTGGAAGAACGACGCGGGTTTGCGCCGAGTTTTTGCTCCAACAACACCAAGTCCGAGGGGACGTTCAGGTTGTCAGTCGCGCTGTATGTGCCTGCTCGCCTGTCCCCAGCCTGAGGATATGACTGTGATGTTATGTTCGTTCCAGACTCGCGCGAGTCCGCCCGGAGATGTGACTCTGACGTACGCAAGCCACGAGGGGGGTTAGAAGCAACGATATTGCCATCTTGGCCTGATTTCCTTTCTGTGCTGTGGCGATTGGCCTTCGGAGAGGATGCCGCCTGATGCTCGCGTGACTTGGCGCGGGAGTTGAGATGCATTAATAGTGGACGAGACAACATACTGGAACGAGCGTGATTTTCATGTTGGCCTGGTCGTTCTTCTGTAGTCTGGGTAGTCGAAGCATCCCGCTGCAACGAAGACGTCTCCAGTGCGCGCAATTTGGCGCGGTAGTCCATTTGCATTGACACTATGCCAGAGTAGGAGTTTGAACGATCTTCGTTGACATACGAGCCTGCTCGCTCCTCCTTGATGTACTTGTTTCCACGCTGCTCCTTAGACATTTCGTTTCTTTCTCCTTCGAGGCTAGTTTCATATTCTTCATGTTCGATCTCGTTCGAATTGTCGGACTTGTCTTGCATGAACTTATGATCATCATTGAACGGATGTTCTGATATTCCAGTCTCGCGAAATGCACTTTGAACGTCTCTCGATTGTCCTTTCAAAGTTTTGTAGCGAAGGTTAGGGAACTTCTTCAGAATGAGATAGACACCAGTGAAGAACTCATGCGATCGGTCTAATCCTTGTTTGTCAATGTCAAATACGTCAACCCACGATTGCCAGTACCTTGTGACGGTTTGTTTGCCTCTGAAGTTCTCTTGAGCTGAGTTGTAGTAGCGGCCTCTTGCTATTCCTCCTTCGGCTGGGTGAGCCTTGTACCAGACGCTGTCGTTTGCTTCGTTGTATCCGAGAAGAAGCATATCTTGGACCCAGATGAAAGGGTAAAACTGGACGAATGCGAGCGGAAGCAGCTCACTTGATTGGAGTCGTGGTCCAGAAAGGCTTAGTAGATCGGCCAGCTTGTCGCGCACCTTTTCTGACGGTGTCCAATTGTGGAGAGTGCATAGTCGATTGAAGTTGGCCTTATGACTTCTCTTAACGGTGGGTGTTGATGTTGTACGAATGCGCGTCACAGCAGAGGGTGGTCTGGTTGGCGCATCCAGGGAGTGTTTGGGAGGCATTTTTGTGGTATTGAATGGAAGAACCAGCAGACAAAGCGACGATAGCGCTGCGCCCTGGATCGTAGACAAGGAATAAGCAGGAAAGAGATGTCTAGTAGTCGTGAGAGTGCACGGACCTCTCGTGCTTGCCGAATGTGAGTGAAAGAAGAGAGTGAATCGGAAGGAGGAACCAACAACCTTCAACGGACAACTAAATGATTGGAGAAGCGCTGCGCCGTGAGTCGCGCTGGAGAGCAACAAGCGGAGGACAGGCAAGAACTGGGAGTAGTCGCAAACGTGCACGGGCCTCTTGCACCTGTCTGGTGTGAGTGAAAATAGGGAGTGAATCGGAGGAAGGACTGATTTACTCTCAGCGGATCATTGAGCAATTGATAAACGCGCTCCGCCTTTTCACGCGCGGCTAAGCAGTGTGTGAGTGCTCGACTGAGACAAGTTCGAGTGCGTGGTAGCCTGAGCGATCTTCCTCTTATCCTTTACACTCTCGGTGTCAATGAGGGGCTTGAATTCACCTGTCAAAAGGCACAGATATTTTCAAGACGTCCGGTTTGACCATTGAGAGCTGATACTTGCCGACACTTGGGAATGTTTCGTCGTCGGCATCGCGATTTGAAATAGCTTTTCGCTTTCATGCAGCGAGCATTTGACTATAGCCCGGTACGGGAGCTGCTAATTACCTCTTAGGATGACATGTTGTTGTCGTCTGCAATCCTGGTGAGGTGGTTGTGACATGGTTGCTGATATTGCCATCAACAATGGTCTGAAATGGTGGGTTTGGTCCAATCCAGTCCAGTTCAGGAAGTTCCAATCGTCTGGTGTCCAGAGTCCACGTCCAGTATATCAAATGGCTATACAACGCGTCCTCCCAGAAACGACATGAGGTTGGAGCGGTGATCCTTTTCTGCGGCGAATGCCGGCGGCGGCAAGAGGACTCCATCTTGTGCCCATAGCGTTTATTAAACTATCAGACGAACTTACTTGTCTGTCACATAAATGCCAGTCCTTTGAAGATTGTAGAGCAAAGCGATGTTGAGCTGATAGTGTGGAGTACTGTCTGAGCATGTGACACAAAACGTGGTCGCCGGAAGTTTCACCCTTCTTCGGGTCCGACGCGACAAACAAACGTCCTTTCTTTGTCAAAGACCAGTGCTGACCAGACCTCTTCATTGCACAAGAACTTTCTGTATCGAGCATACCCACTCTTTATCAGATCAGTCTTACATACCGAATCGTACTGTTCTCTAATCCGGATAGAATGCCTTTACAGAAACGTGTTGCGGAACATTCAGTTAAGGCCTACTCATTTTGCGAATCATCGGCTAGAGAGGAATTGATTATATAGCATACAAGATCCCGATTCGAAGTATGTGGCCTTCATTTTGTTATCTAACCACAAACGGTGAGCCCAATCATAACTTGCTCGACTCGGGCGTGAGTCACGAGCTCTGTTCTCGTCCATTTCCCTCCTTCGTTGGCTCGTCACTAAGAAAATATCCATCAAAGTCATCACAAACATGACATTCACATACACAAACGACCAAGGCTTTCCTCATCACGTCTGCGATATTCACGGCATCCGCGTATCGCAGCTGCCAAAAGAAAGTAATCTAAGCATCATCCAGGACACAACAAACGCAACAAACACCACCCAACCTCCATCATCCACCATCAGAGAATGGCGATCTCTCGGCAAAGGCAATTGCGGCAGTGTCTGGACGGCAGGCAACGCAAACTGGGTAATAAAGCGCGAAGACTGCAGTCAAACCCGCTTCCTCTGGAAAGAATACTATATCCAAAACCGTATTCGCTCCGCTCTGTCCGACATACCCAATGCCATTCTCATACCTCAATCTTTCTGGTACACTTCTCCTCCAGATACATTGCATCTCCCAGAACTCGAGATGGAAGCTTGTAACACTATGTGCTCTGAACGAATACCACCACTTTCGAGATCATTCAGAGACAGATTGATCGACCATGCTATTCCCAAGCATGCAGAGTCCGCGAAACAATTGGAAACAGATTGTATAGCTCGTGTTTATCTGGGCAAATACCGGACAGGAGGTAATGCAGCTCACTACTCGCTCAAGAATCTGCCATTATGGTTGAACGTGCTGCAAGAGCTACAAATGCCGACGAACGAGTATGCGGCAACGATGGGACAAACTCTTGCACTGCTCCATTGGGCTGCAGAAATCGATGCAAACGATGTGGAGTTTGTCTTAGGCTCACCTCGACAGCTTTCTGAGCCAGGGTTAATGTCAAAAGTGGAGACGATAGCGAGATTGAGATATAACACATCCACTCGTCTGGGCTATGGAATGCAACAAGAACCATCGCAAGATCTCGTCATCGATGAAGGAAGCCAAATATCTTCTCTCTGGATCTTGGACTTTGACTGCTGCGATGCAATCACCATGGATGTCACCGGTGCAGAGAAAGCAGCCGTCGCCGTTGTAAGGAACGATCCTTATACGCCGAAACCATGCCAGCTTGGAGATCATGACTACGAGTTATGGAAAGCGTTTAAAGACGCATATCTCGCGAAGGGGGCACAAGTCGTCGAGTTGAGAAGACTAGACAAGGACTTGCCAGAGGTGTTCATCCAGCGCTTGGAACTGTTTTTTCAAATGAAGAAGGAAGGAAAAGAACTACCGAAGTTTCACAGAGGTCCGTTCTGTGCACCTCTTTCTCAATAGGCCAAGCAATTGCAAGAGACTCAACATATCGTACATTCCTATATCTGCAGCCAAATATATACAAATAACTCTCAGACTGATGAACTAATCTACACATCCTACTTGCTGTTCTCCTGCTTAACTTCCTCCTCCTTGCTCTCAACTTCCTTTTCAAACCCTCCAGCATGGAAAAACGCCATCTCCACCTTCTCCTTCCCGTTCTCATCAACTCTAGCCCCTCTATCCTGCATCCTCTGCAAGACATCCCAACACCTATCATCCCTCCTCTCCGCCAAACTCTTAGCCAACAATTCCGTCGTCCTAGGTCTAGGCAACAGGCCCAATTCCTCCATCTCGTCAAAATAGCGATAGGCGATGTCCAGTTTTTGATCTTGAATGCATACGACGATTAAACGATCATAGACTAGATAATCAGGACGGATGTTCAAAGCCAGCATTTCGGAGACCAGGAACATGGCTAGTGAGTATGCTTGTTGGGCGATGGGTTTCGCGGCACCACGGAGGAGGATGTTGAAGGTTTCGAGGGTGGAGAAGGGGCGAGAGCGGCGGATGGGATTGCCATTTTTGTCGGTGGGGAGGCGTTCGAAGAGGTGCATATGTTTGTATGCTACTAGTGCTTGTTCGAGTTGGTTGGTTTCCACATAGCCTTCGATGAGCACGTTTAGCGCGGCGACGGGGAGTTCTCTGCCGCTTTCGTGGAGGGAGGTTAGGATGTCGAAGACTGTTGTGCAGTCGGAAGGGTAGCGGCGGAGGTGTGTGAGGATAGGGCGGGTAGAGACGGCGGTGGGAGGAATCTTGACGCTTGCCATGATTGTGAGGACGGTCAAGGCGGCGCGAAGGTCGGGTGGTGAGGTGGACATGTATGTTGTGAGGAGTTGATCGTAATGGATTTGTTTGAAGGTTGTGCTGCGTTTGCCTAGAACGTGGAAGACGGAGGTTGCGAGGGCGGCATCACCGTTTCGGGCGGCTGTGGTGAGGACATTCAGACACGTGCCTGAGGAGGGAATCAGGTAGCCTGGGATGACTTGGCTATTCCAGACATAGACAGTGCTGGAATAGTGGAAGGCTGCTGCTGATCGATCGAGCATGTGCGTCCAGAGGTTTCTGCTGATGGTCCAGTCATCTGCGGCAATTCGATCTTTGACTAGGACCAAGGCTTCGTCGAACTCGTTCGTCTCGAGCATTGAGTACATGGCTATGTCGTAGAGCCATGTTTGTATAGGTATATTATCTCTTCGCATCGACTCGAGGTGGGTCAAACCTAGTTCGAGTTGACCTTCGCGGAACAAGGCAGCGCCAACCCAGTGATGGCCGTCATTGTTCAGTTGCAGCCATTGCCGTCGCATGTATTGTAATATGTCGATGCGCAATAGATAATCCATGTGCACGCTGAGTACACGCAGCACATCATGGCAGATCTGTACATTCATCTGTAGTCCTTCTTCCTCCATCTCTTGCAACAATCCAACCACCCTCCTTGCAGAGCCTTCCGAGGGGTGGACATTCGCGAGGATGAATATTGAGTATAGACGAAGGTTGGGTGTTTCTCGACGGTCGCGCACCAGGTATTCGACCATCGATTGTACTTCACGACTATTTCCCTTGGCTGCTGCAGCATGAGCCAGCTCATACAGCTCGGGCGTACTGAGGTTGGGATAGTCTGCCTTCTTTACTGTCGTCTTCTGCCGAATTGTTGTCCTAAGAGCAGTTTCTCGAGGCATAGATTGTTTCTTTTCATCCAGCGGAACCCACGCGTTCATGATCGGGAGGTCGCTGCGTGGCAGATCTGGCGATACGTCTACATTGCCCCTAAATTTGGCAGATGGTGCAGTTGAGTTGTGGCGCACTGCTGCTGGTGGTGGTATTCTAGTAGCGGCGCATTGTAGCGCTGGTCGGCGACGGCGGATCAAGACATTTCGGGTGGTTGATAGCGGCGCAGAGCTATACAAGGGACAGAGGCAATGCCAAAGCCCATCGGCGACAAGTTTGGGTGTGGTCGAGGACATGTGCTGCTGCGACGACCTGGGAATTTCTGATGGACATTTTGAAGCCGCATGTACGGGCTACTTCCCCGGTTTCGACTTCATACAGCTTGGTCGTGGAGAATCAGTCTACAGTCATCCAATATCATTCTTAATTCGCAACAGTTCTACCACATTTCAATGGTTTGATCAAGCATGGAGTTCGAATTCAAGTCATAAACTCAGTTTGATGTCGTGATGTTATTCTGGTTACACGGCTTTTCCGCAAGCCATGCTATGGGTATCTGATCCCCTTGTTCGTTCGCGTACGCCGATCCTGCGCTCATTACGCGGTCGCACGTATTCGCGCGTATGCCTCAATACCAGATGCCCTCCATTCTCGTCATGACTGGACTCGGCTTGAGCTGTTTGTGTCTCTCTCTTGTTCCTCAAGTCTGCTTGTTCAACCACCACGACCGCCTCTGCCACCACGACCACGACCACCGCGACCTCCTCTACCACCACGATCACCGCGTCCACTGTGGTCACCTCTGCCTCCTTGACCACCTCCACGGCCACCTCTGGCGGCTTGTTGGCTGGCTTGTTGATCCTTGACGAGGTCCACGATTTCGTCTTCCATTCTCAGGTATTTGATCTGTTGCAAGTCGTATCAGCATCTTCTTCTCTGTGATGCTTCCATTGGTTGTGTATCATGAACGTACGTTATTGCCGCGGACGTAGCATTCGGGTAGTCTGAAGAAGCGATCGCCTTCGGGACTCGTTTGAATGACCTCCTTCAGGGTGAGGTTCATGTATGTGTCGCAGCTGACCAAATGTCCGTTGAGAGTTTCGCCATTCTTGAGTTCGACCAGCATAGGGTGGCCTTGAGCGGCTGTGAGAAGTCCTAGAGGGAGCTATATTGCGACAATCAATCGTTAGTCGCCTGACTTGTGAGCAGGAGGGCTCTGTAGATGGTCAATGTCTTGTTCACTCACCATGATGTATGCGACAACGCTGTTATCGTCAATATATAATGAGTGGTTTTGGATATGGTGTTTGCGCCTGTAGCTATTCGCGCATTCGGTATCGACAACGACGTCAATCGAGAAGTGCGGGAGTTGCCGAGCTCTCACTCTCGCTCTCACAGCACAAGCATGAGTCGATCGTGTCAAGTTGCTCCGAAAGCCGCCTCCGATCTCCGTCCTTTATGCACCCCGCGGGTGCGCCTTCCTTCGAAATCCTTCGCTCAGCCTCTCTCCTTCCAAGCCTTCCTCGTCTCATAAACTGCTGCCTACGGGCTCTTTTCCACAACTTGTTCCACTTTCAAGTTGCACCTCACCGTCACGCCGACGGGTCTTTTTCGACGAACATTTCGGCCTGGATAGGCCCATGTAGATATTTCGATTTTGCAATTATATCCTTTCGACAATGTGTTCTATCAGCCTACTTTTGTTTGCTCTTGCCTTTACATGGACCCTCGTCTCTGCCGCTCCTTATCCCATCCTACCCTCGCTCACTTCCTTTTCAAAAGTCGCAAAGCAGAGCATATCTGGTACAATTCTTTCATTCCCCTTCCATCAATGACATCTACTTATTCACACGTCTAGACAGAATCGAAACAATAAACTTTAGAGTCCCGTGTACTCGCTGCCCTTCGCTATTCCAAGATGACGTGGCCCTGGTATGTATATGTCTTTGCCAAGCTCTCGTATTCCTCTTTGGATGAGTACGCGTATGCTATATAGTTCCGTGTCTGACATGTGCCTCAGGACTTTGAGCTTCAATACCCTCGTCTATCCTCTTCGACAAACCTTTGTGATGTTCCATTCGCGCTGAACGGACAGCCTGTCACTGTCGACCAGAGGAACTTGGGTCAGGTATCAACTTTCCACCTACCTGCTGGCAACGCACACGACAAGTGGGAGGTAGATATCGTCGTCCAAGGTCTTTGTGATTCAACCAAGGGGGATTCCTTCACTGCCCAACGCGCCTTCTTCTTCAACGTCACTAGTGTCGCTCAACAACCTCTCGACACTCCCGACTCCGTCACACTCGTTGTTGGCAAATCTGAGGCAGCTCAACTACTTATCGACTCCGAGATCACCGAACAAGCCGACTGTGCTGCTGATCTCAAGAGTGTCATCAACGAGACATCTTCAATTTTCACCGAACTCGAGGCTATCCCCACCGACAATGATATCAAGTCGAAATCGGATATTGATCTTGTGGAACATATCCTTCGCCGACGTCTCTACGATCAGGCGACAAGGCTTCAAAAGCTGAACCAGGACTGCCGCAAGAACACCGTTGAGAATCTTGCTGACTGCCACCACGACCTTTCTTGCATGGCTAGAGTGATGTGTCAACGCATCCACGACACTACTTTGACAAAGATCAAGGAGATCCAAGCATCACTAGAAGGCTCTGTCATGATTAGCAATGGCCGAAACATGGTTCAACAGGCAATGCCAATTGTCGATGATGGCAGTGACTCGGACTGGGATGCGACCTCTGTGGATGGTCTTCTCGCTGGAATTAACCAGGCAAAGGATCAGAAGAACGACAAGAACGATCACGACTCGCAACATCCAGTAGTACTGGCTCTGGAGATCCTCGCAGCAGCATTAGGTCTCACTGCTCTATGCGCGTTCCTTCGCCGCCGTTTCTGCTCCCTCCGCTGTCGCGTTGAACGCCTGGCTGACAAGGAAGAGCGCCGACGTGCTCGCCATTTCCGTCGTCTCGCCAGAAAGGAGGCTCTCCGCAAGAAGTGGGTTTCCTTCAAACAAGTCTTCAAGCGCTCGCCTCGAAACGGCGATTACGAAGAGAAGCGCGCCCTCGTCATTGAAGCCGCCGGAGGTGTAATCGATGACTACGCCGAAGAAGCATATAACAACAGCAACGACCCGGAAATGGGTAATGCCCTAGGTGGTCTTCGCAGCGCTCATGACTTCGTGGCTGGTCTCGTCAGAGTACGAAAGAACTCCAACGCTGGTTCAGGAACCACAACTCTACCCGAATATTCATCAGAGAAATTACCCGACTACACATCCACACCTGAAGACTGCAGTTACGCGCCTTCAGTCGCTAGCAGAGAGTCGATGAATACTCGTATGACACCTGACAGCAGTATTATCGTGACACCCAGATGCAGTCGCGAGACCCTCCGCACTGGAACCGATTTCAGCAATGAATAAGCCTCTTGCACTGAACTACTTTCTTCTTCTTTTCTTTGTAATTTTATGGGTGGGGATCACACACCGACAGACACGGGTTTTCCGGGAGGTGGGAGGAGGGAGGAGTTTTGTTTCTTGCTGGACAAGGAGTTCGACTCATTCGGTGGGATGGATTTTGGGAAGGGAGGATGTGATGGTACATATAATGGTTTGGGAGGAAGGAGAGCCGCTAGATTTGCAGGCTAGGAAGGATATACAGATGAAGACATCTGAACAATGACAACTTGAATCATCATATTTTTTACAATCTTGTTCCTAGAATTCGCTGTATCGCTTCTTCTGTGATGTACAAAGGCCTTTGGATGAGTGTTCCTTCCCAGTCTCGCTCCTGCAATTTGCCTGGTAGCTCCTTCGCCGCCTTTGCTCCTTCCTGGTATTATGCCTTCTCTGTCCAGATCAATGACACTGTAAACCCTCATCTCAGAATTTACTCTTTCGATGTCCATTCCGAAATCCACATTGTCGCCATACAGTACTCCTCTCTTCCTATTTCTTCATGAACTCAAACTCCCAAACCCACTACTCCCATCACTTCCCTTGCCATCCCCATCACCCCAGATGTCCCTACTCTGCATTTCCACCTCCCTCATGGCATCAGCCACTCCATCTAACTTCCTGACCACTTCCGCAACTCCTGATTTAACAGCCGCAAAGTATTTATCACTCGTTTCTCTGCGTTTAGCTGCCGACGTCAAGTCCAAAGTCGTAGTGGACAATTTCCTCTGCGCTTGTTCCGACATTCCCTTTTCATTCTTGTCGTGTTTATTCTGCGGTGGATTGGGTTTGCCATCCGTGTTGTCTTTCTCCTTCTTCGACTCTTTACTATTCCTCTTATCTTTCGTCTCCGTAATGTCCGAATCCGCAGCATCCGTCTGGCCCCAAGCTCTCGCCAATTCCACCTGCGCTTGTCGTAATTCCTCCAGTGCTTTTGCGTGACCTTCGCCAAACACATGTGCCGAGCTTCCTGCCGATAACTCGATATCAGAGAGTGTGGATTGCAGGGCCGCCCAATGCGCATCTAGAACTGCGGTGCCTCGGCGCGGTCGTTGGCGTTTTACTTCTTCGCTTATGGTGGTGTTTGATAAACACACTGGTCCTGTGGATCCTTCTTCTTGTTGGTTGTTTTGTGCTGTTTCTCCTCCATTTCCTCCTCCTCCTCGTACGGATAGATTTGTATTTGAGCGTGATAGTTGGTCGCGTGTGTTTTGGCGGGATAGTTGATCTCGTGTTCCTTGGCGAGAGAGGTTTGTATTCGTCCTTGAGAGATTGCCTTGGTTTAGAGATGGAGAGGCGGGACCGGGGATTTGAGAGGATGGGACGGTGGGTTTGGAGGTTTGCGATGTGTCGGTGTTTGCGCGGGTGAGGGAGGCGCTGCTGGCATTGTGAGAGGGTGGGCCTACGAATAGAGAAGGTGCTGGTAGGCGTTGTGAGGATTGTTTTGACATGATTGCGATATGGGGGTGTGAGATGGAGAAGGAAGGTGGGACTGTGAAGTTGTGGTGGTGCTAATTTGGGAATGTATGGGGGAAGACCCTGACGCTTTGCATGTGAATATGACGTCGTTGGTATCGATCGCTAGCAACGACGACGAGGGCAGATATGAAGATTGTAGTAGTACTCAGCTAAGAAGGAGCGAACTGTGACTATTCTAAAGCAGATTTGGCGCGCTACGAGTGTTTTCGTGTTCTATGAGGAAGGAACAAATATTCTACTTGATCGTTTTCAAAATCCTCTAGCAATCGACTTCTTGCACGATCTTGCGAATCAAAGTTTCACGCGCAACTTCTGAATCATCAAATACATTCACCGTTCGCAAATGCGTGACTTCGGGAGAAATCCGAGTCAATTGAATATGTGAACTGTATTGCATCGGCGACTCTGTCGCACGTAGAAAAAGCTATGTGATATAATATGTACAAGCAAAGCGCTCTCAAAGTCGTTCGATGTCATGAGTAAAATCGATCCCACACCTAGTAAACCATCCCCTGTTTTGCCTATTTAGATCCAGCCCAGAAAGCAAATATGACCGACCTGAAGAGAATATACCAATAACGCCGCGCATAGAAGGGAAAACGAAACTAAAACGCTTTAGAGGTAGATGGCAAATATAAGGGGAGAAATGAGAAGAGCGACAGTCATGAGACTAGCCTTTGTGGAGAGCTCGAATATTGATGCTGCTCCCGATGTGCCAGTTGCAGTCGCTGAGCTCTGTGTGCCTTGGTTCTGCTGTGCAGTTCTTGTTGAGCTGATCGGACCTCTATTGCTCGTAGCGTCAGATGCAGATGCAGATGCAGCAGATGTTTCGGCATCCTCGTCTGATGATCCAGAGACGGTTGTGAATGCAGAAACAGGCACGGTAGTCGAGCCTTGCTGCACCACTAACCCATCAGAACCCATGCTGACAACTTCGCCACCAGACAAAGTCACAGGAGCGCCGCCTCGTGAGACGACAGTGCCATCGATAGTTGCAACACTGGAAGCACCAGCAGCTTGGTATGCTGTCACAGGTGTGCCGTTGACAGTGAAGACTACTGCAGACGCTGGTGTAGCAATAGCAGCAGCGGATGTACCGTCTACCACAATGGTACCACCTGATGCAAGACTGACTCGCGAGCCATTTGCCAAGGTCTGGACAGCTCCGCCAGCAGTGATTGTTACTGTTCCGATAACAGCTTGATTGGTTGATCCAGGAGGGCAAGATGCAGTGACAGTCTTTGTGCCGACGATGAAGACAATAACATCAGGGCCTGCTGAAGCTGCAGGTGCGACGGTTGAGTATCTGACAATGGTCGAACCGACCTTGACACCATTACTCTCAGCACTGACGACAGAGCCATCATCGAGAGTAGCTGCTGAACCGCCAGGAGTGAGCTTTGATGATCCGATATGGACCACGCCTGAAGAGTCAGCAGAAACTGTTTGAACCTTGGTTCCGACAGTGACAACCACAGCCTTAGTGATGACTGGAAGTGCTGTGACTGCGGATGCACGGTTTGTGACGGCAGCGGCTTGAGTGCTGATGATCAGTCCAGATGTTCCCGCGCTAATCACGCAGTCAACAGGAAGTGTGACGGCAGGTCCGCCGACAGATACTGTGTCCGTGCCACAGACGTAGACCGTATTCGTCTTTGTAGCAGTGTAAGTATACGTTCCAGCAGTGAAGATATAAATATGAGGTTTGACAGGAGCTTGCGAGTTGCCGCCAGATGATCCACCTTGTGCTTGGGAGCCCTGAGTGTTCTGAGCTCCATTTGCAGTGTTGGCGCCCTGATTGTTCTGGCCTCCTTGGGTATTTTGTCCAATGGCCTGTGTAGGGTTCCAGTGCTCGCCTTGACCAGCATTTTGGGTTTGAGCACCTTGTCCGCTCTGTCCAGCCTGAGTGTTTTGAGCTCCACTCTGAGTCTGTCCAGCTTGAGTGTTCTGACCACCACTCTGGTTCTGTCCGGCCTGAGTGTTGTGACCTCCATCTTGCGTCTGGCCTCCTTGTGTATTTTGACCTCCATTTTGTGTCTGCGCTCCTTGACCGTTCTGACCACCCTGGCTGTTTTGTGCCTGAGTGTTTTGACCTCCTTGGTTCTGGCCCTGAGTGTTTTTTCCTGCTAGGTTGGTTTGTCCAGCCTGAGTATTCTGGCCGTTACCGTTGTTTCCACCCTGAGTGTTTTGCCCAGCTTGAGTACTTTGGCCATTGTTGTTATTATTGTTATTGCCGTTGTTGTTGTTATTACCTCCATTGTTCTGGTTTCCACCTTGCGTATTCTGAGCTGCTTGAGTGTTTTGACCTCCATTCTGAGACTGCGCAACCTGAGTATCCTGGTTATGGCCTTGAGTCGGTGCGGGCTGTGTAGTCTCAGCCTCGGCCTCCTTTGTGCTGGTAGCTCGCTCAGTCGTGTGATCCGCAAGAGCAGTGGCTGTGGCAGTTGTAGGAGCAACGGTAGAAGCCTCTGCGGCAGAAGTGGTCATTGGCGGCTTTGCGAATGGAACAGTAGGTGTTGCAACAGCAGTTCCTGGCTTCAAGGCATACGGCGGATCGTACAGACCTCCATACCACATCTGACAACCTTCCCATGCCGGATTGAGTTTTCTGATACCCGGCGGCATGGCCAATTGAGGGTTGTAGTCGTGCTCATAGATGACGTTACATTTGTAGTCGGCTGCTCCAGGGAATTCGCATCTGGCCTGTCCGTTCCAAGCACTGTATGGAACAGGGCTGTTGAGATCCGCAAAGTTGAATGGGTATCCAGTCACCTTGTTAGTCGTGGCAAAGTACTGGAAGTGATCTTGTGAGTAACGAAGACTCAACAAACGGTCCGAAGGGAGTGCAAGAATGGCATCAGAAACTGTTGTACCGATATTACTGCTGCATCGGTTGACAGCCCAGACTTTTTTAATCGAAATGTAGGCTGTTCCGGATGTGAATGTATGTGTACCAACAACCGCAGTCTCTGGGGCGATGCCAGATCCGTTCCAGGAAGCTGAGAGGTCAGCACCAGTATAAGGCGTGCCGTCATCTTTGCCATATGCAGTCAGTTTAGCGGATGGAGTGGTTGCACACATGTCGCGTGAGACGGTGGTAGGCTCAGGGAAGTAAACCAGTTGAACCTCGTTACCAAAAATTGTGCAAAGTCCACAACCATAGAAACTCTTGGAGAAAGCTTCGTTGGAAGCGGATTGACTAGAGTTGATGCAGGGGGGCATGGAAGGCGATGGCGTGATGGTTGGGAAGACAGCATCAACTGCATGAGTCGCGTTCGCAGCGACAGCCCATTTAGATGATGCCGTCGTGTAGGCTTTCCACAATCCATCACAATCAGAGGGGTTGATACTGCAAACAGGTGAGGAGATTGGGAACATCCATCCCATAGAGGCCGTGCCCACAGATTTGGAGGGAGCTGTTCCAACAGTCGTTATGGTGGTAGAAGACGTTGCAATGGCAGGTGAGTAGTTCACTCGTGCATGTCCATCGCAAAGTGTCGTGGCATTGGCATAGTATGTGACCGGGATCCATGACGTGCCTCCAATGACGTTGGTGTAGTTGCTGGTATAACTGTGTTTGTTGACCCAAGAGTTGGAAGCCGAGTTGTATTCAGAGCTGACACTAGAGCATGATGTCGCGTATGCAGCACCTACACCAGTCGACGCGATGGATGGCTTGGTGTAGTAGACATCGGTCCAGCATTTATTTGGGTTGTTGTCATAGCATATGGTACTACGCGTTGAGCTGCTGGTCACCTCTGATGAGCCATTGGAAGTGGCAGTGGCGTTGAGCGCAGCAGTAGCTGTCGTCGTATTGGTGTATGTGGGTGTTTGTCCTAGAGCGGCGAGAATATATGCACCTAAGCCTGGGGCAACAGTGGTCGATGTGATCCTAGGAGTGAGGTTGGTAGCCGAATAGTTGCCATTCGTTGCTGAGAGGGCGTGTTAGAAAAGGATCAAGACATAACAGAGTGCAGCCACCACTTACAAGCTTCGCATTTTACGAGGAAGGATATTAAGACAGCGAGGAAAACGGCACGGGAACTCATGTTGGCTTCAGGTCTTGACAGGCCGAACGAGAAATTTCCACAGATGCGTCTCTCTCATGACAGCACGGGAGTTGTTCAGGACCAGGAGATTTCGGGAAACAGGATCCAAAGGGTGCGACAGGAAACACTGGGGGAGTGGTCGGAGTATGAAGGAAAAGAGAAGGGAAGTGGCTGTCGCGGGTTGACGAATTGGTGGCTCGGTCGCCCGTAGCGGCCGTGTAAACTAAAAAGATGGGCGACGATTCACCGTGCATCACCCAAGCCAACTTTAAAGCGCCTTTGATCCTTGAAGGCTTTCGATTTTGATCGTCTTTCTGCCCACCAGCACTGAAACGCAAAATCTCGACTTCAAATTAGGGGCAAGCGGGCGAGGCCATGCTTGAGGACCGTGAGGCCCCAGCCTGCCCATAACCCACGTCATGCACTAACGCCCGGAGAGTCTCAACGGTTGGAGAAAAAGTCTAAGGTTTAATAGGCGTGGTGCAAAAAACACAAATCGTCTACGCCATAAACACGTTACAACGAGGAGAGGGCAGAGAACGTGTCTCATCGGTATCTCCATGGGGTGCATGAGGCCTGAGATGGTATGGACATGTGTACCATGGGATGGCATGAGTTTGTGGTTTCCATGTGATGTTGTCGAGGCTGCGGTCGTGGTGATAACCCTAAGGACTTGGGACTATTTTAAGAATGATCGACGGGCCTGTTCCGAGGAGTGAGTCTTGGCTATGGGATCACTGGCAGTTGTCCTAGCCGCAATCGCAGTGCCAGTTCTGGTCAAATACCGATCCTTCGAATCGATTCCTGATATGAGCACTGAGCAGCTGCATATGGTCGAGTATTTGGTTGCGGAGGATGGAAGAACTCAGTTTCGATTACTGGGAACTGGTGCAAATGTGATAGATCTCCAAGAGATTCGTGTCTCAAATAATCACAATCACAATCGACTTGTCTTGACTGACACGGGGCATACGCGGCCAACCTCATGCAATGCATCGTTTCTACGAGATGGATACATTACGTAGGACAAGCATTCAGCGAATACGAGAATACATGTAGCTAAGTTGGCAGCGCAGCAGCGATAGAGGTCAACGATATTTGGTAAGTTTTGATCAGTCATCAATTGTAGCCAAGAGGGGTGATACCAAGCGCAGAGGGTCTGACCCAATGTTTGCCAAATTGAGTCTTGATCAGGAAGACCATCAATAAGGTGGGTTGTTATCAGGGCATAGAGTCGAGCTTTGAGGAGTGTTTATTTGAAGCTTGGATGTTGTCACTGGTCGCTGAAAGCAGTTTGACATTTGCTGCCACTCCACTGGGCATGTCAGAAATCATACGCACCCGATACTCAACTTGCGCGAATGTCCAATGAATGGTCTTGACTGGCACAAGTGATGGTTGTCGGATGCCGGAAGATGTGGCTGTGGCATGTGAATGGCGGAGTCGGGAAACAAGCTTACTCAGCTTGGGAATATGGAGAACAGGTGGCGGTAGTTGACCCTGAAACTTGAACATTCAAGCTGCTGCCATCTTCTTGTTGAACAGTAACAGCAACATATCGCAAACATGAGATTCGGATTGATCGCATCTCTCGCCCTGGCTGGCACTTCTGCCGCCTCGGCCGTCATCGACCTCATCCCCAAGAACTTTGACGACATTGTTCTCAAGTCTGGAAAGCCCTCTCTTGTCGAGTTCTTTGCTCCCTGGTGTGGCCACTGCAAGACTCTTGCTCCCGTCTATGAAGAGCTTGCTTCTTCCTTCGAGTTTGCCAAGGACAAGGTCAACATTGCAAAGGTCGATGCCGATGCCAACAAGGAGTTGGGCCGTAGATTCGGTGTCCAAGGCTTCCCTACCCTCAAGTGGTTCGATGGAAAGAGCGATACTCCCCAGGACTACAACAGCGGCAGAGACCTCGAGAGTCTCTCTGCCTTCATCTCCGAGAAGACTGGCCTGAAGCAGAAGAAGAAGGCCGTCGCTCCCAGCAACGTCGAGATGTTGAACGACCAGACTTTCAAGACCGAGATTGGTGGTGACAAGGATGTCATTGTTGCCTTCACCGCCCCTTGGTGTGGACGTAAGCAGCGAATGCCGCTCTCAGAGCAAGGCAAATATGCTGACTTCTTTGCAGACTGCAAGACTCTTGCTCCTATCTGGGAGAAGCTCGCCAACACCTTCGCCAACGAACCCAACGTCCTCATCGCCAAGGTTGACGCCGAAGCCGAGAACGCAAAGGCCACTGCTCAGAATCAGGGCATCAAGGGCTACCCTACCATCAAATTCTTCCCCAAGGGTTCCAAGGAGCCTATCACCTATGAGAGTGCTCGTTCCGAGGAGGCCCTTGTCAAGTACCTCAACGAGAAGGCCGGTACTCACCGTACCGTTGGTGGTGGTCTTGACATCACTGCTGGCACCATCGCCGCTCTCGACAGCTTCGTCTCCAAGTATACCAGCGGTGGTGCTCTTGAGACCATTCAGAAGGAGATTTTGGCCGCTTCCGAGAACATCAAGGACACCTACGCTCAGTACTACGTCAAGGTCTTCAACAAGCTTGCCGAGAACCCTGGATACGTCGAGAAGGAGTCCAAGAGACTCAACAACCTGCTCAAGAAGGGTGGCCTTGCACCTGAGAAGGTTGACGACCTGACCAAGCGCAGCAACATTCTCAGCAAGTTTGTCGCCAAGGTCCAGAGCGTCAAGGAGGAGCTTTAAATGATCAAGCAAGTTATATCACGATAAAAGGACATGCCAGCAAATAGATGATGCAGGGTATCAAAATATGTTTATTCTAGTCATGGTGCTTTTCGTTCTTGCCGACTCTATGCTGGTGGTGATGACGAGTTTCTGCGACGTTGTTGTTCTGCGGAAGGTGATGCTTGTCTCTTAGCTGAGATGCGTCTGTGGTCTCCTTGACCCTCAGGGTGGTCCTTTTCCCATTGCGCCAACAGGCCTGTGAGCTTGGGTCCCCAAACGTCCTCGCCCTTTTCCAGATCCTCAAACTCGAGAACGTTTCTGCCAAGCTCGAATTCACCCTGTCGTGATCTTTCTAACGCGGCCATGAGGCCGAGCGAACCGACTGCCGCACCTAGATCGTGACACAAGCTGCGGACGTAGAAGCCGGATGAGACGGTCATTCTTAGACGAGCTGCTGGTGCCGGACATGGCCCTCTGTCTTCCTTAGGAGCATCTGCGTCGACTGTAGGTGCTTGGTCTGCGGCTTCTGCTCCTTCACTCTTTATCTTCTTGGCTTCCGGTCCATCAGAACCTTCTCTCTTTCTCTTCAAGTCTTCTGTGTCGGGTTGTGCCTCTTGTCCAGCAGTAGCCTGGGTATCCTCAGGAAGTTGAGGCAAGAGCTTGTCAGCTACCTTCTTCTCCTCCTCTTCAGCCTCCTTCTCAGGCCAATGGTATTTGTGTGTGCCAGGCTCCAACCATTCTACGCAGTCCAATTGCGAGACTGTGACAGGTCGCTCTTGAATCTCAATAGGAACCTCCTTGCCTTCTCTTGCGTATTCGTACAGTCTCTTGCCCTGCACTCTCAAAGCTGAGAAGATCGGAGGCTTTTGCATGATCTCGCCGCGAAACTTCTTGAGCGCTTCCTCGACCATGTCTTTGGTGACATGTTGGTATGGTGCTCTCTTGACGACCTTGCCCTCGGTGTCGTAGGTGTCACTTGCTGCGCCAAAGACGACAACAGTCTCGTACACTTTCGTGCAATCCAGGAATCCTTGCAGCTTCTTAGTTCCGCTACCGACTCCTACGACGAGCACACCAGTGGCCAGAGGATCCAGTGTACCGCCATGGCCGAGCTTGACTTGAACGGCTTGTTTCTGCTTGCGTGTTCTGCGTTTTCCATTGCCTGCGTCGGCATCACGCTTAGCCTTTTCGGCCGCGATCCAGGGAGAGAATGTTTTGGAGGGGTTCAAGTAGCCTTGCAAGTCGCGGAGAGCTTGAGCGGAGGATGTTGCGATTGGCTTGTGAACGGCTGGGAAGTAGATGGTCAGTATTTCCTCATGACATTGGCTGGAATTGATCATAAAATACCGAACACGCCTTCAAGGACGGGAGAAGCTTCACTCATAATTTTGACTGATCTCCAGATGAAACTCTTTGCCATTTGTATACAGCAAATGACAAGGAGGACGAATAAATTATTCTCGACAGCGCTCCGCAAGCTCTCTCCTCCATCAAAGTCGGGCTTGGCGTTGATAAGACTCTCGATAAGGATTCTCGGCTATAATGGAGGCACGCTTCGACGCGGTCCCGCGTCTTTCGCGAGTGAGAGGCTTCAAGGAAGTCGCTCTCAAGCCTGTTGTCACTGTCGCATCGAGTGCCTCCCTATTATTCGCTGTTAAGGTCCCCGAAGATGCCTCTCACCTCAACCATCAACACATTGATACAATCATGAGCAACGAAAGCTCCATACTACGTCCGCGCGACCCGTCGCAACTCAACTCAGATGAATGGCCCGAGTTCGGTTTGAAGAACGTCTTCATCTTTGATCCGGAAGATCCAAACAAGGAGCCTGTGAGCTTGTTACATGCTGGACACTACCGACCACTGTCCATCATTGCAAGACTCGATCCACCAAACACACGGAACCATTCGTCCTGGCTAGACACTTCCCTACATCGGAGGGTCGACATTGAACTTACCGACATCAAAGAGTTCTCATATGGCGAATATGGCGATGGCTCGTTGGACATATGGGCAGCTGGAAAGGCTGGCTGGTTCACCATCAGGCCGAGCCCTGAATACAAACGGACCTACAGCGACATGATCCAAGCCCTCAAGCTATTATACTTCATGGCCGACAGCTACAGGGCTTTGAAGAAATACGCTGACTTATCAGCTCCTTATTTCTTCCAGAAGGTGAGAATGATGATCTGCTCACTCGATGACGATGCTAACTTCTATTTCCAGTGCAGTAGGGCTCGTCTTGAGAAATGCAAGACTGTAACAGACACGGCCGCAATGTTTACAAAACATCGCCATTTCCTAATCGCATCCATGTTGACATACAAAGAAGGCTTGCAGTGGACCCGAACCCCCCTGTTCACGTGGTTCCAGGACACCTTTCCCGTGAGTCAGATTTACCCCTCTCTTCCGCGATGCTAGCTGACCCAAGTCCAAGAGTGAAGTCCAACTAGTGCGGCAAAGAATCAAACCTCCAAGGCCGAAATCATCATCGCAAAAGAGTGGTACTCAATCACCTGCTCCCTCGACTGCCAGTTCAAGGAGGAAAAAAGCAGAAGCCAAACAACAGGGCGCGACTCCAAAATCGACCGTCTCCATACGATCAGCTCGTTCTACTAGATCAACCCGGTCTCAGTCTAATGCGACGGTCGACTCTTTGCCTATGATCATGGACAACACTCCAATCCCAGAGACCCTACCTGAGGTCATGTCGACACCCGACCAGGCAAGGATTCGAGCAGACATGTCCTCTAGTGACGATGATATTCCTGGGACTGGAGGCAAAGGTAAGGGCACATCCGCTCTGAGACCTAGACCCAGCAAGTACATCCCCACAGGAACGAACAACCCTCACAAGGAATCTCCAGCTGCTCTCCACGGCAAGCAAGGGGAGCCTATGGACCAGCAAATAGAATCAGATGTCATGATGATCGACAATCCTAAGCTCGAGACCGAAGAGTCGAGCGACAAACAGACCGAAGAAGTTACGGAAGACTCAAACGAGGATGAGGACGACTCAGAAACACCAACCGTCGACTTACCGCTTCATTCCCGAGGTCCAGAAAACGAAGGGGACGTTTGGCATTGTCCTGTTGATGGATGCAATCACAAGACATACGCGGCCTCGGAACCCAGCTCTCAGATTCTTATCAAAGCACATGCACAGACTCATGATTTCGACCACGACGAGAGGGTGCAGCTCGTGCGTCGTATGGAGGCGCCATATCTGCCAGTGAACAGGCTGATGGATAGAGTCCGAGGGATGGCTGCGACAAGCAAGTTCCCACCTCCCATCACCCAACGATATTGACAGATCAGGACTTGTACTTTTAGACTTGCTATTCTATTGGCGTTATTCAGGGCAGGAACTTTGATGCTTATGATACCACGAGAGAGGGAAGGCAGAAACTTGGGATGGAAGGAGACACTCTTCTAGAATTCTAGAGCGATACGAGGAAAGACATGGCCATTTAATCAGCATCTCATTGCAAGCCTGATGACAGACGAAAGGGGTATAATATAGCTCTTAGAGAAACAAATCATCATCATTTGGACTCCTCATTTTGAGATCTTGCTGATGCTTGGATTGAAGATTCGAGGTTGTCGAGACGTCTTGACATCTCATCCACTGTGATATGCTTTAGTGATCCTTCATTCATGTGGGCATGTCAGACTCACTCTTTGTCAGAAGTTCTGATGAGATTGTTGTGAACTTGTTCGATAGTTGATTCAACAGATCGTCCACTACGGTGGCTAGGTCGTCCGAACCAGATTCGGGTCCCTGTTGTCGCGGGTCAGTACTCGTCCTAGTGAACAAATCCATGATGGCGTACATTAGAGGCATCGGCAGACGTATCGTGATCCTTGTTGATGTTCAGATCAGCCATACTGAGATTGACGTCTTTTGCTTCTTGTGATTGAGACATTGAGATAGAGTATTGTGATGCTGCTGATGGCCGCCAACAAACATCAGGGTGTTGAAGATGGCTTTCATGTACATCACCCTTCAAATTTATGCACGGACGGGCTTGAGCAATGCAAGCACAAAAGAAAGCACGAGGTTCCCTAGCCTCCGCATTTTGCGCTGCGGCGTTTTGCCCTGCTGCGCTCCGAACTTTGAGACTTTCCAAAGAAAAAAGTTGAACAAGTTGACCAACTTATCTTTCGCGACACAACACATACAATACACAACCACAACAATGGCAAAGGGAAGCAAATTGTTGTCCGCTCTGGATAACTACAAGGGCGTCAACCACAAGCTCGAACACCAGAAGAAACAGCAAAAGGCCGCCGAGAAGAGAAAGAGATCGAGAGCAGAGGATCAAGAAGATGAGGCTGTTCTTGAGGACGCGATAAAGGAGGCTGAGAAGACTGTGTTGGCTTCTGGCAAGAAGGACAAGAAGGGCGCTAAGCGCGCAAAGGTTGAGGCAGAGGAGAATGATGAGGAAGAGTCTGGTGCTGAGGAGTGGGAGACTGATGATGAAGATAAGACGCATGCCGTATGTTGCTCACTACTTGATGAATGGCGCGCGGCTATACTAACTCTAATCTCAGAGAAACATTGCAAGACTGGTCGAGGACGACTCCGAAGACGAATCCGACTCTGACGACGACGACGACATCAACGGAGGCGCCGAGCTGGACGACGAGGATGAGGAGGACGATGAAGATGAAGAGGATGTACCGCTCTCAGACTTGGAATCCGTCGCATCAGAGGACAAGGGCGACATCATCCCGCATCAACGCCTTACCATCAACAACACCGCTGCTCTCCTACGCGCCGTAAAGTCCTTCGCTCTCTCTTCCAAGCTCCCCTTCTCTGAGAACCAAGTCATCATCAGCGACGCCCCCACCGATATTCCCGACATTGACGACGACCTGAACCGCGAACTTGCCTTTTACAAGCAATCTCTGGATGCCGTTACCAAGGCTCGCGGTCTGCTCAAGAAGGAGGGTGTACCATTCTCCCGTCCCGCAGATTACTTTGCCGAAATGGTCAAGAGTGACGAGCACATGGGCAAGATCAAGTCAAAGTTGGTCGACGAAGCAGCAAGCAAAAAGGCCTCCGCCGAAGCAAGAAGACAGAGAGATCTGAAGAAGTTCGGAAAGCAAGTCCAAGTCGCCAAACTGCAAGAGAGAAGTCGCGAGAAGAAGGATACCATGGACAAGATCCAACTTCTCAAGAGAAGTATGTTGATATTCTACATCTTCCACATCTCACAGAAAACACATGCTAATAATGTTTCACAGAGAGAAAGGGCGAGGACATCGGCAACGCAAACGAAGACGACATGTTCGACGTCGCCCTCGAGGATGCTGCAGAGACGGAACGCAAGGACAAGGCTGCTCGCAAGAGCGGCGGTTCCTCAGATGCCCGCGGCGGCAAGAGCGGCTTCAAGCGTGTGAAGCGTGACGAAAAGTACGGTTTCGGAGGCAAGAAGCGCTTCTCCAAGAGCAACGATGCCAAGTCGAGCAGCGATATGAGCGGCTACTCGTCAAAGAAGATGAAGGGTGGAAAGAAGGCTTCAAGACCTGGAAAGAGCAGGCGCGCAAACAAGGCTTAAGAGGTCTTGTAAAAAGTAGTTCTTATTTTTTTGATATCACTGCATTGGGTTGGCTTGTATCGATAGCCATGAAGGCGTTCTTTTCTTTTTCGAGAATCAATCCATCTGATATAATGCCTTTTTTTAAATGTGTACCTCTTCTCTCTGTGAGATCAGTCCTTCATACGACAATATTGCCATGCACTGCCTCAAGAGTTGATCGATGTATATGGAGAAAGGGCTGATTTCGGAGAAGATGAAAAGATGGAGAAAACAATGATGGCATTCATAAACCCAGCGCCACCACCAAGAATAGTTGTACAAGGGAGGAGAAAAAGGGCATTTTTAATACATGAGCAAGCGGGGATGCAAAAAGAGGTCAGACAATGTAATCTTTTTACAGAGCGGGCTTGGCCTGCGACTGTTGCTGTTGAGTGAGGAGCTGTGAGATATCAAAGTTAGCATTATACTCCTTCGACACAGGTTCTTCCTCATCTTCCAAAACTCACCTCGTTGGCACTCTGCTGCATCTTCATCTCTCTCTCCATCTCGGCCATCTGTTGCTCCTCTGCAAAGGCCAATGCCCATGGTACACCGAGAAGCAAAACACTGGTGCTCACAACCCAAAGAGTCTTTCCGCCGTAGTTCAAAGTGGTCGACAACCAGGATGAGGTTGTGGAAACGGTGTTGGAGAGGTGCTTGCGGTATGTGGGAGGGACAATGTCCTTGAGTGCGGCGAGTCTGTCGGCAAAGGTTTCGTCGGGCATGTATTCCTCCTCATCCTCTGAAGCTTCGGACTCTGCGCGATGAGATGTGTTAGTCTTGCGATTCTCTCTTTCTTGATTCCGGCGCAGTGGCAGGTGTTGGGTGGAAGATCATGTACCATCGCTGGTGTCCCATTCGTCCTCGACCTGGGGGCCAGACTGTTCTCTGTTAAACTCCTCGTCGAGAACTTCTTCAAGCTTGACCATTTCGGCGAGTGGGTGTGTGTAGAGTGGGTGGTGTAGTAGGGATGGCGGTGGATAGTTGATTTGACTCGTTTGCTGACTTGAATTGCGGCGCGCTTCTCTTTCGCGGCGTTGCAAGATTTCTAGACGTCGAGCGTCATCCGGAGGAATCTCTAACACGTGACGCCCCGACTCGGAGGTGCTGTCTGAACACCACCAACATCTTTACCACCACCTCGAAAATTGACTATTGAACACCCTGACCTAGTTGATATTACAGAGTCACTCACTTCGAGACTGACTAGCATGCTCTTTCCTACTCATCACAATCGCGTAGCTGTCCTTAGACACAACGGCATGGTCCAGACTGCACGTGACCCATAATCGGTCAATCTGTATCGTCCACGAACATCAATCTCTAGACAGTCATACTGATAAGGGTTATAATCTTCTACTACATATCTCAGGCCCTTGCCCTCGGCCTTTCTCTCAATATTGCAGCTTGACCGTCAAGTAATTAAGGTTTATAGCACAAGAGGAGCTTCTGAGCCGCTTGGCATCTTTGATCCGGTCATTCTGCATTCATCGCGGTTTTCTTCTTTTTCCTTTCAGATCATCTCCCTCGGAATCGCGTCCGGTATCTTGTAACTCCTTTGCGAAGAAGTCCTCCCAGCAAACTCGACGCGAAATTCATTCCCATCTCATCGATATTACTCGGTCTTGGTCGTTCCGGACGCTTTGCGGGTGGCGGGGTATTCGCTCGAGTTGATACAGCCGACACAAAGCGCGGTTTGCCGTCTTCCTGGTGTGCAACTATGGATCCGATGGATGGAGGTGACGGTGTCGACAACAAACATAGTAGGACGTATCAGGCATGTATACCATGTCGGCGTCGCAAGGTAGATATACACAACGTATCGTACATATCTCAACTCAGTCGTTGACTAGCATCAGGTCCGATGCGATCTTGGTCCAGTAGATAACCCCCACGATCCACCATGCGTACGCTGTCGTCGCGAAGCAAAAGAATGTTTCTTCTCGGCCACAAGGAGGAAGAAGAGAGCTGCCGATTCTGGTACAACTGGCGATGAAGTCGACCCGAATGATTATGAGATTAGAGGAGGACGTAAGAGGTTGAAGGAAGGTGTTGCTGAATCGGTCGACTCGGATACTCGCAGTGTGCATTCGCCTGTACCTGTCGCTGCAGCGTATATACCCCGACCCTTGACGCCTGGAGGTTCTATGGGCAGGCAACAGCCTTTACGCCGACCTCATTCAACATCACAGACGCCATATCCGCATGATGAAGCCGATGATCATGTCAACAGCCATACGGCAGCTCTTCTGCAAACCGCCGAACTGCACAACGGACATGATGCATTGAACGTGCTGATCGAAGCTGCCACAACCCACCACCGCACCGGAAGTGCCAGCGATGTCAACAAGTATGCTTCATCACTACCTAGTCCTGCAGTTCTACCAGCCCCCATGACTTCCAAACCACCGCCTCCCGATTCCTCGATCGATCCTGCTATTATGCAGCAACCGCCTTCCACAGCTCGACCTTCTTCTTCAGCCGACTATGCTTCAGCGTATGCCGCCTGGGCACGCTTCCGGTTTGTTCGCAATGGCTGGTTTACGACCAAGGAAGGAATGGAGTACATTGAGTACTTTTACACATATATGTCTCCTCTGACACCGATCGCTCTTCCGGATTACCGTGGACCTGATAAACATGCCGCGCTGCTGGAGAATGAACCCATGCTTGCCGTCACCATGCTCATGATTGCATCGCGGTACATGACATTGTCTGGACCTGGTGCTCAAAGCCGTTCACACGCCATCCATTCCCGACTCTGGCCATTCGTACAACGCATGATTGATCGAATTGTTTGGGGTCGCGAATTATCTGGAACCACACTCCATCCTGATGAGACTCAACCTGGTTGTGATGTGAATCCTTTGTCGAGAAAAGGTCTTCTTACTTTAGGTACAGTCGAAAGTCTGCTGCTATTGACGGAGTGGCATCCAAGGATGATGCACTTCCCTGCAGATGAGGACGATACCCAACTCATGGCTCCTGTGGATCCAATGGCATCAATCAATGAGAGCACATCAAGCCCGGATAAGGGACAAGGAGGTCATGCATTAACTTCATGGCTCGAACCAGTCTTCAGAAGCGACCGCATGTGTTGGGTGCTTCTGAACATGGCAATGACAATAGCTTCTCAGATCGGTGTTTTTGATGCAGACTGCTCGAGACATCTTCAAGCTGTATCTCCAGTTGAACAGGAAATCTATCAGCGAAGACGGCTCCACATCAAGAGCGTCATTCTTGGATACATTACACAAACGAGTGGACGTATGGGTGTTACGGCTATGCTTCCTCAAGGGTACGCGGAACCTTCGCTGAGTGAATTGTATAACCCGAAGAGGTCGAGCTTCAAGGATACCAAGGACATTGTACTGCATTTCTGGTTACGTCTTGCGACATTGGTCAAGATCAACAATGAAGAGCTATATGCCAATCGACAACAAACTCGCGATATCATCAAGACTGGAAAGTATAGGGAATTGCTACAGCGCATCAAGCCTTCATTAGTGCAATGGCGAAGGGAGTTTGAAGCTTACAGAAACAGTGAGTTGCTTGATTCAAGTAAGACGAAACGCTGGCTAACACATCTTCCAGTTCCCATCCTCCTCCGTCATGTCCTTATAATTGAGTATGAACACACTCGCGTAATCCTCCACCAACTAGCCCTTCAAGCTGTTGTAGAGAGATGCGCAAACAACAACACCGGAGCTGCTGGCAAAATCATTCCACCCAACGTCCTCGATCAATGGTTCGGCAGCGACAGACAGCATGTCGATGAAGTAATGCAAGCATGTCGTAACGTCCTCCGCGTCGTGGTCGATGGCCTAGCACCAGGCGGATACCTCAAACACGCACCCGTGCGCACATTCTTCCGCATTGTGTCTGTGACATTGGTGCTCGTCAAGGTAAGTTCTCTCTTCCAGCCCTTGAAGTGGGTAATATTGACCACCATCCCAGACCTTTGCATTCGGCGCCTTCGAAAACGAAATGGCACTATCCCTAAACCTCATGGATCGCACAGTAGAAGTGATGCGTAACTGCGTCGTCGACGACGTACACCTCAGCAACCGCTTCTCCAACTTCCTAGAAGTGATAACAAACCGCCTCCGCCCCATGATCATACGCATGTCCAGAACCAACGGCTCTACCTCGAATCATGCGGTTTCTAGGGTTTCGTCCAGACCAGCTAGTCCTGGACAAGGTCAGCAAAACAGGACTACGGAACATATGCCTGCTTATCCCTTAAACCCTTACGATAATAGCACAGGTGGTAATGGGAATGGGAATGGTGGTAGAGAGGGTGAACAGCAGCAACAGCATAATAACCCAGCTCTATACGGCATCAGCACCCAATCCTACGATCTCACCGACAACCCTGGAAACTTTTCAATCATGCCGCCGCCGGGCTATCCGCCTGGAAACACTTCTACAACCCAACCTTCCCCATCTATGCATCATGCTTCTCTGCATCAGCAAAACATCGGATCTGATGATTATGGGTATAATGCGTTTGGCGAGGGCTTTGGCGCTGATGATGGGAGTTACGATTGGCTGGCTTTGCCGCTGGATCCTATCTTACAGGCTGGAGGGGGAGATGTCACGGCCAATTGTTTCGGGCCGGGGATTGGTGAGTTTGATATGTTGGAGGTTTTGCTGGGCGGTGGTGGGCAAGGGCAAGGGCAAGGACAAGGAAATGGACATCAAGGGCAGCATTAGAAGATTTGAATAAAGATGGCATGTCCTGGAATTCACTTGTGGTGTTGAGAGTGATGTTTTCATTGCGTTGATGAGTTTAAAGGTGGGAGAACAGATGGATGGGATCTGTTTGGAGTTGAAGGGACATTCATGGTGGAAGATGAATGGAGGGACAGATGATTGAGATCTGTCTGTTGTCAAGGGAGGCATATTCATGATGAGAGATGAATGAGGGGAACAGATGAGTTAGATCTGCTTCAAGGATGGGCAGTTGTACACATCAATCCATGTCGACGTCTTCATCCTCCTCGTCATCGTTCTCGGGCATGTTGACTTCCATGTCCACGTCCTCATTGTCCTTGTCGTTGTCCTTTTTCTTTTCCTCCTCTTGTTCACTTTCGCTCTCACTGTCATAGATCATTTGAGTAAATTGAGGCACTTCGTTGGCTGCACCCACGCCTCGAATTTCGTGATCGAGATGCCAGACTTGCAGCATTGATTTCAGAAGGAAGTCGAAAGAAAGCCCAGATCGACTATCAAGCTGTTTTGTGAGTCGTATGGGAGATCCAACCGACGCATGCCAAGCATGCACTGTTCTCTACGGGCTTCTGTCTGCTTTGAGCGTGGAATCTCTTTTAGTCACATTCATGGCAATATCCGGTTTAGAGGACGCTTAATAACACGATTGAACGAGAATTGTTTGCGAAAATCGTTCCAAAGATCGATTTTGAGTGTCTCAAGCTAGCATTATAATGACTGCAAGTGGTTGCCGGCTTGACACAGTTGATGGAAGTGGTCGTTCTGTGTAATAGTTGCGCATGTTCGGTGTCAACTTGCTTCATATATCGCCTATCCATTATATCATTCATGTACGTTTGCAATCTGTTGTATCCAACCTGCTTCCTAGCACCCGAATAACGCCTGCTTTTCCAAGCTCAATAATCTAGCAAGGACCCATGAAGCTAGCCAACTTGGCCATGTCAGCCTCTCCAGCTCTCTGCTCAACGGAAGTTCCTTCTTCTTCCAACAGTTCGTCAATCTTCTTGACACTCTTAATCTTCCAGAAATCATTGACTGCATCCACGAAGCGGTGGCTGATGGGTTCAATCTCCTTCTCGTCGCAGGCGGCGAAGCACAGACGGAAGAACTTGTAGCCATCCTTGTTACGAATCTCGTCGGTAGGTGAGAAGATGAGACCAGGAGAGACGAGGACGAGGTAAGGCTTGATGGTCCAGAAGATCCAAAGCGCACGCGAGAGGCGGGCACCGGGAACCTTGTTGATCAAAGGGTGAGTCTCGAAGTGCATCTTCACCCAGACGAACATGCCACCGACAGGCCAGTCGAAGGAGTAGGCTGTTGTGGTCTGGACGACAGCCCACTCGTCGTCAGAGTCGAGCGAGAGGTTGCTGAGAGAGCTGCGGCGGCCGACCTTGACGAGCTCACGACCAGTATCCAGAACACGGCACATGTCGTTCATACGACGTTCATAGTTACCGCGAAGGCCCTCGAGCCAGCGGACCCATCCAGCAGTACTCCAACCCTTGCCGTTGGAAGGACCCTTGCCCGGATCAACATCATCAGCCTGAGGACCAATGATCAGTTCAGCAATCATGGACTGCACGAAACCGGAGGGCTGCTGAGTGCTTGTCTCGGTTAGACGTAGGATACGCTCAATCAGGTCAGGCTGTCCGGTAATCCAACCAAGACGGCAACCAGGAGCCACAGTCTTCGAGAACGTGTCAAGACGAAGGACACGACCGTCAGTATCGATATTGATGTATGAAGGAACCAACGAGTCGAGGAAGTCGTAACCCGAGGACTTCCACTTGGATGATTGCGGAGTAAAGACTCTCTCGGAGTTGGTTGAAGAAGGGAACTGCAGGTACCAGTATGGGTCATCCTCTACAATGATAACATCATACTTGGAGCAAAGAGCATAAAGCTCACGACGACGCTGGAGGGAGAGGACACCAGATGTGGGGTTCTGTCCCATGGTGACAGTGTACATGAGGTGAGGTCTTTTTCCCTTCTTGTAGTCCCAGTTCTCAAGGACATCACGAAGACCACCAGGACCCTCAGCAAGCATACCCTCGTCATCAATCTTGACAGGGGCGATGTTGAGACCTCTGGGTCTGGCGGCTTGGATGGCGTTCATGTAGCAAAACTCCTCGACAAGCAGACCTTGACGGTCGCGAACCCAATCCTTCTCTTCACTCCATTCGTTTGACAAGGCGGCGAGAGCCTTGGAGAAACCATCGGTGCTTCCGCAGGTAAGGACGACTTCAGGACCACCCTTGTAAGGACAGTTGGGGTGGAGGTTCTCTTGGGTAAATTGGCGAATGAAGTAGTAAAGTGGTGGATATCCCTGAGCTTGACCATATTGCAAAGCGGAAGCCAGATCAATCTTCTTGAGTGGGTTCTGCTCGTGAGATGTGTGAGGGACCTTCAATGCTGATTGGGCTTGGTGAAGAGGGCTTCCATTCTTGAGAGACGAGGTGGCGGCTGACGGAGGGTCAACTGGCTTGTTGTCGGTTGGCTTCCATCTCTCAGGCAGGGCGACCTTTGCCTCTAGTGTGTCGAATGGGAAGTAGTATTGATTTGGTAGGCCACCAGCTAATTGACCGATTCCTGGGATCTGAAAGTACTTGTAGAACTGCTTGATTGAGCTAGGCTGTCTACTCTTGGCATTGCGGGAAAGATGATGCGACAAGTCTTTGGGCGGCGGGCGCGTATCCTTGGGGTTGGTGCTCGACATGATGATATATGGTGTGTTGAGTAAGTATGGAGAAGTAAAGACTCGAGATGAATAGTAGAGCTCGGACTAGGGACGAACAGATAGGCCGGCGGATATAGGCATCTTTCTCGATAAACGGCGTTAACCGGTATTAATAGATACCGATTTTGTCATCATCATTATCGGTACATCGCACCTGCCTAATAGGTCCTTTGTATGCAAGGGCAGCTTATTGCGCAAGTCACTTTTGCTGTTGCGATATTACGAACATCAAGGTAAAATCTTATCCTATACCCGCGAGCCATTCCTTGAGTAGACTGAAGGTAGGTAATTACTCGAGTGTATCTCATCAAAGTCGATCGTGCGTCATGACCAAGATGGACAAAGCGGAACCGAAGTTCCCGCAAATCCGAACGTTTGTCCATCCTGTCAAGTCCATAGCACACTGGCCATGAATCTTCCGACTTGGCATAGTGAGTTCTTGAATCATTCTTCTATCCTTCCTGTATACCCATATCCGCCTTGAAGACGTATTCAGCAGGACAACATCGCTAAGAGGAGGGCCCAAAAGTGGAGTTAGACCATATCAATCCAGCAGTCATGCGTGACGAGGGCGACCAGCTTGAGAGCTACCACGATGAGACACCACTCGCTGCTTCCGATGATGATACATTATTACGGTCGACATCAATCGATGATCCGGTAGACGATGACACTCCTCGACAATACCCATGGATGCAAAGAGTCAGCGACAACATACCATCACCATTAAAACGCATATCGAGCGCCGTCGTTACATGGGCCAAGGGGCCTCAACCTCCGAGGATATATAAAATTGAGCCCTTCTTCCCAAGCATACAACATGCGCCCCTCGCCCTGTTGGACCGCTATGCTCCGAAGAAGATGCAACGATTCTGGCTTCTGTTCGTCTTCTACATCTGCTGGATCCTCTCATTCGCCTTGATACTACACAAATCCTCCTTCGCCGCCGACGTTCAAGATTATGGTTCGCCAGTAAGATTGGGATGTACAGCAAGATATTGGAATGACGGCAACGGCTGTGGCATTAATGGTGACCAATGCCGTCCATTCTCCAATGCTTCTCTTCCATTCCGCTGTCCAGCAGGTTGCATCAAGACCCAAGTCCTATTCCCTCACGCGGTTGGAGATCAGGAAGTCGTATACAAGCCTTTGGTCATTGGTGGCCCTACAAATAAGAGCGAGCCTATTTCAAGTACCGTCTATCGAGGCGACAGCTTTATATGTGGTTCTGCCATCCATGCAGGCTTCATCAAGAGCGAACAAGGTGGATGTGGTGTCCTCAAACTTACAGGAGATCGACACTTCTTTCCCAGCGTAAAGCAACACGGTATCGACAGCATCGGTTTCGAGTCATACTTTCCGCAGTCGTTTCAATTCGTTGAGGGTACTCAATCGCAGTGTAAAGATTTGAGATGGCCTTTACTCGCCGTGTCTGTATTCTTTACAGCTATGCTATCCATCTTTACCACTTCTCCGGCCGTGTTCTTTTGGTCCATCTTTGTTGGATTGTTCTTCCAAACTGGACTGGCTTCCGATCCACCAAACCTGACCGACTATTATTCTCTCATCTCGACAGCATTAGGTCGCTTTCTTCCCGCTGCTTTCGTCATGGCAATCATTTACCGCTATGCTGTGCGCTACTCTCTCACAGGCTTGACAGCACAATTCGAAAAGACAATACTTTGGCTCGGCGCAGCATGGGTGGGTGCACTGAACAACTACACCTTTGACCGCATTCCTATTCAACGCCTTACACCCCATGATATCAAGGCCCAGCCTGGCGCCATACCAGCACTCATCTCCATCGTCCTCATCATCTTCTTCATCGCTCTCGGCCAAGCATACGCTTTCCGTGTAGAAGGCAGAATGCCACGCTACCTCGTCGTCTATGGTCTTTTCGTTGGTGGCATTCTTCTCCTTGTCGCAGTTCCCGGTATGAGTCTACGAATTCACCACTACATCCTTGCGATTTTGTTGCTGCCAGGAACGTCTTTCCAAAACCGCCCAAGTTTGCTTTATCAAGGTTTACTTTGTGGTTTGTTTATCAATGGTATTGCACGATGGGGTTTCGATTCTATCTTGCAGACGCCTGGAGAATTACTTTCCGACGCGCCGCAGAATACTATGCTTCCACCTGTTCTGCCTCCAGTGGTTGGCGCCAATAACATTACCTTCACGCTTGGTCCTGTTCCTCCAGCACACCCGAAAAAGAATACGCCAACCTACGATGGCATCTCTATACTGGTCAATGATGTAGAAAGATTTCGAGGGTATGCTGACTACGATGCGGAAGGGCTTTGGGAATCTGATGGGACTAGGCAGTGGACTTGGCAAAGGCATGATGGAGAGCTACCTGAATATTTCAGATTTGCTTACATGGCTGGCAATGGTGTGGGAGATTATACTAAAGCAGGAAGCTGGTTGACCAATGGGACTTGGATTCCTATGAAAGGTGGTCCATCGTAGGTGTTTTCTGAATTATAGCGAATGATATCTAAACAATTCCCCCTACGTCTTCACGATGGTGGTTTTGAGCTCTGCTAGGTATCGAGTATCAGTAATGGCATCTCGCGTCTTGCCATCTATCATTGACGCACATATGCTTCCAACAAGGTGAAACAGGCTTCGCACTCGCCTACTACTGCCTTGCCGCAATCTACATCACCACCCGCGGTCATACCACCACCCTCGGACGCCCCCTTTGTGATCGCAGACCACACAAATGTCGACACCGTCTTCATCAACATTCGAGCATGGGACGGATCGGCAATCTTCCCCATGGATGATCTAGACCAAGAGATAATTGAAAAGCTCAGGGCTCAAATCAAGACAATTATCTGCCCCATCCCCGCGAATAAGGCTCATCAATCCCTTACTGCCAATTGTCACGAACCTGGCATGGTCTGTCTATGGCAGAGATGTATGAGGGACTCTCCAAAGCATCCTAACGGTTACCACGCCTGCTACGAGTGTCTCAAAGCAAGAAGATTGTGTTTGCTGCGTATCAAGGACCCGTCAGGTCAGGGTGTTCCAAGAACGAGATCTCACTTGGCCCCTTTACCGGCTACGTCTTGCCCCTCAACTTCACTCTACCTGACCCCACTTCCTGAACATTGCTCCTGAGCTCTGTAGAACCCCTGGATCTCTCTGGTCCATCGGGATCTACTGAAATTACTTCAGGACTTCCTTCAAACATCCACTACGGTTCATGTTGCCTTTCTGCCTTGTTTCGACCATCTCTGGCCAAGATACACCCCTCGATCCATACATGGTACATCCGCCTTTGAGGTCCATGTATCAGGCACATCCACCTCTCTAGTCCATGTGCCATCAGTTAGTAGGTACTTTCCATGTATTAGGCACATCCACCCCTCGGGTCCATGTGCCATTACTCAGTAGGTGCTTAAGAATGACGTCAAATACATTTTATCACTCTTGAAGCTTGACACGGGTTGACTTCGCACTGCTGCAGAGATAAAGCTTGGAGACGTCAATGCAGGCAGGTTATCCCCTTTGACTCCCGTGACCCCTATCATTCTACCATAAGCCCCTTCGTCTTAGTACACCCCGTGAAAGCCCTTTAAAGCTGCCTGTTCTAAAGCAAAAACACAACTAGATGTAAGTGTCCCAAGTTACGGTATTGATTAGAAAATGAATGATTCCTTGTTTCGTGCAATTCATGATGCTACCATTGTGCGTGATCTTAGTCAGTCTGCACCAGTACGGCGTGATTCGCTCCCGACATCGGAGAGCTCATGACAGACAAAGGAACAAACGAGGTGACCAAGGTCATGGGAAGTGCGCGAAGAAGCTTGATACTTTCCTGGTAGCTATTACCACTCCTTCCCAGACAGACAGTCTCCATATCTTCCATGCCAATCAACAATCATGGCACAATCCAAGAACAACAAGACCGGAGAATCAACAGCCAGTCTTGAGCCTGAGAACTCCTCGGTATGTATAGCTACCGTCTTTCTGCTAGATGAGACTAACAGTCCAAAGCAACAGGACAACGACGCCTCCACGGAGATGCCCATTCATAACATCACTCTTGAACAACTTCATACACTCCAGAATCAGGTCTCAGCCCTTTTCTCCATCCACCAAGAGTTGCAAGAGACCATGGATCTCATCACAGAGGCAGTCAATCAGATCATTGATGATCCTGAGCGAGTTGCAATGTCCTTTGAAGAAACTCTGGTACTCATCAAAGATGTGATCGACCGTAGTGATGAATACTCCGAGCACATCAAAGATCTCTGAAAGAGATTGTCAGACCATTGCGCCATGTAGCCTCACTTGATATGGCTTTGGCCCAAGGACTTGGACACGTTCTGAGCAACGAAGTACTCCTGGAGGAGCTTCGCTTGATTTGTCGTGATTATTGAATGAGCTTGAAGAAGGAAGAGAGATCCAAAGGGCTTTTGGGTTGGATGAAATACAACATTATTTGATGCAGCTCATTTGAGGGAAATTCGTTGTGCCATACTAATCTGGATGGTATCTTGGAGGGAATATGGTGAGGAAGTCAGTGGAGGCTGATGCCAGAATCGTCTTGTTTTTGTCCGAACAAACCCATTCGGACCTCATCATTTGTTCTCAATATCAATCAAAGAGAAATCTTGTCGACAATCGAATCTGGCAATTTCTGTCCGGCTTGAAGTGGAACTCAATGGTCTTGTGAGTAGAAGCTTCCGGTACAAGACGGCAGCCCCTTCGTCGTCAGCCAACCTTCCATAAATTAGCCCACCGGAGCTGCTTCAATCTTCCCATCTTTCCAACAACTTACCTCCTAACCGAGAACTACCAACAAATCCAGTCCAACAGACCAACTCATCAACCACTCACTACCAATATGGAGGTTCGTCGCTTGCTGAAGTATGTCTTTTCCAATGCTGACCAGTCCATGTAGCTCCTCAGACAGGAGACTGAACAGGCTTCCAAAGCCCTCGAGGAGTTAAAGAAGGACATTACTGCTTTCAAAGCCCAGATCTCAAAGAAGAACAAGGAAGACGCAGAGAGCAAGATCACTGCTCTTGAGAACAAGATTACTGCCCTCGAAGCTCATATCGAAAAGCAGGACAAGATGATCATTGCTCTTCAGGATCTTGCACGCACTGTCGTCGAGAAGGGCCGCAACGTTGAGTCACTCGCAAACAGACTCAGAGAACTCTCCGAGTAGTCCAACTACCATCGCCGGAAGTGGTGTCTTGGGTCATGATTCTATGCACTGATCATTCAAGGACCCACGACTTCTTTGGGAGACACGCGTCTGCATGGGGTGTTATCAGAGCCTTCACCAACGAGCATAATTGATGGCGGCTTCTCGCTAAACAAATAACAAACATGTTCAAAACAAATGTTTCCCTTGAATGTCTGTTCCTCTTGTAGTGTGACCATCAATGAATCAACGAGATTCCCTGCTGTCAAGAAGCACCGATCTCGGCTTCGTTTACGTTTCCATGATACTGATATACTAATCAACTTTTTCGAATATCATTTGTGCGAGTCTATGTTGAGACCCTGCTTCACTTACTGATACTCACTTCCTTGACACGACGGTCAATGGCGGAATATTCAGAATGTATCGTGCTTGAGTTGTTTGCTTCTGTGCTTTCATTCTTGCTCCATCAGACGTTGCATTCTTTGTCCCATCATCTTCTCCGTCCAAAAGTCAACAGTGCAAGAAACCCACATCTGCTCATCAGCCTCGTTAGCATTATCAATATCATCACAACTACCACCACTATCGCTAAACTCATCAACATGGAGGTAGGTTATGCATTCTTTTGACTGTCTCCCGGAATTCTGTTCAATCACTAACGACTTACTACAGCACATGGAAGTGTTTGAGAAGATCTGCTCAGAGCTCGAAGCAGCACGCAAGGAAATCATCCGCCTCGACCTCGAAAACCAGGCCAAGCAGACCGAGATTCACGAACTCTCTGCCGAAAGCACCAGAAACATGAACATGTGGCAGTTCCAGAAGAATCTCGTGCATGAATTCGTGAAGGAGGCCGGGATCATTGAGCTCAAGGAGACCGTGAGCAAGCAGGAGATCAGGGAACTCGAAAACGACTTGATCGTCAAGAATGAAGAGCTCAGATCGATCCGTGGCCGTGAGCGCGAAGGTGTCCAAAAGATCAAGGAGCTCGAGCAGGTTGTCAAGAGTCTGGAGATGCAAAACAGCAGACTAGAGGAAGACATTGAAGCTCAGAGTTGCCATACTGAGTAGTTTCTGATTGGTGGAGTAAGCTCTTTCCAGCAGGAGGGATAACCCTTGAAGGCGTCCAGGCTATCGCTGTCGCGATTTGAGGAAACGGGATGAGGATGGTCGACATGGTACCAGACAAATTGAAAAACGAAATATCGAAAATTGTTCTCAATTCAAACATCTCGCCATCCTTGTGTATAACTTTGACACGTGATACTCGAATGACGTCCTCTTCAAAGCGTGTATCTAAATCCCTTGTTGTCGAGCTCGGTCTGATCATGCATACCTTGCTCAATGGCCAATCTCTCCTCCTCTGCTGAAACAACACCAGCTTCTCGGTCTCTTTTCTTGTTGACCATGAACATGTAGATGTACAATACAACAACCATGGCAAGCTTGACCATGTACCCGACCAGCATAGCGATGTAAGCACTGTGATAACCAGGGGCCTCGCTGTCTTTGAACGTTTGTGGTCCTGCGAATAAATCAGTAAGAGAAGAGTAAGGAAGAGGTGTAAAACTGACCAATGATGTTGCCAACGCAGTATCCCACGAACAGAATGGTACCTGTACACTGCTTTTTGGTGTATCCCGCCACATTACTCGATACCATGGTCAAACTCATACTAAAGCCAAGTCCTTGAAAGTAGCACAACCATAATGCTACAAGGCGTCCCCATTTGTTGTCATCGGGGAGTCCCACGAGCAAAGCGGCACCGAGGATACAAATACAGTTGGCTGTGATCATGGCGATGCACCGGGAATTGGGAAAATGTGAGCAGATGAAGCCACCGCCGAGGAGAGCTGCGAACTGAATGAAACCACCGGGGATCTGAAGGTATTGTGTTCCGAGGGTATCGAAGCCGAAGGATTTGACGATGATTGAGGTAAACTGTCTTCACATCAGTATCATTTGTGCTAGGAGATGAAGAAGAGGCTTACACTCGTGATAGCAGAGTTCGGAACTTGTGCTCCAACAGCCATGATGAACAAGATCCACGTCTTGGGATCTTGCAAGGTCTGGATTAGTTGATAGCGCTTGAAATGGCTATTCTTGACACCTTGTCTGTTACTGGCAACTCTTTCAACAGCTACGTATCTTTCTCTTTCTGTCAAGAATTTTGCAGTCGAAGGCAGATCGGGGAGGAAGATTAAGACAACGATGCCCCAGACTATGCTGACGCTACCAAAGATGATGAAGACGTACATCCAGCGTTCGAGAGAGCCGGAAGTGATATGACCGATTGCGTAACCAAGGAGACCTCCGACCATTGTTGCTATACCGTTGGTACAGTACCAAGCTTCGAGGCGTAGTGGTTGTTCAGCGGACGTGTACCACATGCCCATGATTAGGACGAATCCAGGGTTGACTACTGCTTCGAAAGTACCGAGGAGGAAACGATTCGTCGCGATGCCGGCGAAATTCGTACATGCGGGTGTGGTGATGAGAATGATGCCCCAGACTGTTTAATGTGTCAGTACTTGCGCCATATGAAGTGGAATGGTATGACTTACCGATGGTAGTTACGCCGAGGAATTTCGCAATAGGCAATTTCTGCAAGAGCCAACCGCCAGGGAACTGTGCCCATAGGTAACCAAAGTAGAATATCGAGCCCAGCCATGAGTATTGTTGTCCATGCAAATGCGTTCCATCTTTCAATCCATAGGCAGAAGCAAAGTTCAAGGAGTTTTTGTCGAGGTATTGGAGTAGGTAGACAACGAAGAGGATTGGCACGATACGCACGTCAATCTTCCGTAGGACTCTCTTCGCTTCGGCTGGGTCGATGGGCTCTCCCTCATGACTTTTGAATGCTTGGTAGCTGTCGTCTAGATCTGCAGTTGTTGCTGGAGATATACTTTCTGTGGCATAGGGATCCGGTTGGATCTTCTTGTCGAGTTCTGACATGGTTGCAGATGATGTCCAGGAACTGTGTCTATGTACACGTAACAACAAAGAAACGAAGAGGATGCAAGAAAAATATCAAGGACCTACACATATTTTCAAGTAAATCCTCATACCCGGTACTTGCGACATGTGGTCGCGTTGAATTAAGGCGTGCGGGTCCATTTACGTATTCAGCCGCCATTGCAACAGTGTCTCTAACAAGCAATTGATGAACTTGGTACATGATGCTTGAGTCGAGGCATGACATTATTGGTCGTAGTGCACTTCCGAGGGTGACGAGGAAAGTATAGATGGGTGATCACGACATCGAGGGATGGATGACGCGACGTTGGCAACACCATGATATCTGGGGACTTCAATATACTCCGCTCCTGGAATCGCTCAACAAACGTGGTGATCGATCAACTGCCGAGTGGTTCAATGTGATGGTTTCTAGATGATTTCTTTGGAAGATGTCGTTGGTGGTCCAAGTTTGTAATGTGCTGCGGACGACGAAGTGGATGGTGTTGTGGTTCGTGAACGAAGTTTGCTTTGGCTGATCAGCAACGTCAACTTTCGGCAACATCACCACCAAACCTTGTAAAGAACAATCAAACATCGGAAGCGTGATTCATATATATCTTTCCAAACCATCAAATATGCACATGACATAGCACCGCTTCGTTAAAATATCAAATGTCGTCTTTTGTTCTCGAGATGGTAGTTGTGGACGGTACCCTGACCTTCGGGTCATCATTGCACCGAAGCTTTGCTATCAAGCTGACAGCTCAACACTGCCCTCCGGAACACCTGCAGAGCTCTTGAGACGGCGAGCAAAGAACTGCATGATAGGATACATCTCATCGCGGCTTTTGGGCATCGTATCTCCAGATCTTCGGTACCGATTGAACTGGACAGATTCGAACACAGCCTTGAGTTTGTTTTCTGCTGATGAAGTGACCCACGGACTGTCACTTCCAGAGCAGACCAGAATTGGTGTCTTGCGCTTTGGAGATAAGGAGGCAACAGCTTCGCTAGGGAGAGGACCGCCGACACTGATCACACCGCCTAGCTCCTTTTCCATACTTACTGAGATATGTGTCAAGGGTGTCCAAGTATAGTGCGTGATTGAAAGAACCTACCAGCAATGCTGAGAACTACCATACCACCTTGGCCGAAGCCAAAGAGCATCAACTCGCGAGGTTGGTAACCACACTTCTTGATCAATGTGTCTTCAATGATCTCCTTGACAAGTCTTGGGACTACTTTCTTGAAGCCACCGTCAGGGTCAATAGTGCCGACAGTGTTATCAAAGATGACATCGTCACCCCAGTGAAAGGATGAAGCCTCGAACGGAAGTGGCTCCGGAGCTTTGATAGAGATGCATGCTGTCTCTGGCAGATTCATCTGCGTGCCCAGCTGAGCAAAAGGAAGATGGGCATCACCTAAGCCATGGAGTAGAATGAGGATGTTTGTTGGTCGTTGCGAGCTCGGAGCTGATAGAGAGTCAGTTCTCGGCTGAGAAGGATCTCATGTGATGTAGACATGGTCCGTGGCGCCGCTACAAGATGAAGCGGTGAATGGACGGTTCAGGGTGTGGATATCATCATCACGCCAGGAGGGCAAGGTACGAAACTTACGAGGAGACACCGTCAAGGTCCAGCTGGATGGAAAGTCTGACGTCGTTGGTAGTCTTTTGCTGGTCGACATGTTAAGGAGTTGTGATGTTGATGTGTTTACAGCAAGTATTTGTTGATACGGATTGTTAGGTTCTCCGTGGCGCTCTACTCTCCTTCAGCTCGCTTGCGTTGATCTCAAATCTTGATGCCCTGTGGCTCAGTTCCGTCTCTTCCGTGTGGCTGAAGGGCCGGGAGCCACAGAAACGCCGATCTCTGAAGTCATCTTTGGCTCGAGAGACAGGCTTGGCCCGATGCTTGGTCCGGCTTGTTTACGCCAATCCGCCTTGGCCCTGGGGATTTGACCCTGATGGACCTCGTCTCCTTCGACGGACGCGGGAGAATCAGATTGGAAACGGTTCAGGTACATGACAACACGTAAGATGACGACGATTCTTGACGCTGCTTCACTGCAGTTCCTGTTTACCCTTGAGCAACAACCCAGGGTCTGCCTTGAGATTGGCTGGGGGTATTCTTAGCAGCATGAACAGCCCCGCTTCGCGATTGGCTTTGGTTACGACAAGTCTAGACTACTCGTTTCACCTTACAAGCTCTACAAGGGGGGGACACGTACGGATTGGCCCCCTCTAGTTTCGGATCTTATATCGACCAATCTGGTGACTGGATTTCTCTCTGGGGTTAGAGCGCCTTGTCATTTTCACATACAATTTTTGAACTCACCCTAGAGGGGGGCCAACCCGTACGTGTCCCCCCCTTGTAGGAGGAATCCGCGTCATCAAGTAGCTCGGAAATAGAAGCCACATCATGGAAGCTTGTAGAGCTGTGAGCGAATAGGTGGGGCAAGTGTGTACGAGGCTTCCTTCCCAAGTGATAGCTCCTGTGTATAAAGTTCGACAACAGCCCCTCTTGTTCCTTCCTTCCTTCTTCTCATCAACTCAAGCTTCATTGCAACACTTACCTTTTACACAAAACCAAAACCTTTCACATCAAATCAATCAAAATGTTCGGCTGGGGTACGCATCACTGGGAGCCTCCTATTTAACAACCACCAGTACTGACAGCTTCCAGGTGAATCTTCCGACGCCTACGACCAGGCTTACAACGACAACCACGAGGGTAAGCTCTCTCACGAGGTCCTCGCTGGTGGTGCCTCTTTCGCTGCCATGCACGCCTTTGAGGAGAGACAGCGCAAGGAGGGCAAGCCCGTCAACCACGAGTTCGCCAAGGAGCTCATTGCTTCCTTCGCCGGTGCTGAGGTCGACAAACTCGTCGAGACCAAGGGCCTTGACTACGTCGACAAAGAGAAGGCCAAGCACCAGGCCAAGCAGAACGCCGAGCGTCTCTACGACGAGCAAGTAAGCATTGTCAATCCTGCTCCCTCAACGAAACTTGTACTAATTCAATTTCTAGTACGGCCAGTACGACCAGTACGACCCTCAGCAGCAGGGCCCTCCTGAGCACCTCCAGCGCCAGTTCGGTGGTTACGACAACTACTAAACAACTCAACTCGACCTCTTGAAGAGCTCGGGAACGACTGATGAACAAAGATCCATGACGCAGATCATGAGAATCAACGGTTGCAGCTAGGCAATACGAATGAAAACAATTATCAAGCATACTACACTTGCACCTTTCTTCTGTCGTGAATCTGACATCTGCATGAACATGTGAAAGTGTATAAGATATGGAGGGAGTGATTGGCCAATGGCAGGCTGAAACGCCGTCACGATGCCGTCAGCGGGGAAATTGGAAGTGGCTGTTGCTGCGGCCAAAAGCCCAGCGCCAAGAGGTTGAATGCTCAATCGAATCAAGGAAAAAACACAAAGAGCGGAAGATAAGTAAATTCCTGCGCGACTCTGTGCGACTCGGAGATGACATTGCTAGGAAGTTGGGGTGAAGCACACGAGCAATCATGAAGTTTGCTAAGTACGATGCTTGAATGAGCGCGCGCAATAAACAACACGAACTGACGAATCGGTAGAGAATTGGAGGCTGACTTGGTACCCGAATGGCGGGCCAAATATCTGGATTACAAGGTTTGCGCTTCCACAACCATCGCGGAGAGTGACACGAGGACTGAATTGACACATCTCGTAGCAAGGAAAGAAGAAGCTCAAGGCAGTTGCGCGCGCTCTGCAAAAGGTTGAGCGTACGACACAAGGAGACGGCCGCCGCGACTCTTCGCCGTTAGCGACATTCGGACGAGCACCCTTCTATGCTTTTCTCAACAGGACTTCGACTAGAGTGAATGAAAGAAGAGCGAGCAGTGGCGACCTAGGAGCTGTGCCTCCCACACCCCGTAACGCAGAGGACGAACGACATGGGTCTACGAGTTCGGCAGTGCCTATCCCTGGCGCAGCAGAGGCTGCAGAAAGAACACCTCTTCAGGTGCATGGAGATGGGAGACACATGACACGCTATGGTAGTATCCTCGGCACACCTCCAGATCTCGCAAGTCCTCCCAAGGCTACGCGCCAGAGCGAGGACTCGAGCAGATCTTTGAGACTGCCTGGTCCCGCTTTGGGTACTCCAGCTCGTCGTGGTCCTAGGCGTCAGGAATCTTCTGGCAGTGCATACCAAGTTGGTGAGAACACGCCAAAGCATGCCAGCTTCGCTCTTCCTTCCAGATACAGGAGCGTCTTCCAACCGAAACGAGTCAATTCCATGCCTGGTGTTCAAGACGCCCAGCCCACCAGACCACCCACTAGACGAATGTTCAGTGGCTTCCGCAGCAGTAGTCCCTCCCAAGACGACATCGCCCTCGATGCTTACCGAGAGATCGACGTTCGCCAAACACAATTCTTCCTGTTTCTGGACAAAGAGATGGTCAAGATTGAAGACTTCTACAAGGCGAAAGAGGATGAAGCCACCGAGCGACTCAAGGTGCTCCGAGAACAACTCCACGTCATGCGTGACCAGCGTATGGAGGAGATTCTGTATGCCACTACCAAGACTAAGCGTCCATCGCAAAGTACCGAGCTTTTGTCCAATGGCATGGGTTCCAGGAATAGCACTCTTGGTGGTGAAGAATCACAGCTCATCAAGAAGAATGCAAACAAGAAGAACGGCTGGGCCAAGGCTGTCAATGGCATACCTGGTAGAAAGAGAGGTCCACAAGCAGGCAAGACTTTCGAAGCCATGAAACAACTGAGCACCCCTAGTGGTCCCCGTCCGATGGATGACACCAGAGACTACACTCGCAGGGGTGGCCATCCAGATGTGCCTTATCGGACTGCTAAGCGCAAGCTGAAGATTGCTCTGGCCGAGTACTACAGAGGTCTGGAACTACTAAAGTCATACGCTCTTTTGAACAGAACCGCCTATCGCAAGATCAACAAGAAATTCGACAAGACCGTCAACGCTCGACCATCAGGCAGATACATGAGCGAAAAAGTCAACGACGCATACTTTGTCAACAGCACTGTCATTGATGGACATATTCAAGCTGTCGAGGACATGTACGCTCGCTACTTTGAGCGTGGTAATCACAAGATTGCAGTAGGTAAACTGCGTGCCAAAGTCGCAAGAGCTGGAGACTACACTGGTAGTGTGTTCCGTAATGGTATCCTCCTGGCTACTGGTACCGTCTTTGGTATCGAGGGTCTGGTATATGGAACCGAGCTCCTATGGAGTTCCGATCCGAACATCGCCTCCCATACTGCTTTCCTACTTCAGGTATATGGTGGATACTTCTTGATGTGGTTCCTTGCGCTACTCTTCTGCGGCGCATGTCGTGTCTGGTCCAGAGCCAAAGTCAACTACTCTTTCATTTTCGAATTCGATTCTAGGCATCATGTCGACTGGCGACAACTTTCAGAGGTCAGTTTTGCAGTATTCACTACGTTAACCACTTCTAACCTTTTCAGATCCCTTCTCTTCTAGGCTTCTGCCTTGGTCTTACTATGTGGCTAAACTTCAAGCGCTTCGCTGATGATTCGTTCTATATTTGGTGGCCTGTCGTCCTCGTCGCCGTCTCAGGTGTTATCCTCTTCAATCCTTTTCCGATATTCTACCACCGCAGTCGTTGGTGGTTTGCTTATTCTAATGTAAGTGACCTGTATTCAATATCTCATGCAACATCTAATGTAAGCAGTGGCGTCTTCTTCTTGCTGGACTTTTTCCCGTCGAGTTCAGGGACTTTTTCTTGGGTGACATGTTCTGTTCGCAGACGTACGCTCTTGGTGTAAGTATCACGAATCACACTCGAGGAACGGCATGCTAACTCAGGACAGAACATCGAGCTTTTCTTCTGCCTCTACGCTAATGATTGGAACAACCCTACCCAATGCAACTCATCGCATTCTAGACTTCTCGGATTCTTCACCACATTACCTGGAATCTGGCGTGCCGCCCAATGTCTTCGCAGATATGCCGATACAAGGAGTCTCTTCCCTCACATGGCTAATTTTGGAAAGTACCTATGCACCATTCTCTACTATATGAGCTTGAGTTTGTGGCGTCATAACAAGAGTCAGAAATTGCGGATTCTGTTCATCTTTTGGGCAACCATCAACGCCGTTTACGTTAGTGTCTGGGATATTGTCATGGACTGGAGTTTGATGGACCCTTACGCAAAACATCCTTTCCTGCGAAACACATTGGGCTTCAAATATGCTTGGTGGTATTATGCCGCCATAGTGATTGATCCCATCATTCGATTCAATTGGATCTTCTACGCCATCTATGGACATGACGTGCAGCACTCAACGATTGTAGCTTTCATGGTTGCATTTACTGAAGTGCTTCGACGTGGCATTTGGCAATTGTTCAGAGTTGAAAACGAACATTGCACAAAGTATGTTACACGGACCTACAAATGTGATCAATCTCTTACTAAAAATTCACAGCGTCAGTCGTTACCGCGCCTCGCGAGATGTGCCACTTCCATACGAACTCGGCAAGACTGAGACCGAAGCAGAGGCCACAGAGGAGGTCGAAGACAGACACTCATCATCAGATTTGGAAGCACAACACCCGCCGCAGCTTCCTCCTGGTGTGCCACCAATGACAGCGACTGGAGCCGATCCTGGCCGCAGACAATCCAACGCCGACCCACCATCAGGATCTATTCGCCAACGCAGAAAAGCTGGATCTCACGAAGCATCACCAATGGTCAGAGCAATCACCAGAGTCGGTACATTGTTGCGCGCATCACATGCTCAAGATTTCGAACGTCGCAGAAAGTCCGAGGTGCCCAACACACTCGAGGGCGATGAAGACGACGACGACGATACTGATGAAGATAACGGTGCTACAATTGATGAGGATGAAATGGACGGAAGTGTTCATCGAGCACAAAACAAGAAGGATAGCAACGGCAATGGTAAAGCTCCTAAGCAAACAGAAGATGATGATGATGACGACGACGACGAGGTTGATGGTGATGAGGAAGCTGTTGGATCAGGATCAGGATCAGGATCAGGTGGGGAAGGCGGAGCAAGCAGTGCATCCGACGACCAAGAAATTGCCAGGGCAAGAGTGCTGCGTCAGGGAAGCAAGTAGTAACAAACAAGAGCTTGGTAGAGCGTCGTGGAACAAGATGATCCATAACATTACCTATCATAATTCCTGCCTTTTGGCGTTCGTGTTTCAAACGTGTCGGAGAATTATCTTGTCAAGGTTTGAGGGACGGATAGGCGGGCTCGGCAGGGACCCTGCACGTTGTCTCAGGCTGACACTTCCAGCACCGAGGTGCGGGGAGGTTTCACGAGGAATGAAAAGCAGACGGATTCAGGGGCGCGTATCGGCATTTCCAAGGTGGTCGCACCTTCTTGTGGCCCGTGACTGCGCTCTTTGTATCCGAGAGAGATGTGTTTCTGTGGACGCGCTCCTTCCTAAACCTTTCAATCAACTCCAGGCTACGCGAATTAGCCAGCAATCATGGGCTTCTTCAAGCATCTTCGCGCGAAATCACATAACAAGAGCAATGAAAGCAGCAGCAACAGTCCTCGACGATCCCCAATCGCTATCAGACCTGGACGTGACTTTGCTGCCAAACTTCCCAATGACATCCTCACAAAGATCATGGTGCAAGTCGCGCCGCACACACAAGATGCAACATTCGAGCCTAGTGAGAGATCAACCATCGGCGAGGGTTGTATGCTATGCGACTTGAGAGATCTGGCCAAGGCAGGCCAAGTATGCCGACGCTGGTACAATGCTGCTGCTACTGTCTTGTGAGTTTGAGTAGCTTAAGATGTGCTGCAAGTACAGGGCTAACACATTCTCTAGGTACAGTAGCGTCCGTATCGATGCCGTCCACTACTGCGAACTGGAAGAGATCCTGGCCGAAAGAAGACAGAAAAAGACATTCCTCAAGGCGCCAATCGAGTCTGGCGATGTCCCTACAATCAGACTGGCCCTCTTCAGCCGTACCGTACGAGAGAACCCGAACCTGGCACATGGCGTGACAATGCTCAAGCTACCATACATGACGCGAGAAACCGCAAAGGCCGACCTTGCCCGTACCGTATCCGTCCTACCAAATCTGAAATACGTCGACCTGCCAGATGGTGCTTTTACTGGCGATCCGAATTGCATGCCTCTGGTACATGAGCTACAAGCGCGTTGCCCGGACATTCGCAAGATGAGCTACCGTCAAGGCTCTGAAGGATCATTCGAGCAACTTGCTCGTCGTAGCTGGCAGTCGCTTGAAATCATCGAGATCTCGGGCATTCATGTTGAGCCCAGCACATTGCGCATTGTGCTCGGTTCACTGCCCGCCCTGCGTGAGCTCACAATGACTGACCTGCCATGGCTTGACGACACCATCTTCTACCAATCTCCTATGCTTCCTGACTTCCCTGCTTTGCACACCCTAGCATTGGAGAATACACCGAGAATCACCGCCGAGGGCATGGTTGTCTACTTTGACAAGCCTCTAAACCGCAACACCTTGAAGGACCTCTCGCTTGACGGTACCGGCATCGACCCGATCGAACTCTACAGGTTCTTGTTCGACGCTTCCGCCCTACACTCTCTTTCTATCGTCGAGACCGTCTCCAAGTCGCTCGCTCTTTCGCTCAACGACCTGCCTCCACTCGAATCCATCTCCCTCAAGGTCCTCCACTTTGAACTCACAGACTCGGAAGATGCCCATGGTCTACAAAAACCCGCCGCCTCATACTATGCATACCTCGCGCAATCACTACACGCGAACGGCCTCCCTGCGCTCTCACAGCTCTACGTACGCGATCCCGATTTCGCCGAGATTATGCTTCTACCAGCTCCTCCAACACCATTCATGGACGGAGGCGGCAACCAACGACAGAGTGTAGTAGGAGCCATGAACCCGCCACGGGGTCTGCATCAGCCTCTGGAGGTCTTTTCCAAGGGTCTGGATGAGTTGGAGTGGGCGTTCACAGCATACCAACCACCTGCCGCTTCACAAGGACGACATGGCTCTGGCAGCAGTGGACGTCCTCTGAGTTCATACAGCGCTGCTCGTGGTCTTGGTCCTCAATGGGCACAAGGCGGCTTCGGCGGAGATGCACGCAAGAGTGTCATCGTCGGAAATGGCTATGGTGGCTTCCTCGCTGTACCACAGGAAGAAGCAGCGCGACCAAGATCGTCTGCTGGTCACGAGTCTCGCAGCTGGGGAAGCAACAGCAGCCCTGGCAACGGAGGTGGCGCTCTTGCTGCTCTTGCTTCCATGGGTACCAGTGTTGGCAGCAGTGCTAGCGGTATCGGTAGCCGTGGAAGCTGGCTCAAACCTCCACCAAAGATTCCTGGATCCGAAGGTCATGGCCATAAGCGAGCTGGCAGTCGACAAGACTTGTGGCGATAGGCTTCTTCTTCCCACTCCTCTTTTCATCATCACGCTTTTCGCTTGGTCACGTCTTTGAGAATCTGTACTTCGATCTCCGAGAGTGAACTTTTTTCATACTTGTTCCACGTGTTTATCGGCATTGTTACCCATGATAATGTCTTGGGTCTGGGCGTTTTACTTCTTGGAATGGGTGTTAATCTTTCTCATACCATTTGTCCCGCCGAAAACTTCAATATACCCGAAAGAGTTAGCAAATTCAATTATCAACATTCTTGCGTCCGAATTCAAGTTTGACACCTCCAATGCATCTCTGGATTATCTCCGAATCCGTGTCACAGCTGCATCTCAAACAGAATTTGACTTTCGACGACGAAACCTGTAAGGCCTTGCAACATTGGCTGTAAAAAGGCAGGATGCTTTTGATGATGAAGCACGTGTCCATTGAGAGCGATGCTGCCCCTTAATCTCTTCGGACCTACATAAAAAAATCAAAAATCATTGTTCCTTTCGACTGCTATGTTGTAAGGAGCCTTTGCTCGGCTGAGAGCTCGGTTCTGGTGCAATTCCTGTGCCCTTACATCTGCGCTAGATCTCGCAACTACTTCATCGCAGCAAGTATACCGTGGGTGCAACACTGTTGCAATGGGTCTAAATCAGCACTCGGCGATGATGAGGGGCATTATAGCGAAACTTCTTGTATCTCCCCCCACTTCGTTCCCTCGAGCGGATGTGTAGTCAACAACGCTATCGGAACGTCAGAAGTGACTAGTAGGTGATGCCGCCGGAAAAATCGTAGTCGTCGGATCGGACTTCACACCGACTCATGAAGAATCAGCCGAAGGGTTGATTTTGACGAATCGGAGAAGCCGCTTTCTGTGGAGTATGGTGTCCCATCGTGGTCGCATTTCTCTGTTTGGTGCGATCTGCTCTGTCCCTGAGTGTCCAATTGGCTGAGAACGTCCCACATGGCGGCATCACGTATCAGAATCCGAGGAGTAAAAAGATTGACGGCTCGGAAAGTGCGGAAATGGAAAGTCCTTCTCCAGAAAGTCTTGATATCCGATAGACCTTGTCAGCACAAACCTCGCCTGCTAAGCTTGTCCGCCAAGCATGATCAGTTCTTAAGAGGCTTGTTACCCCACGCACCCCAGATCTGCTCCGCACTACTTCAACTCTCTCCACGATTCTCCAGACTCCAAACGATACACCATCTCTGAGCACAGTGATCAACCCGGCACCATGGCAGCAACCTAGAAGATGGAGAAAATGGTCGATGCAGACCAAGTCGAGGACATCGATCAACTCAAGGCAGAAAGAGGTTCGAGGTTACTGGATGATGACGCTCAGAAGGCTATGGCGAGGAGGGTGTTGTGGAAACTAGACACAAGGTTTGCAGAGCCTCTTCTTTATTCGAAGTAAACCAACCTCTGATGCTAAACTCTGCCCAGAATTCTACCCGTGCTCGCTCTTCTTTTCTTGTGTTCTTTCCTCGATCGCACCAATGTTGGCAATGCCAAGATCCTGGGCCTGGAGAAGAGCATTGGCGTCAACGACCATCAATACGCTAGCGGACTCGCCATCTTCTTCGCTTTCTACATTGCCAGTGAACTACCTAGTAACTTGGTGCTGAAGAAGATATCGCCCCGTATATGGTTGCCATGTCTAACCTTTGCGTGGGGCATTGTTGGAATGTGCCTTGGCTTCGTTCAGGATTATGCTGGATTCCTTGTTGTACGTGCCTTCCTCGGTATCACTGAGGGTGGTCTACTTCCCGGTATGGTGCTGTATCTATCGAGTATGTATACGCGTGGAGAACTGGCACTCAGGATTGGTCTTTTCTACACCACTGCAAGTTTGAGTGGCGCTTTCGGAGGCCTCCTTGCTCGAGGACTTTCCTCTATCGGTGCTACTGCTGGCATCGACGCAGGCTGGAGATGGATCATGATCGTCGAGGGACTACTGACAGCTGTAGTGGGAGCTTCAGCGTACTTCCTTCTTCCCAATGATGTGTCAACAGCAAGATTCCTTACAGAGGAAGAGCGCGAGTTCGCTCTGTACCGCTTGAGCCGCGATTATTCATATGGTCTTCCTTCTCAGCGAACAACCGAGCCAGAACGCTTCTCCTGGTCTGAAGTTCGCCGTGGAGTACTTGACCCATCGCTCTGGTTTTCGGCATCTGCATATTTTGCAATTCTCTGTGGTCTTTATTCTTTCGGTCTTTTTCTTCCTACAATCATTACCGGCCTTGGCTACACTGCCAACGAAGCGCAGCTGTGGTCTGTTATTCCATACGCTGTTGCCTCGTGCCTGACAATCGTTGCCGCCTTCTTGTCTGATCGTCTCCGTCTTCGTGGGCCGATCATGCTTTGTACTCTTCCGCTAGCTATCATTGGATACGCTGTGATTGCAAATGTCACCAATCCTCATGTCAAGTTTGGTATGACATTCATGATGGCAACGGGCTTGTACGCCAGTGTACCCCCTGTCCTGGTCTGGATTTCCAACAACTCAGCCGGCCATTACAAGAGAGCCACAGCTACCGGTCTCCAGCTCGCCATCGCCAACTGCGGCGGATTTGTTTCTGGTGAGTTGTGCATGTGCTACTATCATTTTCTAGAAAAATTGTTCTGATTGATTATTCAACAGCCTTCACGTACAGCAAGGTTGAAAAACCGCAATACCACAGGTCCCACACGATTGTGCTTGGATTGCTTGTCTTTGCGTGGTTCATGTATGTATAGGAGCTTGATGATTCGAGAAGGCTTTCACTAATCATCACAGGGTACTCGCCAATATCTTGTGGTGTCACAAGGTCAATAAAGATAAGGCCGCCGGGAAATACGACAAATACATCGGCTGCGGAGATGATCGAGAGCCGGAGTTCAAGCTGATGTTGTAGTATGTCTACGAAAGAGCCTGGTCACTATAGTCGGACTGAATCTTTGCATTACTCTTACAGCAGAGGACAGAGATGTTCAATCTCAATCATAATGAATCATTAAAGCCGCCATAACATTACCACCTCTTCCTTCTCAGCTCTTAGCAAACCTATACCTAAACTTCTGACTCTTCTCCTCTCCTTTCCCATTCTCCCTCTCCACATCAACCACAAAATCAAACCCATCATCACCACCAAATTCCTCTCGTCCCCAGAATCCCATCAAAGCTTTTACCATGCCCTTTCTCTCCTCTTCCAATTTCGAAATTTGCATGTCCTTTGTGGCAAGCTCGGATTTCAATAGCTTCAATTTGGCACGCCATGAATCTTCTCTCTTTTTAAGTGTAGAAGATAGTTTGGTGTCGAAATCGAGGTTCAGTGCGTGGAGATCTGAAAGTTCTTGTGTTGTTTCTTCGAGCTTCTCAGTCGTTTCTTGCAGAGTACTCTCCAAAGTGGTTTTTGCGGAAGTCAAGTCTTCGAGCTCTGTTGTCTTTGCGGCGAGATCGGCTTCCATGAGAGTGAGTGAGTTTTGTGTTGTTTGAAGGTCGGAGGTCGTGGTTGCGAGATTGTCCTCAAGCTCATTGACGCGAAGGGAGAGTGTATCGCGGGAAGTGCGGAGGCTAGCCATTCCTTCCTCGACAAGATCGATTGTGCGTCGGTGTTCTGCTCGTACTGCTTGCAATGACGAAGAGTCGGACTGTGAAGATGGAGAGGTCCAAGATTCACGGAGTCGCTCTATCTCTTCGTGGTGTTGTTTCTGCTGAGATTCGAGTTGTGCTCGCAATGCTTGGAGATCTTTGCGGAGGTAATCTGCGAGGTATTGGGCTGATTGATCCTTGGGTGGAGGGGATCGCTTGTCTTCCATGCGGTTGAAGTGCTGGAGCATGTCTAGCTCTTCGCGTAAAGACCTTGCTTCTTCGATTGCATTTCTTCGGGCCTCTTGCTCCTTCTTCAGTTGATCGTAGACACTGGCTTGAGATTGTTGGGCTTCGCTGTCTGCCTTTGCCCAAGCCTCTTTATCGGATGTGTGTCGCTGAAGGACTGAATTAAGTTCGTCTCTCGCCTTCTGCAGCTGTGCCTCGAGTTGAGTCAATGTGGAATCTGCCTTGGTGGTCTCCTTTTCACTCTCATAAGCTGCAAGTCGTTGATTTGCTTGTTGCAATTGTTGCGCGAGTCCTCGTGTCATGTCTGCCGCCTTGGTATCGGCATCTTCGTGAGCAGATTGGACAGCCTTCTCCTTTGCTGCGAGCGCGTCTTGAGCCTGTTGCAATTGAGTCTTCAAGTTCTCACTCGACAAGTCATCCTTGATCTGAGTCTTGAGGTCTGCAATCAGCTTGTCCTTGATTTCCACTGCCTTGCGCATATTTTCGAGTTGCGTTTGGAGGCTCGCAATCTGTCTTTCGAGTTCTTCCACCCTTTCAGATGCAGCAGGTCCAGCATCTACATCGACCTTTGAATGGTTGACAGCAACATCTTCATCCTGATCATCCTTTGCTTGCTGAGCTTCTTTCCTTGCATCAGACAACTCCTGCTGCACTCTCTGCAACTCATCGCTTTTGGCTTTGCGCTGATCATCATTCCAAGTCTTCAAGTCTTGCATGTCATTCTCAGTCTCACGGAGGTTATCCTGCGATTGCTTCAACTGACCGCGCAACTCGGCAAGGAGACCATCTTTCGTCTTCAGTTCATCCTTGACTTTGTCAAGCGCATTGTGTGTCTGGCGTTCAGCATCACGAGCTTGACCAAGTTGAACGTGAAGGTTGTGTATCTCGGCATCCTCACTATCATGCATTTGGTCCAACTCTTTTGCGCGATCATCTGCAAGCTTTAATGCATCCTTCTCGGCATCTTTGGATTGGTCTAAGTCGGATTGGAGTTCTTGCAGTCGTTGTTGGTAGTCTTGCGATTCCTCGCGCATACGATCCAGATCATTCCTCAATGACTCCACCTCGTTCCCATCCTCAGAGCGACCTCTGCTGTATGATCGGTCTGATCGCTGGTATTGACGTGTCGCGCGCTCATTGTCGAGTTGTGTTTGTAGTTGTTCGTTGATCTCACGCAACTTTTGCAATTCCTGGTATAGACTGTGCGGCTTTTGATTAGGCGTACTGTCGAAGTTCTGCATGGGCGATCGTATTGATGAGATGGTAGGAGGACTCGAAGGTCTCTGATTCTGGGATTGGCGCAATCGCGATGTCGAGTATGATCGTCTTTGAGCGGGTTCAGAAGGGAGTTGAATGGAAGCAGGGCGACCAGGTGTGAGCTCGGAATAATAATCCTCGACGGTGGGTTGTAGCAAGTTCTTTCTTGGATCTTCAAACTCGGCTTGATCAGGTCGAGGAGTGGAGTCGTCGGCACCGGGTTCACTCTGGGTAGTACGATCATGTCTGGGAGAACCATTGATGGACGAGTTCGTCATCAAATCAGAAGCCTCATTGAAGTCTTGCTGCTCTTCCCAAACTGGTAGTGGTTGCTTCCTAGGCGTTCCCTTGAAATACTTGGCCAGGTTCAGAGTGAAGTCAGTAGGTCCATCAATATCATCGCTGTGGATCTTATCAACAATGCGATGCACACTGGGCGAGTCGAGTCCACTAGGTTCGTCATCGAGGTTCAAAGCATCCAAATCCAGAGAATATTGTGTATGATCGTGTTCATCATCTCGAGGGGTTCGATGCGGCGGCGGCGCTGGAGGTGGTGGTGAAGACAGCATTGTAAACTCTGTCTGATATTCTAGCAATTCAAACGCCGTCTATGAATATCTTGTCGAGTCGTGTTGGTGTAAAAACATGTTGCGTAGAACTCGTCGCGACTGTTTGTTGTTGTCCGTGCGCCACATGTCGCACAATCGTGAATGCGGGGTCGGCCATTGCACACCTAAACTCCGTGAAATGCATGTGATCCTGTGCAGTGTCATCCACGAACTGATTGACTCTCGACCAGGATCATACAGAAGGTAAGAGAGACTGTATGGAAAGTTGTTCAATGTAGCACATGGCAGGCGGGAACGCGGTAGACTATGCTATCACTAGACCGCTTCGACGACTCTGACAAGGGGACGCCTTATTCCTGAAACCACCATCATTGTCATTGTATGTTAGGAATCACTTTGTCGTGCTAGCCAAGTAAAGGCAGCACATATCGCTCATGTTATCATCTTCATTTGTATTCGGTGAAGTATATCGTGGAACTGTTTGTCGACATGAGTAACTAGCCTAGTCAAAGTTCTTCATAAGATCATCAACAGCTCGAGCAGCATACTTCTTGCGCTCATTCTCTGGCATACCAGCGGTCGTTTCTATCATCCAGTTAGCAATGTTCATCATGTCCAGAACTCCTAGACTTGCCTTTGATAGCCATCAATTGACTCATCATCTGCTCCATGCCCTCAATCTCAAGAGCACTTCCCTCTGCCTCATCACCTTCATTATCTGGATCAAGCAAAGAAGCCTTCAGACCCCAGAGCTCAGCATTCATCTGTGCTTGCTCATCATCCATACCTCCGACATTATCCTCATCATCGTCATCGTCAGCCGATGAAGCAGACCACTCATTTGCTTCCAATGCTTCTTTCGCCCTCTCCAATCCCAGGTTCTCTCCATATTCATTCTTCCCCGTTGCATCGATATGGATATACTCGAATCCAAGATCCAAACATATCTCTTCCGCATTGATTGTAGACCTACCCTTATTCGCAGGTGTAAGGTCAACAGCAAGTCTCGTCCCATCCCACATCATCCCACAAGCTTTTTCCACAACCTCAGCAACCGCCTTCATAGTAGCTTCCACATGCTCTGGTATCGTGACTTCTGCATCATCATCTGCTGACTCTTTCTTGACATCGCTGCTGTTGAAACAGTATATCCAAGCCCCCACTGCTTGAACGACTTCTTTGGCTTCGGGGTTTAGGAATTCTGATTTCCAGGCTGTGGTGTCGTTGATCTCGTCGATCCAGATGGGGATTGCGGCCGTGTAATATGCGGTTTTGACGTTCCATTCGTGTGTCATGCCCGCGAGGGAGCCGGTGGAGGCATCGGGTGTGGGTGCTGAGCCGGTGATTTCTGTTGCGATGGTGAGCCCATGCTGTGACGACGATGCGGATGCGCGGAGAAGCAGGTCCCACCTTTGACGACGCGAGAGATGTCACTGTCTGGTTTGCCTATTACGAGGATTCGGCGAGGGTGTTTGATTTCCATGATTGTTTCTGGTAGGTGCATGCTTGTCACGAAGGTTGCAAGATGATGAGGAAGTCAAGATGGAAGATGGAGGAGCTTGGAATTATTTGTTCATTCGCCAACCACATGACTAATACCTAAGGTAGAGTCGTCGTCCTTTGCCCTTGTATGTATGTCTGTCGCAAAGTGACTGCAAGGCCATGTATGAGGGTTGTCCTGCTCTGACGTCTTTTGCGCCGCGCCTTGTGGCCTTCCGCCGCGCGACTCCTAGCCGACCCCATTGTCCACGGTATGTGTTGGGCGCGAATGTTCTGCTGACATGTCACTTTTGCCATCCTCCTTTTCCTGTATTCGTAATCAAGACGTAATGCTTGTTGCTTCCATTTAACCACGGGGTCCACCTCTTTGGCCTCTGGCTCTGTTGACAGTAGCACGACCTCTGGCCAAACCGACACCTCTTCCACGGGCGTTTCTTGCTCTGAACATGGGTGCGTTCCTGTGGTATTTTTGTCAGCATTTCTCCTGCTGGATTCATTCGATCATCCTCACCTCAACATGTCCGGAACGATAAAGTATCGGACGTGCGATCCTCTAATGTAGACCTGATCCAAATGTGATACGCGACCATCTCTTGCGGTGACGGTGATGTCTCTAAGTTGGCAGTTCATGTTGTCCTCGGCTGTGAACAATCTGTCAGCTCCTTGTCCTTCCTCTTCAATGCCCTTTCAGGCTTGGGGGTATTGACGCAACGCACCTTCAAGCAGCTTTCCACGGTAGACATTTCCAGATGTGATTTCGACGGTAACAATGTGGCCCTGTAGGTATGCGTATCAGCACAAGCTCTTTTCAATGCGACAGAGGATGAATATGCGCGTACGGTTGCCTCGTTGAGTAGTTTGATCGGGATTCCGATCGTCGAAGTCATGTTGGGCATTTTGAAGTTGGAGTCGCGGGATGCGAAAGTCGTCTAGAAGGGCGAGAGAGTGGTGAGATGAATGCGCTGGAACAGTATGTCAAGGGATAATAGATCAAGAGCAAGTCGTCACTTGCGAAAGACGGCCATGCGCGCGAATCTCCAGAGCTTCTGGCGGACAGGCAGCCTTGGCGTTGTGCTTTTCTTGGCAGGAAACTTGAGGCGACCTTGACCTTTTATACCTATATCTCTTCCGATTACGATCATCAGAATGAACGTGTCAGGCACTTTGAGCTTCTTCAGGCTTTTCAGGGATCCATCTCTATGCTTGCCACACCATACCGTCTCAACTTTCAATCACCTTCCAATCCCTCTTTCTCGAGCATTCAACCAAGCCGATGGTGAGAAGAAGGTAGATATCAGAGCTGTTGTCTTAGACAAGGATAATTGCTTTGCTGTTCCCAAAGAGAACGAGGTCTACAAGTCGTACACTGTGAGCTCAATCTTCCGAATCCTTGGATTCAGCAATGTCTAACATTGTTCAAGGAACGATTTGAAGAACTCCGTAAAGCATACCCTGGATCGCGGTTGTTGATTGTCTCGAATTCTGCTGGAACTCTCTCAGATCCAACAGGAGCAGAAGCAGATCTCCTTGAGAAGAACACCGGCGTCAAGGTCCTCCGGCATAACACAAAGGTATGCAGGATGATCCCGTTAAACATGCCTTTCCTGACATTACTCAGAAACCTGGATGCCACCCGGATGTGTTATCTTATCTTCGTAATGCCCCGGATACGGGAGTCACTCATGCTTCTCAAGTCGCAATCGTAGGAGATCGACTATTCACAGATGTCATGATGGCAAACATGATGGGTTCATACGGCTTCTGGATCAAAGACGGTGTTGTGGAAGAGAAAGGACTCGTAAGTTAATTTCATGACGTTTCGTGATAGACTTCGCTAAATATCATACAGTTCGTCAAGCTAGAAAGAAGTCTTGCAGGCTTCCTCACTCGTAGGGGTTATTCTCCGCCATTTCCCCAAAGCCACTTCGAGTAGAGGCTCTTCAATGCCACAATCGATCTTCAAGCGATCTTCCTCCGATACTGCTGAAGTGACAAGCTCCCGATGATACCTTCTCATGAGCAGGAACCAATCCATCAGGGAATGGGACTGTGATCACAGATGTGTACTGCTCGGAAGGGTACTCTGTGATGTGGCCACCTCCGGTCATATCAGTCGCGATCAAGATTCCCTGGTTTCCGCCAATGAACCATGCCTCGTCCTTCGAAGATGGCAGCGAGATGTGCGCCAGGCCGGATGTATACACCACGAGCTGTCAGACAGTTAGCAGGGCACGCGATCAATGCCGACAAGTCACAAACCTGAGGAGTGGGATCGTTATGTCTGCCACCATTGAATCTGGGAGGGATGATGGTGTATGAAGCGCTACTGGCGTTGAAGTTGAATCTCAAGCTACCAGCAATTCCAGGCTCGGATGAGTCCACAAGTGGTGTCGAGAGTCGCCAACACTCCAACGCGGATTGATTTGCAGCATTTGTGACCAGAGCGGTAGCTGTGAGGTAATCGTATGCTTGAGCGCCTGCGCACAGCAGTGAGAGGATAGTGGTTGTCAGATAGTAATGCATTGCAATGGCTTAATGTGAGATGGATAGTAATGATGTTGATGTTAAGTAGAGGTAGCAGCGAGGCAGTAAGATGTTTATAATAAGAGGTGGAGCTCGTGTGAAGTGAAGTCATACCGCATGACCTACTTCTGCACCAGTTCGTCCCACCACTCATGCGTTGGAGCTTGCGGCTTACAGTGAATGCTACCGCAGCACTGCCGTTGTCTAGCGGATCTTCTCTGACCATCACTTTCTATTCCTGATTTTGCTCATGAAGTCTGTAGCACAAGACTGATGTCATCAGAGAATACCGCGGCCCCTTTTAACCTCTCAACGTGATTGCACACGCAACGCGACAAGCTCGTGAGCATCGAAGGAAACGGCGATCATACAGCAGCTACCCTGTCGGTCGTAGCCGCATGCAGAGTGCGGCCCGGCCCGCCCCCACAATTCCATCTCCGGCTTCTCTTTCCCTCTGCAACTTTCCTTCCGAAACATTTCCATCTACTCGAGTAAACATCACAGATATCACACCTTCACAACACGATGGCTGCGGAAGAGAAGCCAACGATGGATGTACCTCTGCGTACCGCACAAGGAGTCTCTCGCTTCTTTCTCTTTGAGGCCCTGCGCACTGGATACGATGAACTCCAAACCCAACACGGTGAAGTACAATCTGCGCGTGACAAAGCGGAAGGCTTGTTGGTCAAGGAAAACCCCAAGGACTTCCAATCTTTGCTTCAAGACGTGAGCTACTCTTCTCTGTAGACTGTACGAGCGCTTTACTGATACGCATCTCACAGATTCTCAAATCATGCGCAAAGAGTTTGCAGACTCACGCTTCTATTGTTGAAGCCATTGCCGAGACATTGAGTGCTGAGGCCGATGAGAGTCTCGATGATGGCGGTGTCAAGGCTTCTAATAAGTACTCGTTGCTTGTTGGACAGATCAAGGATGCTGCTGCTGGTGTTGATCAGCTGAGGAACATCAACGTAAGTCATCAATTCTTTTCCAGTATGTACTGTTATTATCTCTGCTCTCTTGCATGCTGCTCTGAGGATGAAGAAGCAAACAGTGTTCATGGACCTCGGTGTCTCGAATCGCTAGCTTGAAATGATCGTCCTCATAGCCTCGCTTCTTACACCCGCCTCCCAAAGAGCTTGACCTCACATACTTCCTCACGACGACTAACGAGTCGACAGGTCAAGAAAGAAAAGTCGCCAACACCTCCAAGTGAGAATGACGCAGCACCAGAAGTTCAATCAACAAAGAAGCCGAATGCCAGAGACCCAGAAGAACCAACTCCACGCAAGAAGGCCAAGACCAAGCACGCCTCTAATACTTCAGCCCCAGTCACGGAAGCACCTTTATCTGACTCAATTGACGAGACGACTATGAAGGGTAAAGGAAAGAAGCTCGGCAAGCCTCCTAAGCCATCGAAGGCAAACAAGACTCCCTCATCAAGAGTTTCTCCCGAATCAGGCTCGCCATCGTCGAATACTCCAGGTTCAACCGAGAAGGCAGAGCAGCGTACCAAAAATCCAGCTTCCACCGCAGCCGCTCCTCCAGAGACTCCTGTCCCAGCAACAGCCAACCGACGTAACTCTGTCGAAGACATCACTTCAGAGGTCGATGCCCGTCTTGCAGCCAAGGAACTCAAGCGTGCTCGCAAGAAGGAATCGAAGAAACGCAAGCGGGACTCTCTGGCCTCAGAAATCTTCTCTCCAGACCCCAAGGCTACTCCCGAGCAATCTGCTGCCTTACCACCCAAGAAGAAGATCCGCGTTGACACAGCTAAGAGCGACAGCAAGGGCAAGCGTCAAAATGTCGATGACGTACCTGGTGGAACGAGCAAGGGCAAGGCGAAGAAGCAGAAGACGGAGACTGCTAAGAAGATGAACGTAAAGTTTGATTCAGAGGAACTGCTCGATGCCGGAGACTACAGCAAAGCCGATGTGGAGCTCTTGATGAGCAATCTCAACGAGGGCAAGCCGCCGGGACAACTGAGCGATTCTGAGAAGAAGGCGAACAAAGCTAAGCGTAGACGTTCGTCTAACCTCACTGAGACATCGACACCCACTGCTACACAGGAAGCTGCTCCCGAAGCAAACCACCGTAAGAAGCGCAGAATTGGCTTTTAGTTGAAGGTCTGAGAGATAGACGGCGAAACATGAGTCCTGTCATCATGGACGAAACGGAATTGCATTTGCTATGGCTTGTGAAAGAATGAGCCCCTGTATGAGCGAGAAGAGATAGCTTCACACGGAACACATCGCTAGAGAGAGCATTGCTGTATTTATTGCTACACACCACAATCAAACACAACATACACTATTTAGATCTTGCTCGATTGTCTCGCTCTGGAAGAAGAAGACGGGCTATCACGAACCATAGCTCGAATTAGCCATCACATTCTAATCATATGAGAACATCGCCAACAGAAACACGCATTCTCGTCCCCTTTCCACTGTCAAAGAGAGAGATCAAAAACTCACTTCCAAGCCGCCTTGACAAATCCCTCCACATCACCCCAGAGCACCTCAGGCTTCTCCATGGCAGCGAAATGTCCACCTTCCTCATGACTAGCCGTATGCACAAAGTTTCCAGTCTCCTTGACCCAAGAAACAGGCGTGGGCGAGATTTCCTTTGGGAAATAACTATATCCTTGCGGTTTGGAAGAAGGATGGGCAAATCTCGGTTTCGCCGCTCCACCACCAAACATCTGTATAACACCAAAATCAGCATTTCCGCCTCTAAGCAGGCAACAAGCCAGTAAAACCAGAAAGAAGGGGCAAAAGCGAGCAAGCGAGAAATAACTCACAGTCCTGTACGGATAAATACATCTGGCATAAGTATCAGTCAACCAATACAAGGATACCGAATCCAATATCTCGTCCAGTGTTGGATCCGCATCCGTCCATTCCAGGAATTTCTCGCCGATCCAAGTTAACAGGGCTAGAGGGGAAGAAGATAATACGAGACCGATTGTTGCGGTGCGGGTGCCGTGTTCGCGGGCGTAGGCGGAGCCGGTTTCTGTGAATGCTTTTGCGCGGTCGAGACCGTTTTTTTCGGTTTGGGAGATTGGGAGGGAGGAGGCGTTGGAGGGGGCGGGGAGTTGGTAGAGGTTTACTGGGAGGATGCAAAGTCAGTGGTCTGTCAGACCTGCGTGGGGTATGGATGATCTTACAGTGGAACGCTAGGATCTCAAAGTTAGCGATTGTCTTTTGATGTGAGATGTGAGGATTGCAAACATACCTTTACATTCTTCATTTTCCACACCCAACTGTCTGGCAATGAAACTTCCGAGATCACCTCCTTGAGCGATATATCCACTTCCAAAGCCCAGTGCAATCATCAGAGCATTCATAACAGGCGCCATGTCATCAGCCTTGAAATCGCGATCAATCGGTGGAGAAGAGGAGAACGCATATCCAGGCAATGAAGGGACGATAATGTGATAAGGTAGGTCTTCAGGGTTGGGGTACTGCTTCTTGATCACTGTGAGCATGCCCAAGAATTCGAGGATGCTTCCTGGCCAGCCGTGGAGGAAGATGAGAGGAATCGCATCGGATTTCTTCGAGAAGAGAGCGAGGAAGTGGATTGTGAAATCCGAGCCCTTGTCGTCGGTCACGGGGATCGTGAAGTTGGGGAACGAGTTGATGTTTTTCTCGCATCTTCTCCTGTGTTGAAAGGTCTTATCAGCAAATGGAATTTTGGTTGTTGATGGGAGAGTCTGTACCAATCGTATTCGGTCTCCCAATGCTTCTTAGCATTGATGAGCCAGTCACGGTTCATGCCAAACCGACGGTCTGTTTGTTGATTCTCATAGGTAGCAAGACCAATCTTTGAATGAGCGAGCAAATGCTTCATGGAGGAAATATCATTTGCATCAATCTCAACCTTGTAAGGTTTAGGCTGAACCTTTGCAGTGGGTGGGATGGTAGAATAATCAGCCATGATGGAATAATGTGTTTCTTGGATGTGTGATCTCGATAGAATGTATGAAGAACAATGGAAGGAAAATGGAAAAGACCTGCATCTTTGGGACTAGGCACGGGGTATATATGTAATGTTTACTTGTTCTTTCATCGATGATCACTGTGCATTTGTAATTCATACCGATGATGTAGTTGCTCCCCGCTTGAGGAAGCTTATCCTCGGGATATGTCGTCCCGCCAAAAAGTGGCTGGTTATCATGGTCTGATTCAATGATTTGCAGCAGGATACCATGTGTGAATAGATGAAGTACTATACGGCAGTCGAGTATTGAAAGATCCGAAAGAGATCGGATGAGCAAGCTTCCGTAGTGAATGTGGTGTGACAGGGTGACTGCTATGTGGGAAGGTGTGAGGTCTTGGCATGTTTCTTCTCTCTTTCCCCGCAAAGTCCGCGGTTTCCCTTCGATAAATTTATCGACGAAGCTGTTTTTGTTGCTTCAGGCGCATACGACATTACGCATTACAACAAGCTTCCTGTCGCTACTTGTTCAATCAAATAGCTCTGCAATACCTGGAACTTATCAAGTGACAGCACACACCACCACTCCACCCACAAGTGAGAGTACAAAGACGACAAGATGGCACCCAGAGGTGGAACGGCCAGAGCTCGAGGAACGGGCTCAAGAGGAGGAAGAGGTGGTAGGGGAGGACAAGGAGGTGCAGCAGCTGCAACAACAGCCGACTCTACGCCAACGGAACAATCGTCAACCGACGCAGCACCAGTTCCGGAATCATCAACACCAGCACCAATCGCTCAAATGACAGCAGCTCCTGTCGCAAATATGGCACCCGAAGCCTCTGCCTCTTCCTCGACCCCAGCACCTGCACCAGCAGCTCCTACAGCAGCACCAATCAAACGTGTCGCTTCAGTCCGCCGTGGAGGCGCCTCAGCTTCACCCGCACCCTCAGCATCCCGCGGAAAGAAACCAGTCGTCCCTGCACCAAAAGCCGTCAGAAGAAGCAAAGAAGACAGAGAAGCCATTGCCAAAGAAGTGAATGCCAAAAAAGCAGAGGAAGCAAGAGCTGCACTCAGGGAAGCCAAGAGAGCTGGGCGAGGAAGAGGTGATCGTGGAAGAGGCAGAGGTGGTGGTAAAGCAAGAGGTGGTTTCATGGGTGATAGCGAGAGGACTATCAGAGACGTTGTTGCCAGTGGTCCTTTCTCTGCCGGCCAAGTTGCTGCTGATGCTGGATACCGCGGAGGAGCAAGACGAGGATTTGGAGGCGGCGGTGGAGGAGGTGGTGGTGGTGGTTACGGAGGAGGAAGTGGCGGAGGTGGTGGCGGCGGCGGCAGTGGAGGTGGTCCTCGCATCAAGAGTGAGGGAGGTCCATCATACGGCGGTGTCACTGTTGAGGACGGCGGCTACATTTCCTCGGACCTGGATGAAGCAGACGAAGGACCTCGCAAAGACATCGACTTTATCAACCTTGCCGACGACGATGATGAGGATACATCAGCCACAAACGCCAACATGGCACCCATCCGTGTCAACCGCGTTGAACATCGCGAACGAGAGAAGCCTGTGGCCTCAGACGCAACAAAATCAAAAGCAGCCATCGAACGAAAAGCCTCTATTGTTGAGGCCCAAGCAGAAGGCGATATCACAATGACAGACCGTCCAGCATCACCAGAAGTCACCCGCGGCAAACAACGCGCAAAGGAAGTCCAAGTCGTTCGCACAGAACGCAAATGGAAGGGAGCCTGGGAAGACAGCTCCGACGACGACCTAGAAATTAAGCCCGAACCTACAGACGACTCTTCCATAACAGCCGCTCCCATCACCACGGAAGACGGCACTGTCATCAAAGAATCGGCTTCTCCAGAGACAAGACGTAAGAGTAAAGGAAAAGCCGCGGCCAGAAAACATGGTCTACCCACTGAAGCACCAGCCCTTCAAACACAAGAAGAAAGACGCGAGTGGGAACGCCACCACTTGGATCTGGAAATCTTACGCCAGGAATTGGGTGAAATTACCCTCCCTTCTTCCACTCCCGCCGTGGTACCACCTGCCCAAACAGACGTCGAAGGCGATGTGAAAATGGCAGAAGAAGCAGATTTAACAGAAGGCGCCGAAGCTTCTTCATCCCTGCCCACAGCCCCTCAAACATCAACCCAACCACCACCGGACCGCCGCACCGATCGCGTCTACCTCTTCCAATTCCCACCTATCCTCCCTGCTCTAACGCCAGAGACTGTAAAACCTGAACCAGTTTCTCCAACACTATCGAAGAAAACTCCTGTATCCACACAAGCGACAGCCATAGACGTGGACGCCACTTCCTCGAAACAAAAACCTGCAACGGCGATCCCGGAATCCGCGGGTCAGCTCCATACACCTTTCCCAACAGGTCTTGTCGGTAAACTTCGTGTTCACGCTTCCGGCCGCACTACACTGGACTGGGGAGGTACTTCTCTGCAAGTGGGAATGGGTACGGATGTGCAGTTCCTTCAAGATGCAGTTGTTGCGAAATTCAATGATAAACCTGATGTGGATGGTAAAGGCAAGGGTAAGGAAGAGGAGCACGACGAGGGTAAATTTGGTGGTGAGGTTATGGGATTGGGTCAGGTCAGGGGTAAGTTTGTCGTTACGCCTGATTGGGAGGAGATTGTGGGTGTGAGGATTTGATGAGGTGTGTTGAAGATGAAGAAGAGGCAAGAGAGCATTCATAGACTTGCCCGTAAGAAAGAAATAGTCACGCTGTCAAATGAGCAGTCAGCTTGAACAGGGAAGAAACTGTGCTCTCAGTCTCCCATGCAATCCCTTGAATTGACTAGAAACGCATGGAGTTCTTCAAATACCAGTCATGTCCAGTGAAAGCTTGATGAGGTACATGATATTCATTGTTAACGTTAATTAAGCTAGTAGCAGCGCTCACCGCGCTCAGCCAGTCTTACTCTTTTTTCGCGCTGGCTCACCGCGAGCATGTCTGAGCGTGATGCGAAAAGCTGTAAGGTCGCCATCGAATGTCGGCGAGCGCCGGCCAGTGCCACCCCTTTTCTCTGAGACAAGCCGCTTTTTGGGAATTTTGACCGGCACCTAGTGGTCCTTCTCCTTGAGCTCCTCCTCTGCGCTCTTCACAATAGTGGCCATCTCCTTCTTGGCCCACTCCCAGTAGTCGTTCCACACGCGCGCGTGCTCTGCAGTCGTCTCGGCAGGGAAAGTCTTGTTGATAACCACACTGACCTTGGCAACAGCCTTGTTGTGTTCACCAAGCTTCTCAAGCTCCTGCTTGACGGCAGTATCCTTGGGCTTGAAGGCAAGGACCGCTCTGAATGCGGTTGCCAAGGACTCGAGTCGGCGGACGGTCTCCTCAGGTGCAAGAACGGCGAGCTTCGTCAGCATCAAACAGCATAGGATCTTGATTTCGTGCTCATCAGCGACACCGGCTTGTACACGGTCGTAGAAGGCAGAGATGGGGATGCGCGCGAAAGCAGTCTCCATCAAAGCGTACAAAGTCTCGTAAGCAGACTTGCGTAATTCGAGACCATCGTCGACCTTGTGCTTGAAGGGACCCATGGACACTTCACGAATAAGATCCGTGTTGATGATAGTCTCCTTCAAAGCAAGTGGCAGCAGGGTGTCGAGATGAGGCAGGATCAGGTCGGGCTTGTTGTGCGCAGCAGAATTGAAGGTGGTCAATGCGAGGCGACGGTTGTTAAGGTCCTCCTCGTTGAGCATGGTAGTGAGCATGGGCACAATGCTGGGTTGCAGGTAGACATCGTAAGATGGGTCGGTGTCGGAGAAGGTGTAGCGAAGAGCCTGTGAGATATGAGTTAGCATGATGTTTGAATTGGCTCAATCCTTGACTGCTGCAATGCAGAAACCCTTTGCAGAAAGTGAACGAGTCCAGTGAGAGCGTCAACATAGAGGCCTTCCAGTGGACACATACAGCTCCACAAATCTTCTTGCGTTTCGAAAGGTCGAAAATGAGACTGGTTCAGGGAGTAGGGATGACTTACCGAGATGACCATGCCGCGAACGGTAGGCTTAGGGTCGCTCAAATACGCCTGCAATTGAGGCAAGTATGCAGCAGGATCAATGGTGGCCAATCTTCCAATACACTCAGCTCCGACAACCCTGTTATCCTCAACTTGTGACGCTGTGATAATGTTGTCCCAGAGCTGCTTCGAGTACTTGATGACCTCGGTCTCGGCAGCAGTGTGTTGCAGGAGCTCCTTGATCGTGTGAAGAAGCAGATACTGCTTGCCCTGACCCATACTTGTCTGAATCTGAGGCAGGTAGCTTGAAACGTTACCAGCAGCAGCACGCCCAAGAGCAACCGCAGCAGCAAGGTTGACCTTCTCAGAGTTGGTTGAGAAGAACGAGCTGAACATACTAGGTCCGTACGGGAACTTCGAACCCATGCGCAAGCCAGCTTCTCCAAGGATGTAAAGAGCCAGACATCTGCGCTTCTCATCTGCAGTAGTCTTCAGCTCGGCTTCGAAGTCGGCAAGGCTCACGCCGACGGATGCACCGCCAGCCACAAGCAAGATACCGATGACTTGACCAACTAGCTCCGGGTTACCGTTAATACCCACGTCGCTGAGCAGTGCTTTCATCAGGCTCTTTCCAGCTCCCTTTTGACCGATGATTTCAAGAGAGGCAAGCAGAGCGTCGAGCGAAGCGCCAGTAAGGTCCATCTTAGCCACGAAGCAGTAGGCACGAATGACATCGGCGTCCAAGACGAGTTGAGGTCTCTCATTGGCGAACGAACCGATAATTACGAGAGCAGGGCCAATCAGGTGGAGATCAACATCAACAAGGATCAGAGGCAGAAGAAGTTGAACAATCTTTTGCACAGTCTCGTCATCCATGTTTTCGCGGCACGCAGGGTTGGCAGCGACCCTCTTGAGAGCGGTCAGACTGGCTCCGCGCAAGATTCTGCTGGATTTGCGTAACTGAGCGCCCAACTCAAGTGAAACTTCACGAACCCACTCAGGAGTGAACTCCTTGGAGCTCTGTGCCAATACAGCAATAGTCTCAATAGCTCTGACCGAAGCTAGACGAGTAAGCTCGTTGCGGAGTCTGTCGTTGATGAGCTGAAGACCGGATAGTCTGCTCTGCTGACTGAGAAGTGCCGATCCCTGAGGACCAGATGTACGGCCAATCAACAGACCTAGAGACTGCACGGCCTTCTGACGAACCTCGGTATCAGTGTCAGAAGCAGAGATACGCTGGATGACTGTGTCATAGATTTGTTGCAGGTAGGTAGCGTTCTGCTGCTTGGAACCGGCGGAACGAGGAGGAGTAAGAGCCTTGATGTAGACTTGAATAGTGTCAAAGGCTTCGGAGGAAACCTTGCTGAACTTCTCCTTGGATACAGCAGTCAAGGCTGGCATGATTTTACTGAGGTATGGGTCAATGACCTTTGACGAATGCATGTCTGCGACGGCACGAAGCAGACGAAGCGACTCAATGCGGACAGCATTGTTGGTCACAGAGGAACCACCTGAAGTGCTGCCTGTAGCCTTCATAGCGTCGAGAACAGGGTCGATTACCTGGTCAATACGTTGCGACAAACCGCCGCGCTGAGCAGTGACCATATCGGTCAAAAGGCAGATGACAGCATGTTTGGTAGGAACAGTGCTTGATTTGAGCAACTTGGCAGATCCTTGCACAATCTGAGGATTCAGGGCGGACAGGCTGACCTGAGGACCGCCTTGCGGAGGAGGTGTCGAGGGCGAGGCATAGCCGTTGGACATAGAGAGTGACGGACGCTCGCTAGAGAAGCTGCTATCGCGGCGGCGCTTGCGGCTAACAGGAGCACCAGTCGCTGAAGACAATCGGCGAAGGCTGGGAGTCGAGGTGGCCTCACCTGTCTTCCTGATGAGGAAGGCAAGGGTAGAAAGAACTTCCAAACGAACGCTCTCTTCACGTTCTTGGAATCGGGAGAGCAAGGCAGGAGCGATCTTCTCGTATAGGATACCAGTTTCGAGCAGGTCGCCGCTTCCTCTTGTGGCTATGAGGGTGTGAATCAGTTTAGCAGCACCACGACGCACCTTCCAGCTGACGTCGTCCTCATCGTCGAACCCAGTCTCCTCTTCAAAGTCCTCGTCAAGGTCGAAATCATCATCTTGATCGCTTTCAGCCCCTTCCATGTCGTCATCCTCATCGGCAGCGTAATTGGGGTCGTACTTTGCAAAGCGGAGGCATGAGTCGATCACATCACCGACGTACGGTGTCATATCTTGACTACATGATGCAAGGCACGAGTCTAGAGCCAGAAGAGCAGCCTCGCGCACCTCTTCCACCTGAGGATCACGACCTTCATCTGATTCCGCGGCTTCCTCATTCTGTTGGTCGAGTTCTTCTTCGCTCAATGGAGAAAGAATGAAGGGCGCCAGGGTTCTGAGGTAAGGGCCAAATTTGCGAGGGATAGACTTTGCCATCGAAGCGAAGATGGTCAGGTATAGACGGCGTTGTGCAGGTGTGAGGTGTGATTGGCGGAGGCTCTCGATCGCATGAGATACGACTGAAGCAAGCAGAGGGTCGGAAAAGTAGGGCGACAAGACAGATAGCGCAGTAACAGCCTTCTTCTTCATGACAGTACTGCATCGAGGGTTTTCGAGCACCTCGGTTGTGATCTTTTGGAGCGCCTCCACCTCGACATCTTGTAGCATGGGGCCAAAGCATCGACCTACCTCAACCAGGACGTCCAAAGCGTTGCTGTCAATACCATTTTCCATCTCAACCTGAATCATGCCCTTGGGGGGTGCTGGCAAGCTCTTGCCAGTGGAGATGACAGTGTAACCCACGAGACGCGGAATCAGCGCGCGACTGACTGCTGAGTATGCTTCTTGGACCTTTGCCGTGCGAGGAATAGCGGGAGCGGGACGAGGAAGTGCAACAACCATGGCTCTGACGGCTAGAGCAGGTACTGAGCTATCGACAGCGTTGTCGGTACGGAGGTTCGACACCTTGTCGAAGGTGGGGCAAAGGATGCTTTCCGGAGCCTTGTTGACGAATGGACCAAGGCATTTGATAGCCATGTTTTGTACGTCGCCATTTTGATCGTTTAGGGTGTGTAGAAGGCCTTCGACCACGCGTGCGCAACAGCTGTAGTCGTGTGAGATGAAGGTGGGGTGGCCAATCGTTAGCATCTGGTTCAGGTCGTTCAAGGACATGTATCGAATGTCAGGGTCGACGTCCTGTAGCTTTGGCAGTAGAGCGGCGACATGATGCGCCGACGGGTTGACGGGTATGGCTGGTGTTTGGGTAGCCATTATATCGATGAATCAATCAATAGTTGGGTGTGGTTTGCAGAACGAGAGCTGAGTGGTGGGGGAAGAATTAAAGCTCGCTCATACACGGTGCACTGCGGGGAGGTGAGAATGGGCGAGGTGGTATTGCGATTCGCAGGAGGAAAGATGGTTTGATGGATTTGGAAGGAGCAAATGTCTTTTTCTTCACTTCACAGCGACCGACTGACTGACAACTGCGTGTTTGTCTCGTGTTGGCGCTGTTCGGTGCCTGAGGTGCACGGACTCTTGCAGTCACAGCTTCCTACAATCTAGCTGTAGAAATGCACAAACTTATTCAGAATCAAGAATTGTCCGGTGAGATCATGATGTTTTCAGACTCTCAGTGAAGGCTCATTCTTTTGCAAAAATTAGTGTATTTTGACAGCCATGTTCTCAACCTCCAGTCTCATGAAGAACGACTGATCTATCGTGGGCTCGGCTATACTATGACGGAGCTCGAAAGGACGAAGTTATGACGGAAGCTCGAAGAAGGAAGCTGCAATTCTTGGCAATCATCCGACCCGAGCACTTTCTAACGACGCTTCGACCGGCCTCTTCTCGAGCGCGTCACGCATTGTCAATTGGTCAATTACCACATACCTCTCCCCTCAACACACCCATTCATAAACACAATGGTCCTCCCTCGCTCCGCTATGCGCGGCTTCTCAGCTGCCCGTCTTCTCCGCTCTTCGGTCCGCCCTGCTACCCGTACTGTTGCTCGCAGAGGTTACGCCAGCGGCCACGGTCACTCGGCTCCCAGCAGTGATGTGCCATGGTAAACCTCTCCACCAGACCAACATCAACCCATTGGACCGCCATTGACTTGTTTTGAACACAGGATTCTCGGCTCTGCCGGTATCACTATCCCCGGCGCTTGGTACCTCTGGCCCGACTCATCCAACGGTGATGCCCACGGTCCTGGTGATGCCCACGCCAAGCAGGTCGAGGAGCACCCCGAGATTGAGCAGCCCGAAGAGGAGGAGGAGAAGTCCGAGGACAAGTCTGAGGAGCAACCCCAAGAAGAGTCCAAGGAGGAGTCCAAGGATGATGAGTCCAAGGATGACGAGTCCAAGGATGAGCCCAAGGAGGAGTCCAAGGGTGGTGCCTTGAAGGACGGCAAGGGTGAGGCTACTCAGGAGCAGCCCCAGTCTGGCAAGGAGCCCGCCGAGGGAGAGTCCAAGTCCAAGCGCACCACCGACGGTGCCAACATGCCCGAGAACAAGGGCGATGTTGAGGGTGTCAGCTTCAAGGGCCCCACCAGCGAGGGTGACTCTGACAACAAGATGCCCGACGAGCGCAAGCGTGAGCCTGACGGCAAGGGTGCCTTTAAGAAGCGCATCGACTCCGGCTACGGCAAGAACCTCGGCGAGGGCCCTACCCATAGATCTGACGGCTCCACCAGCGTATGTTGATATGATGTGATATGTGTGCCAAGTTTTAACAATTTCCCAGGCTGCCACCTCAAAGACCGAGACTCCCGACGACCAGGGTGATATTCAGAAGAAGCAGGCTGGTCTCTCAACCACTAACACAAGACATTCGACCGACATCACCAAGGACCCTGAGATGTCCAAGAAGGGTGAGGGCTCTCCCGACACTGCCAAATCTTCCGGAACAATTTCAGTCAACCGTCCCACACCCGAGGCCCAGAAGAAGCAGGAGAAGGGCGAGGGCAAGGAGAACACTCCTAGAGAATCCAAGGACGAGTAAAAAGCACCATTATAGCTTTTAGAACTGTTTTCCTTTTTCTCTCCTAATCTTTTTCATACCACGAAGGTAACGAATACACCACGTTTGCGTATGTTTGTACATATCGAAAAATGTAACATTACCGCCGATGGGCATGAGTCTGCCTCGCCTTGAAAGATGAAGTGTAGCCGTAAGGTATCCAATATGGCTGGCTTGAAATATGATATTGAAGCTTGGAAGAAAAAAGAAAAAAAGTGCAAAATATCCAATGTCGAGCGGGCAACCCGGCTCACAATTTCCATCTCCAAAACATTGCAAGAAAAGAACCCAAAGATGTTACCACTCCATTGCTCCAAATCCTGTGATGTCCCCAGCGATGAATTCTTCCAATGTCCATCGTTCCTCCACTCCAGTCTCGTTGGAAATCCAAGCCCAAGCAGAAATTCGTTGGCGTCTCCCTCTGCTGTCTTCGATTTCCAAATGCGCTTTCTTCATCTCGCATTTCTCATGAACTTTATAAAAATCATTGATCAAAGTCGCAATCGAAATGGGCACAGCAGTGTTGCTCGAAAACGAAGGAAAAAACAACAAGCCTTGAACCTCCTGATACGCCGACATCATCCCCACCTCTACCAAAGAAGGCAGCAAACTTTGCGTATCCACAGTTGTGGTATGATCCAGCAAGACAGCAGGAGTCAGACGTCTGAGGATGGAAGGGAGGCGGATACCCAAGATGTGGGAAAGTGTTGATGGTAGTTGAAGGGTTCCGTGGAGGAAAAATGGTGTTGCGGCGGTGAGATGGTGGAATATTTTCGAGGGGGAGAGGTGGTTTGATAGGGCGAGGTGGGAGTGGAAGGGGAGGTAGGTTGATGTCAATCTGTTTGGAGATGGGAGAGGTGGGTGTGAGGGTGAGATTGTTGGTAGGGCGGTGGTGGTATCGTCTTCTATCTCTTCGTGGCAGGTGTGGAATGAAGGGGTATCTGACTCTTCTGTATCGTTTCCGGTTTCGTTGATCCAAGCTTGAACGTCTTTCGCATTGAGACCGTCGTTTTCGACGTCTTCTTCCTCTGTTGAAGAACTCTGTTTTTGCATGATCATGCCGCTCTGAGTGTTGTCTTCATCTTGCTCTTCTGCACCGGCGCTGACCTGAGCTTCTCCATGCTCAAAGGATCTCACATCGGCCGCCGGCGTCTCAAAATTGAGGCTTTGCTGTAGCTCAGAAGCAAAAGCAGGGAGCAGTCGCCCACACGCACATCTCGAAGTGCCCAGTGAGTTGTCCACCGGAGGCGTGCATTCTCGTGCGAATATAAGAGCCGTCGAATGATTCTTCGGACCCATCTTAACTTCGAACGCACCCAACGATTTGCTTCTCTGTCTGATTGTAGATATGGGAGGAGCAGGGTCGGCCATGACTGTGATTGTCGTCGATTAGCTAACTTCTCAGAACTGGTGCAGGAACATGTGATGGAAATCAAGAGAGAACGTCTACAGAGTAGTAGATATCATCGACTCTGTCCACTAGGAGCAACTACCCCTTTGTGCTCTCCTTGAAAACATTCATACTAACTTTAACGACATCTTGCGATATCAGCCCGCATGCAAGAGCAAAGAGGCTTGCTGGAGAGCAACTGACACGGAGGCAAAGGGGACAAGACATACTTTGTGACGAAATGTGGTGTACGGTGTAGAGTGCAGAGTGCAGAGTCGTCGATGTAATAGGAAAAGAAGACCTACTGGATCGCTGTTCTTGTAGGAAGATCCTTACGTGATTGCTATAAGTATGTGTGAATGCACATTGTGACAAGGTCGAGTGAACGGTATTGCGTCGTTCGATGTTGTCGTCGATGTGCTGCAAACATTGAACTTACCTTCATTCGAGGGTACAATCAAGTTTCATACCGTGTTGAGACGCAGTAGATATCGACGTTCTTTTCATGAAAGCGAATTTTTCGATTGCTCTAAGGGTGTGGAAAGACATGTGCAGAGTCTTTCATGTTCGACGCTGTTTTTAAACGGTGCAACGAAGGTCAATGTTCCTCATTCGACCCGACCTTGTTACATCTAGAGATGCAGATTGCAGGCAGAACGAATTTGGAGACTGGATAGGATCGCGAATAGCTCGAAAATGGCCAAGACGTAGCAAGCATTAGACTGCTCCTCACCCGGGTCTCATGGAGAACAGCAACATCGAATTGCATCCGAGAACGTACATGTGAGATGTAGGACATCAGATAATTCAATCTCTGATCTGAGTGAGGCGGAACCGACAGCAGTGTCTCACTACATTCTTGAAGTAGGCTCACGAACACGCTCATCACAGGTGGCGGGCGTGTTCTGGACGAATAGTCTCAAAAGGGCGTATCTACTGTAGGCAGCAGTAGATGTGCTCTGTACAACATGGGCGTATTGGCGTAGATAGGAGTAAGTATTGATGAGTCCATCAGCTTCCATGGAATTCTCTTGGGTGGCGTAGATGATTAAGTGATGGTGGTCAAAGTGAAAGCTGGCGTTTGGTGTGGAGTTCCTCCGAGATTCACAGCTTGGTCCGAGCGAGCTCTGAGTCTCAAGTTCGCAAGCGTCATAACGGGCCCTCTCACTTCGCCGACCTACAACTCGCCCTCCACCTTCCGCCATCAACATACAACACTCTGTCCATCAAAATCCCATCCGCCCTTCCTCCTGTTCATATCTTGAACATCTCCTTTTCTTTATCACATAAATCACAGATCTACCGCCATCATGTCTGGGGAGCCGGACCACGTCGAGACCAAGAACAAGGTCAAGCTCGAGCAGTACGATCATCACACGCCCCATCTTGGAGGCAACGCGCATACTGACATTGCTGTAGTGACCCTTCAGGTGCTGAGCAAAAGCATGTGAGTCGACAGCTTAACAGCGCCTTCCATCAGGAACACACAACTGACTTGCCTCCTCAGGTCGAGAACGATGTATCAACGGCTATCCTCAAGAAGAAGAAGAAGCCCAACTCTTTGATGTACGCGCCGCCACCATGTCACAACTCAAGAACCACAGCTAATCCGTCCTCAGTGTCACTGACGCCACCAACGATGACAACTCAATCATCGCCCTCTCCAACAACACCATGGAGACCCTCCAGCTCTTCCGTGGCGACACTGTCTTGGTCAAGGGAAAGAAGCGCAAGGACACTGTCCTGATTGTTCTCGCCGATGACGATCTCGAGGATGGTCAAGCCCGTATCAACCGCGTCGTCCGCCACAACCTCCGCGTCAAGCACGGCGACATCATCACCGTCCACCCCTGCCCTGACATCAAATACGTGAGTCGGCCGAAGAAACTCTCACACAAGCCCGATGCTAACAAACACAACAGGCCAAGCGTATTGCAGTCCTCCCCATCGCCGACACAATTGAGGGTATCACCGGCTCCCTCTTCGACGTCTTCCTCGCACCCTACTTCCGTGAGGCATACAGACCCGTCCGCCAAGGCGACCTCTTCACAGTCAGAGGTGGCATGAGACAAGTCGAGTTCAAGGTTGTTGAGGTGGATCCCCCAGAGTTCGGCATTGTCGCACAAGACACTGTCATCCACTGCGAAGGTGAGCCCATCCAGCGCGAGGACGAGGAGGGTAACCTCAACGAGGTCGGCTACGACGACATTGGTGGTGTTCGCAAGCAGATGGCACAAGTCCGTGAGCTTGTTGAGCTGCCCTTGAGACATCCTCAACTCTTCAAGTCGATCGGTATCAAGCCTCCTCGTGGTATCCTCATGTACGGTCCCCCCGGTACTGGTAAGACTCTGATGGCAAGAGCTGTTGCCAACGAGACTGGTGCCTTCTTCTTCCTCATCAACGGTCCTGAGATCATGTCAAAGATGGCTGGTGAATCAGAGTCCAACCTCCGCAAGGCTTTCGAAGAAGCCGAGAAGAACTCCCCCGCCATCATCTTCATCGACGAGATCGACTCCATCGCCCCAAAGCGTGACAAGACCAACGGTGAAGTCGAGCGCCGTGTTGTCTCGCAACTCCTCACCCTCATGGATGGCATGAAGGCCCGTTCCAATATTGTTGTTATGGCCGCCACCAACCGTCCCAACTCGATCGACCCTGCCCTTCGTCGTTTCGGCCGCTTCGATCGTGAAGTCGACATCGGTATCCCCGACCCAACTGGCCGTCTGGAGATTCTCCAAATCCACACCAAGAACATGAAGCTCGGTGACGAGGTCGACCTTGAAAGCATCGCTGCTGAGACTCACGGTTACGTCGGTTCAGATATCGCCGCTCTTTGTTCAGAAGCTGCCATGCAGCAGATTCGTGAAAAGATGGATCTCATCGACTTGGACGAGGACACAATTGACGCCGAGGTGCTCGACTCACTGGGCGTCACCATGGACAACTTCAGATTTGCTCTTGGTGTCTCCAACCCTTCGGCTCTCCGCGAGGTTGCCGTTGTCGAGGTTCCCAACGTTCGCTGGGAGGACATCGGTGGTCTCGAAGAGGTCAAGCGCGAACTCATCGAGTCCGTTCAATACCCTGTCGACCACCCCGAGAAGTTCCTCAAGTTCGGTCTGTCACCATCAAAGGGTGTTCTTTTCTACGGACCCCCTGGTACTGGTAAGACTCTTCTTGCCAAGGCCGTCGCCAACGAGTGTGCTGCCAACTTCATCTCCGTCAAGGGCCCCGAACTTCTCTCCATGTGGTTCGGTGAGTCTGAGAGCAACATCCGTGACATCTTCGACAAGGCTCGTGCTGCCGCACCTTGCGTTGTCTTCCTTGATGAGTTGGATTCCATTGCCAAGTCTCGTGGCGGTAGCGGTGCTGGCGGTGATGCTGGCGGTGCTTCCGACCGTGTCGTCAACCAGCTTCTGACTGAGATGGATGGTATGACCTCGAAGAAGAACGTCTTCGTCATTGGTGCTACCAACCGTCCCGAGCAGCTCGACAACGCTCTCTGCCGTCCTGGACGTCTTGACACTCTCGTCTACGTTCCTCTTCCCGACGAGTCATCTCGTGAGGGTATCCTCAGAGCCCAGCTCCGCAAGACCCCTGTCGCTCCCGACGTCGACATTGCCTACATTGCTTCCAAGACCAACGGATTCTCCGGTGCTGATCTTGGTTTCATCACCCAGCGTGCCGTCAAGCTTGCCATCAAGGAGGCCATTTCAACCGACATCGAGCGTACCAAGGCTCGTGAGGCTGCTGGTGAGGATGCTATGGAGGAGGATGCCGAGGACCCTGTCCCCGAGCTCACCCGTGCTCACTTCGAGGAGGCCATGCAGAGCGCCCGTAGATCCGTCACCGATGTTGAGATCAGAAGATACGAGAGCTTCGCCCAGCAGATGAAGCAGTCAAGTGGCAGCAACTTCTTCCGCTTCCCTGACGCTACTACTGGTGGCGAGAACGGTGGTCAAGACAACTTCGGCGAGGCCGGTGGTGATGACGACCTCTACAACTAAGGGATGTTGAGAGAAGCATATACAATGGCGGAAGAACTTTGATAGAAGCAACGGAAGTTCAAGGAGGAGTTTTTCTAATGGGAAGCCGCGATGGCACCAATTACTATGATGAATTGACGGCGTGACATGGCTTGTCTTTTTTCTAGCTATTTACCTAGTTTATGCAGAAATGTATTTCTGAACAACCTGAACCTGCATTCGTCTGTGATTGTGATTGTAGCCGTGCCTACTTCGGTGAATTTGAGCCGATGTACAGGTGGATATAACGCTTGTTTTTTGAACATAAGTTCATGTATCGCTCGTGCCTACTTCAGAGTACAAAACTGGTGTATTCAGGTGTATATCGGCCGTATTTGTACTTTTAAATGGGATTATCCAGACGCGCGTACTTTAGTGTTCAAATGTCGTCGGGTATCGTCGGATAGCTGCTGAACATGGCCTCGGCATGCTTTAGAAGCAGTATTTGAACGTATACGTCATGTTTAGAGGGGGGTCTGTTTTTGACTGTATAAGACCGATCTGAACCCTAGTATCGCACCTAATGCCTGTCGATCTAAGGCACCTCGTGGCGGCGGTATACGCCGTCGTGTTCTTTAACCTTATTAGTGTTGTTGTCATCTCTAAGGCCATTAAGGACTAGCGACTAGGCATAAGGACGCTCTACCTAAGGAAACTAGCAGGGTCGGCGAGGACGACTAACCTTCATGATTTAAACCCTACTAAGTGTCGCAATTTGCTGCGTATAGAACAGCATAACTTCTAAGGACTTGTAGCGCTGCTCGAAGAGCATAGACTTACTAATAAACGACTAATATCGGCAAGGGAACAAGTAGCGATGTTCTTATATATATGCGCTTAAGACTCTAGCTAAAGATTAGCTACTAATTACTTCTAACACTCCGGTCGAAGTGTTAGAAAGGCCTTCTACGCTATTCTCGAGTGTCTAGTTCTATGCTACTCTAACCTAGTTAAATTCATCGATATAGATCTAGATAAGATTTAAGAGCTAAAGTTTCGACCGTTTCGAGGTGCGATAGGAGTAGTAGATAGATCGCTGTTCTACGCTCGAGTACCTACTTCAAATTAAGAGGCATAGCGTATAAGGAAATAGACTATATGTTAAAACGTCCTAGTATCTATTAACTTCGAAGGACGCTTTACCTATGTTATGGCCGGTTAGGAGGGCTCTACGCATAATAGCAAGGTATTTAAAGAGGCCTATCGGCGAGGGTTCCGACTACCTTACCCTAAGTAGTACTTCCTTAGTAATTCCGGATACGCTCTATCGTTAGTAGTAATAACACCGTATCGGAAGACTAGATACTACCTCGCTAAATGGGGTCGTAACAAACCGAGGACTAAGGAAGAGCTATATAATCTACGTCACTCGAGCCTTAGAGCCATTATCGAGATAGGACTTAGTCGATTTAAGAGGAAGTAGAAGATTATACGTAAAGCACCCGAGTACCCTTTAGAGACTTAGATTATGCTAATCTACGCTCTTACTGCTATGTCGAACTTCCTTATTAATGCCGAGGACGGTGTTGTTAATTATAATAGTAGTAATGACGAGGATAGCGAGACTAACGACGACGACGAGGGCTCTAAGGACGAAGAAATCGCGCCTACTTAAGTTAGAGAGCGGTTATATAGTAATAGATAGAAGAAGGAAGCAAAGGCTAAGCGAGACCGTATTACGTAGGCCTTATAGGACAATTATATAGAAGAAATAAGAAGAAGAGGTACGATGTAAGGTGCTAGGTTAGTTAGCCCTTAGAGAGAATTATATTAGCGATTTAACTAGAGGAATTAGCTAAATAATTTCTATTAGGTCTAAAGCTCCCTGCCTAATACATTAACTAATCTTCGACCAGATTTTTCGTTAATCTACGTCCTCTCCCTCTAGTTCTTTAACCCTCGACCCTTCGATACTTAAGAACAGTTCCTCGACATCTATATTATCGTTTCCTACCGGCGGCGACGGCATATAGCTACGCGGCGCTTCCTACGCATATACTAAAGGAACCGGACTATTACCTTAAGGTCCTACGACACCTCTAGGCGATACGGTACTATCTAGTTCTTCCTTAGTAAGGTACTCCGCCTCGTATAGCTACTACTTTACCTAAAGGTACCGCATCTTATTGCTTTTAAAGTTATTAAACGTTCTCGCTATAGATTCTACCTCTAACTAACGATAGATATATAGCTGCTAGAGCGTATTAGGCGTAGGTATCTAGTAGTCGTAACTAGACGACATCTGCGCCTAAGTCGCTTAGGCCTTATCCTAAGGATGCTTAGTTCTAGGTAACATCGGTCTAGTAAGTGACCTAATAGCCTCGTTTAGCTCTTAGGAAAATCTACTAATTCTCTCGATAGCGGTATCGAGCGCGCTCTTTAGCCTCTTCTTCGAAGGCGTACCGGTCGTAGTCCTATTACGACGACGACGAGTTCCTCGCTCTCGCTTTACTCGAGGAGTCCGAGCCTCTAGCGGACTAGTCCTTTAGGTCGACTAAGTTAGCTCCTCCTCCTTAGGTTCGATTAGAGCATTACGAGCGGCCTTATCGGCCTTACGAGCGGCCTTACGCGCTTCTCTACGAGTAGCTCTGCCTTAAGTATCTTCGCTATTAGTGTCTAAGTCGACATCTATGTCGTTAAACCTATAGGCAAGTCCTTTAACTCCTAAGCTCTAAGTATTGTCCTAATCGCTTTATCTAACATTACTAGATATAGTGTCCGTATTGCCCTCCTCCTCTTCGACCTCGTCCTTAGTTACTAGTTTACCTTAGTGCCTTTATTTAAGCCGGTCTCGAAGCTCTATAGCGGTAACGGTATGTTAACCCGTCGTAATATCGAGACCCTATAGACGTTCGTAGAGTTCCTTATAGGGCATACCGCTACGGCGAAAAAGAGGCTTCGAGTTAGGGTAATCGTCCTTATATTCCTCCTCTGCCTTAGCGCCGAGACTAAAAGCGCTATTAGGTAGTCTTATTATGCTAGAGTAAGCTATTAGCTTCTTATACTTATTAAATAATGCTCGGAGGACTCCCTTCTTCGAGCGACATTACTAAGCGGTAATAGCGACATTGTGTTTATCGCGGATCTTCTAAATAGTAAGGTTCTATACCGGCACCTTATGTCCTTTACTCTTACTATTGGCCGCGAGCTTGCCACTAATTAGAGCCTCGAGCAGAGTCTCCTCTTAAGCATAGGTCTAGCTATAAGCGGGGGCACGAGGTTAGCGAGGCATAGTGTTAATGAATGCGATATACTCGAGGGTGCGAATCTGCCTAGACTTTTGGCTGTACCCGCTAACAAAAGCACGGGACTTAGGAGGACACGGAATACACGTCATTTCCAGCACATTGGACTAAACAAGCGACCCCACTGATGTTTAAGTGGATAAAATTGAATAAGGACCCCCTCTGAACATGCATATAAATTTACGCTAACATCGAAGTAGGCAGGGCCTGTCTATTCTAATGATAAGTCCCAATCCTTAAAGCAAAAGTGGTATCATTGATGTGTGTGCCCCGAACGCTGTACGGATGCGGTCAGTCAATGGCTTTGTTCTCGGAAGTCATGATATTGGCGTACCCATTGAATGTAAGAGAGAAACAGTACAGAGGTTGAGAGAGAAAGGTCAAAGAGGCGCTCAAGCAGTCTCGACTTGACAGATCTTGTCCAACTCCTTCTTGACAATCTTGACAGCTTGAGTGATTGCCTGATCGGGAATAGCCAAAGAAGGATGATCGCCGTCCTTTGCAGCATCGGCTTCCCCAAGAGCCTCTTCCAGAATACGATCCATCAGGTCATCGTATTTTGTGCATTCGCCCGAGCGCATGAGTTGAGTGACATGGTTCTTGAGATTGGTCGACCAGCCTGAAGCCTGGAGTTCGTGCAAGAGGGCGTTTTGAATGACTGGGATTGAACCGTGGTCGACGAGGGCGGTGGTGAGTTGTGTTTGAGTTGCTGGTTGGGTTGAGAAGCTTGTCGACTCATTGACGGCGAGCTTTTGTGACATTTTGATGTTTTTTGTGGTGGTAATTCGAGACGCAAGATTGGGTTGATATCGAGATGGGGAAGTTCTTGGTGTTGTGGAGTTCGAGCGAGTCAAGCAAATCAAGGTCGGGGTTGGTAGGGGCTTGGCATATGCTTTCAGGCTATGAACGACGACGGCAGGTGTACAAGAGGGGACACGATGACTTTCACGATCAAATAGACAGTCACAGTCGTTCTCGCTCGGTATAGATATCTCCAACAGACAGCTCTCTCCGTCAAGACGCCCCTCAGCCGCCACGTTTTTCACTGCAACGGTCACCCCGGTAAGCGCCGCGTCCACGCCAGGGCGCGCGCAGTGGAATGTCAATGGCGGGTTACAAGACATCGCAATACCACCATGATTCAGACCCGGAAGACGACTATCTCCATCCGTCATATCACTCGCCCACTCTGCCGCGATCTCAACTTCAGGACGACGATCTTGACGACGACGACATGACGACCAGTGCTGAGCACACGCCCACGACCTTCAGCCACTCGCTTTCGCACTCCCTCAACCCAAGTCCGACCGGTCTTATCACTCAATGGACTGCTGAACAAGTCGCCGACTGGGTCGCTGCTCTGGGCTTGACGCAGTATGCAGATGCCTTTGTCGACGAGGCCATCACCGGACTTGCTCTCGTCGAGATGCAGCACCACGACTTCAAAGAGATGGGCATTATGAGTGTCGGACACCGCTTGTCTCTGCTTAGAGGCGTATACGACATCAAGATCAAGCAGAATGTACCTTTGGACCCGGACCATTACGTGCCTTTGTGTCAGTCTGGTCTATCCTGAACCATTCCCTCCTCTCACTAACACACATGTGCAGCTGCCGGAGACAACGCCTCGGATATGACGGCTACGCAAGACGACATCGCACGTATCATCGAGTCTATCCGTATCCGCGACTCACGTATTCTATCAGCCGAGATTGAGCTCCGAACTCTGCGTGATCACTTTGACCGCATTTCAGAAGAGAACAGGAAGTTGCGCGAGGATACTCTGCCCGTGATTCGCATGGTCAAGGACCGCTCTCAACTACCACCCACTCCAGCAGACGGACTTGGCACCCCTCCAGCAGACATCAAGCCTGAGAAAAGCAGCGGCTTGTCACGCAAGTTCTCGACCAAGAAGCTATTCCTTGGAGGTGCACCCAAGAATCCTTCGCCTACAATTCACGAATCGTCTACTTTGGATCCTTCAGCTGCTGCAATGGCTGCAACATCTCACCTGAATCCCTCACTCGGCCAGAACTCGCCCAATCAACTGCTCCCACAACCATCACCCACATCTCCTGCATACACCTCTTCCGCGCAAGCAATGTCTGCTGGCAACCGCTCGTTCCCACGCGACGTACCACCCTCAGCTCGTCCCTCCTACATCGAAGACCCACGCCAGTCTCACGTTTCGCACGCTCCTTCGACAACAGCACCATCAAGCCGTAGACCAGCAGCAACATCAGCACCGACGCAGGAAGATCCGCCAAACAGTGCTCCACTCCCACGCTCAGCTCGAGAGAAAGACAATCCACAAGTGGAAATATTCAAATCCTTCCGTGTTAGCATCGAAGATCCCTGCCACAAAGTCCTACCCGTAGCTCTCCAACGCTATAACATCAACGACGATTGGCGCCAATATTCCCTTTACATTGTCTACGGCGATCAAGAACGCTGTCTAGGTCTGGAAGAAAAACCACTCATGCTGTTCAAACAACTCGAACGCGAAGGCGGGAAACCAATGTTCATGCTCCGCAAACACGCCGCGCCAGTAGGTGAAGGCTGGTCTGCCAACCGCACCGTCCCTGCCTCCGAAATGCAAAACTTAGGTCCAAGCCGTGAGAGCGTCAGGAGAGAAAACGCCGATGGTGGACGAGCGTTACCTGGAGGCGTGCTTTAGGCGAGTACACCTCTTTCTAGGTTGATGCGGGATTTTGTCGGTTTCCATCATGGTGGTGCGAAGGTCTCGGGCAGGAAATTGTGGTATTATACTACGCAGCAGATTTCTGAACATGCTTTGAAACATGGTGTGGAGCTTGATCTAGACGAGTTGATGGGGAGGAAGAAGAAGCAGAAGAAGGCGCTGTTGGAGAGAAGAGGATTGCTTGAGATGGACGTTAAAATCCCAAGATAAGGCCTTTTTCTTTTTCTTCATCGAGTCGGTTGTGTTTCTTTTTCATGTTGGAAGTAGATGTGAGAATGTTCTCGGTCTCTTGATCCTTGTACTTCAGGCGTCTTCAAGAATGGCCATGCTGGACTCTGCGGCATGTAGTGTGGCAGGAATGTTCTGTCCAGGGGTGTCTATGATATCGATCTTGTTTGATCTCTTACTTTTGATCTCTGTTCCTCCTTCTAATCTCGTATATATGTTCGTATCTGTGCGAGGCACCTACCAGTTTTTGGATCCATGGTTCTTTCCTCAGCACAGCTTTTGCTACCCATGTCTATCAAACCTCATGCGACCTCCGTCCGACAGTACTCGGGCGAGATCAACCTAATTCGAGACTGCGAACGTATCGCCATGTCCAAAGAGGTGGCAGTGACATTCCGTCTAGGGCGCTCAAATCCATGCTCATTCGGCCTTTTGTTGTCTTTTTGTTCTTGCGTGATATTGCGTGCTTTCACTTGACCTTTGATTGTCGAAGTCGACGACCTGTGGTTGCTACACGGTGACATATCATGCTGTTCGGCCGCATGGACCGTGCACCAGCACTCTTGACTTCACATTATCAGAAGCCTCCCTCACCATATTTTATCATCATTGTCAATTTCTATCAACCACCCTTCCAGTCTTCAAATTTAGGATTCAACTTTCTGAGCTTCAATCTCAAACCTCGGAACGTCTTGGTCCTCACTTGTGGAACAAATCCTATCCTCCAACCCGGAACTTCTACCAGCATTTCACTGTTTCACAACCCCACCAACATCAACAAAAATGTCCTCAATCACTATCGTCGACATCCCCCGCATCAGCCGCGAATCCCTCGCCGGCTTAATAAAGGACAAACACCCCTCGATGGCCGTCATCGACGTCCGCGACTCCGATTACATCGGCGGCCACATCGCCGGCGGCACGAACATCCCCAGCAATACTCACGACTACAAGATGCCCGAATTGGTCAGAACGCTAAAAGATAAAGAGACAGTTGTGTTTCATTGTGCGTTGAGTCAGCAGAGGGGACCTTCGGCGGCATTAAGGTATTTGAGGGAGAGGGAGAGGCTGAGCCCTGGAATGGAGGGAGAGGTTAAGATGGTGGAGGAAGTGGAAGGGGAGAAGGCGCCGGAGTCTAAGGGGCAGACTGTTTATGTGCTTGATGGTGGGTTTGTGAAGTGGCAGGAATTGTGAGTTCATTCCTTTACAGAGAAAGGATCGGAGGGGAAAGGTTTGCTGACGTGATCATAGGTATGGAGAAGACAAGGAGCTTACGGAAGGCTACGAGAAGGATATCTGGGAATTCGGCTACTAGGCAATTTCGAGAGACTACTAATTTACATCTTGGCGACCGACACAAACAAAGCCTTGGCGGTAGAGCCACTCTTTCACATGGCGACTTGATCAAAGCCACTACTTTGATCGAGACGAGTTCAGGCAGGGAAGATAGGGGCTGGACACCAATGGACATTGTGGCAGTCTCGAGGGGTAGGAGGCCTTGTTTATGTGCGGCCCGTGCACAACCTGAGACGAAATCATGAGTCGCATTTCCGGCCAGCAACTTCCACATGAACAATACCGCCAAGGTCTATATACTCATCTCATGAACCCACCTTCTTTGCTTTGACATCTGTTGTATGCTGTCGAATCCATGCAGGCTGCTTTATACCTTTCAGTCATGTCAACCATAGGGTATTACCCACTCTTCTGCACTCTTCCGCAGTTTCCGGTGGAGGTCCGTTTGGCAAGATAATGTTGGCGAACTCGACGCAACTGACGTATTTCACAGCTGAACAGCAAGCTCATCACCGAGACCAAGGACGTTGACGGTGAAGCCCAGAATTGCTTGGTTCTTGTGCTCTCATCAGACCAGCAGGAGTTCCATCGAGGCTTGACACCATTTTCAGAGCCAGCAGCCTCAGAATTCGCTGGCGCAGATATACAGCATATTGGAAATCTCTCGACGCAGCTCTTCGAGCATTTCCCCTTCGACAATCGGATGGACAAAGTCTACGAGGACATATTCGTAATTGTCGACGAGCGAACTCTACAAGACAACACCGTCCGGGTCGTTCAGAATGATGTTGGGTTTGTTTATAATGAAGACAGAGACATAATATCAGAAGAAGTTGTGGGACGGCTGGAGACTGTGAGATGCGAGATCTCGACCTTGGGATGGCTTTTGGCGTTGCTGGAGGAGGACGGGATGATTCAGGTGAAAATCAATCAAGAAGTCGTGTTGGGAGATGATGATGTTGTGGATTTGTGATGGTGTTCTGTTCAGGAAGAGGTACGGTAGAATGTTTACCGCCTTCGTGGCGTTTCGAGCGGCAAAGTCTCGGCTGGTCGCGTTTTCTATTCTCAACATCGCGCGGTCGTGTCCTTGTCGCCTTGATATGCTATCAGAGCCAGAAGCTACTCGACAAATGTGTGGAAGCAAGCAGCTCATCTGAAGCTCGCGCTACACCGTCTTCTTCGACCCCAGGAGTGGACAAGACTGAACGCCTAGACGCGCATGAGTAGGTAGGGATTTCGACAATGACCTGCTATCCGTGGAACGGCAACGCTGGGATCGCGCATTACATCCTTCGTCCTGACCCGTCTCGGGGTCTTCATTTTTATCTGCTTCTGCTGGTGAGACGATGTCTGGTTTGATGAGTCGTCGCCTGTCGTGAGCTAAGCCTCAGTCATTACATGTAACACGGGCGATAAAACCCCGTATAAGTGCGTTTACCCCGGATACATTATAGAGTGCAAACAACCCTGCCCCTGCTTGACCGAAGGACTGGAAAGACGAATGACTACAAGTACAGAGTCTCCGAACATGGGTTTTTCATCTTTAACCTCGTCTTCCAACTTCCAAGTCGCTGACGACCAGAAATGTCTAACATCACTGTCGTAACCCGTGGATTAGCTCCCTTCGACCTCTACCCGTACAACCCATCTGCAACGGCAGCATGGACCTTCCTGGTACTCTTCGCGATAGTTGGAGTGGTTCATATAGTCTATATGTTTATTCTTCGCGCCTGGTTCGCGATGCCGCTTATTCTGGGATGCGTTGGTGCGTTACCACTCTGGGAAAGATTGAAAGCCTAGCAACTAACAAGTGTATCAGGTGAAGCTTTCGGCTACTACGGACGCGCTCAGTCTCACGACAACATCCGCAATGGCGGCATGTACCTCATCCAATTGATGCTCCTCCTCGCCGCACCACCCTTCCTCGCCGCTACAATCTACATGTCACTGGGTCGAATCATTCGCAGTCTCGAAGGCGAGCGTCACGCCATGATACGTGTCACTTGGCTCACGAAGATCTACGTTGTGGTAGATATAGCCTGCTTCGTCTGTCAGATGGCAGGATCTGCTATGCAATCCAGCGGTGATCCGGCAGGCACCAAGCTGGGTATCAACATCGTTCTCGGCGGTCTCGGCTTCCAGATCTTCGCTTTTGTCATTTTCGTCCTCATGGCTTGCCGCTTCCACTACAGACTGAACAGAGAGCCAACCTGGATCTCCAGAGAGCCCTCAATCAGATGGAGGCGTTGCATGTGGGTTCTCTACGCCACAAGTTTGCTGGTCCTGGTCAGAAACTTCTATCGAATTGTTGAGTTTGGAGCTGGCAGTGACAGTGCGGTCTACAAGAGCGAGGTCTATTTGTATGTTCTTGATGGAAGCTTGATGTGGCTCTTGGTTTTGTTCCTCATCATTGTTCATCCTGGAGCTCTGTTTCGCGCTGCAAGGCGGCTGAAGAAGCTCGGGGGCATGTCTTCCGAGGAAGACGAAGAAGCAATCTCATTGACCGACCGGAAGTGAGTTGAGGACAACTTTCTTGTGGTTACCGGGAGTCATTTAGGATTTGGATACGGCGGAGGTCTTGAAAGCCAAGGATAGAAGTAGGATTTGCTGAACAATGGGCACGCTCAATTCGAATCGGCATCTCCGCCCACAATGTGACGACAGACATAAGCACAAGCGCTGGGCCTTTTGGATCATTCAGAGCATAAGATGATGCCACACAATTAGTTGTGTTCAGGTGATCATCCGCGACAGTACCATACGCATAACGTATGTCGAATACGGTACCATACGGGCTGACGTATGCGGACAATCGATCATCCCAATGCCAACCCACCTTGCTTCACAGCAGTGCGAGTCAAATAGGCACATGGGTCTCAAATCCCAGTCCGTACTCACTGTTATCATTCTGGGTCACTTTCACGATGTGGCTTGCAAGTATCATCACCCTTGTCTTGAGTACAGGTCTGGGCGTAAAACCCCATGCCGTAGCCAACACAAAAAACGCCACTTATACCAACCCCATTCTCCCCGGATTCTTCCCTGATCCGAGTTGTATATTCGTACCAGAGTTGAGCAACACATTTATCTGCGCCTCGTCAAGCTTCCTCGCCTTTCCTGGCATTCCGTTACACGCCAGCAAAGACCTCATTCACTGGAAACTGATCAGCCATGTTTTCATTCGCCGCGAACAGTATCCAAGCTTTGGGAATATCTCGAACAACCAATTTGGAGTTTATGCTCCAACTATCCGATTCCACGAAAACACGTTCTACATCTCGGTGACGATGTTTGGAAGCTCTGAATACCCTTACCTTGAGAATTTGGTTTTCAATGCCAGTGATCCTTTCGATGATCGCAGTTGGGGCATACCGATCAGTACTCAAGGTCAAGCTTACGATACCTCTTTATTCTGGGAGGACGATGGGACAATTTACGATCAAGGTGCTGCTGGTCTGGGCATTGTCCAATGGAAGGTCGACCTCCAATCAGTGTGGTCAGCGAGTGATAATGAGCTGATAATTGGTCTCGTCTTAATCGCTCGGCAGAAATTACCCTCTCACTCGCTCACGCTCGTGATAATCGTGATCGATCATGATCGCTCATTTACTGCCAAGATCCCGCCAGACTAACCATATCTAGAAGATCTGCGCATCTTATCTGATTTTGTAGGTGCGACCCTGTCAGCCCTGAATATCTAGGGGTTCGCTGAGGAGATAACCCTGCCCTCAAAATATCATGATACACTCATGATAATCTCACGGTGTTAGAGCGATCACTTGATAGAAATTGAGGCCTTGTATCAATCGGCTCATCTGATAATTATCATGATAATTATCATTAACGATCGCTCGCTGGCCACACTGCCTCCAATCTGGAAACATCACCGATCAACAATATATCTGGAATGGAACTGGTGGTGTGGCACCTGAAGGACCGCATGTTTATAAGAAAGACGGCTATTACTATCTCATAATAGCGGAAGGTGGATCTGGTGATGCTGAGGGTACTGCTGCGACCAAGCATCATGAGTCGATTGCTAGATCGAGGAACATCACTGGCCCCTATGAGTCCAAACCAGCGAACCCTGTCCTGTCGAATGTGAACACCACGCAATACTTCACTGGTACCGGTCATGTTGATCTCTTCAAGGATGCTCAAGGCAATTGGTGGGGAGTTGCTCTTGCTACACGAGGTGGTCCCAAATCAGCTGCTTATCCCATGGGACGTGAGACTGTCTTATTTCCAGTATCATGGGAGGCTGGAGAGTGGCCTGTCTTTGACCAAGTAAGGGGTATCATGTCAGGCCCTCTTCCTCCGATCGATCTTGAAATTAATGCTCACGGCCGGTTCATAGGAGGCCCGGACATCGTCGAGTTTGGTCCGGGATCTGACATCCCAATACACTTCACCTACTGGCGGTTCCCGATCTCTGGCGCTTACACAGTCTCGCCAGCCAAACATCCGCACACACTGCGCCTCGTACCTTCGGCATTGAACCTGACAGGAAGTCCCAATCATGTACTGTCAGATGGCCAAACGTTCATCTCCCGAAGACAGACTGATACTCTATTCACATATTCAGTTGACATCAACTTCCCCGCCGCTGTTGAGAACGAAGAAGTCGGCATCTCTGTATTCCTGACGCAAGATCAACATCTCGATCTCGGCCTGACGAAACTCAACAACGGAACATACCTACGCTTCAGAGGTCGTAGCAGCAAAGAAATCCCACCAGCAGAAATATTACACCGAGTAGACTCCACCTGGCTTGCGGAAAAAGTGCGTTTCCAGATTGATGCTTTCAATGCTACACACTATCGTTTCCTCGCAGGCAAGGTGGAGGAAGATGTTGATAGAGTTCCGCTGAGAGAGATAGCTGTCGCACCTGCCTCGCTGGTCAGTGGAGGGTATACTGGTACATTGGTGGGTGTCTACGCTACTACTAATGGTGGGAATGGTAGTACTCCTGCTTATGTCAGTCGTTGGAGATATCGTCCTCGAGGACAGGCTGTTGATTATGATACGTGGGTTTATCCGGACGAGTATTGTTGAGCAGAAAGATTGGAGTCCAGGAACAATGGACGCGGTGTATTTGTGGTGTAGAGCATACCAAGCCAAATGAGAAGTACAAAGTCACACTCTTAGAGGTAAAACACAAGCTCTGGGGGTTACTTCCTTTCGCATTGACAATGTCTCGAACCTGTCGAAGAAATACTGCTATGCTACTTTGATATCAGAAAGATAGAAACCCAGAAGATCCGATCCGCCAAAAGCTTTCAACCACTCAAAGATCTTTCCACAAAACAAAACACACCACGAAGGTTAAGATTCATCCACCGAAGAAATTTACTTCTTGACGGGGTTCTTGAGGGTGAGAAGACCCGGGCGGTAAGGGAGCTTGTCGTAGGTGGCAGTAGACTTGGCATCACGACCCTGGTAAAGGAACTGGAGGTTGCAAGGGTCGATGGTGAAGGTCTGATCAGCGTTGGTGCGGACGAGATCACCGTGGGAGATGTCGTTGGTCCAGGTGGCACCACTGTTGGCCTTGCCGGCGAAAGGAGCGCTCTCGGAAGTAGCGTGAGGAGTCCAGCTACCACCGAGGTTGGTGGAGGTGAAGGAGCGGAAGTAGCGACCGCCGGAACCTTGGGCCTCAACAATCATGAGGTACTTGTTCTGACCCTTGAGGGTGTAGACCTGGACGGCCTCGAACAGGTTGTTGGTGGTGTCGCTCATGACAACGGTGGAAGCAGTTCCGAAGTTGCCGGGGAAAGAGCCAATGGCCATCTGACTGCGGTAGATCTTACCGTTGTCACCGGCGAAGAACAAGTACATGTTCTTGCTGTCACCGATAACGGTCTGGTCAATGGCTCCGGTGGAAGATCCGGTGATCTTGCCAGAGAACAAAGGCTGAGGAGCAGACCAGCCGTTAGCATTGCTGGGGTCCTGAGAAGTGCGGTACGAGAAGGTGGTAGGTCCCCACTGGTGAGCAAGGATCCAGACATTCTTGGGAGCGAAGTGGAAGAGAGTAGGGGCAACAGCGGACGAGGACATGGCGTTCTGAGGAGCAGAGGCCATCTGGGACCAGTCGCTGAAGAGACCGAAGTTCATGGCACCGTAGTTGCTGTTGTCATGGTAAGAGGCGTAGACAAGGTGCTTGCCGTTGAAGAAGGTGGTGGTGAAATCCTTGATGGCGACCCATCCGCTCTTGGGCTGAGCAAGAGCAGTGGTGGAGGACCATTGAGGCTTAGCGGGAAGGTCGCAAGTCTGAGCAGATACGGAGCCGAGAAGCATGGTGGCCGACACCAGGCCGGCCTGAGCAATGGAGAACTTCATCTTGAAGAGTTGGTGAAAAAGATAGTGAGTGAATAGAAAGTGGTTGGATGGCGGATGGATTGTGTCAAGCAGTGGTGGTATTCATGCTTTATATCTTTCCATCAGCGCGTGAGTACGGGTGAGTATAGAATCTCATGTCCATTGTCGATCATTAGATTCTTTTGCTGGTTTCAGGCTGAGTGGTGGCTCGAATTCTCTTGACAAAATAGTTCTGTATAGCCGAACGAAACGTGGAGTGCATTCAGAGTGTGGGGTAAAAGACAGCTTAATGTCGACATGATGCTTAAATTTGACCTTCTTCGAATTAGTAAGAACGGTGATTGGTCTGTCAAGTCCGAAAGTCGTCTGGCTAAAGTCGTGATGAAACTATACTTTGAGTCGAGGCGAACCTAGCGCATGGTACCTTCCCGTCCTAGTAGAAGATCTCCACACGTTTGAAACGCGAGGCTCGGCTTCGAGAACTAGTGACATGCCGTCTATACACGGCGTGGCTGTGAATAGTCCTATAACGTGTGGCTTACTCCTAGATTGAGGTGCTTGCTGGGTTTTAGCCTGAGATTGCAACTATATAGACGTTGATGCTACCTGGAGTAGTCAAGATACCTGAACTTTTACGAGATACAGACGAGACAGCGGCAGAATATCCACCGGAGGTTCATCTACCTATGAACATGTGGTGACAGAGACGGACCGAAACCGTGAGGTTGTACAGGGTCTACACGCGAGACTGCTGAAACAACGAAGCGGCAGTCTCGAATGGACGTAATCTGGGGGAATTTGCTCGCCTTGATGGTTCATGAATCATCTCATCCCATGGTCGTTCGCGGCTTCCAGCAGGAGAGTCAAGCAGTCTCGTCGGTGAGTATATGCCCGAGCTCAGAAGGAAGATTGGAGGTAAAGCAAAAAGTGATTTCTCGCTTCGGGCTCGCCGCTTGAGCTGGACTGCGACGGGGCTTCTGATGGTGCATCGGTTCCACAACCGAGATCCCTGGCGTTGACTACTAACAATCCCCTCGGTCAGAATGCTCTTTGAAGGCCTGTCAGAGGTCTAGAGCGCTACTGTAGATCAGCAGCTCTATCAAGTCCTTGGAAAGCCAGCTGACATCCTTAGTGGCTGTTCAGATGCGGTGAGATCATCTTTCGTATACAACATTGTGCCTAGTTGCAACTGGTGCAGGAGAATCTTGCTTTCGGAGGTTTCCATCCACTGTCACAAAGTCGTATGTGATTTGAAAACAGTGAGTGGCTTCTTCAAGATCTCTGTCGTCTTCGCCATCTTGCTGTCGCATCGGCTCCTGAACCACGATCTAGTCCACATCGATTAGAATACCCTTGTCGAGCAATTCCAGCCTCTTCGAAATATATGCAGGGATCAAACTGACAGACGTCAATCCTGGAACGACTGCTCTTTGTCCACAACTTGAGCATCATCAAGAAATGACCCAAGAGCAAAGCAACACACCTTATGCGCTGACTTTGCCATAAGCGGCGGTCTCAAGCAGGACAGAGCGAGTGTTGACGGAGACGATTTGTTTGCATGCAGGCTAAGACGGTGCGCCTTTCATACTGATTAGTGAACTTTGTAGCGTCTTCACCATTTCGAACAATCGCAATTTATTCGAAGAGCGTCATCTGCAAGGCGACAAACTCGTCAAATTATGGAGATCAACCTCGTTTCCGCCTGCTGCACCGTTGGCGAGCGTCATCACCATATCATTGGTGGAAGTATCCCCCTCGATGAGATACAATCGTAGATTCATCGGCTGCAGCTGAAAGAAGACACTGTAGCGTGCCTGGTATGACAGGGGCGTTGGTTCAAATTATACCCAGATTGGTGGCCATGTCTGGGTGGATCATGCTTGAGCCCTTGGTGATACCAGCTAATTTGCAAGATGCGGTCGAGTTCGGGGGAGTAAAGTTGTGTGAAGCCATTTTTGGAAACATGTCGGTTGACAACAGGGCTTTGACAGCATCCGCGCCATGATCATGTGGGTTGCCTTTGTTCTCGCGTAATTTTGGTGTGCTTCGCATAACTTGTCTACGCAGGTCGAGAGTCTGGACATTTTCAGATGGTATGACTGTTTATACATTGACAGAGTTACCGTTGACCGCCTGCGCCTGCGACCATAGCGATGACTGAGGCTTCGATCGTCCGTCAAGCGAAGTACGTAGCTGCTGCGTCTACCATGATGATCGTGCTTTTAGACCAGGCTGTCCAGTGAATAGTTGCGCGCAGCCTGCAGAATCTCTGTGACTATGCTGTCTGTATTAGATTCGACTTTTGCTATGTGTTATTGGCAGAAACATCGGGCCCCTTGTACCTTTGTGTCTCACATCAAGAGATCTCGACGCGGGCAACAACGAGCCAGCTCTTGCTCTTGGAACAAAATCTCACCGGCTTGACGTTGATGTGGTTGCGGTCCGGAACCCGACGAATTTCGGAAGGAGCACCCGAGGCCGGTGCAAGCGAGGGTCTTGGCAAGGCTGTTCCCCAGGGCCGATCTTTAACACCTTCGTCTCTCTACCATTGAGTCTTATCGGTTTCCTGACTGGACCTACCTTACAGCTTCACCATTCAGCCGTCATCATTGAATGACAGCTTAGCTCGTGGCATGAGCCAGCGCCCGTGTTTCAAACGTCGGTGTGTCCTTCTTTTGGCTCTCCGGTAGGCTCCTTTGAACAGGTCGCAAAGAGAAGTCCTTGTTCCTCGTGCTTAGCTTCCATCACATGTATTCGCGCTCATCATAAGAGACGGTTCTGTCTCGTGAATTGACAAGGATTACAGTCTTTTTAACAACGCGGATGAACAGGTCGAATTCCACAGCTTGAGTCGAACACTGCCGACCTGCCATCCGACAGACAGCAGCGTCTTTCAATCATCAACAATTATGTCTTCTGAGGTTTTATGGTCCAAAAACGCTGTGGAAAAGCGTTCTGACGCGTGACATACTGCTTGGAATCCTGGTCGCAGTCCCACAGACGTCAACCGTCGCGCCGCGCTCCAAGAACTAAGCCAGCCGAAAGACAAGCCACTGAACAGGCGCTCGTTGGAAACTCTACATCGCATCTAAAGAACACTTCAGTCGTCATTGAAGTCAACAAGATCCTGTGTCTCGGTACGTTTGCCTACTACTGGACACACAGCGAAGCGCTATTCTGCCCTGGCGCAACCAAACATCCGGGGGAGCCGGGTATGAAAGCTCAAGCCATCATCAGCACCTTGTGTATGCATGGTCCTGTCAACAAGCCATCGGCCTGATTTCGTGTCCAACACCAAGCCTGTGCATCAATACCATCTCGCTGGTTCTTGCCAGCTGCTCTGCTACTGCCTCAAGACACCGAACAACTCGCTGTTGGAGACACTGAGACTTTGAAAAGCGGAAGTGATGGGGGCGAGATTGGTCAACCACCGATTGCAGTACTTACCCATAGGCGAGCTTGCAATCGCGAAATTACTGCCATGCCTCCTATACCCTGGCAGACAGGCACACTGGAATATTGACAGCCCGTTGGATTTAGGCTTTACCCTGTTGATGCATATGACAGCCCTTTTATACTAATCACTTGGCATGCCCTAATGGTCCTTCCCCCCAAGGTCACTGCTATAAAGATTGTGTATTTATCGTCCACTACGTGCGAAAGCACGAGGTGATTATAGGCGAGGAACTCATATCCGCTCCAACTCGACTGGATGCGGCTTGAACTACGTTATAGTTACCTCTGTCTATGGATTCATCTTCCTATACGCCCCCAAATCAAGAAGGCCAAGTACCAGTTCTCGAAAGGCTATTTACTAGGTGCCGAGGATGAAGATGACATACTTGAGCTCGGAGCCACCATCGATTACGTCCGGCAGTAACTGATTTGCATAAAGAGAAGCGCTGTCTTCAGTCATCATGTCTCTAGCCATATTCTCTACCCTGATTACACATCATGCGATCTCTTGCCATCCTTGCTCCTCTTTGTGGCCTCGGTCTTGCTGCTCCAGCTGCCGAGATCACTCCCACTCCGGTGCCTACCAATGTCAACAATGGCCTTCTAGGAGGTGTGGTCTCGGACCTCAGCAATGTCCTCGCCGGTGTAGGCAATGGTGACATTGCTGGCCAGGATGCCTGGTCTTCAATCTCATCTGCCGTACAAACAGTCACCGCGACCACTACACCAGTAGCTGCAGCTTCAGCTATCGAGTCTCTAGCATCAATCTATTCGGCTCGTCCATCTGCGAACGCATTTGAATATGCAGCAAGCTTGGTTGCCGAAGGTCTGACCTCCTCCGACATGTCGAGTGTTTTGGGATCGATTGACGGCAACGGTACCGCTGATGTGTAAGTTAAGAAAGTTTATGTTTGAAAGCATATATCTGACCCAAAACAGCAACAAGCGTGGTCTCCTTGACTTGGACCTGACCGCCAACAGCATGAACAATAAGTGAGTTGGACTCGTTCGTGTGTAATCTTCTAAAGCTTATCATAGTCGCAGAAATCCTAGAAATCCCAGTCGCTCTGTCTATCCCCAGAAAGCATGCGGAGATGCACCTTATACCGTTGACGAAGCAACTCTCAGAGCAGCTATTCACATTCCTTCAGGCTTTACATACGGTGCTAAACCTCCCGTAATTCTTATGCCCGGTACTGGAAACACTGGCTTCGAGACTTTCCAAGGAAACTTCATCCCCGCTCTCAAAGGTCAATCGTACGCAGATGCCGTTTGGCTCAATGTCCCTGGATCTCTTCTTGATGATTCGCAGACCAACTCTGAATTTATTGCCTATGCTATCAACTACATTAGCAGCATTGCCTCTCGTAATGTCTCAGTGATCGCTTGGTCTCAAGGCAACATCAACACTCAATGGGCTTTCAAATACTGGCCATCCGCTCGTCGAGTCACTACAACTCACATTGCTATCTCACCCGACTATGCTGGCACTACCATGGTTCCTCTTATCTGCCCTGAGGGACTGCCTTGCCCTCTTAGTGTCCTTCAGCAGCGATACCTTGGAGCCTCCAACTTCATTACGACATTGCGATCCGAGAACGGCGACTCGGCTTATGTTCCTACCACGACTCTCTATAGCTCCAACTTTGACTTGATTGTTCAGCCCCAGCAAGGCACTGGCGCGTCTGCATTTCTTCTTGACGCTCGCAATGTGGGAGTCACCAACAATGAGGTTCAGACAATTTGTGCCGGAACTGTAGCTGGCGGCTTCTGGACTCACGAGAGTATGCTCATCAACTCGCTCACATTTGCTTTGGCCAAGGATGCTCTCATCAACGGAGGCCCCGGAAGAGTTTCTCGCATTGCTCTCAAGACTGTCTGCAACCAACCTTTGACACCTGGTCTCGGTCTTGCAGAGCTACTTCTCACCGAAAATTCCCTGCTCATTGGTCTTGCCAAAATAATCACGACACCTTTGAAGGCCACTACTGAACCAGCTACCAGAGCCTACGTTAATGTGATGCCTGCTTGCGATGTTTAATGACTTCATGGTTGTTAGACGGAGGGATCAGTTAGGGAGCATCTACTTTGGAGGAAGGTATTGGCTACTCGTTGTAGCATTAAGTGGAAGATTGTGTGATGTGTCTTATCGTCTCGTGGAGACTTGCGGACAGGGCCACCACGACGACATTTATTTCCAGTATGAGTTTCGATTTGTTCTTCCACCGTCATGTATTTCGTGTTCTATATTCGCTCAGGTGTTTTGAAAGCGAAGTGTTCCATGCATGAAGAGTGACAAACATTTTTTCTAATGACCGTTGATGGGTGTTCTGAACGCGCTTGCGAAGGTCGCTCTGCCAAACATGCAGCAAAAGTCCTGATAGGACTTCCAATACTCACTCGTCACACTCTATCTTTCCTTTATGCCCCCAGAATGATGCACAAAATACAAGATCATGATGACAGGCTTCAGCAGTGGTTTCCAAGTATCGATGTTGCACTGTTGCGTTGCTGAGTCAGCGGTTCGGCGGCAAAAGAGGGGCTGAGCTCAGCTCGCAGTCGCTCAGTCCTACTTCTCTGCAAGCTACTCAGGCGACCAAAATGCAATTGGAATTTGCAAGAATCGAAGAGACATTTGAATCCCTAAGCATCTCGCGACCACAGCGATACGCAGATGTAAGGATCCAAGACATATCTGACGAAGGACGGCTCCCACCACAACCCCAAAACCAGCCAGACGATGGCGACTGCTGATACTGATCGTGTCGCGAACGAGACGATTGAGAGATTAGCCCAGTGTCTAAAATTATCGGAGCGAGCTTCTTTCAAGTCAGCATGCAAGTCTAGAGATATCCGCACGCTCGACATGACAGCGCAGCAGTTCTTCTCAACCTGGACGACTAGTCTCATGGGCGATGATCTTCAGCGTCTGAACGAATTAGCCGTACGACCAGACATCAGCAGTCATGTCAAGATCCTTTGTATCGAGGATGACACAAGAAAGTACGACCCATGGAACGTGTCAGAACCACCAGCACCTGGTTCAACAAATCTCTGGCCATGGGATGAGCTAGGAATCGTCAATTCAGCACTTCCTGGAATGAAAGTTCTCAATAACATGCTATCAGAGCACAAGTTGAAGCCTACAATCATCAAGATTCAAGAGTATTCCATGTCCGATGCTAATTCATTGGTTTTTCCTGGTGCTCTCAGTCATCATCGCACCGGAGCCATTCAAACTGTCACTGCGATTGCACGAAACATACTCGGAGACACAAACCTTACTATCATCTCGTTGATGTTGGATAAGAAAAATGTTGACTTGTCGCCTGATTCGTGGGTGTTCTTGCCGCGCGATGAATCAGTAGCCATCTCCAATCCTGACGTCAGGGAAATGATACTCGAGCTCTCGCTGCAAGACAAAGGCAAAGACTTCTCCGAACTGCGCACTGTGAGGTTAAGTTACATTGTCGAGCCTTGGTGGCTGGAACAAATCTTCAGCCAGGCTGTGATGCTCGAGGAATTGGAGCTCGTCAGTTCCAACGCTTTGGATACGGTTGTGCCTACGATATGCGCCATCTCACAGCTCAAGAAGCTCAACCTGTCCCATCTTTCTGTTCGCGCAGAAACCATTCTCAGATTGATTGCGACCTGCAAGAACCAGCTAATTACGATTAGCTTCCGATGCATCACTCTGACAAATGAATCGACTTGGAGCTTACTTCTCTCCGCTCTCGGGAATGAATGCCGAAATCTCACATCCTTCCATATCACAGTGCCGAGGGAGGAGAAAAATACAAGCACATCCGGCAAAGCCATTAATTTCTTCGGCATGATGAAAGATGCGGTGGCGGAACAGGAGGGAGAGCGGCTCAAAATCGAAGAGAGAGGTTCAGCTGAGAACAGAAGATGCAACAGAGTGTACTATGATGGTCCGCATGCTGCGAAAGTATTGCGATGTCTTGCCACTTATGCGGCCTGAAGCCGTTGCCTAGATACGATCTGTGTTGTGGGTATGGAGGAACGGGAATTTGTCGAGGTATCACTTTCTCCAAGCGTCAATCTGGATTGGCGACTGGTCTCTTCTTGTGAATCAGTGACACGTATGTCGATGTGACCTACTGCATGTTACCACCCTAGTCCAGAAGTACCAAAGTAACCAGCACTATCTCTACGAGTTTGTATGTGATCGTTATGCCGGCGCATTATGCTAGCTACCACTTCGGATGCCATATGCTTTGTTTCAACACAGGCTGCCTGTTGGGATGAAACAGCCTTGTAACCAAGCAGTCGTGGGGAAAAGTGTGCAGAGTCAACGAATAAAGTAACAATAGCAATGGAGCTAGAAGAACGATGAAACGGAAGGAAGAAACCCTCTGTTGTTTCTGAACCATTATATAGCGCTAAACTTCCCGATTCCTCAAGGAGGTGGAATCCGGTCCTGTGGTGTAGCGGGGAGCCTGTCAGGTATCCCTCGTGATTGTGAGCAGCCCCTGTCAGGCAAGCAGCTCATACTATTGGCTCAGATTCCATCTCTTTTGTTCGAATCTCTGCTAAATCTTTCTTTTTGCAGTTCAACAACAACAACCAATATCCCGAATCTCACCTGGCAACTGTAAAATTAGCTAGTCTTCTTTTGCTATTTCAAGATAACGCCAAGATCTTTCAACACACTGTTAGAATTAAGTGCGCATATCAAGTTTCCTTCAAACATTACCAAACTACTACTAATCTTCCTTTCTTCCAGGGGCGATGTCATCCCTTCAAAGCGAAGAGTCTAACACTCCTCCCACCTAGTCTATTGATCAAACGTTTGTGTGGCTTAGGCAAGATCTGGTGATTGCTGTGCTAGATCAAATCGCAAACCATGGACGCATCGACAAAACCGACTTGATCTACGCTCTGAACACCATGCCTTCCTTGATCGTTAGTGCTATATACGCAAATAATTCTTGACCAATCACTAACTTGATCGTAGACTATTAGTCGAGACACAGCTCCTTCTAACGCTGCTCCCATACCCACAACATACCCCATTGTTGCTATCGCCCCTTCGAATGTCAGCTCCCTCAATCACCACGATGCTCAATCTCTTGTTCTAGTCAAACACCATGATACTGCTAGAACTGGAGTTACTGCTGCTCCTGACTGTCAAGGCTATAGTAGCCAACGCTCTACGAGCTCGAGCACCAACAATTTTTGCGCCGCCTCAACTATACAAGAACAACATCAGAGCGTTCATGGAGCAAGTGATCAAGCGACATCCCTAAGCAAGGATTTGGAAGATGCTCCCGTCGATCAAGGCCATCCATCCAAAACACTGATCACAATCTCTTCGGAACTGTTACAGGAAAAGATCGGAAAGCTCAAAAAAATCGACCCGAGAACGACTCACGGCAAAGGCGTCGGCCCCAGAGACAAACCAATGCCAGCAACAAACCTCCGCAAAAATTCCCGTGTCACGCCAAACAACTATATCAAATTCACAAACGCACCTTCTTTGGGAGAAGCACAGAATGCCCATGCTATCTGCATCACCTGCTGGCTTCTGGACCTGGAGTGTAACCACAAATCTCCATGTTCTTGCTGCAAGGCCGCAAAGTTCAATCAATGCTACTATATACGTTGCCCTTCCAACGGCTGCAAGCTATCCAACAAGTGTCCCGCCTACCACACCACCAAAGAGACATCCATCGCCACTTTCAACTCTTTGCACTTTCTCGCACTCGTCATGATCCCTTGCAGTCAACTTCGTCCTGAGAGCCTCAAGGCATTGCGCGCTACGCTTGACGCTCAGAATGTACAGCGGCTGTTTGGCTAAATCCGCGAGAAGCTGAAGTCTCCACCTCCGGGCGTTCAGATTGACGGTGCCTATATCAAGACACTGATTGTTGGCGTACTGCCCGAACCCTCTATGACCAAGGAAAGCCTCGACAAAGATGCCAGGTTCATCATGAACTTTGTGGATGAGACGAGGTATGTCAACATCTTTGGAATGATGTTTCAAAGAACTGACACAATTGCTAGTATTGGGCCTTTCTATGAGCTCTGGATGCGCGAAGAGAAGATTCAGAAGAGGAGTGATAAGTTTGCGTCTCTTGGTTCTTCTGCTTGATATATGATCAATTCTTGGATGAACGAGACTGGCTTTGATACTGCGTTCATGGGCGGTCATTCGGAGGTTCTAGAAGTCTGAAGCGACTTTGTTTCTTGTTTCTCTCATCTTTGTTCATGCTCAACTTTGACGCAGGGTTCAGACAAGGTCGAATTTCATTGCACCGATACATAGAGTGTACGTAATGTTCCTTGTCCACAGAGACATCAACGATGTGCAACAAAGCTCGAAATTCAACCAGTTCCTCCGACACGTCGACCCACTCCAAACTTGAAAAAGGCATCAGCAATATCCTTATGCTGCTCATGAGCAATGGTCCTCATCGCAGCCTCTTTAACCTCAAAAGGTTTCTCATCGACCGCACAAGTCGTGTTGGCTGGTGGCAGCTTGCCCGTGTGGAAGTATTGCCTCACAAACTTTGCAGTACATTCACTATACGCACTCAACGAACAATGTCCCGCAGAATCTTGAATCAAGGTCGCACTACCAGCCAATCGATCAGACATTCTCAAAGCATCGTTGAGGGGTGTGACAGGATCTGCGGTATTGCCTATCAAGAGGATTGGATGCGCAGTTGTCGCTTCCCAAGGACCTGTGAATCGATGGACGGCACGTAATGGATAGTGTATACAACTCATCCGGATAGATGCCCAGATATCGCCGATAGTGGGTGAGACTTCCGCAAGCTCGTCAACGAAACTTGCGAATGTCGTTTTGTTCATTTTGGTCTGATCGTCGCCGTCAGTACATGCGATTCCGATCTCTGCATCGGGTGAGTTAGGCAGATCGTTGGTTGAAGTCGCTTTACAATTCATGGCGTGATGAGGTCATAACATTTGTGCGGCATTGGTTCCGTTGCCAGACTCCAATTCGGCAAGGGTATTCGCGAGGACGGGAAACTCTGTCATCGGCTTGTACAAACTCCGGAAGATCAACATGCGTATGTCGTTCGAGGTGATGACTTCAGGGTTTGGACCTATGACTGCCAGTGGATTCTCGTGGAGGTTTTGCATGATGTCGAAAGTTCGTTGCTTGACTTCTTCGGGCCTTGTCTTTCCATGAGAGTTTGCCAGTGCGCAGGCAGGGTAGCCTGCTTCAGCGCAGAAGCGATAAAATGAATCCATCGTCTTTTCCGTATCTACCAGGTTGGTGGCCCATGCTGCTTGTTGATAGTCGACGACATCAACAACACCATCTAGTACGAGACGCTCAACTCGTTCGGGAAACATGGCAGCAAATACTGAACCGAGGTATGTGCCATAGGAGAATCCCCAATACTGCAGGTTTGCCGTTCCGGGTTGGTATTCGAAGTGATGAGCATCAATCGCCTCGTGGTGTTGAGATGCTGACAGTCGTCTCGCTTCTTGAGCTCGCCAAGCATCATGCTTCTCAACGATCTCTAGCATGTCTCGGGCGACATAGGCCGTGGTGACATATCTCTTGATGTCAGGCTCTTCAGAGGTAATAGCACAACTCTCTACTCTTGCTTTGGACATGGCCCAGAGTCGACCAAATGCAATGTCAGAGGCATTGAAAGATCCTTCCTCCCACTCACGAACAAGCCAGGCTTGTTCAAGAATTGTATTGCCTTGGAAACACGAAAGTCTGGGTGTGGACAAACCCACTCCTCTCGGATCGAAGGAGATCAGGTCGAATTGTTTGCCATCATCACCATCGTCGCCAGGGAAGTTGAGTAGGCTGCTGAGTTGCTCTCCAACTCTGAGGATGAATCCGACACCATGACCACCAGGTCCACCGGGATTCATCAGGATAACGCCGCCGTATCGAGGATCAGTGACAGGTACAGCAGCTGGCTTTTTGACCAAGGCAAGAGTCACCATGGCGTCCGTTGTGCCGTTCCAATAGTCCATGGGGAGTTCGAGCTTCGCGCATTGATAGCCTTCATAGCAGGAAGAGTATTCCAGTGATGTCGAGGGCTCTACAGTGTCCCAACTGAATGTCTTGTTCTCCGCTGGGCTCTGCTGTTCGTCTTGGCCGACGGATGGGAGGAGGTAACTTGCCCCGCCTAGCCAATGAAATACTGTCGAGCACATCGCGAAGATCATGAGCGAATGGCGCAAGCGAGGTCGATATGAGCTGGTTGGTGCAGTGTCCACTCTAGCAAAAGAGCTATGCTCTTCCATCTCTGCCTTCTCATATGACATGATGATAGGAGCAAAAAGCACAGACAATGGCAGCGGTAGCGACAGTGAAGTCTGATTTTCCCCAAGCCGTGTGTCGAATTTCAGCAATGATTGTCTTCAAAGTGCTGATGAAAAGCACATTCAGGATTGGTGTCGCAGGTGGTGCTTTTGAAGCATGATGATGAAGTCGCAATCAGACTGCTGCCTGAGCGTACTATTTACACTACCGAACCTCATGAGCCAATCACAAGAAGACGCCCAGATGCAATCCTTCGGCACATCCATAACAGGAAGCTGTCACGATAGCTGATAAGCGAAATCGACTGGAAAGCGGATTCTGAAAGAAGAGGGGTTAGCCGAGTGGTCTGTGCAGCTTTAGCCGAGGAGCCGAAAAATCGCCTCACGTTGTCAACGAAAGTGCATAGATTTATGAGAACACAAGGTTAAACAGCAGCGACGATAATTGAACATTCCTATCGAGACTTATGTGGACACTCAGGAGCTAAAACTTGAAAGATCCCGATGCTTGGTCGCTTCACACCTTCTCAACCTCTACCAGCTGCACCGTTCCTTTCTCAACACCCCCCTCCTCAAGGAAGCTTGTCTTTGCAGCCAGGTAGTTGACATCAACCTCCACACTAGGCTGCCATGTACTTCCGGGTACAATCCACGCACTATTGGAAAACAAATCATCCATCACTTCCAAAGTCAACCCCTTGGTCTCTGGCAAAAACAGGTAAAAGAATACCGCATTTCCAACATCACAAACAATGAACAGGATGTAGAATTTCCAGCCTATAGCTGCCAGGGCGATGGGTGTGACTTGACCGATCATAGTGTTGAATGCGAATGACAACATAGTCGCCAGCGAAACACCCTTTGTTCTTGTAGCCGTGTTGAAGATCTCGGCGGGAATAATCCAAGACATTGTGCCTGAAGCACAAAAGCAGAAGTTGAAGAGCCATGTACTGGCAGCGATGAAGGCCCAATGTGCGGCATTGTTCGTGGTGGAAGGTGGATATTCCGCCAACAAAGCAGCCCCGATGATGAATGCGACTGCGCAAGCAAGATTTCCTCCAATCTGAAGTGGGCGACGGCCAACACGGTCGATGAGAAAGAAGAATATGAATTGAGCGAGCTCGCCGATGATTGAGTTGATGCCTTGGTACAGAAGCGTGTTTCCAGCGGAGATACCAATCTGTGCAAAGATGGCAGGAGAGAAGTATTGAATCGCCGAGACACCTGTCATCTGGGTAGACACCTGACATGCGCAAGCCAAGATGATCCTTCGGGTATTCGAGCGATTACGGAAGAGCTCTCTGTACGATTTTGCGGCGTGTTCATGCTCTTCACTGATTTGAGCTTGCATAATGTCGAATTCGGCGCGGACGTAGGCATCGTTGATGTCACCGTTAGAATGCAGTCTGGCAAGGTTACGAAGGCCTTCTTCTGGTCTGCCATGGTCGATAAGCCAGCGTGGACTTTCGGGAAAGGTGTAAATGAACGCGACAAGTCCAATGGCTGGAACCATTTGAAGGCCGAGACTGCATTGCGTCAGTACTTGGTGTCAAGCACGAGTCTTGGAGTGCTTACGGGATTCGCCATTGAGCGGAGTTGCCGGTATTTGCCCAGTGAGTGAAACAGCCATATCCAATCCATGAAGCACAAAGAGCTCCAATGCCGAGCATGGTTTGCTGCAGAGAAGTCAAGATACCTCTGATACTTGCATGAGCGATCTCGGCTTGAAACAGTGGGATAATCATGACCAAGATGCCAATACCAAATCCGGCGATCAGACGACCAATGTAAAGCATCTCCACAGCTTTAGCAGCAGTTTGAAGAACGCCGCCGACCAGGAACAAACATCCGCCGAGTGCAAGGGTACCACGACGACCGAGAGGATCACAGAAACCGGCAACGAAAGAACCAAAGAAGGCGCCAGCAGTAAAGAGAGAAACAATGGTGCCACTTCTGGTAGTAGCATTGGTGTGGAGGAATTCATCTTCGAAAGAGTCGGAAGCTACGACTGAGGCAATAACTGCAAGGTCAAATCCGTATAGAAAACTACCAAAGGCAGCAAAAAGAGCCAGAAAGAATTGATAGACCTTGGGTTTCATGTTTGCTGTCAACCGATCTTGTAGAGCGGCGTATCTCCACAATTCATTCGGATCAGATCCGAGTTATATATTGTTGATCAGTGAGACGTACATTTTCATCACCCTCCGGAGCAGTACCTTGTCGTATTGTCAACTCGGTTCAAATCTGGGGCCCCGCAGGGAAAATGATCGCTCCTTCCACCAATGATGGTGGTATACCCCACCTCACGTCTTGCATTGGTTTAGGGCTCGCATCCTTCCCGCTGGGATCTACCCGGTTTGTGGGACTGCCAATGCTGCTTATCATGCCTCTACCTGCGTCACACGACCTTGAACTCAACCGAGGCCAGATATCCGAAGGATCTATTTGACATCGGTAGAATTGAAAGGCTGATTGTCTGCTTGTTCACGCTGCATCGGAGAAGCTAGGCCGAGGGTATGTTTCGAGGACGCAACACAGGCAAAGACATAGGTCTGACGGTAGACAAAGCTGGTGTTATGCCAGACGTGCTTGGGATTCTTGACCGGCTTCTGAAATATGACAAGAAGGAAGTTCAGTCAGTTCGTCATCAATTTTCAGGTCAAGGCCGCAGGTCCGAAGATTATCCGCATGTACGGCATCGTTTGACACGCTTTCTTGCCGCTATCTTTCTGGGTCACTTGAACATGGAACGCAATTTTCTCGGACAGAATCGATTATGTGATGTCTCTCATACCGCAAGAAGCTTTATCTCTGATTACCCAAGCAACGGTGGCAATCGACACAAGACTGACACGATTCACGGTGGTGAACAGATCTTGGCAGGCCGCTTACACCGATATGCGTTGCAAGGCTACGTCTATGCGGAGATTCTGTGGCAGTTCTTTGCGAAGCTTTGGTGACAATGATTACATACTCAGGAGGGATAAGAGCCTCTGAACCAGGATGCAGCAACCAGTTGATGACAAGTAGGGACTATTGAAAGGATTCGAAGATCACTGAGTCCTTGCTTGGCGCCAACGGTGGAGTCTTGCCAAGCACAGTCCGTACGAGATAGAACCTCCCCATGTGCTCAGTGATTCTCATATCAGTCATAACAGAGTCGCTCATACCATTGAGAGCCCGTCAGCGGGCTTATCTCTCTGGATTGTTGCACTCTAAGAATATCCTGCCCCTCTACAGCTTTGACATCACGAAAAATGATTGCTGGAGAAGCGTGGTGTAACAAAATGTTGCACACGGGGAGAAATCAAATTCAGGGAGATCAGGGACGCTGACGTCTGAGGTCGAATACTTACGCCCGTACTTCGCCAGGGTGGACAGCTCTGATGTAACCAGGAGATGCCTGCCGAGCGTACAGTATGAAAATGTTCAACTGATACACGTCGCATCTCTTCTCCATCTTGCTTTGTCAATTCCTTGCTCAATTCACCCAAGTCATTTCTCAGAGCCCCAGACCCAGCAGCATGTCACCTACACTCTCTCTGCTCGGCATCTCATGTCTCATGCCTCTCACGGCCCTGGCTACAAACATATTCGAAAACCGTGCAACCTGCTCCACCTTCGACACCGACGGAAGATCCTACACTCGTCCAGGTCCTTCGCCATTCACAATCAGTGCTGGCATAGTCTGTACCGGTCGCTCGCCATGTGACATCCCTGTGGGCGGCTTTGTCACCGTAGACAGGTCTTTGAATATCTCGAGCCTGGCCGACGGCACCGTCTCCGACATATTTGCTTTGATCAGCTCTTCAGACACCTCTGTCACGTTCGAGGAATCAATGACCAACGACATTTCATCTACAACCCAGCGGTTCGAGAACGGCACCGCGGGATATGTAATCTTCACACCAACTCTTCGTTGCATTTCAGGCACTCTTGGAGGTTGTCCCAGCGGCAATGCAGCAGTGATGGACGGGATCATAGTTGAAGCTTGCACGCCCACTGGGTCCCCTCAGGATCCTGATGACATCGTGGGGACTATCAATATAGTGAAGGCGGATGAAGCCACGGCTGAAGCTTTGACTTGTAACCCGGCCAATGTGAGCAGCGCTGCTGAGGCACCGAACATGGCTTGCAGAAGCCAGAAGGGAGGTGAAACAAGCGGAACCATTCGAGTATCCGAGGTTGGCAGTGCTTTTGTGACGGTATCACTGATGGGAATTGTCGCTCTTGTTGCAGGCTGTATATAGCAATCATGATTCATCGGCTGATAGCTTGAATTCTCCTGGAGACCGTCGAGTCTAGGCATTTCTCACGGGCATCCCTGGGGCCGTTCGGACTGTAAAAATGCACAATATCTCTAATATCGGTCTAGTTATCCTTAGAAAGAGGCTCACTATTGTGCTCTCCGTGGAGGCTACCTCTCACAATGCTGAAATCATGCATTTCTATATTTAAGAGTGTGACAGAGTCTAGCACACGGGGAGGTAGGAAACCCCCATGGTGCCAGTAATGGTGCTCTTCCATAGAGACATGGCGAAACACGCCTGACAAGGTCAAGACACTCGAAGATAAATCATGCCTTCAGAGGAGTGCTGCAATGCCTTACTGTTCAGGCAAGTTTTCATATGATATACGGGATGCTACCCATAACAGCCACTTCAATTAGTATGCGAAGTTTCTCCTTGCGCAAGACATGCGCTACATCATGACAAGGCCATTACTCGATCTGCGCCTGACCAGAAGTCCTCTCATCCATCTTCACTCTATCAACTCTGATCTTCAAAAGGCCATTCTCCAGCTTCGCTCTCAGATTGGAGGCATCCACTTCCATCGGCAAGTGAAACTTGCGACGAAAGTGGCCGGTCTTGCGCTCGCTGACCAAAAGCGTTGGAGTCAGTCCATCTTCTTTATTGTCCTTGTCGGCGGCCTTGGTAGATCTGTCTGTATCTTCCTTTCCATTGGCATCCTGACGCTTGACGGCTGAGGGCAAGCTGGTTCGGGCAAGGTGTCCACTGATCATAATGTCGTGCTTGGAAGTCCATTCAACTTTGATGTTGCGCTTGTCTTCCAGACCTGGGAGTTCCATGTCGATGGCGTAGCCGGTGTCGTAATCCCGAACGTCGACATCTGGATAGAAAGTTTCCTGGTCGAGTCGCAAGTTGTTTTGGAATGGCCAATGTAGACCTCGGTGGCGGGCGTGGACGTGGTCGACGATAGGTAGGTCGAAGTCTGCAGGATATTGCGACATGGGAGAGGGCCAGACAAGACCCATCGTGAGTATCGGCTTGCTTGATGGTTGAGGTCTTTCTTGTTGCGTATCGCTGCGAGTGGCGACAGTGGAATCAGGGAGAACTTATGGGCGTTCGTGATGCTCACTTGTGAGGATGAAGTGAAGAGAGTTTGCGTTTCCTAAAATTGGGAAGCAGAGTAGTTCTATAGGTGCTTGGTACAATGTCCACCAGTCATACCCAAGATCAAATCAATACTCTCCATTGTACCACGTTTATCGCTCTGAAAGGAGTGGGTGGTTTTGCGTTCGTCCGAATTCATGGCGTGACATGCAGTGTTCTCATCACCAGATCTTCCAACCAATGTTGCAGGCATCACACACAAGCAGGCATCCCTGCAGTGTCGTTTGCGAGAGTGTTTGATGTTACTTGTACCCTGTCCGCAACGGCCGGTGCTGAAGTTCGCGTCATGAAGAGGGGTCACTGCAGGGTCCATTTGCCATGGACTCCAGCAGAAGTTTGCTCCGAGGTTCTGAAATGCAATCCACGCCATGTTTCTGGAGTCCAGGCATGCGAGCCCGATGTGGTGTTGTGAAGACCGTTGGTCGATTGTTCAGAACTTTGTCAAGTCCCTTTTGTCAATGCCATTCTACCATCACCAAGCTGGCTGCCTCCATCTCGGGAGAAGGTCCGTTGGAGCAAGTCGCCAGAAGTCGCTTGTCTTCGGGTGCATCCTCGGAGTTCTCCTCCGTATCACCAGGTCCTCATGAAACCAATCAAGCTATTTTGTGCTCATGTGTTGCAGGAACGAGATGAAGGGTCCTGTGGTGTGAGCTCCCAATTCAGCCATCCTGCCTTGTTTCTTCGGTTGAGATTCGGCATGCGCCAGTTGTTAGCCGACAATCTCGGACCACAGCTCCGTGGCGGAAGCCAAAGACTAATTCATCCATCTTTTACAATATTGCACAGGTAAGTACCTTGATACATAAACCTCGGGAAGCTCGACCCTTGTAAACTTGTTTGGAAAATGTACTCTCTGACCTTTCAGACCAAGACTGTCACCCCATCTATGACCTGATTCACACGCAGCTCCGGACCGATCGAGATGGCGACCCAGTGGCAGCGATCATCTCACCCACCTCATGCGAAGGTTTTGCTATCATGCCCTACTCGCTCTCCTGATCAGCGATCTACCAAAATGCTGGAAGCCGACGGTAATCGTGCCTTGATATATAAAGCCACGACTGCGGTCACAAAAAGCACAAAAGTCAAGATATATACACCTCAAAGTCCGCAAGACCATGACACCACAGATTATCGAAGACGATCATTCGGAGGTGTCCGAGATATCATGTTTCAAGCAGTGAGTTAGCTTGACAATCAATCTGGGCACTGTCTTATGGAGGAAACCTCAGGAACGACGACGCCGTCAAGCCCTCGAACCCTCCTCAAAACATCGATAGACCTGTTTTGCAATCTTGGGAAGGCAACGAATATCTCGAGCACGAAGTCGCTGCGGTATGCTTCAGCTCGTTGTCCATTCCCACCTCTCTCGCCCACAGCGACTTCATAGTACGCCCGAGCACACCTTGGCCATTTGAAAGTCCGCAAAATCGTAGATCCCAGCACGGAAGAATCAGATCAGACGATTCAGAGGAAGAGATCATCATCACGACCCACAACATCGACAGGAGCGGAAAGGCAAAAGGGAAGAGAGATTGCAATCCCAATTCACGTAACGACTTTAAGCGCAAACAGTTTTCGGATTGGTTGCAGAGTCAGCCTGATGCTCATGATGACTGGGGATTTACTTCGACGGGATGCACACCTGTGTGCTTGTCGAGATGTTCCTCGGCAGTGAACATTGTCACTGCTGATGGACAGAGTGCTGGAAAATAGCCCTGTAACACGATTGAATCTATACCAAACTTAACTTGAGAATTCGGATATATTCTGGGCTTGGAAGAGTTGAATGTGGTGTGCTCATTGTGGAGTTATGTCATCTGTTCTCACTTCGCTTGTCCCCTTGCCATAAATCGAGACGTGACTCCAACCACCTTGTGCTAAACCTGTCTCATTGTCCAAGGCCTAGTACCTCAATCGGAATCCTCACGTCATACTCTCCTTTCAATAACATTGGCATGACCTGGGCATGGTTTTACAGGGTGGAAAGTGTAACAAGAGCTGGTCCAAGCTTCTGCAACCGCGCCTCGCCAAACAAAGACACCGCAAAAGTTGCGTCCGAACGGCGTCCGCGGGAGTCTCCAAAGTCTTCTTCAACGTACTTCTGATGGAAATGGCTTGGAAAAATTGTCATTATGGTATGTTTCCACATGCTTAAATTCGTTCTTCTTTGATACACTGTATGACTGCCGAGATTCTATTCACTTCAATCCAACCCCTCGATACTTCAGTATGCTAACAACTTTTCGAAGCTCGTATGCTGTGGGAAAGACCATAGTCCTGAGGGTGAACCGTCTTGGAAGCAAAAGCGCTGTACCACAACTCAGCGACAACATCAAAGAACTCAACGTCGAGATCGTTGATATTATCCAACCATCGACAATGTCCATTGTTCTTCAGGTCAAATTGCAACAAGAAGAAAGACATCCATCGGATCCGACGATGATCCTGAAGATCTACGATCGCCAATACTCACCTGAACTGCGTGAATTCAAGCACTCAGGTCCAGCGACCGCCGAAACCGAAGATCAATTCATCGCTTTCTTGAGACAAGGCTGTATGCCTCAATTCTTGCTTGACTATGAGGAGGATGGTCCATTGGCCTATGACGAATGGGATACGCCGAAGCGAGAGGCATACTTTTACGCCAGATCCAGCCTAAGTCACGAGATCGAGCTGGACGTGTACGACAAACTCGTCGACATGCAAGGCATACACATCCCGACGCTCTTTGCAGATGTACGATTGTCTCCACAATATACTGTCATACAGCAAGATGAGGGGTTGACGGAGTACACGGAAATTAGAGCCATCCTCATGGAACACATTTCCGGTTTTCCTCCCCACGACATTGTGAAAGAAACACCAGAGTCAGATTGGGCTTCCATTTGCAATCAAGCCGTGGATATCATCAGAAAGATCGCAGAAAACAACTTCATCAATTTCGACATCAAGACGAGAAATATTCTTGTCCGACGTGGCGAACGAGAATCTTCGTATCAAATATTCTACCTCGATTTGGAGAATGTCGTTTCCGCGATCCTTCTGATAGTGATGAAGTATGGCGAGAGAGAAAGAGGCAGAAGAATGAAGAAGGAGCTGTAGGGTACATAATGATGAATGCCATCTCGTTTTGCGAAAGGGAAGAAGGGGAAGAAGTACAAGGGATCTTTGCCTCTGCCGTGGCAGTATGAGCCTTCGGGAAGGTTTGATGGCGAGTATATCGAGTTGTATGATAATGCCGAATGAACGGGATTTGTCTCAGTCAAATACCTATGTGTTTGATCGTGGATGAGGGTAGAAGGGAGAACAAACAGAAGCTACCCAAACCATGATCGACAGCTTCCTCCCTTCTCCGACCACAGCTTAATATGGAGACTGCAGAAATGCACAATCTTTTCGGAGTCAGCGCGTTCGCCCGCTAAGATGTGCCCGGCATTGAACTTCCAGTAGGGCTTACCTCCAACGCAAAACACGAAGATCCGTCATTGGCACTGCAGGAACTCACAATGATTTTTGCAAGTAGAGCTAGGCCCAAGGAGAAGACCTACAAGTGTTACTCTCTGTGGACGATAAGCTATTGCTCAACATCATCGTGCATTTCGACGCGTGAAGGCATGCGCGTCGCTGCAGTTTGAGAGTTGGAGTGATACAGTCTAGCGTACACCGAGCGACAGGAGAGCAGTAATATTAGTTATAAACTCAAACAGAAGCAGGATCTTATCCTTATTAGCCAGGAGTCATGAACACAACCACACACGCGGAACAACGTCCAAGCAGGAGCACATGCCGTGAAGACATGCGTTTTTCCGGATCGACTGTCGCTTATCTTCGAAGAGAGAGAGTCGATCTGTCCAGGTGCAAGTGCTGTGTGCAGACAAACTTTTGCGGACTACGGATGATGAATTTCTTCTTGAAGAACAGCACAATGTTTTCCAATTCACCATCGAAGGCCAACGAGCGTAGAATCTCTTTGACAAATGGGCCAGAATGTCTTGGAGTCGTTGTGGTTGGACTTTGAGAAGGAGCAAACAACGAACTTTTCCAACCAGGGAAGCCGCGATTGTTGGAGCCCTCCGCGTTCTTTCTTTGGCAATCTTCCCTCAATCTTCTACACACAACAAGCAGCAGCAACATGTTCTCGACACTCAACATCGCAGTAGCGCCAAGTACCGCTGGAGATAGAGCATGTGATCTCTGCAGACAGAAAAAGGTACGCTGCGACATGGGCAATTCTTGCAAGAGTTGCACAAGTCGAAATCTGGTTTGCACTTTCGACACGATACTCAAGAAGAGAGGTCCTCCTTCTGGCCGGTCCGCAACGACGCAACGACGCGAGTCCAAGACGAGCCCTGGAGAGAATGTTCTGCAACTTGGCGAGGACACAACATCCATGCCAAATACGCATGCTGCAACCCTAGGCGTTCCGCCGACCGCATCATACTCAGTAACCTCGCACCGTATGAGTACAGCATCGTCAGACGGTCTTGTTGTGGCTGCTATAGATTCTCTCCCATCTCTCGCAGTCTCGCCGTCAACGACTTCCTACCTCCAGAGCCCAGATGACAATGCTGCTACAAACCCTGTGCCGTCTCTCGTCTTCATTCATGAAGATCCTTCACTGTATGTGAACGGCGAGCTTGATACAACCGAGTGCACGCCACCCAGTCTGCCGATCGGATCACCATCATCAAATGACTCTTCGAATCTCGTCACCGTCAAAAGAGAACGAGACCTCTCCCCAGTCGCCGAAGCTACCGATGTATGGCCCAGGAAGATCGGTCAGGATTCACTTCTACCTTGGCTTGATGTCAACTTCCAAGAGTTGCACCCGACTGTGCCTGTCTTGAGCCGGACGATGATCTACCAGAAAATGCATCTCCAGACACATCATCACGACCCACAGTTCGGCGCAATGCTGCTCGCACTCTGCGCTTTCGCCATGACGCAGCCCGTGCAAAGCCATGAGGAAGTGTCAACACCGTCATGATCCATCCAAGCTCGAATGTTCCTGGAAGAGTCACTGAAAATGCGGATGACGGTCGACTTCGGAGAGATCCCGAACATCTACATGGTCTTGACCAGTTTCTTCATCTTTGCTTTCCTCTTCGGCAGCGGCCAACACAGAGCAGCGAATCACCGCTTGAGAGAAGCCGTTGATCTTGCGTTGTCCATGGATATGGACAAACCTCGGGCATACGACAGTCTCGACCCAGAGACAAGAGACCAGTGGTTACGAACATATCTGGTATTGTCTGTTACGGAGAGGTAAGCTTTCCCAACTTTATTTCTTCCTGATCGTATCTTCCCCTTCCTCCCCGTTTGCTCAGTTCTGCCACTTCTACCCATCTCCCACGGCCGTGCCTTGGGTTATCTGGTCTGTAGAAATGCACAATATTTCCGATATTGCTCAGGTCGTCCGCAGAGAGGCGCTAACTATCACGTTCTCAACAGAGGCTACCTCTGAAACTGTTACAATCGTGCAGCTCTACAGCTATACGCATGACAGATATTAGCACATGGGGAGGTTCTATCAACAATTCACTGACTCTCTTCACAGAACATTCGCACACCAGAAGCGCTACACCATCAAATCTCGAGGTAGCCCCACCGCCAACGCTTGTTTCATTCGCGCCTTTGGTTCTTTCACTTCCTATTCCGCACATCGCGACAAGACAGACAGCATGGGCATGATCAGTCTACTCTACCTAATGGAAGCCTACAACGCCATCGACGAAAGTGTTGTGGGATGCTGGGCTGGATATTGCAAGTACAGCCACGGACATTGCGAAGACTTTGACCGAAGACTGGCACTTCGTATGTTCAGAGCTCAAGAGCGTGCTCGAGAAGACTGGCTCGCTGGAAGCATCTCATCTGAACCTTCCACTCCGCTTCCGTCGGTCCATCAATTGCTTGAAAGCCAACAAGTAGACATTGTGGTTACTCACTTCTGGCTCCTGAACAAGATATGGGAACTCTGCATGTCGCATGGCCTTCTTCGCGACGACTCTGAGCATAGAGAGCTGCGCCTGGATTTTGCATACCATGTGGCCTACAAGTTTGGCACTTCTTGTCATGCGATGAACCTACACGCACTGGAATTTCACGGCTTTGGGATAGTCGAGAAGATAGTCGATATCACTATGGGCCTGATCAAAGCCGTCAACTCTTCGACCCAACTGTCTTTGGAATCTAGCCTGACCGACTACGATCCCCTCACCGACAAAACTACCGTTCCTGGCCCTTCAGTCAGACTGGTATTGGGAAATCTTCATCAGATTGTTCAGAATCTCCGCGGAGGTAGCCACGACTACGTGTCTCGACTTACGATGGCTCTAGAGGCAGTACCCGGGTACAGTGGCGCGGCAGAACCTCATCACTCAGTCGCTTGAATCCAAAAGGCCAATGCGAGAGTGCTCCAACGCCCAAAGCCAAACCCCAACATTTGGGGTATCTGCTTACCTGAACTTTTGTGACAAAGCAACCACGAAGACAAGGCGAGAAAAGTCCAGCAATCTTCCGCTGTCTCTCATGCGTATATATACCACAACTCCAGACAAACAAGCAAATACAAAGCGCAAAGATCATCATCATCTTCTTCATCATCATCATGTCACAATCATCCGCCAAGACTGCCATTTTCCCTGCTTCTGGAGGACTTGGGGGAAGCACTTCAAGGCACTTGCTTGACAATCTGCCAGCAACAGAAATCGTTCTCATCGCTCGTAATCCTCAGAAGATCTCCAAGGCCTGGACCGATGCTGGTGTCGAGACCCGCTACGCAGACTACGACAAAGAGGAGACACTTAAAGATGTCTTTGTCGGAATCAAACATCTAAATCTTATCTCGTATGCGAGCATTGAGCACGAGCATAGATTCAAGGTACGTCATGCTTCCGCAGTCTTGATATGCGGCGTCACTGATACAAAGATAGGTCCACAAACTTGCCATTGACGAAGCTATCCGCAACGGCGTTAGCCATATCACCTACAGTTCTCTCGCGTTTGGTGGCGACGGTAACCCAACCTCACTGGCATATGTCATGCAGGCTCACCTCGACACTGAGAAATACCTTGCGAGTATTGCCAAGGAACATTCGGCCTTTACCTACACCATAGTTCGACAGGGACTCTACTCCGAAAGCTTCCCTCTGTACACCGCATTTTTCGACCTCAAGAACCCGACCAAGGAGATTTGTATTCCTCATGATGGTAAAGGTGCTGGTATTGCTTGGGCCAAACAGGATGAGCTTGGTGAAGCTACGGCGAAGATTATTGCTCAGCATGTTCACAGCGAGGCTGGATTTCCCTACGTCAATCGTACGCTGCTGCTGTCCGGTCCCGAAGATTGGTCGCTTGAAGAGTCTGTCGCTGTTCTCGGTGAAGCTGCTAAGGTTGAGGTCAAGACAAAGTGTGTTACAAAGGAGGAATACGCTTCGCAGCCGTCCATCAATGGCGCTTCTGGTTATGGGTCTGGCGAAGCTGGTATCAAGTGGGCGACTGCATTTGATGCCATTAGGGAAGGAGAGGCATGTGTCACGCGTACCCTTCTCGGAGACCTACTAGGCCGGGAGCCGGAGTCTTTTGATCGTACCATCTTTGAGATGGGGAAGGTGTCTTCTTGAACTGATGCAGGAATTAGGAACGTACATGGACCTTAGACTAAGAGTAACTACAAGGAACGCGAATAGCTCAAGAACACCAACATTTTTCCTCGTGCAATTGGTTTAAAAACATAAAGTCGAGCCATATCTCTTTCCACGTCTGCTACAACTTGTGAGACCCGAGCGTTCGAGCTTGCTCTCGCAAGAGATTTTTCAAGATCTTTCCGCTAGCATTTCTTGGAATCTGGTCAACAAACTTTGCTCCTCCAGTAAGCCATTTATATCTCGCCAATCTTTCTGCGGACCATACTTTGAGGTCACTTTCGCTGAGGGTATTGTCCTTGCGTATGACGTACGCCCGAGGAAGCTCGCCATCTTCACCACCATCTACGCCGATCACCGCGACATCCTGAACCAAGGGATGCGAGACCAGCGCTGCCTCGATTTCTGCCGGAGAGACCTGGAAGCCGCGGACTTTGATCAACTCTTTCTTCCTGTCGACAACATACCAAAGCTCCGTTGATTGGTCTTGGTACACGATATCGCCAGTATGAAAATAGCCATCTTGATCCCAGTCTCGAGCGCGAGCTTCTGGATTGTTGACGTAGCCTCGAGTTATCGTTGGGCCACGGACGCACAATTCTCCCCGCATACCGTCAGGAACTTCCGATCCGGACTCATCGACCACTTTCGCATCTATGCCTGGTAAGAAACGCCCCACTGAGCCAGTGTTTTCGAACTCTGGCCAGTACGTGCATGAAGCTATGCAGCTTGTCTCGCTCATAGCCCAGACTTGAGTGATTGGACTTTGCTCGGGGAGAAGTGTTTGCATTCTCGCTTGTGTTTCTTTGCTCAATGGTGCTGCTCCAACAATCACACTTCGCACGGACTGAAGGGTTTGTCTAACTTGGGCTCGAAGATCTGGTCCTGACGAAGAATAGGCGATTACTGCTGTGACCATTGGAGGGACCATCATGAGGCTCGTGATACCGAAGCGTTCGATAGAACTCAGGTAGAGGGAAAGCTCGAATCGCCTCATGACGAAGACCGGGTAGCCAGCTCGAAGACTCGACAGATGGGTGTAAGGAGCTGCAGCCGCGTGGAACATGGGTAGAGACATTATTCTGGACACTGGGTACCTCTCCGGATGTTGTGGGTTCTCATGCACCAAAATATGCTGAGCGATAAGATTGTAGTGCGAGATTTGAGTAGCTTTGGGAAGACCGGTTGTGCCGCTGCTGAAGCTGTCGGGTGCAAGAAAGGTATTAGCCCTGAACACAACTTGAGAGTCCTTGACACGTACAGTAGCATAGCATTTGTAGTCTTCGATTTTTCCTCGTCGTCAAATTGTGACCAATCTTTTTGGCCATGCTCCAATAATGTACGCCAGGGTCTCATCGCACTTTGCGCATCTGTATTTTCGTGGTTCGTGAGGAAGACACGCTCCCCTGATATTCCCAGAGCAACTGCAGGCTGTTTGATGTTTTGAAGCAGCTCCGGCTCAGTGATGATAAACTTGGCCAACGAAGTCTCAAGGGCATGACCAAGCTCTGTGGGCGTGTAGGCAGGATTCGTACCCACAAAGACTCCGCCAGCACCGATGATGGCTTGCACAAGAATCGGATAATGAATCTGGAGCTGATGAGAAAAAATTTCGAGCAGATGAGAATACGCGGCATTTACGAAATTGAATGTGTGTATGCAGACACAATCGCCGGCTTTCAAACCTGCATGTCGAAAGCCGGCGATAAGAGTGCGGATTAATTTCCAAGCTTCTCTTGAAGATATGCTCTGTGTTGGATTGCGACAATCGATATAAATCTAGGTCATTGTCAACAATCGCTCGTAGTCCAGGCTTGGTATACCTCACAGGCTTGTCCTGGTCTATTTTGGACTGTGTTTCCGAGCAAAAGGAAAGCACATCTTTGAAGGGTATATCGAGTTGGTATCGCGACAGCCGAGGCATAATGGAAAATAGTGATCCTGATAGCCCGCACGACAAGGAGTTCGATCGGAAAGAATGGGAGTGACATGTCCTCTTATACCAGGATCTAGAGAAAGTAATAATGAGCTCACTGAGCCACGATCATTCCTTCAGGATACGGTCTAGCTCGAAAAAGGGCTGACCATTGTACGAACGAGGCTTGCTGCGTCAGTCAGCTTACTCAGCGCGGCAGGCAAGAAATCCTGGCTATATTTCCGCGCTCAACACCCGCTCACAATTCGAATTCAGCCTTCGAATTTTTCTTTCCGTATCCTTCATGCCTTTGAAACATGGGCGACATGAGTCGCATGATGGGATCTGTGTTTGGACTTCGAAGCTGGAAGCAAGCTCGAATATCCTGGGGCTTGGCACGGTGTTCAAAAGCGCGGGCAATCCTTCCTCGGACTAAACTTCCTCCGCTGTTTGTCAATCAGCGATGCTGCGGGGACAACCCTGGTCTCATTCCAACAGCTGGGAACCATGGATAATTCACACCTTCTCGTGTTTCTGTCACTATATGCTAGATTTTAAACGATCTGAGGACCTCTTTCTAGACTTTTTGTCTGTGTTCTACAGTCTTCGGTGTCTTATAGTCTCAAACCTGTTCTGCCGTCACACAACTCCATCACCTTCGTCTTCCTCCCGTAGCTGCTCTCCGAAAACTCAGAGCCTGTAGACATGCACAATGTTTTTGACTTTTAAGATCCGTGCATATAGATGAATTGCTCGATAGGCTTTCACCGGACCACAACTCTTGTTCGAGGTCTACCGTGCTTTCTGACGGCTATACGCACGACCAAGTTGAGCACAAGGGGATGGTTGATGACGTGACATGTGGACCATTGGATTGCAACCTTTCGTTAAAAATGAGGCTGAAACTATGTTCACTTCACAAGTCCGAGATGGTCTCTCAAAATTAGGATGAAATAGACTTCCTGATGGTCGACAGTGTCATGATGCGCAGATCGACTTCGACAACCGGATTGAAGAGATCTATCAATCTCAAAGAAAGCCATACATCAAACATCCTTCATCAAAAAGTCCAACACATCTGCCTCCGTAAATTCAGGCTGTGTGTCTTTTCCATCTAGCAACCCCAGATACCAGCTGAGATCGCGACCGTCGCTTTCCCGGCTGGCGAATCCATTAGAAAGATAGGCAAATCGATTTTTCTCCACGTGTTTCAGATCGTAATCCTCCCAGCGGACCTTTTCCAAGGTCTCAAAGAAGTGGATACGGGACCCCGGCCACATCATGGGCTCACCATCCACTGTGCCTTGTTTGAACCACGAACGGCATGGTGAGGTCCAAGCAGTGCGAGGAAGGAATGAGCGCCGGTGTTCGGCAAAGTCATTCACAGCGTCTTGAGTCGGAGCGAATGAAGATACGCGCTCTTCAGACATTTTCCTAAGCATTTGCATAAAGTGCTTTGCGATGGTCTCGGTGATTGCCAGAAAGCTTCCATGGCCATATGGGCCAAAGGGTCCATTGAATACTAATCCGTGTCAGTGAATGATTGCAGAAAGACAGCAGTGTAAGATACTCACTAAGGTAATTTGGAAAGTCGGGTACTGTGATTGAGAGGTAGGTGCTAGGGATTTGTTCCCATTCCTTCGCAAGATTTTTGGCATGACGGCCAATAGTCGGATACGCAGGGCGCCAACTGACGTCGAATCCTGTTGCGCAGATTATGATATCGACGTCGTGGTCGACGCCATCTGCTGTTTGAATGCCTGTAGATGTGATCTTGGCGATTGTGTCACTGATGACCTCGACATTAGCTTCGCAGAGCGCTTCCAAGTATCCATTACCAGGAGTAGGTCGTCGACATCCGACAGCGAAGTCCTTAGGAATCAACAAATCACCAATCTCAGGCTTGGGAGCAAGCTTTCTTCGCATCTCGGCTTCCGCAAACTGTGAGATACGTCAGTGTGTGATCTTTGTGATTAGGGCTGAGATGTGTCACCTTGCGAGCTGCTGCCTGTTCAGGAGAGCCGTTGAGAATGAATTTGAAGCGAACATTCAGCTCTGATTCAATGTTCTTGCGGTACTTGAGATATTTGACTGGATCGTTCTGGAAGATGTTCTTCTGCTCGTCAGAATAATCGAAGTTGACGCCGTCCTTGCCGGCAAATCGCTGACCGAATCCAGCAGTGACCCATGATGTACTTCGAACGAAGCATTTCATGTTCTTGACGATGGGCTGGATGTTGGGAACGATTTGTACTGCAGAAGACCCGCCACCAATTACAGCAACTCGCTTGCCCGTAAGGTCAACTGAATCATCCCAATTAGCGCTATGGAGCATTGAGCCTTGGAATTGTTCTCTTCCTTCAATGGCAGGCCACTTCCATTTGTTCAATACACCAGCTGCATTGATCAACACGTTGCATTTGTCCTCGAATATGTTTCCCGTAGCAAGATCTTCAACCCGGACGAACCATTCTTGAGCGTGATCATTCCAGGTTGCGCCGACAATCCTGTGACTTAGTCGAACGTACTTGCGCAAACCGTAATCGTCTGCCACCTTTTTGAAATACGCCAAAATGTCAGGAGCGGGAGAGTAGTACGACTTCCACACTGCGGGAGCCCAAGAGTATTGATAATTGACTGAAGGAATATCGCAAGCGCAGCCTGGGTATCTGTTTTCGTACCAAGTTCCGCCTATCTCGGGATTCTTCTCATAGCAAACAAGTTCGAGGTCGAGATCACTCGTAGCGACCTCATGAGCGAAGTTGAGCGCGCTAGCTCCAGCACCGATGGCAATTACTTTGAGAGGACGGTTGCTTCTGCTTGGAATTTCGAGCACTCCATACTTGTTGTCTTTCGCAGCATGGTTGTGAGTGTCGCCATTCGGAAGTCTGTCATTGGCGCCGTTGGTCGGGAAGACTTCTCTGGCCGCCGCGATGATACGGCGCGAATCGTCAGGGTGCTTGGCATTCTTGATGACGGTTGTTGCTGCCGTAGTTCCGCCGTTCAAAAAAGCCTCGGAAGTCGGAGAAGGAACAGCCATGATTGGAACTTGGATTGCGACGCGTCTGAAAAGGGTGATTGGGTACGAGAGCGCCCAACTCTCCCAAGACTGCCCTCGTTATAAGTCTTGATCGAGAGCACGCAGAAAGGTATTCAGCGTCGTCGTCTGATCTGCGGTGGAGGTAGTGGACAATGTCCACCGATAACGATCGGCCAGGCGGCCAAGCTTCGCCCTCCACTACAATCCTCCCCTTGTCCACTTCGCGGCCTACAACTTGTCGCCGGCCACAGGCAGATCCTTTGCGCGTTATACCGATAAGAACACATCCAACACCAGAAAGATAAACTGCAATCTTGAATTCACTGTTCACAATCACTTCCTTCCGACCCTTCCGACCCACCATGCCCGAAGCTATAGCACAGAAAGGACTCAGAATATCCATTGGTGAGGCTTGACTCTACCATGTTATCTGCAAAAGCTGATCAAATCAAGACCGCGGTGGTACTTTCACCGACTGCGTCTGCAAGGTGCCTGGCCGCGAGGATATTGTAGTCAAGATCTTGTCCGTAGATCCGTCCAATTACAATGATGCACCCACCGAAGCAATTCGAAGAGTGCTAGAGCTACACTCGGGCATCAAGATCCCCAGAGGATGTCCCATGGATTTGAGCTCGATAGGTATACCAGATTCTAATCTCGATTATGGCGGTGTGTACAAGACCTGACTGTCAACAGAATGGATCAGAATGGGAACGACAGTCGCTACGAATGCTTTGCTAGAGCGGAAAGGCGAGCCGACAGCACTTCTCATCACTAAGGGATTCAAAGATCTCTTAACCATCGGCAATCAGTCAAGACCGGCTATGTTCAATCTGGCCATAGACCGTCCCAGCGCCTTATTCACTTGTGTTGAAGAAATCTCGGAGCGTGTTGTCCTAGATTCTTGTCCTGAATCTCACCTTCGAGGCCGGAGACTCAGCTTTCCCGAAGCGATTGAATCAGTACGAACCGATTCTGGAGAGACTGTAGACGTAATCCTACCCTTGGATGTCGAAGAGGTGGAGAAGAGTTTGAACAAGATTCGTGCTTCTGGTATCACATCGTTGGCGGTCTGCCTCATGCACTCCTACATCTTCCCGAATCACGAACGCCAGATTGAGGAGATCGCAAAGCGTCTTGGATTTGAGAGAATCCGGCTCTCGAGCTCCATCTCACCCAGATCAAAGATTGTCCCCAGAGGAAACTCGACGGTCATCGACGCTTATCTCACACCAGTCATTAACCGGTACCTTTCGCAATTCTCTGACAATTTTCCTGATCTCGATTCAAGCGGCACACGTCTTGATTTCATGCAGTCTGACGGCGGCCTTGTTCCAAGTACGAAGCTCTCTGGCCTCAAGGCAATTCTCTCTGGTCCTGCTGGCGGCGTCGTCGGATACGCAAAGACCTGCTTTGACAAAGATGAAGGATCTGCAGTTGTTGGGTTTGACATGGGTGGCACCTCTACAGATGTCAGCAGATATTCTGGACATTTCGAGCATCTGTTTGAGTCTAATACCGCAGGTATTCTAGTCCAAGCGCCCCAGCTCGATATCAACACTATAGCAGCTGGAGGCGGCAGTATCCTTGGCTGGAGGGATGGGTTGTTCACAGTTGGACCTGAAAGCGCTTCTTCACATCCAGGACCGGCTTGTTACCGAAAAGGTGGCCCTTTGACAGTCACTGATGCGAATCTGGCTCTCGGAAGATTGATACCAGATCAATTTCCGTCCATCTTTGGCCCTGACGAGAATCAGCTACTCGATTCACAAATTGTTCGGGATATGTTCATCGAGCTGAGTGAAAAGATCAATCAGGAGTCCGGACAGTCATTGTCATGGCGAGAAATCGCAGCTGGCTTCATCGAGGTAGCCAACAACGCCATGTCTGGCCCCATCCGCTCTTTAACAGAGGCCAGAGGTCACGATACCAGCTCCCACAATCTAGCATCATTTGGTGGCGCTGGCGGTCAGCACGCATGCGAGATCGCCACGATTCTCGGCATCAAGCGAGTGCTGATTCACAAGTACTCTTCGGTACTATCGGCTTACGGCATCGGACTTGCAGATATCGTAGAGGATCGAGAAGAAGCTTACCTGAAGCGATACGACTTGAAAGCACTTGACTCGCTCGATGAAGACCTTAGCAATCTCACCAGAAAGGCCGAACAAGATTTGGTCTCGGATGGGTTCTTCGGACCAATCGAATCTACCAGCTACCTAAGCATGCGCTATGACGGCAGCGATACTGCCATTGTCATCCCAGTCACGCCTGAGAAAGATACGTTAAAGTCATTTGTCGAATCACACAAGCAAGAGTTTGGTTATACACCAGATCGCGATGTATACGTCGATCAAATCCGAGTCCGGTCGGTGGGCAAAGGACAAGACGAACATGGCCAGTCTTGGAATGAAGAGCTGGCATCGTATCACAAGCTCGAGCGTGTCTCTGAGCCATTCCTCTTGAGATCTGTGTTCTTCAAATCGTTTGGCTACATCAAAACTCCCATTTACAAGCTCGACGAACTCTCTACCGGATCACGAGTGCAAGGTCCATGCTTGATCGTTGATGAGACTCAGACCATCGTCATTACCCCTGCGGCCACGGCCACGGTCCTCAGCAACATCATTGTGATTGATCTTCCCTCTGCTGGTCGCCAGGAGATCAGTAGCTCAGTCATTAACCCTGTGCAACTATCCGTCTTCAAACACCGCTTCTTCGGGGTTGCCGAACAGATGGGTCGAACTCTGCAGAAGGTCAGTATCAGTGCCAATATCAAGGAGAGGTTGGACTTTAGCTGCGCAATCTTTACACCCGAAGGTGACCTCGTTGCGAACGCGCCTCATGTTCCCGCGATGATTGGCAGCATGGCCTTTGCTGTCAAATCACAAGTGAAGCATTGGTCTGGCAGACTCAAAGATGGCGATGTGATACTGTCGAACTCTCCTGTATTCGGTGGCGTGCATCTTCCAGATCTGACCGTCATCACTCCTGTCTTTGATGCGGAGGGCCGTGATATCATCTTCTGGGCTGCATCTCGAGGGCATCATGCTGATGTGAGTCAATGTACTGTTCGATTCATGCTGTTACTAATTGTTTTTTCAAGGTCGGTGGGATAGCACCAGGATCAATGCCACCCAACTCGACGGAACTATGGGAAGAAGGCGCCGTTTTCTCTTCCTTCAAACTCATTAGCGAGGGAAGAATGGACGAAGAAGGTGTTCACAAGATCTTACTGGAAGAGCCTGCCAAACATCCCGGCTGCAGCGGAAGTCGTTGCTACAAGGATAATGTCGCAGATCTGAAAGCTCAAGTTGCCGCCAATCACTGCGGAATTCGACTGATACGACAAATGATCGCTGAGTATACTATGGACGTCGTTCATGTAAGTTGATAACATCCAAGGCTTACAGAAGGTGTTCTCACTGTTGCAGGTATACATGGGAGCTATACAGGATGCCGCGGAGCTAGCAATCCGAAACCTGTTTAGGAAGATAGCGCAAGGTAACAAGTTCCGAACTGTATCTGCCACTGATTACATGGATGATGGTACCGCTGTCGTCTTGAACGTGCGCATCAACGGGGAAACTGGTTCTGCCTCTTTTGACTTTACCGGTACGGGACCGGAGGTGCTTGGTAAGTGCTTTTCTCCAAGAGGACATGCGACAGCGGTCGACTAACGGTTCGTGCAGGTAATTGGAACGCACCCCTGGCGATCACCACCTCTGCCATCATTTATGCTTTGAGATGTATGGTCAGCTCTGACATTCCTCTAAACCATGGATGCATCAAGCCCGTCGACATTGTTATACCAGACGGTTGTTTCCTACACCCATCTGCTGGAGCCGCTGTATGTGCGGGAAATGTGCTCACATCTCAGAGAATCGTGGACGTTATCTTCAGAGCTTTCGAGACCTGCGCCGCGAGCCAGGGCTGCATGAACAACTTCACTTTCGGCGTTGACGGTGAAGGAGGTTTCGGATACTATGAGACTATCTGCGGTGGAAGCGGCGCCGGACCAACCTGGCATGGCACAAGCGGCGTACACACCAATATGACCAACACGCGCATCACGGACCCGGAATCTTTGGAACGCCGCTACCCCGTGGTACTGCGCCAGTTTGCGATACGCCCAAACAGTGGAGGTCGTGGTGAATTGTGCGGAGGAGACGGTGTGGTCCGTGATGTCGAATTTCGTATCCCGATGACAGCCTCCATACTGTCAGAAAGGCGAGCCTTCCAACCCTATGGTCTCAAGGGCGGAGAGGGAGGTAGTCGGGGGCTCAATGTCTGGATCCGTGCCGACGGCAGACAGATTAATGTTGGAGGCAAGGGCTCGGTCAAAGCCAGCCCAGGCGATCGATTTTTGATTCATACCCCTGGAGGTGGTGGCTATGGGTCAAGCCAAGGTGCCTCAGTCCTACCCCAATCTCTCCGAGTCTTGCAAAACATCGTGCCAGTCGCTGGAGGTAGTGTTCAATTAGCCAAGACGCTCGGAGAGCAGAATTAGAGCAGCATACAACAGAATCCGTGACCGGAGTATCCAATTCGTAGTGTGTGCACGTGTCTGAGTTGATCCCTGAGCCTCGATTAGTGACTCATTGGTTTCTAAAGCCGCGCGCTTATCTTGTTCTTATCTCATGCGGGGTGTTGGGCGAACGTAAAAAGACAGCTTGTCCACCGTGATCTTGTCCACCGAATTGGCGGGGTATAGGCTGCTTCTCCAGCCCTCAAACATGACACTATGAGTGCACGCATTCATGATTGCCTTCACTGTGAGAAGTCATTTACTCGAACCGTGACTTACAAGCCTCCCACAAATTTGCGATAGTGCCTAATCAATAGATAGGAAAATCTGGAGCGACATAGACGAAGCCGTACGATATCTTCAAAACAACCACTAGCAAACACCGCTTATTTACGAGAAAATAGAGCATGCTGCCACTGATCGACAGCGACCTTTCAAATGTGATCATTGTGATGCAAGCTTCTCGCGCCGGTAAGAACTTCCACGGATGAGCCAAGAATGACTGCTCATGATGTACTGCAGAGACGTGTGCAAGCGTCACATGGAGCGCTGCAAACGTGGTCTGAAATCCAGAAAGCGTCGGTCTCAGGGAAGTCGACAAACAGCCCAGCTTGTTGAAAGGATGGGGAATTCAATTCCCACAACCGAGGCGGGAGCTCATCAGCACGATGAACTGAGCTATTACGATACAAACATCAACCAGCTTGGCGGAGTTGATCAACTTACGCGCCTCGAGCAACAAGATGACAATGAGGTTCAAGAAACACGGGTTGCTCAGGACGTTGAAGATTTCGAGGTGCAGCATGTCATCTCGCGCAATAATGCCGTCACGCAAATTGCTCAGGGGACCGAAGCCTATGGATACGAGACCGCTTTCGTCTCCGATACCCAGATCTCTCCAACGGATCCGAGTGGTCGTCCGGAACATGAGCCGCCTCAATCATCACTGAATCAAGATGCGCATTATCAATTCGAAGACGACATGTTCGGTATTCTGACCGATCCATGTTTCCTGAAAAACTTGCCTACATACGCTGTTGAAGCAGACCCGACGGCGCATGGCATTACAGACAACATCTCGCCTACCTCAGCTCCACGCAACAATGCAGACGTACTTGCCCGGTTTGGCGTCTCCCGTCATACTTCAATGGCTTTTGCAACAGCTTACTTTACGCACTTGCATCCCTTTTTACCAGTTGTACATCGTTACACCTTCTCATTGGCTAATGACCAACCATTGCTCGTTTCGATTGTGGTAGCTCTGGGAAGTGTCTATTCAACTAGCGATACAGACCCTCACTCTCGGTGCCGACTTGGATATTCACTCTGGGCTGCTGGCGTCAAAGAATTGAGAACACATGTAGGCTGGCGCCCTCAAAGTCCGATGTATCGTCTTCCCGCTGAAACGTGATAGGTCAATAACAAACCTTCGATGCTATGCGAGCGGTGGGTTTTGCAAGCTTGGATCCTCCACGTGATCTTTGGCTTCTATCATGGAGACACAAAGTCATCAGACGTTAGTATTAGCATGCTCCAAAAGCTGGTCAACGTAAGTGTTGTACTGGGGAAGCGACTGATACATTCCCGGCTGATTTCAGAAGAACTTGCGCTCTCGATGCGTCCTCAATCAAGACATGACTCTTCGTCGCGACAAGCTCTGGACAGCACAGCTTCATCAGACTGCCAACTGGAAAGAACAAGACCTGACACGCGCTTGGTCGAAGTTCATATCGCAAGAGACGTTTCGCATATGTGTGTATGCGCTTTCCTTGATCGATCTCCAGATCAGTTTTGTCTGTAACTCTCGGCCCTTTCTTTGGTCTACGGAATCAACTTGGTGGCTACCAGCAGCGAACAAAATATGGGAAGCATCGTCTGCAGAAGACTGGCTAGATCTTGTCCAAGGATGTCTTCAGGATGGTACCCTGACAACGGAAACCTCGGACATTGCGAGCAAAATGAGCATGACACAAATCACCCAAGCTATTTTGAATGGGAAACCCTCGGCAAAGCTGGTACAACAGATATCGGCTTGTCCTTTCGCGATCATGTGTATCGTCACCAGCGTCGAATCATTGGTACGCGACTTTTCAGCATCTTATTACCAGATGCCGCCTGTCCTACCAGATCCTTCTGCATATCACGTCTTACCTCCGACACAGAATAGATGCATCAACGCTGCAATATCTTTGATCCTAAGTCTATGCGACAAGGAAGACCTCTGCCAACCTCAAATGAGGAGATCAATCCAGCTCAACTCGTGGGCAATTCGCATATCACTTTGCGAGCCGGATGTGATGATGGTTGCAGGAGTTGTGGATACGACACTTGCTGCTGGACTTGCGACATCTACACACCTCATCTTGGGCAGCGGAGTAGCCACAAGAAGGGCTGCTGTTACGACAAGAAGAGCCTCAAGTGAAGGAGTCTCCTTGACTATGTGGGATGATTTGCTGAAGTCTGTGCCTGTCATCCTGGAGTCGGCAGAGCATAACTCAATCCAGGGACCGCCTTGGATGACAGCTCAGGCATACAGGCTGTTATTACTACTCTGGAGAACGTTACGGGTTGCTATTCAAGATCTCGAGAAGACTGGAGACAAAACGCCACTATCAGCTTTCAACCCTGCAAAGATAATGATACAATTGATACGTGAAAGCCTTGACAGTCTCGTATCGCCAGAGCGGGACTCGGATACCGGGCCTGACGAAGTGGAAGCCAGTCTCATGTTGTTGATGTCCAGGGCTTTTGGCACGACTTCGATTCCCATAAATTGTATGATACGCGACATCCTGTCGGAGACCGAAGGACTTTTGATGTCTTCGCAACGGAGTCGTAATCACACTGGCGAGCCTGAGCTTCATTCGACTTAGTCCGCATACTCATCTGATCACGTCTTGACTCTGACAAGCTTCCTGAAAAAATTGTTTGGTCGGCATGTCCCTTCCAAAAGTTGGTGGAGTTAGGTGGAGGTAGAGTGTGGAGTGATCATCGGTGGTGGAGGTCCACCCCAATCCTACAAATCAACTGCCTATTTGCCATTCATCGATAATTCCGAATCTAACCAGTCTACAATAAACTTTCAATGTTGGACAACAATTCTCAGCCGGAAGGCTTGCGACTAGGATGGGTCAGTATTTTGCCTCTACTTTGCGAATTGTACCATACTCACATTTTCAGTTCGGTCTTGGCTCTATGGGTATCGGGATGTCAGAAAACCTGCAAACCTGTCTGGGACGTCAGAGTCTGCCTCCACTTCGCTTCTCAAACAGATCTCTCGACAAAGGAAAATCGCTGGAAGCATTAGGCGCTGAATCGGTCGCGGACTTCCCTAGTTTGGTCCAACAGTCCGACATCATCTTTACAATGGTAGACTTTCCAACCTCGCGACTTCATGAATCAATCGCTGACGGACCTCAGATCTCGAATGACGAGGTGCTGCACTCTCTGGTTGATGAAGCACTTGCTGTTGGCGATTTGGAACACAAAATATTCGTGGATACTTCCACAGTCCATCCCGAGACGTCGAAAAAGGTGGCGGCGAAGCTTGCCGAGAAGAAGGCCATCTTCGTTGCATCTCCAGTCTTCGGCGCCAGCCAGATGGCCGCTTCTGGACAACTCATATTTGCAATGGCGGGGCCTTCACAAGCCATCGAGAAGATTCGACCTTATGTCATTGGCGTAATGGCAAAGCAGATTATTGACTGTGGCGAAGATGTCTCGAGATCAAGTTTGCTGAAGATCACGGGGTATGTATTGATTTGGACTCAATCTCCAGTTATGCTAATGCTTGGTAGTAATATCATGGTGATCGGCTTGCAAGAGCTGATTTCAGAAGTGCAAGTGTTTGCAGAAAAGACTGGATTGGGTACCGAAACGGCAGAAGAGTTTATCGGTAGCATGTTCGGACCTGTATTATCAAGCTACTCGAAAAGGTGGGCTTTCTATCTCATTCAAGAAGCTGGCGGCAGCATGCGCTTACAGTTCTCATTAGGCTTACCTCTGGCTCGTATGCACCGCCTCATGACAAGTCCCCGGGGTTTGCAGTATCGCTGTCCATCAAAGATAGCAAGCATGCTCTTTCGATAGCAAGTGAGGCTGGAATGCGCGTACCAGCGATTGAACTCGCTCTCAGCCATATGCTAAACGCCCGAAACTACGCTGGAGAGAATCTCGATAGCAGTTCCGTTTACGGAACTCTCAGAGTCGAGGGAGGGCTTCCCTTTTGGTCGGCAAACAGCCGTCAGGGCATCTGAGATCATACAACAAATAACATCATTTACTCGTATCGTGTTCGCTCCACAACTGAGACCTACTAATTATCATCATGCTGTTGATTTCATGCTAAGCTTTGATGCAATAGTCAAGGTCTCCATTGGATGTGCAGGCCTTCTGACAGACGTTGACTCGAGATCCACCAATATGAATAGTACGCGACTACAGCAATTCCAAACACTCTCTGCAGGATCAAGTTCGATCATCATCTGACTTGCATTCCATTATTTCACCGTCAGGACTATGTCACTGACTCAAAGACTCCTTTCGATATCTACAACACAGTCGAATGCCTGTTTTGAGTTCTCTGAGAGGGTGGCGATATCAAACACTCCCAGCGGTCTCCGACCCTTGCCCGAGCCGTAACCAAAGTATTCCGCAACCACCGCCTTCACCCCCGCGACACCAACTTTTGACAAGTGCCAATCGGCATGACTGAGCTTTGTTTGCAACTCAACCGCATCCTTCAAGCTGCCCGACGAATAGAGTTGCAGCATCTTGACATGTGCTTTTGGAGTAAGATTGGCGAGCGCAGCAATAACACCATTAGAACCTGCTACCAGACCAGGGAGGAAAAAATCAGATTTGCCGGCGAAGACTGAAAAGGCTCCAGGAAGAGGTGGATAGGCAAGACGTTGGAGTTTGCCCAGATTGCCGCAGGTTAGTTTGGCACCGACGATTTTGCCTGGAAACTTTGTCGCTAGAATTCTGATGAGATCTGAAGACATGTCGATACCCGCCGTGACGGCTGGGAAGTTGTAGATGAGGAAAGGAAGCGACGTCTCTGCGGCGACCTAACATGATGTCAGTCGATGGAAGAAATTGTTGTTGAGGATGAACTCACTGCTGAGAAGAACTTTTCCAGCACATCAGAACTCATGGCTGCTGCCCAGTAGCTCGGGGGAAGGAGCAGAGCAAAGTTTGCTCCACATTCTTTGGCTTCTCTGATGTAGACGAGGGTCTCGAAGACGCTGGGCGCGCCGCAACCAACAATGAGTGTGATGTTCTCGTGACCACTACTGTCCAGTGTCTTTCTGATACTTTTGACAAGATCTTTTCTCTCCTCGTGCATGAGGTGGGGAGCTTCGCCGTTCGAGCCCTGAAGGACAAAGCCTGTCACCCCACCATGTGCCATTCGCAAAGCGTGTTGACTAGTAATCTCAAGATCGAGAGTTTCATCGTCGTGGAAATATGTCACAAGTGGTGTGTAAACACCGAAGCCGGGCGCGGTCATGTTTTTGGCGACAGGTAGATGGTTTGAGAAATTATTCTTGAAGCGAACTTGATTCCGATTATTACGATAATTTATGCGTAGAACACATGGTCAGCGCGATAAAATTTTATGATTCAAAGGTGGACAAGTTTGGTCGCGCTCTTTGGTATGCGTGAACTGTAGTTGCGGTGGACAATATCAATGCGACATGTGGAGGCAGCGTCGGCCTATCGTGATGGACGTTATCGGCTTGAGATAAGCATAAGTGGACAGCAACACCACAACAATTTGCTGCTGGTACAATGAATTGCGTCTCTTCATGATCCATAGTACTAGTGGACAATTTGATCATAAAGTCCGTGCGACTCTCCAACAGAGATCGTGCACACCCTTCTCTCAATCACTTTTTTCTACCATCCAATGATGCAAGACAAGATGGCCGATGTGAAACGATCTGAGATGCCGAAAGACATCAGCACTCTCGAAGCAGGAGAGTTGCAAGATATATCCCACCGAGACAAAGCACAGGATCACGCTCTTGCTATCATCGGTCACGAGAGGATCGAATTCACCGCCCAAGAAAATGCAGCTGTTCTTCGTAAGATCGACTTACATCTTCTACCACTTCTGATGTGGGTGTATATGATTCAATTCGCCGACAAGACATCCTTGAACTATGCCTCGGTGATGGGAATCCGCGACGACACCCACCTTGATCCGAACTCTCAACAATACAGCTGGGTTTCGTCGATCTTCTATGCAGGTTATATACTCTGGGAGTGAGTGTCAAAAGACGTGTTACCACTGTCTAGAGATTATGCTGACTCGGATTTCCTGTTCATCAGATTTCCCACCACGTATCTCTTACGCAAACTCCCTCTTGGAAGATATACCTCAACAAACGTTATTCTTTGGGGTGTTGTTCTCACTTGCACAGCCGCTGCGCAGAGTTACTCCGGTCTACTTGCCCTCCGTTTCTTCCTTGGAGCACTAGAAGCCACAGTAACTCCCGCCTTTGTCCTGTTCTCTTCTCTTTGGTATCAACGAACAGAACAAGCAAAACGAGTGAATGCATGGCTGGCATGTAACGGTATAGCCACGCTCATCATGGCCCCATTCGCCTATGGTCTATCCGGTGCAACTTCAACAGCTCTTCCAACATGGAGAATCCTCTTCCTACTACTCGGCCTCCTGACCGTAGTCACCGGTGCTTTTCTACTCTGGTACATGCCCGACAGTCAAGCAAACGCAAAATTCCTCAATCCCAAAGAGAGGCAAATAGCCACTGAGCGCGTCCGAAGCAATTTCCAAGGCATCGGTGGTTACGGCTGGGACTGGTATCAATTCCGAGAAGCATTCCGAGACCCTCGAACCTATCTTTACGTCCTCTATTCTCTCTTGATGAACATCCCCAACGGCGGCATAACGACATTCGGATCTTTGATCATAAAGTCCTTCGGTTTCGACAACAGAATGGCTCTACTGCTACAGATGCCAGGAGGTCTGGTTGACATTGTCTGTAAGATTGGCTTTGGCGTTTTGTCAGACAAGCTGGTCGATCGTTCAATCCCTGCTGTCATTGCAATCCTGATTCCTATGATTGGCGGCATCTTGATGATCGTCATACCCTCTCACATGTCAGCGGGTCTGCTTGTCGGATACTACTGTATCAGTTGTGCCGGTGCATCTTGGGGTCTCGTCATGGTCATGATCTCCAACAACACCATCGGTCATACCAAAAAGGTCACCGTCAACGGTCTACAGATTCTTGCTTACGGAGCGGGCAATTGGATAGGGCCGCAGACTTTTCGTGCATACGACGCGCCCGACTACCTGCATGGCAAATTGATGGTGGCCATCATGTACGGAGGCGCTGCGTGTGTGCTTTTGGCCATCCGGATCGTGAATATCGTGGAGAACAAGAGGCGCGACAAGGCGCAAGATCAAGCGATATCAGGTACAGGCAGTACCATGGAAGACGCTCAAGGTGACTTCACGGATCTGACTGATTTTCAGCAGAAAGCTTTCCGATATATAGTTTGAAGAGCGAGATGGTTGATGAATTGCATATCGAATGCCACGTAATGTTTACTTTCCGTCGAATGACTTACTCAAAGCCGGTCGTGAACTTCTACATCACGCTTGCAGCCGTAAAGCTTCTGCTTCCGTCAATATTTCTGCTTCGGGCGACACAACTTCAGCATCCCACCACTCCTTGCTATCACTCCCAGATTGACTTCCAGAGCCAGCCGATTTGACTTTTACCACTTCTTTCTCGAACCCCTTCTCGGAGTCAGGAAGGCTAGCTTCGTTGCTGACAACTCCACTCCTCGATTTTCTGCTCCAATTCTTGCCCAAGTTTACTTTCTTCAACAGTGGTCGAAGCGTCGCTGCAGAAGAAGCAATGATACCAGCGCCAATCTCTATCGTAGACCACATCATTCCTTTGCGAAAGCCAGACAGTGTTCCTTTGACAAGCGCAGGCCAATATACAGCTCTCAGGATAGCAGCCACAGACCCGGCGACCGCCAAAGCGAAAATACCGGCGACGATGGCTTTCTCTCGCTTGATCATCTGCGTCTTGAGTACCACAAGATAGGCAGAATGGCGAACAGCCAATCGGTGGCTGCATTGAGAACGCCTTGGAGGATGTTTGCTGCATTGAGAGCAGGATTGGTACCCGTGCATTGCCCCATAATAGTCTTCATGGCGTATTTGGTTGGATCAGAGCACCAGAAAAGAACCAGGAAAATCGAAGAGACACTGTTGGCGATGAAGATGGCGAGAAAAACATAGATAAGAACGCGCTGCCATCGCTCAACGACGAAGCGGAGGAAGAAGAACGCCAGTGAGAGTTTGAGTGCGATGGACGCGCAGAGGTAGATGACTACGTCAGAGATGACAATCTATATACTTCCAGTCAGCAATGGGTTCACCAAGCGATTTCAGGTGTTGCAAGACTGACATTGATGATCTTTTCATAGACTTCCAGACTAGGCTTCGGCGTGGCCAGTGACGCCTCAATACCGAAAAGCAGTCCTGCATGAGCGGAGAAGAAGATCAAGGTCAGTATGCAAAGCCAGTCCTCAACCAGGAATGAACGCAACAACCCAGTTCGTACGTATACACGCAACCCTACACAACAGATAGCAAAAGAAAGGAAAACTGCAGGTACAATCAAGGCCGTCGTACTGACTGTAAAGTTGGCAGTAGGCGCAGACATGATAATATTGCGAAAGGTTGAGGTGTGCGACCAGAACAGAGCTTGATGAATTGGGCGTTGCGAGGAATAAGAAGACGCGATCTTGACGACTTTCTGAGGTGAAACAGCTGATGAATAGGCTTCGCAACGTAAACAGTTGTATCGAAGTGTTGTTCTCTCCGAATGTTTCGCCGCGGAGAGCATAACCTTGTGCGACATTTAGGCTCTGAAAGCCGTTTTGAACACCTCCGCTGGTTCGGCCGTTGATAAGGCTTTCCGACACAACTAATCCCTCTTTGCCAACGGGTAATCCTTCCTTCTTCTAACTTCTCGTCTCCCAGAAGTGAATGCAGGCTCGTATACATGTGGCGTGATGTCCGATGTATTTCTTGATGTAAATGTTCGCTCCGACATTTTCTCTTCATCCGCACAATTTCTCGAGCTCCAAGCTAGCAAGGATGAAAGCGCTGGTACCGATTAGACTGTTGTTGGCTGTCGGCCTGTCAAAGTAATACTGCGAAGATGAGTCAACATTTCCATCTGGCAGAATTAGAAAGTTCAGTTCCTATCTCACCTTTGCATTGACAATTTGCGCACTCAAACTGGCAATAGAGCTTGTTCCGCTGAGATCGAGGGTACCGTTCGCATTGCGAGTAACGTGTGTCTCAAAGATATTTTCCCAGAGTCCGACTCCTGCTTTGATGGCTTTGTTCCGAAGCTTTGTGTCTTCCAGGATGTTGAGGCGGACAGACTTGAGAAGGAAATATGCTGTCATCAAGCTCGCGCTTGTCTCGATGAAGTTCTGAGATCCATTGATTGAGGCACCCGGGAGATCCACGACTTGCCAGACACCGTATCTATCGTTGATCTGCAAAGCACGCTCGAGAGCAACGATCTGGGCTTTGATCAGACTGTTGAACAGAAGCTTCATGTTGCTGTACGAAACCTTGAGATCCAGAGTCATGACATGAGAAGTCGCGGATTGTAGAGCTTCAAGAGCTTCAAGAGCTTCGAGAACGCCAAGGGTATACCATGCTTGTGATCGGCCCCACACAGAAGGACTTGCGCCAGTCTCGGGGTCAGCCCAACCATGTGCCTTCAAAGCGTCGTATCCGTGCACAAGCAGACCTGTACCATCATCGCAGATGGCGGCCAGTATCTCGAGTTGCTTCAGCACCGCCGCAGGTCCAACAGCGTCAGACTGCCGAGTGCCATTTCCTGCACTCAGGATTGCGAAAGTCGGATACGAATACATGCCGTCGGTGTATGACAAGTTGCGGTAGGCGGTCAAGTTGTTCCGGTTGTCGTAGTACCAGAGGCCACCGTTCGTGTTTCGAGGCTGATGTGCGAGCGAGTCTTGCAACGTAGAGATGGCAGACAAGAGAGACGCGCTCTGTGTTTCGTGCGATTGACGCATCATCTCGGTGCCAATTGAGAAGCGATCAAGAGGTAATCCGATGGCAGAAGTAGCGTTCGTGAAGAGGGGAATAGCCGTTGCAGTACTGTTGTGTAGGTATGCCGTCCATGTCTGCTTGTCGGCGGTGTCGTTTGTCGCGGCGATGCTCTCTCGTAACGCTTGATAGAAGATGCCGAGTTCAATTAACCCTGTCCCGGAAGAACTTGCGGCTGCTCCTTGACTTCTTGCGATATTGCTTGCCATCATTTGAGATGCTTGTCCATGGACGTTCTGCGGGCATTGCGATGTCTGCGCTACAGCAGCAATTGCAGCAAACAGTGACAATAGCTTGGCAGGAGTCATGTTGGAAGTCACTCGTCAATTGGGAATCTCCCTCATGGAAAGTGCGTTGGAAGAGACAGAGGCAGTCGTGTTAGTCCTGAGGTGTGACGGTTTGTGCCGATCTTCAATGACGTCATGGACCCTGTTTGCAAACTTTGAACTTTTCTGGTATGCCACCCCGTCAACCACTCGGAGACGGTGTCTGTTAATTTATCCTCATGGGTGCAAGAGTAATGTAACTTCTATAAAGGAAAAGCTACATATAGCACATTACATAGACGGCGATGGAGTATGCTTTAGAAGCGTTTCCTGGTAGCATGTAGCATACATACTGCGTGTCTTGTAGCCACCAAGTACAAACAAGCTAGTACTAAGTGCCTCTGGGATGAAACTCAGAAGGATCTTCGCCGTCAACGAACTGGCAAATGCTGGGCTAGTCAGAAGAAATGCGATGATGCCGTAGACGAGTCTCATGCCGATAAATGGTAGGGCAATTGCAGCAGTACGTAAAAGCTATCGACAATCAGCGGCGAAATCAGAGAAGCAGAGACATAACTTACTACAGTTCCATCAATGAAAGTGTCATTCCTCGATCTAGCCGGATCGCGTAGCGAGATGGTCGTCCACGCAAGAAGAATGAGATATGACACCACCAACATCGCCAGTCCAGTCTTGATCAGGCCAGAGTCTTGAGTGGTGGAAAGCCCCTTGACAACATTGACAATCCCGATTACCACCAGTATAATGGCCGTCGTAATGATGCTGTGAAAGCCACCCACAAGCGTCCGCTCAACTCTTGGTTTCAGTCGCAAAAGACAAGCATTGCGTGCCTCGTGCAAGACTCCAAGTTCAGCAAGGAGGAGCGGGGAAATGGCCAAACTGTTGACGACGGTTGCGCTGGTCTCAATGTTGGGATTGTGCCTTGCAACCATGGAAAGCGCACCGCCAGCGATGCGAATGGCGCAGAACGAAAAGACGAAATTGTAGGCCAAGAAGCCAGCTCTGCCATGGCGGCGCCAGATATAGAAGGTTGGGACGATGAGGCAGGAATAGAGGACGACAGTCGCGATATAAAGACCCGCAGGGAACGCCGCAGATGAAATCCCAGGTGAGGACATGGTTTAGAACTGAACGTTTGGATGAGATGCATACTGAAGGGCAGGGCTCTGAACTTATGTACTTTGCAAAATTCATGGTGCATAGCATTGAAACAATCTCGATGTTGAAGACGGACCCGGCAATACGGTCAAGCTGACATACATGCTGACCGAGTGACAGGTCAGAATGACCCTGGAACGCTGCTTTATGTCCGTCATAATGGCTGCGAAGATTGGATACGGAAGAGACTCCGTCAAAAGATCCCCGGGTCTTCAAGATCTATGCGTGGATCCAAGGAAGATCGCCAGTGCTAAGGATCCTTCTCACGGGGGCTGTGCGACGTGGTGGGCGTGTCACGAAAAGAGAACGTCGCGCTTCGCGCCCGTCCGAGTACCAGCGTGCTAGAAAACGACCAGGTACTGATGGCTCAATTCAGGGCGCACAAGACTGTTTGCGTATAGGCAACTTGTTGCATAAAATGGTAGTTTTCTGTGATCGAACGACATCAGAATCGCCAGGCAGACTGTCGCATTCCCTTGTGAAACCAATATCGTGTTCAAGGTGGATCTTGGCTGACGTCAAAAACGTCGCCTTGTCAAATTTGCTGTGTACCAAACAAAACAAACATCTACAGAGGGTCCAACTAGACCACGCCACAACCTGTCACTCCATGTCACGGAGGACATCAGATAATGTCAGTCCTACTACACCATGACTCCAATTCTGACTCGAACGAAACCCCCCGAACGCCATTTATCTCCAGCTCGCTCCATCTCAATTCCAGACCCGGTGCAAGAACAAACAACCTCCTCATCTTCTCTTTGCCCATGCTTTCGTCTTGGTCTTCCTGTTCAGACCTCGGATCAGAGCAACCAGCCTGTCAAGATCCGCTTTGCTTCCAGGAATGTTGTGGCCACCATCAAACTCAAGCACATCCGATGAAGTGGCATGATAGATGTTGGTGTGGAGCATCCTCGCGTGCTCCAAGAAGGGATCTTGCAGACCATGCAAATGCACGCATGGCAATTGCAACTTCTTGCCCATAAACGCAGTCACGACACCATCACTGCAGGACCCTGACAGCAACGCTCCGAACCGCAGACCGGCCCATGGCACCGCGGCCAGACTGACATCCATCGATGCCCATTCAACAACGTGGTATTGAGCCAAGCCCAACAGCATGGAAGCCACGATAGTCCCCTGCGAGAAGCCCATGACGGCCGTGATGCTCGAAGGTTGAATGTCGCGTGCTAACAAGGTCTTGATAATGTGTTCGTTGCAGGTGACAAATTCTCTAGCTACACATTCCATCGAGTCATTTGCTGAGGGGGAAAACCAGCTGTAGAAGGGCCCTGAATCGACGTATGCGGGAGCGACACCAGGGCCTGGTGCTGAGGGGTGGGGTGCGTCGATGAAGACGAACTTGAATTGTGATTGTAGGGCAGCCCGCAGTTTTCGTGTTTGTGCCGCAAAGATGCTGGCCGATGTGCCCGTGCCATGCAGACAGAGGATTGTGGGGAGGAATGAAGACATGATCGACCGGAGTGCTGTTCCGCTTTGGGTTGCTTGACTCGATAGTGCTGATGATGGTTGACTGATGGTATGACCTATGATGAGTACACCTTACGCTTTATAGTTGTCCTCAATGAGTACATCTGACTGTGGTTTACTCTCCTTGACTGGGTCGGAGCAATCCATCTGTGAAGCCTGTGCCTGTCAGCTGTGAATTTCCTGTCATCTACTCCGACCGACAGACTGTCCAGTGTCATCAAGTCGGAACGCGCCTTCCAGTCTCCCCGAGCTGACCGCAACACCACGGACCACAATGTCAGACCTGTTGTCATGCCCAAGAGACGCACCGCTTCGGGCTGTCAGATTTCGGATGGGGTTATGGGGCAGAGAAGTCAGCATTGGCACTCTTCACCTCTACTCTGTCATCTTCACGCCATCTTTCCATCTGCTGAGATCTCATATCATATTCTCTGCCCTCCAGCTAAAAGTCCCTACTTGATTTTTTTCTACAATTTCCCTATCTCCTTTGCCCATCAGAGCTTCTCCATCCCCATCTCTCCTTGGGAATCCACCATGTCCTCCAACATCGATTATGAAAAAGTAGTCCCAGCGATGCTCGAGCTCACAGACTCGATCATAAAACTCCTCGATAACACAAGCCACCGCGAAATTCACGTCAAGAGCATAATCAACGGGCTGAGAGCCCTGATAATCCGCGAACGCAAGACCATCCATCGCCAAGGCAAAGTGATCATCGAGTTGAAGAAGCAATTGGCAGAAGTCGAGGAGCAACTCAATGTCCTACAAAGCCGTTTACGGAACAGAGTTGATACGGATTGGCATTCTGGAGATAGTATCCGTATCAAGGATGAAGATGTTGATTACCATGTCAATGATGATTCGAGTCCAGAAGAGGACGTGAGTTTTCCAAGCTGTATTGACATTACGTGAATTTTTGCTGAACAGAAACTCAGGATGATGTGGGATCACCGGATTCAGCTGCGGAGGTGACAACGGCAACATTGTACGGCTTGCAGAGCATTTACATCCAGATAGCAGAGCGCTATGCATCAGGCCTCAAGGTGGATGATAAGATGAAGTCTGAATGTTCGGAGGATACATGATGCATGATTGATGATTTATCGATATGGCAGGCTTCACGAGGTTGCATGAGACATATTGTTCTGGGAGGATATTCCCGTAGTTAGCTTGGCATGTCTTGCATTGGATGGGAACCTAATTTCGTAAGCGATGGAGTTATGTGGGCACACGCAGTGGTTATGATACCAAAAAGCAACCTAGCAGCATATTGCGGGACTTTCTTCGGCCGTGCGTATTGGGTTTGCGGAGCTCATCCCTTCTACGGATGATCAGCCTCAAGCAAATGCTCATTATAGCGCTAAACACAGATCCAACCAACAGCACAAAGAATATGGCAAAGGAACAACGGACACAAACGTGCTGAGCGAGCTCAAACAACATCAAGCAGTCAATACAGTGATTACTGGCAATGTCAATTCACCCGCAAATCAGAGTTCCAATATCTCGGTCATCTTCTCGAAAGCGACCTGCCGGCCAGGGTGCCCTTGAAAGGGAACCGCAATGCTCTTGGCCTTGATCACCATCCCAGCAGACTCTCGCCCATCGACCACTTTGAGAAAGGCTGTTCCAAGTTCCGATGCTCCAACATACGGTGCAGCAACACGATTACCCCACACGCCTATACCAAGATACTCGACTCGGATGGCAAAATCGTATGTATCAATCCAAACAGGCAGGACAACTTGTGGAACTCCAGCACTATTTCATATCAGCCCAGCTTCAAGCAAGAAGGGCAAGGAACATACTATATAGCCTCATGGTACGAATTGGATCCACCGTGGTGGACAGTGCAGACAACAGTGTTAGTCATCAAGATTGCGAGGGGGTGGGCGGGCAGCCAAGACTCGATCCAAACTCGCTTGGTTTTGATCTCTTCGGCAATCACATGCAGAGCATCCTCCACATTGACCTTGGTCTTCAACTTCCACAAGATCTGTACATCAGGTCGACGGTCGAGTAGAGTTTTGACGGCAGCCGCGAATTCGGCGGTGAGATGGTGGTCGACGACAACATGGGATCCGAGATTGATCAAGACAGTTGGACCTTGTTGTAACCAAGCGCTCAGCTTTGGATCAGTCTCGGCAAGAGGTTCAAAGGGGGGTATGATGGGGCCGCAAGGAGTTACGTGTGAAGGTATGGAGAAGTCATAGTCGATGGTCGATGTCGAAGGGAGCAGGATATGAGCATCGCCAAATCCCTCAAACATGGACGGAATTTTGGCTGGGAGACCACAACCTTGACGATATCGCGACAGTTGGAGAAGTCTCTCGTTTTGACGGCGCGAGCGTAAGAAGCGATAGATGAGGTATATGTTCGCCGGAATGTACGACCAAGGAACAGGGTAGGGAAAGCCTGATGCCATCCTCGAGACTGTCAGCATCATCGTTGGAAATGTCCGAGAGCACTCACGCTGGAAACTTCCACAAAGCTCCTCCGCTAGGCTGTCGGTCCAGTACAAGCTCCTTGAAGGTGTTCGGGCTGAGGATCATGCACTTCTGGCCTATCGCGTTGCAAGCATCAACGGCTTGACTAAATAACAGATCGACAACAACCAATCTGGGAGCAACATGGTTGATGATTTCGATGGTGCTGCTGTAACCGATCATGTACTCGACTCCGTGCCACGGAGCAAACGTTGCGGGGAGCACATTGTCGTAAGCAAACAGAGCTCCCCTGATGCCCGGAGGATGTAGGTCGAGGAATTCGGTACCAGGAGGTGCGGCCTCCTTCATCGACTTTCCAGACAGATGGTGGAATGTGATGGCGCTGCATGTCCCATTGCTAAGGCGAAAAGCTGTGTCGTTGAGATGATCAATGCTGCTCTGGAGAGCGGGGAAGGAGGCGATATGCACATCATACTCCCGCCGTACGAGAAACTCATATGCGACGGCGAGGATGACGCCGGCCTGGCCCAGCTCACTGTTCGTCACGAAGAGAAGAGTGCGTTGCTTTTCCATGTGGACTGTGGACGGAAAGTTGCTGAATTGTCTTCATGATGCATCGATTTTCCAACCGCCTTTTGAACTTTACTTCTCGCACGGCGGTTGTCTCCTTGCTCAAGTCATCATCTGGTCATGGTGTACACTGTAGAGAATCAAACAGAAGTGGTGAAGATGATGACGCTTCAAAAGTCAGACCAGTCCGTGCGCAGGCCGTGGCTGAGTCATTGCAGTCATGCACCAAATCCTCTTTCAACACGTTTCCCGGTCAGCAATTCCTCACTCATCCGCTCGAAGATGACTCTCGAGACGAAGCCATGACCTCGCAAGAGCCGCCAATCGGCAATTGCGAAGATCAAGGCTGATACATAAGTTGTATACAACATGTGCCACGCGATTCCCGAACCCAGCAATCGCTCCAACGTCAAACAAAGACAGCCGGCCATGTCTGGCACACTATCCAATGACGCAGTTCCTCGCGCTTCAAGCCCTCAATCCCAAGCAGGCACTGACTCGGCTTCAGCCTCTGTAAAGTCCCGAAAAGATGGCAGAAAGACCAGTTCTTATGGCGAAGAAGAGAAGGATCTGGGATTACCTGTTCTGGAAGGCTGGCCGCTTGGTTCGACTGTGTTTGCGTGAGTTCTTCCGAAGACTCATCTGGAAAGATTCCTTACACGTGATTAGGCTATGCTTAGCTCTGCTCCTTGCCACATTAGATACTACCATCATCTCGACCTCGTTGATCACGATCGCTTCCGACTTTGGCCATTTTGATCAAGCAAGCTGGATTATAGTGTCCTATCTGCTCACTTATTCTGGTTTCCTTCTCATATTCACTAGATTGAGCGATGTTTTGGGCAGAAAACCTGTCTTGATGTTTTCAATTCTCATGTTTCTTGTCTGGTCAATCGGATGCGGCTTCTCACAAACACTCAAGCAGCTGTAGGTCTCGAATTGTCATAACTATCAGGACCTGGCTAAAACTTCGTTTAGTATCGTCTTTCGGGCTTTACAAGGTATAGGCGGTGCTGGAATCTATGCGCTTGCCTATGCATCTGTTTTGGACGTGGTACCATTCAGGCTCGTTAGCGCAGCATCAGGAGCTATCTCAATGAGCACCGCTTGTGCGAGTCTCTTGGGACCTGTCCTTGGCGGAGTTATTACCTCGAATACCACTTGGAGGGTAGTGTCCCAAGATGCAATCATTGACTTCCGCTAACATTCACAGTGGGTCTTTTGGATCAACATTCCCTGTGGAGTTCTGGTCACTGTCTGCGTCGCTTTCCTGTTTCCAAATGAAACACAGTCAAGGAGACTTGGAAAGCCGGCGTTGCAACAGATTGACTGGCCTGGGATACTTCTCTCGCTCACTTGATCCTCACTGTTGGTCATCTCTCTGGAAGAAGGAGGTGTTCACTTCTCCTGGCGAAGCTTGTTTGTGGTGTTGATGCTTGTGGGATCAGTCATCTGTTTTCTAGCCTTCGGCATATGGGAGCATGTTCTGACACCCAGAGAAGCAAGCATGAAGATGCTGCCTCTCTTTCCGACAAGACTCATATCTAGCAGGGTCGTTGCAGCGACTCTTGGGTATGTTTGGCGACGCAGTAGCACAACTTCAACACAAAAGCTAACACTTGTAGAACTGTATTCTTCACTGGCTTTCCCTTTGTAGTCACCATCATGGCCCTACCACAACGCCTTCAAATTGTCAATGGCGTCAGTCCCGAGAACGCGGGTCTTCACATGCTCCCACTCATTGGTTCGACCGCTTTGGGCGCGATTCTGACTGGCACGATCACTGGCAAATTCAATATCGCCTGGCACTTATTGGTGTTTTCGAACGTACTCATGACAGTTGGTTGTGGACTCATGTCGACCTTACCCACAGACAGTGAGATCGCCAATCTCTGTTATCTTTATCAAATCATTCTCGGCTTCGGTTTTGGTCTTACCATGGCCAGTTCGATGGTTGTCATTCGCACAGAAGTGGCTATGAAAGATAACAGTAAGTCTTTCTGGTCCCTTGAACATCTCGTGGGTAACTGACTGGACTAGCTGTATCTTTGGGCGCCGTCACTCAACTACGACAACTTGGTGGTGTTATCGGTCTCGCTGTGACGCAAGCCATCCTAAATGGCGATTTCAGATCGCAACTTGCCAAGTTTTTGTCCGACGAGGAGCTGAGATCGGTCATGCTGTCAACAGCTAACATCGCAAACCTTAGTGATTCACATAGAGACTTGACTTGCCGCGCGTATGGAAGATCTTCTAACGCCCAGATGCGAGTCGTTACCGCGTTCGCGGGTGCGGCCATCTTGATGAGTATGTTTGCTCGACAGAATGCTCCACGAGACCGCAAAGCTCTCGAGGCGGAGCGTGTCGCATTTCACACTGGTCGAACCACGTCAGTCGAGCTGCATAGTGGCTCTGTCACACGCATCAACCTGGTACATGCACGACTGGTCAACAAGACTGAGACGTCCAGTGCCCCGTATCTCGTTGATTCTGGCGGTTTGATTGAGACGACACCTCGCGAAGAGAGTCTAGCCACTCGCTTCTGATTAACAGTCGTACAGCTTGATTACCACATTGAAGTTGTGTTTCTGCTTCTCAGATTATGGACGAGTCAAGGCAGTCAACCACTGGTTCAGATAGAAAAGGGAATCTAATGATTCGCGTGAAAATCATCTGAGCATATTCACAATCTTCACGTTCAGTCCAGTCAAGTCAAGCATTTTATGTTGTAGATCCGGACAGCTCTCTTTTCAACACTATACCACTGGTTGATTAAACTCGCGTCCAGAGATGTGCACTCTTCTCCCGGCCGAATTTGAAATAATAGTGAAGCCTGGTTCGCGTCAATCAACAAAGTCGGGGATGGCCTTGAGTTGGACGTCAGCCCTCCCATAAGTTTCCCGGATGATGCTGACGAGGGCTCTAGATGGGATACCGAGTTTTGTCAGACGGAACTACGCGTTACTCATGATTGCTGACATGGGATGTCATCTGTCAGCCAATGGTCAGACAAGCATATCTGACATGCCTACTATGGTTCTCTTCTTAAAATCTAGCTTGCCCACTCGCAAGACCTCTCACACTCATCAAACTCTTGATTTCTACATCTCATTTTCACCATACCAGCTTGGTACTGATCTTTCTATGCCTGGAGCCGTCGACAACACATGGTCACCATGGCCACAGCTCACTCTTGCCACAGCAAAGGGAGTGCAGACAGGAACCAATGAATACACCGAAGCTATCTACTCCAGGTATGGCGCCGAAGCTTTGAAGTCAAGCTGGGTTCAGGTTTGCAAGAGACTGGAATCTATCACGGAGAATATCGCTTCGCAAGGCAACTCTGTTATTCCAGAGCTTGATTTAGAAGACTTCCTCTCTGCCGACATGGAGACAAAGCATAAGCTAAAAGATATTGGATGCTTCATTGTGCGGCATGTTGTTTCTGAAGAGCAGGCGACTGATTGGTACAATGAGCTGAAGGACTATGTCAAAGACAACCAGGCTCAAATCACAGGTAATCAACACCACCCTTTGTCAAGTTTTAACTCTAACCTCATCGTGTCTATCAAAGGCATGCCAGCCGATACCCCTTTCATGTTCGACGTCTACCACTCGCCAGTACAGCAAGCGGCTCGCTCGCACCCCAACAGCCTAGCGGTCCAACGAGCAATCAATGCTCTGTGGCACGACAAGAGTGAGAACCAGACCACTATCCAAGAGCCACTCTCATATGCCGATGGTTTCCGGATTCGGCCTGAGAATACCATCTTCAACGCGCTACCTCCACACATTGGTATGTTGTTCTCTTCCCTGTATCAATCCGATTATGTCTCACGCCTGATAATCTGCAGATGGCGGCAGTCTCTCGCGCTGGGCAGATGATACTTATCGTGAGGTATACTCAGCCATCTGGTCGGGTAATCCCGACGCTTTCGATCCTTACGACCTCTCGATCCGCAAGGATGCAAAGCCAGGCCTCTTTCCCGGCACTGCTTCTCAAGTTTTACGCGCCTTTCAAGGATGGACTGCATTGACGTCCGCAGGCGCCAACGAAGGCTCTCTCTTACTATATCCGGATGTCAAGACCGCAATGGCATATGTGATTCTGCGACCCTTGTTTGACGCTCCCGAAGATGAATGCGATATCATGGATGCGACAAAGTGGACATTGAATGCTGAGCGAGGCTGGTTCCCGGGTACTTGGAGACAGCTGCCGCAAATTGTCAGTCCGGCATCACATCCGCATCTGAGACTTGGAAAGTGTTTGGTGAATATCCCGACCATGCGACCGGCGGATACGGTGTGGTGGCACGCCGATGTAAGATCCCTCTCTCTTTCTTGGTTCATGTAAGGTCTTGGAGGCTAATGTGTGTTTGTCAAATGTAGATGATTCACGGTGTGGATGTGCAACATACCGGCGACCACGACTCGGCGGTCCTGTATATTGCCGCTGTTCCTACCACGGAGGCGAATACAAGATATATGCGTCAGCAAGTGGTCAACTTCAAGGCCGGCGTCCCGCCGGAAGATTTTGCAAGGAATGGCACGGACGAGACAATCTTCAGAGGCTATAAGGGTGAGGAGGGTATCTTGAATGGACAAGCTGGTAGAAAGGCTGCTGGTCTGTACCTTTGATGACTTCCGGCAGTCAAATCTCCTATATTCAGTGTTTTCCTTGACTTCTTGGAACGTGTACAATTATCACATGTCCATACAATGTGGAAAGTTCGGAATGATAAAGAGATCTCATGAACTGGTGATCTGAGCTTCGGTTTGCCGGCTAAGAAATACCTGGAATCTAGAACCCAGCGCAATGGTTCCGGCGCTCCGGTAGCACAAATTGTGTGTTCGAAACTCATATGCATGCACCAGCAAACTTCCTACCACTTATGGTCAGGACCTGCAACTACACGTTCTCTTCATCCGCTCAGCTCTGTCACGCATGCAGTGGTGATCTGCACGATACTTCCAGAGTACAGTACTGTATACTATTATGGCGCTTGAGTATCTGACTGTGAGTGTGAGAGAAGTGGAAGGTGGAAAAATATCCTGTCCGAGCAGGATAGACAGGATATCTGATATGTAAAAGGCAGAAGATGGAAAGCATGAGTTTGTGTGCCATCAGACAAAAGTGTTGAACGATAAATATTCATTGTAAACGCCTGACTGCCTCGCGACCCTGGTTCCAATGTGCAAAGCGCCAAATGCAAGATCGATATGAAAGATAGATGCTTCTCCAAAGGCAAACACAAGAAAGTTACACTTCCATGATTGAACTCCAATCAAACCCATCGTCCATGGGAGCAGTGACTCCGACCTTAACCTGCGAGTCAACACCGCTTGCTAACATCAATCTGACTACATCTTCGTGGCCTGCCGATACAGCAGCGTGCAGTGCTGTCTCACCGCAGTGATTTTTCGCATTGAGACCCACGGAACGCTGGAGTAATGATTCTACCAGACTCACATCACCAATGCGAGCGGCAAGATGCAGTGATGTATCTCCACTTGAAGTCCTTCCCGAAACGTCAGCGCCCAAGCCCAAAAGGTATTGCGCAGTGGTGATGTTGGCAGAGGTGATCGCAATCTGGAGAGCAGTCATTTGTTAATTGTTGGATGAGTTGATGTCGGTGCCTGTCTCCACCAGAAGGCGGATGATGGAGTGATGACGGTCACGAGCTGCGATATGCAAAGCGGTGTTGCCATGGTCGTTATTATTGAGGGAGAAGACGTCACTTGCTCCATTCATGTTGTAGACGTCATTTCTTTGCTGCAGCCCTGAGTCACTCCTGGATGCTGCTAAATCTGTTGTCAGAGTATGTACTCTCTGTAGGCGAAGGAATAGTATCTTACAAGGTCTTGAAGAAACACTAACCGGTGGCGTCATCAGAGGTCCGAACATTGGAGTTTTTTGTCCAGCGCTATTGTTTGTCATTGCCATATCACCGAAGTAGTCCGTCGAAATGCCAATCGGGTCAGGGGATTTGATATCTGGAGTAGGCATTTGATCAAGACCCTTGAACAATTCATCCAGGTCATTTTCGTCCAGGCTTTGAATCAAACAGGGGTCCCAGATGTTGATATCTGCAGCAGGAGCTTCCGGCACAACCTTTGTTGGCTTGGAAAGATACTCTTGTAGACGAATTTTGGTTTGGTCGATATGGTTTAACAAATCTTCGATATCACGAAAAGACCTTGGGGGCTCTGGGCTTTTGGATTCTGCGGCTGGTGTCCCACGCTGGCTGTCCCGCCTCTCGAGCAGTCTCAATTTCTTCCCTGAATAGACTATTAGTCTTGGCAACTTCACAAATCTTTACCATGCCACATACTACGACTTCGCTGTGCGAGACGATTTTGTACCCGTCGCCTCTCATTGATGTCGGATAGTTTGGTCCAATCTTCGGAGTCAGAAACTTGCTCGGCGTCAGTCTTCACGGGCGGAGACATGTTTGTGAAATGTTCGATGATCGATCCAGGAGAGAAGCGCGCGGTCGAGTTGCTCTATAAATCCGGAGAGTCCACAAGCTAGACAATCTAGATTTGGGCAATCAAATATGCAGGGCCTTGCACCAACGCGGTGGGTGCAATTCCGCGAAGGGTAGAAGAAGCTGACAGCCGTATGAGGCTCGATCTGCAGTCATTGTCATGGTCATCAGTGACTGATAGACCGGTTAATCTGTTGGCGTCGAAGGATTGCGGCGTTTAACAATCCTTCCTTCGAAGAATCATCCTTCGCGTGAGTTTTGAGGTCCCGGAAAATAGTGCTATAGGGAGATAGGGTCAGTGAACGTCTAGGAGAGATAGCAACAAATTAATTGTTGCTGCAGGCTATTCCTGTGCAGATGCCAACTCCTTTGAACCGGGAGTGTTATATGGGTCTGTCAGATGTCCAGGCCTGAGAGAAAAGGCTGAGGGTGGCGTAGACAGCGCGGCTCCCTGCAAAATGCCATGTCGAGCAATATCGGATGGGTCCAGGGGGCCCACGCTCGTCAACCTCGTGAAATGCTACGCGTTGCGGCAAGATCTACGCTCTGGAACAGACATTCCTGAGCGGTGGGGGATGCATGCCTGTCGTGCAGAGCAAATTGATTGGAGGCAATGGTTAAAGCCGAAACGCGTTGATTCACGATTCAACGAGCGACGTGCGTAAAGAGTCTAAGAACGCTGCAGATCCCCTCGTGAAGCCTTTAGGCGGCATTGGCACGCTCGTTAAGCACTTGCCAGCACGGCAGGCGGCGGGTTAACCCTTTCTCCTTGAAGCTTGGTCGTGCTTGGTGGGGTTGCCGTCGGTCCGACACCACATCGTCCCGAAATTCAGGGCTCGTCTAAAGCTTCTTACGTGCTGTCGAGATTCTGGCACGCATGTAGATGTTTCAGGCTCAATACTTCCCGAGATGCCCTCAATCTTGACGCGAGTTTCCGACCTCTACGGACAAATCAGATCATCTGAGAACTATCACGCATCTCTGCAGCTGGGTCTTATCTATCTATTCAATATCTCAGCCGGGTCTCGTGTTTGACCCCGCCTCGGCGCTAATAAGCTTCGAACTGACACAGGGACATGACCTTGATGGTTTTGACCCAGTGGACCCTTTTTCATAACAGCGTACGGAGGGATGTCAGGGTCAACCCTGTGATTCAGATACGAGATTATAAGTTCGACTAATGCAACACTCCTCAGCTGTGAGTTGCGGCCCTAGCTGTTGCCATTTCTTCCTCCGATGGCATATTTACGACCATCAAATACAGTACGTTCTGTTCGTGGATCAGCAGGGTGACGGTGCGTGCGAGTGTCTGTACCTACCTTTGCCAACAGCTTCTTGTATGTGCGAATAGGATTTGGAATAATTCCACGCTTCTCCTGCCTTTGGGCGTTTTGTCTCTGCCCGACTGCATATGATTCCCACTCTGAGCCTTGCTTCTCTCCTCGAGCGGCTTGTCTGATGACTGAAGCAAAGCCTCCTATCAGGCCTCGCGAGTTGGGTCCGGGGATGAGCTTACCTCCCGAAACGAACGATATCAGCGATCCGCTGGCTGCGGCATGATTGGGGTCGGCATATCTCGAGCTGAACTCGCCTTGGGGAACCTGTGCTAGGACGCTATCCGGATTCTGCATGGACTAGAGTTGGGTCAATACCACGTGTTGAGAATCGAGAGGGGAAGACTTACATATTCTGCTGTTGCTCTCTTGTCCCAATATTTAGCAACAAAAGTCATGCCTTTTGCTACGCTACTCTTTTTCTCTGCTGCCTTTTGCCCAGTTTGCGCTGCCAGCTCATCCAGGGTGGGGAAGGTGAGCGGTGCCACTTCAGGGAATGCCATTTCTCCATATGTGGTCCCATCAGATGATCTGAACTTTTTCTGGACACCTGTAACACCATGCGGTACGTTGCTAAGGTCTGTAACAGTGTCGTTGATGTTGACCTGCTCCACCATGTTACTCGATTCTGGATTCCATACCATGATTAGGCAGTAAAGTCCCCGAGGCTGGAAGAACTCTTCGTTGAGTTTGCGCAAAGCTGTAGCAGTCCTAACGATCGTCAGAAAAAAAGAAGCTATGGAAGTGATGTCGGCAAGATACCTGAATCGGGCTTGCATCTCGATAGCAATGTTGGTGGCCTGTTGGATGGCGTATGATACAGCAATGCCGATAACGTGAGGCATGAACATGGTGCCAATAGAAGCCATGTTGATGGCATTCAGCCAAGGATCCGCAGCGCTCGACTTTTGCAGTGTATCAAGAAAGTCGAGCCAGGTCGTCTGGTCGATGCTCACATCTTGTAGCATCGGCGCGTAAGCTCGAATGAACCCACGCGAACGGTCTCTTGGGCGTCGCTGAGGAAGAACGACAGGCAGCGCGAGCTGTCCGGTCGAGAAGCGATCAGTATTTTGACAATACTTATCGAAAAAGGTGAGCTTGGGTTCTGCGTCAACGGCAGTTCGGGTCTGTCCCTCGGCAATCTGGTCCTGAGCGTCGTCCAGATTCCACTCATTCTCAAGATCCCCTCCGGCTTCATCTGCTTGTGAAGTCGATAACGATTCGCTAACTGCATCAGCGCTTTCCGAGCGCGGCGCTGTCGGACGTTCACCTTGAGGGCTTTGGCGTTCTGTTTTGCGTGATTTGATGCTCTCAGATGCCAAGCCGACGGCTCCAGAGACACTCCTTATTCCTGCTCGTACAAACCCGCCTTTGCGACCCCCGTTTTCGACATCGTGACGAACCATAGCAGATTGGTTTTGGAAGAAACTCGTTTGACTGTCTTCTCTTTGGGTTTCAAGATGGAGGGCGAGCTGGAGCAGGAGGATCCACATAAGTACAAACACAGGGTCCACCAAGCTTCTCCCGAACCAATCTAAGCCTTGGTCGAACCGCCCGTCGAACCGGATATTGTGGCTTGCACCTGACTCAAGCCATGTCAGCCTCTTACTTTCGGGTCATGTCAAAACGCTAGCTTGATGAGTTGTCCCGAACTTTGATTACGAGGATGTTAGCCGCCCCGCAGCTAATCGGCGCCACAATCGTTCGTTGCAATCCCCAGCTGCGATTTTTCCTCGCTGTGCTGATCTCTCTCACTCTACACTCGTCCCCATGATGACACAAAAGCATTATAAGACGTAGCAAGACACAGTTTGTTCTTCCATGTTCTTGGGACCAGAGACCTTCTCGCAGAGATTCGATGAGACGACGCATGTCAGCGAAGTATGCTCGATCCTTCGACTTGTCGTGCCTTGACACAGCTACAAGCGCGATAGACTTCGGCTAGGATCCTTCCAAGCTGTCTCTCATTCTTCTTTCCTGACCTTCTACACATGCTGACAGGTCAGCTTTGTGTTGTCAGACTGACATTTTATCCTTCTCGCGCTCTGATGCACCGTGACCATGTCTGTCTATACAGACGCCGTGGAATGCTCGCCTTCTATATAGGAAGCATTGGCAGACTGTTCGGCTGATCTGCGTCGGTAGCCATGGCTTTCTTCACTATCCTGTTGTCCCTCTGTGGACTCTCCACTCTCTATCTGGTTGGAGCACTCATTCTTCGCAAGTTTTCCGATTCGCGATTCAAGTCATTGCACAGATGTCTCGACCCGCCTGCGTTAGCTCAGCGTGAGCGGATCATCGGACTTGATCTGCTGAAAGACGGCGCTGCGGCCGTCAAAGCCAAGACAAGCTTGGAAGGCGCTGTCCGTCGCATCGCATCCACTGGCAATACTTTTTCCAACACCGTCGTCGGCCTCAACATCATAACTACCATCGATCCTGCCAATATCCAGACCGTCCTTGCTCACAAATTCAACGACTATGACCTGGGAGGCAGGATTTATGCCTGGGGTCCGCTTGTCGGCAAGGGCGTATTCACATCTGACGGTCCTGAGTGGGCCCACAGGCGTGCAGTCCTTCGACCAAACTTCAACAGACAACAAATCTCTAGCCTGGACATGTTCGAGCGGCATTTCAGTCATCTCTTGGCCTTATTACCTCAGGATGCATCGACTATCGACCTACAAAAGCTGTTCTTCAGCATGACCCTCGACTCGGCCACGGAATTTCTATTTGGACAAAGCGTCGGTGCTCAAGGGGCAGGTCAAGGAAGTGAAGCTGATCGCTTCCAAACTGCTTTCGACTACGCCCAACATCAGATGCCCGACCGCAATCGCCTTGGTATCATGAACCTGCTCGTCCCAAACGCCAAGTTTAACGCTGCCTGCAAAGTCGTGCACGCATGGGCCGACACATACATAGAGCAATGGCTCAAAGATAGAAACCACGACAAAAAGGAAAACTCCTCGAGTGAAGCCACAAAGTATTTCTGTCTCGAGCAAATTGCCGACGAGATCCAAGATCCGATGCAGCTTCGTGACGAAATGCTCAACGTGCTACTTGCCGGAAGAGACACTACCGCAGGACTGCTCTCCAACACATTTCATGTCTTGTCGCGACATCCTGATGTCTGGACCAAGTTGAAGGCGGAAGTCGACACTCTGCAGGGTAAACCCCCCACTTACGAAGACCTGAAAAGTCTGAAGTACCTCAAATGTGTCCTGAATGAAGGTAAGCTCCCCGTACTCTTCGCTGTCACGATCCTCCCGCCTAATGATTGTAGTTCTTCGTCTGTATCCTCCCGTGCCAACTAATGCACGCTATTCCAAAGTCGATACCGTTCTGCCCACTGGGGGTGGTCCGACTCGCACATCGCCTGTCTTCGTTTCCGCGGGTTCAATCGTCGTTTTCTCAATCTACGCTTTGCATCGACGTCACGACATATATGGCCCTACAGCTGAAGCCTTCGATCCCGAACGATGGGCTGCGGATTCGCCCGACGGCCCTCTCAGGCCGGGATGGGGCTTTATTCCCTTCAGTGGCGGCCCAAGAATTTGTGTTGGCCAGCAGTATGCTTTGACGGAAGCTAGCTATACGGTCATCAGGATGTGTCAAATCTTCAAGGAAGTGCAGTCCAGAGATGACGGTCCTTGGAGAGAAGGTCTTGGATTGACCTTGTGCAGTGGTGAAGGTACCAAGGTTGGATTGGTCCCAGTGTGAAATGTGGGTTTACATAAGAAGCGGGGAACAAGAGGATGTGCCTGATTGCATGTATTCTATAAACACTTGCTCTGGTATTCGCTTGTTTCGCGCTCTCCTCCCGTAATTATCTGCCCGAGTGACCTGTCTGGATGCAAGATTTTCCCCCAAAGCAAGGTCACTGCTCAGAAGCAGTGATGCCAATGAGTTGTGAGCACTCACTCATATAACTCATAACTCATTTAACTCATGCTATATGAGTCATGAGTTAGAAAAGTCATGAGTACTCATAACTCATGAGTGCTCATAAAGAAGACAGGGTCGCCCTCGCGAAAGACAGGGTCGCCCGCGCGGCGGACCCCTAAAATTTCCAATCTGGGGTTAACTAATTAGATCGCTCCCTGGCCGCAACCAATTTCATCACTTACTCAATAACTCATGAGTGCTCATAAGTGCTCATGGCTATGAGCACTCATAAGTTAATGAGTGAGCTTACTTACGAGTTATAGAGTTATGAGTTATCCCAAAATCCATGAGTGAGCACTCATTAGCATCACTGCTTAGAAGAGCCTGTCAAATGATGGCTTTCGATATACATCCGCTGAACAAAGGATACTGAGTCACACTAAAGCTATTGCTCATCTTAGGGATTGAGAGACTGTCTTTAGGCTTCTCGTCCACACTAATCGGATCAGCGCAGTCCGGCGTTCTAGGCGACGTAAAGGTGCACAGGTGCATCTGTTTCCAGTCTCCAATGCAGCATTGCTTTCCAGTATTAAAAGAGCGACATCATTCACAACAACACGCTACTACGCATTTAACAGGCAGTAGGCCAGTAGCGATATCTGTTTGTCCTCGTTCACGTTTTCAAGGGTTTTTAGAGTGTGGTTTGCAGGAGCACCCTGGTCTGTGCCAAGAAAAATGGAGCCGCTGCAAAACTGCCATTTCCACACGTTGACGAGTGTCAGATCCTTCTAGCGTTTTGCCATCTAACTCTATTTCGCCATAATCGCGAAGCGAATTTGATTTGTATGAAGGCACAGTTGTTTTCTGGAGCGATAAAACAGCTTGGGAGACACATCCCTTCATCTCTTAGAGCATACTGTACACGGCTTCACCTATGACAAAGTTGAGCAAACGAAGAGAGCGCGTTTGCAAACGTAACTATCGCAGAATCAAGTACCAAAAGCTATGTACTCGTATTATGGGTCCCAGATACGGAAAGGTTGCGCAAAACACACATGGAATTTAGACTTCAGTAGTAGCGCCGAGAAATGGAATACGACAATCGATGCGACGGAAAATATAAGAGAGCAACGCCTGCCTCACTGATCTCTGAACAAATGCCTTCTTCCCCAGGCGGACCCATTTCATCAGCAAGATCACTTTTCCGAGATGGTCGTGTACACCAGTTTCTCTGCGCTGATCTCCTTGCGACGCAGAAGATCAACGCCGCCAATGACCGCTTCGAGCCCGCCGTCGCTGACCTTTGCGGGATGAGTCTTTATCTGGCCATCGGCAAGCAACTTCTCCACAGAGTCGAAGAACGGAATTGCAGATTCAGACAACTCTGGATCTGCGTCGCTGGTGAAAGGTGCAGGCCAGTTGCAAGGCATACCCGTGATGCGGAATGCAACAACCCAGTCTGACTTGACAATCTTGCGAGTGGCTGCGACGTGCGCGGGGAAAGGGTCCATGCCAATATAACGGCCACCAGCGCGCCCGATGGCCCCGTAACAGATCTTCATGCTCGACTCTTCGGTAATGCAGTCAATAGCATATCCCAGGCCGTTCTTGGTGTACTTTTTGATGTCTGCCCCACATGAGGGCGAGCGGTAGTCAAAGACGGCCTCGGCGCCGAAGGATTTGACAAAGTCGAAGTTCTTAGGCGAGCATGTCGTGATAGGTCTGAGACCGGCTCTTCTCAAAAAGTCAGCTTCATCGGGTCTATAGGCTAAGAGTGTTCACGTACCTCTTGAGCATCTGGATCACCATTGTGCCCACAGAAGTACTGCCTCCGTAAACAAGGATGGGGAAAGACTTCTCGGCAGGCTTATCAATCAAAGACATGGGAATGTTCATGGACCAGAACACTGCAAGGACGGTAGTGTTGAGAGCGGTTGGAAGCGTGGCGGCATCCTCGAACGACATGTAATCAGGAATGCGAAGGGCCAATTCGCCAGGCAGTGCCGTGTATTCGGCAAAAGCACTGCCTGAAGGTCGCTCTGGATCCATACCGCATGCGCTGCCGCATACTCGCTCTCCAATCACCCAGCGCTTGCGCACGGCTGAGCCCACGGCCACGACCGTGCCGGCGCAATCAAACCCGAAAATCGCTCCAGGCGTAACAAAATCCCCGGTCAGTTTGGTGTCCACGGGGTTTAGTGCGACAGCGTGTACTTTGACTAGGATTGCATTGGGAGCGAGGTCAATGACAGGCGCATCGTGTACGACTGTGAAGTTTCTGTCGGGTCCGGCAATGATTGCCTTTTGGGTCAGAGGAATGTCAATCGTGCGTGCAATCATCTTGATAGTCGAGTTTGGTAGGGGACGAAAGAAGAATGTCAAGCGAGGTAGGAAGGGAAGACGTCTATGCGATGCGCAAGAGTAGAGATGACGAGGAGATGTGTTTGTGGGTATTGCTAGACCTATCGCACGAATGTTATTATATATCCGCGATGTTTTATGAGATGACAGTCTGACTGTACAGAGTATTCTTGCTGACGTCTTCTGGTATACTCGAGTAGGCCAGAAGGACGTGGCTTGCCCCACAGTCTGACAGACAAGAGCCGCAAGCAGACCCAAGACAAGCCGCAAAGGTTGGCAGTGCTTGACTAAAGGACGTAAGTTAACTCTCGCCTATTTGCATTTGTATGCAGGCTGAATTATAGCTTGTAATGTTTTTTCCCCGTGTGCTAAACTTTGTCACTCGAGTCCCTGCGGGTGGGTTAAGCTGTCAAGCACAGTGCATTGAGCGGGTTATCTGTCTATGAAGAGTGGCTCAATACTGTACACTTGCTTCCAGAACTCCATTGAGATAGGGGGATTAGTACTGTGCATGTCTACAAGCGAAAGCGGAGCGTCTGCGGGTGGCTTGACGCGTCGCGCAGTCGCCCGTGATACTCCAAATTGGTGCTCAGAAACCATGCCCACTGCCCAGAGATTCAAAACCCGCCACGCCAAGTTTACCCCAGATTTCAATGGAACCTTGAATACGAGAATAGAGGCGTGCTGAGTTTGGCTCGCGTATCTTCCGGGATTCACCGTACCATTTTGAAAGCGAAAAACCCTCTGCAGGGTTGTTAATTGAGATACTCTGGGTAAAGGTGGCCAGATAGAAAGACGCTGTGCATTACCACAGAGGCTCGGACACCTGGTGCCAACGAGGACAAGCGGAAATGACAAAGCTCACATCGATCCCAATATCCGTGCGCAGCTCGGTTGGCAGCGTGCGGCTCGTGTCGAAGCCTGGGCTTGCGCTGTCGCATCCTCCTCAACTTCCTTCCTGCAATCCTGCAATCCTGAGCCTCTGTCCAGACTGTCAGCGGTAGTCAGATTACTGTCATGTCACGAAGCTGCTCCAAAAGTGACGGGGTCATCATGTATACCACGAACATGAAAAAATCTATCAACATGCGACAATATATAGATGGTTATCTACCGCTGTCAGTCTCATCTCCATCATCATCACCATCATCATCACCACTGCCCAGCAGCCCAGCACTCCAGACACCATCTCAGAAGCCGAACGAACTCTGTCGCAAAGATCCTCCAATCATCAGACTCTTCTGATCTCAATCGCTAATCAATCATCTCTCTCAAACCCACACCAACAACCTACAATGTCTGGATACAAGAACGAGCCTATCGCCATCATTGGCAGCTCTTGCCGCTTCGCCGGCTCGGCCACTTCTCCCTCCAAGCTCTGGGATCTGCTCAAAGAGCCTACCGATGTCTTGACCAAGATTGATCGCTTCGATGCGGATCACTTCTACCACCCTGATGGCCATCATCACGGTACCAGTAATGTCAGGCACGCCTACATGCTTGAGCAGGATGCAAAGGCATTCGATGCTACCTTCTTCAACATCCAGGCCGGTGAGGCTGAATCCATCGACCCTCAACAGCGTCTCATGCTGGAGACCATCTACGAGGGTCTTGAGTCCGCTGGTATTGCCCTTGACGATCTGCAAGGTTCGGACACCGCCATGTTCTCCGCTGTCATGTGCGAGGATGCTTCTGGCATCGCTTTCCACGACAACGAGTCAATCCCCAAGTACGCTGCCACTGGAACCGCTCGTAGCATGCTGGCGAACCGTATGTCCTACTTCTTCAACTGGAACGGTCCTTCCATGACCATCGACACTGCTTGTTCCTCGTCCCTGGTTGCCGTCCACCAGGCCGTTCTTTCGCTGAGAGCTGGAGAGTCGCGTGTCGCCGTCGCAGCCGGTACCAACATCATCCTATCTCCTCGTAACTTCATCGCCGAGAGCAATCTCAACATGCTTTCGCCCGACGGCAGATCCCGCATGTGGGATGCCAATGCCAATGGATATGCTCGTGGCGAAGGTGTTGCCTCTGTCATATTGAAGACCTTGACCCGAGCCCTTGCTGACGGTGACACTATCGAATGCATCATCCGCGAGACAGGAGTCAACCAAGACGGCCGCACCCCTGGTATCACTATGCCTAGCTCCAAGGCTCAGGGCGATCTGATCCGCTCAACTTACCGCAAAGCTGGTCTCGATCTGACCAAGAGCTCCGATTGCTGCCAGTTCTTCGAGGCCCACGGTACTGGTACCAAGGCTGGTGACCCTCAAGAGGCTGGAGCGATCTACCGGGCATTCTTCGAAGATACTGGTATCACGGACGAGATACTCCATGTCGGATCCATCAAGACTGTCGTGGGTCATACTGAGGGTACTGCCGGTATCGCTGGTCTCATCAAGGCCTCGCTGGCCATCCAAAACAGTACCATCCCTCCTAAGCTGCTCTTCGAGACGCTCAATCCTGATCTGGAGACCTACGCCCAGAACCTGAAGGTTCCAACCAAGGCCTTGCCATGGCCCGAACTGCCCGTCGGAACACCTCGCAGAGCGAGTGTCAACAGCTTTGGATTCGGCGGTACCAACGCCCATGCCATCATTGAGGCATATGAGCCAGTCGGTAGCTCAGTGACCAAAGCTGTCGCGCTCCCTTTCACCTTTTCCGCACCTTCCGAGAAGGCGCTCGGGATGCAGCTTGACACTATGCTTTCCTTCATTCGCAAAAACCAGGATGTCAATCTTTCGCAGATGGCACTCACGCTCGCACAGCGCTCAACTCTCACCATCAGAACTGCCATATCTGCTCTTACCGTCGAGTCTCTTGCGGAGACGATTGAAGCCAAACTTGAGGGCAGAAAGTCAAACAACACACCTCTTGGTAACAGAGCCGCAAAGGACTCCACCAACATTCTCGGTGTCTTCACTGGCCAAGGTGCCCAGTGGGCTGCCATGGCTCGCGAATTGATTCTGTCCTCACCTTTCGTAGAGAGTATTGTCAATGATCTCGAGCAGTCTCTCGCTCAGCTACCCGAAGCAAGCCGTCCTGATTGGTCGCTCAAGAGTGAGATGCTGAAGCAAGGCAAGGAGTCACGCATTGGTGAAGGCCTGATGTCGCAACCTATTTGTACCGCTGTTCAGGTCATCCTGGTCAACCTCCTCACCAAAGCTGGTATCTCATTCAATGCAGTTGTCGGTCATTCCAGTGGAGAAATCGGCGCTGCATATGCCGCTGGCTTCATCTCTGCTCACGATGCAATTCGCATTGCCTACTACAGAGGATACTACGCCAAGTACGCTAAAGGAGCCAACGGTGAAAAGGGATCCATGGTTGCTGTTGGAACTTCGATGGAGGATGCCGAAGAGCTGTGCGCGCTCCCCAGTCTCGAGGGCCGTATTCAGATCGCAGCATCAAACTCCTCTTCCAGTCTTACTCTTTCCGGAGACGAGGATGCTATCGTAGAGGCCCTCGAAATCCTCAAGGACGAGAACAAATTCGCCAGGCAACTCAAGGTGGATACGGCATATCACTCTCACCACATGATCCCTGCCTCTGACAGGTATATCAAGTCATTGGAAGAGTGCGATGTCCAGATCTTGACTCCACCTGAGAATGCTCCAAGATGGTTCTCAAGCGTCTACGGCGGCGACCAGATGTCAGAGGATAACGATGATCTCACCGGCCAGTACTGGGCCGACAACATGCTGCAGCCCGTACTCTTTTCGCAGGCTCTGACAGCTGCCTTGGACGAGGCTGGTACGCCCGCTTTCGCAATGGAGGTCGGCCCTCACCCCGCGCTCAAGGGACCTGCCAGCGCTACGATTGAGGAGGTAACCGGTGGCAGCATTCCCTACACCGGTACTCTCTCACGCAACGCCAACGATATCAAGTCTCTTGCCGAATCCCTTGGCTTCATCTGGACCTATCTTGGTGCCCAGACTCCCAACTTCAAAGCGTACAATGCTTTGTTCGGCAACTCTAGACAGGAGGTCCTCAAGAATCTACCTCAGTACACTTGGGACCACGACCGCACCTATTGGTACGAATCTCGTGTTTCACGTCTCTTCCGTGCGCAGCGCCCTCAGGCCACCCATGAGATTCTGGGTGTTCGCATGGACTCTGAACTTGAAGGCGAGTACCGCTGGCACAACTTCCTCAAGCCAAGCGAAATCTCTTGGCTGCGCGGCCATACTGTGCAAGGGCAAGTTCTCTTCCCGGCTGCTGGATTCGTTGCTTTGGCTGTCGAAGGCTCCAAGACTTTCACTGCTGATGAAACGGTCGCGCTCATCGAGCTGCATGACTTTAGCATCCACAACGCTCTTGCGATCGCCGACGAGAGCTACGGTGCAGAGATCATCACTTCGATCAAGAGCATTGTCAGAGAGAATGACACTATTACTGCACAATTCAGCTGTGATGCTTGCACGAACAGAGATACTGGCAGCATGTCCAGCATGTCCACGGGCAAACTTGTGATCAGACTTGGAGAACAGTCCGAGTCGGCTCTCCCCATCAGACCTACTCCCAAGCATGAGTTGAGAAAGGTCAACGTCGAGAATCAATATGCTAGTTTCAATGACATCGGCTACAACTACAATGGTGTCTTTAAAGCCATCACTTCGCTCAAGAGAACCACCAACCTGGCCATGGGCAAGATCCTCGTACCCGAAGACGCCACAGGCTCTGATGCTTCATTCACTGTCCATCCCGCTGTTCTTGATGTTGGTCTTCAGGTTACTCTGTGTGCCATCGGTGCACCTTTCGATAGCCGCCTATGGACTCTGCATGTTCCCACTGTCATTAGAAGAATCAAGATCAATCCTATGGTCTGCCCAGCTGAGGGTGGTCGTGGATCTGAAGTTCTTGCCAACTCGGTACTTGCAAAGCAGGAAGCTGGCGATCACGGTTTCACTGGTGACCTTTCTATCTATGATCCTACAGGCGCCAACTGCTTCGTCCAGCTTGAAGGTGTCAGAGTCGAGGCTCTTGCTCGTCCCAACAAGGCGAGTGACCGTCACATGTTCGCAGAGTCTGCCTGGTCGGTTCTTGAGCCGAACGCTGCTACCTGCTTCAAGGAGACTCGCGAGACAGATGATCAGAGGAACCTATCCATGTTGGTTGAGCGTGCCTGTTTCTTCTATTTGAAGCAGCTCCATGAGACCATCACTCTCGAAGAGCGCGCAGGATGTGACGCTGACCGCTTAGCCATCTTGAACTGGGCTAAGCATCTCGTCGAGACTACTGCCGAGGGTTCGCACCCTCATCTGCAATCCGAGTGGCTGGCCGATACCGAATCCTCGCTCAAGCCTCTTCTCCTCTCAGCCGCTGAGACCTCTGACGACATGCACAAAGTGATGTTCGCTGGTGAGATATTGATCCCATTCGTCCGCGATGAAGCCAACATGCTCGAGGAGTTCAAGAACCACAGCCTGCTGGACTGGTTCTACAAGTCTTCGACTGTGATTGCGGACTACAACGCATGCATGGGTGCTGTTGTCAAACAACTGGCTCATCGTTTCCCTTACATGAAGATATTAGAGATCGGTGCTGGCACCGGAAGCGCCACTCAAAGTATCGTGGAACAGATTGGCGAGAGTTACTCTTCATACACTTACACCGACATCTCCGCTGGCTTCTTCAGCGACGCTGCTCAACTTTTCAAAGAACATGGTCACGGCTTTACCTACAAGGTCCTCGATATCGAGCAAGATGTCGTTGAGCAAGGATTCACCGAAGGCACATACGACTGTGTAGTCGCTAGCAACGTTCTCCACGCCACCAAGTCGCTTGATCAAACCTTGAGCAATGCTCGCAAACTCTTGAAGCCTGGTGGTTACCTCGTCATGCTTGAGATTACTCAAATTGAATGGCTGCGTACTGGTCTCTTCTTCTCTTGCATTCCCGGATGGTGGGCCGGTGTTGAGGATGGCCGTCCTTACACTCCCTTGGCCACCGAAACTCAATGGGACTCTGCGTTCCGTCGCACAGGCTTCTCGGGCATCGACACTGCCACTCCCTCGGACAAGACAATCATGGGACCTTACTCTGTGATGGTCACGCAGGCACTCGATACTCGTATGGAAATCATGAGAACCCCGCTCAAGTCTGTACCTGAGAAGCATCTTTGCGATAAGCTTCTTATTGTTGGAGGCAAGAAGGCATCCACTCTCCAGATCGCTCGCGAAGTTGAAGAGCTCGTCAAGCCATACTACGGCTCTGTCGCCATCGTCACAACTTTGCAGGATGTTGGCAAGCACAACTTTTCATCCAAGGATGCTCTCATGTCTCTGACTGAGCTCGATGAGCCCCTCTTCAAGTCGTTCAGCGAGAAGATGTACAAGGCAATGCAGTTCGTCCTTGACGAAGCTCGCAATGTTCTCTGGACTGTGCAAGGATCCAGAACACAGGACCCTTACGCAAGAATGATGATGGCTGTTGCCCGATGCTTGGCCGGTGAACGTAGAGATGCGCTCTACATGCAAACCATTGACTCCAACATTGATGAGTTGCCCAAGCCTCAACTCCTCGCTGAGACCATGCTGAGAATGCACCTCGCTGAGCAGTGGAGAAATGCATCAACCCCTTACGAGCCGCTCTGGTGTCTTGAGCGTGAGCTGCATGTCAACAACGGTGTCCTGGAGATTGAGCGCTTCATCCCCAGTGAAGAACTTGACAGCCGTTACAACTCTGACAAGCGTGAGATCAAGAAGGGCATGCCGCTGAGCACCACAACCGTTGCAGTCAGCCAAGCCAAGTCCGCTTACCAGCTTAAGGAAGTCTTCAATATGCCCTTCCACAAGGAAGTCGTCAGTGCCGCCGACATGGTGACCATCAACGTCCGCAAGTCGTCCATCAGTGCTGTCAAGATCAAGTCAGTCGGTACCCTGTTTGTCGTCCTTGGAACTCAGGTCGGTACTGGGAAGAAGCTGTTGGCTTTCTCGCAATGTCTGCAATCCTCAGTGGCTGTGCCCCAAGACTGGACAGTGGAGTGCGACGTTGCAGACGAGTTTGAGAGCAGCATCATTTGGGCAGCTGCAACTCACAGTGCTGCTGACGCGATCATTGGCAAGGTGAATTCCAAATCTTCCTGTCTGGTTCACGAAGCCACTCCATCCCTTGCGAGAACTCTGCTCAATGTCGCTGGCGAGAAGAAGTTACCTCTGCTTCTCACTTCGTCAAAGTCGACCAATGCCATATATCACTACATACATCCTTCGACTTCTCAGGCACTGATTGATTCACACCTTCCTCAGAATGTCTCAGTCTTCGCCGATCTGTCCGGTAGCTCCGTCGAACACGATGGTGTTGGAAGTCGCATCGCTCGCGCCCTTCCCACTGCATGCAAGCGCAGAGATGTTTCTGGTATCTTTGGGAGCGATGGCTTCGTTCATTCCGAGAACAATGTCTCTAAGGCTCTTCGAGGATACCACAGCCGCGCAATTGTGGATCTTGCATCCTTCCAGGACCCCGCAACCATCGCTCTCGCGAGCTTGCCTGACAACACAGTCGAAAGTGACAGCTTCAAGATCATCGATTGGGCTGCTGATGAGTCGGTGCCGGTCTCGACTTCATTGGTCAATGAGCAGCTTCGCTTCCGCTCTGATGGTACTTACTGGATGGTTGGTGCAACCGGTGAGCTTGGTCTCTCCACTTGCCAGTGGATGGTCAACCGTGGAGCCAAGTACTTCGCCCTGACCAGCAGAAATCCAAAGGTTGAGCAAGCTTGGATGGATACTATGACTGCCCAAGGTGTGACTGTCAAGATCCTTGCGATGGACGTCACAAGCAGAGACTCGGTCCGTGCTGGCTACAAAGACATTTCTGACACTATGCCTCGTATCGCAGGTGTCACCAACGCCGCCATGGTGCTCGATAACAATCTGCTCACTAATATGCCTTACGAGTCTTTTGTCAAGACGCTCAAGCCCAAGGTTGATGGCACTCTGTTCCTCGACGAGTTGTTCCCCGAAAACAATCTCGACTTCTTCATCGTGTATTCTTCCCTTGCTTACGTTGCTGGCAACCACGGTCAATCTCCCTATGCCGCAGCAAACGGATTCATGACGGCTCTAGCAGCTAACCGTAGAGAAAGAGGTCTGGCTGGTAGTGCCATGAGTTTCGGCGCCATCTCTGGTGTCGGCTACGTCGAGCGCCGTAGCGTGGACATCAACCTCAGCCAGATGATGAGCAACCTCGGCTACGCACCCGTCTCCGAGTGGGACTATCACCAATTCTTCGCCGAAGCCGTCCTCGCATCTCCTCCGGATTCAGGCAGAAACTTCGAGATTTCGAGTGGTTGCAAGGTCTTTGATGTCGCCAAGGAGTCCAACCTCCCTTACTGGCTTGACCTGCCCAAATTCGCTTACTACCGTCGTGTCAAGGCACATGCCTTTGCCGAGCAAAGTGATAAGCGCCAGGTCTCTGTCCGTGCCCAACTCAAGGCGCAAACAACCGAGGAAGGTGTGCAAAAGGTTCTCCTGGACCGCTTCATCTCCGGCTTGTGCACTATGCTGCACATATCTGAGGAAGACAACAGAATCACACCCGAGACCGGCTTGACCGAACTTGGTATTGACTCTTTGGTTGCTGTTGAGATCCGCTCATGGTTCCAGAGCGAAATTGATCTTGATATGCCTGTGCTCAAGATCCTAAGCGGTGCTAGCATTGAGAAGATGGTAGAAGACGCATTCGAGAGACTTTCGCATGACTTGACGCCGGAGGTCAAGAGAGAAGAAGTCAAGGTTGAGGATACGCAAGAAAAGGTTTCGCAAGAAAAGGTCCCGAGTGAGGACAATTACCAGAGTGAGGCCCTCATGTCTTCAGCTGATGTTTCGGACAACTCGAGTGCAGATGGAGAGGCATAGCCCCAGTAGATTTTAAGTTAGGAGTTTAGGATTAGGTGACTCTTCAATCAAATTTGGCTTTTACTAAGTTCTTACTGTATATGTTTGGTCCATTTTAACATATAATGTTTTTAGGGTATTGCCTCTCAGGGTATTACTCTATTTGAAGAACCGAACAAAGTGGAGCGAACGCCCTCTTCGGCTTCAATTTGTCGTGATGAAGGCAGTAATGATAGTTCACACCCCAGTTCCAAACTCACTCTCCTTTCATCAACCAACGACGGCAAACACCTTCCCACAGTATATCTGCCCCGTCCGGCCCTTCTTCTTCAGCCAAGTTCAGCAATTCTCCCAGTCTTCCCTCCAATACAGAACTAAGTGTCGTCTCTCTCGCCATTCCTTCGTTGGGTAAGACAATGATCGCTTCCTTTGCACTCTTGTCGAATTTCGCCCATGGAGCTTCACCATCAACCATGTACCGGATGTATCTTTCTCTCCACTCTCTGATCTTCTTCACATAGTCTTCAGGCAGCCTACCTTCGTATGCTCCTAGCAAAGCCACAATGTCCCAAGTATGTGATGCAAACTTCTGCTGTTCAAGAGGACCACGGAAAGGGTTTCCGAGATCAAACAGTTGGAAATACGTGGTTGATTTGTCGGCTGTTCCTTTGACCATGGACAACGCTGCCGAAAAGAAACCAATATCAGACTCGAATTGGCAGATCTTCTCAAGCGCTTCTTCGTCGCCAGTGCTCTCGTTAACGTCGTAGATCTTCAGCAATCTTTCGGGGTTGTTGAGCACTTCTTTGGCAATCTTGATGAAGCTTTTGGCGTGGTTTTTACGTTTGTCATCTCCTCTCATCATGATATTTGATATGCTGCCGTCGTAGGTGCAAGAGCTGATGATTTGAGATTCCAACCAGTCAACTTGATCGACTTTTCCAGCAGCGATGGATTTCTGATTCGCATGGTCTTTGTGCGGAATGATCTCACTGTCGACGCATGGCTGGCCGACGTAACTCAGATCTCGTATTTTGGCGATATCACAAGCGATCATCTTTTCAGCGATTTGCTTGCTAGTGAGGCTTTCGGTGCTGATCTCCAGCTTCTTTGCCTGAGCGATGAAGTTGTCCTGATGTTCTGACGGAGTCTTGTCGGGCATTGTCAAGGGTGTGCCGGAAAACATGATTGAACGCTTGTAAGGAGGATCTTTTCTTCCGCTGAGATTGTGCAGACTCAAGCTCTCTCCACCAGCTGATTGACCAATAGCAGTGATATTATCCTTGTCACCGCCGAATCCATCAATGTTCGTGCGAAGCCATTCGAATGCAGTGATCTGATCATGCAATCCATTGTTCGGAGGGATCAAGCCCTCGGACTTGGGAGAGTAGAAGAATCCCAGAGCTCCAAGGCGGTAATTGACAGAAACAAAAATCAGAGCTTTGTCCATGGCTAAAGCTTGTTTGCAGAAGGTGAGTGGGTCGTAGTATTTCCGCTGTCCAGATCCAATAAAGAAAGCTCCACCATGTAAGAACACGACCACCGGCAATTTTGACGAAGGCGTCACGTTCTCCGGAGATGTGATTGTAAGTCGCAAGCAGTTTTCATCATCTTCCTGTTCTGCGACATCATCTGGCAGCTGGTTCGATTTTGCATCCATGTGAGCAGACTTCAAAGGCTGGATGCTTTGAGGCCCTTGTCTTGTCGCATCGTATGGTTCTTTCGGAAGTGGATGAGCCAGATTCTTCTTCCTTGGGACGTCGTTGAGCACTTCAGATCTGGCGAAACGCTGTTTTATAGAACCGTAAGGTATGGCACGAAATTGTGTGAATCGCTCCGAGACAAAGACACCTTGGATTGGACCCAACAATGGGTGTTCAAGCAGACTGTTTGCCATTTTCAAAGCTTTCATCTATAGGCTACGATGATGAGGCACAAGTCAAGGGATGTTGTTTTGGAAAGATGGTGGTCGGTGGTCGATGGTCGCGATGTGGGGGTCATAGCGAAATCAAGACGTCACTGATCTCAAAACACGTGTCATGCTTCGCCGTTGCGACTTTCATTCTAGAACAACGTTATTGTACATCAGATGGTTCGCAAATATTGTGAGATGTAATTCGAAGCAGCAGAGTATGATTCCTGCCATGTATATCCTGACAGGAAAAAGTAGGGCTTACTCATATATTGAGCCCTACTTCACAACGCCAATTAACTTCCGCTTTGGGTCTAGTCGTATATATGAACCACCGTGGGTACAAAGAGGTGAGAAGGTTTCGGACAGATATATCATGACTCGAAAAGAAACGTATTGAGAGCGAAGGGCCGTTTCTATCTTCGGAATAGGGTTTGATACGAGAATGTGTGTTTGGTTAATGAATATGGCTGCCTCACGATCGGATTTGCTCAGGCGGCTTGCTATCGATGCAAGCCATTGCATATTGGAGTTGGTTGATGTTCAGTGAAGGAAGCCCTCGTCCTGAACTAAGCGATGCGACTATCCTGTCTGCGCCGCTGCATCCTACGAGCACTGCGCGAGACAGTGAACTCTTCTGCTGGTTTATCTTCTTGCTGCTTCCAGTCCAGAAACAATGACAAGGCAAGCATACATGGAATTGGCCAGAAGAGATTCTGTTGCTTCTGAGGAAGCAGCATTCGACCATCTTTCGGACACGAAACTGGAACAGAACTCTCGTCAATCAGCCGAAGCACATGCACCTCGACCGAACAGTCACAAAGTCTTACAATTGCTACGATCAAGAGCTCGTCTTTTGCAAAATCCTCTTGTTGTCATCATTCTGGTTCTTTTAACGCTGTGAGTGATATGACGCTTCTTCTTGTGGAACGAACTGACTGATACTCTCATTCCAGATGTCTGAGTCTCAGTGTATGGATAGCGTACTTGTCGGAGGGATTACATCGTATACCAGGAGACGGCCTTGATGATTTATTCAGTCCTCACATTACAAGAGAAAGCCCTTCCATATGGGATGACGAGCATCAGTCCCTCATCCACAAGGCATATCCAGTCGCTGTACATTCTCACAACGACTACTCGCAACGAATCCCCCTCTTCCAAGCTCTGGGCTCAGGCTGCATCAGTGTCGAAGCCGACGTACATCTCCGCAACTCAGATCTCCTCGTCGGCCATCATAAGTCCCAGCTGCATCCCAGCAAAATTCTGCAAACCATGTACTTGGATCCCTTGGAACGCATCATAAGAGCTCGGAACCCCCGTACAATCACCGGCGACTGGCGGAGTATCTTTGAGCTTGCAAGCAATCAAACTCTGGTTCTTCTCGTCGACCTGAAGACCGAAGGAACGAAGACACTTGCCATGCTGGTGTCGCAACTACAGCCATTGAGGGATCTTGGCTACCTCACACACTGGAACGGCACTGCAAGAGTGATGCGTCCGTTGACAGTCGTCGGAACCGGCAACACTCCATTTCTCAACGAAAACACCTATCGGGACGTCTTCTGGGATGCTGAGCTCAGTCAGCTTGTGTCCGAACAAGACACGGATGACTACTTTATCTACAACGTGTCGAATTCGTACTATGCCTCTACTCAGTGGAACAAAGCACTGTCGCGAGACGCCAAAACAAGATCTCAGAGCAATATTGCTTTGCAAATTGAGCGTGCAAAAGAGCGAGGCCTGTTAGCACGGTACTGGGACACACCAGCACAACCGCCGAATATGAGGGAGCTGGTGTGGAGGAGGTTGATCCAGAACGACGTAGGTGTGCTGAATATGGACAACATGGGCATAGTGAGAGACAGAGCCCAAGGCTGGGGAAGATTGATAAGGTGACAAAGCATCACTGCTTCTGTCAAGGCGTTGCTGCATTCTAAGTTTTCGTTTATATGCATGTCGAATAGAATCATCATGATTACTTTCTTCCAACAAAGGCTTCAGACCTGTTTCTCAAAGCTCATCCTGCTAGGCCACATCCTGTCAAAGAAGGTCATCAATAGCTCGTCGATGCGGTCGCGAAGTTTGCCAGTATCCTTCACATCGTCATTGAGACACAAGAATGCGAGCGGTCCTCTAGACCATCCCAATCGAGATCTCCAATCTTCGTACGTATGATCCTCCGACTTGGGATAGCTTGATCCAATAGTATTCAACTCCTCTTCTACCTTGAGCTCCACTTCGTCCAATTTGGTCTCCAATGTGTTGGCTCTTTCTACCTTGTAGAAGTCGCTTTCGACCGAGCCGAGGACGTAGGAATATCTCTGAATGAGTCGGGTACACCAGGTTCGAAGAGTCATGCCAGTTTCGAGAGAGCCCTTTGGTATGGCGTTTTTCATGGAGAAGTCCGTTGTCGCCCAGTCGGAGGTCAGAGGCAGATGCGGAGGGAGGGTGAGAGCGTCTGCATGAAGTCCAGGATCCCTGTCAGCCTGGTGATGCGGCAAGAACTTGTCAATACCAGATATCCCACTCGCACCGATTAGGGCAGTGATAATGCAATCGCCACATTCGGGTCTCTCAAAAGCTATGCGCTTGAAAAAGTTGTTGGCGGTCTCGTTCTGCGTATAGGATTCAAAGCAGGTTGAGCGCTTGATCACACATGCTCTAGCGGGGATGAAGCTGGGGTCTCTGAGGAGCTTGGACCCGTCGACTGTCTGGTTGTTCTCAAGAAGGCCTCTTGTGAGATCTGGGTAGCCATGCCTGGGTCGGTTCCAAGGCCAAGTTGAGTCAACATATGCTAGCGCATATCCGTCCTTGCTTGAGAAAGAGTACTCTGTCGAAGTAGGCATGCTAACGTTTGCAGCTTGGAAAACATGGCGGTCTTTCACCGGGACCCGGACAGGCATGGGAATGCTCAGACGAGACGCTGACGGTGATTCCTCATTGGCCAATTCATTCCACATGCGAGCTTTGAGCTTTGAGGACAGTGTACCGCTTCTTCCTCCCCATTTCGCTATGGTCCATGTCCATAGCAATGCTTCACGGTGTCTTTCTACAACATACCATGATCCCAAGAACACGGCCTGAACAGATGCCGGAACATCTTCTTGCGCACGGAATCGTGACAGCGCGGTATCGGTGAAGGCCTCAGGGAAGGTCTGAGCAGCTTCTCGAAGTAGTGGAAGCCAAAGAGTCCGAGGATGGTGGGTGATGTAGTAGTAAGGGCGTAATGAGAAGCGCATACCAAGAACCCACGCAGCACGTTTGATACCCGGCTCTTCGCCTGCTGGATTGATGGTTCGCCAAAATGTATCTTTCGCTGGCAAGTACATGCTCGTCAACCTCGTGAGCGTTTTGATGACCGGTCCGTACAAGGGGGTTGTGAAGTCGGACACGGAGAGTTTTCGCAGCGTGAAAAAGTCGTCATTGTAGTAGACAAGCTGGTCAGACGATGTATCCTCAATGTTCTGTATTTGTGATTCCACGGCGAGTGAATTGAAGGTGGGAATGGCGGCTTCCTTCCATTCTCCTCTTTCCCATGATGTAAAATTGGTTCCAGGCTTTTCGATTAGTTTGAAGTAGTCTGCGTCATGGTGCAGCACAATGCGACTTTTATTGGTGAGTGCCTTGTTGTTTTCCAGCCAGTAAGGAATTTGCCCAGCCATGACTTCATCACTGCCATTTGCGTGAGGGTACGCGCTGGCAAGAATGTGCAGTCTCTGCATAGTATCCTCGCCTAGGGATGTGAGGGCGGAGCGCATGGAGTAGAGCAGTTCATTGTGCTCAACATATCTGTGAGCAGCGTCCATCTTCATGGCTTTATCGGGCTTATAGCGTTGTCGTGTCGTTATCTGCAACGGATCTGAGCCATTTACCCAAGCCCACACTCCGTCAATCGAGAGTCCTGCGCTGAGATCCGTTCCAGTGCATGCGGGGCCCCATTGATGATGCGCAACCCATTCTTCCACGCACTCGTCACTCATAGAGTTGTAAGCCCGAATGAACAAAGGTGTGCGACTTGTCGGACCTCGATCTATGTTCCGGAAAATATGATGGGTGTCGTCCTCCTGTATCTGAGGTGGTCTTTCATCCAGGCTTGTGTACGGGTATGGTTCAACGACGAAATAGTACTTGCGGATGAGGAGCACCCAGAAGAAGATAGAAGTAACCATGATAGTCGCCTTGATAAAGGAGGATTTTCGTCTTGGAAGCCATGTCGATGGGAATGTGAGTCGAGTCCGAGCCTGTCGTAAGATTCCTGAGGGTGCTTGAGTTGAGTCCAGCAGGCCAGCTTGCGTCCAGTGGTCCTGTGACGGAATCGCAAGCCACCCTCGATTCCACCTTGACATATCAATGTGTTGATCTCGTGCGCAGAGGGAAGCTGCTTGAAAGTGTTCCGCGTGGTGGTGAGTGATTTGTGTCCTAAAAGCTGATAATTGCATCAAAGGAAATTCTCTGTTCGTGAATTGTCATGTTAACGGAATGTATTGAAAAGAAGGAGAGATAAGTTTGTGTTTCGGTGGTCGCGTGATCTCATGCCCTATTGTGAAATTGATCGCATATTCGATGTCTGATCTGGCTCTGAAGGGCGTTTGACATAGCGTGTGTGCGTGAAGGTAGATTAAATGCGGAGTACAAGGGGGTCCCAACTCCGGGTTGTTCGCCCTAGTTTCACTCGTTTGTTTGGACCAGTCCGACGAACAATTTCCTCTCCGGGTTTAGAGCGCACTGTCATTTCTCGCATACCGCTGTTCGCTTCCACTCCTGCTGCGGCTGTGCAAGCATTTTTCGGCGCATCTGTAGCGCCAGGGCGTCATGGCTCCAGATTTCCATGTTCCAGGGTTCATGCCGACCCGCGTGGGATTGCTCGCGTGCTCAACGGTTTCTCCAAAGCCAGCATGAGTCCTGACTCAAGCCAGTCATATTTGCCATGGCTGCACGAATCGCGTTCACCAGAGAGCGCTGGTAGAAATCTCGAAGGCTGCAAGTTTCGAGCAAACACTGCGAGTCGTCGCAAGTGAATTGAGTAAGTCTGGTCGGAGTTTGATCAATGGTTGTCGCTATTCGTGTTCTGGCAGCTGCTTATCGATGCAGGAGTCTCTTCCTTCTCGTATCGATGCGGCGATCTTCCAACAGGCAGATGAATTGAGGCACGGTAACCACGATACGAGGTGTAGGAATCTGGCTGCCTAGCCATATCAAGTTTGCGAATGCCAGCCCCTTTGGTGGAGGATCGGGCGCGCCAAGTGGCGTGCGACGTGGATGGGCTCATCGTGCACTGAATGAGGTGGACGTTGCAACTCTCGCTGTTCCGTATTACAGTATTGGTCCAAGGTCTTATGCTGCATTGAATAATTGGGAAGTTCGGCGAATAGTCTTGTTCGATACACAAGCCGAAGAGATCCTGAAGGCAACGCCTACGAGATCTTGCGTGGTTCTTGTTTGCGATGAGTGGGACGAAGCTTCCCCAGATTCAAAGCTGCACTCACAAACCCGTAGAGTAGGGGCGGCTCCCTCGATCGCGGACAGTGGCAATCGCTGATGTATGTAGAGATTGGTCTTGCAGGACTCCAGGTAGCGTGCGTGGGCGAGTCTCGTTGCCCTTGTTGTCGAGGCGAGGCATCATTTTAGAATCAAGGCTTTCCCGCAGTCTGATCCTTCCCGGAAGGAAGCCGTAGGGCAGGTATGCCTCAGAGCCACGACAGATTTGTCTCGCGACAGAAAGAACACTGATTTTGTTTGAAATCGAGTCTTCTGATATCGAGCCGAAAGAGAAAGAAGTCAGAAAAGAGGAGCAACGAGGTCCCGAGCAAGTTCTCATCAGCAGCAGCGAAGCTCGGAAGCCCCGGCTAGATCACTGAACAAAGGTTAAATCCCGGTCGTACTACGCGGTCAAATACTTCTACAGAGGAAACAGCGGCTCTTCTACAAGGTATACACGACCGAAACAATGATATTCTATCCCCAGAAAGCCTTGCCCTTCTTCCCCATCATCCAAGGCCCAGACTCTTCAGCCCTGCTCTCCAACACAACCATCCCAAGCCTCTTCTCATAAGCCTCTCGACTCTTTCCCTGCGACGTCCTCAGCATCGTCCACCGCAGATACGGTTTAGCTTCGAGATAATCATCGATGCAGTCAATCAGCCAACCTCCCAACCCAGTGCCTTGATATTCAGGAAGGACGTATAAATCTGTCACGTAGCCGAAAGTAGTGTTGTCTGTGATGAGGCGGACGAAGCCAATTTGTGTGCTGTTGTTGGTGTTGTATAGGCCCAAACAAAACGATCCTTGGATGGCTTGTTGCAGTATCTCTTCTGGGGCGCGAGTTGTCCAATATATCCAATCTTGGTCAAAAGCGTTGTTGATGGCGGTGAGATCGAGTAGAGACTTGTCGGAAGTGATGTGGTATTGACCCCGCGTCCATGTTTGGGGTTTCGACGCCGGATTCGAAGCCATTGTTGATGCAGAGAAGGAGCGACAAAGATATGGCTATCTTTTCAGTAAGCAGAAGATCGTAGTTTCCAAAGTCTTATGATTGATAGTGTCAATTCAAGAGACGGTCTGCTTGCTATATACACCTTCCAAGTCGATCTGGATATGAGTCACAGTGTGCTGCCAGAAACAAAAGAGTCATTCAATTATCAAGCACTTGCTAAGGTTCAGCGTCGCGGTTTGCAATTTCAGACAAAATAATTCCGTAGCATAGAGATTTTTGGTCAAGGTGTACTAAGCACGACAGGGGAAAGTTGATTGTAATGACGAACGAAGTGGGTTGCTAAATTATATACTACATGATCACTGCAATTCCGAGACTAAAACAACTAAGACCGATGACTGTAGAGAGTATGCTTCCCTGCAGCACTGAAGCTGAGCCTGTGTATAATACGTGGGTAGCAGAGCTGTGGATGATTGCGGATGTAGCACTGCTCTTTGCCGTGGAAGAAGCTGCGGGAGTCGCGTTCTTGTGCGGTGGAATTGTGGTGACAAAGACGTGGGAGCTGGTTGCATCAGTTTTGACATAGGGAATAGAGGCATCCGAGTGGCCAGCGGCTCGAGCTCCAGCACTCTCAGACCATGAGGCGGCAGAACCCTGACTGACAACGATGGTCGAGGCAGAAGACGAGACAAGGACCACGGGCAGACCGACGGTGCTTGTTCTCATTCTTCCGTCCACGGTGAAAAGTGGTATCGCACTTGGAATAGAGGCAGCGGCGGTATCCGAGGCTACAACAACCTTCGAACGATACATCGAAACGACTTGCGACTTGGGAGAAGTGGACTTGGAGACTGATCGGGACAATGAAGTGTTGATGGTCGCAGAGATTGAATCTGTGCTGGTGGCGGAAGTCGAGCCATTTGACAATTGGGTGGCCGCTGGATAGATTTCGGCAACGTCTGTCGCGGAAGCCAGAACAGGGCAAATAGTCGTGTACGTCTTCACAACATCGGTCACGTAAGTAGTCCTCTCCGAAGCAGGACAATTCTTCACGCCCAAAGTGCAAGCGGTGATGGTCTGAGCAGATGTGCTGTACAGAGTCGAGGTGGTGTAGGAGATGTTGCGAGATGGATGGTCCGATGCGGAATTGAGGCTCATGTCGGAATAAGTGGCCGACTGAGCAGCGTGAGTGACGGTAGCAGCACCGCTGATAGCTGCGGCGGAAACAGGGCAAATTGTGGTGTAGGCCAGGACAACATCGGTGTAGTATGTGGTCTTCTCCGAAGCCGGGCAGCTCACGACGCCTAGTGGGCAGGCGGTCACGGTTTGTATGGAAGTGCTGTACACTGTTGATGTGGTGTATTTTGTTTCTTGGCCTCCGTGCTCGGTTGTGGAGCTTGAAGATGACGCAGGAGCTGCAGTCTGGGCGATCGAGTACTCAGCGATGGTCTGCGTCGCAAGAAAAGTCGTCTTTTGCGAAGCGGGGTAGTCCTCGACGGTGGAAGGACACGCAGTGGCGCTGAAGGCTGCGGTGGTCTGTACTGTCGATGGGATGGGCCCGCTCGAGGAAGATCTCGCGATTGAGCTGAGAAAGTCACCCGTGCTGAGAGAGTTTGGAATCGTCGGAAAGGCGATAGCGACAGGAACACTACTGGTAGAAGCAGTGTGGTTGTGTTGTGGCAAGCTGAAAGTGTTCTGGAATGCAGGTGATGAAGACGTGGCTGTGGGAAAATTTGAGTTGAAGGTTGTGTTCAAGTAGATTGAAGAAGATCTTGTAATGTCTGCGAAGGTGGCGGAAGTTGTGTTCGATATGGAGGCGAGGCTAGCGCCTCTTGGATTGCCCGATTCCAATGAGGACGAAGATGGTGTGCCTGTATAGTTGGTAGATGGCGTAGCTGTGGCGCTCGTGTGGTTGTATGATGTTGCGGCAGTTATGGTCGAGTTGCTGAAAGAAGATGCAGAAGTAAATGAGGAAATAATGGTACTGTTTGCAATCACTGCAACGGGGATGATGGTGACGGTGGTTGAGTTCAAGAAGAAGACAAGGGTCGGTAGGGTGGTGTTGGTCGTTGCGTTTGCAACCGGGAGGATTACCCGAGTTGATGTGCGATGGGCAAGGACAGGAGGGAGTGTGATAGCAGGTGCGCTGGTAGTGGTGTTCGAATAAATTGAGAAAGATGTGCTTGTATTCGAAGCAATTGATGTGGTCGGGTCGGGAAGCAAAACAGTGATAGTCTCCAGGTAGCTTGTCTCATATGTTGATGTGTAAACAGCGGCCACAGTTTCGATGACAGGATAGAGACTAGTTATTGTGGCTATCGCAATGCCCTCGCAAGGATTAGTCGTGTATTTTTCGATGACCCCAAAATTCGCAGCTGCAGACTCAAGAGCCAGATCCCCATTCACCAGGTAGTATTGAGTCATGTAACCGTTCGAGTAGACATTGATTCCCGCACAAGGTGTGCCGTAGCTCGGAAGCATGCTGCATGCCATCACGGCAAGACTCAGAGGCGCGCCAATGCCTTGATTGTTGGCATAAGCGCGAATAGTTGTGCCTCCGCTCAGGCTGGAGCCAGAGCATTTGCGATTCCAGTAGACTGATCCGGATCCAAAGATACTGCTAGTGCAGGCCGATGCTGATGCAAGCAAGAATGGCATGGGGATAGCTTGATCGATCGGAGTGGCAGTCCCGACATGACATGTCGTGACGGTGGACGTGAGATCGGAGAAGCTGGTTATGGTGGATGTCGCAGTCTGGAATGAGGTCGCTGTAATGGTGGCTGTGGAAAGGCCAATTCGGGTGCTGAGAGTAGAAAGTGCGCTTGCCGATTGCGCCGAGACAGCAAACAGAGCTGCAATAGAAACGCTGTACTTCATGATTAAAGGAATGCCGAATCTGGAGATTCGTGGTATAATTAGAAGGGGATAGAAGATTGAATGAGAGGCTGAAGGAATGGACAAAGAAAGATGCAGGAAGAACTCAAGCTATTACACGAGGCATTGAACTGCGATTGAAAGGCAGAAAATGAAGCGGCAGGAAGGGAAGTTGTTCTCCGCCACAGCCGAGATACAACTTCCACTTTTGGCTTTGTGAGGCATACCTACAGAATAGTTGCTCACAAGTGGGAAAGTGCGCGGTGTATGGCTCCCGCAGTGTCGATAGCGGACGCCACCAAGGCTCGAGGCTCAGAACATCTCACGGTATATCTTGCACTTGTGCATTTCTGCAGTGACAAAGATCAACCGAGGGAAGGTGGCTGGAGACTTTGAATTATCAGGAAACGCAGCGAGTACTTCTTCCAATTTCGATCCGTTCAAGCGAACATGTCCATAGTATACAAGAAGTGTTGGGACGAGAAAGAGGAGTGTTGGTGTCGCAAAAAGCTTTGACGTCGCTCATCTCCGCCTTCAGCCACGAGCTGTCAGGATCATCTCCACTGTTTTTTGGTTGCGGGATATTCATCTCTGCTATCGACATATTGTTGATATATCAGTGGGCCAGAAGATACGATGAACAACAGAGCGACGCCTGAGTGTTTCTCACAAAGGGATAAACGATGCTATCGACGACAAAAAATTGCTGAGCTTCCATATGCTTTGCCGAAGAAATTCCGTCGCAACCATCGTCCATCGGGTCACCCTGAGCCTACATTAAACTCCTTGGTCAATGAATTTGGTCAACAAACGTACATGTAAACAATGTACTGAGAACTATTCTTGATCACCACGGTTGAGACTCGCGTCTGATGGCTAATCACACATAAGCTCGGTTGGCAGCAGTTGATTAATTCTACGTCAAGATTCTCGCGACGCGTTGGCTCGTGATTCAGACCACTGCCACGAATGAGATTGATAAAAAAGTCAGCATCTTCATTTCATTCTATAACGTTGACAGGGGTCAAAGGCTTCTTGTTTGCCGACAAAAAGAAACCATCAATGTTCTCCCAATTCCTTCGCTCAAACTCTCCCCAGCATGTCTGAGAGCACACCCCGATGTGTGGGAGAATCGTCACCATCGGATCATTTTTCAAGCGCTCGTCAACCACTGGCTCATTCTCGTATACGTCAAGTCCAACACCGCACACCTTTCCTGTGATCATAGCTGTGATCAGTGCTTCCTCATCAATAAGCTGTCCTCTCGCCACATTCACCACCCGCAATCCTTGTTTTGCAGCCGCAAACTCGGCAGTCCCCATCAGGTGATGCGTCTCCTTCGTAAGAGGACAGGCAAGGCATATGCAGTCCGCGACTTGCAACAGGCTTGACAAGCTAGTATGCCATACTGCTCCTCCAGGGATCTTAGCTTCGGCGTCAGGCTTGCGTCGTGGACCATAATAATGCACTCTCATCTCGAGTGCAGTAGCGGCTTTTTGTGCAGTCGCAAGACCAATAGATCCTAGACCGACAACGCCCAAAGTCTGTCCAATTGGATCTATAGCGACAGAGCCAAGGGCCCTTGAAGCCGACCATGCATCAATGCGCACGCAATGCTCTGCGAAACCGAAGTAGCGATGAACATTAAGGATCAGGAAAATAGCTGTGTTGGCTACCGAAGTCGTGCATGTATCTGGTGTGTTGCAGTACCATACACCACGCGCAGTAAGGGTAGGTATATCCGCTCTGGAACAACATGGGAGGTCAGCACGATTGCGGCGAGATCCAAGAAGATCTAGCGTAGGCAGGACTCACGCATCGTATCCGTGTCCAGAACAAGACACTATTTTTACACTTGAAGGGTATGCTTGTACCATGTCGCCACTGAACAGATTGTGATTCAGAAAGGGTGCGCTCTTCTTCCATCCGGTCTCCACGATGGCGTCGATTTCGGAGTACAGCCCACCTGGCATCATTCTTCGTTTACATTCATCAGTGTTGTCGCAGTCATAGTTGATAATGTGGTAGTTTGCATCGATCTGTTCTGAAAGCGAAGGTGACAAAGAGCGAACACCATGGGCGACGACAAGAACTTTTGGTTTCATGTTCGGGGAGGTGCCAATGACCTTGGGAAGTTCGTTTGGTGAGGACTGAATAGAAACAGTAACCATGTTGTGTCAGTCCATTGTGTTGATAAACTACGTATCTCTTCGATGCGAAGCGCGGGCGACGGCCGGCATGTTTATGGACCAGCCGAGAATTTCTTATCGTGGGTTATCAACGTGTGGTTCCAAAAGAAATTTCAGATAGCTAGATAAGCAATTTTGAACAGTTGATCTGGTCGGATAGCTGGACCGCCACAGTAAGTTGAAGAAGACATGGAGGAGAAGTGGTTTTGAGACTGTCCTTGTCCCCATGGAGATAGCCGGCAAACGTCAAGGATCAGAAGTGTATCAAATCGTGGTCCAGATCGACTCCCCAAGTCTCTCCGACACTGAAATTGTTGCCCAGGGTCGACGTCATGCCATTAAAACCGTCTCCGCCATCAATCTCGCTGAGAAAATTACGAATGAAAGGATTGTCGAGAGGGTCGGCTGCGAAATCCAAGGCCAAGTGCTTGTCTGTCGCTTCGTCATATGGAAATGGATTCGAGAGCCATAGCTCTTCACTTGAGTTATGCGCTGAGAAGATGTTGTGGGAAAGCAGTGTTGCCGGTGGTTCTTGACTTAGACTATTCACATTCTGGTCAACTTCCCCAGCGGACATGCCTGGACCGGTCAAGGATCTGGTAGCGGTAGCACCATCCTTTCTAGAGATGTCGCCTTTGAGCTTGGCTATACGCGTTTTGATGCAGTCCAAGCGAATATAGTAAGCTTTTGCAGAAACGTTCCCGCAGTTCTGCATGGTGTTGAGTAGATTCAGTGCGGTCTGGACTGCGTCTGAATCTCTGGGATTTGGCTCCATCACCGCGGACATGATAAGAATCAGGGTGGAGCTGAAAAGATAATGGGCGTCGAAATAGCCAAACACTGCGAGAGAGTTGTCGATAAAACACTGTGTCAATATGTTATTGCTTGCACGTGCAGCCTGCACGCAGGCTTCGCCGAGCGCGAGTGTCGTTGGGGGGAATGCTTGAGCACTCTCTGCTTGATTCGTGACGTCCAGTAGGGAAGCTGGAGATTTCGCGTTTAGTGTAGCGTTATTTGGTACGGCGTGTTGCCTGAAAGGATTTCTTCGTTTGAACATGTGCATCAGGACCGGGCGGGTGGTTTGGATAATGCACAGGTTGAAGTGTAGATGGAGGGACGACAATGATCTTGGTCCACCCAACCTCCACCTCAGACTTTCAGGCAATTCCTTGTCCCACGAGCGCAGATCCCTAAGAATTCTCCGTACTTCTGATAGGAAAGAACCATTATCATGAGAAGCAGCACCACACAAGTCATTCAGGATCTGGCCTGTGATGCGAGCAAGTCGAATGTTAGCACAAAGATGATCCGGAGCTTCGAATTTATTGCGATTAATAGGATCTAGGTGGTTCGATGAAGGCATGGGAACATCAATGTCGGTATCGTGGATTGTGACAGGACGACCAAGACGTGAGCTGTATATCCGGTCAAAGGTATAGACTGTCCACCAGACACGCCTGCTATTCTCGAGTTCTACTTCATCGTGTATCTGATCGATCTGCTTGCGGCGATGTAGTCCCAGGATCAGACTCAATCGAAGAGCGATGCCACCGTAGACATAAGCTGAATTTGTGCGTCCGAGGGCGTTGGAGTAAAAAGACTGACAGCACTGTGAGTGACTGATGAGTTGTCAGAGACCGAGCAGACTTACGAACAAGAGCAGATTCTCGATCTGCTGCACGCTAGGTTCTTCGTAAAGATCTTGTAGCAATCCGATGGCGGTCAGGAAGTAGTTGGTGCCTGGAATACTGTTCTTCGTTTCTTTGTTCCGATCTTGACTTTGGTTGGTATATAGCTCACCCAATGCAAGAACGACAAAGAATTTGCAGATCCAGACCGGATCGTTGCTTCTTTCGCCGATTGAAGCGTCCCGGTATAGCTGGTCAAGCTTTTCCATGAAAGGCTTCATCTGAAATTGATGATAATCATTGACGATGTAGCGAGAAGCAACTCGCACCAGCAGATTAGCCTGGACACGATTGGGTAATTGGTATTCTTGGCCACAGAGTCGATTGAAGCAATCGTCTCTTGCATATTCACGTGCTGGCGTGCCATCGGGGCGTATCTCCTCGTGGGCGAAACAAGAAAGCAGCTCGTCACCGAAAGAAGTACAGACCGTACTTGACTCAAATGATGTTTGTCGCTCGTGTTCGCTGGATGATCCTTTGCTGACAATCGTGACAGTAGGCTGACTTTGCATCTCATCATCCGCTTGTAACGTCCCGTCCGTAGCTTCTGGCGCATTGCGAACAGTTCGGTCAAGTGATGAACCAGCACTCTGCGCTTGCTTGAAAGCCGCATTTTCTGTTTCCAAGGTCCTGAGATAGCGCTCCATAACTGTCACTTTGCGATCACGCGAAGGATATCGGCATTCCTGCGCCTTCTTGGCGTGACTGCAACTTCCACAAGGTAGGCCCCCGCTGCACTTGATTTTTTGTGAGTGACATCGGCGGCAGCTAGAAAGTGATTATCAGCTATCAAGGACCGACTCGAGACGAGAGTCTCAACTGACGCGACGTAGTTACGCTTGACACGCTTGCGAGGCAACTCGTCACTCGGGTTCTCGGTCAGAGGTGAGGCAGTATCGTGTGCCATGTCTGCATACACGAGAAAAGCGACAATCACAAAGTCTGGATGCGTCGTTGACGGGCGCCGCCTTCGAGGATAGGCGTGGAGGATGTGAGGTTGGCCGAAAAGCGTGACTGATAAGCTGCTCGATTTCGGCTCAAAGCCGAACAATGTGTCATCGTGACGAACAGTGCCGAGAAGGCTGGTAAATCTAGGTACCTAGTCTGGCGACGACGCAGCAGCGACAACCATCATGCGGACGGCTTGAATGTCGATCCAATCTATGAGGATGAAGGGACGCTTCTACACTATTCATTGTTGGAGAGCTTACCGATCTCCGCTTAATTTGCATAACTTATGCTGGCATGGATTCACAATCCTTATGCACGCGCTCCACGCTCATCTGACACCTGCGTGGACAACCCTTTCAAATTGGAAGCAGAATACGGGACGTGTATTGTTAGTCAAGCATTCCCTATGGCAACTCCCGGTGTAGACCATCATTGCTATTTGTAAAACATGTTCCGCAAAAATCGAACAACCGAACTTGAACTCAAATACTGTACTTGAAAAACACATCGTAATCACCAAGCTCGGGGTGAGGTAGTAAAGGAGTGCCAGCCTCTTCGGCTTTTCTGATTCTCTCGGCACGTCTCTTGTTCACTACCGTCATTCCAAGCATAAGAGAAAAGACGCATACCAGAGCTACGGCTGCGAGGCCCATACTGATGGAAATCCCTGTCCGGTAGCGCGGACTATCAGCAGAGGTGAAAATCTGGCCGACGGCAACCCCGGCCGTGTTTCCGAAAGTCAAAGATAGACCGATCATAGTGGCCCGCTTGTAATGCTGTGCAACGTTGTCGCTCAGCCACATCATGGACATTCCAGTTGTAGGGTAGATGCCCATCACAATTACTTCGCTTGTTAGATGGATCTTTGACGGAGAAAAGTGGCTGAGGCTTACTGTAGCAGGCGAAATAGCGAACGCCAAGTGACTCCACGGACATGAGAATGGCATAACCAATGATCAGAAGTACCAACGGGCCTGCGATGAAGGGTCCGCGCATGCCGTAGCGGTCTGAGGCCCAGGCTACCAGAAGAAACCAGATCAAGCCCCAGGCATAAATGGGAACAGTCATCAGGTTGCTGTGATAGCTTTTGTAACCCAGTCCGGTCAGAATGGTCGGGAGAAATGTTGTGAAACCATAGAGCGAAACGTCCACCGAAAATTGGAAGATCCAGCTAGGGACTGTCAGCTTGGTCTGTCGCGATGGACAAGGAACACACCCAACTTACAAGGCATACCACTTCGGATCTCTCAGAACCTTGATGACTTCGCCCCAAGAAAACTTCTCATCGATACCCCAATGGCTATTCTGCTGGTAACGGACGGCTATCATTCGCTTTTCCTCCTCAGTCAGGAACCACGCTGTTTGTGGAGTCTTGGGAAATCCGAAGAAAAAGATAGGGACAACTACGATGGTCAATAAGCCTTCAAACAGGAACAAGATACGCCAACCATTCAGATAGCCACCTGAATGAATTTGGGTGAGGCCATAGGCAAGAAGACCGCCAAAGGCTGATGCGAACGCACTGAACGCAAATATAACTGACGATCTTTTACCTCGCTCGCTTTTCTTGTACACCATGGAAAGGTAGACGTTGATGCAAGGAATCAAGCCAGCTTCGAACAAACCAGTCAAAAGGCGGACAGTATACAATCCTCCTACATCTTCCACAAAAGCTGTGCACATACAGCAAAGACCCCATGCGAAGGCGCAGAAACTCAAGAGATACGTAGGTCCGATGATCTTGAGAAGAATTGCGGCAGGGGCTTCAAAAGGCACATATGTGGCATAGAGAAGTGTTACGGCGTTTCCATACTGGTTGCCTTTGAGATGAATGTCCACATCAAGCCCTGCTGTTTTGGCATTTCCTGTGTTCTCGGTCAATCGCAGGAGCCGTGAGTGATTGAATGTACTGCTCACCAATATTGGATCTGTCCAAGTTTGCGAGCATGTAGAATAGGCCGAGAAGACCAATGGCCACGAGCTATAAGGAAGGTCAGACTCCGCCATCATCCGTTGCATGGTGGGGACCACAGACATCAAACTTTCTCATCATCGCAGCCTCCTTTTTGGGATCGACGTAGAGCTCAGAAGTGCCAATCTCGACATCTTCACCAGTATTGATCACAGTCGATTTGTCGAAGGCCGGTGAGACAGCCATTCCTTTCTCGGATGAGTCCTGCATTGGAACGCGCTCGGAAGGCATGTTTTCAAAGGAGGAATGAAATAGGACCCCGAGCGCCTTCAGATCGGAGAATTGTGCCTGGAATTATACAAGTCGCACCAGGGTTGGTCTTGCTCGTTCGTCCTTGATAGGCAATGTCCTGACGCATTCATGGCAGCCACATGCTTAAATTCACCAACAAGATAAGCCAATCATAATACCAAATATATGCTTGATGTATGCTCGGTATGTTAGACGCGCGTGAAGAGCGTACGATAAGCAGATAACAGCGACTGATAAGAGTGCATGCTCGGCAATTCGTCCGCCTAACCGGTCACTTGGCGCCATATCACTCAAGCCAGCGGCATCTATGCATGAAAGCCGAAGCTCCACATTGCGTCAACCAGATTGCGCGTGCCTGCAATGTTCAATATAAACACAAGCTGGAGTCTGATCATCTATCCATAGCAATGTCAACTCAATCAAGATCAGTCCATTCAGTCATCTTGCTGCAACATACTCACAAATTCATAAAATGCCTCCGAGAGGTGTTCGTATTGCCATTGATCGCGGTGGCACCTTCTGCGATTTTTGGGCACAGATACCTGGTCAAGAAGAGGTCATCTTCAAACTGTTGTCCGTCTTTCCAGAGGAGTACTCAGATGCGCCGACCGAAGGCATAAGAAGAATACTGGAGCTTGCGACCAAGACAAAGATTCCGCCCGGTACTCCTCTTGACCTGGCACCCGTGGAATCCATACGCATGGGCACGACTGTTGCAACAAACGCCCTTCTCGAGAGAGCCGGAGATCCGGTGGTGCTGGTCACGACCAAAGGCTTCCGTGACTTGCTCAAAATCGGAAACCAAGCTCGCCCTTCCATCTTTGATCTCTCCGTTGAGCGATTGCAGAAGCTCTATTCGAAAGTCTTAGAAGTCGACGAGCGTGTCACGATCGAAGGCTTCGCCGAGGACCCAAATCCGCAATCCATCGACATCGCCAGCGATCCCGCTCTCACCGAAGGATTGACCGGTGAAGCTATACGTGTACTTCGAGTTCCTGACCTTGACACCGTGCGCAGAGATCTAGAGGCTATCTGGGAGGAAGGTTTCCACAGTCTTGCAATTGCTTTCGTGCATTCGTACACCTACCCCGACCATGAACGCGTAGTAGCCCAAGTCGCACGAGAGATTGGATTTAAAACGCTTGCCGTCAGCTCTGAGTTGCAACCAATGATCAAAGTCCTCTCTCGAGCCAATTCAGCAGTAGCCGACGCCTACCTGAATCCTATTACCCAGACCTACCTCGACGGTTTCCGCAAGAGTTTCAAGGGCGAGCTCAAGGACAGCGCATCCGCAAACAAGCTTCTGTTGAGCCAGAGCGATGGTGGTCTGACAACGTTCTCGAGGTTCACAGGCTTGAGAGCCATTCTCTCTGGCCCTGCTGGCGGTATTACTGGGTATGCAAAGACGTGCTATGACGAGAAGGATGGTACACCAGTGCTCGGCTTTGACATGGGTGGCACATCGACTGATGTATCGAGGTTCTCCGGAGCTTTCGAGCATGTTTTCGAGACAGCCATCGCTGAAGTCTCAATCCAATGTCCTCAACTTGATATCAATACTGTGGCAGCTGGTGGTGGGTCTATGCTGTTCTGGCGCAATCGCATGTTCGTTGTCGGCCCCGAGTCTGCTGCGGCCAATCCAGGTCCCGCATGCTAGTAAGTCATACTCAACTCGGACTTTGAGTATGGAACTAATTCTTCTTCAGTGGACGCAACGGACCCTTGACTGTCACCGACGCGAACTTCTTGCTTGGACGTATCGTTCCAGACTATTTCCCTCGCCCACTCGATTTAGCAACGGTTAAGCAGAAGTTCACCGACCTGACGGAGCTCATCAACGCGGAAAAGGAAGGCGAGACCTCTCTCACGCCAGAACAAGTCGCTTCTGGATTCCTCGCCGTGGCCAATGCCACTATGACGCGACCCATCCGCAAGCTGAGCGAGGGGCGTGGCTTTGAGACGGCAGCCCACAATCTGGCTTGCTTTGGCGGAGCTGGCGGTCAACATGCTGTTGCGGTGGCCAGAGATTTGGGCATTCGCAGAACACTCATTCCGCGTTACTCGAGTATCCTTTCTGCTTACGGTATGGCGTTAGCAGATGTCGTCGTCGAAAACCAACAGCCAGAGGCCACAACGCTTGCTCCCGAAGCATATGGTCGCATTGATGCGCGTTACGCTAAGCTTTGTGAGAAAGGCACGAGAGACTTGATCGCACAAGGTTTCAGCGCCGACCAAGTCAAGCATGAACTCTTCCTGAACCTCAGATACGCTGGTACGGACACCACTCTCACCGTCCAGAGAGAAGAGACTACCGAAGGACTCCTACAAGCCTTCGCAGACAGGCATCGCCAAGAGTTCGGATTTACACAGTCAAGAGAAGTCCTTGTCGACGACGTGAGAGTCAGGAGTGTCGGGCAGGCCATGAATATAGAACTCCCGAGCCCTTTCAGCGAATTGCAACGTATTGCTGCAAGTCCACCAGTCAGTCCAGTGGTCACTGGGAATAGCAGGAGGGTTTTTTTCGCAGACCAAGGCTGGACTGATGCAAGTCTTTACCATCTGGCTAACCTCAAGCCCGGCGTTCGAATCCGCGGTCCTGCTTTGATCATTGACAAAACTCAGACCATCGTCCTCGATGCTGCAAGCGAAGCTTCTATTCTCTCACAGCACGTCATCATCGATCTACTCGACACTGAGCGCAAAGCTGCCTCTACCGAGGTGGTCGACCCCATCCAGCTGTCGGTCTTCTCGCATAGGTTCATGTCTGTTGCAGAGCAGATGGGCCAGACCATGCAGAAGACGAGTATCAGCGTCAACATCAAGGAAAGGCTGGACTTCTCATGTGCTGTTTTCGACTCGAAAGGCTCGCTGGTATGCAATGCACCGCACATTCCTGGACATCTCGGTTCTATGTCTTATGCCATCGCTTATCAAGCTCGTCGTTACAAGCCGGGAGAGCTAAAGCCTGGCGATGTGATACTCTCGAACACGCCTTCTTCTGGAGGCACTCATCTTCCGGACCTGACAGTGACGACTCCGGTTTTCGATTCTGATACCAATCCAACAAAGATCATGTTCTTCGTTGCTAATCGTGGCCACCATGCTGATATCGGAGGAATCATCCCTGGCTCCATGCCGCCAAACTCGACTGAGCTCTGGCAAGAGGGTGCCGCGGTGGAATCATTCAAAATGGTCAAGGAAGGTGTTTTCGACGAGTCGGGCCTTGTGCATCACCTATACGATGTACCAAGCTCATACCCTGGCTGTTCCGGAACGCGTACGCTCAACGACAATCTCGCAGATCTCAGAGCCGCCGTAGCATCCAACAACCGTGGTATTCACCTTATTCAAGCGTTGGTTCGGGAATACACATGGCCGGTGGTGGAGTTCTACATGCAAGCCATCCAGACAAACGCAGCGAATGCTGTTCGAGATCTACTCAAGGGCGTCGCTCATCGCTTTGACTATCGCCAATTATCTGCCATCGACTACATGGACGATGGGTCTCCCTTCTGCCTTAGCATCAGTATCGATGGTACGACCGGTGATGCCACATTCGACTTTACAGGGTCAGGGCCGGAGGCCTACAACAATCTGAATTGTCCTCCGGCGATCATATATTCTGGGATCATGTATTGTCTTCGTTCTCTTGTACCATCCGATATGCCGCTGAACCAAGGATGCCTGGCACCACTCAAGATCGTCATTCCGCCCGAGACCATCATCTCCCCGTCCTACAAGGCGGCCACCGTGGGCTCCAATGTCGAGACCTCTCAGCGTATTGTTGACCTGATCTTCAAGGCATTCCGCGCCTGCGGTGCGTCTCAAGGCACGTGCAACAACCTGACGTTCGGCTATGGCGGCATGGACGATTCGGGAAAGGTCACAAAGGGATTCGGATATTACGAGACAATCGCAGGTGGATCTGGTGCAGGCGCGGATTGGGACGGAGAAAGCGGTGTTCATACGCACATCACAAACACCAGAATCGGCGACCCTGAAGTGTTTGAGAAGCGATATCCAGTTCTCCTCCACGAATTCAGCATACGCAAAGGTTCGGGCGGTCGTGGTTTGCATCCGGGCGGTGATGGTTGCGTGCGCGATATCGAGTTCCGTGTTCCGCTACAGGTATCGATTTTGAGTGAGCGACGCGTCATTCCACCTTACGGTATGGCTGGCGGTGAGGAAGGGAGTCGTGGCGTGAACATCTGGAAGAGACGCGATCCTGAAGATGGCACTGTTCGGACTATCAGTCTTGGAGGCAAGGCCACAGTACAGATGAATGCGGGCGATCGTATCATCATCATGACTCCAGGAGGTGGTGGGTACGGCGTGCCGCCTCAGCAGATCAAGGACGACATAGTTGCGGACTTCAGGATCAGAAGTCGAGGTGCTTTCATCGGAGGTAAGGTCGGAAGTGGCAGTGTGGGCGAGAAGCAGGCCATGGCTCAAGGCAATTGACCCCAGCGAATATAGAACATGTTCTGAAACAAACAAATTGTATAGCTCCCCAAACAGTACAGATTAGTTGTTGAGACTGGTAAAACCAAAGTGACTCTCGATGACAGTTGCGACACGAAAGATCGAGCTATCGCAGCGCACCGAAGAAACTCCGACCGTGCAGGCCACCCTGATCGAAATAGTCACGGTCAAACTCCCTTTGCTATTACAATGCTGGTGAGCAACTCTCCAGAGTTCGAGGAATAACAGCTGCCTTGATTGCGATGCTCTGCTTCAGTGCAGTTGCTTCACAGCCATGTTGCTCCCACCAGAAGAGCAGTTGTTTCAAGCACGACAGGCAGCCTAATCAACAATACTCAAATTGTTCATTGCAGTTTGATGGTGTGGAGCCTGCCTATTTCGTCGTACCCGACAACCGACAACGCGAGGAGTGTCTTGAGCAATCAGTTTTCCTCGATCAGATACACGCTTAACGATACGCACGTATGCTTCACGATACTCTCGCGCCACGGAACAGGTGCGACGAATCAACGTACGCGATGGAACATTGTGGCTCAGTCTAGCTTTGCATATTATCCGGACCTCGAAGTTGCAAGATCTAGATCAAGGACTTGATCAGGCACTGCCATAATGTTGCTGAGACGAGCCCGGTTTGTGATTGAATTTGAGAAGTATAAAGGTCGTACCCGGTCCAGTCGAGCGACAAAGGCAACTCGCCACAATGAGGCCGTCACGTCGTCTCAAATACTGCAGTGGGCTTATCGTAGGTCTAACGACCATCATCTTTCTACTAAAATCATCGACGGACTCTAGTGTCTCTTCTGGCCGATGGTATAGATCTCATCATTTCGAACAAGACACACTATCACTCAGCATCGGCACTGTGGTTGCCGCGCAGTCTAGCGACGACACGGAATGGCTTTCTACGTTGTTGCCAGCTTGGAACCACACAATCTACCTGACAGATCAACCTCGTAACATGAGTTCTACGTTCGCCGGAAAAGGTCATGAAGCCTTGGTATATCTCAACCATGTCATTGAAGAATACAATTTTCTTCCCGATATTGTCATCTTTCTGCACGCCAAACGCTATCAATGGCATAATGACGATCCACTATACGACAACGCCCGCGTCTTGTCGCGGTTGCAACTCCACTACGTCCAACGATAAGGATATGTGAACCTCAGATGCTCTTGGAGACCAGGTTGCCCTTCTGAGATCAAACCCTTCAAAGATGCCCTCGGACCTCTCTCGAATGAGTATGGCATACGTACCGCTCCTCTATACGCGCGTGCTTTCAAGCAATTGTCCCCGGAGCTCGAAGTGCCTGCGGTCGTGGGAGTACCCTGCTGTGCACAATTCGCTGTGACTAAAGCAAGAATACAACAACGGTCCAAGGACAATTACAAGACGCTTCGTCACACAGCGAAGGACTGTTATTGTCGTACCTATGGTCTCTGTAATCTTGCATGTCACAAATTAGGTGCATGTGACTCACATCCATTTCCGAAATACTCTAATCTGCCAGAGGGTTGACCATGGTACGACTGAGACGGAGAGTGGCAGAACGCGACGCTTTTGGAACAAGGATGAATAGACAAAGTCGTCAAACTGCTACGTAAAGCCGCAAAACATCATATCCTCTCCACCAATCTCTCCAATATCTTCCTTCTACAACCCAATATAACACCCAAATGTGTCCCCTCAACCCCGAAAAACCTCTTCTTGCCATCTTTCCCTCCACCCATCCTTTTATAAATCTCCTCTCCCATACTCATCGGTACATTTGTATCTTCCTTCCCATACCACAAATCCACCTGCACCTCTTCAGCAATATCTTCAATCCTGAATCCAGAATCAGAGGTAAACAACTTTCCTTCCCGCATAAACCCATCAACACCTTGGATAAAATGCTCTTGTTGAATATCAACCATCAGTTCCACAAACCCCTCGTTTGTAAGAAGCGGTATATCAGCAGGATGTGCACCTCCCAACCATACACTATTTCCCGCTTTCCGCACTGTCATCGCCACGATCTTCTCTTTCGGTATGGTAGTCATCGCCGCAAGAGCCTTTTCCTGCAACAAATTGATCAACCAAGGGAAATACCTGAACCCCTGGAAAATGCACCAATTACCCCATCCCATTCCCTTGAATCCAATATCAGTGGGTCCCAAACCAGCAACCACTACAACAGCTGCTACTTCGTTGCTAGGAATCGCAGCGGCACAAGCAAGTGCATATAACCCTCCACCAGAAACACCTAAAACTGCATACCTCTGCACTTTCAATCCCCCAGCAAAATCTCTGATATCTTGTACATGATCTAACACTGTTCTCTCCTGCTGTGGGGAAGATAGTCCTATTCCAGGTCGATCGATAGCGATGAGTTTTACTTCCAACTCCTTCGCTGGAAAGTGGAAGAATATACCGGAAAGACGAGAGCCGGGAAATCCATGGAGACAAAAGATCGTTGGTGCAGAGGGGGAGGAAGAGCCGAAAGTTGCGTAGCCGATGGTGCGACCGGAGGGTAGAGTGAAGGTTTGTGAGGTTGAGGGGGATGTGAGGATGGAGTGGATTGCTTCTTCTGATTCTGGCCAGAGGTTGTTCGTAGCAGAGTTGGGCATGTTGAGTTGCTTCATGTGTGGTGGATGTGGATGAGGAATGGTGACTGGGGATAGAGAGATGGGACGATTGATAAGATGTTGCAGTCGCAAGGTAGCCCCACTTCATTGAATCCTTTGCGGTATCACGTTACCGTCAAGATCACATGCGACGATGAGCAAGACCAAGCATGGCAAGATGCAAGACACCACACAAGACGGGCAGGAAAAGGTTGAAATGATTTGAAAAGATAACGTTACATTCATTCATATAGACTAAGCATTCATTTTACTTTGAGGTATTGTTGTGTATCATCATATCACATTTCCATCTAAAGGCGAGCCTGCAACTTCTGCTCCTTGGCAAGGTCGAAACGGTCCAACTCCATAACCTTGACCCAAGCAGCGACAAAGTCCTTGACAAGTCTGTCTTGACCGCTGGATGCGGCGTAGACCTCGGAAATGGCACGAAGCTCGGGGTGAGAACCGAAGACGAGGTCGTGACGGGTGGCTTGCCACTTCTTCTCGCCAGTCTTGCGGTCTTGACCGAAGTAGATCTCGTCGGCGCCCTTTTGCCACTCGGTCTGGGTGTCGAGAAGGTTGACGAAGAAGTCGTTGGTGAGCTGACCGGGACGCTTGGTGAGGACACCGTATGCTGAGCCGTCGTAGTTGGCGTTGAGGGCACGGAGACCACCAACAAGGACAGTCATCTGAGGGGCGGAGAGGGTCAACAGGTGAGCCTTGTCAACCAAGAATTGCTCAGTGCGGACACGCTGAGTGCCCTTGCCGTAGTTGCGGAAACCATCGACGACAGGCTCGAGGTGGTCGAAAGTTTTTGCGTCGGTCTGCTCCTCGGTGGCGTCGACACGACCGGGAGAGAAGGGAACGGTAACACCAGCAGCCTTCTCGACAGCGGCACTTCCACCAAGAACGATGAGATCGGCGAGCGAGACCTTCTTGCCACCCTTTGCAGAGCTGTTGAACTTCTCCTGGACCTTCTCGAGCGAGGCGAGGACAGACTTGAGCTGAGCAGGGTTGTTGGCCTTCCAGTTGTTCTGGGGGGCGAGGCGGATACGAGCACCGTTGGCACCACCACGCTTGTCACCACCACGGAAGGTAGATGCTGAAGCCCATGCAGTGGTGATGAGCTGGGTAGGGTCGACAGCGGAGAGAAGCTCCTTCTTGAGAGCAGCAATGTCCTGCTCGTCAATGACGGGGTGGTCGAGCTCAGGAAGAGGGTCTTCCCAGATGGAGACCTCCTTGGGGATCTCAGGGCCCAACCAGCGGGAACGAGGACCCATGTCACGGTGCAGCAGCTTGAACCAAGCACGACGGAAGGCCTCAGCGAGCTCTTCAGGGTTCTCAGCAAAGCGCTTGGAGATCTTCTCGTAAGCGGGGTCGAATCTCAGAGCGAGATCAGAGGTCAACATGCGAGGCTTGTGCTTGACGTTGGGGTCGTAGGCATCAGGAATGATGGCCTCAGAGTCCTTGGCAACCCACTGGTGAGCACCAGCGGGGGACTTCTCCTGCTCCCACTCGTACTTGAACATGTACTCGAGGTAGTGGTTGCTCCACTTGACGGGAGTCTTGGTCCAGATGACCTCGAGACCGGATGTGATGGTGTCAGGACCCTTGCCCGACTTGTACTTGTTGTTCCAACCGAAGCCCTGCTCTTCAATGGTTGCGCCCATGGGCTCGTCGCTGACGTTCTCGGTGGGACCGGCACCGTGGGTCTTGCCGAAAGCGTGACCGCCGGCAATGAGGGCGACAGTCTCTTCGTCGTTCATGGCCATGCGGCCGAAGGTGGTACGGATGTCTCTGGCAGAGGCGACGGGGTCGGGGATACCGTCGGGACCTTCAGGGTTGACGTAGATCAGACCCATGTGTGCAGCGGCCAGAGGCTCTTCCAACTCGCGAGAGTGAATGTCTGTGTGCTCCTTCTTGGACTCGTCACCGTCGATGACACCGGGCTTGTCGGGACCGGGCTGGCCAGAGGCGTAACGGACCTCGTTTCCGAGCCATGTTGATTCACCACCCCAGTAGACCGACTCATCAGCCTCGAATGTGTCGGGACGGCCACCAGCGAAACCGAAAGTGGGCAGACCCATCGACTCAATGGCGACGTTACCAGTGAGGAGGAAGAGGTCGGCCCATGAGATCTTGTCACCATACTTTTGCTTGATGGGCCACAACAGGCGGCGAGCCTTGTCGAGGGAGGCGTTGTCGGGCCATGAGTTGAGGGGAGCGAAACGTTGTTGACCGTCACCACCACCACCACGTCCATCGAAGACGCGGTAGGTACCGGCGCTGTGCCATGCCATACGGACAAACAGACCACCGTAGTGTCCGAAATCTGCGGGCCACCAGTCCTGAGAGTCAGTCATCAAGGTGGTGAGGTCCTTCTTCAGACCCTCATAGTCAAGGCTCTTGAATGCCTCGGCATAGTTGAATTGGTTGTTGTAGGGGTTTGAGACGCCAGTGTGTTGGCGGAGGATGTTGAGCTTCAAGTCATTGGGCCACCAGTCCTTGTTTCTGGTGCCACCGCCGCCAGTGTTGACGAGCTTGGAGTTGGAGTGGACAGGACATCCGCTGGGAGGAGGAGACATGGTGTCGGAGTGTGTGGGGGATGTGAGGATAGGAAAAGGAGTTTACGTGAAGAAGAGAAGCAAGGGGCAGAGGGCGAGGGTCGTCTTGTATATGTGTTGAACTATCGAGGGCCAAAGGCATGGCCGACTCGGAGGAGCTACCCCGCCCGCACCTGATGGAACTCCCCGCCGCCTCGGTTTAGACTTTGAATCTTTACCAACGGCAACCACCTCGACGGCTGTTTCCATGTGCTGACCATCGCGCCAATCTCATTACTCAAGACGTGCTACTACATATCATGCCACACCGTTCATCAGGCTCATCTATTGCTTGAAAACTACACATAGAGCTCACCGACACCTAACATACCTCTTTACCACCAACCGCGAAGACTTACCACATCCGGCAGTCGAATGATGTGCCTGGAGAAGTGGAGAGAGGAAACGGTAAGCAGTCCTCCGAGAAGCGCCCTCGGCCAACCACCGTTAATCGATTTGTCTGGGCTCCACGGCTTCCTCCGTCGAGCTTCGACACCAAAGCCCGATAAGGTGATCTCGTTCAACTCATCATGGAACTCTTAACGAGATGAGGACATCCGTCAGCGATGCGGCATATCCCGTCGTCTCGCTGACCGCGCAACCAGTTTCATATCGGGAGATGCGACGCGAGAAATCTTGGTGGACGACCCTGATGGCTGGTGTTGGCATCGTGGAAACTGTCATCCGTGTCGGCAAGTGGAGGACCTGAGGGAAAGCAGCTTGCAGACCTCGGCGACTTCGGTGCTGTTTGTGTTTATACAACGGTACTTGCCATGCTCCGAAACATCTATTTCCAATCCATGTCTCTCGTTCAGGCACGTTTCGTGAAGCCTTCGTAGTTTGATCTGAACGAGACGATGCAGTTTTGATATTCCCAACATGTTCAAATCTCTCTACACCATCTTCCCATGACTGGCCCCAACTCGACTCCATCAACCTCTCCGATTTCCTCCAACCTGACGTCGACCCTCACATTGACATTTCCTTTGCCGCCCTCAGGCAATACCAATTCTTTCCTCACCAATCCTTCCCAAGCACCTCTGGCGACTTCCTTACCCCAGACCCTTCCAATCCCAGCACCATGCGCCAATGCACCCGCAGCTGATGCCGCAATCTTTGCTTTCGACGCCAAAGAAACGTATTCGGCATAGCAAAGAGCGAAAGAAACGATATCAGTGTCGTGAATGATAGTAAGTCTGGCGGCAGAGATGAGAAGGGCGAGTTGAAGACTTGATAGCGAGGCCAGTGAAGCTAATTTTGCATCTGGTGGTGTAAGTGATGTCAAAGACCCTGGCTCTGATAGATGTGCAAGTAAGTCCGATGATGAGATTTTGGAGGAGGAAAGAGGTAATGTGCAGATGGCCATGAGCATGGATGTGTGGAACGCGGGTACGGATTTGGAGAGATAGTAGAGATGGCGGAGGTGGGTGTTGAATGTGTCGAGGGTGAAGAGGTCATTGAGGATGGCGTTCCATGCTTGCAGTCCTTGCTCGGTGATGTTGTCAGTTGAGACAGGTGATAATGCGATCTGGCAGATGTGGCGGAAGGATGAAAGATCCTTCGCGAGAGACAGATGTACATGTCGATGACTGAATCGACTCTTGACTCTCTTCTCCAGTTGCTCGGCCACATCGAAGCGTGTAGTCAGCCCGAGCACAGCAATCGGTGCTTTGCGACTTTGTGCAATGTCGAATAAATTGTACAGCAAAGTCTGTCTCGGATGTGTTGCGAACAAGTCAAACTCGTCCAGAACAAACACCACACTCTTCGTGACTTGATCAGCAGATCTTCCGAGCTCTTCCGGATGAGATAGCAAAGCCAGCAAGGTTGTCAGTGTATCGGCGTAATTCTTGGATGCGGCATCTTCCTCAACGTCCATCTCTCGGCCTAGTTGTCTCCAGATATCTCGTAGGGCTATCTTGTCGTCCGTATGGATAAAGCCGTTGAGACGTACGACATGGAAAAGGTCCGAGTTTTTGACTGCTTGTTCGTGTAGGATTGATTCAACGACCGAGGTCTTGCCTGTGCCTCTTGTACCTATGACGAGCATGCTATTGCTCTCTCCTACGACGATAGTCTGGTCGACTAGATTGGCAATCTTTGCGTGTTCATCGTCCAGACCCACAAACGCGGTGTGTGTTCGGCCTTGTAGTTGTTCCAGTACAGCCGTCTGAATAGCTTGCAGGTCTTCGGAGAGAATGCTGAGGTCGGCGGAAGCGTTTGTCTGTAGAGGCTTGACATCGAGATCAATCATAGTTTTTGGTCGTGGCTTGAGAGGGCTACCAACAGCTTTCCTTGGTGTAAACTGAGGCTGCCGTGTACCATTCATATCCAACAGCATAGGACTCATAGCACGATTCTGTAGCTTCCTGGCCGAGGCAAACTTGGAAGGACTGATAGGACCATCTTCATCTCCAGCTGTGTCCAGAACTGTGATCTGCTCTTGTAAAATCTTCCTCGGTCGACCTGGCTTCCTCTTCTCTGTGGTTGGTGGTGGTTGGACTTTGACTGGTGATGCAGTGACACTCCTTTGACCTTGGACCTCTTTCCGACTGGCGTCTTGTATATCTCTCATCTGATCTTCCAGTGTCCTCTTGGGTTTCCTCTTCGCCGCTCTTTCCAATTGCTCTTGCTCGAAAGTATCTCTCATCTTTTGTGTCAACGTCTTGACCTTCCCACTCTTCTCCAACTCTGCCAACTCCGGCTTCTGGGCGGAAGTGCCATTCGTGCCATTCGTACCATTTGTGCCAGTCTTGACTGGGGTCTTTTGCGGTGATTGTTGTTCGGCGATTCTTGCATTCAAGCGGGCCATAAGACCACCAATGTTGTTACCCTTGGTTGCTGACGATGGCGCAGGTCGTGGTGTCGGTTTTGAAGGAGTGAGATTGAGTGACGAAGGTGTAGCCACACTGGCAACTCTGATAGTGTCGCGCGTATCGTCGTTGTCTGCTGTTGTGCTTGTCGTCTTTCTCTTCGAGGCGGGAGCTGTTGTCGTTGGGGGGGCACGAGTACTCTGTGGACTTTCGGGTATTGTCTCGAGCTTTCTGCGCTTTGCTGATCGTGGCGACTCCATTGTTGCTTGAGTTTGTAATGTTGGTTACGACATTTGGTCGAGTCGAAATCTTGTGTTGATTTGTTGTCAAGAAAGTCCGTCATCCCTCGTCGAGGCCGCGGAGCTTTGTCCAAGCTCGCCGCAACACCTTTTCACATGATCAATCTACACACGTTTATACATGGAAAGGTACTCGACTTTGATTGAATAGCATGATAAGATTCAATGCTTGCACTCTTTGTCCTCTCGGACTGTCTGATGGTACAGAAAACAGCTTCAGACTCCCAATGCAATGCAGTTCCCCAGCAACGCCATGAAAACATGCTCCAGATATGCTAATACCTTGATGAATCCCGGCGATTGGCATCGCTCAGTCTCGCAAATCTCTCCGTCAATCCTCCCTCTTCAGTCACAGTCCTCTTCAACGGACTTCCTTGTGGTCTACCATCCGGTCTGAGTAGCTGCTGTCGACTTGCACTCTTGCGCAGTGGACTTGCAGCATGGCTGTACACTCCCAAGCTTCCTCCATCTCCTGGTCTCTTCATCTGACTTCCTGGCCTCTCGCGTACCAACGGCCGTATCTTACCCGGCGTGTTGAAGACGTCTGTCGGTTCGTGTGTTGCTCCGAATGAGGATGTCGCATTCGTGTTGAAGGACGAAACTGTGCTATAGCTTCCGAACGTAGGCTGAAGTAGTGGAGTCGTGGCGCTTCTCGGCAGATTCTTAGTCGGCGAAGTGGCGTACAAGGCTCGAGGGTCGTCTGTGAGATGACTGGCGTAGCTTGGGTTGGGATTGACCTTGAATCCCTTGTTGATGATGGTGTGTGGTGTGTAGACATCGACTTCTCTTGTTCTGTGTCTCAACCCTCCAGGGCTTGTGGCCGTGTCTCTTGTTTGTGTACCGACGTCTCGGACTGGGCGGTTCATGTTGGGATGCACGAATTTGGTGTCATACTCGTTCATGACTTCCTTGTGGATGAGCATCGAGTCTTTTGCCTGCTGGACGAAGAACTTCTTGAAGAAGAGCAGTTGGGCGCTCAACAGAACCGCGAGGGCAATGGTCGTGACGAGCGTGACGGAAGGACGAGGATTGCCGACGCTGGTGGGTAGGAAGAGCCAGTAGACGAAAGCGTGGCCTGGCGAGAAGAGGGCGAACAATTCAAGATTGAAGGGCTTGGGGTCCCAGACGCTGACCTCCCAGACATCATTGTGCTGATCGGGGTGTCGTCGCGAAAAGACATTGTTCGAGGTGATCATAGAGGAGAAGTATGCGAGCGGTGATGCCGATGGCGACGAGTCGACGCGGACTCTGCGAGCAGAAGGTGTTGAAGGTGCCTGGTCGATGGAGCTCTCAAAGAGGCGGTACTTGCGCGTGCGCGTAAAGGTATAGAAGGCGTTCAACAGCGATGCGGTTGCGAGGACATAGGCGATCGTGGAGACCTGGACACACAGCCAAATTAGCAGGCGCATGAGATAGAGGCAGAGTTGTCGCAAGACTCACAAACCAATGAAACCAACCGCTCTTGCCCTCGAGTTCGCCAAAGATGTCATCGTCGTAGTTACTATGCTTGGAGCTCCATCTTGCGCATGCGAAAACCACATTGGCGCCAACTCCAATGGGCATTCCCCAGTCGCGTAGAGCTTCATCGAGAGCGCTTTCGTGTAGTTCCTCGGCGATCCAGAGGAGGAGATCGTACGGATTGAGGTAGGCTTTGATGCGCTCCGACAGAGGAGCTCGGCGGATGATGGGCGGCATGTTTGCTCGTCCTCTTTCACATTGCTGGTGGGGGACGAGAGCAGTGTTTATTTTACGACTCTCGACTTCGCTCTTTCCGCAAATAGTGACGTCGTCCCGAGGTTCAGCCACTTGAGCCGCAAGTCGACCGCCATACAGCGACACCAACATTCCTCATGCTGAAGAAACAACAATCATGGCTCTTCCACAATCCGCATACAAGGACCGTCAGTTCCTGGCTGTTATTGGCGATGAGGTGAGCAGTACATATTGCCGACTGCCAGAAATCCAACCCTACTAACACGCATCTTCCAGGACTCGGTGACGGGAGTCTTGCTCGCCGGTGTTGGTGTATGCGCTGCCACCACACCTTCTTGTGGATATCTCTGACCTCTCTGAACAGCACGTTACCGACCCTCCGGACTCACAAAAGAACTACTTAGTCGTCGACCACAAGACCGAGACTTCAGCCATTGAGGAGGCCTTTGACAGCTTCACCCAGGAGCGCAAGGACATTGCCATTCTCCTCATCAACCAGCATGTAATAGATACTCAACCTGGAACAATTGCCGAAATCTTGTACTCACACTGGACACAGATCGCCGACAAGATCCGCAGCCGCGTCGACGCATACACCCAAGCATTCCCTTCCCTCCTCGAGATCCCCTCAAAGGACCACCCCTACGACCCGGAGAAGGACAGCGTCATGAAGCGCGTCAAGAAGTTGTTTGGAGAGTAATTCAATTGTTTCATCCCGTTCACGATACCCCGAATCCAAAGAAGAGTTTCCAATCAAAGTTCAAAAAGAGTCCATGATATTACTATTGTGTATAATACTGCAATGCGATATGCGCTTCAACGCGACGGTCCATGATACAATGATGCAACCTTCATCCTTCCTTCGTGTCTCATGCTTGGACATGCTTGTGGTTGAGTCGTGTTGTTTAGGCAACGACCTCGAAAGCACCACCTCTTCTGAAGACAATGGAAGCGGTCAAGCAGGTGACCTTCTCGTTGTCCTTGGTGTAGACGTCGGCGAGGACGGTGTACTTACCCTGAAGGCGATAGTCAGCAGGTGTGTCAGTGTATCTCGCGACAGAGCAAGACGTACCGGAGGAATCTCCTTGGGAAGATCAACGTCCTTGGTCAAGTCGATGGGACCCTTCTTCAGAGGGCACTCAAGGTCGACATTCTTCAGGTTCTCGCAGAGGTCGGCCTCCTGGTTGATGATGCGGATCAGACCGTACTTGACTTGAAGGTGAACCTTGGCACCCTCTTCAATGTCCTGCGACAAGACACCGGATGCCTTGATCGAGAGGGTGACGCCACTGCGATGCGTGATAAGCTTGAGAAACGAACAGAACACCAGGTGATTCCAAGACTCACGCGGAAGGAGGGTTGGGGGAAAGATCGACTCTCTCAATCTCGAGAAGGTTGTCCTTGGGAGCGGCGCAGAAGAGCAGAGGGTTGTCACCAGGAACGGGGAACTCTTCTTCGAGCGCGTGTTGCTCGCTGCCCATGAAGCTGAGACTACGCGCCGATGCGCTGGCCGAGAGAAGGGCGACGCTGAAGATGCTGAGGAGCTTCATTTTGGTGATATGGATTGGTATGTGTTGGTTGTGGAGGGAGTGGGCAGGGAAGACGGTTCTCGTTGATCAAGGTCGGCCGATTGTCTCGATGGCGCTCAGCCGTTGCGCGGTGACGATGCGTACACGTGCCAAGTTGTGGCGCAAACGCCTCCCCGCTTTCGTCCCCAGCTTTGCTTTTCTCCGATCTGACAGCTTGACACATCAGGAACATGTTCTTCTGCGTCGAACCTGCTTGACCAAGTAGCCGTCTATCTCGTAGACTGAGCATCACTTTTCCGGTCAGTCGAGTTAAGTCTGGTAGGTGATGCTTGAGTAAGATTGATTCGAGACAGCTCTCCAAACAGATATGCTAGAGACTCCCGATGACTTGATCGAGATTATCCATATTCTCTAACCACGCCTCATTCTCTTTCTTCACCACTTCCTGATTCTCCTTCACATCATCAGTCCATCGATAAACATACACAGTCTTCATTCCTACAGCTTTCGCTCCACGCAAATCATACGCATGTGCAGCTACGATGACACACTCAGAAGTATCTCTCTGCAACAACTCCAACGCTTTCAGATAATTCTCCTTCGCAGGCTTGTACACCCCGAGTAGTTGCGATGAAAATAATGCATCGAACTGCAAGCCAGAGGAGCGACACAAGTCAAGCTGTAAGCGTGTGGTGCCATTCGCATGAACCACGACCTCATAGCCTTCATCACGCAAACGCTGTAGTGCAAGAGCGACGTCTGGCCATGCTTGTTGCGAATGCCAGGCAGTTATGCATCTATCTTTGACCCCGACTGTCTGAAGTAGTGGCAGGTAGTTCGCGAAAGAGTCCTTTGTCAGCATCTGATCCCATGTCTTGGAGTGGGTAACGTCGATGTTTTCGGTCGGCAAGCCATCGGCTATGCGCTTGGTATTAGCGTCGAAGTAGGTCTGTCGCCATTGTAGAGCGAAAGAAGAACGGTCTTGTTCTGGTATGTCTTGAGGTAGAGCTGCGATGATGCTGGAGTGCCAGTCGAGGCAGGTTCCCATGAAGTCAAAGAGGACGGTTCTGATCGGCATGATGTCTTGAGCTTTGCAGGATGGATGGCGTGTACTCGTACTGCGTAGGCCTTCTTCACATTGCCGCTTGAGCCAAGAATATCAGAAAATCGTCAGATGTCAATCATGTCCTTGACTAGCGCACCTTTGCACTCAGTCTTGTATGGGCATCAATGGTTGGGATACGTCAGCACACCACGCCCTGTCGCCGACAAAGCGGGGCGATTGAGATCGAGACAATTGCATGCAATCAGCGCTTGCGTAGTACTTACCCTACCTGTATTTTGGATGTTGTCAAATATGAATATTAGCTTCAAGGATAGGTGATCCGAAGATAAATGCTTTTGAACAGCAGGATGTGCTTCTGCTCTAGACAAAACAGCAAGTTGACAGAGTAACCCTGTGCACCGTGTGTTTGGAACAATCCGTGAGGTTGACAACAGCTGATCTTCGACCGAGAGAAATCGGAGGAAGGCTTCGTTCAAGTTTCATTCATGTGCATGTTCCAGCACCTGCTACATTCATCACGACGTACAGGCTCATCATCATACAGTCCTTGAAGTATAGTCCTACTTGTCGGCAGGGTCAAGAGGACGCTGACCCTTAGCCTCGACATTCTTTCTCTTCTCGCTGGCGGGAGCGTTGGGATCCTGCTTGAAGGCCTGCTGTGTGCTGCTGTCTTCTCCCTGCTGTCCAGTGGCTGCACCCTTGGGGTTGCTGACGGGGGTCTGCACACTGGCGGTATCGGGCGAACCGGTACGGGCATCGGTGGCGCGCGACTGGTTGATCTTGTTTGACTCTGGGCTTGAGCTGACGGGGTTGCCGACGTTGGAGGCGGTGCCGGGGCTGCTCTGGCCTTGATTTGCGTCCATGTTCTGCTTGTTGGCATAGCTGCGAATGACTGGGAAATGGTCAGTAATTGCGTCGGTCACAGTTGGAGCTCGTCTCGGACTTACAGGTTGTTGAACGCAGAGGTTGCGAAACAGCGGTGCGGCTGCTGCGCATGATGGAGCTTCTCATGATTGACATTTTGTTTCTGCGATTGAACTGATTGCGATTTGGTTAGAGAAGAGGTTTGGTTCAGCATGCGCCGGCCTGCAGGTACGTCTTGCTCTCTTTAGTACCTACCCCGATGGTCATGACGTTTACATGATGTCGCGCTTGCTCATCCGCCTTCTCGACTTCGACATGCAGCCTGCATTTCCAGATGTCAAGACACAAATCCTGAACGTTTGCGATAGCTTTCACCGATTCCTCCACTGGCTCAGTGCTGATATATTGACATAATCATGCTTGGAAGGCACTGAAGCCTCAAGGTAGGTGTCTCTTTCTCTAAGTGTTGGCAGCTATCTTCTACCGGGTGAGTGGTCACGGAAGTCGCTGTCCCGCGTCTGGAACGTCCTTGTTGCTTGCCTCCGTCGCGCTCTGCAAGTCGTCTCTGCCACTACTTGGAGTTGATCTTCATTCATCGTGTGCTTTCTTTCATAATTACTATCCGACGCTTAAACATCTTCCTGTTCCGGCACCTCTGGCTAACGACAAGCTTCACTGCTCACGATGTCCAATCGAACCAACTCCACAACCTCGCCAGCTCTCATCACGCGAGAGGCGCTGTTTCATCTTATGGCTCTGTCACGCGATACCTCTTTATCTGACGATGAGATACGTGCTGTCGCACACTGCGTGAATCACCGGAATATCAATGAGGTCGTCGATTCCTTTCGTGTCGTCCATTCCATCAAGTCTTCTTTTGCACAGTCAAACTCTCGAGCCTCTTCAGAGAAGGGCGCCGCGTTGTGTGCCGAGACCTTCTACAGTCTCTGCGAAGAGGATCGCGTCAAATTACGGGAACTCAGTCTTTACTGTCCCTTTACTCTGGCATACAAGTCATGCGTGCATGGAAATAGGTGTCAGCTAAAGGACATATGTCGTTGGGTATGTGACAGACACTATTTTTATGGTGTTTCGGCCAAGTGTTGACCCCTTGTCCAGAGAACCTGCAAGCGACACAACTGCTAGAAGTCACACGATGTTCGCGGCACTTGCTATTCCGTTTTCAAAGGCCAACGCTGCAAGTGGAAGAGTCGCGACAAGGACAACAACAAGCAGCCATGTCCAAGCAATCACGATATCAAGGCACGTCTGTTCATGGGAGCAATGCGAGAACCCCATCGACTTGGCTTCTACGGTGTGAAAACTGCTACTTCGGTGACTCGGAAACCAGAAGCTTCTGTTGAACGTTCGTCCACAGGAGGTGCCATGATAGATCCCGTCGACATGCCCGTGGCTAGATGGGTCGAGCATCCAGGCGCTGATCTCGAAGAACCAGAAGCTTTCTTTGAATGTTTCTCCACAGGAGGTGCCGCGATAGATCCCGTCGATAATCCCATGGCTACACAGACCGAGCAGCAAGGCGCTGATCTCGATAATCACGACGCTATATCTCGCAGCGCTAGCAAATTATCCAACTCCGACTCGATCAAGCTCGGTTGAAGCTGCTGCCCAGCCTCGTACGGATTGTCAAGCTCGGATACCTCGGAAACTGTCTCAAATGTGCTTTCTTGCCACCGAGCTTCCCGCCGCACACTGGTTCATTCACATCTACGTTCAACCTTTATAACCAAAGAAAATCCTTCCTTGCCAACAAGTCAGAAAAGCCGTGATGGTGTAGTGGTTGCATACCTGGTTGGGTTTGGGCACGCGGTCATTCGCTTAACGTGGTCCCGCGATATCAGGAGGTGGCAGGTTCGAATCCTGCTCATGGTACTATCTTTTTGTTTTTGCCCGGCATATTTCTGCCCATTGTTTTTGTTTTGCCAGATTGTTGATAGCTGGTATTCTTTCGAGACACTGTCACTGTCCAGCTGTTTATTTCTCTTCCTAGGATTGTGTCGGTGTTTGTTCTCTCAATCATTACCAAAACTCAGAGCTCATCTGTCTTCGGTCGTGCAAAAGTTCGGCGTTGGACTGAGGGCTCGCATGTATGTTCTTTCTTGTTCATTATCTGGAGTTTCAGAGGTTTCTTCTGCTTCACAAGCTCGGCAATTCTCAGACAGGAAGCGACGATCAGCGTCGGTGCATGAACTAACTATCAGGCGACATCTGGCCATTCCCTTGTTGATCATCAGCCTCTTCGCACAATCACCCATTATTTCCACCAGCATCAGTATCAAGCATCTTCAATCCCGCTTATCGCCATCGCATCGCCTCCAATAACGACATGGCGAACACTAGACCCCCAGACCTCGCGACGTGCGAGATGCTCCGTAAACTCATGAAATCTGCTCGAGACGATCACCTTACCGACCCCCAGATACACTTCCTGAGCGGAACCGTCACTTCTGCCAACGTTGAGCACAACATCAAAACGCTTCACAAGGTCAACAAAGCCAACAAAGACAAAACCAACAAAGACAAAGCCAACAAAGACAACGCTCAGCCAAGGAACCCACGCCCTACTGTCGCTCAACATGGTTCGGCGATCAAACGTCAAGAACATTCCGCTCTATACAAGCACACGTTACCAGTCCCCGCTGAGGAAGGAGCTGTGATCTGTGCAGACACATTCGAACGACTGAATGCTGAAGATATCAGAGCACTCCACAAACTCATCAACGTCTGCCCATTCCATCTGGCTTCTCAACCGTGTGTCCACGCAAAGGAATGCTATCTCCTACGCATCTGTTATGTAAGTATGCGAATACGTTTCAGATTTACCCTCTTCTGACCCTGTTTCTCCCAGAACGACGGTTGCACATACGGTGATCGGTGCAGGGGCTCACACGACTTCAAAACTACCTGCCAATCGGTCCTGGAGAGCAAACAATGCAACCACGAAGCTGAGCACGGAACCAAGTGCCCGAAAAACCACGATTACAAAGCTCGCCTCTTCATGAGTGCAATGCGCAAACCCCACGAGCTTGGCTTCTATAGTGCGAAAGTCCAGACTCTTGCTTTTGCACTCGGGTCTGCCGAGCAGATGGAAACTAGGTCCGAGGTCACGATAATCAACGGGAATGTCCAGGACTTCTAGGAAAAGTTCCGTCAGCAGATGCAAGAGAGGCTTCTGGATATATCGGAGGCTGCGGAGGCTGCGGTCGACAATGGCGATTTAACGGATCCAAATGATGTCGATGACAGTGGCGTGGATCTCGAGGAGCTTTCTCTTGACTCATAAGTATGACTGAGATGGTTGAATGATGGGGTGATCAACTCCTCATATATGATCGAGACGAGGCTACTCCGCGCTGTCATTACTACCCAAATAGCTCTCCCTTCACTCTTTTATGCACAACAGCACTTCTAATACACATTCTTGTCACCATACCTCTTGATGACTGCTTGTTCCGGCCATTGAATTCATGTTGTCAGAAATATCACCATGATAGAGTATCTTATCTGATTCGCTGTGAGTCATCAAAGCTCTCCCCACCTTTCCACCAACCACACCTCCGCTCAAGTATTCACATCAATCATGATCTCCATTCTTTGATCCTACCAACTTTTACCACTTTATTATATCCTTTGACTTGTTATCTCTACACATTCAATCTCACCACTTCATCTCTCCGTATCTGGAAACTATCATGACGTCTACAAATCGAGAAAAGTCATCCTTCTCCATTCAACCAGCCACGACTGCAAAAGACCTTCTCGAAATCACAAATCTCTTTACGGCTTACGCGGAATCTCTGAACATCGATCTGTCTTTTCAAGATTTCACTACCGAAATGTCAAATCTTCCTGGAAAATACTCGCCACCAAATGGAATCCTCTTACTCGCCCGAAACGCAGAGGATGGAGCAATCGGTTGTGTTGGTCTTCGACCTCTGGACGACAAGGGGGTATGCGAGATGAAGCGATTGTACGTGACTCCCGAAGGTCGTGGCACAGGACTTGGGAAAGCGTTGGTGAAGGAGGTTATTCAGAGGGCGAAGGGAATGGGACACCAAGTTATGCGACTCGATACATTAGCGAGTATGAGTGCTGCGAAAGCATTGTATATGCGATTGGGGTTTGTGGGGAGAGAGGCTTATTATGATACTCCGATCGAGGGCACTGTATTCTTTGAGTTGGATTTGAAGTCTGTTTAACTCTTTACAGATGTATGGCAAGTAAACATCATGGATTCAATCGTCTCTTCACGTCTAATTTCTCAGATAGATCTTCATCTCTTGAGCCGATCTTGCCTGTTGCTCACTCGGCAAAAGAGTTGGCGATTATGTCAGTCCAGAATGCACAACGAGTCTGCTGAGTTGCAGGTACATCCTCGTAAGTCACACCAGAGTTGCGAACGACAATCCTCTGCTTGCCCCCATCCTTGTTGTAAGTCTGCCAATTCGGAGCGAACCCACTCTTATACGTATTAGGATCCTGAGTCCTGACGAACGAAATGGCATAATTCATCATGATAGGAACCACATTTGCATTCTCGCCAGCAAAGGATGAGAAGACCAAGCCATTCTCTACGATGCCCAAGAGTCCTGCCATTGGACCGGCATTGGGGCCGAAGATTGCACCGGTATCGAAAGCGTGGAGTACGCCGTATCCAGCAAGTCTCAGGGCCAGTGAGCTCTGATCGAAACGGTAGTTCCAAACCTGATTCGAAGCACCAACAGCGCTTGAGATGGTGAGGCCTGGACAGATGAATGTTGCTTCACCAAATGCTGCGGCTGCTGATGGAAAATGAGCTTTGTGAAATGGTTGTTGTGCGGCCATGAGTGGATAGAACTGGTTGATCGTCGTCAAGTTGGCTTCAGTGAGACTTGGGACATTGGCTTGAATGAACTCCGACACTTCTTCAGGAGAGCCGGCGTTTGCTGCGAAGAGCGTGCCCTCATCTGTGGCATCTCCAACAATCATAGGAACATTGACGAAATGGCCGGTCTGGAAGAGGCGAAGTGGTATGTCCTGTACGAATGTGCCATCGATGACGGGATTGGAGGTGGATTGTGCAGCAATGTCGGTGTAGTTGCCGACCACATTTGCTTTCTGGATCTTCGCGATATCGGCTTGTCGGAGGCAGGATAATCTGTCTGTTGCGGAGCCACATCCAGCAGCGGTCGCGAAGTTGTTGAATTGGAATTGCGAATATGAGTCGCTATTGACTTCTGAATAAGCAGGCGCATCGGCGTAAGCTTCTGCGAATAGTCCGTCATCTCTGCCGCCATATGCAGTCATCTGAAGTCCAACGGATCCAGCGCCAGCAGAGCCTCCGAAGACCGTGACGCGATTTGGATCTCCACCAAACTGTGCATGTCAGTGAGTTGAAGGACGGGAGAGAATTGAGCAGTGATCTGACCTGTTAGATGTACTTGCGAACCCACTGCAGTGCCTGTCGTTGGTCGAGAAGACCCGCATTCAACGCGCCCCCGGATCTCACCTCTTCGCCGGCGAGGAAGCCAAGACCACCGACTCTGTAATTGATCTGAACAGCGACGATGTTATTCCCAAAAGTCTTGACGAAGTCGGTGAAATCCAAGTTGGGGTCCGCCAGCTGAGCGAAGCCACCGCCAGGAATGTGGAACAGGACGGGTAGATGGCTCGTGTTTGTTGCACTAGATGGAGTGATGACGCTGATGTAGAGACAGTCTTCGCCGTAGTTGAAACCGCCAATGAGACCAGTTCCCACTGTCTGTTTGACTCCAATGAAAACGTCCTTGAACTGTACAAGATTCAGCATGTGAATCTGGTTCAGCGATGGCATACGAACTTACTTTTGCGGCAGACTGAACTGCTGTGGTCTGAGCAGGATCTTGAGGAGCCTTCCATCTCAGATCACCAACAGGAGGAGCGGCGTATTGCATACCCAAGAATCGGGTTATGCCATCGAAACCAGCTGTTCCCTGATATGTTGCATAATCCAGAGAGATCTTCGAAGACAACGCAGAGACACAGGATACGGAAGCAAAGACAACGGCCAGAAGGGTGACAGTCTTCATCCTGGACTGTAGTGTTTCGGTCGACTGGAGGCTTGAAAGATCAGGCGGCATTCTGGGACCAGAGGTGCCTGTGTTTTATGTTCATCATTAAGGAACCTCGGCCTGGTAGAGCATGCTTTGCCGCGGAAGCTAATTGACATTGCAACCATGAGGGGAGATGTGAGAGATCCAGCTTGTGGTGTTCTTGCACCAAATCGAGTCGATCAAGGTTCTTGTTTTCTCCGGTAGTCTCGCCGTTGACTTTTGCTGCCGGACATGGTATAGATGAGCGCGACCGGCCGGCCGGCTTGGCGGTGACTCCAGGATCGGCAGTTGGCCGGCTCGAAGGGCGTCGTCTTCATGAAGAGTTCTAGGCCTTTGCTTGTCATCTCCGTGTTTGAGTCGCGGTGTTGTCCTCCAGTGTTCATTTTGGATGGCCATCAACGAATAAGACGCGACCATGGATGCATTCGCGGAAAAAATGAGGAACTTCGTTGCGCCAAACCCTTCTCCTCGAAACCCACGCGTCAGCAGAGAGTCCAGCCATGCAGACCTAATCGAGGAAGGCTATCAAGCCGACGGCCATAAAACATGGGGCTATGTGATCTACCGCACAACATATGAGAGCGATGCAGACTGGGCCGACTTCATGGGGCGCCTACGATGGTGGACGACAGACGCTATGGACTTATTCAACGGTCAGGATGTCCTGGACCGCATGACATGGACTGTCTTTGACGACCGCGAGCGCTTTGACGGCGCAGACACGGCGGCCATCCGCCGCCACTTCCGTGCATGGGCAGAGACAGCTGTACAAATTGAGCAGCAGTCTGACGCGGTTGATGCCCCTCCAGTCAGTCAGGGCCGCTCTCCACGCTATAGATACTGCATACAAGTCGATGCGGACGCACTGAATTCCTGCGTGCACGAAGGTCCGCCACCACCTGACTGTAGGCATGAGCAAGCGTGCTGGGTGAAAGTCATTGACAAGAACTGGATCCCGCGCCATGAGAATCCGATATTTGCTGGGAAACAGCCGCATCCTCACGCGTACGACTATGAGCCCATCAATGGCGTGACAGAAGAGCACATTGGTTGGCTCAAATCTCCGCTGTCCGCCGTCATGACCGAGTACTACCATCTATTTCGCGATCCCAATGGATGGATGATTGTGTACCGACGACCGCCAAAGGTAGTCGGGTATGGATGGGACTAATTGCGCTTTCTACTGGTTGGAACCATGCGGTGGACGACAGTTGAACATTCTAAGACGTTGTCAAAAGCGCTTTCATCAACGCGGTGCTCTGTTCAGAGTTCTCTGTGCCCCTCGCACAGCTTGCAAAAAACACACCTCGAAGTGCTCTCACTTGACCGGAGCCGCTTGTGAGAAACATCGTGCTTTATTGAAAACCCATTACATCGACAGATCGGCGAACCTAGGATATGTTTCATAAAGACGTAGGTGAGTCGTCAATCTGCGCTATGCGTTGTTCTGGCATGTGAAAAGAAAACTCATAGCATTTTGTGTGGTGAGTGGCATTGGTGACAGCGAATCAAGCCCTCATGTTTGTTTCATGGCCTTGACGAAGTATCAAGCCTCGAGAAAGGCTTCACTTCCCAAATCTCATACTGTCACATCATCAGCAAAGCCTCCTTGTGACATATCTTCTTCTCCCTCCCTTCTCAAGATCTCTATCGTCACCACTACTTGAACATACTCTTTCTACACACAATCCGGAACTCTAACATCAAACCACCACCATGACACCCTCTCAAGACCCGCCAGAGCAAGACCCCCTCGACCAACTCGACTGCACCCGCCTCCCAGAACTACAATTTCTCAGTACATACTGCCCCTTCACCCTCAACGCAAAACCCTGCCCCCACGGCTCAAACTGCCTACTCAAGAAAGTGTGCTACGTAAGCACTCCCCATCTTACACACTGCTGGTCTCGAAACACTGACGATGTCAAAAGGTTCTTTGTGCTTTCCGCACCACTGGAAGTTACTGTGATGGTGATCATCAAGTTTCGGCTATCTGTCAGCAATTCTTGACTGACAAGGGGTGTCGCTATCGTAAGGAGGATGATCATCCGTTCTTGGGCAGGAGTCATGATGTTGAGTTGAGGAGGTGTATGGATGTTATGTTGAAGCCTCATCAATTGGGTCTTTATGGTGTGGAACATTTTTGATCGTGGAGAGATGGAAGTCAAAAGCTTCCGTTCTCTGGCAAGCTTTGAGGGCTCAACATACAGTCTACCTGGACCTGGAAGTTTCGCGGACGCAAGGCTTTCATGGCGATTGCACGGGATTAGAACGATGGATTGAAGCCTGCATACGAAAGGGAACAATCTCTCAGCCGAGCAGTTTCGCAACGATGTCTTCCGCGCTTTCCTCCTTCACACCCAGCAATTCCGCATCTGCCTCTTTTCTCGAAGGAGCAACCATACCTCTTCCTTGCCCGACATCGTACAGATGCGACACGGCCAGCTTCAACACCCATCCACCAACACAAGCTTTATTCTCCTCCTTGCCCTTTTCAATCAACTCTTTGCTCGTCATCCTTGCTACCTTCCACTTCTCTCCCGTAATCCTTTCGAAAGCGTCAAGCAATTCGTTTTGACATGTCTGGATGCTCTGGACTTTCAGAAAGCGGTTGGCTGTTTCTTCCGGGTGCTGTAATGTCCCCACTACGGCTTGGCCGATGCCTTCGAGAGTTGTACCGGTGAATCTCTCTTTTCCTTGGTCGTAGATGATTGCTTCATGTTTGCTGATGTCGAAGCCCATGAGAGGGAATTTCTTCATTGCCTGGTTTGTTGTCAGTCGTTTACTCTCACACTCAGGAGCCGGCAAGCTTGCTTACCCAATCAATAGGATTGCCAGTCGTGAGCCCAGTCCAAGTAAAATTCTTGTTGTCTTTTGCTTTCTTTGCAGCGTAATCCCAGCCTTCGCGTCTGATTGCATGGATGGCGTCGAACTCGGGGAAGCCGCGGGCATCAGGGCCCCATCCAAAGTCATCGATGATGAAGCGTTGTACTCCAGCAGCTTCTGCGGCATCGACAAAGGTCTTTTGGAGTGGGACGCCGCCTGGTCCAACGACACAGACAACGGCGTCTTGGTTGTTGAGGGCTTTCGTCAAAGCTTCAAGCGTGTACTCTGTCCGGACTGTGCTGATGTCTGGCGGATGAACTGTTGTTGATGTTTCGCGAGTGACGATTGTGACTTTGAAGCCAGAAGCTTGTAGAGCCTGGGTGATGGGAGTGCCGAAATTACCAGATGCCTTTGAGAGTCAGTGTGGAGAATGCCGAAGGGTTGATTGTTTGCTCACGCCAATGACGGCGACATTATTGATTGGTGACATGTTTCCAAAGACTCGTCTTTGTTGTCTTGTCCTGAGAATGGAAGAGTGGTATACCCCAAATTCAGGGTCTCGACGATGAACTTAAGTGTTTCTGAGGTGGGGCTCAACGGAGATGGTTCCGGCTGGTTTCCTGGACAACGGGCTTTGGCCGCATCCTTCGAGGCAGCAATCGTGCGGTGTCCAGAAGCGATATTTTGCAGATCCATAACATGTCCAGACATGCAGCGTCGAGATGAAGAGAGCATCTACCGATCATCTGAATCATGGCGAATTATGTCGTGGAGTGCAAGATGGAGGGTTCCAAAGCTGACCAGGAGAAGAAGCGGGCGGATTGTGGAGAGTCGATAAGAGACAGACAGCGGACGAGAGAGGAAGTGGCATTGCAGGCTGGAAAAGGCAGAGAGCAGTCACGACCACAATCTGGCGGACCTTCCACCTCGGCCACCATTGAGTGCGGCGAAGAAGCAGCTAAACATTTTGCTTTCGAATCTGGCTACATCAATCTCAATCATGGCGGGTTTTTTTCTGCTCCCACAAAACACATGGCCGTCACTAACCATCACACGCAGGATCATACGGCACTCATCCCATCGACGTCGCCGAAGTGCGTCGCAAATATCTGGACCGAGCAGAAGCAAGACCAGACACGTTTGTCCGCTACGAATACCGCTCCCATCTACTCAATCAAGCACGACAAGCAATCGCCGACTATGTCCATGCTCCTCTCGACACCTGCGTCCTGATCCCAAACGCTACTACCGGCATCGACACTGTCTTGCGTAACCTGAACTTCGCCATAGAAGATGCCGTCATCTGTTTCTCTACAACCTATCCAGCCTTCTTGAACACTCTGAACTATCTCAACGAAAGAAGCAACCTTGACTTCTGGATCATACAGCATCCTCTACCCGTCACGGATCATGATGTCTGCAGCTCCTTCGAACAAATCCTGGAACAGGTCCGGAAGGCACACCAGAAACCCAAGCTTGCCATTTTCGACACCATTTCCTCTCAACCAGGCATTCGTTGGCCATTCGAACGTTTGACCGACATATGCCGCAAGGAAGGGATCCTCTCTTGTATCGATGGAGCCCACGGTGTCGGTCAAATCCCTCTCGACCTCCCCAAACTCGATCCTGACTTCTTTGTCAGCAACTGCCACAAATGGCTGCATACCCCTCGAGGCTGCGCTCTACTTTACGTCCCGGTCCGCAATCAACATCTGATCCGCAGCACCCTTCCCACCGGTTTCGCCTTTGTCAAGAAGGGGTCCTCGGACAAAACAAACAACTTCGTCGCCAACTTTGCAGCCGTGGCGACAAGTGATGACACACCATACCTCTGCATTCCTGCTGCTCTTGCCTGGCGCAAACGTTTGACTTTCAACGGGCAGACTGGAGAAGACGCAATCATGACCTACAACAAAGATCTGGCGAGAAGAGGTGGAAAGCTGGTTGCAAATATCTTGGGCACAGAAGTCATGGACAACGCTCAAGGCACGCTTGGAGATTGCGCAATGGTCAATGTAAGACTACCCATCGACTTGGAAAACGTCACAAAAGAAAAGCCCAATCATGGAGAGGATATCGCCAGCTGTATCAACAAGACCATGAACCTGCAGTTCAACATCGCCGTCAATGCTTTCGTCTACGCGGATGAGCTATGGGTGAGATTGAGCGCACAGGTCTACCTGGAGATGAAGCATTTCGAGGCTGCCGGAAATGCTCTCAAGAGAGTCTGCTGTCGAGTCAGACTCGAAGAGTGGAATGAAGAAGCGTCGATGCAAGTCGCAGGTGGCATTGAGGACAAGATAGGCTCCACCACAGAGAAATTGCATCCGGGTTGGGCTTTGCCGTTTCAACGAGAGTAGAGACATGATGGTCGCAATAGCATACATACTTCTTTGTGCTCTCTTTGGACACACACCTGTCTTCAAAGTCACTTGCCAACTCTCCAAATGGAAATAGTAAAAAGATAAAAGAGCTGAGAGAACATGTCAACAAGATGTGTTGACTCCTGGGTTGTCTGCTACAATTCTGCTTTGTACAGTTCGATCAGCGCAACAGACGTTAATGATTAACATCACAACACCTTCCAAGAACTTGCTTCCAACTTTTCCAACTCAGCCCTCCACACCTTGCCAGACTGTAACCGAGGCACTTTTTCCACAAACACAATCCCACCACTCAACTGCTTGTGCTCCGAGATACGTTGTTTGACAAACTCTTTGATATCCTCCGCAGTCTTTGGAGTCGGGTCGACTTCTGGGCGGAGGACGATGAAGGCGCGTGGGACTTCTGTGTCGTCGGCTGCGACTCCCGCAACAGCTACATCTGCGACAAGAGGGTGTTCGGTAAGGATAGCTTCGAGCTCGGCGGGTGCGATCTTGAGGCCGTTGTAGTTGATGATTTCCTGCAGATTTGAGTGATTAGATATAGCCCGAGAAGATCAAAGGAAGAGTACAGTATTCTTACCTTTGTGCGTCCAACAACATAGAGAAGCTCGCCATTTTGTTCAAACTGCATCACGTCCCCTGTACGGTACCAGCCATCCTTGGTGAAGCCTGCAGCGTTTGCTTCGGGGTTTTTGTGGTAGCCCTGAGAGATGACTGGACCCTTGAGTAATGCTTCTCCAGGCTGACCGAGAGGAACATCATTGTCGTTCTCGTCGACCAATCTAAAAGTATAAAGTCAGTGGGAACAAGATGAAAGAGCCTCGAAAGACTCACCGCATTGTCATGCTTGGAAGCAAAGCTCCCACACTGCCGGAAGTATCCCTTCTGTTGGGTGGCATATGAGTAACAGCGCCAGTAGTCTCGCTTGCTCCCCAAGTCTGACTGAGTAATGTCCTCTCCTCTCCCTTGCCTCCAAACTTCGTGCAATGGTAGACCTCTTTGTTCAATGGTGTAGCTCCAGAGTAGGCGATACGAAGCGACTCCAACTGATCAGTCACAGCGGGATGTCTGGCAAGTCCCAGATAGACCTTCGGTAGAGTGAAGAATGTCGTGATCTTGTGCTGAGCATTATACTTCAAGAAAGCGCCGAAGTCAAAAATCGGCATCCAGTAGACGATACCACCATCGTAGAAGGCGTTGACGAAGTAACCTTGTACACCCGAGACGTGTGCTGTAGGAAGATGGGCGAGGGTGCGTATCTCGAATGGCTTTCCTTCTGCAGCCCAGTCTTTCCAAATGGGTCGATTGATGTACGCAGGTAGAAAGGCTTCTGCTACCATGTTTGTATGAGACACTATTACACCCTTGGGCAGTCCAGTGGTTCCAGAAGAGTAAAGCATGCAGATACAGCTCTGCTCCAGCTCATCAGGATTGGTGATGGTTCTCCATTGCAACTCGCGGTCGAAGGCACAGCGCACACTTCCGTCGGCGCTTTCGAGCTTGATCTGAGGCGTGGACTCGAACACGAGAACGTTGCGTTTCGGCAAAGCGACAACTTTTGCGGCTGCCTCTGCAAGAGGTTTGAGGTTGGCGCTGCAGACTACTATCTTCGCAGGTCCATCCTGGAGTTGGCGGACAAGTTCCTCAACCGTGGCTCCAGGACTGGCGCCTGAATAAACACCTTCAGCGGCAACGACACCGTAGAAGATGCAAGGAAGCGCGAATTGGCCGGTCGATACAGCAGCCACGACATCCTTGCCTGGACCGTTTTGACCGATACCATACTCGTGGCGAAGGAAATGCGCAATCTGGCGAGTGAGAGTTCGTGCTTGCGACTTGGTGATGACTTTCGAGGGGTCATCTGCTTCGGCGTGCAAGGGTGTGTCTTCTTTGGCGGGGCAATGCTCGGACTCTGTCGATGATTGTTGGTCTCACACCTTGATGGTCAATGCGAGTGGAAGCTTACCAAACAGGAAAGTCAAAAGATCCAAGCTCGGGATGTCAGCTTTGTTGTCTTTGTTGTAAATCATCATGATGTGGTGGATAGAATTTTTTTGATTTCGTCCGACGATGATGCGGATAAATGGCAGTCTTTGAGCATATGAACCTTCATGTTGCAATCGCGGGCTTCTGTAAGCCTGACTTCGATAACGGTAGCTCCTTCCGCTTCTCAACCCATTGTCTTGCTTTCTACTTTTGCTTCATCTACAACACGTTCGAAGTGGGTATTTTCTTGGCAAGAGCATCTCGCTGCCGGAGACGGACTTCTCTACGAGGGTATAGTTCATATCGCTTGGACCTTTCGAGCATGAGTCGTAAACAAGGAAGAGAATGAACGGCTCGTGGCATGCTGGACCGAACCAAATCACATTTAACCAGGATAACGGAAGGGAGGTCAATATATGACCAAAATTAAGACCACAGAATGATCTGCAGGGTGTCGTTGGAAAGAGGAAGAGCTCATTGGTGCCCTTGCACTTTAAACTCGGCCGACCTCCACCGAAGCTTTCGGAAGAACCCTGCTGCCCGAACCATACCCTTGGTTTGAGAAGCATTTTATATGGACGTAGATCTCTTTGCTTCCCAACAAGAAAAGAAGGCAAACATAGACGAAGCGGTATAACAAGTCTTTGGCTACTCATTCAAGTGAACGTGGCTGTGAAACGAATTGCTCAACATCCTTGTCTGTCGCGAGTCATTGACGTCCCGTCAAACGCCGATGGTGCTGTCGTATTGTAGCTGGCGTTCACATGTTAAAACAATAGCGAAGTCGGTAATCATCATGACATAACAAAGAGGAAGAATAGAAGAGTGGACACGACGAATAGTCTTCAACATACAAATAAAAGAGATATTAGACTAAGGTTCAACATTACTGGCGGAGAACGGCCGACCAAACTACTGGCTTTGGATAAATCCCATCGCATCAAGTTCCCTCAACGATTTATGAGGAAGCAGCTGAATTGATGATCACTTCGGCAGCCTTCTCACTGACCATGTAAATGGGCAAAGCGATGTACATGCCTGGAATCTTGGGGAAGATAGAAGCATCAACAACACGAAGCCCATCAACTCCACGGACACGGAACTCGCTGTCAAGGACAGCCATCGGGTCGTCATCAGCACCGATGGGAGCAGTGCACGAAGCGTGATGTCCCCAAGCCTCGTCCTTGATGAACTGCTTCAGGTCCTCCTCAGAGGTCATCTCAGGTGGAGGCCAGACGCGGTCAAACTTGCCGTCGAGAGGAATGAGGTCCTTGAAAGCTTTGATACCGTGTTGCACACCTTCGTAGACAGCTTGTAAATCTTTGTCGCCACCAACGCCCTCACCGAGAGAGCGGAAGACGATCTTTGGGGTGTCACGAGGGTTTGATGAAGTGAGGTTGACGGTGCCTGCATTGTTGCGAGAATGAGCCTTGAGAGTGAGCCAAGTCCAGATGCTCAAGTCTTGGGTGGCGTGGACAGAGTAACCAGGGAAGTAGCCGTTGAAGTAGGCAGGGACACCGCCCAGGAAAAGATCAGGATCGCTCTCCGAGACGGACGAGTGGTGGAGGAACCCAAAAGCAATACCATTGGTAGTGTAGCCGCCCTTGAGAGCTCCGACGTTGTTTTTCCAGTTGTCATAGCAAGGGTCGGTGCCGTTCAGGAACTTGCACTTCTTGAGCAATGAGAACTCGGAAGGTGCCTTGCCGACAACACCAACCTCGTATCTGTCCTGCATGTTGCCACCGACACCAGGAAGATCCTTGACTACAGGAATTCCGTGAGAGTGAAGTTCTTGAGCTGGGCCAACACCGCTAAGCTTGAGGATCTGGGGAGTGTTGAAAGCACCACCGGAGACGATGACTTCACGGCTGGCATGAACAGTTCCGGCTTCACCACCATCATCAGTACCAGCGCGAGGGTCGGCGCGGTACAAGCTCTGACCGAAGAGGTAGTCAACGCCAGTTGCCTTGGGCTTGGTGTTGGAGGTATCGAAGTTGACCTTGGTAACGAGAGTGTTGAGAGCGACATCGAGCTTGTACTTCTTGGAACCATCCTTGTTAGTAGCTCCAGCGACTTGGAGAACAAAGTCACGAGGAGAGCTGCGAACGTAGTCGCCATCCATGGAAAGAGGAATCTGGTAGATGAGCTCGGCACTGTCGCGAGACTTGGTAGGGTTGTTAATGTCGAGCGTCAGGATCTGCAGATTTTATTAGCGAAGCATGAGTGGTTGCTATTACTGCAAGACATACCTCAGCAAGGCCAGTGACGGTATGTAAGAGTCCTCCAATAAGGCCCTTGCCCATGGCGGTGGCTGCAGCAGTGACAAGTGACAAGACCTTGAGATCCTCAGCGATGAGAAGAACAGGGGTGACACGAGTTTCGAGCCAACCGCTGAAGCCATGTCCGACAAAACTGCTGGGTACATAACGGTTACGCTCGAGTCTCTCAAAGTATTTGCGCATGTTCTTGGCCATCCAGGAATCATCACCAGTCAGGGTGGCGATGTTGTTCCAGTCGTTCTCAGTAGGGAGTATCATAGTCAGGGCGTTGTGTTGAGCGCAGCCACCAAGCGCACCAGTTCTGGGGTAGAGGACACCCTTTCTCACCGAGCCTTCGGGTGGGTTGAGTCCAGAGTAGTACTCTCCCGACGGAGTAAGGTATGACATCTTGGAGTCGCGCTTGGCTTGCTCTTCGTCGGCGTAGTGATCCACAAAGAAGTCCCATCGGATTGGGTTGTACTCGCTAGCGTAAGGGTGAAGAGCTGGTACCTGTACTTGTCTGTCTGTCCCGTGATCCTCGCCTGCATCGATGAGTAAGACACTGTGTCCAGCAAGAGCTAGACGAGCTGCCAAAGGAGAACCTCCAGGACCAGATCCGACGACGATGTACTCGTAAGTTGAGTTGTCCACAGGTCCCTTGGTGGGCATGTTGTATCCATTGGGAGGATAGATGGGCTCGTCGGAGACCTTTGGCCATGTCCACTCAAACCTGCATAGCTCGTGAGTGGATGAATTAGATGGTTGACGGAACCATCACTTACGCATTGGCAGAGGCCGCGCAAACAGCAATGGTGCTGAGAACCTTCATGATGATAAATCAGAGCTGTATAGTAAGATGGGAATATGTCAGGGGAAGTAGGAGGCCTTCGATAGGGCGGCGGAAAAAGAGCGGGCTTGAGGAACTCAATGAGTGAGAGCTGAATGAATGACTGTGAGTGGTCCTCGTCGGGAGAGGCTGTAAGAAGGCAGACAGCGAAGAGGAGTGCCTCCAGATATAGAGGAGATCAGAGAGGATGTGGCGACTGAGATTGAGGTCAGACCGCGACGGCGGAATCGGCATACCCATTCGGTCCATGATGGTTCCGAGCGAATTGCTGATCAAAACTTTGGTTGATCTCAATGGCGAATAGGAGTGAATGTACACACTCGAAAACACAAGTTGATGAGGTCAATGGAAAAAAGGAATGGATTCGGTATAGGCAAAATATAATTGATGATAGAGATGATATATTGAGTGGGGTTCCTTGCTAGCATCCACATCACTGCCGATCGTCTGCCGACTCTGTTCTCGGCTCGACTTGATCTTCCAAAAAGGTCATCTTGGTCAAAGCGCAGTCCCGCAACGGTCAAACCACGTCTGTGTCCCATCAGAAACGCTCGCGCTACGACTTTGTCAAGTTTTCTGACTCGACATCATCAACGACTGCTGGCAGCCTGACCGACTTATTGTGCACCAGCTAGAGACAGTGCCACCGCAGTGAGTTGCCTTGTCGCTCCAAACCGCTCTTACCTACGCGTCTGGGAAGATGACTTCACCCATTTGACGGAAATCCGGCTGAGCCCCCAAGACACTCATCACCAGTGCCGACCATGGTTTCTGGTCTTCAGGCTTTCGAGATTGCGGAAAATGGGTTGAGATCACTACATACACCCAGACATTGATCCCAATATGAAGGGAGATGATGCAGTTGGGACATTGGATATCACAATAAATTAAACATACCACGATGCCTGGCGCGCAAACAGCTTTCCAACAGCTGATTTAGCACTATGCTTATACCAGTAGAAAGACTGATCATACGTCATCTGGTCAATCTTTTCAACCTTCTCTTGAGCTCCAGCGAACCGTTAGGCGTGATGCGGCGACAATCTTCTCGAGTGTATCAAAGTTTGGGATAGCCACAGAGACGGCGTACTTGCGATTCACACCTTGACCACCGGTGCGATGCTGAGAGTACAATTTGACGTCGAGCTTCTGGAAAGACTTTAGAAAGTAGTTTTGTAGAGCTGCTCTGTCATTCCGCGGCGGCGTCGGGTCTCTTTGTCTACCCATCGTGTACACGGATGTTGTGGATCTCGTCTTCTTGCATGTCCAGAGTCCAAGGCAGCGGTCCGAGTCAGTCTTTGCTGTTTCCAAGATCGACTAGTGGGATGAAATCCTCCTCATCGCCATGCTTGGGTACAGCAATCGGCTTCTCCTTGATCAATGTGCCATTCTTGCTGCCACCATGCGAACTGCTTCCCAAGCCAGAATTGTTGGATGCGCCATAGCCTGTTGCTCTGGAGGCAGCCCTGGTAGTGCCGAGCGAGGAGGCGCCGAGAGAAACGAAGAGTGCTCGGACTGAAGGCAGACAGGCGCAGATAATACCGACATGGATCTCGACGGTACTCCACCAAGCAGCGTCGTTATAGTCCCCTGGAGTTGCGATTGTCAGCTCTATGCAAAGCCGTAGGATAAGGGAGGATAAGATTCACAAGTAATGTTTTGGGAGTTGGCAAAGACAATCAAAGAGTGGAGTCGAACAACACTGACAAAGGTGACACTTGCGGCGTAGTTAGCTCTGCCGTCTGGACTACAAGTTCCTAAGCACTTACAAGATACCGAGCGAGAACATGACCATAACCATGAGCTTCTTCTTCAAGTTGGTTTGGAGAGCGTAGAGTTCCTTGAGTGGAAGTATGAGGATGATGAGATCGATGATGATGTTGAAGATTGCACTCATCCATCCTTGAAGGTGGATGTTGTTGCAGGATCCCTGGTAAGTGCTGTCCAGTTGCTTCCAGGAATAGGGAACAGGGTGGCATTGAAAGGTCGTGGCCAAGACAAAAGAAAGTCCATAGGCGACACAAATTCCGATCACGCCGTAAATGATCTTGCGGAATTGCTGCTGTGGAAAGACACGTAGGAAAAAGGCAAGAATTGAGATCTTGGTAGCAGTGAGAGAAGCAAAATAGAAGATCTCGCCTAGATAATAATACTGCAGCATGTCAGAGTTTGTTTCAAAATGTGATAGCTGTCCATCACGCACAAAGAGAACATTTTCGATGTTTGGTAACGGGAGAGTCCACATATCTTTTCCGAGGCCGTTCTTTGATACTGGAATGCTTGTGTTAGCTTTGATCGTGGCTTCAAATAACAATCTTCAAGACTTACAAAGCACGGAGAAGACAGTCGGGGGTGTTCCAAGGGCAACGGCAATACAAATTGTGTAGTCGTCCCATCCCAAAGGACGACCGCCAACAGGTAGTCCAGCACACATCCTCAAGATGAACACCAGCAAAGCTAGCCCGCCGCCGATGACTCCAACAAGAAGAGGCTTCAGCGTCTGATTTCGTACCGGAGCTCCACACATCTTGGAGGAAACATTTTTAGTCACTGGTGAATGAACGTTGTCAGTAATGCTATCGTACCAATGGGGCACGAGAAAGTTGTTCACTTACTCAAGCCTTCGTAGGTAGTGCATGATTCCAAGACGCAAACCGTCAAATTGGAGTTAAGTGGAACGTTAGTACAGAGACACTCCACGTCCGTTAAAGTGCAAGGTGACTGTGGAATAAGTTTCGCCAGGCATCCAAGCTGAGATGGCACAATGTTAGCTATGCTTGTTTCACTTCCTGACAGTAGGTGGTATACTGACTGTACACTTTGGGTAGGACGCCTGCGCCATTTCCAACGCGGAAGGCTGATCTGGAGCCGCATACGTGAAAGTTGTCAAAGCGACTAGCACTGCCAATGCACTTGTGTGGAATCTCATCTTGACTGAGCTGCTGTCCTGTCGCCGAGGAAAGGAGGTGCGAAAAGAACCCACAAAGAACGAGAGGACTGGTGACAGGACGAGCAATTTGACTGGAAGACGAAAGATGGATCCCTTATCACGAAGAACTTCGAATTGAGTGCTGCAAGAGTATTGAGAGTCCAGAAACTCTAAAATCCAAGGGTCCTACGTAGAAAGTCCGGCGAAAACTGACTGACTCAGTAGAGTCGAGATGAGAGTCAACTAGCTCGGAGAACATGGTTGGTATTTCCTTATGTACAACAAATACCTTTCGACGATGGACTCGTTGTGCAGAAAAGACGTGCTGGCTGTGTTGAGAAACTGTTGTAGCAAGCCGTGACGAGGGCCAAGAACTGGTCCCGACGAGCAGGATGCAGCACCCTTACCCCGCTTTACCTATTTCGATGATGATAGCCTGGCACGTGCCTGGGGCGCAAAACAGATCAGCTCTGCATGTACTTTCCTTGAAACTTCTTGCCTCTAAGCACCAGTCAACAAATCAACAGTCTTGTTGAAAAGGTCGTTCTTCATCGACATATGTTTAATTTGATATCAGTCACCCTAGCTGACTCACTGCGATAGCGCGTGAGCTTTCACTTGATGACGCATTCTTCGAAGGTGATATATGCTATACTTGTTGCCGGGTCGGGTTTCGGACCCTCCTCAGAGTTTCGCTGAACGACAGGTGTCAGAGCGTTAGACAGGGCACGGATGTCTCGAATGTCTTCATGACTTGACACGACCGCCCGCGAGTCAAGCCTTTCTATCCACTTGCGTCCATGCAGCCACGGAGATGATACTAGGCCACATTGCGTACCATGCTGTGCACACTCTTGAGCCTCAATGTGAGCACCGACACCAACGGGCTTCAATGCCTGCAGCGACGCCATCTCCATCCAACATAGCTCTCCTGAAACTTTGCACACTTTCTCTTGCGTTGCCACGACCGGACGATCCCAATCATGGTAGTGACTCCGTAGCTGGGAGATGACCTTAATCAACCTTCTCCTTGGGGCAATAGAGTTCACGGCTGACCTACTATTTCCAGCGTGAGTCAACCCAGCTACACGCCCCTGAATCATCATAATGCTCTCTCTCGCCTGATCCCGATCGCATAATGTCAAATCTCAGAACCATCTTCTTCCGGGGCGTGGTTGAAGGCTTTCCCCCCGTTGCAGCTCTTTCTTGATCGTACAAGACTCAATCCTGCAGGCCTTCGCCATGAAGGCGTCCATTCTTTCGTCGAGCTTCTTTGCACTTTGTTTACTCTCTGGTTTGGTACACTCTTTTCCGACCGCCCAGAACTTCGCAAAACTCGCCCGCTATGATATAAGCGCGAATCATGACATGCATGACAGTCTCCTTCGCTTGAAACACAAACGTCTGCTCTTCGACCCTATGACTGAGCCTGTTGATGGTGTGTCCCTGAATGAAGAAGAGAAGAGTGTGGACTGGACTAACATGCTCAAGTCACCGGGTTACACGCTTTTCAGCCGCCAAACTTCGACAAAGGAGACCAAAGAGGACCATGTCCCGGACTCAATGCACTTGCTAATCATGGTTATATTTCCCGTGATGGCATTGCTGGCGTAAGCAGGTTTATCTCGCCTCTCTCTATACAAATCGCTGAGTAAATCTTTTGCAACAGTTCTTCGAGGTGATTCATGCGGTCAACCATGGTAAGCTGCACAACGTCGAATCATTGAAACACGCGGCTCTAACGATACTCAGTATACGGTATGGGAGTGGACTTGATTACTGTGCTTGCAGTCATGGGCACTGTGGGTGTCGGAAATCCGCTCTCACTCAATCCTGGCTTTTCAATCGGCGGCAAGAGTCGCAAAACCAATAACGTACTCGGTAACCTCTTTGGACTTCTCGGTACGTCTGCCCTCTCTTGTTCTGGACCCGAGCTGACTTTGCGCTTCCGTAGGAACACCTCAAGGGTTGGACCACGCTCACAACTGGATCGAGTCGGACTCATCCAACACGCGCGACGATCTCTACGTTACTGGAGACGCATCTACGATGAACATGACTCTCTTCCTGGAAGCATACAACTCGTCGGAAGATTACGTTTTGACCATGGATGATATTGGTGCGCGTGCGGCCAAGAGATTTGAAGAGAGTATTGCAATCAACCCCAATTTCTACTATGGCCCATACACTGGAATGATTGCACGAAATTCGGGCTATGCTTTTACTGGACGTATTCTGAGCAACCATACGATGGAATATCCTTTTGGAGGGCATTTGAGTGAGTCTGCGATGTATGATATTCTCAAGATCAGCCTGACTAATCAATTCGCAGCTAAGGATGTTTTCTCCAGCTTCTACGCTGTTTACGAGGAGGATGGAAAGCTGGTCTACAGAAAGGGCCACGAGCAGATCCCAGCAAACTGGTACAGGATCGGTATGGACTACGGTTTGGTGCAATTAAACTTGGACCTTGTCGAATGGTTTATGAAGTATCCTATCCTGGCCAGTATCGGGGGAAACCTTGGGAAAGTCGACAACTTTGCCGGACTGGATCTCGAAGGCATTACCGGTGGAGTCTTGAATGCGACGTCGCTGTTGGAAGGCAACAATCTTGTGTGCTTTGTGTTGGAAGTCGTCAAGACATTTACGCCAAACTCTTTGTCTTCCCTGTTCAAGACACTCGAAGCTCCGTTGAAGCTTGTCAACGACGCTGTCTTGGATCCTTTGCTGGATCTGAGCTGTCCGGCGTTCAAAGACATGGCACTTGATGGCACTGACCTTCTTACTGGTCTGCTCAACAGATATCCCGGTGCAAACAAAAGTGGCTTTGCTTTCTGAGTGTCGAAATCAACCACTGTCGAAGATACAATGATGGATGCTGATTCTGTTCTCGATCTCTCACGACCTGAGGATATATCAGGTTCGAGAAATGGCAGAGTGCGTTGTTACTGTACTGACCCTGGCATAGTGGTCAAAGCACACGGCGTTTGAAATCTGGCCAATCACAGCCGACTTCTATAACAATTAATTACTCTCTTGCAAACAATTTACTTCGCGGAAAGAATTGCTGAACAGTCTTTGAGATCCCTTGTCATCCTCACCTATGGCGATGAGACGTTGATCAATTGGCTGCCAGATGCTTCTACTTATAGCTGTCGAAAGGCAAGAGGTTTTGGGAAAGAAGCACCACTCCCACAGAGAGTATCTTCAATTCCACTCTTACTGAACCTTACGCTGCTCTCGAACACTTCGTGCCTTTTGATAAACATAGATCTTCGTCAGGTGAACTCTGTTACCGAGGACTGATGGACAGAGTGGCTAGAGAATAGCCCAGTGACACGATTGAATCTATACCAAACTTGAATGGAGCATTTGGGTATCTACTGGGCTCAAAAGAGCTGAAAGTGGTGTGCTCGTTGTGGAGTTATTTCATTTGGTCGGATAAACCATCTTCGCCATCTGGAACAGAACTTGGCCATACGAATCCTTGATGAGGATGGCTTCGCCGACCGTGCCAAAGCCCCAACGAGCATACAGATCCATGCCCATGACACCTGCCTCCAAGTACGCTTTCAATCCGCTCTTGACAGCACATTCCATCCCCCATTGAACGAGCATCTTTCCAACTCCTCGTCCTCGCTGTTCCGGCAAAGTGACAAGATGAGTCAAGATCCAGCAAGGTGATTTCGCGGGCAACATCCATGACTCTCTTGATCGATCGCGCAACTCCAGGATGCGGTCATGCAGTTCCCAGTTCCAAGCAGTGGTATCAACACTGGTGTCCCAATTCGACTTCTCCCAATGACCATGTGTTTCAAACGAGTATCCTTCTGGGTAGTAGTGCCAACGAGCGATGCCAGCTATGTTAAAGTTGTCGTCGGTGTCCACCACCTTCAGATAGAAAGCTGTTTTGTCTTGGAGGAATCGTTCACGTTGTCGTTCGAGATGCCATTTTGCTCGCGCGTGGGCGCTTTCTTGATCTTTCACTGGCCAGCAAGTTGGAACGGGGTTGGCGACAAGGTCATTGCCTACGGGGGCGGTTCGTGTTTGTGCAATAATCTCGTCAAAGTCTGAGAAGACCATCGGTAGCAGAAGGAGAGGCATCGGAGCGTGGGATTTGCAGACCGCTCAAGGTAATGGAGGAGAATGTGCCAGTGTCGCTCGTCTTAACCGCGAGATGGGGGTTATCATGTGGATCGGGTAATTTGCTCTCGGTGAGTCATACGGTGTGGTCTTCGGACTCCAGCTCCGGTGTGTCGAGGGTATGACTCTGTTTCTGAATCTATCCGTGCTGCTCAAGCCTTTTTGCGGCTCTTTTGAAACCACGAGGCCGCATGAGGCGTGACGTCTCTGCTATGCCTGCACGCGTTGGATTGGGTTGTGTCTCTTCTCCGGATTGGCTATCGTTTGGCCAGCTGAGCGCCGGCGTAAAGGTTTATCATGTCGCCTGTACGGTCACTGGGAACAGCAGATGCGTTTAATGGCCCGTTGTCATCTTCTAAGTTGATCGCTGAAGGAATAAAAAGAAATCGAGAGTTTGTTCGGCGTCAACAGTGACGAGACGGGCTGAAAGCGCGCCAAAACAAGCGGCTGGACCTCGGCAGATTTGGCATCTGCTTCTTGCACAAAAGCAGATTTTGTCTTGCATGCTTTCGAGTGCTATCTGCTTTGATCATTCGAGGCAATCGTGAGCTGCGACATGTACAGACGCAAGTTATCCAAGTTGATGCGAACACATTGTGAAGGGCCGGATGCAAAATAGATCCGTTCAGAATCGATGAGCAAGCAGCCAAGCAAACACAACCACAGTCGGCGACATTACATTCTCCGCGATTCCTTCTCTCGCTGCATGAGCGGACATAACAACGTGTTATCCTCCGAGGCCAGTCTTTGGAGCACGATCTTACTGGTCGGATACACGACGAGCTTCATTCCTCCTCGTGTAAGCACAAATCTGCTTGGTCATCTTTGATCCTTCCGCTCCGACATCTCGAGAATCACGTGCGATGGTTGATATATAAATAAAGACGGGGTTGTCGCTCCGCCGCTTTTCTGGAAAACCTAGCACATCCAGCACTCTATCAAACTCAGCAAATCGATCAGCCAGAATTTAATCATGACTTACAACATCCTCATCTCTGGAACGACCAAGGGGCTCGGTCGCGCTCTTGTGGAAAAGTATCTTGGTCGTCCGAATACCCTCGTCGTAGCTACCGTCCGCGACCCTTCCACCTCCGAGGCAACGTCACTCCAAAACCTTCCCAAAGCCGAGGGAAGCGACCTCATCGTTGTCAAGATAGAAGCACGCTCCGATACCGACGCCCTCGAAGCAGTCAACACCATCTCCAGCAAACTCGCACACCTTGATCTCGTCATCGCAAATTCAGGCTTCTACACTGTTCCTGCAGCACCTCAGATCGCAAAGATTGCTCCTTCAGATCTTCTGGATCATGTCAATGTCAACACTGCAGGCACCATTCGTCTATTCCAGGCCACTCTACCACTCTTGCAGAAAGCGAAGGAGCCTATCTTCGCATACATCTCCTCAATGGCTGGCAGTATCGCCTTGACCGGAGACTTACCATTCCCCACCGGCATCTACGGAGCTTCCAAAGCAGCAATGAATTTCTTGGTCCGCAGGATTCATCAGGAACATCCCGAACTGATCAGTGTAGCATTGCATCCTGGGTAAGTCTATATTTGCACACTGAAACTTGATTCGTCGGCATGGAATATTACGCTAACGATGGGTCTCTCAGAGCTGTCATGACACCAGGAGGTACTGTGGTCTCGAAGGATTTGGGTATGGATAACCCTGATTTCGCCGGCTTCTACACCACGCTAGAGAAGAGTATTGATGGCATGGTTGGAAAGGTGAGTTGACATGCCAAAAGAACCCTTTGATTGAAATAAAACTCAAGCTAATGTCATCTTTTTTAGCTCGACAACGCAAGCCGTGAGGAAACATCAGGCAAATTCTTGTCTTTTGATGACGAGCGCTTGGAGTGGTGATCATTGCCTTTGCGTTCGAAATTGACCTTCGACCACAGACAGACTGCGGTGATGTCAGACAGCAGACGTTGATAATACTTCAGGGCCAATCCCTCCCCATCTATCATTGCAAGATTGCAGCTTGGACTCCTTGTGCTGAAACCTGCTGTCCCTTACTAGACTTCAAATGACATGTCGTGTCCTGCAACACCACGCCCACGCACCCTTCAACTTGATCGCAATACACAACGCAATCAGCAATCTTCCCACTCTTCTCTCCCACAGTCTTGATATCACTTCCTGTATATCTTATGTCACAACCCACAGTGTAGCTACGATTTGCGCGACTGGTGTAGGTGGTTGCGTTCGCTTCTGGACATATCGGAGTATCGTAGGTAATGGGGTAGTCGAAATAGACTTCATTGATGTGCAGTTTAGAGCCCGTCCAGGTTTTGCCTCCGTCGGTGGTTTTCAGTGTGCCCGTTGAACCGCCATTTCCGAAGGTGTCGGAGTAGTTGGGTTGAGCTTTTTCCAGTTCTAGAACCACGTCGACCCAATCTGATGATCTTGAGTCAGCTGTGGTAGATAGCGGCGGGAAGGAACATGAGTTTACCGTGTGCTGGTATAAGACCGCAAGGATAATCAGGTTGACATTCTTCAGCTGTGCCCCAGCCAAGTGCTTTTCCTCCTTTGGCTGAGATACAGTGTCAGTTGCTGCTCTGATCAAATGTGAAAAAGATGCTCACAAGATGTATAGTTGGAAGTCTGTACGCCATTGACATACACGTATTGATCATATGCGTCGGTGCGATCGTTGTACATATCTGCAATGTATCAGTGACATCAATGCAAGACGCTGCTGAGCAATACTTACAGCTCAAAGTAACATGATCTCCAGGTTTCGTCTTGATCTGTCTTCCTCCCAATTGTTCTTTGCACAACTCGTCAGCGGAAGATCTTGCCTTGTATCAGTACTTGGAAATAAATATACCTTGATCACATCCGACAATTTCCAACACACTGGCATAAGTGCACCAATCCCCATGCACAAGACCGCATTCTCCATCGCTGTAATCAACTTAGCCTACTCCCTTTCCTTCCTGCCTTCCAATGGTTCACAAAGATGATCATGAAACTTACGCAACACCATCATAACTTTCCACAAGCGCTTGGATGAGATCTCCATTACTCATTCCCATTCCGGCCCACAGCGATAACAGTCCCACCTGTGGGACTGGGGCTTCAGGAACAACTAAAGTGGAATTGGCGAGACGGATGAAGTTGCCATCCGCGGTTGGACCAGAACTGAATGCATTGCCCATAGCTGCGTCTGCAACAGCGGCGACTAGAGCGAGGGCGAAAGCGGTAGCGATGTGTGAAGGCGGCATTGATTACGAATGATTGCAATTGATGGGTGAGTCCAGTCAAGTCAAGAATAGAAAATGGGGATGGTTTGGTGATCGTGGGATAGAGGCAATTGTTATAGGAGAGCCGTTGTGGTGATTCAGAGTTTAGACGCAAAGTAGACGGTTTTGTACGAAGGCGTTCAGCAACGGCTATACAACCAAGATAGGTTATTTCTACGGACGGGTCGAGCTTGCTCGCCTCTAACAGAAAAAGAACACCAGCGTACTCGATTGCGAAGTATCTGCCCGGCAGCCCGGTCACCCGGTGACAATCTGGTCAGGAAAAGGTTGTCGCGCCAATGACCCTGCTCTGGACGGCCGGCCAATCACAACCGACATCCATTACAATCGCCCCACTTTTTCCAGACGCCTGGCCTCGTCGTCCTGCCGAAATCATTTCCTAACCTATCAACATCAATGAAGCAGATCTATGATGTCGCTACGCCTGATTTCATCCCAAGAAAGGCCACAGATTTGTTCTCAAAGCACGTTATTGATGTTTCTGTCTAACTCGCGCACATTCCCTTCAACAAGACAAGCAAGCCATATGCACCAGGATCAGGCACACCTCTTGTCGCACTCTCGTCCAAGTAGGTGCTCCTCCCAAGCTTCGCCTCGAGATTCTTGGTGCTCTCGACGCCCTTCTCAGCCTCTTCTAGCGCCTTCGATACGTCTCCGCCAGACTTGAGCACCTCAACGAACGGAATCAAGCAGTCCAACATGGTCCTGTCGCCCAGTCTCGCCCGCGTATAATTCAGCAACTGCTCCAGCGCAACCGCCAACGCCGCCGCCACCGAATCCGTCGCAGCAAGAGAAGAAGACAAGGATGTCAGGAAAATACAATACAAGGCGCCAGACGTGCCTCCCATGTTGACTTCCAAGTCATGCATTAGCTCGCTGAGTGTTTGAGGCAGCTCACAGAGGTCTCTGTTTGCGATGAACTTGAGCACCTGCTTTGCGCCGTCTCGCAGAGTGTACCCGCAGTCGCCGTCACCGACAATCTCGTCGTACCGTGTGATGGTTGCCTCTTCCTTGATCACCGCGTCGCAGCCGTTCTCGATGCGACTTCGGACTGCCTGGTCGGTGAATTTCATGTATCGCGAGTCGACTTTGGTCAGATTGCTGCCTTCAGTCGCCTCATCAGCCAGAGGATTCGTGGGCTCAGCCTGTGCTTCAAGATACTGCTTGGACACGGGACAGACCGAGATTGAGAAACCTCTGGCAAGATCCGCGTGCTGCAAGAGCGTTGAAGTCGACAAGCGGTACGACAAACCGGCATTTCCTGTTGATGGTCAGGTCTTGCCTCTGCTGCAACCACGATAGACTTACTCAGATACGTGGCAATCTCGAGCCCTAGGATGTAGTTCTCCAATCGCGACAGACCATTGACGTCCGAGTAATGCAAAGAGTATGTCGTGCCTTCATTCTGGTCAACATGGGGGCGCAGAACATGTTCCAGGGCTTTCTCGATAGCCTCTCGGGCTTCATCATATCCACTGGGCTTTCCCTCAGCATGCAATATCGCTGCCTGTCCGTTCTCTTTTCCTGTTCGAAACGTCGACGTCGCTGTTGTTGAGGTCTCGAGGAATACTTCCAGAACTTCACGTGTGCTCTCTATGGACGACCTTACAGACTGTCAGTGGTGGCCTGCACAGTAGGAGTAGGTTGCTCATTTACCTTGTTGACTCTGTCGCAGCACCAAGAAGATGGATCAAATGGTCTACCTCCAGATCCCCCTTGACCACGACCTCCAACAAGTCCTCCTCGATCTTGTCCATGCTCCTCTGCTTGCCAGATCTCAGGACAACTATGCCGGCATGTTGCTGGTGGCCGGCTTCATCGATCGCTTTCGCAATCTCTTTGCTCGACAGGATTTGATTGCTTCCAGCCTCGGTGACGATCGCAGTGATATGTGTGTCCGACAACAGCTTGCTCGAGAAGTTTCCAGCTCTGCCAACCACTGCCACCCTGACATACTTGTCATTTGCTAGAGATTGATCAACAAGCACTGTCTGGCCTGTTGTTGTCTCGACTGCGTTGATGGAAGGTCTGATCAAAGGGTAGAGTGTGTTCCATCTTGTAGGATTCTCGGCATCCAATTGTTCGTTCGCGAAAGGGATCGTCTGTTCGACAACAACCGCCATGGTGACTTGTGGGGTAAAATGCGGGGTCGGTATATGGCTTGGACGAGTTGTTTTCTTGTTCTTGGGCGGGAACGTCGTCTTTTTGAGAAGGGAAGCGGATAAAATATTGTCACGACCGACAAACCGGGACCACTTCTGCTCTTGTTGTTCTCCTCAATTCCTCAGCCGACATCGACACCTCCGAAAGCCGTTTCGTGTGATCAAAGAGTACGTCCACGAACCCCGCCAATCCAAGCCGTCGGACTTCCTGATTGAGCATACCGACCCCGCATTTTTCGGCGATCACGCCGATTGCTGTCGCGCTTTTCGGCGGACTCGATATCATGCACCGAGAGCTGACTGGACGAGGATGGGATGCGTTGTTTGGGCAAACCCGAGGCTGACGTCTTGGTGGTTCCCATCTGTGTACATGATGAGCTTGTCTCGCACCTTCCGTTTCTTGTCTACACCAGCGCCTACATCACCTCAACTTGCGCGCATTTTACCAAAAACAGCACAACTTCCAATCCTCATAAAGATTATCATACAACATGGCTGCGGTAGAACTCCAACAAGCCACCAAAGAAACATTTCACTTCATCAACAAGCCAGAAGGTACACTTCGAAGTCCTCTTTTCTTGGCACACAATTTGCTGACACAAAATTAGATGCCATCAACGAAGCATTGAGCGGCTTGACCCACATCCATCCGAACCTCTCCTACAACCCACCGTACAAGATCCTCTACCGCTCCGACCTAGGCACCTTCCGCAACAATCATGTCACCACCATCGGCTTCAGCGGCGGCGGCCACGAACCCATGTTCGGAGGCTTCGTAGGGTCCAACTACCTCTCCGCCTACGTGAGCGGCAACATCTTCGCCTCTCCCACCGCAGCACAAATCTACGAGGCTATCAGGATGTGTCAGCCGACTGATGGGTCTGAGAGCAAAGGCACACTGGTCGTTTGCGGCAATTACACTGGCGATATTCTCAATGCTGGATTGGCGATCACAAGAGCACAGGCTAGTGGGTATAAAGTCAGGTTCGTGCCTGTGGGTGATGATGTCGCTGTGGGAAGGAAGAAGGGAGGAAAGGTTGGGCGAAGAGGGTTGAGTGGTCATCTCATTGCTCTCAAGAGTGCTTGTGCACTTGCTGCCAAGGGTGAGAGCCTTGATCGCGTGACTGAAGTTATGGAATACATCGCTGCCAATGTCGGGACTGTGGGTGTTGCATTTGATCGGTACGTCTTGAGGTCCACACCTTCTTTGTTCTTGGCTAACCTACTACAGTGTCGCGCTTCCCAACGCCACATTGACAGACTTACAATCTCTGCCACCGGCTACCATCGAACTTGGCATGGGTGCACACGGCGAACCAGGTCTACGCCAACTCAACCCCGTCCCCACTCCTGAGGCCCTCATGTCGCAAATGCTAGACCTCCTTCTCGACATCTCCGACTCTGATCGCGCATTCATCCCTTTCTCCGCCTCTTCCTTCAAAGACAACATTTTCTCATCCAGCGCCAAAGATAATGAGGTTGTCATCTTACTCAATTCCCTCGGCAGCACGAGTGATGAAGTTCTTGCGAGGTTCGCGGAGCTTGCGATCAAGGACTTGGAGCAAAGAGGCTTTGTTGTCAAGAGACTGACACTTGGTCCATTGGTGACAAGTCTAAAGATGAGTGGGTTTGGTATCACGGTTTGGCGCCTACCGCCTGTGGGTGGTGAAGCTTTGACGAGGGAAGAAGCGCTGCATCTGTGGGATGAGAAGGTTGATGTTGCTGCTTGGAGACAATGATCTTGCGCCATGTGTACGATGGCGACTGTCGCTGATTGACATGTTGTACAAGATCTTGGAGTGACGAAGCCATCTTGGTAGCAGGCACGACTCTGCTCGGGACAACTACTTTCAATCTAAACCATTGCAAGTAAACTTTCTCAAAGGTTCTATGCAAGCATGCAAACATCTGCAACTATACACGATGCAATTCTAGAGTTCACGCTGGCCACAGAGAGTCAGTCAACTAAGACGTTTCATCGGACAGGGTTTGGATCTCAAACCCTTCGTGACTTTTGACAGAATGATGTGATTGATCAAGCAAACCCCGGCCCACAAGATACATCTACAGTTTACCCCTGTGCTGAATATGATCACGCGCATGCTGTGGAAATGCACAATGTTTTTGACATCAGTGAAGCCTTCCAGTGAGAGGCGCCGACTTTCACACTCTCAGTGGAGGGCTGCACCGGTATTCAAAGCATCGTGCATTTCTTCAGTTAGGATAATCTTTCGTGAGACGGAGCGGTTGCAGTTGTGGCTGCGGATGACGTTCATACTCTTTGAAAATATGGAAGGAAGTATCGAACCGTGGGGGAGTTTCTGTTTCTCAATTCCGCTCAAACTTGAACTTCTTTCTTTCGGCCACGACGGTTTACTGTATGGAGTCCTATCTCACTTGCAATTTCTTATGCTGATATCAATGCAGTCATCATGGCAGACCACGAGCTCGACAACTACAACTTGGCCGCCGCTCTCGAGCACCAACTAGGTCTTGGGCCTCCATACTTCTACAAACGCGATGAAGCCGGCAACATCGTACAATCTCACATTCCGCCACTACCAAGAGCTCCAAGCATGACTCTCGCTGTCGAGCCCGTCGACATGAGCATGAGCGCCCTCCGACAACTCATGAAAGAACTCGAGTTGCCTGAGTCTGCTGCCCTTGAGCCTCCGGCTGGCGTTTTCTCATCTCCGCTCTCCTCGGCCCCTGCCTCGACAGATGGAATGGACATCCCTCCCTCTTCTCCCACTCGACCACGATCGAGATCCCCTCCTGGCGAGGATCAACAACCTCCGCCCAAAAGGCTACTAAGGACTCGTAAGCTATTTCCATATTGATGCTGTATGAGTTTTGTATTGACAAGAGATAGGCCCGGTCCTCCCGGCTGCTCTTGATCCTGCTGCCGCCGCTGCACCTGCACCCGCACCTGGAGATGTCGAGGCCACTACAAACCGTAAAGCACTTACATGTCATTCGAAAACATCATTCCATCCGTTAACACTATTCATTGCAGTCGACCAAAAGCTCCAAGAGCTTGTCAAGCCACCGCCGCCAAAGGATGCTGCTGCCGCTCCACCAACATTCCTCTTCCTCTGGCAGAACAGAGACGACGTTTCACCCGACACACTCGCTACTCAAAAGCTCCTCGCCAAGCTCATCAGTACTCTCCTCTGCCCTCTCGTCTGCGATGACCATCAACATCGCCAAAAGCTTCTCCTCAACTTCAAAGGCGAGCCCAACATCACCATCCCCGAGTCCGATGAGTACAAGAAGGCCATTGACAGCAAGGATATCGTTTTGTGTGCTTGGTCACCCCTGGGCCTCGGTCTCAAGAGCAAGCCCATCGAGAAGCTACTCACTGTTGCTTTGGATGAGGGATGCAAGATAAGGCTACTATTTTGGACAATGAACTTTGAGCCATACTCCGCCTTTGAGGCTACTCAGTTTACAAACCGTTTTGTTGCTCTATCCCAAGGCAAACGGGGTAAAAGCTGGAGATGCCAATGATAGGTGCGGAGGAGGCTGCTGATTTCTGGACGAGTTTGGAGGGGTTGTTGCATGCATTTCGCCATGGAGGTCTCTCTGCTGCTGAGCAAATCCGGTGACACATGGTGACTTCGCCATCACCGCCGACCAGCTCGAGTTGTTGCAGTCGGAGTGGGTTGCTGTAACTCATCAATGAGTAAAGATTAGTTTTTCGTCGTTGCTTTCGTCAAACAAATCTTGTTTCGCTGTTCATTCAACGTCTTCAATTCAGTTCTCTCGCCAGCAAACATGAAGTCAAAGCTCTGCTTTCGACCAAAGAATTTCGCGCGTTGTCACGGCTTATTGTCCTTTCAGAAATGACTGAGACTTCGAATTCTGGGGTTTGGAGCGCGGAGTTCGCCGTTTTTTCGACGTTTGGTGACGGTACCTTAGTAAATTAGAAGACCTGTAAACATCTATTAGCATATACTGTAACTCGCTGTCCTCGTCGGTATGGGTCCAAAACGAGCTTCTAAAGCTGGCGCTAGCGGTGCTGCCACTAAGAAGGCCTCGCGCGTAAGGAAACCGACCTCGAAGGCTACTGCTACTACTGCTGCTACTGCTATAACATTAAAGGTTATAAAGGCTCCGAAGACCCCTCGAACATCGAAGACTGTTATAAAGCTAGTAACGCCCTCTAGCATTAGGATCCGACTTAAAACTCCTGCTACTAAGGCTATTATTACGAGCATTAAAGTGGCGCCCGAGGCTACTATAGTAACCGTAGTTTCTAATAATAACGAGGTCTCTACCGACGAGGCTTTTAACTAGATATACGGCGACGAGGTAGATAATAAAGAGGAGAAGGCTAATAATCGAGAAATCGCGCGCCTCGAGCATAAGAAGTTAATAATAGATATCGCTCGCGAGAACCGCGTAAGGGAAGAGGCCGCTTATGCGCTCGAGACCGCTACGCGTATAGTAATATAGGCTCTAGAGGAGGAAGCCGCTTAAGCGCTCGAGAACTGTAAGTTTGTTAGTAAATAGTAGGCTATAAGTAGTAAAGAGACATTAGATACTCGTACCTTTAACTTTAACTGCGCCGACGGTAGGATCTTTAGTCGTTTCTAGCTATAGATCGACGAGGTAATTGCTAAGCAAGTGACGCGAGTGTTCTCTAGTAAATTTAAGCTCTTCGCTACTACGATGTTCTTACTATCGAACCGTAATACGTATATATCGACGACTCTACGCGATAAGGGTAATTAGGAGGTTCTAACGAAGTAGCTAATAAAGTAGTATAAGAAGGGCAAGTTAGAACTGCGCTTGTCGGTTATTACGCATTTAACTAAGCTTAAAGAGGACTCTATCGTCGTTGCAGCTAGTTAGAAGCGTAAGGGAACTGCTACTAAGATCTAGAGGCTTAACATGCCCTTAACACTTAAGGCCGAGCGCGCGCGAGGTAACCATTATTCTAATCTTATGCTTAAGTGGATTTGTACGCTTAATAATGCCCTCTACTCTAGCGACTACTACTTTTAGAAGGGGTCGAACATTGCTTAAAACTATTACCTACTAGATGACACCGTCATTAAAGACTAGTCTAACGACATTAACTTAGGCTACTCGATAGTCGACACCCCCTCTATTAACATCGTTATAAAGCTTAAGAGCTACTTATATGCTCGAAAGGCAAGGAAGAAGCAGTAGCTAGAGGTGCCTCTAATGCCGCTAATACCCTAAACACTAAACGACATGCTTAACCTTATAGCTATAAGCATAATGTCCTAGATGTAGCAATCTTAGTAGCAATACTAGCTCCTATAGCTATAGCACCTTCTACCGCCTCGACCGCTAGTATTCGCCGCCCCGAGTACCGCCGCACTACTAGTCTTAAGTCCTATCGAAGCCGACTCTAAGGACACGTTAGTAGAGTTTTTTGTATAGTTAAAGACTAGTAGCAGGTAGCAGAGCTTAATAGATAAGGTTACTAAGGTTAAGAAGAGACTTAAAGAGGAGGACTATAACCTAGACGGCATTAGGGACATTAATATAGAGACATAGACGACTNTCTAGGAATTTAGGCGTAGTTTACTCGGTCGAGTTTAGAAGGAAGTTACGCGGTATAAGCGGACTACTAAGTCCCCCTAATTTGTCGATTTAACTAGCAGATATGGCTAGATTTAATGCTTAGCTCGCCGAGTTATACTAGCTTAACTCTTAATTAAATATCTATAGATAATGATACCCGCTATAATCAAAATGAGCTGCCGTATGCCTTCTACTAGCCCTTTGCACCGCTATACGTAGGAACACCCNAGCTAGCGGCATAGAGCGTAAGTAATTGACCTTGAACAAAATTAGGCAATGGGGGCGACATGGTACGTAGTTTCTTATGAATTACAATTTACTAAGGTACCGTCACCAAACTGACGAAATCGGTAGAAACACCGTGCTCGCGAACCCCACAGACGCCAGTCTCAGTCATTTCTGAAAGGACAATATTTCCGCGTGTTTGACCGGTGACACGTGCGAGGGCGGGCTCGATGAACACCGCGAGAGTTGCTCATATGCAACCCCCTCGCCGCTTCGCTGATGCATGGTCGCACAGCAATGTCATAACATGCCATGCTAACGTATATGGTTGCCATGAAGCGCTCGTTGCAGAATCCGCATCTAGACTGTGCAGACAAAGACATGAGACTGTGGAATCATGGAGCTCCAAAGGTTCAACCATCAAGGTGGAACTATACCCCGCATCCCCCTAACAAACCGCTCGTTGCATGCCTCCACAAAGCGTAGTCAAGGCTTTGACTCCTCCGAATAGGAGTTCAATCTTTCATTGTTGATGTTGCTACGTCGCCTTCGATTGCTTGAAGCGGGTGTTGTGCATGATCATGAGTTGGGAACGGTTCGAGAGATAAGATTGGGGATGAGTTGGGGAACAATGTTGAGTCCCTCGCAATTGGCGGCCGTGGAGATAAGCGATTTGCTCGCAGTTCATCTGTAATATCTAACTACTTCGAGGTGGCCATGCGAGAGTATGGAAAAGCGTCGACACAGAGTCGTTGTCGCCTACGTGGAAGGCTGCCCATGGTGTTCACCCGCATGAATAGAGAAAGCCGTGGTGGATAAGATAAGACACACCGATGTTCAATGCATCAAAACTCGAAACCCACAGCTAGGCTCATGTCTGTCGTACGTGGATCAGAAGATGACGGAAGTGTAGCAGTGGAGATCTTTTGCAGCCGCCCTCAGGGAGCTTAAATGTAGAAGAGAAATAATGCACGAACAAAGACAAGCCATACCGAACATAAGAAGCCAGAAGGCAACAGTGACGACATGTTTTCTCTTTGGAAACATCCGAGTTTGAGAATCAATAGAAGTATGGTAAATTCTGACGAAAACGAGACAGCATCGTTCCGTTGTGTATATCAACAGCTGAAGGCCAAAGATTATTACGGCGCAAGAGTAGAGGTGAACAACCTTAGTGTGCAACCTCTCTGACACGACGCATCACATCAATTACCGCTAGAGACCTTTGACTCGTTTGACATGTATGGAGTACTCCTACACAAATCCCGCAACGCTGGGACAACTCGAAGAGATCACACGAAAGTGCACCCTGTCTTGTAAGAATACTCCTGGTGTATGCTGAATCTCACTGATAACAGCTTCATCTACCGACACTCCTTCACTGTTCACATATGACAGAGTCGGACTCGACATTGAAGCAATATTTCCTTTTCCAAACTTTCCCCTGCCTAGTAGGAACCCTCACAAGAAGCACTTTCCGTATCAGCGACAATATTTCTTGCTGTTCGGGGTCTCCATCTTAGCTGAGTGGAACGACAAGCAATTCAAGCTCAAACACAGGCCCGACATGGAGCACGCCACAATGATCTCTGCAGGAGCACGCCTGAGCTGTTGTCTTGCGCCAGTGATGCCGCTTCATGTCAGACCTCAGCAGATCTCGAGGCTGGGTGCATCTGCCATGCATCGACATCCAGCGCAAGACTTGCAAAGCGTGGAACTTGTTACAGGGTGCAAGCGTCAACGGTCAAGATTCGATGGCCGAGACGATAGAAGATGTAGATTAAGGAAATATCCGTTGGACTGACCGCTCAATATTCCAAGGTCATCGTCATCCCGTTACTCATGAGTAGATGTGTGATGGAGAACGTGTGCGCGATCTTTTTCCTCGTGTAATTCCGATGTGTTTGAGAAGCCCAGGTATCCAGCAGTCTTTCTGTCGCCCATGTTGTAGCGATCAAAGAAGGTCTCAGGCCGAGCTGCAACTCCTGGCACTTCGTCTTCATCAGCCAATGTATCGTCGTCGACCAGTCTGATGGGCTTGGCCGGTGGAGGCTGCGGCAGGAAAGTGAGTGTTTGTCCATGTTGGGGTGACGGCTCAAGAAACAGCCAGTGGTCAGCAGCGAATAAAAGGTATGTAGCATGGCGACAGGCGCGAAAGTCGGCTTGTTGCGGTCCACCTCGCCAGCCCAGATGTCAGAGGAAATCGCTGAGAAAAATGAATCAGAAGAGGAGGTTAGTGAGAATGATAGATCAGAAGAGGAGGTTGATGAAGACGACGACGTGGAGAACGTCTCCGAGCCAGATGCCACCGAAGTTGATGTCCTCGACACCGAAGCCACCTCGGATCAAGAAGCACACCACTTTGGTGTCAAGAACCCCATTCTCATCAACTTTCAAGGCTACACGCTCACGATGGGCCTACTGAACACCATAAAGGCCAAGGCCATAAACAAAGAAGACAAGGTGCGAAGACTCGCTTCTAACAGACCGAGCGAATGGAATCACGGAGGAGACAAAGAGGAGTATGTTCGAGACCCCCGAATCCGCAGAATTTGCAGAATGTCCCGATGTGTCCAGAAGTTGCACAGGCATATCTGCCGATCGTCAGAACCGGAAAGCATGCCATGATCGCGAGTCATGATATGATCCAGAAGCGCCTTTGCTCAGACGAGTAGCCACGGCAATATATCCCTTTGCGCAGCGGTATAATAATGCGAGATACACCAAGCTTTGTGAGCCCAGGTGAACAAGGCGTCGTACTCTTGGGCTTGTGTGGTGCTGACTTTGACACTGCCTCGGTTATATGCGAGCTTCTCAACAAGATCGGTCGAGTTCAGCGAAAGCGGCGGCACAGATACCATAGTCGGGTCTTGGTTGGCAAAGAGTTTCCGGTTGCATCCTGACTCGGCCGACATTGTCAAGGATATCGTTGGATTGAGTCCGGCGCCTTGCAAAATCTCGAAAGTCCGAAAGATATGAGTGGTTACCGTGGTGCTTGACTGCAACAAATGACTGGTCAACTGCCAACACTGGTGGTCCAGGGATTGGCCCTTGATGGTGGTCTCTGCCTGCCCTGGCTCGTGGGTTCGAAAGTTGCGGTAATGTTGCTGTCATTCCCGTGCTTCCCCAACTCCCGCTGCCTGCTCTGCGGTCGATCTTATTGCTGATGGAGTGGTGTGATGCAGAAACGGACTTGGCGTAATGTCTCGAATGAAGCATAGCAATTCCTTGGTCGCGGTTCTAACTGTCATCGTAGCTTGTAGGCTTCTTGATCTGGTGGAGTCCAAACAATTGATCAGCGAGTCTTCACGTGTTTCATATTCTTAGAATAACCAAGAATCCAGCGCAGCGAGCTAATGGGGTGCTGTTGGCTGTGCACAGATATCAAGTTTGTGGAGGTCGCGATGTAGGCGTCTCATTTACGAAAGTTCCCGAGAAATGGAACCTCACAATCTTGATTGACATTTCTGACAAAAGCGGGGAGAGGAAAACACCTTGATGGGCCGAGCTTCATCGCACTCAACGCGTGAAGCGGAAGACAGACATCTTCCAGAACCTTGCACGAAACCTACTTTTGTAATCCTCGCCATCCAAAACAGTACGATAGACCAAAACAACGTGCTTTCGTATGGCCTTCCAAATCATCCGTCACGTTTCCGCCTGTCACCAACTACTCAACCTTGTTCATATTTCACTCGGATGCAACAAGAAAGAGTTGTTATATGCCGGCTCCAACTTCACAACGTCTCTGGGTTTGGGTCGTACATCGTGTCAACTCAATATCAAGACGCATCCTGTCCCCGCTGCTCATGTACATGATACCAGGCGCCTTCCATCTCAAAATTCTTATGGAAGATCGACTTTCGGGTCTTGTTGCTGTCCACACTTGCGATTTGCCCGTTTTGAGCATGTCCTGTGCCTGTGATTAACTCATCCTGCCTTGTCCGTAAGTCACTATATGCCGTCGTCCTTGATATGTGGGATTTTCAATCCCTGTAACTCCTTGCGTTCTTCGTCCTCGTTGCGTATTGTCACAAAACACACCGGGTGTGTTTTTCTACCGGCACATTGCTTGCGACCCATTCGTAGTCTGTGGTGTTGCAAATGTTCGAGCTAGAGAATAGCACGGGGTTCAGATCATCCGCAAACCCGAGGCTGTTTTTCCCCGAAGCGGGAATGTTTTCTTCTGCATGTGACGGAAACTGAGCTGCCTTGGCTTTTAGCTTGGAATAATTGGTCAGGATGATGACAGTGGTTGTCAGCCAGTGGGCCACTCTCGAGAAATCGAGCAAAGGTGAATGAGAGGTGAGATTCTTCTTCGTGTCGTGTCGTATCGCTTTGCAAAATCAGGGTCTTCCCGACATGGCATATACCAACATCGCAATAATTATGCACAAGACGAAGGACAGACTTGATAACACTCGGTAAAGATTCGAATTTCAAACAGCAAACAGCAAACAGCAAGAAACAACGACGACGGCGGCCAACACGAACACTCCGCGAGATTAACAAGTACTTCCAGCACCAACAAACAGCTCAACCCTGAATTTAAAAATACTTCTCGCCCAACAAACAGCAACAACATCTCCGGTCTTGACACCAGCAACAATGGGAATGCCTTGCAGCGTACGAGATTTGTGGACCTGGATCTTGTTGTTGACCAAAAGTCCCGTCTCACTTCCAGCTCTAATCACACAATGCAAGCCAGGCAACGAGCTCCAGTCACCACCAGAATTCATCGCATCGCGCAGTCCAATTGTTGTAAAGTCAATATACAACGCCCTCTTCGGCACGCGTTCATCCTCGAGAACTACAGTACAGTCTTGATGGCACCCAAATGTGGTGGTGTTGCTCTTGAGATCGAAAGAGAAAGCAGCAAAAGAGTCTGATGTCGTGGTCAAACGACCGAAAACGCGAGAAGAAGAGGTAGTGGCAGGTGGTGTCGAAGGAGGGGCAATGATAGTGGCAGAGGCGACAGCAACGACAGGGCTTGATTCTTCTATACGATATTGAATCAGTACACTGACAGTTAATGAATAGAACAATGCAACATACATTTTTGACGGCAAGAAGCTGGAGCATCTGCATCGGTTGACGCTTTACGCTTCAAACCAATGGGCTGAGAGGCTTCTTGTTCTCGTTCTTCTTCTCCTTTCTTCTCCACGTCCAGGCCGTTTAGCAATTGCTGAATAGTAGCCAATGCGTCAGTGGTAACGGGTAGAGCTCCCCGGGCCTTTCTGGCTGCCAAATCAAAAGGATCTTCACACCAGATTGGCATGGGTTCGTCGTCGTCGAGCACACGAGAGGTGCATATGCCGTCCTTGACGGACCAGAAGATTCGAGGGCTGAATCCAAGGATTGCGGCAGTGTTGGCCGTGGTTTGAAGTTCGAGACATGAAGAGCCAGGATGGCTGCGAGATTCGACGAACATCGGATGAGGCATGATGGCGGTCGTCGTCAAAAAAGACAAGTCAAATTCAAAGCCGAAAGAGAAGTTGTATACAGGATTGGTTTGTTTACATGAATCAGCGTCGTTGCTCTTGCCCGCTTGCTATCGAATCTGACTAACCCTATCAAATCTGACAATAGCGCCTTCTATCTTGCTTTCTTTCCCACGATCAAGCTCAACGATTCAACAATTCAACGGATGAGATGTACTTGCAGGAGCGACTATGTTTCTATTTGTTACGACTTCTCAAACAATATTCCTTTGTTTCAATCTAGAAGGATGCACCAGGAATCACCTCGTCCATTTCGGTCTCGTCGAAGAAGTCTGCAGAATGGAAAGGAATTGAACTTGCAAGAGCAATGGTGAAATTCTGACGAGGCTTCACGTCTTTGGCAAGGAGTGGTGTTGGGAGTGATTGCTGACTAGAGTGTGAAAGTCAAGCCGTGTTGGGAGCCTCCGAGCGGAAAGTGCTTCATCTTCCCTTCCACCTGCACCTTCCTCTCTTCTTCTCATCCGAACTTCTCTTCAACAATTCTCTTCCAGACTTCAACTCATCCAACAACAATGGCTCAAGACGAAGACATCCTCAACATCCTGCGCTGCCAGCACTGTGAGCAGCTCAACAGCAAGTGTGATAAGCTCTACAACCTCATGCATTCCACCGCCTCCTGCACTCGCTGCACCACGGACGGCCACGCCTGTCAAGATGGCGACAACATCACCAAGGTCTCCGTCTTTCGCAAGACCGCTGTCAACGATCTTGTTCCCTCCAATGTCCGCCCCGACTTCATCAAGATCTTCGATGATACCGCCATCCACAACCCTCTCCTCCTGCTCGTCGCAGTCGCCTTTGTCTCCGCCAGTCCTACATACAACGACATCAACCAAGTCGCCACTATCTACAAGATCATCCTCGACCGCCGTCCCAAATGGATCATTGGCAAGACCAACTCTGAACGCGAAGCCCGTCTTGTCTTCAACATAATCATGGGCCCTCTTGCTCTCCACTACGCCCACCATGTCGGTCGAGCCAGCAGCACCATCCACAAGCAAATCAACAGTGCCGCCTTCATGTTGTCATCTTGTTGGGCCATGACAACCAGCTGGGACGCCTACTTTGAATCATCCACCAATGGCGCTCCTCTCTACCTCACAGTCATGAACTCAGTCGACGTCAGTCAAGTCGCCACTCTTCCTCCTGTCAAACATTTCGAGATTCTCATAAACTCTCTCACGCTCGGCGACGGAACCAAGAATGAGCTCAAGTCTGCTGTCGAGGACTGCTACAAGATTGCCATTAACATCACCGCCGATGAGAACAACACCTCAACCAACTACTCCAACATCGCCATCTTTCGTTGGTTGAGCATTTCCACTTACGAGCCCGACCCGGAAGCTACAGTTCAAGAACAACTTATCTGGAGCTTGATCCTCTGTCATTGGGCCATGCTTTGTCAACGCAGAAAGAAAGTGTGGTACTTCGAGGACATCGCAGCACCTCTCTTCAACGAGTTCCTCGCTGATCTCCGTGAAGCTGGAATTCTCGACGACGATACCACTTGGCCTATTTGGAGAGAGGGATTGAGATACCTTGCCAATACCGCTGCTCTGAGCTTGGAGGACATGATCTTCATACCGGGTTCTGTAGATGAAGACCGGTGATTGGGTGGGGTGGTTTCTCACTCATCATATCAATACATGGAGTGAGCCTTTGCAGTCGTAGATAATCGAAGAGAATAGCTTTGATCTTGCGCTTCAATTCCAATGTGTACTTCCAACCTTCCATCGCAATCTCTCTCATCTACTTACTATTCCAATACGTACACCATCATCCGCCAAGAAGAACAAGTACCACTATCTAACAAAGCCCCTAAATAGGGTCGACGGTGTAGAAGCTACATGCGGGTTGAAATCCATGAAAATACTTCCTCCCCATGTGCTAAAATCTGTCACTCTAGCCATCTCCCGCTGCCACGTCTAGAGTCGTCTAGCCTGTAAAAATGTACAATGGTTCTCAGATCAGTATAGGCGTCCGCAGAGAGGCTATGACTACTACACTCTCAGTGGAAGCTACCCTAATAATGCTGAAACTATGCTGTTCTACAGTTGTACGCGTGACAGAGTTTAGCACATGGGGAGGTTGAACGTCAGGTGCAGGAATCAAGCAGACTCCAGAGGGTACCGGTGGCGGTGGAAGAGGTGTTGATTTTACGGTTCAATTTGCCATAATATCCCGACCGACGAACAAGGATCAAAGTACCGAAGCAAAAAGAGAGTGGCGCTGAAAAAATATGGGGAAAACACCTTGATGGCCGAAGCTTCACAGCGGACTCTGATTCGCGAACCTCTGTGATAAACGAACTATTCTCATGGACTCCCCACAGAAGCCGATGAGCTCAAGACCACTGTCCATGCCGAAATAGACCAATATAGCCTTTCCCCTTGTCACGCTGTATTTCTCGTGATCTATAAAATCTTCTTTCCCGTGAAGAGTTTTCGGTTAGAGAAGTCTTCTTCGACAACGCTCTGCTCTGCGTGTTTCTTGCGCAACCTGATCTCGGCACTTGTTTGATTTTGCGATCTGATTCCCGAGAGTGATTCTCGTGCTCAGGAGTGTCAACCCGGCCATTTCTCTTGGATGAGGTCGCTGTCCTCGGTCTACCCTAAGCCCTACTTGGATGATAGAAAAGCGTTGAAGACTTGTATACTCACGGAAGGTGCTACGAAAGTTCAGACTTACGAAATGCCAAAGAAATACTTGATTGCGATGTAGTGACGTGGAAGGCATTATCAAGGTTGATACCCGCCGTCAAAGATGTAGGAGATCGTGCGCCATGTGACTTTGGCCCGGACAGCGGGAGAGAATGATATTGTCACGATATGAGTAGTCAGCAAAAACAACCTGTTCGACCACAGTTCCAAGTCTTGAGAAGAGATATCATTTGTATTGGAGAGATGACCTGCGAATACGCGGAGCAACAATACCTCCAACGCTCATGATTGCGTGATCAAGCAGATTGCCGACTATTTGCTCGATCTGTGCAGCAGGGAGCAACATGGCATCTTCTTACGACTCCCCTCCCGGCTCTAAGGCCCGCCGTAGCCATCGGCGCAAGCAATGCATGTGCATTCAAATCCCCAGATGTATAGCCTTGTCCTCGACGTTGCTGAATGCAATGCGCAGCTCTTCTCCAGCAGCAGCAGTAGCAGCAGCAGCAGCAGATGGCTGCATGGCTTGTGCGGTAATCTCTGTATGGTGTATGGCTTGGCTGGTAGTGTTTGCGAGATGTAGGGCTTGCTCAGTGTTGTGTTTGGGTGTTGGAAACAGCGACCCGGATGAGCTTCACAGTGTGAACCTGTGTGTGTGTTAGAAGGGAGGTGGCGGGTTTCTCTTGCGAGTAACTTACTCCAGAAGGGCTGGACTCAATGTAGCATCAGGCGGACTCCAGGATGTTCGCTGCCCTGGTTGTTGTAGGCCTGAGTACTGCACCATCGAGCTTAGCTGGTGTTGGAGAGAGGGGCACCGTTGAGCTCGCCGAATGATTGAGCTCGCCGAATGAATGCGCACCCGCATCCTTATCCACGTCGTAGATAGCGTGATCGGCGTAGGTTTTCTGCTTGCGGTCGCCCTTGAGCTGGGATGGGCGAGAGATTGTTGGAGAAATGTCTGCTGAACAGTGGCTTGTTGAGTTAAGTTTTGCTGGGACTGTCTGCTGAGCAGGAGCTTGCTGGAAAGAGGCTTGGAGCACGAAACCTTGCTGGAACACCATCTATTGCTGAACATGTCGGAGCCAAGACGGATGCCATGCTGCGTGGTTGTCATAGTCCAGTCGTAAATCATCGCATCAGCTGGGATGAGCGGTGTCTGGAAGTCCTGCTCGGCAAAGTTGGTCGTGGAGTACTGCTGAGTGTTGAGCATCTCTTGAGGATTGGATAGTTGTTGGGGGAAGGCATGCAGGAGTTTGGAGCACAGAAAACGTCCTAAGAAGCGCACTGAGTGTTTCCGTAGTATTGAGCGCCGGACATTGGGTCGCTGCAAAACGCTACCTGAAGCAGTTGAAGATGACAGTTGTAAGTCGGCCGTGTTGGCCTGGCCTGAGGTTGATCACTGGGATCTTCGGTTGTTCGAGCCGGAGGGCGCTGCTTGGGTGGGAGACAGGCTGCCATGAGGGTAGTCGTCAATACCGTTGGTTGTTCGAGCCGAAGGGGGCGGCTTGGATAGGATGTGCTGCCCTGAATCTTTGGGCCTCGCTGACCCGCTCGAATGTGGCCAACTTGCCCATGTGTTCGAGACGCTATTAGACTGCGTGACCGTTTGCGTCCGGGAGGAAGAGCGGAGCCGAGCAGTTCGTTGAAGGCGTGAAGGGCGAGGATGTATAAGCCTGCAGCCAGCGAGCGCTTGTCTGACTGCTGAGAGTGGAGTGCTGTCGGCTGGAGTAGTGCTCGATTCGGTGGGCGGGTGTCTTTCAGACAGCGGGTCGCAAGGACTGGTGAGGAAGGAATGTTAGAAGGAGACGAGCAGAGTTTCACGTCATGACGGCAGTGGAACAGCAGGCAACTTGGGTGCTCGCACCTTGTTTTAAACTCCTTCTCTTGATTGTTATCCTTTCCCCTCTTCACATCTTGCATTCCTCATGGTAGCCTGTCTCTGAGAAAGAGCAGTTGCAGCGCCTGTTTCGGCATTCCGCGGCGAAGGTTTCTGGCGATGACGGGGAATGACTCTTGGAGAAGAGCCTGCAAGGGAAGGTAGTCGAGGGCTCGGGCACGGGCATGTAAGCATCTGTGACCTGAGGCCGAGTGTCGGAGAGATTCTTGGACGAGAAGGAGCGGTGGGGGACTTGGATCCGGACGGTGTTCGCAGACAAAGACCAAGAGACGGCGAGCTTGTGCCGAGGATTCGATTGTTCAGATAACGATGCGTGCAGACATAGCGGCCGAGCAGGCGCGTTCATGAGACCGAGTGCGGCGAGAGTCGGGACGCTTCATGGACATTGCGGTGAGAGTATGGGTTTCGCAAACGCAAAGAGGAAGCGAGCGAGAAATTCCGTCGGAGTCGTGGCCATCAAGGTTGATGACCGGCGGGCAAGCGCGAACCTCGGAGAATTTTTGAGCTCGGGCTTTGTTGACGCCTTGACGCCTCTCCCATGACAGAATCTCCGCGGGCGGCAGCATCAACATGCGTACATGTCCTCCTAACAAGAGGATCATGATGGAAAGCTTGTTTAGACCTCATGCACACCAACTCGCACACGCTCGGCGACACCGTCAATCGCGACCGCGCTATCACTAAACAGATCGCAGCACGCATCAGATCTTCCTTCTTCAGAGAAGCAATTCGAGGCAGATTCCCATAGCGGCGGTCCGGCTCTACCGTGATCCTGGATGCCAGGCCTACAAGAAAATGGACACGAGAGCAAGGAGAAGAGAGCAGGAACAATCGATGATCGCCCATAATATCAAAGAAGCCACCGACATCTGGCGCACAAACTCACACATGCCCGAAGCCTCGAAGTTATTCGTACAATCTGGCAAGTCTCACACTTGGGAAATCTCTTCCTTGCCGTGCGAGTTCTGACAAGAATTACAAACGTGCTCCTGCAATACAATGAAGCCGCTTTCCCAGTTGTGTGCCTCCCGTCTTTCTCTTTCCTCGACGCCGCCTGGGACTTACACTGTTCGTTTAGCTTTCGGGACTGACCATCATCTGAAGTCGCCCGAATCAGGCAATGCGCAGCGAAGCACTTGTATAAAGATTGGATCAACCAGCTTGCAATAGGTCATGCCTTTCTTGATCTTCTAGATTTGTGAATTGACGGAGAGCATCATTACAATATACAACTCCCTCTGAGGCATCGCAACCCAGGTCAGGACTTGGGATTCAGTCAAAGATCCGCGCATTTGCTGCATCCTCGATACACATCAAGGATGGGCACGGGGCAAGGGCATGAGAATCCTCATAGACAAGTTCGAGTTCGTCGTTCTACAACGTGGGAACGGTCATTTTCCTCTTGACAATGAGAAATCATCTGCGATACCAGTATCGCTTCGGTCATAGAGCACTGTCCTCATCGTTGCCTTTCCAGAGAACTCCAAGTAGCGTGTTCACTGTACCGCGAGATCTCCAACAAGTCCAACGAGTCGAGGCGTTGACCATCAAGGTGGTTCTGCGGAGAAAGCAGAGTCCGTGCGCGCGCTGTTTTGTTTGCGGCTCTCGGGATTCACATCGTCAGCGCTTCCAAGGCACGATGAATAGTCCACTATGCGACGGTTTATCGACGCGACGGTTTATCAACACTTGTATCCTCTTCATCGGCCGATCCGTCCCAGGTCCCGTGGTAGAGATCATGCCATGACAACCGCAGCCAGAAAACTCATCTGCTCCCCGAGCATCAACAACCTCGCAACATCGTCATCGCTACACGCCACTCGGGCTCCCGAAACCCCACCCGAACCTGAATATACACAGTGCAGCATACAAGCCCGCTTGTTCCACGTCGGAAGCGCCCGCTCCTGCTGTCCCACTTCGTCTTGCTCGGTCGTCTTTGCAGTGAGCCGGACTACGCCAAATCTTGGAGCCCGCAACGATTACGAGTCCGCCTGCCCGATGACACGTCCATGTCGACTACAGCTCCTACCGAGGATACTTGAGTGCTTGCAAGGGAGAGGGACAAGGAGAAGGAGAAGAGGAACAATCCTGAACACTGGTGCAAAGACTGTCGCAAGCGCCAATACCACTCAGTACCCTTCATCAGTATCCTGCTCAACCAACGGCCGTCTGCACGCCGCAAATCATACGTATCGCCACCCGCGATGATTTTGAGCCACCGCGGATGCATGCAAGAAGACAACAGCAAGCGCTCCGCTACTCACTGGTTGACGGACACTTGGGACAAGCGCTACAAGCACTGGGAGAAGAAAGAGATCAATAGATCAACAACACAGTGTATGCTTTTGCATACGTCCTACTCCGTTGCTGGATCTTGACGCTCAAGAAGCGTTCCACGACTACATGCATGGACTGGTGTTGCATTAATCGCCTGCCATGACACCACACGTCACCGACCTCGGAGTCGCCACATGCGCAGTACTCTCTATCATATTTCGGACATGGCGTGGAATATCTCGCGTTGCCCTCCAAGACATCTCGCTAGTTCTTCCAGGTTTACTCGCCCATGGGTGTTTCCACTCAGCCTACTTGTCTCTTGAGCAAGCGCAGCGCTTCCAAAGCAGCGCAAAACAACACTACACAAAATGCTGCCATTGGCAAGAGGATGACATACTTGAGCAGCAGAAGACGTTCCTGAACAAGAGAATGCTATGTCCAAGTAAGAGAACCACATCCCACAAATCTTGGCCGTATTTATCTGCCGCAGACGATAACAGATCTAATGCATTTGGTCGCAATTTTATCACTGCGCTAAAGTTCAGCGACTCTCTGTCGCAGGACAGCAAAACAAGAGCGGCATCTACAGAAGTCAATCACCTTGTCCGTAATCCTCGACCTTGTTGAGCTCCATCCTTCCAATGAACAGTCGCTGCACGGTAGGCTATCCAAAATTCAAATCGTGCCAACGACAGTTTTCAGCCAGATGACCCTTTTTCCCCTAAATGGTTTCCGGATTCCACATGAATTGTCTGCTATAGGATGAGCGAGCTACTCGTTTTTCACAGGTGAAAGGTGAATTACTTGGGCATCAGAGGCAATTCGAACATGTTATATAAGCGTAAAAGTTTTAACCTGATGAGCTGTTTCTGTTTCCAGTCTTTTGTGTAGTGCTGCCCTTATGTATATGTACTGTCGCGTCTTCGTTCGGTTTGAGTTGGCCCCATGCGAAGTTGTCATTCTCCAAACTCAAAAATGAAGATGGAAAGGCTTTGGTTTTACAACTTGTTGGATTTGTCGGCCTCACACTCCCGAACAGGTCTCTTCCTGCTACAATATTTCGCTGTCGTGGACGTGGGATCCAAGTATATCATATACCTATGGTTCATCTCTTTGTCTTTTATGGTTGACAACTTGCTTTTGTCAACATGTGTTTCTCTGCAATCTGTTTTATGCTGCCGAGGCATCCATCTTTTTTACGCATCCGGTGACACGTACATACCCAAGACCGCTTTTCAAGAGAAATAAGAGCCTCCACGGCTCTTATTTCTCTTGCATGATTCTCGAGTCGCTCGGACCGCACCGCCACACAAACGTATGCGATTAGTGATAAGCAAGGTTCTAGCTATGACACAGAATCAGACGAGTTAGCCTAAACGCGATGTGACAAGCACTCCGCCATGGATCTGTCGTATTCAATGTCATTATCAGTATGTAAGCGATGGACGAGTCAACTTTTACTACGACCAAACGCCTAAGTGCCATTGCCCCATTTTCTCTTGAAGATCAATAAGCAAATAAAAAGGTGCACCGGGGAATGGAGGAACAAGATAAGCACGAGGCATTTCTCGGCTTTTGCGATCAAAATGACTCTTGCGGTAGCCATATATCTGAGAGGCTAGACATCTTACCTAAGAAAATTTGTTGTGACCGGCAGCTGAAAACAGTGCCTAAAGCTCGCTGATTCCAATGACTTCTCGAGACGTTTCTAGTCGTAGCACCTCTGTTCGTCATGAGTTAGATAACACAAAAGGATGCGCCACTATTATGAACATTCCTATGAAAGTCGGCAGAGAGAGGATGCAACATTTGACCGGAGGACACTTGTAAAAGCGCGTTTAGAAACGTCATCGCTATAAACAGGAAATGCGCGTGGCGGCATGTATGCAAAAGTGCAGCTTCCGATATTATGCACAATCCTTGTTGGCTCCCCGACCCGGACCATTTTCCACCTCGCAATTTCTAGTCTCTTCCTGAGTCGAAAAACATATTTCGAGCACGTTAGATGTATGTCCTGGTGCAGATCGGACATCCAATGCTCTTTCAGAGACAAGGGTGGAGGAAGTCGTCGGGTAGACCTAAATTCACCTTTGCGTTACGAACGCCCACCAGATCGCTCCTTAACTAGCGTGAACTCATATCACTTTTTGCTCTGACAACAAAGTCAAGGTATTATCAAGCATGTACTGCGAAATCTCGAACAGCGAACAGTCGTTAAAACTACAGGCACGATATACAGGTCGCAGTGTTTAACTAGAAACTTGGGTGAAATCGAGAAGAAGGCGGAATGATGAATGCACACATCGTCGAAGTTTCTGGATGATACTAGTCACAAATCAAAGCAGTATAGCTGACCATCTCAACTGTCGGAGCATCCTATTCTAATGACTGACTCAGACACATATTGTAGTACATGCCTCCCAGCTGTGTCAAAGTCTTGTGGTCGCCACTCTCGACGATTTGTCCATTGCTGAACACGAATATACGGTCTGCTCCCTTGATGGTCGATAGGCGATGTGCAATTGCAACGGTGGTCATATCCTGGCGACTGGCCTTCTCGATGGCAGCTTGCACAATCCTCTCGCTCTCGGTGTCTAACGCCGACGTAGCCTCATCCAAGAGCAGCAGTCTCGGGTTTCTGATCAAAGCCCTGGCAATCGCTATTCTCTGGCGCTGACCGCCGGACAGTTGTGTGCCGCTGCTACCGCAATTTGTTGCCAGTCCGTCCGGAAGGGATGTCACAAAGTCCCAGATGTTAGCTTGTTTGCAAGCATCTTCCACCTGCTCATCCGTGGGCTCAACATCCAAACCAAATGCGATGTTCTCGCGTAGCGTCCCCGAAAGAAGCGTTGGTTCTTGTTGCACCAGTGCGATGTTATGGCGGTATTTTTTGGTGTAAAGCTCATTGATGTTCGTGGAGTTGTACTCGATCCGGCCCGAGGTCGCGTCGTAGAAGCGTTCTAACAAGCTCACCATGGTCGATTTGCCGCAGCCCGAGGCGCCAACGCATGCGACAAACTCGCCTTCCTCGATTTGCATCTGAACGCCCTCGATGACCTTGACATCTGACCTTTGTTTGTAGGCGAATTCTAGATCGATAACGTTGATTGCAGCTGGGCCACCGGCCCTCTCGTTATCCGAGTCCTCCTTGTCGTCGTTCAACGATGGCGCAGGCTTGGATCTTTGTTGACGTAACCAAAGAATGTAGTTGGCGCCAGATCTGGCGCTGCTCAGACTCGTAGTGAATGTCGACACTTGCACACAGGCTTCGCCAGAGAAGAGAACCGCGATGAAGATAATGAAGAACTGATTTTGGGTGTACTCGTTGCGGAGAACAAGCTGTGCACCGTACCTGTGGAGACGAGTTGTCAGTATATCTCGGAAAGTCGTTGAGACTTAAAACTCACCAGAAAGTCAGCGCCATCGCGGCAAAGACGATGGCTTGGGCAGCAGAGAAGAAAAAGTTGATCCACAAAAAGCTGCGACCTGATTTTTCGACAATGTCTGTGAGACAGTCGCTGTATCTGCGGCGCACAACGTCAGTAAACGTTACCCAAGTCAAATCTGGTTGTTCGTACCTTTCAACGATTTTGTCTTCAAGCGTCAAAGAAGCGACAGTACGAATTGCAGCGACAGATTCCGACGCTATCGCAGCGCTGGCTGCAAAACGTTTCTCAATGGAAGACTCCAAACGTGATTCCATAGCGAAGCGAAGCCATGCCGATATGATAATGGGAAGGAGAGCTCCAAACAAAACAACCAAAGCCAGCTTCCAACCGACAATCAGAGCAAGGATACAAGTCGACACCAGATTGACGAGCGTGATGAAGATAATTGCCACGTTGAAACCGAGTAGCTCTTGCAACTGTGTCGGTGCAGTGGAGAGTCTCGAAACAATCGCGCCAGTAGTATTCTGCTGTTCATCGAAGAAACTGATGTCTTGAGTAAGCACAGATTCGAGAATCTCGCTACGATAGCGGCGTGTCAGTCTTTGCGAAACGATGTTTGTCACGTAACCCATCGAGAAATAGGCGGCTAGATTAATCAGAGCGGTGATGAAGAGCATTAACGAGTAGAAGTTGCCGTCGTGTGTAAGCTGAGGGCTGGGGCCCTTGTTGAACGAGTTGATCAATCGGGATATCAGGATCGCCATCACAGGATAAGTAAGACCTACGTGAAATTAGTCATCGTTCCACCACAGGAGAATGAGTATGTATGCGTACCTCCAACCACACATGATATGCAGACTACCATGAATTCTGGCCATAGATTGCGCTGCTCGGCCAGAAATTTGGAGACGCAGTGAAGAATACCATAGTCCAAGCTCTGTGATACAGGGTCGGATTGCTCGGTTGGGAATTGCACCACTTCCTCGTTGATATCGTCTTGCTTTTCTGTTGTAGCAAGGCTGTCTTCTCTGCTATTCCGACCATGATTATTGCCAAGATCTTGGGCCGCGACGAGACGGTAGTATGCACCTCTAGTAGCGATGAGCTGTTCGTGCGTGCCTTGTTCAACCACGGTACCGCGTTCGATGACGGCAATGTTGTCAGCTTCTCGGACAGTCGAAAGCTTGTGTGCGATCATGATCGTGGTCCTGGATTGTCGCACGGCATCCAAGGCCGCTTGAACCTTGCCTTCTGCCACAGGATCTAGCGCACTCGTTGCTTCGTCCAAGAGCAAGATCCGCGGGTTTGAAACGATGCTGCGAGCGATCGCAATACGCTGCTTTTGACCGCCAGACAGAGTTCCGGCTCTCTCACCAACCTTGGTGTGATATCCTTGAGGCAATGCGCATATAAATTCGTGAGCGTTTGCCTTGACGCAGGCTTCTTTCACAAGACGCAGCTGTGCATCTCCTGAAAGGCTGTGATCAAAATTCGCGATGCCGTTGCGAACGTTCTCAAAAACACTAGCGTTGAACAGAACAGGTTCCTGTATGGTGTCAGATACGATCTGTCTACAGGTTTGAAAACAGCTCTCACCTGCTGAACTAAGCGGGCCTGTGTACGAAGCCACTTCACGTCCAGCTCGGTAATGTCCACTCCATCAAGTGTGATACTGCCCTCCGTGCGATCGTACCATCTCTCGAGGAGACCAACTATCGTGCTTTTCCCAGATCCACTGGCACCGACTAGTGCTGTCGTCTTGTTGGCAGGAAAGCTGATCGTCAGTCCATTGAGCACTGTAGTGTCCGGTCTGGATGGATAGGCAAAGTGAACATCGCGAAACTCGATTCGACCTTGCAGCTGAGAGTTGGGAATCGTCTGTCCAATATTGGTAAGGGCATTCAACTTTGGCTCTCGGTCGATGACCTTGAAAAGGTTCTCGGCTGCCGAGCAGGATTTGGCGACGACAGCTATCTGTGGTGCGACTTGGGTGATGGAGGTAGCGGCGACAAGGACTGCGAAGATGACTCTGTCCTTGGATCAGCAAGCTGGGCATGACCTCAATTCCAGTGGAACTCACACAATCACATCTCCAGGCTGTGTGATCTCGCCACTAGAGTAGAGCCGGATACCTTCCCAAAACGCCAACGCGTATCCCGACAGCACACAGAAGTATTGCATCGAGAAGAGGACACCGTAGTTGATTGACTTTTTCCTTCCCTCTTTCTCTGCCGCATCCAAAATGGTTTGATACTTGGCCAAGACTTTGGGTTGCCCCCAGAAGGCGTGGACCATCCGGATACTGGATAGAGCCTCGCTGGCCATCGTGCCGGCAGCGGAGTAGAACTTCAACACTCTACTTTCTTGCTTTGCGTCGATGGTGATGCAAGTAGCAGAAGTAATCACTATGGCGGGGACAACGCACATAGTGATGAGTGACAGCTTCCACTGAGTAGCCAAAGCAACTACGAAGGCGGTAATGAAGGTCGACAGAGCTTGCAAGGTCACACCCAGCTTTTCTGCTGTGCCCTGGCTGACAAGATTTCCGCTGGTGGTGACGTCCATTGCTATTGAGCCGAGATCGTTCCCATCGAAGTATGCAATTTCCTGGCGCAAAGTTTTATCAACATAGTCGATGCGAAAGGCTCTCGAAGTCCGGAGAGAAGCGACCGATATGGCGTTCATGCCGATATAGAAGAGTACCAATTTAGCGACACAGATGTACACGAGGATGAGGGCAGTATCCGAGATCTTGTTCTGGAAAGCAGTTTTGGAAATGCGGCCTATTGCAAAGTCGTTGAACTGAGTGACAAACTTGCCAAAGACAATGTCGAGGATGGGCAGAGCAGTACCGCATGCCAGCAAACAGATTGCAGCGACAACATAGAGTGCTATGCTTAGTGAATCGGCGTACGTGAAAAAGCGCTACAAGATTCATCAGCATGTCGAGTGGGTGAACAACCGGACCGAAGACTACCAGATATGCCGCAAAACCTTTGGTTGGCTTCTTGTAGGAGCTTTGTGGTTCGAGCGGCTTGCGCTCATCTTCATCGCTCATTGTCGTGGCATGTATACTGAGGGCAACGTCGAGTGTGTGAATGCAGTCGCAAGGACAGCGATAACAGACCTGGCAGCCATGTCGATAATATGGTTGTCAATTGTTCCAATGCCATGACGCGCGCATGCTTGACGGAAGGCGCGCATCCCACAGAAGAGTCGCTTCCCATTTTCCTTGGAAGGATTCGTGGATGGAAGGATTCAGAGGGCGTTGCGCTAATCGAATTAGCCGTCCTCAACAAAGCAGGCCCGTGCGACACTCGGGCGCGTCCCGCGCATCCCTTATCCCGCCGCCATCGCCATCCTCCGTTTCCATCGCTTTTGCTCTACGACTTGCTGCCCCGTGATTTTCAGACTGCGGCCCAGAGCCTCTCCGATCAAGAGCTGCCAACATGTCCGATCCCGATGATAATGTCGGAGGATCGCCAAAGGTGCACATCGGTCGCGCTGTGAGTATTCGCACTAGCCACAAATTGTTCTGCCATTCATTGTGTGTTGATCCCGTTGTATAGTGCGACCATTGTCGCTCCCGCAAAGTAGGTACACTGTACTGCGTTCGGGTTTGCCATAGCACCGACACTGACACGCACAGATCCGCTGTGACAGAGCGACTCCTTGTGCGAATTGCGTTGCCGCCGGCATACAATGCAAGACTTCCAAAGACAGACCCCAAGTGCAACGGCAAAGGGTGCTGATCTCGGGGCAATAGTGAGCCAAGCGGACCCTAAGTGTTTCCAAACCATCACTGACCAAAGACAGTGAGCGCAAGATCGATGCTATGGAGGAGCGTCTGCATAGCGTGGAGACTTTGTTGATGGAAACTAACAAGATGTTACGCTCTCTTCTGAACAAGGAGCATACCATATCGCCCTCATCAACGCTCACACCAGATGTCAGAGACACCAGGGCCAGTTTTACTGTGGACGTGAATATGGACAGGAGCGTGAATGGACCATATGATGGCGAGACATCTTTGATGGCTCACTCGAGGAACGCACGCCGCGTCATCGAGCACCTGCTACAGTCAACGCCGTCCATGTCCAGTGACCCTGAGGTCATTGATGCTCTCAAGACGTTGCATGCCGCTATGCAGGGTCCTTCGAGAACCGAGGCCAGCCTTCTACGGCCCGGCCCGACCGACGAGGACCAAGAGTCGCCTCGAACTACTCTGCCACCTCAAGAGTCTGTTTTCAACATCATTCGTGGTGCCCAGGCCGCGGATTGCCTCTTCTTTTCGATATGGTTGCCCTTCTTCACCCCGGATGAGTTCATGCATCTTTGCGATCAGCTGTACTCTGATTTCGACTCCTGCTCACTGGCAACCAAGACGACCTTGTACGGTGGATTACATTACATGTTTGCCGAGTACCTATCAGCATGCAAGACCCCCTTTGACTCGATCTATTGGGCACACGCCCAGAGCTTTAAGCTTCTGTTCGAAAGCTGTTTGCGACGCTATAGTGTCTTGTCCATACCGACTTTTGACAACGTCTTAGCTCTTGTTTTTGGCGCTGGCCATGCTATCCAGGTATCTGACTATGCTTCAGCTTGGCCGATGGTGTCAACTGCAGCCAACATGTGTCAGGCTTTGGGTTGGCACAGACTGCCAGACGGCTACGCGCGGGACGCCGAAGCTCAGAGGATCTTGTTCTGGTTGATTTACTACTTTGACAAGTGTCTCTCCTTGAGACTTGGAAGGTCGTCCAACATACAAGACTTTGACATAAGTGTTAGCTACCCCAAAGATCCTGTGGAATCAGAATATCGATCGTGGCATCTGTGGTTCCTGACCCTCATCGACATCGCAACCGCACACGGCCTGATATACGAGCAACTTTACAGCCCCGGCTCAATGCAACAATTACCAAAACAACGATCACAACGTGTACTGGAGCTTGAGTTCCGTCTTGACGCTATAGCATACAAAAGCTCCAGCATCGTAGAGTCAACAGTCTATCGGCGCCAGTATATGATATATCTTGTCAAGTCCAATGCAGTAGTCATCGGCTGCCTCCGAACCTTGACATACCGAGCTGCTTCTCCGTCAGAAGGCCGTGCTGGCTTTGACATTGATCCTCGATGTCTATCGGCTGCGCGATTGACTCTTCGTTTACACCAGGACGCCATCGAACATGTACGAGATCGGCAAGATGGAAGCGCTAACGATTATGCAAACTGGACCATCTTGAATAGCCCCTTCACACCGTTCATCGTCCTTTTCTGCCATGTCATTGTCAGTTTCGATCTGGACGATCTTAAGCTCATGGAAGCATTCACTATCTCTCTCGAAAGTCTCAATCTGCGAACGGCAAGACCTATGCTCAACTTCCGAGTACTCTGTGAAACATTTCTGTTACTTGCTACACGATACATTCGAATGTCTACCAGGGAAATGCATGTTCGGGACCAAGTCCCCGTTTTCAGCCCGGACAGTAGCCATGCGACACCTTCGTCGTCGGGCTATCCGACCGCCCAAGGTCGTCTCAATAGGATCGACTTGTCTCAAGAAGGTGGTAACAGTGGCGGCTTCAATTTCTTGCCCCCGGGTATCTTCGAGAACTGGCTTTCAGGCAGCCAGGATTTTGATCAGCTTGAGCTTGTCATGTGAAAGCTTATGCGCAAAAAAGACAATGTTTTCATCTCTGACAGTAAGATTACTGCGAGAAAGACAAACACCAGCTCATAATCTATTCAACCACCGAATCCTTCCGGAATGTTCTTTGGGGGCAGCACACCCAGACCAAAGTACCCGAGATCTGGCAGAGTCACTTCGCCCGGCTCCTGCAATATCTCGATATCGAAACAGGTGGACATGATTGCAAAAGTCATAAGCATTTCCTGTTTCGCATAGTGTCGACCGGGACACAGACTTTGGCCGCCACCATATGGCACCCAAGCGCCAGCAAGACCGTCAGTCGAGTACTTCACTTCGGGTTGTACTGCTGAGTCTTCCATCGCCGAATCGACTCTGACTGGCAGTTCGGGCCTGGTGGTGGCTGGGATGTCAACGTGCTTCTTACGATATGACTGTAGCAGTGGCCCGCTGTGGTCCGAACCCGTCTTGAGGAGGAAGCGCTCAGCCCAGAATTGGTTGAGGGGATGAGGATCGTCCACGGTGCCCTGGTTCCACACCTTAGTGTCATGATGGGCAATGTAGGAAGCCGCCACAAGGAGCCTGTCCTTCTTGAACGAGTAGTCGCCGAGCTGATAGTCTTCTCTGGCTGGCATCCTGGCGATGAGGATAGCCGTCTGCAGTCGAAGCGTCTCGGCGTATATGCTCTGTAGCAAGGGCGACTTGATGAGAGCCTCCAAGTCGAAACGCGGCGGAGCATCTGGCTCATGTGCATTCGTACGAGCCCCATCGACCTCAGATCGTACTCTACCCAACAGTTCAGGATCTCTGAAAATCTCATAGAGGAACCAATAGGCCGCAGGAATGGCATTCGAGTTTGCTCTGCACGCTGTTAGTGTTTCATTCGGTTGGTCGAACAGTTAGACAACTTACGCCCACATGATTGCAAGATCTTCGGATGCAATAGAATCTGCGTTCATGGGCTCCATCTTGTTGAAGCCCTCATGACGCTGACGAATGAATTGAGATCCGAAATGGGGGTCGAGGCCTTCGTAGAAAGTGCGACCATCAGCGTCCACAAGCTTTTCGACGTACGCCTTCCAGTGCTTGAGACTGTCGAGACATTTGCGACGTGCAGCCCAAGATCTCGGGACCATGAAGCTTGGGAAGCCTTTGACCAGAGTCGTGGTACAGTCGTCAAACTTCCAGTAGTCGTCCACGAAGTCAGGGTGCAAAGCCGTAAGATACTCGCCGAACATGGAGTTGATCGATGCGTGCAATAACTTTAATTTGCAAAAGTCGAACAGATCTTCCATCTCAAGCCACACACCGCCTATACCGCTGCTGAGCATGGTCTTTGCGATGTTTTCCATCAGCTTGTTAGTCATAGGCTTCAAGCCGGATCCAGACAAGTACTTGATGACCTGCACATGCACTGTGTGATGGATACGCAGATGAGGGGCGACATCTCGAGATCCGGAGTCTGGCTTTCCATCGTAGCCTGTATCGTCGTGGTCGTAGAAGCTCGGTACCAGATGCTTGGGCGTTCCGAACAAGCGATCGATAGCAATCATCACACTGGCTTTGGCAGAGAATTTTCGGGATTGCCTGAACAAAGAGAAAACATTCTTGGGCCCAGAGATGAACGAAAGCTCGACGTTCATACCCTTGAAGCGGATTGGACTGTAGTTGTCGAGCTCATTCGCGCACAAATGTCTGCATCGATGGTCAACGATCAGGTCAGGTGTTTGAAGAATTGCATGCGACTCACAGATTATCCTGAATGAGGTCCGCCACGCTGAAGGCGAAAGCCATGGCATGTCCAACCACGGGAATGCTGTACGGGACCAAAGGAGCTCTCCTGCCCCTGACATTGCTCCACCTAGTGGCCTTGAAGAGCAGTGATGTTATGATGTACGTCGCAGCGAACGGTAGTAAGAGCAGCATGATGAACAAGCACACTCGAGCGGGCGTACTAAAACTGCTCATGGAGAATAAGAGATAGTCATAAGACCAGAAGTCATTGGCATCTTTTGATAGGATGTAAGACTTTGGCTTAGAGGCATTGAGATGCTCGCCAAAGAGGAGTGTTTGTCCTTCAGACACAAGAGTTTGGATTGTTGCTGCCATCGCTAGAACCATGCTGCAGTAACTAGAAAGCAGGGCAGAGGTCACCGTATATGAGCGTCCTCAGGATGGTATTCTTCCAAATCTAGCAGAGTCGCCATACCCAACGCTCGATGAGATCTTTGATCTGGATACCGTCCTACCTCAACAACAATCCTACGAGAGCCTGCGACTATATCAGGGCACGGTATATGACGAGTGAAAGCATATAGTCGAAGGATGCATATCGTGAAGGAAGAACTTTGCTCACACGTTGTCAAGCACATTGGAGTAATGGTTGGCCTTGACTATAACGGCAGACGTGTAGAGCCCCCGGCTTACCACAAATGGCTTCATGTCGCGAGGCCTCGGACAACGATCTTGCTTAGTCTGGAAGATGATAGACCAGGACGGCACGACTTCCATGTGTGTTTAGGCAAAGACACGTGCTTTGGAGGAGATTGACAAGCACTGGGACCCACAGCGTCTTGGGGGCATTATCTTGATATGGTGAGACATTCCTGTACAACCACCAAAAGCCGATTCGAGCGGCAGAGGCGCTAATTTGACCGCCGAAATGTGCCTATGCTGTATATTCAGGCACCATATCTCTATATCGCTGGCTAAACTTACCCTATGGTGTTGTTGCGGGCGCTAGTGTTTGAGCCGTTGAGATCTGCAGAAGGATCTAAAGCTTGTGGCAAGCCCAATCGAAGGATCTAAGATGAACCCGCTCGAGCGGGATGCGCGGCGGGCGTCTTAGAATCACTTGAACGCAAATCCAGCTTATTAACCTTTGGTGTAATGATGAGCGCGACATGCATCTCCGGACTCTTGGAAGCCACGAGTCCACGACTGAGGAGTTACCATCACGTCATTCGCAGAGAAACACTTAGGGTTACGGTTTTCCACTTGGGTGTTTGACCCATTTTCCCTTCCAAGCTTGCATCACTCTCTCACAATGACAAAGCTTCAGTCAGTCCTCGTCGTTGGAGGATGCGGTTTCGTGGGACATCACATCGTTGACCATCTTCTGGCCAAAGACAACAACATCAAGATTTCTGTGATGGGACGGTCGAACGGACAACACCGAAGGCCTCAAGTCGAATACTTGGAGGGCGATCTGCTCTCGGAGAGCTCCGTACACTCGATCTTCCAGAAAGTCAACCCCCAAGTCGTGATCAACACAGTCGCCCCAACCACCTTCCCTCAGAAAGGGACACCCGAGTCGCATTACAAGATCAACGTGGATGGAACCTTGAACTTGCTCAGAGCTGCTGCCTCTTGCCCTGCCACTGCAGGATTCATCTACACCTCCTCAGCGCACACTGTCCTCGCGACCGACTACACCGGCGCAAAGGAGTCGGATCCTGTCGATGGGAATCGCGACAGTCGTCGATTTCCGACTTCATCCAAAGCTATCGCTGATGCTGTAACTCTGGCAGCGAACAACTCTTTGCCTATTGACGCCGGAGGTCTTCGCACAGCCACCATCAGACCCTGCGTCATCTTTGGTGAAGACGACTCGCAGCTTCTGCCGACCGTGCTTTCACAGCTGGACAACAATCAGCAGAACTTCCAAATCGGACTCAACTCTGCCCTGTATGATTTCGTCTACGTTGGGAATGTCGCGGAGGCCCACATACTGGCTGCTGAGGCGCTTGTACGTGAAGCAGCTGAGGGATCGGAGAAATGCAAGCAAGTCAGTGGCGAGTCGTTCTTCGTTACGAACGATGATCCGCAACACTTCTACGACTTCATGAAGAAGGTCTGGGCAGCCAGCGGTTATGATGTGTCCAAGCTCAAGCCTAGAGTCATTCCTACGAAGGTCGCACTGGGGTTAGGCAGCGCAAGCGATCTGGCAACGTGGGCTTTCACGCTCGGCAGAAAGTCTCCTTCTTCCTTGTCTCGAGAAAGCATTGAGCACTTGTGTCTCAACCGTACTCATGACATCTCCAAGGTGAAAGAACGCCTGCATTATACTCCGTTAGTTTCGGTCGACGAAGGAATCAGGCGTGGAGTAAAGAGTCTGTCGTAAATAGAATGCGCTATTTCTCAATCATATCTGTTCATTGTGTCACTCTGCGCTCCACGCACTCATGTCTGTAGTCGGTCATCCACGTGGCACTTATCCCCATTGGGCCACTTTCCGCGAGGTTTATGCTTTGCTATAGCAGACCTCAGTGATCAGCGCTCCTGTAGATCGAGAAGGATTTTATGAGCGATCTCAAAACGGCGTCGATGCCGAATTCTACAATTGCATTCACGCACTAGAAAAATCCTTATGCGACAGGGCACGGTTTTGCAGGATCTGACGTTTGAAAGCTTGGAGTTCCAACTCCGGAAGGTGGATCTGGTATTCTCGCATTCAAGTTCTTCTAGAATTTTGGGGTCTACTTGGCGTGGGCGCGCCTCGAAATCAGTCGGCTTAAATATTAAGTATTACACGAGATTGCGCACGACACACACTCTACTAACTTATAAGATTCATATAGGATATGTAGATAGATACTATGTATATATACATCAAGTTTTAAACTACCCTTTCTCGGTAATTAAGTAGAAAATTAGATATCTGTTGCCTTTTAGAAATTATGATGTTCTCATTTATTTACAGAGCAAAGAAAGAAGAATAATTGATCGAATCCCTAAAAATGGTAAGAATTATTTGTCTACCTATAACTTCTTAACAACACATAGTCTAAAGCTATTAGTAATATAGAAGAGACTTTAAAATATAGCGCTTCTGATAGTATAGACTATACTATAGTAGCCTAACTATAGCCTAAGATAAAGCAGATTTAGCAGTATCTTAACTATAACTCTATTAGTAGCCGATTTTAGGACTACAAAAACTTGTAGAAATACAATTTACACATTTGCGCTCTTAAGCAAACAAAAATCAGCTTACTAGCTTAATATCTCGTCGAGTTATGTCTAAATGTTGTTCGAAGCATAGTCAAAAACGCGTCGGCGGCCATCACAAACCCCGCGACGAAATTCCAGAGGAACTTGAATTCGAGAATACGCACTGGTTCCCGCTGCGGGTGGACGCGCGCATCCCGACCCAACATGCTTTAAGATCGATCCTGGGGATGAACGATGGATCAAAGCATGTGTACTTCTTCATTGGCTTCGGCTATACTCATCCTTCACGTTTGTGTACGGTTGAGACCCTACAGAGCTTCAGGACTCCGCTGTCGATTCGTACCTACGTGAGCATAAATCTGTTGAGGTACGACGGGATGCGCGGGTGAGAGACTGCGACGTGCCTTGTCGCGACACTTAATTACCATACATGCAACATATCTCGTGGAGCAGAAGCATTTTGAACATCACACTATGTTCTTGTCGAACTACACATTCTCAGCGCTTGCTGTCGCCGCAGCGCTGTATGGCTTGCTGGAACACTGGTTCGGCATCTTTCACGAAGAAACAGAGCCTCCGATCCTCCCATCGAAGATACCATGGTTTGGTCATCTGCTGGGCATTATGCAACATCGCACACAATACATGCTTCGCCTGAGGTATCGCAATATCATCATCTCCCACGGCTGCACACTAACAATTTACAGAAAAAGAAGCACACTCCCCATCTACAGCTTGCCCATGCCTGCAGGTAAACTATACGTCGTGAACACCCCACACTTGATCACTTCGGTGATGAAGAACTCGAAGACTCTGCTATTCGGTCCTTTTGCGACCAAAAATCATCGTCGACTTTTTGGCGTCAGCGCAGAAGCAGAGAGGCTCGCTCAGGACAATGTGGATCTTGCACGAGGACCCTGGGAACTCTGGCATGAAGCAGTCAACGCATCTCATGTCGCGCTCAACCCCGGCGAAGGTCTTGACGAGCTGAATCGCAAGATGCTCCAGGGAATGTCTGGCACATTCGAGAGACTGATCAGAGACACTTCGGAGGATCCAAAAGAAATTGGACTTCTTGAATGGCTCAAGCTGGAGTTGACAAACATCGTTACAGCGGCTTCATATGGCCCGGGGAACCCATTCGTGGACCCCAAAGTAGGTGAGGCATTCTGGAACTTTGAGGAGAACATGATGATGGGTACGATGGCCTCATGATGTCGCAGTAGAACCTTTGCTAATCCCTTTCGGCAGTGTTCGCCGGTATCTTCCCTACGGTCTCATGTCCCAAAGCATACTATGGTCGTGAAAAGACCATCAAAGCTTTGACAGCATACTTTGCAGCGGGCAAGCAGCATTCTGCTGGTCATCTGGTCAAGGGCATCCATGAGCATACCGCCAAGTATGGGCTTAGTCATGAAGATATGGCTCGGTTCGAACTGGCCACAGTGATCGCGATGCTCGTCAACACTCTGCCCTCCGCATTCTGGCTTCTCTACTACATCTACAAGGACGAGAAACTGCTCAAAGACTTGCGTACCGAAGTCGCCACCATCGTTCGGCCCAAGGAGTTTGAAAGTGGTGTGGTGGCCCGAACCATTCCCGTTGCTGATCTGAAGACCAAGTGCCCTCTCCTTAACTCGACCTGGCTGGAGATCCTGAGACACCATGCTGACGGATCTTCATTCCGCGAAGTGACTGCAGACACCGTTTTGGACCAGCAATACCTGTTGAAGAAGGGCAATGTAGTACAGATGCCAGCAATCGTGATTCACAACGATGTTTCGGTCTGGGGCCCCGACGCAGCACAGTTCGACGCATACCGCTTCTTGGCCGACAACGACACAAAGAGCGACAAGTCAGACGCAACAGGCGAGGAGCGCCGTCGACAAGCCAAGCGACAAAGTGTGCCGGGAGCTTTCAGAGCCTTTGGAGGCGGCCAGACACTATGTCCTGGCAGACACTTTGTCACCACTGAACTACTCTCCTTGACCGCAATGATGATCATGCGGTTTGACATCACATATGGATCAGGAAAGATAGAGTGGCCGAAGCTCGGATGGAACGATAAGGATATGAGTGCCGCAATCACGTAAGTTGTCTTATTCGTGCAGTTGTTCTTTCTCGCGAATACATGCTAATATAGTTGCTGTTGTATATAGTCATCCCGCCTCTGATATCAAGGTCACGGTCTCCCAACGGCCGAGTGCCAGGGGACTCTGGACGTTCGAGACAAGTCAAGTGCAAGGGTATCTTTCGTCAGATTCTGCTAGTCTATAGAACAATCCAAACGCTGTATTCATCCGTCATGACACTCTGATCGTATGATAGTGTTGCTTCTGTATTGAATCTGCAACTAGTAGACGTGTGTGCTTGGAGCTGGCGCCAACCAATCAAGACCAGTGTCGAAGTGCCGAAGATCCTGCATACGTGCCTGCCACGACAAACGTCCTGCAAGCCAGACCCTCAACGGCGTTATATATCTCTGCATGGGCCGGGATCTGCAAGAAATCCTCGAAGCTTGTTCTTCTGCCGACATAAGGTTGTTGTTGATCTGCGCCACGATTCGGAAAAACACTCCGCATGTAACAGGTTGCTTCTGTCAGAGTCGAATTATCCAGCTATCTCCAATCGCAAACCAACTTCTCGGCATGTGCTCGTCTAAGCCAGCTTCATGATGCAAGCCTTCCTAACAGCGCTGACTGGTGGACTTGCGCGATCGTACGATAAGATGGTGAGTTCCGACTGTGTCGAGGAATCCAGGAGGGAACTGGGAGACGGCAAGCCACTGCAGGACTTCTCTTTCGACATTGGTGGCTGGGTTGGTTTGGGACAGGGCACGGATACGTCTGTCGTCAAGCTCATAGACATCAGTGATAGCGATGCGCAGGAACTTTTTGCAATCGTCTGTGTGGTTGCCCCATGTGGTGGCGGGAATGGCGTTGATCAGACCAATCATGGCCGAGACAGGTTGACGCTGTTCGAGTACAGAAGCAGTGGCCTGATGACCGGTGCTCAGAGAGTTGCGGATGAAGGCTCTGGAGTCGAGGTTGCCGTCGAAGATTTGGTGGTAAGGGAGGATGGTGTTCTTCATGACTGCGATCAAGCGGAGCGTACCGGTAAGGTCGGCGGCAAGAGTGTCGGTGGGTCCGCTCAGGAGACATGCCATGAGGGTAGGGGCGAGGATAAGATGCATGACGAAGCCAGTGAAGCAAGAGTTGTTGTCATAGCGGAAGGTTCTCTTGAGGTCAGTCGCCTGGTCCAGGAGGCCAGGACCGAGGTTGTACTGGACCCATACAGGAGAGTAGGCGACGAGGGCAAGGGAGGCGAAGAGGAGGACAGGGTCGTTGGCGAAGTTGGCGTCGAGCAGGGCCTTGAGGTTGTTGACCAGGTGAGCAGGCACGATATCGTTGATGACTGTGCTGCGGAAGGCCAGCCACATGTCTGAGACGTAATTAGTGATCTGTTTCGGCGTGTCGGCCCAGGAGTTCAGGAGGGTGTAAGATCTTGAGAAAGGAGGAAGAGGTCACTTACCTGCATTATCACCATTGCGGCAGCCGTTGGCATGGCAAGTGCTGCAGGGTCTTTCCAGGTTGATGCTGATATCGATCTTGTTGCAGGGTACACCCTTGACGGCGCACTCGGTGCAGCGAAGAGTGTCGCGGATGATCTGATGGGATGCCATTGTTGCGAAGTTGGGTTTGTTGTTGTGGAAGAGAAGAAGAGAATATTGGCGGCGGCGCCGATCAAATAGTTCTGCGCCGGGAAATCCAAATGGTGTGAAAGCGAAACAACAATATGAATTTCTCGCGTGTGATTGTCAAGGGGCGTGTTGACGCGAATTTGAACTTCACATACTCAATCAGCCAAGACAGAGAACGGAAACTTCGAGTCAGCTGGATGGAAGTCGGTGATCATTCTGGAAAATATCAATAAGATCAGGTGAGAATATCTCAAGGACACGGGTGTGGGAATAAAGATAGTATCATTGAGAGAATCTTACAGTAAACGACAATGCTTACGCTTGACAACATGGAGACCACCGCAAGAAGTGCAGATGTTATGACATATGGACAGAGACCAGAAACAGTATGACAGAATTGCGATGTAGACCTCTCCTGACCATGCCCTCGGGGGTGATACACAACATCGTCGTCAATGACTTTGCCATGGCGGAGGTTGAGCTTTGTGCCCGAGTATTCCGACTCAATGCAGCAACGGGTCTCTTTGGAAGCGATAAGGAGGTCTTGGAATGTTGCATTGTACTTCTAGACAAGAGATCTGAAGTCGGGGTACGTACACGGTCCGCGGCGGCGGTCATGGGCTCCGTCGTCGGCTGAAGAAGACATCCAGAAGCAACGTTGATGAACAGCGAGGATAGGATGGGAGAGAGGCCAGGCATGTGCAGGCATGCGAAGAAAGAGTCAATGAAACCGCCAGTGTGAGAGAGGTTGAATTGAATCATCCGCTGTTCGGTCTTCTGAACGTTTCCGTTGTGAGGCTTGATTTCTCTTCGCGCTTGATGTCGGCAAAAGAAGTACGGGCTCTGACAAGTACGCAGCTTCAAGGCTCAGTCGAGGTAACTTCAGCCGAAAGCAGGAGCACCCAGGGCACACGAAAAGGGAAGCGTAAAGTTTTGTATCCTTGTAACTTCCATCTCTTGTCTTGGCCGGGGCCTTGTATGGTTCAGGTTTCTCTCAGACCGCACTGCCATTTGGACGGGGGTTGACGGTTCGGCAGGTATATGATTGGGGCAGAGTTGCGAAAGAGAGGCGGGCGGCGCATTGCGGTATGCCTGATCCAGAAGTGGTGCTTGGGGGCAGCTTGGGCGACGGCACGCTGGTCGAGCCCGCGACCTCTTTCAAAGCAGGGCTTGGATAAGCTCAAGCGACTGTCGCCTTTCGGTGCGGCTCAATCGCAAGCAATGCTGTGTGCTTCCAATCTCTTGAATCTGCTCCAGATGTCGGCAAATAAACGTCCATGAGGTCCATAGTCTTCCAGTATACTGAGCTGCTTCGGGCGGAACATTGCGACTGTTAGCGACCCATCTGCCAGATGTGCGTGCTGGCGTGAAGACCTCGACGTCGCTGTCGCGGTTGTAGTCGGAAGACGCAATGATGAAAGGCTGGTTCGGAGGCCTGGCGCTCAAATAAAACGGCGAGGGGGACGGTGAAGAAGCTTAGTTCCGGCTCAGCTGGATAGTCGGATATCTCGTGTCTCTGGACATAGGAGTCGACAGTCCGGCAATGCCAGAACTCAAGTCGCGAGAAGTTGAGGCTTGAAGCTTGCGGAGCTTGCGGAGCTTGCGGAGCTTTGACCAACCTCTGTTGTTGGTGTGGCCCTGTCCCACTTTGCGACACCACCCACTGTGCCTGAGACTTGAAGGAAAAGTCAGACAATACACACATACAGTTCCAAGCTACTTGAGTAGTCTTTCGCAACCGTGATTTGATGTTGAGGCAAAATGGTTGTCTTCTCCCGCCTTCTCAAAGTCCACGCTCGCCTCGCCGCGTTTGCTTCGATCCTCAGAACTTTCCTGCACATCAACAAGCCACCTCGACCACTCCAACGACAAACTGCTTCTTACTGCGGCGCCCTAGTACGGAGAACCGCGGGATAACATCGAACGCACCACGCCGGTTGTTTCATCCTTGAACCCCCCTCACCACATCCTCGAACCCTCCCACCGCGAAATCGAAATGGCCATAGCTCGACAACACCGCCAGCACTGCCGAAGGAGTGAAAATGAATGAACAGTCACATGGGGAGAAAGATAAGGATTACAAACGTCGCTCGGATTGCCCGCGTTCCAGCAATGAAGGCATCCGACGTTGGTCGTGTTGACTGAAGGCTACCACACCACGACACAGTTCTACGTCCGTGGGAACACGCCATCGCTACCGGTACCACATTGCGCTGCCCGCCTACACCTTGCGCTGCCCGCCTACACCTTGCGCTGCCCGCCTGCACCTTGCGCTGCCCGCCTGCTCGCTGGTTTGCCCCAGCTACAGCAATCCTCTGCTCGTCAATACCTACGCCCTTGAACGCCCGTTCTCTTCGCGCTCAACGCTTTGCCTTGCTTGCCACAACAGCCGCACTTGTCTGAGCCGGCACTGGAATATACTTCCCTGGAAGTCGTCCAGAGCTGGAAGTGTGGCTGCCACCCAACAATTGGCTCCGTTATCGACATGATTACGGACGACCGTGGTTTCTGCTTCGTGATTCGGCTGAACATATCACACGGAGAGCATGGCGCCGAGCTGGCCGTCACGACGGAGGTGAGCGAGGTCTGGAGAGGGACGACGGCGATGGGTTCAAGCGGTGTTGGTGGTAGACGATAAAGATACTCAACACAGAAGTGAATTGTTCAACACAATGAGATCTTCACGTCACCCTGACAATGTCTTCATTCAAACGTGCGACTGAAGATCTTGGAGCAGCAGTTTCTCGCTGTGCCCTCCTCTATGAAAAGAACGAGTAGGTCTGGTCTTTGTCTGTCTATTCTTTGTGTGCTTCCCAACTCCACAACTTCTCTTTATCTCCGTTCCCGTCTCTTCTGGTTTCTTCCCTTTCTTTCTTTCTCTCCAGTAATCTTCATTCCTGTCTCTCCTGCACTTTTGATTGTCGTGCGGCGCGTAGCACCTCGCAAGTAGAGACCAAAGCTTGCAGTCGGCATCGTATTCTCTCTGCCTTCTCGGCGCAATACATCCCTTCCAAATGTGTCCACTTGCACAAACTCCGGTTTCTTGTTGACCGAGTGAATCGAAGTTGCAGTCACTGCTTTCGGCGAAGAGAGTTCATATTGCAGGCTGTGTTATCACTCCAGGTAATTTGCAATGTTGCCTGCTCTTATCGGTATCTGCTCTAGCAGTGCTTTTTGCTGAGGATTTTCATTCTCGATCTTGTTATTTTGGCGTCGGTCATGACAAGGTCCAGTCACGAAGTGCGTCCAGGTAATTTGGCCTCCCTCATAACCTCGGCGATATCACAAGTTCAAGCAACATATTTTCTCAGCGATGAAGCGGCGGAAACAAACATGATCTGTCTGAGCGAGCAGTCTGGAAGGTGCGGTCACAACTTCGACTCGTGCTTTCCAACTGTGCGTGTCTCCTTCAGCTCAACGCTTGCACCGAGGCAAAATGTGATTTTCGAAGCTCGTGGCATTGCTACAATCTCTGCCGTCCTCCGGCGCTCACTGAACTGGTCCCCGGCAGCTTCGCCCTGTCATTCTCTTGTGCCGGTGCATCGCCTGCGTTCTGCACTCTGCGGCAACCAGCTCTCCGCTTGCGCCCTTTCTTTTTTCTTTCGTGTTGCGGTTTCATGCAAAGACGCCAAACTCAGAAGCGCAGTCACTCACGCCAAAGACACCCTCTCTGACCCCGCTCAGATCCTGTATGACCGTGTCGCCGTGGAGTGTGTTGACATTGCCGAGTAACTCTGCCCAACACTTCCATACTGTCGTACAAAGACACGGGCTACTGGGCCATCCTCTCTTCGTGAAGATCACATCTCGCAGTCGCGGCTAGGGCAACCCCCATGTTGTTCCCACCACTCCTACACCCTCTGTCCTGCTGTTTCGACCGCCGCCAGCTCCTCAGTCATCGGAGACCTTCAAGGCCAGCTCGCCATTGCACAGAACGACATCCTTTCCAGGGATACGCTATTGGAGGCCCGTGAAGCAGAGGTTCAACGCCTGAAGCAGAATATTGAATCCCAGCACGCCACCTTGACTCGCCAGAGTATCAAGATCACCGCCTTGGAAGGCCGTACTGTCGCTTTAGGACCTGATGACCCTAAGTTGACTGCCCAGCTCAAGGCCAAGAAGCTGCGCTGGAGAATCTTCAGGACAAGCTCGAGTCTCAAGACCTCCAGATCGTGGACATCGAAGCTGAGCCGGAGAACCCCAGACGTCGCACGCACCACGGAGCTGACTCGTAAGATCCACGACCAGCGCTCCGGTCAGCCTTTCAACACGGCCGGTGATTCCCTTCGACCACCAGGCAGAGACAAGCGACAGAAAAAGAGATGGGCTTTGATTTCGACAGGGGCGAAGAGAACAACGACCAAGCGGCCTTTGATGATTTTGTCGGAAGTCTGCCGCCTCACAAGATGAAAGATTGAGAGTCAGGGAAGCAGGCCGAGGCGCGTACTCATCAAGCAGATGAAGAGTATGCTGATGAAGACGAAGATGAAGACAAAGACGCCCCAACGCCGCAAGAGCGGCCCATGTCAGGACGCGTCCATGATCCAGCATCTCTCTAGTCTGGCCCTGCACCAGTGCGCAATTCCGTCCAATGGTCTGACGACACCCAAGAACAACTCGACCCTCCCGAAACACAGTCGTTGGAAATCGCGTACGCGTCCTCTCACTCACGAGAACGTTTCCGTCAAAGAACACAAGCAATCTACCATTCCGGAGCCCAACCTTTCGATCAGGACATCACACCCTCGCCCTCTAAGCTTGGGCATGCAGAAAAGAGTTGTTCCACACCATAGCAATACATCGTTCTATAGATCAAGTAACAAAGCTCTGTCCCGCGCACTCTTCCCACTCCCTTCCAAATTGTATAGACCTATGTCTGAATGGTCGTCACTGCTCATCCATGCTTCTGGGTTGCTGCGGAGGTGTTCCGAGTCTCTTTCACAAACGCGACTGAAGTTTCTCTGTTCCCCCTGATGAAAGCTCAAGGGTGGACCGAAACATCTCCGCTCGTGAGATGCCGTCCTTGTCTCTTCCGTAAGCTGTTCTGAGGTTGGGAGAGTTTCACGGTCGCTATGTCCGCATACACTTCGGAATTCCTCCAGGAATCTGGAATTTTTAAGGGCCCGCTTCTGGAGTATGTTGCCATTCCTCTTCTTGGATATATTAATACCATTTCTCTGCAACAACTTCCATGATTTTCTTTGACGGCCACAACTTTAATGTTATTCACATCAAAACTAAAATAGAATACTTATCCCGTTGATGCCGATCTGACCAACACTTCTTGAGACCTGAGGAAAGGCCGTAATTATATCTGTCGCCTATGTTGCGCTTGAAGGTCAAAGCCTCTTTTGCACTGCTACCATACATCGAGCGACATCTGGCGAAAACACCGAGGGTTTCGAATCGGCGATTCAGGTTGCATGCGTCAATTATGTCAAGCGCAAGGCAGGGGGTTTTTCTTTTGAAGGACTCTTCTGCAACGTTGGTGTGTATTTCCAGCATGATCTCGTGTCCACCGCGGTGTGTCACGATGCAATGCGGGTTGTACTTGGCTGATGGTTATGGTGCTAAGACCCACTCCAACCAACAAAGAAATGTAACTGTTCTTGTTGTCACTCTTTGTTTATTCCACTGTGCTTTTCAATATCAAACAAAGCATCGCATGGAGTCTGACTGTACAAGCCTTCGATTGCCATGATCGCGACTTCGCAAACCGTACTCGTTGATACTCGCATCCTCCAAGTGCCCCAAGCTCACGTGCGGGCGGAGTGATCTCAACTTCACCTCCTTCTCTTCTGCCGACCACAGTCAAACAAGACGATACTAATTGCCAGCGTCATGAGTAAAACGCCTTTCATGGAAGTTTGCAGTGGGTCAAAGGCATATGCATTACATGACTGCAAGCTTGATTCTTCTTGATTTAATTTCTTTGTTCCTTTGCCAATTTCGCCGATGCAGGGCTTGTTGAGACTGAGCAGCCGGCCTCACCATCTGCGAATGGTGAAAATGTAACAGGCAGCCTCGACCCTGCAGCCTCGGCGCCACTCCTGCACTCTTCCACGTTCTCACCCTTTCACTCTTGCGCATTCTATTGAGGTCCAAGCTTCGCCGGGTGCTTGCGAAGTTCGAGATGTTTCGTCCAAGGTGTGAGAATTATAACTCACTTTCAAAGACACTCTCACACCTGGCGAATTTCCCATTCTCGATTCGTAACTGGTCCCTCCCTTGTTCTCTTCCGACTTCAACACTCTCACCCTTCTTCTCGTCTTCAATTACGCCTACCACGTCTGAACATGGCCACTGTCCCGTACCTGTTCCGGGAATCCGTCCTCGAAGAGCTCAGATGCATGCAGTGCGCCGAAGAGGGCACCGCCTGCGACAAGATCAATCAAGACTTCTCTCTTAACATCACTGCACAGCATGCACTCAACAAAACAAGAACTGCGCAGCCACTCCTCTCGCCACAATGTGAGAAACCCTTTGCGCTTCTCCTCATTCTCCCGCCTTGCTCACCCGTCTTCATAGGCTCCTTGATTTCCACGACCATTGTCTCATGAGCCAGAGCGACGAGCTGGTCCCCTTCTTCCAGAAGCATGCCCTCTCTTTGGCCTTCTGTCGGCTTGATGCAGAAGAGACTCCCGCCCATCCGCGCCGCCATTCTTTACAGATCCATTCAAACTGCCAGACCCCTCGACGAAATCAAGCTTGCTCTGGAACGTTACCAACAAAGCTACAGAGTCCTGGACATCAAGAAGAATGATTCTACTTACCTCTGTCATAATTTCCACTCCCGCTCTCGTTCGCTTTCAACTTTTGAACAAGAGACCGACACTTCATCTCGCCTTGACCGATGCTCTCTGGATCACTGGTCTCCACTGGGCACAAGTCATGTTCTTTCTGAACGCTCTCAGCAAAGACCCCGAAGGCCAGATCTTGACCGCCAATCCCACCGCTTCTGGTCAATACCCCACCCAACCTCAGATCGACCAGTTCCCCTTCGTTCAACAGCTCTTCGCCTTGATTGACCTGATCCCGGATGCTGAATGGGGTGCTCGCACCGCTGAGATCAGAGGACACATGAAGCAAGTGGTGCGCGACCTCTACACTTTGGAGTCTTCCCAGAACCGTGCAATGGTCGATGCTTCTCGTGATGGCTTCCCCTCGAACAACGACAAGCAGCTTTTCGCATGGTTGTCTATGTCATCTCACCCTCCCGACTTTGCCCAAATCATCCAACAGAACCTTGTCTGGAGGGTCATTCTCTGCCAATGGGCTGTTCTCTGCCAGCGCCGCAAATCGGTCTGGTACTTCAAAGGCATCCTTCCCGTCTTGTACAACATGGCCATTACGGACATCAACGCCACCGCCAACACTACAAGAGTCGGCACATGGGCCCAGTGGAAGTTTTGTCTTCGTCCCGTCATCGAGGCTCTTGCTGCGTCGTGGATCGACTACAAGACACCTGTCGCTGAAGATTAGGTTCTTGTGTATCCCTCATACAATTCACCATCTTTTTGATGACTCTGACGACCATCCACTACTCCATGAGAAGTTTCCATGCTAATGTTGCTTTTTGCTCTTCCCTTGAGTTCTGGTATTGGTCTTGGTCTTGATTTTGGTTTTGGTTTTGGTTTTGGTTTTGGTTTTGGTTTTGGTTTTGGTTTACATTCATGCGTGCTGCTTCTTCATGGATCAAAAAAAACTTATATATTTTAGAAAAAAGTAGACTCTAATGATCACTTGTCTCCTCCACCATATCATCATGTTGCAGTGTAATGAGACTCCGTGAATGTGAGCGGTTAGTGTTGTCCATCAAGGTGTTTCTTCTTCCACGCACTTCTTTGCGGCGTTTGTATATTCGCTTCTTTCGAGCGCATGGGACAAAACAACACAAGATGTTGCATCTATATTAGTAGAGCAATAGGGAATGAGGGTTTGAATTCGTATAAGAACACATCATATTGCAGTGCTATACTGTGACATCTACGGCGACAGTGAACAGAACCCCCGTGAAGCTGTAAGCCCGGACATGCCTAACAGCCTCCTCGGTCGGAGTCTTGCGCTACTTCGAACATTCATCCGGATCTTAAGTTTCTTCTTCCTGGCTCTTAAGAGGATATCGGAGGCAAGCACAACATCTAGTATCGAGTAGACAGAAGAGAGGGCGAGACAGAAGAGTAAGAGGTGACGACAGCATTTGAGAGGCGTATGCGAGACCAGCTGAATGATTGTTTGGTGCGGAGGCGTCCTCAAAGGTTGTATTGGTAGAAGTGTACAAATGCAGAAAGCATTAGGGCAATACTGTCAGAGGGTCGCGGCGGTGAAGCTGGGAGACAAGGGAGCGACCGGCAGATCAGGCGGCGGTTAGGGGCGGTGGTGGAGTCGGGGAAAAGGTGAAAGGCTTGGACTGAGTCCATGTGCCACTGGTGGAAGTGTGCGATGGCGAGGAATGGCAGAGGTGACAACAATGCGCACGTTGCGGGTCGAACGGAGAGTCGAGAAGTGATTCAGAATACTAGAAACATATCATATCATGTGGTAAGGGAAAGGGGCTTCTTGGGGAAATGGCGCTGAGACTAGGAAAGCTTCCCGTGACGACAAGTACAGTAGTAAGAAGAAGCGCCTCGGTTGTGTTTTAATGGAGCTATCATGAACAAGCGAGCTGATCAAGGCGAGAAGCTTAACAGCATATGCGCTTAGTAGAAGTCTACAAGTTGAGCGAATCTGTCGTGCCGCGAAGCGCAAAGAGAATCGGCAGTGACGAAGTGTGGGAGAGATGGATGAGAAGTAAGTGATTCAATGACTATATACGATAACATACGTTTCTTGTCACGGCCAATGAGCACTACTCCGCAGAAGTTTCTCTTCATTTGAGCATGCAACGTCCCAGAGCCGAGAAGCGTTGACAAGCTGACATGTCCCAGGCAGAAGCGCACGAGTAGACGGTGTCAAGGATACTGGCAGAGACAATGGGAATTTCTGAAACCTGGAGCGACAGGATGCGGGCGGACTTGGTGGTCATGGCGGAGCTGCAACTCGAACTGATGGGAGAGAGAGGATCTCGCTGCTATGACAAATCGCCACAGGCGAGTTTCAAACAGGATACGATAGAGAAGGCTGAGATATGAAGTTGCTCTGACATGACCGGGGAAGCTCTGGAGAAGAGACACGGGAATGGTGTTTGTAAGGGTTGGCGATGGTGACTGATTCGCGGACCTGCAGTTCATCATCTGGGCCTTAACCGGGTAGAAGCTTGGAACATTGGAGTGTGCGCAATGAGTGCGCAGTGAGCACGTGTGCAAGTCGTACCATGCACAAGACATAGCCGAAGCAGGAGTGGCGACTGCGTTGAGGGTTGTTGTGAAGCCGAACTGTGGGCTTATCTTGCAGACCACACATTGAGTCGTGAGAGTGTTGGAGGTGACTGCAGTGGAGTGGATGCGTTCGTACGACAGGAAAGTAGTAGTCGAGAGCGCCGACTTCTGTCTGCTCACTTGTCAACAACGTGACGCAAGTATTGTGACCGCCGCGGTTATTTTTCTACATGAGTTGGCAGTAGCTTTGTCGACACAGCGAAAGACCATTACCCATGGTTGAGTAGGAGGGATGGAGGCAGCATTGTTGGAGAAGCTTTGGCTGTTGGTGCAAGTCATGCGAGCGACACATTGAGGCATGGCGGAGCGACTGTGTAGCTTCGCGTATGGACCACATTCTAGGCTGGCGGCATGCGGAGTCGGAAGGCTGACACTGGCTGGCAACAACACTGGCCGTGTGCTCTGGGGAGAAGATGAGAGGGGGTGAATGGTCGCTCGCTCGCAATCCCAGAGGTATTGTGTGACTTCTCTGTCTTCTTGATGAAGTAGGATACCATGGCGGGTCCAGCCCCAAGCCCTCAGGGCAAAGCATAGCAAAGGGTATGCTGTGAGTGTTCCTGACCCTAGACTATTCACCGCGAGACTCATCTCCTGATCAGCGGCGTTGTTGACGTGGTGGACGTATCAGAGGGCGGAAGCAGTCGACTGCTGTTGTAGGGCGGAGGACAAGGAAGAGGGATTTCTGAGGCACCGCGGCTTGCATGTTCGGAGTTGTTGTAAGTGGGCGTTCGATGAGACGAGAGCAAAGACGGCGAGGACGGCGAGGAGGGCAACAACGGCGAGGACGGGAGGGCCAGACTGAAACATTCTCAACGTGAAGCTTGTCCTCTGAGAATAAAGAAGACGCCGATCCCGTGGGGCATACTTGGTGATAGCGCCTTTGTTTCCACCTCTTGATCCTGCTGTGCCGATGGTAGTGTTTCTTGTAGCCAGAGTCGAAAGGCTGAGACTCTCCACCGAGGTCATTCCGGAACATATCCTTCGTAGGAGTGGTGTTGGTCTTAAAATAATCGAAGATCGTGTCGTAGAAGACCTTTCGTAGATGGTGGAGCGACGAGAGAGTAGTAGTCGGGTAGACGGTGCCTTCGATGGCGTGGGTGTAGGTGACGGCGGCATGTCGCAGTATGCTTCGGCGAACACGGCGCCGAGAGGTGAGGTCTCATGTACAATGGCGCCAGCGGGAAGAAGGTTGAGCGACCTCCAGCCAGAAAGTGGACTTGCTCATCGTGCGCCGTAGGCAGGTTCGGTAGGAGCGAAGAACGCAAGCAAGGTGGCGACATATAATGTGGTTGTAGATCTTGTCATAGCGTGAATGGACTGCGGTAATGCAGATGACGATGTGAAGCTCCGCCGGAATCTCTCGAGGTGGGCGAGAGCAGTACGCAAGCTCCCGTACAAGTGGTGGCGTACTTGATCCGCTGTGGAGACTCCTTCAGTGCTCTCGTAGAGCATGCGCGAGAAAGGCATCAACGAGCGCTGCGAAGGCGTTGGTCCTTCGAAGGTTCTGCGAATAGTTAGCGTGCGACTGACTGGTGGTGAGGAACATGATGATCAGACAGACCTCGCTTATTGCATTGTATCTGGTGAAGTCGCGAGAACGTTGTAAAGAGAATTATGGCACCCATCATGAGTGTGGGTGTATGAACTCTGAAGGCCGCCGCAGTAGTAGAAAGGAGCAGGTGTGTGCAGTGTCTTGGGAAACCTTATGCTTTTCCTGAGCGACGGCTTGATCCTCTGATGATTCCCGGAAATGAGGCTCAAGATCAGTCGGAGTATGAGGAAGCGGCTGTGGAAGTTGGAGTATCCTAGAGCGAAGGTATACATTGACTGACTGTCAATAGCGAGGAAAGCACAGAGATCAACAGAGAAGGATGCAGCAGAGATGAGCCAGAGATCCTAGACTGTCGTCTGCGATTGTTCATGACCGCTTCTCTGTTCTGCTTGATCCGGCAGACTTCGTTCCAGTCGGACAAGACGCCGCAAAATATTCAGGTCGCAATTCTCAGGTACGTGTTCTTCGGCTTCGGCTTCCTCGGATGCTGGCGGTGGAGGGATGGGAAGCATGTTGGAGTCGTCGATCAGGGCTGAATGCACTGCGGGCGACAACCGAGACAACATGAACATTGAAGACGTCGGGCCGCAGTACTGCGCATTTGTATCTTTGTTGATTTATTGGTTGAGCGTCCCATGGGCTTCAGGTTCACACTTCCTCTGATCCCAGAGCGTGCTGTATCAATTCTTGTGTGAAGCGCTCGTGACATGTGATTTTTGCCTTGTCTCGGTTGTGGACGCGCATTTGCAACCGACTGGCCTTCCAGAAGGCGGACGGCAGTGACGTTCGCTCGATGGACAAACAATAGAGTTTCACCTTCCCCTTTTCGTATGGCCCGCCACGAGAGGGACAGCAACTCTGAGAAATGGATCGACTTACGTCACGATACTAATCCTTGGAGCGGCAGACTTGCTGGCCGATTTTGCGACAGTCAACGCTTGGAGCAGTCGGCCCTGCTCATTGCCAACCACTTGAGCAAACTCCTGTGACTGTGATGATGGAATTGGCTTTGGCGTTGGTGGTCTACGCTGCTCGAAGAATGTTGCCTGCTTGGAGAAAAGAGTCGCAGTCGGCAATCATCCTCAGCTTCTCAATGTCTGCGGTCTCGTTGCCCCCTCTCGCAAGCTTCACGGAGGTCTTGCAGGACGCAGTGTCATTGCCGCAGCGCTCGGCCATGGCGCAGTTGAAAAGCACTCCAGCAACCGTTTATGAAATGCACGAAAGGAGTGACCTACAGTTGGTGAGCTGCTTTCTAGGCACTCCTTTCCTGCTGCGCAATGCGCTCGTTGTAGAATCTTTCACATTGATCAAAGGCAGATCGAATATTCTCATCGATCAGACCTGATCCGCAAGGCGTCTGTCGACGAAGATTATCAATAGTCTCACGGGGAAGAAAAGCGTAAGTGAAGGGATATCGCAGAGGCATACACTGGGGCAATCAAGAAAATCTTGGAATAAAGCGCGAGGTTTTGGAGACGAAGAAGGTTTGTGCAGAAGTGGAATGCGCCTAACTTTGGTGTGTGTGGATCGTTTGGTGCTCGAGAGCCACAGAAAGAATACGCTTGGAAAGAACAGCCTGAACAAGCCTTTGTACACCGCATTTTTTACCGGAACCATAACCATTTGAATTGGGGAGTGAGTAAGAAAGTGGTTGCAAGGGCTAGCAGAAAGCTCTGGCTGTGGTCGTACGGAGAATCCGTAATCTTGTGAGAACAAGAAATATCTATGAAGATATACATCTAGGGAGATGTGAGAATAAACTCAGGAAGACTTGTAGCAGCGACCCTCCGAAGAAGTACCGTGTAACCGTGATCAACATTCTGTCGTGTCCTGTAGCTGTGAGGAGACGTGAAGTCATATCGTTTTTAAAGTTGCGTTTGAGGGTGGCTCAATGTGGAGAAGACGTTTGAAGCCCGTTGCTCGAAGCTTGAGGCGCTTGCAAATTCGACGTCTGCTCCTCCTGTCCATCTTCCATGCCACAGCTCAACTCAGCAAACCAGTGGTGGAAGACATGAGATGGTACTTGAGCGAAACTCTTGCGTTCCGCTGCCCGTGACGTGGTGAGTTCCACCGCAATCTCGAATTAGGTGAGAGTTATAGGTTTCACTCGTCTTGCATTTTTGCTATCGGTATCTAGATTTCCCGTCATCCTGAATGATCCTTTTGAGATCGAGAAAGACATGTTCCATCCAGCTATCGTTGTTGGTTGGTGCCAGGAGTTGATCGCACTTTCCTTGTTGAGTAACGCAGCAAATCTTTGTCGCGCAAGCGTTTGTTTACCGTCCATGCATTTTTACATTTGGCATCTCTGAATGCTCTCCATCTCTTCCGCTATGCTGCGCGGTGTTATCGCTATGCTCCAAGATATTTCTCGAAGATCATCACTTTGGCCATCTGTTGAGAGGACCAGGATCCGAACCAGACGATCTCTTACGCTCTTTTCCGCTTCCGGGCTCTCGCAGAGATCGCAGCTCTCTTTGACTCTGAAGCTCGCACCTTGTTCAAGCATCCATCTGTCAATGACACTACGTTCGCCGAGGATGTCGCTTTACTCAACATAGCCGAGAGCGCCTTCTCTGCCGCGGGCGTCCCATGGCTTTCCCGACACTTCTCCTCTATCTACCCGCAAGCTTGCTTCTCACCCGCAAATCTGCTTCCCACCCGAGGCCGCCCCTCACCACAAGCCCGCTCCTCACCGAAGGCCCGCTCCTCACCGCAAATTTACCCCTTATCGCAAGCTACAAGTTGTGGCAGAGAACGTTGCCTCGCTGGTGTCTCTTGCTATCTTCGCCATGCCATCTGTTGCGTAGCCAATTGCTTCTGGCGGCTTCCAAACCCCAGGCACCACCGCCTTTGCCCGCTGGTTCGCCAGTTCCAGGCGCCGCCCAAACGAATCCCACTTCTGCTTCTGAGCTCCACGCCCGTTCTTTGACGACCAAGACCCTTTACATATCGAGCCCATGCATGGTTGCGCCGGAGACATGCTGCAGGATTGAGCCGGGTCCTCCATCGCCTTGCGCAAAGACCTCGACATCTGCGTGGTTCAAGCAAGACGTCAAACCGCCGGGATGGCCCAGGTCAAGCATGCTTCTGGCTGGACGCGCTTTGACGAAGCAGAGCAACATCTTCAGAGGCTTGCGCAAGGGTGAGCAGCGTGATACCGCAGAGCAACATTGACTTGAGATGCTGACTGCTGTGTGAGTTCATCTCTTCATGACAACACCGTGTTTTCCACTGACATCATCACTCTAGCGGCTTGAACCACGACGATACCTGGGGTCACTGTGCCGACTAGCCCAACATGCTGCAACATAGCCCTTGCGTGTCTGCCAGAAGCCACACCTTACGACGATCACGCTGTCTACGATACAGGTGGGGATACAAGTGCGCAGTGTTGCCTCACGATCCGCCAATTCCTCATACCCACAAGACGCCCGAAGCCACTGGCAACGAAGACAACACAGCCGAGGATACGACCACTCTCACAGCCAATTCGGAGCCTTCCTTCAACAGGTGGTTGAATCTCCACAAGAACATTACATGCAACCGAAATCTTCAAGTGCTGGCCACGCAGCTACCGCAACGAGATGGGGCCACTGCTCGACAGACATTCCACCTTCTCTGTCAACAGACACGATTTATCTACGAGACACTCCAAACGCGAAGACTCCTGGCCAAGCACAATGCCGGTCTGGATCTCAATCAGGTCAAGGACACATGATGCATGCACTCTTCGACTCCTGCCCATGAAATACAAGACACCTTAGCGTATTCGACAGTGCCCAAGTCATGGAACCATCGTGGCAATGTATCAACCTGTCCAAGCCTTCGGTCTCTCCCGAGCTTTGCTTCCGCCGGGAGCAGCTTTTCGCGAATTCAAGCAACATACAGCCTCCTAGAGCGAGTCAGAAGGCATTTCATTCTTGTCCCCAAAGAGACTTTACACACTTCGAAACTTCTATCCATTGTGGTCAGCAATTCCTGAGTTCGTGCGATGATTTGTAAGAGAATGTCTAGTCCATTTCGCTTTACAAACGATGAGGAGAAAATCACGCGACGCTGGACTAAGACGGGTTACATCACAATGTGGGGTGACCTAAGAGCGGCTTTAGGAGCCCGGCGTAGCTCGCCCCGATATAGGAGCGCAAGTTGCGCCGCGTCTGATCTATAATTAATCAAAACATGCATGACAACAAAATTGACTAACGTAAGTGTCGATCTCTGTAAGAACTTAGTAGAATTCTAGCCCTAGCGGTAACCGGCATATTTAAGCGAGTTTGCTGTCTTGCAGCAAGTTCGGCTTACTACATCGCAGGACGGCTAGAATATATGTCGCCATCGTCTTATTATACCCGTAACTACCTTCTAGGCTTAAGCCTTGTTTCTCGTCGATTTTGCTACTATCTAAAAACCGGCACTATGGCAGATAACCGCTTCTCTAGACAATTTCGCCCTAGGAGTCACGATGGCACTAATGCTAATGTAGTACGTCTAACACTATGCTTAATGCGGATTAAGCTAAAGTCCTTAAGTAGACGCTTATAGGAACGTCTATTATAATAGATCTAAGTCGACTTGTTCTTAATTACGACATATAGTAGCTTAATATAGAGGTGTCTAATTAGTACGGGTAGCTCGTCGCTAGCAAGACTTTTACTAGACCTAAAGTTATAGTAAGCTCTTACAATAAAAATCGCGGTCCTAAGCGGTAAGTTTATAATGCTTTATCGATGTCGCGGCTAGATAATTTAATCTTAGACAGAATCTAGAGTCTAGCCCTACGCGTCTAGAGCACATAATCTCGAGTACCTAATACTTTAGAAGGCTAACGCCTTACGATCTAGGCTAGTAGCTTAGTAGGAGATCTAATATTAAGCTTACGTTAGTCTAGGCCTAATAAACGTAAAAGGAAGCTCTTAGTCGTTGGAAATCATGACCTATAGTAGACTATTAACGATTCTTCGTCGGCAATGAAACCTAACATTAAGGCACTTCTATGTTACTATAGTAGTATGCTAGAGAATTTAGCAGAGAACTAGTTAAACGACCTATAGGAGTTCTTTAGAATGTATAACATTACTTCTACACTTAAAAAGGTAGGCAACTAAGCATTAGAAAAAGCTCTATGCATCTCTAAGGCTTCTAGAGGCTCTAAGAACTATAGCAAGATAATTCAAGTCATTATAGCCTACACATACTAGTAGGAATATAGTAGTAAGCATATATATGATTCTCGCCTTAAAAATCTACGCTAACGTAGAAGTAGATTTATGACTCTTATTAAGGCCTTTAGCCATAAGAGTGTATTACTACTAATGCCGTATATAAGGTAAGTTTATTTGCTTTTTATGTTAGGGACAAAATCTAACATTAATTCTTATTTAGTTTTATTAGGATAAAGAATGAACAGTTAGACGTACTACTATCTAAGATAGAAACTTAGGAAGACTTTAAAAATCTTAAAGAATAGCTAGATAGATATAAGAAACTAGCTTAGAAGTTAATCGACTTCGTAAAAATAGGTACGAGATTAAAAACATGTAGGATAGAAACTTAATAAGCTAATAAGGTAGTATTACTAGAAGGCACTATAGCTATGCGTATCTATAACATAACAGACTTAGTATAGAATCATTCTATTAGCCTAGAGGTTCTTAGCGTCACCTATAAATTAGGGTTAAATATAGTACCCCTAGAAATCATCCTTATATCCAAAGAGGTCTTATGCTCTAGACTTCTATAAGTTATGTTCCTCTTTAATAATCTTCTAATCTCGAAATCCGCTCTATTTCGTAGGGCCGAATCTTAAAAAATATGGACTAAGGACGGTAAAGTCTTAGAGGTTTATATAGGAGAAAACGGTGAGAACGAGGCTTAGATAACAATATTCTTAAGTTATGCAAGTCTATAGAGCAGTTTAGAAAGGTATATTAAGGACTAATCGATCATTTCTTTTAACTCTTAGAGTAGGGAACTAAGCTTTTCGTTAAACCTGTATTAGCAAGGTAAACTATAGGAGTCCTTCGATCTAGAAGAACTGTTCGTGCCTAGTGCTATGCTAGTAGCATATATTTTCCTAAGAGAGGAGTATCTTAATTAGAGGTATAAATAAGATTGCACATTTAGCACTCTTACTAATTCGCCATTAGTTTCTATCGTATTAGTAAGCTATTCTTGCTATACGTTCATCTAGTGTAACTCTACTAGCCTATGTCTAGGAAAGTCTTATAGAGATGTGCTTAGCTTGCTATCGTACTAGAAGTCGTTAGAAGACGTTCCTCCCTACGCTTTATTTAATGATGTCGTACAGAAATCTACTAGATTATCTTACCCTAGCCGTAACGGAAGTCTAAAGTGTTGTAGATCGAGCTAAGGGGCGCTCTTAAGAGTCTAGCGAACTAATTAAGCGAACTATCCGAAACACCTAATACGCTAGCATACGTGCTTACTATTAGAAAGGGCGCCTCCTTCTCTTGCTCGCGGAGAATTTAATTATGTACGATTTACTATAAGAAGCAGAATCGTTACTAAGCAAGTAGGAGAAGAAGAGCGAATAGGCAACTCTACTAGAGGTCTAAGTGTTATAGATAAAGAACACTATAGTTAGTAGAATCTCCTAATATAAGGGCGACTTTAAACACGTAGCAAAATGCTTAGAAACGTGTTTAAAGGGTATTTAGATAGAGGTAGCTAGATATTACGTAGAGTATTATCTAGCTAATGTGTATTACGAACTTAGAAACCCTAATACGGCATAGCGCCTCCTAGAAGGAGACGTCGCTTAACTTAAGGACGTAGAAATCCGAGTGTCTAAGCCGTTACGACGACTTTTACTACCTCTAGCTAAAACTTTTATCCTATAGGATAAGTAGAAAGAGGCCGAGTTAGAGCTAACTAGCCTCGCGCGCATATTTAATAAAGTCGCTTACTCGGATACTTCCGATTAGCTCGGGCATGTTAGATTAATTATCGGTCTAGCTCGTATTAATTACTACGATCTTAATTATGCCTCGACTATTATCTAAACGGAAAAGGCTCTTAAGCTTATATAATATTATAATACATTCGTAGCGACTTTATTCTACTTATGGTTCCTATACTAATTTTAGGCGTCTACTTACTATAAAATGCAAAACTTTAGTAAAGCTAATAAGAGTTTAGATCTTTCTAATCGGTACGTTAAGATTCCGCGCTACTATATAGCTAGGTTAGGTACTTATGCGATGAATTTACTAGAGTTTAACTAGTTAGAAGTACCTTAGCAGTATAAGTACTAACGGGATGCTTAAATTTACTAGAGCTAAAGTCTAGCGCAACCTCTTTGCCTATAGTAACTTATAATTTCTATTAGCCTATCTTCTAAGTATACTAGTTAACTACTAATGGAACTAGCTCTATAAATGTTCTTAGTGCTTAAAAGCATCTCATACTTACTAAGCCTAGCTATAGGAATTCGTTGCTAGGGCAAGACGTTACGCTATAAAGGACTAATAAGTAATTTAGAGTATCTAGTAGGATCTTAGATTGTTTATCGAACTCGAGAGACTAACTTAAACTACCTCTAGATCTAGGCTAACACTTATCCCTTACTACGTAATAGCTGTTTACACTATCTTAGTCTTCTAATCTAGGATTATAGACACTCTTACTTTCTAAAGCTTAAGGTGGTCGGATTATAAGTAACTCGTCTTAACTACATATATAAGCGCTTAAGTAAACGTTAAAAACCCTCTTTAACGTTCTAACTTAATAAAATGGAGATAAGCTCTTATATCTATAAAATATCTTGCAAGAGTCTAACAAAAGTCTAATTATACTTTTTGTCAATTATGTACTAGCGCAGGTTTATTATCGAACATTTTGCAAGGACTTAGAGATTCCTACCTCTACTATCTCTATACTAGAACTTTAATTAAAACCCTTCCCTATTCTAGGAGTTTAATTTAGATAAAGACTCCTATATCTCTATATAAAAGCTTCTGCTCTAGGATGCAATGTTACTCTTTCTACCCTATACACATTGTCTCCTACTTAGTTATATAGATTTATTCCCTTAAGATAAGTAACAGTTTCCTAAGTTGTATAGCTTAGTAGAGGATTGCTAATAGAAAAATGTTACATGCGTAGGACAAACCTAAATCCTACGATAAGTCTTTCTATTAGAAGGCTTAGTAGCGTTCTAAGTGTTAGTCTACTCTTATCTTTACTAATTATAAGTAAGAAAGTAATACTATATGCTACTTGCTATATATTTAGTATTTACCCTCGCTTGCATGTTTCCGCCTAGAGAAGCTTTCCTTGCCTAATTAAGCAGGGATTAGAAAACGTACGTGCCTATAGTAGTAATAAATTAGTCTAGATAAGCGTAATATAATAAGATACTAAGGAACGCTATTATGATCGACGAATATACATTTATAATTACATTTATTTTTGAATTAGGAGGAGTAGTATCGCGAGTGGAGGCTTATAATTTTC